AACACCCTAACACCCTAACACCCTAACACCCTAACACCCTAACACCCTAACACCCTAACACCCTAACACCCTAACACCCTAACACCCTAACACCCTAACACCCTAACACCCTAACACCCTAACACCCTAACACCCTAACACCCTAACACCCTAACACCCTAACACCCTAACACCCTAACACCCTAACACCCTAACACCCTAACACCCTAACACCCTAACACCCTAACACCCTAACACCCTAACACCCTAACACACCTAACACCCTAACACCCTAACACCCTAACACCCTAACACCCTAACACCCTAACACCCTAACACCCTAACACCCTAACACCCTAACACCCTAACACCCTAACACCCTAACACCCTAACACCCTAACACCCTAACACCCTAACACCCTAACACCCTAACACCCTAACACCCTAACACCCTAACACCCTAACACCCTAACACCCTAACACCCTAACACCCTAACACCCTAACACCCTAACACCCTAACACCCTAACACCCTAACACCCTAACACCCTAACACCCTAACACCCTAACACCCTAACACCCTAACACCCTAACACCCTAACACCCTAACACCCTAACACCCTAACACCCTAACACCCTAACACCCTAACACCCTAACACCCTAACACCCTAACACCCTAACACCCTAACACCCTAACACCCTAACACCCTAACACCCTAACACCCTAACACCCTAACACCCTAACACCCTAACACCCTAACACCCTAACACCCTAACACCCTAACACCCTAACACCCTAACACCCTAACACCCTAACACCCTAACACCCTAACACCCTAACACCCTAACACCCTAACACCCTAACACCCTAACACCCTAACACCCTAACACCCTAACACCCTAACACCCTAACACCCTAACACCCTAACACCCTAACACCCTAACACCCTAACACCCTAACACCCTAACACCCTAACACCCTAACACCCTAACACCCTAACACCCTAACACCCTAACACCCTAACACCCTAACACCCTAACACCCTAACACCCTAACACCCTAACACCCTAACACCCTAACACCCTAACACCCTAACACCCTAACACCCTAACACCCTAACACCCTAACACCCTAACACCCTAACACCCTAACACCCTAACACCCTAACACCCTAACACCCTAACACCCTAACACCCTAACACCCTAACACCCTAACACCCTAACACCCTAACACCCTAACACCCTAACACCCTAACACCCTAACACCCTAACACCCTAACACCCTAACACCCTAACACCCTAACACCCTAACACCCTAACACCCTAACACCCTAACACCCTAACACCCTAACACCCTAACACCCTAACACCCTAACACCCTAACACCCTAACACCCTAACACCCTAACACCCTAACACCCTAACACCCTAACACCCTAACACCCTAACACCCTAACACCCTAACACCCTAACACCCTAACACCCTAACACCCTAACACCCTAACACCCTAACACCCTAACACCCTAACACCCTAACACCCTAACACCCTAACACCCTAACACCCTAACACCCTAACACCCTAACACCCTAACACCCTAACACCCTAACACCCTAACACCCTAACACCCTAACACCCTAACACCCTAACACCCTAACACCCTAACACCCTAACACCCTAACACCCTAACACCCTAACACCCTAACACCCTAACACCCTAACACCCTAACACCCTAACACCCTAACACCCTAACACCCTAACACCCTAACACCCTAACACCCCTAACACCCTAACACCCTAACACCCTAACACCCTAACACCCTACATTTTTTTAATACCAATTCTATTTTTCTTACAGTTTAAAATAATCAAACTATGAATAATTTCTGACATTAAATAATGTTATCGAGTATTGATACCTTAAATTAAACTGGATTTAATATTTAGTTTTCTTTTCTCCATCTCTTTTTCTAAATTGAGTTTAGCCACTCGATATCATTATTAATAAATATTAATGGTCAAGTTAGGTAGTTCATTCTATAAAAATTTATGAAATTCATTATATTTAACATTGGATACCTTTTCCATGAGTGAACTTTTAATTGATAATAATAGCAATAATTCATAATATTTTATTATATTTAAGCATATGATATTTTATATCAATCCTTATAGTGAATAATTGATAATTTTGTGATGCATATACTTCTGAACTGGCTATTATAAAACAGATAAAGTTACTCAATATCACATTATATAAAAGTTTAATAAATGACTTAATCATTTAGCTTGAAAAAAAAACTACCACTTCATAAATTCTAATATATATTAATTAGAATAAACTTAAAAGAATTCAAAAAATTCAACTTTTATATCTTAGAAATTTGGCTATTTCTCAAAAGCAGGAAACATAAAAGGAGTTATATATATGGATTGAATCCTCTATTAGCTAATAAAATTTAGGAATAATTATGACTAACAGTCGTTAAGAAATATTGGAATCTAGTCCAATTTCTTCCTTATTACTTCAAATAATCATGGGCTGCTATTCTATTCCCAGAAAAGGTAGCTCGCTATTTGAAGAGCCCAAACATTATCCATGAATTTATGATAACCTTGCTTACCAAACTGCATTCCTATACATACCAATTAAAGATCTATACACATAATTGCATTGCTTAGCCCACCAATATACATAATTGGCAACTTCATAAAAATAATTGAGATACAGCCACATGCTCTTCCTAAATGAGTGTAATCTAATTTCAAATGCACAAGCCTAAAATATCCTCAAAAGCAGATAATTTCCTATATTCTACTATTACCTGTTGCTTTTAAGAAAATTACTTGACCATTTACTTGCCCAAAATGGATGATGTTATCGAAATTTTGCAATGTAATTGAATTCATAGTAATTATTAAATGGACATAACCCCAAGCTTAACTGCAGAAAAAGAACCCTTACTTAGCAAGAAGGCTTCAGTTTTTGATGGTTTACAGAATTATAGACGAAGCTTTAGTGAACTATTAAAGTCCCCAATAGATATTTGGTACCTTTATGCTTATGAGCTTATAGCATACTGCTCTGCAACAATGGTTGTCCTTAGCATGTCACTATATTTTACAGAAATCCTGAAATTCAGTGACATTATGACTGGAATTCTGATTGCAGGGTTCGGAGTTTCCGGAGTTTTGGTTTCAATTGGGTTTGGCCACTATATTGATAGGCACGGAATTAAAAAATCCTTGTTTTTATCCAACGTCTTTGGGATCCTAAACTTCGTGCTGCTATATTTATTTAATAATTCTTTATTTTATTGTGCATATGCTCCATCTAGCTAGGCTTAGCTGATAGATCCTTTTTAATGAGTTTTCAGCTATTTGGTATTGCTTATATTTCTATCTAATGTATGCTGCAGCATGCTTTAGGTTTCTGCTTAATCAGTTTTAAACTTTTTGTTTTCAAATTAAATTTATAATATAATCTCTTCATTGAGATAGCCAGACACTTATTAAAATTGCGTGTTCATAAAGCAAAATATATTGACCCTTGACTTTCTAATTGAGAAAGGCATCTAAATTTCATGAAACTAGTTAATGGTGCTCTTTCAGCAATATTTCAAGCATACTCATTGCTTTCTTCACATTCTTATAATATACACAACTTAGCTACTGCATAAATCCTAGAATTTCCTGTAAAAAAGAAATCAAATGGCTGCAGGGCTGATGGGTGAATTGATATTTCTGATAGATTCCTATAGCAATATCATATTTGTGAAAGCTTCGAGCACTAGCATTAAATAATAAAAGTGATTCCTTAAAAAAAAAGAAATAAATGGTGACACTGACGGAAATTGATCTTTAAGGCGTACTCCCTATGGGAGAAGGTAGGACTCATCCTAATGAAGCTAAAGCAGATCATCTGTCCCTTTTCAGTAGGCCTTTCGACTTGGGATGCATGCCGAAGAGAAAAATTTTTGTTTCTCCTTCGAAGGTTTTCCTGTCCCTGTCAAGTGGGCTAGATAAAGCTTTGCCTATCACATATTATTCGTCTATCGGAACTATCGGGCATCCAAGAGAGGGCCTCTCTAGTCTGGGGAGCTAATCCTAAACTTAGATGAGTCTCTCCATAAAATTCAAGAAGGCCGAATTTTCGAGTGGCCTTACTATTTGTGATCTAGTGTGCACGCACCCAGAATTGGTACCTTTCCTGGAGTCAAGGTAATTCCGATGAGTGGGGATCCCACTTATAGCCACATAGCATCTTAATCTTAAAAAATATAATTAAATTTATGTTTACTTGGCTTATCGCTGATAAAATTAGTCCTCTATTTTCAATAAAATTTCACCTATACACAGAACTGGCAGTAAGACCTCTTCATATCATGATGAAATAAATGCAGTTTCAATAGCAAACTGCCTTTAAATTCGAAAACGATAAATAATGGTAGAACGTTTTCTTGATTTTAAAATTACCCACATCCAATATACAAAATTTCCACACTTCGCTATCATTGCTTATGCAAACAACTCACGATCCCCTATTTGCAGCATACTTCAAAAATTCTCCCATGTAAACTCTGGAATCAGTTTTTTCTCTTCACTATGAGTTTCGGTGTTGAAAATATATAACCATCTGTCACCTCGATTAATTTTTGGGGTCAAGACGGGCATATAGCTGCTTGCTGATAGGATTGGACTTTGAAAATTCATGAATTTTTGGAATCATTTTATTAGAGAGTTTATTAAAGAGTATCGAAATATTAGTATTTATTGAAATAAAAGACAGGAAAAATATAAGCTTGTGGAATGAGATATGCGAAAATCGCGCATAATTGAGCAAAACAGTCAGATACTGGGAGTTATGCTAAAAAAGATATTATAGAGTGATTTATAAAAATTTAGCATAGGTTGTTGAAGGAGAAATAGAAATTAAATGAGTTAGCAAAATTTATATTAATTTATGGCAGACTCAATTTATATATTAGGATGAAATTGAAGGGCTTCTTCATATATAAAATTAGAAAGCTGGTCTCTTGTTAACTCAGAATTATCAAAACTGGCATCAAAATGCTTGTCTGCAAGAATTTCTTGAGACTCGTGCAAGTCTCGAAAATAAGGATGTGCTAAGCACTGTTCTGCAGCTCATCTTTTCTTGGGGCTAAATTGAAGCATTTTATCAAGCAAATCTAGCATATCTGTACTTGCTGTAGGAAACAAAACAGATCATTCTATTTTTTCAGTTTGTGGAAGGCTTTCAACAAATCTTTTAGCAGCTGAGTTGCTAATGAAGCCTATATCTTCGCGAGTAGGAGTTCCTAGTACCTTCACAATTACTTTTATCTGATCGAGATAGTTTTTGCCAGGAAACACTGGATTTCTTCCAAGGATTTCTGCGAAAATACAACCGCAGCTCCATATGTCTATTGATTTTGTGTTTCTGAAAGAATTTAGAATCATCTCAGGAGCCCGATATCATCTGCTGCCAACGTATTCTTCTAAATTTTCAGCAATTTCACTACAACTCCTTGCAAAACCCCACCCAGAAATTTTAAGATCGCAGTTTCTGTTGAGGAGGATATGAATTGGAGATATATTCCTATGTGTTATGTTGGCTGAATGAATGTAGCAAACCCCTCTTAGTAGCTGGTACATAAAGTATTGGATATGTTCATCTGTTAGCTCTTGTCCAGAACGAATAACTCTACACAAATTAACTTCCATTAGGTCAGTTACTATATAGATATCATTGTAGCAAAATCTTGACGGAGGGAGCTGAATATTGAGTAAATTAACTATGTTCTGGTGATTCAAGAATTGGAGTATTTTTAGCATTCACAAAATATTTTTTGTATCAATCAAATCTTGAAATATGTTCGAAAATTTTTTAATTGCAACTTTTGTGTTGGTTTGATGGTCAATGGCAGAGACAATTGCATCAAAAGAGCCTGAACTCAGCTGATTGATGTATTCATAGCGGTCATCAACTATAAATGAAATGCTATTCGAGATAAACTTTGTTTTGCCTTTAGGAATTTCTTGCTCCATTTTAATTTTTATAATCTAAGTAAGGCAACCCATCCTTTTATACCTTATTTTAAATTTAAATCTTCACAATAAGATTTCCTTCATATTTTTAGAATTTATTTCTCAAAATATGGAGTCAAATGATGACCGGTCCAGTTTAATAATCATAATAATAAGCGGAATAGAAATCTGATTTTGAAGTCATGGCTTCTTTATTTCTTTGATTGAGAGATAGAATTGTTATGTGCTCAGCTTTCTCTTTTAGGTGATTAATAAGTTGAAAAGAAGATAGGATCTTTTATACAATGCATGAAGAGTTGACTTCTTATATAATTATGTGTTACTTAGATTTTATCTTATATTCCATATATCGGAAATAGTAATTAATATCTTGAGCCAGAGGGATTATAAAAAATTCTGAGAATATTTATTGAAAATGCTTTGGCGCCTTATTTCTCCCAGTAATAAGCAAATTCTTAGTATGAAATAAGGTATTTCACGAAGATAAAAATATTATTACTATTCTATATAAAATGCAAAAAGTAATCAAAATTATCGAATCTCGACTCAACTCAAATCTGAATTTACCATCCTTAGCACAAAATTATAAAAATCACAATTAAAATCTAATTATTTGAATCAAGAGCTAATAAGGATATGCAAGAGTAATTATTGTAGTGCTAGCATTTAGCGGCTTATTGAGAATCTTTATGTTGAGGAGGCAGATATGCTTTTTCTTGGTAGCTCCAGTAAATTAATTAATAATTTATTGGATAATTATTTTATTATAGAAAGCTGTCTTCTATTTATATCAAACCTGTAAATTGGTATATCGGTGCCGTATTTTGAATAGCCACTAATATAGATCGATTCTTTATAACTTATTCAAAGTATTTGAAAACTGACTGTTAAAGGAGATTTTCCAATAATCTTTCAAGAGTATTCATCCTCAATACCACTTTCAATAATATTTCCTTTTGTTTCTATCACATAAACTCTTGACTCGGCTACAAATATCAGCTTTCCATAAGGATGAACAATGCCTAAAATTTCTGAATAGCTATCCAGATCAATATTATACTGGTATATTGAGTCTTTTCCTCATCCTGCTATTATAATAGAGTGCCTAAAAAAAGCACAGGAGCAATTAATTATACCGACTGGAAGAGTTGCCAATTTGGTCCATCGATTTTCTGCAAAATCGATCTTCTCCGCATAACTTGCGCTTTGCCTGTTTTTAGACCTGCCAAAAACATAAATACATTGATCTCAATAAATCAATCCAAAACTAAAGAAATACTCTCTTAAAGAAGGGAAACTCCTTATTATTGTTTGATTTGCTAAGTCAATTATTCCTGAACCTCTATTAAGAAATGTTTTTGATCCTACAAAAAACAATTCATTATTCGAAATCTGTATAAAGCGTGTTAAATTGTCTAAATGGCCTGGCAACGATGCCATATCACTTATTTCTGTCTTTGCATTGGGATTATAAACCTGAAAGAAAGTGAATTTTTCTTCATTCTGATGAATTTTGCATAGTTTTTCAAAAGAATTTTGGCTGAATGCTGTTGGTCTTTGTTCAATTATCATATTTATTTGTTAAATTTATTATAAAAATTTTAAAAGCTTCAAATTTAATATTTCTAAGACAAATAAGCTGATTAATAATATTAATTCTTAATAGTGCTAAAGTTTGTTTTTATCTCCCATATCTTGGTGAGTTTCTGAGCTGATTCAGCTGCTTAGTGCTAATATCAAATCTAAAAAATGGGACTCTATCCTTATATTCTGAATACCCATTAAAATAGATCGATTCTTTATCAGCTATTCAAAAAACTTGATAATAGACTGATAGAAAAGATTTTCCAATAATTCTTCAATTGTATTCATCTTCAATATGCTTTCCTATGATGAATTTTCCTATTTAAAATAAAGATTGTTATATTGCACAATGATTATATGCAAATATACCGCTCTCAATAATATTCCCTTCAAATTCTATCGCATAAGCTCTCAGTTCAGCTACAAACATTATTAGCTTATAGTGGTTGCAAGCTAGACCTTCTATCTCTGAATAGCTATCCAGATCAATATTATATTGATATATTTTGTCCTTTTTGTCTCCTGCAATTAGAATTGAGTGCCTATAAAAGACGCACAAGCATTCATCTACATCAGCTGGGGGAGCAGCCAATGCCTTTCATCGACTTTTTGTTAAACTTAGCTTCTTAGCTACCGAATTTTGGCTTCTATTAATCTTAGAGAGACCAAAAACATAAACTTTTGCTCAAAATAAGCGACCCAAAAGCCAAAGAAATCATCTCCAAATGGGAAGGGGAAGAACTTGCAATCTCATATCTTGTAAAGTTAATTATTCCAGCTACACCCTCAATTAGAATATGTTTTCGGTCCCACAAAAAATAATTCTTTATTTGAAATCCGTATTGCATTTTATCACATTTGCTTTCTATAAGCAGGGAGATTGGTTGCGAACTAAAATTGATAAGAAACTCTTTAACTGGCCTTTGCAGAAGGGCCAACTGAAAATTGGTTTGCAACTTAGGCGCACAAGCTAACCCCCAATTAGCTAATTTCCCCTCTCATAATAATTATATGCAGTGAGATGCTATAAAAAACTTGTTGAATCATCTAAATTGACTGACAATGAGTTTACATCATATATTTCCTTTTTCGTGCTGATGTTATAAACTTGGAAATAAGTGGGTAATTCTTTATTCTGATAAAATTCATTCAATCTATCGTAAGTAGTAACTCTTTCTTTATATTGGGTAATTTTGCATAGATTCTCATAAGAATTTTCGCTGAATTTAAGTGCTCTTTGTGGAATTGTCATATTAATTAATTTATCTGGGCACTTTAAATATTAAAATTAAGACTATAACTCTTTAACGTGGAGCAGCCTCTTTTCCTTGAGGTTGAATTCTAATAGCATAGGCAGGTCCAATCCTTGATTCCTAACGAAATAAAAGTTTTCCGCGAATTTCGTAGCATGAGAGATAATAGCAAAATTGGAGGTTGTGTTTTCTACTACCTTTGCCCATGCAGTAGCATCGTTTATCCCGCTTTGATAAGTGCTCCCTAGGAACTCCATATATAAACTCTATTGTCATATGAAAAAATATCCTTGAGAAGGAGACCGCTCAAATTAAGGCCTGAGATTTCTTGGAAGCAATTCTGCCTTATATCGTAGCTTAGCAGCTTAGAAAAGTATCAAGCGACCATTAGAACGCTATCTCGAAGCACAGCAGGCAAGCATCAGTATATTCTCCTCCTCTTGGGAGAGTCTCACATGATTCCCATCTATTAGCTAATAAATTGTATTTAGCCGATACTATTTGATTATGACCTCCAAATGCATATACAAAATTGCTATGATAAGCTAAACCAGCCCCATGAGTGTTTACACCTGCAGAGAGCTCAATATAATTTTTGTCCTTATCAACTATTAATTTTTTACCTGTAGTTCTGCCATTGAAGTATCCTCCATAGAAAAATGTCGATTGGCTATCAGGGATGTATGTGGATCATAGGAAAATAAAAAGTGGGATAGGGGAGTCAGAAAGAATTTTAATTTCTGTTTCCACATCTTTTCAGCTCTTAGCATCTCCATACTTTTTTTACAACCGTTTTCACTGCATAGATCTTTATTGTCAGCTAAATAGCGATTACCAATTCTTCTAACTTTGTAGACAACTCCGAAGAATCCAAAGTTAATGTCATCGACAACTTCAAATTCGTTTGTGATTTCTGCTGGGGAGTGTGGCATAATTAATAAATCTTCATGCGAATTTTATTTCATCAAATCGAAAATATTAATTTAATAATTATCAGCTTTCCAAAATTCTGAAACCCAAGCAGTTTATTTATGAAAAATGTGACAAGCATTTATTTTAATGCAAGCTGTTTTACTATTTTTAAACTCAGTCTTATCAATGATAAGTAATAATTGAGAGATGAATGAATTGGCTAGCATAATTAAAGAATTCGAAATATTTTACTATGAAAGGCTTTTATATTTAAGTCACAAACTGCACTATTATCTTCAGAATAGTATACATGTTCACCTTATTGACACTTTGTAGGAACACTTATTCATTATAATGCCCCAATTGCGCATTTTGGATTTTATGCGTTTTAGCGGAATGTTCGAAATTGGATTATTTGGCCCACTCTCATAAATCCAGCTACTGCAGTGTATACAATAGCTTCTGTATTTCCAGGAACTATAACCTTCGAAGCTTCAGAAGCAGCATTTGAAAGTATTGAAAACTATTCAAATATAAATATTATATACAGACATCCTTTTTGTCTGATTTTGCTTTTAAAAATAAAAGCCAAAAATGAAATTTCATGAGAATTCGCGCTGTTTTCATCAGCATATTTCTATTTACAAGCAATCAGCTTTGGATAAGCTTGTAAATTATATACTGAATCCTTTCATTATAGAAGTTCGCCGTTGGCAGTGCACCAGCTAGAAGAAGTCCATGTCTTGCTACACTCTTAATCAAAGGCTATTTACGTGAGTTTAGATTGCGTTTGTTTTAAATTTTATTATTTCTATGTTAGTCAACTTGATAACTTATTAGGATTATCTTGCTATTTTTCAGCTTAACAAAAAAGAGGCATGCATTTTGTCTCATTTTAGATAATGTCCTCTTTCAGGTAAATATATTAATCGATCTAATTGCTGACTCTTCTTTCCTTTTAAATGAAAATAATAATTTATTTTTACTGGTGTTTCTTGAAATTCTTTTTAATTGCAGCTAATTATAAATGAGCACTATGCTAGTATAAAGAGTATTGATTAATATTGATATTATACCTCTATTCGAAGAAGAAGTAAAAAATGAATCTTTGCTATCTGAACATTTTAATAAGACTATTTAATTATACCACAAATACTGTAAAAGCCAAACATAAAAATTCGTGATTATTCTATTAAAATTTTTATTAAAGCTAAAAGCTATGAAATACTCAATCCTCTTTGTATATTTACAATTGCTTTCCTAATTTTTGTAATAAATATTTACACATTCAAAGTGCTTTAATGCCTAATAAATATTGTGATAAATTATTCTCTTCAAGTTAATAAATTATGAGTAATTGAACTTATCAAATTAATTACCAGGTAGAATTCTTCGTTTTAAAAGCTTCATACCAATCTATATAGATGGCTGCTTTTTTGCTAGTATAAATCGTGCAGTTTACTTTTGTATATTGACAATCACTAACCCTTGATTTTCTGTAATATTTAATTTATAATTATCGGCTTTCCTTTTATCTCATCACTAAGATTTATGTAAGAAATTCTTAATGATTATCTAAATTTAAATTAATTTATTGTTTTACATTATCAGATTAGAATAATTTTACTTATTTGTCATATTTACAATATGGATTATAAATATTTAATTAAAATTATAATTTAAATAATTTATTACCTAAATTACATTTTTCTAGCCCAAGTAAATTAATAAGACCACTTATAGAATAAAATTGAACCCAAAAAATTCTTCTTTTTATATTCAAATAATATCTCCCTTTTTGTAACTATCTGTCAACAAAATCAAATTCTGTCGGCCATTTTGATTTTATCTGTAAATTTTATTGCGAAATATCATCACTAAAAAAACCAACAAATTAATAATTATAAGTTAATAAAATTGCTGGAGATTAGCTACCTGCAGCCCCGTAGCAGAGTCCTTATGCATACTGGGTGAAGTTTTGAGCTATATTAATGATCTTTTAAGTCAGCAGCCTAAAGCAAAAGATGCTGTACCGAAAGCCACTTATTTTGGGCTGACTTCTTACTCTCCCCCCCTCGAAGTTCGACCAAGATTTTTTTGGTCGAACTTCGAGGGGGGTTAAGAAAAATTTTTTTAATATAATTTAGTAGTTAAAAAAAAAAAATATTTATCATATTCTTTCTGTATGGTTGAGAGGGTGTAAGGGTTAGAAAAAATAGTGCAAGATGGTTTTGTAACGCTTTTTTAGAACTTGAATAAAAAATCGCAAGCTCACCCCCACATAGTTTAAAATTTTTGAAAAATTGCTTATTTTCCTAGTAAATTTATATAGGTCTTGGTCGAACTTTGAGGGGGGTTAATTTTCCAAAAAATAGGAATTTTCCCTATATCTTGGTCGAACTTCGAGGGGGGGAGTTAGGGAGTCAAATGCATCTTTTTGCATGCTCACCTAAGCTCAGTGGGTGCCCGATATGAAGCAGAGCGAAACACCAGCTAAAACAGCTACAGGGGCTTACCCAAGTGACGATATCTGTTAGTTCTTTCTCGAGATGACTCGAAAAGAGGTAAAGCAATTTAGACAGCCAAATAAAAATCTCTTCAGTTGTAAAGGTCTGGATGCGAGCTCTGGATTAGAAGGCATAGTGCTGGTGTAGACTTTAGCCATATCTTGGGACAGGAATGGAGTCGATATCAAAATCGTTAATTGACCTAAGACCTTAACCTCTACCTGGAAATCAAAGCTTTAGCCAAGCTTAGGCAAGCACATTCCGCTACCCGCAGCTTACCACTGCAAGTAGCGCACACGACAAATAGAGCTAAAAACTTTACTATTGAAGCTATTTGACCAAGCATTTGCAATTGAAGCAGGAAAAACTTCCAGCCAAAATTTTAAGTCTTATCCTTATCTCCATGACTTAGCTTTTGGGGCCTCAATTATGCTGCAAGCTAAAATCATTGAAGACTTGGAAAACAAAGCAGAACATCTGAAATCTGAATACGACTTATTTTTTGACAGCAATGATTTATAGCTGTAGAGCGCAGATTGATTTCTATAGAGTTATTTGCTCTTATTTCAGATCAGATTCGATGTCCTGCTCTGCTTAGATGGCCCATGCCTTTTTGGACAGACTTGTTAAGCCTACTTGAAAAGTTAAGCAGGCCAGAGATGCCAGATTTGATCTTGTATAGCTAGGGAGCAACCCTATTGCGATCTATGAATGTAGATTCCTATAATTTCCTATGCAAGTAGCCTACCAAATGACTACCCAACCACAGAAAAATTATATAAATTTATATACAGCCTTTATCATTACCATCATTTCGGGGTGGAGAGCTGTGTATGCATGCTATTTTATGTTCTAAAATTTTTAAAGGAATCAAAAATTCCGCTATTCAGAAAAACCTGAAAAAAAATTTTGATCACTGCAGCACTAATTTCTCAAGAGGTTACGAACGAGAACTATTTGAACAATTATGAGTTTGGGCTTATTTTTGATAATCTATCAGATTGTGCTCTTTATGAGATGAAGAAAGACTACTTAAATGTGTTGCATTTGAGCTATGAAATTGATGAGCAAAAGTATGAAGCAGTGATTGATGGGTCGATCATAAATTATATATTAATATTTTTTATATTTTAATTGTTTTTATAGGTAATTGCCTATAGAAAATTTTAAAAATATTTTATTCTTATGAAGTGCGCATGAGCCCATGTTTGATATTCTGAAGTCAGTATTTGATGCTAATCCTGGCTGGGAGATTGACTACAATAGTATCAATAAGATAGTGGAAAGATCAAAAGAGCTCACAAGGGAAATCAAAGAAATGAAAGAGGAAGACGAGTTTACGATCAGAAGAGTCGATGCTATGATTCTCGATGACTATGCTTATTAAGAATAATTTTCAATAAAAATAATAAATATTGTTTTAAGTCTCAAATTATCTAACCTGCAAATTCGAAATTCATTATTGAAAAAGCTGCTTATCGGGAGGTCGAATCCTAAAGGACGGAATTTTTGATAAAAATTATTTTCATTTGAACCTTTGATGCTTTCAGTGCTTTTCCTACAATCTGGAGCTAAGTAAAGAAAATATCTATTGAATATTAGTTTCTTGAGCTCAGATTCAGTTTCCTTTAATATACAGGAAATAAGCCTCTAAAAGTTTAGCAGTCAAGCCATCTACTGTTTCAATGTGATCAGCCAAATAAGTAGAGAAGGCACAGATAGTTCTATTATGAGGTCCTGATGGAATTAAGCTAAAATGCCTGCCAATACTAAAATCACAGAGAAATAGAGCAACAGAATTGTATTTTACTTTAAAATTTAAATGAATATAACTAATTCTCTAGTAATTAAAAGAATGCATCTAAAATTGTATTACAAGATAGCATAAAAGCTCATTCTACGTTTAACCTTATGATAGGTAACTTATTTTTTTATTATTTTCCATATAGGGATGATTGTTATATTAATTTTATGAAGTCATCTTAATTATTAAATGAATCTGAAAGCTTTAATTGAAACTTGTGATGCGAGTCAAAAAAAATCTTCCGAGGCCTGCCAATGGAAAGCTTGAGTCTTGCAATCACGACGAATGTTTATCTATTTTAAAACTAGGTATTGACATCGATTTGGCTTCCACAATCACCTCACTCCATCAATTAAGAAAAAATAATTATTATGCCTCATCAATTATTCCGAATTTACTCATAGCAATTTTGCATTTATTGATGCATTTAGCTTGGCTGGTAAGTGATAAATAAGCAAAATGGCTAATAGCCTTCAGTCTGTTGCTTTATATCTTATGCTCAATAAGATATCAATTTCTTAAAATTGGGATAATTAAGCAATTATGCAGGACTTCAGAGAAGACTGCCAGCATATCATATTATATTTGCCACATAATGCACTGAAAATGCTATATACTAATTGACCAAGAATAGCCCACTAAGGAGCCATTCTTGGTCTGCCAGAAAAAATTTTGACAAAAGATCCTAATCTGCCATTACCACTGAGTTTTGGTGTTTTCCAAATTTTTGGGCAAGCCAAATGCAATAAAAAAAATTGTTCTTTTGCAATGATGCATTTGGCTTGTCAAAAAATTTGGCAACATCAAAACTCAGTGGTAATGGCAGAAAAGATCCTAATCTGCCATTACCACTGAGTTTTGGTGTTTCCAAATTTTTTTGACAAGCCAAATGCATCATCGCAAAAGAAACATTTTTTTTATTGCATTTGGCTTGCCCAAAAAATTTGGAAACACCAAAACTCAGTGGTAATGGCAGATTAGGATCTTTTTGTCAAAATTTTTTCTGGCAGACCAAGAATGGCTCCATAGTGGGCTATTCTTGGTCAATTAGTATATCTTCTAGTGATACATTTTTAGAAAGATATCAAAAATTGAATTAAGATGAGAAAGATGTGAAAAGTATGAAAAAGTAAGGTCATAATATGAGTATTTAATGCTGTAGGCTATAAAAATATTAAAATAAACTAGGTTAAGTGATTTATTTTTGCTTCTCTGCAATAAATTACCGCTGAGTTAGCTAAAATTAAATGTTTTACAATATCCAAAACCATAAAAGCGATCCTTTTTCTACTTTTAAACCAAAATAAATCACTAAATTTCTCACAAATCCCATGACAACTTTGTTTGAATAATTCTAATAGATTCCTGTCTATATAAAAATATACTTCTAACATGCTTTCAGAATGTCCTTGAAGAATAAAAGTATTAAAGAATATTTTGCTGACTTGCTGGACTTTTGGTGGCAAGCCAATGAACTTTGAAATTCTGAGCTTTTCTTGCCAGTTCATTAATCAATCAGATTTTTTATTTATGACCCAGACAAAAGATTTCTAAGGCTAGATCACACTAATTGCATGCCAGGGATATAGACGTGCTGATAAGAGGAAACTAAATAAAATGCATCTCTTTGGCTTGTTAAATAAATTCTTGCCTTTTGCTGCCTTGTTGAAGAGTTTCTATTGCATGACCCAATGATTAGTTCAAAATTTAAATATTTTTCATATGCCCATTCTTCGTCAGAGTTCTTGAAATCTGAAATTAAGTTCATTGTGCCGATATCAGCTACAAATTCAAATCAATACCGCGAAATTATATATCATTCACTTGGATCTGGACTTTCCAAAGTTATAGGGTGGTCTTCATTTCTGATATTATTGTATTTATGGTAATGGTTAGATAATATATGTAAATAAAAGCATTTATTGAATGCAATAAGTCGATGCTTTTCATATTTGCTATTGTGTAAAATTGAATATTGCATATCAAAACATAATGCGTTATATGCAAAAATTAGGGTGCAGGCCTAACCGAGAGCGCATAAAATTAGAGTATTTGTATAGAAAATTTTATCTAAATTCACACCTCCAAGTTTTATCTTTTCTTCTTCAGTTGCTGGTCTCACAAATATATCATAGCTGTTTGGCCCAAGCTTTTTAAGAAATCTTCCGCAATCATTGCACATACAGCATTTATTCAAAAACAAAGCACATATTTAAAAAATAACCAAAGTTTTATAGATTAGATTAGCTTAACGCTAGGTATTTTAAGGTCCCCACTACGTCCGAGGAAGCATTCTACGGTTTCCCGTATGGTGGCAGAGCGTTCACCAAGCCGGGCCGAAAACCCCCTGTTTCTCGGTAGAGGCAATGTCAAGGGCCGTCTCATACCAGCTTTGCTGACCGCCTCCATTTCCAACTTGGATCGTCGCCTAAGTTTACGCCAACACTGCCGCGTCGTCCGCCAGATCTGCCCATTGAAGGGCACCTTTTAAACTGGAGAGACCCCAGTTTAGTTGTCTAACTCGCCTTCCCCTCTTTTCCGGTCATCCCGAGAAAGAACTCAACAGCTTTCGCCATTCGGGGGGCGAGCCACAAAAGCAGCTTAGGCAGGTAAGTCGCCCTGCCTCATTTCGGGCACTCACTGGGCTGAGCGCTGGCAAAAAGAAGTCACGAGTAACTGCCCATGGGTCTGGTCACAAAAACAGCGGCTTTTGCGCTTAAGCCTCTAGCTTCGAGGTCCCAGACGTTGTTGGGGCTAACTCCTGCTCTCAAAAAACCATGCCCGGATATACATGGGTACCACCACTGAGAGGGTGGGCGGTCGCCGTCCGCCATTTTATGTATATACCAAAGTTTTATAAAAATAAATTAATACTGTACTTAAATTTTTGATCATTGATCTAACTCTTTTATTTTTATGCTTTATTAACCCAGCAAAAATATGTATTCCTGGATTTTCGATTGGGCGTGGCAATCAAAAGATATCTGAAAGCATGTTCGATAATATTTTTTCTATTTCCCAGTACGATTTAGAAGCATAGTTAAAACTCTTGTTTACCAGCAAAATTGATGTAAACAGCTCAAATGGGTTTAAAAATGATAAAATGTTGCCGAGCAAGTTCAAGTTTTTAAATACATTCATTTTGTAATAAGATTGACTGGGGGATCATAGTTAAGCTTTTTAAACAATTAGATTAAATTAAAGTTGTGTGTTAGTGCGCCACTTCCGAAGCATCGTACGTTTAACAGTGTAGCGTGAGCTAGGCTTCCTCAAGGCAAATTGAGCTTGGGCGAGACCAGTTTCTTGCCTGAGGTTCAAATAATTGGTCCGCCTAAATTTTTCTGGAAGCCTCAATTTGCAAGATTTGTCTAACCCTTCTCTAAACCTTTTAAACTGGAGAAACTGTAGCCCTTGAAGTCTTGCTGAACCTGTCTCTTCTTTCCCCAAGGAAGAACTTCAAATTACTCCATTCGGGAAAGTCTGCCAAACAGTCTAGACACCTAAGCTGCCCTCCCCTATAGGAAACTCAATCTAAATTTTAATACTGGCAAACAAGATGCAAAAACTTCAGTTTCAGCCAGGCACCAACAATAGTGCAGAGTTTATCACTTTTAGGCTAGCCTATACCCAAGAGCAGCTCCTATAAGGGCACCTGCCAGCGGCCATTTTATGTATATAAGTTTTTTAAATCATAATTTTAATAAAATGAACCTATTTGCATAAAATTTGCATACTTAACTATGATCACTGCTTTGAGTGGATAAATTTTCTAGCAATATTGAAAATTAGTTCTGAGATATGTCGCCTGATTTAATTAGTATACGAAGTCTTCAATCATAAACTAACCATTGCTCTTCAATGCCAAATTGCCTTATGCATCTCCATCTTGTAAATTTTTACCAACTAAGATTCTGATTTATATAATCTCTTTATTGATTCTTAATTTTTCTAACTAGTCCATGTTGATTCTTAGCCTTTGAGCTTTTTATTTCAGCGATTTTAACTTTTAATCGGCTCTTTTATTAGATAAAGCCATTTACAAAATAAAAACGTTTCATTTTTAATGATTGCAGCACCTCCATCTATTGGTCGCTCTTAAATTAAAAAAAGCAAACAATTCAAGAAAGACTCAGCAAAGCTCCATGCTTAGAGTAATTTGGAGAAAAGGTAAGTAAAATGGTATTTTCACAGCTCCCTAAAATGCGTTAGATTTTTTAAATCAATGATTCTTTTTCTATCTGGCTCGAGCTTTTATTCCTCATTAGAAAAAATATAAAAGACAAGTTTTTGAATATAAAAATATTTTATCAAAATATATTTATTTCTGAATAATAATTATTATTATGAAATATCAATTATTATACTAAATTTCAAGCAGCTTGTCATTTAAAATATAATTTTATAAATTAAATTTATTTTTAATATTCACTTTTTACAACTTGAGATTTTCAAAATAAATTATCTTATCTTATAATCTTTTTACTCTGAGGATACAAATTTCTCAAATTTTAAAACATAAAATTATGCACTAACATCATTTCTCTATAAAGCAACTTCAGTAGCAACTCCAACAATTCTAGCAGCAATTTAACCATAGCAAACTTTAGCAGCAAGCACAGCAGCTACTTAAGTAATAATCTCAGCATTCATCTCATTAATTACCTGTGTAAAAAATCTCATAGCTTCAACTCATCACTGAGCTGCTCATTCCTCAGCCGAATTCAGCCATCAAAACCTGAGATTTCCACCCTCTCTAACTCCAGAACTTTAATGCACATATCCCAAAGAATTCTTCTCGAGTGCGAAGGTGATATAATCCTTGATGAAGGATCTGCTCTGCCTTTCAGCCAATGTTATTTATTATAAGTTGCAAGTTTTTAAATCCCCTGGGCATCAAAGTTAAGTTTTTAAATCATAATTGAGATAAAGCCGACCTATTTGCATAAGATATGACATACTTAATTATGATTACTGCTTTGAGCGATTGAAATGTCCTACCAAAACCGAAAACTAGTTCTTAGATATATAGCACCTATTTAATTCAGCATTGACATATAAAATCTTCGATCATAATAAATAATCATTCTTCAATGCATAATTGCCTTAATATATCTAGATCTGCATTTCCTTAACTTTAAGGAACTAAAATTGTAGCTAATTGAATGATGCATAAGAATCAGCGGGATAGAATTTATCACAGTACTGGAGATTTTCCCTTATTACTCCTATTAATAAAGAAAAATTAACATCTTAATAAGCTTAATTTATATAAAGTTAAATTATAAATCCATAAATTGCTTAAATATGAAACTCCCGATCTTAGAAAATACGATAAAAATAAAAATATGCATATTTGACATCAAATTATTTCGCAATTCAAAAGTCGTTAAAGCATATATAAGTGTATTATTTTAACTAATTAATCTTGCGAGATAATAAAAATCAATTTTTTGATATTCAAAAAAGATGAATCATTATAAATTATAGACATAATGAAGAAGAATCAAGCATTTACTCCCCACCAATGAGAAACGAAAATATTGAAGAACCTTATTTTTATGATAAAAAGCCATTCTCCTGAGACTTTAACTTATGAAAAAATAATTTAAAGAAGGAGGAATTAATAATAAATGAATATCCTTTTACTCCAAATAAGTTTATATGCAATATAAACATTGTTGAGATTATTGGATTAACCATAGCATCCACTCATGGCCTCGAAAATTGATTATTTAAATTTAAAAATACTAAGAACTTTTCTCGCAGCAGCACAAAGATCTTCAAAGCTTACTAAGTTTGTAAAGAATTATAAGTCACATAAGGTGAAGAAAAGATGAGTCACTATTTTGCATATATTCTTTAATTAACTATAGTTAATGCCCAAAGAAGTCTGTTGATATGCACACATTTTTATAAAAAACAATTTTAATCATTGCCCAATTTCCTTGCCAAAATTATTTATGAGCTTCTATTTTACTTTCTTCATTTTAATTAATGAAGAAGATAATTATTGCAATAGTTCCAATAAAGCCATTTTTCCTAAATCGAAACGGAAACTGGAGCCTTAGAATTTAAAAATCAGCAAATCATAAAATTTTATTTATTCTCACATGGAGAGTATGCTATAATATAAAATGGAAATAAAAATCTCAAAATTTTGTGAACATATTTACAGAAGAAATGATGAATTTTTATATGTCCCATTTCCGAGTAACCAGAAAGCTTCCACTTTGCTTACTTTAAGTATAAAATCTTATGAATTAGCTGAAAACTTCATTCCAAACATTTCTTTTCCTTATTCTACTCTAGTATTAAACCTCCCGAACTCAGAATTTTTATGCATATGGCAAGAAAACGGTAACTGAAATATATATTTAATTGATACAAAAGCATTTACTATTAAAAAAAAACTTCGTTCTCTGCAAGAATTCCGTTGTTTATTACCTGTGTATAGCCAAAAATTCGCCTACTTTCTTACCTCCTCTTCAAAAAATTATAAAAACATGATAATTTGGCAATTGGATCTAGCTGAAAATAGATGAAGAAAGCTAAATGAATTTATAGGAGATTGGATGGTAGATTCCTTTGTATTTTTCAAACAATCATTATTAATTTTCGGGCTAAAACGAGGTGCTATTGAAAAATATGATATTATTACTGACAGCTGATCAGAAATCCCTTTTAATATTTTAAATAAAGGAAAATTTTTTGCATTTAATGCGAGGTCAACTGTTATTGCTTTTGATAAAAGTGGAACTATTTTGGAGAGTGCTGACAATAATGAATATAACTGAAAAAAAATTGGGAGCATTAGCATTAAAAGCTTTATTTTGAAGCCAATATCTCAATCATCTAGAAAAAATTCAATATTTTTCGCATATATAAAGCCTGAAAATGAAGATTGAGAAAGAAAGCCATTTTATTATAGGTACAACTTTGCAAATAAAACACTTGAAAATGTAAAAATAAAGGAGGAATGTGGTTGCGACTTATTTTAATATATTTAAAAATGAAATAAAATTGAAATATCAAACTAATATTTTTTATACAATTTTTAGCCAGGAACTTTGCCTAGTAAAATCAGCTCTGCTTTAAGATCTCATTTTCCATTATAAAACTTATGAAAAATTCTATTATTAAATAGGTAAAATTAAAGCAGCTGCTTATAACCAGTATAAAAGATACATTTATATCATATTTATGCTATTAAAAATATACCGTAACCTGATTTTTTTAAATATCCTGGACTATTTCGTGTCTTTTGCTGAACTCGATGCTAAAATATCTCACATGATTTTTATAAAAATCTCATTTGTCACTATAATTGACTCAGGCATTTATTAAAAAGACAAATGGTTTTATAATGTAATGGTTTTAGCAGATCCATCTGCTTTTGACAGTCCTATTTACCGAATGATATTCTTATTGAAACTAAAGTAGATCTTAAGAATAAGAGAGTAATTATGATTAAATCATTAATTTAGCATGATTTATCTTCAAGTGGTTTAGCTTGCTAGAGCTATTTGAATTAGATATTGATATTTAAAATTCTCATTTAATAAATGATTATCTGGAATATATAAAATTCATTCAAAAGAGGAGCTATATCGCATAAAAACTACTTAATAAACTATATATAATATAAAAACAATTTTAAGAACATGGATAGCCTAACGTAAATGCGACTTACTCTCGTTATTTTAATTAAAAATTTCTTATTAATATTTTTTATCAAAAATGTTAGTTTATGTCTATTTTAAATAAATGCAATCAATAATATCAATAAATAATCATATAAATAAATATTAAACTCTCTCCTCATTTATAAAGAAGATAGTGTTAGAGCTTACTTTATTAGAATTGTAATACTAGGAAAGGATCGCGCTGGGAAATCGTGCTTATTGCTTTCATACACAAGTGAAGGATTTTCTGAAGATTACTTAAATACGATTGGAGTTGATTATGTAAGTTTTATTAAGAAAGCAAAATTAATTGAATTTGAAGGAAAATTTATAAGAGTCCAGTTATGGGACACTGCAGGGCAGGAAAGATTTCATGCAATAACTAGTTGATATCTTAGAGGCGCAGACGGATTTATAATTGTTATGGACTTGACAAGTCCAGCTGCATTAGATACTGTAACCTCATGAAGAAGTAAGGTAAAAGAGAAGCTTCCAGAAAATAAAGTACCAATTCTTCTCATTGGAACCAAAGTAGATCTTGATCATGACAGAGTGATCAGTTATGATGAAGCCAAGAAGCTTGCAGATGAATTGAATTTTATATATGTAGAAACCTCAGCTAAGACAAGAAAAAACGTAGATAAAGCATTTGAAATTTATCAAGAAGCATCATGAATAATAAACAGAATAACAATTTATTTTAAAAATAATGATTTAAAATGCAGCTCTTGCTATACGCTCTGAGATCAAATGGATTGTTTATACTTTGATATAACTTATTAACTCCCTCCCCTCCGTGAGTGAGCAAAACCATTAGAAAAATTCCTATTTTTGCCCAAAAACCCACCCTCGGTGAGTGAACAAAAATTTTTTATGAAAAAAAAAATTGATATATAAGTGATAATTAATATAATGAAATCTATAGGCAATTCTGTTTAATTTTAAAAACTTGCGTTTTAAAACATAAATTTTATAAATTAAATTAATATTTGCTTTCCAATTTTAGCGAATTAGGATTTTTTTAAAATATCTAAAAAAAATTTTTTCAATAAGATTTATATATAATTTTTTTTAACAAAAAGTTAACCCCCCTCCTTGATCGAACAAGATTTTTTTGTTCACTCTCGGAGGGGGGAGTAAGGAAATTTATTATTTTAATTTATTAAAATAATTTTTAAGTAGAGTATTTTCTTTAGTTTTAGAAAATAATATTAAATTATTAATTTAATGTGGTTTATCTAAGAGTGATTTGTGGTTAGAATTTATCCAAAGTAATTATTTTATTTATAATTTACATATAATAAATAATTAATAAATTTCGTAGTCATATTTATAAGAAAATATGATTTATAATTCATATCTAATATAAAAAAAATTGAAGATCATGAATAGGCAAGTGTAAGCTGAACTTACCTCTTTATAATTTCTCCTCCCGGAGTTCATCAAAAAATAAATCCCTCGCTCTCAATGTTTATATTTTTCCATCATTAGATCCTAGAGCACAAAGCACACCATTTAATTACATAAACCTATATTATAATATATCATTCATAAAAATAGCTATGCACTGAAAAAATTCAATTTATTGCTTTATTATAATTGGTGAACTTATTAGCCTGCTAACTCTCATTGGGAATAGAGAAATTAATGGCCTCATATGCATTTTTGACTCAAAAACCAGACTAAATAAGGATTGTTGCCACTAGCTTCAAAGACCAGCTGGAAGCTTCGCCTTAAATTTGAGCTAAATAACTAAAAATTGCAGCTAAACCTGATCAATTTGTTAATTCAATTTATATGCATTATTCTCCTAATAGAGAATTTCTATAGTTTTATGATAACTGCTCAGCACACTTAAAAATGGCGTGGGGAACCAACCTGCATGTTTGCACTTATAGCCAGATGGGAGTCTGGAAACCTTTAGAAAAGAAGCAGCATCTGATGAGAGTGCCCGGCTCGGTTTTACTAAGTCTGATCGAGCGCAATGTCGGGCTGACAGACTGCAGGCTCACATCTAGGGCAAGGTCTTTACATACAAGGAAAGATGGAATTTGGAAGTTGGAAAGGAATAACCCAGCATGCCTAGGTGCGTTTGCTAGCCAATCGGGCAATTTTCAAGCGTGATACTAGGAGCTGCACCCTGGGCTATAAGTTTCATCTGGGTTAAAGCCTGAAAAGAAAATCCGTTTTTTGAATTTCGGTAAGTGTAGCCCTACTGACGTAAGGCATGGCGGCCCAGTATCTTTAACTTAGAGTTGTGAATTCAAGCCCCGAACGGAAAGAGCAACGCATACCTTAAGGCTGTGCAATGGTGGTGGAGAAAAGCAAGGGATGTGAAAAGCTGACATAGCTACTCGATAAAAATTTAAGTTCAAGTTTATTAAGATAACTGCTCAGTGATGAATATAAACTAACTTCAAGTCAACATTGGCTAAAGTCCTTCAGGACGCAGATTTAGTGAGCCCATAAACACCCTAAATGTTCAAATATCCATCTTTAGATAAAAATTTGCAAAAACTATAACTCTTAAGGTCAGGAAATACTGAGAGTGCATCTCCTGAAATTTCTTCTTTTGCATAGTCTGGTGGCTAACACATAGAGTAAGCGGCACCATATTTTGATAATAATTATGGAGAAAAGGGCATAGTATTTCAAATGAAATATGAATTGACCAAAGATAAACATGCATATTTGGCTCCGCTTTTATCTAGAAATCTTTATGCTTCAATTATATTTGCTTCAAAGATGAAATGCTGATGGGAACCTCAGAAGATGGCCTATGTTTGTATGATTTCTACACAAATAGCTATTCTAAAATTGCAGTATTTGATAATATAAAGCGGCATTTTCTCATCTCAGGAAAAACAAATGCTTATATTATGGCATCTCAAAGTGATATTTATGAAAGCGGGTTCAAGAACCCTCATATTTGGAGTAGGATCGCTATCTCAGTTTGAAATCAAAATAGCAATTTTTTCGTGGACATATCACAATAATTTTATATTCATAAGAGAAATAACATATGACGAACACGATAAAGCAACAAAGGCAGATTGCGTTTATGTTGAATTCAATTTGATAGATAAGACTTCTAATGTAAAAATGACTGCCGAATGAAAGTGCCAAACATTTTAAATAAATAAATTATTTTTATTATAATCAAAATCATGAATTATACTTATAATGTTAAAATATGAAAATTGGCAAAAAAGCTGAAGGGTGAAATAGAAATTTACAAAGAAAATAATAGACTACAATTTTTCAAATTAATAGGATTAAAATTGCATATAAGTTGAAAAATAGCTATGGCAATTCAAAGCAGGCTAGTATTGTGCAAAAGTAAGAAATATGTTAAATTAGCAATATTGAAATAATAAACCTTTATCAGATCTCATGGCAAATCATTGGATAAGAAATATCAATTATAAATAATGAAACTAAAAGTAAAAGAGACTGAACACCAGCATAGCCGAAATTTATACAGTTTAGCAGGAGAGCCTGGCAGATCTTATATGAAACTTCTTAAATTAGATGCTAAAACTAGAAAAGAAGAATGAGAATTGATCAGATTACCTTATAGACGTCAATGAAGTTTTTTGATAATTCAGCTGCCAAATAATGAGGTGCTTATTTTGGGACTTGAGTCAATGACGACTTATTTTGGATTCATCATTAATAGCTTGACAATGAAAATAAGAAAAGACATAAATCTATATAAAATTGAAAAAATAACAGGAATCACACTTTGAAAGAATTCAATTTATTGCTTATATTATAATTGGTGAGCTTATTAGACTACTGCAGCATAACTCTGCCCTCATTGAGAATAGAGATCGTGTCCGTAGGGATTTCTGGCTTAAAAGGGCAGCCCAAATAAGCATTGTCGCCACTATCTTCCTAGACTATTTTGGCACCGCCCCTTAAATATTGGGCTAAATAACTAAAACTGCCGCTAAACCGAAGAAGAAGCTTTAATTTGTGTTTAATTCAATTTATATGCATGTTAATTATGGATTCGATGATCTCTTATGAGTTCTATGAAAATATGATATGGCAAGAGATAAATATGCAAATTTAGCTCCGTTTTCATTTAAAGATCTATATTGCTTTAATTGTATTTGCTTCGAAGACGAAATGCTGATGGGAACCTCAAAAGGTTACCTATATTTGTATGATTTCTACACAAATAGCTATTCTAAAATTGCAGTATTTGATAGCACTAAAATTGGAACATTTAATGATATAATAAAATATATACTTCTGTCAGGAAGAACAAATGCTTACCGCATAGAATCGAAGGGAGATATTTATGAGAGTGGGTTTAAGAACCCTTATATTTGGTATAAGGTGAGAAGATCGGAGTTTCCAGAATGATTTTTTGGCTCATCGTGAACATATTACAATAATTTTATATTCATAAGAGAGAGCTCTTTAAGCGAATTCGATAATATAAAGGCAGAAAGCATTTACTTTGAATTCAATTTGGAAGATAAGACGCTTAAAAGAAAAAAGGTTGCTAAAAGAAAGTGTCAAATCTTTTAAAAAAAATACTCTTTAATATAATCAAAATCACGAAATTATATTTATAATGCTAGACGTATGAATAAATAAATAATTAATTAAAGTCTATCGCTTATTTATTAGGACCAACGAACTTCCTTATATTTGTCATTTATATTTCCAACTTCAGTTACCGTATGCTTCAACACACATCTTCTATTCGTCATTTGCAAGTCTATTCACTCAAATTAGCAGATAAAAGAATTCAAACAATTCTTTCAATAATCAATAATATTCACCTTGCCCAATAAGCACCTTTCGTTCGCATTCTCATAATTACGCATCCTTTTTATATGATCTTTTTCTTCCAATCGCCATTTTTACTCTTTTTGCTGCTAAAAGATATGCGCTTTTTACCTCCCCGCCAATTCTGACTTTGACTCTGCTGCATTTTCCTATCTCTTGTCTGTCTTCATCCCTTTTTGCCGCGCAGCACTGCTCTATTCTCCTTCATCAAACCCACAAGGAACTTCAATTGTCACTCATTTATAACTTATTCTATGCACGTATTGAAGCATGCCGTCCCTCTAAACAAGTCTCATCTCATCCTGCTTAAGGAGAACTATCACGATTTTTGAAAATTATTATCGTGGCTCTGGAATTGTGTCTTGAAATGATTCAATCTGTATTTTTCTGGGGCATATTATTCCTCATCTTCAATTCTATTAAAATACGATATAGAGAGAAATAGATTAATTAAACTTAGTTGCATAAACTTTGCAAGTGATTCTTATAGTTGCATTTAATTTAGAAGGCAAGGATATTTATGCATATGATTTGCACATAAATAGCTATTCGGTTCTTCCGCTTATTATTTCTGAAGTTCGAAAAGTGCTATTTTCAATAAGCTCAAGGGATGATATTATTGAATTTTATGGATATTTTTATGAAAGCGAGATTAAGAATTCTTAATCTTGAAATCTAATTAGAGTATCAATATTTCAGATAAAATAATTGTACCAAAAATCATATCATAGATATACTGTAATGATTGCATTTTTTTATCTCCTCCTCAATTCATAGAGAAATTATTATATAGATTGCTTTGTTTTGAAAATTCTTGGTAACTAAGTTAAACATCCAATAATTTTTCTTCGGCATTATTTTATCACCATCTGCTGACCAGCCAACACCTCTTATAAATATAAAATTGCTATTGTACACTCATGCCCACCGCTTGGAATTGCACATGTTTTGTGATTTTATATTTCCGATCTTATTCCAAGTATAAGGGTTCTTGAATCCACTTTCATAAATATTGCGAGAGCCTACTTCTATGAAATAAACATTTGTTTTTCCTGAAATCAAAATGCAATTTCCTCTTCTGCTAAAAGGTATGTCGATTAATGAATAACTATTTGAGTAGAAATCATATAAAAAGACTGGTACAGGCAAATGCTAAAATTAATTTTTCTTCGAAGCAAACATTATGACAGAACATATCATCAACAGGAATTGGAAAATTAGCTAAGAAAATGTTTTTACCTGTAGATAAATCATATCTTGATAGAATTGGACAGTTTTTGAGTCCATAATCGTTATAAAACATATAAATTGAATTATCCCAATAAACAGCACCAATCACTTGCTCATAGTCTGGAAAATCATATCTATTATTATATAAGTTTCAAATTTTTCGCGTTTTTGATGTTAAGCAATTAAGAATATAAGCAACAGAATCGTCTTGATCGTTAAAAATTAGCAATTCATCTTTTGGCAGCCTAAGAATAATATGATGATGAAGTTCAAAATGTCTGGGAAAAGCAACACCCTTTATTTCTTCAACCATTGTTTCTACATCTAATTTATGAACTTTCGATCAGTTGTTATCTTTATCGCCTGATAGATTGTATAAATATTTGCTATGATCGGGCGTCTCTTCTAGTACTTTTGTCTTAAGTTTTATCATATTTATTACTATTGATATAAATAAAGTTTTTAATATAAACAAGCAATAAGCTTACCTAATTTATTTCTGTTGTGCCTTCAATAAATAGATTAAATATTTGTATTAATTTTCTATATTTATGCTATTTATTGTATTTCTTGTGCTTTCTTTTTATTAATGCTATATTTTATGATAATTCTTCTATTGTTGTGTATCAATATATGTATTTTTATTGTATCATAAGATTGTTGGTTGGAATTTCGCTTATTTTTTCCCTTTATTATTTGTCTCTTTCGTCCTCAAGCATTCCTCATAACCAAAAGCTCAAATCTGAAAATGTGAAAATTTAACTTAAAAAAGCTATAAGAATGGCGCCAATTTTAACTTGAAATAGATGCTATAGAGAAGAATAAGGATCTAAATAAGAATATTTTATGTTAGATTAACATTCCTACTCTTATTGCTAATTCAGAGTGATTTATGAGATAAATTTTTAATTCCAAAATATTAGTGAAAAGTTGTTTATGATCTTTTCGAGCATTTTTTTACTTCATAATCAATTAGAAGCTGGTCTTATAAAACAATATTTAGGTATAAAAAGAATTCTATGCGATATTATAATCTATATTGGCTATTGCTATGGTTAGGACTAACTATAAGTATAGTCAGATTTTTTTAATATATATTTAAAAGCTTTGAGGGTATAGGGCATTCCTATAGATGGCGCGCAATGCGCCATCACCGAGCCATGTCGGGAGAGGGTTCCACACGAGGAATGGTTTTACGTGTGGAACCCTCTTTTTGACCTGTGAGAAAACTACTTTCCACGAGCCAAAAAGAGGGTTCCACACGTAGAACCATTCCTCGTGTGGAACCCTCTCCCGACATGGCCCGGTGATGGCGCATTGCGCGCCATCTATAGGAAGGCCCTATAATCTTTATTCTCCTTTGCAAATTCACCGTAATCTAAATTTAAAAACTCTGAAACATAGGCTTCTCTTCTTTTTCAGTAAATAAGCGTTTTGTAAATACTATTAGAGCATTGGCTAGACTTTTTGTTCAAAATTTTGAATCTTAGCTAATGATTCCTCTTTAATAGCTTCCCTTACTTTCTTTTTTAAAATTGGCTACTTTCAATTAATATTATTTTAAAAAAATTTTAAATTTTTCGAAATATATATTATTTAAAGAGTTAACTTTTTAAATAGTATCTTCTTTGTACCTTTGTACTCCATTTTAAAATAGAACAATTTCAATATAAATTATCGATTTTATATCATAAATTATATATAAAGCTATTTACATAGGCATTTGAGCCGAGCCAAATGAATGCTTGGACTTTATTATTTTTACTATAAAAATTATTGTTTTTTTTTAATTAAATGATGGAATAAAACAACACAATTTTACCGATATTTTAGGGGAAGTTAATAAAGTATGTATTTAAAGTTCCTATATTAGCAACATTTCTAAAAGGCATTTATATCTTAATTTTTTTTCTCACTAGAAATTTTATTCAGCTAAGGCAGATTTCAAGCTATAAAAAGCTAGCAGGCAAAATGATTCAATTTGGATTTTATCATATACAAAGATATTTGGCATATAAAACCCAATTGGATGCATACTTAAAACTTGGCAGCGCTCTAAAATTTTTGTTTTCGATTTCTTTTGTTGCTTGATATCATTTAAAATCAGATCTTTTCTGTTAATTAAAATTATTCAAGCTGCTTTTATCAGATTGTTTTAGTATCATCATGCTTATAAGATATTCATTTTTCATGTGAAAAAGCTGTGATTGAAATGTCTTTATTCCTTTTTCTATTTTATATTTTCTAAAGTTGAATGGCTAAATAATTGTTTCACGCTTCGAATAAGTTTAAACTTATTTCAAGAACTTTTTCGTTTGGAAAGGAGTAGAATTATAACCTTCCAGTTTTTGATTTTCAAAAAAATCGTTAAATTTCTGTTATAAAATAAATATGTTTATAAATAAGATACGAAAAATCAAAAGATTAATTAATAAGATAATTGCACAAGAGTTTCAATTTTAAATTATTTCTCTTATTTTTAAAAGCAAGTTCTAATTAATGCCTGCAATCTCGAAATTTTAAAAAATAGAGAAAAAAATTTATATTCTTTCATCTTATTAAAACACCAAATAGTCTATATAAATAGTTTATTAACAATAAAATATCATGTCTAATTTTTTTTCAAAAAAATTTCTGTTTATACAATTTTCCTTGTTATTGATGATTTTCAGAGAAATGCAAATTTTAGGCATTTGTTATCCAACAATAAGCAAATTTCGATCTATTCATATAAAATTACTATTTGAAATTTTTAAAGCCCCACGAATAAGCAGGAAATTATTTTTCATGTCTTTTGTGAGTTTTTGAATCAATTCGTTTTATATCAAATCTATAAAATGAGACGCTGTCCTTATGCTCAAAATAGCCATTAATATAGATCGATTTTTCAAAAAATTTGATAATAGGCAGCTCAGCTACAAAGATTATTAGCCTATAATGATTGCAGGCTGCACCTTCTATCTCAGAATAGCCATCCAGATTAATATTATATTTTTATTTGCCTCTTGCAATTAGAATTGAGTGCTTATAAAAGATGCAGGTGCATTCATCAATATCATCTGGGGGAGCTGCCAATGCCTTCGATTGACTTTTTCTTACATTGAGCTTTTTAGTTACAGAATTTCGGCTTCTAATAATTTTAGAGAGATTAAAACACAAACATTTTGCTAGAAATAAATTAAACAAAAGCCAAATAATGTTCCTCCTCAATCTTCCAAAATAATATATTAAAAATAATCAAAGTTTTTAATCATCCTAGACCTTAATTAATCCAATAACTCAATATTACCTATACTTATAGATTTTCTCTACTGGATCTAAGTTTCGCTATAGCAAGCTCTAGCTCATTTTCTGACTGCTCCAGCGCTTCTCTCGCTTCTTCTTGTGTAAACCCAAGACTAAAAATGATCGCAATTTTCTCTTCTAAATCTTCCATCTCTTTTTTCAAAGCCTGCAAAATCACATGTAGCTTATCCCCAAACTTAACTCCAAGTGGAGTGCTAAGTCTCCAAATTCCATTATATCTTCCTTCTTTTTCTGGAATTTGTATAGGAGCTCCAATCTCGATTTCTTCCCCAGGCTTTGCAGAAACTATTAACATTAACATTAACATTAGAAATTAGTCTTGGGTCTCCCCTATTGGTAACGCAGTCTCCAAGGACCCCAAAGGTTCACCTGCTTTTGCGGCGTAGTCCAAAAATACCATAAAGATATGCCATCAGGGCATACGCCAACTCATTCCCACGGCGAACCGCGGCCTAAGTGTTGAGTGGGCGGGCTATGGACTTCTGCAGCATGCTGCTTGAGTACGAGGCTATCCACTCAGAAATTCCAAAAAATGGAATTTCTGGTGTCCTTTCAGCAAAAGGGAAAATTCGTTCCTGGGGCTTAAACTCCCAGTTTCACGCTAGGCAGTTGCCCAATTGGTCTAGATATTACCTCTAGACTTTGCTGGGCTTGTCCTTTCCAACTCCGAACCTTCCCTTCCCTCGAGGTAAAATCAAATCTCAAAGTGGACTAAGGGCTAGGCTCTGAACACAACCAGAATTTCTTACCTAGCATTGCCGTCCTTTTAGGGTTAGCAAAAACTTGCCGGATATAATTAAAATATGGCTCGAAACTGTCTGGCCGAGAGGCCCGACCCAAGTTGAGACGCCATATTTTAATTATGGCTTTGCAGAAACCACTGCAGTTTTTTCACCTCCTAACTCCCCTTTTGCATGGGTCAATAAACACCCATCAGGCCAAGTTTCGTGTCCGTCATTTCTGACTTTTCAAATTTTGAAGACTGTTGACCCTGGCTCAAAAGTGCCGCATTCTTTCATATTTACATGATTGATAAATTGCATTTTTGGCTTTTTGGGTTTCACAAGTTTTTTGATGTTTTTTCAGGTTTTTTTCATGAAGCAGCATTTACGAGGATTTTCGGGCTTGGAGCAGAATCATTTTCTGCTTGGAAATGGAGGGGTTTGGACAGGTGGAGGAAAAGGAGGAAGCGTTTGGAAAGGCGGATGAGGGAAGGTTTCAAAAGGCCGAGGAGGGAAGGTTTCGAAAGGCCGAGGACGGAAGGTTTCGAAAGGCTGAGGACGGAAGGCTTCGAAAGGCAGAGGACGGAAGGTTTCGAAAGGTGTAGGAGGGAAGGTTTGCACTGGTGGAGGTGAAGTTTGGACTTGAGGAAGGGCTTGTGGAGAAAGTTGAGCTTTTATAAAAGAAACTGGATTTTCTAATGATTTCAGCTTCAAAAAAGGATGAGGGTGCTTAAGAGTGTCTTCACAAAGCCCACAGTAATCTAGATTACTACAAACTGTACAGTGATATCTTGCTCCAATAATCGGAGATTTCCCACATCCTCCACAAGAATAATTTTCCCAAATCGTCCCTTCAGAAGTCTTGTACCCCATTGTCTTCTCCAGCTCAGTCCTAACCATGTCCTTTACATACCCATTCCATTTATCGTCAAAAATCCAGTCAAATTCTGATTTTGGTATTATTTCAGGGATTTCTTCAACAGATTCAATAGGAGGGATTTCTTCATCCAAAATAACTTTAAAGCTTGGCAACTTTAGCCTCGTAGCCGTGTTGTAAGCATCTTGAAGCTCCTGGTCACAAGAAATGGTGATCATATCATTTTCTTCATCTCGGTACCGGATTCTGAAATTGGCATGGCCATAGAGCTTGGCGATTTCTTGTCTGAGGTCTTCTATTGTGTGTGGGATTCTTTTTAGTTTTCGGATTTGATCTTTGTAGGAGATCTTAAGAGGTGTGTTCAGACTCATTAGTCCTTGAACAGAAATTTATTATGAAAATGTCAGAATAAATAGAAGTGGTGATCTTAGATTTACTTAACCATCAATAATAAAGGAAATTTCATAGATTATAAGAATTTATTTGGGATTCTTGAATTTTGAATGAAAAATTTTTATATAATCTTTTTTCAATTTAAACGACAAATGGGTTTTCAAGCACAAATTATTTTCAAGCTTGAAATTATATTTTGGATCGAGTCCTTAGTGAGTTTATAAACACCCTAAATATTCCAGTATCCATCTTTAGATAAAAATTCGCAAAAAATATAATCCCTAAGGTCAGGGCTACTGAGAGTGCATCTCCTGAAATTTCTTCTTTTGCATAGTCTGGTGGTTAACACATAGAGTAAGCGGCGCTATATTTTGATTATAATTATGGAGAAAAGGACATAGGATTTCTAATGAAGAATGATTTGGCCAAAGATAAGTATGCATATTTGGCTCCACTTTGATAGAAATCTTTACTGCTTCAATTATATTTGCTTGAAGACTCCTATTTATTTGAAAAATTGTCGCTACTATTTTTTTTTGTTAATTTCTAGTCCACCCTCCAGCTTTTTCGCCAATTTTCATATTTTAATATTATAAATATAATTTATTTATTCAAATATTTGGCACTTTCTTTCAGCAATCATTTTTACTTTAGAAGGCTTATCTATCAAATTGAATTCAGCATAAATACAAGCTGCCTTGACCTCATCATTATCGTCATATGTACTTTCTCTTATGAATATAAAATTATTGTGATATGTCCAGGACAAAAGTTCTATTTTGATTGGAAACTGAGCTTGCAACCCCACCTTATTCCAAATATATAGGTTCTTCGGAGGATTTTTATATAAATCTTAAGTAAGATTTTCTTTAATAAAATTTTTCCTATATTTTTTTTGGAGAGAATTAGTCTCCATATCATCTTCTAAAATTTTAATCTTTCAATATTATTAGTGCTTCAGTTTAATTATCATCTTATAGGAAAGATTGATAGATTAAAAATCCATAAGGATTGCAAAATTCACAATGCATTGTTATAAATAACCATAATGATGCTTACTCTTTTAAAAGTGATTTTATAGTATAAATTTTTTTCTTAATTTATCGATATCTAAATTATAAAAGGCTGCTTAAAAAGGTTTTGCAATTTGACTTTAAAGATTAACACTCAATTAAGGGAATGTATTATGTTGTCTTTTGGCTGGAAATTACGCAGTTTCTTTTATAGGGAGCACTGTTCCAGTTAATTAGATTTTAAGATTCAGCATTTTAATGGCTTTTATCTATTTAAAGCTAGCCTCTGTTTATACTCTATAATTATTGAAAATTATTATTAGCTTTTAGCCTGTATTAAAATGCATAATTTTTTACACCCTTCAAATTCTTCAGATATTACGAGCATGTGCTTTTCAAGTATGTTTAAATTTAAACAAAAAGGCATTTCTCTATACTCTTCATTTCAAAATTCTAAAGACTCTGTTCTTAATGAATATTGCATTTTTGCTCCAGAATTAGCAAAATTTAGCTTCAATTTTATTCTTTTTGCTTCTAAGTCATAAAACTGCACATAAAAAGCTTTATCATCGCAAAAAGATTTCATGATAATAGGGACACCAGAAGCCAATTTTAAAATTCATATATCTCATTGACAGTTTTTCCAGACCTTGACGTGCCAGTATCTTATAATTCCATTTTTCACCATTAAAAATTCTTCGCAATTGTGATTAGCCTTTAAGTGTTCAATAAGATCTCTTGGTAATTTTTGATTCCGGCCTATGGTTGGAATGAGCTCAACAATATCCTTCGGGCCTTTGATATTCATATTCATATTCGAGAAACTAAGGTTTAAAGCAGTTCTGAGTGAGCACTCTCTTGCTATATTGCGTTTCTGGAAGCAGCTATTTCTTGGAAATAAGCTATTGCAAATACCTTTATAGCCATAGAAATATATAAGCTGCTAACTCAAGACTAAGCTAATGTAAAGAGGAAACTAATGTGTTAATTATTGATAGACCTGCTGGCAGATCGTCGCTTAACTTAACTTAAATTATTATAGAGTAGCTCTGGCCAGCCATGACGGGTTCTCACACCTTTGCTTTACTCCACCCTCTTGAATGCCAATCAGATATACGGCGCTGCACTTTGTGTTTGCTCCCTCCGAGAAGATCTCTCACTTGCAGCCCCGGAGGTAAAGATGCTGGATCACCGTTATACGTAAACGGAGCTGCCCTTTCCGAAAATTCAAAATATCAATTTTAGGGTCTGGCCTGAATAAAACTTGTATCTTAGGACGCTACTCCTGGTATCAGATTGAGAAACTACCCGATGGCTAAGCGAACGCCATCTGACTTTGCTCGCTATCCTTCCCAACTTCCATTCCCTTAATGCAGAGCATTGCCCTGGACCTATAATCGGCCAGCCGTTGCGCTTCTCCAGACCAACTAAAACCCAGCAGGACGCTTTCAATTTCAAAAGGTCCCCAAACTTGCGTCTGCCTACAGGTGTTAAAAGACAGGCTGATTCTCCACAAAATTTTTAAGTTTGGATAGTTCGTCGCTAAGAGGATGAACCTCCCTAGCAGGACGTCTTTGTGACTACATCACCATTAATGCTAATATCTGTCTTTAAATAAGCTAAACTAGCCTAATAAAGATCTCCTCCAGGTCAATCACAGTTATTAGAAATGCAGCTAGCATATGGGTTATACTTTTCTCTTTCTTTAGTAAATAGCATTTTTTGAATAAAATTTGGATTTTGTGGACTCTCCAGGAATCTCGCTAAAAATAAATTAGCTTGCATTAGTGCCTCAAGTTGAAATTTTTTTCGGTTTTTTTTGTCTTTGATGTGTTTGACAGCTTTTTCAAGCTGCTCCATTTTATTTTCGTTTTCTATGAAATGCTTATTCATTGTTCTGCTGGAGTCGTAGCCTGATTGGAGTATTTCTTGAATCATCAGCTTATTTTCTGACATAGCTGCTTCATATTTATTTATTACTTCATTAAGATCTTTTTCCAATTTTACGGTTTTGGATTTTTCAAAAGCTAGTGATAACCTTAGTTCTTCAAGCTCAGAGTTAAATTATTTTTCTAGTTAATTTGATTAATTTTTCAGAATCATTAAGGGTTTTTTTAATCATATTATGCGTTGATATAATTTTTAGAAGGTCTCTATATATCAAAATATTCTCCACTGTGGGGCTTAAACCCAATAAGGAGCCACTTAAGTGCAAAAACTCCAAATATAGGATCTTGGTCCCTGTGCAAAAATGCCCTGACATGCGAAAATCTTCCCAAATTATGTGAACGTATAACGCATTCATTCCATTATATTATTTTATATGCAAGCTCATGTTGTTTGCTGATTATTTTGTTTTGGGAATTCAAAAGATCATCAAGACTGGCTCAAGATTTTATCTGGTCTAAATAGCTAATCGTTTTTGCTTCCAATTTTTCGAAATCATCTTCTAAAACAAATTCATTTAGAAAAAATCGTCTTATTGAAGCTAGCAAATCATTCTCAAGGCTATGAATATTTCCAAGGTATTCATATACTCACTCTTCTGCATATTTAAAAGGTTACGCAATTTTTATAAAAATTATACCAAAAGCTGATATATTAATTATTCAAAAATTGTCTTTGGGGAGTTATCTATTTATATCATTGATTTTTTTTGCGGCGTTTTGCAAGGCATTATTCTTAGCTTTGTCTAATTCTTTTGATGCTGAGTTAAAGAGTATTTTCGTTCGTTTCCTAATCTCTGATTGAGCGTCTATAAAAGCTTGCAGATATCTGTGGTTAATAGCAGGATAGCTTTGGATGTGGTTTTTTAAATGGTTACTGCAAAAATAAAGCTCATTTGTATCACAAAAACAAGCATAAATCACCGGAATTCGGCATCCTATGTATGAGCAAATTGACATAATTTTTAAATACTTTTATTAAAACTTATATTTTAAGAATAATTTATATAAAATAATTAAATTCACTCATAATTTCTCTGCTCTTACAAAAATTTCTATACACAATTTACCATAATATTTACAATTTTACCAATATAAAGTAAATGGACACTCCTTTAACCGAGCTCCAAAGCAATGTGAAAAAAGACCCAGACCTTTATAAAGAAATCGTCTTACAGCACATTGAAGAATACACACAACTAATCACAAATTTCCCTGAAAATCCTTCAGGTCCAAATGAGCGACTAGGAGAGCTCATTTACTTTCTCTCACAAATTTCCCCGTTTTTTGTGGTAGAACTCAAGCATTTTCCATCACAAATTTTAACAATTCTCGACAACTATTACGTAGCTTTACACCAGGAATTCAGAAAAACCTTGTTTTCCTCTCTAATAATCCTGCGTAATCGTGAACAAATTCCAGCCATGAGCATCTTGCCTCTATGTTTTAAGCTTTTCCGCTGCCAAGACAAAGGTTTACGCCTCCAAGCCTTCAATTTCCTTATATCAGATATCAAAAAAATAAATAAATCCTCACAAAATTACAAGCTAAATAAGCAGCTTCAGGGATTTATTTTTGATATGATAAAAGACTCAAACGTGACAGCTGCCAAAAAATCGCTGCATGTCGTGATGACACTCTATAAGAAAAGGGTATGGAAAGACTCAAGGACTGTAAATGTAATAGCCAATGCATGCTTATTGAAAGAGCCAAAACTTGTTCAGATTGGCTGCACATTTTTATTCTTTTTTAAAAAAATGGCAAAAATTAATATTATTTTTAAAAATATTTTAATTTATATAGAAAAATATAGCAGCTGACACAGATTCTTTTGAAACTGATGACGAAGAAGATGAAGAAGCTCCTGAAAAAACTATTATAGGAGCTAAAAAATCCAAAGGAAAAATCAATAAAAGAGAACGTGAAATTGCTAATTATGAACGCAAAGAACGTCGAAAAGAGCGAAAAATCGAAAATAAAGCTCCTGATTTTTTAACAATTGACCAAATTAACAACCCTCAAGGCTTCGTAGAAGAAATGTTTTTAAATTTACAAAAAACCTTTTCCAAAGCAAAATATGACCTAAAAATCGTAATGCTCCAAGTAATCGCAAGAATTGTGGGAAGACATAGACTGATACTTTTAGAATTGTACCCTTATTTACAAAAAATTTTGTCACCGAAGTCCAGGAGGATTACACATATTTTAATTGTGTGTGCCGAAGCGACACATGAGCTGGTGCCTCCTTCAGATTTGCAGCCTTTGGTGAAGAAGTTGATTGACAATTTTATAGGCGAACAATGTGCAGAAGAGACCTTAATTTTAAGGGTTTTACATATTTATAATAATTTTTTATACAAATTAATGGATTTTTAATATAAAAAATTATTTTAATTTTAGGGCTAAATACATTGAGAGAAATATGTAAAAGACAGCCATTAGTCGTTGATGCTGATGTACTGGAATATGTAGCTGGGTTTAAGAATTATAGAAATAAATCTGTTGTGGTGGCTGCTTGCTCTATTATTAGTTTATATAAAGAAATCAAGCCTTCTTTATTGAAAAAGAAATTAAGAGGAAATGGGGAAGATCAGGTAGGAGAGTTTGGAGAAGTCAAAGTTTTTAAAAGAATTCCTGGAATAGAGCTATTAGAAAGTCAAAATGATGGAAAAGGACTGAGCACTAATCAGACGGTTTTTCTGAGGCAGCCAATTGTGAAATCAGATAACTTGGAAAGGCTAGAAAAGGTGCTGGAGAAAAGGAAAGAGAAGGAAGATCAAAATGAGGAGAAAAATAATCAGGAAGAAGAGGAAGGAAGTGAAGAGGAAGGAAGTGAAGAGGAGGGAAGTGAAGAAGAAGGAAGTGAAGAGGAAGGAAGCGAAGAAGAGGAAAGTGAAGAAGAGGAAAGTGAAGAGGAAGGAAATGAAGAGGAAAGAAGTGAAGAAGAAATTGAAGAAGAGGAAAGCCAAGAAGAGGAAAATGAAGAAGAGGATAGTGAAGAAGAAGAGGAAGGTGATGAGGATTCTAAAAATGAAAGAGACAGCGAAGAAATAGAAGAAGAAAATTCCAACTCTGAGCTTACTGAAAGTGAGAACTCAGGACAAGAATCCATGTCAAACGAAGAAGATATTAGCCCTCCTGAAGAAAACACCCTTTTGCAAGGAGCTCAATATCTTCCACAATCTAATCCACAGCTTCCAATTGAATGTGACCGTATTTTGACTCAAAAAGATTTCAATCGCATAAAGCAGCTTCAAAGAGAAGCCGAAGCCAGACGAAAGCATGAGCAATTCGTTGACGACTCAGAATCTGATAGCAACCCTCACGATTTCCTTGAAGACAGCGATCTTGAGACAGGCCAAGTCTCAAAACAAGAAAAGCGCAAAGCTACAATTGAGGAAAAACTCAAAAGAAAATATGAGCGAAAAAAGAAAACTGGAGGAAAAACCCATAGAGAGCATAAGAAAAACAAGCCAGCTTTGATGGTAATGAAGAAGAAACAGTCAGGAATTAAAGAACAGCTGCAGCAGGTTAGAAAGAAAATAAGAAGAAGCAAGCAGCAGCTTGGAAAAATTCGGTTTATATATATTTGCAAGGAAAATGATTTTTCTGCTATTTTTATGGCAATTTTGGGATATTTTTTAAAAAACAAATTATTCCTATGAAAAAAAGTATTTATCAGAAAATTCAGTAAGAGATTTAGTCAGACAAAGAAAAAAGCAGCTTAATTAATTATTTCATTTTTCATAGTCATTTTTGGTACCGTTTTTCCAAAACTTGTTGGAAATTATAAGAGAAGTTTCTTCGTTGTAAGCTGGAAGTGGGCTTTCTTCTGCAGGAGAGGATTCAAGGTAGTCATTAATAGGGTTGAGAGGTGAAGATTTCGGCGGGGTAGAAAATCCTACTGTGCGGCTTATTTTTGGTCTGTTTTGGCTTCTTAGCTTACAGGTTATACTGTAATGCATAATTTTATATGATTTTTAATATAAATATTTCCTTTAATTTACATAAAAATAGACTTTATTTTTACACAGCGGCCAGTAAAAACCAATTAAGCTAGCTATAGGCAGTTTTCTTTTACTAAGTGTGTGCACACCTGTTTGTACTCAGTCTGATTCTCGATTGGTTTTAAGGGAACTCTATGATTTTCTTGTCTGGAGCTGATCCTATAAGCAGGAAAGTATCTACTATTCATATTTAATATTATTTACAGCTGATAAATTAAATATGGGCTGTTGTCATACAACGGCAGCATCAACAGAAAGTCATATCTCACTAAGCCTCTGTGATGAAGAAATCACAATCAGCCAATATGAAGCCTCAAGTCCATTTTCAAGCAAATCATCTAAACCCCTTAAGATTGAGAAATATATTTTTTGCTTGCTCATAAAAGAATTAATTTTTTTAAATATAAAATTTTTTTCAATATAAATTATTTTCGATTTAAAAAGTCCTATTTGAAAAAATTTTAAAAACTCTCACTATTGTAGCAATCATTAATTATGTATAAAAAATATTTATGCAAATATATTCATCTTTAAAAGCTTTTTCTTGTCAAGTAAGTAGGATTTTCCAATTATTGTTCGCTTTTAAACGTGGAGAGTAAGCTCCTTACAAGTGAATTTTTGATGTTAGGAGAATCCTCATCTATCAATTTTTCTCAATTTGAGCTAGCTTGTTCTCATTTAGGGATAAATCCAAGGCTATTTATTTCTCAATACCCCAATTTTATAGAAAGTTTAAAAGACAGTCCACAGACATATGATATAAAAAAAATTATACTTGTTTGCATTTTATTAGGTAAAGGGAAGCCGAGGGAAAAGTGCAATTTATTATTTGATTATACAGATGCGAACTCAGACGATATAGTCAGTGTAAAAGATGTAGAAAAAATGCTAACTTTTTTCTTCCTAAACCAAAAAGTATTTTAAAATGTAAATTTTTATTAAGATTCTAGCGAATTCTATTAAATTTTAAAAGGCTTTCATTCTTTTATAAAATAAATTGCCGAATAATACAATAAAAAATTATTTTAATAAAAATCTATCATAATGCTTTTAAAAAATATTCTGGTATGAATCTAAGAACTCAGAGAGTAAGTGATTTAATTGATGCATCTTTAATCCTGACTCCTATGACAGCAATCGGTCACAATAAATTATCTTTAATTGAAATCGAAAATTACTGTGAAGGCCTTGTGCAATCCAAAAGAAAATTAATCAAAAAATTGAAATATTGCATCATGGGTGAAGAAAAAACCTTGGATTCAAGTCAATTTGATGTAAAAATTTTCGATTCAGAAATTTTGCAAAATATTATTAATCCTAATGGTATCAGAATTTTACTCAAAAATCAGCATTTTTCTTTATCATCACTAGAAGAAAGCCCAATTACTTCTGACAATAAAAGTGATGCATTTTTTGGCAGGGAAAGCTCTGGAAAAGACCTAAGTCTTCAATTAAGAAGCCTTAATGATGAAGGATCTCCTAAAGAAGTACACACAGCGACTGAGTCAATGCAAACCCCAGAAAAACCAATGGTAATTGATCTGAATTTCGGCCCAGGTCAAAAAGAAAAACTTTATTTATACAGAAATGATGATCTCGACACCAAGGTAAAAAACTTTGCAAGAACACACAGACTTAATAAAAAGGAGGCTGACGGACTGCTAAATTACATTGAAAAAATAAGACAAGACGCTTACAAAAGCTAAGTTATTATTATAATATGTATTATTCCATAGGAATTGCAAGCATCATTGACAAAAATTCCTCTAATTTAATTCTGTTTTTTGGGGTTCCTCTTCGTTTATTAGCTTTTTTCAAAAAGAAAAATGCCATTTTCTCGATTGCACGGTTTTCACCTTTAGATTTCTTATGGGCCATGTTCACGACAGTTTTTAGATCTTCGAAATTTAGATCGTCCTTTTTTTCATTGTATACCAAATTAAAGAAAAATACTAATTTTTGCTTGGTAAAACAGCATTCTAGCTTGGGGTCACGGGAACTTTGTAGGAAAAACTGAGCGATTGGCTTTTGATGGATTCCTTCAATACAGTTTACAAAGGTGGTCAGATCAACTCAGTCTTTTTTTCCTATACCAAGAAGCAGAATATTGAGAAAACTTTGATCGTAAACGTAGCAATTTAGAAAAAACTGTGCAATTGCAATTCTGTGGACTTCATAATGATTTTTTATTTGCTGAATTCAACTGGTTCCTAAGTAGTCTTTCACAATATTGATGTACACTGAATGGATGATAGAAAACTCATCCTTAGTATATTCTTTATAATTGAATTTTTTCCCCAAAAATTTCTTTGATGAGTAGCTATCAGCTTCTTGAGCTTTATTTGGGCCCAATAAGCAAGGAACTGAATAATTCATGCTCAAATTATGAGTTAAATCTGCTTCAGTTGCAAAAGTGCCTAGGGTAATCATTGAAACATTTTCCCGATATCTTGGATTCCGAAATCTGCTTTGCTGGTCAGATTTTTTCCTTAATCCACAATATATTTTCACGAATAATTTTAAAGTATCAATTATCTCTCCATCTGAATTTTTATATTGCGACATAATCTTATTTTTATCAAAAAAGGTTTCCACAAATTTGAAAACTGAAAAATTATTGTGAAACGTGGAATTTTTATGTGTTTGCAATAAGGATTTGGTCAGCAGATGACTTATATAGGAAATATAAAAGAAAAAGTAAAGCCAGAATTTGTTTACGAAGTTTAAGAGAGCTTTACTTTGTTAAAGAAACTGATTAAGAGAATAAAATAAATTAATTAAAGAGTATTAATAAATATCATGCGAATTTAAATTATAAAAACTTAAAGCTGTGCCGAAATTAGTGAGACTGAAAGTTCTCCTATGCAAATGCAAAAAATGTGGACATTTTTCAAGTCCTCGTAAATTCTTGATTTATGCAAATTTCTTCAAGTCCTATATCTCCATTTATAATGCAAGCTATTTTTGAAAATACATTAAATATTTAAATTAAGTATCCCCTTCAGATATTGAAAATATATTAGATGGAAGATAATACAGCTCAAATTGTATCCTTTATCTAGCTTGTTGATCTAATGCGCTTACTCTATTCCCCCCTAAATATTTTTTTAAAAAATTATTTTTTTAATATTTTAATTAATAATTTTATAATTAAATTTATTTATTTTTACCCTGGGAGAGTTAGCTTCAAATTTCTTCAACCAAGCTGCTGACCTTCTTCAATCCCGAGTTTCCTTCCACCCTATCGAAACTCCAACTTTAGACAAACAAGAAAAAAGAAAAAAATGCAAATTACAATACAACAAATCTTGCTATCAGCTTTTCATGCTCGAAAGATCCAAAACCCTTAAACAAAACCCTGAAAATGCTCGTATATTTTATTTAGCGTTAAAACTTAGTGAGATTTCTAAATTAATTTCTCAAGAATGGAAAACTATGCCAGACGAAGAAAAGAAAATCTGAAAAGACAAGGCCGATCTCCTTAGAGGTATAGTAAAAAACCCTAAACATAATGATGAAAACCCTAAGCTTTCTCTGCTAAAGCTTCTGGAGGATGAAGACGATATTTTTGACGTTTCACAAAACCACAATGTAGCAATAAAAAATGAGTCGCCAAGTCAAACTGATGAGAACACTGAAAGTGATGAAGAGGAGCCTAAAAAGCATATGAAGCTTGAAAGTTGCTAAAATTACAATTAAAAGCCCTCATCAGGGATAAATTTAGTTTTATTTAGATTATATTTTTTTATAATAAATTAGTATTTTATTATAAAATTTCGTAAATAAATGAAAGAAAATTAGTTATAATAAATAAAGGATATATTAGATAATGCATTTTCTCGAATGGCTATAAAGCTGGTTTATTATATATTATTTTAATAGGCTATATGCTTTAAAATTATATGAAAAATATTATTTTCTATAAAAATAAATTCAGAATGGCTATTTTAAAGCTTTTTATCTAAATAAAATAGATAATTATGAAGCTGTGGAGGAGATTAGTTGCTGAAACATACGGGACAGCTGCGTTAGCATTCGTTATTTTTGCTAGCGAAGGAGAAGCATGGTCTGTAGGAATTGGCTTCTGGGTCATTATTGTTGGGTGCGGATTTATTGGTGGTGCCCACTTTAACCCTACTGTTACTTGTGCAGCAATTGCCAAGGATCTTTACTTCAGACACCTCCAAATCAAAAAGGCTAAGGACAAGTCATTGAAATATTTCACTGAATCAGTCCAAGAAGACCTTCTTTACTTGGTCGCTCAAATTGTCGGAGCATTGCTTGGAAGCTTCTTCGGACAAGCAGTCTGGGATAGCCCTTGGAGTGTATCTATTGCTGGAGGCAGCACTGAAGTCCAAGCCATCTTTGCAGAACTTATTTTCACTGCTCATCTCGTCCTTGTGGTCTTGGTCTCTGCTGAACTTATGGACTCTGTCATTGCTTCAGGTATGGCAATTGCGTTATGGTCTTATTTATTTTTTTTAATTAAAAAATTATTAATTTCTAGTTAATATTTTCAGAAAAATATTTATCAATTGCGTTTACAGTGCTCGCAGGCATTTTAACCGTAGGAGATATTTCTGGAGGTTGCTTTAACCCAACTGTTTGCATTGCAATTGATGTTGTCAAAGCAATTTTTGCAAATGATACAGCTAGCTTAACTAACTGGTGGGTTTATATTGTGGGTCCATTCCTTGGTGCTGTTCTCGGAACTATCATTGGCATCACCTTCTTAAGAGAAAAGATCCAGATCAACAAGAAGAAAAAGATGAAGTGGCATCCTAAAGAATTCGGCCTAGCACTCCTCAAGGACCACATTAAGAGCGACAATTAATTAACTAAGTCTTAAGTTACCTTATTATTTCTAATTTTTTAATTATTTTTTCTGATTTATTTAGAAAAATTATAAGTCAACATCACTAGAAATCGGTAATTTGGCAGCATGCTGAGAAATTGCATAAATAATCCCTGTTATCACTAAGCACAGCACTACAAACATGCACCAATCTACTCCTTTGTGGAAGCCTGATTCGTGGTTTTTTTCTTTGTCTTGTAAATCTTTTATGTAACTTTTAAATATTTCTTGCTCGTGTGGAGTCATTGCGCTTAAAATTCTTTCTTGTCGTTCTTTTGATCTTTGTTTCATTGCATCTAGTTCTTCTTGGGTGTAAAATTTTTCTTGCACTGGCTCTTCTTTTGGAGAGTCTTCAGGCTTTTCAAGTGTGGGCTCAATAGGGACTGGGCGGGTGCTGTAGTAGATTAAAGGGATTGATATAAGGCCTCCGATTAACAAATATTCCATTATATTTGGAATTAACAATTTTTTGATTATAGAGTGGGATGTCATGAAATTTAGATGTGATAAATAAAGGAAGATTTGGATATTTAATGAATTTTAAAAAGTTTATGCTAAAGTTTGCGAAAAAAGGAATTTTCAGTTTTATTTTTGCGACTCAATATTTAAAATGGCAGTTAGGGATTGGTCCGTAGTCCTGATCCACCAGGCCAAACCCATAAATCGAGCTTAGTGAGAGAAGAAGTCTAAATTCTTAGGAGCATTGGCTTGAAGAGAAGTGGTCTGTGCTAAGGCTGACAAGGACTAGAGAAGCCTGAAAGGGATTGATAACTTTTAGGCCGGTTCACCTACCATTGCTCAGAGCTGTTATCGTAGCTGAACCTCAAGAATGAAGACTTAGAAGGCATTCAATATGCAACAGAATTTCAATAAACTTAAACTTAAAATTTTTGCGATAATGTAATTCTCGTATTAAATCTTTTTTTTCTTGTTAAATATGAAATTAATTTCTTATATCTATATCAAGCAGCAATAAATATTATCTACTCAATATTTATTTCAGAAAATAATTTTTCTTATGGATTAGCCATTAATAAAGGTAATTCTGATATTAAAAGTAGTTTAAATTAATTTGAATATGTCTTATGATAGATATAAGCAAAAAGACTAGCTTAGAGCTAAAAATAAAGCAGAGCATCAGGTGAGACAAAATGGTATTAATTTAATAAATGGGAAACAGACCATCAAAAAAGCCAGCTGTTGAGCTGAAAACCCATGAAGAACATCCAATGACTAACGAAGAAGCCAAAACCATCCAAAAACTACAACGACTGCAGTCTAGAAAACGCACAAAACGGAAGCTTGTCAATTTCTGTGACATAGAAGCCACCCCACCACAATCTCCTCGAGATGGCCAAAAAGATGATATTCAAAAAGAAATCCAAACGTTAGTAAAAAAAAAGAAAAATGAAGAAGCTTCGAATGGAAATTTTATGCCTTTAGCATTAATGAAAGCAGATGTCACTAAAATCGATGTGACAAAAGGACAAAGCTATCTAAAGAAAAAAAATAAGTCCGAGTTCCAAATATACCAAAATTTTATTTTTTAAAAAAAAAATAAAATTATTTTATTTTATTTTATAATTCATTAAAAATAAGCATAAAAGTCCCAATCCCACCTGTCAAAAGGCACTCAAAATTCAAATCAATCCCCTTTGAATATGAAAAACAGCTAAAAACTTATGATGTGGCTCGACATGACTGATTCGGTGAAACCGAAAATATTTTTGAACCACAAACCACCAGAAGAGACTTTTTAAATTCTCCAAAAGCGGTAAATTTTAACTTAAAATTCACAAAAAACGCCAAAAAAGAGCGTGTGATGACTGAGGGGAATGAAGAAAGTGTGCCTTATGCTCCCATTTTTAAGCCAAAAAGACCTTCAAAGCTTAACTTGAATTTTGAAGGAATGCACCTTGAAGTGCCAAAACCTAAAGCTAGTGAAAATTTATTGCCTGCCACTCCTATGATAAATAGAGGCCAGCCGGGGCTTAGAAGTTTGGTAAAGGAAAGAAGCTTACAATTTATAGATCCTATGCCATTTGCATCGTTTTCTGGTAAAGACTCATCTATAAGATCTCCACCCCCTTCAGCATTGCCAGTATTGCCAGACACTCCAATTGGGCCGAAAAATAAAATCATTAGATTAAGGACAAAAATCAGATCTAATCTAAGTAAGGACTTAGCAAATGAAAAATTGGAAGCTCCAAAGAATCTAAAAGACCAAATTGTATGGAAAGGTCAGAATGGTTATATTGATCGTTGAATTATTAATTTGTTTCTTAATAAGAATATCCTAAGTTCCTAATTAAAGACAGAAATAAAATGTTGATGTCGACGGAATATGGACTCCCAGACACACTCCTATTGAGCAGGTAGGAACCGTACCATTGAAGCTGAAAATAGTGCCTCCACCACTTTTTGAAGTAGGCCTTCTGGTTTAAGGATGACTGTCGAAGAGGGAAGTTTTGTTTATCTCCCAGAAAGTATTTGCCTGCCACCTAATCTTTGCTTATAGGGACTGAAGAGATATCCACAAGAGATGACTCTAACCTAGGGACCTAATCCTTAGGCTAAGTGGGTTTTAAGCCAGATAGGCAGGCGTCTTATAATTTTAACTTAACTTAATTAAAAACACTATTTATTTATTTTTTTAAAAAAAAAATATTTATTCTATATCGCCATATGTCTTTAAAAGACTTTTTATTAATTTCAAAGCTCGGCGAAGGAGCCTATAGCGTCGTCTGAAAAGCTCTCCGAATCTGTGACAACGAAGTTTACGCCTTAAAAAAAGTATCCCTCGGCAAATTGAAACCAAAAGAAAAATCAAACGGTCTTAACGAAGTTCGAATTTTAGCAAGCATAAACCATCCCAATGTAATTGCTTACAAAGAAGCATTTTTCGATGACGATAGCAACAGCTTATGCATTGTGATGGAATACGCCGATGACGGCGATTTATACCAAAGAGTCCTAGAATATCAGAAAAAAGGCACTTATATGGCAGAAAATTTTATATGAGATGTTTTAATACAGTTAACGAAAGGCCTTAAAGCGCTCCACAAGCTCAATATAATGCATAGAGATTTGAAATCTGCTAATGTATTTTTGTGTAAGGACGGAAGTGTAAAATTAGGGGATATGAACGTTTCGAAAGTGGCTAAACAGGGGATGATGAACACACAGACAGGGACACCTTATTATGCGAGCCCTGAGGTATGGAAAGATGCACCATATGATATTAAGTCTGATATTTGGTCACTTGGCTGTGTAATTTATGAAGCAATTACGCTAAAACCGCCTTTTCAGGCTGAAGATATGCAAGGGCTTTATAAAAAAGTGATAAAAGGGGATTATCATCCTATACCCAGAGGGTTTTCGCAAGATTTGGCTAATGTAATATCGCAGCTTATACAAGTTGACCCGAAGCTGAGGCCAAGCTGTTCACAAATTTTGATGATGCCTGCTGTGACTAGGAGGGTAAATTTAATAGAGGAGGACGAAAATATTGACAATTATTTGTTAGGGACTATTAAGATGCATAAAAACATGCCACAAGATAAGCTGCCAAGAGCCAAGTATAGAGATGATTTAAGACAGAATTTGAGTGAGCCGCCTCCTGAAAATGATTCCGATATAAAACAATTGACGAGTAAACAAAAAACGAAAGATTCTCTTAAGATGAAAAAGAATGCGTTTTCCGGTAGAGTTAAAGATTATAGTTTTGATAGCTTAATCTTCTTATGCAATTTTGTTTCAATTTTTTTAACACCTTACTTCCCCTTCTCTGTGAGCAACCAAAACCATTGGGGAATAGTCCCTATTTTTTGGGTAAAGAACCATCCTCGTAAACGAGTAATATATATTTTTTTATTATAAATTTTATTATAAAAATATTTTGATATATAAGTAATAATTATTATAATTAAATGTCAAATTAACTGTTTTAATTTAAACAGCTTGAATTTTTAAAAATAAAAATTTGCAAAATTAAATTAATTTAGTTTTCAATTTTCGTTGATTGTAATTTTGCTAAATTTAGGGAAAAAATCCTCCATGAGAGAACAAAATTTTTTTGTTCGCTTACGAAGGGAGGGGGAGTTAGCACTCAACAACCTACAATTAAATTAATTTTTGTGTATTAATATTATTCTAGAAGGAAAGATAGGAAATCTTGAGAAATTTGGACTTTCTTCAGTAAAGAGAAAAAGCATTCGGAATAAGAGCGAAATGAGAGAAAATTATGACACTTTGAAACTTCCTGGTGTTTCACAAAAGACTAGGAAATATAAGGTCTTTGACGGTATTGAATCATTAAAAAGGGAAGGATATTTAATGAAATATATGCCTTTACCACAGCGAAGAAGAGTTTTTCAAAGAAACCCGAACACGAATCAAAGCTACATTGTCCATCTTTAACTAATGTAAGATAAATTCAACAGTTTTAGTTGCTCAATTAATAATTTCACCTTCCCTAAAATTAAATTTTTTGATTGCATATTTATTTATATAAAATTTTGTCTAAATTTTATATTTTCTTTACTTTTATAAACATAAATTATGATGCTATAAATTCAATTAAGTAAATTATAGTTAAATTATCTCAATTAAGAAACATATTGCAAGAATCACCAACTGTTTTGCAGAGTCTAAACTAAGTGGTGTTAGGGCAGGGACAGCAAGTGTTTTAATAGTTAATGCAACCTCATTTTCTGAAAACTGTGGATTACCTGGATAATTATTTCCACAGATAACGTATACATTGTAGTCTGTAGACCCATTTAATCCACTAACAGTTACATTAGTCGCTACTCTTGCACTCATTTTTGCAGAAATAGATGGAACTATTTTATTTTCTGAATCAACCCCTAATACAACTTGCTGAGGTATCAGCACTGAAGCATTATTTTTATTAGCCACCGCAGTTGCATATATATACCCATCCTCTTTAAGAGCCACTGAAATAGTAATTTCACTATACTTGCCAGTTGTATAAACTTTAGGAGATAATTCATAAATACAAGGCTGAAAATATACAGCTTGGATTTTTGCTTTAGAAGATTGATCATAATAAGGGATGAGGCTGGAAAACGCTGGTTGGAATAGCCTAGTAATAATTGTTTGTGGGGTCGGATAGTTTGTACTTGACAAATCATCAACAATAAAAAAGGGTCAAAGCGACAACTAGTGACGTCACCAAGCCATCTTGGAATATGTGGTCAGCCCACACCCAAGCCTTCTATGAGGCTAGTCGCCAGATAAATCGCCGCACATCTCACCCGGCGCGTTGCCGTCGCTCGTCCAGACTCAGCTCCTGCGCGTGTTCCGCCTAAGGGTCATCCTCCCGTGGGGACGTGCTGAGAGGTAAAACTCCGAAATCTTGAGTGCACTGAGGAGTCGTGCCTTTGGTTATCCCCAAAGTTAAACGACTATTGCTGTGCAGAAGTTCTCGAGAGAAAACCCAACCCCATAAATAAAATTCCATGAGGGAGAGAAAAATTGCAGAGCCAATTTCTCTCGAACCGAATGCCATTTTATTTATGACAAATCATCAACAATATATACTTTATCTTATTAAATTTCTTATAATAAAAAACGAGTCACAGCTCTTCAATTTAAATACAATATTAACTAAAAATAATAATAAAAAAGAGTCCCATTGCTTTGTGAAAGCCTTCTTGACACACTTGATGTAGAAATTAGCCTTGACTCAGGTAAACTTAAAACAGTCATTAGTGCCGATTCTATTTTTTCCACTTGAGATTTCGTTAAATAAGTTTGGTTAAAATGAAGCTCAGCCATTGCAGCAGAATACCTAGAATCTGTGCCAAACTCACAAGAAGCCGCATCAGAAGAGGTTCTTCCAGCCATATCTTCAAGTCACACATAAAGCACATATGAAGTTTCGGCTAAAAGACCATCAAAATCAATACCATTATTAATTCCTCCATACAGAATTAAAGACCCAAACACAATTTTCGTCACATTGGAGCTTAAAACTTGGTTTTTTGTGTCTAAAAAGGAGGGTTTTGGTGCCCCAAATAGTGATAACGAGTAGTATGCGATGGCTGCTTTATTTGAGGATACAGAAAAGCTTGCAGAGGATTTTCCTGATTTATCTAAAGTAAGAGAGTTTATTGCTGGGGATATGCTGTCGCTTGAAATAATTCCAAAAGAGATGTTAACTGGGATATTTCTGTAGATAAATCTGTTTGTGCCTGATAAAGAAATAGTTAATAGAGGAATACCTGAAAGCGTTATATCACTGGATGCGGAAATATTGAATTTCTGTATATAAGAACTTGAAGTAAATTTTAGAATAGAAGGTGAAACAGTTAAGCCAGAGCTGGTATATGAAATTCCTAACGAAACTGATACATCTTCTGCAGGTGCCGCATCAAGAATAAACGATAATGGCAAACTCGTCCCGCCCACTGGAACCGATAATATTCCATTGATTCGTGAGCCTAGGTTTCTTAAATGAACTACTCTTAAATAGCTTTCAAAAATGGGTGTATAGAATGGAGATGACAGTTCTCCACTTATTGCCCATTGAACAATATATTTTATTCAATTGTATATAAAAAAAATAATTATTTAATGCAAAAAGAATAATATTTAAAAAACAGAGGATATAAGTGTCTGAAATTGTTATATAAGGAACTGAAATTGTAAATGACGCTTTTACTTGTCCTACAGACAATGATATTTGGTTTGGCGTAAAAATGAAGCCTTCACAGTTAGGTATTAAAATCAAGCCTAAAGCACAGGGGTAGTCAAGTGTTATAAAAATGTCTTTAGAAGTTGACCCTGCTTCTACGCTGACAATTTCATCAGAATTTATTTTAATTAAAGGTCCTGGGTATACATAGTCAAAATCATAGTAATTTACATTCTGATAAGTCCGGCCCATTACAGCCTGATTTACACCATCATAAGTCCTGACTACCAAAGACCCCACTTTTCCTTCATACAGAGGGTTCGAAATATTTTTAATCTTAATTTCTAAATTTCCTGCATAAGCGGCGCTATTTCCTTCAATTTTTATAGTATTATAATATTTTTCTATATCTGGTGCTCCATTTTGCCAGAAATTACTTGTAGTACATTCAGGATTTGCGTTATCTAAAGAATACTGACTAGGAAAATCCACAAAAATTTCTCCTCCATTATCTTTGCTAGGCACCATATCATTAAAAGTGATATCCAAAGAAAAGCTATTAGAATACCTCGTATACAAATTTAAGTTTACTAAATAGTTCAGGATCATTATGCTAGGAGACTCATATATTAAAGCAGGCCCTGCTTTATCATTATACTGAATTCATGCATTTTCGCTTATTATCCCTACCTTAAAATAATCAGTTTTAGCAGAAGTGTAGGATGGGTTAATAATTCCGTATAGAGAAATATCAATTTTGCATGATTTACAATAGGTGTAATCAGAGGCTAAAGTAATTAAAATTTCATGGTCATTAGAGCTGTTTCAAGACATATCATAGGATCCTGAACATTTTATCGTATTTCCTAGCCAATTGTCATAGGAATTTGGGAAAATAATAGAAATGCTATAGTCTGTAGTAAAACTAGCAGAAGGTAAAATAGAAAATTCATAAGTAGCGATTTCTCCTTCATTTCTAGGGTAAAAAACTATATCAGATATAGACAAAGATTTTGGATCTTCCAATATTTTAGCCGAAAACGTGCTTGGTAGCGTCGTATCTAAAGTAACCCCATTAAATTCTGTATGTGCATAAAATGACGAAAAAGTCCCTTGGCCGGGGTTTTGTATTTGTCTTACCCTTAAAATAAAATTTTCCTCAATTTTACTTGCTGTTACAGCCACAATTTCTGCACCATTCATAGTGCATGATTTTAAAATTCCACTATCTAAAATACAAGATAAAGGTGACGGAAATGCTGCATATTGGCTTGGGAAATATATATGAATAGACCCTCCTATATGTATATAATTTGTCACTGCACAAGAAAACATATAATCAGCATATAAATATCTATTGCTTGGAAATGGGCTTAAATCTGCACAAAATAGCTCCCCAGCTGTATATTGGGTATCAAAATTTAATTCTGGGATAGAGTTAAAGCTATCTATTGTATATCCCTCATTGGTTTGTACTTTAACTGAAAATGTGCCTGAGCTTGAAGGGTTTATGAAGCCAAAAATCATGATGTTTATATAAGATTTTTCTGGAAGACTTAAAAAGTTAGAAATTGTGATGGTAGTTGTGGAGGCTACGCAGGAAATTCCTGCATTAGAAGCTTGTTGCAGCCCAATATATGAACAAATTAATCCTGGGCTGAGACTAGTCAAAGTGTACATATTTGAAAAATTTATCAAAATTTTTGAGTTTTCAGGAAGTTTATTTAAGGTCTGCAACTTAATTGTATATGTAACCCCAGCTGAGCCTTTATGCAAATCGTCAGCTTCTAAAGTTGCTTTTAAAAGAGTCCCTTCTGTTAATGCTGGAATATACGTGGATTCAGTGACTATATTTTCAGCTAGACTATTTTGGCATGCATATATAATTATTCCATTACGTCCTGCTGGCACTGATCCTGGATTTTTAAGTCCTGATATTCTTAAAGTATGAGTAGCCGCCGACAAGGCAGAATTTTGGATATAAATCATATTTGAAGCGCTGAAGCAAAAACATGTTTTTGAATTATTATCTACTTTATTCTTTATATACAAGAATACCATTTATTTTTAAAATATTAAGTAATACAAATAATAGGCTTTAATTTCTTAGAATTATATTATAGAAATATACATGATATTGAATCAGTGCAATAGCCTTCTCCATGCACAGGGCTTATTCTCACTAAAATTGCTGAGTTTAGTCCTGATGTTGTATCTGTTGATATTGTAAAACTTGTTATTGTCAACTCACTATCTGCAAATAAGTTTAAATTTGATAAAGAAATCGTCGCACTATCTGTTGATGACTGTGTGGGGTCACTTCCTGCAAGATAATTAACTGTGTCTCTATTTAAAGTGGTTGTTTTATAACTACTTCTTAAATATGCTGCTATAAAACCTATTGATGATACTGCAGATTGTGAATATTTTATATTAGGGAACATAAATTCTACAGTACTCCCTGAGCTTATCTGGCTATAGCCTGTTATTCTGATTACTACATTATTTGAAGCTCCAGTTGAAGCTGGGACTTGTGCCAAATAACAATTAATTTGTTTTTGAGGACTTTTGCATTCTATTAATGATTCTTGTCCAGCTCCTAGCCCTAAATCAGTCCTAAATAATAAATTAGTCGAATCCTTTGTGGGGACTGAAATTTCAATATAGCTATAACTATTTGTTAAATCATTAGGGATTACTGCAGATGGGATATTTACAGATGGGCTTATAGTAAAGCTTAAAAGTGTAGGGGTATCTTTAACTGTATGCACAGGCAAGAATCCAGAAGAAGTAAACGCTGGGTACGTGATATGGACTATTACAGACCCAGTTTCTAATAAAAGAGAATTTTGGTCATAGGACTGGACGTCTATATAGTAATATCCTTCATACTGAGGGGTTGTTAGGACTGAAGAAATAGCGATTTTTGAGTCATGATAAGAAAGAAAGTCTCCTGAGCCTGCAGGGTAGGTAGAAGTGCTTGAAAAAAGCTTGACTTTTATAGTAGTGCCTGCAGAAGTGCATGATAAAGAATTATCAGTTGCTACATTTTTAGGGGTGATTTGGCAATTAGAATTTGTCGGATTTCCAATAGTAAAATCACTTGGAAAAGTAAACCAGACATACCCTTGGTTTGGGATTAATATATTAGGGATTATTGTAAACGTCGCTGTTTGGACACTATTTGGTGTATTTGCCATATTTAAAGAAACAGAAAGTGAGGTATAGCTAGAAATAATGGTTTTTGCGTCAGATAAATTTTGGTCTATTGTATTCCCATTCTCATTCAGGGTAGATATAGCAATGGCTTTTGTGGCTCCTGAGTTCGGCAGATTTGTTAATTGGACTGTCAGTGATATTTCTTGTGGCTTAAAAGCTTGAAAATTAGTTATTATTAGAATTTTGGTACTTGTAGAGTATGACATAGTTACGGTCTGAAACTGAGAAATATCGATAAGCCCATAATTCATATACAAAATACTGCTACCATCACAATTAAAATTTGAGCTAAATCCAAGAGTAATTGACCCACCTAGGGGTATAGAATGGGCAGGGGTAAATTTTAGTGTATAAAGTTGAGTTTTCCCACGTGAAGCTATAAAAGAGTTATTAGGGGTTAATGATATGTTAGTTATATCACCAGCTGTTATAGATATACCTGGGATATTTACCGCTTTGTCTATAATAGAATTTGTTTTCGTGGTCCCTGTTTGAATGCTAAAACTCCCAGTTGTCTGGACATAGCCTGGAGTTGTAGCAGAAATGCTTATTGATATATAAGAGCTTGCTGAAATATCAACAGGCAGCTCATTAAGCGTCACCTCATTCCCAGAAACCACACAATAATTGTTAGCTTGAGCCAATTTTCCATCGATTTTCAAATTTGTGCAGCTTGGGGTATTGCTTATAAGAAAACCATTAGGGAACGTAAATTTCATCCAATTTCCTTTCTGTAAGCTTGTCTGGGTTTTAAAGCTAAATAAATAATTTGTCGAGGAATTTACCTTGGAGTTCCCATTGGTGTCTATAGCTACCTGAGCAGACGTCAAAGCTCCAGGAGAAGGAGAAATCCCAATAACCCCAAACACAGAATTGCGTTGGGTTAAATATTGAGAAGAATAAGCTGAAATTTGAAAAGGTCCGGTACCTCCAGATGTGGAAGGATTCAGAACGCTATAAACTGCGACTGAAGTAAAGCTTTGGGTATATATTAGTTTATTACTTGTAAGAGTAACTTGGAGGTTTGATATAGTGCATGGCATGCTGCAAGTTACTGCTGTAGTTAGAGATGAAGAATATTGTCTAGGAAAATCAATAATTATATACTGGATTGGCTTAGCTGCTTATGGGTTAATCTGGAAAAAATCTTAGGTGTTTTCCCCTAACAGCTCATTTTTATAGACTTTTTAAGGTTTTTGCACACAAAAATCTATATAAAAATTATTTTAATGTAAAATCAACCAAAAGAAAATACCCAATCTTGTATAAAATCTCCAATAAGAGCTTGTCTTGACAGCTGAAATGTAAATGTATAATCTGCATATTCATTGGCATTGTTTTTAGAAGGGTTTATTGGTAAAATATCAGCTGGGGTTATAGTGCCAATAGAGCTGAATGATCTTCCTCATGCTTGGAAAATTGTTAAGAAAAATATTAGCATTTATTATTAAAGATTAATTAATTTAAGCTTAATGCTTGGATTTCTTTTTCTTTTTATCGAGCTTTAAGTCGACTTTCTTTTTATCAGTCCAGAACTTCGCACAAATTTTGATTGGCTCAAAAGTATTTGCCGCAAAAGCTGCTTTGCCTACAACATGGGTTTTTGCCATTTCTTCAGTAGCAAATCTTTCTGAGAGTCCTTTAATGGCAGTGTTCAAATTTTCGATAACTTCTTTAGTTTCTTCCAAGACCTTTTTTACCCCAGATAACCTGCTGCAATTAACCGCTATACATTTAGTGGCTTTTAGTTTGTCCATAGGACCAAGACTTTCCATGCCGCTTTTAGCCTCTTCAGGGAAGTTTGGGATTCTTTCAATGATATCATTAAGTTGAGGTCTCAGTTCTTCAAGTCTGTTAGGTGCCGTTTCTAAGGTTTCAACAAGATCGTTCCATCTGTCGACGATTGAATAATGATCGCTCTTTAAACCTTGTTTATCTACTTCAATATACGGTTTATAGTCAACAAGCCTCAGATGAATTTTTTCAAAATCCCCATCAGTTGAAGCTGAAAAACAATAAAGCATCATTGTGATCGCATCACTAAGAGTTTGATGCTTTATCACATGAGCTCCTGTAGCTCTCGTGAAGTACTTTATAGCTCTTTTAAGCGACTTAGAAACATTGTGGAGATTCTGAATTGGGTCTTTGACATTGTAAAACATGTCATCAACAACTGCAATTTTGCATCATTCTAAGTTAAGATTGACGCTCTTTTTCTTTTTGCTGTGGTGGCCACCCATTAGATTTAGATTATAATGACAAAAATTAAGTCAACTGATTATTGATTAAATGGATAAAATTTTAATTAATGGCAGAGATGGGATTTTTATCATTATTGGACAACTCATAAATAAATATTTTAGTGTTAGGGTTTAATAAATTGAGAAGTCGTCTGAAAGAGATAAATAAAAATAATTCGAGCCTGTCAGAAATGTACAGAAAATGTACTTTCAAAATTTTAAAATCCTTGGCTGACGTTACTTTTCTATTCAATTGCTAATAACTTCTATTGATTTAATTTTTTTTCTAATTTCCGATCTTTATATTTTAATTTTCTAAGCTTCAGCTTTTTTATATTGAAACAAAAATGTCTACCCTTTCCCTTACATTTCTAAGATTAATAAGATTAAACAAAATATACACACACAGTTATTTCGATAAATATTGAATTATTTATTTGGCATCAAGCCTATTTACTTTTTCTTTGGTTTTGGAGGCTTATCCAAAGTGAGATCGATTTTAGTAGGGTCTGGCCAAAACTTCCTTATAATATCTTTTGGCACATAAACATGGTCTTTATGAGCGTCCTTGCCAATTTTTTCTATCTTTGCTCGTTCTTCGCTTGTGCATTTACTTGCAAAACTAGCTAGTGCTTGAGTAACCTCAGCAATAGTTTTCGTGAACTCAGTAAGGATTTTGCTAGCTGCAGTCAGCCTAGATACATTTGTAGCACAGCACTTTATTCCTCTAGCTTTGTCTATCATATTTGCGTTTTCTAATGCACTTTTTGCTTGGCTAGGGAAATCGGGGATTTTTTCAAAGAATTCTTTTAATTGTCCTGGGAGCTCGGCTGCTTTTGCTACGGATTCTTCTATTGCTTCTAGCATGTCGTTCCAAGCGTCTGCAATATGATGATGTTCAGGCTTGAGACCGTGCCTTTCTATGTTCACATATGGCTTTTCTGGTACAATTTCCAGATTGATTTTGCTGAAGTCGCCATCAGTTGACGCTGAGTAGCAATAGAGCATTGAATCCAGCCAGGTCTGTTATTTTTAAGAAAAAATCAATACATGAATAATGATTATTTTTTATTTATTTGCAAAATAATAAATTATAAGAGGTTTTTTCTTTAAATAATAGTCTAAATCCAGCGCGTCTTTGAATGTAGCGTCTTTGATGATGTGGCAGCCAGCTGCCTTTTTCAGCTTTCTGATATGTTTGTTAAGTTTATGACTAACCTTGTCAAGAGTTGCGAGAGGCTCAGCTGCCGCACTGAACATGTTATCGATATCTACAAGATTGCAGACCTCCATCTCAATGTTGATTTTCGTTTTCTTCTTGCTTCCACCACAGCCCATGGCTATTAATTATTATTACGATTTGTATAACTGCCCAAAAAATCCTTAAATATGGATTATCACTGAGAGACTGTTTTTAAGCTTATACAGCTAATGGAGTTTGAAATTTGAGAAAATTAGGCAAAATCTGACGGAGAAACATATAAGAAAATATTGATGTTTATAGTTTAAATATTATTAGTAATCAAAATATTCTTTATATTTATAATAAAAAAGCAAGCAAATCAGAAAATACAAATAATAAAAAAATACTAATTGGGAACTGAAAAGCCTTAAGTTTTTTATTTCAATAGTTCAACGAGGTGAGGTAAAGTGCTTTTGTTTTATTAGAAAGTATTTTATATTAAAAAATTAAGTTAAAATTGCCAATGCTTTTAATTTAACTTTAATTTATATTAATTCACCGATTTTTGGTAGAAATCACTTAATAGTAAGGACTTAAATGGAGTAAATAAAGCAAATTTATATCAAGTTGATATTTCTGGTCATTTGCCTCAAAATTTTCTTATCAAAATAATTCTAATTAAGGTCTATTTCATTTTCCAACCTATTAAATTAAAAATTTGAAGATAAAATAAATAAGTAAATCTTTGAATTATTCTTGTCTATTTAAAAATACACCTCTCTAGAATAAATTGCTGAAGGGATGATCTTTTATGATCCCACAATTTAAAATTATTAGGAATATGTAGCAGGCATTTAAGTTTTAAAATTTTTAGTGGGTCTAGTAAATTCCTGGCGATTCAATACGATGATCTGAATATTTCTGTCTCCTCAACTTTAATTATTATAGCTATGAAATTGGATATTATATTTAGAATGATTAACAGAAACTAATCTGATTTCTATAAAAAATACTCCAAACTGTGGGTATATGGAGAAGTAGGACATTTTATAGGCAGATAAAGTGGATGCCTTCTCCCCACTCCATGAGCGAACAAAAAATCTTGTTCGATCACGGAATTTTGTTTTTTAGTATAAATTTTAAAGATAATTTTTTTTTTGAATTTAAAAAATCCCACTTCTCGGAAATTTGAGAGTAAATATTAATTTAATTTGTAATATTTATGTTTTAAATGCAATTTGTTTAAAATTAAACAAAATTAACTCGAGATTTCATGATACTAGTTATCACTTATATGTCAAGTTTTTTCCTATAAAAATTTTTCTATTAAAAAAATGTTTGTTCGCTCGCATATAGGGATTTTTCTAAGGTTTTGTTCGCTCACGGAGGGGGGAATTAGATTTTAAGCATGGAGTTTGAAGATACATGCCGAAAAGGAAGGGGTTTTTCATTAAAGCTTCCTTAAGCAGTTACTTTTCTCATTGAGTCTTCACATATTGCGACTTCGGGCGGTCAACAGAGCTGCCCTAGTTGATGGAGTTAATCCTAGTCAGGCTGTCCAACGAGTGCTCAAGACTTTTGGCTAATTATTTTTATCTGGTCTGCAAGCCATCTTCCTATTAGCGAGGTGATGCCAATCAGTGGCTCATCTGCTTAAAATAATATATCTTAATCTAATCTAATGATTCACAGTATTCATATTTCTATATTAAAATAGTATAGTACTACGACCAGAAATAAGTATAATTTCATATTTTCTACTTGAAAAAACTGTTTCAGAATTTTATATATTTTAAAGCAAAAAATTTATCATTTAAATTTTGCATGTATAAAATATACATAAATACTTTAAACCAATTTTTGACCTCTTTTAAAAACAAACTATTTTTAGAATCATTTCATATTTATATTAATTAAAACCACAAATATGAGTTTCTATAAGGCTTTAAATTATCAGCAAGCATTTTTTTAGATTATTAAAGGCTCCATCATCGGTCCTTGCTGCACTTGATTTGAATCACAAGGTCCTAGCATTACACAGAATATTTTCATCAAAAAGAAAAACATCCCAACTGCCGGAGACAATACAAAAGACAATAGCAGCACAGTCAGGAATAAAACCTCCATTAAAAACCCGAACACCAAAATAAACGGTGTAAATAAGCATTTTCTCTTGCAAGAATAATATCTCCCTTCAAATGTAATTTTAAACGCTAAAAAGTGGCCACAAAATATCATGATAAGTATGACAGCTATTGGGGACAATATTATTAAAAGCAGATATAATATAAACCTATGTGAAAATAAAAATTTGAGACAGCACGGCAGCCCAGTTGGGTCAGGAAAACCTTGACTTCTTTCAATATAGTTATAAAGAACAGCAGCTGCAAAAAGGTACCAGAATGGAAACAGCATAATCATAAAAATTATATACAATATGCGCTATTTTTGATATTCTTTATAAAAAAATTATTTTTTTATAAATTCAGCATAGCCCAGTATATGCCAATACAAATCCAGTTTACTTCGCCCAAACATACACTTAAACTCACTGTGCTGAGCTACAGGATTTCCACAGTTCCAGCACCAATAATGCCCACATTGAATACAAGTCATATGTGAGCATCCTCCATTTTTCTCAACCCTCCAAAAGCATTTTGGGCAAGCTTTTGCATTTCTTTGAGAAGCCCATCGTTCGAATTTTTTATCAGTTTTGCATTTTTTCCTGCCGTGCCAAATTTGATTGCATTTTGCACAAAAATAATTATGACAGATATTGCATTGGAGCTTTAATTTTCCGCCTCCAATTGTATCGTAGCCTTCACAGTTAGGATAAGGACACCATTTAATATTTGGGTCGCTTTGAAGCTGAATTCTTTTCATAAGTTTATCATACAGTTCTAATCTTTCTCCAGATAATAGTTGTCGGATTATATTAGCAGGGAAAATATTGCTGCAGGTATATTCGCAGCATTTTATTTTGACAACTTGGCCTTCATGGACTTGTAAGTCTAAGTATTGATTGAAGCAAGATTTACAAAAAGTGTGGGAGCATGGTATTTTTTATATTTTTAAAAAAAAAATTAATATCTAAAATTTCTCCAAATTTTCTGACTTTTTCAAGCATGGGGAAAGTTTAATAAACTCTGATCTGATTTCGAAGCATATAGGGCATTGTTTTTCTTCAGTAGTTTCAAATTCTATACCTGTGATTGTGCCTAAAGGAATTATAGCTTGCACTGTTTCTCTTATAGCATCTCCACTGTCATAGAAAGGATCTTCTACCCAATTTCTCTCTTCATAATCTGGTATATCACTATATAAACTCATTTTTCCTTTGAATAATTTTAATCAGATACAATTGGAATAATTAATTCCTTAACGAGAAAAACTTATTATGATTTGAAAAATAATTTTATTTAAATTACTCCGCAAGCTAATAAAATAAAAAATATTTTCTTATAAAAAAATTATTTTTAAAAAAAAAATCTTTATGGAGAGTTAGAAACTAAAATAATTTCGAAAATGGAATTAGACCGTTCTCGCTCAATTTCTCCTTCCCAAAGCTCCAGTGACTCCCACAAAAAGCCTACCATGAACCGACTAGGCTCAACTCCACTATTCAAAAAGCGAAATGCCCCATTTTCCCACGATCTCAACATCCCAGACAGTGCTTCAAAAGCATCGCGTAGGCCATCAGCGCCTGGGATCCCTCGATCCAGAGAGCCAGAAACCCAAATAACTCCAGAAATAGCTGCAATGGTGGTCCGACAATACTTGCTACCTATGTTTGAATCTGACAATGTCGGAAAAGGCAGAAACATGTTTTTCGGGCTCCCAGGGATGAGCGATATTAATAAACCTCTAGAAGTAATATCAGGCACTGTATACGGAGAACTAAAATTGGCTGACCAGCTGATGAATCAGCTGACACAGGCCCGAAAAGAAATGAACCAAATCGGCCAAAATTTAAAAGACGCCGAGCAAGAAAGGAAAAGTGTTTTAGCTTTTTCTATATTAAATTAGCATAATTTTCTTATATAATAAATAATAAATAATAATTTATTTATATAAAATAGCATAGCTGAGCTGGAAAATGTAAAAAAGCAATATTTATCAGTAATATCAGAAATAGAAACCTGTCAATACCAATTCCAAGAAACCCTCTGTGCCCAGCAGCAATCCGATTTGAAACTGTCGTTTATGAACAACCAGCTTTATGAATATAAGCAGCTTTACGCCTTAAACGACGCTGAAAATAAACAGTTTACTGTAGACCTCCACGAAGAAAAAGCTTTAAACGACAAGCGTAGAAATACAGCTGCAGAGCTGGAGCATGGAAACCAGCTTTTAAGAATGGAAAATGACATCATGTCAGAAAGACTTGGCGGACTCTACCAAGAGCTAGACAAGCTTTCCCAACGACGGTTTATAGAAGACAAATTAGTAGAAGAAACCGACATTCTTGTCCATTGTCTACGCAATCTTGCTGATTACTGCAATAATTTGTCACTCAGCTTGATTTCTGCGATGAATCAAAGAGATGAGCTTAAAATCCAGCACGCTGATATTGAAGCTTTAACTGAAGAAATCAAGACTTTAAGAGATAAATTAGTATCTAAAAGCAAAGAAGCCAGAAATAGCATAGAAAAAGAATATAATAGTGTCGTAGAGCAGAGAGAAGAATATAAGTCTAGGTTGTCGAAGCTAGAAAAAGCTTATAAAGATATGAGTGAAAGCTACGAAAAACTCCGCCAGAAGCTAAAACAGTGGAAACAAAGAGGCAAACAGTACGGTGAACAAGAAGAAAAAGTCTGCAGCAAGTGTCGGCAGACTTATACAGAAAAAGAAAATTATAATTGGTCGTGCAAAACCCACAGTGGACAGTTTAATGGAGAAATGTATTGGTGTTGTGGGAGAAAAGGAAAAGAAGCCTTAGGCTGTCAGACCTCAAAGCATGTGTCAAAAGAAGACGAAGACGAAGAAGCAGCCAAAGAGAAAGAAGACGACAAGTTTAAGCAAGGCACGGCTAAGTGTTCCAGCTGCAAAGAAATAGGTCACAGAGCCCACGAATGTCCAAAAGACCCTAATATCAGAAGTGCCCTAGATGCAGTTGACGAAATTGATAGAATTGATGGGATAAAATCAAGGAAAAAAGCTAATGTGAATAATATTGACGTAAACCAAAAATTGATGGGAATTCTTAATGCGAGGTTTGGGCAGATCGGGTTTGGAGACGATATGGCCTCGTCAGCAGGGACTGAAACTTTGAGAGGCATGGAAGAGGAAGAAGAAAATGCCGAAAATAATCAGCATGAGCACGACCCATTTAAAGATTTATTCTGACTCCCCCCCCTCGAAGTTCGACCAAGATATAGGGAAAATTCCTATTTTTTTTGAAAATTAACCCCCCTCAAAGTTCGACCAAGACCTATATAAATTTACTAGAAAAAAATAAGCAATTTTTCAAAAATTTTAAACTATATGGGGGTGAGCTTGCGATTTTTGTATTCAAGTTCTAAAAAAGCGTTACAAAACCATCTTGCACTATTTTTTCTAACCCTTACACTCTCTCAACCATACAGAAGAATATGATAAATATTTTTTTTTTTAACTACTAAATTATATAAAAAAAATTCTATATAATTTTTTTTAAAAAAATTTTTCTTAACCCCCCTCGAAGTTCGACCAAAAAAATCTTGGTCGAACTTCGGGGGGCGGGGGGAGTGAGCTTTAGTAAATGGTGTTTTTTTGAGAATAAAAAAAATTATTTTTAATTAAAAATTAATAGGGATACATAGCATGAGAAATGAAGTCAGCTTCCAAACAGAACAAAATGCTGTAAAAATAGATGATATCCAGACAAGAGAAGAGACTGAAAATATAAGATCAGGCAAAAGAAGACAGACCACTGGGTTTAGTAACTCGAAAAATTTTAGTATAAACCCAAGAACGTCAGGGCAGCCGAGCCAAGATATGAGGAGCCCAAGCATTGACTCAGATTTCAAAATCCCTAATGTCCCTGGTGTGCCAAGCCAGGACTTAAGAAGTCCCAGCATTGATTCTGAATTCAAGCTGCCAAGCGAGCTAAAATTAGATTAAATTTTAATTATCATTGTGTAATAATATAAAAAATCATTTTTTTATAGGATGCTGAGGCAAATAGATGAAGAATTTTATGATGCATGCGAAAATATCAATGAGATGTCGAATTTATATATGACAATGCCTGTAATTATTCGTGAAAACACTAATGAATCGCCTATCGCTACAACTCAGACTTCAAGATGTGAGTCGCCTCCTTCTAGAAATAGCAGCCATATGAACCATGTCGAAATTATATCAGCAGGTCTAAAAATCATAAATAGAAGCAAAACAATCTCAAATAAGCCAAAAGAGCTATACTATTATAGCTTGAGTAAAAATGCTTTTCTTAGCAGAAATTCACAGTTTTCCTATTTAAAAGGCGTTTTTATTCAAGCTATAACTGTATATACCAATTTAATAATATTCAATTAATCCAAGAAATTGATCTTGTTGATAAGCGTGAAAGTGGCACATGAGTTATCAAATTTTCTCCAGACCAAAAATCATTGGTGATTGGCGGACAAATAGGAGTGGTTTGCTTATATGATATAATGAATACCCAGCAAAAGCTCATCGAAGAAGCTCCTTCACGAATTTTTGCAGAGCATGAAGGGATGATCACAGATATTGATTTTAATGCTGAAGGAAATATTCTGACCTCCTCATTAGATGGCTCTGTTAAGTATAAAATTTTATTTTAAATAAATTTTTTTTAAAAAATAAATTTGGAAATTAAATATCTATTATAATTAAGAATATGATGAAAATGCCAGGAAAACTCGATTTATACGTTCAAGCATGCAACAGCGGTTAATGCTGTATGCTCTCATCCTTTATGTCGAAATGTGTTTGCTACTGCATCAAAAGACTCAATGATAAGGCAGTTTAGACTGCCTGAAAAGTATGCAGAAAGCTTATATAAAACTCCAAGAGAGGTGACTGCGCTGGCTTATTCTCCTGATGGGGAATATTTAGCTGCTGGACTTAAAAAAGGAGAGGTCATCATATATCAGTCATTGCCTGAGACATATAAGTTGAGGCTTAAATATACTTTAAAATGCAGGAATCGTTTTGGACTGAAGAGAGGAGGGAGAAGAGTCACTAATTTAGAGTTCATGAACCATGATTATTTGCTTGTCACCACAAATGATTCAAGGATTCGATTAATTTGTAGTAAAATAATTTTTATAATAAAACTCATAAAATTAACGGGAAAAAAAATAAATATTTATGGAGAAAATTAATAAAATGCAGAATATATAAATTTAAAGAAAATTTGCTTGTGCAAAAATACAAAGGAAACATTAATAGCAAATTTCCTATAAGAGCTAGTTTTTCTCCTCATAAAGCACATATTATATGTGGATCAGAAAAGGGAAGGTTTTTTATATGAAATACATTTAAGCAGACAGAAGGAGAAAAAATTGAGAAAAATACAGAATTTGAAAGCTTTGATGCAAGAGTCAATAAAGGTGGAGAGTTTTCTATTTTTGCTCCAGAAGGAGTAGTAGAGGCTGCTAAAGAATGATATAGAGAAGGAGAAGTGACTCATATGATTTTATCAGCAGGGTCAAACGATACATTACGAATATTTTTAAATGTTGCTTAAATTGTTATATACATAAATAATTCTTATCTATCCAGACTATTAAGTAAAATACATTTCTTGAAAATTAAATTTATTACCTACTCTTAGCTAACACAAGGGCACATTTAGGGCACCTATGCATTCTTAACCCACTCAAAAAATTTTTTTAAAAAAAAATTATTTTGAATTATTTTTAAAAAATAATTTTTTATTAAAGAAATTGAGGTAGCTTATCAAGCCATTCAGGCACTCTACAGCATGAAGTAATTGTTGAAAAAACTTTTATTAAAGGCCGAGGGATTTTTGCATTGAAATCTAACGTTGTGTGCACAACTTCTTTACAAAAATGGCAATAAGCTGTGCATGGCATGTTTCCAAATATTGGTAAACTTCCTCTCATAAAAGATTTCTCAGGGAATTTTCCAGCTTCTGATGCTATAGAATCATATTTTTCTGTCTTTGCTGTACAAGCAGTAAAAGCTGTCGGAGCTTTTTTGTGAAAATTTGATTTTAATTCATCTGTCTGCTCTAATGAATCTATAAAGGTATTTTCTTTTTCTCTTGAAGGCTCTTCTCCATGTCCTAAATAAATCACAGAGTCACAATCACTGAGATTTCTTCCATGGCATGATCCAGTACTTATTGGGCTTTGATTTTTTACAAATAATTTATTTTCATCAATTGCGGTAGCCTGTCCTGGGGCATTTGCAACTTGTTGAGTGATTTCTTTTAAAACTTGATCATCTGGAACTCCCATAAGGACACAAATGCTGCTGCTTCTTCTGTGTGAATTTTTTCGGCTATGATTTGGAGGAGGCTGTGGAGAGGTTTCTTCAGCATAATTCAGAAATTTTCCAGATTTAAAGTCAATAAGGCCTTCTTGAACAATCAAGTTTTCATCAATAATTTTATCTGCCAATATTTCATCAAGAGCTTGGGATTGACGGATATTGGTATATCGTCTTTGGGATGCTCTTGATTGGGTTTTCTTATGCTCTGACGAAAAAATGCATTCATTTTGAGTTCTTTGAACTGTTTGTGGTGCCTCTTTGATAAGATCAGCAAGATCTTTTTCTGGAGTGGAAAAATCTGTAGTCATGTTCAGTTGATTTTTTAAATATGAAAGTGTATTGAAGAGTCAAATTAAAAAAATATTAGAAAAATAAAGAATATAATTTATTTTGATGTATTAATAGTCAATTTATGCTTAAAACTGCTAAAAATCGTAAAAAATTCTGAAATTATACCAGAGTTCAAATCTAACTCTCCTCTTTAAATTGGATTTTTATAGATAAAAAATAATAATATATATGTAAAGCTTTTATATTCAAATTAAATGTCTCCAAAATCATTATTTGTTCTTTTGCGAATTAATAGCATTCAACTATAATCCTTAGAATAAATTAGGTTATAACTGCTAATACAAATTCTAAAATTTTTAATTTAAAAACTAAAATTTTGTTCCATTTAAAGTGGGGAGTAAAGAAAAAATCATTTAAAAATAAATATTGTCATGATTAGGTTGCAAATGCAGTTTAGATAGAATTAATTTATATAAATTTAATAGGTTATATAATTTCCTTCTATATTATCCAAAGGTATGAAAGGCTGATTTTTTTCTGGAGTCTGTGTTGATTTGTAAATGAATTTAGCTTTTTTATAAGTTTCATTAAAAATTTCAACTGATTTTTTCATAAGAAACCCTGTCATAGGTTTAATTTTTACATTATTCTTTGCTATACTTTTTGGGTATCTAAATGTCTCATGATAAGGGAAATAATGCAAATCTCTTATAAGCATTTCTTCTTCAATGTGTGGCTTTTCTTCATTAATAATTTTTTGAAAATTATTACTCCCCCTCCACCCCTTCGTAAGTAAACAAAAAATTTGTTCGTTCAAAGAAGGGTTGAACTTTTATATAAAACTTTGCATATAAAATTTTTTCGTAAATTTTTTTATATCGTTATTTGCAGATTTTTGAACTTTACTACCTAAGTGTGGAATTTTTTCCGCATGTGAAAAGGTGTTTTTCACGTGTGGAGCCCTTTTGATTTCACATGTGGAATCCTCTTTTCACACGCGGAAAAAATTCCACTCTTAGGTGGTAAAGTTCAAAAATCTGCAAATAACGATAACAATTTAAAGCAAATATTATATTATTGATTATGTCTCTGTTTAAAATTAAATAGAATTAGTAAGAGATTTCATTATAATAATTATCACTTACATATCAAAATATTTTCATAAAACATTTTTATTTTACCAAAAAAAATAGGGAGTTTTACAATATTTTTGTTCTCTTAAGGAAGGGGGTTTAGTAAGTCCAATATTGGGAATTTTCTTGATGTTTCTAACTAGTGCCAAAACTTTAGGCTCTTTTATCATTTTGTCAGCTGAAAACATCAAGCCTAGCGCTTCATGGCTGATTTTGTGGCTTTCGTCATTTAACATTCTGTCTTTCATAACGAACTGCACAACCCTTTTCATTACGCTCAAAGCGATTTCTTTTGTATCAGGAGAATCCAATACTTTCAAAGTCAAATCCTTGATATTCCCTTTAAATAAATATCATACTTTATACTATAAAACTTTGCCCTATTCTATATAAATTCTTTATTTAATATAAAATACTTAATATATCTAAAAAAATATAGAACTTTCCATTATTTCTGTGCCCATAACTTCATTAAAGAACAAAATCAATTCCTCTTTGGTTTCAGGATCATCAAGCATCCTCTGAAGAAGGTCTTTAAAAAGATTTTCTACCTCCTCTTTGACTTCTGGATGATCCATACAATCACGGGTCGATTTAATTAATCTCTTAGTTACGATATCCTGGATGATTGCAATAGAATAGACTGAAGTACCAAATAGGATTGTGCTTGGTAAATAAGTCCTAAATACCTCAGTAAAGAACTTTGACATTTAGAATTTACAAAAAAATAATAAACTGGAAGCACATATTATAACTGATCAGGGATGATGTCATAAATATTAATGGGATTTATCAAAAATTACTGGATTTTAGAGTGGATAGTAGGATTATTAATAGCAAGGATTGCTTACTCCACTACTTCGTGAGCAGAAAAATAATTGCTCTCTTTTTTATTAAATTTATATTAAAAATTTTTAAAATTGCTATTTGCAAAAATTTGAACGTAAAACTAGAATTGTATAATTATTACTTATATGCTAAAATATTTTACATAGTAAAATTGCTTATGAATTGAAGTTAGGAAAGTGTAGAGTGTCAAATTAATTATTATTTAAGTTATCACAGCTTCCAAATGACCTGCAGTTCTTCAGCTCTGGAAAATCGATGAGGTCTGCTCTTGATTTCAGGTTTGATACTCTCTGGTTTTTGAATTTTCTCTGATTGAATTCCCATTATCTCTCGAAGGAGTGTCGGATTGAATCCGACTAAGCTTTGTATATTTTCTAACTCCCCCCTCCGTGAGTGAACAGAAATATTTTGTTTGTTCACGAGGGGGGTTAAATTTGAGAAGCAAAAATTAATTTAATTTGTGAAATTTATATTTTAAAATGCAAGCGATTTAAAATTAAACAGATTTAGCTAGAGATTTCACTATAGTAATTATCATTTATATAGCAATTTTTTCATAAAAAATTGCTGTTCGCTCATGGAGGGTGGGTTTTTGGGCAAAAAATAGCTATTTTTCCAATGTCTTATTCGCTCACAGAAGGGGGAGTAAGAGAGTCTGCTTTCATATTCATGCTACATTTAATTGAATTTGCAATTTTTATTACTCATTAAAATTTGATTAAAATATACACTTTATGTTAAAATTAATTTAAGTGTGGGCAATTTTAGCATTTCATTACTCCCCTTCGTGAGCGAACAAAAAATTATTGTTCGCTCACTGAAAGAGAAAGAGAAATTACTTAAAGGGTATTTTTTTCAGGCCCAAGTCCCAAAATTAGAAATCTTCAATAAATCTTACACAAATAAAATGGTGACTACTCTGACCCGTCCTTCTCCCACTGCCTCGGGCTTTGTGGGTCTAAGAGGGATGGGGCCTGGAGAATTTGTGTCCGGGGTAGGTTTTGTCTCCCTGGCCAGGACACCATGGCAGGGTTTTTTTACCTCGACCTATCACAAGAAGACCAGAGTCGCAAAGGCAACCCCACACTCCTGACAACGAAGGTAGTAAAGGAGGACAGGAGGAGGCTTCAGAACACCTACCGTCTCCCACCTCCGAACGGACGGGCTGACCGATAGGGGTTGCCCCAAGAAGTACCTGGGTGCGTCACCTCGAGAGCGCTGATGTCACCATTTTTTGGTGACGTCGACAAAAATGGCGTAAGTGCTATCCCATGCATAGGCCGAGAGGCTGAAGTGGGAGAAGGCGGCGAGTGGCTGAAATAAACCGCGAAGACCCTCACGAACTTAAACTTAATTTATCAATAAATCTTATTAAAAAAAATGGAGGATTATGCGAGTAAAAACTCACCCTCTTCTCTGTCTAATGGACAAGAAAAACTTGTCATTGGTCTTGGAGAAGACAAAGTTATCTACAGCTTCTCTTCCTCAACTCATTTCCTACCAGAGCTTGAAGAAAACAAATTTTTAGAATTGTCAGTGAAATTTTATTTGTCTAAATTTCTCAAAGACTGCAACCAAAACAAGAAAAAAGAGCTCTTTTCAGCATTCTGCATCTCAGTTAACCAAAAATTTTCCCCAGAATCAATCCTAAGATGTCATAGATTGCCTTCAGGAGATGCTATCCTGATTCCTAAAGAAAAATCGATACAACAAGATTTACTGAATCAAATCACATATGAATTAAAATACAAAGGAAGAAACATCATGACACCAACCGGAATCTTATGACTAGGTGGTGAAATCAACTACAATAGGTATCGGATTAATTTTGCATTACCTCCTGGAATATCGATTGAGGAAACAATTAACTCATTGAAGCAAATCTGCAATATAAAAGAAATAATTATGAATAACACAATCAAAATGAAGGCAAGTTTCACAGTCTTAATTTTATACCAGAAGCAAAATACACAATATATGCTGAATTTAATTCACTAGAGGAAGCATTAGATCTCACAGATATATTGAAGATAGGAAATAATTCAATATGATTAAATCACGCAGGAACAATGCAATGCAACACTTGTAACGAAATCGGACACCTTGAATCAAACCTCGATAAAATTATTGAAATCAGAGAAAAAAGAAAAAGAATTAAGCAATCTAAGAAATAATAATAATAATTAAGCGATGTGTATTTTAAGGTCCCTGCTTCCATGCGTGGCATTCCTCCGCGCTCCTTAAGAGGCCGTGCCGGCACGAGCGAAAAGGATGGACTTCCATCACTGGTTCTCTGAGCCCAGGCCGAAACCCCTGGTTTCTCGGTAGTGGGGTTGCCCTATTGGGTCGTCGCCGACCGTCGCCGGGCACCACCATTTCCAACTCAGCCTTCCGCCCCGAATTACGCCATTCTTTGCCTCCGGTTGGGCAGATCGCCCCGTTTAATTTGGGGCCCTTTTGACTGGAGAGACCGCCTCCTTGGTCGTCTAATCTGCCTCCCCTTTTCCCAGCTTATCCGCTTGAGAAAAATCCTCAATCGCTTCCGCGATTCGGGGCAGATCACAGTAGCAGCTTGAGCAGGTAAGTCGCCCTGCTCCATTTCGGGCACCCACTGGCTTGGGCGCTGCTGGAAAAAGAAGATGCTCCTAACTGCCCTAGGATCTGGACACGATCAGCAGGTCTGTGTTTGTCCACGGTCGCCACCAGGGTCCAGATATTGCTGGGCTAAGTCGCTTCTTCAGAAAACCATGCCCGGATATACATGGGTTACCGTCACTGAGAGGACGGGTCGGTCGCCATACGCCATTTTATGTATATAAGCAATCTAAGAAAATCAAGAAAGGTTCAAGAAATTTAAATTTAATCGATCAAAAATACTTAGTATCTGATAATAAACATGAAAAAAACTTAAAAACACGCAAGATCTCAACAATTAAGCCACCCAAAAAAAGCATTCATCCTCCTGTTAAAAATCAGAATAATGAACCAGTTAATGCCTACAACTATGATATCAAGACATATATTCCTCTAAAGAAGAGCATCATAAAGCCGATAGAAATCATAGGAAGAACTATTCTAAAAGAAAACCACAAAAATACAATCAAAAAAATTTTTATAATTAAATTGAAAGTTTATTAATGAATCTTCGCAATCCTATAATGAAACTGCTTCCAAATCTCCAAAACTTTCTCCATCATCAGAAATAAATTCATCCACTTTGATGACAGATTTTTCTGAAATAAACATTTCTAAAATCGAAAACCCATTCTTACATAAAAAAGAAAAGAAAGAAAAACTGATAGTTGAACCCTTGATTTCAATTTATAACACCCAAAATAAGAAAAAGTTTGGAAATCTTTTCATCAATAAAGATGAAAAAGAAATTTACAAAAATAAAAAGATACAAATACTAGAGAGCAAAATGTTCCAAGATATGATTAAACCTCTGTGCACAATTCTCTTTATTGAAGCATCTGATAATTTCACAGATCGAAAAAATGATTGAAAATAACCCATTCTCCCTTAAGAAAAAATAATGTCCTACCCGTGCAAGTTGAAGAGGAAATTATAATTCTAAATCCAAGAAGATTGTGCGAAAAAATATTAAGAAAAAATTTTGGATTCATCAACATTTCAGGCATTGGAAAAGACAATCTATCACGAAGACAATTAAGAAATGTTATGATCGAAAACGATTTTACTATCTTAGGAATAGCAGAAACTTGATTAAAAGATAAAGTTTATATTGATGGTTTTGTGTGAATAGGTAATAATGGACCTATAGTAGGCTACAGAGGATCAGGTGGAACTGGCTTATTAATTCATAATTCACTGGCAAATGAAATAACTTGAATTGAAACTAATAACCATAGAATAACTGCAGCAAAGATAGATGATTTTTTGATAATATGCATATATGCTCCAGACTTGCAAATCACGAAAATGAAAAATCAATTAACGAATATATGAACTGCATCATGAATGTTCAAGAAATAATTCAAGCAAACAAAAATGATGCTAATCAGTGTATATTACTTGGAGACTTCAATGCACACATAGAAGGTTACTTATCAGATATAAATGATTTAGCTGGAAAAATATTTATCAAATTTGTTAGAGATAATGGTTTACACATATATTAAATGAAACTTCTATATCAACTTTCAGAGGAAATAATAGACACACTATTATCGATTATATTATTTCAGAAACCCTATCAAAGATTAAATACATAGAAGTCCCACAATTAAACACCAATCACGTATTATTACTATCTCATGTAAAAAGTGTCCAGATAATACCAAAGCAAATATCTGTGATTCCATGATATAAATTAGAAGGCAAGGAATTAGAAGCGTTCCAACACAGAATCTGAATCAATTTCCAGAATAAAGGAATCTACAAAACTCTTGATCCTTTAGCAATATTTAATAACATCAAATCAACAATTGATGAAGAATCAAAATAACTACTAAAACATTTAAAACCAGATCATTTTAGAACCCCAGAAATGAAAATTTTATTAAATAGAATAAATGACTCGAGGAAATGAATAAAATTTTGCTGAACACAAAATAATAGAGAACTTGCTAACAAACTACAAAAGGTAAAAAAGACATGAATAAATAAACTAAAAAGACTATCTAACTATGAAAAAATCAGTGAAAGCAGATTGAAAGAATGTATGCAAGATCCATATGGAGCCTGAAACAAAATAAAACATCAGATGAATAAAAACAGAATCGTATTATCATTAAACAAAGAAGAAATTAAAGCTTGAGCAACAGAATTTGAAAATCAATTTAAAAGTAAAATAGAATTCATACCACAAAAGGGATGCTCAAAAGAAGAACTATGAGATTTCCAAGATATCCAGAAAATCATTAAAAAATTACCAAACAAAAAAGCTCCTGGATCAGACAATATAAGAAATGAGATAATAAAGAAAGGTGGAGATATAATGACAGAAACAATTGCACATTTCCTTAATAGTTGCAAATTAAATGGAATCCCAAATAAAGCCATTGAAGCAAAAACAATCCTTATATAAAAAGGAAAAGGTAATGCGAAGGAACTTAATAGCTATAGACCCATAACCTTAATGAATAATTTTATGAAGATTCTTGACAAAGTAGAACTAAAAAGAATTGAAAATACGGTTAAGATCTCAGAAAGACAACATGGATTCACAAAAGGAAAGTCATGCATGACTCAGATTTTTCTCTTAAAATCTACACTGGAATATCGTAAATATTACAGGAATGGAAAAGGTAGAGACTCATATATATTATTTATTGATTTCTCAAAAGCTTATGACTCAGTTAATAGAATTAGACTATTAGAGAAATTTAAAGCAAAAAATGTAAAAAATGATAGCTGAAAAATAATCTCACAAATGCTAAAAGGTGAACAAACTACACTTGTCTAAATGAGATTGAAACAGAAAAATAAACATAACAAGAGGTGTGAGACAAGGAAGTGCAATATCACCATTGCTACTTAATATATATATAGATGATATAGAAAAGGAAAATAATGATATCAATATAGAACTCCTCCCCAATCACCAATTAAAATCAAAAATCAATTTTCAATATGAGGATGATACAGCTTTTGTAATAGAAGATTGAAAAGACATTGAAAACATTTTAAATAAACTTGATAAATGATCAAAAGATAATGATATGAACTTGAATATAGGACCGGAAAAAACAGCAATAATGCCAATCATAACAAAAAATAGGAAAAATATTATAACTCCCCCCCCTCCGTGAGTGAACAAAACCATTAGAAAAATCGCTATATTTTTTGCCCAAAAACCCACCCTCCGTGAGTGAACAAAAATTTTTATGAAAAAAATTTTGATATATAAATGATAAATTAGCATAATGAAATATAGGGCTAATTCTGTTTAATTTTAAACGAATTGCTTTTTAAAACATAAATTTTATAAATAAAATGAATATTTGCTTTCCAATTTTTGCGAATCAGGATTTTTTTTTAAATTTCGAAAAAAAAATTTTTATAAAGTTTATATATAAATTTTTTTAAAAAAAAAACTAACCCCCCTCTGTGAGTGAACAAAATTTTTTGTTCACTCACGGAGGGGGGGGAGTAAGTAAACTACCTAAAATATCATACCAAAATCATGAAATACCAGTTGTTGAAAAATATAAATATTTAGGCAAAATAATGAATGGAAATATAAGAGGTTCAGGATTCGACCAAGCGCATTATAAATACCTCAAAGATAAAGCAAAAATATCTACTTGCTCTCTAATCCCTATGATTAGAAGAATGCTTAACATCCCAAGTAAAACTCTTATAAACTGCTTCAAAGCAATATTCTTACCAAGATGCACACATGGTCTTGAAATATGCTCAAGAATTAAATGCAAAACTGCAATTAAACAAATTCAAAGATCATTCAATAAGATTATAAGAGAATGTTGCCATGTTTATGACAAAACACCTATTGAACCCATATTACTTGATTTAAATATTCCAACAGTACAACAATATACTGACCAAAAATCATTGATATTTTTACAAAAAATTTGTGAATTAACACATATATCTGAGATTGCAATCCATTTCCTAAGAAATTTCGATAATGCAATTACACCGACAATGAAAATCTACCAAGAAATGCTTCAAAAATATAATTTTACAAAACCATTCGATTTTAATAACAACATGATTAGTTGAAATGACAAAAATTGAAAGGGAAATGTCAAAGATAAACTTAGAATCTATTGAAGAAACGAAAACATGAGCATAATCAATAAAAAAGTAACATTAAAGATGCTTAAAGAATTAAGGAATCAAACTTTACCACGAATAAACTCCCAAAATTCTGAATACTGAATAAAAACCTAATTACTGAAACAAGAATAAAGGCTACTTGAAGATATGGTGCTGGTCCATCTAAAGTATTAGTTCTATTGAGAAACAGAAATAATCAAGATAACACTTAGAATTTATGTGAATTATGTAAAGTCAAGGAAACAGATAAACATATTCTTAACGAATGCATAAAATATAAAAATGAAAGAATCAAATTTATACAAAGATTACAAGATATGATAGGCAGACATATTAGCAATACAAGCATATACAATTGACTTATTGCAGATGTTACAGAATTAAAATTTTTAGAAGAATTAGGTGAAGAAAAATGAGAAAAGATTGACTTTTTAACAAAGATCACACTAAGAAGTATTGATGATAAATTACGAACTAGCAGAGAAAACAGCAAACACAAGCATTTCTTTGAAGTCCAAAATATTGAAGATGACCTCAAAAAAGAAAACATATCTATTCATGATTTAAATTATTGAAGACTCGTTAAAAGTGTAAGGCGTTTGAAATAGTACGCCAATAATTAATTTAATCCTAATCAATAAATCTTAAAATTACGCCTTCATGATGGCGAAGGCCGCAGTCCGACAGAAAAAAGAAAAAGTTCCAGAATTTCGGGGTCACTTAACAAAATGGTAGCCCCGAAGGGCCACGGGGACGGATGGGGTGTGGTTTCCGGAGTGGGAGTATGTTTGGGCTGACTGGGCCTCTTCCCGACCCACAGACCAAAGACCGACGGCACAATACCAAGCAGGCACTTCTGGAGGAGCATTATGCTGCCTGTAAATGCCGGAGGTAGTTCCAGAAGGAGGCTTTTGGACGTTCCTCTCATACCCTGAGCACTACCAGGGGTTAAGAGAGTCCTTTGCTGAAGTTTTTTTGGTCCAAGCAGATTCTCGGGTGAGTCTCCCGGAAGATGTCGATGTCACAATTTTTGATGACGTCGACAGAAAAGGGCGTTAGGTGGCTTTGGTGACTAGCACCACATTGAGCGTGAAGCTGGAGCTTGATTGGATTAGGGGCTGAAATAAACCCCGCTTTTACCCTCCCTAATTAACTCTCTCTCAATGAATCTTCTAAAAATTTTAGAATCACATAAGCAAAAGTAACTTTGAAAAAATTTATAAAATACAAAGAAAACCAAATCAGAATAGGTGAAAAAGTACAATTTTGGAAGTTAAATACTAATCTAACAAGAGAAACTAGAATAAAGGCAGCATGAAGATATGGCTCAGGGCCATCAAAGAGCTTAGTAGTTTTAAGAAAGAAAAAAATCAAAAAATGGCATTTGTGAAGAATGCAAAACAAAAGAAACAGAAACTCACACAATTAATGAATGCAGAAAGTCCAACCGAGAAAAATTTAATGTTATGAATAGATTAAAGGATCAGATTGGAGAAACAGCCAATCAAAAATCCCCTTACGAATGGATGATTGGCGACGTCTCAGAATTAGGAATGATGAAAATTTTGGAAAAATATTGAATTTGTTACAAAACTTAATTTAAGAATTTTTAATGATAAATTAAGAAGAAATAGACCAAATAGCAGACATGATGAATATTCTCAAGTTGATGGCATCAAGATCAACTTAAAAAAATTTGAAATTTTAATTGAAGAATTTAAAAGATTAAAAGAAATTTAAATTAGGACTTGCCCCTGAAATAATGGGCAAATCATTGTGGAATTTCCAGAATATTTCTCTTGAAAATTAGAGCAATCCATACAAGATATTGCCTCAATAAAATCAACTATTGCTGAAGTCTTAGAAGATATATCATTTAAAATTATAGCACAGCTGATAATTCTAAAAGGATTGTGTTTATGAAAGAAGTGCTATACTTTTCGGAAAGAATCCAATAAAATGAGCAAGCGAGAGAAAATTTACTAGAGTGCTCTCATCGGGTTTATGCAGATATTATTTTAGTCAATAACTTTTTGCAAAGAGTTTTTAAGCCCATTGAAGAGCAAAAAATTGAGGATGATATGGCACTAAAAAAGCAAATTTATGACCAGTTTGGCAGAATCTCCATATATCAGATCTTGAAGCGGATGCAATCTCTCAAAACATTTTATTGCATATTTTTGATTATTTATTATAGCTACTGACTGGGCTTCATCGTTTATGACAAGTTACAGCTAAATAAATGCTTCATTGCGGGTAATTTCTGATTTAATCCTTAAACTCATAAATATCGTTTAGTTAGAAAATTAATAAAAATCTAAATAAAATGCAATATTAAAGTTAAAGAATAATGGAAGAAACTGTCCCTGAGGGAAAAACAAAATTTACTGCCGGAGATTCTACATTTATAATTGATAATCGCTATGAATTCCTCAAATATATGGGCAGAAATGCATGAGGATTTGCTATTTCTGCAATGGATCATAAAATAAATACAAGAGTTCTAATCCATAAGATATCAAGAGAAGATAGTCTAAATAAAGCAAAAAATATTCTTCGAGAAATAAAGTTGTTGAACTTCTTCGACCATGAAGATATAATTAAGCTGTATAACATAGAGTTATACCCTGACACAAGAAATTACAATGAAATATATATGGTGACTGATTTCATGGAGGCAGATTTGAGCCAATTAATCTATTCTGAAGTAGAATTAACTAATGAGCATGTTCAATGTATTATGTATCAGCTCTTAAGAGGTGTATTATATATGCATTCTGCTGATATATTCAATTTGGACTTAAATCCACATAATGTATGGCTAGATAGCAGCTGCGATTTAAAGATATGTGGGTTAAAACTTGCAAAAGATTGCAGAAAAGTGGTAAAAATAGATGAATGAATCTGTCCAATATGATATAGATCTCCAGAATTAATTCTGGGTTGCCCTGCATTAACAAAAAATGTTGATATATGAAGCTGTGGATGCATTTTTGCAGAACTTCTTGGCAGATCACCATTGTTTCCTAGTAGTGACTCTGTAGATATTCTACAACGTATAACTCAGCTATTAGGTAGTATTGCTCCAGATGATATCTTTTTTATTACTAACACTGCTGCTGAAGCATAATTCATACCTTTTTATGGATTTCTGAGGACAAATCTAATCAAAAAAATTTTTTTTTGATAGTTTAATATAATTTGAAAAGTCAAGCCAGAATTGGCAAAAAGAAATATAAAAAATAAAAATTTTAATTTAATTTGACTGTTTGGATGCTTTTTAATTTTAAATTAATTTTTTTATTTCAGGGCATTCTCTATAGAGATCAATTAATTGGCACGTGATATATATATTGCTAATCTTCCAGATCAACAAAAAGCAAGCTGATCTAGTTTGTATCCTAATGCAGATCCACTTGCGTTAGATTTGCTTGATAAAATGATAGTAATTAATCCTGAAAAAAGATGGGCTGCTTCCCATTGCTTAGAGCACCCTTATTTTAAAGATCTGCATGACATAGAAGATGAGCCTCTTGCAGGTGAGAGTTTTAATTGGGATTTTGAAAATTGTGAATTATCAATAGACTCAGTTAAAAATTTGGTGTATGAAGAAGCTTCAAAGTTCCATCATTAATTAAAATCGGGCAAATTTTAAAAAAAAATTAATCCGTCCAAAGAGTGAATAAAGTTTTTTTAGAGAACGATGCACAAAGAAAATAACTTAAGAAATAAATTTTTTTATTAAATAATTAAAGTATTTTATAAACCAACTCGAATTTTCGCTATTAAAAATTTGTCGATTTATAAAGTTTAAACAACTTGTCTGATTTGCAAAAGCACAAAATTTTCTATTTAAAATTTATTTAATTTGAATGAATTTTGGGCTTTAATAAAGTTTTTAGTATTATTCTTTAAATTACTTTCCATCTCACAAAACTAACTGCCTGATATTTTGTAGTTGTTAATTTTTCGAAAGCAGGCTATTTATGATTTTTATTACTATGGAGTGGAGTTAAGAAATGTAGAATGTCAAATTAATTATTATTACAGTTATCGTAGCTGCAAAATGAGCTGACAATTCTTTTGCATTGGAGTATTGATACATTCGCAAGCCTTAATTTAAGACTTGATCCTTTCTAGGTTTTGAAGTATTAAAATATATACTTTTAAAATTAATTTAAGTCTGCAGAATTTTAAAATTGGCTTTGTTTCTTCATTACGCTCAACTACTCTCCATCAAACCTTATTATTAGTATTGCAATAGAAGATGCTGATGTACTAAACGATTTAGATTTCACTGGATATCACATTTATACAGATTATAGTGAAGATGATGAATAGAATCAGAAACAAATTCGGAGGATACACTTCTGCGGTCTTTAGCTGATCTACAGGGTGAAATTCTGGCTGATGCCGAATTAATCCTGGCCATTGAGAAATCAGACCATAAATTTAAAGACTTACTTAAAGATTTGAGTGATATTTGCTTTATTTCATTGTAGTTTCTGACTGAGCTTCATCGTTTATGGCAAGTTACAGCTATTTCTGATTAAATACTTAAACTCATAAATATCGTTTAGTTAGAAAATTAATAAAAAGCTAAATAAAATGCAATATTAAAGTTAAAGCATTATGGATGAAACCGCCCCTGAGGGAAAAACAAAATTTACTATTGGAGATTCTACATTTATAATTGATAATCGCTATGAATTCCTCAAAATAATCGGCCGAAGTGCATGAGGATTTGCTGTTTCTGCAATTGATCACAAAATAAATTCAAGAGTTTCAATCAAGAAGATAACAACAGAAGAAGATCTAGATGAAGTAAAAAATATCCTTCGAGAAATAAAGTTGTTGAACTTCTTCAACCATGAAAATATAATTAAAATGTATAATATAGAGTTATACCCTGACACAAGAAATTACAATGATTTATACATAGTTACTGATTTAATGGAAGCAGATTTGCATCGAGTAATTCGTTCTGAAATTGAATTAACTAATGAGCATATCCAATATCTTATGTATCAGCTCTTAAGAGGTGTATTGCATATGCATTCTGCTGATGTAATTCATTGGGACTTAAAACCATCTAATGTACTAATAAATAGTAACTGCGATTTAAAGATATCTGGGTTTAAACTTGCAAAAGAATGCGGAAAAGCGGTAAAAATAGATGAGTGAATCTGTGCAAGATGATATAGATCTCCAGAATTAATGCTGAATTGCTCTGTATTTACAAAAAAAGCTGATATATGAAGTTGTGGAAGCATTTTTGCAGAACTTCTTGGCAGATCCCCATTGTTTCCTTGTAAAGACTCTGTAGATTTTCTATGATGTATAACTCAGCTATTAGGCACTACTTCACCAGATGATATTTTCTTTATTGACAGCCCTGCTGCTGAAACATATATTGCTAATCTTCCAGATAAAGAAAAAACAAGCTGATCTAGTTTGTATCCTAATGCAGATCCGCTGGCGTTAGATTTGCTTGATAAAATGATAGTAATTAATCCTGAAAAAAGATGGGCTGCTTCGCATTGCTTAGAGCACCCTTATTTTAAAGATCTGCATGACATAGAAGATGAGCCTCTTGCAAGTGAGAGCTTTAACTGGGATTTTGAAAATTGTGAACCATCAATAGGCGCAGTTAAAAATTTGATATATGAAGAAGCTTCAAAGTTCCATCATTAAAATCGGGTAAAAATTTTTAAAAAAATGTTAAGAAATGTAAAGTGTCAAATTAATTATTATTTCAGTTATCGTAGCTGCCAAATGAGCTGACAGTTCTTCGGCATTGGAGAATTGATGCAGTCGCTGGCCTTGATTTAAGACTTGATCCTTTCCTGGATTTTGAATTATCTTTGATTGAAATTCCCATATCTCTGGAAGGGGTGTTAGGTCGGGAATTTTGGGACTTTTTAGCTAAAAATAGACGTTCATGGACTAAATTTTGCATGTTTTTTTCGCTAAGTCTACTTTCATGCTTTAATTCTAAAATTGTTTTTGATTCTTTATTGGCAAAATTATCATTTTTTTCATTGTTTGACTTTAATTCATCGCATCTTCCTACTGAACTTCATCGCTTATGGCCAGAATCTGTATACTTTGCAGCTGAATAAATACTTCTTGGAGGTGATTTCTGATTTATCCCTTGCACTCCTAAAGGCCTTGCAGTTAGAAAAGTATTTAAAGATGGCTCAACCTCTTTAGAAGGAGTTATAGATCTGGCAGGATTAAAATCTTGGTAAATTTCAAAGTGTTTTCTATAAAATTTTGTTTTGAAATTAGAACAATTTTTTTTTGTGTGTGACAGCAAAGCTTTGATATCGCGAAAGCCAATACCATTCTTTTGTTTTTCTCTAGACTCATAAATACTTTTCAGCTGATTTAAAGTGATATTTCCATTTCCGTATTGATTTATCAACTCCACATATTTCCCATGTGTTATTTTTGTCGCTTCTTGTATCCTATGGTTCTTTTCTAATGCAAATGGATTAATTTTATCTTTTGGAGCTTCGTAGTCTTTGAATTTTACATCAGTCATTCATTCAGGCGAGTCATCAAAATTTAGATCACTTTCGTTATCCTTAGTATTGCTCATAATTGAGCATATAATTTTTGCATCGTCTTTTGGCTTTCATAGTCCAAGCAGCCCGTGGAGTCGTTTTTTTCTTGATTTTTTGGCTTCTTTTTGTTTGAATAAAGCAAATTTGGAATTCATAAAAATTAAGGTAGACTTTAAATTAATTCAATATATAAATGTCTGGAGATGTGAGGAATTAATTGAAAATAGATATTTTTTTGATAATTGAAAATAAACTGCTTAAAAGTAAATCTTACTTTAATTAACTAAAATTTTAATTCTTAATGCTATAAAATAAAAATTACTGTTGAAGATTATCTGTTATAATATAGAAATTATAATTGTTTTTAGTAAAACATATTTTGAATTATGCAATAAATCTAGAATAAGTATTGCAATGCAAATTTTTACATATTAGAATTTTGCTGGTTTAGATTTCTTAGATTTCCTTATATATATAAAAGTTATATTGAATATCTAAAATCTGACTAAATTTTGAGCTTATATATGCCATAATCATTAATAATGGCTCAAACCAAGGAAAAAAACGCCAATACCAAGCTTAAAAACCCAGTTTATCGTATGAATCACGATTTTGAGCTTCTTTATGCACAGCAATTAGAATTCCAGAGGTTTTCAGAGCAAGTAGATGTGTCTTTAGTCAAAATGAAATGCAAAATTGATAAGTATTCTTTTGCTGAAACTTCTCTGCACTTTTTTCATGTTGACAATCCTTTCCGAAAATTTTTACTAGAGCTTACAATGAATATTTGATTTGACCGATTTATTTTGCTGGTTATTATACTGAACAGTATTTGCTTAGCTTACGAAGTACAAACTGACGAGTGGCTCCAGTGAAATGAAACCTTAGAACAAATATTTTTAGTGATTTTTACAATAGAAATATTTCTCAGAATTTTTGCAAAAGGCTTAGTATTCGGAAAATATACATATTTTCGAGATTTTTGAAATATTTTTGATTTTTTTATAATTTTGATTGGATGGGTCGGCGAGCTAGACGAAAATGTAGACCAAACCATTACAAGGACTTTTAGACTTTTTAGACCTTTGAGAGCAATAAATAGCTTTCCTGAGCTGAAAATTATTACTTTGTCAATTATGAAATCAATACCTTTGCTACTTGATATTTTGGCGCTTTTCAGTTTAGTCATACTAATATATGCAATTGCAGGAACTCGTATTTATGCAGGTCTCTATAATCAGCAATGCTATACACAAGATGGAAATACGACAGGAGTTTATTGCTACTTAGATCCGAATTGTAAAGAATTTGAAATTAATTGTGGAATTGGAGATTCTCGCTGTGGAGAAGGGGAGTATTGTTGAGATAGTAATCTAAATTTAAATAACGGAATCTCATCGTTTGACAATATTGGAGCTAGCATTTTAACCGTATTAAATGTAGTCTTTGTTGAAGGCTGAAGCGCAATTATGTTTGAAGGTAGAATGGCTTATAATGAAATCCTTCTCAACGATATATTTTTTGTATCCTTGATTGTTATTGGTGCATTTTTTTTACTGAATTTAATTAAAGCTGTTTTATTTGTCAAATTTCATGAAGTCGTAAATGAGGAAAAAATTTTGGAAAAAAATAAAGGAATAATTATTGATAAAAAAGAAGAAAGCGATCTTAAGCCAAAAGAGCCTGAAGATAACAGTGGAGCAGGATATTGCTGGTATATTATTAGAATCAAACTCTATCTATTTTTTCAAAGCAAAATTTATTATTGGCTGATAGGAGCTTGTACATTGTGTAACACACTTTTTCTTTCAACTGAATATCATGGAATGTCATCGTCACATAAAAGATCAGTCCTATATGGTGATGCTTTATTTACTTGAATATTTTTAACTGAAATGATCTTAAAATTAACTGCATTAGGATTTAAAGGCTACAAAGCAGACAATTTCCATATTTTTGAGGCATTTTTAGTTATTTTTGGAATTGCTGAATTTGTAATGCTTAAGTTTTCGTATGATTTTGATTCTGCTGAATTACGATTCCTAAGGACGATAAGGATATTTAGAGTTTTTAAACTAGCTCGAAGGTGGAAAGGGTTAAAATATCTAATCGAAAAAGCTTGGAGTAGTGCAAAACTGGTTATTTATTTAGGAATTCTTTGCTTTATCGTCTTATTTGTTTATGCTATAATAGGAGTTCAAATATTTAGAGGAAAACTGCATGAAAATGGAGAAGATTCTCGCACGAATTTCGATAGCTTATTTTGAGCATTTATAACTACATTCCAATTATTCACCGATGAGAACTGAAATTCTGTATGATATGACTCAGTTAATGGAGTTGGCTGATGGGCTACTGTATATTATTTTTCAATTTTAAGTATCGGTAGCTATATTTTATTTGATTTTTTCTTACATTGCGCATTTAATAAAATAAATATTTTTTCATGAAAATGATTGAGATAAATTCTATAAATAAAAATCATCATAAGCATAAAAATTAAATTCAATTAAATATTTTAATCCTTTAAATTAAATAAATTAATCGTTTAAATAATGTTTTATATATATTAATCTTCACACTTAATATTAACAAAAATTTTAAAATCACAATTAAAAATTTTACATAAAATACTCATTGTTAACCGGGAGTATAGCTATATTATTAGAACAATTTGAAGAAAATAAAGAAAAGAATAATTTTCTCAATTCGAAATCCCAAAAAACAGAGTTAAGTTTAACTGACCAAAAGTTAGAAAAAAAGAGAAGAGAAATTTTTGAGAAAAAACTTCGTAAAATAAATGAAAAACGATACGACCCATTGCCGATGTATGGGAAATCTCTATTTTTTTTTACTGTAGACAGTAAGATTAGGCAGCAGCTAAGAAAGGTTGTTTTGCATCCATATTTCAGTAGTTTAACATTTTGAATCCAAGTATTATCAGCATTTTTTTTGACTTTTGATAAAACAATAATGGATCCTTACGAATTCAAAGTTTTATTAGTAGGAAGATGTATGCTATATCCTATGGACTACCCATTGCAAATTAAAACAAATAATTTTGTTACACATAGTCTATTTACCGTAAAAATCTATATTGTTTTAGCATTCTTGTGGATTGAAATTGTTATAAAAGCCATAGTTAGCTCCTTTTTATTTGAGAAAAAAGCATACCTCAAAGATGGCTGAAACATTCTTGATTTTTTGGTCTGTTTTTTAGGATCCGTCAGAACAGTAGTTAGAAATGTATTCAGAGACTCAGTTCCCAATGATTTTCAAATTTTTTTGCAAGCGTTTCTATCATTAAGAATTCTTCGACTGGCATCAAGGAACCAAAGGCTAAAAAAAATAGTCACATCAATAATCTCTGCATTTCCAGTGCTATTTAATGTCATGATTTTGTCATTTTTAGATTATTTTATGTTTGGAGTTGTAGGGGTTATTTATTTTAAAGGCGCTTTTTACTCATGCACTGATCCTGCAATTGAAACAGAAGAACAGTGTGTAGGGACTTTTTTTAATGGGACAGATTATCAAGACAGAGTTTGGAAAAACTCTGATTCTGCCCTACTCCACCCTCCGTGAGTGGACAAAAACCATTGGAAAAATCATTATTTTTTGCCCAAAAACTCACCCTCTGTGAGCTAACAAATAATTTTTTAATATAACACTTTTTTAGGTAAAAATTTTTGATATATAAGTGAGAATTATTATAATGAAATATTTAGATGATTCTGTTTAATTTTGAACAAATTGCATATTAAAGCATAAATTTACAAATTAAATAAATATTTACTTTCCAATTTTTGCGAATTGGGATTTTTTTAAATTTAGAAAAAAGTAAATTTTTAAAAAAAAAAAAAATTAACTCCCTCTGTGAGAGACAAGATTTTTTTGTTAGTTCACTTAGGGGAGGAGTTAGAAAAAAATATAATAAAATTATATATTTTTTTTTAAAAAATTAAGTCTCAAAATAATCTTTTGGAGGGATGAGTATAATTTTGACAATATTATACATGCCATAAATTTACTTTTCCAAATATCTTCAATTGAAGACTGGCCGAATTTCATGTTTACTATAGTTGATGCAGTTGGGCCAGGCCAAGCAATGAAAAGGGATTACAACCCATATGCCGCTTTATATGTAGTAGTATTTTTATTTATTACTACCTTTTTTGTAGTAAATTTATATATTGGAGCCATCGTCACAAAATTTTCTGAAATTCATGATGAGCTTGATGGGTCATTAATTTTGACAAATAAACAAAAAGAATGGGTAGACACACAAAAACTTCTATTAAAAATATCTCCAAGAATAAAGTATATAAGGCCAGAAAATAAATGCCGAGGAATTTTCTTCGATTTGGTGTTAGATTATAAATTTGACTATTTGGTTACAGGTTGTATTATTATGAACACGATTTTCTTGTGTCTTTATAATTCTGAAATGGATTATGAGCTATATAATACTCTTTATTATGGGTCTGTCGGCTTTACAATACTTTTTTCAATTGAATGCACGCTCAAAATTATAGGTTTAGGGCCAAAATATTATTTTGCGAATAACTGAAATATTTTTGATTTTATTATAACTATTTTGTCAATTATTTCTTTTATGGAGGCTATTATTGCAGAAAACAGTATTACTCTGTCAAAATTATTAAGAGTTGTGAGAAGCTTGAGATTAATTAGATTTTTTAAACATTTTAGAAGGATTTTTGATTCTTTATTCCTTTCTCTACCTTCAATAGCAAATGTGGTTATATTGATTTGCTTATTATTGTTTATATACGCAACTGCTGGAGCTGTGCTATGAGGAAACCTCCAATTTGGAAAATATATCACAGTAGACAAAAATTTTACTGATTTTTATATATTTTTTTTGCCTCTATTTTCTATAAGAAAATTCTATATTTACTTTGAAGAATAATTAATAAGTTTGAGTATAATTCATTTATGGTCCTATTTATTACCACAACAGGAGAAGATTGAGATTTGCTCTACTCAGAATGCATGGGTATGGATGGCTGCGATAACTGAACTGTCTGTGGAAACCCATGAATTGCTGCTTTTTATTGGATTTCTTATGAAGTTTTAGCCGCTTTTATTTTTATGAATATTTTTATCGCTGTTTTATTAGAAAATTTCACAGGTGATCATGATGAAAATCCTTTAAAAGGTGTCACATCAAGAGATTTAGACAATTTTGTAAGGGCTTGAAGCAATTATGCGCCTTATGGAGAACATTTTATTCGCACAAATATACATAAAATGGCGTATGACGTTCGACCCGTCCTCTCGCGTGACGGTAACCCATGCATATCCGGGTATGGTTTTCAGGAGGAGTGATATAGCCCAGCAATATCAGGAGCCCAGAGGCGATGGGAACACACCAGACCCGCTGATTTTTGGCCTGATCCTTGGGCAGTTAATCGCAAATCCTTTTCCCATCAGCGCCCTAGCCAGTGGGTGCCCGAAATGGAGCAGGGTGATTTCCCTGCTCAGGCTGCTCTCGATGGCTTTGCCCCGAATCACGGAAGTGGTTGAGTTTTTACTCAGGGATGACCTGGTAAAGGGGAGGCAGGCTAGACTCAGAATCAAGGCGGTCCCTCCGGTTAAAGGGTCCCAAAATAATGTGGACGACACCGGCCAGGGTAGGTACAGTTGGCCTCGATGGGCGAAGGGACTGAGTTAGAAATGGTGGTGCCCGGCAAATGTCTGCGGACACAAAAAGGGCAGCCCACTACCCTAGAAACCAGGGGTTTCGGCCTGGGCTCAAAAGCTACCAGAGGTGGAAGTCCACCCAATTCGCTTGTGCCAACACGCTACTGGAAGTAGAGACTTTAAACATTCAACATTAACATTAACATTTATTCGCACAAAAATTTTTGCCGAAATTATTAAATGATTTAGAAGCACCCCTTGGATTTAAAGAGTCAAGGCTGTCTAGGTTGCAGCTGATAAGTATAATTTATGCATTGAAAATAAAGGAATATAGTGGAAAAGTAATGTTTTCTGAGTGCTTGTGAGCTTTAGCAGGAGCTGTAAGTGGAGAAGATATGCCGGCAGGAGCTCCATCTGTTGTTGGGAAATCAATGAATGGAGGTTTTCAATTTAAAGTTCAAAGGCTGCCAAATAAGTCAATTACTAGTACTGAAGGAACTTATGCAGCAAAAACTTTAGTGGCTTATGTATTTTATGAGATGTGGAAAAGTAGGAAGGAAGCAAGGGAAAAAAGAGCTTTATTTGCGACGACACATATTTCTGACCATTAATATATAAAACTAGTGTATTTTGTTAATGCTTTATCTTAAAATTATTGATCAGTCATATTTTTATTATAAAAAACTAGATAGGATTGTTATCTATTAATCAATAATATTACAGAGAAGTTAACTGAACTTTTTGAATGATTTTTCTATATAATTCTCATCTTCAGCCTTTTTTAGCTTATTTCATTTAATTTTTACAAGAGCTATAACGAATCATCATCATAATAAAATCAACTTTTATGCCTTCCAATCAAAGAAGTATTATTTTTAAGTTATATTGTATTATAGCTGCTAAAAAATCCATGGCAATTCTTGATGTTTCTTAAAATATTTGATTCTAGTAAGAAATTTAGGAAATAAGGCCATTTAAATGTCAAAGTAAATATGAGTCAAGACCTGTTTGAGCAAATCATCGCAGTCCCAGAAGTAGGTCGCTTCTTTGAAAACTATCAACAAGAAGAATGGCCTGAATTGTTTTTAGATCTAGTTTTATATAGCATTTATGCATTAAGGTCGTGCCATGAGAGCCCGCCTCCATCCAGTTATCTTCAAGACTTGGTCCGAAAAGCAGGCATGATCGTTTCCCTCGAAAATGTAATCCCAAGTATGCAAGAAAAGCTTATGCTAATAAAAGAAGACATCTCTCGCTTAGAATCAGAGCTCCAAATCAAAAGAGATGAAAAAGCAGTCAATGAGGTCCAAGAAACCTTACAAGTAAAATCAAAAGTAAGATCCAGCTCTGCACCATCAAGAAATTATTCGAATAAAGCACCAACTAATTGAAGACAAGGAGATACTATTCTTTATTAAAATAATAAATAAATAATCATTTTTTAATATAGAAAAAAATAAAAATATATGGAATAGTATAATGTTTTCAGGGGTAATATTCCTGAAAATAAACCAGCACAAACCAAAAATGTCCTTTTCAGAGATACTTCGCCTCCTGCATTAAGAAACCATAAATTCGTAGAAGTTTTAAAAGAAAATGACGATTTCAACTGAAAATGAAAAGGAAATGATATTGAAAGAGCTATTTATCCTGAATGGTGGACAGCACAATGCCAAATGGACGTTAAAAACCCAGAAACAACTGTAAAAATAACACAAAGAAAGCCTCCACCACTGCCAAAGCCAACTCAATCCAGAATGGTTGAAACTGAGCCACTTAAAAAGTCCTCAAAACCCAAAAGAAACAGCTGGAAAATCCCTTCAAAAAGCAACGGCAGCGATGATATGACCCACAGCCAAGAATGGGTTGTCCATTCTGATAAATCAGTAGAGGTTGATTTAGATACCCCAGGAAGCTCAGTACAAGAAAACCACGTTCGGTTTGAGTCAAATTCTCAGAAAAATCCTAAGCAGGTCAGCATAAAAAAGCCAACAGCCTGGGTCCAAGATTTTTCAGACGTCGTCAAACGTAGCCCTGCAAGCTCTATGAGACATTCTTCCTCTCAGTCAGACTCACGGCAACAATCAACCCCAAGCCACCAAAGTATTCATGTTTTTAGCCCAGCAGAGCCTCCAAGATCTAAATCATTGCAAGAGTCACAGCCAATGAAGTCTTCATCATCTGGATATACAAGTAGCTCAATGACGCAATACAATCCTTCAGAAGAAATGAAGCAATTCTTCCAAAATGAATTTACAAACTTTTTGGAGTCAAGAGGAACTGAATCTTTAGGCAGTGGGGCGAAAAACCACGAAAGCTCTTATTATTCATCAAGCCCTAGTGAAGAAGGCAACAGCATGGGATATGACAGAAAAGAGCCAAATTTCAGTTCTCATAGTAAGACCACCCCAATGTTTCGCGTTTAAATATAAGTTAACGATATTTGAATTTAAAATGGTTTTTGGAAGATTGATAATTGGAGCAAGCTTTTTGGTGTTTTGGGTAATTGCTGAAGAATATTTAAATGTTATGGAAGCAATGATCAAATTGGAAGATTATGATGTAGCGGTAATGAACAATACTGATGAAAATTTAGTGAGAGATATTTATTGGGAAAATAAAGGATTTTATAATGCGAGTTATGAAAAAACGAAAAATCAAGGGAAAATTGAGGAAAAAGTTATGTATATTGATGGCAAAAAATTTGAAAAAACTTTGCCTCAGAAATATAAGAAGGCGGAGATTGATTTTCAAAATGAGAGGAGTGAAGATGAGATGGTAAAAGTAGAGGATAAGGCAAAAGATCAGGAAAATCTGCTGCTAGAGAAGATCTTGAGCACACTTAATGAAATTGAAGTGAAATTCAAAAAATAATTTTAATTTAAATTTGATAAATTATCAGATACACTTTGTAGTCACGGGAGAAATAACTTTAGAACCATGAAAGATGAATCCAAAAATTGGGTAGATGTGGTTTCTGCTATAGCTGATAATAAATAAATTGCGGCTATCGCTTCCTATTGAGACCAATAATTTTTTATCTGCTATTTTAAAACTTCTAAAAGCATATTTTTAAGAGTAAGGTTTTAAGATAAGCAAACGAAAATAGCAGACTGGCTAATAAAGAGATAAGATTCAAGCATTATTCTCATCAAAATTCAAGTCTATAATCGAGAAATAAAGAATTGATGCTAACTCCATCCTATAAACTGCAGTAAAATTTCTGCTCCAATTTCGGTTTAAATAAATTCTCAAATGAAAAGTTTAGATCAAAATCAGAAATATCGATGCTTACAATAAAAATTCGTTTCCATACTTTAAGAATTCTATAATTCATAATATAGATAAATCGCAATATTTAACCGTGATGAATATACTAAAATTAGAAAATGCTTCATACCTAAGCATAATTTCCCAGATTCCATGATCCAGGGTTAACCATTATATGGAAACGAAATTCTGTTTGGAGAAGCAAATTTCCCTCGAGAGGGAAATCAAGGAAGCATAAAGCTGCCCAAGTAAGATAAATTACCCTGAGCAGTTGCTAACAATATGTATGCCTTGCTTTATCAAATAAAATTATATTTAAGCAGTAATTATCTATTAACAGACATTACAAAATCAACAGTCAATGTATGATTACTGCAAGGAAAATAAAGAAAACTGCATGGCGCTTTGATTTCTATCAACGCTATTTATGGCAACTTTTTATTTATGATCTATAAGGTTTACTCGTTCCCTGAGCAATCTTAGAGCTTATTATTGGTGCCGTAAAACACTGATTACTATTATTATATCAAATTTTATTGAAGCCTTAGCAGTTCAATCCTTAGGATACTTATATCTTCTTGGACTATTTTTCTATAAATATACAGCAATACTTTTTGCTATCTCTATTATTGCACACCATTGCCACTTTATTTCAAACATTCTTCGAGTGAATCGATTAATAGTTAGTAGAATCTGCGAGCTGGGGCTGTGTGATACTTATCTAATTTATATTGCGTTAAGGAAGCGGCTTACATGAAAATGAAGTTTTAGAGTTATTTTAGCATATACAACACTTTGCTCTGTAATACTTTTTTCTTATTAATATGGGCAGTCTTTTTTGCAGACTCCCAAGACCAATCTGGGGTTTACCCACAAAGTTTGTATATGCGATTCTGATCAGTTTGAAATGTCATTGAATTATTAATTTTTTTTTCTTATTAAGCTATCTAAACTACGAGAAGTTTCTAGATGAAAATTTGAGGCAATTTCATACTTCTGTATTTGACCAAGTGGGATTGTGTCGAATTTTATTTCTGATGAGGATTATTATTGATTCAATCTCTTAGTAATTCCTGGAAGAAATTTATTAATTTTATCATCATTTATCAATCTGATATCAAATGAAACTATTTAGACTAAACATGCTACTTGAGCCTTGAAAGCAAAAAGCATTTCTCAATGCTAATAATAAATAAAATTGATTAAAAGCTAAGACTCTGTGCTTGATATAAGCCCCAGTTTTTAACTCAGAAAGTCCAAACTTAAATATCTATTGGGAATTAAGCCTGTATTAAGTATCAATTTATTTGCATAAGAGTTAATACTTAAGATCCATAAATTAAATCTCAAAAATAAAATAAAAACTTGATAATGAATTATTAATGCATTTTTAACGCAAAATTTCAGGCTATTAATTGTCCAGCCAACGAAGCTCTTAAATCAAAGACTAGCTATATTTAATTCTATTTTTATAAGAACTTCCCCTGCTATACCAAAATTTATTCAACTCATATCTATTTATAAATAATATGATTATTTCTTCCCTTAATTTAAACATATTTTTATTAAACAAATATATAGTTTATTTTTATATATGAATAAAATACTATAGACCTGCCGAAATATTAGGAAGGTTTTGAGGCTCAAAATCTTTATGCTCATGGTTTCTTGCAGAAAGCGCGTTTTCTTCATTAATATCATCTTCAATATTAAATATGTGAAAATCAGGGTCAGAATTTACTGACTTCAATTTTAGCATTTCTTTTTCAAATTTATTTGTGTCCATTTTTCGGATTCTCCTGAAAACATTTTTAAGTTTCTTATCTTTTGCTTCAATTTCTGAGGCTCGAAAAACTGTTTTTACTTTGCTTTTTACTTTATCGGGATTACACATGTTTTTTATCGTTAATTTTTGCTTTTGGCTCAAAAGATCATACTGAAGCATAGACAATTTGTCGTCTGGAAATGTCCGGATACCAATATCTTGCATTCATGGTGGCAGAGGTTCCTCTTTCATTAGCTTTACTAGATTTGGCTTTTGGATAGTTAGTTTAGCAGTTCGTTTTTTTGTGGGTGATCTTTCGCTTTTTCTTATTGAAGGAAGATGAATTGAGCTTGGAGCGTATGCAGAAATAATCATTTCTAGCCTTTGTTGATTTTTGAAAAATGTCTTTTTAGGAGTTTTTATTGAGGTAAGGCTTTTTCTTGCAGCGAGTTTGTCCATAATTAGGTTTATAAATAATTTTTTAGATAAAAAAACAATCTTTAAAATGAATGCTAATAAAGAGCTTTATAGAAGATTTTCTATAAGAAGAGAATATATTTTTTATAGGTGTAAGCTGGATTTATGAAATTTTAATTATCCTATTAATTTTTCTATCTGATAAAAGAAGGAGAAAAAATCAATTTTATTAAAATGCCTATGATAAAATCAATTAATAGTTGAACGATGGAATTAGGGTTTTATGAGTATGTCATCACAAAAATTTTTTAATTGTAAAAATCATTAAAATTTAAATAAATTTCAAAAAAATAAAATAATTAAAAATCATTATTCTTAAAAAGCAAATAAAACAATGATAAGGTCAAATTGCATCTTTAACTAAAAGTTATTTCTTAAAATTGATGAAATTAGCTATTAATGCAAATGATTAAAATTCGCTTAAAATCCTCATAAGTAAATTGAGCACTTAAACTTTGATTAATAGAATGGCTGTTATGCTTCATATATACCCTTAAATAATTATGAGAAGTGCCAACATAACTCCTTCCTCTCTATGGGACCGTGAACAAGCTTTCATAAGGCACAAAAAAAGGCTAAAACATATAAAATCCCACCACTCTACAAGACTAGATAATTCTCCTCCAACGACTCAAAACCTTGTTCCTCCAATTCAACGTGCACATATTTTCTTAGACTTAGAGCATTCTAAAGCTATACAAAAAGACAATGATGAGCTTTTGCAGCGATTAAATTGCATTTCTAATAGAAAACCGGTAATTTTTATTCAGAAATATTGTATATATAATGATCTCCAATCTCCAATAAAAAGTTTAAATTTCCCAGCAAGAAAAAAGGAAGCAGAAAGGATTTTTTTTGAAAATTTTGCATTCCTTAAAAGGATCACTGGAAAATCTCCAAGTCTCAGCGTTAAAAAATTTGATGAAGAATACGAGCAGTCAAGAAAATACAAGAAAACCCTTTCAAGAATCAGTCATATAGAAAGGGCTGCAAGCTTAGGAAAAACAGGCCTATTACCTCCTATAGCTGAAGATGGAACCCAGACGAGGACAACCCAAGAAAAATTCAACCCAAAGAAAAAAAGCCTGTCAATGAACGAAATAGAAATCCAAGAAATCACAAAAAATTTCAAAAAAGCCCATGAAAATCCAATAAAAACAACAAACTTGTCAGATAGGGAAATTGAAGAATCAGATAACCGCAACAAGAATTAAGCGATTTAAAAAGCGCTGTAAAGAATTACAACAAATTCGCTATAAATTTTAAATATTTGCTTTGATTTTAACATAAATCCTTAGCCATATCTAATTAATTTTCAGCAATGCAAATTTATATAAAAAAATATGCCACCTCGTGGTAAACCGCAAGAATTTCAAATAACAGTGAGAAATCAAGAGCACCTCTATGAACTTATATCAGGCAAAAAACTTTCAATTGTTGACCTTTATCTAGCGTGATGCGGCCCATGCGAGCTTCTTACTTCTTCTTTTAGATCAATAGCTATGAAAATAGATGAATGGGACTCTCGCATGCAGTTTCTCCTTGCAGACACAGAGAGGGTGCCAGATTTCGCAAATCACCAAGTTTCATGCAAGCCAAGATTTCTATTCTTTTTAGGTCCAAAATTAATAGGTGAAGTAGATGGAGCTGACGTGCCAAAAATCTTGCAAATGATAAATAGATATCTTCCACCTTTGGAAGCTGATTAAGATGTTAGTTTAAATAACTTTCATATTAATGATTAAAAGGATGAGTCCTAAGGTAGAAATGGCAAATATAATTATGACAGAATTCTAATTTATTTAGAATTTCTGCAAAGCTATATAGATAAAAATATCTCAATTAGCTTAAAATCTTCTCCAAAATTCCAATTTAATAATTTCTAGATTTATTCTTTTTTATTAAAATTTCTATGCCTATCATTTTATTAATAATTTTCAAATAAATTCGTCTTAAACTCTATCCTAAGAACTGATAAACGTTCTATTTTTATAATATCAAATCCCTATATTTCCCTGATTTAAATTTGATAGTTATTTTTAAGAAGTTATAAATGGGATCTCAGTGCTGTAGACTAGTTTGCCGTCCTTTTAAAAAGCAAATGACAATCCAAGACAAAGTCAAAAATCTCTATAATGTCGGCTCAGGAGATAAATCAGAGCACCAGGTAAAAATCCAGGTTTACAAACTTAATGCTTACCTGAAAGATCGTGCTGACAAAATTAAACCTTGCATAGAAGAAATCAAAAAGGTATGGGCTGCTGCTTTACATGAAGAAATGACTCAGGACGATTTAAAAATTATATACTGGCTTTTCTGAATCAAAAATTAATAAATATTATAAGCGAAAAATAGAAATTAATTAATAAGGCATAAATATCACTTTATTGGCTCTTCTCACACTAACACAGTACAGAAGGGAATTCCTGCCTATGACTTATCAAATGGTTTATATGCTGATGATGCATCCACGATTTGGCGAGGTAAAAAAACTTGTGTATGAGATTCTCTTGCAATGTACAACAACTTTTCCTGATGATAATCCTCCATATCTTGAAGATATTATGATAGAGCTTGTATCATATTGTTCGAACCCAAAAAATGTTTCAAAAAATGAAATTTTGGTCCTTTCTGCGATGGGTTTTAGCTTGAGGTCGAAGTTTTCTAAAGGGAGTTACCTAAAATGAGAAACTATACTTTTTTTTATAAATAATTTGACGATAAGCCATTTTAATACTATTTTTATATATTAATTATATAAGAAATTCATATATAAGGGTATGTGATTGATCTTGCACTTATAAGGATAATAAAAAATAAAGACAACGATTTAGATGAAGAAATGGAACTTGTTAAAAATTTTGCAAGCTTTATGGTTGGGAATGCAGGGATGGTGCATTTATTTATTGGACACATTGTGGATTTCTTGCATAAAAATCAGGGCTGGAATGAAAATTCGCAGTTAATTTTCGACTCAATTCTATTATGCAAAGAGTATGGTCATCCAATTTTCTACTCGGAAATATTCAAAACAATAATATATTATATGCATAAAATTTTATCTGAAGATAAAAGTAATGTGAAAAATATTTTGAACTGCGCGTTCAGCATTCTTATCCTTTTTATAGCAAATTTTTTATTTGAAAAAAATAAAAAAAATAATATTAATTTGTAAAAAAAATAAAAAATAAGAGTTAAAGAGCCAGATTCAAATGTTTCAACAATGCTTTATAATGAAACGTTTAAAGATGTTATTTTGATGCTTTTAAATGAAGAAGTGGACCATATTAACGAATTTCTTCAAAAATGGTCACAAAAAGCAGATAATCAGAGCTTTATTTCTTTTGTAAAATCAATTTTAACTGCAAAGCAGTATGATAGGCCTTATATTATGTGCATAAAGCAGCTCAAAGCTATATATGAAAAAGAGCTAAATAAGTCAAAGCCACCTCATTTATTTGTACAAGGGACATTACAGATTATTTTTGTAATTGTCTCTGATTTATATGAAGAGCCTTCAAAATATTTGTTAAAAGTCTTGAGTTTTCTGATTTTCAAGCTAAAAAGAAGATTTTCATTTAAACAAAACGAAATATATTCTCTAAATCTTTCGCTTTTAAAAATGACAGATAATGCTATTTCAATGCCAATTGACGAAAGTATGAAAATATGCTGAAATTTTGTAAATAAGTAATAATATTAAAATAAATAATTTTATTAATCTTATAAGCCAAAATGGATATTTAAACACTGTTTAAAATCATGGCTTTCTTTACTCCCCCCTCGAAGTTCGACCAAGATTTTTTTGGTCGAACTTTTGAGGGGGGTTAAGAAAAATTTTTTTAAAAAAAAATTATATAGAATTTTTTTTTATATAATTTAGTAGTTAAAAAAAATAAATATTTATCATATTCTTCTGTATGGTTGAGAGGGTGTAAGGGTTAGAAAAAATAGTGCAAGATGGTTTTGTAACGCTTTTTTAGAACTTGAATACAAAAATCGCAAGCTCACCTCCACATAGTTTAAAATTTTTGAAAAATTGCTTATTTTACTAGTAAATTTATATAGGTCTTGGTCGAACTTTGAGGGGGGTTAATTTTCCAAAAAAATAGGAATTTTTCCCTATATCTTGGTCGAACTTCGAGGGGGGGGGAGTTAGTCATCCAAGAAAGCTCTGAAAATCTATCTCTAATGCTAATGGCAGTTTTCAAGCTAAGAAGATCATTAAACCAAGCCCAAAATATTCAAAATAATCTGTGTTTAGCCCTTTGCATTTATTCAATTTTAAAAGCTATCTCAATAACCTACAAGCTAGACAAGGTAAAAAGTTTCGTTGACAGATCAGCTTCTCACTCCCCCCCCCCCCTCCGTGAGCGAACAAAACCATTAGAAAAATCGCCATTTTTTGACCAAAAACCCACCCTCCGTGAGTGAACAAAAATTTTTTTAATAGAAAAAATTTTAATGGAAAAAAATTTTGATATATAAGTGATAATTAGTATAATGAAATCTAGAGCTAATTCTGTTTAATTTTAAACAAATTGCGTTTTAAAACATAAATTTTGCAAATTAAATTAATATTTGCTTCCCAATTTTTGCAAATTAGGATTTTTTTAAATTTCGAAAAAAATATTTTTTATAAAATTTATATATAAATTTTTTTTTAAAAAAAAAATTAACCCCCCTCCGTGAGCGAACAAAATTTTTTTGTTCGCTCACGGAGAGGGGGGGGGGAGTCAGTGTATTTACAAAAAGAGAGTTTTCGACCATTTATCACTGAAGACGGCAAATTTATGAAAATTATGGACGCTACTTACTCATTATTTGATAAAGAAAATATAAATTCTATTAACTCGCCCTCCACGAGGAAACAAAAAAATCTTGTTCGCTCATGGAGGGGGATTAATTTTTTTTTTGAAATTAAAATTGGAAAGCAAATATTTATTTATTTGTAAAATTTACGTTTAAAATGCAAGCTAAAATTAAACAAAATTAGCAAGAAATATCATTGTAATAATTATTACTTATACATCAAAATTTTTTGCTCACTCACGGAGATAGGCTTTTTGGCATGAAAATAGGGATTTTTCCAATGGTTTTGCTCTCTCACAGAGGGGGAATAAGAAAAATACCGTCAAATTTACGAGCAATATGCTTAATATTGAAGAAAAATGCGATTTACCGAGAAAATGCTGATTAGATTAGATGCAATCACAGCGGTTCTTCAGAAATTATTTTAGCCCCTCACCATCCCGCAGATAGCTTCGCGTTGATGTTAATTTTTTATCCTCATACCTACTCTTTTGCTCCTGCATCACCAAAAAAAACGGTAACGTAGGCAGTCTCTTAGCAAGAAGGCCTTACCCGTATTACAGATCACACCAAACGGCAAGAATCCCTCACAGGGCTCTGAATATGGGTCAGCCACCTTTGCCTCTTCCATGGTCAGTCTAGCTGTATTACAGATTCTATAATGTTCCCAGCAGTGCTAAAGGACATTGCACTGATAGGCACATCTGCAAGCCAAGAAAAAAATCTCGAGGGTCAGTCCTGGTTAAAAAAAAAACACCGTAGAGAACTACCTCAATGTGGTTCTTCTCCTCTAGGTCCAGATCACCATTAGCCACGTCACACCATTTTAATAATTCTAGAAATGCTGAAGATGGAGAAATCAATATCGGAGACATAAAAGAATCCAGAGATTTTGATCCTTTAGGTTTTGTTCCTAGCGAGTCAGACGTATCTTCTATGAAATCCAGTGAAAATTTTGACCGTGGAATAGAGCTGGGAGATATAAAACCTGAATTAATAGAAACTGATTACGCCAAAGCATTGGGAGCAATAGAAGATGAAGACTCGAATTTTGTGAAAGGACTATTGGAAACATCATAATATATAGAAAAATAATAAAATTGGATTTTCTTAAAAAATAATTTTAAAAGCACTTTTTATTGGAAAATTTTTAAATTGTGTAGATTTAATTTAGAAAATAAATCGTATTATTCAGCTACATAGATAAGAATATAGAAGGAGAAGGAGTTCCGCTGATATTTTCTTGGTTGTTTTGGAAATAAATTTGGTTCCACATTTCAGCTCCTTCTCGATATCCCATAGGTAACTCCCTAATAAACACGTTTTTCATATTCGATCCTACAGGCGGACTAAAACCAGCTGGACTCCTAAAGTCGATTTGTGGGCTAAATCCCAGCTGTGGGCTGAACCCAATTTGAGGGCTAAACTGCATCTGTGAAGCTATTGGCGTATCATTAAGATTCCTCCATCTTATCTGAGGTGACGCCATCGGCATCGTTTCTCCATCTGAGCTTTCCATTTCTTTTCCTTGTTTCTGAGCTATTAGTATATCAATGACATCTACCCCAGGCGGACAAATTTTTTCTGTTTTCTTTACCATACTTTTTCATCTATTTTTTACACTATTTTCTGTTCTTCCCGTTAGCCCTCTCGCTATTTCGCTTCATTTATTTCCTATCAATTGCTGCTGTTCAAGGATGTACATGTCTTCTTCAGGAGTCCATTCTCCTTTTTTTAAGCTTGGATCAACATGATTGTACCATCTTTCTCTGCATTGTCTTCCATTGCGGACCTCGTTTTTTTGATGCATTACAGCGTTTAATTCTTTGGCAATTGCACTTCAGGCTTTGAGTCCACGTGCTTCTACAATACGATAGAGGACAATATCTTCATTGGAAGTTCAGCCATTTGATTTTGATAGATCCGAAGAAGGTTCTGGTGGAGGGTTGATAGGCTGAAGCAACGGCTTGAATTCGCAGGAGTTTGCGCTCAAGATGCAAGGAACATAGAAAATATCTCCTTCTACATGATACATTAATGGGGCTGATTGAGAAGTCGGATCAACTTGAGTGTCTGTGCTCATTTATTATTATAAATACGTAAAATAATTCTGAGTTTGGTGCATTAAGCTTATCAGAAGAGTATGGTAAGTATAATGATCAAATCAGAAATATTTGACCACAAATTTAATAGGGAAGAAGCTTAACTCCCCCCCCCCCCCCCTCCGTGAGCGAACAAAACCATTAGAAAAATCGCCATTTTTTGACCAAAAACCCACCCTCCGTGAGTGAACAAAAATTTTTTTAATAGAAAAAAATTTTAATGGAAAAAATTTTGATATATAAGTGATAATTAGTATAATGAAATCTAGAGCTAATTCTGTTTAATTTTAAACAAATTGCGTTTTAAAACATAAATTTTGCAAATTAAATTAATATTTGCTTCCCAATTTTTGCAAATTAGGATTTTTTTAAATTTCGAAAAAAAATATTTTTTATAAAATTTATATATAAATTTTTTTAAAAAAAAAAAATTAACCCCCCTCCGTGAGCGAACAAAATTTTTTTGTTCGCTCACGGAGGGGGGGGGGGAGTAAGAAAAGTTAAATTTTTGTGATGGCTTAAATAGTTAGATTTTGGGAATTTCCAGAAAATCAATATAGAACTTATTATAGTAGAAATGGAAATTGACTGAAATTCATTTCAGTAAATAGTAATTAAATTATCATAAAGATAAAATATTTGTCATTAAAATGGATCTATTTAAATGCAACATATTTAATGCAAATAAACAAAAAACTAATTTTAAGAGCTTCAATGCATTCAGGTGCTGAATAAAAAAATTGCTTATAAATTTTAGCCATTATGAGTCATTATTGTTCTTGCCAAACCATTTATTATAAATCATTTTTTTCTTGATCAATTATATAATGCAAATATACACCCTATAACATTTTGCTATTTAATTACTAGCAGAGAATAATGGAAATATCAAAAGGAGCAAATTCGAATCATCTTACAGAAGATGACCTTAAAGCTCGGATAAAAAGGCTCAAAGAAATAGATGAAGCCCTTTCTTCTACCTTGCAAGTCCAAGGCCAAATTCAAAATAGATTTGACAATATTGATGAATTTATTAATCATACAATAGAGAGATCTATTATCACTATGAAAGCCTGCGCAGATTGTATGATTTGTGAGATGCATAAAAAGAAGGAAAATATTTTGAAGCTTTTAAAGAGCATTGATGAAAGCATCGAAAATGATGAAAAAGTTGTAAAAATCAGAAATGAGCGAAATTGGTATATTAAAAGAGTAGATTAGATTAAATTTTTAAATGAGTCTTCAGGATCTATTCCACCTTCGCGGATTTCAGACTTTCTACCCTAAGTATTGGGTTGCACTTTAGCCTTTTCTGTCGACGTCACCAAAAAATGGTGACGCCATCATCTCTAGGGGAAATACACCCAGTTACTTCTTTGAACTAACTCCTAGCCATCAGCACCTTCTATCCGGTGATGGAAGGTAGGAGGCAACCCCGAATCCTCCTTCTGGTCTCCATTGCCCTTCATATCCAGAATTGTGAGTTGTCGTATGGACTCTGGTCTACTTTCTCTGTGTCGAGGCAAAAATTCCTATCTTGGTATCCCGACGAGGGATAAAAAACGTACCCTGGACACAATTTGCAGACCCCATCCCTCTTAAACCCCAAAAAACCCCTAGGGTTTCGGGAGAAGGGCAGGTCTTATAAGTCATCATTTTATGTGTTTAAAAGATTAGAAGATTTAGAAGGAAGACATAGGGATTATTCACAAAAAATAAGCGAAAAAAAAGAAAGGATAAACGAGTTAGAAGAAAAAATAAGGGATATGAAATCAACGTTGAAAACTGTAAATGTACAGAATATGAAGCTGCAATTAAAAAAAGATAAAACTAAAAGAAGCTCGCTTCCTAATAGTATACAAAATTCACCAAAAAGGCGTAGACCAGAGGCAATTGGACATTCGAGTAGAGTGATTTCTGCGCTTGTTTCACCTAAAAATGCTATTCAGAATTCTAAAAAGAATTTTAAACCGGATTTAATAAAATCTATAAAGAAATCAATATTGGAAACCAAAGCAGAAATTAAAAAAGTCCAAGAAGAAAATATTAAATCAAATGGTTATAACATGTCCAAATTTTTCAAAAGCTGCTATGATACTTTGCATGACGATCTTATCAGAAAACTGCCAAATAAGCTTTCTTTTATATACAAAATGCTGACTGAAAATGATATTGAAACCCCAAAACATTTAAGATCTTTGAGTTATAATGGAGATTATATTCTTTTTTAATTAAAAAATAATTTTTTAAAAAATAATCATTCAGCCTATAAATTCATTTTTTTATAATATATACCCAATATTAAGTCTGCAGGAAGAGTAAAACAAATGGTATATTCTAATTAGAAAGAAGAGCAGCTTCTAAACCTAAAATTCACATGACCTGAATTCCAAAAAATCGACTCCCACAAAGTGTTTATTTTGCTTTCCGTTAAAGATAACGTTTTATCTGAGCTTATGAAAACAATTTCAGTCAATTTTCCAATCAAAAAGCACACTGAAAGACGAGAAAAATTAAACTCCATGTCTGAATATGAGCTATGTAACATCTATATAGGCAAACTTCGTGTCAGAAGAAATGAAAACGGTGGTATTTTGCCTTTATAAATAAAATATTTATTTAAAACCTATTAATACTGATTTTACAAAAGTTTTCTAAATTTATGCCCTTTCTTGACAAATGAAGAATCAGGCGATTTCGTTGATTTTGCACCCCACGGCCTAAGTGGAGCTTTTACCATATCAGCGTCAACTTCAAGTTTAGGAAGCTCAAAAGTTCCCAGGGCAAAAGAAGTTTGGACAGCTACACTTATGGTTGGCTTATTTTTATTTATATTTGGAAGAGAATCATCTTGTTTTAGAGTGTCAGTGACAAGGTTAACGCTGGCAAAATTTGGAATATTTAGGTTTGAAGGGCTTAAGTAAGGCTGGATTTGTTTGAGTAAGATTGAGACTAAAGCAGCTTTGTCAGTGCTGGTGAGCTCTTCTATAGGAGATGAAGCTATTTTATTAATGTTTAAGGTAAGTTCTGCGTCACCTGGAAGCTCGTTTTGTAAGGTTTGCAAGTCTTTTAAGTAGTCTGCGAGGAGGCAGCCTAAGTTTCGGTATCGTTCTGATCTTTCTTTGAATTTTTGCTGCATGTCAGTATGCTCAGCTTTGAGGATGTTATAGTCCATTTGGACTTGGGCGAGTCTGTTCATGCTCTCTTCTATATACTTTAAAATAAATTCGCGATAATTCCTAATAAATGCACTGCAATTTTATATGAAAATATTCATCAAATTTGGAATAATTTATTTTCCAAAAATCTTACAAGCTCTTCATTCATCCTTGAGTCTTGTTTAGACTCATAATTCTCATTTTCCTGCTTGGGTTGCTTAGAATTCGACCCTAGCTCGTCTTCTAGATCCTTTATTTTTGTATTTAATTTTTTAATAATTTTCTGGCAATAATGCGATCTTTTTGCTAGCTCAGCTTCTACTTGCTTGTGAATCTCAATATCCCTTTTCAGCCCTGCCACTTGTTCTTCTAGCTGAGAATTCCTATTCATAAGCTTTTCTGTCTGTTTACTTTGGTATTCAAGCTCAGTAGTAAGCCGATGGTTTTCAAGAACCGTGAATTTTGTGGTTATATGCAATTGTTCGTGGGTGCAGGCCAAATGACATGCCTTTTTGATAGTATCCATCTCACCGAAAAATTTTTGGACGAAAATTAGTTGAAAATTTTTGATAGCGAGACATTTGACCGAAAAAAAATGTATTTCGATGAAATGTACACTGTCAAAACCCCACTGTCATTTGACATGGAGCCATTGTTCGTCATTTAATGCAAGTACTTTGTCACGAGTTTCCTTTATCTTATAAAGCATGTCTTTTTTCAGTTTTTCCGTTTCCTTTATTTTTTCCCTTTCCAGATTCTGCTTGTCTTCCTGATGGGCTTTTTTTTCTTTTTCATAGTCTTCTTCTAATGTTTTCATTTTGAGTTCGAATTCTGCTTTATGTGCAGAAAATTCATTTAATTCAGAAAGTCTTCCTTTAAGGATTTGGATTTCGATTTGTTTTTTGTCCATGTCAGCTTGGTGGTCTTCTTGGCATTTTTGGAGATTTATGGCTGTTTAAAATTTACCATAAGCTTCATCTTTTTGGCTCATTTCAGATTCGAGTAGCCTGACTTGGGCTTCAGCTCGAACCTTCATCCCAGTCATTTCTCTTAAGTCATTTTGTAAAGATTTGACCATGCTGCTATGCAGCTCTGTTAGGTCTTCGAATTTTTTAGAAAGGTCAGATTTTTCTTTAAGCAAAAGCTTGTTTTCTTCAACACTAATTTAGGGTTACACTCTGTTTATACGCTCTTGGAGTTTGGTTTCTGTAATTTGGCTGTTTAGCATTTCTCGCATGTGAAGATTTGTGGCTTCTTTGTCTTCTTCTTCTCTGTGTAGAAATTACCCCATTCTTGGCAGTTTAAATTATTTGATTTTGTGGAAAATAAAATAAATGCGATTTATAGAGAAAAAAGAAATTTGTAATATCAGGAATTTTACAGCGGAATATGATACACAGTAAATCTAATTAAAATAAATACTCTTTTTTATATATTGGGTAAATAGGCTTGATATTTAATAGAAAAAGAAGTAATATTTTAAAGAAAAGTAATTAATTTTAGCAAAATATTTGTAAATAGAGTAAAATTTTGTAAGAAAAATGTGTGTATCCAGCGTATTATAAGCTGAAAATCATTAGAACTCAAACAAATCATACAACAAACTTTTGAAATTTTAATGGCTAATTAGTTGAATAAAATCAAACTCTATAGATTAAAAGTTATGATGAGAAAGCAAAAGACGATGCTTACTCCTATCGCAGTCGATAGTTCAATAGAAATAAATTTTCATGATCAATCAACCCAAACCCCTCCTCCCCAAAATAGTGACAACTGCTATTTTCCAAGTTTAACTCCAAAGGCAAAAAATTATATATTAATTTATTTTATATTAAAATTTACCTCAAAATAAAAAAATATTTAACTAGTTTAAATAAGGACAGTATATATTAAATATCTCAGAAAATCAAATAAAGAAAAAACATTATAGGAACTTAACTCCTATCCTGCCTTCTCTCTATCATAAAGCGGCAATTCTTCCTCAAAAACCTCCATACAGAGCAAGGAAAAAAACGACTTCTTATATCAGTCCTGAGTATTGTGATACAATTATGCTTTTTCGTAAACTCTGCAAACAAAAGAGGGTGAATTTAGAATATAGCCAATCGTGCGCAAACGATAAATTTTAATGTAACTATAAAATAAGGCTTTTTATTAATAGAAAATTATTGATTATTCTAAATATGGGAGTCATTTAAATGTTTTAGATATGCATAAAATTTATTTTTCTTGATTTATTCTCTATATTTTTCATGATTTATTCGGATTTTGGCTTATTTTTATATCAAAAATGTTAAAATTATCAATTGCCTACAAGATTATATTAAAATATTTCAACTACTTAAAAGTCTTGGCACAAATCACTTCTTCTATATTTTTAAAGAACCCTTTATTATAAATATTTGGCTTTTCAGCTAAATGCTTATATTTCGGGCTTTCAGCTAAATCTAGCCTTTTCGCTCTTTCATTCGAAGTAGTGTTTTCATAGACAAGATAAAGATGATAAAAGAAAAACCCAGTTAATGTAAGCCCCATAATAAAGCATAGAGTAACCACAAAGAACCATGAAGGATATCTCTGTAACAAATATTGGATAACTGTCATCCAGCTCCATTCTACTTCATTCCCTAAATAATCAAAAAATCTTGTAGTCATAATCCTTTCCTTCTCAATAATATGCACAAAAATTAAAAGCCCAATCTGTGCTCCATACATGCAAAGCAAGCTATGAGACAAAATAAAGGCTAAAAACCGGCTCCATGTCAAATGACAGTGGATTTTGATAGTATAAATTTCATCAAAGTACATTTGGCGGAAATTTAATGAAATGTACACTATCAAAAATTTTCAACCAAATGTACTTTGATGAAATGTACACTATCAAAGTGCATGATCATTGGACCTGAACCCTAAAAACCACTTATAATTCCCATATCCTACACACTGGTTTATTCAAATATTCGAATTAAATCATATAAGCCTTTTTTATTTTTTTATTTTTATTGAATTATTTAGCCATAAACAGTATACAATGGTGGTCAAATTTTGCTACACAAATATTGCAGACACTACAATGCTTGGATCTAGCAGGTTTTACCAAGTCACAAGTAGAACATTTTACTTCTCTATATAATGCTTCGTCATATGGAAAAATTTTTTTATATTTTTCTTCATTTTGAGGCCTGATTTTTCCTGGACTTACTGTGCAAGCTAAATAAAAAATTGTGACACAGAGCATATAAAATGCAGTTCCTGTATATATGTGAATTGAAGGGACATAGCGATTAGGGACAAATGCAAATCCTTTAAAAAAGTAAATTGTGAAGCCTCCTAAGCTTAAAAGCAAGTAGACGATTTGAAATGAAGGGTTTGGCTTGTTAAAGATATAGAGGAAATAATAGGAAATCTTAGAACTCCCCATAGGACCAAATAATTTGATTGAAATTTTTTCTGTAATTGCTGGTAGTGTAATAAATATTTGTCGACTGAGCCAAGCAAAAGGTCCAGTCCCGTGCGGGCTTACACACAGGAGAATAAATAAAATTGAAACTGAGATGACTGTATAAATCAAAAATCCCCAAAATTCCATTTACTAATAATTAAAGTTAAAAACATGAAAAGCATGACGACCTTTCTTTCCCTTTATTTTTTTCTTTGTTTTTCTGGACTTTTGAAGTTTGTGTCTCCACATCTACCTTATTTACGCTTATTTGCTTATAAACCGGCTGTTTTGAGTCTCTCGTATTTCTTTCATAGTTTTCCCCGATCATTTTCATTTCTTCATACAAATTTGACGTGTTTTCAATGGTTTCATCTTCAAATGCAGAGTCTCTTTTTTCTTGAATTGATAATTGGGCTTCTTTTAGCCTAAAAATTAATTTCTGGTTTTCTGTTTTAACTGCCTCTAAGTCTTCTCTTAATTTGACTTCCTGGGCGTTTGCTTTTCTTAATTCATTTTCAAGCCGCTTAATTCTTTCGTCTTTGTTTTTAAGCTTTTGTGATGGGTCTACAAACCCTTTGTGCTCTTCTTTCGCTTTATTTTTAGGTGATAAAATAGGTGTCGCTCCTTTTATGGGCATGCTTTGTCGATAGTCTATAAGCTGCTGCTGTTTTTTTAGGTCTCCAGCGTTTTTTCCTATAGTTCCTCTGATTTCTTGGATTTTTTTCATGCTGTTTAGTCTTCTTAATTCTTTTTCTAGCTGAGAAATTGCTTTTTCTTTTTCTGAAATATCATTTTTTATTTTTTCCATTTGGTCTAAAGACTCTTCCCGAGAGTGTTCGGCTTGTCTTAATTTATACTGTAAATTTTGCTTTTGGGCTAATGTTTGTGAATGAGCTTCTTTGGTTTCTTTTGTTTCGACTTCAAGCTCATCAAGTTGCGATAATATGCTATATCTTATTATAGAGGCTAAATTTTTTTTATTGGCCTGCTATTTTATAATAAATAAATCCTTGATTTTATAATAATTTTTTAAGTTCTATGATTAGGTATAATATATAAAAATAGGTATTTAGTAGAATTATGAGGATAATAGGATTATTTATAAGGAAAATGATAGAACTTTGTTGGATTCTTCTAAGCGATTGCAGTGCTGCTTTAATGAATCGAAAGCTAGCTGGGATTCTCTTACTCCCCCCCTCCGTGAGGGAGCAAAAAAATTTTGTTCACTCACGGAGGGGGTTAATTTTGTTTCGAAATTTTAAAAAAACATTTAATTTGCAAAAATTGGGAAGCAGATATTAATTTAATTTAGAAAAATTTATGTTTTTTAAAACGCAATTTGTTTAAAATTAAACAGAATTAGCTCGAGATTTCATTATAATAATTATCACTTATATATCAATTTTTTTTCCATAAAAATTTTTTCTATTAAAAATTTTTGTTCACTCACAGAGGGTGGGTTTTTTGGCAAAAAATAGGGATATTTCTAATGGTTTTGTTCACTCACGGAGAGGGGGAAGTTAGCTTATTTTTCGCATTTTTTGAAGAATCATCATAATACTGTAACGAGTCTCTTAATAAGTTTAATAACTGAATAGACCCTGATGAAGTATCTCATAAAGCTGCATTGTTTTCTTGCCGAGCTTTAGCTTGAAGCCTATTTAAAGACTCAGTCAAGGTATCCATCAGTTCTTCTGGAGTTTGGGTTTCATTGGTAATTGACGATGTATAAGGAATTTTTATCGCATTATTAAAATTCATAATGGACTCTTGCAGTCCTGAATACAAAAACAGCATCGTGCTTGTGTCATTGCCTTCTTGTGATTTATAAGTCCTCAGTTCTCTTACACATCTCCCAACATCATTTTCCCCATCACTGTCAGCTTTATCAGGAGACCTGCTCATATTTGTAACTTGGAAATCCTGTTTAAACTGTTCAAGAAGAAAAGGAAAATCAATGATTCCTCTACAGAATTCTTCAAAGGTAACAGTATCTTGATTCTCAAAACTTCCTGCTGACTCTTTGAAAGCTAAAAACAAGGCTTCGACTTCCTCATCCCTTTCTAAGCCACTTGACATTTTTAAGTCTTGTCGGCTGATTTTTTTTTACCTTATTTGTCCATCACGATCATAGTCGCTCCATGTAAAGGCTTGTTTTAAGACTTCTAAAGAGCTCTCGTCAAATTCATATTCCATATTAATTTTTGTGTAAAAATAAAATATAAAGAATTATATTAATTTTTATACAAAATTAATAAAAAATGATTTTTTTTTATATTTAGTGGAGATTGAATATTAGGCTAATGGATTCTTTTGATGCACAGGATGAGCTGGATTTAAAAGAATGAAAAAGCTTTATTAATGATCCTGATTATATTGATTCTATAGTCTATGAAGAAGATATAGAAATAGAATACAATAAATTCAGAGGCTTTAAGCTTACTGATTATTGTATGAATAAATATTCCTATAATTTCACTAATGACCCAATTGAGGACCCACAAATAGACAAAGACTATATCAATTCCCTTTTGCAAACTGAAGCAGACTTAGAAAACTCAGAAAAGAAAAAACTTATTTTAGACCAAATCGAAGAAAATTTCCTACAAAGATTTTCCAAAAGTGACGTAAAAGTCACTAGATTTTTAAGCCTAAAGTCCCAAGCCTCAGAAAGCCAGCAGCCTATATTAAAATTAGAAGAATTATCTCAAATTTCCTCAAAAATCTATACTCCTGTGCAAAATTATTATAATTCTCCTACAGCAATTTCTATATCAAAGCAATATATCATTATAGGAAATGCCCAAGGGCTATTAAAAGTATTTAACCACGAAGGAAAAGATATAAAACAACTGGTGCCAGACGAGCAAACCTCAGCACAAGTAACAGCAATTGATATTTCTGATGACGAGCAGCATGCAATAGCAGGATATAGCAATGGATATGTAGGATTATGGGAACTCAAATCAGGAGACTGTGTAAAATTCGCAGGGACAAGCCACAAAAGCCAAATCCTGACTATAAAATTTTGGAAAAAAGGCAAACTTAATGCAATTTCTTGTGACGCGGCTGGGAAAATTAATCTTATTGAGTTTATGAAGCTTTTTATAGCGACGACTATAAATACCCGCACCATGATCAATGGAGACTTAGGGGTGTGTACTAGTATAAAAATTTTGGTGCCAAATGTGTACATTCCTCATCCAACTGATGCGGCTAATGTAATTGCGATGACATTTTTAGATAAAATCATGATATTTACTATAGAGCCAGAATTTAAACTTGTTTATAGCATTGAAAGACCTGGGTGAATTTTCCCTGAAGATTTGCCATATGTGGCTTGGAAACTTGGGCTGTGTCCTAATGATAACCATATAAAAGGGCCGATTCTGGCAGTTGCGTGGGGAAAACTTGTAGCTTTATATAGAGTAAATGCACTTAATAAAAATGAAATAGAAATTGCTGGCTCTATGAAACTTGATGACTGCACTAATGGAATAATGTGACTTAGTTATGACACAATTGCGGTATTATCTGAAGAAAACATTTATGCACTAAATTCAAAAGAGTTTAATTTTATTGAGGATAAAGTAGTTGAGCAAGAAACTAAGCTGAAAACGAGAATTTTAAATCAAAAATTCATAAAAAATAGCGATGCGGTACCTATATCGGCATATTATAACTCATATGAAGCTTTTGATAATGCTTTTCATTTTTTAGGAGAAAAAGGAATATATAAAGGAGTTCTTCTTGATTGAATACAAGTGATAGAAAATTTGAATAATTAAATATGGCGTCTCAACTTGGGTCTGGCCTCTCGGCCAGACAGTTTCGAGCCCTATTTAATTATATCCGGCAAGGTTTTGCCTAGCTAGAGATGGACAGCAATATCAGGTAAGCAATTCTGGCAGTATACAGAGCCTGATGCCAGTCCGTTCTCGGGTTAGGATTTTACCTCGAGGGAAGAGGAGGCTTGGAGTTGGAAAGGAGAAGCCCAGCAGCGCCTACAGGTAATCCCTAGGCCATTCGAGCAAATCTCTAGCGAGAAAACCGGAGTTTCGCCCCGGGCTACAAGTTTTCCTCTTTTGCCGAAAGTCGGCCAGAAATACCATTTTTTGGAATTTCCCAGCAGACAACCCTCGTTACAGAGAAAGTAGCTCAATCATGAGCCGTCGAAGCCGGAACATCGCCCAGGAGGCGCGCGTTGGAGATCAAAGCTAGCTGTCCCAGCAACTAGTGGGCCCCGAGCGACGAGAGCGTGGTGGTAGTCCTGGAAGAGCAACCCCGTAGGAGACGTTAAACGTGATGGTTAATAAGTTAAGTTAAGATAGAAAAATTTGAAGGAAAAAGGAGAATGAATACAATTGCTGTCACTATGCTTAGAAATTTATCATGGAAAAAGAAAAAAATTATTTAATCTACCTTTTTCAAAAAGTGACATAAAGCCATATTTGGAAAAAGTAATTGCAGAGTATATAGAATTGAATTTTATTAATTATGAGTCCAAAGTGAATAACTCTATAGAATATTGTATAGAGATTGACTCTCTGGAATATCTCTTTAACATTTCTTCAAACACTGAACAGTCAGAGTATTTTTATGATATAATTGGTAAATATGCTTTAGCGCAAGAAATCAAAGCGATTCCAAGAGAGGTTTTTGTAAAGATCAGTGAATTTTATGTGAAAACTGGAAACTTATCGGTTCTTGAAAGCATAATAATCAGCTTGGACCCCAAAACAATTGATCGTGACTATGCAATAGAAATTTGTAAAAAATTCAACTTTATAGATGGACTAATTTTTGTGTGCACAAATTCTACTCCATTATCTTTTAAAAAGCCTCTTTCCTATCTCTATGCTCAGATATACTCTCAAGAGTTACCGAGTGCTAAAAGGTCGCTGGCGTACAAAATTATGTGATATGCAAAGCGTTGTTTCAAAGGAAACTCTTTTCCCTCAGGCAGAATGATTCATGAATCATGGGAACTATCTATAATCCAAACAACAAAATGGTTATTTTCATCAGATCATTTAGAAACTTTAATTCGCTTTAATATAGATGAAATGCTTACTTCCCTCTCCGTGAACGAGGAAAAAAATTTTGCTCTCTTACATAGAGGGTAAATTTTTTATTTTAAATCTCATTTTATAGAAAAATTATTTTTTTTGGAAAATTCCGGAAAAACGTGCTATTGGGTTATCCCAATTCGTATAAAATTTATGTTTTAAAATGAGAATTGTTCAAAATTCAACAGAATAAGCTTGATATCATCATAATAATTATTATATTTTTTTATCACAAATTTTTTGCTTTCTTACGAGGCGAGGGTGATTTTTCCCCCAAAAAAATAATGATTTTGCTCGACATGGATAGGGGCGAGTCAGCATAATTTGAATTTTATTTGAAGAAGCCTTCCCTTTAGAAGTTTTAAGCCATAACCAAAATGTTATCCCGGACCAAAAACAAATAATTGATGAGCTTGAAAAACTTTTTAAGCAAAATACACCAGATTTTCATAAATTCGCGAATTTTATCACAAAAGCTATTACTGTAAACAGCTTATTTGTTTCAAAACAGATATGCTTGAAGACGGCTATTTATTTATTGCAGCTTGAGCAAGAAAATTATGATTCAATAGATAGGAAATTTGTTAGGCCACAAGATGATGGATTTTTGAAAAGAAACAGCAAGTTGATTTTGAAAATGCTTAAAAATTGTGACCTAGACAGCGAAAATGAAATTAAGCAGGTTCTCGCCATTTCACTAAAATCACCTTACGATAAAGTAATTGCATTTTTATACGAATTAAAGCGAGATTTTCCTCATTGTCTGAATATATATTTAAGATCAAATACTGAACATGTAAGAACCCACGTATTTAAATGGATCGTCCAAGTCTTAAAAAGCCTTACTGAAGACGAATTAAAAGAATTTAAATCTGCTATATTTGATAATCTCTATAGACTTGTCCAAATAGACAGCCCAAAAACTGTAAAACTTACTCGAGAATTATTTCAATACGAAGAAATTAAACTTATCCAAAACTTACAAAAATTCCCTGAACTACAGCTTAAATATTTAGACGGGCTCGTAAAATTGTGCCAAAAAGAAGACCTTGATCCTACACATATTTTAAAAAAATATATTTACCTCATGTGTAAATATCGCCCTGAAGAGGTTTTATTAGCTTTAAAATCAAGAAATGATTATCCAATAGATGAGTGTTTAGAAATATGCAGAGAATTTAACGTTTTAGATGCAAGTGCTTATTTGTACGAAGAACTTGGGGCGATACGAGAATCATTTGATATCCTTCTTGGATTTGTCAAAGATAAGCAGCAATTTTTATTTGAAATTGTGCAGAAAAAAGAAAAAATCCTTGCGTCTTATTTTGTAGATTTAAAAAAATCTATAGAAGAGACATTAAATCTATGTGCCAGAAATACAGACAGGCTTGATAAGATCGATAACGAAGAACATTGATTTATGCTTCTTAAAGAATCCCTTGACATTTATGCCCATTTTCAAGACTATTTTGTATTATACCCTGCTTTTGAGCCAGAAATAAAAGAAGTCATAAAAGAAATCGTCGAAAAAATGTCAGACAGCATCCTATTTAGCTCAATAATGAGCTACATAATAGAAAACTACAGTAATATCCCTATTAAATATTTCAAAGAAACCATTATAGGAGTACTATCAAGACTAGCTTATCAAAAAAAAATAATTCGCCTTGCCATTGATTTACAGAATAGAGACACAGTCCAGATGTCATATAAACTTTTAAAGCTAAAAAACCAAGGAATCAGCTCAAAAGACTTCAATTGTTCTAAATGTGAGGAGCCTATACAGTCAGACGAGATGATGAAAAGAATTGATGAAAAATTTCTTATGTTTATATGTGGGCATGCTTATCATGGGAAATGCATTGTAAAGCCAATATGTGAGAAATGTGATAGAGATGACTTTAGGAAAGGAGATTTTAATTCGAAATATTCTAATAAAAATTAAATGGAGTTAATACAGATAGGGAAATATAGAGAGGAATTAATAGGAGCAGCAGAGAGATTGAAAAGTCTAGAACCAGAAAATATAGAAGAGGTCTTAGTCTTAGTTAAATTTATAGAGTAGCTCCCGGCCAGGACCAAAGGTCCTTTTCTTCCGCCTTTTGAACGCCTCGCTTGCTTTCCTTGCCCTGCTCCCAGTGTGCATCTAAGTGCTGCAGGCTACCACTCAGCTCCTTCCGGTCATGGGGCTTGGTCATGCTATCCCGGAAGTAGGCGAACTGGGTCACCGTGCTTCACGTCGCCAGACTAGGGTTAGAGCTAAGGATTAACTCCTTAGCTCTTGTCGGCTCCTGCCATGCCCTCCAAATTGGCACTAGCGGTCCCTAGAGGAAAAACCCTTTTTGCCCCGTGTCCTATCGGGACGACCCTAGGATCGTCGTTGCTGGACTGGGAGGGAAACCTAGCCGGACACAAACTACCAGTACCCATTCCAGACCTTTCCCTGGATGGATTGGCTTCAGGCCGCAGCAAGGTCCCCAATCTCGCCACAGTTCCGGGAGAGGACGGGTCGGTGTCGTCGCCATTTTATTTGTGTAAATATAGAAGAGGTAGAAGTTGATGATTTGATTATTTTAAGCAAAAAAGAACTGATTGAGTTAGATATAAATAATCATGTGAGGCAATTTGTACCGGCTTTGGAAGAAGAAAATGAGGAAGATATAAGAGAAATTCTTGCACAAATAGAAGATCAGAATTTCAAAAAAATCGAGGATTATGAAAATGAAGAAAAAAATAGAATCACATTTCTTACTCACCCTCCCTGTGAGCGAACAAAAAATTTTGTTCGGGGGTTTAATTTTTTTTTCGAAATTTAAAAAAATCCCAATTTGTAAAATTGAGAAGTGAAAATTAACATAATTTGTAAAATTTATTTTTTTTAAAATGCAAGCTGTTTAAAATTAAATAAGAATTTTTATTACAATAATATTCACTTATATATCTTTTTTTCATAAAAATCTTTGTTTGCTCACGAAGAGTAGGTTTTACCCAAAAAAAAAGGGATTTTCCAATGGTTTTGTTGTTCACGGAGGAGGGAGTTAGAAGCTATAAGTAATATCTCATTAGTGCTTTTAAAAACATCAGCAGGATTACAGCTAAAGAAAAAAACGTCTTAAACCAAGACCCTTATTTTTCCTTTGAAGGGGATGCTCTTCCTGACGATACTCTTCTTATTTCAATCTCTATCTACCACCCTGTAAAAGGCTATAAAACACAAGAATGAGTTTTACTTTCCACAATGACCCTTCAAGCCCTAAAAGACTGCATCTATTGTCTATCAGATTTTATTACTTTTAATACGAATAACGGTCAAGCCACCTTCACTATTGAAGGAAAAAATATGTATTTAAATACAAAGCTAGAAGACCTTACCGTGGCAATAGGAAAGCCATATACATATAAACATAGACTCCAGTGTCATCATTTTATGATCTTTAATGACGTAAAACTAATATCTCAAGAAGACCCTCAATATAGGTCAGCATACCCATACCAAAAATTCTGTTCCAAAACAAAAAGACAGATATGTGAAATCTGCCAAAATTTTCATGCAAAATTTGTCTGTGTCAACGACATTATGCTTGACAAAAGCATTTGCTATATGTGTGAAACCTGCTTTAGAGACCTCCACTACTCAGAAAACGGTGAAAGGCTATATCAAGATTTTGAAGTCTATCCTTACATTCACGACTAACTTAAAATAAATATGCTTAATTAGAGTCTTCTGAGTTAAAATCAAAGTCATAGCTCCCAAAATCCCCCCCAGGACCTGAAAACAGCATATTATTCATTTTATAAGAGTCAATAAAGAAGTCATTTTCTTCTGGTTTTGGCTCTTCTTCTGACTGAGACTCTTCAGTCTTCGCCACAATTCTGCTGTTTAAAAGCTGATTTGTCGCAATAATTTGTGGCAAGGATGGTGCTTCATTTGAGTCTTCAATCTGGTCAAACCCGAATCTCTTTTTGAAAGCTTTAGACAGCTTCTTTTGGGATTTTCTATTTCTTTCCTCTACAAATTCTTCTTCTTGGTGGGCTTTTGAAGGAGTTTCTTCAGCTGCCGTCATTTTAGAGGCTAATTGTTCTCTGGTATCTTCAAAAATAGGTTTGTCATATTTTGTTGGCATGTATCTTACTATATAAGTTATAGCTTTATCTTTAGGAGAAGTCGCGGTTGTAGGCTTTTTTTTCTTATACATAATTAGAATTAGCTGTTATTATATGAAAATAAGATAAGGGCTACCACTACGAATGATTTTATTTATGAAAATTAGGTATATAAATAGAAACTTGGAAATATGTGGTCGCGAGAAGAGATATAGAAATGGTATAACAGATAATAATCATTTCTTGGGAGAGAGGGAAAGTAAATACGCTAAAAGTGTTTTTATTTGAAAAATCGTCAGGGACTATTACTTCTAGAGGGAAATAGTACATGTCTCGGTCTGTTATAAGCCAAATGTTAAGCTTGATATGAGGCTGATCGAATTGTGGGGAAAATAAAATATTGATATCAATATGACTCTGAGGCTCTATAACTCTCTCTTTTTTGCAATCTGGAATTTCTATGCCGTACATACTGCAAGAATACCCTTCAAGTAAAATTGTTTGTAAAGTCGCTGGATAATTCCCATTGTTCCAAAGCTCAAGAGTCCTATTAAATTTGAAATTGTTTATAGGAAATTTGACTGAATTTACAAAATTTTCAATTTCGTCCATAGACACGCTGAAAATAAATTCAGATAAACCTTTACGCTCAACAGTGCTGCAGGTTGTGGAGTCTTTTTCAGCTTTATTATAGAAAACAAGGCTTGATGCGACTGCTTCTCCAACGATGATTTTTTCTTCAAAAAAGGTATAATTGTTTCTGATTAGCAAAGTAGCGTTATATTTGCCAGTGATTGAAGGCTGGAAATAAACAGACCCAATGATAATTGAAGAGTGGGGTGGAAGAATGGTAGGAGCTTTAGAAGAAATATAAAATCCTTGAGAGGTTAATATGCTTTTTCTCTATAAATAAGGAATTTTGACGGTAAAATATATAATAAAAATATTAGAAAAAGCTAATAATCATGTATAAAGAGAATATATCCACTTCTGTATCACTATAAAGCGAGCACTCATCCTCACACCAATCATGACATATACAATGCAGTATATTTGACGGCAGCTTAGGCTTGATATAATATTTTGGCTCCTCAAAAAATGCACTAATCGCCCACATGATTTTTGAAAAAAATGAAAAATTTGTAAGTCTCCTCATAATAGGTTTGGCTACTTCTTCATTAATATGGTCAACAATTGGGATTTCTTCTGGGTGAGTTTTAGCACATACTTTATATGAGTGTTCTTTTAATACAAACGGATGAATATTGTCGAATTCTTCATCAGTATACCATGTTTTATTTTCCTGAATTTCACATTCTATATGTTTAAGTTCCTTTATTATTCATTTTTAAGCTGAATTAATACTAAAATATTGTTTTTTTTAAAAATAATTACTAATAATTTATTATGGAATATATAATTCGGTGCCAATATAAGCTGCACTAGCAGCGGATAATCAGTCGGATTTGTAACATTTACATCATTCTGCACCCTTGAGTTTACCTCAACAATTCCATAATTATTTTTGAAATCCACACCTATATAAGGCTCCTTAAACGATGAATAAATAGATGACGATATTTCAGACCCTACGTCAGTTTTTATATTAATCCTCCCTACAGCTTCTTTAAAAGCTGGCGTTTTTTTCTTTTCTTTCCATACAGATAAATCTCCATATGTCGGAAAAACTGAATAGTCCACGACAGGGTCATTTTCTAAGTTATAGCGCTGGATAAAATGAATAAAACCTATTGAAACTTCTTTTCCTGACGGTATCGTATAATTCACAATTTCTGGGCGCAAAAATGCTTGGTCAGTCTCTATATACGTAACTTTTAGGTCATATTCACAGGTATTTTTTATTATGATTGGCCGTGAACTTGTAACTCCTGGCAAAAGGTCTGTGAAATTAATAGGATGCAGCTCTAAAGTGCATGATAAAGATTTATATGAAATCGGAATATGAAGGTCGCCCATTGGAGTTTGGACTTTTATAGGTGGCTGGATTTCTGGCACAATTATTAAATTCAGCTCCATATACACAGTGAACCCTGATTTTATAGTTAAATGTGTAGGATTTATAGACAAGCTTCTATCAACCTTATGAAGAGTCCCTTTTTGATGTCCCCAGTCTAAGAAATATAACACTTTTATGGTATAATGACTAGAATTCATATGAAAAGTAATATTCGCGTCATTCAAATTGGGGTTGTTAATAGCAAAAGATTTCGTTTTGCTTTGGCCCATCAGGACAAGCCCAAAGTCAAGCTTCCCTTCAAAAGGGTATTCTACGTGGCTATCAATTTCAAGAATAATCAAATTGCGCCTGTCCTGGACCATTTTAAATGGGATCATTCCTAGGTTAGTGACTAATTGGAGATAAGAACTGTCAGGCTTGTCAAATTTTGTGTTTATTTTAAAAGAAAATTCTGGGTCCAAATGATAAGGCGAAATTAACGCACCTGGCTGGAATTGCAAAGTTGCCCATTTTGGAGCTATGATGTCATTAACAATAATAGGGTTTTCTATATTACTTAATAAAGAAACATGTCTTTCAGAGTCTTTTTGGTCCACAAAGCAAAGCGATTCAGGCTTATAATCAATTATATTATAATAAACAATTGAAAAATACTCAATAATCAGGTCATTTTTGCTGGTAGGAATTTTTATTTTTCCGTAAAATTCGCCTTCTTCATAAGAAGTAAATGAAAGGTACCCAATTACTTCGTCTTTTTCTTTAGCCTTAATTGAAGTTTTGTTTAATTCTAAAGAAAGATAGTCTTTTGATATAAAAGATTTATATTCAAGTATGTTTATAGGCTCATTTCCATAGTTTGTTACTATAATAGGTGCTTTATATGTGAAATCTTTTTCATTTATCACCCCAAAATAAATAAATCTATTTTTTGTATTTAACCCATTGTTATAGACCCTAATAGTGACTGGAATAAATAAATTATCATGAGAAAGCTTCAGCTGAAACTTTGTGTGGTAAACCCCTTCTTTCTTATAATTAGACGTAATTCTGGCTATTTTTGCTGTTTTTCCAGGATAAATAATCATTTTTTCATTGGGTTTTTCTAATTCAATTTTCATATGAAAATCCAGGCATTCTATATATTCAACTCATATAGACTCAGAATGAGGGTTATGCAAATAAAAGTCTTTGTGGATAGGCTTGCCGAAGGATTCTATGCTAATTTCTTCAAGATTGTAGATATTTTGGGAACAGGCTCCTTTTAGCTGATAAATCGTTGGGGTTGAGTTTGTATTGATTATCCAATGTGCACTGAGGCTGCCTAACTCTGTTGGGGTGAATAGGAATTTAAACTCAACTGAGGTTTCAGGAGAAAACGAGTATCTTGGCAAGTTCTGCAAGCGAAAATGTGAAGAGTCTGTCATAAATTCGCTGTGAATGAATATTCTGCTCATTTTCGATTTGTTTGATATAAAGGCTGAGGCTACTTGTGTGGAGAACAGGGTTGTATTGGAGAATTCTATGATGAATTTTATTGATTTTATCAATAAATTGTAATGCATTATTTTATAGAAAATATTTAATAGGAAACAGTATAACACTTGTGGGCTTATGCTTAACCCTTTCATTCTGGTAAATGGCTCATATAATGGGAAGCTGCTTCTAGGGAATATCTCATTTATTGCATTTTTTGCATGGTTTCTCCCAATAAGTTCAATAGAATCGTCTACAGGTTTTACCTTAAGCTTGATCGGAGGGCTGCCAGAAACCACAAAGACTGTTGAATTTATAAGACAAAAGAGACTAGAAAATAAAATCACAACTAGTAATTTCATTATCGAAATAAATGGATTTTTTGTTTTCAATTAATAAACCCTGATATATCTGAAAGCATATGAATTATTTATTTCTTTTTACCGAAAGGATTGGACCAAACCTTTTTAGGAGGAGAAGTATTAAAAACTTCTTTGAAAAACGTTCTAAAGCCAAACGAAGACAGTAGGTTTCCCATCTCGAACTCACACATAACCCTTACAAATTCAGCTTCATCAATAACCCTTGACGTTTTATCTGCAATAATCCCATCACATATTTTTTTAATCCCGTCTGCTTCGACCTGTTTCAGCTCGTCTAAGTATTTTTTATTTTTCAGCTCAAGAGACTCCGAGCACTGTTGTGTGGTCACCAAATTTCCAAGACTGTTGACGCAGTGCTGGAAAATTGTTTTGAAGACTTGGTCTTTAAGTCTGCTTATTTCGATAACTCCTTCTGATGTTTCGTCAAATACTTGAAATAATAAACTTGCTTTATCAGCATTGCTTCCTTTGCCTAGCATAATGCCAATAACCAGGAGATCTCTTAAGAAATATTCGCCTTCTTCTTTCCTTAAATTATATCATTTATTACGTTTATTTCTTTTGAAAACTATATTTTAATAGTATTTTTAGCCTTTTAGAATTAATTTTGGCCTATATTTGCTAATTAAAATGAATTTTGGCATGCCAAAATCATAGGAATTGTTTTAAATAAAGATAAAACATTTCGTTGATTTTTACATGTGGGCCGAAATCTACGATATTAATTCTTAGCTGCCGTGAAATTCTTTTAAGCTGAGTTTGGTTGATTCGTCCCATATGGCTGAACTTTCGGAAGGTGCTGTCTATTAAATGAACGTTAATGTCTTGGAAACCTAAGCCTTCTTCGGCTGCAGATATGATTATTTCTTCAGATGATCTTGGCCTTGACTTTTCACAACCCATTTTTAACAGATTATTATGACGTAAAACTCTTCTTTATGATCTATTTATTGAAAATTAATTTTAGCTTAAATATTTGTTATTTATTGTGGTTTTTGTTTCTGGCAGCCTAACGTCATATTTTTTATCAAATTAGGCTCTATTATGCTTACGAACTCATCAAAAGGGCACATTTCTACACACCCAGGCAAGGTTAAAACATTATCATTATAAATAATTGATACAAAATATCCTCCGTTTTCTCCATATAGCTCAAATATAAGAGTTGAGGCAAAAAGAGGATTCCAACCATCCCATACACCTAAGAATATTAAAAATCCTGCCAAGGTTGTATCATGAGCTGAATAAAGAGAAAGTTTTACAGTCGGCTCATTTAAAATTGTCATATTAAATTGCTGAATAATTGTTTTAAAAAATTCTGTTGATGATAGTGCTGCACCTTCTGGGGTAAAATAATAAGTATTTGTGTAATTGTACATGCCTATAAGCTCCATATAGATCTCATAAGTAACTCCTTCAGGTAGCGGAAAACCGTCAAAAAGCTCACAAACCATGGTATCTCCAAAATTAGAAGCGTCTTCATAAGATGCATTTGTGTTGAAAATTTCATTGACTTGAGCTTGAAGTCCAGAATTTATGTATTCTGTTACTTTTTCCTGGTATGCCTGAGTGTTAGGAATATCATTATAAAGCTGGTCAAATCTGGGGCAAGAATCTCCAAAAGCATATAGCATGGTATCATGTTTCATCTCTACTACATGTATAGGAATTGGCTGACGTTTTATAGGTAAAGCATAGTTCCCAAGCTTAGCTTGGATATCAGGGAGACCATTGATTTGTATAGGAGGGACTGCTTTTTGCAAATTTGCATTAGCAATTTTGGGGCCATTTGGATAAAGGCCGGTTAATAAACTTTCGGCGCTCATGATGGTTCTGTTTACGTCTGTTGAGCGGACGTATATTTCAGTACTATCATAATTTGGCTTTAAAAACGACTGATCAATTATATATCTCTGTCTGAGCTGGACACCGTTTAGATAGTGCTGCCTCATTCCGGCTGGAGTCAGCTCTTGAAGTCCTTGAGGTCATGTAGCGGTATCTCAGCTGTATTTGTAATAAGAAGCTCTTGCTCCATGCCGAAAAGTAATAGCTGATGATAATAAAGCTGCCTGAGCTATTGGGATCAGAAGCAATATTATCATCAAATTAAAATATTTATTCGACAATGCAAGAAGTTAGCAAGTAATTTATTTTAATAATGAAGTAAACTATAGAAAAAGTTTATTTATATTATCACATTTCTTAGCTTCAAAAGAATTAAATTTTCAATAATCGCTTGAAATTGATATGAAATTATAAGGTTTTTGCTGATAATTATCTTTTGGATAAAACAATTATCCAAAATTTATTTCATTTAAATTGAATTATATTTTTCATAGGTTAAAATAATTTATATATTAATTTGATATCTAATTTAATGTTGAAAATCAACGATTTACATATATTTATTTATTAAAGGATTTAGCAAGTCTGAATGAGACGAGCAGCCACTTGAGGGAAGTTTTTCAATTGTTGCAAGTTCAGTATATTTTGCATTAGGAATTGAAGGCGAATGGAGCTTTAAAATAGGTAAAAATGCTTCATAGGCAAAACATCCTTAAAAGTATATAATATTAAACAGAGATTATTAATTAATTCTTCTTATCTTATTCCTAGGTTCAAATGCTATTATTAAAAATCTTTGCAAGAATTCTTAAAAACCAAATTTGGGCATATATTCCTAAAATATTCATCTGTATATTGAAAGTTTCTTCAATGCGACTTGAATTTCAATTTCAATTTGGATATAACAATACATTACCTATAATAGCAGCAGTTGCTAAATAAAATAATTCTACAAGTATTCTATTTCAACTCCCAAATATTTCTTCGAATATGCTTGCAGTCAATATCATTGCAAATACAAAGGAAAATATTTGAATATAATACTGAAAAATACAAAAAACAAACTCATGGTTATGCAAATAATTTTTATCCTTTTCATACTTGTGGATGAATTCTTGATTAGAAGAGCGTAGTGGTTCAAGAGCTGAATCGAAACATATGCCAAAATAAACGAAAATCATAACTGGTAATCCTATTGTTAATCCTACACATAAAATCCATACTATTCAGGCAATTAAATCATTATCAGAGACTGACGTTGTTTTTATAGCAAGTAATGTTCCAGTAAGCATTGAAATATTGTAAAAATAAAAGACTGGGCTTGGACTTGTGAATCAATAATATCTAATTTTTTTTCCTCAAATAATAAAAATTGAGAAGCAAACAAAATAATATAAGAAATATTCTAAAGAGCTTGAAATAGAATAATAAAAGAGTAAGGATAATGAATTAAATAGCCCTGGCAAGGATAGCCAAAAATTGCTCAATTTATCTGCAAATTTGGAGCATAGTAGAATTGATATAATCCCAAATATTCAGAAACTGTATAAGCTATATACAGATATGTGCTGCCTTGCAAAAATAAGGATAGGCGTGCTTAGTCATAAAATTTCTTCGGAAAAATACTTATAATCTCATCCAGAAGTGACTAATCAAAAAAAGCCATCATATAAAGCTTCAGAAAATAGAAGTGGGAAGTAATTCGCTAAAAATACTGACGATAAAATGTAAGGTATTTTTCTGTCATTACGGAAATAAGGAGTATTATTCGCTGTAGCATAATAACTTGGAATGATTAGTAATAGATGAAGCCATCATAATAGCTTCATATTTTATTTATATTTATAAACATTTTAACGAATTATCAAAAAATTACACCCATAAAAAGATCAAAGATTGCTTAGCCTTGCCCAAAGGATTCAATAACTCTTATGACAATTGACAGCAAACCTGAGCTCCAACAAATATACTTGGAATTCGCAGCAAGTTTAAATGAAATTATTTTCCTTTTGAGTCAATTTTAACGGAAAGCAAAACTGAATCCAAAACAACGAAGCAAACTGCATTTGATCAAATCTCTTTCCACAAGATACCCATATCATGGATTAAATTTCTTCAATAAAGAATTACCGTTCCAATAACACAAATTTAGCTGAAAAGCTGTTTTTAGTACAAAACAAGAAAGTCTCATTGAAAATTATGATGGGTTAAAACTAGAAAAATATTAAATGGAAGAAAAAATAGAATTTAATGCTGTGGTGAGACAAAAATTTAATTCTTCTGATAGGCTTTTTAACGAGGGAAGATTTTAGGAATTTCTATATTCACTCAAAAATGGCTCAAAAGAAATTAGACTTCCCTACATTATGTGTGTAGCCACAGTGAGCAAAAGAGACTTCGGATGCTCTTTTTAATTATGTCAGAATGATCAGTTCAATTAGTTTCTAAATAAAAGTATTAATTAAATTTAACTCTATTGTTTCATTCTTCCTCCGCTAACTCTATCCTCCAAATTAAAGTGTAGGCTTTCGCTGGATCAAGTCTCCTTTCTTTTGCATTCTTGATGGCTATCTCAGCATATTTTCTAGCTTTTTGGCAATTTCCATCACAAAAATGGTATAGCCAAAGCTCTACGGCTCCTTCAAAGCTTTTATTATTTTTGATAGCTTTTTTATAAAGTTCGACGAGTTTATCTCATTCGTAATTATCCCTGGAATCATCAGCTAGCCAAAGAGTAGCATCTTCGTAGTTTTCTTTTTCTGATAGCTCAGTTATTCTTCTGATAGACTCGGCTCTATTTTGGCGCAAGCTACTTATGTTTCTAAGAAACTTTTCTTCTAATTTCCTCTTTAAAACACGAGCAATATGAGTCAATTTAAACGCTAGGTAGGGGGAGCGGGATTATGATAAGAACTCAATGGAACATATCTGTTCTGGAAGAATTTCTATTTTTGTTTGATTCAAAGTTAGCCATTATTTTTATTTCAAATGCAATAGCCCCATTTATATGATGCTGAATTTAAGCAAGCTGATATAATTTAAAGGCAGCTAAATTTTTATACTTTTAATTTATGCAGTTTATTTAAGTAATTACTAACTCCTGAAATTGCCAGTTCGAAGCTTTTATTTCACCTTTTAGAATTTAGTAAGCTTCGAACATTCAGCTATATTGAACTAATGCAAAATCTTTCATTTATTTGAAAAATAAAAATTATTTCATTATTTTAGCTTTAAGTATTCTCATTTCAAAGAAAATCTCTTATTATCTATGAGGCCGTTGAATAATTATGTTAATAGCGAGATTTAATTCTATTCATGCAGCATTATCAGTTCTAACACTAAATAGGCTAAATGTTCCTAGCTATTAATTAAATTTTGCATATATTTCATGAAGGGAATTAGTTATTTCTATTTTTAACTCTTTATATAAACTCCATGCAGTTTGATTTCTTTTGCATTTCATAAATCATTAAAATAGTTCTTTTGCTTATTATTTTAAAAAATATAAATTAAATCATAGATTATATCTCTAATTTATTTGGCTCATAAATTTATTTGAATATTTTTATTAGTCTATTTCTCTATCGCTGCTCTTGAATACACTTGTTTCTTCAACATTAAAATCGTATTTCAGACTGCAAGCTTTATTTAAATCTAAAGTTAGCTTCTCTGCAACAATTTTTTGAAAATCTTCCCACAGACAATCCTCTTTGCACTCTTGAAGTTTAACGTGAACATCATTATATAAAATTTTCACATAATTCTCATTATTTTCTTGATGAAGTTCAAATGTAATATAAGCGCCAAAATCTGGATTATTTCCATCCCATATATTCAAAAATTTTAAAAAGCCAACCAGCGTTGCATCATGAGCGAAGTAGAACCCGAATTTTTCTCGGAAATCATTGTTTATTTTCCAATTAAACTTCTCCAAAAGTTCTTTGAAAAATTTTGATGATACCAAGCTTGCACCTTCTTTATTAAAAGCATAGGAATTTGTATAATTATGAAGTCCATGGATTTTTCAATACAAATCATAATTTGTATTTTTGGGTAAGCCTAATTAGTAAGATTGGCTAATATTATATTTTTAAAAATTGGCCCTAATGATGATGGAATATTTAAGTAAATAATGTATAATTCATAGCCATGAAACAGCTCACACTGTATTGTATCTGCATATTCCCAAGACTTTTCAAGTGACACGTCAGTATCAAAAGAGTCTCTCATTTCAAGCTTTGTGCCTAAATTGTATTCAAGTACTTTTTGCTTATATTCTTCAGTTTGCCAAACCTCATAAAATATTTCTTTAAGCCTTGGGCATACTTTTGAGCTTCACCCTACAAGCATATGATCCAGCTTCTTTTTTATGGAATAAACTTTGACTTTTGTATGGGTATTTGGTAACTCAATAACATATAAATTAAATTTTTCATCTCCTAATACATACTTAGAGGGAAAAGCAAGACTTTCAAATATACTGCTTATAATGAAAATAATAATAGTTTATTTTTTTATAATAGTAAATGCTTTCATTGATTTTAAATAAGTTTAATACTTCAGGATACAAGGATTCACTTGATAAAAATCCCATCATGAAAAATTGAGCGCTCATTATTGCTCTTTTTGAGTCAGATGATCTGACATAAATTTCTTTGGATATATTATTTATATCAAATTCGCAGCCTGAGCTGAGGTAACGGTCTTTTAGCTTTAGGCCAAGATTGTATTCTTGAATCATCCCTTCAAGTGTGAGCTCTCCAAGCCCACGTGGCCAGTAGCCTGTGTCTCAGCTGAAGCGATTTACAGGAGATCTTGCACCGTGTCTGAAAACGGTTACTGAAGAGAGCAACGTTGATTCTACAAATGCCAAGAGAAATAGTAAAAGCATTACTAGATCAGTTATTATAATTAAAATGAAAATTGAAATAAATGCTCCAGCAGACATTTATTTATTAACTTAATATTTTAATGATGATAGTCTTTAAGAGTGCATCTTATCTTTTCTGAAAACCTTGGAATGATGCTTCAATTTATGATCAGACTGAAATAGATCATAAAAAATAATAGAGCATCCAGAAAATAATTATAGAAAATAGGATTTAAGTAATCAAGCTTAGCTAATAGTGAGTAAAAATAAAATGGCATAAGAAATGAGCTTAAACTTTAAAATTAATACGATAAATATTTTTTAAGTAAATGATAAAGATTTTAAGAAAAATTTTCAGGCTTAAACAATAAAATTATATTCTATCTATTTGACATATTCAGAAATTGAAAATGTGATAAAAAAGAAATAAATAGATGTATACGCCTATCGGTTTAATTTATAATGATTTATAAATTAAGGCGTATTATTATGCTTTGAGAGATTTAGCATCATATTTATTTCAGAATTATTTAATTTTTATTTTATAATTAAGCTATCTCTATCAGAATATGATTAAAGGGTATTTCTTATCACATATACTTCATAAATAAAGCATAAAAACTTTGAAATTAAAATTTATCGTAAAAGTAACCTAAATTCTTTGTTAGTTTTTGACATAATTTCATGCAGCAGAACTGAATTAATTAAATGGTTCTCAATTAAAGCTAAAAATTTTTAAATTCAAAAAATCTCGAAGTCCAACCTAAATTCCCCAGCCACGTTCTAATAAAATTCCCCATTTCAAAATACCTTTCAATTAATCTTTTAGTTTTGCTTTCATAACCAAAATTCTTTTGCAATATTTATATTTTAATACTCAATAAATCTAGGAAAATTAGAAGTATATAAGAGCCTTGAAAATATGCTTATCATTTTAAGTTTTGTGAAATCAAAGTCATATCATGATTTCACAGCGTAAAAGCAAAATTTCGTTTTTTTATAACTCCCTCATCCTAAGGGAGAAAAACAATTGGAAAAATCTCTATTTTTTCCAAAAACTCACTCTTTATCAGCGAGCAAAAATTTTTTAATATAATATTTTTTATAAAAAAAATTTGATATATAAGTGATAATTATTATAATGAAATCTCTAGCTAATTCTGTTTAATTTTAATTAACTTTTACTTTAAAACATAAATTTTATAAAATTAAATTAATATTTACTTTAAATTTATCTCGAATAGGGATTTTTTTAAAGTTTGAAAAAAATAGTTTTTCAATAATAATTTTTTTTTAAAAATTATTTTGCTCACTCTCGTAAAGAGAGGAGTAAATATGAATCCTGCACTGGTTATTAAAATTAAATGAAAATATCAACAAATTACTGGTGGGAAGAGGAATTCCTAGAAGGAGTACAAAATTTCAAGGAAATTCTTATTTTTATTGCTGTTAGCACAAGTATTTTAACAGTATTATTATCATTATTTTATGATCGTATTAATTCATTATGAATTGGAAGTACAATAATGGCAATAATAGTAATAGGAGCTGCGTATCTGTTTTGCACAATTGAGTTCGAAAATAAGCTGATCCTTGCTATACCAGTAGCAATACTAATAAAAATAATATGTGGAATTCTTTATTTAGCCTCAATATATATACCAAAATAAAGTGAAAGAACTATAATCGTTTTATTAAAACCCAACCATTATTAATTTTTATTATATTAAAGCTTCAAATTTATTCTTACCATATTTCATTCAAAATAATTCACATCAAAAAGCATACAATTTCGACTGAATTTCAAGTTTTATTTATATTCCAATCAATGACAATTTATATATATATTGAATTTAAAAGAAGAAAGAAAAGCTTTGAGAGCTATGCTTATATTAAAAAATTAGAGTTCATTAAAAAAAGGCTAGAAATTATTTTGCATGCATTTCCAGAAGGTCTTTTAGTGCTTTCAAGAGACCTTCACATTGAATATATAAACATGCGCTTTTGCAATTTATTAAATTGTGACGAACAAGGAGCTTTAAAAATTCTGACTCCCCCCCCCCCCCCTCCGTGAGCGAACAAAAAAATTTTGTTCGCTCACGGAGGGGGGTTAATTTTTTTTTTTTAAAAAAAATTTATATATAAATTTTATAAAAAATATTTTTTTTCGAAATTTAAAAAAAATCCTAATTTGCAAAAATTGGGAAGCAAATATTAATTTAATTTGCAAAATTTATGTTTTTAAAACGCAATTTGTTTAAAATTAAACAGAATTAGCTCTAGATTTCATTATACTAATTATCACTTATATATCAAAATTTTTTTCCATTAAAATTTTTTCTATTAAAAAAAATTTTTGTTCACTCACGGAGGGTGGGTTTTTGGTCAAAAAATGGCGATTTTTCTAATGGTTTTGTTCGCTCACGGAGGGGGGGGGGGGAGTGAGCAACCTTGAGTATGACTCAGACAAAAAATTTTTTAATAATTTGACAGAATCCAATTTACTTATTGATGACATAAAAGAATGCTTTAACCTTATGCCAAATCAAGAAAAAATCCTTGGGATTGCTCAGTATAGCTATATGAGTCTTGAATGGAAAATCAATAAAATAGAATGGGGAAATGATGAAGCTGTATTAATTACAGCAAGAAACGTAACACATGTAATTGAATTAGAAAAAAATTCAGCTGAAAATAGATGCAAAATTGCATTAATTAGGTCGCTTTCTCATGAATTGAGAACTCCAACTGCTAATATCATAAACTTTACAAATCAGGTCATTGATGAAATTGGCAATATTTCTGAAGAATTACAAGAAAAATTGCAATGCATTTGTGTGTCTTCAAAAATCCTTTTGTATTTAATTTGCGATCTATTGGATTTTTCACAAATTACCCAATCAATTTTCAGTGCTAATAAGCATAGATTTAATGTTCATGGGATTTTCAATGAGCTATATGATATTTTTAGGGTTGTTGCAAAGAGAAAAAACTTACCCCAAAATTATTAATAAAAAAATAAAATTAAAAAAATAATAATTATTTTTTTTTAAAAAAAATTATTTTCAATGGAAAATTAGACTTAATTTTAAGAATTGATCCAGAACTACCAGAATTTGGGTATTCAGATTCTTTAAGAATCAAACAAATTATTGTGAATTTTTTAAACAACGCAATAAAATATACAAGTAAAGGAACAATTGAAATCTGTGCACTTTTGAGCCAAGAAGGAAAATTAAAAGTTATGATAAAAGATTCAGGTATTGGGATCCCAGAAGAGCGGCTTTCTCAATTATTTAAAATATTTAGCTCGGTGTATTCATCTGATGTAACTTCACAAGGATGTGGCCTAGGCCTGCACATTTCAAACTTACTTTTAAATAAATTGGGAGGCTCAAGTATCTCTGTGGAATCTATATCTGGAAAAGGAACAACAATTGGTTTTGATTTAGAAATATTTGAAAATGTCCCTAGCTTTGAATCTCATGAAGAAGATCCTTTAGTTCCTGATGAAAACCCTTCTATAAAAAAGATTAAATTGAATATTTATATTCTCTATATAAGAAAATTAAGTCTGATAAAGCTAATTTTTTAATTAAATATAGGTTTAGAGATCATTATAGATAATTATAATAAAAAAAAAGCAGATGAATTGCCAGAAATTTTGATTGTAGATGATATAGAATTCAATCGTGCGGCATTAGCTTCTATCCTTGATGCTAATAGAATTCCTTATATTGAAGCTGAAGATGGCAAAGAAGCAGCATTAACTGTACAAAGATATAATTCAACTGAAAAACCTTTAAAATTAGTAATAATGGACTGTGGGATGCCTGTCATGGATGGATGACAGTCAACAAAGGAAATAAAGCACTTATTTGAGGAAGGAAAAATTAAGCATATGCCTCATATTATTGGGTATTCAGCATTCACATCAGATGAGGACATTAAAATGTGCTACGCTGCTGGCATGACCAGTTATATATCAAAGCCAGCATCAAAAGAATTGATTCTAGAAATCGTGAAGCAATATGTTGAATAGCCAATTTAAAATGCAGCAAGAGGGATTTCTGATTGCTGCTTAGAGGTATATTAATTTAAAGTAATTTAATTTTTAATATTTTGGATGATTTTTAAGATGAATTGATAAAGCTATTTTTGGAAATGCTTAAATAAATAATAATTTCTATTTGAATGTCTTTATGTTCATAGTAAAACTCCTAATCACTCAAGAAGTTCTTTTCTGTAGATTTAATTGCTAAGCTTGGCTTTATTAGTTTAATGCAAGAACTTTTCATGAGGTATATATATTACGTAAAATAGATTTGCTGACTCAATTGAGAGAAAATTTTTTCCTAGTCAAATTTTATTTTTGATTTTAGCTTTAAGCATTCTGATTTCAAAAGAAAATCTCTTATTAGCTGTAAGGTCATTGAATAATTATATTAATAACGAGATTAGTTCTATTCATGCAGCTTATCAGTTACTAATACTTAATAGGCTAAATGTTTCTAAGTTATTAATTAAATTTGGCATATATTTTATGATAGGAATTAGCTATTTCTATTTTTTAACTCTCTATATAAAATTCACTTATTAAACGTTTCATAAATACATAAAATAGTTCTTTTGGCAGTCATATTTATGGGGCTATCGTAAATAATGGCTGACTCAAACGCAAATATATCCAAAGCAAATTCAGCTTCATCGATTTCTTTCCATAATCCTGAGCAGCTCGTTAATTATGAAGATCTAACATTAGAAGAAAAGTTTCTTAGAAACATAAGTAGCTTGCGCAGCAATAGAGCTGAGTCTATCAGAAGAATAACTGAGCTATCAGAAAAAGAAAACTACGAAGATGCTACTCTTTGGCTAGCTGATAATTCCAGGGATAATTACGAATGAGATAAACTCGTCGAACTTTATAAAAACTATTAAAACCAATAAAAGCTTTGAAGGAGCCGTAGAGCTTGGGCTATACCATTTTTGTGATGGAAATTATCAAAAGGCTAGAAAATATGCTGAGATAGCCATCAAGAATGCAAAAGAAAGGAGACTTGATCCAGCGAAAGCCTACACTTTAATTTGGAGGATAGAGTTAGCGGAAGAAGAATAAAACAATTGGGTTAAATTTAATTAATACTTTTATTAGAAACTAATTGAACTGATCATTCTGTCGTATAAAAAAGAGCATCCGAAGTCTCTTTTGCTCATTGTGGCTATACACATTATGTAGGGAAGTCTAATTTCTTTTGACCCATTTACGAGTTCATTTGTCAATTCTAAAATTCTTCATAAATGAAAAGGACCATCGGAAGTATGAAACTGATTGCCCAGCACAGCATTAAATTCTTTTGCTCTTCCATCCCAGCTCTCTTTTAGTTTAATCCATTTAAGTATATGTTAGACTTTCCCAATTGTCACTAAAATGTCTTTCCAATTAAAGCTTGTGCCATTGGAACGGTATTTCTATATTCCAGCATTTATATCCATCTAATGGAGCAAGATTTAATGAAATGCAGTTACTTTTTAATTTGGATTTTGTTTCGCTTTCCATTAACGCTGATAAAAAATGAAAATTATTTAATTTGATGTTACAGCTAATTCCAAGCAGATATATTGCAGCCTAAGATTTGCTTATCAATGATGATGAGACTAACTCATAACATTGGGAAAGAAAATGTTTCTTAGTCCTTTTATGAGTATAATTTTTATATTATTAAAATGTTTATAATTAGATGCCAATTTGGCTGACTTTATTTTCTTAGCTCTTAATTTCTACGCTATTCTAATCAAGAATGCTGTCGCAAGTATGAAAAGGATATAATTCTTTACATATCCATCTATATGCTTTTTGTGTATTTCTCATATATTTTTATTATATTTGCAATGGAATTGACTTCAAGGATATTAGGAGAATACTCCGCAGTTGAAATAAATGATTATATAATTCCAAATTTAGCAGCTGCTGGTATTATAGGTAATACATAGTTATACCAAATTTAAATACAAATTCACGCAAAGATGAAAGTTTCAATATACAGACGAATGTTTTAGGAGTAATGCCCAAATTTGGTTTTTTTAAATTTTGAATCTTTTAAATAGCATTTGAGCCTTGAAAATATGATGATAAATGCACTATCATTAATCTATTTCTGCAGAGAGTTATAATTTTATTGTGAGTTAAAATGGTGAAAAATATTATAGTAAATGAAATGTGGAATTTTCTGCAGTTTATCAACACCTTTTCTTTATTAACTAGAACATCAAATCTAATAAGATATCTAATTCCAAAACCGAATATTTTAATCCATTAATAAAATGTTCAACAAAACTCCAAAGAATGAAACTAATTCGCTGTCACCTATTAAAGATTTAAAATTGCCCGAGTTAGCCAAAACTTCTGATTCCAAGCAAAGAAAGGACTATTCTATATTTAAAGAACCAATTGTACAATTATTAAAGCAGAAACCACTTCCTCCATGGAAACGATTAGACGGAATAAAGCCAAGCGGATATGAAGGGAAAGGACCTCATTTTACAGATTTTTGGTCCACAAGGGAAAAACTTATAGCCATGAAGATGCTAAATCCGAATTCAGTAAAGAGTAAAGTTGCTAAAGTATTTTACCAAAGCGAAAAATTGAGGAGAAAAAAATCTTTCGATCAGAAATTTCTTAAAAGGTTACCGATGCTTGCTGAAGAAGATTTTAACCTGGAAAGGTGTACTTTTTCGCCAATTAAATCGAAGTCTACTAAAAATGTAATAAAATTAACGTCTGATTTTATTTAATCTATAATTTTGCTTACTCTTCTTGCGAATAAGTTAACTGATAAATATTTATACTTGTATTTATTATTTTTAATTGCTAAATAAATGCATTATTCAACATATAAAGTTTAATAAAGCCAGATAATATATAAATGCTTGTGAAGAATTCAGATATATATAGTGTCTGCACCACTATAGCGTACCTTTACGCTAGCTTCTCCACAGCAGCCTGGAGCTCTAACGAGCCACCTAAAAGGTATAGAAATTGCCCCACACGGGAATTGAACCCACGTGTGGGGCCATTTTTGGTACATGGAAGTCAATATTCTCCACATACCAAAAATGGCCCCACACGTGGGCTCAATTCCCGTGTGGGGCCTGTTTTTTGAATTGCCCGAGGATGGCGCAAAATAGCACCATCCTCGGGCAATTTCTATAGCAATCAACTTCAAGTTGCTGCGGAGAAACCAATTTCAAAGCACGCGCTATAGAGGTGTACATTATATTTAAATTTATATTCTTTTTATTTAATAGAAAGTAGCATCTTAATATCATATAAAGGAAAGTTAGGTTCTCTAGATATTCCATAGATATTCATTGAACTTTAATGGATTTACACAAAGGTGAATCAAATATGGAAAATGACTTACTCCCCCCCCCCCCTCCGTGAGCGAACAAAAAAATTTTGTTCGCTCACGGAGGGGGGTTAATTTTTTTTTTTTAAAAAAAATTTATATATAAATTTTATAAAAAATATTTTTTTCGAAATTTAAAAAAAATCCTAATTTGCAAAAATTGGGAAGCAAATATTAATTTAATTTGCAAATTTATGTTTTAAAACGCAATTTGTTTTTAAAATTAAACAGAATTAGCTCTAGATTTCATTATACTAATTATCACTTATATATCAAAATTTTTTTCCATTAAAATTTTTTCTATTAAAAAAAAATTTTGTTCACACTCACGGAGGGTGGGTTTTTGGTCAAAAAATGGCGATTTTTCTAATGGTTTTGTTCGCTCACGGAGGGGGGGGGGGGAGTTAGCACAAAGTTATAAGTGATCATAGCCTTTATGTAACAAAATATCATAGAAATGAATCAATTAAGATTTCTGAATAAAATATTATTATCTAATCCTAGCAGTTCGAAGTTTATCGAAAAATTATTTTTATATAAAAATCAGCGAATCTGTAAATAATCCAAATGCTCTTAACCGCTAATTATAAATACCCAACTTCTTAATAGTCTGTTTTTTCAACTAATTTCACATGAAAATTATATTCTTCTGATCCCATTTATTTTTGTTATTATTTATCTAAATTATTCACATCTGTTTCTGATTTAAAGTCTAAATTCAACGATTCTCCAGAGCTGCTTTGGTCATCTTTTTTAATTTCCAGCTCTCTATTAGAATTTTGTTTTTTGATCCTTCCTTTATATTTTTGTATATCTTCAGCACTTATATTTGCATATTGGCTAATCATAAACATTTGCCTTTCTAATTGAAGCCTTCTTGTTACAGCTGGAGAAGTAAGAGACGAGCCTGAAGAATCATAATGGGTAGAAGCATGAGAGCGTCTTGTACTATACCTAAATTTATAGACTTAAAACTATATATAATAAAAAATCATTTTATTTTTTAAATAAAATAAATATGGTTACTATTAGAAAATTTTTTAATCAGAATAGATTGATATAGGAGATGACTGGCCTTTTGTTCTTTGTTTGGTAGTTTTATTCTTTCTTTTAGTGCTGAATTCAGAATTAAGAGGAGATTCAAGAATTCTTTTTACGTTAGCACTGACTGGTCTTGAACTTAAATAGTCACTAACTGTATGGAAAACTGCTTTTGCTTCATCAGGGACATTTAGGTCAATTTGTAGCCTTGGAATGCTGCTTTTCTGTTTTTTAGCTTTTCTGATGTGGAATCCTTTATTTTTCATTAAAATTGCTTTGCAGCTTTCAGGCCTTGGAAGCGGCAAATCAGTTTTTGAATATTTTAGGTTTTTTGACCCTCCAAAAGACCCAGGTGCTTTTGCAACATTATAAGGGCTTGTTACATCTTCCATTCTTCTAAGCTCAACATTCGTCAAATGCGGGGAATAAAACTCATTTTCTTCAATATGCTCCCCAAAAGTCTTATCACTTAAAGCTTCAGCTCCAAAAAGCTCCATTCATTCTTTAGGCAGTGGGTCTGTCGTCATATAATGATCCTCAGGGATATACGCATTTTGCTTTTTTTCTAGCAAAACCTTGATTTTTTTACTAGGAATATTTTTATCACAGCTAAGCCCAATTATAAGTGATAAATTCCCTTTTACAGATCCTTTGGCATCAAATAGCAAAACTTGCTTTTTCTGATATAATGCGCAGCCAACAGGCAAACTTATAGGCAGCCCAGTTAAGGAATTTTCTCTGGATGCAGCCATAGGTTTTTTGCCTTCTTTTATGGTGACTTCTAGTGAATTAGAATTTAAAAAATCTTTAAGTGATTTTTCTTGGGCTGTAAATAAAAAATGCATGCGGGTGCTTCCAAGCGCGATACATGGCTCTCCATAGTTTTCTGATACTGTCAAAACTATAGGAAAAGTAGTTATATGTCCAGAAAAATTGAAGCTCAGGCTTAAGTTGGAACAGTTAATTAAGCCTTTAAAATCATATAAATTAGTAGCTAACAGCAATATTCTCCATTGGACTAACTGTTTTGGAAGAAACTGCAGCTGCACAGCCAGCCTTGAATCTTCTTCATGGCCTAGTTCTTTTTTTGGCACATTTAAGGCTTGGGCCATTTTTTCTTCAGTTTTCATAAGCTCGACTTCACTTGTGACGAGCAAATAGCAAAATTGGCAAATTCTTACGCTTTGGGAAAGCATGTCTGAGGTAGCTACTTTTAAATGGGAAGTGTCCCATGGCAAGTCTAGTCTATGAGTAACATGAACTTTATAGAGCATTAGCATCCTTACAGAAACTAAATGAGTCAATTCATAGTTTGGGTAATAAAGTCTGCATAGCTTACAGTGCACAAAACTTATTAACCCTTTTTCTTTTTCCTCGATTTTTTTTTGCAGTTCTTCATCTTCGCTGTCTGAGCTTTCAGCAAGATGTGTTTGGGGCCATCATTCTTTTACAGGCTCCAAGCTGTTAGGAAGAGTGCTTTCGTCTATTTTAAAACCTTTGCAGCCACAAAGCCATATTGTTCCTTGTTTGTCTCGTAAATAGTCTAATATGATTTCTTGGATTCTTATATTGTAGCCTTTATTTAAATAAGCTACTATTTTTTCAGCTTCTGCTTCAAACGGTTTCAAAGCAGACCCAGCCATTTTAAAAGCTTCTAAAGTCTCAGGCTTCGACATATTCACGACACATTTTTGAATATTTCCTTCTACATCCAATCTTTTAACAAAATATGCATAATTCGCTTTATTTGATTTCACATTGGCAAAATAGTACAATCTAGTTACTGCTGGGCGGCCTCCTGGAGACTTAATAAATCTTTGAAGCAGCGAGCTTGGGATTGTTTCATTTCCAATCATTTTTACTTGAAACTGATTTCAGTCCAGGACGATTTTCTGCATGTCTTGTTCTGCATCTGCCCTGCCTCGCATAATGGCAGCTGCTGAGTTAAAAATGTTGGTTTCTTCTATTTCTCCTCTTAAAGATTCTACTACCTGTAAGAATTTAAAGCCGAAAAAATCAGTAGTGCATTCTACCTTTCCTGATGGTAAAGTATGCAGATAATATAACTTGTCAGTATAATAAAGACTTTCAGGGATATTTTGACTGAGGGTGTTTATGTGTACTCTTGGAGCTTTTATTAAGCTTTCGAAAAAATAAAACCCAGGTTTTATTGGAGAATTGTCATATTGTTTACGGGCTGAGGTATTCTTTTTTGGTTAAATATTATTTTTTTTAAAGTAAATAATGAGAATTATAAGAGATTTAAGGGAGAATAACTGTTAATTTTAATTTCAAATTTTTGTGCTTGTGCAATTGCATTTCTTCTTGCTGGATTTTGTTTTGGATTTCTTCTTCGTAGCTCAAATAACCACGATCTCGAGGGTCGGTAAGGGTTTTGGATTCTCTAAATTTTTGAGCGGTCTCTGGCCTTTTCCCATAAAAAAATTGGGATTTTTCTTGGATTTCTTCGGAGCCAAGCTCAACTCCTGTGGCTAAAATGATTGATTTGTTGATTTCTTCTTTGCGCTGCTGCTCTGTGTCGAACAGCTTGGGATGCTGAAGAAGAGGCTGAGTTTTTGTTGCGGTGAGAAACAGTTCGTGATCCTTTTGAAGTTTCATAATTTACAATTTATTTTGGAAAATGAAAAATTTGCAATTTTTCAGAGGAAGAGCGTTTTTAAATATTGGCAGAAATTTTTATGGATTTTTGGGGGAAATAAGGAAGATTAATTAGCTTAATGTTTAAATATAAGGTATAAAAATTGGAATATAAGTAGATAAATAATAATTCGAAGCTGGGTAAATGATTTTTCTCTTCTATTGCTGTTTATTTAACGAAATATTGTAGATCATTATTATTTATGGACAGATATGGAAAAGCGGTGAAATGCAGATAAATTAGGCTATCAAATTTTTCTGGTCGAATTGATAGAAAGAGAAGAAGAGATGTAGTTGTTAAGTAGCTGCTGATAATTGATAATTTTAATTAAATATTTTGCAGCATAGCCTAAGATAAGGTTAAATATTTTCCTTCTGTATTCAAAATTCTTATTTTACAAAAAAAGATATTTCTTTGATAATTCATTTTAATCACTTTTATTAATTGTCAAAATCCATTTGCTGTATACAGGATTGATAAAGTAAGTTGGATATTAAATTTAGCTTTTTATTTCAAACTTTCGGCCTATGAACCAGAAGTTGCTTTTTATATTTGGGTTCTTTCTACAGTTTTTCCTACTTATAACCATTTTTCGAGCCTATTGAACCTCAGCTTTTTTCTATCTATATAATAAAATGATTTATATTTGCAAAGGACTCGCAAACTGTTGCAATTGTTGCTGTAAATGCTGCAACAGCTGCATAGAAGGCTGCTGCAAGTGCCTGGACTGCAAAGCATGCAAATGCTGCACAACTGCTTTCGCCCCTTGCGTATTCCTAAACTTTTTCCTGATGTTTCTACCTTTTATTGTGTGCTGGGTCATTGCTTTTACATATTGAAGTAACGATTGTAGCAACCCTCTCGAAATTTTTCTATTAATTCAAGGAATTTTATTTTTGGCCAATTTTTTGATCTGCATCTATCTAATGATAAAATACAAAAACAAAAATGAAAAAGAACGAACAGGAAATGACGAGATTTGGAAGAAAACTGCCCATTTAATGTGCTATGACGTTATTTTGTGCCTTTATTTTTTGGTTTTTGCCTTTGAAATCGCATGAAATATTGTAGGACATAATTGGGTTGCTGGACAAGACTGCTCTGAATCAAGCCTTCCTGCAATGACTATTGTGGCACTTATTTTGATGTGGGTGTTTATAGGGCTAGGGATTTTTATGTTTATGTGCACGATTTTGACACTTGCCTGCGAAGAAGGGAGTTGTGGGTTTGAAAAATGCTGCAGTGATTTATGCTATATTTGTTTTTGTTGCTGCTTGTTTACGAAACCGAGGGAGAAGCATGTTAAAAAGGCAAGGACTAGTAGAGAGGTTAGAACAGATGGGGGTAACAGTCAACCGAAATTTATAGGAAGCGCAATAGGGCTTTTGAGGATGATTGGGATAAATGCCCATTGAAAAAATAGACAAAATAATGAGCAAGCGAATCAGGTAGGCGAACAAAATCAGCAACAGCAAATGCAAGGAAACGCTTATAGTCCTCAACCAGTATATAGAATACCTCAGGACCAAGGAGTAGCCCCAACGAATTATATTAATACAGCTAATCAAGGAGTAGTTTCTGGTATAAATTACCAACCTCAATATCAAGTACCTCAGTCATATCCATACGCTGCAATGGGATTGCCCAATCAGCAGCCTAATGAAGTTTACCTTCAAGAAGAGCCAAATCCTCCAAAAGAAGGAATATTTACAAAAATCAAGAAAAAGCTGAGACTTAACTAATGTAGCACAATTCCATAATATATTTAAAAAATTTAAATTATTTTATTCTTTTTACTCCTAAAATGATCGCTCTTAATGTATAGAAACTTATAAGATATATCTACAATCCATTTAATATTAAATAGATAATTATAAATAAGATAAATAAAGATTTTTATTCTTAGGAAATACCAAACTATCGATAAATATCTTAAAATCTAAGATTTTACTAAATTTAAAATTAATATAAATGCCAATAAATTCAATATGGGTACTTACAAAAAGCTTGATGGAGGCCTCTCTGATCATATAGCCCAAGTTAACGATTTCCAAAGCCACATAAAAAAACTCAAAAATTTATCAAACCAGCTAAGTGTCTCAAATAACAGCCCAGAAATCCGATCTGCAATCTTAAAAGAAAGAGAAGGGACAATGCAGCTTTCCAAAGAAATAATGTCCTCTCTCCGCCAGTTTTCTCCATCAAGAAATGAGAAGCTTCAATATGATAAACTTGTAAAAGAATTCGAAGCATTGCTTACTCAGTTTAATCAAGTGTGTCAGGCTGTTATTAAAAAGGAAAATGATATATTCTCTATTAATATAAATATTCCTATTAAATTATTCTCCAGGCCTAGCAAGCTAATAAAGAATATCCAAAATTGCCTCAAGATCAAAGACAAGCTCAGCCAGAAATCCAAGACGAAGTCCCACAAGGCTTAAAACAGCTTGGAGACATCAGTGACATTGTCCAACAAGACAGAAGAAACCAAATAGCTACCATAGAAAGCGACATGACTGAAATCCACGCCATGTTCAAAGAAGTCGCTGAAATGGTCGGCGACCAGGGGAAAATGCTTGACGAAACTGACAGAAATATGGACGTCACTGTTAAAGAGACCTCAAAAGCTGTCAAAGAGCTCGAACAAAGCTCAAAATATCAAGTTAGTGCTCGAAAAAAGCTTTATTGTCTTTTGATCATGGCGATAGTTCTAATTCTGTTCTTGGCAGCTGTCGCTTTAGGGTATATATATTTCTAGACCATTATTAAAATATTTTTTTATTAGTTAGGCTTAATTTGGTTTCTCATACAAAAATTGCCTGCTTTGTAATGAGAAGTCTGGTTTAAAGTGTCTATAATTGAATCAAGAGAAAAACCATCATTTATATGGTCAAAACTTACGAAATACTCTTGATTAGCCACCATAGTGACCTCCACGTCTCCAAATGCTGCCATTTCTTTAGCCACTTGTTCAGCTGTTGCCTTATTGCTGCTTGCCAATTTAAGTACGTTGTCCATAAAAACATCCATATCTTCCTCTTCTAAATACTCAAAATCAATAAAAGTCGCTTTATGCTGAAACAGGCAAATTTTATTTTTGGCATCTCTGACGATATCCCACATTTCTCGACCAGCATTTTTTGCGGCGTATTTTGAGTAAAATAAAAAGACTACCCCTGTCATATAAGCATCGTAGCCTGCTTCATGTTCTTTTCCTTCTCCTAAATAATCAATAAAGCTATCATCAAAATTTACCTTGACTAGGTCTTTTAGCTGCTTTCTTTCATAACAGTAACGGTATAAGCTTTCCAGTTTGGTTTTGCTGATAAATTTTTCTCGACTGAAAAAATGTCTGATAAAGTATTTAGTATCGTAAATTACTGGAAATAAATTAAAAATATCACGCTTGAACTGGAGAAAAGTGTCAGGCAGCGGGCCGATGAAGTGGTTATAGAGATAAGTGATATCAAAATAAGGGTTGTGCATGATAAGTGGGACTTTCTTGTGCAAAATTGCAGCAAAAACTTGGGTGACTCCTAAAAAGCTCATGATTTTCACATTTTTCGAGTCTGCTTCTTCTTGCTCAACTACAGGTGGGCAGTAAACCGCCTGCCTTGATTTCTGCCTTTTTACATTAATCCAAATTTGTGCATTTTTTGTATTTGTCGAAAACTCTACCCCCCTAAAATTATTTACAACCCCTAATGGCCCATAAAACATTTTTTTCACATACTCACTAGGCATATTTAAGTTCAGTTCTTTTTCATTCCCATTAATAAACCCAATAATCTGCTGTGTATACCCCTCCATCATTTCTCTATGTTCATTGCTAATCCTTTTGCTTTCCCTACTCTTTCCTCCCCAATCTTCATAATTTTCTATATCAATCTCATTCATCCTGCAGCAGGTAATTCCTTCTTTAAACAGTAAATTCATGTCAAAGCCATTTTCCACCAAAAATCTCATGCTGTCGACTGATACACTTAAATTCCTGCTATCAGAATAAGGGACTGTATATATAGTAAAAGGCCTGGCAATGTACCTTTGTGTTTCTTCACTATAATGAAAAGTGCAAATCCCTAATTGGCACATTCAGAACTCATTAGTAATGGCTTTCATTTTCCTATACCGCTCATCTAAGGTGTCGTATTTGTGAAATCCTGTGTCGTGGTTGAGGTAAAGCCCTGTGAATTCTAAATCAAGCCCTATCAGCTCAGCTTTTTTGATAGAGTCTAATATGAGTCAGAGGTTATCCTCATAGTTAGTTTTCGTAATTTTCATTATATTAATTAAGCCCATGCAAAGCTCCAACAGCAATTTCAAGGCCTAGCCTTGGCTCGGATTCAGGGTAGCCTGTTTTTAATGTAACCATTCTGACTGTCTTTGTAGAGGAGGAATAGACTTGCAGATGGACTTCAGGCTTCATTGAGGCATAAGCTTCAAGTGTGTCTATATCTTGCATATCAAAGTCTATGCTGCCTAATATATAGTCTTCTAATGGGATTATTCCTGCAAGCTTGGCAGGCTGATTGTCTATAACTTTTGTAACATGAAGGATTTTTGAGCGTGATTGGTCAAGCATATGTCGCAACCCCACACCCCCACCCCCCCTAAAAGTGGTACCCCCACCCCCCCACCCCCCTAAAAAATGGCACCACCCACCCCCCTTTCACAGATGGCACCCTCACCCCCCCTTAATATAGCATAAATATATGACAAATGCTAGAGCAGACGTAATAAATAAATTATTATTTAAATATTCAAAATTACTGATTTATACAATATCCACATAGCGTAGCACAATCGATTAAGGAGTAGGTGGAATGAGGTGAGAATTTCCTATAACTACTAAGCACACCACATATGAAAATTTGTTAGCGAGCATAATAATGATTTTTGGTATTAATTAGCAATATATCCTGCATATATTTATGAACTTTGTGGAACAATGGCTAAAAGTCGAATTAGAGATCCAAAAGTAAAATTGACAATAGCAAATACTATTTTTATTACCACTATTGAATCCTGCTACCAATTCAGTCCTGCAATCCTGTACAATGGACATTAAATTAGCTTTAATGTATGAATCAATAAATTTAATGCTAGTTATTGTGTTGTGCTTGGCTCATTTAATAATTAATGCCATTATCTATATCTTTGGCATTATATTTATAAATATAAAAAGCAAATTTAATATATTTTCTAATTAATTGCTAATTAATTTAAATTTATTAATTAATCATAAATATAAAGTAATTTGTGGACTTAATTTATCAATATAGTGTTTTAATTGGGTTATATTTAATTTATTTTGCTTATTTCCTATCAATTACTTCTATAGAATAAACCCGAGAGGGGGGGTGGGGTGCCATCTGTGAAAGGGGGGATGGGGGTTCCCCTTATTGGGGGGAAGACACAATTGAATGGCTGGCTATGGACTGAAAGAAGAGGGTGAAGAACGTAACCACGCAGTATTGGAGGAAACTACTAATGGAGAGAGCCAAAGAGAAGGTTACGCTTAACAATTTTGTTAAACTGAAGAGCCTTGTAGAAGATGACCCTGAAGCAGAGGAGAAGAAGGCTATTTTCTGGGGCATCAACAAGAAATGATGGGGAGGCCAGAGTCAAGGCTGCCTGAAGGTATGGAGCTGGCCCCGTCCGGGCCCTTGCTGCCTTAAGGACCAAGGACCCAAGGGAGAGGGAGGAGGACAAGTGCAGGCTCTACAATGTGAAAGAAACAGAGAAGCACGTCCTCAATGAATGTGAGCTATACGCTGAAATAAGGAGAACGGCCCGGCGGAGGCTAAGGGACATACTAGGGGAGGCATCGGAAAGGCTGACAATGCACACATGGCTCATTGCAGATTCGTCTGAACTCAAGGGGCTTGTCGAAGAGAAGGACCTGGCTGCTGTCGATAGGGGAGACCAAGAGGGCTTTGATGGAGTTCGATGACCTTCTGAGGGGGAGCAGACCTGACAGTCAGCACAGAAGACTGGAAAGGGAAGAACAACTGGAAGACCTAAGGCAAGCAGGAATCACTGAGGGAGATCGTGCACGAAATTGAATGGCAGATTTCTGAAAAGGAAAGGAAGGACCTTCTGCTGGAGGAAGAGGCTTGGCGCACAACGGCGATGGTCATTGAAGCGTCCGGCTGCTAAACGGTCGCAGAATTGCCTGCGGGACGGGCTGATTGGAAGATCGCCGCAGCGGAAGTTGACGTCGGGAAGCACGGACTTGCTGCCCTGAAGAAAATTTGTGTGGCCGATTTTTGGAGTCGGCGAACCAAGGGAGATGCTGGGCGCAGAGGTTCTCTCTGGGCGGAGTTGTGGTGTTGTGGTGTTGTGGTGTTGTGCCATGGCACAAATGGAAGAAAGAGAATGCTATATGAAGCGATAGAATGTTATGATGATGCAATAAAACTCATAGGGTAGGGTAAGGTAATTATTTGTTGTTGTTATTTGGGGTTGGGGTTGCTACCTATGCTTGACCACGTGATTGCTGGATGTCTTCGTAACGTAAGGTGATGCCGAGGGCTCCTTCTCCTTTTCATTGCTTAGGGACGACTATTACTTCTCGGATATTGTCTGCAGCTAAATTGTAGACTGATAAGGTAACTTCACAATCTATATTAAGTTTTATTATTTCTTGGAATGGGATTTCAGACTCTCTTAAATTAGTGCCGTTGACTGATTCAATAAAATCAAGAAACGGTTGCAGTTTTGCCTCATGTGCTGGAGAACCTTCAAATACTTCAATTACTCTATAGCCATGCTGCGATTTTGTCTCAGAAGATCCCATAATTATTAATAAATGGCAAAATCCAGTCTTTTCGCCTCTTTAAACTTTATCTTAATAATCAACACAAAATCTTTATATTTTCCTTTAAAAGTATTAATATAATCTTGAAAAAAGAGAAAGATGTCTGAGCAAAGAATCCAGAAAGCTTTGACCTTTTTGAAGAACCCAAAAATAGCTTCAATGACCCATGAGAAAAAAATTGAATTTTTGCGAACAAAACTGCCGCCTCAAGAGATGGAAGAAGTTCTAACTCACACTCCTCCATAAGCGGACAAAACATTGGAAAAATTCCTATTTCTTGGGAAAAAGCCCACACTCCATGAGAGAACCAAAAATGTTGATATAAAATATAATTAGTATAATGAAATCTCTTGCTAATTCTGCTAAATGCTCTCATTTAAAACATAATTTTTACAAATTTGCTTTCAGGTTTTTTAAGTTTTAAAAAAAAATTTACTATGAAATTTATATATAAGTTTTTTTAAAAAATAATTAGCCTTCCTCTCCATAAACGAATAAATTTATTTTTCGCTCACGGAGTGGGGAGTAAGAAGATACAAAGAAGGTGATGATTTTTCTCAATTTTTTGACCAAAACTCACAAAATAATGTTCCAGCACAACAAATCCCTGCTCAAATCCCTCAGCAGCTTCCTCCAGCAGTATTACAATCTCCTTCAGTTCCAGCTGCTTCATCTAAATGAAGTTTTGGCTTGCTTGGAGTTGTAGCTTCAGCAATAATCGGAGCAATTGGAAGTGCAATGTTCCTCAATGCTCAGCCAAAAGATAAAGTCAGACGTAGAAGGAACCAGCCACGTCATGCTGATAGCGTCAGCAATAGTTCTGATTTGGATTCACAAAGAGAGTCTGCTACTAATGAACTGGTTTCCCAGAGATCTCAAGGGGAAAACCAGCTTTTAGAAAGATTAATAACCCAGCAAGCAGAAGCTTTTGAAGGCTTAAGCAAGCAGATTGCTTCTTTACAGTTTGCTATTGAAACTTTAAAAAGAGATCAAGCTCAATTAATGACACAACCAAATTCTCAACCCCAAAACAGCCAGGAAATAAGTGAGCCAGTTCCAGCGATAAAATTCAAGACTAAGGAAGAAATTAATGAAATTTTTCAAGAGTTTTTGGGAAATACCACGAGTGCAGACCAAAAAGCGACAGCGTTAAAAAATATGCGAATGTGGTTTCAAAATATGGTAAATAGCCCAAGTGACCAAAACAAAAATAAAATAAATACGACAAATATGCAATATAAAAATTCAATAGCTGGCAATAAAGCAGCAGCAGGTTTGCTAGAAGCTGTAGGGCTGATTCTAAAAGGGAACATCTGGGAGTTTAATCCTATTTATGTAGAGCCACTAAGAAATCTGCTAGATTTAGTTTCAGAAGAAATTTCAAAGATGCCTCCACTGCCTCCTCCGAAATTTAACTCGTCCCAGCCTTGGCTTCCTCAGAAGCAGGAATCTGCAAAGTTAGAAGAAAATAAAGCTAAAGAAGAACAAGACAAAAAAGGCTTATCACTTCCCTCTGTGAGCGAACAAAACCATTGGAAAAATCTCTATTTTTTGGGTTAAAACCCCCAACAAAAAATTTGTTTTGATATATAAATGATAATTATATAATTAAATCTATTGTTAATTCTGCTTAATCTTTAACGGCTTGCATTTTTAAACATAAATTTATAAATTAAATTAATATTTGCTTTCCAATTTTTTTGGAACAAAATTTTTTGGTTTAGGGGAGTTAGAAGAAAAAAATGATAATGAGAAGAAAGAAGCTGAGAAAATAGAAGAAATCAAAAAAGAAGACACAAATATAATTTCAGTTGAAGAAATCAAAGAGAGTGAACAAACAGACCAAGTTGCAATTCAAAATGCGTAATAAATAATAAATATGGAAAGAACTATTAATTTTGAATTTTGAAGAGCCATCATCTATTAGTAATTAATATATTGGCTTCTAGATACTGCTTTTGGAGTATTAAGGCTAGATTAATTTCAAAATTTCCACGCCTCAATTAGTTAAGACAATTTCTGTACTGTTCTTGGAAATTATCACATATTTCCTCAATATAATGATTACTAAGCAAAGCTACATAAACTTCGGACATATCACAAATATTGCAATCAGAAAGACATAAATCATCTCTTAATAATCGCCTATTAAAAATAACGACAAATTCGTCGAGGGGCCATCCTTCTCTATCTTCAATTATAAGTTTTATATCTTTGACTTTGGATTTAGGTTCAAGAAAATCTATTCAATGCTGTTTACAACGACTCAACAGTCTTATAATTACCATAAATCCTCCTCTCAGTCTTAGAGCGAGATTTAGCGTAGATTCTTTTAGGACGTTATAATCAGCTAACGTTCGGCCATCCTCTAATTGTTTGCCTGCGAAGATAAGCCTCTGTTGATCTAGAGGAATACCTTCTTTATCTTGGAGTTTAGTTCTGACTTCATCGATTGTATCAGATGAATCTACATCTAGACTTATTGTTTGGCCAGTCAATGCTTTTACGAATATTTGCATTATATAATAATTAATTTTATGTATAGCTCGATAATCCCGGTGAATCATGCTGGTTTAGTATATAAAGCCTTTAGGGGTTGACTTATTTATAAATATAGATTGCCTTACATTCAAAATATTTCAGAAAGCATCAGTTTTAAACTATAATATTTTTTAATTAAATTTTATTTTTAAAATACATCTGTGTCATTGCTAAAAGACTACTAACCCCAACATTTTGGGACGGATAAAATTGCTTTGACTTGTTCTAACAGTGTTTTATAATAAATTTTGATTTAATTAGTTAATAAAGACTTCCTAATTCATAATTCTGTAAAATAATATCTTTTATACTTGACTAGCTTTCAAATACTTTAATTTTTTATCAAAAATTCCAAATAATCCAATATAATTGATAAATATTCAATAAAATCCTAACTTTTTTCACGAAATTTTAAAAAATCCTTCTCACGGAGAGGGTAAGTAATATAGTGGCAATCTTAGCAAGCATAATTGAGTCAAGCTTTATTCCCATTATCTTAACTGGCCTTAATATTTCGTCCTGCTCAATTTTTTGAACCACAAACTGAAGCAACTTAACAGATGCCTTACAGTCGCTATTAGGGTCTTTATAGTCATTATTTTTCATTATATGCCCAATAATATTTAGCACTAAATCCCTATGCACACTAAATGCCTGATTCAGGGCAATGCCCGAAAAAATCATATAAATAATAAGAATCAAGCAAATAACTGTTAAAAATAACAGCGAAATTAGTGCACCATTAGAAGCTCCTCCCAATACTCCACCTGTTTGTAATAAAAACAGCGCAATCATAACAAAAGTTAAAGGAAATACCAATGAGGAATAAGCAAATATTCTATATGTATATTTTCTACCGAAATCTAAAAAAACAACTCTTAAGGTGTACCAAGCATCTATAGTCCTTAAATCATACATATCGGCATTTGGTATATTATGGTCAAAAACAGAAGTACCTTTAATGTCAAGGTCGCTGATGAGGGCAGTGCACTCATCAATTAAGGTTCTTTTCCTTTTAAAATCTACCACACCAACATAAATAAACATGAGAAACCTCCAGCCCTCAAAAATGGTTTCTATTGTGTTTAAAACTGCAATAGCAATTAAAAGACCGTTCATATCTCCAGAAAAATTCCCATAAATCCAATATTTTGTAATAAAAGGCAAACTCGCATAGATTATAGCTGATAACAAAATTAATTTGCCTTCTCTACTAATATGTGCCCTTGAGTCAGCTTTCTGTATCAGTTGTCTTGCGAAAACTATAAAAGGGTAGCATTGGTTTCCGTCTTCATGGGAATTATTTTCATGGTTAATTTCAATACCCAATTTAATTTTTAAGTCTGTGAATGCTTTATGGCATGAGTCTTCTAAAGGAGCTTCAAAGAGAAAACAAAGCTCTGAGGCATTTTTGCTTTGCCTTCTTAAACTCATATGAATCTCAGTGTCAAGAACTTCTTCAGGAATGTGAAGCCAAGAAAGTATGAGAAACTCTGAGCGGATTTCTTTTGTGTCAATTATGCCTTTATTTAAATGCTTTCATTTTTTTTCGGAGTAGTAGCCATACTTAATTGAAATCAGTGCAGTTTTAAGAAAAATTATAGCTAAACTTGAAACAATAAGCCCAATCCACTGGTAAGCTAGCTCTTGATAGTAGATACAGAAAATGACAGTCATTGCTGTGCATGTAAATGTGGTAAATTCAACTAAATAAGTCACTGTTCTTGCGAATGCCATATTTATACAGAGACTTGAGCCAAAGACCTTATGAAGTATAGGTAAACTGAGAGGGCCAAGCAAAATATGTATAAGATGTATTGATAAAGCAATTGCAAACTGATTCCAATGGTAACTAAATTCATATTGTGCATCTTCATCATGCGTTTTTAATTTTCTAAGCAGAGTCAGCCCACTTGAGTTTCTATTATCTAAAAACTGACTATTCCTTGAAGAGAGCCAAAATGTCTCCGATTCAGGCTCTTTAGGACTCGGATAAATCTGAGCTCTACTATTAGACATTTATTTATAATTTTTAAACTTAAATTTTTATTTATCCAATTTGTAGGTGGGCAAACGGTGAATTTAATTTGCATCTCTAAATAAAAAATTACCAGCTCATATTCTTCTTTCATATTTGACCGCTTAACTATTTTATTATTTTCTTTTTTATCAGCAATTTCTTGAATATTTGACAGCCTGCTATCAATATCATTTCTTACGTTTTTTATATATTGCAGCCTAATATCTTTACTTTGAGCCAATTTCTGTTTGTCTTCTAAACCCATATTTAAAGGCTGGAATTTTTTAGCAGAAAATCTTTCTTCATCACTTGCATACATCCCTGCATCAACTGGCGGCAAGTGCTGGGCAAAGGTGTCTTTATGAGGTGGATTAGAGCCATACCTTGTATTTGAAACTAGCTGGATCAGCTTATCGTCAGGCCGAAACTGGTTTCTTAAATTTTCATGCGCTTTGTTAAAAAAATCAGTTTGGCTCATCTGAGCTTTCAAAAATCCTGATGAAGGCTGAGAAATATTCATAAACTTTTGGCTGTCTTCTTGTAGCCTCTCATGATTTGACTGTATAATATTAGGCTGTACATGTTTAGAAAACTCCCTAAAGCCTACATGTCCATTTTTTCCATCATCTAAAAATGCCATAAGGTCTTCTACATCTTCTGAGCTATGCACAATATTGTTTAATTCCAATGCAGACTGAAGATCTTCTTTAGTTATAAACCCATCGCCATCTCTATCGAATTTTTTAAAAATATTCAGACTTCGCTGAGACCCTTGGACAAACATTTTTTCCTCAATATCTTTGAGAAGCCTTTTCACATTTCCATTAGAATTTACATCATAATTTTTGGTCTCTCGATATGGAGGAACTGCTCGTTTTATGATATGAAGCTCTTGTGCTGCCTTTGTGTCTTCCATAAAAATATTGTTAGTGATGTCTTCTACTAAAGCAAGGCCGTCTTTGTTATAGATGTATGAGGATAAAAACCCTTCAAGCTCTTTTTTTGTTATTTTAAAAGTTTGTTTTTCTTTTAGCTTGGCTATGACGAAGTCTTTTAATTGTTCTTGAGATACTTTGTTGTCGATGCCAGCTTGTGAGAGCTCTTCATTTAATTTTTGTTGGGAATCGACACCTTCTCGTAAGAATTGCCTTATTTTGCGTGCTCTTAAGTTATCAAATGCTTTGGAAGATGTGCCTAATGAAGTTGTTTTTCAGAGCTTTGAGACGACAGAAAGCTGCGAAATCAACCATCCGAAGTGATTTAGACATCAACATAGGCTTAAAAGCTCAATAATCTAATAAAATAGAGATTCTTTAAAATTTTAAAAAAATATTTATTTAAATTAAAATTTATACAGTTTAAAAGGGTAACTAATAAATCAAAATATTAAAAATTGGTATTTTTATGAAATTAATTCAATTTTTTGCTGTAAAAATAATTATTAAATACTCTTAACCCCTCTATTTAAAGTAAATAAAACAAATCTATATATATCTTTTTCATTTTATATATAAAATTTTTTTCCCAAAAAAATTTTTTTTTTAATCGAACGATGGCGAGTCGTTCGATCAAGGATGGGGGGGGAGTTAAGAAAAATGTTATCTAACTGATTTACAGGGGCTTTTTGTCTGTCAATTATTGCGAGGCTTCCTTTATATTGCATGGTGCTTTGCTTAGGTGGCTTGCCGAACCCATCAGTAGTATCATTTGTTAATTTATTGTACTCTTGTATCAATGGATTAACAGGGGGCCCAATTTCTTCAAGTCTGGCTGCGTTTGATTGGTCGAACTCATTTAGTTTGTCTATAAAATCTCTATAGTTAAGCCCTTCATCATTTCCTCCCATATCCATATATAGAAGTTTCCAGTGCTTTTCATTCGCTATACTAGTAGGTAAATCCATATTGTTCAGAATATTGGCGAAATATTCAAAATTTACTTTTCCAGTCTTATTTTTATCTCTTCTGATAAGCTGGGCTGCTAACCCATTTATTTTTTCCTTAAGCTGGATTTTTAGCTCATTTTGGATTTTCTTGGTGTGCTGATTTACAGCTGATTCATGCATTTCAATTAATTTTTTATCTGAGTCTGGAGATGGGTTTTCTTCAGTTAGAGCTGCTAAATCGACATTTAGCCTGTCATCTTGATCAAAAATTAGTTGCATGAACTCATCTAAATTTAAAGCTCCAGTATTGCTTTGGTTTGCGCTTGCCACTAAAACTCGGGCTTCCAGGGTATTGATAGGAATTCCGATTTTATTGACCATTTTGCAGACATCTTCAGGACGTAAAACACCTAATGATCTTTCGTCTCATTGGTTATACTATTTCTGGCTGATTTATCCAAAAGAAATTATTTTTAAAAAATAAATTTATTCATTAGAAAATAATTTAAAATTTTTCTAAAGTCAGTTCTATTTGCATAACGCCTTCTCATAGTTCTTCTAATATCAGCTACCTTTTTTAAGTCTACTTTTCCTTCAAGAGTATGCTTATGATCCATATGCACAAGCTGCGTTTCTTGTATTGCAATCTTATTATCAATTTCTTTCGTTTTATGATATTTATCGAATTTCTTGATATTTTTTTCTTCCTCTTTTGATGGTCGGTTAGCTTTCATTTGTGCATTTTTAAGATATGGCTCATTATCCCCACCAGTAAAGAGATTTTCCCCTCCTAAATTCGAAGTTTTTGGCCTTGCAATGGGTTCTTTGGGTTTGATTTTTTTATTATGAGTATCATAAAAAGTTGTCTGTGTTTGGAAAGGATTTTCTCTAGATATCGGCAATGATTTCACTCTGGATAATCCTAGTTGTGCCTGATGATATGGATAAGCACTCTCATATAGCGGCAGTCTCGCTTTTCTTTCTGCTTTGGTTTCAGGCGCTGTTCTTATATCAGAATTGCTGACACCTGTCATGTGTAACCGAGGTTTTCGTAATCCCATTTAATACAAATTTAAACACAAATTTTATTTATTTTTCTTCTAATAGCTTCTGTGAATAAAACCCATTATAGTCAAGCCTAATCACCAAATTAATCAAATGCACTTCACTTCTGCTCCTGCTTTTATGAATTATTTGTAAAAACTGCTTTAAAAATTCGTCGAATCTTTTAGAATATTCTTCTATCATTAAATTGTATCGTTTTTTAGCCAGAACTTTGCCGGTTACTGATGACTCTTCTTTTATTTTGGCTGATCTTTTTTCTGAATATGTAGATTTAGGCCTGCTTAAATCTGATCCTATGACTTGGCTGAAAAGCGGGTCCTCCACCTTGGCACTGTCTATGTATTTTTGAACCATTTCGGCAAAATATGCACAAGACCATATAGTTTTGTTGAGGACCATAAAAAGTTCGTAATCCATTAGCAAGCATTCTTTTAAGCACTCGTCTAGAAAAACTGTATGGAAATTCATGATTTCATCAATTGTAGTCGCAGTTTTTAATTTTTCACTAAAACTGTGCCATTTTTCTTCAAGGACTTCGACTTCCATATAATAGACGTAATTTTTGACAAAATGAAGCATCCTCTGGCGGAGACAATATGAGGCTGAAAAAGCACCTTGGACGTCTAATTCTTTTGTAGACTGATGCAGAAGCCAAGTGCTGCACAGCTGTCTTTCCACCCATTTGCAGAAGAATAAGTGTCTAAATATCAGCTGGTACTTCATTAATGCTTTGTGAGAAATAATTAGTGTCAGAGGCCACCTTACCTTGTAGTCAAGAACAAAAGCTTCAAGACCTTTGAAACTTTGAGCTACAGTAAATATTGGGGAAGCTTCAGTATTGGGCTTTAAGTTTCCACAAATATTGTGCATAGCGTAAAGCTGCTCTAGAAGAGTGTAAGATTGAAGCTCACAGGTCACGTCTTCTTTGAATTTATCAAAATTTGCAGAGGAGGTTCTTAAAGAGAGGTCAAGTAATGATTCAAGTTTTTCTCGTGAGACCATTCTTATGTGCTTAGCCAGCTCATCTTCAGCACTGTCCATAAAATGGACGAAAAAGTCTCCAAGATCTAAAAAGAAATAATGCTTGATAGATTTCAATCGGCTTATTAGCTGCTCTTCTTCTAAAATCAAAGATAAGAGCCTTTGTGAAGCCCACTCATACGCATGCTCTATTGGCTCGATAAAATCTCTATGATTCCCTATATTTGATAGCAATTTCGGATTCTTTTTCGGATCCAGCTCATCTGCATATGGGCACTCCACAGTTTTTCCGCACTCCCTAATAACGTTCAAATACTTTCCAGTAAAAAGCACTTTTCCAGTCAGTTTTTGTAGGAATAGCGGCACTTGTGATTCCCTAAATTCAAACCTCTTGTCTCAATAATTATCATTAAAATCCCTATTCAAATTTTCTTTGCTATGCTCTTTTTGTTCTTTTATCAAAAATTCTTCATAAGGGTCATCAATTTCTCCATAATGTATCCACGTACTCAGCATCTCTAAATAAGGCACTGACGATTTTTCCATCAAAAAACTGAATAGCCTTTTATTTTGAGGGTCACTAGCTGACGTCATACATCTATAAATTTCATTAAGCATAGCTCCTCCTTTTAGGTTTTCAGCCTCATTTACAAATTTAGTCAAACTTTCCATAGTCCTCAAGCACGGCTGCAAATAAAACCACAGTTTCTGGATCGTCATGTCCCCTTTTATATATTCTGCATCAATTTGAGTGATTTTTAAGCTGTATTCTTTTAATAATGAAGAAATTGCTTCGCAGAGGGCGTGGCTTACTAAGCCAAAGGCATAATTTGAGTGGATATTTAAAAAAGTAGAGACTTGGTCATGGTATGCACAGAGGGGAAGGATTTTGCTGATAAGATATAAAAGAGACTCATCACAGGTTGGCTTATCTAAATAAGGCTCCACTGCAAATGTGAAGACTTTAGAATCATCATTTTCTTCTTGCTTCCTTTTTATATAGGTCCCTTCAATACTATGCAAAGAAAATAAAAGATCTTCAAGAAGAAGCTGCTCTTGGCCAGCAATAGGGAAATTCTCAAGGTTTTTGCCTTCTTCAGGGAATGTTCTTCTTCTAAAGGACAAGCCTTTACTAGAAACTTCAGTATATGGACTTCTATTCAGGACTAAATCATTATGGTTTAAATTAGGCCTCGTATATACCCAGTCAGGAATAAAAGGCACATTTGCCCTCATAATTTTCCACGTGCTTTCTTGGCATGATCCTTGGCCATTTGCAGAAACCACCCCAGATGCGTCCACAATGAGCTCGCCAAAAGGAGTTTTCAATACAATATCATCATAACAAGTCACAGGTCTTTTAATGCCTGGGTTATTTGCACTGAAAATGGTCCATTTCACAAGTTTATTGTTGGCGGCTGACTCACTTTTTTCGATTTTTACCTCACGGTTAGCGTTGAAGGAGAGGTAGCCGCCATTTGGGGTTGTGAGAGATATGGCTGAGCCGAAAGTGACTAGGCCTTTGTAGTCTTTGTTTTGAGAATTAATTATGATAAATTGTTGGGAAGATTCTGAATCAGAGTATGAAATTAAAGGGTGTAGACCTGTGGCTGTGACTAGGCCGTCAGCGTTGTTGGATTTGAGAAACTTGTGCTCTTTGACGTTTCTTAAGGTGACTGAGCTGGAAAATAGGATTTGAGTTGCGTCTGCTAATTGCATTCAATGTGATATCTTTATAAATGTGTTTTAATAGAAGAAGGTGAGAGATGATAAGAATAGATAAATGCTAAAATAATTGCATTCAGCTGCTTTAAATCATATAGGAGCTAGTTTTATGATTATTTAGTTAATTTGGAATATATATCAGTTCTTGTTATCTGATATATTCTCGACTCATAAATATCTCAAAGGAATAACCCATAAAATAAAAATTTATGCTTTAATTTAACAACATCAGTTAAAATATATGTGTTTTCTTTTAATCTCCAGATGCGCATCCTCTGCATCCACAATGTCTACACTCAAATTTTCTTTCTTCATCCATTCTATCCTTCGGAACTCTGCAAACACAAGTGCTTCCCATTAATTGATTTGATTTCTGTATACACATCAAGCAGCACAATTTTTCATATCCCGGCTTCTTTCACTTACTCCCCCCCCTCCGTGAGTGAACAAAAATTGTTTTAATAGAAAAATTTTTTATGGAAAAAAATTTTATTATATATAAATGATAATTATTATAATGAAATCTAGAGCTAATTCTGTTTAATCTTAAACGAATTGCTTTTTAAAACATAAATTTTATAAATTAAATTAATTTTTGCTTTCCAATTTTTGCGAATTAGGATTTTTTTAAATTTCGAAAAAAAATATTTTTTATAAAATTTATATATAAATTTTTTAAAAAAAAAAAATTAACCCCCCTCCGTGAGTGAACAAAATTTTTTTGTTCACTCACGGAGGGGGGGAGTTAGCTATCAATACAGGATCTACGAATTTTTCTCTTATACAAAATTCATACAATTCCTTTGAAATTTCGCCTTTTTTATAGTACAAATCATAAATATACCTTGATCTCTGATGGTTTATTTGGTGGATTGGCCATAACATTTCTACTTTTCTGCGGGATTCGGTAGGTGCGACTTCAACTTCTCTCATCTGTCTTGTAAATTCGCTCATCATGGGTTCTATTAGATCCCAGCCTTCTGGAGGCTTTTTGGTTCTAAGAGTTCTTATCTTAGGCATTTTATTATTAAAATTGTTCGAGTAATCATTAGCGTAATATGGATCAATAATTTAACAGGTTATTGATTATCTTAAAAGTAAATGATGCACCTGAAGCTTAGTAGATTCTTGGTACATTCTTCTTTCCAGACTAATACCTGGCAGGCTGGAAGCAGATTTTTCGTCTTCCAGCTTAAAAACTGGGTTGCTTTTTCCGTCTTTATTTTTTAGGCTAGCATGAGCGCGGCTTTTGTGGTAACTTAGTTGAGATGACTGACGATAAACTTTACCATTATATTACATTAGGATTTATACGTTTAATGTCCACTACGGGGTAGACTTTCTCCCAGGTCTGCCGCTTACCTTTCGCCGCATCGGGCCCACAAGTTGCTGGGGACAACTCGCTTCGATCACCAGGGTGCCTAGGGCAAACGTCACCGGCTTCGACGGCTCATGAGTGAGCAACTTACTTGTGGACATGGGTTGCTTTTCCGAAACACACAAAAAAATGGATTTTCTGGTCTGCTCTCGGCAAAAAGGAAAAACACGTAGCCCGGGACGTAACGCCCGGTTTCACGCTAGGGAGTTGCCCGATTGGTCCTAAGGACTTTGCTGAGCTTCCCCTTTCCAACTTCCGTGCTCTCCTTCCCCATGAGGAAAAAAAATCATCCCCGAGATTAGACTAGGGCTAGGCTCTGAGCACCACCAGAATTGCTTACCTAGCATTGCCGTCCATCTCTGAAATGGCAAAACCTTGCCGGATATAATTAAAATATGAGTCGACGCTGCATTGCCGGGAGGCCATGCCAGAAGAAGACTCCATATTTTAATTATGACGATAACTTTACCACATCCAGGAACTTTGCATTCAAAAGGTTTCACCCCTGTGTGGGTGAATAAATGCTCAGTTAGATTCTGCTTGCTAACTAATTTTTTCCCACACAGGCTACACTCGAAACGTTTGATGCCAAGATGAAGGGCATTTATATGCCTCTTCAAATTGTATTTGCTATTAAACGATTTATCACACCAGGTGTAATAACACTTATATGTTGCTTCTTCCATGATAAATTTGTGGGCAATAATTTTCGATTTATGAAATAATTTTGGTCGTATTGAAAATATAATTATGTTTAGGGTTTGAAGATAAAAATCATCCAAATTATCCACAAAATGCTAGCTAAAATAAGGGAAAATAAAAATAAGCTGTTAGATTAATTATCAATTATATTAGAAAAAATAGCAGTTAAAATTTTATTTTCTCGTATAAGTGGATTGAATTTATTTTTAAATTGAAATCATCGATTAAGATATTTTTTATTTAAAATTATATCAAGCTCAATATAGTTCAGTAATAGTCAAGCAAAAAATGGTGATAATTATATAAAGAAATGATAATAAACAAAATATTTGTAAAAAATGGATTATTTGCTTTTTATGCATGCAATCTAGCTTTATATAATAAACTTAATTTTGTTGTATTTTTCCTTATTAAAATTAACAAAAATAAAAATATAGGATTTTTTGGAAAATCTATTCAAAATTAGTTCAAGGCTCTGAAAACGAGAGTAAAAGACTGAATTAGGTTTAATTTAATTTCTGTAAATAAAAAACCAAAATAGAAGTTTATATTAATTTTGGGAAAAGATTTTTTTGGAATATTGATAAATATTAAAACAAAAAATTTATAAACAATTATGCAAAAATAAATGAGCTCCTCCTTCATATTAAATAAGTGAAATTGCTTAACCAATATAAATAGCAAAATTATTTATTCAATATATAACCCAAAAAAGCAAGCACATCAAATATTGAAAATGCATAAGTTTTAAATCTTTCCTTCAAAATTTTCTTCCAATTTACAAAATTAAAATCTAATAATTTATATACAATATTTTCTTATCTATTACAAGTAAAATCCCTAGTATAAATTTAAATCTTAAATTCAAATAAAATCCAAAATGTATATAAAAAATATCAATGAAGCTGAATTTCTCAAACAAAAAAGCAGGATGGTACTACTCAATGGGATTTTTTTGCTTCACATTTGGGATGACCTATCTAATGCCTTTATGGTACAAAACATTTTGTGAAAAAACTGGCTACACAGGCTTAGGTCTTAAAAGAAAAGATTTTGACTACGGAAAAATTCATGATCCCAAGAAGATTCATAGGAAGTTCAAAATTATTTTCCAAGGCAGCAGCGAGCCCGAATTAGGGTGAAGTTTCTTTCCTCTTCAAGATACAGTAGAAGTTAATGCAGGAGAAACAGTCCTTGCATTTTACAGAGCGTACAATGATAGCCCAAACCCTATTATTGGCATCTCAGCTTATGTGGTTCAGCCAGATGAAGCAGTCCAGTATTTTAACAAAATCCAATGCTTTTGTTTTGATGAGCAGATGCTTAACCCTAAAGAGCAGGTCGATATGCCCCTTTTCTTTTATTTAGACCCAAAAATATGTGATGAGCCTCTAATGTTTGGCCAGGACGAAGTAAGCCGCCTTAAATAAAAATTAATATAAAAAAAAATTAAAAACTATTATTGAAAATTCAAATAAAAAAAGTATAAGACTTATGTACACATTCTATAAAGCCCAAGACCAAACTTTAGCAAATCTATTAAGAGATCACCCTAATTCACCTCTTAATAGACCTCCAGCGGCCAATCCAGCTATTTAATTTCTTAGTTTAGAATAAAACCATTTAAAAATTCATCTGTTAACTTTTCATAGGCGGGGACATTTTCTGTTAGATATTTGAAATGTCAAGCCAAGTGAATAATCAAGGAGGAAAGCAGCTGAGCAGAGCCAGTTCAGGGAAAATCATAAAGAAATTAACAATCAGCACAAATGACGAAAAATCAAGCGACTTAGAGAATTTTATAGCTCTTGGCAAGAACTCCCCTCATGCTGTTAATCTTGGAAAAAGCAATGCTTTGGGAAGTCCAAGCAATGCTGCAAACTTAGTTTTTTCCTTTTCAAATCCATCTCAAAGCCAAATTGATATCAATAGTAAAATAAAATCGCCTTCTCGGTATGTTTTTTCGACGCACAGCCATAGTAAGATTTTTGCCACTGGAACACCTAAAGCACATAGCTCCTCTAATTCTCTTCTTATGAATTTTTTAGAAAAATTAGCTTATTTATTACAAATAAAATAAAATTTTTTAAAAATTTTAAAATAGTAAAGCAAAATTCTCATCAGAAAATCCTTACCCCGAGAGCAGCTAGTTCTTCAAGTTTTAACACTACCAAAAAAGAGCCAATGCAAGAAAAGAGTGTTAACTCTTTCCAAACACCAAAAAAGCCCAGCACAAATGAGTGCACTGTAAACAGCGTAGTCACACGAGTCCAGCAAAATAAAGTCAACGACACCCCTTACAAAGAGCATCTATTCCAAACTTTTCAGTCATTAAAATTTATCAAAAACTTAAGGCCTCCAACAAATGAAGAACTGGCAAGCAAAATCGTGAATTTGCCAAAAAGAAGGGGCTATGAGTACAAAAAAACAGTAGTTTTTGACCTGGACGAAACCCTTGTGCATTGTGTTGAAGATGCAAATAATGCTCATGTGCCTATCAGTATTGATTTTCCAACTGGAGAAACCATAACTGCAGGAATAAACATAAGACCATATGCTAAAGAAGTCCTTATGGCTGCAAACAAAGATTATGAAGTCATTGTGTTCACAGCTTCTCATAAATGCTATGCTGATAGAGTTTTAGATTTTCTTGACCCAACAGGGGTGCTTATTCACCACAGACTATATAGAGAAAATTGTTTATTTATTGATGGAGTCTATATAAAAGACTTGAGAATTCTTGCCAATAGGCAAATTAAAGACATTGTTATCGTGGATAATGCTGCTTATAGTTTTGCTTATCAATTGGATAATGGGATACCGATTATTTCTTGGCATGACGACATGACGGATAGAGAGCTGTATAAACTTATTGAGTATCTGAAATCTTTATCAAGAATACATGATATTAGAATAGCTAATAGACAGACTTTCCATTTGGATTCGTTCTATACAGACTATATTAGAGACTTTATGAGGCAGACAGATAAAGAAAACATGCCACCCTCTGAATAAATTTAAATAAGAAGTAAATTCTTTTCCATGTACAAGATTTTTATTAAAATATATTAATAGTATAATTTAGAAATATAATAATTAAATGATAATAAAAAGTTATTTTAATTATTTATAAGAAAATTATTATTATCTAAATAAGTAGGCTTAAATCAAAATGCAATAAGAAATTAATTTAATCAAATAATGAAATAAATTAAATGATAAGCTAGATTATGTGATAATGATATAATCAATCCACATGTAGACTTTTATAAAAACTTCAATACTTATGGCCAAATGCCAGTTAATTATAATATTCTCCCAAAAGTTAGAGAAAAATGAAGCATCAAATAATAATTAAATTGATAACTTATATGACTTTTAAAGCCTCTTTTGGAGAATCGCCTCACGAAAATATTTTTAAAGTCTCTGTCCAAACAGACTCCACAAGTTGCGATACTTATAACAACACTTATTTACCAGAATTCTCACAGCACCGATCCTCGAACTCTCTCTCCAAAGATCTTTCCGATTCCCAGCTAAACCAAGCCGCTGGTGGTCCCGGACTTCTAGGCTCTTAAATGGCTTCAATGGGGCTATAAGAAGCAATCTCTGGTGACAGACTGTATGTGCAATAGGAGTAGCGGCAAACCCAAGAAAAAATAGACCTGTATATCCAGAACCCAAACTACTGTCGAGCTAAATTAAGCTAATTAAGATTAAGATTCCCAGCTAAACAATTCTCAAATACGCCCTGGCTCAGACACTTTAAATATAAAAAACAAAAAGTGCATTATCTGCAACAAAGGCATCGGGTTACGAAAAAGTAACTACACCTGTAAAGTCTGTCACAATTATGCATGCTCTGATCACTCCTTTAAAAAACTTCTCAATTCCTCCTCAAGCAAGCCTCAAAGAATTTGCCAAAATTGTGATTCAAAAGAAACAGAAGAAGCTGTAAAGCTTCATACCAAAAGCTTTACAGATGAAGCTGTCAGGATGGACAATGAGCTGCAGAACGCAAAAAATTATTATATAGATATAAATAAAGACAGAAAAGAGAAAAAGTTGCTGATAAAAAAACTAGAAATAGAAAGAGAAGGACTTGAGAGAATTCATATTCAAAAGAAAACTAGGCTGCATGAGCAGCTAGAGAAAGAAGTCCAAGAAGGACTGAAATTAAAAGAATCTGTTGAAAGCTTAGAAAAAGACCGGATTGATAGAGAAAACGATTATTTAGGGCTAAAAGAAAAATGTGAAGAAAAACAACAGTATATTCGTGCTATGCAAGAAAAATTGGAAATATTAAATAAAAGAAAAGAGCTAGTATTGATTCAAACCAAAACAATTGATAAAAAGATTGAAAAAGATGAAGAAATGCGAAAGAAACTTGAGAAACTGTGTAAGAAATGCTATAGTAGAACAAGAAGCTTTAGAAATATCTAAAGATATCAAGTATAAAATATATTTGTTTTTTTATAATCCAAATAAAATTAAAATTATTTTTGACAGTTTATTTAACATTCGAAAAAATTCCAACATTTTATAAATTACTAATCAAATGAGCAAACCTTTTCAAGCATTTTCCTTTAAGCCTAATAACTTATATCAACAAAACAGGCTATTACCCCCAACCTCATGCAGAACCCCAAGCACATGCTCACGATCTGAAAAGAATAGCAGCAAAGACAAGGGTTTAAAAGACTATGGTGAAGTAATTTTGCAAGCAAAATCATTTATAAACTTGGTATCTCATAGGCAAAAACTTCGAGATTTGCTTAAGAAAACTAAGAGAGACTCGAAATCTCCAAGTTTATTTTTATTAAAGCCAAGTTCAGATATGAACGAATTCCCAGAAATTAAGAAGAGCAAAAGGAGCACAAAATCAATAAGTGTTTTAGCAAAAAATAAATGTAAATTGGTATATGAAAATAAAAGGAGCTCAGAAGAATACCAGAAAGGCGGGATTTCGTGAATTCACTATAAGCCAATTGTTATAAATGAAAGCCCAGCATTTAGAGCAAAAAGTTGCAATAATGAATCCCCAAAGAAAGAGGAAAAAATAAGAAACCTGATTTTATCTGAAGAAAATTCTACAAAAAATTCCTATATATTATCTAAAGTAAAAGCAATATCAGGAAATGAAAATAAAAAGCTAATCTCAAAAAATAAACGGCACAGAGAAAGAGTAAAAACAGAAGTTTCAGAGAATAATGATGCAGAAGAAAATGAATATATAAAATCTTTGCTGATTCCCACTTATTCCAAATATGAATGTGAGCCCGCTGAAGATGACAGCCCTACCTTGGAATTTCAGCCCAGGTATTAATTGTAAATATGTATTTTTCCATTATTACAATTAAATAATATTTTAAGAAATATTTACATATTAAAAAGGAAAGTTATTGTCGTGATTTCTTCAAAAATCCTCTTGGCTTCTTCGAATTTTGCTCTCTGTATTGATGAGCCAACAGATTTAATTTTATTTTGCCATCTTTGCAAAACCCCTTCTTCTGATAAAAATATATTTCTGTTAACTCCAGGCGCAAAAAAGAAGATTACACTCGCGTCATCTAAAATCTGTGTATTTTCTTCAATAATTTCAATAATATTTTCTTTATGCTTTTGCTCGTTTGCTCTTCTTATTTGAGAGCCTATTGATTTTATTCCTCCTTTAGTCTTATCAGCAGTGCTTTGCCTTTGTCCTTGTTTTCCTCTTACCACATATTTTTTATCAGATTTATGGAAGGTGCATTTTCCATTTTCATCAAAATTTGCAATAGAAAATGACCCACCAAGGCAAAGAATTATTACAATATTTCCTTGATTCCTTAAGAATTTCAAAGAATTATCGTCAATTTTGAGCTCATGGCTGAGCTCATTATTTTTAATTTTTTGTAAGATATCTTGTTGCCGTTTTAAGAGAGCATTTTTGTCTGTGAAATCAATTGCATTAAATTCATCTGAAGATGAAAGCCAAGTTATAGGGTTTATTTCTTTGCCTTCTTCGTTAGATATTAAAGGATTTGCAATAGAAATTTCATCGTTGAAGTCATTTGTGAAGGTTTTCGTTCCACTGGTGGCATCAGAACTGTTAAAGGTGTAGTGGATTGAAAATAATTCTTTTGGAAAATTATAAATTTGCTGACTCCACCCCCCCATCCTTGATCGAACGATTGACTGTAAAAAATTCCTAAAAATTGGGGAAATTAACCCCCATCCTTGATCGAACGATTTTCATATCATGAAACTTTTTATATATATAAAAATATATTATCGTTATTTGCAAATTTTTTGAACTTTACCACCTAAGTGTGGAATTTTTTCCGCATGTGAAAAGAGGATTCCACATGTGAAATCAAAAGGGCTCCACACATGAAAAACACATTTTCACACGCGGAAAAAAATTCCACACTTAGGTGGTAAAGTTCAAAAATCTGCAAATAACGATAGTTATCAAAAGCTTGGGAAGATGCACCTAATAAAGTTGTTTTCAGGGACTTTGAGACGACAGAAAGCTTCGAAATCAACTATACGAAGTGATTTAGTCATCAATCTAGGCTTAAAAAATTAATAATCTAATAAAATAGAGATCTTTAAAATTTTAAAAAAAAAAAAAATTAATTTAAATAAGGAACAAATTAAAATTTATACAGTTTAAAGGGGTAACTAATAAATCAAAATATTAAAAATTGGTATTTTTATGAAATTAATTAAATTTTTTGCTGTAAAAAATAATTATTAAATACCCTTAAACCCTCTTATTTAAAAGTAAATAAAAAAAAATATATATATATTTTTTATTTTATATATAAAATTTTTTTAACCTCCATCCTTGATCGAACGATGGCGAGTCGTTCGATCAAGGATGGGGGGGGTGAGTGAGAAACTACGAGGAAATCTTTATTGTTTTTGTGAATAGTGGTTAATCGTGCTTTTTTCTTGTTGTTGAATTGGAGAGCTCGAAGAAAAGTGCTTCTTAAGCTACTGTATTTGATTTTTTTATCGTATTCAGGAATTAAAGTGGCTTTTATGGAGGCATAAAGGTGTTTTGAACTTATAGCCAAATTAAATCTTTCCTGTCGGTTTATATAAGATGCGATGCACTCTATGGACGAATCTTTTAAGCTGTGCATCAGATAAAAATGGTATATTAAATTAATTTTGTTAATGGAATAATTTAACATCAATTAAAATTTAAAAATATATTATTGGAGTCAAAAAGAAATACCTTTATTTTAATTAGTGAGGATTGATTTAAAAAAATAACTGTTTAGACAAATTTGATATTATAAATATTACTACTATTGATAATTACCAAATAAATTGTAAAATGCATTAAAAAAATTGAAAAATTAATCATATTACTGAGAAGTCCAATCTGCTTTGCTTCTATTTCTTCTTCTTTGGCTCGCAAAAGCTTTCATGCTTTCAATAATCCACGGGTGCTCCAGTGCTTCTGCTGGTGTAATTCTATCTTCAGGATCCCAACTTAAGCATTCTAAATTAATCTTACTGTCAACTAAATCCACAAATTGATTATCACTACACCTCATTTTTTCAACTAAATTCTTAGTTGCTGGATATCTTACTCTTCCCTTACTATTCGATGCTATTTTCGGCTTATCATCGTTATCAAAAAACAAGCTTTTCCTCGTCGAAATTTCCAATATTTTTGCAGGCGGCAATCCTCTTATTTCCATAATACACAAAAGCTGCTCAGCTTCACTTTCCCCAGGAAAAAGCGGGTATCCAAGAAAAAGCTCTGCAAGTACGCATCCAAAAGACCACATATCAATAGCCGTCGTATATTCAATCCCCAAAATAATTTCTGGAGCTCTGTAAAATCTGCTTTGTATATAAGTATATATTTTTTCATCTTCAAAACAAGCTGAGCCAAAATCAATGACTTTAAGGCCTGATTTATCGCTTTGCTTTAAAAGGATATTTTCTGGCTTTAAGTCACAGTGGACTATTTTGTGATCATAGGTAAATTTTAAACAATAGAGAAGCTGCAAGGCAAATCTTCGGATAAGACTTAGGGAAAATCCTTGAAATGAATTAGATTTCATCAATTCATAAAGGTTTATGCTTAGGAGCTCAAAAGAAATGCAGAGGTGTTTTCGGAAAATAAAGTGGTCTTTTAGATGAATGGCGTTAGAAAAGCCATCTGGGTCGTGCTCTTTTATGTGTTCGAGCACCCTAACTTCAACAATAGCTTGTCTATGAAATCTCCGTTTGTTTCTTATAATTTTTATAGCGATGTAGTCTTGAAGTTTGTGATCAAAACATTTGCAGACTTGCCCAAAACTGCCTTTGCCGAGAATATCTTTGATTTCATATCTATATGCAATATGGTCTCCTATAGTCAATTTATAATCACCTCTTTCATCATCCATCCCATTATTGGGAGCATTCAAAGCTGATTTCAGTTTTTTGGCTCCTAGCCCTAGAAATCAAATTGATTTGCATTCCAAAATTTCTCCTTGTTCATATAGACTCATATTCGCTGAAAATAACTGAAGTGCTGTAGCAGCTGTGATTGGAAGGTCCAAATTTTCAAATATTTGTATAGGATCAGTGCAAGGAGACCTAGATTTGATATTAGGAGTTAGTTTATCTATTGCTGGCATTTCAATATCAAGGCAGTCAGAATTGGGTAACGAAACCCTTCTTTTGCTAAAATTTAATTTTTTATTGCTTTGAAGCGACGCATTATTTGAATTGGCTGTTGTATCAATTAGCATAGGAAGAATAAGCTCTTTTTTGGGCGAAAACATAGAAGAATTTTTCTTATGAGCATGATGTATAAATGTCTTGTTTATCCTTTTCGTGTTAGAACTCGGAAGGTCAAATGATTTTTGCTGCTTTGCTCTACGGCTAGATAAAGTTAAGACGCTGAGGTTAAGAGTTTGGTTTTTGGGGCTTTGCACAATCAGTTTTAGCTTACTCCCCTCCGTGAGTGAAAAAATTATTTTGTTCGCTCACGGAGGGGGTTAATTATTTTTTTTTAAAAAATTTATATATAAATTTTCTCGAAAAAAATTTCTTTAAAAATTTATAAAATTGGAAAGCAAATATTTGTAAAAATTATTTTAAAACGCAAGCTGTTTAAAATTCACCGGAATTAGTTAGAGATCTCAATAATCTAATTATCGTTTATGGAGGGTGTGTTTTTGGTCAAAAAATAGGAATTTTTCTAATGGTTTTGTTCGCTCACGGAAGGGGGGAGTTAGCTATTTTGCTCCTGGGAGAAGCTCCATTCATTAAGAATATTTAATGTTTAATTAAGAATATTTTAACAAGTGTTTCGAAATTATAGTGGAGCGGTTAAATAGCTGTTATGTTTATAGATAATTTAGACCTACCATATTAATTAACTTATTTGCCTTAAAACTTTATATTAAATATATATGACTGAATATTAAATTATATCTGTAAGATAATTAATTATATTAATAATCGCAAAATATTAGCTATATTAGATATTAAGGTTATATAAATATGTGGATTACAGATAAATAGAGGCTATTTTTTAAAGAAAAGAATTATTCCTATAATATTTGATATATAATATAAATTTCGAAAGATTATTTCCAAATAAAAAAACCCTCAAAAATATATTCAAATTTCGCAGTAAATATTACAATATATCAATTTAAATATTTAGTCTATCATATACAGAATTTAAATTATGAAAAGAATACTATGTTAGTAACCAATATTAAAATGCTTTCTCCTGCTAAATAAATTCCTGCTACTATATATCTGATATTATTTTCTATTGAAACCTCCTTAATCAAATGCATATAAAATGATCCAAAGCACCACAACGACGACAAAATAGTTGCGACTATTCTTCACCACAGTGCTCCATATAAACAAAGTAAAAGTCCTACACAATGTCCAATTGACGAATATCCATAAATCGACAAAATATTTAGATAAGGCATCAATATCCCAGAGTAATTAAAAAAACAATAAATTGCTATAGGAATTACTGCCAAAATACCATAAACTGTAATGCAGCCCGTAAGTATATATAAATTTTACTACATAGACTAAAAACTCCTCCCCTATTTGATCTTGTTTTATTAAAAAAATGATTTAAATAACTTTTAATCTCTTTAATTAAGTATAAGTAATGTGATATCCTACTTTATGAGTTTCAAAATAGGTCTCTATATACCCAAAAGCACAGAGCAAAAATATCAAAGTAGCTGCAATTCATACAGATCCATATAAATCAGGAGATTTGTCGTCAAAGAACGGGGCAGTGTTGAAAGGAAGCAGCGATTTCTTTACTCGGTCTACTACAAGTGCTGTATCCACATCAAAAAAAGGCCTGTAATACCCTATTTCCCATAATTTATAATTTTTGGTGCTTGGGGTCTTGCTGCTGTATTTTAGGTATTCTTCGAAATCGTGGATTCTTTCTTGTTCTGCATCTTCATTTAAAGACTCTGCTGGCTTATCGTCGCTTATATCTAGCTCAAGAAGATTGGCACTATATCCTTTGTTTTCCATAATTAAATCAACTTATAAATGTGTCAGATAATTTTCAAGCTTAATGAAAAAATATATAAAAATTATGTATAAGCAGAACTTTAATTAGAATTAGCTAGGAGTCATAAAAGACCAGCCATCAAGTCTTTGTGTAGGTATTTCATCTTCTTCTAATTTCCCAAACATTCTTTCTGTTGTGATATCTCTATACATCCTTTTAGATTGGTGTATTGGAGGAGCAGGTATAGATTTTTCAAGTAAAGCAGTCCAGTCTAAGCCTTCAAAGAAAGGATGCTCTTTTATTTCGTCAGCATCTCGCTTAGATGCACCTAATCGTTTACTTGGGTCACGGTTTAGAAGCTGCTTTATCAGTAATTTTGAATTTTCTGACATAGTTTTAGGCAGCCTCAGCTTTCCTCTTTGGATGTTGTTGAATAGCTCTTCTCGGTTGTGAGAATAATAAGGAGGAGACCCTGTAAGCATTTCATAAAGGAGAACTCCTAATAAATACCAATCTACTGAGCGTGTATGTCCAGCCCTTCTCAGCATTTCTGGCGCTAAATAAGCAACTGACCCACAAAATGATTTATTAAGCTGCCCGTCAGATACCCCTTCTTTGGAAAGCCCGAAATCAGTAAGTCTTGCGTGGCCATCCTTATCAAGCACAACATTTCCTGGCTTCAAATCCCGAAAAAGGATTTCATGCTTATGAAGCTCTTCAAGTGCTAACAAAATTTCTGCGATATAAAATCTAGCTTTATCCTCATTAAATTTCTTCTCCCTATTCAAATACATCCCTAAATCCCCTCCTGGGCAGAAATCCATCACCAAGACCAATTTTTCAGGGGTTTGGAATGAGTAGTTCAGCTTCACAATAAACGGGTGGTTTAATTTTAGCAAAATATTTCTCTCGGTAAATGCATATCTCACAAGATTGCTTCCAAACACTTTTTCCTTCCTGAGAACTTTTAATGCGAAGACCTCTTGTGTGTCTTTTTTCTCAACTAAATATACTTCTCCAAAGCTACCTTTACCAAGCTGCATAAGTCCACGAAAATCATGAGGTCCAACCTTTGAAGGTGGCAGCACCAGTTTTGGAGGTGTCATAGAAATTTTTTTCTTTTCAGGCCTCACAAGCAGTTTAGGTCTTTCATTAAAAATATTTAAATCCCTAGCTCCTGGTTTTTTTGTGCATTTTGCAAGCATTCTGTTGATTTGGTCATCTCTCGAGTTATGCAAAAGAACACTATAAAAAGGAGTCCTTGTATATTGTGAGCTGGGAATTGGGATCCCCAGTTTTTTACAATAAGCTGAAAATTCTGAATAAATTTCAATGCTGGGGGATACGTCAGCTGGGGTTCTATCTAAATAGTCTTTAATAGTTATATCTGGGTCTGACTTAAGCAGCCAAGAAACGATTTCGATATCTCCATGTATGGCAGCATAATGAATAGGGGTGCTGCTGTCACTGTCTTTTGCGTTTATATTAGCTCCTTTTTGAATTAATAGTTTGACAACACCAAGGTGACCATGAAGTGCTGCTAAATGTAAAGGGGTGCGATTCATACTTGTGAGGGCGTCTATATTGGTTTTGTTTCCAATTGAAATTAAAATTTCGGATGCTTCCAAGAAGCCGTAGGAGGAAGCAAGATGAAGAGAAGTTCATTCGTTTAAGCCTCTGGCATTTGGCTGAGCTACCATTTCTCCATATCGAGATTTATCAAGCAGCTCTTTGATCCTGATGATATCATTTCGTTCTACTGCTTCTCATAAGTCTATGTTTGCTTTACTCTCCTATCATTAAATCAAATTAAAAAGAAAATAATATGAAATTAAATGGATTTTTTATATAAAAAAATTAGTCAAAAAATTAGGATTGACATTTCAGTTCTCGTCAATATCCATTGAGTTTTGAGAGCTTTTTGAATATTCTTTGGATTCTTCAGAAGGACTTGTTGCATCTTTAGTTGCTGGTGTTGAAGCTGTAGAATAAATCGAGGAGCCTACATTTTTGTTTCCTTCTTGATCTCCATAGTCTTCTTCATCAATTGTCTCTAGTAATTCTTTCCCTAACATTATAAATGCATTAAATAATGAAATTATGCAATTTTTCAACAGATCCCTGTTTATTGCATATGGAGGTCTATTATTTAATTTACGAATAATCTAAGTCTGCACTTAGAAATTTGACTTTCACCATTTCTTCTTGTATTGCGATTGCTTCATTTAATCTTTCTTCGTTTCTCTTAATAAGTTCTTTTAGTTTTCTCCTGTCCCTTTCCATCCCAGAGTCATATTCGAGATCTTTTACTTTCTGTTTTAGTTCTGCTTGCTCTTTTTCTAAAGCAACAATCATATGGCTTATTTCTGATATATATTTTTGTTTTCCATTTCCTCTTGAGCGTGATGGGCTTAAAGGTTGTGGTTTTAATATTTTTTTAACTGGCTTTTTTTTCTTACTCCCCCCCCCCCCTCGTGAGCGAACAAAAAAATTTTGTTCGCTCACGGAGGGGGGTTAATTTTTTTTTTTTAAAAAAAATTTATATATAAATTTTATAAAAAATATTTTTTTCGAAATTTAAAAAAATCCTAATTTGCAAAAATTGGGAAGCAAATATTAATTTAATTTGCAAAATTTATGTTTTAAAACGCAATTTATTTAAAATTAAACAGAATTAGCTCTAGATTTCATTATACTAATTATCACTTATATATCAAAATTTTTTTCCATTAAAATTTTTTCTATTAAAAGATTTTTGTTCACTCACGGAGGGTGGGTTTTTGGTCAAAAAATGGCGATTTTTCTAATGGTTTTGTTCGCTCACGGAGGGGGGGGGGGAGTTAGGTTCTATTTTTAATTTATCTTCGCTTTTAGCAGCTCTGATTCTCGGCTGCTGAGCTAATTCTTCAATTTGTTGTATCAATTTTTCTATTTTTTTGTCTTTTTCTCTGACGACCTCAATAAACCTTTCTTCATCTTCTCTTATTCTATTTTTAAACGCTTCAGCTTGCTGCTCCTTTTTTGCTTTTAGCGTTCTAAAGCTAATCTGCATTTCTTGCAGTTGTCTATTAATATCAGATAATCAAAAAATGGCATCATTCGAATTTTCTGGTCTCCCGACAGAAAATTTTCTTCTTCAATTTTTTGTTATGAGGTTTGGCTTTCCCCAGCGAATTTATCCCAGCTATGACAGGATTTTAAGTTTCTGCGGTGCGCGACACAGGACTCCTGTCCCTCAGGGAATTCGAATTTTCTGGAAGGATGCCACCAACCCCAGGCGGTGGAGACTGGGACCTTTAGGGTGCCGGACGGACCCAAGTTGGTATGCCCGAGAGCCGGGAGGACAGCCGTCGAAATCCGAACGCCGAAGCCGATGGGACCATTCAGCCTTGAAGCCAGGTGGAAGCACGACATTTTGGTGGAGCGGGGAAACCCAGAAGCAGGATGGAAGCTCGTGCGGGTGATGTGGTATTGGACGTTAAGCGTGTATAACTAATTAAGTAAGTAAGTCTATTAATATCAGAGGCTTCATCATTAAATTGTTTTCTTTCTTGTATAAGCCTTTCTTGTAGCTCTCTTAGGTCTCTTTCCCAATTTAATTTTTCTTTAGCATGTTGAGATACATGCAATTCTTTTTCTCTTTTGATTATATCTATGCATTTTTTACTGAATATTGTAAATTAATTTTTTTAAACAAATAAAAAATTATTTATTTTTTTATAAAACTGTCTTATTAATTAGTATAACTGCGCATGGGCAAAATTTGACTCAGATTTAGATTTTGAAAGTTCTATCTCCAGCTCTCTAACTTGTTTTTCCAGAAGTTTTACCCTAATTTCAATATCTTTTTCACCAAATTCATTAGGAGATCCACTCGGAGACTCTTTATCGCTCTCTTCTTCAGATTCACCCAGTTCTGGGTATCACTTATTTGAAGATGTATCATGCAATAAATCTGAATAATCTCTCCCAGGCGATGGAGTTCTAGCTTTTAAAGCATCCTCATATATACTTTTTGCAGAAAAATGCGCTCCAGTCTTATTCATATTCGAATTTTGTGGTTCATTGATATATGACATATCCTCTATAATTCTTTATGATTTTTTTCATTAAATAATTATGAAAGAAAAGTTATTAACACTAATTAATAGACTTCAGAGGGGCATAGCTTTCGAGAGAGATCAGCTCAGAAGTGCTTGACCTTTCTATCTCGAAATCTTTTTGGTCTCGTGGGAATACAAAAAATACAAAAAATGGAGTCAGCATTACAAAAATGTGCCAGCAGGAATGAGTCTAAATAAATTTTACGATGTAATAGTTGTCATTTAATTCAAGAAATCGGCTTGTCAAAGCAAGCGCAAAGCTCACAATAGCAGCCAGTGCCCATTTCAAATTAATGAGCTTGCTTGTAACAAAAAACCACTTAACTTGACGCCAGCTCCAACATTTATTTTCTTTTCGCTTTGAAAGCATCATAATTATATAGATATATCTTGATATTGGAATCAGACCAGCAATTAATGGTGGCTATATATTTTTTACCATAAATGTGACTAAGGTCCCACGAAAAGCTGTATTTAGTCCAATGTACAGTAAAATCACAAATAAAAATACATAGGCTGCTGTTTTTACATTTGGGTTTTTTAGCCTTGAGACGTGAACCAAGCAGACCATAATGCTCATATAGCTTAATAAAAAATCTATCAATAGAAGTGTCATAGGATTGAAATCGAAACAATAATATTGCCAGTCACAGGCATGGTAGATCATGCTTGCGATCATATTTGAGCCATATACAGCAACTTCTCCATAGTATAAATATATAACGCCAACAACCAATGCTGGTATCATTGCAAGATTTGAAGTGATTAGAAAAGTCAGCCCAAGGTCATAAATGGTATCGCTGAAAGCAGTTTTTTCGCAATATGGACCTGCAGTGTTTCTCATACAATAGCAGGTATAAACTATTTCGTTGTATAAATAATAGTATTCTGAGTGGCAGATATTGTCGCCGACTTTAGACCGAAACATGCCAAGTTGGTAATATATAGGAGAGCTTATAGTAGAGAGTGAATTTAATTTGAAAGAGGCATAATTTATACCTTTTTTCAAGTATCGAAATTCTATTACCATTGAAATTCCTGAGGATTCTTTTATAACTTTACAGTAAACGTCAGAGCTTTTGCAGTTAGCGAATGATAGATATGAGCTTGTATTGGTTGGAGGACTTCCAAGCTGAATTTTGATTTCTAAATCTTCATTTAATAGATTGTAAATTGTATTTTCATCTAAAGTACTGTTATATATACTGTGATTATTTAATTTGCTATAAAATTCATCTTTTATTAATTATTTGCGTTAAATAGAATTTAATCTCCTATGCCATATTTTTAACTTAGTTCCAAATCTTTCATCAGTGTGATCAGGTAGCACCATAAATCTATGATACTGCACATCTGAATCTGAATTAAAACTCCCAGTACAGTCTATCTTAATGTCGCTATCCACAAGACTAGTATAGCTTTTTACTGAGTCTTGGTAAGCTACACTCTTCCCAATCACCATATTTCCATCTTTATCCCACTCATAATCTAGTGTATCAATTTCATAGCCAAAAGATGTGTCATTCATAGAAAAGAACAGAAGATGCCAACGGCCAGGCCTAGGGCTTGGAACGATAAATCGCCCTGGTTCAGTAAATGTCCATGAATAATTTTCATTCAAAGAATTTACAAATATAAAATTGTCTGGGCTTGCCGTCACATTCAAGTTACTGACGACGCCCGAGACGCTTATTATTAAAGATTCAGCCCCAGATGGCACTTCATATATAACTGGCTGGGTAGGCTTACTAATAGTCCCGCTTTGAGTATTTAGAACGTCAATATCACACTGTGGATCTTTCTCAGAATAAAACCCACTTAATAAATATTGAGACGATGTTGAAAACTGGGATTCACAGTAATAAGCCCACGTCTTTATTTTATAGCTCCATCCATAAACTGTATAAGCTGGCATTAGATGACTTTGATCTAATAAGCCTCCGTCTAATCTTAACACAAAATAATTAGCCTTTTTTGGGTATGGAATAAGCTATTTTCAATAAATGTTGCTAATAATTTTAATAATTTTAGCTTCTCATAATTAAATATATAAGAAGCTATTAAGTATCCGGCCATAAGCGCTTCCGCAGGCGCTGACCATACGCCCCATCTCGGCTCCAAAGATGGCATGACGCCATTTTGGATTTTCAGCCTGAACCACCTGTCCAGGAGATTAGCTCATCTTGGGCAGAGCCGCTTCTTGTGAGCGCCCCAATGGTCCCGATGAGGAAAGACCATGTGGTAGGTAAAACCTGTCTAGCCCATCTGGCAGGGACAGGAAAAACCTTCGGGGAGAAACAAAACACCCTGCTTCGGCAAGCTTCCCATTGAGACAGTCTACTTGAACCCTAAAGGCACATTTCGCCACCTCTCTCTCGACGGTCCATTGCTCCATCAGAGGTGTCGCCTCGGATTCCGATTTCCGTCAACGTCACCATTTTATTTCTAAAATATATAAGGGTTATCTATTTTAGATTTCCAATCTTCACTGTTTTTGAGCTCGAATTTGTAATCATAGAATTCTTCATCTGGAACTGCGTCAAACCTTATATAAACAACTGGCTTAGGAGTTGGATACTCAGTTAAATCCTCATCTAGATCAGTCAATTTGATTTGAGCTGAAAGCACAAATAAAATAGCTCTTAGCCCGGGCATTGCCTCACAGCAATGCAGCCTAGAGCGCATTTTATTTATACCAGGTAAGGCTTTGCCAACTCAGAAAACGGACAGCAATTCTGGTAATGCACAGAACCTAGATCTCCGCTTTCAGGATTGTATTTTACCCCAATGAAAAAGGTGGGTTCAGAGTTGGAAAGGGAAAGCCTAGCGAAGTCTACAGGCAATGTCTAGACCATTTGCACATCTTCCTAGCGTGAAGCTGGGAGTTATCCCCCAGGCCTCGAATTTTTCCTTTTTGCCGAAAGTTGGCCAGAAATTACATTTTTAAGATTTTTGTGCGGAAACCTTTGTTCAACCCAAGCAGCGTGTGGCAGAGTGCATAGCCTTCCCACTCAACACTGGAGCTGATAAGACAAGGAGGAAATGGAGATACAGAAACTACTTCACAGATGCTGTGGCCCTAGATGTTGAAAAAGAGGAAATGTAGTGTTCGAGCTGATACTCGCCTAATTAGTCATCTAAAGATAAGAAGTTCTGCCTGCCGACGTTCCAAAGAGGTCGAATCCCATTGGAGTTCCTTGGTGGCTTTTTTGCCAATAGGCGAAGCCAATCCTGCATTTAACTTTAATTTTAAGTTTAGATTTGAACTGAGAGCTGTAAGAGAGGCTGAGAAACAGCAATAGGGATATTTTGATAGCAAATTTGCATTTTCTTGCAAAGGTCAGTCACACTTTCGTAAACATGAGTGGAATTTTCCAAAGCAAACGCTACTGATAATAGAAGCCAAAACATATTATTTTGAATTATCTGGAAACGTATATCATACAATGTGGAGAAATTTTTTCGCCAAATAGAAAGAATATAGATAAATGATAAACTTTTATAGATTTGATATTGGAGATATTATTAAATAGTATGTGAAATTTTTTAAGTCAATATACAAAGAAAAGAGAGCAATTGCTGGAAATGAGTATTGAAGATAGGAATTTTTAGATCTATTATTTTAGTATTAAAAAATAATGGATAATAAAACTGATTCTTTGGAAGTTTTATGACTAAATTATTTATTAAGATTTTGGTAGAAAATTTCAAATGTATTATATAATTTTATAGAATTTTACTTGATTTTCTGAGCAAATTTCCATTTAAGAAAGGTTATGCCATATTATTTTAAGACTATCAATATTCAAATTTCCCTATATGGCATTATTTATTTCTTCGCTATTGAAATATTCAAATAGCCTTCTTCCAATTCAATCTTTGAAAAAATTTTGAGTTTCTAAATAATTGTTTTAAAAGATAAGATTAAGATTCTATACGGTTTAAATGGGCTCCACACTAGCCAGACTACCTTGACTCCAAGAAAAGGTGGCCTACGGCGGGTGCGTAGGCACCAGAGTGCAAATGGTGTAAAGCCCACCCTCTTGAATTTTCAAGCGAAACTCGCCTAACCTAAGGATTAGCTCCCTAAGTTCGAGCCACTCATTGTAAGGTGCCTGATATTCACGATAGATGAAGACTATGTGAGAGGCAAAACCTGCCTAGCCCATCTGGCAAGGACAGGAAAACCTACGGGGCAAAACAAAACTTCCCTCTTCGACAAGGCAACCCTAAACTTGAAGGCCTACTTCAAAAGGGACAAGGCCCTATTTTCAGCTTCATCAGGATGAGTCCTACCTTCTCCATAGGGATTGCAGCTCGGAGTCCAATTTCCATCAACATTATTTTACTTCTTAATTATTTTAAAAGGAATTTTTTCATTTAAATTTATTGTAAAAAATGAAATTATAAGTTAAATAAGCGACTTTCATTTGTATAAAATCTTAGACTTGCTGATTATATCCTTGCTTTATATCTTGTATTTTAACAAAATAATGAAATCCAGTTCCTAAATGCTTCGGCGGTATATGAGGGTCTTTGGCAAAAAAAGGTGCAGAATGGTCTCTTTGATTCATCCTGCAGAATGTATTAACATTTGTTTCATCAATAGGAACCTTACAAAAATAGCAAAACAGCTGCATGTTCGAAAGCCTATCAAGATATTTATCAGTTAGCCTCGATCACTGCAGAATTTCTCTCTTTGCAGTCCCTTCAGAATTTCTCATTTCCCCACTCATAATATCTCACAGAATTTCATTTTTCGCCTGATTCAAAGTTTCAAGCCTCTGAAGGGCCCTTGACCTATTTCTCCACTCCATTAACTCTGTAGGGATACTTGACACATCAAATTCGCTTTCAGGGGGTAATTGTTTATTCGCCAGCATCACCAAGTCATTAATCAATTTTTTGTAATTTTGTAAAAATAAAATCATATCATTGCCTTTGACTAATTCTAAAGCTTGCTCCATTGTTTCTACATCTGCATGGACTGAGGCTTGTTCTTTTGATAATTGGGAAACTACAGGAGCTGTATATAGTTCTAATCTTCTGAGCATGCTAGAATGTGTTTCATTTATCTCGTTTTCTAATAATCCACAAGCTTTGCTGAGTTCTCCGATGTTTCTGTTTCTTTCTTCTATGCGGAGTTCAAGCAGTTTCTTTTTTGAATATCCTCGTTGTGATAAAAGGGCTTGTAGTTGGCTGCTTTGGATTCGGTAGACATCAATAAGAGGTTTTAGCTGATGATAAGCAGAGTGATGAATAGGGATACAGAGAGAGCAGAGCATTAGAGAGCAAGTTTCACAAAACATTGTAAATGGCTCTTCATGGTCTTTACATTTAATTTGGGATTGAGAGGGAACGGTGGTATGTGTGGAAGGATGACGATTTGTTTCACATGATATGCAAAAATGCTTTTTACAGCCTAAACAGTATACAGAACTTGTTGCAGTTTGGCAAGCTTCACAATTCATTTATATTTAAATAATTCTTATATAGTTATTAGGTTTTTGCCTAGATGGTTTTTATAGAGTTCATAAAAGAATTAATCTTTTAATATCAAGAATTTAATAATTTTAAATTTAAATTATTGTAATTTTTTCCTAAAATGAGGTATAAAAAAGAACCCTAAACACTACTTGTCAAATGGTTTTAAATATTCTCACAGATAACGGTGTATAAGTCAATTAATACGAATAAAATTCAAAAAAATAAATAATTAATAAAAATAATGTACACTAATAGAGGCTTTATGCAGCGAGAATACTCACATCCCTACAAATACTTATCTCCAAGCAATTCTACATCTCTAAGCCCAAAGCCTAAACACAGATGATTAGAGGAACCAAAAATCCAAATTTCCAATCCTTATCCTTCTTCCTATAGTCCAGTTTCTCACAAAAAAATTCTAACTCCCCCCCCTTTAAATTGGAACAAAATATAGGTAAAATTTCCACTTTTTTGGTAAATTAACCCTCCTTTAAATTGGAATAAAATTTAATTTTATAATAAAAAATTTTATATATAAAAATCATAATTTTTATGTAAAAAGATTTGATATAAGTTAAATGTTTCTTTTTAACTAAAAATAAAAATTTAGTTATATCTTGCTCTTGTTTATAGAATAGAGTCTAAAGGGCATCTTATTTAAATAAATTTATTAGCCTTAATTGCTAAATTTTTAAAAAATTTCAAAAAAAATTTTTTTTTTTTTTTTTGATAAAATGATATTTTTTATTTAAATTATTTTGATATAAATTCAATGCGAATTCTTTACAAAAATTGAAAATTCACTAATTTATTACTTTACTTTAAAGAATAGAGTATAAATGGGATCTCATTTAAACAAAATTAGCACTTTGATTAATAAATTTTCTAAAATTATTTTTTTTTAATTTTTGTTTTTATCAATAAAAATAATAATTTTTGTGTAAATAGTTTTGATACCAATTAATAGTGGCGTATTAATTAATAATAAAAATTTAGTTATATCTTGCTTTGATTTAAAGGATAAAGAGTAAATATTATTTTATTAAACAAATTTATTAATCTAATTCGATAAATTTTTGAAATTTTTTTTTAATAAAACATTTTATATAGATTTTTTTTTTATAAAAAATTTTATATTGATTTTTTTTACAAAATTTTCTTAACCCTCCTTTAAATTGGAACAAGATTTTTAGTTCCAATTTAAAGGGGGGGGGAGTAAGAAATTCTAGCCAAAGCACTATAACTCCAGTTAATTTTTTTTCCTCATTAGAAGGTAAAAAAGACTTTCTTAACTCTCCCCTTGTGAGTAGGCAAAATATTAGAAAAATCCTATTTTATTGGAAAAACAATTCTTTCCTAACAAAATATTTTTCTAATAAAAATTATTTTATATATACGTGATAATCAATGAATTCTATTTAATTATAAATAGGCTACATTCTAAAACTTGATTTTATAAATTAAATTTTTTCTTTCGTTTTAGGGAACTTTTTTAATTAAAAATGTAATTTAGCCATCAAAACTAATGCTTACTCGTAGAGAGGATTAAAGAAACCCGTGAAGATAAATACAATAATTCTGCATATACTTCTAATATAGAGCTTCATTTAGCTAAAAGCATGCCACAGTTACCAGAGTTGTCACCTCCACAAGATACAGCAAGAAACTATTCCAGAACAATAAATTCCAATATTTATGATGAAGTTTCTATTAGAAAACCAGTCTATGCAATTGATGCAGTCTTTGAAATATATGGCGTTGGTTATGCCTATGCTACAAAAACTGGCTATGGCCACCCATTAGGAATGGGATTTTTAATAACGAAAACTTTAGCAATGACTGCTCATTCAGTCATTCCTGACGAAGAAGTGGCTACCCGATGTTTTGCGAGGTTCACCGACAATTTATACGAAGCTCACCATTTTGACGCTGGCCGTTTCTTTTATACCAACCGAGGGCTGAATTTTACAATTGTCGGGTTTATGCTGAGTGAAGAGAGCATAAAGCCAAGACTTCCATTAGAAATACGGGAAGCTTTTCAGCTAAAAGATGGGGACGGGATTGCTTATTTGAACTCAGGAACAGTCCCAAGAATAGTCACTCATATAGACAATGACGTATTTAGCTACACTGCAGGAAATTACATATCTCCTGGCATGCCAATTTTTACAACAGATTGGAGAATCCAAGGAATCCATCACACTTGTACAAATTCTTACAGATTTAATCAAGGGACAAGAATTGATGCTGTTATAAGGACACTTGTGAATATCAAAGAAATCGCGACCCATCCTGAACTGGATTTGCTGCTGTCTGATTATGCAAAAGCGTTTGGAGAAGGCTGGGATAATACCAAAGCGACGTTTGGGGATTCAAGATATATGTATTGGATCGAGTGATATAATAGAAATATAGATTTTCATAGAGATGGATTTAAATATAAATGCAAAATATACTTATTCTTTATACAAAATTATAAAATGATGATAAAAAAAATAGAGATTTTTTATATTAAAAAGAATATTTACAGATATGATATACCTTTGGAAAGATGAACTTGTGTCAAAATCAGCAATTTAGAAGAATTTTTAAGAAATGAGCCGTCTTCATGAAATTTCAATTGAGGCTGCAGATTAGTTTATGTCCCTGATGGAAGTTTTTATATCCTCGGAGGAGTAGGTCACGAACTAAGCAGCACCAAAGCAGACGTATTTTATTTTGCCTCAGAAACAAGAGAACTCTCTAGACGAGCTTCCATGCTTGAAAGAAGAGAAGGACCAGCAGTTATTTACAGGCAAAATTATTTATAGAACTTTTTCTTCAATAGCGCGATAAGGCGCATTCCTAGGTTTTACCAGAGGGTCTTGGACATATGAAAACCTGCTATTCCTTATTCATGGGGGAGACAAACTGCCTAAATAAAGAATTCTACCTAATCAATCTCGAGAACTTGAAGAGAGGCTGTGTGGAAAATTTACATTTTGGTTCGTCAAATGAATCTGACGAGCCATTTCTGGCCAGTACTTGAAAATTAAAAATGATAGTTGTCAGAATTTTATTAATTTTCTGATGAAAGAGTATGATCAGAATTTTAATAATTCCTTTTGACAATAAAATTCAAAATTCAAACTTTTAATAGAAGATTTAAGAGATAATTTAAGCATAAAGATAACATAATGAATACTCTTTAATACCTTAGGGAGACGATGCCAGTAATGATTTTTAAAATTTGACTTTTTCATAGTGACTTAGCCATCTTAATTGTTTTTTAAAAATTCAAAATTCAGAAGATTTAAAGAAATAATTTAAGCATAAAAATAACGTAATGAATACTCTTTACTGCCTTAGGGAGACGATGCCAGTAATGATTTTTAAAATTTGACTTTTTTCATAGTGCCTTAACCATCTTAATAATTTTTTTAAAATTTCAAAATCCAAACATTTAATAGAAGATTTAAAGAGATAATTTAAGCATCAACATAGCATAATGAATAGTCTTTACTGCCTTAGGGAGACGATGCCAGTAATAATTTTTTAAAATTTGACTTTTTCATAGTGCCTTAACCATCTTTAAATTTTTTAAAATTCAAAATTCAAACTTTTAATAGAAGATTTAAAGAGATAATTAAATTGTAAATATAACGTAATAAATACTCTTTACTGCCTTAGGAGACGATGCCAGTAATGATTTTTATAATTTGACTTTTTCATAGTGACTTAATTAATTACTTGATCCTGTGCCATTTATTAAAATTCTGATCATACTCTTCATCAGAAAATTAATAAAATTCTGACAACTATCATTTTTAATTTCAAGTACTGGCCAGAAATGGCTCGTCAGATTCATTTGACGAACCAAAATGTAATTTTCCACACAGCCTCTCTTCAAGTTCTCGAATTGATTAGGCAGAATTCTTTATTTAGGCAGTTTGTCTCCCCCATGAATAAGGAATAGCAGGTTTTCATATGTCCAAGACCCTCCGGTAGCACCTAGGAATGCGCCTTATCGCGCTATTGAAGAGAAAGTTCTATATATGTAATGGGTGGAAAATACAGTTACAACACCTGTGAAAAATATTCAATCACAGATGACACTTGGACGCATTTTTCTCCTATGATTCATGGGCGATTTGAGCCAGTTGCTTCCCTTCTTCAAGGTGATGAGTACATGTACGTAATTGGTGGATATCCTCAAGAACTTGTAGGAAGATCAATAGAGCGCTACATTTTCAGAGAAGACCGATGAGAAGCTTTACAAATTCTGCTCCCAGTGCCTTGTCTCCATTCTGGGATATATCCTGTAAACTATCAAAAAATTGCTTTACTAGGTGGTCGTTTTTCAAGATCAGTCTTTATTTTTGACATCACAGAAACTCAGTTAGGGAATACCCTTTCACAAGCTCAAGACGAAATGTTCAGAATATATGAGATTGAAAGCTTCCCTGACCAATTAGAAACAGTTTATCCTCTTGTTTACTATAAAGAGGACAACAAAGTTTACTTCATAAAATCAGTCCAAGGCGAATCCCCTACGGTGTTATTTTATCCATACCGCAGCTTTATGAGAGGGCCAGCCCAAAATCCTATAGAATATCGTAGAACAGTAAAATTGCCACCAATAAATACGAATTCGTATATAACATTTAAACGTAAATAATGTCTAAAAAGAAAGATTATTTAGCTCAGGAGAAAGAGTCTGCTGCTTTTCTTGCAAAGGCAAATGTTATGTAGTTAAATACGGTTACTGTGCAGAGGAAAAAAGAATCGTCGGTGAAGCATCATAAATTTGAGCTAATGCACCATATGCAGACTTTAAAGCAAAGAAGAGCTGCTTTAGAAGCTGATCTAGGGGTATTTATTGAAGAAAAAGGATTAAAAGCGATTATTGAAGAAGAAAAAGGACTGAGTGATGAAAGAGATGAGTTTTCAGATGGAATTCGGACTGAAATATCAGGGTGCAAAGAAATTCTTGAAAGTTTAAAAGTCCAATGAAATCATATATTTGCTTTGAAAAACCAAGGGAAAAGTGCAGAAGCAAGGAAAATTTGGAAAGATAGGATAGAAACTGTGAGGCAATTTTTAGAAGAAATTAATGCACATTTTAAAGAAAGAAGTGAATATCTAAAAGAATCGCAAAATGATATTGAGATGCCAAATCTGCAGATAGATGAAGAATCACCAGAACCTGATCAATTTTTAGAAACTATTCCTATTGGAGTTCCAGGGTATCTTTTATATAGAATTAACACGGAATCAATCAAATCTGAATACTCAAAAGCTTTAATCTCCCTTCGTGAGCGAAAAAAAATTTGTTCGCTCAAGAAGGGGGTTAATTATTTTTTTTAAAATCTATATATATAAATTTTATAGTAATTTTTTTTCGAAATTCGAAATAATTTTAAAGCAAATATTAATTTTGTAAAATTTATGTTTCAAAATTCAACAGAATTAGCTAGAGATTTTATTATAATATTTCTTATATCTTTTAAATAAAAGTTTTATATACCTATAAAAAAGGGATTTGTCCAATGGTTTTTATTCGCTCACGGAGGGATGGGGAGTTAGCAATTGTTAATGAAACTTTTGAGCTCCAACTTCAACAAATAGAAGAAGCTGTACAAAATTGGCCTCAAGACTCTCATGAAAAATTTATGGCTGTTTATAAACAATATATAGAAAACGGCAAACCACGTGAAAGGTATATGGAAATGCTCAGGTTTCATTTCCCAACACTTTCGAGGCAGGAGCTTGAAAATCATGACAGAGTTGTAGAAAAAATTAGATGGAATAAAAAACATAGGAAAAATATTTTAAAGGATTGAATAAGACATAGGGTTGCTTTAAAAGAGGCTGCAGAAAATATGCTGGCAAGCATTATGGATGCAGCTATAGAAAGATTTAATAAAGAATTAGAATTTGTGAAGCAGCAAAAACAGCTTGATAGGCTTGGAAAAGAAATTGATGAAAAAAGACCTGAATACTTGCAGAAACTTGAAGAAAAGCAGAGAAAAGAGCAAGAATTAAAGCAGAAAGAGCTTGAAGAAAATCAAAAGAAAATAGAAAGTAGCAAAATTCATCAAGAAATAATAAAAAAGCAAGCTGGTGAATATAACTTAAGACCCTTTATAGATTCTTTAGTAGTAATGTCTATTGAATAGGCAACGAAAATCCAATTTTTATGAAAAGGGCTAATTAAAAAATTGATTATAATTTTCATTTGCCAATTTTAAATTGTACTTGTCAGAAAAATATAATTAAAATATGGCGTCTTCGTCTGGGTATGGCCTCTCGGCCATACATACTCACCTCATATTTTAATTATATCCGGCAAGGTTTTGCCATTCCGGAAATGGGCAACAATGCCACGGTAAGCAATTCTGCAGAGCAGAGCCTGGCCCATGCTTAACGACCAGAATGGATTTTTTCCTCGAGAGGAAAGGGAGTCCAAGTTTGGAAAGGGTAAGCCCAGCATGGTCTACAGTCAATGCCTAGACCAATCGGGCAACTACCTAGCGTGAAACTGGGAGTTACGTCCCAGGATTTGGAATTTCCCTTTTTGCCGAAAGGTGACCAGAAAATCCATTTTTGGAAATTTCGGAAAGCCAACTCTCGTCAACTCAAGCAGCAGCCGCAGAAATCCATAGCCCGCCCACTCAAGACTTAAGCCGCAGCACGCTGTGGGAAGGAGTAGACTTATTTCCTCTTGGCAAATCTTTATGGTTTGTTAGGAATGCGTCGCAAAGCAGGTGAACCTCAAGATACCGAGGTCCTTGGTGACTGCGTTAACAGTACGGCAGACGCCTATTAATGTATAAGTAAGTAAGTACTTATCAGAAAATTGGCATTTCATTGCTCCTAAACGAGCAAAAATAGACGGGAGCTATACAAAGAAAAAAAGCTAAAAATTGCAAGCCAAGAAAAAACGCTCAAAGTTCAAAAAGAAATCCAAGAAAATTCAAAACAAAAAGAATTAATTATTAAAAACAAGCCAAAAGTAAATGAAAGACAAGTTAAAGCCAAAATAAAGCAGCAAGAAATACAAGATAAAAAAGAACAGAAAAGGATTGAGCAGATTATTGATAACCAAAGAATTGAGGCTGCAGTGCAAGCTTATTCACATATACCGCAGGTTGAGTTAGATAGAGAAAGAGTACAGCAGAATACGAAATCAAAAGAAGCCAAGTTTGTAAAATATGATAAAGCTGACCAGGTCAAATTATTCCCACAAACTGGATTTACCGCAGAAAATTTGATGAAAGATATGAGATATAGGATTTCAAGCATGCTTAATGATGCTGGGCTTGCCTCTACTGAATACGGCAAACGTATCATAAATGCTGCACCACCGATGAGAGAACCAAGAAGGGATACTGTTGGAACATTAAAATTTTAATTAATGCTTTTCTATAGAAAACAATAAGAGATTTTAAAAAAATGGGTAAATTCAAGAAACAGAAGATTTTTCTACGGTTTTTGACACTCCTGGAAAGCGTGAATTAACAGTTTTCTTATAGAAAAAGCTTTATAAAAACTATGTAGATATGCAGATAGATTAAAGAAAAGAAATCAGAAATTTGTCTATAAACTCTAGCAAAAATATGGATTTATTAGAGCTGAATTTAGCCTTAAAAGATATTGAAATAAACTAAGCAAGTTTGTAGATATACATAAGCAAATCATTCAAATAAACTATAAATTAACATTTTGAACTAATCTAATTAAATATGGATTTGCCTGAACATCTTTACAATTGACTTCAAACACTTGGAATTATACCTTATAGCGATAACGCTGAATCTGACCGTTATTCCCTTCCTGAAGAAATTGTAGAAAGCTTGGAGTCCGGAGACTGTGTAACACTTCTCGTTAAACACTTAAATCAAATAAAAGTAACTGCAACATAGAATAACTTTGAAAGGCTCACAACGCCTATCCCTGAATTAAATACACTCAAGCCAGTAACAAACCTTTCAGCCAAACTCTACAACTGAAATATCATTGTTCAAGCTCTGCAACTTTTAGGTGTTACTATTGATCCTGACACAAAAAGCTTATAATAATTTGCCTTTTTTGCTTCAAACTTCAGTCAGATAATAAAAAAAATATTTTTTAATAATAAAAAATGAAAGCAAAAAAAATTATTATTATAATTGTTGCTGGAGACCGAGAAATGATCACTGAAGTCCTTGAACAAATTTATCAAGCCGCCAAGCCACAAGCTGAAAATCCTCCTCCGCAGCCTACACAAGTATATAAAAAAGCTATCACAACTTCAGAAGGAGGCGTAATAATTGACTCAATTGACTCAAGTAAGCCATTATTTGAAGCTGACACTTGTTTGGAGTTTTTTATTCTCTCATTTTGTCACAATTTTAATATCACTCCTAAGCAAGCAGCTGGACTACTTACCCAAGGCTATAAATACCTAGCTCATATTGTAGCAAAAGGGCTAAAAGGCGACTTTGAGCCTGTAATTATATGACTTCAAGACATATATTCAAATACTGAAAGATTGCATGGACTTATCCAAAACGAAATTTCTGGAGGCTCAATGAATTTTGTGTTATCTGCTTTTAAACCAGGGCTGATTTCTAAAGAAATGGAAGCCTCCCAATGGACTTATAGAGTATATTCCAAGCTATGTTTAGAGCTCGCTGAAAATGACTCTCTAAAAGAAGCCTGGAATTGGTTCATTAATGGTACCTCCTGCATTGAATTGTGCCTTAAAAGCTTAAAAAGGCATGGGAACGCAATTTTTCCAAATTTAGTTGAATTTTTATTGCAGATTGGCCAGCAGAACTACGTGGAATTATTTACTTTGCACTTAAGAAATGCAATCCCAGACTCAAAAGAGTATTTAAATTTAATGAATGATTTTTTACCTCTGCTTTCAGAAAGCCAAACTGCATATGATGATATTGCAGATTCTGGGGTTGTAGGATATTGGCTAGAACTCGGGATGAGAGAAGCAGAGTCAGGGCAAAATCACGACCCAGGGACAAGAAGCTGTGCATTGTATTTTTTATTGCATTTATTAACAGAATTTTTTCCTAAAATATCAAGTAATGAAATTCTAGTCAATGCAGTGCTATCATTGTTAAACAGAACATGCAGGGACGAAAGCAAGGCTCTTCAAAACATGGCAGTCGGCATGCTGTTTCTTTTACTTGAATTTTTTGCTGGAGAAAAAAGTAATTACGCCCCAATTGTGTATAGAACCCTCACGTTTTTGCTTGTAGAAAATTACTCCCATAACGAAATGAGAGAATATTTAGAATGCAATTTCAGGATGACTTATAAAACAATTGGGTCAATACCAGTAGGAGTTTTATTGGAGCCACTAGTCAAAAGACTCCAGCTGAGCGAGGTCCATTTAGACGTTTTTGATTTTGATTTTCTAGTCGCACTCTCACAGCATCCAAGTTTGACTGTAAAACATGCAATCCAGCTTATTGATATTGTAGGGAAAACTTATCTAAATGACTTAATACGATCCCGAGCTTGTGGGGTGCCGTTTACCTACTTAGCTGACCGCTTTGTGGAAACTGAAGCTATGCAGGACTATTTATATATGTTTTCTCGATATTCGTTAAATTTGGTATTAACATGTGAACAGCAGAATTATCAAGTAAAACAAGGAAACCCAAAAAATAAGCACTCAATTTCTGAGGCACAAATGGACGAGCTCAGGCAGCAGAGAAATTTGATTTTAGATATGATAAGTTGAATTGTTCAGCAATGGCAAGAAAGCTTAAATGAAAAGCTTAAAAATCTTATACTGCAGACAAATTATGCATTTTTCCAAGTCCTTGGGTTGAACTGCAAAAGTATTCTTGAAGTTTTAAGCCTTTTTGGAGAGCCTGAGCAGTTAGTTAAATCTTTTGAACAGGAAAATGCAGAACTGATTGTCCCACATGAAGAAGAAGGTGAAGACGAAGATGCCAAAGGCTCTGAAAACTATCAAATTGTGCCTGTAGAAGAAGGAAACTCTGAAAATCAAGGAAATAAAGAAAAAAAGGGTCAGTTTCCATGAGACAGGGCTTTTTCTGATATAGAAAAAGCAAAGAAAAAAAGGCTGGAAAAAGAACTTAAGGCTAAAGAAGAAGAGGAAAAAAAGCAAAAAGCGTTAGAACAGAATAAGAAAAAACTACAAAAACAGCTTGAAATAAGAAAAGTTGAGCAAGGGAGGCATCGAGATGCTAATGATATTTCGATGTATGAAGAAGGAGTGGCGACTAAATATATAGCGCCTCCAGATGAAATTACATTAAAAGAATTCAGCTCTGCTGAGTCAGATGAGCAGGAAGCTATAGATTTACTATTGAAAAAGTATCGCCTGAGCCTCCTTTTGGCTCAAACTATCTCGAATCTCCTGATGACAATCTGGAGTTGCGCTTATCAAAATTTGTCGACGAAACCTCCCCGGATGACAAATCCACTCCTGGGGATTTGTTTAATGAGCAAATGATGGTATAATCAACTCCCCGATTGAGTCGGTAAATTTAAAATAGCCCGAGCCAAAAGTAGACTAGGGCTATATTCTAGAGTATTTAAAATACTTTTCGTTAAATATTCTGGAACTGGGCATGCAAGAAAAAATGGAGCTGTTTCTTCCTTTGATTATTTAGCAGATAGAAAATCGAAATTAACTGAAGCAGAAATGATTAAAGTTTTAATTGATCATAGTGTCATTCCAAAGTTGCTTATACTAATATATCTACTATTAAATTTCTATTAAATCATAAGTATCTTAATTTTATGCATTAATATATTAAATTTAATTTTAATATTTTTTTATTTATTTTTAAATATTTATACAAAAGAAGAGCTAAAAACTATCATGAAAACTTATCTTTTGAAAATAGTCAAACAAAATGACTTATCAAACGTTGACTATGATGGATTTAAAGGATTATTTTGCCAAATCGCTTGGTTTATCTATTCAAGGAATCCTCATGATTTTAGCCACTTGCCAGCAATAATCCCAATTCAAACATTGCTAGATTTTATGAGAGACGATATGAAAGAAAAAGGATTTTCAACAGAAATGTATGATGACCCTGATCCTGGAACTGGCGATAAAGATGTTGTTAAAAAATTAAATAAGCTGCTTAGATCAAACCCAGATACACCTTTGCCTGAAGGCTACAAAAAAATACAAGACAAAGAAATAGACATCGCATATGTGATCCCAAGCATGCTTAAACTGCCTGAAGCTAAATTGATTTCTTTAGAAATATTAGATGGAGTTTTAGACAAAACTTTTGGAGTCCACATAATAGAACCTCTTGTAAAATTCCGAACTTATTATCGTGCCAAAGGAATCGCCCCAAAACCCCCAGAAGTAACCTTATCAGCTCCTTCAGAAAATATAAAATCCAAAGATAAGCTGCCAACTATCCAAGCTCAGCCTTCAATAATTCCAAAACAAGCCAAATTATCCCCTCTTTTGAAATTCGAAATAGCCAAAGCTCCACCCGGCCAAAAAGACACATACGAACAATGTGCAATAGTCCTCGAAAACATTTTACATACCCTCCACATGAAATCCAGGAAATTTTTAAATAGGGTAGAAGTCACCCCTAATAAACTTGAAGAGAAATTCGAGCTGAAAAAAGAACGGGAAAAAGAAGCTGAAGAAAAAAAGAAACAAGAGATGGAAAAGAAAAGAAAAATGAGGCAACAAATGCTGCTAGAAGAAATCGCAAGAGCCAAAGCAGAAAGGCAGGAAAAACTGAAAATTGATGAAGAAAAAAGGAAAATAGAGAAGGCAAAGGAAGAAGAAAAAAAGAGGAAAAAAATGGAAAGGGAAAGAAAAGAAAGAGAAGAAAGGTTTAGTGTGGCTAAAGAAGTTGTAGAAGTAAAAAAAGAAAAAGAAGTTAAACTGCCTGATCCAGAAGAAATAATAAAAAAACAAAAAGAAGAAGAAAAAAATAGGAAAAAATTTGAAGAAGCAAAGAGAAGGAATGCAGAAAGATTGCAACAAGCAATTAAAGAGAAAGAATCAAAAGGGAGAGAGATAAAAATGGCAGATATAACTAAAGAGCTGAAAGAGCAGCAGGAAAAAATTATAAAACAAAAAACAACAGCCAAGATATTAAAAAACGCAAAACAGAGCACAGAAAAAAGTAATCAAACTAAGCAAGAAATCAGTACTTTGTTGCATGATAAAGATTATAATGAAATAATTGATAGGTTTTCGCAGCAGATTGACACAGTTTATTCGTTTTACTGTAAACAAGGATCAGCTAAAATAGAACAAGATGCTACGTCAATGTTCAATTCTATGCCAATTTGGGAAATAATATATAAAAAATTTATAATAATTAAATATTATTAATAAATAATAGCTATTACTTCCTAAAGCCAGGCTATTCAGTCTTTGTAAATAGTCTATGACTTTCCAAGTCTTCAATAAATTTTGTCTTCAATTTAGAATATTCCCAGGCCTCGTCACCGGTGATGAGCATCAAATAATCTTCAAACATTTGACTAAACAGAAAACATTTCCACCTGGAATCCCTCCAATAATTACAGTTGATGAATTTAAGCAAGCATTAGCTCATATAGCTTCACACGCAAGGACTAAACTAAATCAGCAAGCTGCTCAAGGTCCAAATATGCTTAGTGCGAAAACTTTTTTTTCATTAATAAAATACCTTGAGCTTGATATACCAGTCAAAACTTTAAAAGCAAAACTAAAAAAGCTTGCGGAAGAAAAGCCATCAAGAATTAACTCAATAATGGGTTCTGCAGAAGCCACTGTAATGGAAGAAATCAAAGAGGCAGTTTTAGAACCAATGATTAATTATGAAAAAATATACAATGAAGATGAGAATTTTTCCAAAAAATTTTTTTATATTAAATTTTTTTAAAAAAAAAAATTAAAAAATCCTTTTAAAGATGAGAAAAAAGCGAAAATTTTAGAAGAAGAAGAAGAAGAAGCAATTCTCCAAAAAATTTTTGAGTCTAAGAACTTATCCCCAACCGAAGAAGGTGCTTTGCAAGATATAAGCTATCCTGAATATAATGATTAATAAAAATTCAAATAATTTAAATGAAAAGTGTAAGAGTCAGAACTGCTTCTGCTAGAAAACCGGCAAAGAAAAAAGCAAGCAGGCGTGAAGAGCTTAGTCATGAGCATACTAAGGATATAAAAGAAGCTTTTGATTTATTCGATATTTCAGGTGCTGGCACAATTGAAGGAAAAGAGCTTAGAGTTGCTTTACGGGCTTTAGGATTTGACCCATCTAAAGAAGAAATAGAGCAGCTAGTAGGAACTGCAACGCAAACTGGAAGGATTGATTTTCATGAGTTTCTTGACATTATAATCAATAAAGTAAGCGAGCCAGATACCCCAGAAGACATTGAGCGAGCTTTTGCAATGCTTGATTTAGACAGCAATGGAGTCATTACAAAAGAAAGTTTACAAAAAGTTATAAGTGAGCTTGAAGAAGACACATATATTAAATGGAGTTGTGAAACAAGCCACCCACCATCTAAAAATCTGTAACTGACACCCTACGGGTGTGCAGGGACATTGAGGAAAGGAGGATGGGGTCAGAAATGTGTATCCGGCCAGATCTTTCTTGGTTTGGCGAAGCGCAATGTCGAGTTAGGTGACCGCATGCTTTAATCCAATGCCAAAGGTTTGCATCAAAGGGAATGAAGCCAAGAGTTGGAAAGGAATCTTCCAGCAGTGCCAGAGATATATTTCTTGGCCAATTGGCTCTACTTAGTGTGAAACCGAAATTACAACCTGGGCTTCAGATTTCCATTTTGGCCGAGAGTTGACCATAAATTTTACATTTTGAATTTTCCATGATGGACAACCTTTACTGACGTACGCCATGGTAGCGACTCAACTACCGGTAGAAAGTGTAGGCCCAGGTCCAGTAGGAGCATCCTTCGTAAGGTCGTGTGCAAACTAGCGAACAGGCGGAAGTGAAGATAGTCCTTCAGGAATTGCAGCGGACTTTTTTATAAGTAATATAACGATAAGTGCTTGGAGAAGACATGAGTGAAGAAGAAATCGAAAAAATGATAAGAGTAGCCCAGAAAGGATCAAAAGGATCCAAAGAAAAACGCAAGCTTGAAGTTTTATGTTATGTTATGATGTGATAAGTATTTAAAGTCCCTACTTCGATCTCCACGACGTTCTACGGGTTTACCCTGTAGGGTGGCTGAGGCGTTGCCGCTTCAAGCCCGGGCCGAAACCCAGGTTTCTCGGTAGAGGTGATGGTCAAGGGACAGATCATACTGTCTTCGCTGACCGCCTCCATTTCCAACCTGACTTGCCGCCCTAATTATAAGCCAACTCTGTCTGTGTGATCGCCAGATCCGCTCAAAAGAGAGCGCCTTTTCAACTGGAGAGACCCCGAATTAGGAGTCTAGCTTGCTTTCCCTCTTTTCCGGTCATCCCAAGAAAGAACTCAACAGCTTTCGCCATTCGGGGCAAATCACAATAGCAGCTTAGGCAAATATGTTGACCTGCCTCACTTCGGGCACCCACTGGGCTGGGCGCTGCTGGCAAAAAGAAGTCACAAATAACTGCCCAAGGGTCTGGTCGCGAAAACAGCGTTCTCCACGCTTAGACCTCTCGCTTCGAGGTCCCAAACATAGCTGAGCAAATTCCCCGGCTTCAAAAACCATGCCCGGATATACACGGGTAACTGTCTCTCGAGAGGACGGGTCTGACGTCACCGCCATTTTATGTATATAAACTTGAAGTGACTTTTAATGAATTTTTGGGAATTATGAATAAAGCTGATAATTAATTAAAATATGTCAAAAACATTTAAATCATTCAATCAAGAAGAAAATCAGCAAAGTGATTATAAAAATCTTGACAAACCTTTGACAAGGACCACTCAATTGAGCCCAATAACTGATCTGCAAACCAAATTAAATGTCTTGAACCGGGAAAATCAACAATTAAAATCAGAAATATGTGATAAAGTTGTAGAAGCCCAAGAATTGCAAGCAGAATTAACTGCAATTCGAGAGCTAAACGACATTAAAGACCAAAACTTAAGCAAACTTAAAGAAGAGCTAAAACAGGCTACAACTGCTAATAGTAAAGCAGCAGGCGAACAGCGTTTTCTTCAAGAACAAATGCTGCTATTTCAGCAAGAGCAAGAACAGCTATTAGATGACTATGAACAAGCCTTAGCTAAAATTGAAGTTTTATCAAAAGAAAAAAATCAAGCTTTATTCCAATTAGAAGAATTAAATACTCGATGCCATTTTTTGGAACGGCAAAATGAAGACTTGACTAATAGCAAAAACCAGGACAGTTCAGAAATTTATCAGCTCAGGACACAACTAAAAGAAAAAAATGAGGAGGTTTTTGCATCAAAGCAACAATTGGAAAATTTAAGGAATGAGGCGAAAGGGTATATTGATGAACTTCATCATATGCATCAAATTAATGAAAGATCAGAAGAAACTGCCAAAGGGCTAAGGGAGGAAATTAGAAGGCTGCAGAGTCAGATGGATGAACAGTTTTTAAAGACTCAAAATACTGAAAGAGAAATGATGAAAGCTAGAGAAATGAGCGGAGAGTTATCCTATAATAAATTGAATTAATTTTGTTTTTATTAATATATAACATCTTAATTTTATATTAAAATTAATTGAAGATTGTATAAAAAAACATTGAAAGAGATAACAGGAGGTTAGAGGAGCAACTGAGAGAGTCAAACTTAATGCTAAGCCAAAAAGATGCAGATTTAGAAGGAAGATACACAGAAATATCAAAACTCCAAAAATCAAATAAAGAGTTAAGGGATGACAATTATACGTTATTAAGCAATATATATAAAAAATGGTGGCGACAGACCACCCGACGTCCTGACCCTTTTTCTTTAACACCAGCAAGATACGGCCCAGTGTGGAGGGAAAGGGCAGAAAGAGGGCGATAATTTTATATGCATATCGGGCTAGGTTTTCCTAGGAAGCTAATTCCTGGGATTTGCCCTCCGAGTCCATCATTGGAGATGGCAAGACTACAAAAGCCCCAAGAGGATAATAAGTCCCTCAAGCAGGGCTTCAAGGTTACATCTGCCTAGCAAGAGACTGGAGTTTCGATCCAGGTGATGGGCCCAAAGGCTCCAGAATTCATTGAAGTTAAGACGGTATGTGCGATTCCCTTGTCTACGGTGGCGAGTAGGTATCTATTGGATTCCTTTGAGGACGAAGGGTATGCAGTAGTGCTAACCCTCAGCCCTATCAAGGACAAACGCTTTTTTAACTTTAAGATTATACTTTATCAAGCAAACTTGTAGAATTTGAAAATGAAAATGAAAGACTGAGAAGGTCAAATGATGAATTCAGAATTAGGGTTGATTATTTAAGTGAAAACGATAAAGAAATCAGAGGATATTTGAGTAGAAAAGAAAAAATGCTGAGAATTAGAGAACAAGCAGAAAGAGAGCTGCAGGACGCTCTTGATTCTTTCAGCTCAACTAAGTAATAAACATATATTATTATAGAAATGATTTTCGATGTTGATATAAAGCAAAAGCAATTAAAACCCAAAATGGTTAATTACTGGCTTTTTGCTTCAAATTTAAAAAATAAAGCTAGATTTCTGTTTAAGATTATATTTTGTATATATAGCTCTAATTAAATCTAGCACCTCGCAAATCTATTTTCTCTACATACCCATAAAGATTCCATTTTACCCCTATTCATTCAAAATTAAAACACCCGATCCACCCTTCAAACAATAATAAAAAAATCAATTATTTTAATCTATAGTCAATTAAAGTTAGCTTTACCTTGTGTCTGTGCAGTAGTTTAAATTTTATTTAAAATGAGGACTTTATTAAAACAAGAAATCATCAGGATCCAAATCAGCTAAAGTCGTAGGCAATTTTAATGAATCTTGTTTTCCAATCATATCGGCAAAATTAAATGGTACCGTAGTTAATTCAGTCGATTCAGATAGCTCTAAATTAGTATTAGTAGGGCTACCTTTAATTCGAGACAGTTTCGGCAGAGTCTCATTTGTGCTCAAGGTGCTTGCATCAGAATCCAGTCCTTTCCTGACTTTATCAGTAGGTTCGGAAAACTGTGACTCGTCAGTTGCTTGCTTAAGGCGCTTCGTAGGAGGCGGGGAAGTACTCGTCTCTTTAGCGTCAGTCTTCAGAAGAGCTTTGATTTTGTCATTGTGAAAAGTCTCGACCTTGTCCATGTGTTCTTTGGCAGCTTGTAGGCCAAAGAAGAGTTGTCCAGCATCCTTAGATGAATATTCAATCCAAGATTTTGTGTCTGGGGAATATACAACAAGTAGCAAGTCAACTTCATGCTGCATAGCTAACTCTACAGCCTTTTTGACAAGTGTCTCGATTCTCCTAGATCTAAGCTTTACGTCAATGTTTCTCTTGCGCCCTTCACGATTTTTATTGTGATTCATTTATATATGTGGTATACTGAGAAGTTAAATTCTTTCTTATAATTATAAAACATATTGATATTGAATAAATATGAATTTCGCTTGCATTTATACGTGGTGAAAGATAATTTGTTATTCAGTGATGCTCCATTATGAAATTTAGATTAAAATAATTGATTTTTGGATTAAAATAATTATAATTAAGTGGTAATTAATGTACAAGTTATTTGATTTTGTATGCTTCTATAATTTATTATTTATTTTTAAGCATTTATAACGATAATAATCTAATTATTGGCTGTATAGATTTCATAAGGATTTTATGAATACTCTATGACAGAATGGATCAGATTTGTATTTTGAAGTAAATAGTGCTTATAAAATGTTTTGATTATAAAAATAAGTGGCCAAATAGACATGATTGGGTAGATCACTAAAGATTCCATATTTGGCGCAACAATTTAACCAGTGGAGATTTTATGTTGAAAACAGCCAAGGCATGTGAATTAAAAATATAAGCGCAATCTATATGAAGATTATAGACACAAAGTCTATTCTATTCTATTAAATATAACAGTGCATGCACTGTTGAAGCTCTTATGAGCTTTTAAACAATCAATCTGTAATTTTAGTTTGCTTTGGTCGTTGCTTCAGGTTTCTGGTTGTATTCCTTTCGCTTTAATTCCTTGTATGTTGACATGGCTAGTAGTTTTTAGTCTGCTACGCTCCTCATTTCTAGTTTTCTTTTCTTGAATAACCTGCTTCAGTCATCATTCTCTTCTTCGGAATCGATAATGGTGACAACTTGACTTGTTGTGATGACGACTCCTGTGTTGGTGGCATGACTTAAAGTGCTGATGCAATTTTCATTGATAATATAACTTGCGGTGGTGGTTCAGTTTGTATTGGTGGCGCGACTTGTAGCGGAAGCGTGTCTTGTATTGTCGGTGCGTCCTGTAATGATGACATGACTTGTAGCGATGGCTTAACTTGCAACGATGGCATTACTTGTAGCGGCGGTGTGTTTGGTGTTGATGTCATGACTTGTAGTCGCGTCATGTCTTGTTGTGATGACGAACCTTGTATTGTTGACATAACTTGCAGTGTTGGTTCAATCCGTGATGATGTCATGACACTTTTATTTTTTGTGTAAATGGAGAAGAATAAGTCTGGTAGTGATGATGCCATGACTTGTGATGGTGTCATGACTTGTGATGACGATGAATCTTGCAGCGGTTGCTTGATTTGCAGAGTCGGTACATCTTGCAATGACGACACGACTTGTGGTGGTGGTTTAACCTGCACGTACGCTAAACTACTTAGCTTATCCTGTTCGTCAGTCTGCATTTTGTCTTTTTTTATCCCTTCCCTTGCTAGCTTGCTGATCCTTTTTTCTTCCTCCTTCTTTTCCCTATTGGCTCGGCTTTTTTCCTGCATTCTTCTCTCTTTGCTTTCAGTTTTGCGTGCCCTTTCTCGTTATGTCCTATTTCCCCGCATGTAGCACAAAAAAGAGTTGCTGTATGATTGAGTCACACTTTTCTGTTCCTGATTATTATCTCATCCGTCAGATCCAAGGCTTTTTCTAATGTCTCGAATTCCAAATAAAAGGCGTACCTAGAGTTTGTGCTGAAATGTGCGTTGTAACTTTTCCCTTCTGAGCTTATCACGTCGTCTACTGCTACTTCTACAACCTTGCCTACCTTATTTAGTTCCTGAATAATTTCTTCCACAGCAATCCCAGTCGGCACTACTACTTGCACCCTGTAGCTAACGTAGTTAATTTCTCCCTCCTTTAATGCAGGACCCAGTGGAACCATTATTCTTTTCCCTTCATGCTGTACCGTTAGCTTTCCTCTCCTCTTTAGTTCTTTTAGCGCATCTTCGTCCGCAATGTTACTACTGCATCCCCTGAGGGTAATTTAATGCCCCTAATTAGGTCTCCATCTCTAGTGGCTGCCTCCAGTGCTACAACAAATGAGCAGTATAAGTTCCGCTTCTTCTCTTCATCTCCCTTTCTTAGATATTTCGATAAATAAAATTTCAATGTTCATTCTAGGCATGCCGAGTCTTCCAGTTGTGGCAAAGTGTTGATGGGAGCACTGAAGCTATAACAGAATCCATCCCTACCAAATCCCAGGACTTGGAGTTCCTCGTCCTTTGCGGCTCTGAGAGTTGTCTGTTTTTGCTTGTCACTCCACATCCGAATAAATAAAACGTTATAGACACAAAGTCAGTTATTTTGTTTTAATATCTAATACTTTTTTATCATTCACTTATATAAAAAAGGAGTCAATGAAATTGCAGCTGATATCAGGCTAATCGCCGAAACTGTATTTAATGCAAAAAATAAAGCTCATATCTCTGAAACATTGACTTAATATCTGAAGAAAAGAAATATAAAATTCTCCAAATTTACAATCTTTAATTCCATAATTGATATTAAGAAATACTTAGAAGTATGAAAATTAGTTAATTATCATGTTGCTGGAGATTTAGGCCAAAGAATATCCCAATCTTTGCATTCAATAAGCGTCATCAATCCAATCAATCTATTACTATAAAACATATATTTATACAATAAATAAATCTCGAATTCCCTTTTATCATAAGCCTTCAGAAAAAAAAATCTAATATAGAGTACGAAATTGCGTTATGAGCAGTTAAAATATATGTCTAATAGCTCCATAACTTCTGATTAAAAGAAATAATATTCCTATTAATATTTATTGCATGTTCTAATTCCTAGTGAGAAACAATTTAGCTATACGCACTTTATTATTTTATTAGTTTATAATATAAACGAAATCTGTTCAGCCTAAATTATATTTTAAAGACATTGTATAATTTATAATTCATCGATTATTCTATTTAATCAATCCTGTTAGCTTATGATTTCAATCTGATCACCATTTTATATCGTAATAAAATAATTATAAACATAAAATAGTGATGGATATGCTACCACAAATTACCAATGGCACTTCTCCAAAATCCCTGGACCAGTTTTCAGGATTAAGTCTATTGGAAATCCCTGAAGAGACTTCCAAAGGAAAAAGCAAAAAAAGATCGAAAAAAGCCAATGATTTCTCAATCAGATTTAAAACTGAGATATGCCGGAATTGGGAGAACGGATTCTGCGAATTTGGCGAAAAATGTACATTTGCCCATGGCCAAGATGAGCTGAGGTCTAAGGAAGGTCTCCCTATCAAACAATCCAAAGCCTGCAAGCAGTATTTTGAACTAGGGTACTGTCTTTTGGGTTCAAAATGTGCTTCAGAGCATGCTGACGACTCTGACAAAACCGCTTCAAGCTCGCCTTCTAATAGTACAGTAGCCAGCAGAAAATCATCTGTAGATAGCTCGTGCCAATGCATGCCTTTATTTATTGACCTCGAATGCAGAGGAATGTATATATAAATATACATAGAATACTTAATGTAATTAACTTAATTTATAGATAACCGGAATTTTTAAGTATTTTGAGGGCTCAAAGCATTTATCAGTATAGACAGGCAAAATCGGGGATATGAAAATGGCGTTTATATATAAAAAGGCTTAACTGACAATTATAAATTTATGAACAAAATTGAGTCAGAAAATCAAAAAAAGAAAATTTATATTGAAAATCAAGAGAGTGAGTTCCCAATAAGCACCCTTAAGAGTTACAGGCAACAAACGCTCTTTGAAGAAGAATCAAGCAGAGTATTATGTGAAAATAATTGTAAAATAGTCAAAGAAATCGCATTGCATAAAATAGAATCCACACAAAGTATCATGACTGACAGCACACTGTCCTCTGCAGACGACAGAAGTAAACGCAACAATTTTCGGAGAAAAAAATTATCAGTGGATTTCCCAAAAAGAATTAACGGGAAATGTATATATGAAATTCTATGCGGCAAATAATGATAATCTATTAATTTTCAATTATTTAATTACTAAAATGTGGAAATATTTCCTTTTAGTTTGCTGCTCAGCTTTACGATTGTTCATAATACCTCATTCTCATTGTGATCCTGGCTGGCTAGAGCCAGTGGACTGATACTATGAAAACAAAGTAAGAAATATTTTCAACAATTTAATAGAATTGCTTCAAGAAAACAATCAAAGGAAATTCGCATGATCTGAAATTTCATTTTTAAAGATGTGAATGGATGAACAAAATATTTTGAAGAAAAATGCTTTAAGATCGCTCATACAGTCTGGTAGAATAGAAATTGTTGGAGGCGGGTTTGTGCAGAATGATGAAGCGAATACTGATTTTGATATGATCATAAGGCATATACATTAAAATGGCGTAAACCAACCCAGCATTTTAAGCCTGTAGCTGATATACATTAAATGGCGTGGTGAGCCAACCCACCTCTTAGAATCTGTAGCTGGGAAACCCAGGGATCTTGTAGAAGGGAGGATGGCGTTTTGTGATGTATAGTAGGCCTGGTTTTACTTGGTTTAGTGGAGATCAACGCCGAATTAGGCTGGCGCAGCTTATTCCAGGCCAAGGTTTTATCTCTGGGAAAGATGGAAGCTTGATGTTGGAAAGGGAAAGCCCAGCAGAGTTCTGGGAGCCGATCAGGCATTTCCTAGCACGATACTGGGAGTTGAGCCATGAGCAACGAGTTCTATCTTTGTTAACACCTCTATTCGAATTTTCTGGAAGGGCAACCCAAGTCAGGCGTAGACGCGTTGAGCCATCCCACTACACTCCAATTAGTGTGCGAGCCTATTTCTGGAGTAACATAGACGTAGACAGCCGTAAAACAAGGTAGAAATAAATACCCATTCAGGGTATCACAGGGGAGATTTTTTATAATCTAACTAAAAAACTAACTCCCCCCCCCATCCTTGATCGAACGATTGACTGTAAAAATTCCTAAAAATTGGGGATTAACCCCCATCCTTGATCGAACGATTTTCATATCATGCAAATTTTTATATATATAAAAATATATTATTTATCAAAAGCTTGGGAAGATGTACATAATGAAGTTATTTTCAGAGCTTTGAGATGGCAGAAAGCTGTGGAATCAACCATCCGAAGTGATTTAGCCATCAACCTAGGCTTAAAAACTCAATAATCTAATAAAATAGAGATTCTTTAAAATTTTAAAAAAAAAAATTTAATTTAATAAGGAACAAATTAAAATTTATACAGTTTAAAAGGGTAACTAATAAATCAAAATATTAAAAATTGGTATTTTATGAAATTAATTCAATTTTTAGCTGTAAAAATAATTATTAAATACTCTTAACCCTCTTATTTAAAAGTAAATAAAACAAAATATATATATATTTTTTATTTTATATATAAAATTTTTTTAACCCCCATCCTTGATCGAACGATGACGAGTCGTTCGATCAAGGATGGGGGGGGGAGTAAGAATTCCTGTAGCTGACATCCCACATGGTAGTCGGGACCTTTAGAAAAGGGGGTGGCGTATCCGGCCAGATTTTTTTTGCTTTATGAAGCGCAATGTTGGATTAGTGGACCGCATGCTTTGCTCCTTACCAAGTTTTTGCCTCAAGGGGAAATGGAGCAAGAATTGAAAGGGATCTCCAGTATGGCAGTGGCAAATATCTTGGAAAATCGAGGCTGCTACTTAGCGTAAAAGGAGTTACAGCTGGGAGCTTCGATTTTCCATTTTGGTAGAGAGTTGACCAGAAAATTCTAGGTTTTGAATATTCAATGTTATGCAATCTTTGTCGACGCTCAACACAATTCATCCAACTACTGGGCAACAAGTGCGACCCTTATCCGGTAGGAGCAGCCTTTGTAAGGTCGAATACGAACTGGAGAGCAGGTGAAGGCAACCCTTTGGAAATTAAAATGAACTTCTAATACTTCCTCCTGTGAGTGAACAAAAAAATTTGTTCGTTTGCGGAGGGAGTTAATTTTTTAAAAAAATTATATATAAATTTTATAGTAATTTTTTTTCAAAATTTAAAAAATTCGAAATTTATATTTTAAAATGAAGCTGTTTAAAATTAAGCAGAATTAGTGTGAGATACTTCATTATTCTAATTATCATTTATATATTATTATTTTTTTATATTAAAAAAAATTTTTGTATGCTCAAGGAGAGTGGGCTTTACCCCAAAAATAGGAATTTTTCCAATGGTTTTGCTCGCTCATGAAGGGGGGAGTAAGTAATATGGCGATAGCAATATGATCATAAGGCAGTTTGATAGTGGAAGAGACTATTTATATCAAGAGTTTGGGATAGAAAATGTGAAAGTGGGATGGCAAATTGACCCGTTTGGGCATTCAGCGCTTACACCTTCTTTGTGAGCAAAATTAGGGTTCGAGTATCTTGTAATTAATAGGATCAGCAAACCTTTGAAAGTAGATTATATATAGAAAATATGAAGAAGGAAAAATAACTTAGAATTCTTATGGGAAGGGTCTGATCTTGGGTCAAATAATACAATTTTTACGCATATTTTGTATGATCATTATGATTTCCCTGATATTTTGCATCCTTTAAAAAAAGAATTATGCTTGAGCACAATTGATATAGCAAATGTGTCAGAGTGGTAATTTTAACTTAGTGCTAGCAAGCTTTACAATCTTGTATGCTAAATTATATTAATGATTTAAAGTAATTTGATAATATAATTTCTCTATTGGGTCACATATAAGTAGCATGCATTCAATTAGGCTATATATAAATAAACAAAAACATGCATACAGCACAGAAAATATTATGATGCTATATGGTGACGATTTTTATTATCACGATCTCGCTGAGTCAAAACTTTTATATCAAAGAATAGAGCTCCTAAGAGACTATATCAACCATTACTATTGAAATTTCACCATAAAAATTGCTACACCATCCGAATACTTTGAAGCTGTTAAAGCAGAAAGCCCAGAATTGCCTTATTTTACATCTGATTTTTTCCCATACATGAACTACTTCAATATGAAAAATAACTACTGGACTGGATACTATACCACAAGACCTCGTCTAAAAAATGAGGTCTATTTTGGACACAGACTTGCAAGAGCTGCTGAAATCGCTATGGCTTTTACTTCAAAATCAAGTCTTAATTCTCCTCAAGCAAGTATTTCCCTTCATCATGATGCAATTACAGGAACTTGTAGAGACCATGTAGCTGCTGACTATATGTACAGGCTGAAAAAAGATATAGTAAATTCTATCCATGCAATCGAATTTGTGCTAAAAAATGTTTTGACTGAAGCTAAAAATGAATTCGCTTTAGCAGTTTCTTATAGAGTTTTGATTGCTTATAATCCTTTAAATTGAGAAAAAGATGAATTATTTTCAATTAAAGCTGAAACAAATGATATTGAAATTATAAATTGAAAAGGAAAAGTCGTAAAATCTCAAGCTGTAAAAAATGTGATAGATGGGGGATATATTATTTATTTTAAAGCAAAATTGCCTTCTCTTTCATTTTTTACTATTTTTGTGAGATATTGTTTTGCTTGCACTGATTTATCAGCTGAATACGAAGGATATAGTTTGGCTGATAAAATATATAAATTGCATTTTGATCAAAACGGGATGCTGGATTTTATATTTACTCCCCCCGATCCTTGATCGAACGACTCGCCATCGTTCGATCGAGGTTAAAAAACATTTTTTTTGGGAAAAAAAAATTTATATATAAAATAAAAAATATAATTATTTTTACAGCAAAAAATTGAATTAATTTCATAAAATACCAATTTTTAATATTTTGATTTATTAGTTACCCTTTTAAACTGTATAAATTTTAATTTGTTCCTTATTAAATTAATTTTTTTTTTAAATTTTAAAGAATCTCTCTATTTTTTAGATTATTAGTTTTTTAAGCCTAGGTTGATGGCTAAATCTCTTCGAATGGTTGATTCCGCAGCTTTCTGTCGTCTCAAAGCTCTGAAAACAACTTCATTAGGTATATCTTCCCAAGCTTTTGATAACTAATATATTTTTTATATGTTAAAAATTTGCATGATATGAAAATCGTTCGATCAAGGATGGGGGAGTTAGCAAAAAACTTGAAATTATCCCAAAAACCAATAATTCACATCAGAAAATAAAAAATAAAATGCACGAATTCCGCCTTAGACAGCAAATTTTTGCATATAAAGGAGAAAGCAGTGGAGCTTATATTTTTCATCCTACTGTAATTTTAATCTAGGGATATGCTGAAAACTTAGAGCTTAGCCTTGAACAAATTATGATTTCAAGTGGCAAAGTTGTACAAACTGCACAAATTATTTGGTACCGCAAAGATGATAAATCAAAATATTTTTACCAGAAATTTATATTATATGACTCAGAAAAGTTTATATGAAAAATAGGTGTAAGTGCTGTACAAAATGAAGAAATAACGGTTAGATTTGAAAGTCAAGATGAAAACGTGATTGATATTTTTACATTTAATTCAGCAGATTTAAGGCAAAGAGAGCTTTAACATTAACATTACTTAGAGGTTCTAACGTGTTTCTCTGGCTCCGCAGGGTGATTTAACAAAGCCACAAGGGCTCACCCCAGTAAACACCAAATAGTGACGTCACCGGGCATTTCCAACGTCACCCTTTTATCGGGCCGACGGACCATCCTAAGCAAGTGACGGCCAATTGGCTGCCAGATCTCACGGGCTGCGCTGTCTTGCTCAAAACTTAGCTCCTGCGCGTTGTGCCGCCTATAGGTCTCCCTCCCCAGGAGTGCCAAGCAGTAAACCTATGCCCACCAAACATCCGCTGCTTACCTGATATTGCTGGATAAGGTCTCACGGGAAAGCTGAATCTTATAATAAAAAATTAAGGCAAAGAGAGCACATAGAAGAAATTTATGCGTCTAGAGTAGGAAAAAATATGTATCCAGTTCCTGCAGGGGCAGTTGCAAAATCTAAAAATTCTTATTTAAAGTTTTACCCGAAATTTCCATTAGGAATCGGCGTGGTCTCTCCTAAGAGTTTTGAGTTCTTATTACAAAGAAATCTCTCAAATGATGACTTATGCGGATTAGGAGTTGGAGTTACAGATATCACAATAGCTGAGCATACAATGCACGTAGAGCTTGGCAATTTAATCCATGAAGAATTTTGGAGAAATTATTTAAATGCAAAAACTGAGTCTTATTTATTTCCATTAAAAGATGCAGGAAAATATGCATTAAGTCTTGAAGATTGAGAAGAAGCAGAAGTTTTAAATGAGCCTTGGAAAAAGAAAACTGAATTTTATATGGGATTTGAGGATAATAGGGTTTATCTGTCAAGTGCTGTAATAAAGGATTCAGAAATTTTTATGAGAGTATTGAATTTTAATTCGGTTGGGATTGGATTTGATGTGATTGGAGGAAAAGTTTCAAATAAAACGAATCTAGCAGGATATCAAGCTTTAAATGAAACGCATAATTGGAAAAATTCTGGTGAAATGTTTGATGAATTTAAAAACATCAGTCAGCCTGCAATAAAGATGCAAACTAAGCAGATTATGACGCTTGACAGTGGGCAAGCTTTAAAACCAATGGAGCTAGCAGCGTTTTATATTGATATCAATAAATTCCCATATGAAAGAAAAATTCATGAAAAATCGAATAAAGAGTTTTCGGCAAGACCAAATGATATAACAAAGCCTTATAGAGAGCTTCTTGAGCATGAAATAGTATATATTGAAACCTCTAATAAACCTCAATACAATATACTCCACCTATCCTTTATATTTCTTATCTTTTTTGCCCCTGCATACACTGTCTTATTCTATCATTTCAAAACAGCTCTCTCCAAAAGAAAAATTAATCTTTACACAATTTAATAAAATTGCAATCGATATAGTTAAGTAGTAGATAACACAATAAGACTTACAACAATTCCAACAATCATCGCTACTGACAGTCCTAAAATGAATACTTGAGTATTTATTCCACAACATTTATCATCCACCCTCGGCAAGCATCCATCTGTGCTGCTTGATGCTGGCCTTGCTTCTGGTTGCTGGCTTTGTTGCCTTCTATTATTTCCTGGAGGTGGATAATTTGCATGAGGAGGCTGATATGGCTGAGGGTTTGGCGGAGGATAATATTGAGGGGGCTGTGCTGGATAAGCTTGATAAGGACTCTGTGACTGCATAGGAGGGGGAACATATGGCTGTGGGTTTTGAGGGGGAGGAGAATTATATTGATTTTGCAGTTTCCTTGCGATTTCTTCATCTTCTAATAATCTTTGTCTAGCCCTTGCATTTTCTTCTTCTTGGTATTTTTTAGCCACTTCTTCGTCATTAGTTGTATTATGTCCTGTATACCTCTGTTGCATACGCTTTCTGTATTCCTCTAGTTGATCTGCCATTATTTATACAACATGCATGAAATTTTATCTAGAAAACTAACTCACCTTAATAAAGATTAATTTTTAATAAAAAAATTAAATCATTATAATTATATAAAAATATTTTTTGATTTTTAGTTATGAAATTTATTTGAGAATGCAAACTACTATAAATTTAATTGCTAGCTAAAAATCTTGTTGCAAAAATTACTAATTATAATAAATTTTCATTTTAAAAATGTATTGCTCTCTTTCCTAAATGGATTGATTTTCACAAAGTGCATTTTTCTTTGGTTTTAATCGCTTAAGGGGATTAAGCAGAATTTTTTACAGCATAAAAATCTAACCTCTTCTGACTCTGGCATTATTTCTTCTTCAGGGCTTGTTGGCAAATTATGGCCGATTTCATCTGCTATATTTCTTTTTACTTCTTCTGTTTCAGCACATTCTTTACTGGAATCAGAGGGGAAAATGTCTTTCATTTCTAAGTCTCTTAATTTTTGTTCAGATTTTCTCAGTAGGATTTCTTGGTGCAGTTTTGATAAATTTGCAGGGGTTTTATTACCGAAGCCTTTAGATTTATTCGATAACAGTATAATTTAAAAAAAAATTATGCAATTCATCACCAATTTTTAAAATAAAAGGAAATTTATAATTAATTAAAAATATAAAACTTTTTTAATCTGTATATATTCAACTCCGACAGAAATTGAGCTAATATCCATTTCACCAATTGAGTCGTTATCTGCATATTTTTCATTATGTCTAAAAGGAGACTTTTGAAGCGAGTCAGCATTTTTATGGTTCCCTAAGCTTTTACGGCTGATGATTTCTTGTCTTCCTTTTATGATCCATTTATCAAAATTTTGATTTAAATACATTTATTAGTTAACCAGTTAAAAATAATCACTTGCAAGACCTTCTAAATTTCTCTGAATCTCAAAATCAATTGAGCAAGAGCGCCTTTCTCTTGAAACTACCTTATATGCTGCATTATAATTTAATTTGTATTTTGATATTAAATATCCTATAACAGCTGCACAAGACTCTGAGCTGCCCGTAGGGCAGCAGATCAAAATATTGCCTTTAGGCAGCCTGAAATCAATATAGTTTGTTATTTCTTTCAAAACTTTTTTTGTGTTGCTCCCATTTTTATCAAGAGTGATATTTAGCATATCACCTTTAAAAAATTTCCAATAAAATCCGGATGCTCTATATGTGTCTATTGATACAATTGATTTTATTTTATTTCTCAACAGGAGAGTATAATCGTTTGCAGACCTTATGCTTGATATAAAAATATCATAAGAATTTCGCTCAACGTACAAGTAATCTTGAATAGGGACTTGAAAAAGGCCTTTCTTTTCTTCTTTTAGCTCAAGGTTAATTAGTGGTTTCTGCATATTTTGGAAGCTTTTTTTGTTTAATTTCTTAGTTTTTTCAGATAAATTAACTTTTACTTGCTCATTTGTGCCAACACGATTATTTTCTAAAAAAGAATTTTTTAATGCATTTGAGCTGCTCTTTTGTTTAAAACCTTTGCAATACCCATTAGAGTCAAAGAATCCGATAGTATCTGAATTAGCTTCTTTTAGTATTTTTTTTGATTTTGGATTATTAATTAAGCAATTTTTAGTTGTATGATTGGATGAGTAGTCTTTTTCTAAGCAATCGAGCAGATTGAGCATTTTATTTGGACTGGAAATGCTCACTTCATTGTCTAACGGAAGATTTTCTAATTCCATATTTTGTCTAATTATCAAGATTCCATTTTAGTTTAAATATTAGTCATATAGGGCACTTTAATATTTTTAGCCATTTAATACAATTTTTTAAATACTAAATTCCACAGGTTTTTTGTCTTTTTCTTTTGGCTGTCCATCTAATACAGAATATGACCCAATCTCAATATTTTTCTTGACTTCTTTTACAACTTTCTGTTTAAACATTTTCATCTCATTTGTTTTTCTGCTTTTATAATTGTCAAGCCACCCTTTAAGCCTTCTTGATTTTTCAGAAGTGTCTCTTCCTTTTACGGAAGAATAATCAATTTTTAAAGCATCTAATAGAGCTTTTTCCTAAATAATATATACATTTTGGTGCCTGTCGTTTATTTCTTTCAGGATTTTTTCCTGTAATTTTTCATTAGAGGGAATATAAATTCCTCCCATTTCTGTAAAATGCTCGATGTCTTTTAGAGAAAAAACCTCGAAAAATTCGGTTCGGTTGATAATTATACTGGGTTTATTCAAGTAAATTTAACTTAAATGAAGAAATGGGTTATTTTTGTTACGAATATGGTAATAATTTAATTGGAATTCAAGGTAATTAACTTATAGCAATATAAACATGAAGTAGGTTCTTTTGCTATTGCGCGAGTTTGCCTTGGATAATCTTCAATTAGTTCAGCTTCTCCAAAGAACTGCCCATAAGTAAGTGTGTTCAGAGTCACTATATATTTTCTTTTTATCTGCCTTATTTTCCACTTTTGAGACCCTGTTGGCCAGCAATTTTTCTGCTCAACATCTATAAAAGCTTGAATTTCTACTTTTCCCTCTTTTATGATATAGAGAATATTGCTTGGGTCTCCTCTATCATAAAGCAATTCATCAGTCTCATAATGCTTCAATATCAAAAAATTACTTAGCCTTTGAGCTTTTAAAAAGCTCCAATTTTCAAAATATCTGATGCTTAATAAAAATTTTGTATTATCATGTTTTTCTAGTTTTTTAATCCCAAGAATCACGCTGTCATAATCAGTTTTCTTTAATTTGAAAATTACTGTTGGCTCTTCTGCTTTAACACCAGCTGACCTTGGCATCTCTGTATCTAGCGCAGTTTCGCCTATTGCATCTTTTGTGCTTTTTATGCCAATATTGCTTCCATCTTCCAAATAAATCCCTACTTTTCCAGAAAAAATGATAAACATGGAATCAGCTTCGTCTCCTTTATGAAAAATTCATTCCCCTTCTTGATAATTTTCTTTAAATAATTTATCACAAGTTTCATATACCACAGATTTTGGCAATTTCCCGAAAAATTTAGTTGAGCTTATCCATGCCTGCAATGCAGCTTTTTCATCATCAGCCCTTTGGCTTGGATGAAGTGAAACAATATGTTCCAAATCAGAGTTTTTATAATCACTCATTTTCCTATAAGCGCTCTGGAAGTCATTTCTCGCTACGAGTCAGTTTGGGTAGCAGCTATTTTGGGTATTCTGTGCAGCTTTAGATGTTTTTGGTCGATACTGCGATTCAAACAGAATTGCTTGACAATTTACCAAATTTGATTCAGAAAACGAATTGCAATGGGTATGGGTTTTTGCGATCTCTCTGGACAGAGGAGGACCAAAAATTTTTGACCTGTCAGTCGAAATAGATGGCACTTTTGAATGATTGACAGATTTTGTTTCAAAATCTTTCCTTGCTTTTTCTATATAAAAAGAAGGATGCTTCGGCTTGTCTATTGTGATATTTTCTATTAGAATTTTCGGCCGAGCGATTTCTTTTAATAATCGATCTTGGGTCGCTCTTTTTAATTCTTGAGAGATTTTTCGGTTTCTCTGCTCGGCACTAAAAGGCTTGATTCTTTTATTTCTGGTTTCTGTATGACTGGTATAAGCTCTTGAAGGGATATTATCAGACGTTTTATAAAGAGACATCTGAGAAAGGAACATTGGAGGGATGCTTTCCATTTGACAAATTAGTTAAATTACTAACTATTAATCATAATCAATTTTATTACTTTTTGTATATGGCTTGTCGAATTAAAAATAAAAATTCACCATGGACTTGATCATCAGAAAGTTGGGCTTGGTCTCTGATCGTCTTCCTAAATCTGTGGCTATTGCTTTAACAATAATAGGTGCAATAAAAGTTGCTTGCATTTTGAAGACTGCTATATCAAATGCTTTTTATAAGAAGCTCTGTTGGCCTCTTAACCTGTCCTCATTATACGGTTCATATTCAAGAGTTCTAATTACAGAAGCATCTACAGCTATAGGTCAAGCTTGGGCAGAAAAATTTGCTAGCAAAAATTTCAATCTTCTGCTTGTGGGCTCTAATGAAAATGGGTGCAGATCCAATGATAGCACCTTTTTGATAGTGTACATTTCACCGAAGTACTTTTAGTCGAAAATTGGTTGAAACTTTTTGATAGAGACATTGATCGAAAAAACCCGTTAAATTTCGACCAAATGTCACACTATTTAAAAATTTTCGACTAAATGTATTTCGATGAAATGTACAATGTCAAAAATCCACTGTCATTTGCATGGAGCCGATGAAAATAGCTTGACTAAGCTCAAAGTTTCTCTTCAGCTTAAATATTCTATAATTCGTTTGACCTATTTATAATTATTATTGCTTCTTAATAATGTAAAATTAAATAAATAAGCATACAAAGTTAATATTGAAACTTTAGTTATTGATTTATGTGAAAGAGACGCAAGCGAACTAGTCTGCAGCTTTATCGAAGAAAAGAAGCTTGAAATCTCTGTCATTGTGAATATAATGAAAAACGTTCAAATTGGAAAATTCAGAACTTTATTCAATAGTGATGGGAAAATAGAGCCAGGTGCATTTAAAGAAATGGTAAATGAAAATGCTTTGAATATAATCCAATCAAACATTGTGTTTTCTACTTTAGTTGTGAGAAGCCTTTTGCCGAAGTTAGCTACAAGAAAATATAAATCCGCAGTTATTAACTGCAATTTGAACATTGACTCGCCTTATAGCTCAGTTTATGATGCTACTAAAGACTATTTGAAAACTTTTACGTTAAGGATTGCAAAGGAGACAAAAAAGAGGGTGGATGTTTTTAGTACTTCATATAAAGAAGGCTCAGAAAAAAGGTGTGTAGATGAAGCTATGGGAAGTATTGGAAGAAATTTTGAAGCTCCAAAGGGGCTAAAAGAAATATTCTTTAGTCATTAATTAGCTTTAAAGATAAATTGGGTTACAAAATTGAAGTGGATTTGATATTGATTTTTTAAGCATTTATATTATAAATATTATACAGTTAATAGCTGGTGTTTATTAAATGCTATAGTAATAATCATTTATCTTTTCTTAATATATTTTAAGAAATTCTTTGCAATTTTTTAAAAATGAGTAGAATATTGATTAACTAATACTGTCTTCAGATCATATTAAAAACTTTGAATTTAATCTGAAGGAATTCCTCCATAATATATATTAGATTACTGATTTTCATCTTGACTCTACAATTAAAAATGGATCCCAATAGTTATCAATCTTATATTTTTGATTGTGACGGAGTTCTGTGGAAAGGCCTCTTAGAGGTTCCTGGAAGCATTCAAGCATTAAACTACCTTCAAAGCCTTGGCAAAAAAGTCTTTTTCCTCACAAATTCAGCACGCACTAAGCCTGATATTGCAAGCCAGCTATCATCATACGGCTTTGCAGCCTCTTATGACCAAATTCACAGTGCAGGTACAATGCTTCCTTTATATATAAATAAATTCCATCCTGGACTAAAAAACGTATTTTTCATAGGGCTGCGTGGAAAAGAGCTTCTTACAGACGCAGGCTTCAATGCTTTAGAATCCCATGAAATCCCTAACAATAGAATCACAAGTTTACAAGATTTAAAAGACTTCAGACTTCAAGAAGTCCCAGATGCTGTCGTTGTCTGCCACGATATTGATTTCGACTATTTTACAGGACTATATGCATCTGCCTGCATCCAAGAAGGGGCAAAATTCATTTCTGCCAATTATGACGATTACTTTATATTAGGAGACTGAAAAATGGCCAGCTGTGGGACCCTATGCAAATATATAGAAGGCGCAACAGGCCAAAAAGCAGAAGTTGTTGGGAAACCTAATAGTTTTATTATAGAAGAAATTATTGAAGAGCATAACCTGGATAGAAGCACATGCATCATGGTAGGCGATACAATTGATTCTGACGTGCTGCTTGCCCACAACGCACATATAGACTCTATGCTAGTTCTCACTGGAGTATCTAAAAGAGAAGACATAGAGAAATATGAGTATAAACCAACTTTTGTATTTGAGAGTTTAGGAAGCGCTTTTAATTTATAGCATAAATTAGCTTTTATCTTTTAACATTTTCAGATCTCTGATAAGTTTATCTCTATCACGAAGCTTGAGACCGTGAGTTGCTGCAAAATGTTGCCCTACTCTTAATAGGTCGTCATTGGGTCCTACAGTGACATTTTCATATTTGCCAGGGCCAACATTGACTCGGAGAGTGAAGCTTTTTGGGGTACTTTGCTGAGAATTAGTTATACTTGATCTATGCTTTGCTGGAGAAGTTTTGGCTGAATTTGATTTCCATAATGGCTCTTTTGGAACTGAGGAAATCACTTTTATTGCAGAGTTTACACTGTATTTGCCTGCTGGAGTGGTTGATTTTACAGAAGCGTTAGTTATGATTGGTTTTATTGGTGCCCATTGAGTGCTGCTGCGAGGTTTCGGTTGAATTGAGCCAAAGTCTATATCCATATCAGAGCTTTCTATTGAAGGAGTAGCCATTGACATTCTAGGATTATAGAATGGGATATCTAATGAATTTCTATGGGACCCATAAGTGATATCTTGGCTTGAAGGAGGTCTTAAAGTATCAAAATGGTGACTGCTATTAATATAATTTCTTTGGGGTAGCTCTATAGTTTCTTCTTTTTCTAGCTCTCTTTTACTATAAGAAGGATGCAAATTGAATTTGTCTTCATATTTTAGAAACTCATCTTTGGCTTCCTCTGAGTGTGGAAGTGATGCTGATGAGCTTTCGCTCAATGAGCAATCAGACGAGCCACTTGAAAAAACAACAACTTTTAACTCAGATGTCTTGCTTTTATTAGACACTATAATATTATTTTCATGCTCAAATTGGCAAATTGATATTATCGGCTTAGCTTGACATATAAAGGTGCTTTTTTCGCGATTTTTTTTATTGACTTCATTTTCAGTATTTTCTATAAAATTTAATTTCTGAGCAGTGTCTTTTAGATGACTTTTATCTAGTTTACTCTTTACTGCATTTTTTTCTAGATTATTTTCATTGATTTTATGTCCCAGCTTTGAAGGCTCAATATGCTGATACATCATGTCATGCAGTAAAATTCTGACCTTGCTAGCATTCATTATAGGACTAAAATATTTGTCTTGGCAAAGTTTTTCACAAAATTCTGCCTCTCTAACTTTGTTATGACCTTTCATTAACTCGTTAGAAATCTTGTTAATTAATTCACTTTTTTCTTTTTTGATAAATTCCAGATATTCGCTTACGTTTATTAGCGGTGAAATTTTATCTTTTATAAAATGTGGGATATTTTCTGTAGCTATTTCAATTAAATTCTCTAAAGAATTTTTCTTTTAAAAAATTTTGTTCACTCACGGAGGGTGGGTTTTTGGGCAAAAAATAGCGATTTTTCTAATGGTTTTGTTCACTCACGGAGGGGAGAACTAAGCTGTTCATTATTTATGAACTCTAAGGCGTCTTCATCTATAAGATGATATAAGATTTTCATTTTCTCATAATTGTTTCCACTGCCTAAAAGGATAATTGCTATACATATTTTTAAAGAATTGTATTGCTTTTCTTTTATGTGAAATTCCTCACAAAGCTGCATTATCTCAGATTTTAAACCTGCAGGGGCTTGAGATAATGATCTTTCTAATTGAGATCTTTTAATTAGTTTATGGCTTGAATTAAGCTTGATTTCTTTGTAGAAGTCAAGGAATGGCGTTCGGGAGATCAAAAGGGAGTTTTCTGCGTGTATAAGAGCTTGCTCTTGTTTTGGCATTTTAAGATCATTTGAAATTGTCTGGGATTTTGCACAGCCCATTTTTTTATGTAATCTCTCTATAAGGAACTATTATAGAAAACACACAGAGACAGAAAACTGAAAATTTTGGATTGCTCAAGAAATCAGCATATCAATCTAAGGATAATCCTAATGTATGAAAAAATTATTATTTTATCTTGCGAATGCAAACTATGACGCAAGTGGCTTCAAATTAATAAAATGTCGAACCCTAAAATTCAGCAAGCTATAAACTTCGTGAATAAAATGACTCGTAAGTTCTAGACAGCCGACACATCTATTGAAAAAAAACTTGAATTTTTGAAGAAGAAATTGTCTGCATCTGAACTAGAAGAAGTGAAAAAAATTATCATGAAAGACGATATTTCTAAATACTTTGAGCCAGCCTCTATAAAAGAACAAAAAGAAGCAGGAAAATCTAATATAAAATATTTTATATTAACTGCTTCATCAATTATTTCTGGGATATTTGCCGCTGTTGTTACTACCAATTACAAAGATATCATTAAGCGTAATAAAGATCCTGAACTAGAAGAAGATAAGGAAGAAGATTTTATGGTCGAAATAGACATTGATAAAAGGAATTATATAGAGAAGCTTATAAAATCACAAAATGAAGGGTTCAAAAAACTATCAGGACAGTTAAATGATATTAATATGTCATTAAATTCAATGAATGTGAGAAAAAATAGCTTAAAACCAGGGCTTGATTTGGATTAATAATTGCTATTAATATCTTTTTTATGATTTGTTTGATAAATATAAGAATTTTAATAAATTTTTATTAAATTAAATAGCTGGCATATCAGGCTATCTCGTAATAATTGTTTTCAATATGAAACTATTCATTTTTAGTAAGTTTACATCAAATAAAAATTATTGACACATTTATATACCTTCAATAAATGTCTAATAAATGTGGATTTCTTTTGTATTGATAGGAATTGCATTTTCTGCGCCACTCTCAGATCTTGTTAAGAACCAGCCAGGTCTTCCTGAGCCAGCAAATTTTGATACATATTCAGGATACTTAGACATCCCAAACTCAAATGGGAAGTCATTGCATTATGTTTTAGTCGAAAGCCAGTCAAATCCTGCAACTGATCCCTTAGTTCTCTGACTTAACGGCGGTCCAGGGTGTTCTTCCTTAGATGGCTTTATATATGAGCATGGCCCATTTGTTTTTCCAGACTCAGGAACAACTCTTTTTAAAAATCAATATTCATGGAATACCAATGCAAGTGTTATTTATCTAGAGTCTCCTGCAGGAGTAGGGTTTTCTATTCTAGGCGACATATCTAATAATAGCACAGACGATGAAATTACAGCCCACGATAGTTTGCAAGCGATTTTACAATTTTTCCAAAAATTCCCTGAGTATAGATATCATGATTTTTATATCACTGGGGAAAGTTATGCTGGAATTTATGTCCCAACATTGGCTTATAATGTACTTATGTACAATTCTTATAGCCATCATAACAGTATCAATTTGAAAGGTATTGCAGTTGGAAATGGAGCTTGCGATTGGAATGTTGACACAACGCCTGCATATATGAAAATGGTCTGGAATCATGCTCTAATAGGATACGACTGGTATAATAAGTTAGTAAATGACTGCGATAATTTCAATGAATGGACTAGTGAAGCATGCCAAAACGACACAAACTATATACAAAACGTGTTGTTAAATAATGTGAATATTTATGATATATATGGAGAGTGCATTTATCATGGAAATGAGCAAGCTTATGAAGACAACCAGCGAAGGCTCAGGTTCTTAAAAGACCTCAACACAGGACTTGAAGTCATTCCTCCTTGCTGTGCATGGGAAGGGGCTTATCAATATTTCAGAAGTACTGCGTTCAAAACTGCATTTAATATCCCTCCAGAGGCTCAGGTGTGGGAATTTTGTGCTAATCTTGATTATAGTTCTGATTATTTGCATGGATCTTATTATACTTATCCATTTTTGATAAGGGCAGGACTGAGGATTTTGATTTATTCAGGAGATGTTGACGGAGCTGTATCTTTTATTGGGACGAGAGAGTGGATAAATAATTTGCAGCTAGATGTGAAGACTCCTTATTCGTCTTGGTATGTGGATGAACAAGTAGCTGGGTATTTTATTGAATATGAAGGATTAACGTTTGTGACGGTTAAAGGGGCTGGACATATGGTGCCGCAGTGGAAAAGACCACAAGCATGGCATATGATTAATTCGTTTTTAAGTGGAGTTAATCCATAAGTATAACATTAATTCTTCTTATAATTAGAGTTTTTTGGAAACCTTTTTAATCTATAGATACTTTATTACTGACCATATTTAACCTAGACCACTATCTATTATGAAAATTGATTTTTGATAAACATATATTTCTTTATAAATTAACTACAAATTGCTTATTGTTGAAAATTTATATATAAAATTCTAGATATTTTAATTATTATCCTGTATATATAAAACTTTGATAAATTAGTTTTAGTAAAGCTGATTTTTTTCTTTTTAGATTTTACATGCTTAAGGTTGGAGATATTTTTTTAATTTTGATTATAGTTCAAATATTCTTTATGCTAATTTTTCTCAACATTTATGTCCAAACCAATATTTTGATATCTCATAATTAAAATTAAGATGTTTTAATAGCCAGTAATTACTAACTCCCCCCTCCGTGAGCGAACAAAAAAATCTTGTTCGCTCATGGAGGGGGATATTTTTTTTTTAAAAATTAATATATAAATAATTAATTTGTAAAATTTATGTTTTAAAACACAATTTGTTTAATATTAAACAGAATTGAGCTAGAGGTTTCATGATAATAATTATCATTTGTATGTCAAAATTTTTTTCATAAAAAATTTTTGTTCTCTCACGGAGGGTGGGTTTTTGGGCAAAATATAGGGATTTGTCTAATGGTTTTGTTCGCTCACGGAAGAGGGGAGTAAATAATCTGATCTGCTCTGATTAACTTAACAAACTCATCGTCATCATAGGAAAGACATTGAATTTCAAATCTTCCAAAAATCATTTATAGTATTATAAAATTTCAAATATGCTCATTAATGATGCCATTTATAGAATCATTATTTATATAAAATAAATTATGACGTTTTAATAAAAATTTAAGCTTATTTATTACTTTATAATTAAAATGACAAACAAAAGCACACTTGATGACTACACTATCTTAGAAAAGATAGGATCTGGTCTCACAGCCAAAGTCAAAGTTGTGAGAGATTCTGAAAGTGGGGAGGTCTACGCTGCTAAGATTTACAGATCTAAAAGCTGCGAAGCTTCTTCTAGAAATATAATCAGAACTGCAGACAATGAGATCGCGAATTTACAACAGATTTCTCATCCGAATGTAATTAAGCTGATTTGCTCAAATAAATCAGGAGAATATGTTAACTTTTGCCAAGCTTGAAACCCAATCCCCACCACCCTATGCCAAACTACCTATCTTGATAGTAAGAGATATTGCAGATATCATTTTTACATATATTACATGCTTTATTTCACATCTCTAGTATATAACAAATTTTTATATGTCTAGCAAGTTTGGCTCATATTTTTGATTAAATTGAAATGAGATATGTAAAATAAGCTAAATAAACAAGTTAATCTGTTAAAATGTATTAATTTAGCACTATCAGTTCTAAATTATGTATATGTCTATATAGATAATTATAATTGAATTGATTTATTTGTGTCTATCAATTTTAAAGCAGCATTCGACTAAATATATAAATTAAATGCTATAATAAAACGAAATCCAATGTATTTATCTTATTTATTAGTCTAAAAAATTTATTACATAAAAATTCTTTTTATACTAGGGATATGAAATAAAGCATTTAATATATGCTTAAACATGCTATAAATCACATTTTAATAGTTAAGAGCGAAACCACTGAAATACCACTTATAGTTCTTATTATCATGACTATAGTAGTTTGTAAAGAAGGGATGGGGGTAGGTTTCTTGCTTAACCAAACTTTGTCTTATAAAAGCTTAAATATTATAATTATTTATTTAATCTCTTTTAGTATAAAGCACTATAATATAAAAAGAGGTTAAGAAAAGCGGAGAAAGGTACTCGTGTGCTTACATTGTGATGGAATTCTGCCCTAATGGCAATTTCTACGAAACTATAAGAAATATTGGAAGATTTAATGAAAATATTTCTAGATTTTACTTCCATCAATTGATAAACGCAATAGATGCAGCCCACCAAAGACACATAGTGCACAGAGACTTAAAGCTCGAAAATTTGCTGCTTGACGGCGATTACAATTTAAAAGTGACTGACTTCGGGTTCAGTGCTTCAGTTTTTGACAAGGATGGGTCAAGAATGCTGAGAACCCACTTGGGAACTGAAGGATATATGGCGCCTGAGCTGTACATGAACATCAACTACTATGGAGAATCCGTTGATGTGTTTGCAGCTGGCGTTATTTTATTCATTTTTAGGTCTGTAAACCCTCCATTTAGCAGAGCAAACATGAGTGATAGAATATATGAAATTTTAGTAAAAAATCCAAAGAAATTTTGGGGTCTCTACTCAAGGAACAAGCCTCAAAACTACTATAGTGAGGAATTCAAAAGTTTAATAATGGGAATGCTTCATCCAAATCCTGAAAGAAGATTCACTATTTATGATATAAAAAATCATCCTTGGTATAATGGTCCGATAGCGTCTTTGGAAGAAGTCCAAAGCATTTTTAGAAGAAATGCTTAAATTAAATAATTGATGTAATAAAAAATATATAATTTGCTTATTTATATATGTAAATTACAAGAAATATAGCTTTACCTAAATTAAATTGATATATTAAGGAAGCTTACCCCTATCCTCAGTGAGCGAACAAAATTTGTTTGCTCGCTTACGGAGTTATATATATTTTAAAATGCAAGCTGTTCAAAATTAAACAGAATTGGCTAGAGATTTCGTTATAATAATCATCATTTATATATCAATAATTTTTTCATAAAAATTTTGTTCACTTACGGAGGGTGGGTTTTTGGGCAAAAAATAAGGATTTTTCCAATTGTTTTTGTTTGCTCACGGAGAGTGGGTTTTTAGGCAAAAAATAGGGATTTTTCCAAATGTTTTGTTCGCTCACAGAGGGGGGAGTTAGAAAATAAAGCAGTTTTATAGTATTGATTTATACTGATTTCAGCAATAAAATTTAGACAAATGGAAGATCGAGCTTTTAACCAAGAAGATTTACCTGATTCAACTCATGAGAGCAGTAGAGCAAGAACTGTGCCGGTTATGAACCCTCCTTTTGCTCACCACCCTTATCGAATCCATCAGCCAGAAAGTATGGAAATCACTGGGGCAGATTCGAATGATAGAGCACAACCAGTCCCATATCTAAACCCTAACTTGAGCTTGAGCAATCCAAGATATGAAGACCCAGTGCTCCCTGAACAAATTGACCGTGCTCAACAAATTCCTTCATTTCCTCCCCACACTGTCAATGCAATCCCACATGCATCTCGAATGCCAGAACCACCTAAACGGAATGTTCAAATGAGTCAAAATGTTTCAATAAACAAAGCCCCTGCACTTATTCAGCCTACATTTAATACTCCCAAAATGCATGAAGATTTTATAGAAAGTTTGACTTGCTTGATCTGTAAAGATATATTCTTAGACCCCGTTGTATCTTATCTTATTAAGTATATATTGTTTAAACGTCTCATACGGGGTTGTACGCCTTCTGCTACCATGTCGTCGCTCTGGGGTTTCCGCTTTCTCGCCAGGAAGGTTTTTTGAGGGAGGACTCAAAAGGAGCCACTAGAAAGATTCCAACGACAGCGTTCCGGCTTTGACAGGTCGCCCTGATCTTACACTGCCATACTTGGCTTGACTGTATTTCAGCTAAAGGTCAACCCTCATCGGGTTGGCCGAGCAGAAAACACTATGCCTTCAACTTCCCTGACAGAAGTCCGCTTATTGTCAGGCTCGCCTGATATATATGGGATAGGATTCGCCGTAAAATTGAACCTCATAATCAAATGAGAAACAATTAGATGAGCTAACTAGCTTTGATAGAATTCCATATTTTGATTATAAACCCCGTTGTATCAACTTGCTCATGTGCAATTACTATATGCAGAGATTGCTCAGTGAAAAATAAAAGCAAATGTCCCACATGCAGACAAAGGACAACTTACCAGCCAAACAGAGTAGTAAAAGAACTTGTCGGGAAGATCCCTTACAATTGTGCCTGTGGAACATCATATAAGCGCGATGATAAAGAAAAGCATGAAAAACAATGCCCTCAGATAATCAGAAATTGTGGATTATGTGTATTTAGTGGAAACCGTCGACAATTAGAGGACCATTTATACGACAAGCATTATTTGAATATTTTTTACTATTTCGCAGAGCCAGTTCAGGATCGAGTTGTTTCTCGGAATTAATTTAAAATGTCTTAGTTAAGTTTTTTATAAGAATTTCTTAAAATATGGCATGCTGCAACTCAAATTGTCCTAACCCTGCAGAAGACTCACAGGCATGCCCACTGTGTGACACTTATAAATATTGCTCCGAGGACTGTAGAAGACGAGATTGAATTTTTTCCCATCAGTTTACTTGCAGCCATAATCAAAGCTATTCTCTTGAGGACTTTAAAGAGGTTCAAGACCCAAACCTTAAAATCCTTGGAAAAGGGTCGTATGGAGAAGTAAAACTTGTTACTCATATTAAAACTGGGAATTATTTTGCATTGAAGCAGGTTAAAAAAGAAATACTCAAAAGACATTCATCATTATCCGTTTTGCTAACCTTTTCTGTTTGAATTTCATATTGATTATTTTTAAAAAGTTTAAAAATCCTTAAATACAAAATTTATAAATTCTGCAAGCTTTTAAAATATAATATAAGAATTTTAATTTTACTCAATAAAGGGAATAAGAGAAATTAATATTCAGAAATCAATAAGGCATCCTTATATTATACAGCTTTATCAGCATTTTGAAAGCAATGATAGTGTTTATATTTTGCTTGAACATGCTGCACAAGGTAATTTATTTAGAAGAAAAAATTCTGTTCTTATTTAAAGGAGGTTAATTTTTTTATAAAATATTAAAAAATATAAATTAAATGCTATTTTATGAAGAATTAATTAAAAAAATTAATCGATTCAGTGCAAAAAACTACTTAAATACTAATACTCTACTTATACTCTACTTCCATTTTTTCTATTAAATTATAGAAAATAATTTTATACATATAAATTTTTCCATTGAAAAAAATTGTTCAAATTTAAAGAGGGTTAAAGTACCCAAAAAAATGGAAATATTACCTCAATTTAAATGGGGAAGTTAGATTTAATTAGAAGAAGCAGAGGATTATCTGAAGGAAGAGCTTGGCATTATTATTCTCAGACTTGCATTGGGCTAAAATATTTGCATGATAAGCAAATAATTCATAGAGATTTGAAACCTGAAAATATTTTGTTAGATAGAGACGACAACGTAAAAATTTGTGATTTTGGCTGATGTGTACAAAGTAATGAGATGCGGACAACGTTTTGTGGAACATTAGATTATATGGCCCCTGAAATGGTTCTTGGTAAAGGCCATTCATTTCAGTTAGATTTATGGGCTATAGGTGTTTTATTATATGAATTATTCTTATTTATATAAATAAATAATAAAGTTTAATGGTAGGATTATTTTTTCTATTTACTTAAAAAAAAAATAATTCATGGATATGCTCCTTTTAGAGCTGTTGCAGACTCAGAGAAATGCAAGCAAATTTTAGCTTCAGAAGTTACCTATGCGTCTCATGTAAGTTCTGCCGCCAAAGATCTTATTTCCAAGCTAATCCGGGTAAATCCAGAAGAACGGCTCTCGCTTAATAGCGTTCTTTCTCATCCTTGGATGCGCAAATATGCTCCTAATCCAGGGTATAAAGTTAAATAGTTAAATTAGAATATGCCTCTTCAATCCCATTTCATGCGACCCCTGCTTAGATAGACAGCTCTGAATAACGGTAGGAGGAATAAGTCTAACCTTTAGATCTATTCTTGTCCCCAAGCCTCCTAGGACTTCTCTATCTACTTCAAACTCAACGAGATCATTTTTCTTAAGCCAAGACTCCAAGAAATCTGGAATTTCTCTCACTGAGTTCGGACGTAGGAAGACAGTCCTATACCTAATTGTCATTTTATACTGTGAGGTATAAAATTAATCAACTTGTATTGCACAAAGAAAATGGCCGAGGATTTATCAGTGAAATTGCAGGACTGTTATGTACAATCCATTATCCATCAAAAAATATAGACCAATATGTCTCAATAACTGATATTCATTTATTAGTAGATGTTTTACCGGATGGGTATGAGGATGAAGAAATTAACGAAGCCCCACGAGTTACAATTGGCACAAAAGAAAAGTCTCTTTTTGATAAATTACAAAGCTGGATTGATAAGCCGACCAGGGGTAAAAAGAGTAAAGCAAATGGTAGAGCAAAAGGAAATAAAGAGACAGAAGATATCAAAATTGATGAAATTAGGAAAGAAAGAAGATCTTCGATTCAGTGCTTTGAAGATGTAGTTGAAAGATACAGCTTAAAAAAGCATGATGGGCTTGAAAATTTACCAAAAAATATAGAAGTAAGCCAAGAAAGGCTGAGTATAAGTGAAGAACCAGCTCCAAAAATTAAAAATAGTGAAGAAGAAAGCAATCCTGTAAATTATTGTGTTTCAGATATTGATTGTTTTGCGTCTGGACTCTTTGACTCAGAAGCTGAAAAAATTGATATAATTCAATCTCAAAAAGCAAAACTCAAACAAGCTAAAACAACAAATTCCAAATATAAGACAACAAAGCGCCGAACTAGCCTAAAATATACTATTGATAGCATAAATTCTCAAAATCATGCCTCTTTGCGATCAACAATAGATACTAGTGATACAGCACTACAAGAAAAAGAAGATGAACTTAAGCGCCTTACAAACGGCCCCGGATTTCGGCCGAGCCAGCCATTTAAGAAGCCTGAGAAGCCTCCTGAAAAAGCCCAAGACTTACCATGGTATGCAAGATTATTTGGCTGTACAGACCGATAATATCTAGTCTACTTATTTTTATGCGACTTACTTAAACTAACTCAATTGCCATTGAAGTAGCTCCACCGCCTCCATTGCAAATTCCCATAACTCCAATTGATTTGTTTTTTTCTTTCAATGCATATATTAGTGTTGATATAAGTCTAGCACCTGACATGCCAAGTGGATGTCCAAGAGAAACTGCTCCACCATTGACATTTACCTTAGAATGGTCAAGTTCTAATATACCATATTAATTATTTTATTTTTTAATCGAATTATAGCATTCTTTTTACTCATTTATTATAATGCTGAATAATTTCATATTCGCCACAACTACAGCACTAAACGCTTCATTTATTTCAAACAAATCAACTCTCTCTTTAGTCAGCCCAGCTCTTTCTATTGTTTTCTTGATAGCTTCTGCTGGAGCAATTCCAAAGTGAGTTGGCTCAGTTTCAGAGTCAGCAAATGACAAGATCTTTGCAAGAGGTTTATATCCAAGCTTCTTGCTCCATTTATAAGGGTGAGCAAGTTTTTTGATCATTTTTTTTAAGAGAGTTTAAAAAAATTTATATTAAAAAATATTTACTTCCCCCCCTCCGTGAGTGAACAAAAAAAATTTTGTTCACTCACGGAGGGGGGGTTTTAATTTTTGTTTTTTAAAAAATTTATATATAAATTTTATAAAAAATATTTTTTTTCGAAATTTAAAAAAAATCCTAATTCGCAAAAATTGGAAAGCAAATATTAATTTAATTTATAAAACTTTATGTTCTAAAAAGCAATTTCGTTTAAAATTAAACAGAATTAGCTCTAGATTTCATTATAATAATTATCATTTATATATCAAAATTTTTTTACATAAAACAATTTTCTATTAAAAAAATTTTTGTTCACTCACGGAGGGTGGGTTTTTGGGCAAAAAATAGCGATTTTTCTAATGGTTTTGTTCACTCACGGAGGGGGGGAGTTAGAAATTTTAATAAAAATCTAATAGCATTATATAAACTTAGGGATAGGAGTTAGCTTTATCTGCACTCATTACAACTAATGCACAAGCTCCATCATTAATAGACGAAGCATTTGCAGCTGTAATAGACCCATTTTTATCAAAAACTGGTTTCAATGATGGGATTTTTTCGAATTTTACTTTTCTGAACTCTTCATCTTCATCAACGAATACCACTCCTTTTTTGCCTTCAACTTCTACAGGAGTCACTTCAGTTTTAAAGAATCCTCTTGCCCAGGCATCTGCAGCTCTTTTATATGAGTCAATGCAGAATTTGTCTTGCTCTTCTCTTGTGAGTCCGTATTTTATGATCGTTTTTTCTGTGCAAGCTCCCATTAGCACTTTATTGAAAGGGCAGTTGAGGCCGTCATAAGTGATTGAGTCATAGAGGACTCCATCTCCCATTAATTGGCCTGATCTGTAGTTAGGAAGCAAGAATGGGGCTAAGCTCATGCTTTCCATACCTCCAGCCACAATTACGTCAGAAACACCAAGGGCGATGCTTTGGGCTGCATATACGACAGCTTTGATACCTGATGAGCAGACTTTGTTGACTCCAGTGCAAATTGTTTCCTGAGGAAGTCCTGCATAGAGAGTTGCTTGACGGGTAGGAGCTTGACCACAGCCAGCTTGAAGGACGTGACCCATGATGACTTCATTAACTTCCTTTGGATCAAGGTTGATTTTCTGAAGAGCTGCTCTTATAGCGTTGGCTCCAAGTTTGGTTGCAGGGACTGTACTGAGAGATCCCATAAAGCTTCCAATAGGAGTGCGCTGAGCTGATACGATGACAACATCTTTAGGGAGAAATCCAAAACTTCGGGTCGCCAATCTTCTAAGCATTATTTATATCCATGCATGAAATAATTCACCTTTTATATGAGTCATAATAATTAAACCACTAATAAATTAAGGTTATATATACACTGCAATTAAGTAAATATACACAATATTATAAAGTGGGAAAATCTAGCTCCAGAACCTGAATTAAAAATGATTTTAATGTTTCTCCTTGATAAAGCTTAAGCAATAATATATTTAATATTTAGAATTATTCGCAAAATAAAATTAATTTAAAATAAAAATTTAATATAATAATATATATATCGGCTAACTCGAATCAATAATTTCATAAATCCTCAATAATTCTGCTTTGTATATCTTCCAAGCTAGCATAGCTTCTGCCGGGTTTCTATTCTTCACGCTTTCTTGGCAATTTTCAAGTTTTCTTGTTCATTCCTCTTCATCTAGCGACATCCACTTTTTTTCATGAATTTCTTTCATTTTCTCAATAATATCCATCATTGTTTCTTTTCCTGCATTCATCTCATTTAGCACCGCTTCAGTGGTTAAATCTTCTTTAGGTGTATAAAAATTATGTACATCTCCAATACACAGTAGATTTTTTTCTACACATTTTCCAAAAATTTCTTCAAGTTGGCTTGTTTCTTCATCATCTTTAAAATTTTCGATCCATTTTCTGATATCGTCTCTTGCTAAATAATATTTTTGAGGAGAAATAGTTCTTGCATAAATCAAGAATTCTTCAAATGGCAGATGTGCTTTATCTTCATTATACCGAGTTGCTTCAACTAAAAGATATAGCCCTTGATTTATCCTTTTCTGATAATCTTCATGTGCTTCAATAAATATCTCTAATACAGCTTCTGTCTCAACTAACCCTGAAATATTAATTTTTTTGGGATCTGGCACAGATAGATACTCAATTGTGGCTGAAATCCTTGAATGGCTTTGTTTATCAATAATATGCTCTAACTTTGTATTTAAAAATTCTATTGCTCTTATTTTAGGTATCATTGCTTTTTCGACTGTATCATCATAAGCTACTGATATTCCTTTATTTGAAGTGACTATTGAATGATAAGCTTGCAGGTAAAAGATAAAGCTGAATTTCGAAAAATTTTGCATGCTGATTCTTTTGGCTGTGCCTATAAATCTCATGAAGTTTACAGCTCTTTTGCTATCAATAGTGCTGAATAATGAAGATATAAACTCTATGAATTTTTTTTCTGACGATTTTTTATTTCCGTATCTCTGTGTAAACTCGTCATAAGTAGACTCAACTAGCCCTTCTATAATTTGCCCAGACATCAGCTTGGTTAAGCATGAAGAATATATAGAACTTATCAATCTATGGACCATTTTTCTTGTCATTGTTGATTTTTTTCGAATCCAATCCATTTTTTTGTTAAGAAATCTTGCTAGGAGGCCAATTGCAGGGTGAATGATTTTTTTTGAAATGATGGTTTCTTTTTTTTGGAAATGAAAAGTTTTGAATTTTGTGCTTGTTAGTCTCCTTTCTTTTCTCCTTTGGAAACCTTGCTTTGGGTTTGAGCTTCTGGAGGCTTTGGTGTCTTGACGAAATAGCTGCATTTCAGTGCTTGATTTTTGGATTTCGGCGATATGCCTTTCTGTGTTAGTCTTTTGGACGATTTTTTCTTCATCTTCGGTTGGTTTTGGAGATTGGTTTAAAAACATAGTGTTGCCTCGTTTAGAAAGTCTTCGCATTGGGATGTCTAAGCCATTAATTTGGGTATTGGCTATAGGAGTATATTTTTTATCAGTAGAATGAAGCTCGATTTCTCTATGATCGTCTATCATTATAGGGTCATTAATATGAACAGGAGAGATATCATAGGCTTTGCCGGATTTAGGTGTTTCAGTTTCGTTTGTGTCTAGTGGAACATAATGCTTATCCCTTACTTTCTCTTTAGAATAATTGACATTCGTCTTTTTTCTTCTTTTTTTCCTATATTTGACAATCTTATTATCTCCAGTTTTTAATGGCTTCAGTGTCTCACTCTCCCTTGATGACTTACTGGTTGGTACCATTTCATGTTTAACATCATTTTGCAGCCTAATTTCTAAAATTTCATCAGTTTTATCTTCTTCTAACGTATCATTATCATTAATTAGCTCAGAATCTTCACTATTTTCTGATAAGTCACTGCCTTGTTCACTTCCAGAAGCTAAATCAGACGAAAGATCTGAAGAAGTTAAATTATCTCTGGACTGCTGAAAAAAGGATTGAAGCTCTGATGCATTTTCTTCATTAGGTAGCACCATGGAGATCTGATCTGTAGAGCTTGAATATTGCATATTTTCTTTTTTCTCCGCGATTTCTTTGTTTAAGTTCTTTAGTATTATCATTTTCTTCTTGATTAAAAATGTGATGAAATTCAGCTTTGACTGGTTTTTTTGGATAATTTTTGATAAACTGTCTTCTCCGCCATTATTTGGAGAGCTCTCGTCTGGATTTTTATACTCATTCTGGGACATTTGTGAGAATGATTTGTTTTTTTCTTCATCTTCCTCAGCTTTTTTAAGCTTTATGATTTTTTCTGATGAATTTTGGTCAGGCAAATGCCTTTCTTCAATATTGATTTCGCTTAATTCTTCAATGTTACTGTTTTCTTTCATTAAATCTTGTTCAGTTAATCCAATTTGAAGAAACTTTTCTTCCTCCTCATTTATATCTATCTCTGCTTCTTCATTTTCTTCAATAATTTCTAAATTTTCAATTGATTTTTGTTGATTTTCATTACTAAAATTTACTTTTGATTTTTCACCATTTGGAGATTCAGAACCTTGGGTGCTAATCTGCTCTAAATCATTTAAATCCCATTGGGTTGAAACTTCTGCATTTTGCTTTATTTCTTGAGGCAAACTAGGCAATAATAGTGAATTTTGTGCAGTTTTTTTCTCAGGACTGGGTTCTTGGCTAACTTGTATTTGTACATCTGAAATATCTGGCTGATTGCTAATAGGGCTCATATTGCCATTTTCAAAATCATACATTGCGCCTCTTGCTTCTTCCTCTAAAGGTGGGTTACACATTGATGAAGCTCTAAAGCTTGATCTTCTTTGTCTCGAATTGTTATTTCCCCCTAGCGATTTATTTGACACTGGCGTTAATGATCTAAATCCATAAAAAGTGTTTCTTCTGTTTAATTCCATCTCATCCAAAGTTTGTTTCCTCAACAATTCAGTCTGTTTCAATGCAGAATTCAGCTTAGCTTTCAACCTCAGCTTTGAGTTTGACTTTCTCGCCACATTTTCATTTAATTCTGCTATTTTCCCTTCAAGCTCCTCTCTAACCTTTCTTTTCTCCTCAATTTCTCCCTCAATTTCTTTTTTCCACTTCTCCTCAAAGCTCCTAAATTTTTCTTTTAGTCTATTTATTTTCAAAAATTTAATTTTCATCAGAGCTTCAATCACTTCTTTCAAAATCTCTCCTCTTTCAATACAATGCACAGAAACCTGCCTAATTATTTCCTTTGCACAAATTGTGTATATCAGCAAAATCTCTTTTTGCAGTGATTTGCTAACGTCTTCTATATTTTTATTCGGACCAATGATTTTTTCTATCATAAGTTGCAGTCATTTCTTGAGGTTCTCCACATCTTGTCTTCCTGTTGGATTCCCTAGGTCTAGTTTTTCATGATCATGAAGCTCAGGAATGGTACAAGAGCTGTTTCTTAATATTCTTCTTGATCCTTGTGTTTTTAATCTAAATTCATTGCATTCTTCTTTCATACATGGAAAAGTAGGAACCAAAAATGTCGGACTGGACGGGTTGCTACACCCAAATGGTTCCTCATTGGACAAAAGTTTATGCAAATGTTTTATATCTGTAGGCAGAATATTTTGTGTATTTTTTAAATCAATAGGCGGAAACATAATTTTGTCTTTCAGATGTGAAATATCTCTGGTTTTGGCTTCTATTGACATAAAAGCAAGGTTTTTTTCTTTATCATACTTTAAAAAATCATTTATTTCGACAGGAATGGGTTTCAAGCTCATCTTTTTGTGTAATTTCGGGCTTGGTGATGTAATCCTGAAATTCTTTGTTTCGTTTTTTGGGGATTTTGTAAACAAAAAATCCAAGACGTGTTCTTCTTCTTTTACTTTAACTAAAGGTGGAGACTTAACGCCATCATCAACTCTGGAAATTCCATGATACAAGTGTCTCATAACAAATATTAGGACCTATTTATGTGTTAATATTTTTAAAGATATAATGAAGCAGCGAATACTATCCCTCTTTGGATCAAACGGATACCTTCAGCGAATTTCTCAGAAAGCTCGTGGCTTTGGATAGATCTTGCTGCGTCGTGTAACTGTCTAAGGAGCTCGTGAAGCCTACGAATGCATCGGATGATGGTGCCTTCATATACGTCTGTAAGCTGGCAGACTTCAGAAAATTTAGCACCGTGAGCCCAAGAAAAGACTGCTTCCATTAGGGAAGGTTTGCAGGAATTTATGTATGATTCTTGGTCAATATTTAGCTTGCTTTGTACAAAGACGTCAGCGAAGCGGGTTGCGATATCAACCAAAAGCTTGTAGGCTGAAGCCAACTCTGGGTGTGAAGGCTTTTTGGACTCTGCTGAATTTTCTTCATGGACAAGACAGCTGAGAAGTGCGACCATTATGTCGATTGGAAGATCATTAAAAATACCTCCAAGCATCATTTCTGTTGTTAAGAGCTCGTCACTTGTGGAGATTTCACAGGCGACTCTGCCTTTAAGCTCCACGTGATTTTCACTGCAAAATCCAAGCCTTCTTAAAATTCTTCTCATGGCTTTCCAGTCATCTTTTAAGATCATTGTTTTGCTGGCCTTAAGTTGTTTGCTTACTCCTCATCCATGATCAAAAATTCTATTAAAAATTTTCCAAATATTGATTGAGGATTTTCATATGGTAAGCAAGAAACCCACTTCCATGCCACGCCACATATATAAATACCTATCTTTAATAATAATTAGTACTAGAAATATTGGAGTATTATCACTTCTACCCATCTATAGCATATTGCTAATATGTAGCATATATCTTGCTGATAGCTTATAAATTCTTTAAATATGAAAAAATGTTTTAATAATAATAATTAATATAAATTTAAATTTCCTTTCCAGAAAGTTTTTCGCTCGATCGAACATCGGCAATTCTTTCAAAGATGGGAGCTAACAATTCTATTGCTTGACTAATACTCTTTTTCTCTTCATATTTCGCTTTAATTTCCAGAAAATCAGGTCTTTTGACTACCGGCAACGCTTTTTCCATTTCATCTAGCTCCGTAATTTTAGACAGTGCAGCAATAAAATCAGGGTCACTTATTTTTAGATCATTTATAGGATCCAACAAGGGAATATTTCCATTAAGCTGTTTATAAGCTTTCCTTAAGTCAGACACAGTCCCAGGAAGAAATTCTTTGCTTTTCAAGTCAGGCTTAATATAAAGCCTCAGCTGGCTTACTTTATCAATTGAGTCTAACTGAAACCGCATTGAATAGGCTTCTCCTTCATCTGAATTCATATCAAGAAGAGGAAGTGGCACATCTTTCATAAGGACATAAATAGCTACATCAATTATAAACTTTACTTGAACTTCTTCTTCAAGATCTTTTAGCTTCTTTTTATCAACTCTTTTCTTTGTGCAACAAGTTATCACTCCCCAGCCCCATTCAATCCCTTTATGGTCAATTATATATACAATTCTTCCTGGGTTCATAAATCTCGCAATAACTTCAGGATTTTGAATATATTTTTTAATTGTTTTTTTAAATGACTGTTTTGCGACTTCTATATTGTCGTATTCTTCCATTTCATTTTCATGCTCAAAAGTGATTTCATTTAGCTTGTTTTGCAGTTCGATTTTCTTTTTCATTACTTCAGGGCATGATCTATCAGGCTCCATGTCAAATGACCGTGGATTTTTGACAGTGTACATTTCATCGAAATCCATTTGTTCGAAAATTTTTCGGTCAAATGGACACTATCAAAAAGGCAAAGTCATTTGACCTGCACCCGATCTATCATTTTGGAACTGGTGAAAAGACTTTTTGATCATTTGTTCAGGATGCGAATCTTCGATTCGCATTAAATTCAGAAGCATATTGTAGCTTAAGTGGAACATTGAATTTAAAGGATCGCTATGCCCTTTTACCATTCCTTTAGCTATTTCTGGCTCCATTTTTTGATCAACCATTAAGATGCAGATCCCTTTGTCGTCAATTCCTCTTCTCCCAGCCCTTCCAGACATTTGTATGTATTCTCCTCCAGAAATCCATCTGAAGCTTTCTCCATCAAACTTCCTAACATTAGTAAAAACAACAGTTCTTGCAGGCATATTTAGTCCCATGCTGAAAGTTTCAGTACTAAATAGACATTTGACAAAGCCTTCTTGGAAGAGAATTTCTGTGACTTCTTTTATAATAGGCAATAACCCTCCATGATGGATTCCTACCCCTTTTTTCAACAATGGGAGGACATTTTGGATCATAGGGAGACTTTTGTCTTCTTCTGCCAATGTATCAATCGCGTTTACAAAAATCTGTTCAATTGCAGCTTTTTCTTCATCTGAGGTAAAATCATGCTTATTTAAAGAAATTGCATAAGCTTCGCATTCTCTTTTGCTGAAGCTAAACACAATGGCAGGCTTCATATCTTTTTCCATAATCAACTGGACAATTTTGGTGACTTCTGAGTTATTCCCTGGGCCAACTTTTCTGTTTTGTTTTCCATCTTGGAGATCAGTCAAGCATGAAATGGCTTTTTTGAAGCTTTTTTCTTTAAATTTCCCAAACTCATCAACTACTAAATAAAGTCCTTCTCCGCCTGAAGGGAATATATAATGCTGCAATGGTGTTGGACGATATTCAGTATACACCACATGGCAAGGCTGCTTTTTAAGCTTGCATACCCATTCAGCGAACTCTAATGCATTAGGAATAGTTGCTGATAAAAATATCAGTTTTATAGCTTCAGGCAGCAAAATAATGGTTTCTTCCCATACGACGCCTCTTTCTTTGTCTCTCATGTAATGGATTTCATCAAAAATGACCCATTTCATTTCGCGGACAACTTCACTGCCTTTGTATAGCATTGATCGGAGAATTTCTGTGGTCATTACGAGACAGCTTGCACTTTCATTGATGGTGACATCGCCTGTCATTAGTCCAACATCTTTAAATTCGTCGTGGAATTCTCGATATTTCTGGTTACTTAGAGCTTTAATTGGGGATGTATATATAACTCTTTGGTTGTTTTTTAATGCGGATGCAATCGCATACTCAGCTACAGCTGTTTTGCCAGCTGAAGTGTGAGCGGCTACGAGGACACTTTCGTTGTTTTCGATACATTTTATAGCGCATTTTTGGAAAGGGTCTAGCTCGAATTTATAAGTTTTTGCTGGTTCTGTTTGGCTAATTTCATTTTCAACATAATCAATAGGGTATGCACATTCATGTGTGCAGCCATCAATATCTTCAGTTTTCACATAATATTCTTCTTTGAATTCTTCCAGCTCTTCCTCTTCTCTCATTCTCTTTTTCGGTAGCTGAACTTTTGATTTTGCCCCTTCCTGGAAGACATCAAATAAACCTGTTCCGAAGTCTTCCATTTATCTAAATCCCTCAATGCAAAATTAATTTTCAAAGAATTTTAGGAAAATTAATACTTTTCCAAGCAACATATTTTATTTTATTTAAGATAAATTGAATGCTTAATAATAAATTATTATTAAAGATTTCATTTTGAATTATTGCAAATTATCCTAATAAAATTTTTGCGAAGAAAGATAAACGCCATGGAAAATAAATTCTTATTTACAAAGGAGTAAATATGTGATAATTATAAATGGAAGCAGAAGAAGCCAATAAGCTTTACAGGATTTGGAGGACCCTCATGCAAATGCTGCAAGACAGAGAATACCACGTGCCTAACGATCAAGCAAACTATACTCTTGCCGCTTTCAAAGATAAATACTGTGAGTCCAAAACAAGGGAAGCCTTAAACTTCCAGTTCTCAAAAGTAGACGACGACAACAAAAAGATCTTTGTTTGTTTCCCTGACGACCAAAGAATCGCTGTCCCCATCATTGCATCAGTTGCCCAAAGAATGCACAAAGAAGGATTCGAACGAGCAATAATTATTGGCAAAGGGATCATAACCCCTTCAGCTAAAACTGCCATTGTGGAGCTGCAAAATCATTTTATAATAGAATATTTCGAAGAAAAAGAGCTCTTGGTCAACATCACTGAGCATGAACTTGTACCAAAGCACATTGTGATGACTTCAGAAGAAAAGGGAGCCTTGCTAAAAAGATATAGAGTCAAGGAAAGCCAGCTCCCAAAAATCCAAACTACTGATCCTGTAGCAAGATATCTAGGCCTGCAGAGAGGACAAGTTGTGAAAATTATAAGGAATAGCGAAACAGCTGGAAAATATATTACATACCGCTTAGCAGTTTAAATAACCTTTAATTTGATTTGAAAATATGAGGAGGTTTTGGGCTTGGTGGATATAATAAGAAATTAAGATATTTTTAAAGCTGTAAATATGGGATGCAAATGTTCTAATACAGTTGTAAAAGGCACTGTGCAGGCTAAAGATCATAAATCGACAGCAGATGATATTAAAAGCAATAAGGACTCGACTGTCAGTAAGAAAGAAACTACAGATATAAAAGAAGAAACAAATGTAATGGTTTCTGTTCTACATGAGTTTTTGGATGATATATACTCTAGGGCTCTAGAAAATGTTGCGAAAAAAACGAAATTGACAGAAAAAAGAATATAGTTATGCTTTAGGAGTTTTAAATGCATGATAAGTCTATTTTATATTTAAAATTATGTGAGTTTGATTTTGAGTAATCTGAATTTTTTTAGAAATGATATACTTTCTTGGTAAATATAGGAGGCCTCTAGCATATGGAGTCATCTTACACGTGTGGAAATTTTTCTGGCAATTGGAGAATAACTCCAAATGTCAAAATTCATGCGAAGTATAATATAATTTTCCTGAAAATTATTAAATCTCGGAATTATATAAAATTACGTTAGCTTTTTACGCTTCTTCTTCTATAATTGTTTCAAAATATTGCTCTTTCAAAAATGAGCTTCTTGGCTGCCTTCGTCGATTACTTTTAACTTTTCTCTCAATTCATCTTTCTGGATTTTTTAAAGCTTGGCTTACCCATGTACTCCAATTTTCAATTGGAATATTATGATTTACCGCTTCATTATAAAGTTTCTGTATATCAATATTTTGTATTTGACTGCTGCTTGCTGATTTCATTTTAATTCCTAGACAAATCGAATAAAAAAACCTTTGTAAATTATCTCCACCATTCATTCTTTCAGTCAAATCTTCAAATTCTTCCACCTTTGTCATATCTTCTTCTACTGCAGCAGAGCTCACAACAGAAGAATTCACACTTTTAAAGCTAGATATTTCACTTGAAATTTCTTCAAGTTTTCTATTTATATCAGTTTCCTTCATTCCAGGATGCTTCAGAAGTGTCCTCTGCAAAATGGTTGCCCTTGATTTATATTTTTCGACGTCATCTCTTAATTTGTTAACTTCGAGCTTTTTTTGCTCAATTTCGTATTCCTGAATTGCTAATTTTTGGTCTTGGGCGAGTGATTGTAATCGGTCAGCATATATTCTAATAGACAAAGAGCCTCGAAATGTGACTAGTAGGGAACTTAACGAAGTAAGTACTTCTGCATTGTCTTTGAATGCAGGAGGGGTAATATTTGAAATCTTATTACACATTCGTGATAAGATAGCTATATAATTTTTATCCCCTGGGCGAAGCCCAGGAGTAGTGGCTATGTCAGCTAACTCCCCCCCTCCGTGAGTGAACAAAACCATTAGAAAAATCGCTATTTTTTGCCCAAAAACCCCCCCTCCGTGAGTGAACAAAAATTTTTTTAATAGAAAAATTTTTTTATGGAAAAAATTTTTGATATATAAATGATAATTAGCATAATGAAATCTAGGGCTAATTCTGTTTAATTTTAAACAAATTGCTTTTTTTAAAACATAAATTTTATAAATAAAATGAATATTTGCTTTCCAATTTTTGCGAATCAGGATTTTTTAAATTTCGAAAAATAATTTTTTTATAAAGTTTATATATAAATTTTTTTAAAAAAAAAAAAACTAAACCCCCCTCAGTGAGTGAACAAAATTTTTTTGTTCACTCACGGACGGGGGAGTAAGCACTTTTCAAGTTTTTGAAGTTTAAAGTTAGTTTGCGACAAAAACGACTCTGATTCGACTTCTAAGACGTTTTCAGAGACCCTAACACAATGTGAAGAATGCTCTTCAATAATATTAACATTTATCAGATTTTGGCAATTAATGCACAGAATATTTAATTCAGTCTCACTATCTTCTTCAATAGGCTTTTTTTCAATTCTCCGAGATGTGCTGAGTTTTTCATAAATAGGGCTTGCACCAATCATAGAAGGTCTTGAAAAAATTGGCAGAGAATGGATTTTTTGAGAAGAGCTGGATGATCGATCTGTATATGGTTTTGGGTATGAATTTCTCATTATTTTTTTAAATTATATTATATGGAGCACAATAAATGCAAATAAAAGCTAATTTAGTGATAAAGTGGAAGAAAAAATTAGCTTATATATAAAAGTGAAAATGAATATTTTGTTTAATATAAAAAAATAATTGAATTAATTATATTAAGAGAATCAGGTCTTATGCTGCTGTTAATTGAATATTCCAGAGTGAAATTTAAAAAATGAATTTTCCTCAAGAACATTACGATGCTATTAAAAAAGATAATGTTTTTTATTATAAAATTTATATGCTCAAAGTGGGAATTTTATTACTATAGTCAGTGTCACTAACTATATAGGAGATTTAGGTTCTCAAGCCAGAAATTGCCTATAAAATGCCACTTGAGGTTTTATTAACCATCTCAGCGTGTCTAAAATAAAATGCTGAATTTGATGCAGTAGAGTATATATAAAAAATATAAAATTTTATGTATGCATAGTTTATACAGACTTCCTACAAGAAATTTATAAAAAGTGCGGCTTGTGAGGATTGAACTCACGACCTCGAGATTATGAGACTCGCGCTCTACCGACTGAGCCAAAGCCGCATGAAAGCTTTGTTTTAATTTGGTATTTATAATATTTTCAATTATCTCCTTTATTTCTTGCTATTTATTCTAACTAACTTATGAGGGCTATCATCACATTTATATTTTAAATTATATCAACCAATCACAAATAATGGCACACTTAGTTAATTAAAATATACTTATAAATGCTTTAATAGGAAGAATATTTTTAAAAAAATAAATCTAAATTTATGTTAATTTACAGAAAAGTTGCTTAAATATTATACGCATTCTTTTTGCATATATTTTAAAAAAAGTTCGATTGGCATTTTTTAATTAAATATATCTATAATTACTCCAGTGCTGAATACCCATGGCTTCCCCAAATACTCAATATTTCGTATATCAACAATCCAATTTCTAACAGGAATAAAGGAATCATCGCGACCGACGGAGGAATTTCTGATATCTCAACACACATCGTTATTAAAACTGTAAATGCAATCAAAAACGATAAAATCGCCAGCTCAGTTTTATTACTTAAACCTTGGTTTTTATTAAAATACGCTACCAAGTGCACTCCACACACCACCCAAATCGGAATGAAAACAAAATAGAAGTTTTCATAATCCCATTCATCAGCATATAATAAGAATAAAACCGCCGACCCAAAAGCCCCGCAAAAATATCCAAATAATAAGAATGCTTCTACTTTCATATTCACATCTTTATGAGTTAGACCTGGACAAATATAAATACAAAAGGCTAAATAGATAAATAATAAATATCATAATGGTATGAAAACAACTGTTCAGAGAGTATCAACAAATTCATCTAGTAAAAATGCTGATAAAATAATAAAGACTGCACACGAAGCTGTTCCATTATAGACTAGAAGCATGATTATCCATTCAGAAGTTGGGTTCATAAGTGGAGAAGCATAAGCAAAGCTGAGACTCAGGCAGATAGGCAAGAGTATGAGAGGAATCAGCAAAGGGAGTATTATGATACTCCATCATATTGAAATGACTTCTTCTAGCTCCCCCTCTGTGAGCGAACAAAACCATTGGAAAAATCCCTATTTTTTGCCCAAAGCCCACCCTCCGTGAGCGAACGAAAAACTTTTTAATATAGCAAAATTTTTTAAAAAAAAATTGATATATAAGCAATAATTATTTTAATTCTCTTTAATTTTAAACACATTACATTTAAACATAAATTTTGAAAGTTAAATTAATTTTCACTCCTCAAATTTTTAAAAATTGGATCTATAAGATTTATACATAAATTTTTTAAAAAAAAATAAATTAACCCCCCTCCGTGAGCGAACAAAATATTTTGCTAGATAAGGAGGGGGAGAATAAGCATAGAGCAGCTAGAACTGTTGTAATAGCAATACCAGTTCATCCAATAATCTTTAAAATCAGAAGTCATTTTTCAACTTGAGCTGCTGAATGCATTTTATTTTTTATATTGGAAAACAGCTAGTTTTATTTATGTTAGAGTATATTCGTACCATGAAGACTATAGATTATCATTAGAATCTCTGGAAGATCCAGCATTTTTGTTGTAATTAAAGTTAATGAACTTCAGAAAGATAATTAAGTTTGAAGAAAATTTTAAAATTAATTGAATTTTAATGAAATACCATTAATCTGATAATAATATTCATTCATGAAGTTAATTTTCAAAGGTAAACAGCTTCTTTTACAATAATCATTTATCTTTTCGTTCTAAATTCTGAATATTTTATGGCCAAAAAGAATCTAAATATTTATTAGTAATGATTATCAAAATTTAATAGGAATTATGCTCATCAATAAAGAGAATTTATATTAACTTGATTCTCCATCTTTTCAACTAAATGATTACAAATTGATAGCTTGCACTAATTAATAGCTTAACTTTAGATTTATGCGCTAATTTCCTCTATTGCGCAAAATACAAGGGCGTTCGGGGTTCACGTTAGCCTGCATGATTCTTTGGCTTTGGGATTCGGGTTTCGACGGCTGTCTTTCCAGCTATATGACAGCACGAAAAATTCAAAAAATGGGGTTTCTAGCAGATTTTCGGCAAAAAGAGTGAACTTGCAGCCCAGGACACAGCTCCTGGTATCATCCTGAATGATTTCAAAGGCATAGCTGATCTATCTCTTTCCAACTACTAGTTGTCCTTTCCCACAACTCCGCTAGACTCTAAAACTACAGGAATTATTTGTCTAACATTTGCTGTTCATTTCTGTGTTGACGAAACTTGTCGGATATAAGGCTATGCTCAGGCTGATACTCCATATTTAATTATTCAGTAATTAATAACAAACAAATGTCCTTATCTGACTTCGAAGTTTTGAAAAAATTAGGAGACGGCGCATATAGCACAGTTTACCAAGTTAAAAGAAAAACCGACAATCAAATTTATGCCCTCAAAAAAGTCAGAATGGCATCCTTAAAACCCAAAGAAAAAAGAAACGCTCTTAACGAAGTCCGGATTATGGCAAGCATCAAGCATCCCAACGTGATTTCTTACAAAGAAGCTTTTTTCGACGACGAAAGCGGAAGCTTATGTTTAATTATGGAATATGCAGACTCAGGAGATTTATATCAAAAAATTTTAGCATATCAGAAGAAAGGCTGCTACCTCAGTGAAAATTACATTTGAAATATTTTTATTCAACTTCTAAGAGGCTTAAAAGCTTTGCATGATTTAAGCATCTTGCATAGAGACTTGAAATCAGCCAATGTATTTTTAAATAAAGACGGGACTGTAAAGCTAGGGGATATGAATGTGTCAAAAGTTGCAAAGGACGGACTTTTGTATACACAGACAGGGACTCCTTATTATGCAAGTCCTGAAGTGTGAAGAGACCAGCCATATGATGCAAAAAGTGATATGTGGTCTTTAGGATGTGTACTATATGAAGCGATAACTCTGAAGCCTCCTTTTAGAGCTGAAGATATGAATGGATTGTTTCAGAAAGTCGTTAAAGGGGAATATCCACCTATTCCGAGAACATTTTCAAAAGATTTAGCAAACACTTTAAGCCAGCTTTTACAAATTGAAGCGTCTAGAAGGCCAAGCTGTGAAGTTATGCTCAGAAGCTCTTTATTACAGAGACATATTGCTGAAAAATATACAGAGACAGACTCTCTGCATGAAAACTCTTTACTTGGCTCTATAAAACTTCCGAAAAATATAAAATTAATCACAGATTTTCTGCCAAAGCCAAACTACAGAGATTTGCGCGCAAACTTTTCTGAGCCAATCCCTAGCAGTGAAAAAACACCATCTAAATCTCCATCAAAATCAAAATTCTCCACAAATCGATCATATCTTACCCACGATTCAGAAGAAAAAAAAGCCTCATCTCTTTCCCCTACCGAAAAAAACCATAATATTTTCAGCCCAAAGCGCTATCGAGAAATTTTAAAAGAAAGCTATGGCGCCTTAAAATTACCCAAAATTCGGTACCCAGGCAAAGGCATAATTCATCATATCAAAATAAAGCGAAACCCTGACGACATTTTCAGCACCCGAAGCTTGCCACTCCAAAGAGGTGCAAACGAAAGGCTTGAACGAATTAAAGAGGTTTATTTAAAAAAGGCTGTCCCAAGACTCGGACTTTCGCCTGACCCCCGAACTCCTATAAAAGTAAGCTACAAGCCAACATCTTGGACATAATAATTTTATCTTTAATTGCATAATTTAATTAGGAGATAACCGCTTTATCAAGCTGAATTCTTTTCATTGTGCCTTGGATATCATTTTGACATCCGACGCATTGGCAGCTATCTCCACATGCAATCCCGCTTTGAAAGCATTCGCAATAGTTCTTCAGACAAGCTGACTTTGTACAGTGACAGCCTCGGTTATGCATTGCTTTTGATTCCCCCTTCACCAAAATCGTCTTAAATTTTGGTTTGAATGCTTTTGGATTTTTTTCTAAAATTGCGTTTATATACCCTGCCCGTATGTTTTCATGCTCTAGAACGTTATAGCACTCATTACAGCTGCAGCCTTCACAGTAAATCCCAGCTGCGAAGCAATCGCAGTAGAGTTTTAAGCATCTTGATTTTTGGCAATTACAACAGGTTTTCTTTTCAAGCTTTAGCTCGTCGCGAGGACGCTTTTTTGGCTTGGAAATTGAGGAAGACGTGGAAAGCTCGCTGTTGTCGGCGGCTTCGTCTTGGATATTGACTTCGACAGTGAGGGAACTGGCTCGGAATCGAGCTTTGCCTTCAATTACTTTGGAAAAATCTAATTTTTGAATAAAGCGGGTTGAAGCTGTAATTAAATCAAGCTTGGAGTCTTCTTGGTTAAGCGGAGAAAGGGTAGATATGGGCGCTCATAAGGTTTTTGGGGTAAAATTACTAATTAGAATATACAGATGGGTATAAAAGGAAGGCTGAGATGGTAATGTCCCTATTGGGGATAAATTAAGAAGGGATTGGGAAAACGGGGATACTTGGAGGCTAAAAGCTCTCTGAGGAATTGGTGTCAAGATATGAACTTCATCGTCTGAGAGCTTTAATGATGTGTCCTTAAAAGGAGAGGCTTCCATTTTATAATGCACGATTTAAATTCTGTCATCAATATTTAAAAATTCATGGGTATTGGCATTTTAATTATCAAAGATTAGGGGAATATTTTTTCAATAAATAACTAAGACAATAAAGATCAGATATTAGAGAAGTGCTTGGAAAAATATTTTGGATTAAGGCTAGTTTTCGAATAAAAAATATATTAAAATAATTAGAAAAATATAATTAATAAGTATTTAAAGAATTTTATTGCTTTATTGAAGATTAATTAAAGAGTTTTTAAAGATTATAAAGCTATTTTAATATATTAAAATGCAATTAGTTGAAATAATTAAAAAGGTCATTTAAAGCTTAATTATGGAAAATCCAGTTAAAATGTTTATTTCAATGCTAGATAGCTTATAAAATGAATGAAACTTCACCAAATACTTCAAGAATACAAAATTGTATTCTCAATGATGAATCGCTTGATTTAGTTACAGAATTAGACCATTTAAACCATCAATGCATTTGCTCATTATGTACTTGCGGAAAGCATATTTGTCCAGCAAAACGATTAAAACTGTACCCAAAGGGTACATTTACATCTCTCTACAAGCAAGATTTCAAGTATCCAGCAAGCTTAAGTCCTCCAAAGCGAATAATCTCTACTTACAGGCCTGGGATCCACAAAATGGACGATAAAACTTCTAATGAAATTGACTTTAAACCTTATGATCTCTCAAAAACCTCAAGGACTCCTGAAAAACCCAACTTTTCTACATCCTTAAGATTTCTCGGCAAATCCAAATATAAAACTGATTTTCCTAACTGAGGCCAAATTCAAGCTGAAAAAGAAATCAGCCCCAAAGAATCTACATTAATTAATAGAAAATTCGAAGGAGAGTCAATTTATTCACAAAGTTACATACGAAAAAATCTAACCCCTGACCTCATGCGAAAAGTTCTTCCATCAACTTCAATTCCTTCAATTTATAAATATGACCGACTATTTGAGTCTACAAATAAAAGAGAGTTTAACTTAAAAGCAAACCGCTATAACACTCCAAGCCCAAACTATAGCCACTCTCCTATAACTCCTACATACTTTAATCCAAGCCAATATATAAGTGTTTCTAAACAAGCTTTTACTGGGCCGAATTCGCCATTGAAAGATCCTAGGCTAATCCGAAAACAAAAATTAGTTAACTAATTTTAATGTATTTAAAGAATTTTATTTAAAGATCAGCCCTGTTTTCGTCGAATTTAAAGCTTGCTTTGTCTTTTATGAACTGTAAAAGATTTTCACTTGTCCTTTCTCCTTCAAAATCAATGCCTTTTTTCTTTTTTCCTGGGAAATATCTTATAGTTGGGAAGCTGCTGACAGTTTGGTCTTTAACTTCATTTTGTGTGTAGTCAATTTTAGCTAAAATTAATGTAGGGATATGGCTTAAGTCCTTGGCTAATTCTTGATATATAGGCTCAAATTCTCTGCAATGAGAGCAACGAGGGGAGTAAAAGTAAACTAAGACGTCTTTGGATTTATCAAAGACTATATCGTTGAAGTTTTTGCCTACGAGGACTCTGAGGTTTTTATAGTAATCGTTTTCAGGGAGATCTTGGGACTTAAGAGTAGGCTCAATTTCTTTCTTTTTCCATCTCTTGATAAAGCTTTTCATGTTTTCTTCAGTTGGGCTTGCATTGCTCATAAATCTATTTCCAACTTCTGATTGATCAACAATCAAAAATACAGGCTGGGCTTCTGGTTCCAATCCTAAATACTCTTTTAATTGGCTATTGCCCGGATTTGATAAGTCTGCATAGAAGAAGATCATTGTTTTATTATACTTCTTGGCCACTTCATAAAAACCAGCTCTATATTGCTCATAATCACTTTGATTGCAAAGTAAAAAAAAGGCTGGGGTTTTGTTATCCCAGCTACGTCTTAAGCTATCATCATTGAACTCGCTTACAATCGGCCTCATATTTTTTTCAATAAATCTTGTAATATCAGCATGCTTCAGTTTCCCTGAAAAATTTACCCTTCTTTCATCAAACTGTTTAAAAAGGACAAGTGAAGGCTCTTCAACCTCGTAATTAGTTAAGGAAACTGAGTCAATAGACACTATAAATTCAACACCTTGTATCTGTTTGCTGACATAATCAAAATGCTTTATTTCAGGAGCATCAGCCTGTGCAAACAGAACGACAACAATTTTTGCTTTTTCTATCCTATTTTGAAGCTGAAGATAGTCTTTAATAACAGTATAAGTTTGCCCATTCTTTTTTAACACCCAGGAAACAATTAAATCTTCAGTTCTCCCACCATCATAATCAGTTGGCTTTTTATTTTCAAAGTATTTTATAGTTGGATAGTTTCTTATTTGGTATTTATCAGCTAAAAGTTTATTTGTGGTTGCATCAACTTTAGCAATTCTGATAGAAGGAGAGTTTTCTTTAAGTCTTAATGCAGCTTTAGCATATTCAGGATCTAGTTTTTTGCAGTGGTCGCACCAGGGTGCATAGAAATCAATTAAAATGTTAGGCTGCAGATTTAGAGCGTCTTCAAAATTTGAATCAGTAAGCACCCAGACGTCTTCTTCTTCAGGAATTTCAAGGAATGGAGTTGGCTCTAGAGTTTCTTGGCTGTAGACGGAGCTAAAAACCAAAAATGCGATACAAATATTCAGGGCCATCTTTACACGTGGTTTTCTTATATTTATTATAAATTTTTTTCGAAATGTTTTCTAAAATCGCATGTATCTTAAAAGAGTAGAATTTAAAATAAAATTTTATAAAATACTCAGAAATAGATTATTATAAACAATTAGTGAATTTTGCTATAAAGTTTAAGTTGACAACAGATATTTTTAATATTTATTTTTTGATAGCTTATTTGTTTTTGATCTTATAAAAAATTTATTTTTTATTACTCATAATGCACATTAAAAATAATTCCTGGCCTTAGTTAAGCATTCAATATCTTTTTTTTATAAAATTAAAATTAAAGGCTCATAAATAGTATAGTGAATTCTATTAGATGGCGCGCAATGCGCCATCACTGGGCCATGTCGGGAGAGGGTTCTCCCGACATGGCCCGGTGATGGCGCATTGCGCGCCATCTATAGGAAGGCGCTATATAAGTAAATTCAAAATTTCCTTTATTCCAAGTAATTATTTTACCTTTTTTTAAAATTTAATTATCTAACTCACTGAACAATTCTCTATTTAATGCTTTTCCAACCTATAATGAGACTTAAAACTGCTATATTCCTTATACATTACTAAAATGGATACTCCAAGATTACTTGATTACTTTGCTGTATACGGCCTTGATGAAGAACTTCCTCTAGCTCAATCTCCTTCATCTTCCACCAGCAGACCATCAGAAAACCCTTCTTCATCTAAGCTCTCTACAAACGAAAATATTGTATCTCATCTTCGTCTAAGAATTACACATGACAATGAAATAATCGCCCCTCACAATTCAGAATTTATTAAAATATTTGAAATTGGTTGCAGAAATGGCCAAACCCTTTGGCTAGAAGTCATCTATGGCCGATTTAACGGGAAAGCTCGAAAAGTGTGAGACGGCAAAGCAGTGTGCAATATTGGTTTATGATATCTCCAATCTGAAGGTGATTATATCAAAATCCCTGCAAGCCTTGGTATAGAGCCAGTCCCAATTTATATCGGAATTAAATCAGCTCATCAGTTTAGCCATAGAGAAAATGAAAATAATTGTTATATAGTAGACTACGATATCAGTACTATTTTAGAAGCTGAACAGCATGAAGGAACTAAGCTTATTTTGACTTACAGTACCTTTGACGCGTTCGGACATCCTCCTATTTCTGATATACAGCTTGTTACAGCTTTTACAAAAATAGATGAAAATGGAAATTCTCGAAAAGTCGCTGAAATTCCTTTAAATTATGCATATATAGATGTCCCGCTAGGAAAAAATTTAGACTCTTTGCTGTGCTTTAGGACAATTGACCCTATGAGTGTGACTTATAAAGCAGAACTCATAGAAAAGTTTCCCAGAGATGATTATTCTGATGGTGAGCTTAATCAAGCTATCCAAATGTTCATATTCAGCGAAGGCATAAATCTTACGAAAGAACAAGAAACGCCTAAAATCTTTTCTTTTATGCTGACTTCGGCAGAAGAAACAGGTAAAATATCAAAAATTTACATAACAAGTATGATTTTTTATGAACAGATAAGTGAACGCTTATCCAAACAACTGTATATTCTTCAAAGCGAAACAAGCAAAGTATACATGCCAAAGGCAATTTGTTTGGTTTCTCATTGGCCTTTTATAGAGCAGTATAGGGAAATATTAAAAGAAATTTACAGATTGACGATTTCTATATATGAGACTCCGATAGAGAGAATAATTTGTAATTTAATGCAAGAAGTTCCTTTACCAGATCAAGGAATCACTACAGTCCAGTATAAAATTGGAAACAAAATTTTACACTTTTCAAGGCCCCCTCCGAAGCATCTCCCTTATTTTCCAGACTCCTGCTTAATCCCGCTCCATGAACAAACAAAAAAATTTTATTTTGCTACCTAGGTGGGTTAATTTTTTTTTTTAAAAATTTATTTCGTAAAGTTTTTTTTTCAGTATTTAAAAAAATTCTAATTCGCAAAATTTGGAAAGCAAATAATTATTTAATTTTAAAATTTATGTACTTAAATGTAAATTTGTCAAAATTAAGAAGAATTAGCCCTAGATTTCATTATAGTAATTATCACTTATATATCAAAATTTTTATTATAAAAAAAATTGTTCACTCACAGAGGGTAAGTTTTTGGGTAAAAAATAGGGATTTACCAATGGTTTAATTCGCTCTCCGAGGGTAGGAGTTAGAATACTTATTTCGGTCGCTCTCCATTGATTGTATCCTCAATATCTTAAGCTGTCTCTTAATCGAAAGAAAAATTTTGCTTATTTCCAAGCAAAAATCACTGCTTACTTATGCAGCTATAGGGTTTGTCTCTTTAATTTTCCCATTTAAATGGGAACAAGTTTTTATCCCAATTCTTCCTGCCGCACTTAAAAACTATATAGAAACAATTTTCCCTTACATTATAGGTGTCTCTCCATCACTTCTCACAGAAGAAATAGAAATCCCATATGATGCAGTCAAGGTCTATAGAGTCTGCACGCCTAAAGCTCATCCTGATGCAAGTTTCTTCTCTGCAACTTATACTTAATTAAATGGTGTACTGCAGCAGATCGGTGGTGTCCTGTTGATTGACTCAGGCCCTTGATATATGGACGAATTGTAACTAGGTATCTAGAGTCGGTTTTTTGATGCTTCCTAATGCGGAGCGACACCTTTTTTATTGCGATCATACCCAACGGAAGATGCAATGTCTCACTGCACTTATCTATGCGAAGTGCTGCGCTAGGACTTTAGCTAGAAGTGTGTGGTCCAAACCCCAAATATAGAAAAAACTGGTTGCATCCAAGAAGAGCAATAGTCCGATTGGGTAAGTGCTCCGTTAAACGGCCCTACATCATTATTTTTAGGTGGCTAGGACTGGAAAATGACTTTAGGTGGATTTAGCGATTAACACCTGCAAATGTGAAGCTGGCCCTCAACAGATTAGGCCCTGAAATAATGGCTGTTAGCTTCTAAACTTAATCTAATCTGCAACTTGGAGTTCTAAGGAGCTACTTAATGGTGATGAATCAGCTTTAGGTAGAAAAAAATAATAGCCTTTTGCCAGGATGTGCTAACTGAAGTCAACTTGCCAATTTATATGTGGTTCATCAGAATTCCAAGTTATGGTGAGAACTTCATGCAAAGGCATGCTAAATGCACATATGCGCTATATTTAGATGAAGGCAGAATAGAATCAAATGAAGGCTTTCCAAGACTTCCAGACAAGCTTCGAAGGCAGCTTTTTAATTCATTGATGAGATCTTCCAATATTTTCAACCCCGAAGACAATATAAGAGATACAGCTGATGAAGCTTTCGATATTTTCATAAAAGAAGAAAGTGAAACTTTTGACGCTTTTCAAGTTCGAGACGCATTTTTGCATTTTTTTACACATTTGTTGAAGAAATATTCAAAATTTTACATAATGCCCGTAAAAGCTACAGATAATGCTATTGATTCAAGATCTTGTTTCAATACTTCAGAGTTCTTAAACTACCACAAAAGCAATAAGCCAGAAACTTTACTTTTCAAGCTCACTGAAACTTCGTTATTTGCTGGGTTTATTGAATCGCGCTATTTTTCAACAGAAAGCCAATATGAGATGGAGTATTTTGATGAAGCCTCAGCGTTTAAAAGGACGAAAAATGATCCTTATTTTGTGAAGCCTTATTATAATAGAGAGACCGTACCAGCGCTCTATGCAAATGATATTGGTTTTGAGCCTGATTCTGCCTTTAAATATGACAGATTTCCGAAGCTCAATGATTGTTATATGATTGAGCCACGAAAAATCATAACTTTAGCCACAAATGCAGCTCCAAAGCTGAAATTGACGCTAAAAGATGATATATTAATAAGACTAACTCAGGCAGAATGGGGGAAATTCTTGATGACTACCTTATACAAAATATGGATTATTGTGTTTGCCCACTGCATGCCAAGATATAAAGAGCATGCAAACTTATTAATTGATCTTGCCCTTTATGTGATGGAAGGGATGAAAAAGACAACAAAAAAGCCTGATGAAGAAATGTATCGAAAACTCATAGAAGCCTGCGGACACTGTGGACTCAAAGAAAGAGTCCTTTCATTGTTCAGAAGAATGAAAAATCAAGGGATTGAGCCTGATGCGTGTACACATGGAGTTTATGTCACAGCTGTAGCTAAAAGTCAAGAGCTTCAAAAAGAAATTAAATCAATCCTGGCCAAAGAAATCCCAGTAAATTCGTTATGCACCAATTTAGACTTAAAAAATTGCAAATATGCTGTAGAAGATAGCTGCACTTTTTGTGACTGTGTTTTAAGCCAAGAAGATATTATGATGGGCTGGGATCGGTCTTATTCAAGCTACACAACTACTTGTCCTAAAAATTTCTGCGAACAAAGGTTTGTAGCTAAATTCAGGGTCGTTTTGGACAAATTTGAGGAAAATCCTAAATATTTGCAAATTGAGTATTTAAGTCCACCTTTAATCCGGAAAGAGTTAGAAAATCTGATATACACGTATGGTGAAAATATTTTACTTTCTAAAGATTTTTGTGAAAAGCATAAGATTTTATTCTGGAACATGGCTCTAAATTTCCAATTATTAAAGCTTCCGTCATTTTTTATTGATCCTGCTTTTGACCCTGACACTTTGCCGCAGGTCATAAAAGATTATATGAAAGCTGATGATGTCCAGCAAGGTGAGCAGTTTTTAAAACCATGCTCCAATAAGTCAAGCGAAGATCAGGTACTTTCTGATGAAAATATAAGTGACTCCCACTCTAATTCTCAAAATAGGAGCCAAAGATTTTTGAGATTGCTGAAGAAAAATAAATCAAGCGCTGGAAGTGATAATATGTCCACTAAAAGTTCTGTTAAAAATATGGCGATTAAGAAATTGTTCGGACCATTTATTGAAGAGTTTAGGAGTGAGAACATTAGAAGAGATAGAGGAAGAAGCTTCATGGACACAATTGACGTTGAAGAAATTGAAGAGGAAAAGCCACATCAGCCTCCACAGTTGCCTCAGTTTAGGGCTTATAGCTTAAAAGTTTAGGGGTAATGCTATATATAAATGATTTTCAGGATTTTTCAGCATAATAAAATTAAATAAAAATGGAAAATTCATATGCCATCTCATATTAGTGATGAAATTAAATAGCTTAGTGTTCCCGGCTCCAAAATCCACATATGATATTTCGACTTTTAAAGGCGAACTTGTTTGAATTCCTCAATTGAAATCCAAAGCCTTGTCTCCAATCCCTTGTTTATACTGCCAACCGCCTTCAAGCAGCTCACAAATTCTGATTTATTTTCATGGCAATTTAGAAGATCTAGGAGCTTGCTACTTATTAGCAGATTTTATTAGTAAAAAGCTAAAAATCAACGTATTAGCTGTTGAATACCCAGGATACGGTATTTATCCTGGAAAAAGCAGTTCAAAAAGAATCAAAAATGATGCAAAAAATATCTATGAGTACTTACAAGAAAATATATCACCATTTATAACGAATTTAAACTTCTTGAATAGACTTTCTATGCTATTTTCTTATAAGAAAAATAGAGCTTTTAATTAGTATTAAAAAGAATAAAAATAAAAGAGTCTGATATAATAATTCTAGGAAGGTCTATTGGCTCAGGCCCAGCTACTTTTATAGCCGCAAAAAAAAATCCAGGCGCCTTAGTTTTAATGTCAGCTTACACGTCAATTAAAGATGTAGCTAAAAAAATCACTTGCTGCGCCGCATTTCTTAAAAACAGATTTAAAAACACCCACGTGATGAACAAGGTAGTATGCCCAACACTTTTGATTCATGGGAAAAAAGATACACTAATCCCATGAAAATTCTCTGAAAAACTAAGAAAATTGTGTGGAGGACCTGCCACGCTTGCTTTAAGCCCTGCTATGACTCACAATGATTTTAATTTCACAGAAATCATCACTCTTTTATATGATTTTTTAATGCACTATCAAGTTATCAATATTTCAGATATGCCAGGGATAAATCTATCTGAAATTATCATTCACGACACACATGAAGACAGTCAAGAAAAATCTTCCTAAACACAGATCTTTGTTTAATATTTACAAAATTCTATTAAAAATACTTAATTTCTTAGTTTTCTTTTCCTTACAATTTTCTCACAAACTCTTAAATCTCTGTCTTTTATTTAATAACCATAAAATATGAGCAAAAGAGGTGCAGGAAATTCGGGCAACAAGCTAAGAGTAACCCTCGCACTTCCAGTCGGGGCTTTAATAAACTGTGCTGACAACACAGGTGCCAAAACTCTTTACATCATGGCAGTCCACAGAATCGGTGCAAGACTCAATCGTCTTCCAGCTGCCTCTGTCGGCGATATGGTCTTGGTAACAGTGAAAAAAGGCAAGCCAGAGCTCAGGAAAAAGGTTATGCCAGCTGTCATCGTAAGACAAAGGAAACCATGGCGACGATCTGACGGAATCTTCATTTGCTGTGAAGACAATGCAGGAGTCATTGTAAATCCTAAAGGAGAAATGAAAGGCTCAGGTGTCTCTGGCCCAGTCACAAAAGAATGCGCAGATCTCTGGCCTAGAGTGTCATCTAACGCAGGAGCTATAGTTTAACCAGATAAATAAGCATTTTCTATGGAGATAATAATTTAAATGTCATGGCTTTCTTCATTAGAAATTGACGTCTTTGACAGGCACATTAACGACCTTATGCAGTGCAAGCCACTTGCGGAACTTGAAATTAAACTTCTGTGTGAAAAAGCTAAAGAAATTTTAGCTGAAGAGTCCAATGTGCAAGCTGTAAAGTGCCCTGTGACTGTGTGTGGGGATATTCATGGGCAATTCTTTGATTTGTTAGAATTGTTTAGAATTGGTGGGAAAACTCCAGACACAAATTATCTGTTTACAGGGGATTATGTGGATAGAGGATATTACTCAGTCGAATCTGTTTCGCTATTGGTTTGTCTTAAGGTCAGATATCGTGACCGCATCACGATTACTCGTGGAAACCACGAGTCAAGACAGATTACACAGGTTTATGGGTTTTATGATGAGTGTATGAGGAAGTACGGCAATGCAGCTGTGTGGAAATATTTTACCGATCTTTTTGATTATTTGCCTATAGCAGCGCTGGTTGAAAATCAAATTTTCTGTGTTCATGGAGGGCTATCTCCTTCTATTGGCACGTTAGACCATATCAGACAACTGGACAGAATCCAAGAAGTCCCAAATGTAGGGCCTATGTGTGACTTAATGTGGTCAGACCCTGAGGAAAGAAGTGGTGGCTGGGCTATTTCTCTTCGTGGAGCTGGGTTCACTTTTGGAAAAGACATATCAGAACAATTCAATCATACAAATAACTTAACTCTAATTGCCAGAGCCCATCAACTAGTTCAGCAAGGCTATGACTGGCAGCACGAGCGTCATGTTGTAACGATTTTTTCAGCACCCAATTATTGCTATATATGTGGAAACCAAGCAAGTATCTTACTCCCCCTCCGTGAGTGAAACAAAACCATTGGAAAAATCGCTATTTTTTGCCAAAAAAACCCACCCTCCGTTAGCGAACAAAAATTTTTTTAATAGAAAAAATTTTTTATGAAAAAAAATTTGATATATAAGTGATAATTAGTATAATGAAATCTCTGTTTAATTTTAAACAAATTGCGTTTTTAAAACATAAATTTTATAAATTAAATTAATATTTGCTTCCAAATTTTTGCAAATTAGGATTTTTTAAATTTTTTTGCTCACTCACGGAGGGGGAGTTAGAAATTGATGAAAACTTGAAGTTTAATTTCCTTCAATTCGACCCAAACCCTCAGCAAAATAAGCGAAACCAATTCAGGATAACTCCAGATTATTTCTTGTAATTATAGATTTTTAATTAAATAATTAAAAACTTAAAACAATCTGTCATTAAGGATCTCGAACAAACTGGGAGCCTAAACCAAATCAGAGCCCAAATAAAAGAAAAAATTTTGGTTGCTGCTGATCTAATTGAAGCAAATAAGCCAGTTCCATCGCCTGAGACTGAAGTTGTATTGAAATCTCAGGCCGGGCAAATTTGTGCGGAATTGATCAGGGATTTTTTTGAAAGCTACAATTTAAGCTACTCTTTAAATGTATTTTTACCAGAATGTCACTTGCCGGAGCACAGAGAAAATATACAGCAGCTAGAACAAATTTTAAACCTTCAGTCAGAGCCATGCAAGCCTTTATTGTATAGCATCATTGAAGATAAGTTTTCTAATCTTGAAGGGGAAGAAGAGGAAGAGGAATCTTTTGAAAATGAATACTTAAGACAAAAACAAGACCCCAGAGGACAGAGAAGCCAGGAGTAGGCTCAAAATTTTCAGAAAAAAGAACTTTTGCACCAAATGAATCAGGGTCAATTGATGAAGAAATTAGTATTGATTTGTCTGATGAAGAGAAATTTAAGAGAGATGAGTTGGTGAAAAGCGGAGGAGCGTCAATGGGGAATGATCAAAGTGCCTCTCTCGGCGATATGATCTTGGCAACAGTGAAAAAAGGCAATCCAGAGCTCAGGAAAAAGGTTATGCCAGCTGTCATTATAAGACAAAGGAAACCATGGCGACGATCTGACGATATAAGGCTTTACCTTGAATAGCCCGATAACGGATGAAGCCAGCCCATTATCGGGCTATTCAAGGGAAAGCCCTATATCTTCATTTGCTGTGAAGACAATGCAGGAGTCATTGTAAATCCTAAAGGAGAAATGAAAGGCTCAGGTGTCTCTGGCCCAGTCACAAAAGAATGCGCAGATCTCTGGCCTAGAGTGTCATCTAACGCAGGAGCTATAGTTTAACCAGATAAATAAGCATTTTCTATGGAGATAATAATTTAAATGTCAGGGCTTTCTTCATTAGAAATTGACGTCTTTGACAGGCACATTAACGACCTTATGCAATGCAAGCCACTTGCGGAACTTGAAATTAAACTTCTGTGTGAAAAAGCTAAAGAAATTTTAGCTGAAGAGTCCAATGTGCAAGCTGTAAAGTGCCCTGTGACTGTGTGTGGGGATATTCATGGGCAATTCTTTGATTTGTTAGAATTGTTTAGAATTGGTGGGAAAACTCCAGACACAAATTATCTGTTTACAGGGGATTATGTGGATAGAGGATATTACTCAGTTGAAACTGTATCGCTATTGGTTTGTCTTAAGGTCAGGTATCGTGACCGCATCACGATTACTCGCGGAAACCACGAGTCAAGACAAATTACACAGGTTTATGGGTTTTATGACGAGTGTATGAGAAAGTACGGCAATGCAGCTGTGTGGAAATATTTTACCGATCTTTTTGATTATTTGCCTGTAACAGCGCTGGTTGAAAATCAAATTTTCTGTCTTCATGGAGGGCTATCTCCTTCTATTGACACGTTAGACCATATCAGACAGTTGGACAGAATCCAAGAAGTCCCACATGAAGGGCCTATGTGTGACTTATTGTGGTCAGACCCAGACGGAAGATGTGGCTGGGGCATTTCTCCTCGTGGAGCTGGGTATACTTTTGGAAAAGACATATCAGAACAATTCAATCATACAAATAACTTAACTCTAATTGCCAGAGCCCATCAACTAGTTCAGCCAGGCTATGACTGGCAGCACGAGCGTCATGTTGTAACGATTTTTTCAGCACCCAATTATTGCTATAGATGCGGAAACCAAGCCAGTATCTTAGAAATTGATGAAAACTTGAAGTACAATTTCCTTCAATTCGACCCAGACCCTAAGCAAAATGAGCCAAATCAAGTCAGGAAAACTCCAGATTATTTCTTATAGTAATAGATTCTTAATTAAATAATGGAAAACTTAAAACAATCTGTCGTTAAGGATCTCGAACAAACTGGGAGCCTAAACCAAATCAGAGCCCAAATAAAAGAAAAAATTTTGCTTGCAGCTGATCTGATTGAAGCAAATAAGCCAGTTCCATCGCCTGAGACTGAAGTTGTATTGAAATCTCAGGCCGGGCAAATTTGTGCGGAATTGATCAGGGATTTTTTTGAAAGCTACAATTTAAGCTACTCTTTAAATGTATTTTTACCAGAATGTCACTTGCCGGAGCACAGAGAAAATATACAGCAGCTAGAACAAATTTTAAACCTTCAGTCAGAACCGTGCAAGCCTTTATTGTATAGCATCATTGAAGATATGTTTTCTAATCCTGAAGGGGAAGAAGAGGAAGAGGAATCTTTTGAAAATGAATACTTAAGACAAAAACAAGACCCCAGAGGACAGAGAAACCAGGGGCAGGCTCAAAATTTTCAGAAAAATAGAAATTTTGCACCAAATGAATCAGGGTCAATTGATGAAGAAATTAGTATTGATTTGTCTGATGAAGAGAAATTTAAGAGAGATGAGTTGGTGGAAAGCGGAGGAACGTCAATGGGGAACGATCAAAGTGCAAGCTCGCTGAAATTTGAACAGTTTGACCATGTTGAGCCTGTAAAGAAACCTATGTTTAGAGTTTAATTTAATTCAAAATAGATTCATGTGAAATTTCATTAATTTAACTACAGTTTAATAACTTTTTCTTATAAAATTAAGGATATTTAAACTTCTCAAGACCTTTCATAAGGTTATTGATATGTTTCTCATTATCCATAACAAGTCTGGAAACATAATCCTCATAATTAATCACATTTGTTTCTAGATCCACAGAATAGGCTTCAAAATCTTGCCATTCCTTCTCATAGAAAGGGATCCCATTTTTCAGCAAAAGCTCTTTCATTGCATCAACCTCAATATACCCTTTTCCCTCCGAATCCAAGACTTTAAAAGCTGCCAAAAGCGTTTCTGCATCATCAGGCTCGAACTCATTATTTATGATTGCATTCAGCATATATTTCTCGAATTTTTCATAATAAACATAATTAGTTGGCTCATCTTCTTGTATTTCTGGTAAAATCACATCGACAACTTGTGCTTCACTGGGATATTGCCCAAAGTATTTCATTATATAGCTAACTTCTTCTCTGACTATATAACCTTTTCCTTCTCGATCTAGATATGAAAAGGCTTCTCTAATCAGCGATTTCAGGTATTCAATTTGCCTTAAGCGATCGACTCCAGATTTGGTATGCCTAAACATATTTTAATTACTTAGAAAATAAATTAGTATGGGCATTTGCAGCTGCTCAAATAATATTTTTATAGACTCAAATCCTAGAGAACTATGCTCAGTGAATATAAATAACGCAATTTTAAAAGTGATCTATGGGGATATTCTCAGAGAAACCTCTCAAGCCATTGCCAATCCAGCAAGTTCTGGGCTGCTAAATAAAATTTGAAATGATGCACTTATTTTAAAAGCTGGGTCGTCTCTTTTAGATGAAGTCACATCATTCTCAATGAAAAATGGGCATTTGCCCGTTGGCTCAGTATTCGAGACTGGCCCTGGCAACCTTGGTTGCAAATTTGTAATTCATGCAGTTGTTCCTGTCTATATAGACGGAAACCAAGGCGAAAAGAATTATTTAATGAAAACCTTATGGAAAATCCTGTTAAAATCAGTCGAATTAAAATGCACGTCCGTATCAATCCCTCAACTTTCGTCCGGAGCTTTCGCTTTTCCTAGAGAAGAAGGCTCAGATATCATGCTTAAAACAATAACTTCTTTTTTTGAAAAAAATGAAAATTCACCTTTAAAAGAAGTTAGGATTTTGAGCACCGAATTAGCATCTGTTAATTTATTGAAAAAATTAATGCTGAAAAATTTTGATTTAGTGAAGGATGGTCGCTTAAGATGCAGATCATTCGGACTGGAAGACATTAAAATTTTTGAATAAATACCGATATAATTAATTTTTGTCAACAGAATTGTATGATTTTTTTTTGCTATTTAGAATGACTATGATGATTTATTCTTATTTTATAGCCTATATATTAGTGTTGAATAAATTAATTTAAGCCCATTCCTGTACTCCTCCATTATACCAGAATCTTCCAGATTCTTCTCCTGTATACTTTATCATAATCATAGGAGTAATTGTACCTTCGTCTACAGAAAAAGGGGCAGATGGACCTCCCATATCAGTTCTCAAGTGGCCTGGACATACAGAATTTACCTTGACTTTAATTCTTCTGTCTCTAAGCTCTCTGTCTAGTACTCTTGTATAACCATTTACAAGGACCTTACTCACTGAGTAAGCTTGAGTTGGCCAACCTCTTGCAACCCAATTTCCTGCTCTTGTGCCTTCAAGAAAATCATGAGCTAAGCGAAAAAGTTCTTCTCTTGTCAAATAATCTGAAAGAAATCGCTCACTCCTCTTTAAACTTGAACAAATATTGATAAAAATTTCTTTTTTTTGGGTACATAAACCCTTTTAAAGGTAAATTTTATAGGATATATACTAATTTTTATAAATTACTTTTACCTAATTTAATGGAATAATGCAAGTAAAATATTATTTAAACAGTTTTCACTCTTAAATGGTTATAAAAATAAATTAAAATCATTTATACAGCGTTTAATTTATATTCTTTTATTTTTTTTTTCGAGAAAAATTTAAACATTATTAATCCACTTTAAATTAGGATTTTTTTTATCAATATAAAAAGGGGAAGTCAGCAATTTCTGGATCTGGAATGCACTGTGTGCTGCCCATTCTGGATGAAACATTAATTATGTGCCCGTTTTCCCTCATAAGAGGCAAAATCACTTCCGTCACATTGACAAGCCCATAAAAATTGCTATCTAAAGTCGATTGTACAATATCAATTGTAAATTGGCCTGTTTTTGAGTAAATTGCAGCATTGTTAACAAAGACATCGATATGGCCGTATGTTTTTTGGACAAACTCAGCAAAGTTTCTGATGCTTTCTAGTGAAGTGACATCTAATTGCTGGTAGTGTAAGCGGCTTTGTTTGCCATACTTCATTTCAAGCTCTCCTTTAGTTCTGAATCCGCGCTCTGTATTTCTGGACGTCATCAATACTACATCAAATTCAGGAGCTTCTTGAATGATTTTCTCAATATATTAGTTCAGGATAAGCCTGATGAGCTGAAAAGAAATATAACTCAATTTTTTCATAAAATATAAAATTGAAGGTTAAATAGATTTGGCTTAGATTTAATAATATATTATAATCGCTTTTCCTAACCCTTTATTCGCACCTGTGATAGCTATAATTTTCGCCATAAAGATTAATATTTAATTAGAAAAAGATTGGTTGAAGCTGATACTATAGTTAGTGTTAGGGGCTAGATAAGGGATTTATAGATTAAAATATTGATATTATGGCTAGTTTCATTAGATAATTAATTAAAGCTTATAAAACAAGAATTATCTAATAAATGTAATTTATACTTAAGAAAGCAATGTGATGCAATGATGGAATGCAATACATTCGTTTGATAATTTATCCTTGTGGCTGGTCTCACATATGATTTCACTGAGAGCTAATATAATTTAATTGAAATTAACCTAAAATCAAAAAGCTATTAAATTTTATTTTCATTCATTTTTTGTATGTTGAATAATAAGTTGGGTTAAAATCATATCAATGTCCTTAATACGATATTATCGATGAACGCTTATTGGTTATTCTTGATCGAGAATTCCCATCGAATTCTTGAGTTAATACATTAATCCAGGCTTGGAACAATTTAAGGAATAGGTAAAGAATGCCCTACCTCATAAAGAGCAATAATATCTTCTTTAGCATATCAATTTAAACTTAAAAATAAGATATTACTAACTCAAGCTTTTTGCTTAGAAATTATGATATTGCACTTATTAATTGAACATGATCTAATTTTTTTGTTGTTTAATAGTCCATGATACGTTGAGTCATTATTTATGCGAATTTTAGCTGGCTTGAATTGATGTATTTTCAGAAATTATCTCTTATCTTATTCCATTTTATACCTTATTAAATATATGCATATCAAACTCAATTTTCTATATCTAAAGCCTGCATCATTTTTAAGCCAGTCTAAATAAATAAATAAATTTTTGAGTACAGAAAGAAGCTTAATATACTCAGCAAATCTATATAGAGCGTTGAGTAATTTTAGTTTAAAAAATTAAATATAAAATATTGCTAAAAAAGACTTTATGAATGATAACGAATCCCCAAATTAATTATGAATCGAAAAAATAATTTTAGGCCAAATTAAATAAAGTACATTGTTATTAGTTAAAAATTGTGGTTTAAGCAAAAGCAACTGAAGATTCAGGTGTTTTAATTTGTACGACGTTTATATGATAAGATTCACCTTGCCAGGATTTAAAAGAGTAAGTGACTATTCCATTATTTCTTTTTAGTCTCATCTCAAGATCGTTTACAATAAGTTCTGCTGTTGATATTTCATATGACATTAGGTCATCTGATGAGTCTTCCGAGAAATCTTTTGGTTTTTTCGAAATTCCGCAGCCCATTTTATATTTTATAATCTAGTAAAATGAACAATAAATAAATAAATAATAACTAATTAAATATGACAAAATTTTTCTGATAATGCAATTTTATTTTTGATTATTGGGCATGAGGAAAGACATTTTATTGAAAATTTTTGCCAATTTTTAATTTAAATAATATTTACCAAACTTTATGCTTCTATATACACAAAATGATTATCTATTGAAAATTCACATATATTTTGTTTTCTTGAAGTTTTTCTGCATTCAAACAGCATAAATCTAAACTTTTGTTAAAAGAAAATTTTGCAGAAAAAATAAAACTCTTTTTTTAATCTGATTAATTTTTTATTATGACTCTAACTTTATTCTAGTTTTTTCAATTACGCAACTCAATTAATTCCAAATTCTGACATTTTTAAAAAAGCGTTTTAATCCATTTTAGATAATTCTTTTCTAATTAATTTTAAGCCTAATTATGGATTTGTGATTCATTCCAGAACAACTTTAAGCCATAAGATTTTATCATCAAAAGCTTAAATCTGCTTCTCTTCGAATTTACATAGAATTCAAGTAAAATCAGAATTAAGCTTAATAAAAGTAGCAAGGTTAATTATTATATATGTTATACCATTGGATTTTAGGTAAAAACAACTGAAGTCTCTGGTGTTTTAGCCTGTGAAACTTTGATGCAATAAGTCTCGCCTCTAGACTTAAAGTTATAAGAGATACCGCAATGAAGAACTAATCTTCTCGAGCTTAGGCCCTTTATTATCACCTCTGCGTCTGTTTGATCGACAGGACTCTCTTCATGAAGTACGTTTTTGTTTGGTCTATTTGGAATTCCGCAGCCCATTTTGTATTTTATATTTTCTGTAAATCAATCGAGAATAAATGGGCAAGATTTTAAAAAAATGTTACTCCTTCAATTCATTATAAAATTATTAAAGCTATATATCTTATTTAATTTCATATATTCCATTATAATAATTATAGATCAGGAGGAAAGCTATCAGTTTCTCTTTATTTGGGCTCAAGAAGCGAAAGTTTTAAATAAAACACTATAAATAATATTTATATGACGCTATGAGTAAATTATTGATGGCTGGTTTTAAAATTTTTTTTTTTTAAAAGTTGATATTCTTCCCAAATTGATTTCAATGACATTAGTTGTCTAATATTAAGACTGAATCTCCTATAGTAGTAAATAAATATGTATTAGTTGCTTACACATCATAATTTTGTTGGTTAAATTCAGTTATGACTAGCTTTAGGAAGAACGAAGAGCAATAATTCTTATAAATAACTATCTAGAAATGAAAAATTATTGTTAGGTCAGTCTTTGCTATATAAGACGGATAATATGACACACGAAAAAACTGGATCTAGATAAAAGTGGCAACTTTTCAATTATTTTGGAAAATAAATTTGGAGAATTTTCAGGAAAATAATTTATATCATCAGAGTATCAAAAATGTTAAAAATGATTATTTCGACAAGGATGAGTCAGCTAAGCCAATTTAAAACTTCTCAGCATTTAAATTTTATCCAGCCATTTTAATATCACCTTTTTCGGCTTTTGTCCAAAGCTTCTAAATAATATGGATTAATATTCTTATCAATTATTTAATCGGCAGGAAGCAAATAAAAATGCTATTTTAACTATACTAAAATTTTAAATATATATAAATCGATTTTCGTTTTGCTAAGTTCAATAAGTATGATAAATTCATTATAAAATTTATTAGGATAGCTTATAATTTTGTATTTGCTTTATTATCAAGCTATTTTCTAATATAGATGAATTCTTTCCTTGACGTTTATTATTTTTAGTCTTTAGTAAAATCTGTTTTGTATTTATCAACAAAGCAATAAGATTTGAAACATTAAAATCAATTTTTATGTACAGATAAAATTTGTAAAATATCTAGCAGATTATAAATTAATGTCAAGGTAATTAAACAAAATTATTTAGTGATCTAAAAATCTGATATCAATTTAATATATTTAATCAAGCTAAGATATAAATTCTATATGCAAAGCAATCTCAGATTTATTTTTAATTATATCTATCCATTTATCAAAAGATATGAGGTTGATTAAGATTCATCGAACTTCAAAGAAAATTGCTCAATTGTAATTTATTTATGAATGATTCCTATATAAAATCTGACTTCTTAGCCAGCATAAGCAGTAAAAATGATTATAAAATATTAAAAATTAATTTCTCGACAATTAATTGAAAATAAGTCTGAATAATTTTCAATAGTCTGTTTTATATTTTTATTACTGCTGGAGCAGGTATGATCTCGCTTAATTAATATTCCATTTTATTGGTGAAATATTCCTAATAATCTAAATGAAAGCAATTCTCTTCGGATTATGCTTATTCGCACTTGCATCAGCAAATGGCTTGGTCGAAACAAAGCTTGCAACACTTGGAGGAAACATTGGGAGTAATTGTGATCCATCATTAACCACATACAGCGTCACAGCTTTCCTTGTCACACCTTGGCCTCCAACAAAGAATGTTTACCTTAATCTCAACATGACAGGGACAGTCAGCCAAGCAGTAACTTTCCAAGAAATGGACATTTTCGTCACATTCAATGGTGTTAACTTCTACCAAGAAACTGTTAAGGAGTCAGGCACTTATAAAGCTGGACAAACAGCAACTGTAATTTTCAAGGTATTTTTACCTGGAATTGCTCCTAATGGAAAATACGGTGTCATTACCAAGATTAAAGATACTGCAGGCGCTTACCTTAATTGTTGGCAAGTTGCTTTCTCTTTAAGTTAAGCTATTTACTTTTGGATAAGCTAGTGATCTAAATTTCTTACCCTCCTCCTCCGTGAGTGAACGAAAAAAAAATTTTAAAAGATTATTTTGTGTTTTAGAACGTAAGTTGTTCAAAATTCAACAGATTTAACTAGAGAATTCATTATATCAATTATCACTTATATATCAAAATATTTTTCATAAAAAAAATTTTGTTCATTGAGGGGGCTTTTGGCCAAAAAATAAGGGTTTTTCCAATGGTTTTGCTTTCTCATGGGATGGTGGGGGAAGTTAATTAAGGTAATTAGTTGGGTTGACCAAAGATTATTGAAACGAAATATAATCAGGCGGTCAACGAAAATTGAGAGGACTGAGATGGAGAGAGATAATTTTTATCAAAATATTACCAAGTTAATAATATTTGAGCATTTGAAGCAATATCATCAAATTATGATATTATAAAATAAGCAAAAGAAAATATGATTCAATATATAAAATACAGCACATAATTGATGATAAAAGAACCCATCTTCAAGCATCTTTTCATATTCCTCTATAAATTCTTGCTCTCCTTCATAACAATTCTGATCTCGTCCACTATTAATATAGAGTAGATAATGATTGTTTAAACTGATAAATTAAATAGATTTAAATATCCAAATTTTTATTGTTTTTTTATTTAGTGCATATTCCCTTTTGGCATTCTTTGTGGTAGCTCTATTAGTTTTAGCATCATATAATTTTTTTAGAACTATTTACTCCCCCCCCCCTCCGTGAGCGAACAAAAAAATTTTGTTCACTCACGGAGGGGGGTTAATTTTTTTTTTTAAAAACAATTTATATATAAATTTTATAAAAAATATTTTTTTCGAAATTTAAAAAAAAATCCTAATTTGCAAAAATTGGGAAGCAAATACTAATTTAATTTGCAAAATTTATGTTTTAAAACGCAATTTGTTTAAAATTAAACAGAATTAGCTCTAGATTTCATTATACTAATTATCACTTATATAGCAAAATTTTTTTCTATTAAAATTTTTTCTATAAAAATATTTTTGTTCACTCACGGAGGGTGGGTTTTTGGTCAAAAAATGGCGATTTTTCTAATGGTTTTGTTCGCTCACGGAGGGGGGGGGGGAGTTAGCAAGCTTGAAACCCTATTTAATAATTTCATTCCATAATAAATCAGTTTTCCCATTTTTTCAAAATCTGATCAGTTACATATTAAAATGAAAATAATAATGCTTAATAATTATTTAAATCCCATGCTAGCAACCATCTCCAAAAACCTTACTCCCCCCCATCCTTGATCGAACGATTGACTGTGAAAATTCCTAAAAATTGGGGAATTAACCCCCATCTTTGATCGAACGATTTTCATATCATGCAAATTTTTATGTATATAAAAAATATATTAGCTATCAAAAGCTTGGGAAGATGTGCCTAATGGAGTTGTTTTCAGAGGCTTTGAGATGATAGGAAGCTACGAAATCAACCATTCGAGGTGCTTTAGTCATCAGCCTGGGCTTAAAAACTCAATAATCTAAAAAATATAGATTCTTTAAAATTTAAAAAAAATAAATGTTAATTCAATAAGGAACAAATTAAAATTTATGCAGGTTAAAGGGGTAACCAAAAAATCAAAATATTAAAAAACTGGTAATCTTATGAAATTAATTCAATTTTTGTGTAAAAATAATTATTAAATACTGTTAACCCTCTTATTTAAAAGCATATAAAAAAAAACATATATTTTTTATTTTATAAATTTTTTTTAACCTCCATCCTTGATCGAACGGCTCGCAATCGTTCGATCAAGGATGGGGGGAAGTTAGCAATATACCAAACCCTATGCTGAGACAGAGTTCTCCTAATTCCAATAGCAACCAAGATAACCCAATGTCTATCAAAGCTATAATAGCTGCTAACTCCCTCCTCTAAGCGAGCAAAACCTTCGAAAAATCCCTATTTTTTGCCCCAAAAACCAATCCTTGTGAGCGAACAAATAGTTTTTTTAAGAATAATTATTTTGATATATAAGTAATAAGTATTATAATAAAATCTCTAGCTAATTATATTTAATTTTTAACAGCTTGCACTTTAAAACATAAATTTTGCAAATTAAATTAAGTTTTACTTCTCAATTTTTTAATTATTTTTAAATTTGGATTATAAAATTTTATATATATTTTAAAAAAAAATTAACCCTCTCCGTGATCGGACAAAAATTTATTCGCTCACAGAGGAGGAGTAAGAAAAAAGCGACAGAAACCGACTTCAAGGCAAAATATAAGACCGAAATGTGTAAAAATTGGGAAATTGGGTGCTGTGAATTCGGCGATCAGTGCGCATTTGCCCATGGAGAAGCTGAACTCAGAAGCAAAACTGGAATAATTAAAAAATATAAGACTAAAAAGTGCAAACAATTTTACGAGCAAGGATATTGCATTTATGGAGGAAGATGCCAATTCAGGCATAGAGATGCTTCACCCGAAACAGCTGAAAGCTCGCCAATTCCTTGCAAAATGCCTGATAAATTTAGTTCAATTGAAGTAACTAAACGAAGACTTCCGATATTTATTGACTTGGAAAGTCGTGAAATTTAGGATAATTTGTCCTAACTCTCCCTGTTACCATATTATAAAATTATCTATTTTATTTATTTAATTAGTTTTCTCCTATAATCTAATATCTAGAATAAGTAATTAATGCATAATATAAATAATTAATCCGAATTTAAATTAATAAACCTTTCTTAAATTTTATCCCAAGGATGCCATAGATATAAAAGAACAAATCCTGCTCGCTCTTTGCGATCCTCCAGACTCTAATAAACATGTGAAATCATAAAAATTCAAGTCATCCTCAACATCTAATCCAGCTTCTTCAAACATAGCCTCAATGTCAATAGTGAGTCCAAATTCAACTTTAATAATATCAATCAGTTTTTGTTTCTTCACAACTCCAGTTCTATCAATATTTCCTCCCATTGCAACAAAAGTATTGACGATATCGATGTCGACTTCTTCTTCATCTTTCAAATTAAGCTCTTTTAAATAGCTCCAAGCTCTTAAGGCTGTTTGCAAATCGATTTTTGTCACACCTCTTCCTTCAACGAAGGAGATAATCTTTACCATTTTATCATCTGATGGACTTTCACCAACTGCTTCTAACAAGCTATGGAGTTCGTGGATATTTACCGCCCCAATATTGGCACGATCCATAATGTGAAATTGTTCTCTCATGTAGTCTACTTCTTCTTGAGTTAAATCGAGGTCTTGAAAGGTTTCTTGTCTGGTTTCAACTTTTTTCATTTATATGGTATGATGGAATTAGATCAGCGCTTTAAATTTTTTTATGAATAAAGAGATTAATTCTTTATGAAAATATTGTTTACTTTTAAGAATTTATATCAATTTGAGAATAGTTTTTTTATAAAATTCAAGAAATCTGCTCGAGTGAAAGTAAAATAAATCTTGATTTTCTAAAAATAAAAAAAACAAAAAATTGTCAATATATCTAAATGCTCTTGTGATAAATAATATAAAAAATATAAATAATAAGCAAATTTTTGCATTTTTGAAATAAAAAATTAAAAACTTGCAAAATTCTGAAATTTTCTTCTAGTAACAAATTGGTTTTAGTTAAAATAAAGAATAAAATAAGCAGTCAATTAATTTTTTAATAGAATTACAATTATTATCATGCTTAATTCTTAAAGTTTCCATTATCTTACCTCTCCACCTTTGTGAGAGAAAAAAAAATGGAAAAACCACTATTTTTTTGCCAAAATCCACCCTCTATGAGGAGCAAAATATTTTTTTTTAAAATTTACTCTGAAATTTATATAGTGAACTACACTGACTGGCACGGGGTGCTTTTGGCTCAGTTTCGAGCCAAAAGCACCCCGTGCCAGTCAGTGTAGTTCACTATATATTAATTTTAAAAAAAAAACCTCTATGAGAAAAAAAAATTTTTTTTTTTCGCTCACGGAGAAAGGTTAGCATTTTTCTTAAAATTCATATCTGTAACTTTTAGCATCATAATTCAATCTCAAATAATTCCTTTTTTTATTTGTAATTTAATTTACCAAGCTTATATTTATGAATAAATTTTAATGTTATGAATTTTAAGCACACTTGCTAAATGGCTAACAATTTAAGTAATATGAATATAATGATAGAGCACCCAATGTCATCTCCAAAATTAGAACGGCCTATATTTGCACGTTACCAGCGGAGGCTATCAAATGTCAAAGATATCACTTCAGAAACTATGGCTTATTTTAACCAGGAAAGGAACAAAACAATTATAATTAAATTCATTCTTTCGCTTTCCCCTGATCAAAGAACGCCAGAAATGATTGAAAAAGTGTATTCATTGACAAAAGATCTGGCATTTTTTAAAACTATTCGGGAAGAGCATACCGAAGATAAGCTTTTTTAATATAACATGATAACAGACTATAAGTGCATAATCTATTTAATATTAGAAAAAATTTAATTTTTAGATATTATATATAGAAAAATCAACATATTCATTATTCGTGCTGCAAATATTTAAATTTTGAGTTTCATCCTGCTGGATCGGTTATTATAAAACAGGGAGAACCTGGTTCAAAATTTTATATTTTAATAGAAGGATCTGCAAATGTTATAAGGGAAAATGATGACGGTAGCATGAATTTAATAGCAGAAATAGGGGATGGGGAATCATTTGGTGAAAGGTCACTTTTATTAGGGACTAAAAGAGCTGCAACCGTTATTGCTGTTGAGGATTGCTCTCTAGGAGTACTTGTAGCAAGTGATTATAAAAAAATTTTGGAATCTTTTATGGAAGACAGATATAATGTCCTTATAGAGATGCTTACTCCTTATTTATTTTTATTAATTTTTTATATTTAAAATTTGGCCTGTAAAATTTAATAATCCATAAATTGATATATTTAAGGCCATGAATTTAGACATTTGCCTATGTTCAAAGACCAATCTCTTAATTATTTACAAAGATTCACATATTATTTTAAATCAAAAAAGGTGAAAAAGAGACAAATAATTTTCCAAGAAGGTGACCCTGCTGATAAAGTCTACTTAATCCAAGATGGCGAATTCAGCTTATTTAGAACTCTTACTGTTTCTATAAAATCTTCAAAGCCATTCCCAGAAAAATCTCCACTGAAAACAAAAAATATTTCCAAACAAAGCCCAATTGCAATATTATCTATAGGAACAATGTTCGGAGAAGAAGAAATTACTTCAGGAGAAGCCAAAAGAAGCACGACTTGTATATGCACTTCAAATAGCGGCCTATTATTGATTATTAGCAAAGAAAACTTTTTGAAGCAAATCATGAAAAATGATGATGCAGTCAATTTTATAAGAAATAGGACACAAAAAAAATTACAGACAAGGCAAAATATTTTTGATAGAAAAATTAAAGTACAAAAATTAAATTCAGGAATTATTCCATTAGTAATTGATAAGAACTGCCCAAAAAAAGAGCCATTAAAAGCTATTGAAAGCTTGCCACAGCTTGCATCTCCAAAGCGCGCAAGTGGAAATTTATTTTCACCAAGGATTATTTTGAATTCATCAACATTTATGTTTCCATCTGAAAAAGATTACGATAATATGCCCTTGTACTATTGGATAAAATCCAAGCGCTAAGATATATTTAAATCAAACTAATTTATTTTAAAGTCATGTAAGTGAAATTATTCTTATAGAGAATAACATATCTAGCTGTCCTAATAAAAGGCATGGTAGTCTTTGCTCAATCATGATTTCAGAAGCATCAGATCAATCCAAGCTTCAGCTTTGCAAATCCAGAGAAGAAGTAAATTTTTCAACGCTTTCCACAGAATTAAAAGATTCCTTAAATTTTAGAAGACAAAACAGCCTCTTTTCATCTGGCCAAGCATAAAACACCCCACCTCTCTCAATGCCAAACTACCTAGTTTTGATAATAAGAATTTTAATAGATATTCAAATTTTCGCTCCTAAGATATTAATACATTATTTATAGCATGTTTGCATATATATTCAATACTTTATTTCATATCTTCTATATACAAAATATTTGTATCGGTAGCAAATTTAACTCATAATTTTGTATTAAATTTAAGTGAGATATATCATACTTTATATGTAAATAAGTTATTTAAGCATATTAAATATGTTAAAAAACGCATTAATTTAGCGAAATCGATGCTAGATATTGTATGTCCCTATGATAGATAAGGATGCTTGAATTGATTTACTTGTGTCTCTACATTTTAAAGCAGTATTCAACTATAGAACTTGCCCGAGGATGGCGCTATTTTGCGCCATCCTCGGGCAAGTTCTATAGTTGAATACTTATTAAGTGATACTCAGCGTATTTCTCTATTTACTCTCTTATCCATTAGTCTAAAAAATTTTCCATAATAAAATTTTGTATATAGTAGAAATATGAAATAAAGTATTAAATATATGTGTAAACATTCTATAAATCACGTTTTAATTGCTCACTAAATACTGCAATATCTCTTACATTTCTTATTATCAAGACTAGGTAGTTTAATATTGAGAGGGGTGGGGGGTTTTATGCTTAACCATTCATCTACTTCTTCTGATGATAAAACACAAAACAAAAATCTAAAAACCAAAGATGAAATCAACTATTTAACATTTTCAGTAGGAGTTCAAGATAAAGAATTAAAGAGTCCAGATATGAAAAGAAAGAAATCTGCCAGTATAAGCATTTACAAAAAGTGGGCAGATAGTATAAGTATAACAACGGATAAGAAATGGGGTATGGATAGTCCGACTATAAAGCATACTGCTTTAGAAGACGGCTCGCCTATACAAAGAAAATCTTTAGGAGCATCATCATCACTAGGATATCTATGTTTTGATGATTCTGGCAGTCCGCATTGCATACTTATTAAAAGGGCGTGAAGAGCCAGCCTAATCTCTTAATGCCTATAGTATAAAACTGGAGACTGTATGGAAGAGGTATTCCTGATTGGGAAAGGCGGTGTCTGATTAGCCGACCGCATGCTCACAGCTAGATTAGGTTCTTACCTCATGGGAATATATTCGTTAGAGCAAGAAAAGGAATACCTAGCAAGGCAAGTATTTCTCACTTAGCCAATTTAGCAATTTCCTAGTGCAGCATGAGGCTTTGCATCCTGGGCCAACCAGAAAATTGATTTCTCAAATTTTCATGAAGGCAAATAGGCAGGCGGCATGATCCAGCGTTTCTGACTCTCCGGTAGCAAGTGCAAGAAATCGTCTGTGAGGAACATCAAATTGGAAGGCTATTAGCTCGGCCTGCAGGGACCTTCTATAAACTTAGCTAAGAAGTAAGGTAATCGCATTGCAAAGAAACTAGGCAAAAAAATGAATCCAATGTGATCAATATGCATACTCATCTTATGAAATCGAAAAGCAAAAAATACCATAAATTTAATTCACTATGCAAGACAACTAAGCGAAAAATTAAATTTTATAATGAAAATCAGCCTGAATTACAATTTCAAGACATGGAAGTTAAGTCTATGCATTATAAAATGTAAAATTATTTATTTTTATACTTATTAAATAAACTCCCAATATTAATTTATATTAATTTATAAGAATTTAATACAAGAACATATTTTCTGTTGATTTAATCGCTAAAAATTGAGTACTATGCATAATTTTGTAAATTATAAAATATCTTGATTTTTTTTAATCCTATAATTATTATGCTTATAATGTCCATATTAAGCTTATTAACGTGAGAATAGACTTTAAATGAAAGAAAATTGCTTTTATAACTTAAAGTAGCTTAATTCGACTTAATGAATTTGCTTTATGATTTAATAGTGCTATTTATATAAATTGGCTTAAAATTATTTTGACTACATTTTAGATGGCTATGGTAAAAAATATTATTGCATGGATTAAGTCACTTTAGATCATTCTTAGAATAAGGGTTATATCTTTATTCTCGCTTAATAATTGCCACTTTATGCTTGCGTTCAGTGCATAATAATGTATTAATACAGAGCTAATGATGCTATTAAATGCAGACACAATATATTTTTATTGACAGTTTTTTGAATCCACTAAAAAATATTTTAAATGCATCTCAATTGTTAGATTTGTTGAGCGCCTCTAAATAAATTAGTAGGTATATTTTTTGTAGTTTCATTTTCTTCGCTTAAAATTTCTATAAATTAATATATTTTTAAATAAAAATCTATGAAGGAGATTTTCATCGATTAATAATAAGCAAAAAATCCTTGTTTAAGTCAAAGGAGAGTAAGCCAATAAATTTTCAAAATCGCTGACTAAATACCAAACTTCACCCATGGCTATCTTTACTGACTCTTTCAGATAGTAAATACATTCATGGCATACATTTTATCTTAAATTTTATTAAAGAATTTTAAGCCATAATCATTCCCTATATAATTCCTTCTCGCTCTCTTTAATCCAAGTCAACTCAAAAATTTCCATTTATGCTTCGTCAAAGCTGATCATCTATATTTAATAAATTCATGAACCATTAAATTGACTTTCAAAGATATGGAAGAAAATGCTACCTTAACTATTTCCATTTAACTAGTCGTCATTATAATTAAATGTCTGAAAGAACAAAATTTTGTAAAAGTAGAAGCTCTGTAATTGTTGCACCTATACAAAAGCCACGTATCACTAAAAGGCTTTCTTTCCCAGATATACCGCTTGAACTGCCCAAGCTGAAACTGTCATGTCGAAGTGTAACCTTCCCCATAATTAAGCGAGACAGGGTCAGCATGATTATTCAAGACCTGCATCGCCAGCAAGGCACACAATCTCCACGTTCCCCTGACTCAGGAAACAAATCAAGCTCGAGCTTATGATTAGAAAAGCTTCCAACCACAATTAAAAAAGAAGTCAAAGCTTTTAGAATTAAGAAAAGATTTCAAAATATGAACGATTTTAACCGTCGAATTCCTCAGGATGATCCTTTGGAGTGCTATTATGAAAATTTGCCATATATTGAAGATGTCTTACAAGAAAACAGAGAAAAGCATTATCAGAAAATGTCGAAATTGATACTCCCAGTCTATGAGGAGTCTAATGAAAGCGTTGAAATGGCTGTGTAAAACTACAAAACAAATTGAAAACTTTAATAAGATTAATTTATGATGAATATTGTAACTACTTGTTTATACTTACAAATAATTGTATCAATAAGAAAAATCAATTTTTTGCTTGAAAATCAGGCTCTAAAATTTTAATTTTAAATCCTCTATCGTATCTTTTCTAATACAAAGTTTTATTTATGATACCTTGTTTGGTGGGTGTTGATTTAATTTTGATTTCATTTATCTGAATAATAATCATAATGACAGATTATGCACTTGATATTGGCAATCCTCTGATCAAGTATGCTATGAATCAATTAGGAATTAAAGAAGATGAGCTTTTACAGTTAGAATTCAGCGATTTTTATGAAAAAGGAGTCAATGAAGATGTTCAAAAAATCAGATATGAACACCACATTAAAAAACTCCAAGAGACCGTTAGATTAATTAAAACCTTCATTAGAGAAGAAAGAGGAAGGAAGCCAGAGTCGTATTTTGATAGGCATAACACGTCAAGTAGCCCTCAAAGCTCTATGGATACCTCTAAAAGAATAACTGATTCTGAAAAAGGCAAAGAAAAATGCATTGAAATAATAAATAATGCATTAAGCGAAATCGAAAGGACAGAAAAATACAAAAGTGCAACTGAAAAAAAACTAAAAAGTGCCCAGCAGGTTAAAAAGAGGCTTAAAGAAGATTTCTCTAAAAAAAAGAATAAACAGGATGAGTTCAAAGTCCTCCAGAAATTGAATTTTGAAAAATTAAAGCTAGAAGAAGCAAAAGCTCAAAATAATGTGTTAAAAACAATTTTATCCTCATCACCAAGATTTTTTAGAACAGAGGATACCCAAATAAATGGAGCTAGATCTAAAAGCAACTCGGTGCTATCAAAACGTCTTGAAGCCAAGTCATTTCTAGATAATAACAATGATGAAGCATATGATTCTGATGTCCAAGCAAGACTTAATTCATTTTACATGAAAATCGAAAAATCTAAAGCAAATTATGAGCAGCAGCTTCAAATGAAAAGAGAAATTGCTTCTAGAAAATGCTCAGAATTTAGCGCAAAATCAGAAAAACCGAATGATATGCAAACTGTAGAAAAAGCATTGAGAATTATTAATAAACATAAAGATGCATCAGATAGGAGAAGTAAAAGTGTGATGAAATTAAGAGAAGAGAGAGAAAAATTAAAAAAGAAAAATCAGGATAGGTATTCTAGTGTTCAAGATAGAGCTAAGGAACAAGAAAAAAATATACTATAATATGATAAATTTAATAAACAATAAACAGCTATGCCATATTTACTGAAATAATAAAGGCTTTAATATAAGATTTTATTAGACAGGCCAAACAAAAATTAAATATTTTAAAAAAAGCTGAATACCTTGAAAAAAAGCTAAAAGCATCAAAAAATCTATTAGAACAGAAGCAGGCAAATCTCAATAAAAATATTGCAATCAAAGCAGAATTGCATAGACTTCGAGGAATTGACACAATACAAAACGTAGAACGGCAAAAGAGAGTATTGGTATAGGATAATTAGGAACGCACGTAGAGAACAAATACTAGAAAAACAGTTTATGGATAATCAGCGAGTAGAAGCAATAAAGAAAGAAAAAGAAATTACAGTTAATTATAAGAGAGAGCAAGCTTTGAAGGCTATGATGGACAAAGAAAAAGCTTTAGAAATTGCAGCTGTTATAAGGCGAGCACCTGATCACAAAACAGCTCATGAACGATTAAAAGAAATAGAACTCCGCACCACGTCTAATTTTAATTCGCCCAATAAGAAAGACTAAAACGATTTATTTTATAATTTTATACCATTTGCAGTTATTTTGATCATTAATAGGTACTCAGTGCATTTTTAATTAGAAAATAAGATATCAGAAGTGTCTAATTTCTCTAATTCTGTATATTATCAAGAATTTTATCAATTTTTGATAATTCATGGTACTGATAGCTTAAAGCGAATAGGTATTAAATCTTTTTATAACCAATCGACAATTATTGTTATTAAATTTAGAAAAAGCGTTTCTGATTTCTCTTGCTGGTATTTCTTTCCAAGCTTAAAGGTCGAATAATATCGTAAATATCACCTGATTTTTCAGGCATTGTTCCACTTGTTTCATCGTACGGATATCCATTTAATCTTTGCAAGAAATCATACTCTATTCTTTTTGTTGATTCTGTTCGGCTGCAGGCGCTATTTTCAGGAGGCCTAACTTCTTGAGTTTTTAATACATTTTTCTCTAAATGTTTTCAATTGAAAACTATATTTGATTTCCTAGGAATTTGGACATCATAAACTTCAATTGATTCACTGATATCCATAATAATAAAATAATTACATGAAGAAGTGGTTCTTTCCGAGAGACCTTCCTATGGAATAACCGCATAGGGGTAATTTGATAGCACAATGATGGAAAGAGATAAGATTTTTACTGCCTGACACACTCGAGGATCCTTAGGCAGGACATGAGCTGAAGTTAGATTTGGGCAAGGTCAAACACAACCATTGAGAACTTTCTGACCATTTTGATGTGCCTTCTGGGGTGCTTTCTAAACAAGATAGCTTAAGTATGCCTAAACTATCCTGCTATAGAAAGAGCAATACACAAACACCTAAATAACTAACTCCCTTCCCTTCTGTGAGAAAGCAAACAATTGGAAAAGTCCCTATTTTTGGGTAAAAAAACACCTTCCACGAAAGAACAAACATTTTTTTAAAAATCTTTTTATGAAATAATAATTGAGAATTAATATAATTGAATTTTTTTAAAAACTGGAAAAAAAATCACCCCTTAGTGAGCGAGCAAATTTTTTTGTTAGCTCAGGGGGGATAAGTAAGAAAGAATTCACTGATATCCATGATCCTATCATGATTACCTTCTTTATCGTAGCAGTCTGTAAAAATTTGATTTGGAAAAATCTTTGGAGCTTTAGCTACTTCTTTGCCTTCTAAATTAATCAGAGATTTCAGCTTTAAATTTCCTTCTGAAGAAGATCGGATGTGTCGGTTCGTTGTTAGAAATTGTGCTGGAGGCTTCTTTTTCTTATGCTTGTGATTGAAAACTGATCATAAATAAAATTGCTTGAGTGAGAGAAAAATTTAGCAGAGCTAATTTCACCTGAAGCGAAAACCATTTTATTTATGGGGTTGGGTTTTACCTCGAGAACTTCTGCCAGCAACAGCGGTTTAACTTTGGGGATAACCAAAGGGACTGCTCCGCAGTGCGATCAAGAGGCTCAGGTCTTTACACCTCAGCACACCCGAGGAGGTGGACCCTTAGGCGGAACACGTGCAGGAGCTGAGTCGGAACAAAGCCGTGGTGGCAGCGAAGCCCGTCGAAGCCGGAACTCCGTACTTTCCCGTGCTTTGGTGATTAAAATGGATCGATCCAGCGGTCCATGGACCCGACACGCGGATAAATATGGTGGCAGCTCTGGAGTTGGCTACCCCGTAGTGGACGTAAAGCGTTATAGATAATTAAGATTAAGATTAAGATTGAAAACTGATCTTTTTTGCTGAAGTGAATCAGAAAATTTAGGAGCTTCTTTGCAAGAGATTGACTGGACCAGGATATCTTGAATTGGAATTTCAGAGAAAGCCCTTTTATGTTCAATTTTTTTCATTAAAATTAGTTAAAATTAATTTGCATGAAATAAAGAAATCAGACGTTGCTTAGGTTGGAGATAGATTATTATGATTTTATTCTATATAAGCCTAACCTAAAGTAATTAGTTTTATTTTACTGAATATGCATCTGACATTTAATTAAAAACTCATTTCTGTCTTCGCGAAAACTCCTTTTTTGGGTAATATATGGACGAAGCAGATATAGAGGATGGCGAAGTTTTAGAACAAGAAGAGTCTGTACAAACTCCCAGCCCACCTATAACAGTTCTTCAGAATAAACAAGAAAATAAGAAGCCTGATGTTCAACGAATGAAGCGCCCAAGACCAGATGAATCAAAAATTAAAAAGGTAAAGTGCAAATATTGGGCTGGAGGAACTTGCCATAAAGGCCAAGACTGCACTTTTCTTCATGAAGGAGCTCAATTGATGAAAGACGAGCTCTGCAAGTATTTTGTGACAGATACATGCATAAAAGGCGATGAATGTGTGTATTCTCATGATACCAAAAAATTCCCTTGTAAGTACACCATTTCGGCTTAGTTTAGCATTTTTAAATTTTTTTTTTTAAATTTTCATAGCTAAATATAATATCAAATATTTTCATGGTGTCGGGTCATGCCACTTAGGAGATACTTGTAGATTTTCTCATATAAGGCTTACACCTGAAATGATTCCTAAATTCATCAAAGATAATGAAGCCTTTTTGCAGCAAGTCCAACAAGCAAGAGGATATACCAATTTAGGAGAGTATTATAATCAATATGCAAGAGAAAAAGCAAATCTTCAGCCGTTATTGCCGCTTCCTGGGAATATATTAGGAATTCCGCAGTTTCCACCTCCAATTGCACCTGTTTGGATACCTCCAAAGCCTCCTAGTCCAGATCTCTCATCAAGGTTGCATGCTAGTGGAATTATCAAGAGTAGGAATATAACGATCCCGAAAGGCGATTTATCTAAATTGAGGAAACCACCGAATTCCCATGTTTACAAGAAGCCTAAATTTAGCTAATAAATCCTACACAATATGTATTAATAAATAACTATTTTCATTAACTTTCACTTGACTAGTGAACAAAGCCATTGCAAAAACTCCACACGCACCATTATTTAAATATAATCTTTTAAAAAAAAATTAAGCCTTTGATAGAGAGAAGCTGCATATACTATAAGGCTCCGAGACAAAATTAAGAATCAGGCCGAAAGCTGGAGGAGTGCTATCTCTGGTGGAAATACTGAAATACCTAGGAGGTTGGCTAGTAGCTGAACAAGCTCTCCACGAAGACTAATCTCAGGTGAGACGTAAAAGGAGCCCTAATTTCTAATTAATTTTAATTAATCCTAGAGAGAAAAAAAATGCTTCCTAGCCAAGAGCAAGAGTAAGAGATTAATTGCTTTTAATTTTTGAATTTTAGGCTTCTGAATTAAGATTGTTAGGATTGTGTACGACTTGAATATTGAAAAAGAGAATAGCAATTAATATTTGATTTCTGTTCGCGGTTTATAAAAAAAGAGCTAATACAGAAATAAGCTTTTAAAAATATCTCACTGAATATAAGTTTCCTTTAAAAGAATAGATTATTAAATCGCTAAAATTAAAAATTTTAAAACTAATACAATAAGCATGAAAAAGGTTCTCTTTTTCTGTTTTTATTAAAAATTATGTCTAAAAAACCTGATGAAGCAAATAAAGAGGAAAAAAAGGAGCCAAGCAGGCCAAACTCTCCAGTATCACTATTCGGCTCTGATGGAGAAGATAGATTAAATTATATTAGAATAGGTCTTCGGGGTTTATTTTAGCCCCTCTCTGCCTTCACCGACTTCAGAATCTTCGTCCTAGGCACACAATTAAAATGGCGAGCCATCCGACCCGTCCTTCTCCTGTACCCTCAGGGATTACGGGGTTAAGAAGTAAATGGGCCTGGATATTGTGTCCAGGGTGGGTTTTTTTTTACCTTGGTCGGGACACCACGACAAGGTTTTTTTACCTCTCACAAAGACGAGAAGACCAGAGCCGCAGAATCAGGAGTCACACTTCAGGACTAGAAGGAAGTGAGGAAGCTTGTAGTGGAGCTTGGGGACCTGAAGAAGACTCCGGAAGGCTACTTTTCCCCCTCCCCAGAAAGGACGGCGCCGGGTCACTAGACCCTGATCAAAGGAGTACCTGGGTGAGTCTCCCTGTCAGATGGCGACGTCACCATTTTTTGGTGACGTCGGCAGAAAATGGAGTGAGCAACAGAGCCGGTGCATAGGGCGCAAGCCTAAAGCTGGCAGCGCTGGGTAGAGGCTGAAATAAACCTCCGTGACCCGCTAAAACTAATTAATCTAATCTAATCGTCCTAGGCATCTATTTGCACTTACGCTCTTTACTGTCGATATCACCAAAAAATGATGGCATCGCCATCTCTCAAGAGAGACGCACCCATGCACTTCCCTGGACAACTCCTAGCGGTCGGCATTATATATCCGGGGAGATAGGGCACACCCTGAAATCCTCTTCTGGCACCCATTACCCTTCGCAGAGTTGTTACATGAACTCTGGTTTCCTTGTCTATGGTACAGATTAAAGAATCCTGCTTTGGTGTCCAGACCGGGGAGAAAAAAAGGACACAAGTTCCAGATCCTAGCCCTCTTGACCGAAAAAACCCCTAGTGTATGGGAGAGGATAGGCTGGATAATTCGCCATTATTTGTGTGTCTGATGGAGAAGAAGAAGTAAAAATCCCCACAAAGAAAAAGAATAATAGTTCAAATGACCCAAACATAATAATAAATCAAATTAAATTAAGATCTTAACGTCTTCCAGATTTGATGCCTCTGCACGCTTTCGATCAACGCCAGTCTGCATCCTTGTGGCAATTCAGCCGCTATTTGAATTGATCTTCTCTAGGAGCAGGGCTTGCACTGTGATCCCCAAGAGTATCGACGGGTTAGAAAGACCCCTGTCAGTACGCAATCAGATGCTATGGAGGTAAAGGTAAGCCTGATACCTCTTATCGGACACCTTTGGGAGGTGTGACACTCAAGTAAAAAGAGCCACAGCCCTCGAAAACCAATAGAGAAAGAACCCGTGGCATGAAAATCACCCGAATAAATAATGCCTAGACTGGAATGGCAGCCAATGTCGCTTCACACCAGCAGCCGTCACGCAGCAAGCCTAGAGTTAGAATCAGAGGTACTTAGCCTTGATATAGGCTATAAAACCATTTTGGTGTCCACAGTGGTCGTCATCGTCAAGGACATATTTGCCACCACCATTTAATTATATAATAATAAAGGAATCACCATCAGTTAATAATATCCCAAACACAATAAGCCATTATAATTTATCCCCTGAGTCCATACAACTTCCTACAAAAAACCAAGTTTTAAGTGCAGAATCCACTATTAAAAACCCCTTTGAAGAATCTGTTTTTCAAGCTCCATCAGTAGATGAAGATGAGCCGCCTCCTTGGGAATTGGAGGAAAATGAAATTAAGCCACCCCAAAAAGCTTCAGAAGCTATAAAGCCAACAAATCAGTCAATAAATGCATTTTTCGAGGAATCAAAATTTGATGAAGTTTCATTTTTACCTGATACGTCTAAAATAACGTTTAATCCTGAAGGAAATCAATCAGAAGTCGAAGAGGATAAGCCTCCATGGGAAATGGACGAGCTTGAAGTGCCACTAAGTATACCAATGCCTCAGGTTCCTATATATTCAGAGTCTCCTGATATTAAAAAAAGTGTAAAAAAGCCAGCTGTAACTGTAACCGAAGTAGAAAAAATGCCCGAAAAAGAAAGCTCAGACTCTGAAGAAGACAAATCCCCTTTTGATGACGACTTTTTAATGTCACAAATGCCACAATTAGCAAATAATCATAGCTCTCAAGCCGAATACTTAAAAGAAATTCCAAAATCAAGAGCCCCTGCTTATTTTGCCCAGCCTCTTGATGGTATCATAGCAAAAACAGGGACCGTCTTTAATCTGAATAATAAAAAATTATCAACCTCAGGATATTTGCAAATAGGCGATATCATCAGTTTAGTGACAAGAGACGTAGCGCATACAGCTGATGAAGTGTTTTATTATACAGGAGTGATATCAGGTGATGGTATTGCAAGCTCTGAGCTTGAATGTGTACCTAAAAAGCCAATGCAGCAGCAAAAAATTGATACTCTATTTAGACAGTGCTTATTTAGAATTGAGCCAGCTCGACAGTATGGGTTTTCAAGCTTACTTTCATATTATGAAAATCATAAAGAAAAACATAAAAAATCTCATGAAGAGCCAAATAGAATCATGAAAAATAAATCAAAGGCTGATTTTAAGCTTGAACAAGAATTAAAAAAATATATGACCATCCACGGCACACAAAATAATGATCATGAAAAAGATAAAATCCTTGAAGAGCTTCGGCAGCAAGCAAATGAAGAAATGGCTGGGAATGAAACTGAGCTCGAACTTTCTGAAGGAAGAATAGTCACTTATGGAGAACGTATACAATTGAGGCATATTCATAGCAATTCTTTTATAACCACATCTTTAGAAATAGCAAAGGAGCATGGCTGCTTAAAGCTAAAGCTATCAAAAAATGGAAACGAGGGTTCATGGTTTGAAATTATGCCTGGGGATAAATTAAGGCAAGAAGGTGAAATGGTAAGATATCTTGATGGCTTTTCATTAATTTCAAGCGCAGAGAGATCGAAATATTATTTGCATATGGGCGTATCACTTGTATATTCAAGAAATTCTTGTTGTGAGCTTAATGCAAGTGAAGCGGCTTCTTTATGAAAAGCACGAAGATATATGACCCACTACCAAAACAAGGCGAACCCAGAATATGTGTCTACAGGAGACTCCTTCAGAATTTTCCATAAGCAATTTGAAGGATATTTAAGCATTTCCACCAGGAATCTGGGGTCTCAGCTTTCTGAAGAAATTAAAATTGTTAATGTGCTGAATAAAGAAGATTATAAGGATGTAGAAGTTTGTCAAGTTGGTGTTAAAAAAGAAGAGGCTGATGCCCAGGATTATGGAAGAGTTGAAATATTTCTTGAAAAAAATCCTTCAAGCAGGTCTATTTGGGAACTTGAAAGAGTAAACCCATTCCATGGAGGACCTACTAGGTCGAATGAATTAGTCAGAATTAGGCATGCGAGCACAGGGATGTATATGTTTATCACACAAAGGGGAGGGGCATTACTAGACCAGTTTACCAAAAGCAATTTTTCACTAATTCCAGAAGACCCTGATGAAAAATTCCTTACTCCTTGGCTAGATAATTTATATGATGGTGGCGAATAAATTTTTTACTTGACGACGATGCATCACCTTGGTTGCAAAAAACTTAAAGGCCTAAATCAGGGTCTGAGCCATTTAATTCTAGATAAATAAAATGGCATTCGGTTCGAGAGAAATTAGCTCTGCTAATTTTCTCTCCCTCATGGAATTTTATTTATAGGGTTAGGTTTTCACTCGAGAACTTCTGGACAGCAATAGCGGTTTAACTCTGGGGATAACCAGAGGAACCACTCCTCAGTCCACTCAAGATTTCGGGCTTTTACCTCTCAGCACATCCCCACAGGAGGATGACCCTTAGGCGGAACACGCGCAGGAGCTGAGTCGAGCGACAAGGGCGACGGCAACGCGCCGGGTGAGACGTGCAGCAAGGCTGGTGAAGCAGGAATTGATAGAAGGCTTGGATGGGGCTGACCCGTGCCAAGATGGCTCGCCTACGTCACTAGTTTTTGCTATAGGCCCTTTTGGGCTGCGGCACTAGACACCTTAAACACCAGATAATTAAGTAAGTAAGTAAGAGCCATTTAATTCTAATTCTTGACCATCAGATAGTGGGGAATTTGTGAGGTAAGTGGCCTTGGGAATTAGCTGGTGTTAACTTCATGACTAGGTATTGAGTATAAAGATGATTTTGAGCATCAGCTTTTCCCCCTCCAGCTTCAGACGGTATGATTTTTTTTCCCTGGGTGTCAGCAGGAGGTATTGGGCTAGCCTTTACCTCCATAACTCTGACGGCATACTGGCAGGACTTCTCCCTAACATTCCTGGGTTCCAATATTCAAGCCCTACTCCTAGAGATGACTACTGCTCCAAATAGTGGCTAAATTTCCCCCTGACAAGAAGGTAGTCATTGGTTGAAAGCGTTTTGGCAAATCTGGAAGATGTTGAGACTCTTAACCTAATTTACTCCTTGATTTAACGACCCAGTCGTTCGATCAAGTAATGGAAAAATTCTTCATATAGATTTTTTCCCGATAAATAGTTTATGCGCTCATAATAAAAGATAGAGCATTCAATATGTTACAAAATTTCCTAGAAAACAGTATAATTGCTTCTAACCAATTATAGCAATATCTCTAATATTCATTATTATGGATGACTGCATGAGAATCATTCAATCAAGAAGAAGCATTACTTTAGCCCTATCCTACAGTAGAAAAACCAAGCACAACTCCAACAACATCAGAAATCCTGCAACTCCCCCAACATCAGAAATCCCACAACTCCCCAAAATTCAATCAAGGATAGGGGCTAATTTTTCAATTTTCAATAAAATTTTTCGATCAAGGATACAGGAGTTAGATTTAACCAGCATTTGCAAATTAGATTGGTCAAAAACGACATGGGAGGCTTATATCTTGCAACAAAAGAAGAAGATATAAACATGATTGATTTCAAAGAAGATTTAAATATAGACTATCAAAAAAAAGTTTCGCTTTGCATGACACCAAATAAAAAAGAAATACTATTAACAACCTTTGTATTGGAAGACGTCCAAGAGGATTATTCACTTCACATATACCAAACTACAAGAATTGTGAAAAAAATGATGGAATTTTATGAATTTGTAAATAAATGGGGAGTTTTGCAGGTTGGAATTCCGCCAGTTCCTTCCTATGATTATGAGTATGCAGTTGATACAGAAACCGAGCTTTATGAATGAACTGAGCATATGTATGATATTTTGAATAATTTGAGAGAAAGAATTGTAGTAGAAGAATTAAACCCAAATATATTTAAAAGCAGACAAGAAGCTATTAAAGATTGTGGGCTATTAGATCTTATGCTTAGAATTGCAAAGCTTGTTGAGAAAAAAATAAAAGTCCCAGTGTCTGTAAAAGCAAGCACTGATTTAGATAGGAGAAGACACTATACGTCACTAATGCTAGAGCTGCTCAAACAAAACGCTGAAGAAGAACTTCATTTGCCCCAATTGGTAGCTAAAAAGCATCTTGAAAGGTTTATCAAAAGATTATATGATACTATTCATTTGTGCATTAAAGATAATGTAGCATGCTGTGGAGAGCTGAAAAATTATTATAAGTTTTTAAACAACCAGATAGGACGAAATAGACTTGAGGTAAAACGAATCATTAATGAATCATTTAAGCACTCTAGCGAAATGCTGAATGAAACCTCCTTAACTCAATTTCTTGATTGGGCAAATCAGCTGAAGCCTCTCAATGAAACTGATTATATAAGAGACCAAATTATGGTACTTAAAATATTAACGTCTCTATGCATTTTTAAGAAAAAAGGAATTGAAAGGCCAGTTCAACGCTATCAAAAGCTTGTAAAAGAATTTCTTTTTATAAATGGTAAACCATTGAAGCTAGCAAAATTTGATACCGTACAAGGTAAAGAGTGTGTGCATTTTCATATAGAAACTTCAGTCGAGCAGTTTTGTGAGATGAATAGTGAGTCAAAGCTTGTTCCTTATCTATTACGTGGAGTTATGCATACAGATGGGCAGGTGTATATACCATTGGAAGAAATTAATGATATGAATATCATTGACTATTTAGCATCTTTAATAGATTTACTTTCAGGTAGTTCTCTGATGAGGAGTACTTCTTTTAAAAATGAAATTTTTTATCATTATGGACTTTCATTTCAGCATTGCTTTAGTTGCATGAAAAATGTCAAATTAAATACTAGACTTCGAACTGCTTATATGACTTTTCTAAGAATATTTTTTATTGATGTAGAACCAAGGATTTCATTGTCTATTTCTCATAATCGATGCTTTTTATGGAATAATGAATTGAGGAGTATTGATCCTGATGAGCAAGCTTATGTTAATCCAGAAATAGAAATAATAACAATTCCTTTTCAATTCTTAAGAAATAAAATGGTGATGTTGAAGGAAAATGGACACCAAGGCGCACTCATTATGGAGCGGATAGGAACCATCTTGATGAAGCTGAAAGAAGGCATATATCCCTTTAAATAGGCTTTCAGGTTTGGGGATGCTTTTCCGAACAGGGAAGGTTGTTTTTCCCGAGAAGGTTTTCCTGCCCTTATTAGATTGGCTATACAGGTCTTTGCCTGGAATATGATTTTTCCTCATCAAGATCATCAGGGCACTTTTCGTTCAGAGATCGAGCCTAGGGAGATAATCCCTTAGACAATGGTTCAGGTCGGAAATTTAAAATGGTAGCCTTCCATTTTCCTCATTTGAACTCCGAGGACTATGGAGCTGCTAAACTTGGAGCCAATTCAAGTAAGGCTAGTGCTCTTGTCCGCTTATGGCCAATAATCATTTTAATTTAACTTTCAATCCTTAGCAAACTGAATAGAAACGACTTGGATTTGCGGTGAATCGCCTATTGATGAAAATCATACTGATAAGTACAAGCACAAAATTAAATTTATCATCGAATTAATTGAGCTAACAAAGTCAGTTGTGGATCTAAATTATGTAGACTACGAATTTGTATCTATGGTATATGAGCCAGTTCTTGGTTTTCTAATGGAATATAGCCATGAGCCCGATGAAATAGAATCATATCATATTACTAAATTTAATTAACTTCAACTTGAGACTTTATTTATACTTCGTAGTGAGAAGTTTTTCTTATCCGAATTGTCACTACTCCGAACTCATTTTGGGCCTCGCAGTCCTGCTCTCTAGTCCTAGTCCCGGCGGAGCCATTTAGAACCCAGAAGTAAGGGAAGCCTAGATTTGGGAATTGCCTTGCTCTATCCAAATTTCCTTCCAGCGCCTGCTTCAGCCTAAGGGTCCTGAATTTTATATGTGCAGTTGAATCAAAGTTGGGTTATAGAATGGAATTCGCTGAGCGAATTACCTTTTATCCGAAGCCATTTTATTATTATCCGATGAAATTGAATCAGAAAAGTTACATTGATGCACAGATATAAAAATCAGAGAAATTGAGCAATTATCAACAGTAAAAGACACAGCAAAAGAGTTAACGAGCGCAGCAATTCAGCTAATTAAGATATTTTACATAGTAAGAACACAAAAGCAAATTGAAAAGTTTGTTATTGAATTCGGCCAAATAAATCCAGGAGAAAAAATAAACTCCAAGGATCTATTCCAAGGAATTTTTGAAGGTCTTGATTTTAGGATCACAAGAGCTTCCAAAGAAAAAAGGAATGTTGGATTGGCGCTTTTTCAGCAAGGAATGATAAAAAACACCACAGGAAAAATTAGCACAAACAATATAGTCTCTAAGATTGCAGAAATGAATGAGCATTTAGACAAAAAATTTCATTTAGACATACAGCTTATTAGGTTGCTATTTAAGTCAGGGAATGCAGGAATTGAAAGAGATACTCTTGATTTGATGATTTCCAATTTTAGTCAAAGAGAGCATTTCAAGAAAGAAGCTGAAGATATTTTATTATTGTGTACTCCAAAGCAAAGGCTTTTTTATAAAAAAATTAGTCTTCAAGTTTATTTGCTTAGAAAGCATTTAAAAGTTTTTATACACTATGGAGAGATGCTTTATCATGAAGAAAATGACTTAAAAGATGAGCATTTAAAAGAAATAATGAACGAAATAGAAAAAGAAATACGGAAAATAACCAAATTTTTAACTATTAGAAATGATCCAAGTTCAGTTACTCTAAATCAAGGAATTTGCAAAAATTTAGACAATGAACGAATTTATTTAGAAATTGTAAGAACACTTTATGGTGAGCCAAAGCTCACCGCGCTAGGCCTTAAGCTTTAATACCAACCCCTAGCCATGACAAGGCGGCTTATCTTCACATTTCTCTCTCATCTGTCTTCGTAAGAGCACCCATCTTCCATTCGATTACGCCCAGTTAACTTGCATCTTCTCAGCTGGAGCCCAATGAGCTGTAAACTTGCTTCCATCTTGCCTTAGACCATCCAACTCCCTGCAGACCTTGAATCATGCAGAGACTCGTGCAGCCTAAACTACCCAATCTTCGTCCCATACGCCTTAATTCCAGTCCGTCTCTCTAGCCATCCCAAGGCCGTTGAGTAGATATTGGTCTGAGGAAGCTCTGCTGAGCAAAAACCTCACCTGGAGAGAAAACTTAAATTAATAAAAGGAAGCTCTTTTTCGGTCGACCTATTTTCCATTTATAATATTTTCTATAAAAATTTAGGACTCCATGAAATTTTAATAAATTTTTTGAAAAGAAAATTTAAATGAATACAGAAAGTTTCATATGAAAAAGTCAAGGTTAATCACCATATGATTAGCATCTATCGAATTATTATTCGATGTCTCGTCGCATTTTCATTCAAAAATCTTAAAAACCAGCGGCTTTTATTTGACTATATCGGCAAATTTGTAATTTTTATTGGAAATGGCTGTGGGGTTAGCAGGCTATTATCTCAAATTTTAGCCGGACAGAGAAATAAAGATACATCAGAAAAAGTTATTGAGTATATTTTTACGCTTATTTATATGTCATCTGATAAGGATCACGTTTCCCAAGACTTTAAGATGCTTCGCTCTTTAATAATTGACGAAAATAACGAAATATATACAACCAGTCAAACAAATGTAATAAAAGCTATAATAAAAAACAAAGATTTCATGAAATATTATATATCAGGACCTTCCCAGATCCTAAACCTGCTGAATTTTAAGCCTGAAGATTATGGCTCTCACTCAGCTCTTATAAATCTTTTAGCAAGCTGCTCAATACAAAATAATTTTGTAGTGCAACAATGCAGAAAACTGATCCCTTCTCAGCCACTTATAAATGAAATTTTAGGTGACAACCTACAATATAAGGTAAAATCAGCTTTCCTGAGCTTTTTATTTTATGTGTATTTAGTTGACATCTCTGAAGAACTTCCTAGAGAAATTGATATAAGTTTTGGCAAAGTTCTATTGAGAAATGTTTTTATTAGTGATTTAAAAAAAGCATTAAATAGCCTTGATGGACTGCTAGTTATTTGCAATAAACAAAAATATAAATGCGTTTCTGTTATTGAAAACATCGAAGATGATCATGAAAATTTAAGGAGAAGCTCAGATCCAAGCGCTCCTCGATGGTTTAATAATAAAGAAGCTTTAAGCAAAGAAGAAATGAGAATAAGAGATTTTTGGAAATATATTATTGATATAAAAACATGAAAAACTGAATTAGCAACTGGCTTATTAATTTTGATAAGAGAAATGAGCATAGAAATAAAATATGCCAGAAGAGGCATGGACGAAGAAATGATTGAACTGTTTGAAGAGCTACGAAGAGCTGTCTCTGACTTAGTTCAAGCTCTTAAAACTCTGGCTTCAGAAAATCCTCATTTATCGTTTGATTTTCTAATCGAAAAAATTTCAAAGATAGTAACCACAATCCCAAATTTTTCTGACACGAATGAAATGAAAAAAATCCGTGATAACAGCTATTTTGCTCTTATGGGGAAAATTTCAGACTTTCTGAGAGATAGGAAAATGACTATTGATTATTTCGTTAAAAACTATCTTATGCTTGATAATGAATCTATAAGCTGCAATAGTCTTGCAGACAAACTATGATTTGCGCTTAAAAAAGGAATTGATTATGAGACAATATCAACAGGTCTTTCTTCTTTATTTTCTTCAGGAGAAGACTTTGAAATTAAAACTTCTGTCCTTTATGATAGTATTTATGGATTCGTAAGCTACTCACGACCAGAAATTTCAAGGTTAAATTCTTATAAAAGCGAAAATTATGATGTGCATAGTGATATAAATGAAGAGCTGAATGCTTTTATAAGAAACGAAGTCGACAATATGTGCAGAGAATCAGGAAATGCTGAGTTGATACAGCTTGTAGAAAATATAAAACTATTAATTGTTGACCCTGCCTTGCAAAAAATGGATGATAAAGAATTGATGGAATTTGCAAAAAATTTGGATACTGCTTTTTATAAAAAAGAGCACAAAATTTATTTGATGGAAATTTTCAGGCAGATGATTATTATTGAATATAATTCAAATATACCGCTAGAAGATAAAACGCAAAGAATCCATGCTATTCAGCTTGTTTTGAGCAATTCAGGAATGGGGAAAATGGCTCTTTCTCTTATAAACAAAGATAATGATATTGCGATTGTACATGGAGCAGTTCGCTTGCTGCAAGCAATACTAATCCAAAATAGCCCAACAATAAAAGAAAAGCTGCTCGAATGCTTAACTCCCTTCTTTTAAATTGGAACAAAATATAGGTAAAATTTGCATTTTTTTGGAAAATTAACCCCCTTTAAATTGGGACAAAATTCAATTTTATAATAAAAAATTTTATAGATAAAAATCATAATTTTATGTAAAAAGTTTTGATATAAGTTAAATGTTTTTTTTCTTAACTAAAATTAAAAATTTAGTTATATCTTGCTCTTGTTTAAAGAAAAGAATATAAAGAGCATCTTATTTAAATAAATTTATTATCCTTAATTGCTGAATTTTTAAAAAAATTTAATTTTTTTTTAATAAAAATAATATTTTTTATTTAAATAATTTGATATAAATTCAATGCGAATTCTTTACACAAGTTTGAAAATTTACTTATTTCTTAAATTAAATTAAAGAATAGAGTATAAATAACATCTTATTTAAACAAAATTAGCACTTTGATCCATAAATTTTCTAAATTTTTTTTATCAATAAAAATAATAATTTTTGTGTAAATAGTTTTGATACCAATTAATAGTGGCGTAATAAAAATTTAGCTATATCTTGCTTTGTTTTAAAGGATAAAGAGTAAATTGCATTTTATTAACTCCCCCCTCCGTGAGCGAACAAAAAAAATTTTGTTCGCTCACGGAGGGGGGTTAATTTTTTTTTTTAAAAAAAATTTATATATAATTTTATAAAAAATATTTTTTTCGAAATTTAAAAAAATCCTAATTTGCAAAAATTGGGAAGCAAATATTAATTTAATTTGCAAAATTTATGTTTTAAAAACGCAATTTGTTTAAAATTAAACAGAATTAGCTCTAGATTTCATTATACTAATTATCACTTATATATCAAAATTTTTTTCCATTAAAATTTTTTCTATTAAAAAAATTTTTGTTCACTCACGGAGGGTGGGTTTTTGGTCAAAAAATGGCGATTTTTCTAATGGTTTTGTTCGCTCACGGAGGGGGGGGGGGGAGTAAGCAAATTTATTAATCTAATTAGATAAATTTTTGAAAATTTTTTTTAGAAAAATTTTCTTAAGCCCCCCTCTAAATTGGAACAAAATGTTTTGTTCCAATTAAGGGGGAGAGTAAGAGAAAATGAACAATCTTATAATTTATTTTCCTTCATTAGAAATGAACTGCGAGAATGCAGAGACAGGATAATTCACAATTACAATTTAAAGCATCGACAAATCTCCAAAAGATTCAGCTCATTTAAAGTTAAGCCTGATACTGAAAACCAAAGCTCCAATCTCTGAAGCTGAAAAGTTGATAAAGGCGAGCTTTGTAAGGATTTTCTAAAACTTCTTCAATTACTCTGTGATAACTGCTATTTGCCATTTCAGAATTATTTACGAGAACAAGATGAAACTAACCAAAGAGTAAGCATTGACTTAATTACAGAAATTGGAAATTTTTTAACAAATCTGCAGGATATTGACGATATCAAAGGTAAATTTATAAGCTCAAAGCCAGAAGAAAGAGAAGGGATCGAAATAACTTTGCAGTGTCTAGAGACATTAAAAGAAGCTTGCCAAGGGCCATGCAAAGAAAACCAGTCCATTCTTGGAGAAGGGGAGAGGATTTATAAGTTTTTAAATTGGCTACTTAATTGTAAAGAAGAGTCTTTAGAAGTTGAGCCACAATACATTCAAATATTTTTTGAAGCAATTGAGTTCTTGCATGCTTTGCTCGAAGGTAATGGAAATCCTGAGGTTGCTCATTGTATGATTGAAGAGCTTGATTTGAAAGCTTTAATGAAAAAAGCGACATTCATTTTCAATAAGCATGCCAAAAATAGAGAAAAATATATCTACCAAGAAAATAAAGGCAGGCCTATTTGGTTTTTAAGGTTTTTTGAAAGAAAAAGAGACTATAAATATCAAGACCATGAGCCAATAATAGGTCTAGGGTTTTCTATATCCATTCTGTTTTCTACTCTGCAAGATCGATTTCCTGATCACTATAAAGTAAAAATTGATTATTTATCAGGAAATGCTTCACTTAAAGAGCAAAAAGAAAAAGAGTTCAACCTTGTTCATGGAGCAGAATATATAGCAACAGGTGAATCTGAATCAGAACATTTAAGGGACGTTCTCTTTGCAAAAGCGAAATCATTTTGAATGAAAATTAAATATTTGCTGCCTCATAGTTCACATATCAAAATATCCCCCGAAGACATCACGAATTTCCAAGAAGCCCATAGCTTTTATGCAAAAAATATTGCCTGTGTAGAAATTCAAAATCAATCAGAAATCACAAAAATCTTTTTCCGGATTCCTGGAGTGTGCCACTATATGACTAGCAAGTCAAGAAAAGAAATGATCCAGCCTTCTGGCCAGAACTCCCATCAAGAAAAAATTGAAGACTTTTATAATAAAAGCAAAAGATATCAAGTAGAAATGCTGCATCAGCAAGAGCTTAACCGCTACCCACTTTTAGAAAAGTGAACTTCAATCTGGAGAACTTATACGTCTGCGTCATTTTTCTTGGTTATATGTATTAATATAATTCTGCTTTCAACAATTCAGCATCAAGAGGGTGAAAAAACTGGTAGCTGATTTTATATAGAAGATGATGAAATCTTGACCACTCTCAATGTTCTATCAGCTCTACAGATATTTTTTGCTTTCTCTGCATTGACGGCTTATTTAATTGAATATTATCCTGTAATTGTGTATAAAAATCTAATTGAATCGAATAGAGGTTCAAAATTTCTTATGAAAGATTTTCAATTAAGAAGAATTGAGGGAACTGTTTTACTAAAGGAAATTATGGGTCGCAGAAGGGCAAATAAAATAAACCATCATTTACCGAAAAAAATAATTAGTATTTTCTTACTCAAATTAAAAAAAGCAAGCATTTTAATTTATTTATAATTTAAAATCAATTTTTATCCATTTAAATTAAATATTTACATCGATAAAAGCCAAAAAATAAATTTTTTGAAATAAAATATAAATTTGACAAATATGCACATTTAATAAGCAAAAGTGCGCTTCCTATTAATTAATAGAAGTTAGATTTTCAAGCAGCTTACAGTACGATTTATCTTATTATTTCAATATTTTCTAACAGATTCTTTTTGCTCTATTGCATTCTTCTCTTAGATATCATCAAGCGCAGCGAAGATCTTGCAAATATTTTGAAATCCATTACATTAAATCTCAAGCAGCTTATATATACAACGATCTTACTCCCCCATCCATTACAAACAAAAAAAATAGGAAAATTCCTAATTTTGCCCCCTCCATGATGAAACAAAAATCTCTGATATATAAATGATAATTAATATATAATGAAATCTCGAGCTAGAACAATTGCATTTTAAACACATAAATTTTGCAAATCAAATTAATATTTGCATTTCAATTTTTGCGAATTAGGATTTTTTTAAATTTCGAAAAAAAAAAGTTTACTATAAAATTTATTTCAAAAAACAAATAACCCTCATGGAGGAGTTAGGAATAATCAGTATCTATATTTTTACAGTAATAGCATTTGCGTCATTTTCTGAGTATTATGTTGAAGGAGGCCAATCACCTGTGAATACATATTGCAATAGACTATCAGAGTGCCTTGTAAGCAACATAGTAACAGGTGTCAGATATGGAGGAGGAATAGGTTTCGCTCTAGACCAACCTTTAGAAGACGATCATAATTACTGATATAGACTTCTTTTCGATATGCTTTTCTTTATCATCATTTGTATTCTACTTCTAAATATTATTTTTGGTATTATTATCGACACTTTTGCAGAGCTTAGAGATCAACGTCAAGCTGAGCTTGAAGACATGTACGAAAACTGCTTTATTTGTGGGAAAAGCAAGTTCACCTTTGAAATCAATAAAATCAGCTTTGTGGAGAATATTATATATATTAAAATGGCGACACGTGTCAGCCTGCTCTCTTGGCACAACAGTCCAAACCTTAAGGCCCGGCAAACTGGGACTGATTTTGAGTCAAGAATCAAATGTAGTGTCTAGAGATGTGCATCCAAGAAGGTTTTGGCTGTTTTCCTATGGTTGGAAATGGAGGTATTCAGCAACGTCCTTTGGATCAATCCATGGGCATTCCCTACCGAGAAATTGGGGGTTTCGGCCCAGGCCACAGGGGAGTAGTCTTTTTCCTGTAGCTGTCGAAGGTAGGCACTTCGTCACCAGAAAGACTCCAAGGATCCTTGGAATCAAACTACTCCGTAGCAGCAGAAATCCATAAGCCGCCCACTCAAGACTGAAACCTCAAGCAAGGAGGAGACAGAAGGTACCGAAAGTGGCATCCACCTTCGGGGGAAAGACCCTCTGGGCTGGAGTCTAAAAGAGGATAAGCATCCGTACGGGAGGTCTTTGATGACTGCGCCACTAATCTGGCTAACGCCTGACTTTAATAACCTAACCTAATCATGTGGAGCATATTCAGACTGAGCATAATGGCTATTCTTATATGTCATTTTTAATATATATCAATAATAAAGATTTGAAGGACTGTAGCGGGGCAGAGAAATATGTAAAGGAAATGATAAAAAGAAAAGAAGTTAGTTTTTTCCCAAGCACATCGCTTTCTTTAATGAAAAGGGAAAGCGAACTAGAGGACAAGAAAGAAGATGTTAATGCTGAATCTTTAAATCAAGAGCTTTCGAATATACAGATGGAAATAATTGGATTGTTAAGTGAAGCTAAAAATAAAAAAGACAGACCTCCTGAATAGAGGAAGTGCCAATTTAATTAAGAAATAGTTTATATTTAGCCTATATATAATATAGTTTTCAAATGTATACTAATATAAGAAAATTATGGAAGCTAGGACTTTTAATAAAAATATCTATAAATATGATATTCTTCGAGCCTTAATAAAACATGCTTTCCCTTATAATAGAATTGTCATTTTTTTTCTTTAATTCAATATATCTCAAATAAATGGGAGTTTGTGCGCCGAAGGAACATGACTTAGTTAAACCTCTCAAAGGTAAGCTATTACCAATATCCGCAATAACAAACAACTCAAGGCTCGACAGTAATATCTAAACAGGTATCACAGAACAATATGATTTCATAAGAGTAATTGGCTATGGCCAATTTGGTACGGTTCGAGAAGCTACAAAATCAGATCAAACAAACACAGATACACCCAATTTAAAGCACTACGCAATAAAATCAATCAGTAAAAGCCGCGTAAAAGACCATTTACCATTATTGCAAAACGAATTGTCAATTCTTAGACTAGTTGATCACCCAAATATCATAAAACTTTATGAAATTTATGAAGACTCTCTATATATCCATTTAGTTACAGAGTTATGCATGGGAGGAGATTTATATGAGTATTTATCAGAAAAAGAAAACCTAAATGAACTAGAAGTAGCAAAAATTATGATGAAAATTCTAACAGCTGTTAATCATTTGCATATTCTGCATATATGCCATAGGGATCTAAAGCCAGAAAATGTGATGTTTACTAACCAAAACGAAGATAGAGAGCTTAAACTAATTGATTTTGGGCTCTCTGCAAAATATAGTGATGAAATGCTGGAAAGTATGGTAGGCACTCCATATTATCTAGCTCCTGAAGTGCTTAAAGGATCATACAGCAAAGAATGCGACGTATGATCACTAGGAGTCATAATGTATTTACTTCTATCAGGTAAACACCCATTTAAAGGCTCAACAATGAGAGATCTATTCCGAAATATTTATAATGGCCAATATTCTTTTATAGAACCCATATGAAGCAAAATATCTAGTCAAGCTAAAAATCTGATAGCAAGAATGCTTGCTGTCAATCCTGAAACCAGAATTACAGTCCAGGAAGCCCTTAGACATGAATGGTTTGTTATTGTAAAATCAAACACCCAGCCAAAAATCAACCTTGAAGTATTTTCTTCAATAAAGCGAAACAAAGCTAAAAGCAAGCTATGACAAGTAGCCATGAGAGTTTTAGTTAGAAATTTATCCCCAGAACAAATTGATGACTTAAAAAACATGTTCTTCGAAATCGACCAAAGGAAAACAGGATTTGTCACAGCTCATGATATAGAAGTCTGTATGAATAAAAATGGTTATGAGCTTGCAAGAGAAGAATTCAAAGAACTTACGTCAAAAATTTCAGAAATAGGGAAAGGTAGGCTTAATTATACACAATTTTTAATAGCTGCACTTGATAGAAAACAGATTTTTGAAGAAGAGAACTTGTGGAACGTTTTTAGGGTATTTGATCATGTAAAAGCTATGTAGGATGGCAATGGGTGCATAAATTTAAGTGACTTGAAGTTTGCCTTAGAAAAGGCTGGCTGCTATATTTCTGATAGCGAGTATCTTAATCTTAATTAACAGACTTGGCTTTCGCCTAATTTTAACCAATCACCGAAGGTCTCCTAGAAGACTCAACAGCTTTACGACCGTGCCTATCACCAGGACGGCAGTGCTTCCATCTTGCCTTGCGGCTCCAATGTTGAGTGGGTAATCTTTCTGATAGCGAGTATCAAGAAATTCTTGAAGAATTTGAGCTGAAATTTTGCGAAAAACTGGATTATGATGAGTTCAGGAACATTATGGGCTGTACATTTTATTTAGGCTTCTCTGAGGTACAAACTGCTGAAAACTCAATGTTTTTGAGTGAAAATACGATGATAAGGAGAACGATTAGAAAGCTTTCTAGTAGAAAGATAACTACAAGAAGAGCATCTGTATATGAAGCTATGAGAAGGGTGAGAAGAGCAACTGATATGCCAAGAAGCGTCAAAGACAGCATTTAAGAATTCTTTGTCCCATATATTTTTGGCCATTAATACAATTGATTAACCTTTAACATTAAATATCTATAAATTAATGAGTCTACGAAAGCCGCAAAAAAGTTTACAATGATATTTGGCAGTTCAATGTGACATCAAATTCGTGAAATGAAATGTTTCCTAATGAAAAATATCCAGGTATCAAATATTTAGTGGTGAGGTACTCAGGAGGAGGATTTTATCGATACAAAACCCAAGAATACTGCATATGGGAGGAAATCCATTGCAAGGACAGTTAAATGATATTTGGTGCTTCCACTTGTTTTATTTTACATGGAGGGAAATAACAACATCTGGAAATGTTGTAATCGACGCCAGATACCAGGCTGGATACACGTCATGAAATGAAACTGAAACTACCATGTTTGCTGTGTTTACAGGAATTTCTATGGCTCGAACAAGTAATAGTTTATTTATGTAGCATATATATAGACTAAACACCGATGCATGAACATGAGCGGTCCAACCTTATCAAGGAGACCTCCTTGGAGCTCAAGAAGATCCTATCCTTACTTATTACTCAGGCTATCTTTATATGGTAGGAGGAATAGCGACTTACAATGCTAATCCTTATGCTTCAGTCTTTTTTCGTTATAACCTTTCATCTCAAAAATGAGAAAATATTACTTAGCCTAACTTAAAATTTAAAGCCCCCCATGGGGAATTATCAGTCATGAGTTTCATACATATAAAACCTTATAAAAAACTATAAAAAACTATATAGATATAAGCATATCCCTAGCCCATATCGGGCTATCTTTAGGGATATGCCTATAACCATTTTATGATTATATGAAAATTTTACAAATACAAATAAAATATTTACTTTTTAGTTTCACGCCAAAGGAGCTCTAATTGGAAGCGCTTTTTTCCTTGCTTTTGGGCTTAAACCGAATTCTAATGAAGAACTGAACACTGTCTACAAAGTTTCTCTAGATGATCCTGACTTTGCGTGAAGCCTTGCGAAAGTTTCAAGTGACCAAAGTGATAGAATAAGAAGAGATTCATATGGACTTGGAGTTTTCGGGCATAAAGCTTACCTTTATGGAGGAGCAAGAGACCAGGTCCAAAGAAGCAGTTTAGCCATTTTTGATTTCGATACCAGTCCAATCCAATATCAGTATTACACTGGATATGATAGTCCTGACCCGAGAATGTACCATTCTATGAACTCGTTGGCGGCTATATACTTCTATTTGGAGGAGAAAGAGGCAGTGAGAAGTTAAATGATTTGTGAAAACTTGACACAAACACTTTAACCTGGGAGTTTATAAATGCAGGAGGAGACATCCCTACTGCTCGCTCTCAGCATGCATCTGCCTCGAAAGGCGACATTTTGATAATTTGGGGAGGAAACAGCGACCAAGGCTATTTAAATGATGCCTATATATACAGATTAATCTCTAATACCTGATACTTAGTAATCATAACGCTTAATTATTTTCTATATTGAATTATTAATTATCTAAATCTTATAAGCTAAGGACTTATGATAAGAAACAATTTATCTTAACTAAAATTTAATTCCTCAAGAATTAAGCCAATCAAAGTGAGGCAGAACTTGTCAAGCAATTCCTATATTACTACTTACTTAATTTTAACCAACAATTTTATGACTTTAATTCAATCATTCTCTTTTCATTCAAATCAAACTTGTAATACTGATATTCCTCAATTCCAAAGTATATTCCTCCTTTATTATATGAACAATACACTTGAACAGGTCTGCAATTGATTGCTGATGTATTTCCTATTGGTGTCCAATCCATGTAACTTCCAATTTCGCTTTCATAAATTTTTCCTAATTTAATGCATTCAATCAAATAAAGTCTCTCTGAATTTATTAGGATCTTTCTTCTATAATTAGAAAACTTATAAGGAATTGTCGAGAAAGAGTCAATATCGGTTGAGTATAAGCAAAGATTTCGTCTAATATATCCAGAAATCAAAATATTTCCATTAAACATTATACTATTGCACAATAAATCAGCTTGTGGCATTGGAGTTAATTTAATTCATCGGTTTTGATCCAAATCAAATCTACAAGATAGAGTTAATAAGCCTTTATTATCTTGTCCTCCAAAGCAATAGACACTGTTGTTGAAATAGATGCATGATGATTGTTGACAACGGGTTCCAGATGGCAGCACTTCGACTCCACCATTTCTATCAATTAGCACTGTAATTCGAGAAAGTCGATTATTACCAAAACAGAATAGCTTGCCATTTGGAAGTTGAGCTATGCAAGTGAATTTGTCTAGTTCTTGTGGAGTCTGCAAGGCTTTGGCTTCTTGGGTTTCAGTTTCAGTGTTATAAATAATTAGACTAGTTCTTTTGTTTTCATAGGCAAAATTATAAAGGGATGTTTTTTGCTGATAAGCATTAAGATAATCTTGGTAAGCTTGCATTATTGGAGGATCGTAAAGACTAGGATTGAGTTGAAGTTCTGAACAAGTTGCTCTGAAATCCATCTCAAGTTCTGGATTGTTTGGTCTGCTCAAAATCTCAGCTAATTTATTTCTTAAGGTTAGTTCTGCCATTACGTCTATTATTGCAATACAAAGTAAATTTCTAAATTTTATGTGAAATTAGCTACATAAATATGAATTATCATTCAGTTTATTGTAAGTGGTCAACCTAATAAGCTTCAACTTGGATATAATTAACAGTAAAGTGCCCATTCAATAGATTTTCAAAACTTCTAGATCTGAAAAACAAAACAATCTGTATAACCAGAAAAAATTTGCGTATTGAATGGCAACTTTTATCTCCAGCCCATTTTACAAATAATTTATAACCCAACAACCATTTATTTAATTCTATAAATCGGAAATCAATAAGTCTCGTGAACCTTAATGAGCTTATATTGCTAAAAATGATATAAAAATCTACCAATTTAAATTATGGTGAATTTATTTATTTAATTTTGATCTGAAATGAGTGTAAAGGATCGAATTGCTGCCCTCAATAAAGGACTCAAACCAAAAGAAGAAATTAAATCTGCACCAGCTCCAATTAACATTTATGAAGAAACAAAAAACTCACCACAAAAAGATGAGCAGCCTAATCAGCCAATGAGCATTAAAGATAGAATTGCATTAATGAATAAGCGAGAAGAAACCAGCAAGACAGATACTTATACGCCGGGCAAGCTGGCTCCTAAAACTAATAATCCTCCAAGCCAGCCTCAAGTACAACCTCAAGCAAAGCTGGAAGTGCAGAATGAAAGCAAAAATATAAAATCCCTTCAAGAAAAATTAGGAAATATACAGTTTCAGCCACAGAATCCTAATCTTTTTCCTCAGCCAGTATCTAAGCCAGTAGAAGCTAATTTGCATTCAGAAGCTATTGAAATTGCTATGCAAAAGCCCTTAAGACATAGAAATCCTCCTAAATCAGCCAACTTTGACTTTTAATAAAACCAAAAATTAATTTAATCTAAAACCAACTTTACAAAGCTTTTCTTTTAATTCCAAGATCTCTTTTTCATTCTTTTCATTTAGCTTCCTTGACTTAGAATATTCCCCTAAAATAGTTTCTAGGGAGTGTTTCAGCTGCTTAATAAATTGTTTATGCTTTACTATTTCACTTTCTTTTTGATATAACAATTGTTGCAGCTTTAAATTATACTCATCTTCATGAAATGAGCTGAAATTACCAGTGGAGCTGGATCATCTTTTATTTTTTACATCGTTATTTTGAGTGCAATGAGGCAAAATAGTTGTTTCCAGCTGGTTCAGCTCAAAAGACGTCAAGTGTCCTTCTTCTTGGACTTCACTTAAATTACATATATCATCTTGAATATTTTTTTCAGATTCTTCTGTGTCGAATGCGTTCAGCTCATAGCCAATGAATTCTTCAAGCTCAGCATTTTCTGCGAGCATTTTGTTCAGCTTTTCAATTTCTCAGTAAAATGCTTTATTTTCTTTTTTAATATCTTCAAAAATTAGTTGTTTCTTTAGCTGCTGATTTTCTTTGCTTACTCCCTCCATGAGCGAACAAAACATTAGAAAAATCCAGAAAAAAAAAAACCCTACGTTATATATAAAGTGATAAGTAGTATAATGAAATCTTTGACTAAATCTGTTAATTTTAAGCAGCTTGCATTTTAAAACATAGATCTTACAAATTTACTTAATTTTTGCTTTCCCCGTTTTGCATTTATTTTTTTAATTTCGAAAAAAATTTACTTTTAAAGTTTATAATAAAATATATATTAAACCTCTGAGAGCAAAACAAGTTTTTTTTCCTCATGCAGGGTAGGGAATTTTTAGTTCTTCTATTTGTTTCTTATACTCTTTTATATGGAATGAACATTTTTGTAGCTCTTTTTCTTTATTTTCCATCAAAATTTTCATTTTTTTAATTTGCTTTTCGTTTGCAAACGTTATTGTTTCGATTTCCTTTTGGAAGTTATCTTTTAATAGCTCAAGTTTAGCGATTCTCGTTTGTAGCTGTAAATTTTCTTTATAAACTTGGTTTGGTGTTAAAGTCACCATGCTATTTTCTCTTCGGTGCACTTTTCGGTACTTCGGGATTCTCGTTGAAGAAGGCGGAGAGCAATCATCAGTTGAAATATTTGACTGTTTATCAATCGAAATTATACTTCTTTCTGTATATGGGCTGCTGCTTGTATCTGTCTGCATCTCTGACCTTACCAGGTCATAGTATTTCTGCATTAAATTTAAAAATATTAGAAAATTATTTTTAAAATATTTCACCAAAAACACTAAAATCCCATAATTAAGCTTATTTTACGCTAAAAATGTGATTCAATTATTAAATAATTATGCCGATTAGCACTAAGAAATTGAGTTTCTCACCAAATCTTGTCTTCTGTTTATTGATTCAATGCATGCAGGGACTCTTAAACTTTTGGATTCTAAATATTTTTTAAATCTATGTATACTAGGAAGTTCAGCAAGCTGGCTTTGTGCATTTAAAAGCCTTTCGTCAAGTTCTGTATTTTCTTCAACTTCAAAAGAAAAGTTCTTTGGGTCGATTTTTCGCTCATGCAAATGATAATAAATATTTGCAGCTCTTTCGCGTTCTTTTCCATATTGAACAGCAGGGATTAATGCTAATTTATCCCAATATTTTGGCTGGACATATCATGGACTCTTATATTGTTTTACATCTGGATCTAAAGATAAATGTTTAATTCTTTTCGGTTTTAAATCATGATTTTCTGTTTTTTCTTTTTTCTTTGTAGTCTTTTTTGTGAATCTTTTATTTTTAAACTTGGAAATGGAACTAGTGTCAAGCTCAATAATTTCATTCGTTATAAAGGGCGAATAATTATAAGATTCTCTCATAGTTTCAGCTTTTTTCTCGATTTTTTCAATAATGTCTTTAGGAGATTTATTTTGGAGTTTTTTTATATATTCTCCGAAATATAAGTTGCCATTCGGCAAAAATTAAGCTAGCACAATTTTGTAAAGAATATATCATTAATTTTAAAATATATTGGCTTAGGCTCAACCTTTACAGCATACTTCATCTCATCTTCTACCCAAAGTCACTTTACACCAAAATGCTTATAAAAATTCCCATTGCATTTAGACATTTTACTTTACAAGCTGAATTACAAAAATGGATATAATAATTATAGCCAATGAAGGTTTTAATAGCTGATCTTTTCAGTCAAGCAGCCATTGAAGAAATTCAACGCAGCGGGATCGAGCTTGTTTATAACCATCAGCTTAACGGCGACTCACTAGCAGCTGAACTAACTAATTTTGCCCCTGAAATCCTTGTAGTCAGATCCACCAAGGTTACAAGTCAGCATATTAACGCTTCCCCAGCTTTGGAATTCATCATAAGAGCAGGTGCCGGTACGGACAATATTGACTCTAAAGCAGCCAGCAGCAAAGGGATTTACGTCGCAAATTGTCCTGGAAAAAATTCCATTGCAGTGGCAGAACTTGTCTTAGCCTTAATGCTCTCTGTAGACCGCAGAATCCCTGAAGGTGTCGCTTTATTAAAGCAAGGGAAATGGAACAAAGGACTTTTCGCTGAGTGTTTTGGCATCAAAGGCAGAAAAATCGGGATTATTGGCCTTGGAGCCATTGGAAGAGAAGTTTCAGTCAGAGCCAAAAGTTTCGGTATGGACGTCTGCGGAACTGACCCATTTGTGTCCCCTGAACAAACAAGAGCTTTAGGCATCGAATACTGTAGCAATGCTGAAGAAGTTTCAAGAATCAGTGACGTTATAACTTTCCACGTGCCAGCCACCCCAGAAACAAGAGGCATGATTAACTCAGCTTTTATTGCAAACTGTAAAGAAAATGTGGTTTTAATCAACACTTCTAGAGGAGACATTGTAAATGAGCAAGAACTTTTGCACGAACTCAACCAAAGAGCTGGACTTTGGTATGCTTGCGATGTATATCAGGGAGAACCTGCAGTCAAAGAAGGAGATTTTGTGCATGCTTTAGCTCAGCACCCAAGAGTATATGGAACTCATCATATTGGAGCTTCTACAAAACAAGCAGAAAACGCGATAGGACAAGAAGCACTCAGAATGATTCTTCAGTATCATAGATCAAGAACTGTAGATGCAGCCAATTTAGTGAATATGCAAACAAGACCACTTGCTAATTACTCTGTTAGCGTGAGACATTATGGACTTCAGGGAGCCCTTACTACACTTATGGGGCACTTAAGAGATGCTGGGTTCAAAATCTTGGATTTTGAAAACAAGGCCTTTAGAGATGGAGCTTCATTTAAGGCGACAATCAATATTGACTGCAATAATCCACAATGCTTACTCCCCTCTCCGTGAGTGAACAAACAATTTTGTTCACTTATGGAGGAGTTAATTTTTTTTTAAAAAAAAAATTTATATAAATTTTATAGAAAATATTTTTTTAAAAATTTAAAAAAATCCCACTTCGCAAAATTGGAAAGCAAATATTAATTTAATTTATAAAATTTATGTTTTAAAAAGCAATTTGTTTAAAATTAAACAGAATTAGCAAGAGGTTTCATTATACTAATTATCACTTATATATCAAAAATTATTTTCCATAAAACATTTTTCTATTAAAAAAATTTTTGTTCACTCACGGAGGGTGGGTTTTAAGGCAAAAAATAGGGATTTTTCTAATGGTTTTGTTCACTCACGGAGGGGGGTTAGAAGGAATTGCTAGAATGATTTCAGGGCATGAAGATGTGATTAATTGCACAGTCATTCATCTTTAATTAAGTTTAGGTTTATAAATAAGTATACTTTATAATGAAAATGATGCATAGGATAAATATTCTATAAGAAATTTGAATGTATTAAGGGAAGAAATAAATTTGGGGATTATTTAGCTAGAAATATATAAATGAAACCGCATGCGATAGCTGTTTCACCGCCAAAATTAAGAAGATATAGCGAAGTTCCAAGACCAGTGTCGAGGTATTCTGCCGATAAAGTGAAAGCCGTTATGAAAGAAAGCAGAGAGCTATATAGAAAACATCATAGACTTTTCTCACAAGGAAATGTAGTTAACTATGCTAGCGAAACTCCTGATTTGAGTTCTGATGATTTGCAAATTGGGAGGGTTAGGGTTGAGTTCCCTAACTCCCCCTTTAAATTGGAACAAAAAATACTGTTCCAAATTTAAAGGGGTTATTTTTTTTTTTAAATTTTTTAAAAAATTAAAAAAAAATATAAACTGAATCAATAATTTGAATTTTAATTTATTTTTAAATAAAAAAATTAATCGATTCAGTGTGAAGCCAACTAAATAAAATTCCATTTAAATTTTTCATTTAAACTATGTCTAAACTAATTTTTTATAAAAAAGAGTTTATCTATAAAATTTCCTGTTGAAAAAAAAATTGTTCCAAAAAATGTAAATTTTACCTATGTTAATTTCCAATTTAAAAGGGGGAGTAAGAAATATTCAAACAATGAATCAACTCAGATTGATGATACATTTAATTATGACGACAATGGAAATAATTACGATAGTGAAGGTTCAGACCAAATTTTAAAAAAATGAGCCTATTCTAATAATAAAGATACTAAAAAAGCTACACTGATAGAAAGATTTTCTCCTATATCATTATATGATATCACATTTGATCAGCCAAAACCACAAAAATCCAAAAACAAGAAGCCTAAAATGGCTAAGCTCTGCTTAGCCGATAAGTTAGCTAAAGGTAAGCCTAATAAATCCTACAGAAAAGGATTCACTCTCAGCACTGCAGAAGAGTTAAGAGAAAAATCTCCAACCTTTTTTAAAAACGCTCTATTTAAAGTTATCAAAATCCCCCAAAGGCCTAAATCAGTAAACTCCTGGACAAACCCAAGGCTGAAGAGCAGATTTTCTATCTGCACTGACAAGCTGTAATTTTATGGAATTTATTTAAATATTACCTATTTAATGCCCTTTGTAGCGAACTCTGCAATTCTAAAATTTCTTGATCTAGCGACGCGATTTCGTTTTGAAGTTCCCTTTCTTGATTAATTTCACCTTCATACACGTCTGGAATAATTTCTTCATAGGTTTCTTTCTTTGGACTTTCTCTTGTTGTATTTTTCGAGGATTTCGGAGTTAAAGTGGCTATGACCTCTTTAAGCTGCTCTATAAGTGAGCATTGCTCTGTCAAGGAACACTGCAACACTTTAATGTGGTCATTCAACATGTTTTTTTCTCTTCCTAGACTATCAATTTTCGTATCTTTTTCTTCTAAAATTCTTTTGAGCTCTTCAGCTGATTTCACTTCTTTCATTTTTTCTCTTAAATTTTGGGTCTGCTCTTTCATTTTCTCTAGCGCGATTCTATAAGTTTCGATGTTTTCTTCTTTTTTCTTTAAATTTTGGATTTCTCTGCGCAGTTTTTGATTTTCCAGTTCAATGTCAGCAGAAATGCTTGAGTCTCTCGAATCCTGTTCTAGCACTTTTATGGCTGATTCCACACATTGAGTAATTTCCCACAAGTTTGACGAAAGTCCTTTTTTGGTCGGCGACAATAGCCCGATTTCTGCTATATAATCAGTCTGCTTTTGCAATAACTGGCTTACTATAGTCAAATGGCGCTTAGCAGTTGCTGTCTTATACGCTAAAACGCTTTGAGTGTCACTGAGAGCGATTTGTAGCTTGGCAATAGAATTTTGTTCATCAATCGAATGTGTTTGATTTTGCAGGCTGCTGAGTTCTCGAGAACGATTTTGATCTTCTTCATGGAGTCTTTGAAGTGCATGAATTTCGCTTTCATTTCTGTGAAGTGTTTGTTTTAACTGAAAATTTTCATGCTGAAGGCTAGCTATTTCTTGGGAACTTAAGTTAAGCTTTGCTTGAGCCTCTTTTAATGCTTGCTTCGATTTTTTGAAATCTTCCATCTGCTCTTGTGAAATCAAAATTCCTCTGTCGCTTTCTGCTCTTTTATTTAGGATGTTTACGAGGGTTTCTTCGTCAGAATCTTTTGACACACTTCTTCGTTTTTTGGCGCTTGTGGATCTCTTGCGAGTTTTTGAAGCTTTTTTCATAATTAAGGGATATTTATATGAAATTAAGCAATATTGATTTTTTATTATAATTAACAGAATGAATAATGGGTTTTCATTAAAATTTAAACTATTTTACTATAATTTAAAAATTTTCTAGGGATCTTATTATACACTGATGGTTTAAATCATTTTTAGGAAAAAATTCTAACAGTTTATTAAATCGATAGCCTGAATAATAACCGTCTGATACTTGCACAAGTCTTTTTAAGGCTAAGACAAAGAGTTCAGGATAGGTAAAAATTAGTCAGAAAAAAAGCACAAGAACAGATTGCTAAAGCAACAAAACTTAGAACAAAAAAATCGTTTAAGAAGCTGGCAAGTGCTGTATTTCTGTCAAAGAAACAGCCTTTTAAGCAACTTTATTTGAAGTTGTGGCATAATCAAATAGTGTTAATTCAAGAAAAAATAAGGCAGGCTGCATCATTTTCTCAACGATATAAACAGAATCAGATTTTTCAAATGTGGAAGGATTCAGTTAATACCCAGCGTGCAAGGAATGAAATTGCAAGCAATTATTATAAGCAGCATTTGCTCAGGAGGCTTTTCTCTGGCTTCAAAAGCCCCAACAGTAATTAATGCAATTATAATTGGCTACCGTTATAATGATAAGAAAATTAAAGCATAAATGACGGGTCTATACTAATTTGCATTAAATGCCTAAATTCAAAAAAATTCCAGCTAAATTCAAGATATTAAAGATTTATTTATAACTAGTTTTTAGGGCAGATTTTGATATTAAAAACTATTCTCATATAGAATATAACTAAAACGTTATATTCGATTTTATATATTCTAAAAATCATTATAGTTTTATTTTATCTCAAATAAAATAAAAATCTATATGCCTTTAAAATATAACAGCTTAATTTTCATAAATGCAAATATAATATTATCCTCTGCATTTTTCCTATTTATTTTTATCATCAGAAGCTTTTATCTTATCCAGCCAATCTCAACTACTCCTTAATTACTAAGAATTACAATCACTTAATAAATATACTAAATCTCTATCAGTTTAACTTCCTGCTGGCTTCTCAAGCCAGGCACAGTCCTTACTTTACTATCGATAAGATGTGTAATTTGCGCAGTCAGCATCGGCAAAAATGACTTCCTAATTTGAAATTCTTGGATCATTTCCAACGCAATTCCTTCCGGAGTATCTTTACTGAAAAAATACTCAAAAGTAATTGCTTGTGGGCCTTGCAAATAATTTGCAAGACTCATACTAATTGCCACAGACTGTAGCACCACACTGTTATCAACCAAAACTGGCTCCCTATCAATTTTCGACTCTGAGTTCAAAAAGTCGCTTCTCAGTAACTCTTCAGCTGTTGGACGTGAATCAGCTGGAAGTAAACACTGCTTGATGAACTCCACAATTTGTGAGTCTTTAATCCTATGCAGCGCTTCCGGTGACTTGTGGCTCATCACCTTTTTAAAAAGCTCTGCGGCATTCTGGCATTCCGAATACGGATTTTGCATTGTGCACATTTCAAGTACGCACATTCCAAATGAGTAGATGTCAACGCCAGGCCCGTACCTGTCCTCGTACATCTCAGGGGCCATGAAGCTTGGAGTTCCTTTAAAACTTCGCTGAGAGGTCGATAAAGCTGTTGAAAGCCCGAGGTCACCAATTTTGACGTTCCCGGTTGTGGAGTCCAGGAAAATGTTTTCACATTTGATGTCTCTGTGGACAATTGGAGGGTTTTGAGTATGTAAGTAGCTTAAGCCTTCTAAAATACCCTTGCACCAGTTTTTAATCACACGGCGTCTTGGCGAACGAATTTTTTTCATGTAGGATTTCAAAGAACCACCGGTGCAGAGATCGGTGATAAAAATGCACTGGCCTGAAGCAACCCAGGCGCCTCGACATTTTAAGATGTTCGGGTGGTCTAACATTTTGATTAGTGTGATTTCTTCTGTCAGGAGCTTGCGGCGTTTTTCACTGATCGCGTATAAGTTGACAGCGTTTCAGGCGACTTCGCTGCCACGCTCGAGGTCGTAGGCTTTGTAAACTTTCTTTTGGGCACCGCAGCCAAGCTCTTCTTTATCCCTTATGAATCTACCTTTAGGTGATCTTTCCACTACTATGATGTCACAATCCATTGGCGATGAAATAATAAAATTAAACAAATTATTTGGATTCAACAATATGCCTAGAATAATGAGGATAAAGTAGTGCAAAAGATATTTTCTTAGCAAATATGATTGCAAAATAGATATGCCCTCCTCCATCCATATTTGTAATAGAAAATAATTAATTTATACAAATTCATTACTGAATTTAAAGAAAATCCTCCTAGAAGCATTTCTTCAATTTCATGTGAAAAAATTAAATTTTAATTAAGCAAACATGCTTGATCTTAAATTATTTATGATTTTAAACTTATTATATAGGCAAGTAGTGATTAAGATCAAATTTTGCTCTCAAATAGATATAAAAATGAATCATACATAATCATAAGGAAACTGCTACATTATCGGTTTAAGTAATGATATATTGTTTTTAATATAAATCCATTTCAGATAATTTCCTTATTTCATTGACAGCTTAATAGTAAGAAATAATAAAATTTGTTGCCAGAGCATTCTAACTCAGATTTAAAGATTAAATTTTGAGTAGTTTTGGCGACTAAATAACTTTGCAGCTTATCTTTGTGCCTTATTTACTTAATTGCCATAGGTTAGCTTCCAGCCATATCAGCGTTTTATATCCTTTGCTTTGTCCACCTTCTTGCTTGGATTCCGAATACACAGTCTGAAGGTATGCGTTGCTCTTTCCTACGTGGGCTTGCACTCACACTGCTATCCCTTCCACAAGGTCTCCAACTCCTATTTTGCTGCAGATGTTAATAGGACAGACTGGTGCATTTTTAAGTGTGCCTTCTCAGCATATCCACCATCTTTTTTGTAGTGCTAGGGTGCTATTAATATTATTTAAATTTGATGGTTTTGTCTTTATCTTTCTCAAAAATAAATAAATAGATTCACTAAGATTGCCTGAATACACGAATAAGACTTGTTGAAATATCTTATGATTTACACGGTCAAGTTTAATATCATTTCTTTGATATTGATATTAGATATACCTGGATCTATAAAGCAGTCAAGATAGAATTGCTAAAAAGCTCGTCAAGGTAAATTTCACACGAGTTGCTTATAAAACTGACAGATTTTCTATTTGCAGCTTGTCATTTCCTAATGGTAATGCCCTTCCATGGAGCCTGACTCTTTCGTTAAGGTGCTTGATGCAATTCATCTATCAAAGCCTGCGTGAGACACATACTAAATTGAGAAAGCTAGCATATGACTGAAAGCAGCAAAGGAGTGGATTGTGCTTGAAAAGATCATAGTGATAAGGTCCTCAGCCTAAGGCTCAAGAAAGTGGATGAATTTGCCATAGCTGCTCATGGAAAAATAATGCATTGCAGTTAAAAACTTTAGATCGCAAAACTGGATTCTTAATAAAGAAGTAATAATTGAATTAATGGCAAATGAGTTATGTCATTACTTTATAAACTGTTAAATAGCGATTAAAGTTTTTTTACATTGAAAGCATTTTTTTAGTCATGTTTTTTCCAAGCAGTTTGCACAAAAATAGCAATTATGATGCTGAGGGAGATAACTTAATATCCTCGCGATTGGGTTATTCCTTTCGCATTTGCATGTCCTAGATCTATCATAAGAAAAATTTTCATTCAAATAATGAATAATTGATTTTATTTGTGCCTCTTTCATTTTTTTTTTGGGATGAGCTGCACATCCACCCCTTATAATTAGCTTTACTGCACAAAATTCGCATTTGCTGCACTCGCATCATAATTTAAATACTTGATTTGGATTTGAGCAATTACATTGTTTTATTTCATAGAATTTTGGAGCTTGTGATAATTCAAATTCAGATAGCTGTTGAGTGCATACACGTTCTCCCATTTCTGAAGTAAAGCATCCACAAGAAAACTTCTGCTTTCGAGTTAAATGAAAAGAATCTGCAATTCTGCAGTTTTGTATCATGGCTGCAAGCGACTCAATCCTATCGTGATAAGGATAAAGGATTTCATACTTAGTTTCATTAAAAGCAAAATAAAAGTAAAAGTCAGAGTTTCCATAAATTGAGATCCTTCCTTCAAAATTATATAGAATAAGCGAAACATCAATTTCATTTGCAAATTCCAGAAGCAAACTACTTATTTTTTTATTAGCCTGAGATCCTCGATTTCAATTTTGATTAATCAATCTAGCAAACTCATGATCTTTAGTCATATTATCAAACTCATTGCAGTCTCTATCCCGAATCACTTTCGATAATTTTTCGAAATAATCATTACTTCAGTTTCTTGAAATCTCTGAAAGTCTTCGATCAAGAGATCTCTGATAATAATAAAACATCATGTACTCCAGATATCCCATCATTAGTCCAGAGAATAAATCTGTGATTTTTCTGCTCATATAAATCATTTGTGCTATTTGGCTGCTTGCATAAGGCTCTTCATCTGAATTGATACACTGCCTTTCTTCTACATTCCTTTGCATTTTTATAAGAATCATAGTTTTAAATTATGGTTATTTAATGATAAAAATCGATACATATAAAATGCGGAGCGAGCAAACTGTCTCCCGTGGCAGGAGCCCTTATGTGTGCTGGGCATGGTTTGGAGTATATTTATGGCCCTGCTATAGCCAGCAACCTTATGTAGAGACATAAAACCAAAAGCCTCTATTTTTGGTCCTAATTCTGTGAGCATTGAATGCAACTTCTTTTTTCCAGTGGCACCAGACCCAGTGGGTGCCCGTATAGGCAGAGCATAATCTCAAAAAATAGTTTTTTAACAAAATAATTAGGTCTAATTATCTCTATATTAATCTTGCGTATTTCGAACAAGTGCTAAGTTGTCGCCTTTAAGCATTATTCTTCCTATAGGTCTCCTAGAATTTCTTTTCACTGAAACTTCGACTGCGTCATCAAGAACTAAATTCATATACTCATCAAAGCCAATGATTTTCCCTTCAATTCTCATATCTGTGTTTTCGAATAGCCAAATCTGTACAGTCACTCCCTTTCTTAAAAACCCAAACAGCAAGCCCTACATAGCCCTTACCAATGGCTTTATCATGTTTTGCATCTTCTTGGCGACCCTTGGAAACTCCATTTAAGAAAATTATTTAATTATCTGGATTTAAGACCTGTGAATTGTTTACACTTTGTTTGGAGTCGTTCGTGCTTTCTATAGCAACTTGTCCATTAGATAGCATTGGCCTGTAAACTTGGTTAAGTTTATTCAAGCATCTATCACAAACTATTGGTCTGACATGATCTAATGGGTAGCTTTCTTTCAGCTTACTTGTCAATGTCATTATTTGTGTTTCCAAATCATTTTTTCGATTCCTCAAATTCTCACTCCCTCTGCTGACAAACAAAAAAAAAATGACAAATACTAAAATTAGACGAAAATGAATAATTTTATAATAATAAATTTATCTTTAATATATCTTGAAATATATTTTGTCATTATTTAATTTAACTCCTTATTCTGTTGGCTTTAGAAAGTCTGCTTCCTGAAATATATCGTCCCTTGTGCCCGTTTGGGCAAAAAGGACGATATTATATAAATTTGATTCTTTCGATTATAAGTTTTTAAAAATTAATTTTCCTAATAATAATTCTCTTAAAAGAAAATTAGTCCATAATAAAACATTGTCCACTTTTGCAGTGGAGAGTCAGCTTCGCCTTTAAGACTCTCCAGCTGTGCTTCAGCCTCTGCACATTTTTGATTCATATCAGTTTCTGACTTCCCAGCATTATCAAGCTCATTTCTGATATCCTCAATAGCTTTCCTTGTTTTTTCCGCTTTAATTTGTTCATCATTCAGTCTATCCTGCAAAAGCTGCTCTTTTTGTTTTTGGCTTCTTTCAGCTTTTGACAGCTCCATCTCAAGTTGTCCTACCCTCGATGTTTTTTCATAGTGATCTTTATACAATTTTTCATTTAATTCTCTTGCATTTTGTACCTCTGTCTGCAATCTTGATATTTCCCCTTCAATTTCAGATTGGATTTCATTTCTGATCAGTTCTCTATCGCAGTTATCACAGATGCGCAGTCTTTTTTGCTCATCTTTAGTTCTCCTTTTAATGCCATGCTCCTCACATATGGAGTTTCCACAAAATCTGCAGTGATGCCGCCGTCTGGTTGTGTGGTTGAATTTTTTTTGACAGATGTAGCATTCCTTCGCTTTTTTCCATTCAACGTTTTCACCTTTTAAGCCTCTCGGGAGCTGGCCAAATATGCTTGAATTCGAATTTATTGAGGAAGAGATGCTGCTTTTACTAGAGTTAAAGCTGCCTTCTTGGGAAACACTTCGGGTGTATTTGGGATTTCGAAAAGACATTTAGAAAAAATCATAAATAGGGAAATGGTTATTGAAAAATAAACAATTTAAATTATAAAGTTTCAGAGTAAGTTAGGTTACTTTAAATAGCTTTCGGCTGGAGATAACAATCAGCAGTTCTAATAAAAAAGGAATCAAAGCTAAGTAAAAATTATGCTAGCCATAAGCAGGTAACCCTAAAGGTCGTAGTCTATCTTGGCTCCAAAGAAAGCTAATCATTTTATTTTTGATCAAAGCTAGGAACCCCCAGATCACCCAAAATATGTAAGGATTTCATTTGTCAAGGATAAACCATGCTACAAATAGAGTGCCAAGAGAATGCAAAAGAACTTCAAAAACATTGATTTTGTCATAAAAGAGTGCAAGACCTGATAATAGGACTAAGATTTCGAATACTAAGCATATAAATGAAAGAACAACACATACAACAAGAGATGTATTCGCATTGCTGTAGTTGTCTCCATCTTCATCATAATTTGACCTCAAAATTTCTGCTCTCACATAAGCAACGACAATAGTGAGAAATAGCTGACTGATGCATGCTATAAATTTGATGCTGATTAGTTTGTCTGTGATGCTTACCATAATGAAAAATTATATTCCTTTTCAATATATGGCTATTTTATATAAATAGATACTTTGAAGGTATTATTCTCTTTTAAAAAGTATATTTGTTTTATTAAGTTTAAAATGTGATATTGCCGCAATTATTATTTAAAATATCCAGCCTTTTATAATAAAAATTTTATAACCCTTTCTTAGAGTAATTAATAAAGTGGCTTTATACTAAATAATAATATATACATACAAAATAAAACACAGATCTTATTACCAATAAAATAATGGTGAAACTCGAGAATTACAGCGGTCTTACCAAGAAGCAAGAAGATTTACTCAAAACCCACTATTGCTTTGACAGCTTTGGGCTGATAAATCTCAATTTAGTTCAAAATGACTATACCTTCCACACTAGAGCTTCAGCAAAACATCCAAATGCACTTGCTCCAATTCTTGCATCAACTTGGCTTCAGCTTCGTAAAAACAATATGTCATTGAAATCTAAACTCCGCACAGATGGTTTATCCCACTTTATCTATGAAACGACGCCTAAATCAATTATTGAAAATACCAAGCTTAAAGCTGAATGGAAAACTTCCCAAGTAAAAGGGGTTCAAAATACAGAGCCAAGTGCTACCATTGAGTTTTCAAACCCAAATGCCAAAGCCAAATTGACATTTGTTGAAAATCCTCTCCAATTAAAAGGAAATCTGACTCTAGGTAAGCCTCAATATGGTATTGGTTTTGATGGGAAATTTGATCTTGTCTCCCAAAAGTTGACAGGGTATAATTTATAAGTAAAATATGGCGTTGTTCGAATTTTATGATCTCTCCATTGAAAATTCTTTTCTTGCGTGCTTTAATTATGTGATTTGGTTTCCGCTGGTGAAATTATCCCAACTATGTCAGGGAAATAAGAACCTATGGTTTTTTCTAAGATTCCTGACCTAAGGGATCGAGTTTTCTAGAAGAACGCTATCTACCTCAGGCAGTGAGACGGGGACTTTAAGGGTGCCTGACGGATCCAAGTAGGTAGTCTGCTCAAAACAGAATCGTCGAAGCCCAAACTTAAGACTAGCGTCTGGTCATGAAACAAAGTCAAGGTGGCCACACTTTGGATGGCCGAGGAAGATGGCACGAAATGCTCCAGTGCGGTGCTGAAGGCAACTGTATTAGCAAGCAACCTGGCAGTGGGCTTTAAACAAAGAATAAATTTAATTGTAATTGTCAGGATATAATTTAGCCTTATGGTTTTTCAGAAAACACTCAAAAATAGTCTTAAAGCACATAGGGACAAATGCTGAAGAGCTTGCTCTTGGAAACATTGAGTTTTCTTTCTATCAAAAGTTGAGTCCTTTGGCTCATTTTGGATCAAAAATTATTACCAAAGCAAGAGGAGGAGAAACAAGTATTGAGTTTGGAGGAGACTATAAATACAGTGACGATACTTTGCTGAAAGCTAAGTTGAACACTGAAGGAAAATTAGGGCTGGCATTGTCCAAACAATTGAGTAAATCTTTAAGATTCAGCTTAGGGTCTGAAATTGATACAAAAGAAATAGCTGCAAATCGCTTCCACGATTATAAGCTAGGGTTTCGCTTGGATTTTTATCATTAGATTAGATTAGATTCATAAGGTCTTTTAAGTACCCTTTTCGTTAGCTGCGCATTCAAAGTTATGCCTGCAAGGTGGTAGAATATCCGTATAGGAACAAAACCTGAATTCATGGTAAAGGCAAAGGTCATTTACTGGCTGTTCTACCGTCTTCATTCAAACCAAGAAGTTGCCAAATTAGACTAATTTACACCCTTCCAACGCCAGATTCCACTATCACGGACCATTTTCAAGGGAGAGGCCGATTTCATCGTCTAACTTGCGTTTCTTTTTGCTGTCATCACGAGAAAAAACCAACATTTAAGCTTATTTGAGCTTCTAATACAATTTCTTTTGTTTTACATAAATAATTGCTTATATAATAATTGCTAAAATCCTACTTTTTATAATTAAATCCTATTATAATTACCTCATTTTATTAAAACTGGGATAATACGAGCATAAGAATAATCAATGATTTTGCGTATAGTTTAAAACAATCTCTATTCCAGCTTATTATTAAAAATGCTAAATTCTAATATCCGACAACTTTCCATTTTACTGAAAACATTAAAAAGAAATAACAAGCGTTTTTATTAAATCTGCATTGCTTAATTATTGAGATTAGCACTCTCTTTGAGGTCTCGTCTCCAAATAATTCTTGAACGTTTGACAGTTCATCATCCTTTGGTGCCATTGCATAAGCTTAGGTGCATTAGTTGTGCACATAGTTCCGCATTGTTCAATCTTTCCTGGTTTCGTGCAGTACTCCCACAACATCTGGAAAACGTAAAAGTCAGCCATCGTGACGCTGTTTCCAACAAAGAACCCATTCCCATTATTGTTTCTCTCAAGTCTTGTTTCAATCTTTCTCAGAAAAGTTGGCATTTTTTCCGTACAACATCGTCTCATGCCTTCAATGTCTCTATCTTCGTGCATCTTCATAAACATCTTATTGATATTGCAGCAGAACTCGCAGATTGAGTCCATCATGTACATTTCCATAGGGGTGTTTGGGAGGTATCCGAACTTGTGGGCAATATATTTTGATACAGCAAATGGTTCAACTAGTCTGCATCCATCTATTTCCATGACTGGAAGAGTGTCGAACTCAGAAAATCCGGAGGTTTTCAAGTGGGTCCACTCTTGCTCGTTGATCCGGTGGTCGTTAAAGTTGGTGTTGTGGTACTTGAACATCATACGGATTGGTTCAGCGGTGCCAAACATATCGAAATAGTGGAGAGTTGGTTGCTGCTGCATTCTTTTTATTATAAAACCACCATATTTTGTTTCCAATCAGAACGATTTTGATACATAAATGGTGAACTTGTGGATGTGGATTTTTCAGAGAAACTGACAGATAAGAGTTTTAGTTTAGGATGGAAAAAAATTAAAATTAATAATTAAACTGGCTGTAAGCGTCAGCCCATTAGCCTTTGCATCGTCTGGGCTCCAAAATAGCTCATTCTACAACTCGAGAGATGAATGTGGATACCTGAGGTGCCATTAAAATTTTTGATCTGAACCACCTGTCCAAGGATCAGCTCCCTAGAGCAATACCATAGTCTGTAGAATACCCCATTGTCCTGTCCTAACAACGGAAGACCATACGGTAGGCAAAAATTTTCTAGCCCATCTGGAAGGGACAGGAAAACCTTCAAGGAGAAGCAAAACTCCCTCTTCGGCAAGCATTCCTAATCCTAAAGGCTTTCAGCTTCATCAAGATAGGTCCTGCCTGCTCCATAGGGAGTGCGTCTCGGAGTCCAATGCCAACCTCACCAATTTTATCTATTTTAGGATGGAATAAGGAATAGCCCTTTACAAACAAGATTAGAAAGCTTTCTTATGCATATTGTTAAATTATTTCTTGGTCTTCTTTATGATTAAGCATAACTCATTTATAATGTGCTAGCAAAATCATCTCTAAATTTATTTATTCATTGATTCTGTTTCTCATTAGTGCTAACTCTATCATTGAATTACATTAAAGAGTATATATTTGATTATCTAAGAAGTCAATATTTTATTAAATTCTCTCATTTTATTACCGAACAGATTTTTATTTTGAATCATGATTTTTAATGATAAATAGAGCTTCTCATATTTATTATCAGATTTAATATTATTATAATTATTTCACTTACTCCATTTAATAACGAACACTTTTTTGTTCGTTATTAAATGGGGTCTAACTTATAAAATTTTTTGGAAAAAAATATATATAAAAATATATATTAATATTAAATGGGGCTTAAGGAAAAATTTTTAAAAAAAAAAAAAATTACGGTTTTGTTCCTTATTAAATGGGGGGGAGTTAGAGCTTATAAATTACTCTTAAATCAATATTTTACGCTTATTTTCCTATTCTTTTTATTAAGTAGTTACCGAACTTAGCATAAACATATTATTTTTAATTACCTCTAAATTCACAAATGAATAATACATTTTATAATGGAAAATAATCATAACTCTAGAGCAGATTACCATTTATCTCAAAATCAAGAAGAAGCTAATTCTAGTGCTCAAAATAATCAAAACTCGCCTAATGATCCTGAAGCATCTAATGCTAATGATCAAGAAGAAAAAGATCAGAATGAAAATGAATCAAATGAGCCGCAGCATGTGAATAATAATAAATTTGACATCAATGAACTTAAAAAGAACCCAGAGCTTTATCAAAAAATTTTAAATGATGCTATAACGCTTCAAAAGGAAAAAATAAAGCCAACATCTTATATGTTTCATTTTCGCATTCATTATAAAACATTATTTGGAGAAAGGATAGTTATAGTAGGAAGCGAAGAATTTCTAGGTAACTGAGACCCTTATATACATTAAAATGGCGACACAAGTCAGTCTGCCCTCTTGGTGCAACAGTCCAGACCTTATGGCTAAGGCGAACTGCGATGGACTCCGAGCTAAGTATTAAGTGCAGGTCCAAGAGATATGTATCCGGATAGTTTTATGCTGCTTTCTTGTGGTTAAAAATGGAGGTGCTTAACAACGTCCTTTGGATCCTAGACCTATGAGCATTCCTCTACCGAGAAACTGGGGGTTTCGGCCCAGGCCACAGTAGTCTTTTTCCTGTAGCTGTCGAAAGAAGGCTCTTTGGCACCCGACAGACTCCAAGGATCCTTGGAATCAAGCCATTCCAATCGCCTGTAGCAGGGCTTCAGAAATGCATAAGCACTCAAGACTGAAGTCTCAAGGAGGAGACAAAAGGTACCGGAAGTGGCATTCAACTTTAGGGAACAACCCTCTGGGCTGGAGCCGAAAAGTGGATGAACCTAGCGTACGGAAGGTATTTGGTGACTGTGTCACCAATATGGCTAACGCCTGAATTTAATAACTTATTCTAGCATAATTGAGATCCTTATAAAGGACTGGAATTAGAATGGTCAGCTGGAAATTATTGAAATGTGTCAATACCTATTGGTGAAGGAGAAATTTCATCAATCGATTATAAATATGTATGCATCAAAAGAAATCAATTAGTATGGGAAGGTGGACCAAATCGAGTGCTCAGAGTTGAAGATGGGGAGAAAAAAGGCTCAATTCTGGTCTTTAATAGAGAGGACTATTGACAAAGATAATTTAATAAAATATTAATTATTCCGAGAAATCTAATATTATCTATTTGGTAAAACAGTGCTACACTTTCAATAGGTAAGTCCCTTATATTTGAATTAGGTAACTTAATTCTGGTATGCAAAAGAGCTTGATTTGAAAATTGGCTTTTCCAATTGGCAAGATTTCTAATTTCAATATTTTTAATCACGAGAGAAGGCTTGTAAGAAAGTGATTGTAGCTAATAGCTACCTTATAAATTCTTAAATATACCATTTTGCAAAGTTATTTCATAAATTATGCTGGCATATTAATTTAAAAACTGTCTATAAACCAACTCTTAATTCTTTTGTCAAGAATCTGGGAATTTATTCTGCAAAGCTCATTTAATTGAAAATTTTTCTATCGATGATGAAATTAATCCCAAAATCCAGCCCATTTATAAAAAGCCAAGTCTTGAAGCAAAGCAAGAGCTTATAAGGTGTTTTAAAAGAAGATTGAGGAACCCGAAAAAGTATTTTGAAAAAATAAGGCATTTAAGCAAGAACTTAAAACAAAGCTAAAGGATTTAAGTGAGGTAATAGACTATTACTGAGGTTTCTGCAAAAGAAGGATGCAATATTGAGAAGTCGTTTGCTGAACTCATTAAATTGCTATAAATTATTAATATGTTTTACATCAAAATTTATATGGCCATAGTTTTTACTCGGACACTTCTTCTATAAAACAGAACCAGAGCTTTTTGAGCTTCTTCATTCATCATTAAAGGCACAAGCAGTGCTTGCTCTTCAGGAAGAATAATCTTCAATAGAGATTTTACGATTCTAAATAACATTTATACAGCAATTAATTATTATCTACAAATTCTATGATATTTTGCTATTTTGTTATAATAGTTTATATATCAAGAGACCATTGCAAAATTTGATCTAGCATAGCTTACATATCAGAGTCAATATCTTCAGGTACTGCTAAACATATGGCGATATCTGCAACTTGATCAAGTATCAGATCAGAATTTATTACCATTTCATCTGGGTTTAAATTTGTCTCCTTTATAAACTTATCTCTAGTCTCTCTCGCAACACTAATTTCTGCTCTCAGCATAGAAATAGTTCTTTCTTTTTTCTGCCCAGTAAGTGTTTTAGGACTCATATATCCTGGAACAAGCTTGTTGAGTCTTTCATCACAGTCCATGACATTTGGAAGAACTCAGTTTCTTATAAAATCTCCTTTAGGATTCATCAAGGCTATAAAATCTTTATCTGGGATTACCATTTTTAGATGCTTGCATATGAACCATTTCCACATTTCAGCCCTTGATCGATACAGCTGCTGCCTTAAGTCAAGAATTTCTTCAGAAATAAATTTACTTGAAATGCTGTCACTTGTATTTGGGCCAATTTTTATAATTTTTACACTGCTGCTAATAGAAGATGCTCTTTTTAATTCTGGCTCTTTAGGTGAATCAGATAAAAACTTAGATCCAGAAGCGTCTGGTTCAATAATTTTTGTGATTTCTCCTGAACTGCTCTTTGGAATACGTTTATGTTTTGATTTTGAAGACTCAATGATTTCGGTAAGTTAAAAATTAATTTTCCATAAGTGGACTAGCCACGAGCCTTTGGCTTTTATCAGTTCCAAAATGTCAGTCTCCAGTCTATCCTTCAGGACAGGAAAACTTTCACGATGAAACAAAAATTCCCTATCTCAAAAGTGACAGAGGCCCCGTTTTTCAGTTCATAAGTATGGGTCCTACCTGCTCAATAGATACTACACCTGGAGTCCAATTTCCTTTAACATCACCGTTTTATTTCTTGATTTCAGTAACTCCCCCCCATCCTTGATCGAACGATTGACTGTAAAAATTCCTAAAAATTGGGGAAATTAACCCCCATCCTTGATCGAACGATTTTCATATCATGCAAATTTTTATATATATATAAAAAATATTAGTTATCAAATGCTTTGGAAGATGTGCCTAATGAAGTTGTTTTCAGAGCTTTGAGACGACAGCAAGCTGCGAAATCAACAATCCGAAGTGATTTAGACATCAACCTAGGCTTAAAAACTCAATAATCTAATAAAATAGAGATTTCTTTAAAATTTTTAAAAAAAAATTAATTTAAATTAAAATTTATACAGTTTAAAAGGGTAACTAATAAATCAAAATATTAAAAATTGGTATTTTTATGAAATTAATTCAACTTTTTTGCTGTAAAAATAATTATTAAATACTCTTAACCCTCTTATTCAAAGTAAATAAAAAAAAATATATATATATACTTCTTTTCTTGGAGTGGCGCTGCAAGCGCAGGCCACTCCATGCGGAATTCCTGTGTTGGTTTAACCAACATAGGAGTTGGTCGAACCAAAACTGTGCGTTGGTTCGACCAACCCATGAATTCCGCATGGAGTGGCCTGCGCTTGCAGCGCCACTCCAAGGAGGTTTCTATAATTTTTTCATTTTTATATATAAAATTTTTTTCCCAAAAAAAGTTTTTTTAACCCCCATCCTTGATCGAACGATGGCGAGTCGTTCGATCAAGGATGGGGGGGAGTAAGGATTTTTTTGTATAGGTACGAACTTCTATATCTGCTTAATAGCACACTGATACTTTTTTTGCCACCTTTAAGCTGCTCCTGGATTATACACTTAAGAAACAGCTTTTTTGCTCTATATCTTCTAAATGCCTTCTGCCACAAAACGACAGCTTTAAGTTGTTTCTTCAGCTCCCTTCTAACTCTAACGCCTCTAACAAACGCTTGCAATCTTTTTGCAACAGCATCATAGTCGACATGCTTTTTTTGGCTGTTTTTATTTGTGATTTCTTTTCGGTTTCAAGCTGAGACATTTTTTAAGCTTTCTGAGTTTAAATCTACTTTTTTGTTTCAAACGTATCTTGATGAAGGCGAAGTCGCTATCGAAGGCTTAGCTTGGGCTTCTTCACATGATAAAAATCCAAGCTTAATCATGTCACTTTTGAACTCTGCATGGTTTATCGGATGAGAAGTATTTATAAGCTGCCTTCTATGGTTTACAACATATTTCTCTCCATATTGTTTTCTTACGAGAGCTTTATAATAGGTAAGAGTCCTTTGAAAATTGATTTTTGTTATAATAATAGGAATAAAATTTTGAAGAGGATTATTAACATTTTCAATCGAAGCCAAATTTTATTATAGAGTTAGGTTTTTTGATATGACTTATACACAAGGGGGTAAATTTTTGGAATTATTTTACCCCCATATCCTTTGTGCATCATATTTCTTCTTTCACTTGCGGATATAAAAGTCAGTGCCCTTAGCCTAGCAAGTGCTGAAGGAAAATCGGATTGAGTGGGGAAATATTCCAAACCCCTATACTTTCAGTACTTCTGGATTCTCAAATAGCTTCACAAGATAAAGAAGATCAGTCGTTATGTGGAGCCACAATTGGTTCGAAAGTAGTGCTGAGATGGAGAAAAATGCTACTCAGTGAAGCTGTGCATATAGAGTTTGAGTTAAATTAAGCTGATTAGGATTAGAAAATCGATTTGTCGCTTTCTTAGTTCTTGTCTTTTCTGCTCAGCTTCATCTAAAAGTGTTTTGCTTAATTGAGTGTTTGCTCTTTGGCTTGCAATTTTAGCTGATAAATAAGCATATCTCTGTTGGTTTAAATGTTTAACGTCAAGTTGGCATTTATTTATGATATGCTCAGCTAATTTGATTTTTGCATTATCAAACTGTTCTTTATTTGTTTCGAACTGGTCCACCAAATCTTTCCCAGCCAAGTAGTCTTTAAACTCTTTTCGTTTCCACATTATTTCATTGGTTTTCTGTGTTTTTATAAATGGAGTTTTATCAGGTTCTCCATTAGAATTTACTTTTGAGTCCCTTCTTTTAATGTTTGAAATGGACTGTTTTTTCTTTTTTGAAAAAACATCGTCTTTTTCTTGCTTATAAAATGACTCCTGATGATAATCTATGTCAACTTCCCATGGAGATCGCTTATCATGGTTTCATTCTTGGTTATGGACAGTCCTTAAGTCAGGCAAGTGCTTTTCCAGCTCTTTAAACAGCCTAGTTTTAGCCATTGAATTAAAAGAATGTGTCTTTCTTAGCAAGGTTTTAAATGCATTTTCATGCTCTTCTGATCACAATACTTCTCCGTGTAAAAGATTGTCAATTTCTTTTTTTTGCTGAACTGCTGTATAATTCGGCTCATAATTAAAATATGGTGTCTTCGTCTGGGTATGACCTCACGGCCATACATACTCGACTCATATTTTAATTATATCCGGGAAGGTTTTGCCATTCCAGACATGAGCAAAAATGCCATGGTAAGCAATTCTGCAGTGCAGAGCCTGGCCCATGCTCAATGACCAGAATGGTTTTTCTCCTCGAGAGGAAAGGGAGTCCGGGTTTGGAAAGGGTAAGCCCAGCAGAGTCTACAGGCAACGCCTAGACCATTCGGGCAATTACCTAGCGTGAAACTGGGCGTTACGTCCCAGGACTTGGAATTTTCCTTTCTGCCGAAAGGTGACCAGAAATTCCATTTTTTGGAATTTCGGAAAGCCAACTCTCGTACTCAAGCAGCAGCCGCAGAAGCCCATAGCCCGCCCACTCAACACTAAGCCACGGGAAACCGTGGGAAGGAGGAGGCGTATGTCCTGGTAACTGGTTTATATGGCCAGTTTGGACTATGCCACAAAGCAGGTGAACCCTAATACTGGGTCCTTGGTGACTGCGTTAACACTACGGCAGACGCCTGTAAATATTAAGTTAAGTTAAGTATAATTCGGCTCATTTACGATCCTATAAAGTTCTCCTGGGTTTTCTTTCATCATCTTATATAGTCTTTGCCGAAGTGATATATTTTCAGTGTCGTTTCTGCCTGATGATGAATGTGTATTTTTGAAAAAATCAATAAAGTCTTTAACTGTCTCGCTAACATTATCTAAAGATAAGGATGAAGCTGTTCTTCTGTGTCCAATTAAGGAAAAGTTTCTTGTGCTTTGTCGAGAGTGAAAATAAGGTTTTGGGATTTCAGACGATAGTTTTATTATATCTTTGCCTGGAGATTTTGGAATTTTTCTTGATTTTTTTTTGGTTTTTAGTTTAGGAGCTGGATAAAAGCTGATATTTTGTGAGGTGTTAGGAATTGCAGTACTTTTTGGAGAAGTAAGAGTAGTGGCTGAATCGTTGATGGAGGAAATTTCGTTGAGGTATTTTTTAAGCATGCGGGGAGATAATTTTGGAGAGTTTTTTTTTGAGTGGGAAATTGATGTTTCTATACTGAGAGGAGATAATGGACCACTTGGAGAAATTTCTAAGCTGGGCATCGAAGCTGCTCGGTTATGTGTATTTTTTGGAGTATTGAACAATTGGCTATATGACATATTAAAATAAATATATATTTTGAGATATTAACTTCACCGTGAGAGAGCAAAACCATTAGAAAAATCCCTATTTTTGCCCCTCTGTAAGTGAACAAAAATTTTTTTTAATAGAAAAAATTTTGATATATAAATGATAATTATTATAATGAAATCTCTAGCTAATTCTGTTTAATTTTATACAAATTGCGTTTTAAAGCATAAATTTTACAAATTTAAATTTAATTAATATTTGCTTTCCAATTTTTGTGATGTGGGATTTTTTTAAAAAAATTTTCTATAAAATTTATATATAAATTGTTTTAAAAAAAAATTAACCCCCCTCCGTGAGCGAACAAGAATTTTTTGTTTGTGGGAGTAAGAAAATCTTTATTTAATAGATGAAATAAGTTTGGCGATCATAAACAAACTAAGAACTTATCTTGCTTGGAAAGTCATTTTTTTACATTAATATTTTGTGTAAGTATTGCTATTATTTACACAAAGGATTAAAAGTAGATAATTTTAATGCTTTCAATCAAAGCTAATGATTTCATATACTTTAAATTTTCAGGCCTTTAAGATTTATATTCTATAAATGCAATTTTATGCTTGGTTGGAGTTTATAATGCTAAAATTGCTTAAATTACTTGTGCCTTCTATGAGGTTATCTCTTAAAAGAATGATTGGAGGTCAAAAGATTCCCTGAAAGGCATACATTTTTTAGATTTTAATTCAAAATATATGTACATGTGCAAAACTATAAATAATACTGCTAATAGCAATAAAATTATTAAAATACATATAACAAAATAAATTATAAAGAAAATTTGATATAAATGGGAAGGAACAAAAATCGTCACTCTAAAGACAAAATGTATGTAACAGTAACAGAGCATCAGCAAGACTGAGGAGGCAAGAAAGCTCATGCTCCAAAATCTAACTTCATTCGTCTACCTTTTTATTGCTGCGCACTTAGTCTAACTCCATTCTCCAATCCATACTGCACTAAGGAAGGCATCATATTTGATTTAATTCACATTATTCCTTACCTCAAAAAATACAAACGAAATCCAGCAACAGGTGAAACTCTCCACATGAGAGAATTGATAAAATTGAATTTTTCTCAAAATTCTGAAGGAAAATATCATTGCCCTGTCACTTACAAAGTTTTCAATGAAAATTCTTATATAGTTGCTATCAAAAAAACTGGAAACGTCTACAGTAATGAAGCTATAGATTCCTTGTGTAGAAAACAAAATAATTGGAAAGATCTATTAACAGATGAAGAATTTTCCCCAAATGATATCATTATACTGCAAGATCCATTAAGACCAAAAGATGTTTCATCGCTTTTTCATATGAAGAATCCAAACCCTCCTGAAGCCAATCACAAGTCAAAAGAAGTAAAATCTAGCCAAGGAGAAGGACCAAAACATGAGCGGTTTACAACTGGCATGACAGCAGCTTCATTTACGTCTACTTCTTTTGACCCACATACAGAAAACGAGCTCAGAGGACTGACAGAAAATGAAATCAGACAAGAATATTATAGAGAGGTCATAAGAAATAAACTTCAAGGGGAAGCTACTTTAATCACTACTCATGGCCTACTAAAATTCAGGCTTTTTTGTGATCAAACCCCGATGACTTGTGAGAATTTTCTGACTCTTTGTGAAGAAGGCTATTATAATGATACTCCATTCCACAGAAGCATCCCAGGATTTGTGCTGCAAGGAGGAGATCCAAGTGGTACAGGCACAGGTGGGAAAAATATTTTTGGAATCCCTTATTTTAAAGATGAACTTTTACCAACCCTCCGCCATGCAAAACGAGGAATGCTCAGCATGGCAAACTCAGGCCCAAATACCAATAAATCTCAGTTCTTTGTCACATATAGAGCGACCCCACATTTAGACAATAAGCATACAGTTTTTGGAGAACTAATTGATGGGTTTGTAACTCTTGATGTGCTAGAAGGGCTGTCTACAGACTCAGAAGATCGATTCAAAGGCACAGAAGTGAAGATTTTGTCAACAGAAACCCCAAAAAACCCTTTCAAAGATATGAAAGCACAAGTTATTGAGATGAAAACTAGAAAAAATGAAGACAAAGAAGAAGACTGGCTAGAAATCCCACAGCCTCTTAATGTCCCCAAGCCAAAAAAAGAAGGGGTTGGGAAATATATCGGCACAAATAAATCAAGCGCAAACTTGCCTATAGGAATGTTTGCAGAGTATGACAGCAAAAAAGCATCAAGAACCACTTTTGATTTTAATAATTGGTAATTTATTTTTCAATCCCAACTAAGCTCATCCCTGTGTCTATGTAGTTTACTTGTGTGTAGTCATCACATTTTTTGAAAAACACTGGAGCGCTGTATCTTTGAGCAATAAACTCTAGGTCTTGTCTGTAAATCATATGTATGTCTTTCAAAGACATTGAAAATTTGCCTTCTTTTTGGTCTTCGCTATAAATCCCTATTTTTATGCCTAGAACATTAATAACTTTTCCATCTGAAACATCGAGTCGCATAGGATTCAATGGGTCTGTGAAATCTCTTAAAAAGTTATGTAGAGGGATTTCCAAAGTGACAAATTTCTTAATCCCCCTTCATGATCGAGCGATTCACTGTAAAAAATTCCTAAAAATTGGGAAAATTAATCCCCATCCTTGATCGAACGATTTTCATATCATGCAAATTTTTATATATATAAAAAATAATTTTAAAATTCAAAATTTTAATTCAATAAGGAACAAATTAAAATTATACAGTTTAAAGGGGTAACCATAAAATCAAAATATTAAAAATTGGTATTCTTATGAAATTAATTCAATTTTTTGCTGTAAAAATAATTATTAAATACTCATGACCCTCTTATTTAAAAGTATATAAAAAAAATAGATATTTTTTTTTTATATATAAATTTTTTTTCCCAAAAATTATTTTTTAGCCCCCATCCTTGATCGAACGATGCTGAGCTGTTCGATCAAGGATGGGAGGAGTTAGATTTATCAATAATATGAGCCTAATTTGAATATACTGTGTAGCTAGCCACACTAAATGGCTCTCTTAAGACAAGCTTCAATTGATAGGGCTGCCCATCAGTTTTAATTGTTATCCGCATCCCATTAAAATGCTTGAATTTTGAAACAGCAACAGCTGCATTTATAATTTCAGCATATAAAGATCCATTGTAGTCTAGCTCCTTCAGGTTTAAGAGTTCTCCTTCAAAAATCACTATATAATTTCTACATTCATTTCCTTTCATTTTCATAAGGGCTCTAGAGCTTGCGCCCATTCTATAATCAGTATCAATTTCTCAAAAAAATAAATCTGCTTCTTCTTGGAAATCAAATAGAAGAATATTTTTATCTTTTATTGCTCTTTCATATGCAGGCTCTGACATACTCAAACTATACTTCAATCCTACTTATTTTGTACTTTGGCGAAACTCTCCTGAATAATGATTGAAGATCTTGGAAAATATCTTAGAAGAAGCCCTGGCCGAAAGACGTAGTCTTGAAAAAGCAGACCTGAAGTTGCGAAGCATAATTTTTATGAATAATTCCCCTATTAAGCATTTAAAATTGAACTTTTTATTATTTTTTACATATATCTGTAATGCAAACAGGAGATTTGGAATATACAGTTCTCCGAAATGATTGACTGTTTGACTCATATGCTCTGTGCTTTATTTCAATTTCAGGTGGTGCCAAGGTCAGCTCTGGAGTTTTAACTTGTTGCTTTCTCAACAAATGCATCAGTCCTGTCCCTTGCAAATGCTCAGTTTGGATAGGAGATGCATTTCTAATAACGCTCATAGCTGCAAGTCTTCCTGGTTTCCTCAAATTTTCTTTAAAAATGTTCTCTGAAGAATGGCTTCTGCTTGACTGTTCATCAAAATTAAATTTTACTACATACCCATTAACAACAGTCCCTGGGTTGCTATTTTTCTCAACTTGTGAAGATTTAATAGGCGGCCTTGGAATTCTTCTTTTAGACAAAAGTGTAACTTGTTCTTTTTTTGGCTTTGTCCTCAAAGAATTTTCTAAAATTTTAATTTTCTCTTTCTTTTTGATTTTCGGCTTTTTTACAACAATTTCCACTTCAAATTCTTCAGCAGCGCTTTGTGAGCTCTCAACACTATCACTATCACTGTCCATGCCATCATCACAAATATCTTCAGACAGAATTTGGTTCCACAAGTCTTCTTGATCAAAAATTTGTTCTTGAAAAGTCTCGTCGCTTTGAAAATCTGAATCCTCTATAGTTGGGTATTCAATGCTACTAGGTGCTTGTTTAGCTTCAGGGTTGAAAAACTTCGTTACAATGTGCTTGGAAAAATCTGATTTTTGGGTCTCAATTTCTTTAAGAAATGTCGAGATATAAACCAAATTTTTTACAAAAATTTTTATGGACACAAAATTTAAGCAGACTTTGGCGAGCTCAACTCCAAGAGATTCATAGTGAAAAGGCTCCATATGGCAGCTTATTCTATCGTCTTCAAAGGGCTCAAGAGTTTCTGGGCCATAAAATGAGGCTTCAATTGTGTAGCTGTTAATGATTTTAAACTGCCTAAATACCACAATTCTTGCTGTGGATTCTTTGCTTTTTTCCATTTTGAATCGAGAGTCATTATAAGAAAAAAACTGGTTCTTCTCCATTAAAATTGGCACCATTCTGGCTAATAAGTTTTTTCTTTTATCGGAAGATTCATAAGATTTTATAGAGCAGCCATACATGAAAACATTTCGTTTAGTGGAATGGCCATGCAAGTCACAATATAACATAACTTCATGAGTTTCTGAAAAACTCTGCAACATTTTTTTGGTGTAAAAAATAGTTGGGTGGAGTATTTTATTTGGATTAAGCCATCTTCTATTTAAATCTACTCCAAGCAGTGAAGACCGAGTTTTCCCATATCTTACTCCATCAGGATTTAGCATAGGAACTAGCCTAAAGACATAATGGCTTCTTAATATGCTGGCTTCTTTCGAATCTCCTAGTAAAAAATCAAGAAACCCTTTCATCATATAAGAAGAAACTGTTTCTCCTGAATGAACTCTGCTGGTAATGACGATCCCTTTTTTGTGTTTATGCTCAGATTTGAGTGGAGTTGATAGCTGAGATGGCTTGTCAACTCTACTTCTCCTTCGTTTTATAAGCCTTCTTGCTTCATCACTAATATCCCAACTGTACATTTCTTCTGTGAAAGGTATATAAGATTCTATATTTTCAGTTATTGTTACCATATAGCATGCATTTCCAGCTATTGTTGAGCACAAACTGTCAACTCTTGCAATATTTGGGCTACTTTCTTTAACTTTATCCAAATAATTTGTAAGATCTTGATAAGAATAAGGTTGTGAATAGCAAAAATAGACCTTATCTCCAGGCTTTTCATATACATAAAATGGCGTATGGCGACCGACCCACCCTCTCTCAGTGGTGGTTACCCATGTATATCGGGGCATGGTTTTTGGAGCCAGGAATTAGCCCAACAACGTCTGGGACCTCGAAGCGAGAGGCCTAAGCGCGAGAGCCGCTGTTTTTGCGACCAGACCCATGGGCAGTTATTCGTGACTTCTTTTTGCCAGCAGCGCTCAGCCCAGTGAGTGCCCGAAATGAGGCAGGGTGTGAATTACCTGCCTAAGCTGCTCTAGTGGCTCGCCCCGAATGGCGAAAGCTATTGAGTTCTTTCTCGGGATGACCGGAAAAGAGGGGAGGCGAGTTAGACACCAAAACGGGGGTCTCTCCAGTTGAAAAGGTGCCCTTCAATGGGCAGATCTGGCGGACGACGAAGCGGAGTTGGCGTAAACTTAGGCGACGATCCAAGTTGGAAATGGAGGTGGTCAGCAAAGCCGGTATGAGACGGCCCTTGACAATACCTCTACCGAGAAACCGGGGGTTTCGGCCCGGGCTTGGTGAACGCTCTGCCACCACACGGGAAACCGTGGCATGCGACCTCGACGTAGTAGGGACCTTAAATACCCAGCGTAATCTAATCTTAATCTCCAGGCTTTTCAAACGTATAGCAAAAGGTCAGCGTGTAATATTTTCCATCAGTGTTTTCTGCAGTTTTAGATCCTTCATAAATTTGATGCTGATTTGGGTAATAAGCAACATTAAAACCTGCTCTTTTTCATTGATTTCCGTTCAGCTTACTTTTCGTCAAAGGCAGCATACCGTCATTATACAGGGATTCATATTTTCCTAATTCTCCCCGGATAGCGAGCAAAATTTTTCTAATGGCTAAGAAAAGGGATTAATTTGTTTTTTTATTATATTATTTGTAAAAATTTTATATTAAAACATTTTTGCTTACTAAAGGGGAGTAAGTTAATGATATTAAACTTCACCGTTACAGGCTTCTTGTTCTTCACACTAAAATAGTACCATTGCGAACTAATTCTCTCCGAGTCACTCTCTAATATAAGATTATATTCATTTTCTGCGAGCCGAATTGCTTTCCTTAAATTCCCACTTTCAAACTTACTATTAAATCTGAGAAAAGAATCAGCTGGGACTTCGAGTGTGTAGTCACAATCCCATGTAGGTTCTGGAGTATAATATTTCAAGTTCAAATAAGCTTCTTTATCAAAAAGGGGCGCTGACTTAAGCTCTTTCTTTAACTTTGAAGTCAGTGGGAGGTGGCCATCGTGAATAAAACCAGTATTTGATTTAAAAGAACTATCTGTTTTTTTGTGGACTATTGGCTCATCTGCAAATCTCGCCTTTGAATCGTATACTAAAATACCGTCATATTCGCATCTGAAGTGTTTGGTTTTTAATTTATTTAGTCTCTTTTTAGGGTTTTCTTTATAAGAATATACATTTGGATCAATATCATAACGGATTGTTTCCTTGGGTGAGCCGTAAGACCATAAGCAATCTTCTGTGCTGCTTGAGTCAGAGTTTTTAGAAATATCTTCAGTGTTCAGGCGTAAGGTAATTGGCATCACTTTCATTATTGTCTTTTTCAATAAATTTAACTATTTATTTCATAACAATTTAAACAGAGAAATTTCAACAAAAATACACTTTGGAGATTTGGGTTTTGAGACAAGTAATTGTTGATTTATTAAAATTAGGTAAAATTAGAAATCATCTTGAGAATTATAAAATTAAAGTAAAAATGTCTTATTCGAGAGGCTATGATTGAGTTTGAGAATGATGATATAATCCGACTCCTACTACTGAGGTCAATGAACAAACTGATTTATTGAGTTTAATTTAATAGGTTACTCTTCAAGATCCATTCCCTGATTGCTTCAACTTGGACTAACAGCTTTGATTAACTGTAGATGAAACAAGTCTAATCGCCGATTTGTTTCTGTCCCCAAGTCTCTTAGGACCTCTCTTTCTGCACCAACCTCAGTCTAGAATACTTATAGTCAGTGTCACTGACTATATCTTCAAGCTGAGACCTCACTGAGCTCAGTTGTAGAACGGTGGCCATACCCCTAATTGCCATTTTCAATTGTGTATTGAGTTATATGTATTTCATAGCTATATTTCTAAAATTTAATAAAGATTAACAATAAGACAAGACTTTAAAAAAATTGATCAATCCTAATTCTTCATAAATATACGAAATTTAATTTAAGAGATAATTTTGATAAATTATAGCACAAAGATTTGACTATTAAACTATGATAATTCTTTTTCAAATAAAAAAGTGATGTTTACACAAAATCTCAAATTTTTCATAGGCTCCATTTATTGAAATTAAGCCTATAAAGCAATTTACGTAATTATACTTTTCTAATAATTTTGAAGAGAAAGACATCCATTCCTTTAATAGACACATCAAAATCTTCAACAAAAAAGATTTAAATGAAATGCTGTTAATCAAGCAGTCGACGATAGAATAGTTATTTATGTAAATTCAATAAAGCAAAACTGAAGTTATAATATCCATCTCAAATTTATTTAATTTAATTTTATTTATATCACCCAAAGTGATTTAAAATTTAGTAAACTTGAATCAGTAAATTAAAGAGAACGTTCCAGAAAACTTTATTTAGCTTAATTCTAAAAATTTTTATCTATAAACATTCTCTTATTTTTATAAAAATTATTATGCTATCTTTATATTTTTTCTGCAGATTATCTTTATATTATACTAATTTTGATTTAGTTTAATTTATAAAAGCTTTTAGTAAGAACTTAAGAAAAAATTCCAATATATTATATAAAGCTACAATGTTATCCTTAAATATTCCTGTGTTTAGCTTTGCTTCTTTCTTCTTCTCTATTCAATTTCCCTTAATAATTCTTTTAAACTCTTGCTCACTCCACTTTTTTTGCCCAATCTATCATATTTCTTATTGAAAAACAGCTAGTAATTTTACATGACAATCGACGAAAAGACCTTTAGCACCCTACACGCATTAAAAATCTCAATTTGGGTTGGTATTTTTGTAGGTACTATCACCTTCGGATGCGGATGTGATAAAATTATCTCAAGTTATACAGCTTCCATTATACCGCTTATAGCAGCTTTTATCATCCTCCCTATAACAGTTCACATGCTACTCTACCGTGTTTGTCCGAATATGCGAACACTTTCAAAACAAATCATTATTGCTTCTGTATACAACTTGGCCTGCGCCGCAATTATTTTTGCATTTCTGGGCTGCTTGCTTCTGGACGAAGCAATTGACATACCATGGGCTGCAGTTTTTGCACCAGTATGGTATGGGATGGCAATCCTCTTATTATTTATAATTTTTATGTTCCCTGGGCTCATTCAAAGCGGTAACAACAGAGCTGCATTTCTGATGTGCACATGGTGGATTGGCGTCATGGCTTTGACAATCTTGTGGGTTTGTCACCTGGATCATGGAACCCCTAGCTTGTTTATATACTGCTGGATTCCTGTGCTTTGTTCAGTTTTTACTCATATAATTGCATATGCGAGAGAAAGAATAATACTTAGAAGAGCAAACCCTGATTTGCCGTTCAAATCGAGAGAATTATTCTGTGTATTTATATTGATACCTTTCAGCTTTGTGACTATGATGAAACTTTATGTGCTAACATGGCTGCCGGCGTTGTTCTTAATTATCCCGATTGCGAAGCTTATGGTTATCTGGCTGTTTTTGGAAGAGAAGGCTCACTGGGGTTGGTGCAAGGGCTGTTGCGAAAGTAGAGAAGGGAAAGAGAAAAAATATGAATCAGTTTCTTAATTAAGTAGGTAATATTTTAACATAAACAGTTTCTATAATTAACAAGATTTATTTGCAATTTATATATTATATAAACGCAAAACTTCTTAATAGAATAACTGAATCTGTCATGTGTTCAGCTTATATTTTCAGCAATTAAGTGAATAATTAATAATTTCTCGATATTCTTCATTTCAAAATTTTAAAAGCTTTTTCCAAATTCAGACAGAAAATTAAGCTTTAAACTTAAATAATTATCTTAGTCTATCATATACATAAAAATGGCGACAGCGTGCCACCCGACCTCTCAAACTCTTTTCGTCAACACCTGCGGGCAACTGCCCAGTGGTGGCGATTTAGGTGGAAAGGGGTTGGTAACCCTTTGTGTATATCGGGCTAGGTTTTACTTGGGCCCTACGGAGCTAATTCGTGGGACTCAGACTTTTATCTCCAGAACAACCATTGGAAAGGGCAAGACCGGCGACAGTCCCGAGAGGAAGCTAATTCTCTCGAACAGGACTCAAGATGTGGCATTTGTCTAACGAGAGAAGCTGGGAGTTTCGACCCAGGTGGTTGGCCCTTAGGCTCCAGGAGCCATGGAAGTCAAGACTGGCCAGTGCGAATCCTTTGTTTGCGGCAACAAGGAGGGTGTCCACCGGGGTGCCGCGGATGCGATGAGTGTGTAGGAGTAGAAATCCCCGGCTCTGCTAGGCGAACGGCGTTAATTAACATTAGCATCTTAGTCTATCATTATTAAGTATACTGAGCTATGATTCTTAAGTTTTTAATCTTATGCTTTAGAGGCTAAATATGCAAAAAACGAATATAAAAGCTTAAAAATTTAATATGATAATTGTTCAAGGCACACTTGTTACACTTCAAGCTCTGAAACTCGGAATATGGGTATCCTTACTTGTAGGAGTCCTCACACTAGGCTGTGCATGTGATGAAATCATCCCAAGCTTTGCAGTCTCTATCATTCCATTTATAATTGCTCTCACAATCGTCCCAATTTTGATTCATGTCTTCCTGAACTTTTTATCTCAAGGTGCAAACTTATTTGCAAAACCAATCTTACTATTCTGGGCCTATGCTATTTCAGTCTCACTTATCGTATTTACGATCCTAGGGAGCTTATCACTTGACGGTGTCCTTAACCTCTCACTCACAATTGTTTTCAGCCCTCTTTGGTTCGCACTTGCCTGTTTCTTTCTATTTTCAGTATTTATCGCTGAAGTGCTTGTAGAAAATGACTATAAAAGAGTGTCTGTTTTATTATTTACATGGACAATCGCGCTTTACATTTTTTCATTTATGTGGATGGGGCATATAACCAACAAGTCCCCAGGGATTTTTGCGTTTGTGCTGACTCCTATTTATGTCGCGAATCTGATTCACATAATCATGTATGTAAACGAGCTTGTGAACATGAAAAGAACTTTAGGGACAGTAAATATCAATACTCAAGAACTGCTGTGCATTTTGATGCTCCCTTGTTTTGCAGCTCTGCTGATGGTTAAAATCTACACAGCGCCTTGAATCCCTGCTTTGACACTTGTAGGGCAATTTGCTGCAGTTTTGATATTCTGCTTTTATAAAGATGCACAAAGCATATGGGTCAGAAATGATAATAAAAACAGTTACGAGACGATTTCTTAATTAAGTAATTTATATATTTTTATAAAGGGTAACTTTAATCTAATCTAAGTCTATATGCGTTTTTCACTATAAAAAATTTATGACAATAGATTCGGGGAGTATAAGGACACTTCACGCGCTCAAATTGACGACCTGGGTAGCGCTTTTTGTGGGTAGCATCTTATTCGGGTGTGCTTGTAGCGGCTGAATACCTAGCTACACAGCTTCTGTCGTCCCGATTGCAATCGCTTTAATATTGTTCCCGATTATAGTTAATGTGGCTGTAAATAGCCTCGATATGTATGTGAAGAGGATTTCTAAACATAGCTTTATATTAACTATAGATAACGCTCCTTAATAGTTTTCTATATAGGCGATTGAGGTAGTGCTGAAGTGCTTTTGCATTCATTGCTAAATAGCGATTTAAACAAGAAGCACTTATAAAGTTATGCCTATGGTTCAAATTTCATCGAAGAACTATAAAAAATTGCTTTTTTAATAATTTAAATTAAATAAAGATAGGCATTGAGATATATTCTGTAGGAATTTAGTCTAAAGTTCCATTTTCAATTTTTATTTGGTTCGTCAAATAAGTTGACTCGACAAAGCCTGGCGAGAAAATGGAGCGAGCACAACAAAAATCCTGGGTTCATAAGGTAAGAATTTGTCAGATTTTATAGTATCAAGCTTCGGAAAATAATATTAAACGTACTGCTATTAATTCTAATTAACTTTTATTTTTTTAAGCGATTCATCACTTTAAACTTAGCTTTCATTAAAATTTAAACTATTTTACTATATCCCTATGATCAGGGGCATATAGATCAATTATGACAAAGCACATATATAAATCTATTAAGATTCGTGATCTATGAGAAATTTAATGGCTGCACATAATTATAAAACAACCAAAATGCCCAATTGAGTAAAGCTATGACGCCTTTTTATAATTATAAAGAGGATTACTAAACAGATTCTGCTTTCCTGTGCATATAACCTCTCCCTATCATGACTGATTTTTGCATTTTTGGGCTGCTTACTTTTAGACGAAGCTATCGACATTCCTTGGGTATTTGTGTTCGCGCCAGCTTGGTATGGGTTTGCAATTATCTTTTTGTTCACGGTTTACATGGCTCCTGGCATGATTCAGAAAAAATATTATAGAGCGCTATTATTGATATTTGCATATTGAGTTTCATAAAAAAAAATGGCATCATTCGATTATCCAGGTCTCCCAATCGGAAATTCATGATGCTGAGTCTTAAGCGAATTCGTTAGGAAAGCAAGAGCCAACGATGCGCCGTAGATAACTGACCACTGGAAATGGATTTTATGGAAGTGTACTTCCTGAAGGCTGAGACCTTTAGGTTGTCTAGCAGACCAATTAGATTGTGCTCGAGCGCAAAAAGCACGGCTGTCTTAGATCAAAAATCGTAAGTATCCACATTGGTGATCTTCTATAGATAAGCAGTGAGCATGTATCCCTTAGACTTATAGTTAACATGCATGCATACTGGGTTGCATTGCTGGTTTTCAGCATTTTGTGGATATGCAACATAGAGTACGACAATCCTAATAACTTTCTTTATGCATGGATACCTGTTGCCGCAGTGCTTGTTTTGCATTTTGTTACTTATATGAAAGAAAGGATTCAGTATAGAAAAACTCATCCCAACGAAGGCTTCCATACGACCGAGTTTTTCTATGCTATTCTTTCATTGCTGCAGCTCACTGTTATGCTGACACTCCAAATGGAAGTTCTTACCTGGGTTCCTTCTTTTGTCTTAACAGCACCACTGGTAAAAGCAATGGTGATTTGGCTTTACCTCGAAGAAAAATCGTATTGGGGTTGGGGACAGTCTGGAAATAAAGGAAAAGAGTATAAATAAGATAAATTTGGTATGCATCTAAAATTTTAATCCATAAATATGAAGTTTTTCTTGAGAAAAGCTGAGAGAAAAGCTAAAAGACAAGAAAAAAAAGAAAAAAAGAACAAGCATTATAAAAAGATAAGAGAAAATGAGCCTCCTGAAGAAATTGAAGAAGAAAAAATAATTCCAAAAAAAGCGAAGCCTGAAAAGAAGCCAAAACAGGAACGAAAATTCTCTGATGATGTGAAGTATTTAGACGCAGAAATTGAAGAATTGGAAAGAAAGCTTGGAGTGAAATCTTCTAAGTCAAAAGAGTCAGATAAAAACTGGAAAAAATTAAAGAACCACCTTGAGTTAGATGGGTTTGGGGCTGATTTTTATGAGTTCTTAGAAGGAAAAGCTTTTAAAGAAGAAGATGAAGTCTCTGTGGAAGGATTTAAAGAAGGAGATGAAAGCCCAGAAATCAGCTTAGTTTCTCCAGCTGGGAGTGAAAACTTTGAAGATGAAGAAAACTTGGATTCTGAAGGCGAAATGAATAGCGAAGATATGGAAGAAAATGACTCATATGAAGAAGACAATATGGAAAATGAGGAAGAACAAATGGAAGAAGAAGAAGAAGAGGAAATGGAAGAGGAAGAGGAAGAGGAAGAAGAAGAAGAAGAAGAAGACTATGATAGTGATGCCAGTCAAGAAAACCCAAGAAAGAAGCAAAAAATTAGCGAAGAGCAGAACAACTCCAAATATATTCCTCCAGCATTAAGAGCAGTGGATTCTACAAAAAAGTTCAAAGGATTATTAAACAGAATTTCTGACCAAAACATCGAGCCCATTACTGCACAAATTTCAGAGCTCTATAAAACTGAAAGCATGAATATCCTAAATGACAACTTGTGGGAATTCCTAGAATCTAGCGTTAATAGCTCAAATATGCCTCCTCAGCTTCTAGCAGTATATTCTGCAGAAATTTCTGCTCTTGGCAGACTTATTGGTAGAGAAATTCCAGCTTTTATTCTAGATAAATTATTCAATTGTTTATCGCTATACTATATAAATTTAAAATGGTGTTGCGAGCCAGCCAATCTTCTTAGCATCTGTAGCTGGGGAAGCTCGGGGATCTTGTGGAAGGGAGGAGGATAGAGTTCGGTAATGAGCATACGACCGACCGCAGCTCATTTAAAAGTCAAAGTTTTACTTCTGGGGAATATGGAAGCTTAAAGTTGGAAAAGGAAGGGAAGGCTTACCAAGGTCCTCTAGATCAAGCATGAATTTTCAGCGCAGTTCGGGAGTTTCACCCTAGGCTGCAAGCTCCATCTTATAGATAACTTTGCCAGAAATTCGAATTTTCTAGAATGGTAACCCAAGTCAGGCTATAATTAGCGTGCGAGACTATTTCTGGGCAGCATAGCCTATAGGCAGACAGCAGGCAGTCGCGAAGCAAGCGGGAAAAAAAAACCTTACGAGATATTACAGAAGTTTTTTTTTTACCTTAACTAAGAACAAAGTTTATCACTAAACTCCAAGAGTTACCTATCAGTTTGGGGCTATCTTTATTATTTTGATGTAATAGGCACTCCAATAATAACTGGACTGATTCGCCATTTAACTGAAAATTTGTCTGAAGACACTTTGGACCTTTTAATTTTGCTATTCAACCTAATTGGGTTCAAGCTGAGAAAGGATGAGCCAGGAGAGCTGAAAAAAATCATTGATGAAATCAGGGAAAAAGGGAAAAACGTAAAAAGCGATGGGAAGAGGATGAGTTTTATGCTCGAAACTTTGACTAATATAAAAAACAATAAGAAAATGATAAACCAAACTGAAGACAGATTGAAATTCCTTAAAACATGGCTAAAGAAAACTGTAGGGAAGAAAGCAAACGCTAAGGATGCAAAAATAACAGCTAGATGGGAGGATTTAGGCAGCTCTAACTGGAGAAGCTTACTGCAGCCAACTTTTGAATTCACAAAAAAATCATCATCTATTGACCCTGAGCTCGAGAAACTGGCTCAGTCCCAGCATATGAACACTGACAACCGTCGGCAAATTTTCAGTTTGATTATGTCTTCTGAAGACTATATGGATGCTTTCGCTAAAATATCCAAGTTAAAAAAACAAGAAAGAGATATAGTCAGAGTCATTATTACTTGCTGTGGGCAAGAACTTGCGTATAATCAATTTTATGCTTTACTAGCTAGTCAATTGTGCATTGATAAGCCTTCATACAAATATTCTTTTCAATATGCCCTATGGGATAACCTAAAGCAGCTTCACGAATTTTCTGTCAGAAAAATCTCAAATATTGCCAAACTCTATGCCTATATGATCAAAACAGAAAGCATGGGGCTGGGATGTCTAAAGGCTGTAGACTTCGACAGCCTGAACGACAATTTATCAATGTTTTTAAGGATTTTATTAGAAAACATACTTTTAGCAGACGAAAGCATAATAGCAAAGATCTTTTACAAGGTTGGGAGTAATGAAAAACTTAAGGCACTAGCTGAGGGGTTGAAAGTATTTCTAAAATTCGCAATTTTAAATCATCCAAGAAAAGGGTTTATAGAGCAGCTGGGTAATGAAAATATTTTCAAAGAAAAAATCAAGGCTGCAAGAGATTTATTAAAAGTTATTAAGCTATTAAGTATACGGTCATAAGTAATCCTGCAGGCGCTGACCATCCACCCCGTCTCGGCTCCAAAATGGCATCGAAAGACGCCATTTTGAATTTCTGGCCTGAAACACCTATCCAGGGTATTAGCTCGCCCTGGGCAGAGCCGCTTCTAGATAGCGCCCCGATGAGGAAAGACCATGTGGTAGGCAAAACCTTTCTAGCCCATCTGGCAGAGGCAGGGAAAACCTTCGGGGGGGAGAAATAAACTTCCCTTTTCAGCAAGACACCCCCAAGCCTGAAGGCCTACTTCCACCGGGACAGAGGCAAATCAGGCTTGGTCCTACCTACTCCATAGGGGGTGCGCCTCGGAGTCCAAGTTCCGTCAACGTCACCATTATATTTCTATTTATTGAAAGGAATCTCATAATTAACACAATTTTTTAAAATTTTAAGATATTAAGAAGCCCTACTACCTCTTTGACACTCTAGATGAGAGCCTTTGCCATTGTAAATATATGGTGTTCCAGTTTGAAATATAGACTGTGAGCAGATCTGGCAGAGTGTGCAATCAAAGTGATAGTATATATTTTGATAAATATACACAGATTTTCCAGTTATCAATGGATTTCTACAAATTTCGCAGATATAGCATTTATAGCATGTTTTATTGCACTTTTCCCAACATTTTTTGCACACTTTGTGGCCGCATGGAAATGTATTAGTAAATTGCTTGAAATTTATTCCCTTACAAATCTCACACATCTCTTGAAGAGGTGCTATTTGAAGGCTTTCCTGAGTGCTTAAACTTGAAACCACGCTGCTTGCTGCAGAGGGGTTTTCTTCGTTTTTATTTTGTCCTGGTTCCCTAGGAAACTTAAAGTTTTTATCTTTGAATTTGTAGTGTGTGTTAAGTTAAAGGTTACATCGGCCATAATCGGGTAAAAATACTATCATCTTAACTCCAAGCATCACCCTTAGCCTACGCCGTCTGTCCAAGGGATCATTTCCGAGAGCAAAGCCTATTTCTGAAAGGTTCCCGATGAGGAGAAGCCATGAGTAGGAAAAACCTAGCTAGTCCCATCTAGTAAGGACAGAAAAACCTTCGAAAAGAAACAATATTTACCTGCTCAGTAAGACTTCTTCAAGCCGAAGACCCCTTTAAAATAGTACAGGGCACTGTTTTAACTCCATTAGGATTAGTCCTACCTACCCTCCTCAATATGAGTGCGGCTCAAAGCTCAATTTTTGTCATTATCACCATTTTCTACTCCTTGAATTTGTTAGGAATTTTCATTCCACAAGGACAAGAAATTTGGCTTTTAGTGAGTTGTTTTTTATCAATTTTGTCCTGTATGCACAATTTGCAATGAACTTTGTGGCATGGATAAAAATATAGCAGACTGCTAGAGTCATGAGAGCAATTCCCAATTCTTTTAATTCAAGATTTTATTCGTTTAAGACAAGCGATTTTTGGAGCAGGGTTCTGAGAACTTAGCTTTGAAATTTCCTGGTCAAGCTGAAGTTTGTTGGCTTCAGGCATCCAGCCAACTTGTGAAGTAACGATCTGGGCCAAAATTTCTATTAAAGCAGACTGATCAATTGCAGTCTGCACTGGTGCCACTTCTGGTTTCATAGGAATAGGCATGGGAGCAGGTAAAGATTGGCTCTGATCCGAATATGTAAAAGGTAAATCATCTAAATTAACTGTTTGACCATAATCATGAAGATTTTCTTTAAAATGCACCAGTAGTGACCAAGAATTTTGGCTGTTCTGGTCATATAAAATACTAATATTTAGTTCGGGATTTGGGTTCGGTGTTCTTGCTATGAACGGATTTGGTGAGTTATATGAATATATGCTGATAGTGAATTTCAATATTTTGGTGAGTGCATTAAAGATGTATTCTTCGTCTTTCAGGACTTCTTTTCCATATATAACTTCATTGGAATATTGAGTTTTAAATTCATTCCTTAGAGTAGTTGAAACGATTATCCGGAAAGCATGGTCAAAGCTTTCTTCAACGGACTCTTTCAGAAGGTAATTCTTAATGTCAGCTGAGGAAAATGATTCTGTGTATTTCATAAATTCTTTTAGAAATTTGTAGACTTCTTCGTTTATTGATCCTTGGACTCTGTCCAAGGCTTTATTTAGCTCATTAAGAGTTTTGCCAGCTACGAACGTTCCTTTCAATCTTGATAATTGTAACAAAATCCCGAAATAAACCACTGAATAGAAGCTTGGCTTTTCAAAGTTCAAATGGATGGAAGATTGGAAGGCTTGAAGGTTTGGCTCTCCTAGATGTACTTCTATGAATCTAGCTTTCATTTTAGAAAGAAAAATAAATGCTTATATGTGTAATGAACTAAATTTAAAGCCTAACTCCTCCCTCCGTGAGCGAACACAAAAATTTTGTTCACTCAATGAGAGGGCTAATTTTTTTAAAAAAATTATATATAAATTTTATCCCAATTGAGGAAATTTGAAAGCAAATGTTTATTTAATTTTTTAAAATTTTATGTTTTAAAAAATGCAAGCTGTTTAAAATTAAATAGAATTAGCTGGAAATTTCATCATAGTAATTATCAATTATTTTTCATAAAAAACTTTTATATCATAAAAATTTTGTTCGTTTAGATTTAATACTAAAATTGTTTTTGCCTCCTAAGAGGCTGTCCCAATAATTTATTATAAAATCTAAATATTCCTGATTTAAATTGATTTAAGTCTGATCATAAATTATTTTTTCTGATAAGAACTCAATCTGATATAAAAATAAAATTCTCTGATGTTTCTCATTTTCTTCATGCACCTTCTTAGAATTTTATTTTCTACAAAACCATAATTCCGCACAACAGATGCACACTTTTCAATTCTGCACTATCTGCTCCAAGATCTATGAGATTTTTTGTTAAAAAAAACTTCATCTAAATAATTTTCTTATTTTTGGCATTAAATGCCATCATGTCTTCTGAAAATTGCGGAGGGTGGTTTTTAAGCAAAAATAGGGATTTTTCCAATGGTTTTGTTCGCTCACAGAGTGGAATTAGAAAATTAGCGTCATGAAATTTCTTCAAATATTGCAATGACTTAAAAATAATATGTATGAAAATAGCCGGGTTTTTTAATCTTCCAAACTTTAGTTGATCGATTTCAATCCTTATTCGAACGATTTTCATATAGTCAGCAATGAAATCTACTCCCTACCCTTCATTAATTCTAACTATCTTTTATAGTAATGAATATTAAAGATTATACCGTATATCTCTTCAGAGCATTTATAATGTGATTCTAGCATATTTTCTAATGTTTTGCATATTCTATCTCTTGCAGTTTGTGCATAAAATATTTTATATATAAAAAATTAATATTTTTTCCAATATTTTTTAACTCCTTGATCTAAAGATAGTGATCAGCATTATAAAAGATGGAGAGGGAGTAATCATTTTACTATTTAATACATTTAGCATGTGAAGGAATAATTGCAAAGATCTTTATAATGCTAAAAATAATGAAAAGCTAAAGAGAGAGCTACAGGGTAATAATTGCTTTTCAATCTGACATTTAAGATGCCTAAAAATTCTTTATAAAATAACGAAGAAATATAAACATTTTTAAAGATAAATTAGCGCTTCAATAGACGACCTCAAAGAAATCTTATTTTAGTTTTTTTGATAATATTTAAATAATTAAGAAATCCTATTTCCTCGTTGACACTCTAAATGAATGCCTCTGCTGTTATAAACACTTGCCGTTCCTTGCTTGAAAATAGACTGCGAGCAGATTTGGCACATTGTACATTCAGAGTGATAGTATTTTAATCTGTAAATATACGCAGGCTTCCGACTCAGACTAGACTTGCATATTTCGCAAGTGTTGCATTTGTAGCATATTTGATTACAATTTGCCCAGCATATTTGACACGCAGCATGGGAGCATTCAAATGTATTGGTTAGTTGTTTTGGAAAGACGTTCTTACAAATATCACACATAGCCTGCAAAGAAGGCACTTGGATGCTTTCCTGCGCAACTGGCATATTTCTCATAACACTTGCTGGTCGTTTCCGCCCTTTCTTTTTGTTTCCTGCAGAGTCTTCACTAAAACTTTGGTTTTTGGTTGGATTTTCACGTTGATTTGCGAAAAAATAAATGCGAGAATTATTTTGTGTTTTTGGTTCTGCTTGATCCTCAGAAAATTTGAATATTTTGTCACGAAATTTCGTTGGAACTGCTATTCCACAAGAGCATAAAAAATTATTTTTGGGGATTTTTTCGTTGTCAATTTTTGCTTGCATGCACAGCCTACAATGAAATTTGAGGCATGAATGGAAATAAAGGAGAGTTTTTTGATCGTGAGGACATTTCTCAACTTTATTGCTTCATTCAATTAGTGGTTCAAGGTAAGGGATTCTTGACTGAGGGTTTTGAGAATTTAACCTCGAAATTTCCTCATCAAGTTGTACTTTACTGTCTTCAGAAATTCAGCTGACATGAGAATTGATAATATTGGTCAAAGCTATTATTAAGTTTGAGTGATCATTTATAGGCTGCTTTGGTGGCACATATGTAAAAGGTAATTCATTCAAATCTACAGATTGCCCTATATCAAACAGATTTTCTTTGAAATGCACTAGAAGTGATCAAGAATTTTGACTACTTTGGTTATATAAAATATTAACATTCAGCTGTGGATCTGATTTTGAGGTTCTAATTACCTGTGGATTTGGGGAGTCATAAGAGTATATACAGAGAGTTAAGTCAAATGCTTTTGCGAACACCATGAAGATATGATTTTCATTCTTTTGTACTTCTTTCCCCGATAAAATATCTTTAGAAAATCGAGCTTTAGATTTGCTATTGAGATTCTTTGATACAAAATCTCTTAGACCATTATCAAAGTATCTTTCACAAAATTCTCTGAGGGCATAATTCTTGATGTCCAGTGCTGAGTAGTTTTCTGTATATTTCGCGAAGTCTGTTAAAACATTGTTATCATTGGTAACTCCTTGAATTTCACCCAATGCATTATATAGCAAATTAAGAGTTTTGCGAGCCATTGGTGTTTCTTTCATTCTTGCCAATTGCAACAAAATCCCTAAATACACCACTGAATAGAAGCTTGCCTTTTGCATGTCTAATTGGATGGTAGAATGAAATTCTTGTAGATTTGGGTGATTTAATTGTACCTCAATGAACTTAGCTTCCATTTTCAGAAGCAAATAATAAACATTTTTGCATGTTAATACATCAATTTTGTGGTATTTTCAAATTCCCGAATAAATTTTTTAAATATGAAATATTTACTATAATGTATTGGCAATATTTTATTTTGCTTATTTATGGTAAATTGATTTTAAAATGTCAAAAACAATTTTGACATGCAATTATATATAAAACTGAGTCTATGGTATGTTAAAATTTTTTTGAGATTTTAAAATCAATTTACCATAAATAAGCAAAATGAAATTTATGCAAGGGATTATATAAAATATTGCGTTTGAAATGGCCGAACTCGGATTTCATGGGCATTCAATCATAGTCAGATTCACTGAGCAGCCTGTATGTGAATCCACAACTTGAAACATTGGAGGCTACATAATGAAATTTGTCAAGCTTCAAAGCTATGCTGAATACTGCGTCCAGCCAACAGATTATATTAAAGTCATTGAAGGTGCTTTAATTGAGCCATTACGGTTATCATTTCCAGGACCATTTACCAAAGCTTCAACTGTAATAGGGGAAGATATCATCAAGGCTGGAGCAATGACTACCCTTATGATTATATCAAAAACAAACCAGGCTCAAGTATGTATCCAGTCTCCTAATGATTTAGAAGTTTCAGGACCGTATTCAGAACTCCTCAAGTGAAAGGAAGTAGGCGAGCTGCCTGGAAAAAGGAGCTTTTTAGGGAATCCTTATTATTATATTAGAGGATGGGATTTAAGATCTCATGATAACCGACATATGGGATACATTCAAGGATGGCTGTCAGGAAAAGCTATGAATTGTGGAAATTGTGACTATTCAGAAATGGGAGAAAACACTTTTAGGAAGATTTATTTGAATATTATTAATGGGACTGGGGAAGGGGCGTTGGTTTGGTATAAAGACGAAGAAGAGCACTCACTTATATTGATGCCTGGTGAAGAGCATGGACCAATATGGGAGTGAGATGATGATTTAACAAAAGTTGTTTACCCAATGCATAGGTGACAGTCAGGGGGAGAGCAAGCACTGAATGCAGATGAAGAACGAATGGATTTCAATATAGGAATAGAGCTACCTCCTCCAAGAGCAGCTTAAATTAAAGTGATTTTCTTATATTTAAGTTAATAATAGCTTTCTTTTGTTCCAAATTATTTTTGATAGTAAATTTCTATTTTAAATGAAATAATCTTGTATAATTAATAAGAAATCAGCATTAAAATGCAAAAGCTATTGTGGTTGAAATAAATGGCAAAAGTGATTATTGTTACAGGGTCTAATAAAGGTCTTGGAAGAGCAATAATCGAAAAATTGATCACCGAGACCCCTGAATTCACCTCAATAGTAATGACATCTAGAAGTGAAAGCCTTGGTCAGCAAGCCAAAGAGGAAATCGAGCAGAAATACGGTCCTCAATCAAGACTTGTCTATAGCTCGAGTACTTTTTAGCTTGGGGCTTCCGATCTTTCCCAACGGGAAAGAGGGGAGTTGGCAAATAATTAATAATGGTTTGGCCAACTCTCCAAATAGCAGAAATCCTGCATCACGTAGTTCTGTCACTTGAAGAACTTATTAAGCCAGCATTAGTTGGTTTAATCTGCTCCTTTTTATATAGGGAAAGATCAGGAAGCCAAACCAAAATGATGCTCTGGCTATATCATCAGCTTGATGTAACAGACGAGCTCAGCATTAGAAGACTAACAGATTTCGTTTACCATACTTATGGGAAAATCTCAGTCTTTATCAACAATGCAGGCATCGCTTTCAAAGGAAATGACTTTGGACCTCATGTGGTAGGACCCACATTTGCATGCAATTTCTATGGCTTAGTCAATACAACAGAAGCAATTTTACCGCTTATGGCTGATGACGGGCATATAATTAATGTAACATCAAGAGCCGGAAAGGCACGGTGAATTCCAGATGAAGCCATTCGAAATAGATTTTTAGACCCTAACCTCACACGTGATGGATTGTATCATTTGGCTGGAGATTTTATACAGAGCGTTAGAGATGGCAACTGGACAGAAAAAGGATGGCCTACTCAGGGTTATGCAATCAGTAAAAACTGCGCAAATGCTTATACAAGAATTTTGGCAAGGGAATTAAGAGAAAGCGGATCAAGGGTGAGAGTAAATGCTGTGTGTCCTGGAATATTGAGGACTGATATGGCTGGGCCAACAGCTCCTCTGTCTGCTGAAGAAGGGACTATAACTCCAATTTTGATGGTAAGATATCAAGGAGAAGAATCTGGGAGATTTTGGTATGAAGGAAGCATTCAAGAATGGGACTAATTAAACTTATTATTGGGTGAAGAGTACTTGTTTATTATATATTTGCTAAAAATAATAAAAGCTTCCCTAGCGAATGCTGATTAACGCCAAATTTGAGAAATGGTTTAACTAATTTGAATCTGCCCATTTATGAAAACGCAAAAAAATGCCTAATAAGTTTATTTGTGTGAGAAAAAGCCTGTTTTAAAACAATAAGTCAAGAACATGAATTTCCTATGATTTATCCAAATCAGTTCGATGATTTAAATATAGTCAGAAATTTTATTGTACAAGGAATTATATTGCTATTATCTCAGATGTGCTTAATATTTTATGAAAATTTAGCTTCACTAAAATGAGATTAGAAAAGAAGATTCATTAAGGAAGAAGCTGGGGTGCTTAATCAAGATCGCTATGCAATTCACATTATACAAAAAAATCTAGCCCTAAACATCAGAAATAATTTGCTTATTTTCCTTTCTTGAACTGGCATATAGAAGAATGCAATCTTTTTTTATTTGAGCAGTCAAGAATAAGAATAAAATAGCTAAAAATGGTTTATTTATGGCAAAGCCAATTATTTGTTAATCATCTCGGGCTGTACTTCTACTTATTTCAGATAAATTTATATGAAAAACTATATCTTAATTAAAAAAACATTAATGAGCGGTTTCTTATTTTTGAAAAGAAAATTTTAAACTAAAAATTATGAATTTAAGTTAATTTTTGCCTGAACTGCTTATAAATAATTAGGATCAGCTTACATAGCTGTAAAAAAATATAAGAAAAACTTCAAAGGTCATAACATAAAATGATAAAATTTTTCTAAGTTTTCTAACTCACGGTGGTTGTTTTTTTATTATCATATTTAGATAAAATGGAAGCAAATAATTAAAATTTGTTTTTATTCCTAACACTTTGAGTGTTTTTGATAGTTTCCTTATGAAAATCCAGCTGATATTTGAAATCTAGACCTAAATTGCTTTGAATAACTTTCTAACAAAAATTGAATTTTTTAGGTTTTTGATAGCTTTCTTGGAATTAGCATCACAACTATTTGTTTTATTAAACCTCCTTAATAGTTTCTAAAATCCTTGAATTTTTTTGTTTAATTCTTCGCTAATATGAGCCCATATGAATTTTTAAAAATTTGTGTTGGAGAAAGTTCCATTTACATTAATTTACCTTGGAAACCGAGGCGAATAATTCTTAAAAAGCTTAAAGTTATATATTAATGCACGTTGATCTTTAGCTGGCTTAGGGCTTTTCTTGACCTCCTGCAGTTCCATTCGAAGAACTCCCTACCATACCTATGATAGCACATATTGCACATCCCTCTTGCATAATGCTTTTTGTTAACATGTGGGCAAGCCGTCACCCGCATTAGTTTTTTATGCTTTTTCTTGTTCTTCTTTAGTAAATCTGACTTAGATGGCTTCATCGTAGACTTCATGCTGACCAAGGGCTGGAAAAAATTATTGAGGGTAGGAAGTTGTAAAGAAGCTGAAATTTCATCTGTGCATCTATCTGGGTCTAATAGTGAAAACATTCCTGTAAAGACGTTGATCTCGTCGTCGTTTAGGTATAATCCTTTCATTATTTATTATTATTAGCTAATAAATGAAATGGAGAAATCTTTAGCATATTGCAAAACTATGGAAAAATGGAAAACCGTTCCAAAAGACGATTTAAAAAATTTTAATAAGAATTTAAATCTCTAGGAATTATATCCGATTGCTAGGAAAAAATTTTGATTTTTGAGTTCTAATTTTGTAATCATGCGTTTTAAATTGCTTTTTTCCATAAATCCTATGATTAAAAAAGTCTTAATAGCCCGTTATCTATGCCTAAGTAAGTAGATGCAGTTGCCTGGAATAGTTTCAACAAAGGTAATAATGATAATTTAATTTATTGAGATAAGCAATGGCAATTGGATATTTTAGGAAACATTGAAAAACAATAAAGAAATCAATAAATATAAATAATTATAAGACTTCTATTTAATTTATAACTTAAAGATTGCTATATTGGAATAGTGAAGAAGAAATTTGTTTCGTTGTAATCGAACAAAAATTTAATAGGCGATTAAAATTAATAGCATAGTAGTCCATCTTGAGACTCATTAAAAGAATTTTGACAAGTTGGAATTGTAATCAATAATTCATTGAAAAATTTACTTTTATGGAGGAATGAATTCTGTGTTGGGCAAATAATTTTAGATAAAAACTAAATTCAAAGATTAGTTAGATTTAGATTAAAAACATATAGGAGATAATAAATGTTCACAGATACTTGATAATGATTATAAAATTATTAAATATCTCTTATCCAGCAAATGCTATAGTTCCTGAAATTTGAAAATTAGGCAACTTTAAAACAGATAAAAGGATAATTGCAGTAAAAGTTTATAATGTTTAGTATTAAAATGGATTGCCATAAATTATTGCTTATTTGCACTTGCTTTTGAAAATTTGAAATTATGCGTTTTTTATACTAGAAATTTGATCAAGATATAAAAACGATCAAAAGAGCCTGCTTTTAAAAATTATATTTACTATTAAACATAAATCTTTATTAATTAAAAATACTTTCTATTTCGAAATTTATAAAAATAAATAATACAGTACGCAAATCAAGATTAATTTCAGCTGTTTCAATAGTAAATTAAATAATGTTAATATATTGCTCTTCAGAATCAATTTATATGTATAAGTTATTGAAATCGTTTTAAGTACTCTTATGGTTTCATTGCTTTTCTTTATTCTGTTTATGCGATTTAAAGTTTCACTATCTAATTTACTTAAGTTGGGATTTAATCTTGGTGCTTGATTCTGCATGGCATTTATTATAACACAGCTCGCACATTCCTTTAGCGTAAAGCTTTCTTTCTGTGTGCTCGCAGATTCATGCATAAGTGTCTCTTCCATAGCGGTGGTAGCAAGAGTTGCACATACCTTTTGCATAATGCTTCTTGTTGATATGCTTGCAAGCAGTTATTCTTTGGCTTTTTTTGTGTCGTCGTTTTTCTTTTAGTACTTTTTTTTCACAGGGCTTGCTTACATCTGTTTTTTCAATAATTCCGCTAATTGCGAAATCTTGAATCGATGGTAACTCTAGACATAATGAAACATCTGAGACTGGGGCTTTTGGGTTGATAAGTGAAAACATGTTTGAAAAAATACTGAATTCGTTCGGAGGTGAAGATTTGGGATCCATTTCTGGCTTAATATTATTTCTAAATCTGATTTAACATGGTTATTTCTTAATTTATTTTCTAGTATTTTTGATATTTAGTATATATAGAAGAGGGAGTTTATATGTGCCTAGTATAAAGTTAAGAAGTTAATTTCTCTAAAATTTCTTCTAGAAATAAAATACAGCTAAAATCGAATTCTCAAACCGTTATCTATGTTGGCAGATTTACAAATCTGGGCATGGACATTTATTCAACCCTATCATAGACTATTGAAATGAAATGCATTCAGTTCTGCTATCAATTTTTCAAAAGGAAAGTTAATAGCTAATTGATCTATTGCTTGCGACCTCTTTGATTTTTAAAGCCCTATGTGTATATTTTAATTTCAGCAAGAATTTCAACTAATGCAATTTCATTTGCACGCCTAGTTGATTTTATTTTGGCTAATTGAACTATGGTTTAATAATTATTATATTCAATTTGATGACTCCCTATTTTGCGATAATTTGAATTTTCTAAGGCAATTAAATTAAGTTGGAAAATTTGATGGCAAAATCAGCATTTTAGCCAGTACTTAGGAAAATGAATGTAAATCTACCCCATCGAAAATTATCAAAATTATTTAATAATTAATATTTTTAACTTGTTGCTAGCCTGATGACAGTAAGATAATTTAAGCTCAATAATTTTAAGAGAGTTTTGATCCTAAATAAGACATTAAAAGTGCCTAAATATATATAAACAAAGTTATTGGAATTCGAAATTTTGACCATTATTTTTCACTGCTCTAAAATTAATTATACGAAAAATGATCTAAATATTTAATATTTATCTGGCTTTTCAATTCAATAGCTGTTTACTAATATTATTTAATTATTTATTTTATTTCCTAAATTGTCTTATTCATAATATATTTGAATAATCCTCCCATCAAATGAAATTCAATTTTGTTTTTTTAATTCTTTTACATCTTCTATCTCACTGAATTCAATTCAGGCATAGCCAGTTGAATTTCCTAGTTCATCTTTAACTATATCAATCTGATCAATTTCGCCATACTCCAAAAAGTAATCTTCAATTTCATATTTGCTCAGGCTTAAAGGTAGATTACTTGCCAAAATTGTATAAGAAAAGCTATTATGTGTCCTCTTAAAATTTAGTGTAGAAATATGGACTTGCTCGTCTTTATAGAATGCTTTGCTCTTATTTAGAGCATTAATTTGCCCTTCAATATTTTTGAATTTTACAATTGCCATATTTTGATCATCATTACTGTTACATTTTAGTGCTCTTATGCTTTCAACATTTCCGCATATATTTAAAAAATCTCTTAAGTCAGAATTGTGTATACCATAAACAAACAATTCTTTTAAAGCACAAATTTCATTTTTTTTCACTTTTTGACCTTCATTTTGTCAAAGTTCTGATTTTCTAACGATTTTTGTTGGTAAATAGCATTCTTCTTCGCTACTTGAAGTACAGCTTTCTATTTCTGCAGCTTTAGAACTGAGCTCTTTAACTTTTTTTTCTAAACTACCAAGCTTCTTTTTCAAGCTTTCAATTTCATCTTGATTATAAAATAGAGATTGTTGAGATTTATTATTAATCTGCACCTTTAGCTCATCAATCATTGATAAATACTTTGCCTCGTTGCAAAGAGATTTCTTTTGCTCCAAAGAGTTGGCAGCTATTTGATCTTCTAAAGATTTTTGAGTTTTTTCGATTTCTTGCTTTAAGTAATTACTTGATATCTTTGATTCATTGGATAAAAGAATTAAATTTTCAAGATTTTCATTGATTTCTTTTCTTAGCTGAATCTCAAAACTCGTTGATTCTTCTAAATTAAATATTTTATCATTTAATGTATCAATATTAGGGATAAATTTCTGCAGTTTTTCATTAATGATTTTATCAATTTTTTGCGATATAATACCTTCAATTATATTTTCAATATTTTTATCATGGCTATATATATATTCAATAACTTTATGGTATCTTGCCTTATCAGAAATCATGAACCTAAACCTATCAATTGCTTCATTTGGCTTAAGAAGTAAATTAAACTCTATTGAACTTGAGTTAATTTTAGATATTCTGACAGATTATAAATTACAACTGACTGGCTATCTCTTAAATTTGTATATATTCAATAAAAATGGTCTACTTCTTTTGTGTTTCCTAAAAATTCGATCAAGTTATCTATTTGTTTTACTTCATCTGTTATTGATTTTAATTCTTTTTCAATATAATCTTCAACTTCTATAAAAGTCATTGAAAGCTTCTCTATTATTTTGGACTGAATTTCATTGAGACTCTGCTTTTCTTCTCTTAAGAAATTAATGAGTGCTTTTTGAGTTTCAAAATTTACAGCCTCAAATATACTTTCTAGCATATGATTTTGGGGAAATGGTTTGATATGATCTCCAATGTGCAGATTGCACATTAATGAACGTTTTTCTTCACACTTACAAAGATATTCTGGAATATTTTTGCAATCTTCTTTGAAACAAGTGACTGTGGAAGATTGCTGCATTGGCGAATAATCTTCAGAGAGATATTGAAATTCGCTCATTTTTTATAAACTTCTATAAAATAAAAATGAAGATCAATGAAAATTGAAGGATTTAGAATGCTGAAGCCTCAAAAGTTATTTTTATAAATTTTTGATATCAATAATTAGTCAAATTCACTGTCAAGCTTTATCAGAGACTTTAATGTGATGTGTCTTTATTTTACAATCCTTTTTTAAGTAAAGCAATATCTTGATTATTGATAAGGTAATTGTAATTTCATCGTATTTGGAATCGTTTTAGGGCAGAATTCTTTATTTTTAATTAATTTTAAGGAAAGATGATTAAAAGTGTATACACGATGGTTAATAGCTATCAAATAAAAATTAAAAATAAGCTAAGTGTAAAAGACCAATACAAATAAGACAACCAAAACCACCATAAGAATCATAATTGTGCATAAAGTCTTGCTATCGTTGGTTTTCATCAATTTCGCAAGTTTTTTCATGACGAAGTTCATTTTTTCAATATTGTCATCAACTTCACTATCGAGCTTTCTCAGCATGACGTTTTGATCTTGAAGTTCTTGATTTATAGTATTAGCTTGAATGTAAAGTCTTTTAGCGATTTCAGAAATTTCATCAAGCTGCTCATCTTGCTGGGCAATGAAGCCTAATTGATTTGACATTAAATATTATAAGTTGATCTATTTTTATCTATTTAAATAAAGCTAAATTTAACATAAATTTAAGTATAAAAAACAACAATAAAGAGAATAATCATACCTGCTAATAGTATCACTGAGGTACAGAATGTCCGAACAATATTTGATTTTAAAAATTTGAAGGTCTTCTTAAGAATGAACCGAAATTTGTTGTCTTTGTCGTAGATTATGGTATCCAGAGATCTGATTGTTATGTTTTGATCTTGATTGGCCGAGTTTGCGATATACAATCTATTTTGAACTTCAGACTCATCATCTGGCTGCTCATCTTGGTGGCCTGCAATTCCTAATTCTTTTGACATTAAAATTTATATTTTTAATACATTTTTTCCTGTTATGCAAAAGCATAGATTGATTTCACTTATAAAGACATTAAAATAACTGTAAATTTTTTAGTTATTGAAAATAAACAAATAAAATTTAAGTTAATATATAGGCGAAATATCTTTCAAATTATCTATTCCTTTCTTTCTTATTCGACCGCAAAGTGATTCTTCTGGACAAGAATGGCTCACTTTGCACTCCCATGGCAAATCAAAAGTTTTCTGATCAGGCAAAGTTCGATTCATACTTTCAAAAGTAATATTTTTAGATTCTTCAATAATTATGATTGTATCCCTATTTTCTGGATTATCACCTATAGTTTCAAAATAAGCATAATCATCCCTTTTTCAAAAATATCCACTTTTCCCATCAATTTCATTTTCACCCAAAAATTCAAGTTCTCTTAATAATGCATTTGGGTAAATATTCCCACAGCCTTGGCTAGCATTGCAGCATCAACAACAATAAGAGTCAACAGGGTAAAATATAAAAGTATTGCCACCTGTAGCATATATTCTGCACGGATTATATATGAGATCTTCAAACCCATTTAACTTGCATAAAGGATCATATTGGCCATCTTCCAAATCAATTCTGCTGCTTCTTGCAAGAAAATTGAAATAATATGTTCCATTAGTAAATTTCTGATTCTGATTTTCATCTAAAATAGTGTCTGTTATTGAAGATATAAAATATTGAGGTCATTTTGGTTGTGAAGGAGAGGCTGCTACTAAGTTTATTAGTATCACTGAAATTATCATTACTATTTTTATATGACTAAAATTAAAAGGAATAGGCATTCTAAATAAAGCTTTCTAAATGCATGGAAAGGATAAAAATTTTAGCAAATTGCATAAATAATGATGCTTAATTATTTGTTTCACCTGATTTTGCCATTTCGTTGCTGGCTGAATCTTCCCCAAAAATATATTGATTGTAAAATTCTGGGTTTTTTAGTTTTTCTTTTTGCATGTATTTTGCAAGTCAAAATGTAAAGAAAAATCCTCCTACTCCTAAAACTGTTAGGATCACTTCAAACCTTGCATTAAATAAATGATTTTTCTTTGTAAGTGGGGCTTGTGGTCTCTTCATTTTAATTCAATTATTTTAATTATAAAAATCACTAAGATAGATGCCTTAGGAATACCTAAATTTTTAATCTAAGACTAAAGTGCGACTTAAATCAGCAAGGAAACTTGCTCAAAATGATTTATTTTACTATAGACCTACAAATAGAAATGGCAATGTATGCAATTTTAATATTTTAAAGTATTTATAATTATAAAATATAATTATATAAAATAATTAAAATTATTAATTGAACTTTTCTATCAAAATGGATTATAAAGATTAAGATGTCAGAAAATACCCTATAGCGCAAACTCTGGCAAGTTAACTAGATGCCATATTTGATCTAATCTTCATATCCTATTTAGCTCCTCAGCATTGAAATTTTATTTCTTTTAATAAAGCGAGGATTATTATCAACAATTGAGGGAAAAGAACCGCTAAAAAGCTAATATCAATTATTAGAGCTACCAATTAAAATGAATTAATTAATTTAGCAACGCTTTTTTATTCATTTATCATTCCTAAATTAAACCTTTAATAAGAAATCGACAATATTTTATAAAAATAATATGGCACTCTTTTATTATAATGGTCAAAGCGGGCCTCTGGGCGATGTAAGAGACGGTGGTGGATATCCAGTTAGCTCACTTGGGAAGAGTTTTGCAAGATATACCACGTATGCAGGGCAACGTCCTCAAAGAAATACTCTCTGCCTATATCATGTTTCAATTGGAAGTTTCGATCTCCCTAACTGAGATATTCTATTTGCGGGTAATCTTAATTTCGGAGGAAATGCAACTATTGGAAACGTTTCTTTTGGGTTAAATCCTAATCTCCTCGCATAATAAAGCGAATAACTAATTAGCTTTTTAGCCATATTGATTCTATAAAATGGGAAAAATCAAGCAAGCATGTTCTAGTTGTTTTTGGTGGATCATTTAAAAGATTTAAAACACAATTTTAGGTGTTACGCTTAACTAAATTACTTAATCCTGATAAATATAACTGTTTAAGGTTTTGGCCCTTTCAGCTAATGCATAAGGTGAGACATTTTTTTAATTCTTCAGCTGATGAGTCCCTAGGTAGCCAATCAAGCTCTGATATAAGTATCCAGAATTTTTAATTGTCCTTGTTAGATTTTGATTATAATTCACATAAGTGATTCCAAACCTGATGCTCTATCCATCAGTCCATTCGAAATTATCTAGCAGTGACCATAAGAAGTATCATAATGATATAATGGTGACGTCGTGATAATTTCTCATTTAATCTCATCTTCAAGCCTGCTCATCTTCTATCCTATTTAGCTGCTTAGCATTGAATTTTATTTCTTTTAATAAACCGAGGCTTATTCTCAACTTTGAGGGCAAAGAACTGCTAAAAAAACTGATATCAATTATTAGAGTTACCAATTAAAATGAGTTAATTAATTTAGCAACGCTTTTTTACTCATTTATTATTCCCAAATTATACCTTTAATAAGAAATCGACAATGTTTTATAAAAATAATATGGCACTCTTTTATTATAATGGTCAAAGCGGGCCTCTGGGCGATGTAAGAGACGGTGGTGGATATCCAGTTAGCTCACTTGGGAAGAGTTTTGCAAGATATACTACATATGAAGGGCATCGTCCTCAAAGAAATACTCTCTGCCTGGTTAGTGCTTCAACTGGAGGAGTGTGTCTCCCTAACTGAGATGTTCTAGTTGGGGGTAATGTTACTTTCGGTGGAAATGTTTCTCTGTTAAACCTTACTATAGGGGGGTTTAATCCCAATCTTCTCGCATAATAAGCGAATAACTAATTAGCTTTTTAGCCATATTGATTCTATAAAATGTGAAAAATCAAGCAAGCATGCTCTGTTATATTTGGGTGGATCATTTAAAAGATTTAAAACACAATTTTAGGTATTAAGCTTAACTAAATTACTTAATCCTGATAAATATAACTGTTTAAGGTTTTGGCCCTTTCAGCTAATGCATAAGGTGAGACATTTTTTAATTCTTCAGCATGATGAGTCCCTAGGTATCCAATCAAGCTCTGATATAAGTATCCAGAATTTTTAATCGTCCTTGTTAGATTTTGATTATAATTCACATAAGTGATACCAAACCTGACGCTGTATCCATCAGTCCATTCGAAATTATCTAGCAGTGACCATAAGAAGTATCCTCTGACCTTGACCTTATCGTTAACAATTGCATCAACCATATTCATAACGTGATTATAAACATAATCCATTCTAAACGTATCGTTCAATGCTTGTGCTTCCGGCATATCATTTTCTCCTGGGCAGCTTACTCCATTTTCGAAGATGTAAATATCTGGATCGTTATATCTGACTTTAATCCAGTTCAAAAGAGCTCTAAGCCCTGGAGGATACACATTTAGCCATGAAGATTGCGCAAAAGGCCCGATTAGGTGTCCTGTTTTATTGTATGGGCTTCCAGTATATCTCCCATCATTCCCATAGTTGTCGCCAGGTGTTCCTGTCCAATGGACATATCCACTTGCGTAGTAATTCAATCCTAAAAAGTCATAAGAACCTTTCAGCATATTTGATTGTTCAGTCGTGAATGTAGGAAGTCTATTTCCTGTAATGAGCTCACTCATTTCTGTAGGGTATCTTCCAAATGCCTGAGGATCAGCAAACCAGCCATACTGGAATGCTAGTGAATATTGAACTGCCTTATAGTCATCCTCATCAGATGTATCCCATGGCAAATTGTAGCCACTGTTGATAGTCATCCCGATTTTGCCTTTTTGGGTTTTTTGGTATTTATTTCTGTAAGTTTGAACTGCAAGACCGTGAGCTAGCAATGCGTTGTGAGCTGCTATGTAAGGCTCAGTTGAAGAGTTGCCACCTCCACCTACTTGTTGACACCAGTCACCCCAGCTTGGAGAACATCTTCCTGGGGCGTGAGTCCCAACTCCGTATCCAATCCATGTGAAAGTTTGGATTTCGTTCATGGTAAGCCAATATTTGACCTTGTTTCCAAAGGTGCTAAAACAGAAATCTGCATAAGCATTGAATTTATTTGCGACATCTGGATCGAGCCAAGTACTTTGAGCTGTTAAATTATTGAAGGTTTGTGGCAAATCCCAGTGATAAAGAGTGACATAAGGCTGAATCCCAGCTGCAAGCAATGCATCTAGGAGGGTGTTGTAAAATTGGACTCCAGCTTGGTTTACATTACTGGTAAGCCCATTTGGAAGGAGGCGAGTCCAGGAAAGAGAAATTTAGCACAGCTAATTAATATTTTCGTGCCTCCCATTGCAATTGGAAAATTCTAGTCGGTAGCCAGTAAAATTATGTAAGCTCATTTCTAAAAATTCTCAAGGAATTGAATTCAATGGCCTTAAAAATTTTCATATGTATAGAAAGATGAAAAAATAAATTAGGATATACTTCTCACATCGCATGAATAGCTTTTCTTTCATCATTGAGAAAGGCTTTCTTTACACAGGCCAATATATGCTTAACATATATTTCCTTCAATTTTAAAGCCAACAGTGAGCAATAAGTTATCTTGGGCTATAACTACCCAAGTATTGAAATGACATTTTTAATTGTGTCTGGATAGAGAAACTCTAAAGTTTTTCACACCAAGCTGCTGAAGTAATTTGATATCTGAAGGATATCTGTCATAGAAATCATCTGCAATCTGCGCAGTCTCATTGTCATAAATTCTACCTGGGAAATTTTGAAAGTAATCCCAGATTGATGGCCCACGCCCAGAGACATTTCACGCTCCTTCGACTTGAAAAGCAGCTGTAGCTGTTCCCCATGCAAAGTCTGAAGGAAGAACAGCAGCGCATGATAGACCAATAAACAGCAAGTAAACAATCAGCTTGCCCATTTTTATACCAAATCTTATTTACTTAGTCTTTAAAGGACTATTTCTAGCCCCATGCATCGAATATTCAACAAATAACTAAAATCTAACTATAAGTTTATGATTTAATTGCGTTTAAAATTAATTCTCTTCATTTTCTTATAAGATTAAAATTTATAAATATAAGCTCGGCAGTTAACTCGATAAAGTGCCAAATCATTTCATCTAAAAAGATTTCATTAATTAAAGCAAGAAAAACATTAACGCCTCCAGTAATTAAAATATTTTATTTATGATAAAGATAGCTGCTCAAGCTTTTTCATCTCAATAAGTGAGTATGGAGAAACATTTTTTAATTCTTCTGTATGATGAGTTCCTAAATATCCAATCAAGCTTTGATATAGATATGCTGAGTTTTTAATAGCCCTTGTAAGATTTTGATTATAATTCACATAAGTGATTCCAAACCTTATGCTAAACCCTTGAGTCCATTCGAAGTTATCTAGCAGTGACCATAAGAAATATCCTTTAACTCTTACCTTATCATTGACTACTGCGTCCACCATATTCAATACATGATTATAAATATAGTTCATTCGAAAAGTATCGTTCAATGCTTGTGCTTCTGGCATGTCGTTTTCTCCTGGAACACTGACACCATTCTCGAAAATGTATATATCAGGATCATTGTATCTGGCTTTAATCCAGTTCAAAAGCATTCTAAGGCCAGGAGGATATACATTAAGCCAAGTAGACTCAGCAAAAGGACCAATTAGATGCCCTGTTTTATTGTATGGGCTTCCAGTATATCTCCCATCATTTTGATAATTGTCACCAGGAATGCCTGTCCAATGGACATATCCGCTCGCATAGTAATTTAAGCCCAAAAAGTCATAAGAGCCTTTTAGAAGAGCTGATTGTTCTGGTGTAAAAGTAGGAAGTCTATTACCTGTAATGAGCTCACTCATTTCTGTAGGATATCTTCCAAATACTTGAGGGTCTGCAAACCACCCATACTGGAAAGCTATCGAATATTGAACTGCCTTATAATCATCCTCATCTGATGAGTCCCATGGTAAATTGAAGCCACTATTAATTGTCATCCCAATTTTACCTTTTTGAGTTTTTTGATAATTTTTTCTGTAAGTTTGGACTGCAGCGGCATGGGCCAATAAAGCGTTGTGGGCAACAAGATAAGGCTCTGTAGAAGAATTTCCTCCTCCTCCAACTTGCTGGCACCAGTCTCCAAAGCTTGGACTGCATCTTCCAGGAGCTGCAGATCCGACCCCATATCCACCCCAAGCAATACTTTCAATTTCATTCAGCGTTAGCCAGTACTTAACCTTATTTCCAAAAGTCTTAAAGCAAAAGTCTGCATATGCATTGAATTTATTCACGATATCCGGATCAAGCCATGTACTTTGAGCTGTCAAATTGTTGAAGGCTTGTGGTAAATCCCAGTGATAAAGAGTGACATATGGCTGAATCCCAGCTAAAAGTAGCGCATCAATAAGATTGTTATAAAATTGCACACCTGCTTGATTTACATTACTCACAAGTCCATTTGGGAGTAAGCGTGTCCAGGAAAACGAAAGCCTGAAGTTTTTGATTCCAAGCTGTTGAAGAATTTTTATATCTGACTCCCCCCAAGTAAATAAGCAAACTCTTGCTTATTTGTGGAGGCTCAAACAAAAATTTCAGGAAATTGAATATAAATAGATCAAAATTTCATTGCTATTAGGTGTAAATACCACATTTTATCTGAAAACTCTCAAATAATAAGCAAATTTAAATTTATTTAAAAATTTTGTGCTAAAATTACTATGAATAAGCAAGAATTTGCTTTTCTTGGGGTAGTGAGGGATATCTATCATAAAAATCGTCAGCAACATGAGCAGTCTCGTTATTATAAATTCTATTAGGGAAATCTTGAAAGAAATCCCAAATGCATGGTCCACGTCCTGAAACATTTCATGCTCCTTCAACTTGAAAAGCTGCAGTAGCTGCACCCCAAGCAAAGTCTGAAGGTAGAACTGAAGCACATGAAAAGCCTATAAATAGTAAGAAAGCAAAGAACTTACTCATATTTACTTGCCAGAGCAGATATTAAATTTAAATTATGGAGATAAAAATTTAGGAGATATTATTGGTTTTTCAGTAATTGCATTTATCGAGGCATTTTGAGCTTCCTCAAAACTATGAGTTCCTAAGTAACCAATTAAACTCTGATACAAATACCCTGAATTTTTAATTGCTCTAGTCAAGTTTTGGCTATAATTCACATATGTGATTCCAAATCTCGTATTGAACCCATCCGCCCATTCAAAGTTATCTATAAGTGACCACAAGAAATATCCCTTTACCCTAACTCCATCATTTACAATAGCATCAACCATATTCATGATATGGTTATATATATAATCTATCCGAAACGTGTCATTCAAAGCTTCTTCTTCAGACATTTGACTTTCTCCAGGATCGCTAACTCCATTCTCCATCACATAAATTTCATGATCCCCATATCTATTTTTGATTCAATTCAAAATTCCTCTAATTCCTTGAGGGTAAACATTAAGCCATGAAGATTGTGCTGTCGGTCCAATTAAATGCCCAGTTTTATTATAAGGGCTGACATTATATCTCCCATCATTTCAATAATTGTCTCCAATCTCTCCTGTTCATTGAGCATAATCTGTAGTATAGTAATTCAGCCCTAAATAGTCAAAAGAGCCTTTCAATAAAGCACTTTGTTCAGGAGTGAATTCTGGGAGTCGGTTTCCTGTAATCAGCTCAGTCATTTCTTCAGGATACCTTCCAAATACAACTGGATCTCCTATCCAGCCATATGAAAAAGCGATTGCAGTTTGTGCTGCTTTATAATCATCAGGATTTGAAGAGTCCCATGGCAAATGAAAGCGAGTATTAATGGTTAAGCCGATTTTCCCTTTTTGCAAGGCTTGATATTTTTGGCGATAAGTCTGTACAGCAAGACCATGAGCTAATAAGGCATGATGAGCTACAATATAAGGCTCAGTCGAAGTGTTTCCTCCCCCTCCTACTTGCTCACACCATGAGCCTACACTTGGACTGCATCTTCCTGGCGCAGCAATTCCCCAGCCATACCCTTGCCATGCGAAACTCATAATTTCGTTCATCGTCACCCAATGCTTTACTTTAGCTCCAAAAGTACTGAAACAAAAATCAGCATAAGCATTAAATTTATTCGGCATATCAGGATCAAGCCATGTGCTTTGAGCTGTCAAATTATTGAATACTTGTGGGAGATCCCAATGATAAAGAGTTACATAAGGCTCAATTTTGGCAGCGAGTAATGCATCAAAGAGATCGTTATAAAACTGGATCCCAGCAGAATTTGGGTTTTCGGGAGTCCCAGCTGGAAGCACACGAGTCCAAGAAATGGAGAGCCTTAGGTTGTGTATGCCTAATTGCTGAAGGATTTTTATATCTTCGGGGTATCTGTCGTAAAAATCATCAGCAATGTGAGCTGTCTCATTGTCGTAAATTCGGCCTGGAAAATCTTGGAAATAATCCCAAATACTTACCCCACGTCCTGATATGTTCCAAGCGCCTTCTACTTGAAATGCTGCAATTGCAGTACCCCATGCAAAATCTGGGGGAAGAACTGAGGCAAATGTCAGGCCTAATAGCACGAGTTGAAAAAATGTTCCCATATTATAAATGATACAATAAATAATACAAAAAAGAGTTACTTCTTACTAGCCACGTAGACAAGAGTATACTTACAGTTGTTTATTAAAAAATTGGATTAAAGATACATATTAATTTATAGTTAAAACGCTTTTTCCCATTTAATTATTGATATAAGTCAAATTAATTCTTACTTCTCTAAATAGATTTCATTGTTTTTTATTTTAAAAAGAATAAAGGTTAAATAAGATTAATTTTAAATATTAATTTAAGAACCTTTACAATAATTTTACGATAATAATAAAATGTCCTCGGGATCAAAAGTAATTCGATCCAAGAATTCCTTTTCACTAACCAACTTAATCGATATAAGGATAGATTTTGCAAGTGGGCTTTTACAAAAGAGGAAAACTGAGGAGGATTTTATACTTCCCCACTTTTGCCCATCATTCTTTTTCTCTTTCCACTGCTGAGATAAAGCAGGGCTCTTAGGTTGAGCAGGCACTGAGGGAAAGTCGGATAGAGCGAGGCAACGCGCCAAACCACTAATGTTTCCCGTAATTCTGGGTTGCCAAATGGTTTCACGGGGACTAGAAGGAGCGAGCAACTGCGTCCGACATAAGTTCCAGAGTAGCGACAAGACTGAGAAAAAGTGTTTTACCCACTTTGTGCAACTAGAGGCTAAGCTAGATTAATTAGTTAAGTTAATTGATTGGTTGAGAATAGTTTTACGATACGATTATTACTTAATCCTCTAGAAGATTATGCAATTGTTTGCCTCTTTCAGCAAGTGAATAAGGAGACAGCTTTTTAACTTCTTCAACATGATGGGTTCCTAAATAGCCAATTAAGCTCTGATAAAGATACCCTGAGTTCTTAACAGTTCTTGTCAGGTTATTGTTGTAATCCACATAAGTGAGCCCGAATCTGACATTATAGCCATCAGTCCACTCAAAGTTGTCTAATAATGACCATACGAAGTATCCTTTAACCCTAACTCCATCATTTACAACTGCATCTACCATATTCATAATATGGTTATATAAATAATCCATACGGAAAGTGTCGTTCAAGGCTTGAGCTTCAGGGACAGTATTTTCTCCAGGGCAGCTTACTCCGTTCTCAAGAACATAGATGTCAGGATTGTTGTATCTATTTTTAACCCAGTTCAAAAGGCCTCTAAATCCAGGGGCATATACATTTAGCCAGCCTGAATCTGCATATGGGCCGATAAGATGTCCAGTTGAATTGTAAGGACTTTGGCTACATCTGCAATCATTTCCGAAGTTATCACCAGGCACTCCTGTATAGTGAGCATATTGACTGTAGTAATAATTGACTCCTAAGAAATCATAAGACCCTTTCAACATCATTGATTGTTCTGTCGTGAATGTAGGAAGTCTATTTCCTGTAATGAGTGAGCTCATTTCTTCTGGATATCTTCCAAAGACTTGAGGATCAGCAAACCACCCATATTGGAAAGCGACAGAAACATCTGCTGATTTGTAGTCTTCTGGTTCTGATGTATTAGAAGGATAGTAAAATGCACTACTGATGGTCATCCCGATTTTGCCTTTTTGGGTTGGTTGGTAATATTTTCTGTAAGTCTGAACTGCAAGGCCGTGAGCTAGCAATGCGTTGTGAGCTGCTAGGTAAGGCTCAGTTGAAGAATTGCCACCTCCACCTACTTGTTGGCACCAGTCACCCCAATTTGGAGAGCATCTTCCTGGGGCGTGGGTTCCGACGCCATATCCAATCCATGTGAAAGTTTGGATTTCGTTCATGGTGATCCAGTATTTAACCTTGTTTCCAAAAGTCTTGAAGCAAAAGTCTGCATAAGCATTGAATTTATTTGCGACATCTGGGTCTAGCCATGTGCTTTGGGCTGTAAAGTTATTGAAGGTTTGAGGTATATTGAAAATGGGCGAATAAACACCTTAAAATTGTGCAATATATTATTAGATGAGTTTGCGGAATATTCTCAAGTTTAATTTTATTCTGAATAAATCCCAATGGAAAAGAGTTACAAAAGGCTGAATTCCAGCTGCAAGCAATGCATCGAACAGATTATTGTAAAATTGAACACCAGCTTGGTTTACGTTGGTTACCAGTCCATTTGGAAGCAGACGAGTCCAGGAAAGAGAAACTCTGAAGTTTTTGATTCCTAATTGTTGGAGGATTTTAATGTCTGATGGGTATCTGTCATAGAAATCGTCTGCAACATGGCCAGTCTCGTTGTTGTAAATACGGCCTGGGAAATTTTGGAAATAATCCCAGATACATTGCCCACGTCCTGAAACGTTTCAAGCGCCTTCAACTTGAAAAGCAGCTGTGGCTGTGCCCCATGCAAAATCTCTTGGCAGGACAGCTCCATAGGCGATGCCAAGGAATAAAATGAGAAAGTATTCTTTCACCATATTATTTATCTCTGATGATGCTGTAGTGATGGATTTTTATTTAAATTTAAGGGCCAATTATAATTGTTTAAGGACCTTCAATCATTTTAAAAATTATTGATGCAAAGATATGAAAAATTAAAAATAATTATATAAAATCGTATACCTGGAATTTTATCTCGGAACAGATGTTGGTGATGGTTAATAGGATAAAGTGATTGTTAAGCTAAATCAGGGAGCTTTATTTCTAATTCTTATAGCTCCCCCCCCTCCGTGAGTGAACAAAAAAATTTGTTCACTCACGGAGGGGGGTTAATTTTTTTTTTTTAAAAAAATTTATATATAAATTTTATAAAAATTTTTTTTTTCGAAATTAAAAAAATCCTAATTCGCAAAAATTGGAAAGCAAATATTAATTAATTTATAAAATTTATGCTTTAAAAAGCAATTTGTTTAAAATTAAACAGAATTAGCTCTAGATTTCATTATAATAATTATCACTTATATATCAAAATTTTTTTCCATAAAAAATTTTTCTATTAAAAAAATTTTTGTTCACTCACGGAGGGTGGGTTTTTGGGCAAAAAATAGGGATTTTTCTAATGGTTTTGTTCACTCACGGAGGGGGGGGGAGTAAGAATTTTATTTTTATTGTAGAGTTTTTGATGAGCATATAGAGAAAGTGCTGCTATTTTAATTAAGGACATTAATGGAATAAGTAGGTCTTAAATTGCACAGAAGTAGGACAGAAATGTCTACTTTTTAAATAATAGTTCTTTCAATATGATATTTTTATGATTAAATGAATCTTTATATTCAATTTAAAATAAAAACTAAAGAAATTTTTGATATTTACTAGTTTTTTTTATGCCTTTTATCAAAATGATTTGAAATAATAAGCTAGCAAAAAAAGTTAGGCGCAAGTAATTTACATATATCGAAGCATGGGAGAATTTTACAAAATGTTATACCAAAATTTAATAATTATTGTAATTTTAATCCAAAGATTAATATTATTTACTCCTAGCTTTACCAATGTCAACAAGATTTGCTGGTAATATCTGCTTAACCTCTTCTAAAGAACTTGAGCCTAGTTTTTCAAGCAGAGCTTTGTACATATATCCAGAATTTTTTACTGTTCTTGTTAAATTTCCTGCATAATCTACATAAGTAATCCCAAACTTCCCATCAAAACCATCAGCCCACTCAAAGTTATCTATAAGTGACCACAAGAAATATCCTTTAACTTTAATCTTATCCAAGACAATGGCATCAATCATGCTCATGATATATTCATGTATATTGAGTGCAATCATTTAAAGCCTTTAGAAAAAATGTCCCAAAAAGGTAAAAGAGCTTTGGCAATAATATATTTTCTCACGAATCAAATACATAGCAGGAAAATTTGAGTAGAGATCAAACTTAACTGGCTTGTTCATAAAAATCATAATGCCAAAGACGTTTTTCCTTTGGGGGAATTTTTCATAGAGAATCTAAAAAAGACTATTTGCAATACATAGTTTACTCTGCATGCATCATTTAGACCTGTCTCGATTGAAGCGTTATGCTCTCCCCAACAACTGATCCCATTTTCAAGTATATAAATATCAGGATCATTATATCTTTTTTTTATCCAGTTCAAATGATCTCTAAATCCAGGCGCATACGCATTGACCCACCAAGAGTTTGTGAATGGGCCTATTAAATTTCCTGTTTTATTAAAAGCACTGGTTTTAATTCTTGGATCGCTAATATAATTAATCCCTGGAATTCCAGTGTGTTGTGCATACTGGGTTGTATAATAATTAAATCCTAAAAAGTCATAAGAGCCTTTTAGCATTTCACTTTCGCTTTCAGTGAAATTCGGGAGTCTGTTACCAGTAATTATAGATGACATTTCCTCAGGATATCTTCCGAAGGCTATTGGATCAGTTAGCCAGCCAAATTGAAAAGCTACTGCTCTGTGAGCTGCGTTAATATCATCTATATTTTGGTTATCATAAGGCAGAGCAAATGTGCTACTAGATGCCATTCCAATTTTTCCTCCTTGAAGCTTTTGATATTTTTCCCTATATGTTTTAACAGCGTAACCATGAGCCAAAAAAGCATGATGAGCTACTATATAAGGCTCAGTGCTTGAATTTCCGCCTCCTCCTATTTCCTTACACCATGAACCAAAATTTGGGCTGCATCTCCCTGGAGCATGAAGCCCAGTTCCATAGCCTACCCAAGCCATGACCTTGATTTCGTTAAAAGTGATCCAAAATTTCACCTGATCTCCAAAATTTTTAAAGCAAAAATCTGCATAATCATTGAATTTAAATACAATGTCCTTGTTAAGCCAAGTGCTTTTGTCAGTAAAATTATTAAAAGTCTGAGGTAAATCCCAATGATAAAGAGTAACATATGGAGTAATCCCTGCATTTAGTAAAGCACCAAATAAATTCCGATAGAACTTCACGCCTTCTGGATTTGGAGAGTCGATTAATCCTGTAGGAAGAATTCGTGGCCAAGAAATAGAAAGCCTCAAATGTTTGATTCCTAGCTTTTGCAGGAATAAAAATGGTAATTTTGACGGAAATAGGACTTCGAAACGCGCTCCTTATGAAACAGGTAGGGCCCGTCCTGATGAAGCTGAAAACAGGGCCTGTTTATCTTTTTTGAAGTAGGTGTTCGGGCTTGGGAATGTCTTGCCGAAGAAGGAAGTTTGGAGGCTTTCCTGTCTCTACCATGTGGGCTAGACAGATTTTCCCTAACACATTTGTCTTCATCTATCAGGGCTATTGGGACACCTGACAGAGAATGGCTCTAGTCTAGGGAGTTAATCCTTAAGTTAGGTGATTTTGCCAGAAAATTCAAGAGAGTGTAATTTGGTTGATCCTTAACCATTTACACTCTAGTGTATACGCACCAGCCACCTTTCTGGTGTTAAGGTAGCCTGGCTAGTGGGTGCCGCTTATGGCCGTGTAACATTTTTAACCTTTTAACCAAGCTTTTTCATTAGCTCAATATCCTCTGGATATCTGTGATAAAAATCAGCTGCCACTTTTGCATTATAGTTATTTCTGATGCGTCCAGGGAACTCCTGGAAGTAATCCCACATACTCATACCTTTTCCAGACTCATTCCATGCACCTTCAACTTGAAAAGCAGCAATTCCTGTACCCCATGCGAAATCTTCAGGAAATTGAGTTGCGAAAGTAGCAAGAATCAAAATTGGGGAAAGAAAAATTATCATTATAATTAATGCAATCTACTGGTTGGAAAATTCTTTTTAAATTAAATAGAATTTATGGATAATGAATAATAAGATTATTATAGACAAAAAATACGATTTTCATGTGGATTTTTAAGAATTAATTTCATGAAGCAAATTAAGTTCTTCATTAAAAAATGGCTGATAATGGAACTTAAACTATGCATTAGTTCATCTTTGTGCCTTATAGATTACTTTTGTTTTCTTAAATGTTAGTTTCTGTTTTGCATTTTATTATTTTGAAATATCATCATTATGCAAAAGTGCCTTTAGATTTATAATGGCTACTCCCTATGTTTCAACCTACCCAATAAAAGCAAAATCAATCTCCTGCTCTTCAAATCACATTATTGCCTGCACAGATTCTTCACTGAAAATATATTCTTATCCTTCGTTTAACTTCTGCCAGTCAATTGATGTAAACTCTACTCAGAATTTCCCTTATCCTTCACAAATTCTTCTTACTCAAGGACAAATTTTGACTCTTTCTCCTAAGTTTCAAGTCTGAACTTATCCTGAAGGAATCTTATTGTAAAATTTATTTAAGGTTTACCTATGAAGCTTCAAATCCTAAGCATTTTTCAGTAGATCGCCATGATGTTGCATTACTCTTAAAATCAAAGATAGTTCTTTTATCTCTTATTGACTTATCAACAGTAATGGAAATCGAAATAAAAGTTGAACCTAACAAAATTCTGCTTATATCCGGACGATGAATTTTACTTCAAGAAAAATATTGACTCCGAATAATCAATTTTGAAGGAAAAGAAATCCATAGTTTCAATCTGAAAAATCCTGGCCTTCTTGGATTTATGAATTGATTACAGCCAGCACCTGACGCAATTCACATAGGCCAATACGGTTTAATTTGCATAACAACTGACGAAAAAACATTTTTTGTGGATTATGATTTAAAAAGGTATCCAAGATATCAAGAAATCAATCATGAGTTCATGCCCTTATACGTCGCATTTTTGCATCCCTGCTATATTTTGGCATTCGCTAAATCCTACCTGAACATATATTTAATTCATTCTGGTGAATGCATTTATAAGATGCCAAACATTTGTTACAGTGAAATTACAGCATTTACATATGACACTCTCTTAATGAGCAATTCAGACTCTTTAATGTGTTTCAGTTCTCCTTCTTTAGATACTATAATCTCTACCTATTTAGGTGAGAAAAGATTTGACGTCGCCCTCGAGATTTGTGCTGATACATGCTCAAACTTGGAGTCAAGGGTTTATTTTGAGTATGGAGTCCATATGTTTTTTCAAGACAGAGATTATCAAAGAGCTGCACATTATATGAGAAAAAGCGAAGAATATTGAGGGGTCTGCTCTTTGATGAGCAAAATCGTAAAACTCCCACCAATTGTGAAAGATAAATGCAAAGTCAATCTAGAAAATGCAGTTGAGAGAATAAAAAATTATTCGCTTTTAAGGTCTCATTTTAATTATATAGCGCAGTTTGAGCCTTTGACTTATGACAAGACATTGAAAAACAAAATTATAAAAAATTTCATACCTTTTTTCCATATGATAAGAAAAAACGATGATCAGTGTTTGAGGAACTTTGCTGAGTCTTGGATTTTTTCTGCAGTTTTACAGATCCCTAACCCCCCCCCCCCCCTCCGTGAGCGAACAAAAAAATTTTGTTCGCTCACGGAGGGGGGTTAATTTTTTTTTTTAAAAAAAAAATTATATATAAAATTTTATAAAAAATATTTTTTTCGAAATTTAAAAAAATCCTAATTTGCAAAAATTGGGAAGCAAATATTAATTTAATTTGCAAAATTTATATGTTTTAAAACGCAATTTGTTTAAAATTAAACAGAATTAGCTCTAGATTTCATTATACTAATTATCACTTATATATCCAAATTTTTTTCCATTAAAATTTTTTCTATTAAAAAAATTTTTGTTCACTCACGGAGGGTGGGTTTTTGGTCAAAAAATGGCGATTTTTCTAATGGTTTTGTTCGCTCACGGAGGGGGGGGGGGAGTAAGCAGACTGCAGAACTTTTACCAATAGTTAGAGACCCCTCAAATACGCTGCCACTTTACTATTGTGAAGGGGTGTTAAAGAAATCTGGCCAGTATGATTTAATGCTTGAGCTATTCTTATCTCGAAAAATATATAGGCCAGGACTAGAAGTGTTGTTTAAAAAATATGAGGAAGAAAAGACAATTTACTGATTGATCAAGACAAGGGACTATTTGTCAAGGATGCAGTCCAATGAAGAAGTCTTTTTGGAGTACACAATTAAGCTATTTTGCGAAAGCAAATCTTTGGCTGAAGAGCTATTTTTGACATGTCCAGCAATAATTCCAAAATTGGATATTTTAGGAAAACTCTTGCCTATGATGATGAAATATTCAGGCCCAAGACTTGTGATTGGGTTTTTATCTGTTTTGGAGAACGGCCCGCCTGAGTATTATAACTATTTGGCAAAAATTTATATAGAAGAAACTTTAGATGGAGAGGTAAATCCAAAGGAATTAGTAGAATTTTTGAATAGAAAGCCGACAAGATATGACCCAGAAACAGTTTTAACGTATTTTCCTAACTCCCCCCCCCCCTCCGTGAGCGAACAAAAAAATTTTGTTCGCTCACGGAGGGGGGTTAATTTTTTTTTTTTAAAAAAAATTTATATATAAATTTTATAAAAAATATTTTTTTCGAAATTTAAAAAAATCCTAATTTGCAAAAATTGGGAAGCAAATATTAATTTAATTTGCAAAAATTTATGTTTTAAAACGCAATTTGTTTAAAATTAAACAGAATTAGCTCTAGATTTCATTATACTAATTATCACTTATATATCCAAATTTTTTTCCATTAAATTTTTTTTCTATTAAAAAATTTTTGTTCACTCACGGAGGGTGGGTTTTTGGTCAAAAAATGGCGATTTTTCTAATGGTTTTGTTCGCTCACGGGGGGGGGGGGGGGAGTAAAGGATATCTCCAGAGAGAGCGATGTTTATTGCTGGACCTAATTGGAAGATATGAAGAAATTATTCATTACTATATTTATGAAGAAAAATCGCTTATAAATGCAAAACTGTATGTACTCTATAAGCGAAATACTGAAGTTTCAAGCATTTTTATTAGCAAACTTTGCAAATCTCCCTCGAATCAAGACCACATTAAATTTTTAGTCGATTTTCTTAATGAAGCAAACCCTGAGATTATTGACCATCACATAGCTTTAAGCCTTCTCCCAAAAAATCTCCCCATGGACTCAATTATAAAATACCTTTACAACGCTTTTCACAGCCTCGAAGAGCGAAAAGTAAAAATCAAGCTCAAACGTCGACTTCAAGAAACTCACTTCCTCGACCTTATTTTAGATTACTACAAGCACGCTCATGAAAACGTAGAAATCACTGAAGACACACGATGTGACATCTGCAAAAAGAAAATAAAAACAAAAGACTTCATTGTCACCTATAAAGGAGAAATCCAGCATGAAGACTGCTACGAGCAGAAGAAGATTAATACTAATTAAGCTATAAGAAATGTTTATCTGTTTTAATTGTGACTAAAAGTGCCAAAATAATCATCAAAGATGAGACCGTGACAGAAATAATCGATAAAGGCTCGTTCCACAGGTTCATTCTGCTGTTATTGATACATTGGATTACCAGCTCAGGAAAAGATTCCAGCGTGACGTGGAGGAGCATGCTAACCCTATACAAAGCTTTGTTTTTAGAAATAGGGATCTCTAATGCAGTTTTGAAAATAAAATGAATGCACAAGGTCATAGTTTCTTTGAAATCTTTTATCACTTGTTCTTGCACATAAACTTGACTGCGGAATATCCTGACTTTTAAAGTTGTGTCAAATATAAACCCAAAAATCATAAAAATAAAAATTCCGCCAGTAGCTGCAAATGCACTGGCAATTGCGATGTTGTGTATAATATTGTTCAGGAACGGCTTGCTCCACAGATAGCAATAATCAGTAGCGAAATCTAATAAATTGAGGTAGAAAATAATACTTGCCATCCTCCTCGTAGTTATCTTGCGCCAAAGACCCATTTAATAAATTGTTCTAATTCTAAAATGGAGTATAAACTTGAAAATCGATCTCTGTCATCTTCAACAATTAAAAAGAAGCCAAAAACGCCTAAAGACATAACACAGCTCACTCGGAGCACTGAATCACGTAGAAAGTTACTCCGAAACGTATCTATGCCGACAGTTATTAACTTAAAAGCGAAAAGTTTCAAAAAAAAATCCCCGAATAACATCTCCCATGAAAACATTCCTTTTACAGTTAAGCCTAAATCCCGAGACAACTCCCATTTACTAAACAGCTCTAAAAAAGACTTGATTCAGTTCATTCGGGCTCAGCATTTTCCGCTTCCAAACGCAGGAAACTTCACTTTGCGGATAATTGAAAAGCCCAAACTATTGATTAAAAACGATAAGAAAACCCCGCGTTTGGAAGAAAACAAGCCCAATACGTCACGCGGAAGACTTTCAATTAGGGCTCGGCCGAACTCAAAAGAGAAGGCTAATTTCGTTTTGACGCAGTCATTGATATCTCCGACCTTTAAAGAAATTAAAAAAGCTATAAGGAAATATGCATCCAAGACAAAAACTGGAAATATTGGTGGAGTCCCGAAAAAAGAAAACCAGGATGCATGGTTGGTTCGCTCAGATTTTGCTAATACACACAATCAGTTTCTATTATCTGTCATGGACGGGCATGGGATTTTTGGGCATAAGGTGTCCGCTTTTGTAAAAAAGACTTTGCCTTTGAGGATTGAAGGATTCATTCCTTCTGAAGGTAATTGATATTTAGTCACTACAAAAAACGTGCTGACATCTGAAGATATCAGCAAAATTAAGCATGCAATGGCAGAAGGGTATTTGAAAGTCTCTGAAGATTTAGTTAATAAAAAGCAGATAGACATCACTTATTCAGGAAGCACTGCAGTGTCTGTCTTAATTAGAGGTGACTTATGCATATGTGCAAATGTAGGAGACTCAAGGGCAGTCATTGGAAGATTTGATGGGATAAAATGAAGCGCAATGCCGTTATCAAGAGATCATAAGCCAAATGACCCACTAGAGCAGTTGAGGATTGTGAAATGCGGAGGAAGAGTTGAACCTTATGTAGAAGAAAGCGGCCGTTTTGTAGGGCCACATAGAGTTTGAATGAAAAATGAGCAAGTTCCAGGACTTGCTATGAGCAGAGCGCTAGGAGATTTTGTAGCTTCACAAGTAGGGGTTATTGCGGAGCCAGAAATAATCGAGCATAGGCTGACAGAAGCTGATAAATTTATTATTATTGCTTCGGATGGAATTTGGGAATTTTTAAGTAGCCAAGACTGTGTAAATATCGTGGCTAGCTATTTCCAGCTTGACGATGCAGAAGGTGCATGTGCGAGGCTTACTGAAGAATCTGAAATTGCATGAAAAAAGCATGATGATGTGACTGACGACATCACAGTCATCGTTGCTTTCCTAAACACATAAGTTGAGATTGAGATGCTCAATATCTATTTGAAATGTATAAAATAAATTAAAATAGCCCTAGAGTTAATACTAAGAATGAGATTACTCATTAAGTGAATTTAGGCTGATATCACTGGATAGAAGCTCTCATCTGAATTTCACATACGCCAAGACCATCTTTAATGCTAAATCTGCAATATCCAGATTCTCTCCAACTATCGCCCCATGAATTCTAAACTATATATTCACTTCTAGCTGAATAAATTAATACTATAATACTTAAAATATTAGTCTTTATATGAAAACAATATCTCCCTTGATCACATTCTTAAGAGTGTGTGCTCTAGATGATCCATTGTCTCATAATATGGAGGAGCAGCGTAATTATTATAGCCAACTGCAAGAACGCCAAGATTAAGTCTCGTTGAGCACAACTTGGTGATTAACCCGCTTTTATAGAACTGCCAAGCAAATAAGTTCTCATCAACTGCTACTGAAACTGGAGTTATTTCTGTTTTTTACTTTATAGTTAAATATTTAGACTTAATTTTCTAACAGATATAATTTGGCATTCAATCTCGTCATAAGGTCAATAGCTGCATAATCACTTACTCCCTCCCTCCTTGAGCGAACAAAACCATTAGAAAAATCCCTATTTTGTGCCCAAAAACCCACCCTCCGTGAGCAAACAAAAAAATTTTTTGATATATATGTGATAATTATTATCATGAAATCTCTAGCTAATTCTGTTTAATTCTAAACAAATTGCGTTTTAAAATATAAATTTTACAAATTAAATTAATATTTTGCTCCGAAGTGGGATTTTTTAAATTTTGAAAAAATAAAATTTTGTAAAAAAAAATAACCCCCTCCATGAGTGAATAAGGTTTTTTGTTTGCTCACGGAAGGAGGGGGTTAGAATTTAAACAATGCTCAAGATTATATTTAATTAAAAAAGAATGATCACTTAAAATTATATGACAATCCATTAAAAAAAAATAATAATAATATATTCAAATTAACAATCAAAATTTTTTTAAAGATTAGGAAAATATATTGCTCCCTTTACCATTATTTTAATCTGAGTTTCAAAAGTGTTTGACATATAGGATAATGGCAGCAATATATACAGCATAACACATTAGATAATAGCACACTTTTTTTTATGTTCTGATTTTTGTTTTTCTTCATAAATTTGTAAAAGCTCACAGATCTTTATCCTATTATTCATTTCAGCAAGCATTAAAGCAGTACTTCCATTATTATTTGTTATAGAAGTAGATACCCCTCAATCAATTAGCTGCATTACGGCTTTTTCGTGTCCATTAGCTGAAGCTGAGTGTAGAGCTGTGTATCCACGAAAATCCTGGACGTTAATTTGCGCTCCATTTTTATAAAAAAATTCCATCATTTCTACGTCTCCATATTCAGCAGCACTTATAAACAGGGGAGTTTCATGCTCACAAACACTATTTAGGTCAAATCCTTGCTCCAAAAGATATTCTAACATTTTTTTGCAGCCTTTATTATGATTATAAGCTAAACACACTATACTTTTATAAAGGCAGCAAAAATTTGTAGATTTATTTTGTACTACTAGCTCTTTTTCTTTTTCTTTTATTCCCCAAAGAATCAAATTTTGTAATAGGCTGGACGCTCCTTTTAGATTATTGTTGCTTAAATAATATCTAAGCCCGTCGTAAACTCAATCAAATGGAAATTCGTCCAAACTAAAATTGCCTGAAGTAAAAGCATAATCAAGGATTTTCAGGTGAGGAGAGTTAGGCCGACTGTTGTAGCTAGGTCTACGATTTTGTAGTGATAGCTAGATCACCTCAAAATGGCGCGACATAGGTATTGGAAATTTTTAAAAATTTCCAATTAAATCACAGCCTCTTTATTAGAGCCAGCCTATCCCAATAGGGGGTATCGACTTATGCCGACTCACCAAAAAATATAGAGATAGGCCGGATGCGAAAATTTGGTATAGTGTTAGACCAGAAATTTTTTTTTTTTTTGGCAATAGATTTAGGCCGTATTTTTAAAATTTTATTTTTAGCACTAGACTTAGACCGAAAAAAATACAGTCGTGTTATGCCGATTATATATGTTATTTTTTCAGATAAATTAATTTAATAAAATATAGTAAGAATATTGTAAGAATATTGTATGAATATATGAAATAATCCTTAAGCCTTAATCTATATGATATAAAACTCGTTTAAAAAATAATATTGCTACGATTAATAAAATAAATTTATTCCATTAGATGATCCAAGTCTTGATCTACAAATGATGGAAGCACCCATCGTCTTGAGGTATTGTCCAGAATATAATTATTAGTATTATGTAGAAATCAGTTATTGCACAGAATAAACTTTAAAGTAATGACTTTTCACTGCAAAAATTGCTCTAACCTGATTATACCTTAAGTATTTCTGCCTAACCCTCCTGAAATTTTTCCTAGTTTATTGGGTTTCGGCCTAAAACTACTGCAACAAAAAAAAATATTCGGCCTATGTCTAATTATTTTTGACTAGCCGACCTAAGCCGATACCCCCCGATTCCTCCCTGCCGGCATAGGCCGGCTTGATAAAAAAAATATGGAATGTTTTAAAAATTTCCAATACCTTGTCGCTAAATTTTAATCAAAAAAAGCTATTGCTACAAAATAATAGACATAACTTTGCAGGTCGGCCTAACCCTAACATAAAGATTGAGACAGGCCGACCTACGAAGTTATGTCTATTTTTTTGTAGTGATAGTTTTTTTTTACTAAAATTTAGCGACATAGGTATTGGAAATTTTTAAAAATTTCCAATATTTATCAGAGCCGGCCAATGCCGACAGGGAGGAATCGGGGGTATCGGCTTATGCCGGATCACAAAAAATAAATAGAGATAGCCGGATGCAAACATTTCGTATAGTGTTAGGCCGAAAAGTTTTTTTTTTTTATTCACAATAGATTTAGGCCGAGAAAAAAAAAAATTTTTTTTTGGCGAGTTAGGGAAGAAGAATTAAGGAAAAAATTATATATAAAATCGGCCTAACCCTATTAAAACTTTTTTACTTTTTTTTCGCCTAAAAAAAAAAAAAATAATTTTCGGCCTAACACTATACCAAATTTCTGCATCCGGCCTATCTCTATATTTTTTGGTCTATCTGGCCTAAGTCGATTACCCCCGATTCCTCCCTGTCCACATAGGCCGGCTCTGATAAAAATCTTGGAAATTTTTTAAAAATTTCCAATACCTATGTCGCCCATTTTGAGGTGATCTAGCTGTCACTACAAAATCGTAGACTAAGTTACAACAGTCGGCCTAACCCTCCTCACCCAGGATTTTCGGATGGAAAATAAGGGGATTCAAATGTTCGGACTTATAGGAGCCTTTGCACTTCCAAAACGCAAATTTTTTGTGAATTAAATAAGAAAACAGTTTAATATCTTCATTTTCAATAGCTATGCAATAAGGAGTGCATTCAGCGAAATTGTCAAAAAAATCTATCTTATGAACGCCATCATCAACTAAAATATCTAATATTGAAAAATCTTGGGTTTCACATGTCACTTTTGCTGCTCATGTTATAGCTACAAGTCAATAATTGTATGAATAAACATTCATTATGTCGGAATTATTCCTAAAATAGTATCCTGTATATCAAATATTGCAACCAGACTTCATCAGAAGTCTCACCAACCGTATCATATTTTTGGCAATGACCGCACAAAAGAATTCATGGGATAAGTTTGCTCCGCTCTTTATAATTATTCTGATTATTTTCTCCAGCAACTCCACATCTATACTTAACTCAGTAAGCCGAATCAACGGATTTGCTCATTCTTGGTTTACCTCAAATTTAAATTCATATAAATTTACATCTCCACCATATTTTAGTCACTCCTCGAGCTTGCTTGTGTTTGCTTCCTCAATGACATCTCTTAAGATTTCGCCAAGATTCTGAGTAACTACTCTTATACCTTTATTTCTTATCACATCTACAACGCTATTTTGCTCTTCAAGTGATATAAACAAAGTCTTCAGGTTTGATGATAAAATGCAATTAAGGGCTTCTGAATCTTTTTCAATATCTTTAAGATATGGGGAATTGCTTACTCCACCGCTACATGAACTAACAAATAAATTTTGTTCGTTCATGGAGAGGGGTTAAATTTTTTTCATTCCAATTTGCAAAAACTGTAAAGAAAATATTTATTTAATTTGTAAAAATTATATTTTAAAATGAAAGCTGTTTAAAATTAAACAGAATTAGGAAGAGATTTCGCTATAATAATTATCACTCATATATCGAAATCTTTTTCATAATTTTTTTTTTCGCTCGCGATGAGTTTTTGGGTAAAAAAAGGGATTTTTCTAACCGTTTTGTTCACTCATGGAGGGAAGGGTTAAATCTAAGAATTCTAACCTTTTATATCCTGAAATTATCAAGGCTACATCTTTTGCTGTTGCAGCGGTATTACCAGCGTACAATCTTTTTAGATTGGGGTTAGGCTAAGAGAGGTTATTAAAGTCAGGCGTTAGTATATTGGTTACGCAGTCATCAAAGATCTTCCCTAAGGGAGGTTTATCCGCTTTTTAACTCCAGCCTAGAGGGTCTTTACAGCTGGATGCATTTCCGGTACCTTCTCCTCCTTGCCTTTTTAGTCTTGAGTGCTTACGGATTTCTGTGTGGCCTTGCTACGGGTGATTGGAGTAGTTTGATTGCAAGAATCAACTCCTTGTAGCCTATTGGATGCCGACGTCAGCTAGGAAACAGACTAATCCCTTGTGGCCTGAGCGAAATCTCCAGTTTCTTGGTAGAGGAATGACCATGAGTCCTCGGATCCAAAGGACTTTTTGAGCATGTCCATTTCAACTACAAAAAAGCAGTCAAAACCTACCCAAATACACATTATTTAGTTCTGTGCTTGGAGTCCATCTCGGTTCGCCGTGTGGCCTTAAGGCCTGGATTGTTGCACCAAGATGGTAGGCTTCACGTGTCGCAATTTTTGTATTTTTTTAGATTAGGGAAAAGCTCTAAAATGGTTTTATAATTGCTACACACCATGAATTTATAAGTATCTTTGTCATAATACCCACGCTTTAAATTTGTGATCCTCAATTCTTCAACGTTATAGAATGAATTTTCATTTCCATATTTCTTCTTCTTGCTGCAGATTATATCGACTCACAATGCAAAGTCCGAAACATTGCAGCTAGATAAGTTCAGGATTTTGGGCTGTGAAACATTTATGACTTCAATAAAACTTTTTGAAGGAAACAAGCAAGAGCCTTGAAAATTTAGCTCGTATAGTCTCCATTGTGATAAAAATTTCATCCTGCATTTCCAAAATTTTTTTGTACCCATTTTGTGGCCTTTTAATGTTCCAAGGTGCAAAGAGTTCTTCATGGCCCGATACCATTCTTTGCAGACTAAGGATAATAGATAGGCTTCGTTTATAGGACCTACTGAAGTTAGAATCTCACAAAGCAAATAGTAAGGAATTCTCTTCATATTCAAATAATAATTACAAAAATTGTAGGTTACACTTCTTTTAAATTAAAACAAAATATCGTTAAATTTCTATTTTTTTAATTAGCTCAGCTTTAAATTTTATTTATATATAAAAATAAATTCCTATGGAAATAGCGTTGGTACTTAATTTAATCCAAAATCGGAAATTTACCTATAATTTTTCTACTTAAAGGGCGAGAGTAAATAAATTACTATTTGATAAATTAATTACCTTAAAAAAAAATATTAATTTGCTTAAAAGATAATCCCTTTAAACTGAAACAGATTTATTATTCAAATTTAAAGGGGAGTTATACAATTTAAAATTTAAAGATTTAAGCTTTATTTAAATTATTTATAAATTCATATATTTATTTATATTATTTCCATTAAAACTATTAGAAGATTAAGCAAGCACATGAGCCTCTTTTTACAGTTTGCACTTTGACAGCTGGCGTATTATCTGCTTGATTCACAATGATAACTTCACCACCACTCCTTTTGGCAAGTTCAGCTTTCAAGGCCCTTATTTCTTCTTCTTTCCTCATCAATTCTTCTTGTAATGCTGAAGACTTTCCTGGGCTGCTTGCCATTTTTGAAAATCCTTGAGGACTTTTAGGATCAAAAAGCTCAGCACCAAGCTCTTCTTCAATATCTAAATTTGCCATTCCTGGGTTCAAATTTATCCCTGTCTTAACAATAGCTTTATTCACATTGGCTTTAAGCTTATTTAGCTCTCTTTGCTTCATTTCTTGTGTGATATCTCCATAAACAGCTATAGCTAGTGCATGATTTAGGAACTTTTCAGCAATTTCTGTAGTCAGATCAATATTGTGAGTTTTCAAATAATTAAAATGTGGATTTGTGGTAGTCTCCATGCATTTTTCAGTTGAAAACTCTTCTTCAGAGACCATATCAAGCCGATATTTGCAGAAAATTCCTGTACTAAAAGCATCTGGGACATCTACAGCTTCGCTAATACTAACTGCTAGATTAAGCTGCTTCCCTGCAAGTTCTTTGAGATTGTCAAAATCACTAGGAGAAGCTCCTTCAAGCCCAGGCTCTACTGCTACCCTTAATGAACCTCTTCTTGATCCTCTGTCATCAATAATAGGAATGAAGTCTTCATCGAGGCTCAATAGGTGATAAATCACGTCCAAGTACACATAAGCATAGCCAATCAATCTATAAGTGTCTCCCAAACTGTCAAGTTTATCAGAAAATGGGTCATAGCCAATGTCGATTTCAGAAGGGTCTGCGCCTAAAGAGAGCTGATTGCAAATTTCCTGCATATCCACAAGCCTAGCCTCCAGCTTCTCTAGTGGCCATTTTATTTGGAAATCGTCTGAAAGGCCTGGGTAGGTAACTCTTATCCTTACCTTAGTACTTGTAAGGCCAGTTCCAACACCTGTGCGGCCTGGATCAGCCTCTCTATATAGTTCAGGCTGGAATAGAGCATTTTTTCCTAGTACAACTGCACGCTCATTAGCTTCATTTATTTGCTGAATCGCATTTGTCAGCATTTTTTTAAGCCTTTCAAGAGCGTTTCTTTCTTCTTCATGCTGCTTCATTTTGATTTCTTTTTCCCTGATTTCTTCTTCCATAGCTCTCTGTCTTGCTTTCAGCTCTGCTTCTTTATCAGCCAAAGCTTTTTGTGTAGCTGAGTCTTCGTTTTTCTTGGATTTTATTAATTTTTCAAGCTGCATTCTTTCTTCATCCATTTTTTTCCTAGCTTCTTCCCACTCTGCTTCAAGCTTTTTCCTCATTTCTTCTTCTTTAGCCTTAATTTCTTCATCTTGATGCCCAAGGAGCACTTTAACCTGCTCTTCATTTGCTTCATTGACAGCTTTTTCCCAGTCAAAAGGAGCCCCACCTAGTTCTTCAGGGTCAATAAATAGAAAATAGTTGTGATTTCCAAAGCGAATTCTGTCTTGATGATTCAGCACAGTTTCTTCTGTTAATATTTTCCCATTTAACATAGTTTTCAAATTGGGGTCTTGAGATGGGATTATTTTGTATTCATCATTTTCATATACAGCTTATGCAACATAATAGATCGCTATTGCCAAGCAGCATATCGACCAAAAAAAATTATTCAGAACGATTGCTTTAAACAGTCTAAGTCTGATTAGGCGTCTCAGACCATGCACTGAGATTGATTAAATTTCTTTTTTTTATCATAAAAAACTGGCATACGCAAATTTATTTTAAAATTAAAAATGGATGCTTAATAATGGCCTGTCAAAATGCAGAGGGATATATAACGACACAGTGATCAATTCCCACTCCTAGCCCTTCTATAATGATACCAGGCGGCGAACTTGGGTTCTTCTTACCAATCACATTTCTTCCAGGCTTAAATTGATGTTTGATATAGCCTGATAATAAAGGGTCTTCGTTTAAATTCGATAAATGGGGCTTTGTTATTTTTTCAGGCTCTTGCTGCACAGGTGCAACTATATGTGGCTTGCTCCCATGATCCCTCAGCCTATCTTGCCATGTTTTTTCAGCTTCTTCTTTAGCTTTCCTCAGTTCTTCTATTTGCTTCTCATACTCTTTTTTTGTTTCTTCATCCATTCTTATCACTTCTGCTCCAGGTGAGGCCTGTACATACTTTCCTTCAATCATAGCTTTAAGCCTTTCATTTTCTTCTTTAAGTTCCCTAATAAGCTTTTCTTGTGGAGTTTCATTGATAACAGCAGCATTTTTAATTGACTTGACAGCATCCGCATATCTGAGAGTGCTCATAGTTTCATCATAATTAAACGTGGCAGGCGAAATAGCAGCGATCATAGTAGTCATGCTATTCCCACCGAGCGCGTTTTGAAGGATTCTGGTCAGTTTGGATTCTCTGTAAGGGATGACTTCTCCTTTGCCTAGCTGCCCAGATGAACGCTTCGCTAGAGATGTGATGACTTTTCCAAGTGTTGATAAAGATTTATTGATATTGCTACCTTCTTGGAGACGATCTCCAGTTGCACCAGTTTTTGAAGCTCTTTCTGAGCCTGCAAGATCAACAAGGTTGATGTTGCTTTGTTTGCGATTTAAAGGTTTCCCGGTTTCTTCATCATAAAAGATTTGGGTAAAAGAAATAGTGAGGACTGTATGGGCACGAGAGCTAGTTGCATTCATTTGAGTAGCAGCAACTGTACGACTCTTATTGCCTTTATCTAAAACTGCTGAGATTTCTTCATAAGATGTACAGACTTCCTCTGTCTGATCTTCAACAAAAACGCCTCTTTTAGGGTCTTCTCTAATTTTCAGCCCTCCTTTTACTCTGTTTTGTGGAGGCTGCAACAGATCTTGGACTTGTTCATTATAAATTTCAAGCATACTTGCAGCGACCTTGCATTCGATATATGGTGAAGCTCGGTCATTTATTCTTCTGAAAATTTCTTCACAGGCAATTGGGATGATTCCTTTGTTATTCCCATATCCTACCATCGAGTAGGATTTTCCTGAACCTGTCTGCCCATATGCAAATAAGCAGCAATGGTAACCTTCCCATGCGTTATCAAGAACGCCAATCCCAATATCATTGAAAACCATTTGCTGATCTGCATACCTAGACCCTGGGCCATCTTTGGTGAGAACTCCAGTTTCGGGGTCTTCTCTGGATCCATCATGAGACCAATAGCTATAGTCAAAAAAGAATTCTCTGCTTGTGCCTTGCTCTCTATTCCAAACTTTGGTCATGTTGCCTTTCATGTCAACACAAAGTTCAGCGCCTTCTTCACGCTCACGGTTATTGAAAGGTCGGACTCTGACTGCAACTTTTACAGCGGAAGCTGCCATGTTTTAAAGTATAGAGGAATTGAGTTATTTTGAACTAAAAGGTTTCACTTTTGGTATCTTTATTTTTAGGAGTCATATATTGTAATTAAATTACCTCTAAAATAATGGAGAGAGTAAATTCAGTTGACTGTGAAACAAAGCTGGAGCTGGCCCAAGCAGCTAATGAATGCCCTTTAAATAGTCAAGAAATCCCTCCTGTAAGCGATGCTGAACATTCAGTGAAGCACTGCTATTGCCACCACTGCACTTGTGGATTCCATCAATGTCCAGCTGATCTTATCAGCAAAAGACCATCAGCAAGAGATGCTTGGATTTCTCGGTATCGAAAAGAATTCACCAGCTTTCCCAATGAAATGAAGACATAAAAATAAAATAAATATTTTGTTTAAAAATAAATGAAAGTTTTAATTCATTATATAGGAAGAGATTAAGCCAAAATCTCCATCATCAATAAGCCCAGGAAGCTGAAAGAAAATAGCAAAAAGCTATGTGCCTAAGTTTGACGGTCTAACTACACAAAAGGCTGATTATATTAATTACGGTAGTTATGAACCTGCAAAAACTGAAAGGATTATCAGAGAGCCTCAGAATTTAAAGACCTTATCAATGTCTTCTTATAAGAGTGAATACATTGATTGAAAAAGCGGAGACCCTGTTCATGTAAAAGTATCTCCACTTCCTTATCGAGGAGACATGGTAAAGTGAAATCACAATTCAGTTTACCGTGAAAATTATAGGCTAAACTCAGGCCATATAAAAAATATAATAGCTCGCTCAACAACCCCTCCTCCTTTCCCATCAATCTTTAAAGAAGAGCCTCAGTCAATTCAAAAGACGAGCTACACGAATAGATCATCACAGTCTTCCATCTTAAACAAGATTATAGAGAGACCCAAAGAAAGAACCAGCACAACCCCAACCCCTGGCAATCACTTTTCTACTATTTACAGATCTTCATACAAAGAAAGCAAATTTTTGCCTTTAACTCGTCTTAGATAAATTGTAATACAATAATATAAAATGGATTACGAAGCTCTCAAGGCACATCAAGTAGCTCCACCGAAGCAGGACTTTATGATAAGGATTCTTAGCTTTATTTGTGGATTTGGAATGCTAGGGCTATGCGCTTATAACTTTTGGTTTTTCAAGGTTCGGGTCCCTATTGATATTTTTCTACCAGTTTATTACGGGTATCTGATAATTTAGATTATTTGGACTTATGATGATGGCTGCTGAAATCAGGTCTAAGTGCATAGAAACTTATGCAAGATTTTTATGTGAAACTTTTGGGAAAGGAATGTTCTTTGTATTGTAAGGAATGATATAGAGCGCTGGGACGTTGTGTATAAGGTCAACTTTCATGTAAATTATATGCAGAGGGCAATACGGAATGGCAGCATTATGCATAGGTATTGGGATCTTTATTTTGTGCTGTAGGCCAGTAAAGCAAAATACAACGGCATCTGATCCCCCTGAATCACAATTTCTTGCTTAAAATTAGATAACTTTAATAGACTAATATCTAGAAATCGGATAGATCCTTTTTATTTTTGAAAACTAAGAGCAATTCTATATAAGAAAAAGGGAACTGACATTTAGCATTAAAATTACAATTTTTCTCATATCGGACGTTAGCATTGCATATTTTTACTATCTTTATTTAATTAAAAATATTTTGCCACTTTTTTTGTTTTACCGATGAAGAAATATATATGGCATTTTTCCATAACTTAATAAAATGACATTGAAAATCGCAAATTTATAATTTTCAGATAGAAAATAAATTTTTATACCAAACTAAAGGCTGAATAATAGCGTAATTTCGCTTAAAATTCGAAATGAATTATTATATAAAAAATGATCAAAATTCAGCAAAATCAATGCTTATATAGATACAAATGAATTCTAGCATTGAGCTCAACATCTATACTATATACCAAAGCCAAGAAAAAAATTGTAATATTTCATTATAATTTAAAAAAATTTTGAATTACTGCTTATTGAAGGAGGTTTCAAAATGGTAATAAAAATTTTTATCTTTCCATACAAAAACTAAATTCTGAGATCATATAATTTTCATAATTAATTAAAAAATCATTCAGAATTCTCCATGTTTATCCATTATATAATAAAAATAAATGTCCAGCATACAATCAAAATCAGCAAAAGTATCAAGTTTAAATTCCACCCCAAGTCATAAGATCATTCCTACAGCTGATGATTTAATTCTATCTATTTCATCAGCTATTTGCTCAACGATCAGGGAATCCAACTCAAAGTTGAAAGAAAATCCCTTTTTCACTGACTTACAGTTCAGTGAATATTTTTTTAACTTCGAAAATTACAAAGATTTTAGCAAACAAAAGAACGAAACAAGGCTAGAAAAGGTATTTAGCCTTTTTCAAAGCCTACATAAAGCTTTAAAGATTAGCCATGAGTGTTTCATATTGATCATGATATACATAAAAAAATTTTTGTCATATACCGAGATTCCACTGCTAAATGACAATTGGGAAAATATTGCTTTGATGTCGACACTAATATCTCAAAGAGTGTCGGACAACAACTTCATGTGCGCATCGATATTCGTAGAGTATTTTCCTCAACTTTCCTTGAGAGAAATTGAATTTATGGAAATAGAATTCCTAAATAGAATTGACTACAATTATAAGATTGAAAAAAAAGAGTACTTGGAAATGATAACGTTCCTTCAAGATGCTTATAAATCATACATGACTTTTTCATGGGAAATTGACGTTGAAAAAGTTGATGACATCTTAAAAAGATCGCAGTGACTTTCTATACCTGAAGAAGATAGCAACTCGAACTTTATTTGCAAATCAGATGCAATGTCATTTATCGACTTACTACCCCCCATCCTTGATCGAACGATTCACTGTAAAAATTTCTAAAAATTGGGAAAATTAACCCCATCCTTGATAGAACGATTTTCATAAAAAATATTAGTTATCAAAAGCTTGGGAATATGTGCCTAATGAGAGGTTTTGAGACTACATGAAGCTACGGAATCAACCATCCGAAGTGCTTTAGTCATCAAACTGGCTTAAAAACTCAATAATAATAATAAAAAAGAGATTCTTTAAAATTTTAAATTTTTTAATTCATAAGGAACAAATTAAAATTTATACAGTTTAAAGGGGTAACCAAAAAATCAAAATATTAAAAATTGGTATTCTTATGAAATTAATTCAATTTTTTGCTGTAAAAATAATTATTAAAAATTTTTAACCCTCTTATTTAAAAGTATAGAAAAAAGAAATTTTTATTTTTATATATAAAATTTGTTTTAACGCCCATCCTTGATCGAACGATGGCGAGCCGTTCGATCAAGGATGGGGGTTGTTAGAAGAAATGGAGTTATAAGATACACTATGGGATAAATTATACATTAATACAGTACTTTTTCTATAAATATGCATTTTCTTTTCATCTTAATTTCAAAAATTCCTTAATTAGAATAGAAATAAAATGGTAATGCTCACGGAAATTGTCTTTGAGACGAACTCCCTTAGGAGCAGGTTGACCCATACTGATGAAGCTAAAATAGGCATCTGCCCCCTTATGAAGTATCCCTTCAAGCTTGTAAATGCCTTTCCAAAGAGGGATATTTTGTTTCTCCTTTGAAGATTTTCCTGTCCCTGCCCGTTGGATATATATATACCTCAGAACAGGTATGGCTTGACCTGAAACTCCCCCCTCTCCTACTCCACCCCCCTGACGGTTTCAGTTTGAACGAAATTGTTAATTCAAAATGATAAGTCCCTCGCTAAGGATTTGGCAAGTTAAATTCAATGTTTAGATTTCAATAAAGCTGAAGCCGTCAAGGATGGGGGGAGGGGGGTTCTCAGGTCGATCTAAAACCGTGCTCACGGTATACATTAAAATGGCGACACATATCAGCCTACCCTCTTGACGCAACAGTTCAGACCTTATGCCCACAGCGAACTGGGACTGACTCCAGCCGAGAATCAAGTGCAGGCTCGAGAGATGTGTATCCGGATATTTTTGGCTGCTTTTTGTGATTGGAAATGGAGGTACTTACTCCCCCCCCTCCGTGAGTGAACAAAACCATTAGAAAAATCGCTATTTTTCGCCCAAAAACCCACACTCCGTGAGTGTGAACAAAAATTTTTTATGGAAAAAAATTTTTGATATATAAGTGATAATTAGTATAATGAAATCTAGAGCTGATTCTGTTTAATTTTAAACGAATAGCATTTTTAAAACATAAATTTTATAAAATTAAATTAATATTTGCTTTCAAATTTTCGCGAATTAGGATTTTTTTAAATTTCGAAAAAAAAAATTAAACCCCTCTCCGTGAGTGAACAAAATTTTTTTGTTCACTCACGGAGGGGGGGAGTTAGCAACGTCCTTTGGATCCGACGATCCATGGGCATTCCTTTGCCGAGAGCCTGGATTTCGGCCCAGACTACAGAGGAATAGTCTTTTTCCTATAGCTGTCTAAGGAAGACACTTTGGCACTCGATAGGCTCCAGGATCCTTGGAATCAAGCTACTCCAATCGCCTGCAGGAGGACCGGAGAATCCTAAGTACTCAAGACTGAAGCAGAAAGGAGGAGACAGAAGGTCCCGGAGTGGCATCCATCTTCGAGAAAGACCCTCTGGGGTAGAGTCGAAAAGCGGTAGAACCTCCATACAGGAGGTCTTTGGTGACTGTATCATCAATATGGCTAACGCTGACTTTTAATAATTCTAATCCCTGCCCAATTGGTTAGACAGATTTTGCCTCTCATATAGTTATGGTCTATCGGAACTGTATAGGACCTATAGATTGTGGCCCTAACTTAGGGGAGCTGGTCACAGTTTAGGTGAGTTTAGCCAGAAAATTCAAGAAGGTATAATTTGTTTAGGCCTTACACCATTCGAACTCTTGCGTATACACACCCAGTGTAGGCCGCCTTTCCTGAAGTCAAGACAGTCTGGCTAGCGTTGCCGCCACGGCCGTGAACATTTTAATCTTTAATCAGAATAATATAAAAAATCAAAATGAAATGAAATGTTCATTAGAATATTGGATAGATAAAATTTCATGGTTCGAGAGAAATTAGCTTTCCTATTTTTTTATTTATTGGGTTTGATTTTACTTTAACTCCCTCACTCCGTGACCGAACAAAACCATGGAAAAATCCCTATTTTCATACTTAAAATAAATAAAAAATAATTTTGATATATAAATATATAAGTGGTAATTGCTATAATGATATATCTTGCTAATTCTGATTAATCCTAACTCCCCCCCCTCCGTGAGTGAACAAAACCATTAGAAAAATCCCTATTTTTTGCACAAAAAACCCACCCTCCGTGAGTGAACAAAAAATTTTTTATGGAAAAAAAATTTTGATATATAAATGATAATTAGTATAATGAAATCTAGAGCTAATTTTATTTAATTTTGAACGAATTGCTTTTAAAACATAAACTTTATAAATTAAATTAACATTTGCTTTCCAATTTTTACGAATTAGATTTTTTTTAAATTTCGAAAAAAAATATTTTTTTATAAAATTTATATATAAATTTTTTTAAAAAAAAAAATTAGTGAGTGAACAAATTTTTTTGTTCACTCACGGAGGGGGGGAGTAAACAACTTGCATTTTTAAAAAATAATTTTTAAATTAAATTCATATTTCTTTCCAATTTTTGAGAATTAAGATATTTTTTAAAAATTACTATAAAATTTATATATAAATATTTTAAAAAATATTAGCCCTCCCATGAGCGAACAAAATATTTTGGTCGCTCATGGAAGAAATTCTGCATAGATACCGCTATTTAATTCTTGGCTATAAGGTAAGAGGAACTGCTCCTCAATGCATTCAAGATGCTTGTGTTTTTTCCACTTAGAGCATCCAAGAATGATGACCCTTGGGCTGAACACGTGTAGGAGCTTAGTCTGACAAGAGCGACAGCAAAGTGCAGGGTAAGAGCGCAGTTTTAGCTAGGATTACATGCTCAAGAATGTTTGCCCATATAGTTTGCCATTTTAAGTAGTAGGGTGGCCAGCGATATCACTAGTTGGGCATAATCGCTAACCAAAAGATATAGGCACCAATATCTTAAACATAAATAATAAGTTAAGTTAAATTCATTAGGATATTGATAATTCTTAATAATTGTCAATTTTTAAAATGCCAATGACTTGATTTACCTTACTACTCCCCCTGCGTGAGTGAACAAAAAAATTTTGTTCACTCACTAATTTTTTTTTTAAAAAAATTTATATATAAATTTTATAAAAAATATTTTTTTTCGAAATTTAAAAAAACCCTAATTCGTAAAAATTGGAAAGCAAATGTTAATTTAATTTATAAAGTTTATGTTTTAAAAAGCGATTCGTTTAAAATTAAATAGAATTAGCTCTAGATTTCATTATCTAATTATCATTTATATATCAATTTTTTTTTTCCATAAAAAATTTTTGTTCACTCACGGAGGGTGGGTTTTTTGTGCAAAAAATAGGGATTTTTCTAATGGTTTTGTTCACTCATGGAGGGGGAGCTAGATTACAATTTAAAATATTTTTGGCTGATCACTAAATTTTAGATTTTTATACGGTATTAATATTTGTGTTTTTAAATATCTACATAGATTTTTGCGGCCTTTGACCTCATAAATGTAATAATTTGCATAATCTGCCAATATGCCTGCTATCCTCCATAGAATGAAATACAATTTTACTTGTTCTGGCAGCAAAGTTCAAATTTGATACAAATTAAATATCAAAATTCAAAAATCCATTTAAAAACTTATATTATTGTCTGAATACCTGGCTTATACCCTACAATGTTGGCTACACTTAAAGTTCATTTCATTCTCTGTAAATAGTGTTATCTTAAACTAAAATTTAAATTAAAATAAATCTGATATCAAAATTAACTGAGACTTTAAAATTATCATTGATTCCCACACCTCTAATTTAAATTGAATTAAACAATCTCGAATTTATCTTTGACTTCAATTTTTGTGATAGTTTTCCTTTTATTTCTGTATGTGAAACTGTTCTCCTGACCACGGATAATAAAATGGACTTATCCTTAAAAATTTTTTTCATCACAAACCTCTACTTAGTTTCCTGTCTTGACCCATCAACTGTTGCTATGGCAATTAACTTCGGTACAAGCAATTCATATACATCAACTTTTGGGTTTGTTTATTCTCCAGACACCTCTATTACTTCGACAGCTCAATATGCTGAAACAACAGCAAAATCTATAGGAAGAACACAAAATCCAACTATATATCAAACTGCCACGTCAAGTACTGAAGGCCCATCCTGAGGAGTTCAATTTACCATTTCAAATGATGGGACTTACGTTTTGATTCTTCAATTCGCAGAAATAATTTATACAGAATCGAATAAAAGAGTATTTTCAGTAGGATTAGGAACAAATTACATTGCAAAAGCAGACTTAGATTTATATTTAGAAGCAGGAGCTTTTAATGCTTATGATATGTTTATCCAATTTGACGTCATTGGTGGAGCTGCATATATAAATGGCAGCCCTATAATGGATCCTTACGAAAGTTTCACGATTTACTTTGTTAACTCAGGTATAGGAAATCCATCAATTTCAGCATTCATTTTGATCAAGGGAGATTGCACTGTTGCTGATAATTGCAATATGTGCTATGACAAAAATTGCGCTGATTGTGATAAATCTACAGCTACGTGTAAAGCCTGCATTTCAAACATGACGCTTATCAATGGAAAATGCCAGTGCCCATCAAATAAATATTATAATTCTGTATCCAAATCATGCGAAATTTGTGATAATTTATGCGAATATTGTGAAGGCTCAACAAAATTTTTATGTGACTCTTGCAATCCGCTATACTACCGAGTTTCCAACATGTGTTTAAGGAACTGCCCATACGGATTTTCAAAGGGATGCTATGAATCTACTTCTATTTCAATAAATACACATTTTGATGGAGATTTTATAGGAACTTATAATGGGATATTTCGGACAGGATCAAGCGAAAATAGCTATTACTTTTTCAATTCCCCAGAAGCCACAGACCCAATTCCGGCCAAAAATAGAGGGCTTTATTTTTCTGGAGAAAGCTATTTAGAATCATATTTCGACATTTATTTTTCATTTAATTTTTCTGTGGGATTTTGGGTATGACTAGCACCTATTTCAAAATCCGTAGTCTTTATGAAGCATGGCAAAGATAATAAACTCAGAATTTTGAGAAATGGAATGATAGTAATATATTTAGAAAATGAATTAGAGCAAACCACTTTTGTTTCACTGAGTAATACGAACCCAAAAAATGAAGAATGGGTTTATCTTTCTTATACAGTTTCTTATTCATCTAAAGCAACTACTATCAGCTCATATTTAAATAATGCTGTCAAATTAAGTGCATCAAAAGATGGATATATTTATAGGGATGCTTCTACAGACAACACAATTATCTTAGGTAAATCTGTTAGTTCAAACCTTGACGGCTTCATTTATGCCTTCTATCTTTGGAACACTGCAGTGAATGATTTCAGTGAGGTTTATTCGAACGACTTGTGCGGAAATGGAAAAATAGCGAACTGTCTTTGGTCCTGCAATTTGGGAGAGTGAATAGATAATGGTGTTAAAGCTTCTTGTGACACTTCATGCTCTAATGGATGCACAAGGAAGGAGTCTTGCAGTATTTGTTATGATCCTTTGTGCAAGGTTTGCAGAAGCTTTGGTGAAGATTCGTGTGATGAATGCATAACAAATGCTTCAGGCTCTCCATGCAGTTGCGATTATAGTTATACAGTTTCTGAGACTGGCTTTGAATGCGTCAGCTGCTCATATGGCTGCGCATCATGTGCTAGCGTTAATCCTTATGACTGCTTTTCATGCATATCTGGGTATTTTCTATTTGAAACTTGGTGTCTAATTGATAACCCTTATAATTATACACAAAATTCATGTATTGTAAGCTACGAGTTTACTAAAATTTCAAATGTCCAATATGATTCTGTGAATTCTTATCCAATCTATATGGGAAATTCTGATTCTTTCTATCCTGACTACGATTCAAAAGATCCTTGGATTTTACCCTATCGAGGTTTGTATTTTGGTGGTTACTCAGTAGCGTCGCTTCCTCAAAAAAATGATACCTCAAATGGGATTTTGCTTGGTTTGAACCACACAATAGATATATGATTGATGATTTCTCAGGATAACTATGATGGGGTTGCATTTTCTGTTTACACAGATTACTCTTATCTGATAATGATTAGTGCAGTGCAGAGTGACCCATCTTCTTATAAATATGAAATTTACTATAATTTAACAAATATTGATGGGCAATCAACGAGTTTGTTTTTCTTGCCGAGTCAATTATACTCTTTCAATACCTGGCAAAGAGTTATCTTGTCATATTTTTATGAGTCAGGCTCAAATGTAAAATTATTTGTAAATGACCAAATGGTCGAATCTCAAATATATGCAGACTATTTTTATAATGAGAATTATAATTATAAAGTTGATTTAGGGAATTGAGATTTTAAAAGGAAATTTGTTGGATATGTGTATTCTTTAAAAATATATAATTATGCATTTGAATCTGTCAAGCCATGGTCGACTTCATCATGCGGATACCCATACTGTACTGAGAACAATGAAGCCTTAATAAACTGCAAACCTTTGGAATTTTATGATATTTCTTCAAAATCTTGTAGTTATTGTAGCAGCTACTGCTTATTTGGATGTGCAAGAGGAAGTGATATTTGCAATCTTCATCAAAATCCGCTTTGTCAATCTTATGAAAATTTGAAATTCAATATCTGTGAAACATGCAAATCAAATGCGAATAACATCCCCCCTTGTAATTGTGCTAAAAATTTGATATACGATACTGTATCAGAAACTTGCAAGTGCAGCGATGGCTCTCAGCCGGTTAATGATCAATGCTCTTCTTGCATTAGATATCTTCAGTCTCATGAAATAAATGGATATTTTACGTCAACATTTCTAACTTCTTTAAACTTGTAGAAAATATACATAAAATGGCCGGAGACGAGCGACCCGTCCCTTCGTGGCGGGTGTCTTTATGTATACCGGACGTGGTTTTTGGATACGGAGAGCTACTCAAGGGAAGAGTTAGCCTCGAGGCGAGAGGCCCAGCCCAATTTCCGCTGATTTTGGGACTTGACCCGGGCAGCAGTTTTTCGCATTCTTTTTGCCAGTAGCGCCGAGGCCCAGACTCGGTGTCCGAAAGAGGCAGGGTGAGTTACCTGCCTAGGCTACTTGCTGGCTTAGCCCCGAATCCCGCAAGGGGTTGAGTTCTTTCTTAAAGATGATCTGGGAAAGAGGGGAGGCGAAGCTAGACTAGAACTCAAGGGCGCAAAGTCTCTCCAGCTAAAAGGGTCCTCTCAGGAGGGCGATCTGGCCAACCGGAGGCAAAGACTGGCGTAACTCGGGGCGGAAGGCTGAGTTGGAAATGGTGGTGCCCAGCGACAGTCGGCTGACGAGAAACCGGGGTTTCGGCCCGGGCTCAGAGAACCAGTGATGGAAGTCCATCCTTTTCGCTCGTGCCAGCACGGCTCCCCAAGGAGCGCGGAGAAATTTCACGCTTGGAAATAGGGACTATAAATACACAGCATATTCTAATCTAATCTAATCTAAACTTGTAGAAATTTTTTTTTTTTTTTTTTTTATCTCTCCAGTTAAGCGAGAGATAATAGATTACTCTTAAAGGGGTTCAATTTTCTATTTAAAGTATAAAAATATTTGAAATAAAGAAAAGAATATCTAGTTTAATTTATAAAATTCATATATTAGGATGAAGCAGTCTCTAAATTGCTAGCAATTATTAATAAGATTTAAAATTAAAATTATTTTCCTCTTACTTAAAAGGAATATTCTCTAAAAAATCATTTTTTAATAGTTTTGCTCTCCTAAAAGAGAGAACATAACAAAATTATTTTTACGGATTTTAAAAATTACAATTTAAATATTTAAATCAAAAATTAAATATAGAAATTTCTTCTTTCTTTCATCAATTTTCCAATGATTTTCATCGAGGAGTGAGAGTAAGATTAATTTTTGAGTTTTCAATCGCTGTTGATATATCTGGATTGAAATGTTCAAATATTTTTCCTATAACTATATTAGCTAAATTTGGATTAGACTATTCCTGCAGTCTTGGCTCTGATAAAATTACTGTTGAGCTTGGAAAGGATTTTGCTATAAGAGACGAATCAGTATCTCTTATAAAGGGTTCGCTAAAAAGTGGAAACGAATGCGGATACACTGCAAATGATATAAGTGTATCACTGCAGTATTCTGCTTCTCCTCCATTTCCTCTTTCTATAATAGATGCTCCTAATACAGTATTATACAACTGCCAAGATTTGTTAATTTCAGGCCAAAAGTCAACAGGAAATCTTAACTCTGCATTCGAATACAAATGAACACTCTCATCAAATCCGCCTTTGCAAACCCTATTACAGTTCAATACTGACTTTCAAACGCAAATTTCTTATTTTTTTATTCCGAGAAGTGATTTATCAACAGCAAACATCACAGTGACTCTCACAGTAAGAAATATTTTGGGTAGTGTAGGCAAAAATTCAATTGTCATTCAATCAATTCCAAATGGAATCTCAGTAAATTTTGACAGAACAGTCAGCTATGAAATAATGGCTACCCAAGCAAAATACTTTGCAGCTGGATCTATTTCATCATGTGATGAAATTAGCAGGCTTTCTTTAGAATGAAAACTCATCTATGCAGTTGGTAATCTAACAACTATAAATGAGAATTCTATATGGGAAAGCCAAAAATGGCCATCAAGCTTGTACATCCCTTCAAAAAGCATCCCATCATACACAAATGCTACATTTGCACTGCAAGCAACTAGCCTAACTTCAAACGTCAAAGGAGTTGGAACTCTTGAGATTTCTGTATTTCCAGCATCTCCCATCATTCAGTTTTCTCGTATAGATGGAAACGCAGATATTACCAAATCATTTTCTATTGATGCAAGCTCAAGCTACGATCCTAACGAAAATAAGGCTCTTTCCTTTAGCTGAAGGTGCACTCAAAAAGATTCAGTTAATTGCTCATCATTAATTTCGAATTCCTATTCGTCAATTTTAAATATTCCTCCAAATTCTTTAGAAGACGGAGCTGATTATGATTTTTCACTATTAGCTGTAGCTGATTTTTCAAATGGGAGGCAAGGGAAATACTCGGTGAAAGCTGAAAAATCTATCAAAATAAGCACTGTTAATTATTATGTGCCTAATTTTAACGTCATTAATGCAATCTCTAATGATCAGTCTAGCATTATATCTGGAAATGAAAGATTGCCACTAGCGGCTTCAATCCAAAATGAACAAAATAAGCAGTTCTTTTATCAATGAAGCTTAAAAGGAGGGGAAGCTCTTGAATTCACAACTCCTCTTGATCAATACGCTATAGCGATTTCACAGGATTCTTTAAACACTGGGATTACCTATACTCTAAATTTAGCCATTTTCGATGGCAGCCACTACTCTTCATTCTTTTACTCATTCTATACCAATTCTCCCCCACATTCAGGAACTCTAATTGTCAACCCAGGTGAGGGCGTCGAAACAGAAACCATTTTTAAAATGGATGCTTTAGGTTGAATTGATGAAGAAAATGATTACCCATTTACCTACTCATTTGGCTATTTAACTGATAATAATTATGTTTTTATAAACATAAAAAACCAAAGCTCTACATATTTCACAACTTTTCCCTGTCTAAGTAGGAGCACTTTGTCTGTTTTTGTAGATGTTTATGACAGTTTAGAAGCATTTTCAAGAAAAATTGTGAATATAAAGATATCAAAAAATAAAAATCTGGATCAAAATGAGCTATACATAAGTTCCCAAAATTATATTTATTCAATAACTTCTAACCCTCAAACGTATCCAGGAACAATTGGAGACTTGTGCAGCTCTATACTTAATCGAGATTATTATTTAAACGGGGAATTCAAAAATCCTTCTGATGATGACAAGGTATTTTTTGATGAAGTTACCAACTCAACTCTTTATTGGACAAAAAGTTTAATTGAAAAAGGTGACTTGGATAGTCAAGCAGTTTCGAATTTTGCAAATTTATTAACAATGATTACTTTGAATCCATATTTAGCAAGCAGTGATGTTGAAGAGAAAGTCTGTGAGATGATAAATACTATAACAGAAAACATCCCAGAAACCCAAATATTGCCTGAGTGTGTGGTTTTGGCTTAGGTCTCTCGATCTTTCCTGATGGGAAAAGGATTTTGCTTGGCCGAGTTATGCTAGTTAAACCAGCTCTCCATATCGTAGAAGCACTTGCTGAGATTTCGACCATTTTAGGAGTTGATTTTCCCTCATAATTTGGCTGAGCAGATCTCTCTTTTTCCTATCGGAAAAAATTGGGAAGCACAATTCAAAATCATGCTCGGGGCATATTGCTAACTCTCTTATTTAATCAAATAAATATTGATAAACTTTTCTTTAAATTGAACAAAAAATCTTAAATTTTAAAATTTTTATTGATGGAAATAATAATCTTATTTTATATTGCCCGAAACCTAGCTTTGGCTCGAGCTTTGCCGATGTCTCTTGATATCATCCGGGACTTGGTTTAACTAATATTTGTTGGGTAAAGCCAAATTCCCAGATGAAAAAAATAAGTAGCAAGTTGATTGCGATTGGGGAGTTGGCTTGCCAAGAAGCCAGTGCAGCCCAATCCAAAACTGGAATCGGGCTAAGCCTTTTACCTAATTTAACGGGCTAATATTCACGAAATAGAAACTACCTCCATCATACTATATTTTAAAAGGAAAATCTCTTCATCATTTTCGACGGCAAAAAAACAGCAGGAAAAAGTCTGCCTTTTTTCGGCTTAACCCTAAATTATAATCAATATAATGGCTTATTTTAAAAATAAATTTAATTCCCTTTAAATAGGTATAGAAGAGGAGTAAATGAACAAATCGATGGCTATTTTACAGCTATTGACCAATCTTACCAGTATAATGCTACTAGCCTAGTTAATAAGACAAATGATCTTAGTATTGGAGTTGACGCCATGAACAGTGTTAGTAAACTTATCCTTTCACAAATGGTTATTAATGAAAACCAATTTATCATAACTGATAATTTGGATACTACTCTCACAGTAATGGAAAGCAAAGACCTAAATGATTTTCAGTTATATTCGAATTCGAAAACAGCCTCAGTAGTCTTGCCTTCTGATTTTTCTTCAATATTAGAGAGTTATACACTAAAAACTGAAGTTGGAATTTCAATGACCCTCCTAAAATCCCCAAGCAATGCAGACAGTTTATCATCTTCTGTAGTTGATTTCTCAATCTATGAGCGCCAGTCAAATAAAAAAATTGAAATAAATATGACTTCTTCATATGTCTTAATAGAAATTCCTGTCTGGAACTTGAAATCATCAAAATTCGTCCCTGAGTGCGCTTATTTAAACACTAAAAATAATACCTGAAGTACTCTAGGATGTAAAAAATGGCAAATAAAGCCAACTAGCATTATATGTAACTGTACCCATTTCACTACTTTTGCAGCTATAGACTCTGCAGCCTCAACATTGGTAAACTCAAACATTGGTGACACTATAAATGTATCTGCGTGAACTAGTTTAAATGAGTCAAATGCTATTGGCTTATATTTTGGAATAATCACTTTTATAGTTTATATAATTTTGGCTATCATTACTTATAAAAAAGATAAAAGAGAAGAGAAATTGGAAGAAGAGGCGAGGAAAAAGATGAAAGGAATACCTAAAAAAGTAGAAAAAATTATCAGCGAATTCAATGATTTATCAGAAATTGAGAATAAGCCTGAAAAAATGATGGAAAATGCTCATTTAGAAACAAATAAGAAGTCTTTCATTTGCTTCTGTAAGAAGAAAAAGAAACTTGAAGATTGCAATGCTGACTCTAGAGCTAAGGGATCAAAAAAATCATGTTGGCCATTCTGTAAAAAGAGAAACCAAGCTAAAAGAAACCAGGATAGTGAAATTATGAAATCTTATCAGGAAGTAATAAAGCTTTCAGAAAAAGCTAGCTTTTGGAAATGCTGTAAAAAAACACAAAAAAATAAAAATAATATAGATCAAAGTGAGGCATATTGCGGCTCCATGTCAAATGACCGTGGAAATTTGATTGTGTGACATCTCATAGGGAAACTTTGTTCGAATCATTTTTGATAGTGAGACATTTGACCGAAAAAACCGTCAAATTTCAGCCAAATGAATACACTATTTAAAAATTTTCGACCAAAAGTACTTCGGTGAAATGGACTCTATCAAAAAGGCAAAGTCATTTGACCTGCACCCACATATTGCAGCCCTGACGAAGTCTATGTTTATAGTTTTACTGACGGAACAAATTCTGAGAGCACTGAAACTGAAGAAACTAAAGAAACTAAAATGGGAAAGTGGTTGGGCATCATCTCAGAAAAGCATGAGCTCTTTAATATTCTTTTCACAAAAGTTCCTCAGCACCCAAGTCTTTGCAGAATAACTCTATATTTTTTAGTTTTGATAGGTCAGATGTTTTTTATTGGTATGTTCTACGAAACAACTTCCACATCAACTGAAACAGTCATAACAAACTCAACAAATTCCACATCTTCTGACTACAGCTCAGAAGGCTTTTCAATCGATTACAGCTGGCATGACTTTTGGATTATGGTTTGATCCTCTTTATTGATGATAATCGTAACTTCAACTCTCAGCAAACTCTTTACTGAGCAAGAGATCACTGATCAAATGACAGGACTGCAATATATAAAAATTAAGAGGCAAAACAAAATAAAAAGATGGATAGGATTATTTTTAGCGTGGGGTATTATGTTCTATTTCTTGTGAAGTATTGCTTTATATTCTATTCAGTTTGATGAGGATATTAGTAGAGTTTGGGTTCTTAATACAGGTATAGGCTATACGGTTAATATTTTGTTTACGTCTGTGATTAAGATAGCAATTACTGCATATATAACTATGAAATTATTAGATCTTATTGAAAAATATAAAAAGAAAAAAACTAACTCCCCCCCATCCTTGATCGAACGACTCACCATCGTTCGATCAAGAATGGGTGTTTAAAAAAAAAATTTTTTGGGACAAAAAATTTTATATAAAAATAAAAAATATAGTACCCCCCCTCGTTTGTCGCATTTTCTAGTTTTTTGCCATTTGTCGCATTTTCTAGTTTTTTTTTTTATAAGAGAAAAAAAAAATTTTCAGGACCTCATTTTGTCGCATTTTCTAGTTTTTTTTTAAGCCAAAAAAAAATCGGTTCAGGACCTCGCTTGTCGCATTTTCTAGTTTTTTTTTCTCTCTATCAATTCCTAAAAATTAAAATTCGTCAAAGGGATCAGTTAGTGAAATTTCATCATTTCTTCCTTCAAAATCCTTGCTCCCATTCCTCAATCCCCACAGCTTGCTTCCCATTACCTGCTCCCATTGCTTAAGCCTCACCACTTGCCATTCACCATTCTTATTCCCCTATCTTCATGCCTATTTCCTTATTTGATAGCTTAATTTCTAGTCTTCCATATTAATTAATGGAGTTGCGCGAAATTGAGGACCAGCCGATAAAAATCCCGGCAATGATTCAAAGCATGGCTTATGGAGAGAGGCTCAATGCAAAGCAGATCCAAAGAGCGTCTTGCTGCTTGTGGCAAGGACATGAGCCTGACGACGATCAGGCACTACACCAACAAGTTCAATCCTGAAGAGCACACTTTAGAGCTCAGGCGGAAGCTTGTGGACCATGGACTATCGCCTCCTCCTAAGAAAATCAAGTGGAATGATGGAGAGCATAGTCAAGAGGATCATTGACGTAGGTTTCTTTAAAAACGAAGAACTTGCGACAATCTTGGGGACTTCTAAACGGACTATTGAGCGAATTGCTGCAGAGAATACTGAGAGTGAATCTGACGAAGCGGCTGGAAGAGAAGAGGCACTATCCAGATCTCCCCTAAAGCATTGAAGTGATGAAGACTTTGCTGAGGTCATTAAGGAATGTGAGAAGGATACAGGTTTTGTCAGCAAGGCAAGTTTGAGGGCCCAATTCAAAAGAAAGACAGTTGACATCAGCGAAGAACAGCTAGGAAAAGAGCTGAAGAAGAGGGGATATGTCTATAGAAAGAAGAGGGTTGTTCTACAGCTAACTGAAGCTCATAAAGAGCAGAGAATGTCCTGGGCTAGGTCTTTGATTGACTCAGATATCGCTTCATGGGATCTTCAGTGATGAGTGCTATGTGCATCTCTTTCGTAACTCTAATTTGTGCAAAGAAGGGATAAACGCAACGATTGAAGAGCCTATCAATTGAAAAACCTCAATTATGATCTGGGGAGGAATTTCTATCGTTTTTGGCAAAATGCTCTTCATAAAGAAGGAGAAGTATGCAATCAATGCCCAGGTCTATATCAGAGACATTCTCCAGGGCTATATTGAGCCTTTAGATGGAGACTACACCTTCGTTCAGGATGGGGCAACAGCCCATACTGCAAGGCAGACTATGGAATATTGCAGAGAAAACGGGATTGATGTGAAGACTCAATCGCCGAAGAGCCCAGATCTCAATCCAATTGAGGTGATCTGGGCCAATTTGAAGAGGAAAGTGGAGAAAAGAAGGCCTGACAGCAAAGCCAGACTAATTGCTGCCATTCAGGAGTCATGGGACGAAATTTCTTTTGAGGAAGTGCAAAATTCCATTCTTAAGGTGAAAAATGAAAGAGCAAAGCAGGTCATTGAAGCGCAAGGAGAATGGAGTTAATAAGCTAGCTAATTTAATCTATTCTCTAAAAAGGGGAGAGTAAAGTGGGAAGGACTGGGAAGGACTCGGGCCTGCTAACCCTCTGCAGGCAAATGTAAGGTAAACTCCTCTATAATTACTCAGTTAAATTAATCAGAAACTATTTTTTAAAAAAACTAAGATTTGCGACATCAAAAAAAAATTAAAAAAACTAGAAATTGCGACAAATGTATTTGCACTAGAAAATGCGACAAACGAGGTCCTGTAAATTTTTTTTTCCCTTAAAAAAAACTAGAAAATGCGACAAACGAGGGGGGGGGATACTATATATATATATTTTATTTTTACTTTTAAATAAGAGGGTTAAGAGTATTTAATAATTATTTTTACAGCAAGAAATTGAATTATTTCATAAAAATACCAATTTTTAATATTTTTGATTTATTAGTTGTATAAATTTTAATTTGTCCTTATTAAATTAATTTTTTTTTTAAAAATTTTTAAAAAAATCTCTGTTTTATTAGATTATTAGTTTTTAAGCCTAGGTTGATGACTAAATCACTTCGAATGGTTGATTTCGAAGCTTTCTGTCGTCTCAAAGTCTCTGAAAACAACTTCATTATGTACATCTTTCCAAGCTTTTGATAACTAATATTGTTTTATATATATAAAAATTGTCATGATATGAAAATCGTTCGATCAAGGATGGGGTTAATTTCCCAAATTTTTAGGAAATTTTACAGTCAATCGTTCGATCAAGGATGGGGGGAGTAAGGAAAACAATGAAGCTGAGATTCATATAACAGATTTCCAGCAGCCTACAACTGAAACTAGAACTTCTACTGAAAAAAATTAACTAGACCTGAGCGATAAATCATACTCAATTTTAAATAAAAAAGATTAAAAAATTATTAAACTTTATAGATGCATTAAAACTATACAATTGCATAAATTTCTCTTTTTAAATCAAATAAAAATGAGGTATATATTAATCAAGCAATAAAAAACTATAAATTATTATAATTTAATCCTCTAATAATATTTGAAAGCTATTTAAATACAAAAATAAAGAATTATTGTGCCTAGTTTTCATTAGGCAATTCATTTAGCATTACAGCGAGTCTTCCGACCAGCTCTTTCTTAAATTTTGTTATTTTGAAAAATTGATAGACGAGTATATTTAAACGTTTATATCCTCACAAAGTTCTGATTCTTGATGCTTTACTTTATAGAGATTAAAGCTCCTAAAAAACTAAAATTATGCTTTATAGCGTCTGTATTCCAAGATTACTCACAAAAATACCATGAAAGTTGCTATAACCTCTCTATGCCTAGAGAATGAAATTTCTCTAATTCAACAGTCCTTGAAGCAAAATACTTTCCTTATTTCCTCCCCAACTATACTTAAAAATTTGCATTCTCTCGCTTTAAGGCTGGCTTATTAATTGTCTAGCTCATCTAAATTTGAGCTTCCATCTAACAACTTCTAAGAGAATAGCTTTTTATTAAAGAGCCTGCCAAGTGAGTTCTTTTATTAGAAGAGTGTTCAATAGAAGCCAAAGTATACACCCTTTACCTTATGAGAGAGTTTTAATCATTCAGTCAATAAAAAGCTAGATAAATACTTCACTTAGTTCAATGACAAAGTATTAATTTTGCTTATAGCTGGCTTTTTAAATTGCCTGGCTTGATAGGTAAAATAAATTAAAAATTATAAGAATAGAAATTACTTAAAGAAGAAATTATCTTTAAGTTTAGAAGTCAAATAGCCCTAAATTTCTTTTTATCTATATTTCAAAAGACAATCTTCGCTTTAATTTGAATCGCAAAGACCTTTTTTACTCATGGCTAATAAATGGTCTCATATCTAAAAATCTTTCTCGTTGCAAACCTTTGTTTAGTGCATTGCTTTGACTCATCTAAAGTTTCTTTAGCAATAAATTGCGGCTCAGTAAATACTTACTGATCAACTCTTGGATTTCTTTATTATCCATGAACATACTATACATTTGACGGTAGCTATGTTGAGGAGACAACAAATACAATTGGAAGAACTGAAAATCCAATGGTTTATAAATTCTCGCGGTCAAGTTCCAGGACCCCTTCTTGGGCATATCTATTTCCCATACCGGAAGATGGACATTATGTGCTAATTCTTCAATTTGCAGAAATAACTTACACAGCACCATATAAAAGAGTCTTTACAATAATGTTAGGAGATACTTATACCTTAGTATCAGATTTTGATATTTTTGTAAAAGCCGGACCTAACAATGCGTATGATATTTTTGTCGAATTTTTGGTTGTTGATGGAGCTTCCTATGTAGATGGTAACCTTGCGTCAGATAGCAACAATTATTTTATAATTAATTTCATAAACTCAGGTATAGGAGATCCAACAATTTCAGGAATAGTTTTGGTCAAGGGGTATTGCTCAAGCGAGGTTGACAACTGTAACATGTGCTATGATGACAGCTGCTATGACTGCGATGAAACTACGATTACGTGCAATGCTTGCAACAGTAATATGACTCCTGTCAATGGAATTTGCCAATGTAACTCTCAAGCTTATTATAAAGACTCGAAATCGCATTCCTGCTTTATTTGCGATTATTTATGTGAAGTTTGTGAAGGCTCAGGTAAATTTTTATGCAATTCTTGCTATTCTCCTAACTATCTCGTCTCACAAATATGCTTGAAAAGCTGGGACACTTGCTAAATTAGAGCCAAAGGGTGTTAAGAAATGCCAAATGATTACCATAGAATTCTTTTTTGACAGAAATACGCAATTTTCAAAAATTGTAAACTTTTAGCTCAAACATCAAAGATGTGTCCAAAACCTTAAAGGTGGCAAAAAAAATAGCTAACTCCCCCCCCCCATCCTTGATCGAACGACTCGCCATCGTTCGATCAAGGATGGGGGTTGAAAAAAAAAATTTATATATAAAATAAAAAAAAATATATAGATATTTTTTTTTTATTTATTTTTAAATAAGAGGGTTAAGAATATTTAATAATTATTTTTACAGCAAAAAATTTAATTTATTTCATAAAATACCAATTTTTAATATTTTGATTTATTAGTTACCCCTTTAAATTGTATATAAATTTTAATTTGTTCCTTATTAAATTAAATTTTTTTTAAAAAAATTTTAAAGAATCTCTGTTTTATTAGATTATTAGTTTTTAAGCATATGCTAATGACTAAATCACTTCGGATGGTTGATTCCGCAGCTTTCTGTCGTCTCAAAGCCTCTGAAAACAACTTCATTATGTACATCTTCCCAAGCTTTTGATAAATAATATATTTTTATATATATAAAAATTTGCATAATATGAAAATCGGTCGATCAAGGATGGGGGTTTTTTTCCCCAATTTTTAGGAATTTTTACAGTCAATCGTTCGATCAAGGATGGGGGGGGGGAGGAGTAAGTTTCTTTTTTGTCAAAATTTGTATCAAAAAATTTTGTTTGCTCAAGGACGTGAAATTTTTTAAAAAAAATTATATATAAATTTTTTTTTTCTAACTTTTAATAAAAATTAAATTCGGATAATTGGAAATGTTAATTTAATTTGTAAAATTTATATTTAAAAGTGCGAGCTGTTTAAAATTAAACAGAATTAACTAGATATTTTATTTAATAATTATCACTTATATATTAAAAAAATTATTTGTTCACTGGCGGAGGGTGATTTTACCCAAAATATAGGAATTTCTCAATCGTTTTGCTCGCTCACTGAAGGGAGAACTTTAGCAAACATTTGACCCATTTTTGATGCTTTTTGACGATTTTTGACTTTTTTGCTTGCATTTTTTTTGCAAATCTTTAAAAAAAATATAAATCCTTTGCTAATCATATTGCCTTTCTTAGCACCTTTAGCACAAGTTTAGCAAGCTCTCCGAAAAGCTGCCCTTATGGATTTTCAACAGGATGCTCTGAAGTAACTTCGATTTTAATAAATTCTCGCTTTAATTCAGACTTCACAGGGGTTTATGATGGATTTTTTCGATCTGGAACATTTGGAAACTCTTATTACTTTTTCAACTCGCCAGATGCAGATGATCCAATCCCTGCTTTCAACAGAGGACTTTATTTTCGTGGATTATCAACATTCTTAGAGACTACTTTTGATGTCTATTTTTCAATTAATTTTTCTCTTGCATTTTGGATATGAATACCTGAAGATTCATCAGCGAGTGAAGGCATCATGAAGCATGGCAAAGATTCTAAACTGAGTATTTATTCAAATGGAAATATATATTTTTTTCTAGAAAATGAAGAAGGGTACTTAGATTATATTTATACAGATCCAATGTCTGTGAATTATGGAACATGAATTTATTTCTCTTATACAATTTTTTATTCATCAGGAGCAACTAATGTGAAATCATTTATGAATAATGCTCCTATGGCTACTAATGTGAAGGATGGATATATTTATAGGGGTGATTTTGAAGGCAATACAATTGTCTTAGGCTTGGATAGAAGCAGCAACCACTTCAGAGGTTTTATTTATGCATTTCAATTCTGGAACTGTGCAGTATCTGACTTTAGTGCGTATTATTTGGACGATTTGTGTGGAACTGGAAATATTGCAAGCTGTCTCTGGTCTTGTGCTCTTGAAGAGTGAATGGACAACAGTGTTCCCACTTTTTGTGATGCATCATGCAATTACGGATGCGTAAGGAATGGATCCTGTAACATTTGCTTTGATCCCTTATGCAAAACTTGTCATGGATTTAATGCTGATTCATGCGATCAGTGCGTGGCAAATGCTTCAGGTTCTTCATGCAGCTGTAATTCGCCTTATATAGTTTCTAATTCTGGCTTTGAATGTGTTAGCTGCTCATCTGGCTGTGAATCATGCACAGGTGAAAATCCTTACGATTGTATATCTTGCAATCCCGGGTATTATCAATTAAAGACTTGGTGTATTACTGATGATTCTAATTATCATACTCCAAACTCATGCATTGCAAGCTATGAGTTCACTAAAATTTCAAACATTCAGTACGACTCTGTTAATAGTTACCCAATTTATATGGGAAGTGATGACTTATACTATAATGATTATGATGCAAACGATCCTTGGGTTTTACCTTACAGAGGCTTATATTTTAATGGCAATTCAATTGCATTGCTTCCTCAAAAGAATGAGACCTCAAAAGGAATTCCGCTTTGATTAAACCACACAATTGATATATGAGTAATGGCTATGCCTAGCTATAGTGCCGGTGCGATATATTCCCTTTACACTGATGACTCTTATTTGATAATAATTACCGCACCCCCTTTCTCTTCACCCTCCTCTCATAAGTACGAGGTATGATATAACCTAACAAATTTTGATGGGCAATCTTCCGGCTTAATTGAAACGCAAAGTGCAATCTATTTGTTTAATACCTGACAGAGATTAGGATTATTAAAAGCCAGGCCATAGCCATATTGGTGAGGCAGTCACCAAAAGACCTTCTGCACAGAGGCTCTATAACACACCTCTTGTGGCTGCTCGCCATTAAGTACCCCTCCTCACCATGTTACCGACTCTCAGACGGTCCTGAAAATTTTAAATATTAAAATATTATTTGACAAGTCCCCCTCAAATATTTTAGCTTGCCAAATTAATATTTAGCATGCTAAAATATTTAGGACCGTTAGGGGGTGGGTGGCATGGGGAGGAGGTGCTGTTCCCCTGTGGCCTGGGCCGAAACCCCCAGTTTCTCGGTAGAGGAACGCCTATGGTCCCTGGATCCAAAGGACATTGTTGAGTACCTCCATTTCCAACCATGAAAGCAGCCAAGATTTACCGGGTACACATCCCTTGAGCTTGCACTTGATTCTCGACTCAGAGCCATCCCATTTGGCCGTGGTCATAAGGCCTGAACTGCTGCTCCAAGAGGGTAGGTTGACACATGCCGCCATTTTTAATGTATGAATAGTATAATACCTGACAGAGAGTGGTTGTTTCTTATTCTTATCAGTCAGAATCAAATTTGAAGTTATTTGTAAACGATCAAATGGTTGATTCTAAAACAGAAAGCAATTATTTTTATTATGAGCACAACTTCAAGGCTTATTTGGGAAAAGAAGTAATGAGCGGGGGATTTGTTGGATATATATATTCTTTAAAATTATACAATTATGCAATGCAATCAGTCACTTCATGATCCTCCACATCATGCGGATACCCCTTCTGCACTGAGAGCAATATCGCTTTAATAAACTGCAAACCTTTGGAATTTTATGACATTTCTACAAAATCTTGTAATTATTGCAGCAGTTACTGCTTGCATGGATGTGCAAGAGGTGGGGATATTTGCAACTTGCATCAAAATCCACTTTGTGAATCATATGAAAATTTGAAATTCGAAGTCTGCGGCACATGCAAAGCAAATGCTAATAATATCCCGCCTTGCACTTGTGCTGATAATTTGATATATGACACTGCATCAGAAACCTGCAAGTGCAGTGATGGCTATCAGCCAGTTAACAACCAATGCTCTTCTTGCATTAGATACCTTCAGCCTAGCGAAATAAAAGGCTATTTTACGCTAACTTTTCTTAAAATAATTTTTGAGTTTTCAATCGCTGTTGATATATCTGGATTGAAATGCTCAAATATTTTTCCTACAACTATATTAGATAAATTTGGATTAGACTATTCCTGCAGTCTAGACTCTGATAAAATCACTGTTGAGCTTGGAAAGGATTTTGCTATAAGAGACGAATCAGTATCTCTTATAAAGGGTTCGCTAAAATGTGGTAATGAATGCGGATATACTGCAAATAATATAAATATAGCCCTACAGTACTCTAGTGCTCCTCCATTTCCTCTTTCTATAATAGATGCTCCTAATACAGTATTATACAATTGCCAGGATTTGTTAATTTCAGGCCAAAAATCAACTGGAAACCTTAACTCTGCACTTGAGTACAAATGAATACTCTCATCAGACCCACCTTTGCAAGCCCTAATACAGTTCAATACCGATTTTCAAACGCAAATTTCTTATTTCTCTATTCCGAGAAGTGATTTATCAACAGCAAACATCACAGTGACTCTCATGGTTAGAAATATTTTGGGCAGTGTAGGCACAAATTCAATTGTCATTCAATCAATTCCAAATGGAATCTCAGTAAATTTTGACAGAGCTATAAGCAATCAACAATTGGTGACTAAGTCAAATTTCTATGCAGCTGGGTCAATTGCATCGTGTGATGATATTAGCGAGCTTCATCTAAGTTGGAAACTCGAAAGCGCAGATGGCAATTTAACAGCTGTGGATGAGGAATCTATTTGGGAAAATCAAAAATGGCCATCAAGTTTGTATATCCCTGCAAAAAGTATCCCACCATACACTAATGTTACATTTGTTTTACAAGCTGCCAATTTAGTTTCAAATATCAAGGGAGTTGGACTAATCGAAATCTCAGTTTTTCCTTCTTCTCCAGTCATTCAATTTTCTCGAACAGATGGAGATGCTGAGGCTGACAAACCATTTTCTATTGATGCAAGTTCGAGTTATGATCCTAACGAAAATAAGCCTCTTTCCTTTGTCTGAAACTGCATAAAAAGCAACTCAATTGATTGCTCATCATTAATAATTAAAATATGGCGTCTTCGTCTGGGCATGGCCTCCCGGCCATGCAGTCTCGACTCATATTTTAATTATATCCGGCAAGGTTTTGCCATTTCAGAGATGGACGGCAATTCTAGGTAAGCAATTCTGGTTGTGTGCAGAGCCTAGCCCTAGTCTATTTTCAGGAATGGTTTTTTCCTCGTGGGGAAGGAAGGTACGGCAATTGGAAAGGGGAAGCTCAGCAGAGTCCTTTGGACCAATCGGGCAACTCCCTAGCGTGAAACTGGGCGTTACTTCCCAGGCTACGTGTTTCCCTTTTTTTTTCCGACAGCGGACCAGAAAAATCCATTTTTTGGGTTTTTCGGAAAAGCAACCCATGTCTACAGGCAAGTAGCTCATCCATGAGCCGTCGAAGTCGATGATACTTGTCCCGAGGAGCATCTTGGTGATCAAAGTGGGTCGTCCCCGGAGACCTTGTGGCCCGGTGCAACTGAGGCGAGTGATAGACCTGGGGTTATCACCCCGCAGTGGACGTTAAGCGTTATAAATTCTATAAGATAAGATAAGATAAGATTGCTCATCATTAATTTCAGATCCCTATTCACCTATCTTAAGGCTACCTTCGAATTCTTTAGAAACTGGGACTGAATATGCATTTTCAGTAGCAGCTATAGCTGATTTTTCAAATGGAAGACAAGGAAAATATTCAATGCAAACTGAAAAAACTATAAAAATAAGTGCTGTTAGTTATCATGTGCCTGATTTAAATATTATCAATGCAATCCCTGGAAGCCAATCAAACACTATGTCAGGGGATAAAAAGCTTTCATTAGCAGTTTCAGTAGAAAGTGATCCCAATAAGCAACTTTCTTATCAATGAAGCTTAGTAAGTGGAGGAAATCTTAAATTCACAACTCCGCTTGATCAATATGCAATTGCGATCTCACAAGATTCTTTAAATGCAGGAATTACCTACACTCTAAATTTAGCTATTTTTGACGGAAGCCACTATTCTTCATTTTTTTACTCTTTTTATGCCAATTCTCCTCCAAGCTTAGGAAGCCTTGATACAGTTCCAGACGAAGGTATAGAATTAGATACCATTTTCAAAATGGAGGCTTTAGGGTGAATTGATGAAGAAAATGATTACCCATTCGACTACTCATTTGGATATTTAACTGATAATAATAGTGTCTTTCTGAATATAAAAAATCAAAGCTCGACGCATTTTACCGCTTTTCCCTATCTAAGCAGAAGCACTTTGTCCATTTTTGTAGATGTTTATGACAGCTTAGGAGCCTTATCAAGAAAAATTGAAAAAATAAAAGTATCGAAAAATAAAAATCTGGACAAAAATGAACTGTATTTAAGTTCCCAAAATTATGTTTATTCAATAACTTCCAATCCACAAACATATCCTGCAACAATTGGCGATTTGTGTAGCTCTATCCTTAATAGAGACTATTATACAGACAGTGAATTCAAATATCCTTCTGATGATGACAAGGTTTTCCTACAAGAAGTTGTCAACTCAACTCTTTACTGAACTAAAAGTTTAATTGAAAAGGGCAACTTAGACAGTCAATCAATTTCAACCTTCGCAGACTTATTAAGAATGGTGACATTTAACCCTTATTTAGTGGATCATGACGTTGAAACTAAAGTACTTGAAATGATAAATTCTATAGCTGATAATATTCCAGAATCACAAACTCTGACAAATGAACAAACTGATGACTATTTTATAGCAATTGATCAATCTTACCAGTATAATGCATCAAGTCTTGTTAATAAGACTGATAGCCTTGAAAAAGGAGTTGACACAATAAATAACCTGAATAAGCTTATACTTTCACAAATGGTTATTAATGAAAAAATTTTTATCACAACTGATAATATAGAAGCTACCTTGACAGTAATGGAAAGCAAAGACCTTGATGACTTTCAATTATATTCGAGCTCCAAAAGTGCTTCAGTAGCCTTACCATCAAATTTTTCATCTATACTAGCGAGCTCTACATCAGAAAGTGAAGTTGGTATTGCTATGACCCTTCTGAAAGCTCCAAAGAATCCTGACAGCTTATCATCGTCTGTTGTCGATTTCTCAATCTATGACCGGCAAAGTAATCAAAAAATTGAATTGAATATGACATTTTCTTATATCCTAATAGAAATTCCTGTCTGAAATCTTAAATCATCAGCATTTGTTCCTCAGTGTGCTTTTTTAAACACAAAATCTATGAATTGAAGCACTCAGGGCTGTACAAAGCAGCAAATAAAATCAGAAAGCATTATATGTAGCTGCAATCATTTTACGAGTTTTGCGGCTATAGACTCTGCAGCTTCAACAATAATTAACTCAAATATTGGGGATACTATAAATGTATCTGCATGAAATAGCTTAAATGAATCAAATGCAATTGGTCTATATTTTGGTATAGCTACTTTGATAATTTATATTATTTTAGCCATTTTTACTTATAAAAAAGATAAAAAGGAAGAAAAAATAGAAGAAGAAATTAGGAAAAAGTTGAAAGGAATACCAAAAAAGCTGGAAAGAGTTATAAATAAATTTAATGAAGATCCAAAAACTGAATATATGTCTGAAAAAGGTCAAAAAGTAACAAATTCAAAGAGCCCTATTTTGTGCTGCAAGAAGAAAATGGAAGATTGCAACGATGAATTCAATGATGAGGCACTACAAACATCATGCTCAAAACCTCCCAAAAAAGATTATCAAGCTAAAAATTGTGAGGCTAAGGAGCTTACTGAACCCTATCATAAGGAAGACAAATCTGCCGAAATAAAAAATCCGTTTTGAAAGTGCTGTAGGAAAAAGCAAAATTATAAAAACGATCCAAAAGACCAAAGTGAAGCTTTTGATGAGCCTGATGAAGTTTATGTTTATAGCTTCACAGATGAAATCCGCTCTGAAAGCACTGAAACTGAACAAATTAAAGAAACTAAAATAAGAAAATTGTTTGGTGTAATCTCAGAAAAGCACGAGCTCTTTAATATACTTTTGACAAGAGTGCCTCAAAATCCTAGCCTTTGCAGAATAACTTTATATTTTTTAGTTTTGATAGGTCAGATGTTTTTTATTGGTATGTTCTACGAAACTTCAACTTCTGCATCAACTGAAACTCTTTCAATAAATTCAACAAATTCCACATCTTCTGACTATAGCTCAGAAGGCTTTTCAATCAATTACAGCTGGCATGATTTTTGGATTATGGCATGATCGTCTTTATTAATGATAGTTATAGTCTCAATTCTAGGTAAGCTATTTACAGAGCGAGAAATAACTGATCAAATAACAGGAATTCAGTATTTAAAAATTAAAAGACAAAACAGAATAAAAAGATGGATAGGATTATTTTTAGCATGGGGTATTATGTTTTATTTCTTGTGAAGTATAGCATTGTATGCTATTCAGTTTGATGAAGATATTAGTAGAGTTTGGGTTCTTAATACAGGTATAAGCTATACGGTTAATATTTTGTTTACATCAGTAGTTAAAATTGCAATTACTGCTTATTTAACTATGAAATTATTAGATCTTATTGAAAAATACAAAAAGAAAAAAACTAACTCCCCCCCCATCCTTGATCGAACGATTGACTGTAAAAATTCCTAAAAATTGGGGAAATTAACCCCCGAACGATTTTCATATCGTGAAAATTTTATATATATAAAAATATATTAGTTATCAAAAGCTTGGGAAGATGCACATAATGAAGTTGCTTTCAGAGACTTTAAGACGACAGAAAGCTTCAGAATCAACCATTCGAAGTGATTTAGTCATCAACCTAGGCTTAAAAACTCAATAATCTAATAAAATAGAGATTTTTTATTTTTAAAAAAAAAAAAATTCATTTAATAGGAACAAATTAAAATTTATACAGTTTAAAAGGGTAACAAGTAAATCAAAATATTAAAAATTGGTATTTTTATGAAATTAATTCAATTTTTTGCTGTAAAAATAATTATTAAATACTCTTAACCCTCTTATTTAAAAGTAAATAAAAAACAATATATATATATTTTTTATTTTATATATAAATTTTTTTTCCCAAAAATTTTTTTTTTAACCCCCATCCTTGATCGAACGATGGCGAGTCGTTCGATCAAGGATGGGGGGGGAGTAAGGAAAACAATGAAGCTGAGATTCATATAACAGATTTCCAGACACCTACCTATGAAATTAAAACTGGCCAAAATAAAAGATAAAAATAGGCACCTAAGGCACAGTAAATTAAGTTTAATTTTAAATTTAAAACATAAAATCTGCTGATCCATAATAAAATTTCATAAATACCTGACAGCGATAATTTCATATTTTTTAAAGCAAAAGCTATTATTATTTTAGCTAGAGTATAATTGTTGTAAAATAAATTAGCTAATTCAAAAATAAATTTTCTACAAAATAATGGTATGAAAGCAATATAATTTTTAAATTAAAATGCTCTTATGATAATTTGAAAATATTGACGAATTAATTATAAAAAATTTTTAAGTCTTAAATGGCAATAGATCTACTAATAAAAATAATAGAGATTAATATAACTAAATATAATCAAGAATAGATTTAAAGTTGAATTTTTGTAGTTTTTCTTTATACTATAAAATTTTTCAAGCACCATACTTAATTATACAATATGGTGCAATTTCTTAATCAGTAATTTTTTGCTTTATCACTGTTAATTAATCTATTTGACTGTGGTTCGTTCTATTTCAAGTTAAATTATCTTTGAAATTAATCTTTAATTCAACTAAAGTTTAATTTGCAGGAGTACGTTGTTCATATAATAATATTGGGGACATGCAGCCAGTATCATTTATTTCATCATACCAAAAACTCCAAGGGCATTCTATGATAGCACCAACGACAGCAGATTTATTATCTTCTCTTTCTAAAGCTATATATTTAGAAATTAAAGAATTCAGCCAAAATTTTAACAAAATGATAGACACTTATCCAATAGCTGCAACTGAATATTTTTCTGCCCAAGACATACCCAGACAGTATCAGGATACAAATGAAGAACTTTTGACAAACCAAGAAGAAATTTCAGAATTTCTGCAACTCATCGATAAGAGATTTAAATTCAGTCCTGAGGTAACCATATTGACTTTGGCCTATATTAAAAAACTTTCTATATCTTCAAAGATCCCGATTACAAATAATAATTGGAAGAATATTTCATTACTCCCCCCCTCCGTGAGTGAACAAAACCATTAGAAAAATCCCTATTTTTTGCCCAAAAACCCACCCCCCGTGAGCGAACAAAATTTTTTTAATAGAAAAATTTTTTATGGAAAAAAAATTTGATATATAAGTGATAATTAGTATAGCGAAATCTCGAGCTAATTCTGCTTAATTTTAAACAAATTGCGTTTTAAAAACATAAATTTTACAAATTAAATTAATATTTGCTTTCCAATTTTGCGAAAGGGGATGTTTTTTAAAACAAATTAACCCCCTCCTTAAGCGAACAAAATTTTTTTGTTCACTCACGGAGGGGGGGAGTTAGTATCTGTGCTAATTTCACAGCGAGTTTCAGACAATCCGCTTATTTCAGCTTCGTGTATTGCTAGCCTTTTTCCAAATTTTACTTTGGAGAGCATAAAATTTATGGAGACTGAGTATTTGAATTTGATTCATTACGACTATAATATTGATCAAAATGATTATATTAATCATATGGGCCACCTTCAAGATATTTCAAAATCATATCAATGGATTTCATGAAGACTGGACAACGAGAAATTGGAAAATATTATTGAGAGAATGTCATGGCTTTCTCAAGGAATGGCTAATTTCGATAATGGGATTGTTCGGTCTAAAAGAATCACCGCAATTAATTTAAACGAAATTGAATTTTAAAAAATAATAGAATTTTATCAGATTTGTAGGAAATATATATATATATGTTAAATTAAATAAAATTTATTATTAATACTATTCTTGTGTTAAATCTAACAATTTTTGATGGAAATTTTCAAATAAACATATTTTCTAACTATAGATATTTAGAGGAATTCCAAAAGTATAGATATATAATTATTATTTTTACTGCAGATTTTAATAAGATAAATATAAAAAATTATTTCACAATCAAATGCTTATGATACTTTTCAATAAATCTATCGAAAGCCATTTTATTTTTACATTTAGGCTTGCGTTTTAACTCCCAACTAGTTGAAATAAAAGTTAATAAATTAGGTTTTTTCCACTAAAATTCTCGGGGATGCTAATAAAATTTATGAAAATCTGTTTGTCTATAGTGTACTATGATTTTCCTATTTTATTTTCTAGACTAATTAAAATTAATAGTTTGCTTATTGAAAGATGATGCAGATAAATATTGTTATCTTGACACTATAATATTAGATAATTGTTAATAAAATTTTTAAATAGATAAAATTTTAGGTGCATTTAAACTATGAGATTTATAGCAAAATATAAATATGAAGAGTCCATTATCTAAATTTATATACTCAATTGTCAAATCAACAATTCTTATTATCAGAGCCAAAAATTATAAAATCTTATTCCTGCTAAAACAATAGATTAAATAATTTGAAAAGATATGGAACTCAAAATAGTTTAAACATGCCCTAATAACTAATAATTATATTTTTAATAAAGAATCATAGCGATGCCATCTCAGAAGTAATTAAAAATAATACCTCGAGCTTTTAATTAGGAATTTATACAAAATAATTATATTCATATTCTTAAAATAGTCCTGTACTTTATCTCTATTGAGGATATTTAAATATTTTTGAAACAGCTCTAAATTAATATTTCTGTTACAAAAATGTCAACAGGTGGTTTTGCTCTTCATGGTTACAACGAAGGATCACTTCTCCAAAGAATGCTATTGCTGAAAGCATCAGACTCTTTTGGCGACTGTCTTTCACATGCTAGCAGTTTATCAAATGACCAAATTGTGATTGCAGATTACGGCTCATCTGAAGGATTCAACTCAATGATCTTTTTAAGTCGAGTTCTTTCTAAATTCAGAGAGACTTCTCCACAATCTATTTTGGTCGTGCACAATGATTTGCCTGATAACAATTGGGTGAAAACTTTTAAAACCCTTTTAGAGTTTGAAGAATCTTATATAAAGGTCCCAAATGTCTATTTTTCAGCTATCGGACGTTCTTTCTATGATCAAGTTTTGCCGAATAATTCTGTGCATCTAGGGTTTTCATCTGCGGCTCTCCATTGACTATCTCGGCCACTTTGTGCTCCTGATCATGTTATCCCATCAGCTTCCAAAGATCCAGAATTTAAAGCTATTGTCGCTGAAGTTGCCCATAACGACTTGGTCACTCTCCTTCGACAGAGACATAAAGAGCTTGTCAACTCGGGGAGACTAATCATCCAGATATTAGATGACACTTTACCAACTGTAATGTCAAGTGTGATTTTTAATTCAACAACAGAAATAATGTGCGCTAAAGGATTTATAAGTGAAGAAGAAAAAAGAAGCATCACTGTGCCTACTTATGGAAGGTCTGACGAAGAAATACAAAGGGCTTTAGCTGAAGTTTCTAGCCTTTATAGAGTAATATCATTAGGAAAAGTAGGTGGCGAGCAATTTTTACATGAAGATCTACCTCCTGAAGTGTTGCCTAAAGTTCTTGATGGCTTTAAAAGACTATCTCTATCTTCATTGAAGGGGATATTACAAAAAGTAGTCAAAAAAAGTGAAGAAGAAAGAAATCAAATATATGAGCATTATATAAGGGAAGTTACAGATTTCATTGAGACTAATCAAAATTGGAATTGGTCACAATATCATTCAATTGTTCTTGAGAAGATTTCTCCATAATAGCTAAAAAGCATTAATTCTTTATTGGAATTTTAAATTCATTAACTTTTAAATATTCACTTTTTAATTAGTTGGAGCCCTTTTATATCCAATGATTTTATAACTAAAATTATGAATACCTGAATATTTTTAAGGAAGATACTAAGGATTTTTGATAAGTTTTTATGAATAAAAATTATGATTAATATGAAAACTAAAAATAAACTTAATAAAATGTCATCAATAGATTATGCATTTCAAAACTATAACGAGTATTCGAGCCCTGCATTAACTGTGATGATGAGGATGTCAAATGCTTTCCAAGAAGCTCTTAGCAAGGCAAGAACTTTGGATAGCTCAACAATTACTATTGCAGATTATGGTTCATCAGAATGCTTAAACTCTATGCTTTTCATAAAGCATGCTTTGACTCCTTTCAGAGAGACCTCTCAGCAACCAATTCTTATTTACCATAATGATTTGCCCACAAATAGCTGGTCAAAAGCATTTAAGACAATTTTGGAGCATCAAGATTCTTATATCAACCTACCAAATGTTTATTTCTCTTCTGTCGGGAGAACTTTTTTTGAACAGATTTTGCCTGATAATTCAGTGACAATAGGAATTTCTTCAATATCTTTTCACTTCTTATCTGAAGATCTTTCTGCGCCTGATCATGTGCTGGCTTCATCCTCAAATGATCTTGAGTTCAAAGAGAAAGCTGCAAAATTTGCACATGATGACCTTATAAATCTCTTGGAACTCAGGTATAAAGAATTAGTGGACCATGGTACGCTAATTCTGCAATTTGCTGGGGAGACAATGGATTTTGGGCAATATTTGCAAGATGCAAATGAAAGGTTGTATGAAAAAGGAATAGTCACTGAAGAAGAAAAAACAAGTTTGTCAGCTGCGTCTTATGGAAGAACAACAGAAGAAGTCCAGAGAGCTTTAGATCAAGAACGAGAAAAATTTAGAGTTCTTTATTTCAATAAAGAAAAAGTCCCTATGTTCACCGGGAAGAGTGAAAAGCATATTGAAATATTTACTGGGATGAGCAAGATGGTTGTGGGATTTCAATTGCAGAAAACTATTAAAAGAACAGAGGAAGAGAGAAATGAAATATTGAAACAGTATGTTGACGAAATGAAGGATCTTTTTGAGGCAAAAGATCAGCAGCTTTTTACTGATCTATATATTGTTGCGCTTGAAAAAATTTCGAGAGATAAATAAGATAATCATAGTATTACAATATTGATTAAATACATAGCATTGAAATATTTATTGAATTAATTAAAAGAATCTCATTTCTCATCTTAATGTATAGCATAATTACTGTTAATATAAAAATTATGGGAAATCAATTCATATACTTTAATTATAATTAAAGAATCAAACCGCTATTAAAAATTTATATTTTAATACAAACTATTTTATTCAAAGCTGATTTTTAAAATTGTTTTATTATTATAATATTTGAAATAATGCTTTGTAAAAAATTGTCATTTTATAATATAAAATAACAAATTAAGGAGTAAAATTGTCTTAAAAGGAGCTTTATAACGAGCAATTAGAAAAAATCCACTCGTTTAGTGCAACTATTAATGCAGCAACTAAAATTTTGTCCAAAAAGAAATTATTGCTCAAAAAAATAATATAACAATCTCAATATATGAAAGAACAAATGAAGACGTTCAAAGAGTCCTAATGAAGTCTCTCATCTTTATAGGGTCATTTCCTTTACTCAAATAGTAAAAGTAGACTTCTTATTGAAAGTCTTCCGGCTGAAACAGTTAATGGTATAAGGAATGAGCTTAAAAAGCTAGCAAAATCCTTTTTAAAAGGAACTTTGGAAAGAGCGATTAAAAGAAGCAAGGAAGAAAAAATGCAGCATGCAAATTGTTTACTAAATAAATCTCAGAATTTGTTGGCAGAAGTGAGGTAGACAGCTGACTAACATTTAACTCATTTATTTTCGAGAAAATCTTATCATAACCATTTATTTAAACAATTCTTCAATTGTGCCTATATTATAATTAGTAAATCTATTAAAATACTTAAGTATATTAATTTTAAATAGTTAAGAGTTGTTGTCCTTACAAAATTATGTTTTACAGCTAAAGATATTTATTTCTCAACGCTATTTCATCTTCAAGCATGCTCTCTAATGCCATGATCAGTTCACTTTCTTCCCCAACCACGTACTCTTGCTTAGGAGCACTTTCTAGGCCATTCAGGTGCTCAATTTCCTCTACCAAAAGATCGTCAATTAGTGCATCAGCAGCTTCTTCTCATTGCATTACAACCAGATCAGCAAACTGCTGAAATACAAGTGCCAGCAAATCTGTGTTAGTAACTTTTAAGTTTTTCACTAGCGTTGGCCTAGGCTCTTCAATATTGTATGAGACTGGCTGAGGCTTTATTTTGATTTCTTCTTTAATTTCTGGAATTGGAGTTTTAATCTCTTTTAGTTCAGGTGTTTTTGATCTAAGCTGTGGGGTTGGTTCTGATATAAATTCATCTATTAGGGATTTCTTTTTAAATGTTGCTGCTTTGGCTATATTTTCTTTGACAAAGTTTCTTGACTTAGGAATTGGTTTTGAAATTATTTTTTTAGATGTTTTTCTTTTGATTTTAGGTTTTTTTAATTCAATTTCTTCAGATTTTTGTCTAAAACTTATAAGTTCCTTTTTATCTTTTCTAATTTCTTTTGAACTTATTTCTTTATTGTTCTCTCCAATATTCTCATTTTCAGATAAATCAGGAGATTCCAGAGACTCATTGAAAGCTTCTGAGTCATCAAAAAGGATAGATTTAAAAGGCAAAGGAGAATTGTTAGCTATTTTTGGTTTTCTCATAATTTTTTCAGCTTTAGGCTTTTCTTCAAAAGCAGCGGCTTCACCCTCATCATATAAAATTGAAACAAAAGACATATTTATTAATCGTTTAACATCTCTATAGTTTTTCTTGCTATAAAATATATAGCTAGAATCAAGCCCATGTAATAAAATTACACACTAGTTATTTAGTTTTAGTTCTTGGGAATACGTAATTCGCAAGCGGGTGATAAGCATCGCAACTGCTGACGGTTCTACTTTTTCGTTTTCTTCTTTCCACTTCTGGTGAATTTAATTTTCTCTTTCGATTGTCCAAATCTAATTCAACACTGTTCCTCCTGGGCTCTTTCTGAGGAGTTTCCTTTCCAGAATTCTGATTCCCAGCTGGCTGAGCATATTCTGACAGGTCTCTTGTACTCATAACCTTGCATTGGTGAAGTTTAGAAGGTTTTTTCCCTGTAAAGCAACACAAAATAAGACCTCTCATATTTATGAGCGATGAATAGATTGATTATAAGTCTCATTTATAATTCGTAGAGAGAAACTTCTTCAACTTAAAATTTTTATTGAACTTTGAAAATTTTTATCAAAACAAATTAATAATCAATTCACTTATTTTATGATCAATTGAAATTCGCATAATGAGTAACACTAATTTGAACACTTTTGTATATTGATAGTAATAAAATTAGGACTTCAGATCTACATTAAATAATTTCTACCTAAAGTCAATTGCATTCTGCAATTTTAACCAGCTATAAAAATTATGGCTTTCACAAAATCAGTATTAACTGAAATTTTGGCTCCATTTGACTATAATTTTTTTCGATAAGATCCATTTGCAGTAATTTAATATACTGTAGCTTTATATAATTTCTTTCATTCATTGTATGCCTTATCGTAATTTTAAGTACCTCAAATGCCTCTCACATCTCGACATTTTCCAAAATCTCCTTAATAAATCGATAAAATCTTTCTCGCTCTGGCATTCATTGCTTATATATAAAATATGGATAGCAGCTTCAATAGTAAAGTTGACCTAGCTCTAACGCGAGAACTGAAACCACTTCTAATTACATTTGAAAAGGCAAAAGAATGGGAATGAAGCGATCTAATTCGCTGGCTGAAGTCAGTTAAGCATCTCCTAGACCATCATAAGAGTGAAGCAATACCTGAAAAGTTTACGCTCGCCAAACGTCTTCAGCAATGCTTGAATCCCGCACTACCACAAGGGCTTCATCTTATAACACTAAGTATATATGACACTATTTTAGAAGAGCGACAAAACTTCGAAACCTTAACCTTTTTCTCAACTGGATTTTTGCCTTTCTTTGAATACGCGTCATCGGAAAACCAAAAAGCAGTGGTCAGACTAGCAAAGCAGTTCTTACATTTGGATCCTGCAATCAGTTTGAGAAATGCTTTGATTGGAATTGTTACACCGCTGCTGCCAGGACTTGAAGAAGGGACTTCTAATCAAGATGTTGAAAGAGAAGTGATGAACTTATTTGATGCTTTTGCTGAAAAAGATAAATTTGGGCTTTTTCAAGCAATTTGGCATGCACTTTTAAAGACCAGCCGCGCAAGATTAGGAGCTTTAAATTATTTAACAAAAAGGATTCCTAAGGATTCCAGAATTATTATAGAATTTATGCCAGAAAAAACAATGCTGCTAAGTGCATTAGCTGCTGGCATACATAGTGAAAACATTTTGGTGCAGCGAGCAACAATTGATTTGCTGATAAGCCATTTTCCAATACTCCAAAATGAAGGGGTTTTTATACTTGAAGAAAAAAGATCGATTTTAGAACTGTTATTTAGGCTACTCGCTAAAAGAGACTCAACCTTGACAAGGAGAATTTGGGAATATGTCCATTTAGGGGAAAGTTTGCCATCTGAAGAAATTTTTGAAAATATTAAAGAAGAATACATCGTACCCACCTTAAAAGCAATTTTAGAAGCAAAAGTCGATTTATCTGGAATTTCAACCCAGGAGCAAATCAGCAAGGTCATTGAGCCGCTAGTAATTGCGGAGGCTGCGCTTGATAAAGATAATTTAGGCACTTTGTTGTTAAGAGATATTTCTGTGAGCTTGATTTCTAATGTAAAAAACCATAAAGATCAAGAAATTTATGGAAAAGAGGTATGTGAGAAATTTTCAACAATGCTGAGAAGCGATCTATGTGTAAATAATGTGAAATTAATATGGCAAGCTCTAGCTGATTCTCTTGAAGAGAACTGCATTGGAGAGGTTGGGGACATTATGGATGTTATTTATTTCTACATCACCAATTTCCCAATCAGTCAAAAAAGCTATGAGTGTATGGTCCCGATCCTTGATATTTTATATACAAATATGCATAGACTCCACAATTCTTTGAGCACCTCTTTAAAGATCGTTCAGATTTTATTAAGCAAAACTGAAATTACAGTTGACATCCAAAACTCAATATCATGCTTCTATAGATTTTACGTGGAGTTTTCAAAAAATGCAGAAATTCCACTAAAAGACCTTAAACGAGCCTCATTAATTGCGTTTACATTAGCTCGTCATGGGACTCCTGAATTCGGCTGGCTAAGCTGCATAATCAATTTCATAACAAGCAATAAGGATGTTGAAAAATCCTTAATGGGGATCGAAATTGCTATAAATCTATTAAAAGAAAACTTAGAGCCCTACAAAAATTTCCTTCAAAGCGAGCTTGGCGGCCTTGAAGATTTCTTCTTTAAGCAGCTTTGGCAGTTTCTCGACCAGTCTAAAAAGCGAAAAAAAATTGTGAAGCTTATATGGAAGCTTTCTGACCCAATAACCTATATTCTCCAGGCTATCCAAAACAATCTTGCGTTATCAAAGCTAAACCCTCCAAATGAAGTCAAACCAAGAATTGATACACTTAACCGTCTAAATGTGGTATGGAATATTACCAGAAACCTCAATAAAAACGAACTAAATGAGCTATTCTCGCGCGAATGCATTTTATTAATTTTAGACAAGCTTGAAGACCCTCATCCAGCAGTGAAGCACGCAGCTAAAAATTTCTTAAAAAACGCTTCCCCAGAATTTTCATTATTTATTGACCCATTGTATGAATCGCTGCTTTATACAGGGATTTCTCCTTTGTACCCTCCAATCTCATATTCCTTCAAAATCTTTAAAATCCTCTTGTCAGCAAATTGCTTTGCTTATCAAAATATTGAAAAAATGACATTGGGAGAGAAAATGCAAGATCTGTGGCTTGAGTATAGAAGAAACATAGTGAATTCTGAAGATGTTGCAACCTATGCAGATTTATTGACTGAAATTTGTGTTAATTATTTAGTAAGCCCTGCTGCGAATAGAAAAGACAGAGAAAGCCAAGGCGCAGCTGGGGAAGTGATAGAGCTGATTTTAAGTTATGGGGATCGAGAACTCGCTTACAGATGTGTTTTCAGAATTATGAGGTCCCTTAAAAAAATATTTGAAGCAAAAGATGGAGTTATGCAATTAGTTTACTTGAATATTTTGAACCAAATTTTGTATAACTGCAGGATAGAGACTAATAAAGACAGATGCAAGGCTTTATTATCTATAAATTTCATATCAATTTTAGAAGATGATAACTTTTTGACAGGACAAGATGAATACGTCAGAAACCACTGGGTCAGCTTTTTGATAAAATCATTAGACTTCGTCTCTGAAAGAATAGATTATGATACGTTTATCAAAATGGCTTCAATTGTTATAGAAAAACTGTGCGCACAAATAGAAATAAGTGTTAATAAAAAGCATCTGCTATTAGGAATTACAGCTTACTTGCATTATGGTCTCAGTATATCAAAGCCTGATGCTTTCGCTATTTCAGAGCCAGACCCTCATTCAGTGGCAAGAGAATCGTTTTTTGAAGGAATGTTTAAAAGACTATTAGGCAGTGATTCAGTCCCTGTTATTATTGCTGCTATAAGAATTTCTCAAGAAATGTTTAAAGAATTCGAAAAAGTCTTGGAGTGCTGCTTATTGTGCATAAGTGATTACGATTGTGAAGATATTAAGGCTAAAGGGGTAAATATTTTTACAGCTGTAAAAGGAAAGCCAATTGAGGATAAAGTCATTAAAAAATTACTAGACCCAATTATGATATCCAGGACTTATGAGCTGATTAGGGCTTCAATAGCGATTTGGATCAGCCGATCTGCAGCTGAAGTTGACCCAATCCCAAGAACTGACCAAGATTTAATCAAAGTTTTATATAATTTTATCTCAAATGAGCATATTTTTATTAGAAACTATATAACAACATAATAATTATGACTAGGATAAGAATATTGACCGCTCTAGATACCCCTCTTGATGTGGTTTTAGAAGCTATTTTTAAGTACCTAATCGATGATTTGAAGCTAGGAAGTGGGAATTACCGAAAAAATTCAGGCTTAAATAGAAGCCAATATGAATCAGTAGCCCACTTTATTTACTCTCTATTGAGTTTTTACACCAAAGAAAAATTCGAATCGATCTCTAAAGAGCCAAACATTGTATGGAATGAAGCTTTAAGGTTATTGCGAATACTAGATACATCAGAAATCAACTCTATTTCGCTTTGGATATTAGAAATAACTTATTTATTATTTATTTCTAATAAAATAGTCATAATTTTTTTCTTATATTTGATTAGCACAGATTCATTATAAATTTTATAATAAAACGTGTAGGGATTGACTATGTTATGTCAGGAGACAAATCATTTGCGAAGGGTATCAGAGATTTGATGCAAAAATTAATGAATCAGGTAGTAGGATACTGCATGATTAATGAAGAGCTAGACATTGAATACCCATTCCCTCCATCTGCCTATGAAACTGATAAAATTTCAGCACCACTTACATTATGTTCACTGTTAACCCTCAAGAAAACCCTATACGAGATTTCTAAGGCTATATGGAAAGATAATCCAGAAAAGATCGCTAGCCAAATCCAATACAACACAGGAGTGGCATTAAAAACTTTGACAAGTAAAACTAGCAATTTGGATGTTGATATCATGACTGACCTCTTATATTCTTTATTGGAATCTGGAGGGAGACGTTTAGCAAATGCCTATAAGAATTTAATTCTCGACCATATAGCTTCGAATGAATTTTTCTCATTGATGAAGTCGAGGAAAATATGTCTTAAACATTGGTGCCAAATTATAAAACTTATTTCTTACCAATGCTATGAAGATAATAAAGAGCAACTGATCAAAGAAGTTCTTACTCCCCTCTGTGAGCAAGCAAAGCTGTGGGACAAGCCTTTATTATGAGAAAATAAGCAAGCAAAAAATTTTAAAAATATTTGGTATATTAGTGATAATAATTATAAAGGAAAACTCTAGCTAATTGAATTGATTTTTAAAAAAGCTTTATAAATTATATAAATTAAATTAATATTTACTTTCGGATTTTTGAAATTTGGAATTTTTTAAATTAAAAAAAATAAATCCCTCCGTTAGTTATATAAAACTTTTTTGCTTGGGAGTTAAAAGAATAAATAAATATAACAGATCAAAAATCCTTAAAAGCATGATTTTTGTGGTCTATAGTGGAGACATTGACGATTACAATGCAGCATTAAATACAATAAGCGAATTTTTGAATGAATTCCTACGAGTTGACAAAGAATCAATCTCAACAGTGTTTTTCTGCATCAGAGTGCTATTAGTAAAATTATCGCCTCAGCTATTAAACGATATATGGCCAAGAATCTGGCCCCATACTTTAACTGAACTTTTGCAAATTCTTGAAGCAAATTCAAAAATCCCTAACTGCTTAGCAGCATTGAAGTTGATTGACACCATGATTGTTTTAAATATCCAAGAATTTATTATGCATCAATTTATTTTCTTCTATGATTCTACAGCCTGCTATGACTGTTTAGATGAATTTGATGAAGGAAAAGATGAGTATGTGCCCATTATTCCTAGGAAATATACAAGAGCTCCAAAGACCATCAAAATGATGGAAGTCAAGCAAAATATTGAGGCAGTCGAAAAAAGAGTCCTTACTATGAATGTCAAAGCTATAGATCAAAACGAACTAGATATTAAGGCAAAAGCTCTTGCGAGAGAAATTGTCAGACTAAGCCAAGTAAGAGCAATTCCAGATGATAAAAACATCAAAAACTCTATAGAAGATGACTTTTTATCAGACAATTATTAATTATTCCCTTTAAGAGCATCATAATTATTAATATTTTCAGCCATTTCTAATATCAACTGAATACTACAAAGCCCTTTTTCTTATTTTTTTCTTTGTCCTCTTTTATAGCATAAAATTTCATATTATTTAAGCAATAGAAAATTAGTCTCAATGAATGCGACTCTTTCAAGCGGATGCAAAGGCATCGGATTTTTCATCGGTTTCTTAGCTTCTATTAAAGTTTTCACCATTTCCATCATTTTAGTTTTAGCTAATTCGCATGAAGCTTTATAAGCCTTGAAATCTTGATACACACTTGGAATAGGCTCAGACTTCGGAGGGCTCGAAATTGCAGGAGAAACTGCTAGTAAGCTCATTTCTTCTGAAAGCTTTTTTCATTTCGAAATGATATCTGAGCTCATTGATATGCATTTATTTGATAACTCTTTTACTTCTAGAGCAAGATCAACCTGGATTGGCTCTTGTTCTTGATCGAGGATTTTGGGCTTGATTATTGGGAGCTGATTAATGATTGTAGATGTGTCAAATGGAGCTTGGCGGGAATGCAGCTTAATTGCGTTTGTGAGTTTTTTGCAGAGCCGAGCTAAGCGGCGCTGGTAAGAAGGTGTCAAAGGGTTGTCAGGAGAAAAATGAGAATCTTTGATTTGGCGATAGGAGTTATCAATGAGATCATAAATGATGGAATTGAATTGGATATCTTCGACTTCAACTCTGTCCATTTTGAAAATATATTGGAAATTTAAAGATCGGAAGAGAAATAATTTAGCGCTTTCTTTGAAGGATATGTTTATTGAAAATCATGAATTAATGTAAATAAATAATTATGTTCATGAGATATAAAATTTGTGATGATAAGTTATAAATTTAAAAATATAAATTTGTTTGCTTATTTTTAAAGTAAAATTGTGCATTAATCAAAGAATTTTGAAGCTGACGTCATAGCCGATAAGTGATTTCCATTTTTAGTCATTTATGAAAAGATTAGAGAGTCAGTATGGCGTTGCTCAAATATTAATATCTATACTTTTTAAAATAAAATGTCTTGCTTAAATTTACAATAACGTATATAAGATTTGTTTACTGCCTACACTAAATAGATTATTTTAGAATCAGCCATTCTTCGTCATTAAAAAAATGTTATATACTTTATGACTATGATTATTTGGCTTAATAAATAACCCCCCAATAATAAATATGCCCAGAAAAGCAGACTCAAAATCCCCAGTCAAAAAGCCACCCAAAAAAATCATTGAATTCAGCAAAATCAAAATGAACAATATTTATTATACTTCAAATGACACTATTAGAATAAAAGAGCGAAGTGATGACAACAGCTTTGGGACCATTATAAGAATTTGGAAAGATGCTTCTAAACCTCAAGCTTATGCAAATATTAGGTGGTTCTATAAGCCCAAAGAAATTTTCCAAGGAACCCATGAATTTTTATCAGAGGCTGAGCTTTTTGATTCTAATAATTTTCAAGACATCCCTGTAGAGTCAATTTATGATAAAATTAAGGTCTTGAGCTTAGAAGAATACCACAAGCTTGATGAAATCGATAACGATATATTTTTTACAAGGGCAATTTATAATTTTAGAACAAAAGAAATTTTGCCGCCCTTAAATGACTGGAAAAAAGTTTGTTTTTGCAAGAAGATTATTAATCCAGATCTTCTGTATCTTGCGTGCGATAAATGCAATAATTTTTTTCATAAGGAGTGCGTGGGAGGCGAAATAGAGAGAGACAAAGAATGGCTTTGTACAACCTGTAAGGCTTAGAATAGTTAAAAAAATATTATTGTTTTTTAATAGATATAATAAAAAATTGAATTAAAATAAAAATAATTTGGTAAATAATAGCCCTATCATCAATATATAAGAAATGATAAATATGTAAATGTGACATTTATTTATTCATTAGATGATTTTAATTCAATTTTATGAGAAATCATTTTAGGCAGAACAATCTAAAAAAATTAAAACGAACTAAACAGATTTTTTCTTTTCTCTTGATAGCTGGTTAAATTAAATACCTCATCTTCAGCTTAATTTATGATGTCGCTTTGTAATTATTTAACGAAGCTTCCAGCATTTTCTACTCTTATGCTAATTCATCAGCCAATCGAAGCCCTAATTTTTTATTAAATCAAGATTAATAATTTCGGCAACAGATTTCTTCTAGCTGATTAATTTTTTAGTGGATCGGAATTTCAGCTTATTTAGATTCTAAGATTATGATTTAAAATAATCTTTCTTTGTATTGAAAACATTATGGTACTGCTATTCTTGATGATACTTAAGATTGCTTTAGCAGACTTGACCCTTTATGTATTTTTTAGCCAAAATACACCTCAAGCCCTTCAAGCATATTTTACAAAATCTCTTTCTTCTTTAATAGGAAGTAAAAACTATTGGGATATTCTCTTTTACCAGGTGGATGAGACAACTGATTTATCCAGCTATTTCGAAAAAGAAGTCCTAATTTCATTTGATGCGACCTACGATAATTCCTTAAGTCAAACAATATCAGCCCTTACAGAAAATTACAATATTTTGAATTTTTTCTTTTCTCCAACAAATCGCCCATTAGGATCTTGGCAATTTTATATCCATACCGATCCGAATGATGAAATTGCCGCAATTAAAGCATTTACGGATTATTTGGAATGAAAAAGAATTTTAGTCGTGGGTGATGGCACTATTGAAGCAAAAATAATTGCAACCCAGTTTCAGGAGAACTATTCAGAAGTTGTTCAATCACAAATTACAGTGTCTCCGTCTACAGAGCAATCTGTTGTAGATAATATTGCAGGTCGTCTTATAAAGCCAAATGGCCAGCAAACCTTTGTTGTTGTGTGTGAAGGGGCAATAATAAATAAATTTACAAGTGCGTTGGTTACGAAAAAGATCTATAAGCAAGGAGCAGGCATTGTTCTATGGAGCAGAGGAATATGGGGCGGAGATCTTGATGGATTGATTTATGTCGTTGAAAAAGGCTTGGAATCTGCCATATCGATGCAACATTATGAAGCATTAGCATTAAAATATTTTACTGATCAAATTGGCGATTATTGAAATTCTACCTCAAATAGTGAAAACCAAGCGATGAAGAACTTAGAAATAAAAAAATATTTGGAACAGATTACAAGAAACCATAAAAAATTACCTTATTTTTCGATTGTAAATATTGATGGTTCGGTGAAAACAACCAAAGGTGATATATATGGTAATGAACTTAGCATAACAGGTGTTATTCTTTATCCAGGAAGCTCAACAACAAAACCCAAAAATTCAAAAACTTCACTGAAAATGTCAATATCGACTAATGGGTTGGAGTCAGATGGAACTTATAATTCTTATAACCCTTTAAATTGCCAAGGAAATATTTTTGCGAAAGAATGAATAAATAATCAGACCTGGATTCTTGAAAATTTTGAAATAGACTATACGTCAAACACATGCGGGGTGAGTGTGTTTGTGCATGACACCGTATTAAAATGTTTAACCCCATTAATATCAGATCTTGGCTATGTCTGGCTTGGATCTGATTGGGCTGCAAGCAATGTAGGTTATATGGCGCTGCTTATTCTTCAAATTGATTGTGAACGCTTTTTTATCATTAATTACTTATCAATTTTCAAGCCAATTTTAAAAGTGCTTAAAGAGGAAAATTACTTATTAGTAAAAAAGATGGTTTAAAGTATTATAGTTAAAGCTAAAATGTTTTTTAATTTTGAAATAATAATTAAATATTAATTATAATGCCCAAAATAAAATATCTTTTACTGCTCATTATTAAAAATAAAAAGTTAGAGAGTTAAACATTTCTATGGTCACTGTAGCGGCTGGTCCAAACTCTCCAATATTTTCTAATAAAACTGCTTATCCTGAATTTATGAGAATGGTTCCAAGCGCCAACTATAATGCAGTAATCATGATTAAATTATGCCAAATCTTTTCTTGGAAAAATGTTGTCGTGGTCTACTCAAATGTCAGTGCAAATATCGCAATCTATGAAGTCTTCAAGTCTGAAGCAGACAGTGCTGGGATTACAATAGCAAATGATGAAGATAAGAGAATGCTTCCTTTGAATTATGCAAGAACTCAATATCAAGAATACAAATACATTTTCGATCACATTCGTGATACGAACGTAAGGATATTTGTTACCTTTCAAACAGCAAGCTCCAATTATCAGGCTGTAGAAGGACTCTATGATTCAGGGCTGAGGAGCGGAGAAATCATTTGCTTTTTCCCTACAAAGACAGGAGGCCAATCTACATTTAGCACAATGCCAGCTGCTTCTGTGGTAAAATTAGCGAACCTCATGAATGGAGCCATTAGTGTGTCTGCAATCGAATATACCGGAACATTCGGCAACGAAATTAAAACACTCATGGCCGCTTACTGAGGCAATACGCCTAGTTTTAAAGCTACTCATTTTGATAATACTTTTTTCTCAGCTTATGGGCTCGATACCACTATTAACCGAGGAGAAGATTTTGAAAACTCCACAATTTTGAATAGAAATTTGCGAAAGCAAAGGATAACAAGTGCATCGGGAGTAATTTCAATCGACTCAAGTTCAAATGATCGAAGCTACATGGTTTTGGACATACTTAATACCTATCAATATGTCACAAATTCTTCATTTGTAGAAGTAATTGCAGGGAATTATATTCCAACTTCTAGTAATCCTATACAATTTTACACTAATCTTACATGGCCAGGCTATACATCAACAACTCCGACTGATACAAGAACTCCTGATAGCTCCTGCCCTTTTGATGAGTCTGATGCGACTACGTCAGTTAAAGGGATTGCAGCACTTGCAACGATATGCATATCAATGGCTCTCATGGCTATACTTATAGCCATTTTTATATGAAAGCAATATTCGCACAGTGATGTCAAAAAACTAACTGAACCAAAAGAAATCCAATTTGCTGATTCCATTATTTTTGCGACAATGATCATTGAAACCTTCCAATACATTAATATAGGGCCAAGCTTCAACTCTGATCCTATTACTGGGTATATTGGTGGAGTGTTTAATATTGATTTGAAAAACGTCGTTTCTCTTAAAGGAGACACTTACTTTGCTTTTATGGACGTTGTTTTTACTTTAGTTGGGTTTTGGCTATTGATGTTTATTATTTTGATTCGAACTCACACAGGCTGTGTTGAGAAAATTTGGATTTTTAAATTTTTATCTACAAGTGCTCATGATATTATGTCAATACTTGGAAACTTGCTTTTTCTCCCAATAATGACTTCACTATTATCGGTATTTCAGTGCTCCAAATCCATAGGTGACAATTTGGAGGACAGTTATATGGATATCGATTGTAACCAGTATTGCTGAACTGGAAGACATCTAAGTTATGCTATATCATCTATAATAGCACTCTTGATATATTTCCCTCTAGCTGTTATATATCGACCTGTATGACAAAGCTTGCAGCTTCAGCAGAATTTACGTTGCCAACCTAAATATTTACTTACTCCCCCCCCCCCCCCTCCGTGAGCGAACAAAAAAATTTTGTTCGCTCACGGAGGGGGGTTAATTTTTTTTTTTTAAAAAAAATTTATATATAAATTTTATAAAAAATATTTTTTTTCGAAATTTAAAAAAAATCCCTATTTGCAAAAATTGGGAAGCAAATATTAATTTAATTTGCAAAATTTATGTTTTAAAACGCAATTTGTTTAAAATTAAACAGAATTAGCTCTAGATTTCATTATACTAATTATCACTTATATATCAAAATTTTTTTCCATTAAAATTTTTTCTATTAAAAAAATTTTTGTTCACTCACGGAGGGTGGGTTTTTGGTCAAAAAATGGCGATTTTTCTAATGGTTTTGTTCGCTCACGGGGGGGGGGGGAGTTATAAAAAGTTGTGCACAAGTTATCTTTATCACTGTAAATAAGACTCTAAAGCTTGTCGATAGTATCGCTCAAGGATTGACTTATCTTTTACTATTTAGTTTATTTATTTTTTACAATTTGAAATTCAAGCCTTATAATTATGATAGGGCTAATATGTGGCAAGTAATCTTATTTATATGTGTAGCATGATCAGTGCTGTTTTCCAGTATATCTAAAGCTGTAGATACTGGCCTTATTGTAATCATGATAATTAAGATAATAGGCTGATCAGCACTTATTACAATTGGATTTGTTTTGCAAGTTAAAAAGTTCCCAAGTTTACTTTATAGACCTCAACCCCAAAGTATAGCAAAATTATTTTTATTTTTGCTTACCTCAAAAGTCAGCGCGCAGGAGCTGGATAAAAGAGCATTAAAATATGTGGTTTCTAAGAAAGGCGAAAATAAAGATGATAGCTCGATAATCCAAATCGATGATAAAACTCAAGCAAAGGTTTCTATTATTGGAGATGAATCAACAAGAAGAGAAATGCTCGGAATGCTTGGATCGTTTAGAGAGGAAGGAAGTCCGCATTAAGTTCATATACAGCTAGTATAAATATTTTTATTTTAATTAAATTGTTTGCTTCATAATATTTCTTTTAATTTTTTTTAGCCTTTTACTAACTGCATATAGCATTTAATGAAAAATTCGAATGGCTTATTATTATGTATATTTTCATTTCCAGTTTATCCAATAAGAGAGTGCAGAAAGACCATTAATTTTAATATCTCTATTTAGCTTTGCAATAAATTATTAAATATCAATATATTAGAAGCTGATCGCCTGCTTATCAGATCAATTCTTTTCCTTCACCTCAGATTTTTCTTCAACTCCAACTTCAAACAATCTTAATTCAACAGTCGCAAAAATGCCAATTTCCATAATTTCTAAATTTCAGTATGTAAAATGAAATAATCTTTGCAAGGTATAAATAAATAATTTAATCTTTAAAATTAATTTTGAGTGGGCAAGTTATAATGAAATTAAATGCATCAAATATTTGCTACATTTTGCCTTTTGAAAATCTATACTTTATGTATTTTTAAGATCATTTAGAGGCAAAGATCATCTTTACTTCAGCAAATGCAATAAAAAGGTAAATTCTTAATTTATTAAGCATCAGTCTAAAAGCCTTAAAAGTAGTTTTAATTTTAGTATGCAGCATATATTTGAGAAAATTTATTGAAGAATTGTAACAAATATGGACCATATCCGTTATTGAATATGGATTAGATAATATTTACCATAATAACTATAATGATTGAGCAATCTAATGATGATGCAGTAGAAATGATATGGTACTGTTGCATATACCCAAACTGTGAAAATCACTATAATACAAAATTCAACCTCAAGCAACACATAGAAAATTTTCATTTAAAAATTAAACACTACCAATGCCAATATTGCAAGAAACTCCTTATAAGCAAACAAAACTTTATAGAGCATCTAAACATCCACAAAGATTCAACGCCGTTTCAGTGCGATGTATGTGAAAAATCGTTCAGGCAAGCAAGTCAGCTTTCCTTACATAAAAGAAGTCATGCTGGAAAAGAGGTAGAAAAAAAGCAACGGAGAAACAAAAAAAATAAAGATATTGAATATGATATTATGAGGGTAGAAAGTGCAATAAATATAGTTCCAATTGAGATTAAATTACCAGAAATTCTTAGGATTGAAAAAGAAGAAAAAGTTACACTTCCCGCTTTTGCATCAATAAGTAGAAGGGATAGCAAGTTTACGGAAAAATAGATTGAGATCTCTATATATAACGAGCAGAATAAATAAAAAATCTGAAAATTATTTAATTTAAAATTGACTAAAATGGAAATAAGACTTATCGTTAATGTAAAATAATTTTAAAATCTTATTAATAATTTTATAATCATAAAGCATCGACAAGATTAAAAATTCAAAATTTTAGTTAAGAAAGACAATTTCTTTAGTACTTTTCATTGAATCTATACAAAAAATATCATATATCAGCAATATCTATTCTATTTTTATAAGTGTGTTTATATTTTCTTTAAATTATTCTATCTTCATATTAATAGGCTACAATTTATTATAATTACAGAAATCATTTAATCCTTCCTTTAATGAGTTAAAAAAGTTAAGAACTCCATTATTTGTAAAATTATATTTTAATTTTATCTCAATGTTTATCTTCATAAAGACATATATAATTAAATATTCCAAGGATACCCTTAAAGTTTATGCATCACAGCAGATTGCCATAGCGAAATCATTGGAAAATAGAATTACTTTTAAATTTAAAAAATTATTCTTGCTTTAATTTTTTTTCCTCTTTTCCTGATTGTTTTCGTCTCTGGCTTCTTTTTACCTAAAGTATCGTCATCTGATAATTTTCTCTTAATTATAGGCTTACCAAAGAAATGCTCTAATACCAACTGCTTTGGACTTTCTCTTAATTTTTTTAATTTTAAAACTGCATCATCAACTCTTCCTTGAGCAAATCCTTTTCCTTGAACTAAGAATTCTTTTAATCCTACTTCATCTGGCCCAGTCCATTGAAAGTTTACTTCTTCATTATTTTTCACTTTTGGATTTAAAAATAATTCTCTTGCTCCTTCATAATCAAAATTCTCTGGGATTTTATATTTTTTATTTTCTTTTATAAACTCCAAAACTTTTTCAATCCTTTCGAAATTCTTAATTAATTTATAAGCAGACACTGGGCCAACTCCTTCAATATGCTCTGTATAATCGCATCCTAATAAAATACACATATCAACAAATTCAGCATGGCTTAATCCTAGCCCATTTAACATTTCTTCATAACAAATTTCTGTTAAAGGCTGCTTTTTTGAGTTAAATCCTCTTAATAAATATGGAGCTCCAAAAACTAGTGAATCCATATCTTCTGTCGCTACAACAGAAGCATGTCCGCTTTTTACTAATTGAGCACACTCAGCTTCAGCCTCTCCTGGAGCAATAGCTATTGGCAATCCCATAAGATTTAATAGCTTAATTGCATCATTTGCCATATTTTTAGATATAATTACGCTCCTCATTCTGAATTTTAATGCGTCTTCTTGCTTCTGTTCTTCAACAGCTTGCTTCATAAGGACTTCTGCTTCTGATTTAGCAAGCTGTCTTTTGGAAATCGTCTGAAGCTTTAAATTAGGAGGCTCACCATCAAAGACTCATATAGGTTTTATTTGATTTTCTAGCAGCATAAGGGTACGATTTAAGAGACCGAGAAGATGCGCTGTAGGGTTTCCTTCATGATCGGTAAGAGTGCCAAGCCCAGATTTCGTGCTGAACTGTGTTGAGATTAAAAATTGATATAAAGCAATAGATGCATCACATACAACAATTTGACCAGAAAATCGAGACAAAGGGAGTTTGTAAACAGATCCTGGAGCTTTATCATTGATAAGTTGCATAAGTTGCTTTATTCCCATGTCAGATAATTATAAATAATGCAATAAATGCAATTAAGCAGTAGATCAAATAATAATTGAGCAAAGAAGCATAATCAGTTATCTTCATATATTTAGCCTCCTTTATATAAGCAAAATTCTTTTATCAGCATTTTTGAGTAAATTGTATAGCTTTTCAATCTCAGCTAGTAAAAATAAGTTTCCTTAATTTTTTTTACAAATAATCCGCATCGTCATTGAGTTAATAAAGAATGATCTTTATGCTGATACGATTCTTTATCTTTTCATTTTTCAATTTAATTTTTATAATCTCTCGCGATTAAATGGAAGAAATTCCAACATTAAAGATTCTTACATTAGGGGATGCTAGTGTTGGTAAAACTTGTATTCTTCTCCGATTCTCTGAAGATGAATTTCCTACAGTAACAATGCCAACTATAGGAATTGAATATAAAACAAAAATTGTTCAAATCCAAGGAAACCAAGTTAAGTTGCAGGTATGGGACACTGCAGGACAAGAGCGTTACCACCGTACATTGGCAAGCACTTTTTATCGTCGTGCGCATGGTATTGTGCTTGTTTTTGACCTGACTGATAGAAATTCCTTACTCTTTCAATAATTTTTTAGCAAAAGGCTTATAAAATATTATTTGAAAAAATAGGGCAAACATTAGCTTCAGTCTCATGATATTGCGAGGAGTTAGATCATGTTGAAAATTGGATGAAACAAATCAGGCAAAAAGCTGATCCCAAAGTTGCAATTATTTTAGTAGGAAATAAAATGGACTTATATGATCAAACAACTTTTCCTGATGGGAAAACACTTGCTGATTCATATGGAATTCCGTTTTTTATGGTGAGTGCTAAGACTGGAAAAAATATTGCAGAAGTATATAACACTCTTTCAGATATGATTGTGAGACAAGATCCAACTGTATTGCAAGGGAATAATACAGCACCTTCAACTATTCAGGTTAGAACCCTGCCTGAAGTTCAAAAGAAAGAAAATATGTGCTGCAAATAATGATTAAGCTATAGATAAAATATTAATCCATGCAGATTTTTATAGAGGTTTTCTGTAAAAAATAAGATAAAATAATGATAATTGTCGAAAATAAATCATTGTGTATTATAAAGCGGCCTAGAATAAAATGCTTATGGTAGAACAGATATAAATGGAATTAGAAAGCAAAGCTCAAGGAATGAAATTTTATAACAAATTCCAGGTAGGTGAGTTTCTGATCTGGAGGATTTTCGAAAAATATTTTGAAGTTAGTGATTATCAAGAAGATGATTTATGCTCAATTGGGACTTTAAAATATCAAGACAAAATAAATCATGTTATGCTAACTACTTTGCCAGGATTTATATGCATAAACTCAGACTCATTTCCGCTTTTGAATATAAAATTGGATAGGTATGTCATTAAACTGTCAAGAAAAAGCTACACTATAAATGAGGCACAAAAATTTTCAAAGCTAATCAAAAACGAAAATATTAAGAGTTTGGAAAAATTAATTCTTTTAACTCCCCCCCTCCGTGAGCGGACAAAAAATTTTGTTAGCTCATGGAGGGGGTTAATTTTGTTTTTTTAAAAAAATGTATATGTAAATTTTATAGAAAAATTTTTTTTTTCGAAATTTAAAAAAATCCTGCAAATATTAATTTAATTTGTAAAATTTATGTTCTAAAACATAATTTGTTTTAAAATTAAACAGAATTAGCTCGAGATTTCATGATACTAGTTATCACTTATATATCAACATTTTTTCCATAAAAATTTTTCTATTAAAATATCTTTATTCGCTCACTGAGGATGGGTTTTTGGGCAAAAAATAGGGATTTTTCTAATGGTTTTGTTCGCTCACAGAAGAAGGGTGAGTAAGAGAAACTGTTCATCACACAATTTTATCAGGCCTTTCAAAGAACATGATAGTTCAAATATTACAATTTTTATCAAATGATGATTTATTAAGAATTCCTGCTATAAGCTTAGAATTTTCTATGTTGATGAAAGACCAGAAAATTTGAAATTGTTTGTATATTAATAGGTTTGAAAACACAGGATTTCAAACATCAGTTGTGAATTGAAAAAAGGCATTTTTCATTGAAGCAAGAAGGAGATGGGAATTCAGCCGTAATCCATGAAATCTGTATAAGGTTGTTAATTCTAATTAATTTATGTCTCAAGCATTAGTAATCACCTATAGATTTATGGCTAGAACCCAAATGTGCTTGAATCCGCCATTTTAATTTATAATTAAATTTAAAAATATCTTTAAACTAATTTCAAAATATACTAATTTTTAGAATTCGAGAATTTGTATTTCTTTTAATCATATTTTCCCAAATAGAAAATTTGCTTTTTAATATGAAAATTTTGAAAAATTTATATATAAACATCCAAAAATTTTAAAGAGATCTGAAAGGGGGATATTATTTTTGTTTTTATGTGCGAAATTCCATCTGAGCACTCACCCCATACTCATCCTTTTGGGATCTCAAGTTCATACTCTACCTATTACTCTTCTGATTCATATGGCGAATTCCAGTTTCCCACCTCTCACACACAATTTATTGATCAAGTCACCGAGCCAGTCTCATTGGAATTTAAATCAGAGTCTACATCTTGTGATGCATGTATGGATTCTAATCCAATTTTACTCCTGGAATGCACCCTCTGCAAAGTTCGTGTCCATTCATCCTGCTATGGTCTTTTTGAGTATATCGATCCTTGGGTCTGCGAGCGCTGCTTGTGAAAAGTTGTTGGAAAAAATATTTTCCCTTGCAAAATCTGCAATATATCCAAAGGTGCACTTAAGAAAATGACAAATGGAGATTGAGTCCACGTTGGATGCGTCGATTGATGCAAAAGTTTGAAATTTAATAATCACAAAAAATCTGAATATATACGAATTAAAGACCAAGAGAGCAATAAATGCATATTTTGCAATCAAAACTCAGACTCCTTAATAAAATGTGAGGATTGTGAAGACTGATTTCATTTTAAATGTGGGCAGTTAAATGGAGTGAATTTTATAGATAATAGAGCGAGCTGCAAGAAACATTCTAAGAAAGATAGTGAAGAGAAAAAAGGAGAAAAAGGAAAGGGAAAGGAAGAAGGAATCAAGTATAACATTGTGGAGAATTTAGAAGAGGACACACTTATTGTTGATGTTGTTATACCAAATAAGAAACAAAAGAAAAAATTGACAAAAAAAAGCACAGAAAAAAAGTCAAAAGATAAAAAAATAAAAATTACGGAATCAAATGATGGAGTGCTTACGTTGCATATCAACTCTGAAGATGTTGAAGAAAAAAATGAGCCAAAAACTAAATTTAAAAATGAACTAAAAATCGAAGAGAAAAATGAAGTGAGAAAGCAGAAAACTCAGTCTGAAGGTCCGCTAATGGTGGACGATAAGACTGTCAAAGCAGCAGCCCGAAGGCCTCTTTCTCTGATAAAAAATAGAGAAGCAGAATTCAGAAATCCATTTGATGCAGTATCCTTCAATCTTGAGTCGGAAAAAAGTATAAGTATAATAGAGCCTGATTCAATTAAAGAGGTTCCCGCAATTCCTCCATCAAAAGTAAAATATGTAGAGCAAAATATTTCAAGATTTTTAAAAACAAATGAAAATGAAAAACAGAATTATGAGGAAGATGAAATTCAAAATAAAAATGATTACGAATTTGAGATGGATATTGCAAAAGAAGAGGATTTTGAATATGAAGTTGATTGAAAAGTTGAAGAGGGCACAGAGATAGCCCAATATCATAACCTGATTCAAGAAAAGTTGAAAAAAGAAGATAATTCAATGGATCTCGACATGAGTGATGTCCTCGTATATGAATCTAAGGCAGCTGAGGGGAAAAAATTCAAAGGAAGAAAAGAAAATACTTCAAAAGAATATACTCAATATAAAAAATTGAAAAAGCATAAAAAAGTCGCCAAAGAAACAAAGAAGAAATCAGCAAAAAACTCAGAGAAGCCCAAAACATTGCTTGTTTCTGAACTAAAAATCGAAGAAACAAACACTGCTCAAAGCACCAGCCAAAGATCGTCCCAGCCTCAAGAATTGATTTCTAATGAAATTCTCTCCTTTAAAGAGCCAATTAAAACATATGACCCACTTAATATTCAGGGAAATTTGCAAGAATTAGAAACCAAACTTAAAAGCTTCCTTCGAATAAATGCAGCAATAACCTTTAATTCCTATTCTTTCTCAAACAATCCAGAGCTTCAAAAAATCTTTCAAACATCTGAAATTTTATATGAGCAAATTCGATCATTCGTAATCGAAAACACTGAAAAAGTTTAGTGATTACAAATAATCATTAATTTCAGATAAATTTATTAATAAATTTAATTTTTTAATGACTATAATTAAAAGTACTGACATTTTAATAATAATGAAAATAAAAATTCTGATGATTATATAATAAATGGATCAGTTTCGATTGATTAAGCCAGCTTACTCAGCTTCTAGTGTCAAATTAGCCATTGCCACTTTTGCAGTTTTTGCAACAATTTGCATGACTGCATCAAATTTTATAGGAATTGCCCGAGGATGGCGCTATCTTGCGCCATCCTCGGGCAATTGAAAAATGGAATCGAGCCCACGTGTGGGCCATTTTTGGTGCGTGTAAGTCGATGTTGGCCACACACCAAAAATGGCCCCACACGTGGGTTCGATTCCCGGTGTGGGGCCATTTTTCAATTGCCCGAGGATGGCGCAAGATAGCGCCATCCTCGGGCAATTGGTATATATACTTTTTGATGAAATTATTATCAATAATACTGGAAGATATAGCAATATTTAATATAGAAAAAAAATTATTTAGGCTCTTTTATATTCATTCAATAATATTTTTTATACCTAACAAGTGAATCTCCTTTGCCAGCTCTCCATGAATACGAACTGGAAGAGCAAGAATTTAAGAATTTTCTGAAAACATACAACAAAAATTACCCCAACGAAGCTGAATATCGGGTTAGACTGCAAAACTTTAGAGAAAATCTGTTATTTGCAAGAGTTCATAATAAGCTTGGTAAAACATGAACTTTGGGAGTAAATAACTTTGCTGACCTATCTATGGAAGAATTCAAACACATTTATTTATCAAACTCTCATATTCCAATTACTGGCGTAGAATATTTTACACCAGAAAAGGTAGAAATTCCTACTACTATTGATTGGCGTCAAAAAGGAGCAGTGACTCCTATTAAAAATCAAGGTCAGTGCGGGGCTTGTTGGTCTTTTTCAACTACTGCCAGTGTAGAAGCTGCTTGGTTTTTATCAGGACACACACTAGTATCACTTTCAGAGCAAGCTCTAATTGATTGCTCTGTTAGCTTTGGAACTAGTGGCTGCTATGGAGGAAGCTATGATGCAGGATTCCAATATACAATAAAATACGGCCTACCTACAGGAACGACATATCCATATGTTGCAAGAAGCCAAAATTGCAATACAGCTTTGCAGACAAAAACTGCTGCAAAAATAACGCAATACATATTTATTCAGCCTGGAAGCTCTCAAGCCTTATTAAACGCTGTCGCGATGAGACCTGTAAGCGTAAATGTGGAAGCTGACCAAGCAGCATGGATGCTGTATAAAGGAGGGATTGTTTCGAGCAATTGTGGGACTAATTTGAATCATTCAGTTAATATTGTGGGATATAATACTACTAATGTCCCACCTTATTGGATTGTCAAAAACTCTTGGGATACATGGTGGGGAGAGAAAGGATACATTAGGATTGCGATTGCGGATGGAAATGGAGTATGTGGCATCAACATGGAGCCAGTATATGCCGTTTAATTACTTAATGCTAAAATGGCAAAAGAATCTAAGACTAGCTATTTCTTATGCATTTTTTTAAAATTTTATTTTCAGTTTATTCTTTATAAGTAAGGCTGAATACCAAATAAAATTAATTTATTCATTAATTCGCATAATAAATCTAAAAACTCGTATAATCAAAATTAATCGAAAAAATACGAAGTGAAATTTTAACTAATAATTATGCTTTGTCTCTTTCCAGAAATAGAAATAATAACTCCCTTATTAAATTGGAATGAAAAATTCTGTTCGGCAAAGGAAATTAGTCTTTTTTGAATAAAAATTATATTAAGCTTTTCTCATTAAAAAATTTCATAAAGAATTAGTTTATGAAATTTCACAGCGAAAACTTCTTCTAAATAGCGCTCTATTTGAATTCCTATTTAAAACTAAAGTTAAAGGCATACTTTTAATTTTAGCAATATTTAAATAGGTATAGACTGTAAATTATTATCTTGAAATATAAAAAATATGTTAAAATTTTAACAAAAATGAAAATTTTACAGATATTTGATTCCAATTTGAAGGGTTAATTGAGTAAGAAATTTTGACCTATTTAAAATCATAAATGTCTACCAAACTTCTTGCTGAAGCTATTGGATCATTCTTTCTTGCTTCAACAATCGCGATAACAGATGTCGAACCTTTCTCAACAGGTGGCACATATTGGTGTGCTATGATCTTTACAGGCTTCGTTTCAGGAGCCCACTACAACCCAGCAATTACTTTCGCTGTCATGATAAAAGACTGGATGGAAGATAAGCTTGACCAAGTTAAAGTAAAAGAAAACCTCTTAATGATGGTCTCTCAATTTATTGGTGCTCTTTTTGGAATTTTGATAGGCTGGGGGATTTCTACAAGGACAATTTACTTTGAAGTTGCAGATGGTTACCAACAAACCGAAGGATTTTTCTCTGATTCTCCACAGTAATAAACAAATATTCAAAATTTTCTAATAGTAAATTTTCATGAATATTGAAGTCAAATAAAACGTTAAAAATGCAATTTTTGCATTATACTCAATAATCAGCAAATTTGATCTATTCATATAAATTTGCTATTTAAAAATTTTGCTAAAACTCCACCGGATAAGCAAGAATTTACTTATTACTGGGGAGTGAGTTTATTTTTACTGCAGTTTTGTGCGCAGACTTCATCATGGTTTCAAAGATCACTGATAATATTATGATAGGATCGTCTGTAATTGCTATGGCTGTCACATCCGGAGAATGGGCTATAGGGAAAATTTCAAAAGGATGCTTCAACCCTACAATTTGTTTGGCAGCTAATATTGTCAATTATGCACACACTGGCTCCAATTTTACAGATACGTGGATTTATATTTTGGCTCCTATGATTGCTGCAATTTTTTCAGGGATGACGGCGAAGATGTTCTTGAGTGAGCTAGATGAGCAGAAAAAGGCTATAGAGGAAGCTGAAGAAAAGAGATAAAGCAATGCAAATTAAAATTAATATAATGGTATCAAGATGAATGATATATTTTTTGAATGCATATTAAGTATTAATATTGTAATATAATATTATAATTCAGTCCCATAAAGTATAACTAATTAAGTTCGTTTAGCCAATTTAAATATTTACTGGGATTCATTGTTAATAAAATGCATGAATCTGCATTATCCCTTAAATATTAATCTAAAAGAATAAATAAGTTATTAGTTTTGCTATACAGATTGAAAGTATAATTCTAAATATCCATGAACTCGCTTTATTTTTTGGCATGCCGTTTAAAACTGGTTTGGCAGCTTTCACCCACACATCTTCTCACTTCTCCATATAAAGATGACCCAAAATTTTGTTCATATTAATTGAGGCTAAACTTATATTAAATTATTCAAAGTTTTCAAACTATAAGTAGACAAAATTGTAAAAATAATCTAACTCCCCCCCCTTTAAATTGAAACAAAATATAGGTAAAATTCCTACTTTTTTGGGAAATTACCCCCCCTTTTAAATTGAAACAAAAAATTTTATTATAATAGAAAATTTTATAGGTAAAAATCATTATTTTTATATGTAAATACGTTAATACCCTATTTAATATGCTTCAAACATATAAGATTTAGAAATTAAACTCTATTTTGTCCAATTGTTATGGGGAGAGTTAGAAGAATACCATTTCAGCAAGTTTACACTTTGAGATTGAGAAATTTATGAATTAATTTTTCATGAAATTCTTTAAATTTATATAATTTTATTTTCTATAAAATTTTATCTCTGAAAAAATTGTTATATATAAATTTTTTTTATAAAAAAATTTTCTTAACCCCCCTTTAAATTGAAACAAAATTTTTTGTTTCAATTTAAAGGGGGGGGGAGTAAGAATTATATAAATTGTTAATTAAGACGTTAAGAATGCTAATTTGAGATATAAATTTTTATGTGAAATTTTTCTAATTTTTATATAGTTTTTATTTTTTAAAATTTTTGTGGTTTATTGAAATTTTGAAAGCACTAAATTGAAATATATATGATACAAAAACACTAAAAGATATTTTAAGCCATTGCAATTGCAGTTAAAATCAATTGTTAATTTTTTGAGACTGCAAAAATATATTATAGATTTTATGATATATTGATATATCATATGAACTATTAAATGAGGAAAGGTCAGTAATTTTCTTTCTTCTCCTTCAATAGCTCATCTCTATATTTTTTAAGTAGGCTTGGATTTCTTATAAGAAACTCAATTTTTTCTGCTAAATCTTGTGAGTTTTTAAAAGTATCCCCATTTCTACCAGAAATTACAAGCTCTTCAATAGTATCATAATAAAAAGCTAATGCAGGCAAAGCAGCAGCATGCATGTCCACAACTTTCATTGGAAGATCATATCCGCTTGAAGAAATGTGTAAACAAACTCCTAAGTCTGCTTGCTTTAATAGAGTAGGATAATCTTCAGCCTCAAGCCATGCAAAAATGACTTTGGATTTTTTCCATGTCTTTTGTGATATTAGATTTTTATAATAATCCTTTAATGGACCTTTTCCAGTAATTACAAGTGTAATATATTCAGTCTCAGTTAAAACCGTTTCTAGCTTGTCTAAAGCTGATATCACAATTGAAAAATCTTCGTCTTCTGTAAAACTAGTTGAGCTGACAATTAGAAATCCTCTTAAATTTAACTCATCTCTCATATTTTTTGATGACTCAGCGAGATTTCTTCTAGGTTTGTCATATAAAGTCGTTGACTTGATGCCCATTGTTTCCTCTAGCTCCCCCCTCTCTCTTTAAATTGGAACAAAAAATTCTGTTCCAATTTAAAAGTAGTTATCGTTATTTGCAAATTTTTGAACTTTACCACATAAGTGTGGAATTTTTTCCGCATGTGAAAAGGTGCTTTTCACGTGTGGAGCTCTTTTGATTTCACATGTGGAATCCTCTTTTCACACGCGGAAAAAATTCCACACTTAGGATAATTTGTTTTTAAAAAAAATTAATATAAAAATGTCATATATGATTTTCATATTTTAAAAAGTAAAAAATCTTAAATTTTAATTGATTTTTATTGAGACCTCCTTTAAAAAATAAATTGATTTAGAGTGCAAAATATTTTTTAGATTCTACTTGAACTACCTTCATTAAGTAAAGTCTAAGCTATTTATATAAAAAATAAACTTTCTTGCTTATAAATTTTCCATCGAAAAATAAAAATTTTGTTCAATTTAAAGGGATGTTAATTTACTCCCAAAAAATGGAAATTTACCGATATTTTGTTCTACATTTTCCAATTTAAAAGGAAGGGAAGTAAATGCTTTTTCATCCTATTGCTGACACAAAAATTCCCATCTGAAAATTTTCCTAAAACTTTTTCATATGCATATGCAATTTTCACTATTTTTGAGCTTTTTTTAGCTATTTGTAGCAAAGAAAACCCATAGTTGTGCCAATCAATACAAAGTGGGATATTTTTTAATCATGATCCTAAAAGTGCAAGAAAAATTGTAGGAATGCTTGGAGGATTTTGGATTAAAATAAATTTTGCATTCTTTATCGTCAAAATGACTAGCAAAAGCTGAAAAGATTCAATAATGATTCTTAATAAAGCATAAAGTAAAAACAAATACCTTGGCATTGATTTTATTTTGTTGAGTATTGATGAGGTTAATGAATAGATCTTCAATTTTTCATTGTTGATTAAATCATTTGGAAGTTTCGTCTCATTATATCCAATCATGTGCACAATATAATCAGTAGCTATCAATGATCGGGCATGATTCATCATTCTTGGCGATCTTCCTATGTCTCCTAGCACAATCACAATAGCTGCAGCCATATTCTAATATAAGCTTTATAAATATTTATTTTTAAATTATTGTGATTCACAAACCAAATTTTCGCGATCTTGAAGCTCTTCGGTAACTTTTCCTGTTGATTTAGCTAATAATTCTAAATTATAATCAGATACTGGATAAATCATCAGCTGCAAAAAGGTGAAAATGATCATTTCACTGCATAAAAGCAAATTGCTTGTCCAGCTTGTTATATTATCCACACTATCTATATCGGTGCTGATTATTAAATCTTCTGTAGCAAATAAAGTTATTATTAGTGGCTGTATAACAGTAATATACATTAAAACGGCGATGACGAACCATCCCTTTTTCTCAACACCTGGCCGCGAGCCCGAAAGGAGTGGGGACCTTGTGGAAGGGAAGTTGGCACTCAGTGAAGTATATTCAGCTAGGTTTTACTTGGCGCAGTCAAGCGCAACGTTGGAATAGGCCGGCTGGAGCTTGTTCTGGTCCAGGTTTTGTACCTCAGGGAAGATGGAATTCAAAGTTGGAAAGGGGAGGCTCAGCAAAGTAAAGCACTCCACTTGGTTCATCGGGCAACTCCCTAGCGTAAAACTGGGCGTTACGACCAAAGCTTTGGATTTCCATTTTGGCCAACAATCCTACAAGAAAATTCGCTTTTCGAATTTTCGGAATGGACTCTGTTGACGTACTGCAAGCTAGTGCAACTCATCCAACTATGGGTAACGAGTGCAAATCCTAGTCCAGTAGGAGCAACTCTTTGAAGGTCGTGTTACGATTGGTGGTAAGCAACCGAGAGAAGTGCTAAGGAGTGAAGGTAGTCCTTCGGGAATTACGGCGAGTTTCATATAAGCTAATTAAGTGTAAGGCTGTATAACAGTAAGCTGCAATGCAAATTGAGTGACTACAAATTTTGAACGAAGATTTAGATATTTCATTTCTGGGATTTTTTTGACAAAGGATATAAACAGCAAAGTATACGTTATTGCCAGTCCCATGCTTGCTGACTTAGCGATTGTAAGCCAAATCACTCCATTTGACCCATGCTCAATTGAGTAACTGTTATACCTTGTAGCCGCAAGAATAATAGTTATGATTACGACACAAAGCAAAACAAAAATATATTGGTATGCTCCAAATTTAATTCTTCTCAAATAGCTTCGAGCCTTAGATTCAGTTGTAATGTGATACTTCTCACAACAGCAAAATGATGCTTTCTCTTGCTTCATTAGTAGTTTTGCCGCTCTTTCTTCTGAAAATACAGCCTGATCTTGTTCGATAGCAAATCCCAGCATTTTTTCGATGTATGTCATAAAGGCTCATATGTTAAGAGCTCTGTCTGCTGATATCAATGAGTCAATAGGAGCTATTTTCGAGCCGACCAGAAGGCATACCCATGACGATCAGCCTATTACGAGTGGAGTCATAAGTAAAATCAATACTCTTTTCTGAGCTGGCGCATATACGAAATGCTTCTTATGATGGAGCATTTGGAGCAGAACTATAATCGATGAAATGATGAGAATGACTCCCATAACTCCTACTGCTGAGCTCTCTCCAAGGCTATCGTGATCAAACATTACAAAAATTATACAAAGCCAAAATTAGCCATCTTTGATTGCCCAATACTTCAAATATTTTTACAAATAATGGTACTAATAATCTTTATATAATGATTGCCTTTAATTAGCCATTCAAAATATGCTTTATTAGAAAGCAATGTCTCAAAATATGAGATTATATCCCGAACAAATCATTTTATTTTAGAACTGCTTTTATTTAGGCTTTTTATATTTTGCAATTATTGAGCAATCGTTAAATGAGTGATAAGCAGATCGATTGATTAATTATAGAAGAAGCCTTTATTTGCTGACAGCGTTATTGCAATCATTAATGCCTTCAAATCAATGAGAAAATCTGATATATTTTTATAATAGTATACTAAATAGCACATTGAATACAATTTAATTAAGTGCTAGTGGTATACTGATTAAAATTTAAGATAAATTATCAATATAGGGATCTATATACAACATTTATCGTTTGCTATTTGAAGCAATAAAGTCGATGCAAAATCCTATGGATTTACTGTATTTTATTTATTTACATTTTGAGCACTGGCGTTTTAAGGCTCATCGGAGCTATTTATTTTAAATGAAATCCAAAAATAAATTAGGAACATTTACACACCAAAAATGCACAGAATTTTTTAATAGATTTAAATATTCTGATTAATATGAAAAGTTCATTTTATATGCACCAGCATTAATTTTTTTTGGCGCAATTAATCATAAAATATAGCTAAATCTTTTAAATAAGACTAAACTAACTCACTAATTAATATTGAGAGAGCTAGGAAAGCTGCTGAGCTATCATCATTGTCATCATCTTTATTATAATTCTCTCTATACATCCAGTATCCTTCTTCACACAGTGAGTTCAGCACACATGATTCTGTTTTCTGTATAAAAGGGTAATAATTGACATTCACCTGATAATAGGTAAGAGTATCATAATTTTTTTTATCCCAATTCGAATGGATGCACCAGTTATCAAGCCTTCTGCCAGCATTGCACTTTTTAACATCAGAAGAATGAAGCCATTCTAATAATTTTTTAAAATATGTCATGTAAGGATCATCTCCATAAAATAAATTGCAATATAGTTCATTTCCACTGGCTGTAAAAGCACATTCACAACTATTTTCATTAGTAATACTAAATGGAGGGTCAAAATAGTCATCAGATGTTGATGTGCAAGAAGCACCTTTAGTTGTGCACGCTAATGGAATGCTCCCAGCTGATTTTAGCTGATTTGTGCAAACAAATACATCATTATGCTCAGCACAATAGGCATATTCGCATAATAAACTAAAATTATTAGAGCAGCTTGTAATAATTTCATGAGGATGAACAGTCCCATATTTTATGCATAAATTTGCATTGAAATTTAGATTATCAGTCACGTTGCAGCCAGCCCCATTTTCACAGTCATAGTCTGTAAAGCATCCTTTTGAGCCAACTTTTGTTTGAGGCTGGCATTTATTGGAGTTGCATATGAGCCCAGGGTTGCATGAAAACATTGACTCCCCCCATTAAATTAGAACAAAATTTTTTGTTCCAATTTTAAAGGGGGCTAAGAAAATTTTTGTATAAAAAAATCAATATAAAAAATTTCAAAAATTTATCGAATTAGATTAATAAATTTGTTTAATAAATGCTATTTACTCTTTTTCCTTTTAAAAAGCAAGATATAACTATTTTTTATTATTAGTTAATACGCCACTATTAATTGGTATCAAAAATATTTACACAAAAATTATTTTTTAAAAATTTATAATATTTTTGACTTTATTTCTGATCGGCTCTCAAGAGCCAAAAATTGGTTTCTGCGTGGAATTTCTAGATTTTTCACGCGTGAAATCCATCTTTGGTTCTTAGGCACCGATCAGAAATTTAATCAACTAATTATAGCAATTAAGGATTATAAATTTATTTAAATGCTCTTTATACTCTCTTCTTTAAGCAAGAGCAAGATATAACTAAATTTTTAATTTAGTTAAGAAGAAACATTTAGATCAAAAATTTTTACATAAAAATTTTTTTATATAAAATTGAATTTTGTTCCAACAAGGATTAATTTACTAAAAAAATGTAAATTTTACCTATATTTTGTTCCAATTTAAAGGGGGGAGTGAAGAGCACGCTTTATTTGCAGATAATCCTTTGCAGACACCTTTTGTGCATGACAATGTTACAGTAGGATCACAGTCGTCAGAAGAGTAGCATTTTTCTCCAGGATAGCTTTGTCCTGTTCTATCAGGAGGGATTGGAAGGCTGCATGTGCTATTTTGTTTAGATGAATTCGTGCACATTTTTGAGCTATCAGTGCAGGGTCTGCAGAAATAAGAATTGCTTGCTTCGTCTCAAAGAACGCAGGTGTCTTCTGTGAAAGAAACATTTTCAGGCTTACATGTGTATATTGGGCAAGTAGTAATTTCAACAATTTCGGAAGATTTTTCAAGAGCTCACTCATAACTATTGCCTATTTGCAAGTTAATCCCAAAGCACTGGAATAATGCTATCAAAAAAGTCAGAAGAAAATATTTTTTCATTGAATTCAGAGACATTTATTAATAGGTCAAAGATCTATATCTAAATATTAAATTGTGGCTTATGCATTTATAATTTAATGTACTTTTAATTTGAGAAGTGTAATCATTTAAATGAAGTATATATTATATCTTTGAATAAATATAAAATGAATAATTATCGCTAAAAGTAAAAAGAAAAAGCAATTTTACTACCAAATCAGCATAGAAAATAACATTAGAAGTTTCTTTGAATTATTTTGAGTATAAAACTAAAATCAGTTAAAAGGCTAGATATAAAGAGCATAAATTGTAAAGGTGGCTGCTATATTGAAAACTACATAAAAATGTGTGAAATCTCATTATGATTAATACAGGGCTTTTATTATTAAATGCAATTTTACTTGATGAAGATATTAAAAGTATTTCTTTACAACTTTTGAAATGAAATATTCAAATTTTATTAGCTTAATTTAAGATTTAAGATTACGATAACACTTTGTCGACCCCCACTTAGCTTAGGATCTGACAATACAAGCTCATCCTTCCTGAATTCCATCACTGGCTAACAGCTCTGAACAACGGTAGGTGGAATCGGCCTAACCGTCGAACCGTTACAGTAGCCTATGACCTAGACGAGTCTCTCTTCCTTCCTTGAACGTGATTCAAGCACACCAGGAACTGCCGAAGCAGTTCCAGCGCCAATATCCTTCAGAAAGACTGAACTTCCCTCACTAGGATGACCTTAGGGGACAAGGACCCTAATTCATGCGCTCCATTTTTAATTGTGAGCTTAATTTATTTATTAGCAAAGACAGGTTCAATGATATGAATTATTTTGAATTTTTGACCCTTTATATAAAATATCTCAAAACAAATTATACACAAATAGATATGACAGTCTATGCGACATCCTGACCTTATTTCTTCAGCACCGCAGGCAAAGGCTTAGTGTGAAGGAAAAGGGCAGAAGCAGGCCGGTAATCCTTTATGTAATCGAGCTAGGTTTTCTCTGCTATAGGGAGCTTATCTCCGGGACTTGAGTTTTACCTCAGAGGCTATCATTCGAAAGGGCAAGACCAGCAGTCCAGAATGGGCAATAAATACTTGAGCATGGCTCAAGAGGTGATATTTCTCCAGCTCAAAACTGGAGTTTAATACCAGAGGATGAGCCCAAAAGCTCCAGGAGTTAGTAGTCAAAATCGGTCGTGCAAATTTCTTGCCTGCGGCGTCGAGGAATGTCATCTGCCGAGGTCCCTCGGAGACGATGAGCATTTATTGGTGGAAATCCCCGGTCGTGTCGAGGATGAAGAGCTTATTTAGCATTAACATAAGGGAAAAAAAGTTTGAAAGATAATTCCACAAACTTATTTATTAAATCATTTTCTTTGTCAAACGGGGTTGATCTCCAGCATAACAACTTTGATGATATTATGACGGCTAAATATTTATTAAAATTAAATTTAAATTATTAAGAAGTCACATCTAAATTTTGCCGATCATGCAATTCATCTTCTATTTTGCCTGTTGATTTCTCAAGTAACGAGAAATTATAATCAGATACTGGATAAATCATGAATTGTAAAAAAGTAAAAATGATCATTTCACTGCATAAAAGCAAATTGCTTGTCCAGCTTGTTATATTATCCACGCTGTCTATATCAGTACTGATTATTAAATCTTCTGTAGCAAATAAAGTTATTATTAGTGGCTGTATAACAGTAAGTTGCAATGCAAATTGAGTAACAGCAAATTTCGGTTGGAGCTTCAGGTATCTCATTTCAGGTATTCTTTTGGCAAATGATACAAACAGCAAAGTGTAAGTCATTGCTAATCCCATGCTTGCCGATTTAGCGATTGTGAGCCAAATCACTCCATTTGACCCATGCTCAATTGAGTAGCTGTTATACCTTGTAGCCGCAAGAATAATAGTTATGATGGCAACACAAAGCAAAACAAAAATATATTGGTAAGCTCCAAATTTGATCCTTTTGATGTAACTCTGTGCTCTCGCTTCGTTGGTAAAGTAAAACTTCTCACAGCAGCAAAATGATGCTTTCACTTGCTTCATAAGAAGCTGAGACATCTTTTCCTTTGAAAAAACAGCTCGATCATTCTCGATTGTTCAGCCTAGCATTTTTTCGATGTATGTTATAAAAGCTCATATGTTGAGAGCTCTGTCTGCTGATATCAATGAGTCAATAGGAGCTATTTTGGAGCCGACTAGAAGGCATACTCATGAAGACCAGCCTATTACAAGTGGAGTTAGCAGTAAGAGAAAAATTCTTTTCTGAGCAGACGGATAGAAGAAATTTCTTTTGTGATGCACCATTTGGATAAGAACTATGATAGATGCGATAATTAGAATAACACCCATAACTCCAACAGCTGAGCTCTCCCCAAGACTATCATGATCAAACATTTAACAATTATAATAATTGTTGAAAGTATTATTAGTTTAAAGCAAGGCGTTTTTATCAGAATAATATTTTAATTAAATTGAATTAAAATCTAAGCCTCAAATTTAGCTATTTAATTTTTTCCCTGAAAACAATTTAGATGAGAATAATCTTTATAAGTCCCCTTTAAATTGGGGCAAAATAAGGGGAAAATTTGATTTTTAGAAGTTAGCATTTTTTAAATATAATTTTTTTTAGGTAAATAAAAATTTCTATGTAGTTAGCTTTGATACCTAATTTTATGTGGATTAGAAAAAAACAAATCGAATATTTACCTTATTTTATTCTTGTTTTATCGTGAATAGCGCAAATAGATACTATTTAAACAAAGTTGGCACTTTAAATCAAAAAATTAGCCCCATTAAGTTGAAGCAGATAATTTATTCTAATTTAAAAGTGGGAGTAATTAAGATTAATTCAGCCAAATAATAAATATTGAGAGAATCAATATATTGGCTGAGCTGTCATTGTCCTGATTGTAGGCGCGTCTATGCATTCCATAAAACTGATCCAAAAACGAATTTAATACGCAAGGCTCTGTATTCTGTATGATAGGATAATAATATGCATTTGCCTGGTAATACATTAAAGCATCATATTTTTTCTTATCCCAGTTAGATTCAATGCATCGAGAAGCAGTTCTCCTATCAGTGTTGCATTTTTTCGCATCTGCTGTTTGAAGCCATTCGAATAATAACTTATAATAAGCCATATATTGGGCATCTCCATTAAATAAATCGCAATATAGCTCAGTTCCAGTTTCTGTATAAGCACATTGGCAGCCTGGCTGACTAAAGCTAAATGGAGGGTCAAAAAAGTCATCGGACGTCGATGTGCATTGAGCATTTTCAGCTGCACACGCTGCAGGGATATTGCCAACTGTTTTTAGCTGGCTTGTGCAGGCAAATAATCCTTTATAAGGAGCACAATAGGTGTATTCGCATAAATTATTCACGCTATTTATGCAGGTCGAAATAATTTCATGAGCAACAACACTTCCATATTCGATGCACAAGTTAGAGCTAAAGTCTAAAGCATTTGTGATATTGCACCCAGCTCCATTTTCACAGTCAAAATCACTTAGGCAGCCTTTTGATCCAGATTTCGTTAAAGGCTGGCAGGTACCAGAAATACAGCCAAGTCCAGGATTGCAAAAAGTTGCCGAATCACATGATTTACCAGCTACGGTACCTTGGCAAACCCCATCTGTGCAGGATAATACAAAAGCATCATCGCAATCGCTTAAGGTTCTGCATTTTTCACCAGGGTTACTTTCCCCATGTTCATACTCAACTATTGGTATGCATGAAAAATTTGAATTAAAATTGAATTCGCAATAAGTTGAAGAGTCTTTGCATGGGCTGCATAGATTCGTATTAGTTTTTGAATCGTAAAACACGCAGGTATCATTGGCGAAAGGAACATTGTCAGGCTTGCAAGCATATATTGGACAAGCTGGAAGGTTAACAATTTCGGGTGCTTCTTCGAGAATTATGTCAGTTGATTGATTAACTTCTGTGTCAATCTTAAAGCAGCTGAATAACTCCAAAGAAATTAGAAGCAAGAGCGTTTTAGATATAGCGCTTTCCCGAGGATGGCATCCACACGGGAACTGGAGTTCCACGTGTGGATGCCATTTTGACATGTGGAAGTTTGGATCCCACATGTCAAAAATGGCATCCACACGTGGAACTCCCAGTTCCCGTGTGGATGCTTAGTTGACTTTCCCGAGGATGGCGCCATTCCGCGCCATCCTCGGGAAAGCGCTATATATGATCCAAAGACATTTATTTTATTCACCATAAAGATTAATAATTTCCAAGATTAAATTTTATCACCAATTTTCTTTTGATGATGATTTCCTAAACACCCCCACCCTCTGTGAGTGAAAAAAACTATTGGAAAACCCTTATTTTTTGGGTAAAAAACCCGTCTCTATGAGGAACCCAAAAAATTTTTAGAAAAAATATTTTTATATTAAGTGATAATCATCATAATGAAATCTCTGGCATTCTGTTGAATTTTAAACAGCTTATAAATTTTAAAAATTAAATTAATATTTACTTTAAAATTATTTCAAATGGGTGCCAGCTATGCCAGTGAGGTTCCTCATGATCGATTGGAAACGTTCCCCAAACGCATGCCTGGCATTGCACTAATTTTCATCTTGGCCGACAGGTGACCAGAAAATTTATTTTTCAAATTTTCAAGTTGGTAATCCAAAGTTTTCGACTGCAAGGTGCATGTGGAGGCTCATTGCTGTTAGTAGCAAGATTTTGAAGGTCGTGAGACGGGTGTCGGCGAAGCAAACGAGTGGAGTGTTATGGAAGGAGTAAGGATCTTCGGATCCAGATAGTGAGCAAGGCTATAATTTCTAAATATATAATGGACTTGCATTTGACAAGTTTTTATTTTTTAATATTGTCAAGTTGCAAAAATAAATAATAAGTGTGAAAGAGCGTCAAAATTTGAGTAATCACAGAAATTCAAGAGCAGCAAACAATCTTGATATTTAAGATAACTAAATTATAAAAAAGTAAAATGATATATTAAACCATAAGATCATAAAATTGCTTATAATTTTACTTAAAATTAAGATAATTTCATTTAAGGACTTAAAGAATCTTTTAATTAGACCAAATATCTTTAGATCATTTAGTTTTTATAAGCAAGCTGCCTTGCTAAACAATAGGCTTAATTTTCCTTAAATTAACTTTTTATTAATGCTCGCTTAATTTGACGTCAAAGGATATTACAAAAAATGAAAGAGAAGATGCAGAAAAGTCAAGAAAATGCGAATAAAAATGTAAAATAAATTATAATATTAGTATTCAACACGTTTAATATACACAATAACTTATAATGCCGCTAGAATCGACTAAAAATAAAGATGGATTTGCCAAATTATATTTGAACGAACAAGCCCGATTAAATCTAAAAGAAAAAGAATCGATAAAGAAAAAGAAATTTTGCTTTACAAGATCAATAAAACAGAAAATGAAGAGATAAAAAGCAATTACAGGGATATGCTAGTTTCAATTATATTTGAAATAGATGACATAGTGATGCTATTGAAAATGCGGGAATGGTCGGAAGAGCTTGAGATGATTCTAGCTCATCAATGTTTTACTCAACTGAAGACTCGAATTCCTCCAGTTTTAGCGATTATGATACTTTTAGAAGACCTAGAAATAATTACGGAATCTAGTAAAGACTTAAAAGAAGCAATAAATTAGAATTTTTTTAACTAAGCACAAACAATATTTTATATAACGAAATCAATTTATAAATTAAATTCAAATATTTTTTGAATTATATACGAGTGATTCTTTTATTAATTTTGATTAATGCTTAAAGTATATTAGATATCAGAAATAATGTTAATAAAATAGGAAATAATTGATTATACTAAAGCTCAATGAGTGATTAATTATTAATTTATTCTAAACCAAGTATGGTTATGTTCAGTACCATAACTTTGCAAAATATTCACTATTTCTTCTTTTTGATTAATTATTGCTGAGATAATTTATTTATTAGTAAAACCAGGTTCAATGGAATGAATTATTTTGAATTTTTTAGTGTAGACAATGTCTGCAAATTTTTCGCTTGATTCACATGTTACTGTTGAATTTAATGGCTATAACAACCTTATCATTTTTATGTGCTTTACTATCTTTATCAATATCCCTACAAAGTAAAGAAAATCATTTATTCGCAACTCCATCATTTTTAGATGTCTCAGATACTGAAGCAGACTTAGAATAATTACAAAATGCAACAGATTCTCAAACTATTATCACAGAAGACGGTGTGGATGAAGCAATTCCTGTGTTTCATCAAGCCAACCATATGATAAACAACAAGGGGATATGACTGATAATGATGCCGAAGATTATGCAAGTCTGGCCTTAATAACGCCGACTGAAGATGCTGAAGGATTGACTTGGCAAGATATTGAAAGGACTGATGATATTGATGAAGCTGTAGAAGGATCTGATAACCCTGGTGCAGGAGCTTGGGTATAAAGGCAAAAATAAATCATGTTTTGGAAATAAAGTTTTGAGAGACAATTCCGCAAGCTCATTTATCAAATCATTTTCGTTGTAAACGGTTGATCTCCAAAATAAGGATTTCTAAGATATTATGTGGTTGTTGTTTATGCTAAAATGTTTATAAAAATTAAATTTAATCCATTAAGAAGTCACATCCAAATTTCGTCGATCATGCGATTCTTCATTTATTTTACCTGATTTCTCAAGCAACGAGGAATCGTAATCAGATACTGGATAAATCATGAATTGTAAAAAAGTAAAAATGATCATTTCGCTACATAAAAGCAAATTGCTTGTTCAGCTTGTTATATTATCCACGCTGTCTATATCAGTGCTGATTATTAAATCTTCTGTAGCAAATAAAGTTATTATTAGTGGCTGTATAACAGTAAGCTGTAATGCAAATTGAGTGACAGCAAATTTCGGTTGGAGCTTCAGGTATCTCATTTCAGGTATCTTTTTGACAAATCATATAAAGAGCAAAGTATAAATCATTGCTAACACCATGCTCGCCGATTTAGCGATTGTGAGCCATATCGCTCCATTTGACCCATGCTCAATTGAATAGCTGTTATATCTTGTAGTCACAAGAATAGTAGTTATGATGGCAGCAGAAAGCAAAACAAAAATATATTGGTATGCTCCAAATTTTATCCTTTTGATATATGCCTGTGCTCTCGCTTCGTTGGTAAAGTAAAACTTCCCACAGAAAAAACATGATGCTTTCTCTTGCTTCATAAGAAGTTGAGTCATCTTTTCCTTTGAAAAAGCAGCTTGATCACTCTCGATTGTATGGCCTAGCATTTTTTCAATGTACGTTATAAAAGCTCATATGTTGAGAGCTCTGTCTGCTGATATCAATGAGTCAATAGCAGCTATTTTCGAGCCGACCAGAAGGCATACCCATGATGACCAGCCTATTACAAGTGGAGTTAGAAGTAAAAGAAAAATTCTTTTCTGAGCCGGCGGGTATAAGAAATTTCTTTTGTGATGCATCATTTGGATAAGAACTATGATAGATGCGATAATTAGAATAACACCCATAACTCCAACAGCTGAGCTCTCCCCAAGACTATCATGATCAAGCATTTAACAATTATAATAATTGTTGAAAGTATTATTAGTTTAAAGCAAGGCGTTTTTATCAGAATAATATTTTAATTGCAATCTAAGCCTCAATGTTAGCTATTTTTATATAATTTACCCTGAAAACAATTTAGATGAGAATAACATTTATAATTAAGATTAACTCAACAAAATTATAAATATGGAGAAAATTTATATATTGGCTGAATTGTCATTATCCTTATTTAGGCGCGCCTATGCATTCCGTAAAATTGATCTAAAACAAGTTTTTATTTTTTTAATATTCCCAAATGTAAAAATAAATAACAAGCGCGAAAGAGCGTCAAAATTTGAGTAATCACATCGAGTTTAAAAAGCATCAATAATCTTAATATTTAAGATGATTAAATTATAAAAAAGTAAAATGACATATTAAACCATAAGATAATAAAATTGCTTATAATTTTACTTAAATTAAGATAATTTCATTTAAGGACTTTTTGAATCTTTTAATTAGACCAAATATCTTTAAATCATTTAGTTTTTAGAAGTAAGCTGCCTTGTAAAACAATAGGCTTAATTTTCCTTAAATTAACTTTTTATTAATGCTTTCTTAATTTGACATCAAAGGATATTACAAAAAATGAAAGAGAAGATGCAGAAAAGTCAAGAAAATGCTAATAAAAATGCAAAATAAATTATAATATTAGTATTCAGCACGTTTAATATACACAATAACTTATAATGCCGCTAGAATCGACTAAAAATAAAGATGGATTTGCCAAATTATATTTTGAACGAACAAGCCCGATTAAAACTAAAAGAAAAAGAATTGATAAAGAAAAAAGAAATTTTACTTTACAAGATCAATAAAACAGAAAATGAAGAGATAAAAAGCAATTACAGGGATATGCTAGTTTCAATTATATTTGAAATAGATGACATTAGTGATGCTATTGAAAATGCGGGAATGGTCGGAAGAGCTTGAGATGATTCTAGCTCATCAATGTTTTACTCAACTGAAGACTCGACTTCCTCCAGTTTTAGCGATTATAGCACTTTTAGAAGATCTAGAAATAATTATGGAATCTAGTAAAGACTTAAAAGAAGCAATAAATTAGAATTTTTTAACTAAGCATAAACACATTTTCGTATATAGCAAAATCAATTTATAAATTAAATTCAAATATTTTTTGAATTATATACGAGTGATTCTTTTATTAATTTTGATTAATGCTTAAAGTATATTGATTGATTGATTGATCGATTGATAAAATTACTTAAATTAGCTAATTCTTGAATTTCCTTTGAAATGCTGATAGAGAAAGACCTCCGGTCTGAGCAACAAGCTGTAGCTACTCAACCGTTAGAACTTCATTCTCTTCTAGCTCTAAAGAACTCTCTTTTCCCACTACCCGCGCCACTGGATAGTGTACTGTTACCCAGACTCTCAGAGAATAAAGAGGTTCACTTCACTGAGCCCGAATAAGAAAACTACCATGCCGGGTCTGGACATTTTAATTGTGAAAGTATATTAAATATCAGAAATAATATTAATAAAATAGGAAATAATTGATTATAATAAAGCTCAATGAGTGATTAATTATTAATTTATTCTAAACCAAGTCTGATTATGATCAGCTCCATAACTTTGCAAAATATTCACTATTTCTTCTTTTTGATTAATTATTGCTATAGAGGTTTCCGCTATATAGCGCTGAAAGCGCAGACATTTTCCCAGGAGCTTTCCAAGTTCGTCGGACCAAATCGCTTTTTGGTCCGACCAAGGCATTGATTTGGTGCAACCAACCGATAAATTCCGATCAGAATTTATCGGCCTTACAGCGCCAAACATAGGAAACTTCTATAAGTCCAAAGGAGTATAATCAAATGCGCTTTTTGGTGATAGATCAGCGCCATATTTAATCAAAGCATTAACTGCATTCAAATTCCCCCTTCTTGAAGCTTGATGGAGTGCAGTTTCTCCAGAATTTTCAAATTCATTTATTCTTGCACCTTTTTCACATAAAAACTCAACGATATCATCATGTCCACAAGCTGCAGCTACCATAAGCGGTGTCCATTTATAATAATCAGAAATATTAATATCAAACCCTGTATCAGTTATCAGCTGCAGAATCTTTCACATTCTTTTTTCAACTGCCAAAATTATAATAGGCCTCATATGAAATTTTTCACCTATTGACCTTTCTTCGTTCAATATTTCATTTTCTTTATTAGCGATCTCATTTGAAATTAAATAATTGAGAATAATAAGTGCTACATCTTCTTGCTGGCTTAATATATATAGTTGGCAAGCTTCATAAAATGATATTAAAGGAAATTGGTCTGCATATGAGTAAATTATCTTTGTAAGTATTGTTTGATTAGAAGCAAGTATATTGTAGTGAAGCCTACATCGAGAAAATTTAACTGAATTTTCCAAAAGAAAATTAAACATTTCTAAATTATTTTCTTGAAGCGCTGCACAAATTGTATTACAGTTCCCTGAAAAATAGTTTTGAGTGTGCAAGCCTTTATCTATAAACAATTGGAAGATTTCAAGACTATTTTTACTTTTAACAGCTTCCAATAGGGCAGGAGCTTCTCCTGTATTGCTATATTTAACTGGCCAAATATCTGATCCACAATTTAAAAGCAGCTTGACCAAAGCGCTAAAACCTTTCTTTATAGCTGCATTTAAAAGAGTTGTATTATGAAAATATATATGATTAGATAAATCCAATCCATGCTTTATCATCAAACTATAAGCTTCAACTAGTATCGCTTCATCTTCAGACTCATTTATTATCTGAAGTTGGGGATATTTTCATTCTTTCCATTTATTCGAAATAACATTTGTATCCCCTCCATTTCTTAGCCACTCTTTAAGTTCTGCTGTACCTTCAAGCTTACATAAAATATCATAAAAACTCAAATGAACAACCTCTATATTGTGATTTCTCAATATATCAGCAACTCCAAAAGAGTCCTGTTCTATAAAAATTCTTTTTATATGTGAATACGTAAGGACTTTTTCAAACTCTTTTATTTTTATAATTGAATTTTTGTGATAAATTTTTGACATCATCACATCAAGTATTTCTAATTGATTCAATTTGTCAATTAGTATTATTAACTCCCCCCTCTATGAGTGAACAAAAAAATTTTGTTCGCTCACGTAGTGCTGTTAATCTTTTTTTTAAAAAATTTACATATAAAATTTTATAGAAAATTTTTTTTTCAAAATTTAAAAAAATTCCCACTTCTCGGAAATTGGAAAGCAAATATTAATTTAATTTATAAAATGTATGTTTTAAAACGCAATTTGTTTAAAATTTAAACATAATTAGCTCGAGATTTCCCTATACTAATTATCACTTATATATCAAAATTTTTTCCATAAAAAATTTTTGTTCGCTCACGGAGGAGGGATTTTTCTAATGGCTTTGTTCACTTATCAATGGGGGGGAGTAAGTCACAAAAATTTGCTTTTGTATGGCCTAAATAAAGTTTTTTTAATCTCGGGAAGAATTCACAAATTTTTTGAGAGCCAAGGTTAGAACTTCGATTATTTGTAAGTTTTAGCTCCTCTAAATTGAAATATTTGGTATCTTCTTGAATGCTCTTATCAATCGTGGCTCATAAAATGTCTAATCTTATCTGATTGTTTGAAATATCAAGCTTTAATAATAAAGGATTAGAAAAAATAACTTTAGCAAGTGTTTCTTCTGAAATGTGCACATTTTTCAAATCTATAGAGAAAAACTGATAATTCTTAATATGATTTGTAAGCATTTTATCTATATCAATATTGCCAGGCAATAGCTTATATATACGAGATCCTTCAAACGATAGGTAATGATAAGCTTTTTCAATCACAAATTTTCATTTCTTGCATACACTTTGCTGGCTTACGACCTCATTAAATGGCCCAACTATTGTAAGAATGCTTGCTAAAATCGAATTAGGAATTTTATCCATTACTAATTAAAGCTTTATAATAATTTGTTGGTTTTCTAAATTATCAAGTATTATATATTAAAAAAATGAATATGGATCTTTATTATCTGGTTCTGCTACCTGCACTCGAACTCCATTAAAAGCTCCTAAATGTTTCAAAACTGAAGTAGAGTCTCTTATTGATAAGTCTAAAGGTGTGAATCCATCATTAGATATTGAATTAATCACTGCCCCAGATTTTATTAATTCTTTAATAGCTTCTACCTGATTATTTTTCGCAGCATGATGAAGCGCAGTCTTTCCAGAAAAATCTTTTTGATTTACGGGTGCTCCACATAAGCAAAGAAAATTGATGACATCAGGATAGCCTTTTATCGAAGCTGACATTAAAGCAGTAATTCCAGTATTATCTCCCATACTAACATCAAAGCCTTTTTCAGTCAATTTGTATAGAATCCTCAAAGCTCGACTTTCAGCTGCAATGACCATAAGTGGTAGTCTAATCTCTTTTCCAAATTTTATAATTGATAAATTTGCTAGAATGCTTTTTTCGCTTATATGCCCTTGCCTAGCGGCTATAATTTCAATAAGCATTGATGCTCTTTTATTATTTAAATGCCTTACATAAACTTGAGCTGCTTCATATAGCATTTCTAATGTAAATAGATAGCAATATGAATTTAGTAAAGTATCAAAACATTCACTATCTGTAAAAAGTATGTTCTTATGACATGGACATCTAAAATAAGGCACAGAGTTGTTAGCAAGATATGCAAACATTTTTCAATTTTCTTCAGAAGCTGCTGAGCAGATTGGGTTGCAAGTTCTTCCAAGATAATTGTCCTGCTTTTGATAATTATAGTTAATAAATAATTGGAGTATCGATGGATCGTTTGATTTTGTCGCTAAAACTATAGGATGCTCATGATGAGAACCATAGTTTGGCCAAATATCTGCACCGCATCTCAATAATATTTCGAAGAGCTTTTTCAATTGCTTGCCTATGGATGAATTTATATATGTGTTATTGTTTTGATATAGATCAAGATTATACCTAATCATCAATTGAAAAGCTTTGCAAATGAGTTCTTCATCAGAGTTTCTCATGATGAAGTCTTTTTGTGGCGAATTTTGATGTGTGCTCAGTAAATTAACATCTCCTCCATTTTTAAGGAAGATTTCGAGTAATTCCAAGTCAGCTATTGATTTTATTTGATTAAGCAAAGATTCAATATTTCTATTGATAATTTCAATGTGTTTTCTTTTAAATATATTTAATACTTCGATATCGCAAGCATCAAGGTAAACAGCTCGCAGAGATGTTCTGCTTAATGATTCTTCTAATTCTTTTAAATTTAATCCATCTGCACAAAAACAATAAGAGATGTCAAGAATTTTCAATTTTTGTAAGGAGCATATCAAAATTTTAATAGATTCTCAAGAAGTAGAGGTGTTGCCGATGTATAGCTTGGCTAAATTTGGGAAACATATCGCTAATGTTTCTCTAATAGGTTCCGATCCTTTGACATTTGTTAATCTAAGCTCTTCTAGTTTATGGTTTTTTTGGTTTGAGATCTCCATTTCTTTTAAAGTTTCCTCTCAAAGGCTTACTAAATCACAAAATGAATTTGACAAATCAAGCTTCAGCATTTCAGGATTAGAGACAATAATTTTTGCAAGATTTTCTGCTCTACAATTAACATTCCTTAGATCTAAAGAAGTCAATTTTCAGCCTTCTCTAAACTTACGAAGACTAGTGTAAATGACTATTTCTCATGGCGTTAGTTGGAAACTTCGTGCTCCCTGAAAGGTCACATAATGATAAGCTCCTTCAATGATTGATTTTCATTTTTTACAAACTAAAAGCAATCTTAAAATCTCAGGGAAAGATCCTACAATTGTTAAAATGTTTGCTAAAACAGGTCAAATAAATAAATTAGACGATTTGGCTGGCCATAAGTGGGTAAACCCACTAACTATCGCCCATCTTAGTTCAAAAATGTTGCCATTTTAGATTTCCAACCCTTGTCATCTCTATCCAACGATGATCCAATGAGGAAATGCCTTGTGATAAGCAGAATCCATCTGGCAGACAAGAAAATTTTTGGAGGTGAAACCAAACTTCACTTTTTGGCAAGGCATCCCCAAGCCTGAAGACCTATTTCAAAGAGGGCAGAGGCTCTGTTTCCAACTTTATCAGAGTGGGTCCGACCCTCAGGGATCTCGCCTCGGAGTTTATTTCTATCAACGTAACCATTTTATTTCTCTTTAAAGCAGATCAAGGAATTTTTTCCATAATTTTATCTAATTACATATAAATTAAAATCACATTACTCCAAAGGCTGAATTATAAGTATCCCTAATCCCCAGCGCACTAAAGCTGTATATGCTGCTAGCATTATAACAATCAGACACAGTAATCCTCTGAAAAGCACTTGCAGGGCTCCTTTAAAGTTCAGTTGAGTAATATCATCTGCTGAAGCAACCACAATCCCTCCATAAATTGTTAGAGTAACGAGCAAAATCAATGCTACCTTCCATAAAGGGACTTGATCATTGCCATTAGCAGCTTCTTGCCCAGGTTGCTGTGTATTTTCATTTCTTATAATGCATTGGATTGATTATTATATTTAAAAATTAAGCTTGCTTGCTATTATTCTCATTGTCTAAAAACCAATTTTAATATAAAAGCGAATATTAAATTATGCTCATAAGCCCAAATAGACCATCGTGATTTATACATGCTATGGCAAATTTCACACTCGACTGACCCTGATTCTTTAATTCATTCTTTTAAGCAGTCAGGATGTATATATCGAATAGAGCCCAAACAATTGCAAGGGATGCATAAATAAGTTTCTGGGTCTCCTCTCTCTAGGCAAATGCGGCAAGATGTGTTTTCATCAATGTCTTTAATTTTAACCATGTCTGGCTCATCTTCCATTTGAATTAAGTTAGTAAATTATAAAATTAGGAAATAGAAAAGAATTTTCAAAGCATGATAGGTTTTTCTATGTAGATTTACTAGAAATGACTAGTTGTCGATATTTCATATATTTTCAGGAGATTCGATAATGAGATTGATTTATGGCATAAATTATTAGAATATCCTTAGCTGATGACTTAAATCTTTAGTATATTAAGCACTATCAAAATTTACAAACGTTCCTTTTGCACCTACGCTTTCCAGTATCATGGCAATTTGATTTTTCTTTTTTCATCTTGCGTAATCTAACGGAGTCAATTTCTGAATGCAGGGAGCTGAAATATCAGCATTTTGCCCAATTAATTCAAAAGCGGCTTCTTTTTGACCATTTATTACTGCGAAATGCAAAGCAGTTTTGCCAGTGGAATCTTTTTCATCAATTAGCGCCCCTTTTTCACACAGATATTTAATAATATCAGTATATCCTCGTGATGCAGCAGCTATTAAAGGAGTCCATCCATATTGATTTTTAACATTTAAATCAAAGCCAGCTTCTGCTAAAATTTCGACAATTTTATCTTGTTTTCTCTGAACAGCCAAAAGCAGAAGAGGCTCAAGGATCATGTGATCATAATTCCCAGTCTTTTTAAGAATATTTTTATAGGTCTCTTCTAAAGGCTTTATATCTTTTGTTACCAAATATTTTACTATTTCAATAGAAATATTTTTATGATTCTCACATATATTATATACTGCTGCTTCACATATATTATATACTGCTGCTTCGTACACAATATCCAATGGAAATAATTCAAACTGTGATTCAATTCCATATTTAAGAACACTCGCGTTGCAAATTAAAATATTTTGGTGGCTTGGGCATCTGAAATATGGAAATTTATTTTTTATCAAAAAATTATACAAGTCTTGATCAAATCTCTCGTTTTCCATTACAATGCAATAAGGATTGCAAAATCTTTTCAAAAAATAATCGCCAGTATGAAGTTTTAAATTCACAAAGGTGTGGAGAAAAGAAGGGTCCTTATTTCATAATTCAGCTGCCAAAAGAATTGGGGATCTTTCGTCTCTCGTAAGCTTTTTGGGTCATATATCGCATCCATTTCTCAGTAAAAAGTCAGCCAGTTTAAAAAACCCAAGCCTTAAGGCTTTGCTGAAAAGAAATTCACTGTGATTAATATGTGTTGAAATATCAAGTCCAAATCTAAGCATAATCTTAAAAGCCTCATATAAAAATTCATCATCATTTTTAGGATCATTTGAGTATTTTTTGATAAAATCAAGTTGAGGCTTCGGATTTTCTAAAAAATTAGGATCACCACCTGCTAAAAGCCAATTTTCCAGAAGGCTTAAATCAGAATTCTCTAAAATATTTTCCAGGGTTTGCCCTACTACTCTTATATTTGGATTTCTTGAATATAATAGTTCTGCATCACACAGAGCTGGGCTAACAAAAACAACTTTTAATGATGAATCTGCCAGAAGTTCAGTTAAATTTTGAGGAGGCTTCTCCAGAGAGCTATTTATTGAAATATCTAGAATCTCTAACTTCCGGAGCTTTACTAAAATTTCAATCTTATCTTATCAAATTTATACGCTAAACGTCCACTACGGGGTGACAACCCCAGGTACAGCCACTCGCCTCCGTCGCATCGGGGCCCACAGGTCGCTGGGGATGGCCTACTTTGATCACTAAGGTGCTTCTCGGGAAAGTGTTCCGGCTTCGACGGCTCATGAATGAGCTACTTGCTTGTTACATGGGTTGCTTTTCCGAAAAACCCAAAAAATGGATTTTTCTGGTCAGCTGTCGGCAAAAAGGAAAAATACGTAGCCTGGGACGTAACGCCCAGTTTCACGCTAGGGAGTTACCCGATTGGTCCCAACGGACTCTGCTGAGCTTTCCCCTTTCCAACTCCGTGCCCTCCTTCCCACGAGGAAAAATCCACCCTTGAGAGTAGACTAGGACTAGGCTCTACACACAACCAGAATTGCTTACCTAGTATTGCCGTCCATCTCTAGAATGGTAAAACCTTGCCGGATATAATTAAAATATGAGTCGAGGCTGCATGGCCGGGAGGCCATGCCCAGACAAAGACGCCATATTTTTAATTATACTAAAATTTCAATCAAATCCTCAATCGGAATTTTGGTATTTCTTACATAAAGCTTTTTTAAGCATGGGCATAGCTGGGAAATATCAGCTCCAAAATGATCTCCAAGATAGCTTTTATAAATCCTCAAAACTTCCAAGCTCCTAAAAATTTTATTCTCTTTAAATTTGCCATTATTTGATCTTAAAAGACTCTGCCAAACAGCACGCAAATTTTCACCAAAGTCTGAGATGCTGAGGCTCACTAAAAATGGGTTCCTTGTTAAGATATGTATCAATTTTTGCGTAGAATAAGAAAGCCCTCTCAAATCCAAATGCAAAATATTCCATCTCATTAGCATGCTGATTTTTATATTAGATGGCAAGAGGCTATCTTTTTGGTTTCCGATAAAAGATACATAGTGATGAGAATTTCGTATAATTTCTTTTCACCTTTTACACACTCGTGATAAAGATACAATTTGGTTAAATGGGCCGACAATTCTTAAGATTTCAGATAAGATTGGGTTTGGTATTTTCTGCATATTTATTAAATTGCCAATAAAAATTTCTTTGCTATCAGCTTTAATGTTTTTCACAATTATGTTGTCTATTTTTAAAATTTATATATTAAATATTACTTAAAGTAGAAGATGCTCACTGTTAAGCAATTAATAAATGCTAATTTTTATTTAAATGTTGATACAAAAATGCATATTATTAATTGCAATAATCTTTGAAGCCAAGCTGAAAATTTCCTTTATCATTTTGGTCTATAATATTCATGATTCCATAGGTAGGAATCAGAATTAATGATATTAAAAGAACAGCTGCAAGAATCAGCACAAGTATCGATGCTCTCTTTTTTCTAATAACTATTTTCTTTATAAGTAAAATGCCAACTGCAGCTCCTAACAGAGCTACTCCTCCAAACCATAAAGCATAATAAATGTCAACTAAATTTGCCATAATATAGAGTATCATTGATATGCTTGACGTTAAAAATATGACAATAGACGAGTTTGCTGCTGATACTTCAGGCCGGATCCCAAAAGAAAGCATCACAGGTCCAACAATCAACCCTGATCCAATGCCGAGCAATCCAGCAAGAAAGCCAGAAATAATTGCATTTATTGAAAATTTTATTACTTTCTGGTAATCTCATTTCATATCAAATTCATCAAAATCGTAGTTGAGCCTGGCAAATTTTTGGTATCTTTTTACAAGATAAATTCCAGTTAAAATATTAATGATTAGCATTGATAAAAAATACCCTGCAATAAGAAAACCTCAATAACTGTCTGAACACATGGAAAATCCTAATATTGACTTGACATTTTTATCACCTTTGATAAATGAAGCTAGCACTACCCAACCAAAAATAGCTACTAATGCAACTACAGGGCCTCATAAAACAATTCCTTTTTCTCTATCAATTATTTTTTGCAGCTCTACGTTTATTTCTTGAGATTTAGCTAGTTCTGGGACAGCACATATAATGTAATTTGAATCCTCTGCATTTCCATTATCAATTTTCATAGGATCCATGTCTTCGATCATTTCATTACTATTACTAGCATAAATTCCAGCACTATGAAGATCCTGAGTCGCAGATTCCAATTTATTCTGGTCCACAACTTTTTTAAGCTGAGATTCCTTTTTATAAGCCTCAATTCCTTTTTTGAGAACTTTAGCTGTTAGATAGACAACTGTTATGGTAAGTAATGCCAAAATTAATCAATCGGGGAATACTGTGTTAGCCATTACTCCTATAGAAGTCCCAAGCAATAAAAGACTGGCAATATGCATAACTAAATCCCACGAAATTAAAGGACGATCCCTTGTCGGATGCCGATTTGGGATTCTTAAAGCAATAGAAATAATAGCCCCTCCCCAAATAATAGCCTGAGCCAGAGAAATTGCAGAGTGGGTATCAAAATTAAAAATAAGCAATAATAGAGCTATCATAATTGTACTGCCTCCAACTCCTCCAGCATTAGACAGCAGAGCTAAAATTAAAATAAGAAAACTTCCACCGATTTCTTGGCCATCAAGAGGAGCAAGGCCTTTGTGAATGCAATGACCATGCTCACAAGACGTATATTTTTTGCAGTCACTTTCGGTATCACATTTTGGTGAGTACTTGCTGTTTGCAGATGCTATCACAAGAAGACAGAAAAAGATCAATATATATCTCATTATTAAACTTATTTGATGGAGTTTGAGTCATATTTTAAATCAGTAATGCCATTTACCGCATTTATTAAATTATGAAATAGTCAGAAATTTTGCCAGTTTGTGTGATAATAAATATTAAACAATTTTAGTGTCTTCATTTCAGATTCAATTTATTTTTATTATGTATTGCCTTCTCTTTACATAAAAATGTTTCTTTAATTAATAAAACATAAATATGATAATTTATCAAAACATATTATTTATAAGTAAGTCAATTAAGTTAAGAAAAAATCCCATCTATTTAACTGCAATAATCCTTGAATCCTAATTGGAAATCTCCTTTATCATTTTGGTCTACAATATTAAGCGCACCATAAATCGGTATCATAATGCATGAAATCAAAAGAATTAAACCGAGGATTATAATGAGAATTGAAGCTCGTTTCTTTTTAACGACGATTTTCCTTATCACAAGTAAACCTATCGCTGCTCCTACAAAGACAAATGCTAAAAACCAGCCTGCGTATGAAAGCTCAACCATATCTGCCATAAGATAAAGAATCATTGAAATACTTGAAGACACTACAATTACTGTAGAGGAGTTTGCCGCTGATACTTCAGGTCTGACTCCAAATGAAAGCATTACAGGCCCTACAATTAATCCAGATCCAACTCCCAGCAAACCCGCAAGAAAGCCTGAACATAAAGATATCAATGAAAATTTGACTATTTTGTGGAGATCCCATCGTAGATCATTTTCATCAAAGTTATATTTCAGCTCTTCAAGTTTTTTATTCCTCTTTAATAGGTATATTCCTGTTCATATATTAATTCCGAGCAGTGAAAGATAAAAGACAACCAGAAATCCCCAATACCCGTCAGAGCAATAGCTCAAGCCAACTAAGGAATTAACATTTTTATCACCTTTTATAAATGAAGCAAGCACAACCCAACAAAATATGAGGATCGTTATGGTCACTGGACCCCACAAGACAATATTTTTCTCGCTTCGGATTATCGCTTTGAGCTCCCCACTTATCTCCCGATCAGTCGACTCCTCAGTAAGCTCGCAGATTACATATTTGGAGTCGTTATGGGACTCATGAGCTTTATTCTCATTTGTGTTCTCTTCTATGAGATCTTTGCTATCATTCACATACATCTCAATTGTTTCGATTTCCACAGTATCAGTATCGGCTGGCGCAGGGTGTACAGAAATTTTCTTCATCAATGTTTCCCGCTTGTAGGCAGCAACACCTCGCTTCAATATTTTATAAGACAGATAGATTACTAGCAAAGTCAGTAAAGCCAAAATTAGCCATTCAGGAAACATGACGTTCAGCATTACCCCGATAGACGTTCCTAATAAGAGCAGACTTGAAAGGTGCATGACGAGATCCCAAGAAATCAGTGGTCGATCTCTTGTAGGATGCCGATTTGGAATCCTTAAAGCAACTGAAATTAATGCACCTGCCCAAATTATCGCTTGTGCTAATGGAATCGCTGAGTGGGTCTCAAAATGGTAGACAAGCAGGAGGAGGGCAATCATAATTGTGCTGCCTCCAATCCCTGCAGCGTTAGATAGCAGAGCTAAGACAAAGATGCAGAGAGTTCCACCCACTTCTTGACCATCTAGAGGAATAAGACTTTTATGTATGCAATGCTTGTCCTCGCAGCTTGTGTATGTTTTGCAATCACTATCAGTGGTGCATTTGGGTGCGTATTTGTTGCTCGCGCTAGTTAAGACAATGAGACAGAGACATATTAAAAAGCATTTCATGGTTTATACTTGATGCATATTTAGTTTTACCATATTCGAATTAGAGCGACGAATTATTAAAGTTGAGGAAAATAAAAATGATTACGACAGCAAATTTTGCATGGCAAATTTACTTGAATTATGAGCTCTCTGAGCTTTTCAAAAAATTTGGATATAAACATGTCGCATTTAATTAAATTTTAGCAAATTTCTGAAAATTTGAGTGATGTGCGCTTACCACTTACTCAAATCAACAGATATACACATTAAAATGGCGAATATGTAAGCCTGACCTCTTGGCCCAGCAGTCCAGACCTTATGGCCACGGTGAATTGTGACGAACTCAAAGTCAAGAATCAAGTATAGGCTCAAGAGATGTGCGTCCGGGTAGGTTTTGGCCAAATTCCTGTGGTTGGAAATGGAGGTGATCAATAACGTCCTTTTGAACCCGAGGACCTATGGGCATTCCTCTACGGGGAAACTGGGGTTCTGTCCAGGCCACAGGGGAGTAGTCTTTTTCCTGTAGCTGTCAAGAAAGGTACTTCGGCACCCGAAATATCCAAAGATACTTGGAATCAAGCTACTCCAATCGCCCATAGTAGAACGGATGAGCCTCTCCATATTAGAGGTCTTTGGTGACTGCGTCACCAATATGACTAATGCCTGCTTTTAATAACCTAACCTACTCAACTCAACAATTTAATTTTCCTATTTAAAGTGTGGCCAGTATGGATTAGTTTGATTAGATAGTTTGTTTCAGACCACATGAGATGCTAGATACAAATATAGCTTCGATAAATTTAAATTAATTATCACATACGTAATTACAGGGACTAAACTTCTTAGCTGATAGAATGTCACCCTATTTTCTTATACTAGATCAATTTGCAAACGCTTTTGGCTGCTTACAAGGTACGACAGTCTCTTTTAACTTGCTTTAGGTTTAGTATATGCATAGTAAAATTATACTGTTTTTAATAAGCTCGACGCCCTTGAGAGCATTGGCTCTACCAATATGACCATTAAACTTTTAAGAATTTCCAAGGGATTTTACGATGCAAATAGGATCTTCGGATTATGAGCAAGTGCGGTACGTAGATAGTAATTTCTTTTCCCTTTGCATTTGGCTGGAGATAGCTGAATTCGTGATCTGAGAAGTAATAGGGCTGTTGAAATATAAGCTGATGTTAAAAAACTTCTGGATAAAAGCTGAAACTCTGGCGAGAAATATCCGATATGCTGAAGCAAAGCATAAATGCTAGCCTTGTCATGATTTTCCAAGTGCCTGACATAAAGGGATCTAAGTATGACATGCCTCCTTGCAAAGAATTGTTTTGATCTGGCCAGGACATGTTTTATCGATCGATCAAAAATTTTGGTATTTCCTAACTAAACAGAATTTTAATTTCTGATAAGATGGCTAGATAGCAATTAAAAAAGATATTTTAAACATTCCTAAACTCAATATTTGAAATTTTATGTATGCTCCTGGAATTGAACAAATTTGAACGCTTAATAAAAAAAATTGGCTCAAGGATAAAAGAAGTCAAATATAATGAAGAGCTTCATCTGATTTTGATAATGGATCATCTTGGGCCTCAAAAACATCACATTTATTGCAATATTTCATCAAGAGGAATTTTTTGTTTCAGCAGTTGAATTCAAGATGCAAAATTGAAAATGTATTTCTTCAAAGGATCATCAAAAAACTAGGCCATCATGGCCGGGAACCCTTACCGGACATTTGGGGCAACAGAGGAAAAGAAAAAATCAGAATTCTGGGTCACCGAAAATAAAAAACGGTGGCCCCGAAGGGCCACGGAGTTGCGATGGCAGATTTTGCGGGGTGGGGTGTGGGCTTGGGCTGACCGGCCTCCCCTCGACCCAAAGACGAAAGACCGACGGCGCAGTACCAAGCAGGCACTTCTGGAGAAGCATTAGGCTGCCTGTAAATGGTGGAGGTAGTTCCAGAAGGAGGCTGTGGACGATTCCCTCATACCCTGAGCACTACCAGGGGTTAAGAGAGTCCATTGGCGCAATTTTTGGTCCAGCAGGTTCGGGTGAGTCTCCCCGAAAGATGTCGACGTCACCATTTTCGATGATGTCGACAGAAAAGGGCGTTAGGTGGCTTTAGTGATTGGCGCCACATGAAGCGTGAAGCTGAAGCTCGACTGGCTAGGGGCTGAAATAATCCCTGTTAATCCCCTCTAATATAGCTCTCTCTCAAAGGATCATCAGGAATTTCTCATATCTTTAAACTTCGATCAGTTTGAAAGCTTAAGAAAAATGCAACACAAATTTCGATAATTTAATTTAATTTAAGACTTATTAAAATAAAATTTTTATTTTACTTTAATTAATTTATCGGGCTGAATATCAAAAGTGCTAAAATCTATCCTGTGCATTTGATTTTGCTTTTAAATAGAAGCGTGTCTTTGCTATATCAGCCTTTTATTGCATCAAGGCTTTGAGATATCCTTTTCAAATTTATCTAATTTTTCTTTAAAAATTCCATTTTTATTAATTCGATTTTTCAAGTGTAAGTAGAGAATTTTCTACATTATTTCTTCTAAATAGCTTTTATCTGATTGAATATCTGCTTGATCTAAGAAGCAACCATTATACAAAATTTTTCCTAAAGTCTCAGACTTAAATTTAATCAACTTTTTTTCATTGAAAAAGATACTTGAAGGTGAAGAAGGCATATCTCTGATGGAAAGACCTATTGAAACAGGAAAAACATATACAATTCTTGCACTGATATTATTAGTGCAATTTTGGGCTCTTTCGAACGATAGAAGATACGGTGTTTCCCTAAAATCCGGATATATTATTTCAGTAAGTTTAAAGTTTCTATATATCATAGTTATTCGGATTCATTGCTTCCTGCAAATACTAAAACTCAAAATTAAATTTACTATACACAAGAGAGGCGTATTCATTAAATTACAGAATTATAGGTCATGAAATAACGAACCTGTTCTTATACTACGAGAAATATTCAGTCATTTCCTGAGAGATATAAGCCATGGAAATCTATAAAATAAGAGAATAAGGAGTCTAATAGTAAAAAATGATGAATGCTTATATTATTAGTTTAAATAAGTCAACGTGATATTAAATATCAGATCCATTTGTTTCTTAAAAAACGAAAAAGTTTCGTTTTTTAAGGAAACAACGGTTTGATAGATATGAAAAGATAATTATGAAAACTGCATTCCTATGCGCATTTTGATGTCAAATATTCTTACAGAAACATATAACAATACGCGCACAAGACTATCAAAAAACGGAGCAAATGCAAGCAATCTTTGCAGATCAATTTTCTGATTTTATAGACATAAATAAGAACCTTTTACAAACTGAAAATACAAATCTGTTTTTTCATTAAATTACGAATTAGTTCATTCCCTAAAATTTCCGGGAATTGGAGCTCCTAAAAAAAAAACCTTTTTTTTATGCTAAATTTTTGAACCCATTTTTCATATTTCGCTGTATCTGCTTCTTAGATAGCAATCATCTTGCTTGAGTAATTATGAATAAATTAATTGCTTATATATCTATTAAAATTAACGCAAACATTATTGTAGAAGTCCTGCCCAAAATACGCTCTACAGTAATATTACAGTTAGCATTATATAAACTATAATACTTTAAATTTTACTATAAAATCCTCAGGTTTAATAAGCCATATTGCAATCCACATATCAAAATTTAAAAATACTGTATTAAATGGTGTTACAGACTTTATGTGCAAATTATTTAATAAATTTCGCGCCATTTATAAAATATAATGGCGCAAACATACAAAAATCTTACTTACTTACTTATTGCTTAATTATTCGGTGTTTAAGGTGTCTAGCGCCGCAGCCCTAAAAAGGAATTTTAGCTAAACTAGTGACGTCACGGAGCCATCTTGGAATCGCGTGGTCAGCCATACCGGCCAAGCCTTCTATCAACGTTAGTCTCCAGTTGCTTGCACGTCCAACCCGGCGCGTTGCCGTCGCTCGCCCTAAATCAGCTCCTGCGTTTGTTCCGCCTAAAGGTTATCTTCCCGTGGAGATATGTGATAGTAAAACTCTGAGACTATTGAGTGGTATTCTACTTTCAGTGGCTACTAGATTGCTACAGCAAGCTGGAAAGGGTTCTCTCTTTAATAGAAATACTAAATATTAGTAATTTCTCTTAATTCTTCAATTAATACAGCGAAATATGAAAAAATGGGGTTCAAAAATTTAGCATAAAAAAAAGGGTTTTTTTTTAAGGAGCTCCAATTCCCGGAAATTTTAGGGAATGAACTAATTCGTAATTTAATGAAAAAACAGATTTGTATTTTCAGTTTGTAAAAGGTTCTTATTTATGTCTATAAAATCAGAAAATTGATCTGCAAAGATTGCTTGCATTTGCTCCGTTTTTTTGATAGTCTTGTGCGCGTATTGTTATATGTTTCTGTAAGAATATTTGACATCAAAATGCGCATAGGAATGCAGTTTTCATAATTATCTTTTCATATCTATCAAACCGTTGTTTCCTTAAAAAAACGAAACTTTTTCGTTTTTTAAGAAACAAATGGATCTGATATTTAATATCACGTTGACTTATTTAAACTAATAATATAAGCATTCATCATTTTTTACTATTAGACTCCTTATTCTCTTATTTTATAGATTTCCATGGCTTATATTCTCAGGAAATGACTGAATATTTCTCGTAGTATAAGAACAGGTTCGTTATTTCATGACCTATAATTCTGTAATTTAATGAATACGCCTCTCTTGTGTATAAATGAGTAGGAAATTTTTTTTCTACCGTTTGATTTAATAGTAAATTTTTAATTTTGAGTTTTAGTATTTGCAGGAAGCAATGAATCCGAATAACTATGATATATAGAAACTTTAAACTTACTGAAATAATATATCCGGATTTTAGGGAAACACCGTATCTTCTATCGTTCGAAAGAGCCCAATTTTGCACTTCTGATGTATCCACATATTCTAGTTTGTGCTCCTAGCAATATTGCAATTGAACAGCTTTTATACAAAATTCATGAAAACGGACTTATAAACAATTATGGAATGGCAACTTGAGCATTATATATAGTTAAAGTTAGTTGAAAGATTCAAAAAGAAAAAGATAAATTGAACTATTCCTCAACAGGTATTGAAGCATCTTTATGAATTAGAAGACCTCGCTTGAGAAAAATTTGAAAAAGGTTTTAACTGAAGAAACTGAAAAGTGCGAAGTAAAACTGGAAAATTAGAATGATGCAGAAGAATCAATTAGCTTAAAGAATAAAATTATTCAATACGTGAATACTTAAGAGAGTATAAAAGAGAAATCCAGAAAAAGCTAGCAGAGCTATAGTGGAAATGCTTATACTGAAGTATTCAAGCCTTATTTGTTGCACACTTAATATGGCTGACTAAATTGGAATTTCTCGCTTAGAAAGACTTAATTTTTCAATTATTTTAAAGTATTGACAAGAGACTTATTAAAAGAATATTTGATTCCAAGATTCAATAAAGAACTTAAGAAAGTTTAAGATAAAGATTTTAAGTATAAATCAAATTTTACGTTTTAAAATTATTTTGGAAACATTAAGATGTTTTTAGCATGTTAAAATGTTTGATTGATAAAAAATGTCCTGGCCAAACCAAAACAATTCTTTGCAAGGAGGCATGTCATACTTACTCGCCCCCCCTCCGTGAGTGAACAAAAAAAATTTTGTTCACTCACGGAGGGGGTTAATTTATTTTTGTTTAAAAAATTTATATATATAAATTTTATAAAAAAATATGTTTTTTCGAAATTTAAAAAAATCCTAATTCGCAAAAATTGGAAAGCAAAAATTAATTTAATTTATAAAATTTATGTTTTAAAAAGCAATTCGTTCAAAATTAAACAGAATTAGCTTTAGATTTCATTTATACTAATTATCATTTATATATCAAAATTTTTTTCCCATAAAAAATTTTTCTATTAAAAAATTTTTGTTCACTCACGGAGGGTGGGTTTTTGGGCAAAAAATAGCGATTTTTCTAATGGTTTTGTTCACTCACGGAGGGGGGGGGGAGTTAGATCCCTTTATGTCAGGCACTTGGAAAATCATGACAAGGCTAGCATTTATGCTTTGCTTCAGCATATCGGATATTTCTCGCCAGAGTTTCAGCTTTTATCCAGAAGTTTTTTAACATCAGCTTATATTTCAACAGCCCTATTACTTCTCAGATCACGAATTCAGCTATCTCCAGCCAAATGCAAAGGGAAAAGAAATTACTATCTACGTACCGCACTTGCTCATAATCCGAAGATCCTATTTGCATCGTAAAATCCCTTGGAAATTCTTAAAAGTTTAATGGTCATATTGGTAGAGCCAATGCTCTCAAGGGCGTCGAGCTTATTAAAAACAGTATATATTGAATCTAATTTTTAAGTTGTGATATCAACGCATTAAATCTAACACACAAGCAATTAACTGTTTAAATTTAATTTAATAATGATTTGGAAGATCAATCATCTTATCATCAATCCACACCCCTTCAATTATCCTTCCATCAATATAAATGCTTTTCCCTTTTCCATTTCTTTTCCCTTGGCTTCAGTTTCCCTCATAAACTTCACCAGTTTGATATTTTCTAACTCCAAATCCATCAAAAACTCCATTTTTGAAGTTTCCCTCATAAGTGTCGTTATCAGCCCATATGATTTTCCCTTTACCATTTCTTAAGTTATTTTTAAACTCTCCTTCATAAATAAACCCATGAGAAAAATAATAAACCCCAAATCCATTCTTTGCATCATCAAAAAATTCACCTTCATAGCAGTCCCCATGGCAACGACTGCCATCTGCTCAAATAAATTTTCCTTTCCCATTTTTCTTGTCCAATTTATATTCTCCTTCATATATGTTTCCGTTTGCAAAGCATGTGATGCCTTCTCCATCCCTTAAGTCATTTCGCCACTCTCCTTCATATCAGCTTCCATTATTCCAAATGAATTTTCCAAAGCCATGTCTTTTCCCATTCTTCACTTCTCCTTTATACTCTCCGTCCTCATAGCTCTTTACTACGATTTTTGCTGAATTTTTGTTAATTCTTGCAGGACTATTTTCTTCTTTTCCTATAAAATCTTCAATTTCCTTTAAAAAATTTTTTAAGATCCAGCTATCGAATGGCGTCATCAAAACTTTTGGCAAGCAAGCTTCAAAGTGCTTGCTTGAAATATCAATATTTTGGAAATTTATTTCATTCATCGAAACATCTATCAAACTTTCATCCAATTTGTTTTGATTTTGTGTTTGGATATCTTCAGTTCTAATTATTTTTTTAATCAAATCATCATATCTCTTATTTATGGCTCTGAATGAGAGAAGAGTTGATTTTAAGGTGCTTTCAATGTAATTTATTGCTAAATTTGCTTCATATATGATTGACTCTTGCCATTCGGAAACTTTTCGCTTTTTATAAAGAATGTGTTTGATAACTTTTTGCTTGTCTTCTTTTGGGATGGCAATGGAAAGAGGTGTAAGTTGATGAGGAGGTGTAAGATGATTATGAATGTGGTCACTACAGAAATATGCAGTTGTGAAACAATTGCATAAATATTTGACAGGCTTATGGCACTTTGAAATTGTGCATCCTATCATTTTAACTCTATAAAATAGAAATATGCTTTAGAGAATTGCAAAATATCTAACCCTTTAATATTAAACTTATAGAAGACTTTTACTTATTTGACTTTAGAGCCAATAAATTTAAACCATTTAAAATAAAATTTTAGTAGTTGAATTCATCAGCAATTTTTGTATTTTTTATTCATGAGTAAAAATGCAAAAATAACATCAAAAAGTACTTTCTTTTAATAGAGGATGAATACTTTGAATAATTGCATTAATAAAGTTATTTTATAATGGCTAACTAAATAAACTATCAAAACTACAGCAGAGCTTAAGGTTTAAATTTAAAGAATAATATCGGATTATTTGTATTAAAATATATTGCAGTTCCTAGTTTCTGTTTTCCCTGACCCCATTCCATGTTTTTTCAAAATTTGGTATATTTCATCCTTGTAATTCTTTTCAGCATAGTCAAGTGCTGTGTAATTTTCAATAGTTTTATTATCCATATTTACTCCCATTTGCAGCAGTTCCTCTATAATTTCTTTTTTTCCACTTTTTGCAGCTAAGTGTAAGGCTGTCTCTAATTTTTTATTCACAATATTTATATTTGCACCTTTGCCTTTTAAATTCTTTATCATTTCAAGGTTCCCATTTTCAGCAGCATTCATAAATGCTGTGGAGCCATTATGATCTTTAATGTCGATATCAAATTTGTGATTTAAAAGCCACAATAATATTGCTTCCTTTTGAAATTCTGAAGCTAAAAGCATAAGAGGCTTATAATATACATCAATAGCAGAAACTCTGCTTTGTGAATAAAGCATTAAAGTCTCATTAAAATTCGGCTCAATTTCTATAGCAATCTCAAGAATCCTTATTGCCAAATCTTCTGGTCCTTTATATGTATAATATCTTGCTGCTTCATATAAAATATCAAACGGAAATTTTGTTTTTTTCAGATATTCGTAGCTCAAGAAAACGTCAATCATTTCAGAGTTCGAAATCAAAAAATTTTTGAAATGTGAGCACTTAAAATAAGAGAATGAATTGCTGATGAAATACATCAATAATTCGTTATTTCCAGATTTTATAGCTGTGCATACAGGATTGCAGTATTTAGAATCAAAAAAGTCTGTGTTTTGCAAGTTTGCTTCAATGAAGAGATTAAGAATTGAAATATCTTCTTTTATTGCAGCATTTGTTATGGATGGCAGTTCTCCTGGGTCTGATATTTTAATCCAGGTCCAATATTCTCTTCCATCAAGGTCCTTTTTAAGTGCAGTGTTGTTTGGGAACGGAACTGGGCATATATCAACATTATTTTTCATAAACAGCAAGACCAAGTTTTTGTATCCAAAATTAATAGCAGCATTGACTAATGTTTTTTCAGAGACATTTGAATGGAAGCTTAAGTCCAGCCCATTTCATATCTTACTTAAATTAACAGATTGGCTTGGCTGCAGTATAATGCAGTCACTAAGGACACTCATAGCAAGAGCTTATTTGCTTTGTGATGTCGAGCACTTGATCGATTGGTGAGTGGGTAGACTATGACTTCTGAGGCCCTGCATCGGGCGATTATTGAGTAGCTTGGTCTAGGGAATAAGACCTAGAGTCTAACGGGTGTTGGGTGCCTGCCCTCAGCAGCTATAGGTAAAAGCCTTAGTCCCTGGGCTCAGACTGCAATCACTGGTATTGCGATGAGTTTCACCTTCGGGTCCCGAAAGACATTTATTAGGTTAACTCGAGAAATCAGTTAAAATTCAGGTCTGATATGGGTTTATGTATTAGCCCTTTTCATATCAAAATTCTAAAAATTTGTATCAACAAGTTTTCTTCTAGATTTGATCCTATGATCTCTAATTGAGGATAGGTTCATACTTCTACTTCTTCATCCTCTTCTTGATAGCGCATTAGATTTATATCTCCTCCTAAGCTAATTCATTCTGTGAGGCTGTTTATATCACTTGAAGATTTCATTTCAAACAAAACATCTCCAATATTTCTAGTGATTACTTGAACTCCAAAGGCTATTAGCAATTCAATTGCACTTTGGTTGTCATAGTCAGGGAGGAAAAGAGTTTTTAATCGAGTTTTTGTGTGTTTGAAATGCTTATCGTTTGCAATTTCAGAGAGACTTTTTAACCCTTTGCAGTTGCTCAAATCAAGCAACTCAAGCTTTCACAAACTTTTTATAATCAGCTTGAATTCTCCAACAGTAACATTTGTATTGCCTGCATACAGTTTCTTTATGTTAGGGAAATTTTTGACTAAAAAATTGAACTTCATTGCTTTGCTTTCATTATTTGTGATTCTTAATTCTTCTAGGTTGTGCTCGAATTTGGCTACTCCTGGCTTTCTTGGGTTTTTTTCAGTGACTATTTTATCAATAGAAGTCCAAAGAATCCCTAAATCAATCTTATTATTAGTAAGATCCAATTTCTTGAGTCAAGGTTGCGAAATGATTAAATTGGCTAAAAATTGCTCTTCTATTATATACACATTGCGTAGATTGAGAGAAAGCATTCTTCAGCCATCTAAAAACCTTGAAAGAGGAGCCCTAATGTCAATACTTCCTGAGTAAAATTTGGGATTCCTAGATCCCTCAAATGAGATATAATGCTGACTCCCCCCCCTTCCATGAGTGAACAAAAAAATTTTGTTCACTCACGAGGGTATTAATTTTTTTTTTTTACAAAATTTATATATACATTTTATAGAAAAAAAATTTGTTTTTTCGAAATCCTAATTTGCAAAAACTGGAAAGCAAATATTAATTTAATTTATACAATTTATGTTTTAAAAAACGCAATTTGTTTAAAATTAAACAGAATTAGCTTGAGATTTCATTATACTAACTATCACTTACATATCTAAATTGTTTGTTCATCAAGGAGGGTGGTTTTTTTTGGGCAAAAAATAGGGATTTTTCCAATGGTTTTGTTCATTCACAGAAAGGGGGAGTGAGCATTTTGCAGAATTTGGCTTCACTTTTTACACACTAATAAAAGATTTGCAATTTGGCTTCATGGACCGACTATAGTTAAAATATATGAAAGAACAGGAGCAGGGAGTTTATTCATTATCGAATTATTAATTTCAGAAACCATTATCATCTTATAGCTCATTTTATTTTATAATTTATTTGTAACTTTGTAAAGTTTGAATGATATTGCAAGCTTTAAAAACTAAACCACTTGGGAAATGTATAATAAAATGCAATGATTTTATGCTGAATTAGAAAGAAAAAATAATTAAAAATAAAGGCTATTTTAGAGCTAGATGGCGAAATATCATAATTAACTTATTTTTGATTTTTATAATAAATTAATCCATAATAAATTAAGAGCTTAAATATCCATAAATAGATATAATTATGGGTACTATTACCTCTTCACACAAATTTCTGTTCGACCATATTGATTTATAGATCTTGTTGCAACAATTTAAATTATCTAGCATTATCTTAGAGCGTCTGTTTAGAATCTAATATGCGAAAATTGCTTAAATATGTTTAATGAACTCTATTATAACAATCTCCACATATTTTAATATGCACTATTTGCATCTATCTCGATCCAATTTTATATATTTTGTATTTGGAATTATTTCACCAAATTACCCTAATCCTATATAAATAATAATGGGTGAAAATTATAAATCACTTAGCTACTGCAAAGGAATTAGCTTTACGACTTTTGACAACGTTCCTTCTGAAAAGCAATCAAATGATTTTTTTGACGACCTTGGTGGAAATAAAGTAAACTGTAACTCAGGATAATATAAACCGTGTCATGAGAGGCGATAACTCTTACAGTTGGTCTGACTACGGTCAAGACGTGCTTAAAATTATGTACCCATGGATTGCCTGTATTGCTGCAGCCCTAATCGTTTTCATTTTGGCTATTCTTTACCGATGTATCAAAAAGATGTGCTGTAAAAACAAAATAAAGGCTTCAAATAAATATGTCAGAAGGACATGCATTCTCGGAACAGTTGTATTTACTGGCTTAGCTATTGCCAGTGTCTCAATTCTTCTTTGATACACAGATTATGTATATCAAGGAATCCAGCAGGTTCGCTGCGCTTCGGGTAGAATTCCACATGAAATCATATATGGAAGCAAAAACGAAAGTTGGGTAGGCCTTGATCAAGGAATTGCAGACACTGACGAAGTTATTGAGCAGCTTAATTACAACTTCCCTACTGACACTCTAGAAACATGGGCCGGCTCTGACTGAATGAATGATGCTGATGATGATATTGAGACGCTAATTAACGCTTACTATGACAAGTATAATGGAAAGTAAGAAATATTTAGACAAGTCGCAAATCCAAATCCACTAGCAGCACAGGGGTCAACAGTCGTGACAAATTATACAAACCATTTAGGTCCAACTGACGATAAAGAAACTTTTTCAGGGATTATTATGTATGAGTCTGACGCCAAGTTGATACAAGTCATTGAGGTCATGATTGAAATAAAGAATACGACTCTAGATTCGCTTAGCCAGATGGAAGAAATCACGAATGAGCTAGAAGAGTCCAAAACCAGCTTAGTTGAGTTCAAGAATGGGACTGAAGACATAAATGATCACATCAAAGACTGGATATTGGACCAAAATGAGTGGGTGAAAGGCTCTTGGAATGTCATGTATTCTTCTGAAATGGCCATTGGATATATCATTCTCAGCAGCACAATTTTAACGTTAACTATAGTTCTGCTAGGACTATATAGGCATGCGAAGTTCTTGCACTGCTGCTGGATTTTCTTTGGGTTCCTAGGAGTGCTTGGATTTATAGCTACCACTCTCATAGTTGGGGCTAGTGTCGGCCTGCATGATTCATGCCGCTTTGCTAAAGATGCGATAACTACCAAAGGTCTGCACGAATATACAGTACTTTTCCCCGAAGATACTGCAGATTATTTAAATGTCTGCTTTAATGAAGATGGAGATTTAGCAAAATATCTAAATTTGACTGAAGAGCTTTCCTACGCCTATGCAATTCTTAATATGTCCTCAGAATTTCAGAACTATGATATCAATGCAACATACCTGACTACTTTTGAATCAGTCAAAATCAATGAAAAAGCTGTAAGCGTTACTTAGGCCACGTTTTATCAAACTAATTACCTTTATACAGTAGATCCATCTGTCAGCGAGGAAGACCAGCCAGCAACTGTTTTAGCGTTATTGAATAGCTGGAGCAATTATGATTACGATGATAACTCATTACAGAAAGTTGAAGGAAAATGCACAACTTTTAGCGTTGACGAGTGGGTGATTGAAGAAAGCCAATGCGAAGATGGTTATACCTATGTGAATTCTTCCGATCCAAGTAATAACGTTGGAAAGCCCTCTTGCCTTGTTCTAACTGAATGGACCTCAGAGAACGTTACAAGCAGATATTCAGGATATTTGCAGTGCTCAGCTGTAAACCCATTTAATACAGTTGAAAATACAATTCTTCAGTATCATAACCAATTTGTGGTATACATGGAAAGTGTTGACACTTTATTTACTCAGATAAGTGGGGATTTAGTAGCACTTAATACAGCGCTTGTAGGCTATGGAGATAAAACAGCCAAGCAGGCAGAGAAAGCTGAATATTACTTCAATGTGGATTTAGCTGACCTAATGAATGCTTTGTTTGGGCAAGGAACTGGGCTTCTTTCAGAGCTTAATTGCGGCTTTATTAAGTCTATTTATGATGATTTGAACACTTCAGTCTGCAAAAATGTTGTTCCTAGTATGCTGTTTTTGTTTACGTTCGGAACAATTCTTAGTATCTCAGCTTTACTCTTAATGTTCACAAATCTCTATTTATCTCGTAGATTGAGAAAGCCTAATTTACTAACTACCCCACTAGCTGGCAAAGCAATTAGAAAAAATTTCTGTTTGGGAAATAATCCCCTTTTTTAGAGAGCAAATTATTCTAATATAAATATTTTTTACAAATAAATGGTTTATATCTATTATAGTTATAATAATGGATATCTAGTAAATTATATTAAATTTTCTTTTGATATTAAAATCTAGGTAAAAAACTTATATATAAAATTAAAAAAGATTAAGATTTTAATTGGCTTAAATATTTTGGTTTATAATTAATTTTTTAACCTTTATTTCAAAGAATTTCCTTAAAAAGCACCTGATAAACCCTAATTTTATCATATATGATTTTACTTTTAAATAGAAGAAATAAATACTGCTTACCCCCGATTGAACGATTGACTGTAAAAATTCCTAAAAATTGGGGAAATTAACCCCCATCCTTGATCGAACGATTTTCATATCATGCAAATGTTTATATATATAAAAATATAATAGTTATCAAAAGCTTGGGAAAATGTACATAATGAAATTGTTTTCAGAGACTTTGAGACGACAGAAAGCTTCGGAATCAACCATTCAAAGTGATTTAGTCATCAACCTAGGCTTAAAAACTCAATAATCTAATAAAATAGAGATTCTTTAAAATTTAAAAAAAAAAAAATTTAATTTAATAAGGAAAAAAATTAAAAATTTATACAGTTTAAAGGGGCAATTAATAAATTAAAATATAAAAAATTGGTATTTTTATGAAATTAATTCAATTTTTTGCTGTAAAAAATTATTAAATACTCTTAACCCTCTTATTTAAAAGTAAAAAAAAAAAATATATATATATATATAAAAAATTTTTTTCCCCAAAAAATTTTTTTTTAACCCCCATCCTTGATCGAACGATCGTGAGTCGTTCGATCAAGGATGGGGGGGGGAGTTAGGTCTTTTTAATAGCTTTACTCAATAAAAACAACTGCAAGCTCTCCAATAATCACTCTATTATATGTAATATTTAATTTAAGATTACTCCAGATTATTGCAGATTTGCAGCTATGAATAACGGTAGATAAGACTGGCCTAACCGTCGGTCTGTTCATCCCCAAGTTTCCTAGGACCTCTCTATCTGCAGCAGCCTCAGTATAGATAACTTCTCAAAGAGCTAAAATCCTCACCCTCAAGAACGTGTAAATTTTTCTCATGTAGGATCGTTTTCCTACCCCTAAATACCATTTTAAATTGTGTATGTAATATATAATACCCCACTGATCCCAAATTTGGCGCAAATTATAGGATTGTAATTGATTTTAAATGTCGCATAAGTTGAGAAGGCTTCATAAACTGTCAGAATTATTCCCTAGGCAACAACCACCTCAAGCTGATCAAAGATGTCTCATTTGCATGGAACCTCCCAGAAATTCCCCTTGCGGGTTATTAGACTGTGGACACAATCAATTTTGCTTTACTTGTATTGAGACCTGGTCTCAAATCACGAACAAGTGTCCTTTATGCAATCTAAGGTTCTACAGTATCAAAAATCTCCACACTCATGAAAAATCAGTAATCCCGGATAAAGATCAAGTGTTCTCATATGAGGATCATTACAGAGAAATCAGGTGCAGAGTGTGCCACTCGTTAGAGCAAGAAGAAATCATGCTTTTGTGTGACAATTGTGATGCAGGTTATCATACGACTTGCATTGGATTAATAGCGATCCCGAATCTAGATGAATGATTTTGCGAAGATTGCTTGAGGAGAAAATCAGTTGAAAAGAGGGTGAAACAAATTAAAGAGATGGAAAAATGCAAAAAAGCAGAGGGAGATGATAAAGAAATGCCTGAGCCTGCAAAAAAAAGAAAATTAAGGAGTTGTAGAGAAGTGCGTATTCCTGCGGAAAAACCAAGAAGATCGCTAAGAGCGAGAAAATCTGTTTACCAAACTGAGGAGTAGAGTAATAAGCTTTAAATAAATTGCTAGATTTTGTGAGAATGCTAATAGAAGGAAAGGCCATATTTAGGAAAATTTTAAAAAAACACATAACGCTTGAGGAGACTCAGGTCTTCTATTAATAGAAGACTTAGAACTCATCTTTACTCCGCATTTGTCTAGCTGGTTAGGATATCAGGCCTTCACCCTGAAGACCCGGGTTCGAGTCCCGGATGCGGAACTTTTTATTTTTTGCATTTTATTTAAATATTCCTTAAAATTTTTAAATCCATTCAAGAAGCTAATTTCCATTTATCTATAAAACCTTAATAATCAGCAACCTCAAAGATAAAGAAAGGATAAAATAAATATATTCAACCATACCTTGATAAAGTGATTTACTTATGTCTATAGCAAGACCAATTAATAATGATACGTAATTTTATATTATTGCCCACTTACAAGCAAAATCGAAATATGCGTATTTTTATTTATTACAAAAATTCATCGTAAAAATATTCCCGATATGAGAAAAATCAAGTAATGTGAGTAATTAATTTTTTTACAAGGGTAATTTTTAATCTAATTAGCTTTTTTGGACAGGAATTAAACTTCAAAATTTTAAAAATAGGCAAAAATGAAGTGATAAAAAAAATCATAGTGGTGAGGCATCGTGTGAAGGAACCAATTTTTTTATCTTTCTCGATATTAAATTATTCAAATTGAGACTTAATAACTAACTCCCCCCCTCCGTGAGTGAACAAAAAAATTTTGTTCACTCACGGAGGGGGGTTAATTTTTTTTTAAAAAAATTTATATATAAATTTTATAGAATTTTTTTTTTTCGAAATTTTAAAAAATCCTAATTTGCAAAAATTGGAAAGCAAATATTAATTTAATTTGTAAAATTTATGTTTTAAAAAGCAATTTGTTTAAAATTACACAGAATTAGCTCTATATTTCATTATACTATTATCACTTATATATCAATTTTTTTTTCCATAAAAAAATTTTTGTTCACTCACGGAGGGGGGGAGTAAGCATGAATAATTGATTTATAAAAAATATTAAATAGATGGGTAATAGCTGTCTAAAGCTAAAGCGCGAGAACTATCCAAAAAAAATCGAAATAATTGCTAGGGAGAGGACCTTCTGGCTGCGCTCAGCCCCAGACTCATTCTTAGCGCTCGATTCAATGATACATTGCTCGGCAAAAAAGTATTGCCCCAATTCTGATCCTTTGATTTATTATTTAATCACGTACACAAATAAGAGTGCAGGCTTTCACCTAAAGATATTAGATGACAAGTCGTATAGAGCTGCTTTGAGATCTTCTAAAGGAGAAGTTCTGACTTTAAATATAGAGCCTCAAAGCTATCGTAACATGGTTTGCTTTTCTATAAAGAAAACAGGGATACTCAGTTTTGATTCTCTCCTATCAGGCATTTTACCTAGAGTATCAGAACTTGAAGAAAACGTAGCATCACTACTGCAGGCTTATGATGCTTACTTACTTACTTAGTTACATAGTTTTTAAGGTGTCTAGTGCCCACACCCCTTAATGAAAAAGGGTCAAAGCGACAACTAGTGACGTCACCAAGCCATCTTGGAATATGTGGTCAGCCCACACACCCAAGCCTTCTATGAGGCTAGTCGCCAGATAAATCGCCGCACATCTCACCCGGCGCGTTGCCGTCGCTCGTCCAGACTCAGCTCCTGCGCGTGTTCCGCCTAAGGGTCATCCTCCCGTGGGGACGTGCTGAGAGGTAAAACTCCGAATCTTGAGTGCACTGAGGAGTCGTGCCTTTGGTTATCCCCAAAGTTAAACGACTATTGCTGTGCAGAAGTTCTCGAGAGAAAACCCAACCCCATAAATAAAATTCCATGAGGGAGAGAAAATTGGCAGAGCCAATTTCTCTCGAACCGAATGCCATTTTATTTATGCAGGCTTATGATGCAATTTTGAAATTTTCGCGATGCTTCTCTATGAAGTGTAGCTGTCCATCTTTTCAAATGGCAGTAACTAGTCTTTTACTGGCTATTTTAAGTGACTGCAAAAATAAAGGCAGCATTTATAGCTTTTTACCTCGATTTCCTTTCATTGAATTCAATACTGATATTTTAGGCTCTGAAGGGAAAGAAGCTGCAAAATACTGGACGGATTTAGTTTTTTATTTAGAAAAAGTTCTTCCTATTATTAACGAGGTTTGTGGAGTATTTCAAAGAATGCATCAAATTATTCAATTCGAAGTTGATCATTTTGAGAAAAGCAAAGAAATTGACTTGAATGTTTTGCTAGAAAATTCCAAAAGCATGGCACACTGCAAACTTATAGGAGCTCCATTGGAGGCAAAAATTAAAAATATTTATAAAAGCATAGAAGAAGCAGCTTCAAGTCTTAGCAAGCCCCAAAATCAAAAGTTTCTTAAAGAAGCGCATGAAATGATAAAACTTTCAAGAACATCTGATGCAGATGCTGCAATAGGACTATTCGGGCTAAAAAGTAATCTAAGAACAAGTGTATAAAATTTAATAGAAGTAAGACTTTAATTTAAATCTATTCCTGAAACATATAATTTAAAAGTAAAAAGGAAATTAAACAGTTCCATATTGAGTATGGACATTAAATCCTACTTTTCCATCGTCTCCTTCATAAGAGCCAAGTTCTTTATCTGATGCAGGCTTCTTTAGCATCGAAGCTTGTGGTTTATGGCTTTTCAGCCAACTCCAAATTCCCGAAATTGCGTCTCCACATGAATCTTCACATATTTTTTCCCCATTAACTCTTTTATTATACATGTATCACAGAAGCCACATTCCACCTCCACCAGCTAAAATCAATAGTATAACTCCCCAGCTAATTTTGCTTTTGCTTTTTCTTATGCTCCCACACTTTTTAAAGAAGTGCAGCTCTATATCATGAAAATATGGGATCTCGATGACTAAAACTAATTCTTCTTTAACCCCATCATCAACCAGACAATTAAAATTTATCTGTAACTCTTTTCTTTCACTATCAAGCCATCCTCCAGTCATTGCGCTCCCATTAAGAGTAGGATACATAACTTCATGATCTGTAATGATATAAGGACTCTTCAGAAAAGTTTTGGTAATTTCATCAGTCATATAAATATATACCAAAATATCGTCTAGATCACTAGAAACTGTATATGAGTCATCTTTTGTATTCCCATCAAAAAGTAAAGTAGGGATGCCATCATAGGCAAGCTCTGCTGAGTTTGTTCCAAACCCAACTGATAGACCTGACCTCGTTGTAGTTGGCTGACCACATATTTTCAGCCAATTTACTGTGATTGGGTCACACCCAGATGCTCCAAATGTTACATTCATGTGTAGAGTCGTCCCACCTTCTCTATTTAAGCACTCTTGCTCTACTTTATATACTGTATATTCGCTGAATAAACATAAAAATGCTGTTGCTAAACAGCCTGTCTTTTAAACCCTGCAGTCAGATAGAGACTAGGGACCTTTTGGAAGATAGAACAGCGTACAGTGAGTTTTTCGGCTGGGGTTTACTTGGCATGGTGGAGCCTATGTAGGACTGACCGACCGCAAGCTCATATCTAGGCAAGGCTTTGCATCATGGAGGATGGAATTGGAAAAGGATATCCCAGAAAGTCCAGGGAGCGTTAGTTTGGCCAATCGGGCATTTTCCCAGCGTGATACCGGAGCTACGCCCTAGTCTACAAGTATCCCCTCATCGATAACCTGACCAAAAAATTCGCTTTCGAATTTTCGGAAAAGGCAACCTATTACCCACTGTGGCCTAGCGTCTTTACCTCCGCAAGCCTTTATCTGGAGGAGCAAGACATGCCTTTAAGCTGTGGAATCGGGCTGGCAAAAAAGAGGGAGCGGAGCGAAACAAGGGACATGAAAAGCCAACATGGCTGGCCAGAAGCTACTCGAGAATTATTTTACTAACTCCCCCCCTCCGTGAGTGAACAAAAAAATTTTGTTCACTCACGGAGGGGGATTAATTTTTTTTTTTCGAAATTTAAAAAAATCCTAATTTGCAAAATTGGAAAGCAAATATTAATTTAACTCATAAAAATTTATGTTTTAAAACGGAATTTGTTTAAAATTACACAGAATTAGCTCTAGATTTCGTTATGCTAATTATCACTTATATATCAAAATTTTTTTCCATAAAAAATTTTTCTATTAAAAAAAATTTTGTTCACTCACGGAGGGTGGGTTTTTGGGCAAAAAAATAGCGATTTTTTTAATGGTTTTGTTCACTCATGGAGGGGGGGGGAGTAAGTAAGTGATTCACTGAATAAGCCAGAAATTTTTTCATCTTTTGTCACATTCATCCAAACCCACTTGTGGTCGTCTGGCTTGGCTTCGTCCTCATGGTGGAATTCAATTGATTCAAAATCAGGACCTATAAGCTCAAGTCCACGAATATACAAATAAAGTATTGCTTCACTGGGTGGAGATTTATAAGCTGCATTTTGAAAAGTCCAGCCAGGCTGAATAACTCCTGACGACACAATATCGCCAATTTTTCCATTGTCAGAGCCAATATCGATTTGTGAGCAGAATAAAGCTGTGGAATATGTGATGACGAAAGCGAAAATTAGTCGTTTTCCCATTTTTATTAATTTAAAAGTTCTTTATTTGTGTCGAAAAGATCGTAATTGAAATAGCTATAGATTTAGCAGGCATATTTTAAATATAAAATTATATAATTTTTCAAATTTAACTTTAAATATTTAATCCATAGGAAATTGTTAAGTCCTGATTAATAAAAATCAGCTAATAAGATATAGATTATCTAAATATAGTGCTGAAATAAAATGAAACAAAATTTTTAGAAATTAGATTTTATGGAAAGAACTTGCTTATGCTGGGAAGAAATTTTAAAAGTCGATGATAGCATTAACATTTCAGCTTTCTATGCAGATGATATCTATACTCTAATTGGAAGAAATGATGGAATGCATTGAGTTTTCAGAAAATCAATCCAAGACTATTCTTTTTCATTTGACTCATCAAAAGTGCTTTGAATTGAAAAAGTCAATCATTATTTCTGTTCTAGCTGCGAATCAAGGAATATTTACATATACAAGCTTAATGATTCTCATGATTTAATCAAGAAAATTATATTTGACAACCCTATCTCACAAATGGTACCTTTTCAATCAAGTTTAGCATTAGCAACTACCTCTTGCACCATCTATTTACTATCATCAAATTTTGAGTTAAGCAAGTTTTATGAGCCATTAAACCCTAATAATGAGCTTGTACAATTAAACTCGTGCAATGGTATAGTTATTGTATCAACCATGACAAGAAGCATTATTATTTCATCTGGACAAGCTTTTCCAATAGGCAAGAAAGAAAGAAATGCCCCATATAGTGCTTGCATGGTAGATGAAGATATTATTTTTGCATCAAGTCCTACTGGTGACTTGTGAGAAGCTAATAGTCAAGGTGTTGTTTTGAAAAATCGAAGCTATAAGAGCAAAACAGGCCAAAAAGTAAAATTTACACTATGATTTCCAGTTGATAGCAAGTATGTTTTATCATTAGATGGAGATGAAAAATCATTAATTTTACTCGGGATTGATCAAAAAAGTATAGTTTGCAAAGAAATTTCAGTTGGGAGACTATGATTTAATTGGCAAGAAAAAAAATTATTCCAGTTAAATGAAGATAGCATACAAATTTTAAAAATATACACAAATATTGAGTACTTGCAAAGACTTATATCATTAAAAGATGCAGAAAATTCTATTAAATTGCTTATGAAAGATAATTCTTTGCACAAACTTGAAAATCTGCAAGATCTTTGCAAGCTTGTATTCATAGAAAGAGTATCAATAGGCCAAGAGTTTTTTGATTATTTTACATCATTAATTGGACAGCTTGAAGATGAAAATTTTATATTAAAAATTGACCAAAAAATAGAAGAAAATTATGATGAAAATATCAATGAATTCGAGGAACTCTCGAAAGATATAAAAATACCTAAAGAAACTGTAGTTGAGGTAAGGCCAAAGAGAAAAGGAAGAAATATATTGAGCTTATTATGAGAGGCATTTTTTGTTTGGAAGCCTTTGAAAGGAAAGGATCGGATTAGAGTGATAAAATTTTTGAGTGTAAAAGTATACGTTTCAATGATTGTAAAAAATGATTTATTGATTCTAATTTCAAAAAAATATGATGGGCTTGAAAAAATTAGACGGATGAAATCTATAGCATATGATTCATACGATAAAATAAAATATCGCTTGATATCAATTGAAGAGTATAATTATATTCAAAGAATTTCACAGATTTTATAATTTAATTAAAATATATTATTCCTTTAATTAGAGAGGAAAAGCATCATTATTAAGATAGCTTTAATATTCATTAATTTTTATAATTAATTAAGATAAAATTGCATTCTTAAAATAGTTTTTTGATGGAAGATGAGAATCCGGTGCTAGAGCAGGAAGATGCAGAAACGGAAAGCGAAGATGGAAAAAATGTGCGACTTGCTGAAGCAATTATGATTATGAGGACTATTGAAGCAGAAAATGTGATGATTTTTAATGATGTCAAAATGGAGTATTATGTCCAGCTATGCGCAGTGCTGGATGCAACCTCGAAGAGGGGATTTTCTGGGAGTGTATCGAGGATCTTTAGAGTCCAAGATGGCTCAATTTTTTCTCCAAGAACAGAAGGACGATCGACTTAGAAGCCGAAAGCTGTTGAAGAAAATTTATTCGTGATCAAGATCATACCAGGTTTAAAATCTGATAAAACTTGTGAAATCTTTATTGGCGAAATTGCTGACAATAGATTTGGTATTTAGATGTTAAACTTAAAGCTAAAGTAAAAAGTAAGCATTGATGCCTGATTCAAATTCCTTATATTCCCTTGATAATCTCATATTTTTGCTTTGGAACTTTTAAAAGATTAAAATCCTAAATTTTCCTATTAATTAGCTTGATTTATTTTTAAAATCAATAAATGTCAGAATTGATGCCAATCATATTCAGTAGTTTTGGCATAGGAATCTGCTTCTGCCTTAATCTGACGCCAATTCCTTCGTTAATCAAAGCAAGTAAATCGAAAAATCTTACAGCCATCTCTCATTTATACTTGATAGTTTCTGCTTTCAACTACATGTCATGAATCATTTACTCACTAAAAATGAATTTAATTGGAAACTTGGTAAACAATTGTGTTTGTTATTGCTTAGACATGTCATGGGTGATTATCTATCACAGAATTAAAGGTAATTTGCTGACTTTCCCCTCTGTGAGCGAACAAAATAATTTTTATTCGCTTATGGAGGGGTTAATTTTTGTTTAAATTTATTTATAATAAAAAATCCAAAAACTGGAAAGCAAATATTTATTTAATAAAATTTATGTTTAAAATGCATGCTTAAAATTAAACTAAATTAGCTAGAGATTTCATAATAATAATTATCACTTATATATCAATTTAAAAACAAATTTTTTATTAACTCACGGAGGATGGTTTTTTTATCTAAAAATTAGGGATTTTTCAAATAGTTTTGCTCGCTTACAGAGGGGGAGTGAGCTTTTTACCTCTTTTTTTGATTTCAACTTTTAGCGTTGAAATTGCAATATATCTTCTTTGCCCAGGTTTTGTCATGGGAATTATTGCACTATCATTTTCTATTTGCTTATATGCAGCACCTATTGAGCAATTAAAATACGTATTCAAGCTAAAAAGCCATCATTATATTGATATTTATGTGATACCAGCATTAATGTTGAATGCTGCAGCTTGGATATGCTATGGATTTTCAGTCAATGATTGATTTGTTATATCCCCTAATTTTCCAGGGCTTTTATTTTCACTTTTCCAAATGATCACTTATTTTTGGGCTCGTGGAAATATTCGTTGTCCATTTTTTGAATGAATTTACACAAAATCAGGAAAAGAGCATTTGGGTAACTGAGGAGAGAGAGAGAGAGAGAGAGAGATTAGTTAGAGAGGTTAAGCAGGGATTCTTTCAGCCCCTAGCCAGTCGGACTTCAGCTTCGTGCTTCATGTGGCACTAAGCACTAAAGCCACCTAACGCCCTTTTCTGTCGACGTCATCAAAAATGGTGCCGTCGACATCTTTCGGGGAGACTCACCCGAACCTGCTTGGGCCAAATTTTTCAGCAAGGGACTCTCTTAACCCTGGTAGTGCTCAGGGTATGAGGGAAACGTCCAAAGCCTCCTTCTGGAACTACCTCCGCCATTTACAGGCAGCATAATGCTCCTCCAGAAGTGCCTGATTGGCATTGCGCCGTCGGTCTTCTCGTCTGTGGGTCGAGGGGAGGCCCAGTCAGCCCAAGCCGCCGCCCACCCCCCGGGAAAAATCGCCTTCATCCAACTCCGTGGCCCTCTGAGGCCGAGATTTTTGTGCTCAGCCTCAGAATCTGGTTTCTTTTTCTTCTGTTGGGACAATGGACATTCGCCCAATGATGGCGAAAATTGGTAACTGAGGAAGATTCGTCAAAAAATCCTCAGGTTTAGCAGAAAAATTAAAATTTGGAAATACTTTATTAAAACACAAGAATATTAAAATCATTTCCATATGCTTATTATAATAATGCCAAAACAATTTTGCAGTTGAATTATTATTTATTTAAATATATCTTTAAGTTAATATTTATAAATTTTAGCTACAGATCTATTTTTTATCTATTTTGGATATGAAAAACCAAAGTAGACAAATTTTTAGAATATGGTGTAATGGAATCATTTTATGTCAGACACACAAGCAGCAATTTTCAGTGCTCTGGGCATTGCATTCTGCTTTTCCCTTAATTTGATACCTATAAAATCTCTCCTTAGAGCGAAGAAAACAAAAGATTTAAAAGAAATCTCCCAACTCTATCTTCTTGTATCAGCATTCAACTATGCTTCATGATTATCATATGCAATCAAAATGAATCAAACAGGAAACTGAATAAATAATTCGATATGCTTGATTTTAGATTTATCGTGAGTTATTTTTTATCACGTTATAAAAAGTGATTGGAAATCATTTGTTCCAATTTTTATCATCCTGCTTGGATGCATAGAAGTTGCGTTATTTATGCTATTTCCTGCTTATGTTATAGGATTTTTTGCTATCGCATGTGCTATTAGTCTATACGCAGCACCAATAGAGCAACTTGGATATGTTTTCAAGCTAAAAGACCATAAATATATTGATGTCTTAATAACATCTGCACTGATAGTAACAGCAGGATCATGGCTGCTGTATGGAGTTGCGGTAAAAGATTGAATAATTATAGGCCCAAATATTGCTGGAATAGCTTTTGCAATATTTCAAGAAATCGTTTATTTCTGAGCACGTGGAGTGATTCCATGTCCTATTTTTACTTGCCTTCAAAATAAAATGGCGAAGAAGCCACTGATAACAAGTGAAGAAAAATCAGAAGAAATACAGAAAGACTTAGTTTAAGTAATTTATTAAGGTATAAAAGGCTTTATTAAGATCCTTTAGTTTTTAATAGAGTCTTTGTTGTCTGATATTCAAGAAAAATTAAAATTTTAGGTAGTTTGTTCAATAAAAGCATATGCTATTTAAGAAGAATAAATTTCAACTTTTCAAGTATGGTGTAATGCAATTATTATATGTCAGAAACGCAAGCAGCTATTTTTAGTGCTCTAGGAATTGGATTGGCTGTTACCCTTAATTTGACACCTATAAAATCTCTTCTTAAAGCAAAGAAAACAAAAGATTTAAAAGAGATTTCTCATCTTTATCTTCTTGTGGTAGCATTCAATTATGCATCTTGATTTTCATACTCAATCAAAATGAATCAAACAGGTAGTTGGGTAAACGCTTTAGTGTGCTTAATTTTAGACTTAATATGAGTACTTTTTTATCATATTATAAAAGGAGACTGGAAATCATTTGTTCCAATTTTTTTAATTCTGCTTGGGTCTATAGAAGTTGCGTTATTTATGCTATTTCCTGCTTATGTTATTGGATTTGCTGCTATAGCACTTTTAATTAGCCTATTTGCAGCACCAATAGAGCAGCTTGGATATGTTTTCAGGCTAAAAGACCATAACTATATTGATGTTTCAATAACTTCTACGTTAATCATAACTGCTGTGGTGTGGATAATGTACGGGTTTGCAGTGGGAGATTGAATTATTGTAGGTCCAAATATTGCTGGAATGGCTTTTTCAATATTTCAAGAGATATACTAATTGACCAAGAATAGCCCACTAAGGAGCCATTCTTAGTCTGCCAGAAAAAATTTTGACAAAAGATCCTAATCTGCCATTACCACTGAGTTTTGGTGTTTCCAAATTTTTTGGGCAAGCCAAATGCAATAAAAAAAAATTGTTCTTTTGCGATGATGCATTTGGCTTGTCAAAAAATTTGGCAACATCAAAACTCAGTGGTAATGGCAGAAAAGATCCTAATCTGCCATTACCACTGAGTTTTGGTGTTTCCAAATTTTTTTGACAAGCCAAATGCATCATCGCAAAAGAACAATTTTTTTTATTGCATTTGGCTTGCCCAAAAAATTTGGAAACACCAAAACTCAGTGGTAATGGCAGATTAGGATCTTTTTGTCAAAATTTTTTCTGGCAGACCAAGAATGGCTCCATAGTGGGCTATTCTTGGTCAATTAGTATAGTCTATTTTTGGGCACGTGGGGTAATCCCATGTCCTATTTTTGCTTGTCTTCACAGTAAAATGGGGAAGAAGCCGCTGATCATAAGTGAAGAAAAATCAGAAGAAATTCAGAAAGATTTAGTTTAAGTAATTTATTGAATTTTGAATATATATTAAGATTCTTCAATATATTTTAGCTGACTCTTTTTTATTAATATTTTACTTATTTAAAACCCCTTTTTCTCTTTTGAGTTCTTCAATGGCCTGTCTTCTTGATTTCAATAATTTTTCTATTTGTTCATTTCTTTCACGCCTGACTTTTTCAATTTCCCTAATATTCTCACGCTCAAGCTTCTCCCTGGTCATTGCTTTATGCACGCTTCTGTATATATAGACTGATCCTAAAACAATTAAAAATCCGATAAATTTCATAACATTTCTAGCCTGCTGAAAGTTATTGTTCTCATGGAATCTTTCATATTGCGTTTTTCCACCTTCAGGAGTTCCAGCTCGAGGAACATGTAAATCATATTTTTCATCTGGAGTTTTATAGTCTTGGCCAAATTGATTTTTCATATCAGCGAAATTTTCTTTTAAAGAGCTTTTTACTTTCATTGTAGGGTGGATATATTGCTTGTCAGGGTGCTGATAAAATTGATCTTTTGGCAAGCTTTGTTGTAGCTTTGCAAGTTCTTCTTCTCGGGTTGCAAATCTTCTTAAAGCTCGCCGAATCAGCATTTTATTATAGTTTTAATAAATAAAAATGCTGAGACACACTGTATAGCATTAACTGAAAAGAATTGAGAAAAGATATATAATGCATTAGGTAATTATATCTAAGCTAATGCTTAATACTCTAATATTTTAAACTAAAAAGGGAGAGTAGCAATTAGGAGGGTGTGAAAATATGAGCTATATATAAGTAATAGCATATTATAAAACTGATTTAGAATAAATAAAGCATTAAAAATATAACTCCCCCCTCCATGAGCGAACAAAAAAAATTTGTTGTTTACAATTATTGATTTTAAAAAAAATTATATATAAATTTATAGTATTTTTTTTAAAAATTTATTCGAAATGGTTTTAAAGCAAATATTTATTTAATAAAATTTATATTTTAAATTGCAAGCTGCTTAAAATTAAATAAAATTAGTTACTCCCCCCCCCTCCGTGAGTGAACAAAAAAAATTTTGTTCACTCACGGAGGGGGATAATTTTTTTTTTTTAAAAAAATTTATATATAAATTTTATAAAATTATTTTTTTTCGAAATTTAAAAAAATCCTAATTCGCAAAAATTGGAAAGCAAATATTAATTCAATTTGCAAAATTTATGTTTTAAAAAGCAATTCGTTTAAAAATAAACAGAATTAGCTCTAGATTTCATTATAATAATTATCATTTATATATCAAATTTCTTCCATAAAAAATTTTTTCTATTAAAAAAATTTTTGTTCTCTCACGGAGGGTGGGTTTTTGGGCAAAAAATAGCGATTTTTCTAATGGTTTTGTTCACTCACGGAGGGGGCGGGGGAGTTAGAGATTTCATTATAATAATTATCACTCATAACCAAAGTTTTTTTTATAAAATTTTTGTTAACTTGCGGGGTATCTGTTTTCAGGCATAAAATAGGGATTTTTACAATGGTTTTGTTCGCCCACGGGGGGAGTAAGTGAATTTACTAAATATAAATCTTATGATGGATTTGCACTTGTGCTTAAGTTGTTTCACCAATATATTGGGCCAATTTTATTATGATTAATATCTGAGATGTTTTTAATAAAATATAAAAATATAAGATATATGCTTATTCATGGACATGCTGAATGCAATTTTTTATACCTCAGAAATATCAATTAATTTGGATTAACAAAAATGAATTTTCTTATCACAATTTTTAGCACCACAGGAATCTTTGTGTCTTTTATGCTCAATTTGACTCCAATTCCTTCTCTCATCAAAGCCAATAAAACTCGAGACATTTCAGAAATTTCTCATCTATATTTCATAATGGCAAGTGCAAATTATCTCAATTGATGCCTTTATGCTACCAAGGTAGATTTGCTCGGTCCTCTAATTAATAACTTAATCGGATTGTGCTTCACAATAGCATACATTATAGTTTATCACAAAATTAAAGGTGATATTTGGAAATTTGGCCCAGTTTATTTTGGTTGCTGTACATGCATCTCATTAATAATGTTCAAAGTGTTTCCAAGCGATTTATTAGGGCTTCTTTCTGTAGGACTGTCAGCATTACAATATATGGCACCGATTGAACAAATAAAGCCAGCTTTGATGAATAAAGATCATAAATATATAGATATTTTTATTATCCCTGCTTTAATGAGTAACGCTGCTGTTTGGGGATTTTATGGATTTTTAGTTCATGACTGATTTATTATTATACCAAATTTGATGGGCTTATTATTTTCTTTATTTCAAATATTAGTATATGCATGGGCACAAGGATTTTTACCCCATCTTACATTTTCTTGGCTTGCGAATAAAATTAGAGAAAAGCCCATAAAAATGACTGAGGATGACGCAATTGAGTTTCATAATAATGTTTAACTAAACTTTAAATGCCAGAGTGATGCTCTTTCTAATATATCTGTCATGCAATCATAATAATATTATTTTCATTAATATATGCAAAAAAGTAACAATTATTTCAAGGTTCTTATAATATTATACGTGGATTCTTTGGTAGCGAGTAGCACCCTCATCAACATCAAATTCTTGCCATTTGTAATATAGAATCGATGATCCAATAAATAGTAAAGTTAAAAAGAACATTGGAAGTATTGAGCTTCCAAAGCCGAAATCTGCAGTAACTACCACAGTCGATTTAGCTGCTAAAGCAAACCCAACTTTACTATTTTCAGCGTCATAAATTGAATAATATTTCCTCAAAAATACATCTCCTAATATTCAGAAGTTCCCTTTTTGTAATGAAGTCAGCAGAAGTTGGCAATAAAGTCCTTCCTTCATAAAGTATTCTTCAGGCTTGAGGACAAAAGCATGTCCTGACCCAAGCTCAAACGAAATATCAGGGTAATCAGTGATTTTGTGTGAAATCCCACAATCACACACGAGAAATCCAAAGGCAAGGTAGCACTGACCTTTTTGGTGAATTCGCATCATAATATCATTAGCTTCATTTTTCGGAGCCATAATAAGACTTGTTCCAGTGTCCACAATTGCCAAAAATGATACGTAATCAATCAGTGTATAATCCACCTTTATGTTTGTCAACAAAACAGTCCAGTAGCCAGTTTCTGGAAACACACTCATTCATATGATGTCTGAGTTCTGAGCATATGAAGCCAAATCATATCCTCCGAAAATAATTGCAGAGTTAGGACTCGTAATTTTACTGTCCCCAAAAAAATTATCACCAAAATAAACAGAGAAAATTTTGTTTGTAATCAGTCCTTGTAATTTTATATTGTCCAATAAAGTGTTATATCCTTTAGAAAGCTTTCTAAAGGCTAAGCCTAAAATTCCGTCAGCTTGCATTCCTTCGAAGTCTTTATTTTGATTGACAGAGATAAATGCTTGATTAGAAACATTTAGAGGGTTCCTATCGCCAATAATAACCCGCTCTTGGCTTAAATCGCCTTGTGCAAATCCCATTCCATATGATAACGTGATTTTTTCGCCAAGAGATTTATAAGATGAGCTATTAGACGTGTTTAAATAATTAGAACATGGGTGACATGCAGTTCTGCAATTTGTTGAAGGAACCCAAAGCCAAGAAGAACCTGTATCAAAAATCACTTTAAATTCTACTGGAGGTGTTCCAAGTCTTATTTTCCCACTGTATTGCATATTCATGACGTTTTCAAAATAGCTTGATGTGTTGAGATCAATAAGGTTAAGTGAAAGCTCTGCAAGTTTGATAGAATTTATGTCAATCATTTTCATTGGCTGCGATTTTTCAAGTGGAATTACAATATAGCAAGTCACTGCTAGAGCAAAAATTCAGCATAGTAAGAATCTCATATTTAATTCAGAAATTGAAGAAAAACTATAAAACCTATGCAATCTAAATTATTTTGCTCCTTAGAAGATTTTTATAAATGATTAAATGAGCCTTAAATTTGTGTTTCTTATGGATATGCCTGTAGATTTGGCAAGCTAATAAAATCCTTTGGATTATTTTTTGCATAGGAAAATAAATTATGAAAAAAATGAAAATTTTAAACTTTTTATTAATCTTAAAACAAAAATTGGAATTTAGTTATTAATGTTGGAATAAGCATAATTAATTATAAAATAGGTCTCTAAAATCTTATCTTCTCTCTTATAAGCTTTAAGTAATTATGGCATAGCAATTAGGACACAGCGCATGCTTGGATTTTTTCTTTGTTCAATCATTCAAACAATCTTTATGAAATATATGATAGCACACTGTGATTTCTTTTCTGCTCTGGGTAACTTTTTCCAAGCAAATCGTACACATAGGCTCTCCATAAAAATCAAAGCCCTGACCGTGCTCGACAACTGATCCTTCTTTATCTTTCGAATCAATGCTATTACAAGGCTCAGAATCCTCAATAATATTTTCATCGCTGTTGATTATTTCTGGATTTTGATTATCAATTTCTTGCTGAAGATTTATCCTCGAGGGCAGATGCTGCGCATGCTGCTGATGAGCAGCAGACTGCAAGATCATAGTTTCATTAAGAGTTAATGGATTGCCTCTTGGCCCAGCCTCTAGATGGGTGGCTTCACGTGTGCGATCGCATGCTCTGCAATACATAATTATGAGTATAGCAATACCAATAATGCTAAATAAAAATTACCAAAGAAAAATAAGTCCTCCAATTATACTAGCGATTAAAGCAATTTGAGAAGCAGTAATGCTTGAATCGTCATTATCTCTTTTATGAGGGCCCCCATGATCACCATGATTGCCAGGACCACCAGGAACAACAGGACCATTTGGAATGCCGGGATCACCTTTACCGTGGCAGGCTCAATTATCAAAATTACATTCAGGATTATCACACTTCTTATCACATTCATTGTTATATAGAAGCTCATCTGAGCATTTGCACTTTTTTGATATATTACAATCGCCATTATCGTAATTACAAATCTCTTTATTGCACTCTGGATCGCATTTACCATTTGTAAGTAAGGATTTATCGCATTTACAGACACAAGATCATCTGTCATAATCAAATTCTGTATAATTACAGGAAGGATCACAAACTGAGTTCTTTAACATCTTTGGGGTGCAGGCTAGAGGCGGTGAGTTGCCTCTGCAATCCTCAGCATCGTTTGCACACATGCCGATATTGCATTTTTTATCACATTTCCCATTATTTATGTCTGATAAATTACAAAGATATGAGCAAGCGTTGGTGCATGATAAGGGCCGAGAGGATTTGAAACTTCCGCAGAATAAATCCCCGAAATATGAAATGTTTCCCAAAAATTGTATAGAGTTAATACTAATAGAGGGTGCAAATTGGAATTTATGGGTACTTGAACCACTAAGCTCACTATCAATCATATTATTGCTTTGGTGATTGCCCTTTCTTCATGAATCGTCAACAAGCGATCTTATTTTTGCAGCATTAGCATCGAGCCATTCCAAAATAGATGAGCTGCAACTATCTGACTCCTCCCCCCCCCTCCGTGAGCGAACAAAACCATTAGAAAAATCGCCATTTTTTGACCCAAAAACCCACCCTCCGTGAGTGAACAAAAATTTTTTTAATAGAAAAAATTTTAATGGAAAAAAATTTTGATATATAAGTGATAATTAGTATAATGAAATCTAGAGCTAATTCTGTTTAATTTTAAACAAATTGCGTTTTAGAACATAAATTTTGCAAATTAAATTAATATTTGCTTCCCAATTTTTGCAAATTAGGATTTTTTTAAATTTCGAAAAAAATATTTTTTATAAAATTTATATATAAATTTTTTTTAAAAAAAAAATTAACCCCCCTCCGTGAGTGAACAAAATTTTTTTGTTCGCTCACGGAGGGGGGGGGGGAGTGAGTAATCAGCCTTACAATTGGATGCTACTGCATTTAAATATACAAAAAAGTCCCCCCAATAAATTTTTTTCTTCATGACATAATTAAATAAAATTAGCTCAAAAACTGTTTGATTAATCATATTTCTCCCTGTGCTTACATGTGTAGAGTCACTTACTCTCCACCTCCGTGAGCGAATAAAATCATTGGAAAAATCAAATCCTCTATGAGTGAACAAAAACATTAATATGAGAATTTTTATGAAAAAAATATTTTTTGATATATAAGTGATGCTTGTTATAATGAAATCTCTAACTAATTCTGTTTACCTAAAACAGCTTGCATTTTTAAAATGAAATTTTACAAATTAAATTAATTTTGCTAAAAGTATTTCGAATTGGGATTTTTTTAAATTTTGAAAAACAATTTACTATAAAATTACTATTAATGTTTTTTAAAAAAAGTTTACCCCCTCTGTGAGCGAAAACAATTTTTTGTTCAGTCACGGAGAGGGGAGAGCTAGACAGTATTTTCCATTTCCATAGCAATTTTCTGGGCTACAATTTTGACAGGTAAAATAATTAAAAAACACTCTAATGTTGGCTTGGTGAATAGGCAAAGGAATCATGTACTTGTAAATTTCTGAAATAAAATGAGCATCGATGTTATGGTCACCGGTAAGCCGAATGTCAATGTCTAGCTTATTTGAAACTGATATCTCTGTATTAAATTTAACAATAATTTCATAATCCTTATAGCTTTTCCAAATATTGCCATTAGCTTTTGAAATTATTACAGCAAAAATATCAATATTCTTATCCCAATCGGGGGGTAGTGAAATAAAATCGCATTCTACCTCATTATCGTTTTTATTGCTTTCAAAAATGACACCTCCAGCGCCAGTTTGTTGGATATTATAGGTAGCCAATGCATAGTCACAGTCTTCATTATTTACAAACACTACTATGCTCGAGTTAAACCTAGAATTCAAACCAGAGCATGGATTTTCATACTGTGGCAGAAATGCAACGAATCCTTTAAATGTGTCCTTGATATGAGGATTGCCAAAATTGGCAGTGGTTGCTGGAACTATAATATTAGGATAATTTTGGAGAAGGCTCTCAGGCCCTATAAGTTCTAACCTACAAGTTGCAATTCCGAAAAGCAAAAATAAAAATTTGTTCATATTTTGAAGTTTATAAACTTCCACCAAACTACGATTATTAACTTCTTAATCTAATGAATTATCTTCAAATAAATGTTTACTGCAATTTGGGCAAATAGGCTCTTTGGCAGCTTTAACTATCCACTCTGATAAGCATTTCTTATGGAAGATATGATGACAATTTGTGATTGCTTTATCCTTCTTCGTGATTTTGTCAAGGCAAATCGAGCAGACAGGATCTCCATAAAACGCATAACTTAAATCAGAATTTACTCCTATTTTATTTTCCATTCTGCCTTCAGTCTTCGAAAACTCTGATTCTTCATTGCTTTCAACGACCTCCTCATCGCTATTTATAATGCATGGCTCTTGGACTAACTGAGGATCTTGAACTTTGCTCTTCCAATGCCTTCTTGAGGACAGTCTAATCATATGCCGCTCATGGGTAGGTGGTGCTCCATCAGGCTGCTGAATTTCATTGATAGTTAAGGAGTCAATTTCAGGATCACTCATTGTTCTTGCATTCTTCTTTCTTCTATACAAAATATAGTAGACGACAAAACTGATAATTCTAACTCCCCCCATTTAATAACGGACGAAATCAATTTTTTTTCCCCTAAAAATGGAGCCTAGGTACCATTTTAATAACAGAAATTTTTTCTATAAAAAATTTTAAATTAAATTTAATAGATCTAATGAAATAAGATGGGAGAGTTATTTAAGCGCAAAGGCATTAAAAAATTATGAGAGCTAATAATATGCATCTGGCTTTCTTTTCTTTAAACCTTGATCTCCCCTTTTCAATTGATGAATGTCTTTTACCCATTCGCCGACACTTGAATTTGATACATTGAACTTTTAGGCTACATCTTCATATGAAAGAGCTTTATTTTGATGATCCAGGTAGTATTGTGAAATAACTACCTTATCACCAGCTGTTAGTCTTTTTGTCTTTCTGCTTTCTCCATTCAACTCCATTTTATTCTCTTTCGACCTTTAAAATGGGATTTTTTTTCAGACCTTTTATAAAAAAATAAATAGAAATATATATAAATATTATTGAACTTTTTAAGTTATGCCCCATTTAATAGCGGACGATTTTTTTTGTCCGCTATTAAATGGGGGGAGTAAATAAAAGTTACAAAACGAAGACAAAACTTCCAGCGATTTCTGCTATTAAAGCTATTTGCCAAGTAGCAAGGCCATCATCTCCTGAGCTGCTTGTCTCATTTTTGCAAGCATAATTGTCGAAATTGCATTCAGGGGTATTGCAATCTGAGTCACACACATCATTATATAGCAAATCATCACTACAGTGACACACTATTGTTGATGAACAGTCTCCGTTGTCGTATTCACATATTGCTGAGTTGCACTCGGGGTCGCATATGTCGTTTTCCAATAAAGTGGAATTGCATCTGCAAACACATAACCAATTATCATAATTATATTCAGTCACATTGCAGACTGAATCGCAAACGGAATTACTTCTTAAAGCCTCAGTGCACAATGTAGATGTACCTTTGCAGTCTTCAACGTCATTCGAGCATTTTTCACTTGCACAGTTAATTTCACAGTTTCCATTATTTATTCCTGAGAGTTGGCAATTATCTGAGCAATAACCATAACATGAAGAAGGATGATGGAAAAAACTCTCACAAAATAGCTGACTGAAATAAGAAAGGTCTCCAAGATATGCTATCGAGTTTACAGTTATTGATGGCGTAAATCATATATTTTTATTAGATTTTTCAGCCATTTGAGTATCAATTACTGTGTTATCCCATAACTCATCATTGTGATTTTTTCTCCAAGAATAGTCAATAGATGTCCGAATATCCTTGATATCGGCGCTAAGTCAATGTATGACAGACTCGCTGCAGGCATCTGAATAATCATTTTTGCAATTAATTGTCATAGCATTCAAATAAGCCAAAAAGTCTCCCCAATAATCGTTATTTCTTTGAGCATGTTAATGTTAATGTTAAAGCTGAATACTCAAAGTCTCTACTTCCAGTAGCCTGCTGGCACAAGCGAATTGGTGGGACTTCCACCTCTGGTAACTCTGAGCCCAGGCTGAAAACCCCTGGTTTCTCGGTAGTGGGTTGCCCTTTTTGTGTCCTCAGACATTTGCCGGGCACCACCATTTCCAACTCAACCCCTTCACCCTTCGAGGCCAACTGTACCTACCCTGGCCGGCGTCGTCCACCTAATGGGACCCTTTAACCGGAGGGACCGCCTTGATTGTGAGTCTAGTCTGCCTCCCCTTTTACCAGGTCATCCCTGAGTAAAAACTCAACCACTTTCATGATTCGGGGCAAAGCCGTCGAGAGCAGCCTGAGCAGGGAAATCACCCTGCTCCATTTCGGGTACCCACTGGCTAGGGCGCTGCTGGAAAAAGGATTTGCGATTAACTGCCCAAGGATCAGGCCACAAATCAGCGGGTCTGTGTGCGTGCCCATCGCTTCTGGGCTCCTGATGTTGCAGGCTATATCACTCCTCCTGAAAACCATGCCCGGATATACATGGGTTACCATCACACGAGAGGACGGGTCGGACGTCATACGCCATTTTATGTATATTATTTCTTTGAACATAATTTAGCAAAATAATTTCATACAAAGTTTGATTAATCATAGCTTTTCCAGTGCTAGAATTAATGGAGTCTTTTAAGCAATATTTACCATCAGCATAGCAGTCATTTGCATTGCAATTTTGACATGAAAAATAGTCAAAATATATTTGAATGTTAGCTTCACCAATTTTTAGAGGTACCAAAAATTTATAAATTTTTGAAATAAATTGAGCATCTAAAATATTGTCTCCTGTAAGACCAATCTCAATGTTTGGAGAATTTGAAACTGAGATTACTGATTCCCCCTCCATAAGCTAACAAAAAACCATGGGAAAAATTTATAATTTTGAGTAAAAAATACCCCTCCTTGAGCAAGAAAAATTTATTTAAATATAATTGTTTTATAAAAATTATTTTGATATAAGCGGTAATTATATCATGAAATCTGTATTAAATTTTAAATAGGGCCATTTTAAAACTAAAATTTATAAATTAAATTTATTTTTGCTTTTCCAATTTTGGGATTTTATATTAAAATTCATAGAAAAAAAAATAATAACTTCGGCATGAAAACAAAATATTTTGTAAGCTCACCAAATGGGGGAGTGAGTAGAATTGGACCTTAATAGGATTATCCTTATAGCTTTTCCATAAATCACTATGGGTGCCAGAAATCATCACAGCAAAAATTGTGATCGATTTATCCCAGCCATCTGATAGAGAGATTAGCTTGGTGGCTATTTCAGTATCATTTAAGGCACTATTAAAGATAGCACCTCCAGCACCTGACTGCTGTATATTGTATGTGATTAAAGCGTAATCACAGTTTGCCTGATTAATGAAAATTGCTATGCTTGAACTATATTTGGAATTCAAACTGGAGCATGGGTCTTCACTGTCAGGTAAAAATCCAATGGAACCTTCGAAATCTTCTGAGATATAAGGGTTGCCGAAATTGGCAATGACTGATGGAACAACGCCCTCATCATATTTTTGACGCAGTGCTAAAGGCTCGATAAGAATAAGCCTGCAAAAAGCTCCTCCTAAAAGTAAACTGTAAAGGTGTTTCATTTTTAGAAGATAAAATTTGGATAAAATCATTTAAAGCTAATTTTTTTAGAGAATATTTGCTAAATTTTATTTAACTAAATAAAGATTTTGCGATTTTTGCTTCAATTAAGCTAATATGTTTTATTTAAATTTAATCACACTCTTTAATACCTTATTGAGTAGAAAAATTCAGATAATTTGATAAAGAACTGCTGCATAAAGTTTAATGTAATTTAAAAAAAATTAAAACTAAATTTAATTTAATTACAATCATTTACTCTAAATATCTTACATATATTATGCAAAAGAGTTGTAATTGTTAATGAGAATTCAGAATTTTCTCAAATTTGTTTAAAGCTTTTAGTATAAATTATGGCTTCTATCAATTAGAGTATAGACAGTTTAACAAAGGTTTTTGTTGCAATTAGGGCACAAAGATGCCTTACCCTTTTTATTCTTCCATTCCTTTAAACACCTTTTGTGAAATATATGGAGACACCTTGTTATTTCTTGCTTCTTCTTTGATACTTTCTCTAAACAAATTGTGCAAATTGGCTCTCCATAAAATTCATAGCCCAATTCACCTCCTTCAGCTGGTCTTGAGGCTTCTGATTCTTCATTGCTCGCTATTATTTCACTGTTCAATATCTCTGGATACTGCATTATTCTGGGACTATTATTAACTCTCTGTTGTGAGTTTATTCTTGATGGCAATCTAATTGCATACTGCTGATAAGGGTTTGCCCCTTGATTCTCTGCATTATTTCCATTAAACGAACTATTTCTTGACTCTCCTCCAGAGTCGTTATTTCCAGGTGATGATAAATTCCTTGACCTTCTGTATACAACGCACAAAATAATAGATCCTAATATTCTAAATAAAAATTACAATAGCAGAAAGCTTCCTCCAACAATACCAGCAATTAGTGCTATTTGTGAATTTGTAACGCTTACACTTTTATCATCATCGTCATCATCTTTGGTGTAGTTTTTGCAATCATAATTATCATAATGGCATTCGGTTGTATTACACTCTTTGTTGCAAACACCATTATATAATAAATCATCAGAGCAACTACATTGTGAGGTACTTGCACAAGCGCCGTAGTCGTAGCTGCAAATTTCTGAGTTACAACCTGAGTCGCACTTCCCATTATTTAATAAGGTAGAGTTGCATTTGCAAACGCATGCCCAGTTATCATAGCTGAAATGAGTTGTATTGCACTCTTGATCACAAACAGAGTTATAGAAACTTCCTTGGAGTGGCGCTGCAAGCGCAGGCCACTCCATGGGGAATTCATGGGTTGGTCGAACCAACGCACAGTTTTGGTTCGACCAACTCCTATGTTGGTTAAACCAACACAGGAATTCCACATGGAGTGGCCTGCACTTGCAGCGCCACTCCAAGAAAAGAAGTATATCTAATAAAGTACTATTGCACCCAGAGTTTAAGCTTTTACAATCTTCGATGTCAAAAGAGCACTGAGATTTGACACACTGTGATTCACAAATTCCATCATCTATCATGGATAAGCTGCAATATTCAGAGCAATATCCATCACTTGACACAGGCTCATCTGTAAAACTGTCCTTAAAAAATTCAGGAAAATATTCCATCCCTCCAAGAAACTTCACATCATTTATAGTAATTGATGGCGCAAATCACAAATTATTACTTTTTCAACTATTCATCTGGCTTTTAAGTATTTGATTATCTGAAAAAGCATTATTTTTAGTGGATGACCACGATGCATTATTCAGTATTTGTATATCTTCTGAATTAAAGCCTAGCCACTCTAAGACATAATTGCTGCAAGAATCTGAATAATCTGACTTGCAGTACTCGGAAATAGCGCTTTCCCGAGGATGGCGCGGAATGGCGCCATCCAGGGAAAGTCAACTAAGCATCCACACGGGAACTGGGAGTTCCACGTGTGGATGCCATTTTTGACATGTGGGATCCAAACTTCCACATGTCAAAATGGCATCCACACGTGGAACTCCAGTTCCCGTGTGGATGCCTTCCTGGCTTTCCCGAGGATGGCGCCATTCCGCGCCATTCCGCGCCATTCCGCGCCATTCCGCGCCATTCCGCGCCATTTCGCGCCATTCCGCGCCATTCCGCGCCATTCCGCGCCATTCCGCGCCATTCCGCGCCATTCCGCGCCATCATCGGGAAAGCGCTATAATTAAATATGGCGTCTTTGTCTGGGCATGGCCTCCCGGCCATGCAGCCTCGACTTTTATATAACTTCCCCCTCCGTGAGTCGAACAAAAAATTTTGTTCGCGAGGGGGGTTAATTTTTTTTTTTCGAAAATTTAAAAAAATCCTAATTTGCAAAAATTGGGTACAAATATTAATTTAATTTATAAAATTTATGTTTTAAAAAGCAATTTGTTTAAAATTAAAAATAGAATTAGCTCGAGATTTCATTATACTAATTATCACTTATATATCAAAATTTTTTTCCATAAAAAATTTTTTCTATTAAAAAAATTTTTGTTCGCGGAGGATGGGTTTTTTGGGCAAAAAATAGCGATTTTTCTAATGGTTTTGATCACTCACGGAGGAGGAGTGGGAGTAAGTAAAAAAATCTGCGTATGCATCTCTGTATTGTGCCACATAATCCAGCAGATTGATTTCGAAAAGTGTTTGGTTTATCATGCTTCTCCCTGAAGATGCACTCATAGAATCATTTAAGCAATATTTTCCATCAGAGTAGCAGTCATATGCACTGCAATTCTTGCAGGAATAATAATTAAAATAAATTTCTATGTTTGCATCATCATGTGACAATGGCATCATATACTTATAGATGTCTGAAAGAAATTTCAAGTCAAGGACATGATCTCCCGTAAGTTCAATCAAGATTTCAGGCATTTGAGATTGACTAACTGTAGAAAAAAATTTAAGCTGAATTTTATAGTCCCCATAGTATTTTCAGGTGAATGTAGAAGTGTATGATGCCATTACAGCAAAAATTTCAATGTCATTATTCCATCCATCTGGCAAGGAAATTACTTTGCCTTGCACTTGATAGTTGCTGGAGGTGCTGTTAAATATAACACCTCCGCCGCCACAAAGCTGAATTTCATAAACGACTTGGGCATAGCTGCATGCTAAATTTGTGTTAGGTATAAATACAATAGTGTCTAAATCAAACTCCAAAGTTAGCTCAGAGCATGGATCTTGACTATCTGGCAAAAAAACAACGTATCCTGTAAAAGTATCATTAAAGTAAGGATTCCCAAAATTAGCAGTGACTGATGGGACAATTTGATTTGGATAAAAATTAGCCAGTTGGCTTGGTTGCTGTATTTGTAATGTGCAAAAGACCGCATCAATTAGAAAAATAAAAAATTGTATCATATTTATATGTGCATTCTCAAATTTTTAATGTTTTATGCTAAAGTTGCAATTTTTCAATTATTAATATTATTCTCAATTTTTATATTGATTTTTGGATATTTTACTTTCTAACCGAAAGACTCTTTAATTAATGATTCCCAGTCTTTGATATAGAAATTCATGCTTTCCAAAAAATGAAACGAATGATCATGACGTCTTCATTTCTCTAAGGAAGTTTACTCCATTATTTGCTAAAATTCTATTGGGATATTTATCTCAATGTTGGAATTACTATAAATTCCTATTACCTTTCACAATTTAGAAAATGAACTCAGAAGAAGAGAATAAAGAAGAGAAAGACATTGAAGATGAAGGAATCCATGAAATAAGGACAATTTCATATATTTTATCAAACGGAAATCGCTATGAAGGCGGATTTGTGCATGGGAGCAAGAATGGAAAAGGGAAATATTATTGGAGTAACGGCGATTTCTATGAAGGAGATTACGAAAATGGACTTAAGCATGGTTTTGGCATTTTTTCATATGCGGACGGGTCCAGGTATGAAGGAGAATATTTTAAAGACGATAAGTGCGGGCAGGGCAAATTTTATTATAAGAACGGAGATTCTTATGAAGGAGAATTCAAAAATAACTTAAGGGATGGATATGGGGTTTATAAAATGGTGTCAGGGAGCATATATGAGGGATACTATAAAGACGGAATTGCTGAAGGGCAAGGAAAATATATATTCTCAGATGGTACAGTTTTTGAAGGGGTTTATGTAAAAAATGAAAGAGAAGGAAAAGGAATTCTAACGAAGCCAAATGGTGAAAAGTATCAAGGGACTTGGAAAAATGGGAAAAGAATCAGCAAGCTCGTTGCTTTGCCGAAATAGTTAAATAAATATGTCAAATAAAAACACAAAGGACTAAAATTATTAAACTTTTAAAAATCAATATAAATTATATTTTAGCTGATGAATATGGAAAAAGATAAGAAAGGTCAAAAGCCTCGCCAAACGGAAGAGCGGAAAGGCTTCTATTCAAATCAAAGCAACGATGCTATAATAAATTTGCAAAATATAGAATCATCAAATAACTCAGGAGAGGAGCTTCGAAGAGGCATAGATAGATGCTCCAAGCCTGCAAATATGCAACCTAAAGGAGGTTATAACTCTATGAATAATTTCTATCAGCCTACCTCTCATACTCCAGCAGTTATTGAAGCTAATGAGCATATTCATTCTAAGTCTTTAGAATATAAAGAATACCCTGTGTTTCCTATCAGTCAAAATTGGGATGATTATCCGGAAACAATTAGCAAAAACTGAATCCAGCTTGAAAAGATGAAAGAAATTGCAAAATTTAACCCTAATTTTAGGAAAAATATCGATTTTATTAGATCAAAGGGTTTTGCTGGCTGGAAAAAAAGCAGAGGTGATGGAAATTGCTATTTTCGTGCAGTTATGGTTAGATTCTTGGAGTTTCTTTTCAAAGTTTCAACTCCAATATACTATACTTTAAGATTCCTTAATACTATTAAAAAGCATACAGAAATATTTCTTAAATCAGGACTATGTGTGTCTGAGCAATTTATACGTGAAAAAGAAAACCTTGATCGGTGAATTAATTATTATTTAGAGATAAAACAAAAAGACCCTGTAAGTGCTTTCCTCAGTTTAATTTTTTTCACTCAAAATTTGGAGTTTGATAAGGCATTTATACACACTGCAAGACTAATAACAGCATCTTTTCTGCTTTCCCAAGATGAAAGAATTTCAATGTTTTTTGACGAATCTCTGAATTCCCAAATCAGCAAAATCCTAACAATGGGCGAAGAAGCTGAAGGACTCGCGCTATTAGCACTTCCTTTATCTTTGGAGATTAAAGTTGTCCAGTATAATTTATTTGATACTGCTGTCAACGTCCTCGAGTTCCCAGATGATAGCCCAGGAAACTTCGAAGTCTCAATTATTAGAAGAGGAGGCCATTATGATATTCTATATAAAATACAAGAATTAGAAGATGAACAATATAATTTTGAAACAGCATGCTACAATTTCCCTCTTAATTCTTAAATTATTATGCACTTGCACCTCATATTCCCTTCTATTTGTTCTTCATGCCTTTTCTTTTTAGTGTCGTTTTTTGATAAAATTCTTTTTAAGTCCCCAATTTCTTTTTGATCGTCAGATCCTACGTTTTCGCAAAATACTGACTCCCCCCCCCTCCGTGAGTGAACAAAAAATTTTGTTCACTCACGGAGGGGGGTTAATTTTTTTTTTTTTAAAAAAAATTTATATTTAAAATTTTATAAAAAAATATTTTTTTTCGAAATTTAAAAAAAATCCTAATTCGCGAAAATTGGAAAGCAAATATTAATTTTAATTTATAAAATTTAGCAATTCGTGTGAAATTAAACAGAATTAGCTCTAGATTTCATTATACTAATTATCACTTATATATCAAAATTTTTTTCCATAAAAAATTTTTCTATTAAAAAAAATTTTTGTTCACTCAAGGAGGGTGGGTTTTTGGGCAAAAAATAGGGATTTTTCTAATGGTTTTGTTCACTCACGGAGGGGGGAGTGAGCGAAGTAGGGCATCAGCTTTGATTCCGTATACAAAATCGTTAAAACTGACAACACCGTTGCATTTGTCAACTAGTCTCATCATTCGGCTTCAGACTTCATCAATCATTGTTTTGAGCTCTTGAGAATCTGTTTTGGCGAGCTCATTTGCATAGGGTCTCAAAAGATTTTCAAGCAAACTTTGGACTTCAGGTCTTTGCAAGTAGCCAGAATGGTCAGCGTCGTAAGCACCAAAACAAACACGAAGCTTGTCTTCAAAATTGCCTTTTGACAGAATAGATAAACAAATGGTCAGTTCTCTGAAATCCAAATACCCAGATTTGTCTTCATCAAATTGATCAAACATCACTTCTGCGCTGCTCGCAAGTCCTGGGGACAATTTTTGGATAATTTCTAAAAATTCTGGCTTTGAAAAACCAACTTCTCCTTCTTCTTTATTTTCTTCTACTTGCTTGCTAATGTTTTGAGGCAAATATACAGTTTTCCTTTTCACTAAGCCAGCTGGAGCTGGTTGTTCTTTTGGTTTGTTTTTCTTTTTTTCTTGCATAACTCTGTTAAACTCTTCTTGAAGCTGCTTGATTTCAGCTTCCGAAAAATTTGAGCATTTTTCAAGCCTTTTTACTATAAGTCTCTCACAGGTTTTCCATTGTTGGGCTCTATAGTCTCTAGCCTCTCCTCTTAGCCTATTAACTCTTGTTTCAGTTATTTCAACGGAAAATTCTCGATAGAAATCAGGGAGTCTTTCTGAAACAACGGAATCAGAAAAATTTTTTAAAATTTTGATGGGGTGCTCACCTTTGTCAATTAGGTCGACCGAGATACCGACTAAGCATGTTACACCTTTTATTAAGGCTAAAGAGCCTTCTAATGCTAGTTTATCCCATAAGAAAATGGTACTGTCCAAGTCAACTGTGTTGACAAAAAGCTGCACTAAGAGTTGCAAGGAGAAAAAATCAGAAAACTCGCTGGAAGTTAAGTTGTTGTTTTTCATAGATGGAATTAAATGGTCTAGTAGCCCTGCAATTACAGTCGATTCAATATAAAAACCATTTAGTGAGTTACCATGCTTGCTCCCGATATAAAAATCTGGTAAAAGCCACTTTTCTATCAAATAGCAAAGCATCCAAAATGCATTATTGTGGTCTAAAAATAGCAGAAGCCACGTGCATACATAATTCAGTCCTTGACAATACCCAATATTCCCATTCCTTCCACAATATGCTCTGAGGACTCTTGACAAATCATTTTTATAGTTTTCGCCAATAACCCGTAGCAGTGTTTCATGAAGATCAAAAATAAACGTCTCAGGATCTGTCCTTCCTGTCATTATATCTTTTCTGATACCTTCTTCATCATCAGGAGAAATTTCCACTGATGCATAAGTATCGATATTGCCTTCATGAGAGTTCATATAGTCCCAGGCTCCAGAACTTCTCATCCATGATTCCCCTCTTGAGGTGTTATGACACCACATAATAGAATCTCTGCTGATTATTTTTCCTATGGTTGAAATTCTTACGTAACACTTTTGGCATACTTCATGCTGGCCTCTTCCTTCTTGACAAGAAAATAGCTCAATTGTTTGATTCACACAGTTGGAACAATAATTATTCCTGCAGCGTTTGCAGAGAGCTGATGCCTCGTTCTCATTGCAGATCGAACAAGGAAGTTCTTCGTACTCTGAAACTTGTTCCATTTATAATTCAACAAAAATTAATAAGAATTCGCTGCTTAAAATTTGAAAAATCTGAAAAATTAAAAATTACGTGCTCTCTAGTTTAGCCGTTTGGCTTAGTCCAGATTAATTTAGCTCATAATTGAGAATTATGCCTTCAAACTCTAATGGACTAATATCATTAGCCATTGAGTAAAGGATTCTTTCTTCGGGGCTTGAATCTAAAGGAAAGCCAGCCTTATGAGCATGTTTTTCTATCATACAATCTTCTGATGTTTTTTTCTCGAGATTGTCTCTGCTTGGATATACCTCAGATTCATTATACAGAATTTTTTCAGCTTCTTCTGGGCTCACTTTTTTGCAAAATTCTAATTTTGTTTCAGTCAATATTTTTTCAATTTCATTTTGTGTACTCTTTAAAAATACTCTTTGAATCAGCTTGAAATCTTTATTTGTTTTTTGCAGAAATTCAACTGGTTTTAAATTTACTAAATTTTGATAATATTTTGACGTTTCTAAAATAATTTTTTCATGCAAGAGCTCATACAAACCATCAGAATAAAATTGTGAATGATTGATGAAATGGACACTTAATTCATTTATACTCATATCTACTATTGATTGAACGATTTTCACTAGTAAATATGTAAATTCTTGGCTCATATCCTTTTCCCTTGACAGTTCTATCAAGATTAAGGCTTCTTCAACTAGTCGATCTTTAAATTTATCGAAAACTTTGCGCCTCCATTGTAAAGCCATAAGTCTCATAATAGAAAATTGAGGACCATTAGGAGATATTTCTGCTTTTTTTTTGAAAACTTTGTTAAAAGCTTCATTAAAAGACATATACATCGCATTCAATTCTTTCATAGATGCGCAAAATGCGTTTCACTAGATAGAATTTACCTTAATTATGTATTGATTACACTGTTCAGCCAGATCACAATAGTCCAAAATTGATGCCAATGCAATTTGGCAGTATTTAGAAATTGTGCATTTGATTGCACGATGCAGCTTGAGGACTACAGGTTTTGCGTTTTTTAATGGAAAAGTGAAATAAATATTCATTAATTCACTTTCTTGATCAATCGATACAGCTGTAGACTTAGATGACAGTGCTCCTATGCTCATTTTCCTCAGAACAATCTCACTTTTAGCTCGCAAATTTCATTTCGCAATAATAAGTTGGCTAATTTCTACTTGAGTAGCAAACTAAATTTCTCTTACCTCTACTTCTAAGTTCTTACTCCCACCCGTTTGAAATTGAGCAAGATGCTTTTATTTTTTTTAAAAAATTTTGATTTTAATTATTTAAATTTACAAATATTTGAAAAGAAAAGCTAAATTTAATCTATAAATTTATGCTTAAGAATCCAATCTTTATTAAGTTTTAATAGAATTGGCTAAAGATCTTGCTATACAAATATTAATTATATATAATAATATCTTATACCAAAATTTTTATATTAATTTCTCGAAAAAGGTATTTTTAAAATGCGAAATGCGTTACTTGTTCTTTAAGTTGAGTTATGATTTTTGAATAATTCAAAAATGACTGATTCCGTTAATGCATTCGTTGATAATCTCAAAGAAGGTCCAGATTCTTGATATGCCAGCATTTCCTGGAATAAAGTTGAATAGATTTTTTTATCTCTTCTAAGGACTGGAAACGGGATATCTGGCTCCTTTAGGATATTTATAAATTCAGAAAATAGGTTTGTTGCATCTTTACTTTTATTGGGAAAGTCAATGCAGAGTCAGTTTTGTTTTGAATTTAGAAAATCTAAAAGATTTTGCTTTCAGTCAGTGGAGCCAATTGAGAAATGGGAACTTCCACTTTGATCTAAAGGTCTGCCATAAAAAATTAAATTACCAGTTGCAATCCTCAGTGCTTCGCGCCTTCATGTAGATGAAGCTTTGCTCACGCGATTGAAAAGTTTACTGACTTTAGCACACATGCTGAGGTCAATATATGATAAATATGAAAAGATCTCAGATAGAATGTTCAAGGATTTCATAAAACGTGATTCTGTTATATTAGTATAGATGGAACATTATATGATCTCTAAAAATGGCGATTTATTAAGGTTTAATAAAAATATTGAGCCTTTTTAGCATTCAGGAAATAATATAATCAGTGGTGATTCTTAGATTGAAAATTATTAAATAAATATAAAATAGAAAAATCTTGAAAAATCTGCTAAAGTATGCAGGGATTATTTAAAATGTTATTTGATTAAAGATTCAAAGGGACCAAACTGTATGACTATTATTTGAATAATTTTAAATAGACAGCAATGCTTTTCTTGCTGAGTCCATGATATAAAAACTTCCACACACTAAGAGAATTTCATCATCTGTCATATCTCTTATGGCTTCACCCATAACAGCATCGATGTGCCCTGAAATACTTATCTTATCTCTATTCAAACCTAAAGCATTATTTTTCAAAATTTCTGAGTCAAATAGAAGAGGATCATCATTGGAGACTAAATGAATTTTATAAGCATATTTGCATATCACATCTAATATCTTTGTAGGATCTCTTGATATTCCATAAGCTAAGATAACTCTAATATTTTTATTTCTGCATATTCTCTGTAAATCATTGAAAAGCCTTTCAAAAGCCATTGGATTGTGCGCAACATCAAAAACAACTTTTCGTCCTAAAATCACTTTTTCCTCCATTCTAAAAGGAGGCCTGGATTTTATCCCATTCTCAATAGCTTGGTCAGGGATTGAAACTCCTTTATTTTTAAGGGCTTCAATTACTGTCTTTGTGATTCTGCTATTTTCCTCAATTGCAGTCTCATAGCTATCTCTTTTATCCACAACAATTAGCTCAGATGCTTTCTCCTCAGCAATCTTACGTAATAGATCTATAGGAGTATTCGGCCCAATAACGCAAGGCTTTCCTGGTTTTATCACCCCTGATTTTTCAATTGCAATATCTTCAATTGTGTTTCCAAAATATTCGCAATGATCCAGTCCAACTGAAGTAATAACAGATACTTCAGGATTGACAATATTGGTAAAATCACTAGTCCCTCCACTCCCAACTTCTATAACTGCAAAGTCAACATTGTTGTCGTGAAAATATTTGAATCCTAAGCATGCCACTATAAGCGAATAATTCATCATAAGTTTCTCATCTTCTATAATTGCTTTTATTATTGGCGTGTTTTCAACTATGTACTCTTTTGGTGCTTTTTCAGCATTTATTTGAAATCTCTCACAAAAATCAAATAAATGAGGAGACATCATAAGACCAGTTTTATACCCAGAATGATGCAAAATTGATGCACATTGAGTAGCCACAGTGCCTTTTCCGTTTGTCCCTGTTATGTGTATAGTTTTAAATGGGAGATGAGGATTCTGCAGCTTTTTACAGACTTTTGTAATATTTTCCATAGGATTTCGACATCTAGTTCTTTTCAAACTATAAAGAAAATCGAGCCATTTTTCATAGCTTTGCACAGACATTATTTAAGATTTATTTAAATTTGTTTGAGAATAATAAAAATGCTGCAGAGAAGCATAGTTTGGATATTGCACATTATGCGGCTGATATCTCAATGCAATATTCCTGAAGTATTCTTGAGGAGGAACTTTGCTGTCTTGATACATAAATCTCAATAGATCGCGTGCTATTCCTTGAGCTGTCTCATTTATAAATCTATCAAACGGAATCCAGCAAGTGTCAATCACTTCGACTTTATCTTCTTTTATCTCGAAATTCAAAGGTTCGAGATATACTAGAAAATAAATGTCAGGTTGGCCGAATTGAAACTTCAGCACCTCTCTGAATCCAAGCACACCAATTGCTCTGGTATCGATTCCTGTTTCTTCTTTAACTTCTCTGACAACTCCTTCCATTATTGTTTCATTTGATTCTACCAATCCTCCAGGAACTCTTCATAATGGCTTTCCAAATTTATCATAAGTGTTCTTTAGTCCTAGCATCTCATTCTGATTTCTGAAAATTATTCCGCCAGCTCCTATATAATGGCTTGAATATCCAGGCAGCTTATTTTCTGAGTCTAGCAGCCATTTAGCCATCATAATTCCATTTTCTGATACGTGATGAGGGTAGAAACCTTTGTCCTTGCAAACTTTTACAAATTCTAATTGCGAATTCGGGATCTCTATTCATACAGCTTTCGTGTCTTTTTTCCAAATATCTAATGAAGCTTCTAGAACTGCTGGGAAATTTGGAGGTAGCAAAGTTTTGGCGACATGAAAACAGTTGTAAAGGTCTTTTATACCTTGGAGCATTTTTATTAAAATTATAGACGGATTAACAAATTAAAATGTATTAAAAGGTAAATGCAAGGATATCGTTTTTGTAAAGTTTGGAGTTTCATATTCATATTCTTGATTTTTTAAAGCTATTTTTCTAAAAAGCTCTTTAGGACTTTCTTGAGAATCTCCGTAAAGCCTTGCTAGCATATTTCTACCTTCTCCTATTGGTGTTTCTCTTAGCCACTCTTCAAAAGGCTTCCAGCATATCTGAGTTAACTCTTCAGTGTCTTGTAAGAGTTCAACGTTTTCTGCATCTAGCAAGGCAATAAAATATGTGTCAGGTTTATTGAAGATGTAATTTCTGATTTCTCTGAAGCATAAAATCCCTATAGGTGTTGCATTGATGCCTACTTCTTCTTTGACTTCACGACATGCAGCTTCTAAAATCATTTCGTTAGCATTAACAAGACCTCCTGGGAGCTTTCATTGGCCGATTCCAGAATTATCAAACATTTCCCTCACAAGCAAAATGTTTCCTTCATTGTTGAAAATTACTCCACCTACGCCAATATAATGACTTGAGTAGTTTGGAAGCTTATTTTGGGTATTTGCAAGTCATTTAGCGGTGACAAGACCGTTTTCAGAGACATGATGCAGGTAGAATCCTTTATGTTTGCAAATCGAGACTAATTCTAATTGTGAGCTTGGGATTTCTAATCATACTCCTCGAATTCCATCACTTTGCCATGATATCAGAGAATTCTCTAAAACTAATTCAAAATTAGAGGGAAGGGTAATATCAGTTATGTGAATGCATCTATACAGATCTATTTTCCCTTGTAATATTTCAGTCATTGTTTTCTAATTATAATATCTTTCATATTCTGCATGTTAAAATATTACAGCATGTGAAAAATTCAATACTTATGCTATCCATAGAGAAAATGCTATTTATAAACAGCTCTGAGAATTATTAGAAATATTTATATTGTGAAATACACTATGTAGCACGGGGCTTTTTTGGCTCAAGTTCCAGCCAAAAAAAAAGTGCTACATAGTGTATTTCACTATATTAAAAATCTGTACAGAAATCAAAAAAACAGACAAAATGACTTAGATGATGATTATTATTTTGCAATGAGAGCTTGAGAAAAATAAGATTATGGATGATCTTAGGTGGGTTTTTAAATATATTGAAAGTATGAAATCAACACATAGTAATTTCTGAAGGAAATTGAATTTTTAATTTAAAGAGTCTAACATCTCCCATTGATTAAAGAGCAAAACTATTATTTTTGGGAAAATCAAACCATTTTACATCGAGTAAAAAATTTTATATAAATTATAATTTAACTCATTTTTAATGATACTTATGGTGATCTATTAAATTTAGACAGCTCAGATTTTAATTATTAATTTTTATAAAATAAATGTGATTTTAATAAAAATGTTTTTAAAAAATTAGTTAATGAGGAGTTAGTAACTTTAATGTCGATTTAATTTTATGCTATATAGACGGTAAATGCAAATAATGAGTTTTTGTAAAATTTGGAGTCACATATTCATAGCTTTGGTTTCTCAAAGCTACTTTCCTAAAGAAATCCCTCGGGTTTTCTTGAGAATCCCCATAAAGTTTTGCCAGCATATTTCGACCTCCTCCATTTGGTGTGTTTCTTACTCCCTGTCCGTGAGCGAATAAAACTATTGGAAAAATCCCTATTTTTTACCCAAAAGTCCACCCTCTGTGAGCGAACTAAAAATTTTATATAAAAAAAATTTTTGATATATAAGAGATAATAATTATAATGAAATCTCGAGCTAATTCTGCTTAATTATAAACAGTTTGCAATTTAAAAAACATAAATTTACAAATTAAATTAATATCTTTTTCCAATTTTTGTGAATAGGATTTTTTTTAATATAAAAAAAAAAATTCACCCCACCGTTCCTTCACACGACGACTATTTCATAACGACTATTTTTTTTTGGCCTATTTTTTTTTGGCCTATTTTTTTTTTTGGCCTATTTTTTTTGCCTATTTTTTTTTGGCCTATTTTTTTTTGGCCTATTTTTTTTTTTGGCCTATTTTTTTTTGGCCTATTTTTTTTTGCCTATTTTTTTTTGGCCTATTTTTTTTTGGCCTATTTTTTTTTGGCCTATTTTTTTTGCCTAGCCTCATTCATGAAGCTGCTGAGAGGACTACAACCTTATTGAAAAACAGAGACCTTTCCTTACGCGATTAATATTGAGTAAATTAAGTTAAAAACTCCTAATTAAACCTAAAATTCTCGAAATTTTAAAAGCAATGAATTAGTATTCATGGAGTAAGAAATCTGTTAAGGGTGCATTTTTTGTTGGTTAAATCGTTTAAACACATTAAAAATTAGATAAAACAATTAGTATGGAAATATGCCCAAATATTAGTAAAAAATAGTTAAAAAATTGTCAAAAAAAAGGCCAAAATAATAGGCCAAAAAAAAAATAGGCTAAAAAAAAATAGGCCAAAAAAAAAATAGGCCAAAAAAAAATAGGCCCAAAAAAAAATAGTCGTTATGAAATAGTCGTCGTGTGAAGATACGCACCCCACCCCCTTCATGAGCGAACAAATTTTTTGCCTCATGGAGTTAGCCATTCTTGAAAAGGCATCCAACATATATGAGATATTTCACTCGTATCAGAATTGAATTCAAAATTGTCAGCATTCATCAAAACAATAAAATATATATCTGGTCTATTGAAATATAAGCTCTTAATCTCTCTGAAGCATAAAATCCCTATTGGAGTTGCATCTATTCCTGTCTCTTCTTTTACTTCTCTGCATGCAGCTTCTAAAACTAACTCTCCAGGGTCTAATAGCCCTCCTGGCAATTTCCATTGATCAATCCCTGTTTTATCAACTCTATCTTTTATCAGCAAAATGTTTCCTTCATTATTAAAAATGACTCCACCAGCACCCATATAGTGACTTGAGTATCCTGGCAGCTTATTTGGAGTACTTAATAATCATTTTGCCATGACAAGACCATTTTCAGATACATGATGCATGTAAAATCCTTTATTTCTGCAGATTGGGGCTAGTTCTAACTGAGTATTTGGTATTTCTAATCAAACTCCTCGGGTTCCATCACTCTGCCATAACATCAAAGAATTATCTAAAACTGACTCAAAATTAGGAGGTAACATAGTATCAGTTATATGAACGCATCTGTATAGGTCTCTTCTGCCTTGCAATATTTCAGTCATTTTATTACTTGTAATATAAGAGTTATATTACATATTTACTTAAAAAAAATCTGGAATAGGAATTATATGAATAATTAGCATAGCTAGGATTTTTAATCTACCAAAAAATTTAATTATGACGGCCAAGATGCTCTTTTAAGACCTCCAAAGCTTCGTTAGCCTTTGAGTTTAGCAGCCTTTTCTCTTTTAAAAGACCAAGTAGCTCCGTTTCTGGCATTTCAAGAATCATCCCAGTGACCTTACCTGTGAATTCTTTAAAATGTGGGAGAATTTCTGTGTAAATTGTTTCTCCAAGAATTTGCTTTCTTGTAGGACCATCTGAAATTTGATAAAATTCATAATTGAAATTAACAGGCTCACATTCTGGACTTCTTTGAGGAGTGTCTTGAGTATATTTTTGATTTTGATATATTTGCCTAGGTCTGGCTAACTGCCGATACGAAAATTTAGGCTGAATCCACGGGTTGAAAAACCTCTGCCCATTTTGCTTTAAAATCTGTTCAGGAGGCATCTTTTGAGTATTTTTATGCTTTTTAATTGACTGTATCAACTCTGCTCTAGGTTTCCACTTGAAAACTTTTATTTCTAAATTATTGATTTTTAGATGCTGCAGCCTATTTAAAGCTTTTTCTGCTTCCTTTTTATCTTTGAAACATACTAAAACAGTGCCGGTAGGCTTCTTTTCTAATGTAACAATATCATCAACCCTGTAGTTGTCTATAGTGGCTATTTTCAAAGACTCAATTTCTCCATACTCTCTCAGGATTTCTTTCAGCTGCTCCTCAGTCAATCCAGTCGGTATCCCTTTTAAGCACAAATTTCGCTTTTTCCAATCTTCTCTTTTCTCTGCTAGTTCTCGTTTTATCATGAGACTTCTTTCAAATTTGTTGACAGCTTGACATACAAATCATTCGAACCCCAGCTCATTTGTTTTACCATGAAGCGCTTGAACTGCTTGCTCAGCACTTTTTGAGTGTTCGAAGCACACGAAGCCAAAACATTTGGAGTTTCCATCTGGGTCCTTGCAAATTATTTTACTAGTGACTTTCCCATATTCTGAGAAAATTGCTTCTAGGGATTCTTCACTAAAGGCTTCATTGAATCCTCTGACATACACATTATTTTTGGATGAAATAGCTCTATCTTGTTTGGGGATGAACCTTTCTGCTGTAATTATTGTGTCTTTTACTACTATTGGAGCTTGAACCGCTTTATCTGCTGCATCTTTTAAAGTGAATTGGATAAATCCGTACCCTAAAGGCTGTCCATTTGCATTGTAACATATTTTTGAACTTACAATTTCCCCATATTTAGAAAATCAGGCTTCAAGGTCTTTTGTTGTAAAGTCTTTTGGGATGTTTTTAACGAAAATATTAGCTTTTTGGATTTTCTGGAGCGCTGCACTATAATATATTATATAAATATTGAGCGATTATGTCAGCCATAAGCGGCTCAACTCACTAACTGTCGCCTATCTGAGCCTAAAAATGTCACCATTTTGGATTTTCGAGCTGAACCACCTTTCCAAGCGATCAGTTCCCTAGGGCAGAGCCTCCTCTTTTAGAGTGATCTGATGATCCCGATGAGAAGGTGCATATGGTAGACACAACCTGCCTAGCCCATCCTGGAAAGAAACAAAGCATCCCTCTTCGACAAGACTTCCCCGGGCCTGTAGTGCTGCTTTAAAAACCGACTGAAGCCATACTTCAGCTTTATCAGAATGCGTCTGACCTGCTAGGGAGTGCGCCTCGTAGTCCTATTTCCATCAATATCACCATTTATCTCTTTTTGCACTATAAGGAATTACTAAAATGTGCTTGCTTTTCAGCATAATTCCATTCAATTCTAAACGAGCCATTTTAGCACAATTCTCATCTGAGTAGGTGATTATAGCGCTTGACAGGTTTTTTTCCTTTTTACGATTCAAGCTGATTTTTTCTATTCTACCATAAGGTAGAAAAAGATTATAGAGTTCTCTTTCAGATATGTCATATGCAAGATCGCTAACGAGCAATTGTCCTAAGATACCATCCATTTTTGTTTTATAATTTCAAAATACTAAAGCAAAAGAAGTAAAATAGAGAATTATGGGAATTAAATATGCAATAGTTTGATTAAATATGAACTTTGATTAATTTAAATTTTTTAAAAATAATTACTCTCCCCTTTAAATGCGAACAAAATTTAGTAAAAATTTCCGCTTTTCATTATTTTTAACCCCCATTTAATGGAATTACATTTTTGAATAAGAAAATTTTAAGGTAGAATCCAAATGGTTATAAATTTTGTTTTGACCTAATTAATGGATAAAGTGCAAGTAGAATATTAATTAAACTTTCACACTGAATCGATTAATTTTTTGAATTAATTCTTCATAAAATAAATTAAAATAAAAAATATTGTGTTAATTTGCATTTTAATGTTTAATAATTTTCTATATAGAGAAATTTAACAAAATTTTCATTAAAAAAGAAAAATAAATAGGAAAATTTTTTGATTCGAATTTGAAGGGGGAGAGCTATAATATCAAAAGATAATTAAATATATCTTTAATCAAATGTGCAGAATTGCTTTGAATATTTATAAATAATTCATTTGGATTATTTTTTAATTCTATTTTTAGAGATTCATTATTATTAGATAAATACAAATATTTCATAAAATTTTCCATTTTATTAAAGGAGCAATATTTTGGCTTTTTGATTGAGATTGCCTCAACAGATATAAATAATTCTCCTTCCATTTTCTCACCTCTTATAATAATAAATGGCTACCAGATTCCACTATTTTGACGCCTTTGGGAGAGGAGAAGTTACCAGGCTGATTTTGAAGCACTTAGGTCTCGAATTTGAAGATGTAAGGCACACTTACGAGACCTGGGGGAAAGAAAAAACAACTGGAATCGCTGAATTCGGCCAAGTTCCTTTGCTTCAAATTGACGGTCACAATCTTGTGCAATCCAGAGCCATCGAAAAGTATGCGAAGTTTGATATATACGACTAAGAAGATACATAAAATCGTTATTAGATCACTCTAAAATTTTTAAAATCAACTTCCTCATATAAAGGACTATTTTATAACCAATCACAAATATACAATATTGTTTACTTACTTAGAAGGGCTGGACTGCTTTCACAAGATGCTTATGAGAACTACCTCTCAGAATCCCTTGTCGGGTACTTAGATGATATAGGGCAAATTATTGCGAAATTCGTCTGGGTCGACAAGGACTTTGAAGGGCTTGCCAAATTCAATCAAGAGCAGCTTCCTGAAAAGTTAAGAATTATTGAAAAAAGACTTAACGATAGCAATACCCACTCTGCTGGAAACACAATTAGCCATGCTGATTTTGTTCTCTTCCAATTTGTTCATGATTATTTCTTAAGACCTCAAAGGGCTGAACAGTTGAGACCAATTCTCGAAGCTAGCGCTCCAAGACTTATTCAATTCGCTGAGAATTTCAAGAATGCAAGTCACAACTTGTCTGCTTACCTTGCAACAAGGGCTGAGATGCAGTTTTAAGTCTTAAATAAGCCTGAGCTTGATTAATAATGCCCAATAAAATTAATAGTAAAATGGTAGGAGGCTATAAACAGATGCTTATAAATGGGTATTTATATTGAATAAAGCAGATCTAATTGACTGAAATTTACAATTTTTCGATGCTATTTTTTATTTTGAGTTTATATAAATTGAATAATGCTTTTGAATTTATAAAAGAATATAATGCATTTCAAATTTTATAAAATCTTGAATTTCTTATATTTTTAGCTGTGGTATATTTAAATAGACTTTAAACTGTGATGAGCTTAAAGGACTATTTATTATCAATTTGAATTAAGTTTATTATTTTTTTTTTCTATATGAATTCAAAATATTTGAGGAGATTGTATTCAAACATGTATTTTGGCTTAGATTTAGAATATTTTGGTATGGCATTCTAAATTCAAACCCTTATAAATATAAATTGGGATATTAAAGAAATTTTAATTATTCCAATAGTTACAGTCATTATCAGATAGTTATAAAAATTCTTTATAGTTCTTAATAACTCTTAACAAGCCAATCTTCTCCATTTTCTTGCCTCAAATAATTAATAAATGGCGCATACGAGATTTGTCTACTTTGACGGCTTCGGAAGAGGTGAGGTCACAAGATTGATCTTGAAGCACCTTGGTCAAGAATTTGAGGATTTTAGGCACACTTTTGAGTCTTGGGGAAAAGAAAAAGCATCTGGAGTGGCTGAATTCGGTCTTATCTTATCTTATAAAATTTATAACGCTTAACGTCCACTACGGGGTAGCCAACTCCAGAGCTGCCACCATATTTGTACACGTGTCGGGGCTGTGGACCGCTGGATCGATCCCTTTCGATCACCAAGGCACGCACAAATAAGGCGTTCCGGCTTCGACAGCTTCGCTACTGCCACGGCTTTATTTCGACTCAGCTCCTGCGCGTGTTCCGCCTGAGGGTCCATCTCCCTTGGGATGTCCTGAGGGGTAAAGATCTGAGAGTCTTGATCGCACTGAGGAGCAGTTCCTCTGGTTATCTCCAAAGTTAAACCGTGTTGCTGTGCAGAAGTTCTTGAGGTAAAAAACCCAACCCCGTTAATAAAATTGCTTGAGTGAGAGAAAGTTAGCAGAGCTAACTTCGCTTGAGCGAAAGCCATTTTATTAATGGCTGAATTCGGTCAACTTCCAATGCTTCAAATTGACGGTCATAACCTTGTGCAGTCAAGAGCCATCGAAAAGTATACCATTTTACATAAGACTTTTTTTAATAAATATAAAAATACTCAGCCAGCTATAGCATCCTAGTCTCTTTATTTAGAGATACTTACTTAGGAGGGCTGGACTGCTGTCACATGACCTATTTGAACTTTACCAGGACGAGTCACTTGTCGGATATTTGGACGATATTGGGAACATTATCGCTAAATTTGTTTTTGTTGACAAGGATTTTGAAGGGCTTGCCAAATTCAATCAAGAACAGCTGCCTGAAAAGCTTAGAATCCTTGAAAGAAGGCTTAATCCAAGCAATAATCATAGTGTTGGGAACTCAATTAGCCATGCTGATTTTGTTCTCTTCCAATTTGTTCATGATTATTTCTTAAGACCTCAAAAAGCTGCAACAATGCGGCCACTTCTCGAAGCCAGTGCTCCAAGGCTTATTCAGTTTGCAGAGAATTTCAAGAATGCAAGTCACAACTTGTCTGCTTACCTTGCAACAAGAGTGGAGACGCAGTTTTAAGTCTTAAATAAGCATGATCTTAGTTAATAATGCCCAACAAATTTAATAGTAAAATGGTAGGAGGTTATAAAAAGGTTTATAAAATTGCTATTTTGGTTTTAAAATGATTGATAACTATCTATTTTTAAATTATAAGTAAGTCAAACTACTTATAACTAATCGTTTTTAATTGTTCCCTATAGAATCGATTTTATAAACATAAATAAATACTTATAATAGTCTCAAAAAATTGCCTATCCAAAGTGCTGCTATTTATTTGATAAATGGAGTTCTTTTGATTTTCTTATTTTCTTAATTGGAATAGTGCATATAAAATTGGTTCATTTTGAGGGCTACTGAAGAGCTCGAGTGTGAAGAGTGATTTTGAGGCACTTGCAAACGATTTTGAAGATTTTAAACATTGCATTTGGAAATAGGATAAGAAAAACATCTGGATTTGCAGAGTTTGGACAACTTCTAGTGCATCAAAAAGATGGGAATAATCTCATGCAGTCTAGAGCTACCCAAAATGTTTTGTTTAGGAGAGAGCTGGACTTCTTTTAGAATATGTCATCAATATTATCTACCAGAATCACTTCTCAGAAAATTAGAGGGGATTTGGCTTGCTATTGCTATAATCAGTTTTGCTGACAATCACTTTGAAGGATTTGCACAATTCAATAGCGGTAAGATGTCTGAGAAACTAATTATTAAGCTTTTTTATCAATCCTGGCTAATTTTTATATAGCCAAAAGCAAAGATTGCTTTCCATCTTTGCTATTTTTGATATTGTTGTAGATTGGAAGTTAGCTCAAACAAAGAGAAGTGCGTAGCATGAACTAAAATATTATTTAAGGAAATAATTATTCAATTTTGCATTTATGATAATTTTTGCAACTCCAGAGTTAACGATACCCACTTTTGGAAGCGAGTGCTCCAAGACCTATTCAATTTGCTAGGATGGATTTATGCATGCCTAAATCATCCTGCTGAAGAGGGGATACACTTTAAATACCTAACTCCCCCCCCTCCGTGAGTGAACAAAACCATTAGAAAAAATCCCTATTTTTTGCCCAAAAACCCACCCTCCTTGAGTGAACAAAAATTTTTTTAATAGAAAAAATTTTTTTATGGAAAAAAATTTTGATATATAAATGATAATTAGTATAATGAAATCTAGAGCTAATTCTGTTTAATTTTTAACGAACTGCTTTTTAAAACATAAATTTTGTAAATTAAATTAATATTTGCTTTCAAATTTTTGTGAATTAGATTTTTTTTAAATTTCGAAAAAAATATTTTTTATAAAATTTATATATAATTTTTTTTTTTAAAAAAAAATTAACCCCCTCCGTGAGTGAACAAAATTTTTTTGTTCACTCACGGAGGGGGGGGGAGTAAGTAACTAATTAACTATTCAATTTGCTAAAAATTTAAAATGCAGCCATAAAGTGTTTACTACCTTCCAATGAGGATTAAGCTCACTAACAAGGTAAGGAGGAGACAGAAGGCACCGGAAGTGGCAACCATTATTGGGGGATAGACCCTCTGGTCTGGAGTCGAAAAGAGGATTATCCTCTCGTATGATAGGTCTTTGGCGACTGCGTCACCAATATGGTTAACTCATATCTTTAATAGCCTAAACTTCCAATAAGGAAGAAAGCAATGCAATTTAAAACACTTAATCATTTAATTTAACAGTAATTTTATTATAATTATAAATAGAACTCAAATAATTTCAATTATTATAAAAATCCTCTGACCGATTATACTCATTTATCTTGCATTCTAAAATTGCAGCATCCTCTCTTATGTTTTATTTTAAATATATTAATTTCCCAATCAAAAATTGTATAAAATTAAAAAAATATTTAATAAAAAGCTTTCTTATGCCTTATCCAGTACTAAATAGTTGCACAAAATAATAACTGACACTCCAAAATCCATTTTTACTTAATTTCCAAAAAATGCGAATCAATTATACAATAAAATGAGATCCACTTTACTAATTGAAGGTCGCAAAAAAACTACTCCGCTACTCCCACTAGACAGAAACCGCCACACATCACAGCCTAAACAAGAAAAGCCGAAGCCCTACATTTCTAATGAAGATGAAAAATTATATGGCGACCGATTTCCTTCAGGATTTCGAAAAATGAAACTTTTAGGCAAGGGAGGCTGTGCCATGGTATGATTAGGAGAAGACGAGCTGACAGGCCAGCAAGTAGCTGTAAAGCAAGTTAGCCGCAACAACAGTTCTGCAGCGGTTGAAAGCTGCAAAAGAGAAATTCACTTCGGAAAAATACTTAACGAGATTCACCATCCTGCAACACAGAGCATTGCCCGTTTAATTTCGTCAAAATCTGACCGACAGGACATTTGGGCTATTTTCGAAGTAGGCGGATCAAGCTTAAGCAAAGCGCTTTTCCAACTGAAAGGAGAATTCGTTAGAGGGGAAAGAATGTATCAAGTCATTCACTGCCAATTGTATGAAGAAATAAAACGAAACCCAGAGATTTTGAAAGAATTTGTCAAAGAAATGCTGGAGGTTCTGCAGCTTTTTTCAGAGTTGAATATTGTGCATAGTGATTTGAAGCCTGATAATATTTTGGTTAATGAAGAATACTATGATGGGGTTAAATTGATAGACCTTGGTTCAGCATTTAGTTGCATTGGGAATGGAACTATAAATACAGCTACTCCTGAATATATGCCGCCTGAAGCTTTAGAATTAGCACATTCTCCAGGAGACCATATAGCAGAATTGGCTGAAATAAGCAATCCTTGGTCATTTGATATGTGGTCACTTGGGATGATTTTACTTGAAATCGTTTCTGGAGTACCATTATGGATGTCTTAACTTATTAACCATGACGTTTAACGTCTCCTACGGGGTTGCTCTTCCAGGACTGCCACCACGCTCTCGTCGCTCGGGGCCCACTAGTTGCTGGGACAGCTAGCTTTGATCTCCAACGTGCGCCTCCTGCGCGATGTTCCGGCTTCGACGGCACCATTATGGATGTCACTTAAATCTAGAGTAAATAGATTTGGAAGAATGGTTACATGTAAAGGACTTTTAGCTGCAACAGGAAGAGATCCAGCCACTATATTGAGACTACAGCATGAAGTAACCCAAGATCTAGAGCAAACAATAAACAAATATGCAGCTTTTTCAGTGACTCGTGATTTTCTTGACTTATTAAGCAGAATGCTAACTTGGAACCCTGCAACTCGAATTTCCCCTGAAGACGCCCTGAATCATGAGTATCTAAACTAACAGCTTTAGATAATTAAATAATGTAATTTATTACATTTTATCAAGCCTTAATCAATATATCTTAATCAATTAAAATTCCAATTTCTCAAGCAACAAATCCAGGGCATGTGAGAATAGTCAAATTAATCATAAATTTAAATTGAGTATATGAAATAAACTTAATGTTTTAAAGCAGATTTCTCAATGAAGATAATAAAACTTTTTCTCGAATCTTCAGAAACAATTTATTATAGTAACTACGCCCATATTTTCTAAGCCAATCTTGGTTCAATTATGTTCAATCTTTGATAATAAAATATGTTGAAGAGGTTCTTTAGCAGTTCAGGACTCAGAGGTACCCTTATCAAGTGTACACAATCAGACATGCCAACTGTCATTGCTTTTCCTGACTTATTAGAAAATCCTGAAAGTCTTCGCCCACTATTTAACAAAAAGCTCCAAGAAATCAGGAACATTTGGCTTTTGAATTACAGGAACTCTTGGCTTGGAGAAAGGACTGACTCCATGAGTCCAGAAAACCTTGCAGACGACGTTATTCACTTCATGGACAAAAATCACATCACAATGGCTTCTTTAGTAGGCTGTGGATTCGGAGGAAGAGTTGCCAGCATAGCAGGAATCCTCAAATATCACAGAATTACCTCAGTTGTAGGACTTGATTATTCTCCAATGGACTTAACAAAGCACGCTGCTTATAAAGAGCTCAAAGCAGCAATTGAATTTTGTGCACAGCTGGACTTGACTGGGAAAAGCAAAAATGAAGTAGATGCGATTTTAAAGAAGAATGTGCCAAATCCAAGACTTTTGGTAGCATTGAGGGCAAATTTGACAGAAGGAGATGGAAATAAACTGTTTTGGAAGAGCGGAATGAAAGAGCTAGCTAAGAATATGAACGCCAAAGACCCTAATCTGAACATTGGAAAATTCCCTATGGTAGGGCTGTTTCCAGGGAGGGCGCTATTTTTATATGCAGAACGTTCGCAATGGGTTCATCAAGGAAGCAATACTATCCCAATGTACAACATTTTCCCTATCCTAAAAGGATCATATGGCTCATTCATCAACCATATTGACACTGACTGCCACCACTTGCACGAGTGCTCAGATGTCCATTCCATTGCAAGAAAAATTCATGAATTTTATAAGTGGTATGATGGGGTTCATCCTACCCTGCTGAATAGAAGTGAAATCGGAAAAGTCGCTTTGCCGTTGAGAAGCTTTAATACTATAACTAAAGAAGAGAGAGAACATCTTATTAATGTAGGAGATCCAACTATACCAAAGATGATCCCAGTTCATAGACACCATAATTGGGGATATGCTCCTGAAGCAAAAAACATTCATTATCCTTACATCCCCCCTCCGTAAGTGAGTAAAAAAATTTTGTTCGCTCAAAGAGTAGAGTTAATTTTTGATTTTTAAGAATTTATATATAATTGTATAATTTTTTTTTTGAAATTTAATTAAATTAAATTAATTTAATTTGTAATTTATGCTTTAAAATGCAAGCTGATTAAAATTAAACAGATTTAGCTAGTAATTACATTATAATAATTATCACTTATATATCAAATTTTTTATTACAAAAAAAATTTTGTTCACTCACGGAGGGTGGATTTTTCCAATGGTTTTGCTCTCTCACGGATGGGGAAGCTAACTCCCCCTCCCCCCTCCGTGAGCGAACAAAACCATTAGAAAAATCGCCATTTTTTGACCAAAAACCCACCCTCCGTGAGCGAACAAAAATTTTTTTAATAGAAAAAATTTTAATGGAAAAAAATTTTGATATATAAGTGATAATTAGTATAATGAAATCTAGAGCTAATTCTGTTTAATTTTAAACAAATTGCGTTTTAAAACATAAATTTTGCAAATTAAATTAATATTTGCTTCCCAATTTTTGCAAATTAGGATTTTTTTAAATTCGAAAAAAAAATATTTTTTATAAATTTTTATATAAAATTTTTTTAAAAAAAAAAATTAACCCCCCTCCGTGAGTGAACAAAATTTTTTTGTTCGCTCACGGATGGGGAAGCTAAGCTAATATATTTGGCTATTCTAGATATCTATTAGGAAAGGCTAATTTCTAATTCTTTACGAGTAATATCTCTGAGTTAACATTTAAGAAACTATCTTAGTAGTCACTAGATAAATCATTAAAATCAGATTCATATTTAAGCTGCTCTACAATTAATATTTATCAATTATTTTATCATTAAAAAGCACAATATATGACAATGATTAATATCATTAAATTTAAACTTACTTACTTAAAGAAATCTAGATGCATAGTGTCCACTATGGGCCAGGATAAAGCCAAGCCTCATAATCATAAATACAAAGTGAGCGGAGTCAATCGGTAGATGGGTACCTTGCGAATGTCGCCATTTTATGACTATCCATTAAATTGAAACAAATAAAAAGCTTTCTTCTATCTATCTACATTAAATAATATTAAAAAGAAATGTGAAAGCTTAATGAATTTGCTGAATTTGCTAAAAATAGTGGCATTTTATATAATCAAAAAAGGCAATTTGTGCGCTGCAAAGAGAGTATCAACTCCTACATAATATCGTATAAGCTTAAATTCAAAAACAACATCCTTATAAAGGTTTCATTAAAAGAAGTGAAATTCTTTAAATTGACATCTTTCCCAAAGTCTTTAGTTTCTAAAGCCTTAAAACATACAGGAGATTATTTTATATATAAATCAGCATCAAATTTTGTATGAAAAAATGAGCTACTTAACAGCTATCCGAACTTGATTTATGATAATCTCCAAGTCAGGCTGGGACAAATTACACAAAAGTTTATGAAGCTATTAAGAAAGATAAGAGAGCTTCTTGATGATTGCAGTGCAGATGCGAACAACGGCAACTCAAATAGAAATAATGACGAATTTGAAATATTAAAATTCCCACCGGCAATCAAAATTGATGCTAAGAAGTTTCAAGAGCTGTTCCATAAGGACCCACCAGTGAATTTTATCGAGAATATAGTTTTGATAAAAGAAAAAGCTCATCATATATATACCGTGAAATGCTTCTACATTTTTAATGAAATTAGAAAGGTTTTTATTGGGATAGGGGATTATAAAAGAGTATGTGAGGAAATTAATGCCCAAGGTATTGGAGAATTTTATAATAAACTCTATTTCATTCAGCTAAAATTGTGCGTCTTAAATGATTTTGCAAGAGAAGAAGGCCCTGCTAAAATGCCATTACAATTCGGAGAAGAATACAGCGAAAGATGCTTCGCAGCGATAGACCCAGGGATTTTTGCATTATCAATGAAAGATTTTCAGGAATTATAATCAAAAATTACAAAGTTATGTATTTTAAGTTGCAAGTATATTAAAATCTAATTATCAATAATGATAACAGAAATTACTATTTTTTATTTAATTCTACTAATGCTTCAAATAAACAATCAAATAAAGAAATTAATTTTTTTAGCCTTGGCTATTTTGTAATCAAGACGAGTAAAATACATTTGTTTTGGTATAAATTTGCTATTATCTGCCATTATTAATATTAATCAATAAAAGTAAATATAAAGATGAGATGCTATAATGAAGATTGCAATTTAATTCCTGATTTTGTATGTGCTTGCTCCCTTCCTCCAGTCCGATCCTGCAGCATTCATTTATCAGCCCACTTGGAATCTCAATCAAATGATCCTCATTACTTTCAGCCTTTAAGATCCAGAGTAAAATTAGGCCACATGTCAAAACAGAAAATGATTAGTGGCATATCAAAAAATGCTCAAATGCTGAATTTTCCAAACCTAAGTCTTCTTCCCCAGCATGCTGCTCATAAATCAAAAAATCAAAAAAAGATTGAAAAAACTTTAGCCAATATGAGTATCAGAAACCAGAATGAAAATGCATAAATAATAAAGAAAAATATTAGTATTTTCGTTATTTTTGGATAAAAAATTACTTAAATTATAAATAAAATTCAATAGGTTGGTGAACAATTTTAGTGTCATATCACTTGCACTGATCATTATTTAAATTTAAATAAGCATTTCTTGATAGCTGGCTAATATGCTAATTATATTAAAATTGTAAGCATTAAATCCTTATGCAATCGTTGCTGCTATGGATCATTCCTAACTTCTTCTAGAATCTCTAATTTTCTTGTATTTCTATTGATTTTTCCTTCTTTGAATTCATATCTCATACAATATGTCTAATCAAGGCAAAAGAGGATTAAATTCCGCCTACATGCGAGCAACCCTTCAAATGTCCAAAGAGCAAGCTCAAGAGACGTGGCAATCTCTTGAAAAATCAATTTTTTTAATCTTTGATTTCCAAAATTCCAAGCTGAGTTTCGAAGAGTTATATCGGAAAGCTTACGATCTTGTAATTCAAAAGCATGGAGATTTGCTCTACAAAGGCCTTTCTGAGACAATCCGTCAGCGCTGCCTAGTAATTTCTGCAATGATTTTATCAGAAGCTCAAATCTCACTCTTTCCTGTGCTAAACAAATCATGAACAGACTTTAAATACGCAATGAATATGATCAAAGATATTTTGATGTATATGGACCGAAATTACGTAAAAAGCAAAAACACCATCCCTGCATATGAACTGGGGCTAAATATTTTCTTACTTACTTAATTATCTGGTGTTTAAGGTGTCTAGTGCCGCAGCCCAAAAGGGCCTATGGCAAAACTAGTGACGTAGGCGAGCCATCTTGGCACAGGTAAGCCCCGTCCAAGCCTTCTATCAACTCCCACTTCACCGGCCTTGCTGCACGTCTCACCCGGCGCGTTGCCGTCGCCCTTGTCGCTCGACTCAGCTCCTGCGCGTGTTCCGCCTAAGGGTCATCCTCCCGTGGGGATGTGCTGAGAGGTAAAAGCCCGAAATCTTAAGTGGACTGAGGAGTGGTTCCTCTGGTTATCCCCAGAGTTAAACCGCTATTGCTGTCCAGAAGTCTTCGAGTGAAAACCTAACTATAAATAAAATTCCATGAGGGGAGAGAAAATTAGCAGAGCTAATTTCTCTCGAACCGAATGCCATTTTATTTATGCTAAAATATTTTCAAACAAGAAATCCTCTATAGCCCAAACATAAAAACTAAGATTTCTGAACTGCTGATCCAGAGTATCCAAAATGAAAGAAATGGGGAATTTATTGAAAAAGAGCTAATAAGAAGTATCGCATTTATGCTAGTAGAGGTGGGAATAGGGACGAAAAACGTGTATATTGAACTCTTTGAAGACTCATTTTTAGATGAAACTAAAAGATTCTATGAAAAAGAAGCTGAAGACGCAATTATTAAATTATCTTGCCCAGAATTTTTAGGTCAAGCTGAAAAGAGGCTAAAAGAAGAAAAAGCTAGAGTTGATAGCTATCTAGATCCCTCCACAGAAGAAAGGCTACTCCAAATCGTCGATCATTCCTTTATAGAAAAGCACTCAAAGACTTTAATTTATATGGAAAACTCTGGATGCCAAAAAATGATAGAGCAGATGAAAATTGATGATTTAAAAAGGATGTTTAAGCTGTATTTAAGAGTTCCCTCCTGTCTCCGACATATCTCTGACTGCATGTCTGCCTTTATCCAATCTGAAGGTTCTCTCATAATCGCTTCTTCAGAATACAAAAAAAATCCAGTCGAGCTTGTAGGGGCTCTTCTTAAACTCCGAGATATGTTCAATACCATCGTAACCCAAGCTTTTGACAGAGACTCTATGATGGAAACAGTCATGAAAATCAGCTTTGAAAACTGCATCAACGCGAACTCTAGAACTGCCCATGCTCTTGCATTATATGTTGATAAGTTATTAAAAAAAGACATCAAAGGCATGAGAGAAGAAAACATTGACATTCAATTAGACCAAATCATTATTCTTTTCAGGTATATTTCTGACAAAGACGTTTTCGAAAATTTCTATAAGCAGCTGCTTGCGAAAAGACTTTTGCAGTCACGATCTTTGTCTGATGACGCAGAGAAGCTGTTTATCACGAAGCTGAAAACTGAATGTGGGTCACATTTCACGTCAAAAATTGAAGGGATGTTTACAGATATGAGATTTTCCAGTGAGTCAGTAGAAGATTTTCAAACAAATGGCGATATGGAGATCGAGCCAAGTGTACTTACAGCTGCATATTGGCCTTCTGATGTGGTACTGCCTATTAGCTTGCCAAGAGAAGTGATCCATGAAGCAGAACGATTCCGAAAATACTATTTGGGAAGACATAGTGGAAGAAGACTCTCATGGAAAACGAACATGGGCACTGCTGAAATCCGAGCTATACTTGGAATAAACAGTTCTCGCCATGAATTATTTGTATCTACCTATCAAATGTCAGCGTTGCTTCTTTATAATGACCGTGAATCGCTAGTGTACGAAGAAATCACTCAAGTGCTGAACTGCTCTGACCCTGACTTTGAAAAGCATATGCTGGGACTTGTAAAAGCTGGGATTTTAGCTAAGTCTACTGCTGGAAAAGAAGTCTCAATGTCGACTGAGTTCTTTTTAAATCCTGAGTTTAAATCTAAACTCTATAGAGCAGATTAGATTAGTGATGGTTACTTGAAGTCCCCATTTACTGAAAGCACCATGCGTACTGCAGGTGAACACTTGTGGGGTGGGCTCGGGCCGAAACCGCCGGTTTCTCAGTAGAGGCATTTTCCCTCTTGATCTGGAGACCCGTGATTTCCCCGGTAGCTTGCATTTCCAACCCAAGAGTTAGCATCGCCCAACCCTTAGCTTAGGCCAGATCGTCTCATTGAGGGGACCCTTTAAACTGAATAGATTAGCCTGAGAGTCTTCCCCTTTTTCTCCGGATTATCTCCGAGGAAAATTCAATAAGCTTGCATGCTCGGGATAGGGCCACAAAGCAGTTTTAGACAATTAAGTTGCCCTGCGTCTATTAGACACTGCTCTAGGCCTAGGTGCCGCTGGCAAAAAGATTCACAAACTGCCGCTCTAGGCCGGGCCATAATCAGCGCACTAGTGCTTTGCCTTTCACTTCGAGGCTAGCCCAACCCTTGGCAGCCCCTTTAACCATAAAGCCTATGTCGAGATATGCATAAGGACACCCTCCACAGGGAGAACAGGCCGCTTGTCACTGGCCGTTTTATGTATATAATCTATAGAGTAAAAGTTCCTGTTTTAGCCAAAAAAGATAATGAAATATCTACTCAGAGTGAAGTTCCAGAAATAGTTGAAGACGACAGAAAGCACATGATTGAAGCTACCATAGTTAAAATAATGAAAACGAGACGTAAAATTGATCATGCAGGGCTGCTAGGAGAAGTTACCAAATTAATATCATGGAGGTTTGTGCCATCGCCTAAGCAAATCAAGAGTAGAATTGAAAATTTGATTGAAAGAGAGTATATCCAAAGAGATGCAGAAAACCCTAATTTTTATAATTATGTCGCCTAATGTCTCTTTTTATAATAAATGTCTAAGTGGAACTATTTAGCTAGTGCTCATAAATCAAGTGCGGTTGCTGCATCTTTAGTCTGCAATTTTACGTCCCCTGACGAAAGAAATCTTCTAGTTGCTAAAGGCAATAGAATTGAAGTTCATACTCTGACCCAAGAAAACATCATTCCAATTCAAGAATTTTCCCTGTTCGGCACAGTTCTGTTTATGGACAAGCTGCATCCTCAAACTGGGTCAGATTTTTTATTAATTGCGACAGAACCGTTTAATCTCAGTCTGGCGGTATTTGAAAATGGAAAATTAACATTGAAAGAATCATATCCTCTGAAAGAAAGGCAGGCAATTAAACTGGAGTATTTTTCACTTGTAAATTTGGATCCTCACCAAAGAGCGTATGTTATGCATATATATAAAGGATTGATAAGAGTGATAGGGATTAATCTTTATTAATCTTTACACTTTAACGTCCATTATCAGGCTGCTCGACTATAGCTACCTCAAGCACCTCTTTGGGGTGAAATTCTCACCATTTCCTCTGGCATGCCAAAGGTGTGACCACCTCGGGTTTTGATCACTAGTGAAGATGACAGTCTTGGAGTTTGGGCTTTAACGACTCTTCTTTGAACTCAAGCACTTACTTGAGTCCGAATGGCACCCTAAAGGTTCCAGTTTCCACAGCCTGGGTAAGTGATGTCCTTTTTGAAAAATTTAATCCCTAAGGTCAGGAGTTTGTACTGAAAACTGTCTCTTCTTCCCTGACATAGCTGGAATAATTTCACCAGGGAAAACCAAACCTCATAATTAAAATATGAAATAGATGAATTTCCGGTCGGGAGACCAGAAAATTCGAGTGACGCTGTATTTTAATTATTGAGTGATAGGGATCAAGCAGAATTTTACAGTAGGAGTTTCGTTCAATGCAAGGATTGAAGAAAGTCCTGTCATTGATATGAGATTCTTACAAAATTATCAAGAACTGCAGCTAGGGATTATTTTTAAAAAAGAAAGTAATTTTGTGTTTAAAGCTTTCCCAGTCAGCTTGTCAGAGAAAAATCTAGGAGAAGCTTTATGGAGTGTTACTATTGCAGAACCTTGCACAAAGTTCTTAAGCTTAGACCAAAGTAGTATTGGCATTATCGACATGAATTCAATAAAAATCTATCGAGAACAAGAGAATGTCCCTTCATTGTCCACAAACGCAGAATTCGGAAAAGTTTGTGTAGTGCATAATATTGATAACCAAAGATGGATTGTGGGAAACCAAGGTGGAAATTTGTTTATTATTTTCTTGGGGTGTGAACTTAAAGTTGAGTGTCTAGGAAGATGCTCAATGGCAAGTAGCATTTCATACTTACTCTCTCTTTAAATTTAACAAAATTTTATTATTAATGAAAAAATAATAATTTCTATATAATAAAAGTTTGGCCCTATTTAATGGAAAGAGAGCAAGTAAAAGTTATTACCTTAATGGATTAATTTTATGAGTTATTTCTTCATAAAGAATAATTATTTTTTTAAAAAAAACACTTCAATTAAAACAGTTTTGTGGCTCCAATCTAAAAGGTGGAGTATTAGACAATAATTATCTTTTTATTGGGTCTGCTTGTGGTGATTCACAATTAATTAAAGTGCTGACAGAAAGGCAAGAAAATTCTTTTATATCAGTTGAACAAAAATACCAAAATATTGGCCCAATTTTGGATTTCAAAGTGATTGAAGGCGAAAAAAAGGGTCTTTGTAATATAATTTCCTGCTCAGGTTATAACCTTGATGGTTCTTTGCGTTTAGTTAATAAAGGAATTAGCGTTACCACAGAAATCCAAATGGAGATCGGCAATGTAATTGGTCTATATACCCTGCAAGTAGAAAATACTGATTACAATCATATAATTTTAAGCTTTATAGATGCTACTAGGATACTGAAAAACCAGAACGAAGTTTTAAAGCCAATCACGTACCCAGACATAGACTCAAAAATATCATCAATTTACATTGCAATGACAAAGTTTGGAATAATCCAAGTTACCCGCTTTTTTATTCAGCTCTTAAATTTCCAGTGGCAGCGGGTTTTCATTATAAATTCTGAAGAAATTCGAGAAAATTCTGAGATCACGCTTGCCTCCTCATCTGACGATAAAATGTGTGTTGTGCTTAATGGGCTGGAGATATATGAATTTTCTATAAGAGAAAACCTTTTAGAAAGAACTATCCAATGAATTTCTCATAATGAAATTGCTTGCATTGGGATGTCAAATAATCTGGTTGCGGTTGGACTATGAATTGAGCTAAATATCATTGTATTTGACGCAAATAGCTTCACTGAGATATGGAGAGACCATTTAGGAAGCGAAGTTCTTCCTCGATCTCTAATGTTTGCTGAGCTTGAAGATATAGAATATAGTTAATACCCCTATATGGATTTCTTTATCAAACAAAATACAATAGAAAGTATAACAATCAAGAAAGACTTATTTAAAGGAACGAGCTGGATCTCTATACAGGAAAATTTAAAAAAATGGTATGTCATAAAATGATTGGCAAGTAAACGCACAAATTTTTAAAATGCTTTATTATAAAATTAAATTTTATTTTTAGATACTTTTTAGACTGCACTAAAAAATATATTAGCTACATTTTCTCTTCCCTGTCAAAATTAGGTTCAAGCAAATAAAATAGGTTAAATTAAGAGTGCCTAATCATTATAATAAGGCATGATTTTTTAGAAGCCTCTAACAATATTTCCATATTTATACTAAAGCCATTTATATGAGCCCTTCTATAAGTAAGCACCCTCCAGAGCTAAAAAGTTTATAAAGATTATTTGAATCAAAAATTGATCAGCCGTTTTGAAGCACAATTCGTGACAAATTTTAATTTTTAAATATAAACCATTTATATTTTCACTGTAGGTAGTTTCATAATTGGCATTAAGAACCCCATGATTAAGAATCCTCCGAATCTAAAAAGTATAGCGAATCAAGATTATTATTTCCTAATATAATAATTGGAATATATAATACAAAAAATATATCAGCCGCTGTGATGCACAGTTCGTGACAAATTTTTAATTCTTAAAAATTAAGAAAATATTATTTGACTTTTAAAAGAAATGTATTTTTAGTTTTTTTACTCATCAATGACTTCTCCATTGCATTTTTATGACACTAATTAATGTAAATATTTATAGGTCTTAACTTTTATAATGATTATGTACTTTAAATTTAAACTTATTTCTTGTTTGGACTTAAATTCTATATTTATTAGGGCCAGTCTAAAAAGTATATACAAATAAAAATTAATTTTATAATAAAGCCATTTTAAAAATTGGCTCATTCTTGTCAACTTTTTTCCCACTTGCCAACCGTTTTTTGGCATGCTGCGATTTAACTCTTCCCAGCATAGAGATCCAGTTCGTCCCTTTAATAGGTCGTTTTTGGTCGTTATACTTTCTATTACATTTTGTTTGATTAAGAAATCTATATAAGGATACGGGCTATACTTATTTGCAGGCTTAGCTGATGGTCATTTGCTTACATATACCTTGCCACATTTTATAAAAAGAAGTCAGCTGATTGGCACTCATCAAGTTGTCCTAAAGACCTTTAAGTACCAAAATAAGGTTTCTGTATTTGCGGGATGCGATCAGCCTAAGATTGTGTATAGTAATCACCATAGACTTATAACGTCAACAGTCAACTCAGACCCTGTACTTTGTGTTTCACCGTTTGGGACAAGAGACTTTCCTGACTGTCTAGCTCTAATCAGTGGAAGATCACTAATTATGGTTTCTATTGAGGATTTACAAAATTTTACTATAAGAACTTTTCCTCAAGGACTTACTATGAGAAGAATTGGGATGATTGATGATAGTTTTGTATGCTTAGGCAGAAATCAGGCCGGAGTTGACAGTCTTTTATTGCTTTCTGGAGCGTTGACCATAGAGTCTACGCACTCATTTGAATACTCCGAGTTAGTGAATACACTTCTAGTAGATAAAAATAGAATATTTGTGGGAACTGGCATAACTGAGGAAAGGATTACAGATCCAAAATCAGGGTTTATCCGAATATTTGCTATCAGAGATCGGCATTTCTATGAAATTTCCAATTTAAACGTCCTTGGCGGTGGTGTTTCTTCCTTAGTCCCTATGAGCAATGACAAACTTATTGGAGGTGTGCATAGCGTAATTCATTACTGAAGAATTAACTCTGAAAATCAAATAACTTCAATTGATAGCAGCAACAAGATCACTTACGTGCTTTGTATGGACACTTATAATAACTTTGTAGCTATAGCTGATTTAATAAAGTCAGTCACAGTTTTCTCTGCAGATGAAGAAGGACTTACGATTGTTGCAAAAAATTATTCCGCAATGTGGCCAACCTGCATCCAATTTATATCTAATACACTTATAGCAGTTGCTGACATGTTTGGGAATCTTTTACTACTGGAAATTCAAAATCATATGAAATTGAACCCTATTGGAGGAATCCATATAGGAGAAAATATCAACTGCATGAGAAAAGGGACACTTGTACAAGTAAGATCTGATGAATTTCCTGACAATGTAGAAAGTATCCTTTTTGCCACGACCAAAGGAACCCTTGGCGTTATAGCATCTTTACCTCAAGATATTTACAATATCTTGAATCTTGTTCAAGAAGAATTAGGCTTAAGGATATACTTCTTTTCTTGGAGTGGCGCTGCAAGTGCAGGCCACTCCATGTGGAATTCCTGTGTTGGTTTAACCAACATAGGAGTTGGTCGAACCAAAACTGTGCGTTGGTTCGACCAACCCATGAATTCCCCATGGAGTGGCCTGCGCTTGCAGCGCCACTCCAAGGAAGTTCCTATACCACAAATAGGGAATATGAGTCTAAAAAGTCATAGAACTCCTGAGATTGAGAAACAAAGTATTAATTTTGATTTCTTTTTGGATGGAGATTTTATAGAAACGTTTTTAGATATTTCGCCTGAAGAACAGTCAACTATTTGTATGGATGTCGGGATGAAGCTTGGGAAAGACTTGAATGTGCAGGATCTCCAAAAACTAATTCTCTCATTGTCGAAAGTGCATTAAAATTAAGGTAAGAAATTGAATTAAAAATTTATCCTTATCATATTGAATAAATATCACCAATATCTCTTTTCTCAGCATCTAATTCAGGTAAGTTTCTTAAAAACCATATCAGATATCATATAATAGCTTACATTGCTATCAGTAGACATTTAACTCTGTTTGAGATATTGCAATTATTTTTCGACCAATGTATTTTGGCTACATTCTTTAATAATTTTCAGACACTTAACCGTAAGAAATAAAAAGTCCATTTAATATCTAAATATAATAGCCATCAATATGAGCACCTCAACATACCCAGAAAACATTACTCCAGAATATGTAAGCCAACTGACTGAAGCAACCTCCACTTTTCTATGTCCCCTTTCCGCAAATGTGTATGGGATCGAGTTTGTCTATTTCAAAGTGAGAGATCTTGAATCAGGGATGGTTTTATTTGAAGTGCAAAGTGAAGAAGATTCAGTCTCTGAGCCGCCTCAGGATGATTCATTTAGAACAGTTAAATACCAACTAGGCCCAGATTTCCTCAAACTAAAAGCACTTGGAAGCACTATAGATTTCCTCGTAGGACCTCGCGAAGTAAGAAATTTTCGCATGATTGAAAGGCATTACTTCAGAAACGTTTTATTGAAAAGTTTTGACTTTAATCTGGACTTTTGTATACCAAACACAAGGAACTCATGGGAAGTGATCTACGAAATCCCAGAACTCCCTGCAGATCTTGAGCAGCTTATGATTGAAAGCCCATGGGAAACAAAATCAGATAGTTTTTATTTTGTGCAGAACCAGCTGATAATGCACAACAAAGCTGAGTATAATTACTCTGATTTATCTTAATTAGTTTGAATTATTTCTTATTTTAAACAGAAATTTAATTTCCCTAGTTTCAGAGAATGCTTATAACCCTCTTTTAGTTATGAAAGAATTTAGCTCTTACTTATGCTGAAAGAATGATTGATCCACCTGCTTTTTTAATTCTCTCTTCAGCTTTTGCTGAGAAAATCCTCGCTTTAACATTCATTGGCCTTAAAAGGACGCCTCTTCCAAGAACTTTGAAAAATCCGTGAGCTCCAGCATCAACAAGTGGCACATCGCTTGAGGCTTTTTGTTCTTCAGTCAGCAAAGTGTTAAGAGTGTCGAGGTTCACAACAGGGCAGAATTCTGTGTTTTTCTTCAAGTGGAAGCGCCTCATACCGACTTTTCCAAAGTATCCTGGGTGGAACTTGTCAAATAAGATCCTGAGGTGATGTAAACCACCAGCATTACCGCGGCCGCAAGGATGCTTTCTGTGCTTACCGATACGGCCATGGCCCATGCTAACGTGTCCTCTGAGCTTCCTGGTATGCTTGAGTCTTGCCACCATATTAATGTATTAAACCACCATAGATTAACATCTCTTATATACTTTTATCCATTTATGCTAGTGCACAGGATTTTCAGAGCTTTTTCAGTCATAAGAAGCCCAACCATGATACCGAGAGCACTGGATAGAAGCAGGTACACAGGAAAAGTTTTAGATGTCTTTGAAACGCAATTTGAGTGTTTTAATGTAGCCTCTCACGCAAAATTACTTCTCAAAGCACTGAAGCGGACTAGCGATAACGCATCTTCAGAGCCTGAAACTGAACAAAATAAGCCAATGGCGAAAGTTCTTGAAGATCCGCGCTTTGATAAATTTTTGAAATTGCTCAATGAGACAGGCACTTCTTTTCAAGTCTTTCTAAATAATTTCCTGGCTTTGGCGTGAGTTTACCAAGCCGCAAAGCAGAAATTTGAAGCAGCTACATTAGCGAAGTTTATCGAAAGAGTAAAAGGCGAGAAAAAATTGAATCTAAGTGATGTATGCATTGCCCTCAAAGTCATTTCAATAGCTGCAAAACGGGAAAATGATGTTTTAGAGCTTGTAAATGGACTGTCAAACCGTGCGGCTGAATTAATAGAACAGCGGATTCCATATGCCCAAAATGTCAAGACTTTGCTTATGCTTGACCTATGAAAAGAGTAAGACTTACTCAGAGAGCTGAAAAATAACCATTTGTTGACAGTCCTTGAGCCTTATGTGTTGAAAGTAATAGATATTTAGTACATTAATGAGATTGAGCCCAAAGCTTTGGTTATTTTTTTTAGAGTGTATTCTCGTAACAGAACTGGATCAAAAGAATTTATAAAGCAACTTTTATTTGCGATATGCGTGAAATTAAAGTTAAAGTTAAAGCTAGCAGTTGTGTTGGCCATTAGCGGATAATCACTAGTCTTCGCCTGTCTCGGCTTTGCCAGACGGTAAACCCATTTTTTTGATTTTCTGACCCGAATCACTGTCCAATGGATTAGCTCGCTAGGGCAGAGCCACCTTCAAATAGCAGGTTATCCCGAAAAGTGAACCATAAAGCAGGCAAAACCTGCCTAGCCCTTTTGGCGGGGCAGGAAAGCCTTCGGGATAATAGAACTTCCTACTGAAACCACAGACATTATTTCAGCTCATCAAGATGGGTCCTACCTGTTCCATAAGGAGGTTTTCGAAGCCCATCTTTAGTAAGCGTCACCATTGCATTTCTATCATGAAATTAAAGGAATTGCAAAGTCATCAAATATCAAAAGTGATATATGATTGTGCTTATGTGTGAAATAATGTGCTAGATGACACTGAAAATACTTTGAAGTTACTGTATCAAGAAATTATGAAAAAGCTAGGATCAATCGATAAGTTCAGTTTATATTCCATTTTTCCAGTGCTAAGCTGAACTAGAATAGGCAATCCTCATTATTACGAACTTCTAGGTGCGCAATGGGTTAAATTTATGGGCGATTATTCAGACAGAGAAATCTCAAAGCTTACATATCAAGCAGCAGAAGCAAATCTCAGTTCGATCACTTTGGTCAAAGCTCTCAACAGGGCACTGAAACCTTTAGTCTTAAACATCTCACCGCTCATTTATGAGATTTATGATAGCAAAGTTCAAGCTCCTGTAGGCTTAATTGAAGGAAAAGATGATTTTGAGGTCCAACTGTCCAAGCTGAAACAAGATATCATGAGCTCTATCAAGCCTTCAAACCCGAAAAAGAATGAGTTGTTGACTATTAGCAGAATTTATGAAACAAATAATCACTCATTTTTTAAATTTGGAACTTTCATACAATTCATGTGGGGATTTATAAAAATTGCTGATCAAACTGATATAAAAATGTTGGACTCAGAAACCTGGAACCTACTTGTGCAGCTTTTAAAGAAGCATGTCTCAGAGCTTAATAGAAACGATAAACAGATTTCTTATGTAGGGTATGATATGTTATCACAAATAGCGTTTCTCTCTAATAATGCATTCCAAACGATATCAAAGATTACAATTCCAAGAGACTTAGCAGACTATGCTCAACATTCAGATCATGAGTATTTCACAATCGCAAACTCTAACAGAAGCCAGTCAAATAAGGATTTTGAAAACCAGTTCGTTGAGTTTTGCAAAGAAAGTGGCATTTCATATCATCTCCCCAAAGCTCACTCAGCTGAAAAATCAACAAAAGAATTAATCGTCGGTGACATTCCTTTTTATGTCAACGCAAAGGCTAAAAATCCTGTCATTGTATTAAGAGAATTTGATATCTTTTACGATGGATATATTAGAGGACTAATGAAAAACAAATTAAAGATTTTATCCTCGCTTACACCAATCACAGTTGTTCGATACGATGAGTGGATGAATGGAAACATGAATAAAGATTATTTTAAAAAAATTCTTCAATAGAAAATTTGTTATATAATTAAATGGGATGCAATGCTTCAGAACTTCCTAAAGATATCGAAGAAGCACTAAACCAGCAACTTCAAGCATTGGAGAGCATAGAAAACACTTTTAAAGCAATGGAAGAGAGCATTACAGTGGAAATTCAAAGAAGAAATGAAGCTGCTGATGCTCAAGAAAAGCTTATGAAATGAAAGGATAAGTCTGATAAAAAACTTGATGAGTTAGAAACACAGTTAGCAGAAATTATTGAAAAAAATCAAGTAGCACAAGAAAGACAACTATCTAGTAAAGCGAATTTAAGAAGACCTGATATATTTCCTATTGAAGCGAAGAAAGCATAGTTTTGATTGAAGAAATAATCTAAATTTAAAATAAATGCCATATAACGAAAAAATTTTGCATGATTTTTATATATAGAATAAAATTAACTTATTTAAACCTTCCTAAAGATTTTACAAAAGCTTGCAGCATGGTTTTCCTTTGTACCGATTTCTTTTTCGTTTTTTTTGGCTTTCTAGCTAATTGTGACCTAACTGGTATTTGGCTATTCTCATGAATATTTAGCGAGGCTTTCTCTTCATCTGAGCTGAATTCAGGTTCGTAAATATCGTAAATCTTTTCTTCATAAGTAATCATGGTCTTTGTCATATCTTTTCTTATCATCGATTTCTCTATAACCACTTCCTGAGCAATTTGGCCTTGTAAGGTTTCTTTTTTTCGCTTAAAATAGCTCCAATGGTTTAGCTTAAAATGGCGCGATGAATCAACCCATCATCTTTGACTCCTGTAGCTGATATATGAAAGGATACCGGGGACCTTAAGGAAGGGAGGCTGACGTTTGATATGTGTATCCGGTTAGACTTTTCTTTCAGTGAAGCGTAATATCTGGTTGGCCGACCGCAGGCTTTACTCCTTATCTTATCTCTATGGTATTTATATCGCTTAACGTCCACTACGGGGTTACGACCCCAGGTTTATCACTCGCCTTTCGTCGCATCGGGCCCACCAGTCCGCTGGGGACAGACTCGCTTTGATCTCCAAGGTGCTTCTAGGGCAAATGTCCACGTCTTCGACGGCTCATGAATGAGCTACTTGCTTGTACATGGGTTGCTTTTCCGAAAAACCCAAAAAATGGATTTTTCTGGTCGGCTATCGGCAAAAAGGAAAAATGCAAAGCCTGGGACGTAACGCCCAGTTTCACGCTAGGGAGTTGCCCGAATGGTCCAGAGGACTTTGCTGGGCTTCCCCTTTCCAACCTTGCACCCTCCTTCCCCACGAGGAAAAATCCACCCCTAAGAACAGACTAGGGCTAGGCTCTGAAAGCTACCAGAATTGCTTACCTAGCATTGCAGTCCATCTCTGAAATGGTAAAACCTTGCCGGATATAAATAAAATATAAGTCGAGGATGTATGGCCGGGAGGCCATACCTAGACGAAGACGCCATATTTTATTTATGCAGGCTTTACTCCAATGCCAAGTTTTTACCTTAGAGGAAGATAGGTCCGGAAGCTGTAAAGGAGTTTTCAGTAGTGTCAATGGCGCTAATCTTAACGAATTGGGACTTTTCCCAATGTGAAACCAGGATTTACGCCCTGAGCTACGGATTTCCATCTTATCTGAGAGCCGGCAAGAAAAATTCAACCCTTTTGAATTTTCAATGGTGGCAACCCTGTTGACGTACGGCAAACTTCCAACTGCCAGCAAGCTATGCAGGCCTATATCTGGCACTTTGAAGTTCGTGCTTGTCAGCGAAGGGAATAAGAATCTCTGGATACTGGCGGGGAGCTTTTCTATAATCTAATTAAGTATACATTTAGCTTAGGAATAGGCCGAGATTCATTTTGAGGAACAGGGGTAATTTCCATTGAAGAAATCGGGTGAAAATTAGCAATGAACGGTTTATACTGATAATCTGTGTATTTCTGCAGTGTATCGTGGCTAATCTTTTTGAGAATAAGCTTTTCATCGCAGCATAGCAAGCAGTCAAAAATAGGTTTTATTGACATTTTAATAAATTTATTAAAATAAACTATTCCATATTGGATTCGACTATTGTAAAATTAGCAGTTCTTCGTCTTTTGGGGGAATCTCTCATTAATACAGTGAAGTCTCCTCTGGTTTTGCTTAAATTTCTTTTTAATGATCGTTTTACTTCTTGGGTTTCTTCAGTTTCGATCTAAATTATTTTTACAGTAGGTTGTGATCTAAAACCTAAAAATTTTTTAATGTGCATCAAATCCCTGAAAAATGTAGGCTTCTCTTTACTTTGAGGATTCTTAGACTAAGATGGCTTATTTTAACTCACCACTAGTTGGGCTACAAGTTGCTCAGCACGATAACGTTCTTTTTACTCGGCCTTAGCCACTTCCCCGATTGTACGTACAGCCCATCGGCAAAGGTCACTTCTTCTAGCCTCTAGCCTCTTTCTATCCGACTTTCCTCCAGCGGCTGTTATTCGGTCTAAGAGTCCTGCCTTATCGGGCAGTAGAAAGAGCTAAATCACTTTGCCTGCTAGGATTCGAAATAAGAAAACCTTCTCCATTTCTTTGCTATCAGATAGAAGTGCACGTGCAAAAGCCTAACTCTATAATAATAAAAGTTAGGTGGCAGAGAGGAAATTCACGGAGTGAATTCTCCTCTCATCTGAAGCCATTTTATAATTATAAACTTTGAGGATTCAATTCAGTGCTATCCTCAGCCGAGCTGCTAAGTTCTTCTCTTTCAGATGATAAGGTTTCTGTAACAAATGACAATGGCAAATCTTTTGCAGTTAGAATATTCATTAATTTTTGACTAACATCGCTATCTAATGATTTTCCTTGCTTCTTTTTGATCCTAATATTTTCAAGCCTTTCATTTTCTTCCTCAATATCAAAATCAGTTTTCGCGTTAGGATCATATGGACAGCTTTTTTCATCATGTCCAGACTCCGAGCAGCTCTATATAATGATCACCGTGCAAAATTGTTGCTTTCTCAGTCTTCTTTCTTCACGCAATATCTCTTCCTCATCATTTTTCGCGATATGCTTCGAAGTTCTACACCCTTTGGCTAGTTCTCCTTTTCTACCACAACACCATCACATTTGGCCTGAGTATTGGCTTGAATGAGTTTGGCAAGATCAATTGAAGTTTTCTGACTCCAGAAAGAATTTTTTACAGTTTTTACAAACTTTTTCTTCGATATCTCCATTTCGATTGACCTTAAATGTGGAAATTTTGTCTCGCATTCGATCAAATTGGTCTGTTAAAGCGTCATAATTGTTTTTGACGTCTTCATATTTAAACTGCAGTTTTTCTTTTTCGTTCTTTTCTTTTATCATTTCGTCTTTGATTTGTTGGATTTTTTCTTTAAATCGATTTATAAACTTGTCTCTATCGTTTTTCATATAATCTTTTATTTCAGTCATTTCTTGCAAATCTTTTGACAATGTTTGGTTTTCATCAGTTAAGACTTTTAACTTTGCAATCAGCTCGACTTCTAGCTCTGCTAATTTTTTACAGCATTCAGCAAAGCTAGTGTACTCTTTAGTTGTGATTTCTTCAGTATTTTTTATTTTTAGTAGATCTTCTATGCAAGTTTGCAAACCCTTCAATCTATCTCCCATGATTTGATTTTGCATTTCGATTAGATCATTAAAATGTGTAATCTTTTGTAACTCTGCTTTGAGGCGATCATTTGCCATTCTTTCATTTAAGCATTCTGCTAAACTTTCTTCTAATTTTGATTCACTATTTGTTAACAATGCTTTATATTGGTCAATTTGCTCATTTAGAAAAAATATTTTCAGCTCGAATTTTTGGCTAAGTTTTACATTTTGGTCAAATTGGAATTACTTATAGAAAGTCCTGCCATTCGTCTCCACATAACGCTCCACTACATGGTTGTATTCCCGGACGCGGCTTTCCACTGAGTTGTTTCTCACTGGCGAGGGCTTGCATTCGCTACCAGAAAGTCAACTTAACTTAACTTATTAGGTTCTGTGTTTAACGCCATTCACGGGTGACCCCTCCCAGAGCTTCCCGCTGCTTCTTTGCCGCATAGGGCCCGCCGACCGTCTGGGGCCAGTCAGCCTCGATCTCCAGTGCGCGCCTCCGGAGCAGTGTTGCCGACTAAGGCGGCTCATGCCTGAGCTACTTCGCTTGAGGACATGGGTTGCCATTCCGAAAATCCATAAAAAATGGATTTTCTGGTAGGCTTTCGGCAAAAAGGAAAAACACGAAGCCTGGGACGTGACGCCCAGTTTCACGCTAGGGAGTTGCCCGATTGGTCCTAACGGACTTGGCTGAGCTTCCCCTTTCCAACTTGCGTGCCTCCTTTCCCATGAGGCAAAAACATTCCCGAAAGTAGACTTGGGCTAGGCTCTGAACACAACCAGAATTGCTTACCTAGCATTGCCGTCCGTTTCTGAAATGCAAAACCTTGCCGGATATAATTAAAATATGAGTCGAGTATGCATGGCCGAGAGGCCATGCCCAGACGAAGACGCCATATTTTAATTCCGCTACCAGAGAGTCAGAGACGTTGGGTTACAATGCCGTGCGCCACCTTCCAGAAAATAAGAAAAAGAAATTCTGGTCATCTGTCGATCAATATGGAACCGTCTCCAGAAAGCAACACCCATTATCGCGCTGAGTATTTCCCTAATTGATCAAGTGATCACTTCTGGCCTTGTTGGGCTTACCCTTTTAAATTTCAGAGAGCCATCTCCCCACGAGGCATGCGGTGACAACCCCGAATTGCGCTCCGCCAAACCAAATAAAACCTGGCCGAATGCACATATCCGAATGGAGTCATCTCTTCAACAAGTTTACTGGCTTTCCCAATGAATCTACGACTCAGGTGTTAATAGGGCAGGTTTGCTCACCACAGCATTTTGCTGATATGGTCAAATTGGAATTTCAAAAGCTCAAAATTAGTTTCTAGATCTTCATATTTTGATTTTAAAACACATAACTCTGACTCAGAAGTAATTTTTGCCTGCTCTGAATCCTTCATTTTCCTTGTGGAGTCCTCGAGCTCGATTTTTAATTTTTCAATCTCACTCATAAGTTTTTCTGAGAGTTTCAGTTCCGCATAGACACTCGTTTCAGCACTTGTTTCTCTGCTATCTAAGATGTCAGCATGTGATCTTGACATATCAAGTGACTTGCCATATAAGTGTTTCTTTAAAGTTGATCTTGTTCTGCACTCGAACATAGGGAGTAAATACGATTTTACTACCTTTGCTGCGAGCTCTGGCTCGACGTTCATGATCGGCTTCAGTTTTCTTGTCTTTATTTTGCTAGACATTGAAAATTGACTTGGTTGTGTAGACAGGTTTGCCCTTTCGTTAAGTATATTTTGATAAACCTTATGCTTTAGCAGTGGATTTGCCAAAGGCAGCATTGAAAAAGAAGAGTTGAGGTTGTTACTTTTCGTAAATGACAGATTATTCATTTTTAAATAAAAGTTTAGGTTAGAATAAATTACGAGTCATCAAATCTAAATTCGCAGTTCCTAATCTCAGTCCCATCTTTATTAGTCGCTCCAGCATAAATATGGGTGCTTCCGAATCTTAGTGTGACTTTAACAGTTTTATCTTCAACTGACTGGAAAGGCCTTCCTATATCGATAGTCAGTTCTCCTAACTGCTCGACTCCCTCCTCATCTACGAAATCTACATCTCTAGAATCAGTGCAGTAAAAAATGATCCTCATAACTGTTTGTCTGGACCTCACTGGACAATAGGTCTTTGTATGCACTTCTTCAGCGCCTACAGAGTCTCCAGCTCTCACAAAAGGATCGAAAACGTCTTCACAGAACTCTTCCCCTTCAATTATCACTTTTTTGGTTTCTGGGTGCCGCTCTGGGTCAAAAGTAGTGAGGGTGTTGATCCCATAAGTTCTCTTGACAATGCGAGAAGTAATGGAATGAGGGTCGAGGCCAAATAAGCATGCCCCTCGGACCACACTTACTTGAGGACGCCGAGGAACAAGAACTTGAAGTTTTTCAGTTTCGAACTGTTTCTTTATTTCTTGTTTAAGGAAAGGACTTTCAGAAAACCCACCGACCATAAAGATGAAGCCAAGCTGCTCGTTTTTGTTGAGGACTTGAGATTCAAGCTGAGCTACTTTGGACTTGATATTTTCAAATAGAGGCTGGAAGAATGAAGCCATAAGAGGAGTCGGAAGGTCTAAGCTGGACGACCCTCTCTGCTTAAGCTCAAATTCTGGAGGGTGGGATTTGTTGTAGTTTTTTACTAAGCTTGACAATATTTGTGCAGTTAAATCTTCTCCCATATAGCTTAGCTGCAACCTCGATCTTTCATCAATTCCAGGGCAGAATTTCCGTTTAAGCATTTCAAAGTGTTTTAAGATATCAAGTCTTCCTACAGCGTTTCTCATATATCTTCCAAACAGTTCATCTCCAAAGAACTCTTTTAGAAACTCTTCAAAATACACGTCCACAAACTTCGACCCCCATTCGCAGCCTCCACTGCTTGGCAATAATTCTTCGCACAAAAATTTTTCTTCGGGCTCACATAGTAATTTATGAATTGTGATATCCACTGTTCCTCCTCCACAATCAAGCACCATCACCACTGTATCTTTTTTCATTTGCTGCTTAATGCTTTCTTCACTGTCTTCTCTAACCGAAATTGAAGCTCCTTCAGGCTCTAAACACAGCAGTAAATTTGGTGAATTCAGCTCTGTAATAATCCCTGCTTCCACACAAGCGTTTCTCATGAACTGCTTATGCTCTTCACTTCATAATGCTGGGACTGTTAAAACCCACATGATTTTTGTTTTTATGACTTTTCCCACTTGCTCTGATAGTTTCTGGATAGCTTTGTCAGAGATAAATCGAAGAGTCTCACTCCCCCCCCCTTTAAATTGGAACTAAAAAATTTTGTTCCAATTTAAAGGGGCGTTATTTTGTTTTTTTTAAAAAAAATATCAATATAAAATTTTTTATAAAAGATATAAAAATTTTTAAAAAAAAAAAATTCAAAAACTTATCGAATTAGATCAATAAATTTGCTTAATAAAACGCTATTTACTCTTTATCCTTTAAAATAAAGCAAGATATAACTAAATTTTCATTATTAGTTAATACGCCACTATTAATTGGTATCAAAATTATTTACACAAAAATTATTATTTTTATTGATAAAAAAAATTAAAAAAAAAAAAAATCGATCAAAGTGCTAAATTTTGTTTGAATAAGATGTTATTTATACTCTATTCTTTAAAATAAAGCAAGAAATAAGTAAATTTTTAAATTTTATAAAGAATTCCTATTGAATTTATATCAAAACTATCCAAATAAAAAATATCATTTTTTATCAAAAAAAACAAAAATTGTTTTGAAAAATTTTTAAAAAAAAAAAATTAATTTTTTTTTTAAAATTTACCAATTAAGAATAATAAATTTATTTAAATAAGATGCTCTTTATACCTTTTTTCTTTAAAAAAGAGCAAGATATAAATAAATTTTTAATTTTAGTTAAGAAGAAACATTTAACTTATATCAAAACTTTTTAGATAAAAATTATATATAATTTTTTATTATAAAATTAAATTTTGTTCCAATTTAAAAGGGGGGTTAATTTACCAAAAAAGTGGAAATTTTACCGATATTTTGTTCCAATTTAAGGGGGGGGAGTCAGAAATTACTTTCATAAGGGGCATTTCACGACCATCTACAGAGACAGCGTTGCTGTGAAGATGGAGCAGATGCATTTTGTAAGTTTGGAATAGCAAAGCGTTGTCGCCGTCATCAATGATTTCTGCGTATTGTTGGAGTGCTTGGGAGCCGAAAGCCAGGAATTTGAAGTTGGAGTCGAAGAGAATTGCTGTGATTGCCTTTTGATCGTCTGTGTCATCGCATGGATTAAAAACTTCGATGCGCGCTTTGCCGTTTTCTTTGAGACGAGGAGTTATTGCGTAGCCTGATGCACCAGTTCCGAAGTCTATAGCGATTATATGGGTATATGAGGAGTCTTCTTTGAGAATTGCCATACTTTATTTAATAATTGAATTTAAGTTCAAATTTAGAAGGAAATGGAAATTTTTTAAAGAAGTATAAATTCATGAAATTACTAGACATAAATCAAAAAATTCATTTATGATTGGTATTAGCTTTAGAAATAATTCTTTATTTTTATTATGATGAAAATCTTGTTTCTCCCAACTTATAAACTCTTGACGAACTGATTCCTTCAAGCCTCAATTCCACACACAGCTGATGTCCAGGAACTTTTTGAAGTCTTTTATATTGTTGAGAGCTAAACGGTTTGAGCCTGGGGAGAGTCTTCGTGTCAACTCTTTCAGGGTAATCTTCAACCCAAAAGCAGAGATCTGGCTTGAATATGTCATGAAGATGGTTCATGATTTCAAAAGAATAGTAATCTTCATACTCATTGAGATTTGATATTGACAATACACCTACCACACAAGTATTGCTGACTGGTCTTGAAAAAGAAAGGATCTTGAATCTCAAAGTTTTGTATCTGGCTAGGGACTCATACTGGAAAGTTAGTGTCAGGCTAATCTCTGAATTAGCTAGAAGCTGCGACATGGTCTTGTATCTTTTATTAGTTTGTTCTTCATAAAGAATAAGCGAAGTCCAGTCATATGAAGATTTATTGACGATTTTAATGACATGATCGCTTCTGTCTATGCTTTGGACCATTGAAAGCTCCATATATGACTCATCAAGCATTGTCGGGAACTTTATATGGTTGATCTTGGTAAATGCCTTGCTGGTTGATGGGGCAAGATGCAGCTTATTTGCAGTTTCCTGGGCTACCTGTGCGTATTGCTCGATTTCATCAACTAATTCTCTGCTTTTCAATGGTCTGATAGCTTCAACAATTTCAGAGGTCGGGTCAAAGCTTAATTCAATATCATTTTGCATTTTATACTCCGCTTGGGTCGCAGTGTGGGCAATCAGATCTAGGCTGTCTTTGATGTATTGCTGCTTTATTTTGCAGGCCTCATAGTTCGTATTTCTGCTGAAAAATAGTTTGGCAGTCGTGATTATGATCTCAGGTATGAGCTTCTTGGAGAGTTCGAGCTTTCTTAGATTATCAACTTCTTCGCTTTCAACAAAAATTGGTCCAGCTTGATTGAGCTTTCTTTCTGAATCTACAGAAAACATTGAGTCTACATTGGAATTACCTGAAATTTCTTGAGATTCGCTAGCCATTATTATAAGCTTTCTACAAAGATGATAAATTGCATTTTTGCATATTTTAAAATTTAATAAAGTTGGCTGCATTATAGGCTGACATTGAAGGTCTATTTGAAATAATAGAAAAGGGAAATAAAATTTAATAAAAAATGAGCATAATTAAAATTCTACAAGATAAACCTATAATTTTATACTCAATATATATGCTTGATATTAATTATGAACATATATAGCTGTGCATAATTTTAAAATATCAGATAATAAGCACTGCAATTATTATTATAATTGCTCTATAGCATTGTAAATTCATTAAAAAGTAATTTCATCTTTTTATTCTTCATTAGTTATAATTTAACCTCTAAATTCCTATTCACTATCTTAAGCACTTCTCAATTCCTTCTTTCAATTTCATATGGTAAAAATATGGCCGCTGTATCACGCACAGATCTCTCCAAAGCCGAGCACGACGAACTCAGTTGCGTCTTTGCTGCCTTGATTCTCCATGACGAAGGTGTAGAAGTGACAGCCGACAAAATACAAAAATTAGTATCAGCTTCAGGAAATGATATTGAGAAATATTGGCCACTTCTTTTCGCCAATGCTCTTAAAGGACAAGATATAAGCCGATTACTCAGCAACTTTGGAAGCGGAAGTGCCAGCTCAGCACCAGCTACAACTTCTGCACACCATAACTCAGCTTATTTAACAGATAGGCTCTGCCCCTAATTTTAACGCAACCACTGAGGATCTCTAATAGAGGAGATTCAACCAATTTGCGACCATATACCCTCTTGCCTTCAGTTTGAGTATTGGCAGCTTAGATTGTGTGGCCTTGCTTGAGGCTGTTGAGTAGGAAGAAGCAAGGGTTGTCCACAACAACAATTCCCAAGAATGGAATTTCTGGTAGACTTCAGCATAGAGGAAAGGGCGTAACTCCTAGCTTCACGCTGTTAAAGTAAGTCCCCTATTGGTCTAAGCATTGTTTGCAAACTTTGCTGGGCAACCCACTTCCAACTCCCGAGCCGCACTTCCCTTGAAGTGCAGTCTATCCTTAAAAGCGGACTTGAGCAAGGCTCTAATACGCCAAGAATTGATTACCTAGTATTGTTTCAATTTCTGGATTGGAAAAACCTTGCTAGATATAATTGAATATACGCTCAAAAGAAGCTGGCATAACCGACCGTGAAGTGCTGAGACACCATATTTAATTATAACTTCTGCACCATCAGGAGAAACCAAGACAGAGGAAAAGAAGGAAGACAAGAAAGAAGAAGCAGAGGAAGAAGTCCTTGATGGAGGCATGGATCTATTCGGAGGCGATGAATGGTAATAACTTAACATATCCTTTTATTCTCAATAACTCTCAACTAATTATTGTTGACTAAAAAGTTGTTAATTAAAATGAGTATCTGGTCAAGGACAGGTCGTAACCAGACACCCCCACCCCCCATCAAAATCGGAACCCCCCCCTAAATGGCACCCCCACCCCCCTTCACAGATGGCACCCCCACTCCCTCCCCTCAAATAAAAAGGGTTTTTCCTATAGAAGTAATTGATAGGAAACAATCCAATTTAAAACACTATATTGATAAATTAAGTCCACAAATTGCTTTAATATTTATGATTAATTAATAAATTTAAATTAATTTACAATTAATTAGAAAATATATTAAATTTGTTTTTTATATTTATAAATATAATGCCAAAGATATAGATAATGGCATTAATTATTAAATTAGCCAAGCACAATACAATAACTAAAAGTAGCTATTTTACAAGCCAATATTTCAATGAAAATTTGTATTTTTATGATTGTAAAAATTTTTTTAATATTCTGTTGGCAAGTCAAATATTATGTGCTAGTAAAAATAGTATTTGCTGTTGTCAGTTTTACTTTTGGATCTCTAATTGGACTCTTTAGCCATTGTTCCACAAAGTTCATAAATATATGCAGGATATAATGCTAATTAATACCAAAGATCATTATTATGCTTGTTAAAAAATTTCTTGAGATGTGGTGTGCTTAGTAGTTATAGGAAATTCTCACCCCATTTCACCTACTCCTTAATCGATTGTGCTACGCTATGTGGATATTGCATAAATCTGTAATTTTGAATATTTAAAATAATAATTTATTTATTACGTCTGCTCTAAATTGGCATTTGTCATATATTTATGCTATATTAAGGGGGATGGGGGTGTCTGGCTGCGACCTGTGCTTGACCAAGTATCCCTAGTCTATCAGAGTCTCAGAGATTTGTATTCAATATCGAAGGAGAGTCACTTTTTGGAAAAAACCAAGATGGATGGGATCACAGCGGTGAATCTGGAGTCAGCAGAAATTCTATTATTGCTCCAACTAATAAGTTGAGAATAAGAGTGTGTAAGAGAAACCATTTAGTGAGAGAGCAGGTGATAAAATTTAATACTAACGATGAGAGAGACTCCCTTATCTCTTTTTGCTTTGATGGAAAATACACATCAGGCCAAGAAAGCTTAAGGGCTAGCATTAAGTTGGACCAAAAGAGAGACTATTTCAAGAAAGCAAAGAATTCTGATACAGTTTCGTGTTTTAAATGGCACATTTTAACTGGAAAAGAGCTCAGAGATTTGATATCAGACTATGAAATTAAGTCATGCTTAAAAGCATTTAATGCTTTACTATTAAAAGCCCCTGATTGCCATGAAGCTTTATTTGGACTTGGTAAACTTCTCGCGAATATGGGAAAGCTCGATCAAGCCCTGGATTATTTCAAGCGAGCCTCAAGAATAAATCACTCTGATGAAATTTATAATATTTGCCACAGTATAACACATGCAAAATTATATAATCAAACAAAAGGAGAAATTATGACCAGCAAAAGCTTACTAGAGCGTTGCTTACAGTATGAAACTAGACAAATTGATACCATATGAGCAATAATGCAGTTATAGCGCTTTCCCGAGGATGGAGCGGAATGGCGCCATCCTCGGGAAAGTCAACTAAGCATCCACACGGGAACTGGGAGTTCCACGTGTGGATGCCATTTTTGACATGTGGGATCCAAACTTCCACATGTCAAAATGGCATCCACACGTGGAACTCCCAGTTCCCGTGTGGATGCCTTCCTGGCTTTCCCGAGGATGGCGCCATTCCGTGCCATCCTCGGGAAAGCGCTATATCTGTTTCAAGCCTAGTTGACTCCTCTATGAGTTTTGAGGATGCTGAGTATTATGCAAGCTGAATCAAGCAGAGGCATTCTTATTATGGATATTTAGCTTGAAGCGAAGTATTTATTGCCAAAAAAGAAGAAAGAAAAGGAGTCGAAATCTTGAAAGCACTCATTGAGATTTACCCAGACAAACCTGAAGCATACTTAAAGCTTATTAATTTTTACTATAAAAATCGCCGATATGAAAATGCTGCCGAAATTGTTGTGCAAGCAATGAAAACGATTTCAGGTATGGAGTATTATGTCATTTTTGCCATAAAGCATGCTAAAATCCTTTATCATTTAGGAAAAACACATGAAAGCTTGAAGTGGCTGCAAAAGAAATACGAAATATTCCCTAAACATATAGCATATTTATATCAATACGGCAGAATTTGTGTAAAATCAGTTGATTTGACTTGCATTGGCTCCGCAATTGGAGCACTTGAAGAATGCATTAAAATTTCTGATGAATCCAGGTATGGAACACTTTATTACTGGCTTGGAAAAGGGCAGCTATTAGTTAGACAAAATATTGAAGCCTTTTATTCGCTAAAAAATTCACTGAAATGGATAAACACAAACAAGAAAAATGTAAGTGAAATAAAAGACGAAATCCGAGCATTGAATGAGCATGTTAAGACATATGAAATTGTTGAAAAATCTATTGCAAATGATACTAACACAGAAGAGCTAGAGCAGTGTAAAGAACTTTGTGAAGATATAAGAAACTTTGAAAGGTCAAGTGGAGAATTGCTATTAAGCAAAATTCTATGGCATGAAGGAAAAGAGGAAGAGGCCTTAAACATACTGGAAACTTCAGCTAGAGCCTCAAGCTCAAGAATGAATTGCTATTTCCAGATGATTGAATATTTAATCATAATTAAAGACGAAAAAAGATTGAAAACCATTGCCAAAGAAATGATCAATAAATGCAAAAATAGCCAGATTCCGGCTTCTGTATGAGTAAAAGCACACAAATTTTATGCAAAAATACTTGTAATTCTACATAAACCTGATAAAGCTATCAATATCTTAAAATGCCTTGCCCAAGCCCTTCCATCGCTTGACAGAAAAGGTTTTCAATATACAAAGACGCTTAAAAAGGCCAAAAACTTACAGGAATTATTGAAAGTTGCTGGATCTGTAAATCAATTAACAGGAAACTATTGCTATTTTATTGACAAAATAAATTATCCCAGCCCAATTCAATTCGCAAGTCCTAGGCACAAGCATTTAACTCAGACTCCCACTAGCCAAGCAGTACCTCAAGGAGCCCATCACCGAAGAAAATCCACCTTTAGCGACAGGCTAACTAAGCATAAAAATTGTAAAAGGTTTGACAGTTTAACTATTAATTCTATAATCGCTGATTTAGAAGAAGACAAGCAATCCCCACTAAACTCTGAAATACCTGTAATGACTCCTACTTCATACTCCCAAGACAATTTTTGCGGCCTCTTTGTATGCTCTGATGTCACTTTTCTATATAAAATTGGCAAAATTTCAGCTAATCATAAATTGTTTATAGAAGATGGGCTATGTGCACTGGATGATTTTATTGAGTTTTTAAAATATGAGACACAAGAAGACTATAAAGATAGAATGACTGTAAAGGCACATTTTTGGAAGTCTTTGCTAATGATGGAAACCTTAAAAAGTGATGAAGGGCTTAAGCTACTCCAAGAAATTACACCTGATTTGTACAGATTAAAATTAAAAAAAGAAATCGCCAAGTCTGAGATGCTACATTATTTAGAAGAGGAAAGCGATTCTTAGTATAAATTTATATAAAATTGTGTGTCATTATCACAATAACTTTACTTATCATTGATTGCCTTTAAGCTTGTCTAAGAATTTCATCGCTTTCATTAAACGCATCTTTATGTAGATATCTATTAATCGTGAGTCTATTGTTTTCTTTTTCAATCATTTTAATAATTGCTTTTCGAGAGTGTTTCTTCGCGTAGCTCAGCACAGTTAAACCACAATTATCAACGCAATTTAAATCAGCACCAAATTGTATCAGCAATGTAAATGCTTTATCATTTCCTGCTTTTATAGTTTTATAAATTGACGATTTGCCAGATTTGTCTTTTTTATTTACATTTGCATTGTTTTTGCATAAGATTTGGATAATATCATTGTAGCCTTTAGAAACTGCATAAAATAAAGCTGTTTTTCCTCTCGAATTTTCAATGTCAACATCAAATCCACAGCTTAAAATCTTTTTTATTATTTCAGGCTGACAACGAATGGCAGCAGTTATTATGAGTGGGTTCTGTTTTATCTTGGCATCAAGAGTTATATTGTCTAAATCTTCAAGTTTTGCTGTAAAGAGACTTTTAATAAATAAGCTATTTTCAGATTTCATCTGCTCCTCCAGTATTTTTGATTCTTTAAATTGAATTTTGTTGTATGTTAAAGCATCAATTAATTGAAATATTTTGGGATCTTTATCTTTGAATTTAATGTAATATTGAGTGGCTTCGTAAAGCATTGAATTTGGAATATAATAAACTCTTGATGGGTTTGAAGATAAACCATCAATAATTTCAGAGACTTCAAATAATAATCATCCATTGCAATGAAACAATGGGAAGTTTTTATCAAAAAGAAATCAAAATAGCTTCATTTTTCTATAAATTGCTGCCTCATGCAAGAAGCTGCAGTAATTATAGGAATGCAATGATGATAAATAGCAGCGATGCAACCATTTATTTAATCCATTGCCAATTAAAAGTTCAAAAATTTCTATTAAAAAATCCTCATCAAGCTTGCTAATAAAATTATCATTTTCTTGATAGATTTCAGGAAAAATGTTTACATCAATTTCATTGGTAAATCAGGATTTAATGGATTCTAAATCAGTGTGTGAGCTTGGTAAAGAATTTAGCTTAGCTCAAAGATTTTCTTTGTCGCCTTCATTTGCTTCATTATTGAGATATATTTTCTTTATTTTTGAATTTTCTATCATACCTTTCAGTTTGAGTTTATATCTATCTAATTTATATATAGAGCATATATTTATGAAATATATATATTAAAATTAAATATCAATTGTATTTAATCAATTCTATAATTATAAGCTATCCAGATCATCTTTATTCTTAATTTTTAAATTTGCACATGAACTAGTATCAAGAATTTCTAGATTCTTGAAGTTTAATATAATAGAATATAGTGCATCTTTATTCAAAGTGGTCCCTCCTAAGTAGAGCTTTTTAATCTTAGGGAAAAATTCATTTAAATGCTTGAAATCAATAATATTTTTCTTATAATTTGTAAGTTTCAACTCTTCCAATGGAAATTCAGCAATAACCTGCTTTTTTACAAGTTTTTCGTAGTCTAAATATCTTAAAAGTTCTTTTATATCAAATAAAGAATTTGTCAAGTTAAGCTTCAGAAGAAACTGTTGAGAGAATATAATTTTGACTAATAATTTTTCATTAATTTTTATGTTTCGTAGATCAAGAGATATCATTTTTCAGTTTTTTATCAGAAATTTATGCTCAATAATATTTTCTATGTGCGTTCGAGGATCTCAAGGCTTAATCATTTTATAACTCCCCCCCCTCCGTGAGTGAACAAAAAAAATTTTGTTCACTCACGGAGGAGGGTTAATTTTTTTTTTTTTTAAAAAATTTCTATATAAATTTTATAAACATTTTTTTTTTCGAAATTTAAAAAAATCCTAATTCGCAAAAATTGGAAAGCAAATATTAATTTAATTTACAAAATTTATGTTTTAAAAAGCAATTCGTTTAAAATTAAACAGAATTAGCTCTAGATTTCATTATACTAATTATCATTTATATATCTAAATTTTTTTCCATAAAAAATTTTTCTATTAAAAAAATTTTTGTTCATTCACGGAGGGTGGGTTTTTGGGCAAAAAATGGCGATTTTTCTAATGGTTTTGTTCACTCACGGAGGGGGGGAGTAAGGAAAATTCTGAAAAGAAACTTCATGATTGAATTTTGATATTGCCTGATATCATCTCTTACATACTAAAGAGAGAAGCAGAGTTTCATAAAATGATTCAGCATAGCTTGATATGATTTCTAAGACTGGTCTCGGGATTTTTTCCATAATTTCTATAAACCATATAAAAACGCAAAAAGACTATATAAGTTTTGATCTATTTTATTAGGAATTGAAATGCTTTTTAAGTGTGAATTATTTGTGGAATAGGGTCTGCAATGTCTGGCAACTCCATAGCAGGGTCTTTTAATCCTAATAGCACCACTGTATCTCCTCTAATTATCATAATTTGGCAATCAATTTCATCTCTTGGGCAATCTTGATTCCACGATATCAATTTGCATTGGCTTACAATCAGATTCACAGCTTGATCAAAACCTTTCAATATTCCTTGATATTGCCTTCCATCTGTTGAAATCACATAAATTTCCCTTTCCACGAACTGATCTAAAGTGCTAACCATTTATGAATAAATAATTTAAACTAGTAATCTTAATTCTTCAGTTCGCTGCGGAGAATCTACATATAAAGCTTTTACTAATTGCCTTATTTCATATAACGTGAACTTATCTTTAAATTTGTGATCTTTATGCATTTGGACTATCCCTTTTAATTCGCTATCAAAAATCTCAATTAAAAGTTCAAGCTTATCTCAACTTGGCGTAAACCGACCTGGAGTAGAATTGGTGAAAAGCTCAGAGCATTCAGAAATTTTATCCATTAAATGTTTCAGCATTGGGGTGTCCTCCGGATAAATGTCTTCTAGCTTGATTATTAAGGAGATTATATGAGATATTAAAGAATCGAGGATCGTTCCAATTATAGTATGCAAATCTAGTCATGGCAAAATACCATCACAGGAGTTTTTTATAGTGGTCAGCAAGTTTATAGCAGTATCTAGAGACCTCTCTATTTCTGGGCCCTTAGTATCAATCATTGTTAAATTTATATATTGGACAGATTCTATTACCTTTTTCTTTCATTGGTCAACTATTGAAGAATAAGCTGTTTTTCCATCTTTTCTAAGTATCTCGATGAGGTCATCTAGATACAAAATATATTTTAAATTATTAGGGAGATTTGGGGTATAGTCTGAGTCTATTAAATGGATTTGATCGATCATATGCTCGCAGTCATTATATAAAAGGGATAAAGATAAAAGAGATTTATCGTGAATATTTGCTGAATAAGGCCTCAAAGCCTGAAAAAGTTGCAAGCATTGCTTGGCCAGCTTTATTTTATGAAGTGCTAGAGGGGTTGTTTTCTGGCTGTTTGCATTGTCTAATAATGAAAATATAATATCAATGATCTTTTGGGTGTTTTCTGAAATGCATTTTGTTCCTGTACCTTTAACTATAGATGTATCAATTATGCCAACTGTATTTCGATCCATAGGGCTTAATAGCAACTCTTTAACTTGTGATATAGCCGTTCCCGGCTATAGATCGGCTTTAACCCGATCTTTGCCGCGAAACTCGGGGGGTTGTCTCCGTCACTTTGAAGTGACGAGTCAACTCCCCGAGTTGGCAAATCACCATATATAGAGGCTGCCTTTGAGTAGCGCTCTAAGCGCATGAGACTTCCCGACGAAGTCTGGGCGGTGGTTTGACCAGCTGATGTTGGTCAAACCAACATCCAAAATGACAAATTCTTCTCATACAGAAGGTTTGTCAAATTGGATGCTGGTTTGACCAACATCAGCTGGTCAAACCACCGCCCAGACTTCGTCAGGAAGTCTCGGGCGCTTAGAGCGCTACTCAAAGGCAGCCTCTATAGCAGTTATTTGCCGCGAAACTCGGGGAGTTGACTCGTCACCTCAAAGTGACGGAGACAACCCCCGAGTTTCGCGGCGAAGATTGGGTTAAGCCCGATCTATAGCCGGGAAAGGGCTATAGCACATTAAATTGTTCTTGCAAAATATGGAATTCTTCACAATTTTCTATTATATGTGAAAGATTTCTATAATTGTTTGGGATAAATCCTTTAAGGCTAAGTTGATTTTCAAAATTTCAAAGTTTATGGTATGTGTAGTGATAGTTTTCAATTGAAAAAACGCATTTAGCCGAAATATTCTTTATATAAGCGATAAAAGGTTCAAGAAAATTCTTGAAATTAAATTTAGAAAAATACTTTTGATTTGAGCTAAATACTTTGCAGAATAATGCATTGATTATTTTCATAAGATTTTGCAAAATTTCATCAATAGAATGCTCTATTCCTAAATTTTCCAGTTTTAATATATAGGACTCGTCTTCAAAAGCCTCTGTGACGTTGATAAATTGAATATTTTTCATAATTAATTCTAAATTTTCATCAAGTTTTTTATATATGCTTTCAATCATTCCTGCTTCATTGACAAGTTCTAAAAAATGTTCAATAGTAAGCTTGCGAGGCTTTATAAGGTATTGCTTAATTATGATTTCAGACTGAGAAATTTCTAAAAATTTCATTCAAGTTAAGCTTACATTTTCTGAAATTTCTATTTCAGTCTTGTCATATTTTCTTCTTAAATTATTTATCAGTTTTGATTCAATCTGATTATAGTTTTTCATTTTTTGTCTTATTTCAAAGAATTTGAGCAGTGAGTTTTCTAAATCTGTTTTTGCTATTGCATCACTTTCGCAAATTAATTTGTCAAGATTTATAATTTCAAGTGAGTGCTTTAGCATTTCTTTTTTTTCATCTAATTGAATATTTATTATATCAATATCAGATAAGGTTAACCCATATTCCACAATTTTCCCAACTAAATTCACCATTTCTTCATCAATTCCTTTAAAAACTTCTCCAGCTTCCTCAAATAAATTATTTATCTTTTCCTTCCTAAATTCTATTTCAGCATTTGTTTCTTCGATCAGATTCCCCAACGTCGACTCTGCCATAATTCCTTTTATTAATCTTTACAATGGCAGATGATAGCTCTGATGAAGAAATAAAGGTAAGGATAGGAGATATCCCTCTATCTTATTACGAAGATCTTCCTATCATTGGCTATGGAATCGATGGTAAAGCTGTAGCCAAAGTCGTGGAAGGCGACGCCCTTGAAAAACATATTGCTAAATCAGATGACCCCGAATGGTGAAGAACTTTGACAGACCATCTCAATGCGAAAAAAGTAAAAATCACTGATGAGATGCTAGAAGTCATAAGAAAAATCCGCCAACGAAAATCATTTGGTAGCGACTTTGATCCATATAGAGATCTGGAGCCTGAAGCTAAGCCTCAGATTTCTGGATTTGGAACTGATGTCATGCCCCCTAAAAGAAGATTTGTTCCATCAAAATGGGAAAGAATCAAGATTGGTAGGCTTGCACGAGCCATTGAAAAAGGCTGGCTTAAGCCAAAGTTAGAAAAAAAAGAAGAAGTCTTTGATATTTGGGCTGATGAAGATCAAGAAGAAAAGCCAGCCCCACCCAAGTGGAATTTGCCTGGGAATGCTGAAAGCTATAACCCACCTGATGAATATTTGCTTAACGAAGAAGAAGCAAAAGAATGGGAAGAAAAGGAGCCGATGAATAGAGAAAGCGAGTATATGCCGAAAAAATACCCTAATTTGAGGAGGGTTCCAGCTTATGAAAATATTATGAAGGAAAGGTTTGAAAGGTGCTTGGATTTGTTCTTGGCACCGAGAGTAACTCGGCCGAAAATAAATCTTGACCCTGATTCTTTGATACCAGATCTTCCTGACCCAGAAACGTTTAGGCCTTTTCCTGAAATTTTACAAATGAAGTTTGTTGGGCACGAACACAGTATTACTCATATGGATTTTCTAGCAAATGGGGAATACATAGCTTCTGGGGACTCTTCAGGAGAAGTTAAAATATGGGAATCACAGACAGGAAAATGCTTACTCTCCCCTCCGTGAGTGAACAAAACCATTAGAAAAATCGCCAATTTTTGCCCAAAAACCCACCCTTCGTGAGTGAACAAAAAATTTTTTAATAGAAAATTTTTTTATAGAAAAAAATTTAGATATATAAATGATAATTAGTATAATGAAATCTAGAGCTAATTCTGTTCAATTTTAAACGAATTGCTTTTTAAAACATAAATTTTGTAAATTAAATTAATATTTGCTTTCCAATTTTTGCGAATTAGGATTTTTTTTAATTTCGAAAAAAAAATTTTTTTTAAAAAAAAAAAAAATTAACCCCCTCCGTGAGTGAACAAAATTTTTTTGTTCACTCACGGAGGGGGGGAGTTAGAGAGCCTTAAATTTAAGAAAAGAATTTATTGGCTTGCCTGGAACCCTATCAAGCCCCTATTAGCAATTTGCTGTGGAAAAAATGTTTATTTAAAATCCTTCGAATGCTCCGACAAAGTAAGCATCGACTATGCAGAAGCCCCTGAAAACCAACTTGCTACCTGGGAATGGAAAGACGACGAAGTTAAAATAAAAATGAGAAAAGGTGTCAGAAAAGTAATCTGGCATGGCAAAGGAGACTATTTTGCAACCTTATGCAAGCGAGAATCCACAAGCAAAAAAGTTGCTGCCCATAGCTTAAGCAGATTTCAAACACAAAAAATTTTTTCAAAACAAAGTAAAGGCGATGTAAAATCGATTGCCTTTCACACCAAAAAGCCACTATTTTTCGTAGCAACAGAAAAAAATATAATGGTTTATAACTTAAAACAAGGAGTTTTAGTGAAAAAATTCAAAGGCTTAGAAAACCCAACTCATATTGCAATTCATCCTTCAGGTGATCACATTCTTGCTGCTTGCGAAGACTGTAAATTGTTGTGGTATGACTATGACTTGTCTTCAACTCCTTATAAAACTTTCCTTTATCATAAGAGAGAATTGACTTATACACATACTCATAAAAGATATCCGCTTGTTGCTACATGCTCTTTGGATAGCACTATACACATTTTCCATGCCCAAGTTTATCAAGATTATATGCAAAACCCAAGCATTATTCCGCTGAAAATTATAAAAACTGATGGAGAGCCAATACAGTGTTTATTCCATCCGAAGCAGCCGTGGATTGCAGCGGTAATTGGAAAAGAGATAAGCTTATTTATTTAGATAATATAGATAAGATTCAATTAATTTGGAATTAATGTTAATTATCTTCTATTATTTTTTTACAGTAATAACTGTGTTAATCTACTTGCTACTTTTCTGAAGCGAATTTTTAGTCAAATAATTCGTTTAGCTGATTATTTTAAAAATAAGATAAATCTTATAACTTTACAAAACTATGGCAGGATAATGATTTAAAATATGTCGAACAAATATTTTCCCTCTATATATTCTCCAAATACAAATTTGAAGCCTTTAAACAACATAGCAGTGCAATCCCGGCATCCACAACCCTCTAAACTATCAATTCTTCCAAAAACTAGATCTTTATTACGTGCTGAATCAAGTTTCAGTCTCAATCTTTCTCCTTTAAGGTCCAAAAACTCTTCAAACGATCTAAGTTTATCATTTAGTAGGGAAAATTCTCAAAATCCAAACGATTTAAAATCATTTATAAAGCCTTCAGACTATCCTGTATTTAAAATAGAAAGGCCTTATGGCCGAACTAACAGCTGGAGAAGCAAACTATTTGATGCACATGAATTTGATTATCAGTCAAAATATTGCTTATATAAGAAGAGTTTCTTGAATAAAAAATCAGTTTTTTCATTAATGAAAAAACTTGAACCAAAACCAATTAATTTTGTCTATGAAACTCCATGTGTTGTAAGATCTGTAAGTACAAAGAAAAGAGGGATTAAGGAACATAATTTTAAGGATGCAAATAGAAAATGGGACTTATTTAGTGGAAGACCTATGATAATAGGGTCAATGATTAAGAGAAATGGCCCTGCAAGGGTTAAAATCGAGAGAAAAAGAATATTGCCAAGAACTTCAAGCAATGTAAATACATCAACTGAAGAAACTTTTTGTTCATTTTAGATTAAAATTTAAAGTCCAACCAAAGATACTTTATCCACACAAATAAATAAAATCAATTGTTATTTAAACCATCTAATTTGTGAATTAATATTTTATTAGCATTTGTGTTTGGTAAAAGATAATTTCAGTAATTATAATAATTATGGAGACTGAAGAAGATGAAATCAGAACAAGGCTTCCAGAAATACACTCTATCATTGCTGCCTCATCTGACAACATAAATTGGTCAGAAATCCATGACGATTTTGAACATCTCAACTGGCTTAATTTTGATATGGCAAAGGCAATGACAATACTAGAAAGTGCTTTAGACATAATCGATTTAGTTTCTCTACTAGACTCAAACGAAACCTCTCGTTATAACGTACTCCAGCATAATCGCGTAATCTTATTTTTAAACAGACTTGTATTTGAACTAACAAATGACAAAAAATCATTGAAATTGCTGTGTGCCCATCTCAAAAAGAAAATAAGCTCATTTATTTTCTTTAAAAGCGGAAAAAATGCTCTATATCACATAGAAGATGAAGACCTTGTTCCGTTTTTTAAATCACTTCACGAATCTTTCCAAAGCATGAAAGAAACGCTGCTTAACATTTTTTCTCATCTCGACAGTATATTCAAACAAGAAACTTATAAGTCTCTTGATTCTTATTTAACAGAAGAATTCAATACAGACATCATTCTTAATAGAAACTCGACCTTGAGACAAATTCCAGAAATAAAAAAAATTATCAGTGAAAAATATGACAAACCCTATTCGCATTCATCAGGCATCAGAACTAATGGAGGAATGTGGAGCGGAGGAGGCATGGGTTCTTATTATTCATCTAATAGAGAAAATGATTATTTTGGGGAACTAGATGTGCATGGAAATCGCCAGGGTTATGGAAAAATCACATTTTTCAATGGAGATAAATATGATGGCTATTGAAAAGATGATAACATGCACGGCATTGGAATCTATTTTTGGAAAGAAGGAGGCAGATATGAAGGAGAATTCCACGATGGAAAAATGCAAGGGCACGGGAAAAGAATATATCCTTCAGGAATCAAGAGAAAATAGATATTTGTTATAATTTTTTTTTTTATATTTTAAAATAAAAAAAAAAAAAAAAAACTTCAGGAAATATTTACGAAGGAGATCTAGTTAATAATAAAAAAGAAGGCAAGGGAAGCATGAAGTTTAAGAATGGCGACCAGTATGAAGGAGACTGAAAAGATGATGACATGCATGGAGAAGGAATATATAGCTGGAGTACAGGAGATGTATATCGAGGAAGATTCCAAGGAGACAGAAGAGAAGGAAAAGGGACACTAACCCTTGCAAGTGGAGAAGTATATGAAGCTGAATGGAGAGATGATAAAATGATGGGAAGGACTAATATAATTTAATGAATTAGTGAATACCTGCGCGAAGTCTTGCTTCTGCTTGAAGGAGGTCTATTTCTGCATTTTTTTCTATCAATCTTGAAGCATCTGCATTAGAAATTATGCCAGCTCTTGCAGCATCGTTAAGGTCATTTATATCACGAATTTTTATCATCATGGAATCCAGCCAAAAGACTCTTGAAACTCCTGGGTTTTTTAAACAACCTTCAAGATTTCCGTATTGTTTTCTGTAAAGATTGACAGGATCTATTGGGGGTAATTCTCTTAATATTTTTGATACTTCCGAGATGGAAAGCTGCATTCTATATTGGCAATGGTTGCAAAAACAGTTCACCAAGAATGCAATAAAAGCTCTGTCTGAAGATGATCCTTCCATTTTTATAATTTGGGCTTATAATTTGTGCAAATGAATTTAAGGTCATGAAAAGTGTCTTATATCTTAAATCTATTTAAGTATTAGACCAATTATCTATAGAGGAGCTATCATTCAAAGAGTAGCTTAAATACTTTGATAAATATTTAGATGCCATCATGGTGATTTAAGATTTATCATTTTAATTCTGCATAAACTATGCTCTTTTTCTTAGATTTGAAATTCCGAAATTTGAAAAATAATTTCACTATGTCTCAAATTATTTTATTTGAGTTTTAAAATTTATTCAGCTCGCTTCTATATTTCCATCCAAAACTCATTATTTTATAAATATGCAGGCCTTAAGTGCACCTTATCAATGCAAAGCTTGTCATGTTAGCATCAGTTCTGAAGAATTCTTGATACATTGGGAGCCAAAATACGTATTCTCTGTCGTGTAAACTTTACTTAGTTCAAATGCAAAAATCGAAGCTGATAATAATGTTTCTTGCTCAGGTTGTGGAAAGTATCTAGGACACAAAGAGGTAAATTTTTAAATCAGGGGTTTGCAATGGCACTTGGAGCCTAGTTCATTAAATTTGAAAAGTGTCGCCAAAGCAGAAGTCAACTTATTTTCTCTTAAGCAGCAAGATATGGCAGATATATACCAGGATGCAGTTTAGATGATCTTGGTTTGGGAGAATGCAAGGCACTCCCGAATGGTAAGCTGACGAATCAACTCGGGGATTTGAGAAATAAGTCTGATGCGAGGCATTTCTTAACTCCCTAAGCTTGAGCTGGAGAACCAACTTCGAGAATTAGGTTGAATTATTTCAGCCCAGGATTATCTAAATAGGCTCCTGGGCTACATCAGTATGAAGATCACTAGACTTCTTGAAAATACTAAAATAGAGGTCAAGCAAAATTTGCTGCTGAAGAGCCAATTAAGAGGTTTTCAATACAGTTCAGAAACAGATTTGGTCTTACTCCATCATCGCTCTGAAGGTAGGCTGCTTTTAACAGATCGAAATGGCTTCTATAATGATTTTTTGGCAAGTGTGTATAGATTCATGGAAGGAAGAGTGCTAGTTTTAATAACGAATATTGAAGAAAGTCCACCTGAAGGAGCTTTAGTTTCTTCAGAAATATATGAATTATCTAAATTTGGAGACCAGCCAACTATAGCCGAGCCTTGTTATGGCTTAGGCTGCGCTGATGACTCCCGATGTCACCCAAGGGACAGGCAAATCAACATTTATTGGTAAACCAATTCCTGGAAGGTAAATCCGCCTAATATTGAAGATTTGCCGCTTAGGGAGTTAGTTTTACCATTTTCAACTCCTGGGTGGAGCGCCAAAGCCCGAGCCATAGCAAGACTCAGGGCATATAGGAATTTTAGGCGAGATGGGAAAGGTAGTGTGCTGGAAAAGCTCGCCTTCAGAGTATCAACTTAATCATATAAGAGAAAGTATTATGAGATCAGCCTTTTATAGAGAACCTGCTAATTATGCAAGATTGCCAGAAGCTTATCATCCTTCAGCTTCAAATAAGTTTAAGTGTTCATTACTATAATAAAACTCTAATCTCCTTTGAAATAAAATTGGAAAAAATAAAGCTTGCTTTATAATTAATAAAGACGTATTATGGAATTTTATGAGGATAATATGATAATGGTGATTGGAGAGAAATTTAATTTAAGTCTCGTATGGGATAATATTATTGAAAATTAAGAAATAAAGAGGCCAGGCTAAAATAATATAATTAATTCTAAAATAGAATTTAAAATAATTTCCTTTCTAACTTGTCGGTATTTCAAATTTCAATCAATTAATTTGGCATGGCAATTTTTTTAGTCAATATTCTGGATTAAAATAAGTTAATATTTCTGATGATCTAATTGTTGCACTTATTTTTGTAGCAAGAAGAGATCAATTATTACAATTGGCATTCAAAATATTAAATATTTGGCGTTAATGCAATATTATTTCACATTTATCATAATCTTTAAACCAATTTCAAATCCACAGTCTTTAGGTGAAACTCTATGATGATTATTTTAAACAAATTAATTTGCATTTCCCATCTAGCTTTATACCATGAAAATATGCTTATTTATATCTTCTTTATTACTAATTTCAAGCAATCAATAAATTCTATAATCTTTAATTAACCGGTTTTTCTGAAGCAAATAAACTTATATCTCATTAAATTTAAATATAGTTTTTTTTTTTAGAATTTGTAACAGACTAATTGCTTTCCTTTTATTTTCTATATCGCCTAAATTTGCTTCTAATCTTGCAAAAAGGCCTTTTTACCTATTTCGATTTAAATATCACTTTTCGACTATAAATAAATGAATTGCTTTATAGTTTGCATCAAAGCAATTAAAAAGAAGTCAACGAAGCAAATTCTGCCGAAACCTGAAGAAACGTCTAATTCTCCAAGTTCACAGACACCAAATAATAGAGATCACTCGAGATCTCTAAGCTTAATCTCGATTCTTTCAGACTCAAGCAAACTCCCCGATGACAGCGTTGATTTAAGCAGTAATGTCCCTTATGTCCAAAGAAAAAGACCTAAGGTTTATAATTTAAGAAATAATTCAATCACAGTTCGACACACAAAAACAAATGAAGTTGTTTCTAGCCAAAAAACCAGGTTTATCAGAATTCTTAAAAATTGTCCATCGCCTCAACCAACTGCTCAAGTGAAAAATTAATGTATTTTAAATTAATATAATTGAATTTCAAAAAAGCAGAAAATTTTAGTTATTTGAGATTTTCCTAGTTCTGTAGCTTTATGGTTATTCGCTTTTTTCAATTTTACAAAACAAATAAATGGTGTCAGGTTTTTAATCTTTCAACTGATTGGGTTTTGCCATTATTTTATCTTAATTTCTCCAAATATCTCAACAATTTAATAAGGTACAATAAACTTGAAAGCTAGGTTCTTTGATGAATCTAAATTTAATAATTTAATTTTTTTCAATGAATTTTTTGTAGTATTTAGTCTAAAATATTTAGAAAATATTTAAAAATCTAGATTAATAGTTCGAAGTAATATGGACTTGCAAGTAAATTATAAAATAACTCAAAAGAATTAATCAGATATACAGGTTTTATATAATTTTATTAGTCAAATTGCTCATTTACAATATTTATTTATTTATTTTATATTGTTATCGTCGTCATATGAAAGATCTCTAAAATTGGATTCTAATTTTTCTCCTGCGTTATACTAACTTTAATCATTACCTAAACAACATAAATATTTTATTTTATATGAATATTTTTAAATCTAACACTATGATGCTTTTTACTAAACAGCTATAAGGATAGCTTGATGATAGAACTTTATTCATTATTTTTAAATCTCATTGACACTAGTATTTGATATTTCAATTATCATTTTTATTAATAATAACTAATATTTAAACAAAAAAGCTTTAGAAAGCATTAGTGGATCATATTATGAAATTTTAATTGATTTTTACATAATAAGTGAACTTGTCGATTATCTAATTATAATCAACAAGAAACATCTAAAAGGCATAACTGCATAAGTAAATATAAATGTCTTTTTAATTAAAAATTATAAATGAATGCTGTTCCCAGTAAAGAAATTTTACTACGAAAAAATGAAAATTCTCTGAGCCCAAACAAGCTGATTATTTTATCTCCCAAAGACCAAAAACCTCAACGAGTTAAAGTAAAAATTACAACTTATTACGCTCATAGAGATAGATTAAAATCCGATAAAATAATGTCATTAAATTCTAGTCCAAAATCATCTCAAGACAAATCAACTGGATTTTATAAATTATACAACAGCAATGAATCAACTCCTAAAGCAGCTGAAAAACCTTTTAAATTTCCAAATTTGCCTATCTCACTGTCGAATAAAGTTATAAAAAAGCATAAAAATTTTTTGTTCCAAAATGACGACAATATGCTTGCTAGAGGTGTAAGTTTAAAAATTCTCCCAATCATAGTGTCTCCTTTAAAGCCAAGAGTGGTTAAAAACGAAATTAACGATAGAAGTTTAGGAAATTCACCAAATAAAAGATGAATTTATTCAAATTTTTCTTCTGCAAGTTCTATTAAAAGGGCTGCAAAATTGCAATCAGGGTAATTTAAGAGTCTTGTATAGAATAATATAAGCTGCATAACTAAGTTAATTATAATAATATATGATGGAAATAAAAGAAAATCCTATTGAATAGTTAATGTTAATTATTTGACCCTTCTAAGCTTTAGAAATGATTTTTCTACTCTTGATATCATTTTTGCTATTAAACTGTATTTTTAATAAATTTATGATGAATTAATTTATGTTGTAGCAAATAAATAAATTATCTTTATGGCTAAGGGAAAATTGCAAAAAAAGCTTATGTGCAAGACTCTTGGCCCAATGATATTAGGAATGATTTGCACTGTCTTTATTTCATATATTCCTTTTTATTTCCAGTACCCTTCTTGGATAGATTCTATTACAGACAAAATGTTAAATGATCAACAAAAAACTTTGCTTCAATTAACTAACAACTTAGCCTCATCCACAGGGTGATCTTTACAATATCCTGTAAATTTTGTTCTTTTAATGAAAACTCTTATAGAAGAATACTACGGTGGAACCTTAAAAGTAAAATCAGATTTCAATTCTGCGAATAATTATGTTAATGCTAGATCATTTGCTTTTGGAGAAGTAGAAGGGTTTGACAATAAAAGTATTTATTATGATTATTCTATGTGATATCTAGGCCCGCATCTTTTAGAAACTAGTGAGCTCAACTCAGCGCAGCTTCTTGAGCTTAATACTTCAGGGGTTTTCGACTCGTTTTTGAAACCAATTGCCTTGCTCAAGGCAAATTATTCAGGAATTTTAGATGTGTCGTATATTGCTTGGGATCAGGAAGGCTTATTTTACATGCAGCCACTTGGGTGAGAAACATATTATGTGGATTTTGAGCAAAAAAATTGCTCCTATATAAATGAAACTGAATCCTACTATGATCCAAGGTGTAGATTTTGATACAAGGCTCTTAAGAATAGCACAAATCAGAATTTAGCTGTTATTAATAAGCCTTACGTGTTCGCAAGTGGAGCTTTGGGACAAACTGTATGTGCAGGCTACTACCCAAATAAAGAACTTGAAATTGCTGGCTGTATCGATTATTTACTAGAAAATATAAAAAAAATCCTGGAGGTTGTAAACATCCCAGGCTCAAAATACGCATTTGCAGTAACTACTGACGCTGTCCCATTTATTCACCCTAAACTCAACACAAATGCTTCTGAATTGCCGTCTATCCAAGAACTTGAATTTGGTGCAGATAATCTTGATTCTTCTGAGTGCGGAAAATTCAACGATACTATTTTTATAGATTTGCAAGGAGATAGAGCTTTAACCTCAACTTATGACGTTCAGCAGAAAAAATATTTAATCGCTATTTCACCAATTAATTTAACGATGGGGATGGATGGGACTATTGAAAGGATTGGAAGTATTGGCATTCGGCTTGCTGAAGAGTATATGACAGCAAATTTTAATGATCTGAAGGACTCGTTGAAAAATATTATTTATATTGAAGGAATTGTGCTCATTTTTGTGCTCACAGGGATTTTGATTATGTGCTGGCTGCTGACACGATGAGTTACTGAACAGATCGTGAGGCCGATGGACGATTTATTGGAAATCCTTGATAGGATGATGAATGGAGATTTAGATGTAGACATCGAAGATCATTATCAAGTTTGCTCACAGGAACTGACCAGCTTGTACTCAGTTTTTGGAAAGCTGAAAGTGGTTTTGAGGTTTAGAGAAAAGGTGTATTTTTCTGAAGAGTCTAGAGCAGTCATGAACTATGCTCAAGCTTTAGCTTTATTTAACGAATTTCGGAATATAAAAGGTGCTGGAATCTGCTATAATAACCTTGGAACAATACACTTCAAAAACAAAAGATATTACCAAGCTGCTGAGTGTTTTGCCAAAGCTTTAGAATGCGCAGAAATGCTCAACCAAAGCAATGAATTGATAATAAAAAGAAAGCATCTTCTAGCCAAAGCATTACTGCATACAAAGAATAATGATAGAAGAGCCGTAAATTTATTGCTGGATATAGCAGACAGCTATAAAACTGACACAGACGATTACTCCAAGCTTGTGTCTTGTCTATTAGAAGTAGCAGAAGTTTTAATCAAAAATTGGGGAGAAGGTAGACATCAGCTTATAGAAGCTGAAGGTATTTTAGATCGAGAAGGGACGTTTTCGACTCCCAAAAATATATTATATGAAAGACTGCTGTACTGCAAAGGCTTATTGCTTGTGAAGCAAAAAAAGCTAAAAGATGCGTGCAAGACTTTCACAGAAGCATTAGAAATCAATGCAGATTATGACCCTGATGTTAGGAAAAGCTGCCTAGAAGAGCTGCTAAAAATTTTCAAAGAGCACAATCAGCCGACTTTTCAAATAGAAGAGCTTCTTGAAGACTTTGAAGACCCTCCAAAAGATATAGTGTTTGTCTTGGATTACAGTCTTTCAATGAATGGTAGCCGAATCCAAAAAGCGCTAAACAGCATTATCAATGTGATTGATGAGCACGTTAGACCAATTGATAAAATCGGGTTCATTATTTTTAACAAACAATGTGAAGTTGTATTTAATCTCACCCATAGAGGAAATGATCCTTCTCACTTAAAATCTCAAATCATGAGATGAGACAGTCCGAAAGGTGGCACTGCATTTTATGATGCAATTATGTTGGCTTTGGAAGAATTCCAAGCTTATAGGACACAAAGCCTGTCAATTCTACCATTCGAAGATGTATGCAAAAAAGTATCAAAGAGGCTACAATGGATCGTAGCACTAACAGATGGAGAAGATAATGCAAGCAAAACGCCTTATTTAAAGCTAAAGAAAAAGCTGAGAAAATCTAAAGCAAATTTGGTAACTATTGGCCTAAATTTAAGCAGAACTGTGATGCCAATTATTGCGAACTTGTGCGAAGCCACTGCAAAAGGAATTTTTATTGAAAGCGCATCACTGGCAGATTTAGACTTAGCGTTTAAAACGTTGATTTCTTTGGTGGCTTGCAATATGCAAACAATAGAAAGTCTGGATTAAATGTAATTATATAAATTATGATCTGAGCCATTGCGCTATATAAGCTTTTATATAAGTCCTGGCTCGAGTTAATGAGGCTGGGTCTGTGGAGTTAGGAGTTTTAAAATCTATGCAGTGCCCACAGAAATCGCATTCAATTTTGAGGATAGGCCTCGCCTCAGTGCTTACTGCATTGTTACTGGCCCATTGCCATGGATCTTCACTTCCATTTGTATATACAATATTATTAGCTTTATAGCTTAGCCCAGCTGCAGTAATATTGGTGTTTGGCAGTGTTATCCCTCCTGGATACGAATAAATTTGTTGGCAATACCAGTTCCAAAACGTCATATTTAAATAAGAAGGCCTCATTTGATACTCTGAAGGAGTCTGAAGTCACCCGAATTGCTGGCATTGCTGCCACCACCATTGTCGATCCATTACATTTTGCGCAATGTTTAAATTCTTTAGTGCAGAAACTGCATAAGCATTAGGATTAGCTAGTCCATAAGTGTTTCCCACAATAGAAACTTGTTTTAGCTTGTCCCATGGACTTGAAGCTGAATTCAACGCCTGGCATAGCTCCACTCTTTTTCCATACTGAACCATTTCTGCCATAGTATCTGCAATATACCAAAGTACTGTGATTTGGTCAGGATCATTACTAAAAACACTTGTCGCATTAAAAAGATCAGTAATAACTGTCATATTTCCAGCAATATATTGAGATTGGATCAAGTTATTGACTGATTTTATAGAATCCACACAGTTTTGGCCGCTTTTTGCAGTAGATATATAAACTTGTTTATCAAAGTCTGAAAAATCCAATATTGGCCTTACAACTGCTGAGGATGCCCAAGCTGCTGTTGCTAAATTTGGGTACCTGGTGCGGAACCATGCACTTAATGCACCTGCATAACTCCCCCCTATAACCACCCATTTGGGAGGGATGGTGGTTTTCCTTATTTCTTGCATTTGAAAATTCATGTACCTGATAAACTGAGCGATATCAGCTAAAGCTTGGTCTACATCGTGGTATTGGAAAATTTGTTGAAATAATCCAGTGTTGTTTATAGGGATTGATACTCCATAATAACGATGCTCAAGTGATATATATCTTGCGGCATTTTCTTTAGCCACCTGCAATGGGAATAAAGACTTAGTTGTAGAGGTTACACCTTTGCATTCGGACTCTCCACACAAATATATATCTAATTATGTCATAGAGCCATCCGAAGCATTATAGCGCTTATCTTAAAATTAACTAAGGAAATCGATAAACTAATATTTTCTAGGAGCAAAAAGGTATATAAAAATATCGGTCCACTAGCCACATTCCAATAATCATCTATCACATAGTATCTTTGTGAGAAAACTCCAGCTTCTTGTACAGGAATATGGAAGTGATCTATAGTCTGATTATAATAAAACACCTTTTGAGTGAAATTTTGAGCGCCCACAAGACCAAGGATCACACAAAATAAAGGCACCATTATAACAAAATGGAATTTTACCCAAACTTATTAGTCAGGATCCTCAGTTTGCAAGATGTAAAAGCTGTAGAAAAAGAAAAATGCTATATTGTCTTAAAGCTGGGCGCACAAACTTTTTACTCAGGAACTTTTCAGATGAAAGAATATACAGAAATCAACCAAAACTTCGGTAACTTATATGTAGATGTCAAATTTACTCATTCGAAAGCTGTTCTTTTTATATATCGCAAGTCTCTGCTAACTGCTGACTTTTTGGTAGGCCAAGGAGAAGTGCACTTGCAAGCAGAGCAATTCGGGAATCACATGGTAAAGATTTACAATCATAATAATTGCGAATTTTTTGGGACTCTTTCTATACAGGTTACGCTGAAAACAGAAGGATCGGCAATAGATTCTTTATTTTCTATGGTAGAAGATAATAAAAAACAAGGATTAAGCCCAATTAAGATGGGAGACAACCTTAGACAATTTGTTTTTACGATTACCCCAATAGTGAATCTACATTATTTTATAGTTGATGTGTACACATGAAGGAATCCTTTACGGTCAGCATTTGTGTGTTGCCTCATTTATCTTTTAAACCAAAATTCGGCTTGAATTCCAGGGCTTTCTATTGTGCTAATTTGACTATGAATGATGCATTCTGCCATGAAAAAGTATCATACTATCTCACATACTAATGACGCACAATTCGCAAAAAATTTATTGTTTATTCAAGAATTCATGGGAAATATCATAATTGTGTCCGAGGTAGTAAACAAATGAATTGAGAGAATCATTTATTGATCAGATCCAGAGTGTGCCAAAAAATTTCAAAAATTGATAGAAATTCTTTTTATTCCGACACTTATATTTGGATATTGCTTTTCAGTTTTGAGTTTTATACCTTACATTTTGATATGATCAATTATTGTGAAAAGCCCTTTTCTTAATGCCGCTATAAATTTAGTGGTTTGTAGATTGAAAACTAAAGCTGATGTTATTATTAGTGCTTCGATAAATAAGCAGGAAGAAAAGCCCGAAGTTAAGCAAGAAGATCAAAGGGTCTATAGAATTTATGAAAACCAGAGACTATGACTTGGAAAATGGAAAGATTTTACATTACCCACTGAAAGAAAAAATTGAAGCGATGCGAATGGCGAAGCAATGACTCGAGAATCAGTCATAGCACCCCAAGGCTGGAAATGGATAGATGAATGGCATATAGACAGCATTTTAATTACAGATTGGGAGTATGCCACTGATTTTACCAAACAATTTCATCCACAAAAGGAATTCTTTGACTTAGTTAGAAGAAGGTGTTGGATACGCCATGCTGCAAAGGAATAATTTAAATAAATGAATTTTTAATTTTCTCCTAACACTTTGAGTGCAGTTTCTATGATCTTTTTATTATACTTTGCTTCAGCTGGTGAAAACTGGGTTTCTCTGATCTCTTTCTCTTCTTTATCTTTCATTTGCTGGCTGAGTGCTTCTCTTAAGTCTTTTTGTTTTTGCATCCTCATACTAAGTTTTTCTCTTTCTTCATTAATAAATTCTATTTCTCTATCATTTATTTCTTTTCTTGCTTTTCGCAGACTTTCTTCTTCTTCCCGCTTTTTTAAAGCTTTTTCTTCCATATGATGGCTAAGAATCTTCAAATCTTCCATTTTTTTCCTAATTTTTCTGTCCCTCTGTAGTAATTTTTCTCACATAATCAAAATGCATCGCGAAAGACGTGTAGCCTCGTTACATATTTAATTATATCCTAAAATTTTTTCTAACCAAAAAATAGACAGTATGCTACGTAAGGAATTCTGGTAATGTAAAAAGTCTCGCCTCAATCTGCTTTAGAAAGTTGAGTTTTACCTCTTGGAAAATGAAAAGACATGGAGTTGGGAGGGATAAAGCAGAGATGTCTATCTTTATCATTAGGTTATTTCGGCAACGCTTCACCGTGAAGCCAGGAGTTACGCCCTTGGCTTTAGTTTTCACTTTTAACATAAGTTAACCATCAATCCATTTATTGAATTTTCTGAGCTGCAACCAATTTCACAAGTTCGAGAACTGGAAATAAAACTGTCAAAGTAGGAACAGCCAAAGTGGGAATCATTCAAATCAAGATCAGGTGGCACATAACGCAAGATTAGCGGGGTATCCAGAAACAGGGGCAGAAGTCTATGTGGGTGATGTGCTAGTGGAAGTTCAAGCCAATTAATCTTAAATAAGTAATAATTTTTCTCTAAATAATATTTACGAATTTTCTTCTTTTTGGTTTTTTCTTGCTTGCTCTTCTTCATGTCTTCTTATTTCTCTTTCATACTCAAGTAGGCTTATAGCAGGTCTGTGCTGCATATATTTTACCAGTTTGCTCAATCTTTCTTCATCATTGGCTTTGTCCATAAATGTCTTCACAAAATCAGCTCTTTTATTTTCATTTTCAATGATTTTTTTGCATGACTGGTCCAGCAAAAATTTTTCCATCTCAATTTCTTTTAGTTTCGCTTCCTTTCTTTTTCATTCTTTTTCTTCAGCTAAAATTTTTAATTCTTCTGCGTTTTTTCTCAGTCTTTCAGCTTTGATTTCTTTTCAGGCATTTTCTTCTAAAGTGTTGATTTCTCATGATTTTTTTATTTTTTCAGCATCAAGCTTGCTTTGATATATTCTCATTCTTTGCTTTTCCATTCCTTCTTTTATGATATTTTCATTTGCTGCGTTGTTTTCATTGATTAACTGCCTCTTGAAAATCCTTTTATCTCTTTCTGTCTTGTAGAATTCGCCAACACTTTTATCAAGATCTTCTTTATAGCTCAGCAATTCTTGTTTTTCTTTTTCTTTAGCTTCTTTAACTATGTTCATCTGTTCTAAAAGCTCTTTAGAATAAGATTTTTTTAGCTCTTTATTTTTAATTTTTTTGAATTTTTGCTCGTTTTCAAACATTATTTGATCTGCCTTCGTAATTTTCTCTCATTGGTTGCTTAATCTTCTTTTTCTATGAGGGCTTTTGCTCAGACCTGTAAATCTGTCTTCCTCAGAAAAGCCTAGAGATAAAGGATTAGAAGTTTTAAAAGGGCTTGGAAACTTTTCAGCCTTTGAAATGCTTTGACTTTGATAAACAGATGTAAGATGCTCAGGCTTATTTACAGATACAACTGAAACTACTTCTCTGAATTTTGGGATAGATGGCGATTTTCTCATCAAAGATATTTCATTCATTGGGCTTTTAATAGGAATTAAAACTAGCTTAGGAGTCTTAGATGAGGGTCTAATTGATTTAGGAGTCAATTCTTGAGATAAAAATATTTTGTTTGTTGGAGATAAACTTAGCCTATGTTTTGATGCTGGAATTCCTAATCTCTCAGTGATTTTTCTTTCCAAATATTCTGAATCTTCTACGCTAAAGGCTGCTATGTTTTTGCAATAATTTCTAATTACATTGGAGATTATTTTGCGATGTGAAGCATTGTTTCCAAATTTTTTCAACAACTTACTTAAAAACTCCTTTAAAGCTTCATCTTTGTTGCTCATTAAAATCGTTAATATAGTTCCTAATTACAAAAATCACAGTAAATTTTCAATATAATTTAATAGATGATACTAATATCTCTTACTGTTTTAGGCTCAATTTTTTGTGAATTTAAATTATCTTACTACTCGGATTTAAATTGGAACAAAACATAGTTAAAATTTGCATTTTTTGATTACTTTAGTAGCCCTTTAAATTCAGACAATTTTTTTTTCAATCATAAAAATTTTTATAGGAAAGTTTAGCTCAATAATGGAAAAGCTATTTCAGCAGTTTTCACGCCGAATCTATTAATTATTTGAATTAATTCCTAATAAAATTTAGCATTTTTTTCAATCTGCATTTTTTTATCAAGATAAATTTAAAATAAATCTTTTTTTAAAAATAATTGGAGCAGCATTTTATGTTCCAATTTAAAGGGTGGAGTTATATATCAAAATTAATTAATAATAAAATGATTTTTAAATTATTAAAGTCATTCATCAAATAAATATATTTTTTAATCATTGACAAATTCTATTTAAAAAAAACTCGTACCCCCTTTGAATTGGAGCAAAATATTGGTAAAATTTCGATTTTTTGAGTACTTTAACACACTTTTAAATTGGAATAATTTTTTTCAATAGGAAAATTTTATATAAGTGGTAATTTTGTAATGAAATCTCTAGTTAACTCTAAGAAATTTGCCATATAAAACATAAATTTACAAATTAATAGTTTTTATTTTTGAATTTCGAAGAAAAATATTTTTGCTCACTCTAGGAGTGGGAGCAAGACTTGCAAGATTTCTTATAACATTAACTTATATTTTACACGAGTATTTAATTTATTCTTTTGGTTTTTTAAAGCTATTAAATGCTAATAAAGCAATTCTATTACCAAAATTTTGATTTATTGGTTTCATTCCTCAAATCTATACCCTACACTAAAAAATTTACTACTTAATATAATATATGGCAGACAAAAAAGAAATTCGTAGTATTGATGACATTCCATCGCTAAATGAGCTCATAGATAAAAACGTACAAAAAGCACACAAGTTAGCAAGAATAGGGAAAACTGCAATGGAAATCAATTCAATTTTAGAAACAAAAAGCTCAATCGTCAAAAATTGCCTGTTTAAAAATTTTGTTTACCTTGAAGATTCAGATAAAATGCTTATAGATAATGCATGCTATAGGTATCTAGCAATAGGGATAGGGACTCTTTCATTTTCGATAGGAGTAAACCTAGGATTAGGAAGGATAACTAACTCCCCCTCTGTGATCAAATAAAAAAAATTATCAACTCAGTTAATTATATTTTAAAAAACTTATATCTAATTTTATAGTAAATTGTTTTTCCCAATTCAAAAAAATTGAGAAGCATAATTAATTTAATTTGGGGAAAATCTATAGTGCATCCACGATAGTGAATCGCCATCATTCCTAAATCTCACGAGACTATTGAGGGGTTGACGAAACCAATATTCTAAATCCTAAATATAAAATATCTAGAGACTTGCCGTTTCAAAGGTGTGAATACGTTATATAATTATAATAGGCTTTGGAGATGGGGATTTCGAACAATTCTATTAACTGCGCCCTTGCTTGTGTTTTCAGATTATGCTTATTCAGCATATACAAGAGTTTCTTTATATTTGGAAGATAAATACTCTGAAAGAGTCAAGGAATATATGAAAACTGAGGATCCTTTATCTTTAAATCCAAAGTTTTACCAAGAAAATCCTGATTTTAAACAAAAAGCAAGCTAATTAAAATCCACATAAAAATCTTAAATCGCTAGTTTAACTAATTTTCGTATTAATATACCATTTTCCATAAATAGCATATAAGTTTTATAAGCCATTAGCTATACGCTCATTATCTATTTAGGAAGATAGCTGATTTATTCAAACAAAGGAGGCATTGTTTTAAAAATTTTGATAATAATCTTATTAAATTTCAAGATAATTTGTAAGTATAGGTTCTGAATTAAATGCCAAATTATATAAAAAATGAGAAAGAATTTAATATAAAATAATAAACTAAAAATACAATTTAAATAGAATAATAAATCTAAACCTCAAATGATTTGACAATAATTGTTTGGTCAATATGGAGGCTCAAGAAAATCAAGCTGGTGGACACACTGGAAGATTTGTCCAAAGAGATGGAAAAATCCTTAAAAAGGCTAAAGCTCCAGAAAGAGCGTTCTACGCTTTCCTTTATTCTCCTGAGCTCCAAGACGAGCACTTAATTGAATTCAGAAAATTCCCTCCAGCATATTATGGCACTGAAACAGTCAATGGCAAAACTCACATGATTTTAGAAGACCTGACAATAAATTATCAGCATGCAAGCCTTCTCGACTGCAAATTAGGCAGAATCACCTATAGCAGAGATCAAGCTCAAATAAAAATCGACCATCAAATTGCCAAGCAAGCTACCACTACAAGTGGAAGTTTAGGATTCAGGATAGCAGGAATCTGTATAAAAGATGATGCTGGGAATATCACTGAATCTTGGTCTCACCACGGAAAGCATTTAAACATCAATAAAGACAATATTTATGAGCAATTCTTGAAAGCTGTCACCAGAAATGGCCAAGTTCAACCACACGTTATTAATAAGTTTATTGCTGATACTGAAGAAATCCTTGCTTGGTGGAGAAAACAAAGATCAAAGCACTTTATTACAACTTCTCTGTTATATATTAATGGGATTAATGGATGCCAAACAAGAATTGTCGATTTCTCAAGAGTTTATGATGCAGAAGGGACTGAAGATAACAGTAATTTCTAATTAGATGTGATTGAAGGACTTGAAAATGTTATCAGAATATGGCACCAAGTGAAGCAAGTAAGTGGCTTAGAGTAATTAAGTCTATTAATTAAACTAATGCATATCAAAATGAGGAAGAGATACTCATTTAACTATGCTTATTTTATATTAGATAAAATTTTTATGATTTTTAAAATTAAATCAACAAACCTTCACTCCCTCAAAAATTATTATAACTTTATAATTATATATTCTAATGTTAAGAATTGGGCAAAAAACTTTGTCTAGTAAATATAGCTGAGAACTGCTTATAGCTCATCCCAAGTTATGGGTTTACCTTTAGCTGGTGAGTTGGTAAAGCAGCATGAGCTATAAAATCAATTGCAAGGCCTATAGAGGCAAGCCATGCGTATGATTGGCTATAGGCTGCCCTGACCTATATTCTTATTTTTAGATGAAATTAAAATGCGAGCTATTATCATTCTATTTCATGAGTTATAATTACAGATATTTATATAATTTTTTAAATATAAATATAATTAACTTTATATATAAATGTATGTAATTTTATTGCTCTAAAAAACTTGGAATAATTTTTTAAATTTTATCCCAGAATTTAGGTTAATTATATGGGGGCATATTAAGTAGATTAAATTAATTAATTAATTAATGAAATGTAGCAGCTTTTCTATGCCTTGAAAACTAACTCCCCCCTCCGTTAGCGAACAAAGCCATTAGAAAAATCCCTATTTTTTGCCCAAAAACCCACCCTCCATGAGTGAACAAAAATTTTTAATAGAAAAAAAAAATTGATATATAAGTGATAATTATTATAATGAAATCTCGAGCTAATTCTGTTCAATTTTAAATAAATTGTATTTTAAAAACATAAATTTTATAAATTAAATTAATATTTGCTTTCCAATTTTGTGAAGTGGGAGTTTTTTTAATTTCGGAAAAAAAAATTTTCTATAAAATTTTATATAATTTTTTTAACAAAAAAAAATTAACCCCCCTCTGTGAACGAACAAGATTTTTTTGTTCGCTCACGGAGGGAGGGAAGTAAGAAGATTAAATTGCTAGGTTAGGTTATTTCAAGTCAGGCGCTAGCCATATTGGTGAAGCGGCAACCAAAGACCTCCCCCATACGGAAGGTTGTACCGCTTTTCAACTCCAACCCAGAGGATTTATCTCCCTAAAATGGGTGCAATTTTCGATACCTTCTGTCTCCTCCTCGACTTGCGCTTCAGTCTTGAGTGGGTGGTTCAATTGCTAGGCATGCTGCGATTTTAGTATGCTTTCGTAATTTGCAATAAATCAATAACTAAAATCATTGCTATCGCAACTCCATACAATTTAAGACCTCTTCGGGAGTTTTCCTAACACTCATTTTTTCAAGTTACGTCTGTAATATAATTGAATGCCCCCATGTCACCATTAATGAAATAAAAGCAAAGAGGCTATTAACCTCTCACCATCTTATTGCTCATCATAGCATATTAAGTTAATTTTAATAGGTTAATAAATCATTATAATTTCTTCAAAGAAGATGCTTTTAGACTCAGAATACTCTTCACAAACAACTGACACAAATGGAGATCCTATTTATAAATTTCAAGATGAAGATGAAGATGAAGAATGCCTTGTTATCAACACCACTTTTCCAAGCCAACCAGATCCAATCCCACCTCCAACAGATAATAAAGAAAATAAAGAAGTAAAGCATGCTGTCAAAAAATCAGCAACTAAAATTATTTTTGATTCATCACAGCCCCAATTTAATGAAAATAAAGAAATTTTGGATTTTTCAAACGAAAAGATGGATCTAGATCAGGATTCTGGAAACAAAACAATTAAGCATGCTGTGAAAAAGTGTGCAACAAAGGTAGTTTTTGAAGAAGGGGAAAGCCAGATGAATGAGGGGAAACAGCAGAAAAGGAAAAAGAAAGGTGAAAGGGAAAGTTTTGGGATTTCGCAACAATCTGAGGAGAAAATAGGGAAAAAACGGGGTAGGAAAGGCAAGAAAGACGCAGATATTAATGATCCTGGCAAAAAGCAGAAAACTAACAAAGAGTCAGCATCAGAACCAAAATCAGATGGGGAGACCGATAATAACCCTGATGGATTAGTTCTTAAAGTTAAGGGGACTAAGGAGCACGAAACAGTAGCGCATGAAGAGAGCGAAAACCCCGCTGCAAAAGAAAATCCCAGCAACAGTGAGGTATCAGTCCCTCAGCAGGAGAATAGACCAAATCCAGAAGATGAAGAAGCAATTCTTACAAAAAGCACAAGAGAAATTGGTGCTTTAAAGGTTTTTGATGATAAAGCAGCAAAAAAAAGATCAAAAGTATCAAAAAGACCTAAAATACAGCCATGACTTCCAAGGCCGTACAAAAAAATTTCTAAGCCACAGCCCAAGCCTCCACAAGAAGTCCCCTTGGTTGATAAAATATCGGCACTAAACCAGTTGAAAATTGGTTATATGAACAAGAAGAAAATTGCAATGGCAAAGCTAGAAAATATCAAGGGAGAATATAGCCAAATTAAAGGTGAAAACATTCAAGAGTCTCAATTAAGAATTTTCAATGAAGATATACAATTAAAAATGCAAAACAATGAGCCTGGAACGCTAACCTGCTAGTTAATTTTTTTAATATTTTAACTTAAGTTTTTTAGTTTAATAATTATTTAATAAATTTGCAATTTTTTGTTTTTATTTAATTGTGGAGTAAGCGATCTTTGCAGAAGGCTTAAAACTTTCCTTAACCTTTAGATCCATATTTTTGCAAAATTGTTCAATTCTATTTAATAAAAAATGTTTATTAAAAATATTTTTTTTTAAAAAAAATTTTTACTGGGGAAAGTTAGGGATAATGCTCAAGTTGGATTGAATTCTTACATACTTAAAAATAACGAAGATCTGTATATTCTATTCAACAAAAATGAAATTCCTTATGATGATTTGCCTAATATAGTGTTGAATAGGTCATCAATTTATAGAGAAGGAGATGCTAGAAAGAAAGCCAAATTAGATCCAGATACAACAAAAAGCGATGAAGTTGACTATTCGTTCAATCCAAGCAAAAAGTAATAGTACTCTCCCATCTAAAAATTTATTTTTAACATGAATTCTATTTATTGAAGAATTTATTGTTTAAAAATAATAATCCATATCATTTTTTTTATTTATAAAAAGATTCAACAACTTAATATATATTCTCTCTAAATAATCTTAAATTGTAAATTTTATTCGATTTTTAAATCTATTTCTCCTCTTTATCTTATTGGAGTGTATATAAGATTTTGTAAGTATTTAATAGATCATTTAATTCAGCATATTTTTACACATCTTAAAATCATTTTTCGCTAACTTCTCCCCTCCGTGAGTAAATGAAACCCTTTTAAAATTGTAAAAACCCATCCTCCATAAGTGAACCAAAAAATTCCATGAAGAAATACGCTGATATATAATATAGCGAAATCTCTAGATAGTTCTGTTTAATTTTTAACAGCTTGCATTATAAAACATAAATATACAATTTTAATAAATATTTGCTTTAAAATTATTTTGATATAAGCTCTTTTTAAAATTTGCTATAAAATTTATAGTTAACTACACTGACTGTCACGGGGTGCTTTTGGCTCGAAACTGAGCCAAAAGCACCCCGTGCCAGTCAGTGTAGTTCACTATATATAATAATTTTTTTTATTTGTTCACGGAGGGGAGTAAGTTTTTAAGTAGAATTGCAATTTGATAGTCAGAAACGGAAAAAGATTTTTTTCCATATCTTAATCACATAGGCAATATACATACAAGAATGAATTAAACCCGGATTTAAATATAGCAACTTAGGATCGTAATTTATGGAAAATAAAAATCAATTGCTAAACCAGCTCAAATTCAAACATAAAATTCAATCAAATCCCTGACATATAATCTAAATCTCTTTCTCTATTTTTACCTTTCTCAAATTTCCTTCAATTAACTCCCTTCAAATCTCCATTTATGATACAAACCTCCACATCCCATTAAAAAGAGCCACCGAACATTCTTATTTCAATTATTTATTAATTTTTCGAATAATAATAATGAAAAGCGAACCAAAACTTATACTTAATTCAGAGCAAGATTTAGAACGAGAATTTACCATGATTAGCACTCAGCTCGCAGATATAAGTAAGCTCTAATTAGAGACTGATTGGAATATGCGGATAAATGCCTTAAAAAGAATGCAAGCCATCATCACATCCGGAGGTCCTTCATTCGAGAATTTTATTAGTTTGTTCTTAAAATTCATCAACCCTCTCTCAGTCCAGCTTAACGATCTTAGGTCAGCCATAGTAAAAGAAGCTGCCAAAACAGCCTCAATTGCGGCTCAAACCTTAGGCGATTCCTTTGAAAATTGCGCTGAAAGGCTTGGTGATACTCTTTTTCGAGTTCTTAACTCAGGAACCAAAATTATTGCAGACACCGGCCACCAGTGCTTACTAGAAATTATTGACGCGGTGACATGTTGGAGACTGATTCCTAAAACAGTAGAGCAATATACAAATAAAAATGCAAGCATAAGGATAAGAGCTTCGCAGTATTTGAAAATGATGCTTGAAAAATACCCGGTGGAGTTGTTTGAATATGCCTGCTCAATAAAAAATGGGTTTATTGAAATGGTTGAGCAAGGGCTGACACTTGCAGTAGCTGATGCAGCTGCAGATGCAAGAGCGTTTGGAAGACAAGCGTTCTTGGCATATAGAAATCTGTATCCTGATAGAGCAAATAGGCTGTTTATAAGATTTGATAGTTCGGTGCAAAGGGCATTTGGGGATATCCAAGGAGCAATCCAAGTTTCAGCTGCTTTGACATCGAATACTCCTAAGAGGTCTACATCAGCTAAAGGACCTAGAACATCATTAAAAAGTCCTGTAGTCAAAAATAAGCAGCCAAGAGAGCCAACATTTACAGAAGAATCCCCAAAACTGCCTGAAAAAATCATAAACTCCCCCAAACGAGTAAAATCAGCACTGCCAAATGGTCTTCCAAAACTGAATGAAAAGAAAAAAGAAGTTGTCCTTAAAGCAGAAGCAGAAATGTCTATGAAAACTATGCCAGAATCAGCTTTTAAGACAATATCTGACTATGGGTCTACAGGTGGCAGTGCAAATATCGGAGATTTAATTAGACCTCCCCCTACAAAAGAAAGAAAGCCTGAACTAGAAATCCCTGAAAAAGCTAATATCGAAGACCCAATCACTAAATTTGAATTTATCATAGAAAAAACCTATCATGAAAATTGGTCAACACGGCTTAATTCTTTTGAAAGACTGGCAAAACAGTTTAAAGATACTGACCGAGACGTTTATATCGAGCTATTGTCTAATTATCAAGATTTATGGGAGAAATTCATTATGGCTCATATAGAGCATATAAATGATTCAAATTTCAAGGTGTCTGTGGCTTCTTTGGAGTCCCTAAAAACAACTGTGGAGCTATTTCCTGAGAAAGTTAGCTTTTCACTAGAAAAACTTATTCCAAAGCTGATCGCTTGTATGGGAGATAATAACAATAATGTGTCTACTAAAGGAAATGAACTGATTGAATTGATTCTTGATATTTATATCCCAGAAGACCTATTAACTTTGCTGCTTCGATATTCTCCAGCAGAAATGAAGCCCCGCACAAAAGCAAAACTTATTGAATTCTACGAGACCTTAGCCAGGTCATCCACAGATTTTTTTTCTTCCCAGCTTAATGCCAAGCAATTTATTACTCGGTTGATTGCTCTGCTTAAGGATAACACAAATAGGCAATCAATTCAACAAATTGTAGCAACCATTGAGACATCAATTGAAGCTAACCCAAATACTACACTTAATGCAGTGGCCGACCTGCCTCCACAAGATCTGGCCTTCTTCAGAAGATGCTTGCAAGATGTAGGGTCGAGTTTGGAAGCTGATATAAGAGCGTTTATGAGAAGATCGACACCTGTGGAAAATACCAAGCAGGAGGAAACTAACTTCCCCACTTCCATATCGAGCAAAAAAATTTTGTTACTTTTAGAGTTGGGTTACTTTTGAAAAAAAATTATATATCGTGCCTTGAACCTTTTTGGGGTACCAGTATACGATCCTTACTGGACTGTCAGCTTCTCATCTCAGATTCTGAAAATAAGAAGCTAGTCTTCCAGTAAAGGCCACATACTGGTGTCCAAAAAGGCCCAAGGTGAGAAGTAAATTTTAAGTTACTTTTTAGGAGAATTTAAAAAAATCCCAATTCAAATCGCAAAAATCGGAGAGGAATATTTATTTAATTTGTAAAATTTATGTTTTAAAATACAAGCTGTTTAAAATTAAACATATATAGCTAGAATTCATTATAGTAATTATCACTTATATTCCAAAAATTTTTTTGTTTGCTCACCCAAAAATAGGGATTTTTTAATGGCTTTGTTCGCTCAAGGAGGGAGGAGAAGTAAGCAAAACTCAGCAATAAAAACAATTATAAACCAATGTCAAGCTTCAGGAGCGGTAAGATATGATGGATTGAAAAAAATCCAAAAACTTAATGAAACCAATAGTGATTCTTCAATATGAACTGATAACTTAGGAAGCATAGTTAAAGCTTGCCTAGAATGCCTCAATGACGAAGCCTTATCTATTAGAGATTGTGCTCTACAAGTCCTTAAGGAAATTTTCAGAAATCACAGCACAGGACTTGCTGACATCATAAAAGAGTGCTTAACATCTCTGGCCAAAGGTTTTTATTTCGAAGAAAGACATATGCTCCAAACAACTGAAGAAGCTATAGAAGAGTTGATTTGCACCCAAAATCCTTCTATTTTAATTCCCATTCTCCTAGAATTTATTGCTAAAGAAGAAATCCCAGCGATCCAAGCGTTTATCAGACAGCTAACAAAAGCTGTAAAAAGATGTCCAGCAGATAAGCTGTCAGGGCTGATGAGAGTTGTGATTAATCAAATGAAAGAGTCATTTAATCACAGCAATGCTGACGTAAGGAAATCTGTGGTATTTTGTCTTGTTGAAATTCATTATATTTTGAGAGAAGGGTTCGATATATATTTAGAAGAGCTGAGCCCAAGTCAGCAAAAATTGGTTACAATATATATACAAAGAAGGATTTTGACTTAATATTACCGTTAAGGATATTTAACATTAAAATAATGTGTAAATTTCTATTTTTGTAAGAAATGCTACTAGTATCTTTGAATATGCTTCATTATTTACATAAGATCTGAGACTAAGTATATCGCGGGAGGTTTATTTCGAAAGAAGTTTGTGATAAAGACTCTTTAGACGAACTTTTCGAGCCCGCAAGCATAGAAGAATTCTGGACATTAATTATTTTGAAATAATCTTTTTCTTCTTTTCTCTGTTTTTTATTTTTGCTATGAGCCTTCTCCTTCTTATTTGATGAAAAACTTAACTCCCCCCTCCGTGAGTGAACAAAACCATTAGAAAAATCGCTATGTTTTGCCCAAAAACCCCTCCGTGAGTGAACAAAACTTTTTTTATGGAAAAAATTTGATATATAAGTGATAATTATTATAATGAAATCTCGAGCTAATTCTGTTTAATTTTAAACAAATTGCGTTTTAAAACATAAATTTTACAAATTAAATTAATATTTGCTTTCCAATTTTTATAGAAGTGAGATTTTTTTAAATTTCGAAAAAAAAAAATTTTATAAAAAATTTATATATAAATTTTTTTAAAAAAAAAAATTAACCCCCGTCCGTGAGTGAACAAAATTTTTTTGTTCACTCATGGAGGGGGGTGAGTAAGAGTTTATGTCTCGAAGAATTAAAATCATCATATGGGTTGCTATCAATATACACATATTTTCCTAGTAAAGTCCTCTCTAGCTTTGGATTCTGCTGTACACGAGTGGAATAATGAGAAAAAGGTCTTGCTGATTGGTAGCTTTTTTGAGTTATTGAAGGAGCTTTCAGCTTTGATGTTCTGTCTGCTTTTTCACCTAAAATAGAAAAAGAGGGCTGGGAAAATTTGTGTGAACGTGGTATGTAATCAGGAGAAATGCAGGAAGATCTTGCTATTTTTACTGGAGAAGAAGGGCGAGATCTCAGCTTATTATAAAGGGTTCTGTATTTGGGCTGTGGGGTAGGAAAGTTGTAGCTTTGGGCTCTCTTGTGAGAAGGCTTAGGTTTGGGATCTAAGGTGATGTTTCTTGGGGAGCCTGAATTTGATGTGCATTGAATTCCGACTGATAAAGGATTTTGCTGGCTTTGAAAACTTTGCTTTAAGCTTGGCTTATAAGAAATAAATCAATCCAAAGTTTTGAGAGACTCGAAAACTGGCTTTTTAGGTGATTTTTTCTGAAATGCTTGCATATAGTATGAGCTCCTTTTTGGCTAGAACTTCAAGATCTTTCCTAACGGAAAGAGGAATTGGTGGAACCAACTGATATAACCGCAATTTAACTCTTTTTATTTAAAGATATATAGACAAAGCCAGGATGGTCAAAGAAAGGAAGATCTATTTTTATATTTTATTATATTAAGATATTTTAGATATAAATACTAATTTAAATAATTATTTTCTGATGCTAGATGAAATAACACTGCATGGATTTGAGACATTTGACTCTGCAGAGCCTGCCAGATTAATGTTTATCTATCATGGTACAAGCTTTATAAATGATCGGATCACTTTAGAAGAGTGGCCAGCTCTAACTCCCCCTATAAATCGGGACCAAAAATCGTTAAAATTTCCATTTTTCGATACTTTAACCCCTTTAAATCGGAACTATATTTGTTTCTCAATAGGAAATTTATAGGTTAAAATAATATAGAGGTTTTCCTCTATATAGCGCTGAAAGCGCAGACATTTTCCCAGGAGCTTTCCAAGTTCGTCGGACCAAATCGCTTTTTGGTCCGACCAAGGCATTGATTTGGTGCAACCAACCGATAAAATTCCGATCAGAATTTATCCGCCTTACAGCGCCAAACATAGGAAACTTCTATAATTTTTATTTACCTAATTTAATGGATATTGTGTAAGTAGAATGCTATATAAACAGTTTTAAAATTGAATCGATTAATTTTTTTAATTAATTCTCCATAAAATAAACTAAAATTCAAAATTTAAAACAAAATTAACCCTCTTTAAATTGGAACAGAATTTTGTTCTAATTTAACGAGGTAAGAGACACAGGATTTTCAGAATTTGATTTAATTCCAGTTTTGAGCATGGACGGTCTTTCTATGGCTGGAGCTTATCCAATACTTCTATATATTTCCAGAAAACTAGGATATTATCCTCAAAATGTGCAAGATGAATATTTTGTTGACTCTACATGCGAGTTCATTTCTCATATCTCGAAATTCTTCATTGAAATGAAAGAAAAAGATATGGACTGAATCACCAGATTTTCCCAAGAAAAGCTTCCTAATTTGTTGAAAAAGATAGAAAATACTATCACGAAGAATAATGATGGGAATGGGTGATTTCTAGGAGATCATATCACTTTAGTTGATTTTGTGGTTTTTGATTTTATGTGGAATTTTCTGTTAAAACCAGGAAAAATAGAAGCATATGGACTACTTGTAAGCGAATCTTCTCCTAAAGTAATGGGATGGGCTTGCAGGATGATAAAAGAGTCTCCATCTTTAGCGAAATATATTTAAGGGATTCCATAATGTCTTTATAATAAAATAAAATGAAAAATTAAATAGTTTAGAGAACGATTATCTTAAATCTTATTTCCCTTTCTTGCTTGGTGACCTCGGAAATTAGCTTGGATTCTTACTGCAGCTTGTGTTTGGCTGACTTCTACAGGCCTGAAGCTAGCCCACAAGTTATCAAAATAAGTGATATACTGCTGGCATATCTCAGGATCATGAACCACAACTAAATTTTCTTGATTTGCATTAACGGCTTGAACAGTCCAGTTGAAGCTTCCAGTAATCAAGATTTCTTTATCAATAACAACAAATTTATTGTGCATGTGAGCATCAGGATTTGTGTCAGTTTCTGTTGGAATTCCACGATCTCTGATGTATTGAATATCTGAGCCGATTTGCTTCATACATTCGTCATCTGAAATTACTTTAACGGCGACGCCTCTGTCATGAGCTCTTGTGACTGCATCTCTAAGATGATTATTTGTGATAGTAAAGACACACACGTATAATTCTCTCTGAGCTCTATCAAGCCATTGAATTAACCTTTGTTCGCTGGCAGGGTCTGGGAAGAACAAAGCTTCTCTTGCTTTAGGAAGAGGGCGCATTAGGTTCTCTTGAAGGGCTAACACGTAAGCCTCAAGCCATCTCAAAGCTTCTTTGTCAGCATCTAACTGGACATGTCGAGATGCAACTTCAAAGATAGCTCTAGAGAGTCTGCTAAGGCCAGCTGAAGTGCCTGATGTGGATTTCAAACCTTGGACAAATTCCCTTACTATCCCTCCGTGAGCGAGCAAATTCATAGCGATTGGACAAAATTCCACTCTCTATGAACGAACAAAAATTTTTTATGAAAAAAATATTTTGATATATATGATAACTTATATAATGAAATCTCTAGCTAATTCTAGTAATTTTAAACAGCTAGCATTTTAGTATCCGTTGTACATTAAGAAATATGTGCAACTTATTATAAAACATAAATTTTGCAAATTGAATTTAATTTTTACTCCTCAATTACTGATATTGTTTTAAATTTAGATCAAAAGATTTTACTGTGGAAATGTATATATAAAGTTTATAAAATTATTCCCTCTCTCTGGCAAACAAAACTATTTTGTTTGCTCACAGAAAGGGTGCTTTAAAGTTTCTGGGGTGGCATTTCCGTATTTACTTTCAAGGAAGGTTTTGAAGGCATCAGACATTTTAATTATAACCGGCCATTGTTTGGATGAATTAAAATGAGATTTTATTAGGCCCATGCTGTAGAGAAAATTAGTTTAATTTAAATACTTACTCCCCCCCCATCCTTGATCGAACGACTCGCCATCGTTCGATCAAGGATGGGGTTTAAAAAAATTTTATATATAAAATAAAAATATATATATAAATTTTTTTTATTTGCTTTTAAATAAGAGGGTTAAGAGTATTTAATAATTATTTTTACAGCAAAAAAATTGAATTAATTTCATAAAAAATACTAATTTTTTATATTTTAATTTATTAGTTACCCCTTTAAACTGTATAAATTTTAATTTGTTACTTATTAAATTAAAATTTTTTTTTTAAAATTTTAAAAAATCTCTATTTTATTAGATTATTGAGTTTTTTAAGCCCATGTTGATGACTAAATTACTTTGAATGGTTGATTTCGCAGCTTTCTATCGTCTCAAAGTCTCTGAAAACAACTTCATTAGGTACATCTTCCCAAGCTTTTGATAACTATTATATTTTTATATATATAAAAATTTGCATGATATGAAAATCGTTCGATCAAGGATGGGGGTTAATTTCCCCCATTTTTAGGAATTTTTACAGTCAATCGTTCGATCAAGGATGGGGGGGGAGTTAGCAATAGTCAAATAATTCTTTTTTGGAAAAAACATAAAATTCGAAAAAATAAATTGGATAATTAATTTGGCGGATAATGTTGAATTTAGCGCTTTATCTGAAAAGATACTCAAATTTTATTTTTACATGAATTTAAGTACTCTAAACTATGATATTGTATAAAATTCTGCTTACTGGCACTAATTTGTGACGATCAAATATAACAGATAATACCTCTATACTATTTTCACTCAAAAATTTAGACTCAACCTACTAGATGCAAGCACAAATATGCATTTCTTAAAGTGTAAGCTCAAATTTCTGTTAAAAGTTAAAAAATATCTTAAATCTTTTAACAATTTTTTAATTTTTGGAACATTTTCTTAGTCTTTTCTTTAATTTTTTCTGAAAGCACTTCTAATCTGCCCTGACCTAATAGACAAATTATTTCTTTGTGGTGATTTCGTACGGAAAATCATTGGCTTACTCCCCCCGCCGTGAGTGAACAAAAAAAATTTTATTGTTTTAAAAAAAAAAAAATTTTCGAAATTTTAAAAAAATCCTAATTTGCAAAAATTGAGCAGCAAATATTAATTTAATTTATAAAATTTATGTTTTAAAATGCAATTTGTGTTTTAAATTAAACAGAGTTAGCTCAAATTTTCATTATAATTATATATCAATTTTTTTTTAATAAAACATTTTTTCTATTAAAAAAATTTTTTGTTCACTCACAGAGGGTGGGTTTTTGGGCAAAAATAGGGATTTTTCCAATAGTTTTGTTCAATAATGGAGGGGGGAGTTAGATAAATGGAAATATCGAATATCGAACTCCAGCTTAAGGATATCTTAGCCCACTTAGATTCGGATACAAGCTTACTCAGACTTCAGGAATTTCTCGCATCTCAGCATAATTTGAAGTTTACGTTGTCCAATCCAACAACCCGTGACCTTCTCAATTTGATCTCCATTCACCTTAAAAAGCACATATTGCCTGCCAACCTTTTTCACTCAATACAAACATATCTTGCAAGAGATTCTGAAAACGCAGTAAATGAGAGCAAAGCAAGGTCAGTACACGACATCAGAGGGAATTTGATTTGGATGGATTCCAAATGTGAAAGCTTATTCAAATTAAATTTTCAACGATTGAAAAAGTCGAATCTCTTCCAGCTCATGAGCCAAAACAGTCTGAATTACTTATATATGAAGCATGGGCAATATATAATGGGAGATGGTAAACCTAAGGTCATTACTTATGAACTTCAAGATACAGAAACCACACTGACGAGCCGATGTAGTCCTTTAATTTTCAAAGATAGTGCCGGTAACTTGACGTTTGGAGTTTTACTGGAATCAAGAGAAGCCAGACACAAAATAAGCGACCAGCCAAAAGAAAACTTTAAATTGTCAAGTGCGTATAGAATCAGCAGAGATATGAATTCAGCTTCCCCTGGCTTTTATTATAATATTGGCTTATTTTCTCCATCAAATACCACTCCGTACGAAGACTCAGAATTATTTAAAAGACCAAATTTATCCCCAATTCCGACCCCTGGGCAGAATAATTGCCCAAATAAAATGGTTCCTTCCTCAGATATAAGTTTTGGCCCAGGTGAAATTGATAACGATATTTATAGTTTGACACCGATTTTAGCAAATCAAATGCAGCTGCCTACAAAAAGAAGGAGAACGAATAATATTAAAATTACTGAGTTTATATAAATTATTAAAATGCGATTTTGAACTAAATTCAGAATTTATTTATAGAGACAGAAAATCAATAAATTTATCAAGAATTAACAATTTACTTTAGCAAGTAGAGAAGATTGAGCTATTTTCATGGACTCTTACTAAGTTTCTCTACTGTGTGGTTTGGGATTAAGCAACGCGAACATAATTTAATTCTTCAAAATGATAGACTTATATAAAGCTAATCCAACAATTTTCTCTATAAAAATACTGGTTATATAATTATTCAACCCACGCGTAGATTGTTGCTGAGACTGTGCATAATGCGAGCCCCACTGCAAGAAAGATGCAAAAATAATGCACTATATTCAGTTTTGTTTCGATTTCAAAGTCTTCGTCTATATCTGGCTCTCCTTTGCCTTCTTCATCAATCAGTAACCCTCTGATCTTATGGTTCTTTCCATTAGATAGCATATGCTCTCTTTGACTGTCTAGGCTGGACATTTATATTCTCATGTTTTATTCAACAGCCAAATCCTTTTGTGATTACACATAAATAATTTAAATTAATAATTTCTCTTCGATTTCTTCGGCTTGAATCCTCTAGACTCTTTGAGATTTTCATACGCATTGTCTTTGGGCATTAGTTTTTCGACTTCATTGATGTTTTTGAGCATTTCGGCAGCGGTTATTAGAGGTGGATTGTCCTCAGTAAGTCTTGTATTTAGTTTTTTAAATCCTGATCTCCCTTCTACTTCTCTTGAAGTCCCAAATCTCTTTGTTGAATTTGGCAAGTTTGCTATTTTATTCATGATATTTCTAGCTCTTATTTGCTTCCTACTCTTAACTTCTTCTTTGACATCGAAATTTCAATCAGAAGGAACCCTTGAGCCTTGTTTGAGCACTCCTAAGCTTTCGCCGTTGATTGTCCAAAGTTTAGCCATATGATCTAGGCCAGTTGAAAATACTCCAGTTGTAGTGAGCTCACTTATATACGATAAATGCTTAATTGCGTCATTATGAGCTCTCCATTGAATGACTTGTCGTACATAATGGTCTTCTTTTAGAGGCTTCGCGACAAATTCAAGCTCATTTGAAGGCTGAGGATCTTCGGATTCTAAACTGCTTTCTGATGATTTTCTTTGCATAAAGGTAATTTTATGGGTTTTTTCTGTGTCTTGCATATCAAGATCAGCTAGCTGAGGCTCGACGTCATTTGATAAGGAATTTTGTTATGCATTTCCTTGGAAATTTTAGTCAAAATTATTTCCTCAAGAAGCACTTGCTCAGAAAAAATCATCACAAGGAAAAAATTGACCAAATAGCCCCAAGGAAATGTCGTACTAGCAAAAAGTCCGGAGGAAAAAGTTTGAATCCTTTAGCCGAGTGGGATTTCTGGATTTTAATTTTGGAGATTCTTTATGGTATGGACTTATATTAAGTTCTGTCAGCAAATCTTTGACTTCTAATAACCTTATCGTTCCTTTTTCATCACCTAGCACTATTCTTAAAGCATTATCTAAACAATAGTGAGTTGCTGCTGTGATGGTTGCAGTTTTTTCTAAAGTATGCATATTTCTCCACTTCACCAAACATTGGAATCTTGGCATATTTGGGCATGAAATTCCTCATATAGAAAGATTTCCTCCTTGGTCTGAAACCAGAATCATAGGATAGGGGTCTAAAGACAGCACTATTAAAATATCTGAGTGGTGGCCTAATAAGACTGCTTCAAGTTTGCATGTTTCATAGTCCCAAACTCTTATTTGGCAATCTCTTGACCCAGAATATATCAAGTCAAGAGTGCTAGAATAAGCGATGCAGGTGATGTCATTTGAATGGGCGTTTGAAATTGATCTAACTACACCTCGCCTTTTTTCTTTAAAGCCGCCTTTGAGGTTATCGTTATGGATCATAATTTTTTTATCCCAGGAACACGTAATAAGCAGTCTATCTCCTGCAACATAAACCATTCCAGTCACCTCTTCACTATGGCTACAAAATTCTTTAAGAATTACTCCGCTTAGGCTGTCAACCATCACAATCCTGCCTGAATGGTCTCCAACTATTATTTTTCTATCAGACTCATCAAGAATAAGCGACGTTATATCATTGATAAAAATATCGCTAATTAATTTTATAGGTCTTCCGGTGATGCAGTTTCACACCTTTATTGAATGCTGCCCAGCGATAAAAATTTGCAGCTGCTGAGAACTGTATTTCGCGCAAAAAATAGGAGAGTCATCAGAAATTTCAGGAATAAAAGGCTTTTCATAGTCAAAAACTTGTAATTTCCTGGAAGCAGCGATTAGTCTTCTATGTTTAGGGATTGATTTTATAGCCTTAAGCTTTAAAACATTGACGTAAAATGTCTGGATTAAAGAATAATCTTTAATATTTCATATCTTAATTACGCCTTTGGAGTCTGCTGTAACAATCGTAGGATTTATTTCTGGGCATTCAACGCCAGTTAATGGTGATTCATGCCCTTTTAAGTGGCAAATTGGTTCTGAGACATAAGGATTTCATACTAATGCATCAAACTCAAACCCACAGGAAATTAGGAGATTGTAAGCGTAAGAATAGGCTAAATACCTAATTGCTTTAATGTGGCCTTGTAAGATTTTCCTTGGCTTAGTATTGCTTTCCCATCTGATGTCCCAGATTCTGATTTTTTTATCAGCACAGGCTGCAGCTATCTGCTGCATAGCAGTAAGCTCAACAATATGAAAAATGCATTCGTCGCCATCCTTTCAAGGCATACCTTTAGCAATCACATCAAAATAAGGGATTTCTTCAGATTTTATGTCAGGGTTCAGAATTTCGTCTACATTCCAGCCGTAAATGGCCCCTTCCATTCCAGCTGAAAATAGAGTTTGGTGCTCATGGCTCCAGAACATGGTATGCTGGGAGTCCGGGACCATGATTCTTCTTAATAAGTTATGTGAGTCTGCATGAAAAAACAGCATTGACTTATCTGAGGAGCTCAATATAATCACATGAAATTCTTGTATATATTCCGATGCTAGTGCTATCCCAGTTTTCACCATCAAGGAATACTCACATCTCAAATTATTTGCATTGTAAATTTTTAATGCCCTCAAATTCTGCTCCATAACCCCAATCTTATCAATAGAGGGAAAATAAAATAGCTTATCAATATAGTTATCATGCCTAGATTCGTCAATAATTTGGCTCGGCCTATAAGTAAGGGTTCGGTCCTTGCCCATTTCCATCATAATTTCTTGCTCGATTAGGTATGAAGACACCATATCAAATGAGACTTTCCCAGTGTTGTGGACGTCAATTCTGTAGAAGTTGTCAATTAATTGCGAAACCAAAATTTCGTCGTCAATTTTGATTTGGTCAGCTATAACTTCCTTCATAACAACAACAAAATCTTCAATCCCCAAAGCCTGGTCTGGGAATTTATCCATATCGAGCTTTAGCCTCATGAGTCTTCCCGAGTTCATAATATTGTTTAAGTCGACATTGTTGGTATCCGCCTGAATCTGAGATTCAATTGTTTCCTCTTCTTCAAAAGTTTCATCTTTGTATATGTTTTGGCGGATTTTTTTGGCAAAAACACTTTTGGATAAAATTGCTGAAGGCTGTAATTGCTCTATGTGGGACTGAGGCTGATCATATTCTTCATAATCATCAGGCTCGTCCTGTAGAGGGAAAACAGTGTTTCCTCCTCTTCCTTGAGGGGAAAAGGTGAATTGTTCAATTATTTTGTTGAGGGTGTCGTTCATAGCAGGAGACCTTCCTGAACTGATAACGGAGATGTCGTTGAGAGAAGGCATGTCATAGCGTTTATCCATTTAAATTTATTTGCATTTCATTATGAATTTTGCTCTTTTAATGAATTTCATCAACCATGATGCCTATAGAATTAATAATTCTTCTATAAGTGCTTACATTTCTCTTTTTATTTTCTATCTAATTTGATATCATATTATTGATTGATACGTGAAATAAGGCGGCGAAGCAAATAAAATAAAACGAATTAGCATAGCTTTCAAAGAAATTTCGTAGAAATTCAACTCTCATCTTTTAATATCCAAAGAGAATTAATATACTTAACTTAATATCATTATGCTACTTTTAAACCTTTAAGTAAATTATGAATTTCATTGAAGTTTATTATGATAAAAAGAGTAAAGAATAAACGAACAGGCCCATATAATTATGAAGAAAAGAATGACATAGGAATGGTGACAGGACTGCTAATTACTAAAGCCTACAGTAGAGATCCGAAATTAACCAGTCTTGAAAGGGACTATGTTTGATTTTGCAGAAAAACCATTTGGTCAAGCACAGCATTGCCTTTATTAACAGGCTTGATTACTTTTGTGTTCATTGACTGACTCCCCTTTATTTCTATGTGTCATTTTTATGTCCGCTGACCCATTAAACTAGGATCTCTTCTCACATTTTGATCACTAGGAGCAAGCGAAGCAAATAAAAGAATTTTGGAGTTCCCATTAATAGAAACAGTCACAGTAAACGGCCTTCTCAAATATAAAGAATGGATAGATGTGACTCCCAAAGATTAAGTAATAGAGATATAATGATTAAATTGACACTTATTTTGATATGTCTTTTAACTACATCTAGAGCAGCAACAATATCATCGGTTTCAGTAAGCACCTCAAATCGGGCTATTAGGGTGCAAGCGAATTATTATTTTGCGATAAAGATTGTTAATACGATACCTTCTGGGGGACAGATAAAGGCCACTTTTCCATCGGTTTTTACGCAGCTGCCAACAGGGGGAATTCAGTGCTCGATTACAGCAGTGACAGCAGCATCGAGTGTGCAGTGTGCCTTTTCAGGGCAAAATTTGATAATAACTGGCTGCTTTCCAACAACAGATACTACAATTACCTTCGATGTCTATGGAATTACAAATCCTAGCACCAGCGTGACATCAGACTCTTTTGCTATTTACACATACGGATCTAGCTCTAATTCGCTAGACCAAGTGACCTCAGGGCCTACTATCACTTTTACAAGCATCAGTTTATTAAATGCTCAATTAGTAACAGGATCCCAAGTTAGCGGAGAATTATCAAGTTGAACCATTTTTCTTCAGACTAACTATGAGGTCCCTTCTGGTGGGCAAATCCAAGTGAAATTTCCTTATTGGAATCAAAACATAGCTACCTCGAATTTCAAACCTTTTTGCACACTTCTCCAGGGTTATTTGTTTTAAATTTATATATAAATTTTATAGGAAATTATTTTTTCGAAATTTAAAAAAACTCATTATTTAAAAATTTGAAAGCAAATAATTTTTTAATTTATGCTTTTAAAATGCAATTTGTTCAAAATTAAACAGAATTAGCTAGAGATTTCATTATGCTAATTATCACTTATATAAATTTTTGTAATGAATATTTTTATATTAACAAAATTTTTGTTCGCTAGATAACAAAACCATTGAAAAAAATCCCTATTTTTTGATTAAAAATCCACCTCCGCAAACGGAGGTGAGAGTCAGGAACTTTAACTTGCATTGGGATTAACAGTAAGAGATAATTAGATTTTGATAGCTCCCCCTCTTGCTATTGTAGTAACAATATACTTTATATTTCTGGTGCATCTAGTACCAGTGGATTGATACAGATTCAAGTCAATAGCATTTTAAACCCTCCAAATACAGACACCATGACTGGATTTTCAATTTCTACAGCTCAAGGGGGAGGTATAATTGAAACTATGCCAAGCATTAGCGTTTCAGTTACAGAGCCCAATGAGCTAACTATTAGTGATATTTATGTGGACAACTCACAAGTTAATGCGATTACTAATTATCAAATTAGTTTAGAATGTAGTAGCCCAATACCAAAAAACGCAAATTTGTATATATTTTTCCCCAGGCTGGATATACATAAAATGGCGGACGGCGACCGACCCACCCTCTCAGTGGTGGTTACCCATGTATATCCGGGCATGGTTTTTGGAGCCAGGAGTTAGCCCAACAACGTCTGGGACCTCGAAGCGAGAGGCCTAAGCGCGAGAGCCGCTGCTTTTTCGACCAGACCCATGGGCAGTTACTCGTGACTTCTTTTTGCCAGCAGCGCTCAGCCCAGTGAGTGCCCGAAATGAGGCAGGGTGAATTACCTGCCTAAGCTGCTTTTGTGGCTCGCCCCGAATGGCGAAAGCTGTTGAGTTCTTTCTCGGGATGACCGGAAAAGAGGGGAAGGCCAGCTAGACAACTAAACGGGGGTCTCTCCAGTTGAAAAGGTGCCCTTCAATGGGCAGATCTGGCGGACGACGCGGCAGTGTTGGCGTAAACTTAGGCGACGATCCAAGTTGGGAATGGAGGCGGCCAGCAAAGCCGGTATAAGACGGCCCTTGACAATGCCTCTACCGAGAAACCGGGGGTTTCGGCCCGGGCTTGGTGAACGCTCTGCCACCACACGGGAAACCGTGGAATGCTTCCTCGGACGTAGTAGGGACCTTAAATACCCAGCGTAATCTTAATCTTATATTTTTCCCCAGGCTGGAGTTTACTTTAGGAAGCTCAGTTGATACAACAATTTCAAGCTTTAGTGGGCTGACAATATCGCCTACATATTCTATTTCAGATAATGAAATTACTATTACAGGAAGCTTTAACAGCTATCTTGATCCTCTTTATCCTATTGGCTTTCAAGTCTCAAACATAAAAAATCCTTCCACATGTGCTCCTTCTTCTAATATTACAGCAGCAATACAAACGAGCTCTGGTGGTTATATTTGCCAAACTTCTACAGGATTCAGCCTTCAGTCTACATCAGGGACAATTTCTAGTGTTTCTATAACTCCATTGGACTATACGATAAACTCAAACACAATTTATTCCTTCCAATTTACCCCAAATGATGGAATTCCTATTAACGGTGCCATAAAAATTACAGCTCCCAGCCAAGTGACTTTTGTGAATAGATCTAAAAGAGGATGCTATTATATTCAATCTGGGCTCAGCTCAAATGCATTATGTGAAGTAACTGATTCTAAATTTTTATATATAACTCAAGGTTTTAAATCTGCTTATACATCAGGGGTTGTTGCGTTTAAGATAAATAATATAATAAACCCAAGCTTGGCAGTTGAAACTGATAGTTTTCTGATAGAAACATATAGTAGTGAGAGCTTCAGTTACTTAATTGATACTGACCAAACAGTAAAAATATCACCAACATCAGCTATTTTATCAAGCGTAATCATTACTCCAAGTTCGATTATTACAGGAGATATTACTTCCTATACATTTAGTATTCAAACAAGCAGCCCAATACCTCAAGGAGGTCAAGTGAAAGTAAATTTGCCTACTGAAATTTCTATCACTGATACAACTAAAACTTGTAGTAATGGGATTGGGTTTAGTAATTGATTCAGTTGTGTGCTTACGACGTCATCAATTGTTATTGAGAATGGTTTTCAATCAGGTTCCTTTATGCCTGGGCAGCTTTCCTTTGTGCTTGATGGTATTAAAAATCCAGTGACTACACAGCCATCATCGACTTTTCAAGTGTTTACTATTTATGATAATACAGTTATAGATTCATTAACTTCAGGCATTATTATCACGATGGAAGTTCCTCATACAATGTCTGGATCAATAACTCCATCAAGCTATAAAGTCGGTGACACCGCTAGCTATCAGTTTTTATTGCAACCTTTTAACCCTCTTCCAATATCTACTTCAATTCTTATCTCTCCTCCTTCCAGCTGAAACTTCCCATCAACTATTGGCTGCACTTCTTCAGGAAATAATATAAGCTCAATTTCATGCACACTTCAAGGATCTTCTCTTTTGCTATCTCTCACCCTTTCTTCATCATCTGCAAGCCAAATTTCTTTGACTGTATCATCTGTAATAAACCCATCGTCAACTACCCCTACAAATTCATTTTCATTGACCACAAAGTCAGGCTCTTATCTAATTGATTCAATTTCTTCAGATCTAGCTTTGCAGATGACGACCGTTGGAGACTTAAAGCAAGTCACTATCACTCCGAATGATTATGGGATTTCTATTATAACCGACTATTCCTTTGTATTTATCACTACAAATATGGTTCCTTCAGGTGGGTATTTAGAGCTGTTAATTCCTAAATCTATAACAATTACGTCGTCAACCAAATGCAAGTCAAATAATTACGTGTCATGCACTCTTCAAGGAACTAATACACTGCTAGTTTATCTATTTTCATCATATACATAAAATGGCGTATGGCGACCGACCCACCCTCCCAGTGGTGGTTACCCATGTATATCCGGGCATGGTTTTTGGAGCCAGGAATTAGCCCAACAACGTCCGGGACCTCGAAGCGAGAGGCCTAAGCGCGAGAACCGCTGTTTTTGCGACCAGACCCATGGGCAGTTATTCGTGACTTCTTTTTGCCAGCAGCGCTCAGCCCAGTGAGTGCCCGAAATGAGGCAGGGTGAATTACCTGCCTAAGCTGCTTTAGTGGCTCGCCCCGAATGGCGAAAGCTGTTGAGTTCTTTCTCGGGATGACCGAAAAGAGGGGAGGCGAGTTAGACATCGAGACGGGGGTCTCTCCAGTTGAAAAGGTGCCCTTCAATGGGCAGATCTGGCGGACGACGAAGCGGAGTTGGCGTAAACTTAGGCGACGATCCAAGTTGGAAATGGAGGTGGTCAGCAAAGCGGTATAAGACGGCCCTTGACAATACCTCTACCGAGAAACCGGGGGTTTCGGCCCGGGCTTGGTGAACGCTCTGCCACCACACGGGAAACCGTGGCATGCGACCTCGGACGTAGTAGGGACCTTAAATACCCAGCGTAATCTTAATCTTAATCTTAATCTATTTTCATCGACTTTTTATGCTGGACAAATAACTTTTACTATAGAATCTTTACAAAACTATAATCAGGCTGCTACTTCTGACCCTTTTATGTTTACCACAAAGACATCTACTGGGTATTCTATTGACAGTTATAGTGGAAATCCAATTACTTTTATATGCTATTCTCCTTGTGAAGCATGTAGTACCTATCCAACAGCTTGCACTTCGTGTATAAGTGATTCAAATTACCCTTATTATTGAAATGGAGCTTGCTATGAAACTTGTCAGACTGGCTGAATAGATCTTTCAAATACTAAAACTTGCACCAAATGTAGCTCAAATTGTAAAGCTTGCAGCGGAAGTGAGAGTAACTGCATATCATGCACTGAACAAAGTCCTTATTTAATAGAGGGCAGATGTTCTTCTATTTGCCCAACTGGCTATTTAATTACAGAAGACAATCAATGCTTAAAATGTGATATAATTAGCTTCAAAGAATATTTCATAACTAAAAATATTTAATTTTAATGCCCTATTCAGAAGAAAAATTATACAAGCTGTTTATCATGTTCAGGAGAAACAACAAACTGCAGCTCATGTCCTTCCCCAAAAAAATTATATTCAGGAACCTGCATTGACAACTGTGAAGCAAACACAATGGTCGAAATTTCTAATGAATGTTTCAACTGTAATGTTAATTGTGAACAATGCAGCCTTTTCCCTACAAACTGTACCAGCTGCCAGAATGGACAAATTCTTTGAAATAACGTCTGCGTTTCTACATGTCCAACTGATATCGCTGTAACTATAGATAGAGTTTGCCTTAGTTGCGATAAATCATGCAAAACCTGTGCAGGCTCAACATCATCTTGCACATCTTGCAATGATGGTTTTTATTTATATAGCCAGCAGTGTCTGCAAAATTGCCCCAGTGGGTATACAAAAATAGACACTGTTTGTGAGAAATGCTCTGCAAACTGCCAAGAGTGCAGTGGGACAGTCGATAATTGTATTGAATGCGAAACAGGGAAGTATTTATATGATGGAAATTGCGTGTCATATTGCCCATCAGCTGTTACTATAGTTGATGGAAGCTCCTGCATTGACTGTAAAAGCACTTGCAAAACTTGCAGCGGAAGTATTGATAGCTGTGTAACTTGTCCTTCTAATAAATATTTTTATATGAATCAATGCTTATCTTCATGTCCTGTTGGAACATTGCCCACAAATGGAGAATGTGAAACCTGCAATTCTAACTGCAAAACCTGTGAAAATTCAAGCTCAAGTTGCACAGCTTGTGAAAACTCAAAATTTTTATACAGAAATGAATGCCTTGAAGAATGTCCTAGCCATTCAGCAAAAATCAATGAGACTTGTGTAGACTGTGAGCTTCCTTGTATAAGCTGCGACATTTCTGCCACAAATTGCACACTGTGTGAGAATTCATATTACTTATATGAGGGAAGCTGTTTATTGCAATGCCCTGAAGGAAATATAGCTTATAAAGGAAAATGCGTTACAACAGCTTTAAAACCTGGAGAATGTGCTATTGGATGTGGGATCGCTGAGCTTGGAAATAAGGTTTGCGACCCTGAATGCAATGTAAAGGCATGTGATTATGATAATGGGTTATGCTTGGCCTCTCAATCAGATAGTAACGATAAAGCAAACTATTCTACAAATTTTTACTTTGAAAAGGTGCCTTTTCCCACTACAATTGCGAGCGTTTCGTCTATAGGAGTTGCAACTGCAGGGAAAATATTAGCTGGAAGCTTTATAATGCCTTCAGCAGTCGCTTTAGGAGGTATTATTGAGTCCTGCAGCTGAGCTATAGTGATCAATAGCTTATGAAATACTAATTCTACTCATGGCAGAGAGCTACTTGAGTCAAAAAATGAAAGTATTGAAATATCATTTTATTGGATTATTGGGGTTATCATTGTTCATATCTTGCTGAACGCTTTGTTTTTAGCATATTACTTCCTTTCTTATTGCAGAAAAGATGATGAGCATTGCAAATGATTAAAAAGTAACTTTATTGTTACCACTATAGTCATATTTTTATCACTTGTGGTGTCATTTAAATTTATAAGATTTTTCTATACAAATATTCCGAAAATTGAATCAAGTCAAGCGATATTTACTACATATGCTACCTTATATATGCCTCTTGCAATATTCACTGTTATCAGCTTTATTTTAACAACTTTACCTATCTGTGGAGTCATGATATATAATTTATTCATTTTTTCACCAGGAAATGTAATATTTTCTCAATCGTTGGATAGCTTGGTAGTGACTGCATTTATTGCATTTATTTCTTTTATTGAAATTGCTCTTATGGTTTTTGAAATTGGAAAAGAAAAATCTGGGGTAATAAATCAATAATAAATTAATGCATTTGTAACTAATAATATTAACATTCAATAAAAAATATCTTTTAATATGAAATAAATTTTCTATCTGTTTTAAATTAATGGCCTTTACCAATCCTTAAAAGCAGCTTTAAATTACTATAAAATGTTTAATTTTAATTACTTGAAGTATAAATTTGATAATAATTTAGTATTTTCAGGGGCTATTTAATTATGAATACTCCAATTAGCGAATTAAAGTTCAGTATTGATCAGAGTCAAGTAAATAAAATGAGAGTAAACTTTAGGGTAAATTAGAAGAGTAATTGATAAATAATACTCATTACCAAATTAATTTATTTTAATTTTGTTTATATATTTCTTAATAACAAGCAATTATGGAATAAATTAAATAAGTCTGAATAGCACACTATATACTATGTTTATCATGGCCCGAATTATCATCTTTCAACAAAACTTATTAGCATTTAATTATAATGGAATTAGTTCAATCGAATAAATTTTTTGAACTAAATTAATATCTTTTCTTGTTAGTGCAAAAGCTATAAATATAAAGTTACATTAAAATAATTTTATCTAATATAGCTAATTGTGATTTAGTCACCTAGAATATGACTCTTTATTCTTCTCATTGCTAAATTCCTTAGAGATAATTTCTTTTGTACTTTATTCTTAAATTCAAAATATGGGTTTTAATATATGCTTTAATTTAGCTTATATGAATTGAGATTAAATTGTATTTACTTATACATAAATATTATTTCAATTAACCATATAAAAAATAAATTTTTCCAATTTATTATAAAAATATTTACTTTTTGGATGTCTACTAGCAATTTGACTACAGTAAAGTGTTTTAATTTATAAAGTTTAATTGATTTGATTTTCCCCATTTTCGTACCACTCTTGAACCTTTAATTTCTTTAGTCCATTTGAGGGTTTTTTTTCTGTCCTCTGCATCAATCTTCGAACGTATTTAACATCATTCGCCTTGAAGCATTCTTGTTCCAAATATCGTATAATAATTTGAAAACCTTTTAAAGCGCTCCGGCGATCTATCTTGTCATATTCATCTTCTTCCTCTTCACTTATAACTTGCTCAATAATATCATCATCATTTAATAAATCTCTGATGCTATTTGCGTTATTTTCCTGCTCTAAATACTCTTGAAGTTCGCTTTCTTCCAGCTCTAAAACTTTTTTGGCATCGATTTTAAGCTCATGTATTGAATTTTCATTATTTTCAGGTATTGCCTCTGGATTTATGCCTAGCTTCCTTCAAGCAGACTTTATAGTAGTTTCAGGAATACAATTCCAGCCTTCAGAAAGGTTAATATTGCACTGATTTATGTCGTATGAAGACAGGAATTGAATAATGCTTTTTTTGTCCTTTTTGTTATCTTTATAATATTTAAATAGCTGCTTAAGAAAATTTTCTTTATAATTTCGCTTGAAAGATGAAATAATTGACTGGCTCATTGGCTGCAATAAAAGTGTGGTATTGTTAGGAAAATAAAGAATTTTTAGATTTTCATTTTCCTTTTCTGAAGTGAGCAATGTATGAATTTTAGAGTTTTCTAAAAGTAGTAAGGCTTTGGTTGGCAAATTTATGGACTGTAGATGTGTTGCTATTGCTGGAATAAATGTATTTTTCAGCCAATTTTTAAATTTAAAATTCGTCATTTTCCCATTTGTTTCGCTGCATTTTTGGTTTTCAGTAATAAATAAAGGTAGCCTATGCGTTCCAGCTGTATTGCAACAAAGTAAAATGCTAACCCTGCTTTTCAGTATCTTATAATCATGAGTTTCATTTAAAATTTGTGCACTTTTACTTGGTAGAATTTTTCAAAATAAGCTTGTTTCGTCACAATTATAAATTTGTTCAGCTGAATAGTTTTCTTCTATAATAACTCTATTGAGTTCTTTGATAAAGCTTGGGATTTCTTTTATTGATGCTGATAGCTGATCTCCACAGGTATCGACATTTTTTATTCCGTATCTTGACTTAAATTCAGTAAGCCATCCATATGAGCCGGAAAAACTGCTTTGGTCTCCTGTAAGCGCTTCAATTTTATTTTGTAGTTCTTTGGCTTTTTCCATCATAAGGCTGTCAGAAATAGGTAAGCCGATGCTTCTCCATTGGTTAATTCAGATAAGAAGAGCTTTATCAAGATGAGGATTTTGGTTTTTTTGCTTTTTTTTTGGCTTTCAAGGCCCTTTTTGGTCAAAAGATTTGCATAAATAATTTTTAATTTTTTCTGCTTGCTTTATAATGTTGCATACGGATGAATCACCAGCCCCATAATCTTTTGTAAAGTCTTTTCTTTTAATTTTGGGTTTAGAATTACCGTTACTTGAAAGAGTTTTTTCTTCATTTTGTTCTCTGGGAGGAGAAGCTGCTTTATTTCTTTTATTGCTGGGGAGTTTATCGGGAGATAACTTTTCGACAACGCACAGAGGGTGATGCTCAGAAGATTTTGATTTTTGCATTATAGAAAAATTTTAGGCTTCAAATTCTAAAGATCCCCCTTTTAATAAATAAGTTTTAAAAAATACTCAGTTGTAAGAAACATTTAAAATTAAGATAAAAAACATTTGTTTAGCAACTAATTTTAGCGTCACTTAGCCATCCAATACAATTTATATCATAATTTTTAATAGAAGATATTGCTTTAAATTTGTAATACATATAAGATTTAATGATTTAGCAGTAATGAAATAACTCATATTTATTATTATTTAATAGCAACTTGTTAAATTAACAATAAATTTGAGAGGCAAACTATTTTCATCCAAACTTAACCCTTTGCAAGAATATGAGAAACAAATTAACATATTCAGTTCAGCAATTAAAAGGAAAAGATTTAGGGCACTATTTAAATATAGCAAGTCTTATTTTTTATTTAAGAAAAAATTAAGATAGGTTTTTAAACCAAGGACAAAATTCAGAGTTTTATATAAGGATGCTATTTTTATAGCCTTCAAAAATAGCTAGAATAAATTAATATAATCTCCCATATTTCCATTAGAACTCTTCAGAGTAATTTTATTACCATTTTTACCTTTTATAAAATTATTGCAACATGAGTATTAAATTTAAATTTAAATCTTTAACCACTAATATAATTAAATGTTCTTAGTAAGCTTTATCTTGCTTTTTACCTCTGGAGCTTCAGCTTACATTAAGATCCCACTTAAAAGTATCTCCCATGACTCTGGGCATTTGGCAATGGAAAATTTTTCAACAAATTCGTCAATGCTTGACTGAGCCCCAACTGCATACCTGAAGAATTATATAAACATGCAATATTATGCCCAAATTTACACTGGCTCTCCTCCAAAGCTTTTTAATGTTCATATCAGCACAGCTTCTCCATGGCTGTGGATACCTTCAACCGAGTGCCAATACTCATGCCATAAATGCTCCAATTATTTTGAGTGCAATCATAGCTCTACCTACGATTTACTCTCTCAAAACTACAAAATTCATTATGGGACTGGCTTTATCCAAGGGGATTTATCTAGCGAAAGTTTTTCTATTGGTGATAATAAAGCTTTATTCATTAAAAACCAGACATTTATTTTAGTAAATCAAGACGGTGGGTTTAATGATGCAATTTATGATGGGATTTTAGGCTTAGAGTACAACTCACGCTGGCTTAAATATCCAACTTTCCTTGATAATTTAAAGCAACAAGGACAAATTTCCAAAAAAATATTTTCGATATTTTTGTCTGATAATGGATTTTTTGGAAATTTCAATGACGGCTCTGCAATTATTTTTGGCGGATTTGACTTAGAAAGTTTTTCACAAAGTCAAGAAGTTAAGTATGTGGACTTATTTCAAAATAATGGAAGATGGGAAGTGTCGCTATCAGATTTAGTAGTGAGCAATGAGCAAGTAACAAATAGACATTTTGAAGCGCATTTTGGAATTGGAGTAGGGCTAATATACGCCCCTCAAAATGAATTTAACAGCATATATAAAGGGCTCTCAAAGGCTGGAAAATGTGGGATTGAAAATAGCTTTGTTGTATGCGAATGCGCTGGGGATTATAAGGTCGAAGATTATCCTTCAATTAGCTTTGTACTTGGATCAACTCACAGATTTAGCTTAGAATCACAAAATTACTTTTATAAGTATGGATCAAAATGCTATTTACTTTTTGGAGTCAATTCTGTAGAGTATGGATGGATCATTGGAGATGTTTTTATGAGGAAGTATTATACAATATTTGATGCAGATTATGGAAGAATAGGGCTTTCTCTTGCCAAAATCAAAAAATTTATGAAAAATACTGAGTTTCTCAAAGCCGGTGATCTCGATGATGAGTCATCAGTACAGTCAGGTTATGGATTGCCCAAAATATTGAAAAATAGTTATTTTGCAGAAGCAAATCTTATTGATGCTATCAGCATTTCCTGCTCTATGACAGGTATTGGGCTGCTTCTTGGACTTGCTTATTACTTACACAATAAAAGAGGTGATATTGATGAGGGATTTTATTATAAAATAAATCCATAGCAATTAATTAAAAATTTAATTTCAAAAATAATAAACATCTTTTATATTAATTATATAAAAATTCTTTGCATTTTAATTAATATTTATATAAGCACAATTATTAAAAAAAATTTTTGAATCATGACGCTAAACATGAATACTTTAAAAAATAATAATAAATAATTTGCTATGAACTTTGGTTTAAGATCTATGCTTATTTTCCTAAATTTTGATTTAACTAATTTTCTTTATTAAAATTGCCATTTTAATTGTTTTTGTTCTTTTACAAATAAATGTTAATAATAAATTTAATGATGAATCAAACAAATATATCCCTGGCATTAAACTTATAAATAAATGACCTTTATAAGCATTGCCGTGCTTCTTATAGCTGCATCATCTGCTTATATTAAGATTCCTCTCAAGAACCTTGCTGAAAATCCAAAGCAATTAATCGTCGAAAATTATTCCACCAACCCGTCCACTGTAGAATGGACACCCACCTCCTACCTGAAAAACTACATAAATATGCAATATTTCGCACAAATTTACATCGGCTCACCTCCACAGCTATTTAATGTACAAATAAGTACGGCATCTCCTTGGTTATGGATCCCCTCAACAAAATGCCAATTCTCATGTCATAAATGTTCCAATTACTTTGATTTTCTCCTCAGCTCGAGTTATAAACTACTCTCCCAGAACTATAAAATCTATTATGGGGCTGGATTCATCCGAGGAGACTTAAGCAGCGAAAGTTTTTCTATTGGCGACAATAAAGGGTTATTCATTAAAAATCAGACATTTATTTTAGTAAATCAAGACGGTGGATTTAATGATGCAATTTATGATGGAATTTTAGGACTGGAGTATAACTCTCAGTGACTTAAATATCCAACCTTCCTTGATAATTTAAAGCGGCAAGGGCAAATTTCAAGAAAAATCTTTTCAGTATTTTTGTCTGACAATGGATTTTCTGGAATCCAAAGTGACGGCTCTGCAATTATTTTTGGGGGATTTGATCTCGAGAGTTATTCAGAAAATCAAGATATCCAATATGTTGATTTATTGCAGAATAATGGAAGATGGCAAACATCATTATCCGAGTTAAAGGTGGATGGCGATCAAATTACAAGCAGAAATTCTGAAGCAACATTTGGAATTGGAATTGGCTTAATGTATGCTCCACAAGCGGAGTTTAATAGCATATATAAAGAGCTTTCTGATGAAGGGGACTGCTGGATAGAAAATAGCTTTGTTCTATGCGATTGTGGAGAAAGCTATAAGCTTGACGATTACCCAGAAATTAGCTTTGTCCTTGGGTTAGACCATAAATTTACGTTAGAGCCTCAAAATTACTTTTATAAGTATGGATCAAAATGCTACTTACTTTTTGGGGTAAATCCTATAGAGTACGGGTGAATTATTGGAGATGTTTTTATGAGAAAGTATTATACAATTTTTGATGCAGATTTTGGAAGAATTGGACTTGCTCTTGCAAAAACCAGAAAATTTGTTAAAGCAGTAGATTATGTTGCCTATGATAAAAATGAAGCGAATTTAAGTGAGGAAACCTTTCTTAAAAAGAGCGAAATTGCATATCAAAATAGCAATTCTGATGGAATTTCAATAAAAAATGCTGATGTTTTTATTTATCAAGCTTGCTTCTTAGTCGTTTTTGGGATATCCATATCATTTATTTGCTGTATATGCAATAGAAGAAGTGATGAAGAAGCCTCTTATTATGAAAAGATTTATGCTTAATATCTTTAACTCCTCCAAATTAACAAATTATCAATTCTATATTTTTTAACTCATGATTAAATAATTTTAGATATTATTTAAAATTCAGCATTAAAAATTAAATAGACTGGAATGGTTTAGAAAACCTTTTTCTATATAAAAAATTCATTATAATCCTTTTCTTATTTTCATTTACCTTAAGATGTTGCAAATATTTTTTTTGGATATAAAACCTTTAAAAGATCGCTTTATAAGTTAACACAAATTGATAAAAAGCTAGAAGAAGATAAGTAAACTTTTAAAACGTTTAGATTTGTGGTTCTATTAAAATAAAGAATTATTAATGATAAAAATATAAGAGTTAAGAATCAATCTTTTAGATTTTTATTGATATAAATAAAAGTAGAAAATATGAAATTCAATGCTTTTAGAAAATATTTATAAAAGTATAAAAAGGGCCGCTCCGGGAATCGAACCCGGGACCTCTCGCACCCAAAGCGAGAATCATACCACTAGACCAAGCAGCCTCACACGAGTTTATCTTTTCTTTTTTATTTATATTGCAGCCAACACTCCTTAATTAACCTTTCCTTTTTCTTTATTCGTTACGGTTTTCTATTATTAAATCCATTCCACTATCATTCTATTCAATAAATATCTATTTTTCAGTTAATCCCATTAAAAATGTCACAACAAGCTTCACGAGCTGATTTTGTCCCAAGGCGTTATGGCTTATATCCAATATAATGAATAGAAAAAATTTATTTACTATTTTTCTATTATAAATACAATGATAATCTACTATTCGAAATTTCAATTAACTATTCATTGTATACAATACTCCCCTCCAGCAATAGTCCTTGAATATTTTGTACCCTCGAAAAATAAGCTTTATCACCACAAAATGGACTTAAGAGAACTTGATCCTGCTCATGACCCTGAAGATTGATTGAATTTTCTCAAGCAAAATCATGGGATATATATTGATTCACGTATTGTAGACGAGCCACAACTTATTAATCTAATTGAACATCTTCAGAGTCAAATTTCATCAGGCGGAATTGATTTCAATAACCTATCTCCTGAGGAACTTGAGGAATATCGACGACAAATGAACGAAATGTATGGATCCGAAGAAGAAGAAAATTGGCTCTATGCTATTTGATCGGCTTTTTGATAAATAGAAATTTCCTCGGGAATTTTGTTCGAAAATTTTTCTTCGTGAGACATTTGCTCGGAAAAACCATCAAATTTTGATCAAATGTTTATGAGGAAAAAATTTCGACCAAATATCACAGAAGAAATGTCTCACTATCAAAAAGCCCAGAGAAAAAGCATGCACCTCGAAAATCATAGATTTTATGGAAATGAAGAAGAATTTGAAAGCGATGAAGAGAATAGCGGAGATTTAAGCTTATAAATAAATGAATTGTTTTTAAATGATAAGGTGAAGGGAGATTCCCGGGCGATGTGGAAAGTGTAGCAGTGAAAATTAAAATAAGATAAAAATTAATATAAAGATATTCTTTACTCCTCTCCATCCTTGATTGGACATTTCCATTTAAAAATTTTCTAAAATTGAGGAATTAATCATCTCCCTCTGAACGATTTTCATATGGTCAAGCATGAAGCTGACTCCCCTTCCACCGTCTAAAATTAATTACTATCTTTGATAGTAATGAATGTTGGAGATTATTTGGTATAATCACTTTTTAGCAATTATAATGCAATTTCTAAAAAATGGATACTCTCTCTGCGAAAAAAATTAACATCAATTTTTTTTTAACCCAATTCTTGATCTAATTATTTCGATAGGTGAGATCAAGGATGGAGAGAGTTAGAAAAATAATTATTGCTATATAAAACGTAAATAGCTGTTCTATTATTGGCTTTTTAAAAGTTTTATTAAACAGCATAATTCAAGATTGATTATGCAACCGCGAATATTTTTAATATATATGCGTTCACATTGCATCATAAATTTTATCAAAATTGTTTTCTGGCCTGAGCAATAACCCACATTAAAATAATCCTAATAAATTTACAAAAAATATGAGTAATTATGCCATTGATGTGACAAACAATCGAGTCAAACAAATCATGGAAGAGCAAGGCATTGAAGAAGACGAGCTTCTAAATAAGTAATTCTTATGTAGGAACTTAGAAGATTTCGCTGATCCTCGAGTAACGCCTGAAATCCAGCAACTCAGATTTGAATACTACACCAATAAGCTTAAAGAAACAGTTAAGCGTATCCGTGATATCTTAAAAGACAGAACCATGACTATTATAGCCCATACCTCTATATAGATTTCTTTATCGAGTAAAATGGAAAATAAAGTTGAGCGGCCAAGACAGATTCTATCAAAGGGATGAACTAGTTCTCTAGACTAGGGAGGGTTAAAAAGTAGCATGTCAAAAAGTGATTGACAAGCCTTAGCCTCTAAAAATATTTACAATAAGTTCTGGATGGCTATTTGCAGCAGAATTATTAGCATATCATAAGTATCTGCACAAAACAAAGTGCCCGGCCATTTCTATTTCCGCACAAATAATAATTTAGCTAGCTTTAATTAATTAATGTATATTTTTAAATATTTTTGAAACTTTGTTTTGGTAAGATTATAACACACTATTATTATGGGTCATTAAGAACTTTATTAAAAACAATCAACATAAATACAAACTTTGGCTTTTATAGAGGAATTGGTCATAATCAAATTGGCATTGTTTATTAAAAATCTATCCTTCCTCAAAAGGCAGCTCGATTGATAAGTTTTAAATTTTAAATTCATTTAAATTTGCGAAAGAATATATTATGAGTCATTAAGAGGTTCATAAAGAGCATTCAGTGTTCAATAAAAACTTTGACTTTATATATATAGAAATTTCCCATAGATGGCGCAGTTTGCCCTTGATTTGCCCACTGTGAAAATTTTTTGGTTCGACCAGTACCATATGGTTTGGTCAAACCAAAAAATTTTTCAGTGGGCAAACAGCGCCATCTATGGGAAAATTCTATAGCATTTGATCATAAAATATTGGAATGGCTTATTTGAGAATCTATTTTTTATGAGCACTAATTAATGTAAATATTTAAATTTTATAATGATTATTTAAACTTATTTCTTGCTTGGACTTAAATTTTATAGTAAGATATTTACCAGGGCAGTCTAAAAGCATCTTAAATTTAAAAATAATTTAATAATAAAACCATTTTAAAAATTGTCGAGTTTGTTTGTCAACTTTGTTCATATTTATAAACCATTTTTGACATACACTTTTTAACACTTCTTGGAATAGAGATCCAGTTTGTCCCTTTAATAGAGTCTGTCTTGGTCGCTCAACTTTCTATTACACTTTGCTAGACAAATAAATCTATATAGTGGTATGGGCTATATAAGGCGTAACAGTCTTCCTGATCTTCACCAATCTCACAATAGCAATTCTATATCCACTGAAAGAACGACCCCAAAGTTTCAAGACCTTGCAAGAGCTGAAGAAGATCGTCTCAATAAACTAAAAGAAAAGCAAAAGAAGATGCTAATTACAACCTTATCAATGCTAGAAAAAATTGATGAAGTAGAGAAACCAATCAAAAATAAAAGAAAAAGCTCATCACCTATTTTAAGTCCTCATGATATGAATAAAAGCTTGAAATTTAAAGAAAAAATCGAATCTTTTAAAAAAATACAAGAAGAAAAATTCAAAGAAAAGAAAAAAGAGCAGATGCAAAAGCAAAAAAACTTGTATGAGAAAATTATTATAGATATGAAAAACCACAGCGAAAGAGAACAAATAATAGAGCAGCAGAAAAAAGAAGCAGCCAAAGAAAGAGATGAAGCACTGAAAAGAAAGCAAGAAGAAATAAAAGCTGTGAAAGAAGGAGAGGAGATTATGAATGAACATCGAATTCAAGAAGAGTTGGATTTGATGCAAGAGAAGATTATGAAATCTGAAGAAAAATATGTTAATGAAAGAGAGCAAAAATTGTCAAAAACTCTTGGCTTGCGGAAATTTTGGGACCTTGTACTGGGGAATTTAGATAAATTAAAGCAAACCCATGAAGTTGAAGATGTACTCAAATTAATTGAAAAACAAGAGAAAGTAAAAAAAAGAAGAGAAAAAATCCAGAAAAAGTTAGAAGAAGAAGTCAACAAAAGACGAGAAAAAATGGAAGCAAGAAAAAGAGCTGCCCAAGTAAAGGTAGCAAATGATGAAAAAGAGCTTTATAAAAAAGTGAATTATTTAGAAAAGAGACTAACAGCATCGCAGAAAAATTTAGCAATGAAGCAAGATGAATGAAAAAAAGAAGTCATGCTGAGAAAAGAATTGCAAAGGCTAAAAGAACTGGATGGGATTACAAAAGTTGAAAGAGCCAATAGAAGACTGGTAGGAAATATTTAGAAACTCAAAAAAATGCAAATGCTTGAAAAGCAATTGATGACAAGCCAAAGAATTGACGCTCTGAAGCTAGAAAAAGAAATGATTTTGAATAAAAAGAGGTAAAAATTAGGAAGGGAAATAGCTACTAAAGAGATGATACAAAGAGAAAAAATGAAAGAAGTATTTGCCGTTGTATGCAGATCTCCGAAATCAAGAACAGCTCAAGAGCAGCTTAGAATGCTCGATATATTGAAAAAGAATTCTGATAGTGAAGAAGAAGCATAATTAATAGTTTTATAAATTACATTACTAAGCTGCACTTCTGAAGTTTTTTTCATTGCTTTTTGAGTCCTTTCTACATTTCTTGAGAGTTACCAAAAATTCCCACAAATTATCATCAGGAAGATCCAAAACTTTTGGAGTTTCATACAAAATTGCTTTATTTTCTATAGAGAAAATTGCATCAACTGTTAGCTCCAGTGCATCATTTACCATTCTTGGGATTAACTGCTGCAGCAATGGCGAAGATAATTCTAAGCAAGGATTTGTGTTGCACTCAATAAGTCACACATTTAAGCTCGAATCAACTATAAAATCATATCCAAAAATCTCAAAGCAATGCTGCCTCATATTAGGATTTAATTTTCCTTTAGCAGAGATCAATGAGTGTGTAATTAATTCTTTGATCTTGAAAATTAAATCAGAGAATTTGATATCTTTTTTCATATTGTCAATGAATTCTTCGAAAAACTGAAATGATAGTTGGTTTCCATCTTCAAATTTCCCATACGCTTTCCCTTCTTTTTGAACAGCATTATTAGTGAGATGAACAAATTCTGATGATAAAGTCTCTTTATCTAGCGAAAAACTCTCTGAAGAAGTTCGTAAATAGCCTTGTGGGAAAAAATAGCAGTTTAAGTCATGGGTAATTAGCACCCAAACCCTTATATCAAATTTCCTGCTATTTATTAGTAAAGGACTTTCTATATATTTTTGTATCACAAACTTAAGTGAATAAATCTTTCCTTTTTCATTTTGTTTCAAATTTTTTTTTAATCGTTTTATATTTGCGAATTCTTGATACTCTGTAAATAGATTTTTAAGCGTCTCCAAATCATTGAAAACATGGATTCCTCTGCCTCTATTGAAACCGGAAGGTTTAAGAATCCATATATTTTCCCCTAAAAAATGTGTAGAGGGCGGCATTTTTGTCTGTGTGACTGAATCAAAACTAAACAGTTTTTGTTTAGTGAGAGTTCTTTTATTATCATCTTTTTGTAGGTTTTTGAAGTAACTCATAAATAGCATGAGCTGAGAATGGAAAACTTTAGATTCGATGTCAATTTCAAAAGTAATTGGCATGATTTCGGTAATATCTATATCTCGTAATAAGCAGTAATTTCGTAAATTTTTAAACAAGTTTACTTTATTCGTGATTTCTGCGTGAAATTCAAAATGATTCGTAATTTGGGTTGGGAGGTATGAAAGTAGCCTGCCAAATTTAATGTGAACAGAAGTAGGATGCCATATAAAATGCGAAGAATTCGGCAAGGTGTAGTCACCTTCTTCTCAATCGCTCCTTAACTGCATTAATGTCTTTATCAATTTTGAATTATTTCCTTTGTGTATAAGATATTTATATTTTTGCGGCTCACCAATTGGATTTTCGACAGGAATTTCTGTTTCAGGGTCTTCATTTTCATAATTGTGCAAACTTGGCTGTGAACTTTTCAATTTTTCAAGAAGTTCTTTTCCTCTTATCATTCCATCAGAAAGCATAAAAATTTTCGGGAAGTCAATTGGTTTTTCTAGCTCTTTACTTTTACTTGATGATTTTGACAATCCAATGCCTTTAGCCATAAGGGTCCTTTCTTGGTAGTCAACTGGAAAATTCATAGAAGGGTTTCTCATATTTTCTTTTTTAGGGCGCGTTTGAAAAGGAGAAGACGATGGAACAGTTGCTAAAACCTTTTTTTCTTCTAGAAACAGATCTTTTAAAACCTTTTTCGAGCTCGTACAATTACAAAATTTTTTCTTGATTGGTAGTCCAGCATGATGATTAAATAATCTTTGTGGAAGCTTAAATTTTTTACAGTGTGGACATAGAAAAGGATGCCTTAATAAAGGACTTATCCCATTTCTCATTGGTTTTTGGGTCTGCATTAAAGGATCAAGTTTTACGTATTTGATTGCGTTTTCTTCATAAACTTTTGAATTATTAAAATGGCTTGATCTGAATTGGACTTAGATGCTCCGGAGTTGATCCGGAGCCAGAGAAGAGGAGCCAAATGGCGATAGCTCTTGGGGCGGTTTTATTTTCAGGAGCTGATCCTCAATCTTTTTCCTAGTTTGCAAGAGTGCCTACCGCGTAATGCCCTTCAGCACTCCATGGGAGCATTACAACCCTGTCCCATATAAGAGCCATTTGGAGATTGAAGAAGTTTTTTTTGTTAGTGGGACCCAGAAGACGGTATGGCAATCTACCCGAAAGACCACCATTTTTTTGGTGACGTCAGGAGTAACGCCAACGCAATAAATCCGTAGGATAGCAAGATGCTGAAATAAGTCTTGAAGACCCACTAGTTTAAGTCTAATCTAATCATAAACTTTTTCTTTGGATTCTGGTATTAGTCGTTTTTGGTCAAAAGAAAATCCTATTAGGCAGTGCCTTGTGGATGTTGGAGCTAATTGTGGAATTTTTAGAGACAAGTCCGCTTCATTGTTCGACTCATTTATTTTGTCCATTTAATTACAATGTTTTTTAGGTTAGAAAAAGAAATACATGTTAAACAATACTATTAGAAATGTTTAGCATTAAGAGGATTAATTTAGAAAATTTTAAAATTAAAGTATTTTATTTATTTTCTTAATTATCTGTTATTTTCTTCTTGTTAAAAATAGAAGTTAAAATATGTGAAATCTTGTTTCAACACTAAATATAATTGGGAAATTTATTTTGATTAAAATGATTATTTGAACAATAATGTTTAAAATAATTATTCTCATAAAGCTTTTATAATCACTTTTGATTGCTAAATTTCCATATAAATAGATTTTGGCAACTATAACTACGCTAATTAGTAAAATTTATATCCACAATTAATAATGGGAGGATGAAATATCTTGATAAAGAAAAGATTTATATTTAAAGATTAATAGCTTCATCATCTATGTCCTTTATTGAAATTTTCTATAATAAATTCACATCACAAATATCATTGAGTAAAATCTACTTAAATTATGGCACTTCTAATACCCATTGAGTTATAATTGTAAATAAACAATGAAGTCTCCAAGCGTTATGCCGCATCACGAAGGGCAAAATACCCCTGATAATGCTATTAAACTCAAGTCTATTCTTAGAGAGAACAAAATCATTGGAAAAATCCCTATTTCTTTCTTCGTGATCGAAAACAAATTTTTTAATAGAAAAATTTTGTAGGAAAAAATTATTTTGATATAAGTGATAATTAGTGCAATTAAATCTCTAGCTAATTCTGTTTCATTTTAAGCTGCTTACATTTTTTAAAACATAAATTTTACTTATCAATTTTTACGAATTGGGATCTATTTAAATTTCGAGAAAAATTTAAATATAAAATTCTATATGGGTTTTTTGGAAAAAAAAATTAACCTTCCTTCGTGAGCGAAACAAAATGTTTTTATTCGCACACGGAAGAGGAACTAGGGAGTTAGAAATCAACAAAAGATCAGCCTCAAAGTTTCCGAGTCGTTACCCGAGCAAGCACAATGGATAAAAAAGTACTCTTTAGAGACCCCATCCATGAGTTGCATCTAGTCGAGCCTATCATATATAAAATGCCAAAAAAAGATACGAGCTGTACTTGTGCAATCTTTTAGAGCAATCATCATTTTTAAAAATGATCTTTGAGGCACACATCTGATAAAGCAAATAAGTGTATTTAATTCCTTATGTAAATTAATCTAATTTTCAAGCAAAATATATAAGTTTTCCACTAATAAAATTTCTAAAAATAAGCTTTTGTTTTAAAATTGATTTGAATTGTGCTTGGAGAAAATTATACAGAAATAACTCAATTAAATTTGCGAGTTTTTCAAAATTATTTTATTTAAAAATTTATATAAATAAAATCTCATTATCTATTATTCATCAAGCATGTTTGCAATAGTTTCATCCATTGACCCAGTCCTTTCGAGTTCTCTTCTGATAACCTCATGCGGAATGTGTGGCAAAATTTCTCTTACTTGCTCCACTTCTCTTTCTCTTTGTTCTCTCATACCAGCAGCGTTTCTTGAAAAGGAAAAATTTCACCATGATCTCTCTCTAACCATTTCTGGCTGTAAAAAAATTTGGTTGCAGAGAGGGCATTTTTTTTCTGTATTATTTAAAACCCAGGTTCTTATACACTCGACATGATGAATATGTCCACAAGAAATTCGACTGCACTTGCTCTGAGTCAAAGGCTCCCAACAAATGCAGCATTTTTCGTCTCCATGCTTGGATAGCTCAGCTTCTGTAAGTGGTGGGTATTTTTTAACAAAATTTCTCATAGAAATTTTATAATGTCGATATCTTTTGCATATGGAAATTAAACTGATGATATATTTTTGTTGTCTCATGATAACTAAAATTTGGAGTGGGCTCGATAAGAACCATTCAGAATACCAAATTGCAAGATGAATCCATCTGCATATGTTTATTAAAATTTCTGCTGAGTTCACTGCTAAATCATGTCTTCTGCTTAAGGCTAAGTTATGCTTAAGCTGATACCATGTAATCACACTTTCCTTTAGCACTAATATCCCATCGTAATTTATCAATAAAATCAAGCTTGGACTTGCATTCGAGAACACGTAAGCTGTAAAAATAATAAAGCCTGCTGTCACCCCAATCGTAGTCATTATCAATTCTTGCAGGTTTCTAATATGATTATTTTGAAGTCTAGACTTTGCAATGATACTCAGAACTTTACATGAGGAGTAATAAACGAAGATAAAAGCCCAAATTAATATTTCAATGCTATTATTTGAGCTATCTCCAAGAGAAATAACTACGAATTGTAATAGCATGGAATCATTTAATAGGTAATGCCCAATTCTCTTCCTTTCTGCAGAATTCAGTGGCTAGGCTAGGCTATTTAAAGTCAGGTGCTAGCCATATTGGTGATGCAGATGCTATATGCTCTAGCACTTTTCGAATCCAGCCCAGAGGGTATATCCCCAGAAAACGGGTCACCTTCTGGTATCTTCTGTCTCCTCCTTGCTGCTTCAGTCTTGAGTGCTTATCCATTTCTGCGACCCTGCTACAGGCGATTGAAGTAGATTGATTCCAAGGATCAACTGGAGTCTATCTGGTGTCGAAATGCTTTCCTTCGACATCTACAGAAAAAAGACTACTCCCTTGTAGCCTGAGCCGAAACTCCATTTTCTCGATAGAGGAATGCTCATTGGTTATATTAGATCAAAAGGACGCTGCTGGGCACCTCCATTTTCAACTAAAGGAAGGCAGCCAAAGCCTATCTGGGTACGTATTACCTGAGGTTGAACTTGCTTATCTACTCGGAATTCATCTTAGTTTGCCGTGGCCATGAGATCGGATCATTGCGCCAAGAGGGCAGATTTGGCACGTGTTGCCATTTTAATGTATATTGCAGAATTCAATGAATCAAGGAAAATGTAAAAAATAAGCTGTGTCGCATAAAAGCACCAGAACGAGACAGTAATGAATATGAGTAAGCATAAAGATGAGCTTGATTTTATTAAGTGTATTGTCGAGATAAGTCCTGATGTAAGTAATGATGGAACTAATAAAGCTGCTAATAGTAGAGTATTGGCTGGCAAAATCCATAATGCTAGCTTTCATGCAGTTATTGATTCATAAATAGCATTTGCGATTTCTAATGCACGCATTTTTATTTTTTTGGTTAAACTATAATGTAAAATTATGAATTACTATTTAGGAGGCTGATTATAATTTTTTTCAATATTAAAATTATTCTTTATTTTGGAGTGAGGTTCTAATTTATATTGAAGAAACTAAGCAATATTCATGGGAATCGTGGATTTAGGTAAAAGCCAGTATAATTGATTTTGATTCTTAAAAAATATTGCTATATTGTTTCTAGCCTTGACAAAGAGATAGCTATATAAAAATCTAATCTAAATAATTTCTAAATCAAGCTTTGCTAAGTAATACAGTATTATTTTTATTAAGCATTTAGAATTATTAGACTATTGAAGATTTTTAAGATAAAATAACCTTAAGGGATAAATTGCAAAAAAAATTAGATTCGAATATGATCTATTACTATATAGAAATTATATTTTCTATTTTTTACACATCTGTAGCTATTTAAGCCTCAAAAAACAATTTTATCGAATTTATATTAATTAAGAATCATTTCATCACAGACATGCTGATGTAATAAATTTTAAGCAGAATTTAATAAAAATGTCTTATCATTGTCTATTGTAATTTTCTTTTAAGGACTCCATAATTTAAATTATTAAAATTTCATAAACAGCTACAAAACTTCAAAAATTATTATGCACTGACTTATATTTTCAAGTTATCAGTATGATTTTATAAGGAGCATGCATTCCTCATTATAATTTATGCGAGCTAAATACTACTTCTATTCATAAATCCTACTCTATTGCGCTTATCTAATCCTAAGAAATACTTTTTAAATTTTAAAGCTTATTTTTCATTAAAAAATCATAAAGGTTTCAAAGCTAATTATCATTTAAAAAGTTTCTTTATGAGCGGAATTCATAGTCCAAATTTCAAGTTACAATGCTTTGTATGATATCCGTTTCTTCACCAAAATATGCTGTGGTTATAAAATAAAAAATGCTTAGCCGAGCTCTCTTCAGGTTTATGTCAAGTGCCACAAAGGCCCCATTTGAAATCACTGACATGGCTGCTTTGATGTTTACTCTTCCAAAAAACACCCCTGGCTCTCTCAATCAAGTTCTTCAAACAATCCTTGATAACAACCTCAATTTAGTCCACATAGAGTCAAGACCAGCATCGCTGATTGATGCGGATAAAGGCTTTACTTTTATTGTAGACATAGAAACCCCGAATAATAATTCGTTGGAAAATGTATGCAAAAAAATCAAAAAAGTCTGTGGTGACGTCACAGTGCTAGGAAGCCTTGATGTGCCGTTGTTTCCAAGACGTTTTAGTGATATAGATGGAATGCAACAGCTAGTTAGGCCTCTACACCATGATCATCCAGGGTCTATGGATCCGAATTACTGGGCAAGAAGGCAAGAATTTGGAATTATCGCAAAAAATTGTACTTTAAGTCAAGAACTCCCGAGAATTCAATATACAAGTGATGAAACTCAGACTTGGCAAACGGTTTATCATGCTTTGTCGCCTCTTTATAAGAAAATTGCTTGCAGTGAATTTCTGCTTAATTTTAAGGAAATGGAAAACAAAGGGATTATTAAAGAAAATGAAGTGCCTCAAATAGCAGAAGTTAATAGATATCTATTGGGGAAAACTGGATTTCAGCTTAAACCTATTTCTGCTATGGAAAAAGATAGAGACTTCTTAAATTGCTTAGCATTCAGAGTATTTCCCACTACACTCCATATGAGACACCACTCTCATCCTTATTTTAGCATAGACCCAGATATTGCTCATGAAGTGATTGGCCATGTCCCTATGCTTGCTGATCCTGAATTCGCTGAATTTGTTCAAGAAATCGGTCTTGCATCTTTAGGAGCTGCTGAAGAAGAGATACAGAAACTAATGAACCTTTATTTTTATTCAATCGAAATTGGTCTTATTATGAATTCAGAAGGAGATAGGAAGGTTTATGGGGCAAGAATCTTAAGTTCAGTCGACGAAATTAATCATGCTCTAAGTATTCACCCTGAACTGAGACATTTCGACCCATTCCAAGCTTGCAATGTTAAATATCATCGAAAAGACTTACAAGGGTTATATTGGTTTTGCTCAGATTTTAGAGAAGCCAAGGTACTTATGCAGAGATACGCAAGCACTTTACAAAAACCTTTCAATGCAACTTATGATAGAGTTCAAAAATCGATTAAAGTTAGCCACAAGGTGAAGTCTTGGTAAGGAAAATATGAGTAATTAAAATTATTTAAAAAATTGACCATAATTTTCTATACAGAATAGAGCAAAAATTTCAACTGTTCCTTACTGAATTCTTCTCGTTATATGAGAAAATATGCAAATGTCTAAATTTACTTAAATGATTTAAAAAGAAGTTTAAATAATTGACGTTTATCAAATTTATACTGATGAGAAAGGATAAAATGCCATAGGCATAATATTTATCTAATTATAATATGCAGGGTTTAAATAAAATTTTACTAGCCCAATTTAAAATTCCTTTGGGATCAGTTACTAAAACATAATTTATTTTTAAATGGCACGACCCGGAAGAATAAATTTACTTTTAAGACTCAAGCCTTCGAGCTCATCCACTCCTGATACTTCTTTTTATCGAATTTCCCCAAGCTTAACAGAATTTACTCTTATAACTCCTCCTAATAATCGAACCCCTTTCTATTTCTCCAATATTTTTCCATCAGACTCCACAATCACACCTATATGTGAGCTTGTAGGCTACCCTATGTCAGATCAAATCCTTGACGGCTGCAATGCAACTCTTATAGCACTAGGGGCAATAGGATCAGGAAAAACATATAACCTATATGGCGAAATGTCAAGGAGAGGGTTATCAGGAGGCCTGGTTCAATCAAGCATACAGTATTTATTTGGAAAAATCCGATCATTGACTGCTGAAAGGAATATTACTGTAATTGTAAGTTTATTTGAAATGTACAAAAATAAGGTCAGAGATTTGGGAATTGCATATAATAGCAAAGGAGAAGGCATTGAAGCTCTCTTAAAAATTTATAATGAGCAAGACCTCGCTGTAAAGGATATTAGAGGGAAAGCTTATATAGAAGATGTGTCTTTAATTCAGGTCATGACAGCTGAAGAAATCTTTGAGATCATTAACCTCGGCTTTAAAATGAGAGAACATGCTGAAGAAATCTCAGGAAGCATTGCCAATGACGCGACGACTATACTTTCTATAAATGTCACACAAAAGGATAAGCATGGTGATATAAATAGTACCAAAAGTGCAAGATTTAATATCGTAGATATAGCAGGTTCAGAGCACAAATTTACTGACTCAGGAACTGTTGAAAACGAGTCAGAAACCGAGCTCAGCAACCTTTATGCACTTAAAAAGGTGCTGAACAAAGTAAACTTAGTCAAGCAGGGCGCAACTGTCAATGTAATTCCTTACAAAATCAGCAAACTAACTCAATTTTTGCAGAGCGGGTTTTCAGGAAATTCCACAATTTCAATATTAACTGCAATAGATACAGACCCAATCAAATATAGCGAAACTGGGCATGTCCTTGCTTTTGTGAAATCAATAACAGAAATTGATAAAAATATCAAGAAAAACCTTATGCAGAGGCCTGATGCAGGGGCATTGATGGCTCATGAAATGGCCCAGAGGTTGGAAGAAGAAATTTATGAGCTCAATTCTATGATCAAAAAGAGCCAGCTTCAGCATGAAGAGAAGCTAAGACTTTTTGCTCGATTAGTTGGCATCGATGATGACTTAGAATCTATGGTACTAGCCAAAAAAGGAACAAAAGAATTCCAGCTTGCTATGAAATACAAAGAATCTTTTGAGACTACAAAAAACTTAAACAGGAGAAATGCAGACTTAGAAAAGAAAAATAATGAAAATAAAAAGATCCTAGATCACATTAAAATTTTGCACCAGAATAATAAAGATAAGCAAAAAATTGAGCTGACAAATCTAGAAACCGAAATCAGGGACTTAAAAGACCTCATCAGCGAATACAAATACAAAAACGAAGAAATTGGCCAAGAGCAAACCTTTTCTAACTCAGAAGGACTCGAAAGAATGCTTATGCACAGCCACTTAGCTGTCGAAGAAAACTCAGCCACTCTCCACAACTTAAAGCTCCAAATGCAAAATAATACCACGGATTTAAAAAATCTATTTGAAATGAAAGAGCTTGGATTCAATGAAGCTGATCATGTAATGAAAAAATTAATTTACGACAATGAGGAAAAACAAAAGGCAAGATTTGCGAATTTAGAAGAACAGTTTAAATATTTAATTGGAGACGATGAAGATTCGCACAGAGAATTTTTTGAGTCCCAGATGGAGATTAATACGTACTTGAGAAACTTAGAGTAACTTATATTTAGTGAGACTCTCAATGAGATTAAAAAAGAGACGGCTAGAATGCTTGAAATTGCGAATATTCAGAATGAAATTATTTATGATATTGAAGACGGAAAGTATAACAATGGTATTCGGCCTGTTTTGATCCCGACTAAGCACCACCCTCCAGCCCCAAGTCCTATTTTATTTCCTATGTAACGTTTATCTAGAGCTTGAAAGCTATTACCAAACCCTCCAAAGTTGTTAAAAAAGACCCAAAGCCTCACCAAACTTTCTCGCTCTCAGCAAGCTCGAACTTTCATGAAAACTGCTTTTGCCCAATCTTTTACTTCCCCAAAAGAAGAAGAATCCTTAACTTCTCAAGTTTCTTTAAATACTACAAACCTCGGCGATATGGATATAAATCTTGCCTTATCTGCAAGATTCCAAGGTTTGACACCTCTAGAAATCAAAAAAATGGGTTACACAATTCAGCAATCTATCAAAAACATGCAAAGCCAAATAGAGTCAGTTCAAGCTGAGTCACAAAATTCTTACAAGGAAATTGAGCTCCTTGAAGACGAATTTTCCCAAGTTTCTGAAGAAAGAAATGTATTTAAAGATGGTTACAGTAAAGAAGTAAGAAGCAGAATTGATATGCAAGATAAATACTACAGTGTTCCTAAAGTTGATGATAGGTTTTTCTTTCTCACTGAAGCTTTTTCTCGGCCAAGTACCCAGTCAAAATCATCGAGAAATCTTCCTCTTAACAACCAATTTTCAGCCACATCTATCACTAATGCTCCTTTTAATAGGAATCGCAACACAAGTTCAGCTAACCCAGGTCCAAGACTGTCAACGCCTTATAGCTTTCAAACATCTCCTCGTCCCAAAACCTCGGTTAGAGTCCTTCGCCCTACATTTTCAGCTTCAGGATTTAATTTTTTATTACCTAAGTAATGTATTTATAAGCCTTAGTTAAGATAAATCAAATTTAACGCCCTGTGATAAAGGAAGCTCTGATGAGTAGTTAATAGCACATGATGACCTTCTCATATATTGTTTCCAGGAGTCACTGCCACTTTCTCTGCCTTCTCCAGTCTCTTTTTCTCCTCCAAAAGCTCCACCGATTTCAGCACCAGATGAACCCATGTTAACATTGACGAGACCGCAGTCAGAGCCATTAGGCCCAAGCCATTCCCACATGTGTTTTAAGTTGTTGGTGAACATGGAGCTGGCAAGTCCTTGAGGGACTTCATTATTAATAGCGACAGCTTCTTCAAAGGTAGAGAATGGGATCAAGTATAGAATTGGGACAAAAAGCTCTTCTTTTACTATTGGGGCATCATGAGCAATTTCTACTATTGTAGGCTCGACATAGAAGCCAGGTCCTTCAATGACATTTCCTCCTGAAAGAATGTGGCCGCCTTGAGCACGAATGGTAGCAATCCCATCAGTGAATTCTTTGACAGCAGCTGCTGTATGAAGAGGACCCATAAGGTTGGTAGGGTCTAGAGGGTTTCCGATTTTAATGTGCTTATAGGCTTCCACAAGTCTAGTTTTGACAGTATCATATTGTGAATTGTGGACTAAAAGTCTTCTGAGTGTGGTGCATCTTTGACCAGCAGTTCCAACAGCAGCAAATAAGCAAGCTCTGAGTGCAAGCTCAACATTGCCGTCGTCCATAATGATGACTGCATTGTTTCCGCCTAGTTCGAGAATGGTTCTTCCAAATCTGTTGTGAACAACTTGGCTTACGTGTCTTCCAATGGAGGTTGAGCCTGTGAATGAAATTAATTTGACTCTGTGATCTGCCATTAAGGCTTCTCCTACGCTTCCGCCAGGTCCGACAACCATTGTTACCACTGCTGGTGGTATTCCATTTCTTACCAAGACCTCTTCCATTACCTTAGTGAATGCTATTGATACCAATGAAGTCGAAGATGCTCCTTTCCAAATTACACAGTTTCCACAGACAAGTGCAATAGCTGCATTCCAGCCAAACACAGCAGCTGGGAAATTAAAAGCAGTGATGACTCCAACAATTCCTAATGGGTTCCATATCTCCAAGAGCATATGCTTGCTGCGTTCTGATGGGAAAACTTTTCCATCAAGCTGTCTTGATAAGCCAAGTGCATAGTCGCAGACGTCAATAAACTCTTGAACTTCTCCTAATCCTTCACTTACTCCCCCTACTAACCCTACTAACGGATGGGATTAATTTTTTTTAAAAGATTTATAGTTTTAAAATAATTTGGAAAGTAATTTAATTTATGAATTTATCTTTTAGATAGAACTGTTTAAAATATAAGAAAAATAGCCTAGAGATTTTTATCATTTATATATAAACATATTTTTTGAAAAAATTTATATTAAATAAACTTTTGTAACTCATGGATTTTATTCGCTCACGAAGGAGTTAGGGATTTTCCCATGACAAGGGTAACTAATCTTCCTAAGGCTTCTTTTTTGGCACGTAAGGCTTCTCCTATCTGACGAATAATTTCACCTCTACGAGGAGCTGGGGTATTCCACCAAACCTTTTTAGCTGATTCAGCATTTGCCAAGCAAGTTTCTAATTCTTGTGGAGTGGCTTGCTTAACATGGGCTATTACACGACCATCATGCGGATTTATAGCTGGAATTTCTGAGCCTTCTCCAGACCATGATCCGCTGAAGCAGCCGTGATTTGTTTTGTGAATACCTATCTCGCCTAAGAAATAAAATGACGATGTTGACAAGTTGCACTCCTTATTCGAGATAGGACCCTTCCTGATGAATCTGAAAATAGTGCCTTATCACTTTTTGAAGGAGGCATTCGGGTTTTGGCTTAGGTTTGGGAAAATGGAAGTTTTTGTTTCTCACTCGAAAATTTTCCTGTCCTACCAGATAGATGAGACAGGTTTCGCTTCTCACTTGGTCTCTTCTTATCAGGAATAGGGCACCTCACAGATGGTGGTTCTGCCCTCAAGAGCAATATTTGGGCATATGGTTCAAATCAAAAATCCAAAGGTCAACATTTTCGAGCCAAAATGGACAGCAGCTAATTGTTAACTCCACTTATGGCCAGCATGCCCTTTAACTAAATATCTCGGCTAAGAAGGAAAATTCGTCGTAGCTAAGATCGGCCATTAAAATTATAATACGAATAATTTCATTCTTAGATGTGGCTATATATAGATATAATAGAAGAGGAAATTAAATTAGCAGAAAATCAAGGCTTTGATGAGATTTTCAGATATGATAAAAATCGTTATTAGTAATTGTCCATAAATGCATTTTCGAAGGTTTGCGCTATGAAGATATGAAAATTAGCATGCACACAATAAAATATGAATAAATTATAAAATTGATCAAAGATTTTTAAATTATTAAAGGCAGAAATAATTAATGAGTTTTAACATATATTTAATTGCTACTTTCTTTCTATGCTAAAGGAAATATTTAGATAGAAACATGAAAAGAGATAGCTGAATAGGATTACTCATTAATAGCTAAATAAAGTTAGAGCTAAAAGATTCTACTTCTCCAAATCCGAATTGCTACTAAAAAATCAAGAGGCATTATTTTTCAGCTTGGATTTGTATGCTCCATATGGTGCGCCTTGAAGTCCGTTTTACGTCAGCATCGCAATTTTATTTCTTACTCCCCTCTTCAGTGAGTGAATAAAAAGATTTTAGTGTTAGAGGATTTAAATTTTTTCATATTCCAATTCACGAAATTTGGGAAATAAAAATTTAATTTGGAAACTTATAAAGTTTCTCAAATTTAATAGAATTGGCTAGAGATTTCATGATAGTAATTATAACTTACATATCAAAATGTTTTTTCTTAAAAAATTTTTTGTTCTCTCGGGGAGGGTGGTTTTTACCCAAAAACAGGGATTTTTCCAATTGTTTTGTTCGTTCATAGAGAAGGAATGTTAGCCAAATAAATTAAATGATTAAACTAACCATAAGAGGGCAAGCCCACTAACCTTCGCCTCGTCTCGGTTCCAGAAGCAGTATCTCCATAGACTTCTGAGTTCAAATAATGAAAATGGAAGAATGCCATTTTGGATTTCCGTATGAAACATCTGTCCAAGGGATAAGTAGAGCCACCCTCAGTAGTGTGCTCAATGGTCCCGACAAGGAAAGACCATGTGGTAGACAAAACCTGTCTAGCCCATCTGGCAGAAAACCTTCAGGGAGAAAAAAATAACTTCCCTCTTCGTAAGGCATCTCCAAACCTGAAAGCCTGCTTCAAAAAGGTGCAGAGGCCCTACTCCATAGGTAGTCTAATTTTCATAAACGTCACAATTTATTTTTCTTTAACCACATTAGGAATTATAAAAATGAAAGTTCTTTAGAATTAGCAATTTTTTAATTTCCACTACTCTTATCATGCACTACAAGTTTTTGGATATAAGAGAAAGTCATTAATAAATTCAAAATTGCATATTTTAACGTAAAAAATTTAGCTTACAAATTTGGAGATCCATTACTAGCATTTTTTAATCATTTTTACTTCTAGACTTTTTAGGAGATAAATCTGGGAATTTTATAGAGCTTCTTAAAGTGATTGCCCATCGCCCTTCTTCAGAATCATGCTTATTAGGTAGCTGCTTTCATAGCCCATATTTCTCTAGAACTCTATTCGATATAGGGATAATTTCTTCTTTCGTTAGCGTGCTTGAAATTATAGTGTTCCTATTATTTTCGTCATCTCCATTTATTCTCATCAGCAGTTTGTTTAGTTTTTCCTGCTTTTTCTTCTCTTTTAGTGACACTTTTTCTTTTGAAAATTTTAGACTTCCATGAAGATCCATTGCCATGCTTTCAATTTCTTTAAAATGCGTCTTAAAATGATAATAATCGAAGCTTTCTTTTCCTCCACTGAGTGTTTGCTTTGCTGAGCCGTCAAAATTTGTATAAAACGTTTTTGAATCTGAATTAGGTGGCAGAGAAGTATCAAATAAGCTTCTCTGGACTCTTCGCGATTCAGAAATCCTTTCCCTTTCTGTATTAAAATTAAACTTCAATGGTGGCTGGATTTCTTTGTCTTTTTCTCTTGGTCGTAGCCTAAATATGCTTCTCTTTGAAGAGCTATCAAGTGACAGTTTTTTATCGAAATTTTTGAAGCTGTTTGTAAGCTTTGATCTTTTATTTCTTGATGGTGCTACGCTTATTGACCTTTTAGTGTTTTCCAAATCAACTTCTTTATAAAGCTGAAGAACAGTTTCATTCATTCTCATCCTGAATTTCTTTTCATATCGATCATCTATGATCTTTTTCTTTTTTTCTTCAATTATCATCTTCATCGTCTTTGAGTATCTTTCTTCGTTTTCTCTTCTGAGTTTATCATAGGCATATACATTATACATTTATATATAAATAAATATTAAACTAATTTTACTTAGAATCCTCAGCTTTCACTTCAATAGAATCAGCAGCATTCGAATCATTTTGATCGATTATAACTTGCCTGAAATCGTCGTTTCTCTTGCTATACGCTATACAGAAAATAACTGCCATCGCAATAAAAAATACATTTGATGACAAAATCGCATACGGCCCAAAAGTTGAACACATCGTGGGCTCTTCATGTACCTTTGCCGTACCTCTGCAATCAAAAGTCAGCTTCGAATTACTTAAGGTGAACCATATAATAGTAGCAACAAAATTAAACATTGCAACACTAATAGCCCAAATCTATATAAAGCTTACATAATTCATAAAAGGAATTCCATAGTCTTTTTTCGCTGCTATGTGAAAATATGTTTGTAAAAAGAAAATTGAGCACAGCAATGCAAAGCATTCAAGGACCGCATAGCTATTATAAGCATCATACAAGTGCTTATAGATCTGGCAAGTCCCTGTTGTGGAGTCAACTAAGCAATAAAACGTTGCTAAGCAGCCCCAATTCATGTCAGTGAACTCTTCTTCACAATCTATACAGTTAGAAAGCCCACCTTCCCAATAGCTGTCAACTGAAATTCTTAACACCCATCGATTTACAATAAGCGCTGAAAATATAGTAATCATCCCGAGAACAAAGAGCCAGCCAACTGAGCCCATCCAACGATTGAATTTGTATCGTTTGGCAAGGCCGTCTAAAGAGATAGAATTTTCTATCCATTTTCTGTCTGGCTGCCTGTGTAAAACAATCGCTAATAATAAGAATGATAAAAGACACAGCAAGCAATTAATTTTAGCGATTTGAGGGCCATTTTTGGCCTCAAACGAGATTTCTATAGGATTTTCTTCAACGCCATATGAAATAAACTCTACTGGGTTTAATTGATACCACGCTGATATGGCTATTATATGCCCAATCATCATAAAAAACGACAATACATATAGTGTTACGTTTTTACCCTGCCTTTTGTCGCTCATAAGTAGGATGAGCTTTTCCAGCAACACCAGCCCAATGATAAAGGAAAAAGCTTCTAGTGAAAAATAGGCGTAAGCCGACCTATTGTTGCTTGAGTAGATTTGGCAGTCTCCAATAATGTCTTTCGAGTCGCAAATATTTGAAAAGCACTGCCAGCTCCATCCATTGTACATTTCTTTACAATTTTGGCAATTAAAAAGGCTGAACTGATACGACTCATCATTTTGGCTGAGGGTGGATCACTGAGGGTGAAAAACTGAGACCACCATGAGAATTAGACAGATAAAGGTTGAAAATACTGGAGCAAGTAGAGTCTTTTTCGGCCAAATTTTTTTGTCTTGGGTTTCCATTTTATTAATCTGTAAGTTCTTTGAATTTGTAATGGATGCAATACTGACAGAATAGGTTAATTTTTTTTTTATATCAGATTTCGAATATACATTCGATTAAAAGTTAATTTTAAAATATTTGAAAAATTGTTTTCTAGCCATAATATGGATCAAACGTTTTATAATTAAATTTATAACTGATAGAAAACATATATTTTTTATTAAAAAATGTAGATAAGCATAGTTTTTAACCAGCTGAAATATTGAGTAAATTTGGTTTTTTGATTAAAAAGTTGATAGGAAACTATTAATCGCTTAATATTGTATTATTTTTAAAATCTTCAATGCGCGACTTTTCATGAAACTTAGAAATTCCCTGCTCTTGGCTTTCCTGAAGCTTAATTATAGATTTGTAATCATAATTCCGTTTATAAAATATATAGCAATACAGAGCCGTCATGAAAATAGAAAAAAAGTTTGATACCATAAGTAAATGAGGCCCTAATCTTGAACATGTAAAAATATGCTTATGCGGTTTAATTTTTTTTTTGTTACAGTGGGAATCCAATGCCACATCACTCTCCATAAACCATAAAACTGTAGCAGTAATATGGAATACTGATAGCAAAATTGCGTAAATCTGCATAGGAATTACATATGTCATATAAGCTGAGCCATAAATTTTTCGATTTAAAAAGTATATATAGGTTTGAATAAAGAAAACTGAGCAGAGTAAAGCCAGCCCATCAAAAAATATATAAAGCTTATAAGCATTAAACATATGAGAATAAAGCTTGCAGCTTTTTGATGAAGGAGAAACGAAGCATTCACGAGCAACTAAGCACTCCCAATCAAAATCAGGGATTTTTGGTTCACAAGCAACACAAGATGAGAGTCCTCCTCTCCATAAGTTATCTTTAGTGTGCCGCTCTACTCACTCTTCATGATAAACAGTAAAAATTACTATAAGAAATAAAATAAAAAATAATAGCCCAACAATTATCAATAATAGTTCAACTCTGATAAATCATATATACCGAGCAAGAGGCTCGCTATTTGATATATTTTCTCTTTGTTTTCATATCAGGATCATCAGCGAAATAAACGCGAAACTACAAATAAAAATATTAGCGAAAGCTAAAAATGGTCCATTTTCTGCATATACACATGGCTTTTCTATAGAGCACTCTTCATTAGATTTATACCAATTTGCATCATTTAATACTGATCATATATATATAGCCATCACATGAGCAATGAGCATGAAAGCAGCAAGTAAGCACAAAATAATTTTGCCTCCATAATTCTTATCAAAAATTACCAAAATTATCTTTTCAACTACCATCAGCCCAGAGATGATCGCAATAATTTCAAATGAAAAATAAAAGAATGAAGCTTTTGATCCGTTGTTATATGCTATGCAGTTTCCGGAACTGGAATCGTCATAATAACAATAGTCAGAAAAACATTTCCAGCTTCAATCCTTCAAATAATTCACACAATTTTTGCACCTATAAAGACTCATTTCGTTTGATATTTCACCTTGATCAAGGGTAGATCATTTCTTAGCAGTTAATGATATAATCATTACCAAAACACTAGCAGAAAATAATGTTAAGGGCAAAAATAGTGTTTTCTTCGTAAATAGTCAGCTTCTATCAGCAGTTTGCATACTTGAGTTATATTTAATAGCGATATGTATGGAATTAGAATTATGGTTAATTTATGGTAACCTGAGCAGCTGTCTAGTTTATTTTTTAACTATTTTTATTTTATGAAACCGTGGCTACGCTGCTTGCTTTAAGTAAAGAAAAGCTTTCAAAATATAGCATTTTAGGAAAATTGTTTATAATTTTTAGCCAATTTTTACTTATTAATAGAGAAAAAAATTATAATTCATCCTGTGTAGAATTGAAGGTTTTTAATTAAGTTTTACCATTTCTTTGTTTTTCTAAAAGTTCAATTAGCCATATAAATAACCTATAATTCTTCCATTTAAATGTATAATAGGTATAAATTAAGATCTCATTTTTGATTTATACAGGATTTAAATTTTTACAATAAGTAAACATAATTTATGATTTAGAAGCATGGATCGAATACGAGGTTGGATAAATGTTTTAATTTCCTATTAGTATATAAAGCAGATGGTCAAGTATAAACCCCCACCCCCTTAATGCCAAACTGCTTAGTCTTGATAATAAGAAATATAAAAGATCTTGCAGGATTTCTCACGCAATTAAAAGGCGATTATAGCATGCTTACATGTATATTTAATACTTTATCTCATATCTCTAGCTAGCAAATTTTGTTCATATTTTTGCATTAAATTTAAATGAGATATCATGCTTTATATATAAAATAAGCTTTTAAGTATATAGAATTTGTTAAAATGCATTAATTTAGCGATATCGATGCTAGATATTGTATGCCCCTATGATACAAAACTATACTTGAATTGGTTTATTTATGCCTATCTATTTTAAACCAAAATTCAACTGGATTCATGCTTAAAATGTGCTAATTAAGCGAAATATTCAGCGTATTTCTCGATTAGCTTCTTTATTTATTAGTCTAAAAATTTTACCAAATCAAATTTTGTTTATAGTAGAGATATGAAATAAAATATTAAATATATGCTTAAACATGCTAGGAATTGTATTTTAATAGCGAAAGAGTGAAATATTGCATTATATCTTATATTTCTTATTATCAAGACTAGGTAGTTTGATATTGAGCAGTGGGGTTTATGTTGACAACCAGATATTCATACTCTATATATAAAATGCAACTTATTTTAATAAGATTCATATTTAATTTATACATTGTTTTGCTAATTTTAATATCTTATTGGCTGCTCCTCAAAAACGATATTCTTTCGTCACAAACATTCATCCTCACAATAGTAGAGCTGGTCACAAAACTCGGAAACTCCACATCTAGCTTATTGATTTTATTAATCCTCCAGCTTTCATACTGCCGCAAAAATTCCCTATTTTCTTCATTTTCTTCATTTCCTCCATTTTCCAGCTTTTCAAGAACCTCTCTAAACTGGTCAATCCTCATCCCTTGTGGGCCAACATGCTTAGCTCTTATACACATTGGATAATCGTAAGCTTCTATTTTATCAGCAAATTTCAGAATTTTTATTCTAAACCTCACATTTTCTTCATCATCAATTTGATAATTAAGCTCACAATAATCAGGGTGCAAAGGGTCGACTAAAACTGTATTTCTCATATATTCTCGCTGTTCAGCCTTTTTTTCTTCACTTAAGCCTGAATCTCCTAAATAAATTGGTTTTTTTTCTAAATTAAAAAACACAAATTTATAGTTAGGATATTCACTAGGGACATATCCACAAATATCGCAAATTGCCATATGGACTTGGTGGAAGGTAGATAAATAGTCCATTTGGACAGTCCTCATAATAATCCTGGGAAGGTTAAGCATTTCAAATTTAAATTCAATAACGATTTTTTCATGAACAATTGAGGTTAGTTGACCTTTGATTTTTCGACGGTGGATTTTTTGGAAACTTTCAAAGAGGCATTTTGAGTGGGATTTTAATAATTCCTCTTCAGAAACTCGAGGTAAATCGTAAACTCCAGCTTTAAGACTTGTGTTTCTGCGAGGGTTTTTTAAAGGATCCCAAGGAAGTCTGCGGCCTCTATTACGCCGTGGAGGTGGGGGAGCTCCTGGTGAAGGTTCAGCCAAACTTCCAGTCATTCTTTCCATAAAGTGACGATAGCATCGAATATTTTGGCTAGTTGGTGGAGGCTGCGGCAAAATTTCTTTATTTGGTTTGAATAATAATATTGCGTCTTCTGGTTTTAGAATTGTGAGTTTATCGAGTTTCAGAATATCACCAAGCTTAACATCGTTAGGGGAAATAATTTTATTCCTTTGCTTAGCTGTTAGGTCTACTAATTCTTGGATTTCTATATCTTCTTCTTTTACTGGGACAATTTCCATTAATTCATCTTTTATTGGAGTATTTTCTATGATCATTTCTATATCACTATCACATTCATCTTTTATTATGTGAGCATTGCTGTCTGGATCATAGTATGGATCAAAAATTTCTATATCTGATAGATCGTCAATTTCATAGACATAAAAATTGCCCTCGAGTACTGTTAGATCTTCAATTCGCATTTGCTATATAAATAATAAAATATAAGCCCCCTTATTTTTTAGTACAATATTTTTAAAGAACTTTATAAAATATTTATTTTACATAATTTTAGTTAAATAAAAATGTAAAACTTATAATATTTTTAGAATGATTAAAATTTATACAGCCTAAATGGGAAATCTATTAAAAACTTTTAATATTTTCTAGTATTAATGGTCCATCTGAATATATCGTTCAGCTCACGCTATTTAGTTTTATTTTTGGGTGTTCATTTACTTTTAAATTTTATATTATCTATATTAATAAGTATTATAGCAAAGCATAAAAAGTAATCTGTGAATAATTACAAATGATTTCTGTATGAATTTAATTTAATAATTGCTAAAACATCAAAAAAAAGCCTGACTAATAGCATAATAATTTACTTAATATAAAATAGCCATATATCTAAAATTACATAACTCAACGATAATAAGAGTTTTCCACATTAAGGTATCAATAACCTTTTAAATATTTTATATGGAGCCATCTTATTTTAAAAGTCCTTTATATCGCTATTACACTCCTTTTACCTACAAGTACCAAGATGACCCACCTCTCTTAATCCGCATGCACACAAACAAACTATTTTTAGTATTTTTGTCAGAAAACCACCCCATTAAAAACGAAAATGTCCTCGAAGTGAAATTCATACACAACACAGATGGCTTGTCAGGTAAAAGAAAAAGAAACGCTCCATTGCTTCAGCCTGCCACAAGACTTGCAGTTGTAAGAACAGAAAATTTCACCTATGTTATCAGAGCTGGCGTTGAGGGGAAATTAATAGAGCTAAATGAGCTTCTTTTAACAAACCCTAATTTATTAAAAGAGCCAGAAGGATATTTAGCAATAATGATGCCACCTCTACAAAAAATAAGTTCAATAGTGAAAAGGCTGACTGAGGATAAATAATCCGCTAATTATCTTGAGAAATCATATATTTTTAGTATTAATTTTAGTGAAATGTGCAGATGGAATAACTTCTTAAACAATATAATGGATTTATCATATATTTTTAGTATTAAGTTTGTAGATGTAATACTTAAAATGGATTTATCCAATTTTGCTACAGTCTGAGGGAATTTTATTGACTCCAATGACCCTGATCTGCAGGAGAACACTAGACTTGCGCTATATTCCTTATCAACTCTTATGCTTGAGCAATCGCTTCCACCCAAATCAAAATTATTCTTCACAGATCTCCAATCGAGAACCTTAAACTGAGAAACATTTAACAAAAAAATTGGAAATGTGAAGAAGAGCGTTGAAAAATTGCATGATTTCTTTAAGCAGAGGCCATATGAAATGAACAGAAGGGCACCTCAGATCAGAGGAAGCAGATGAGGCTCAGATATGCCTGGTAATATGGAAAATTCTAGGGAAGATTATTCTGAAGAAAGAAAATTATCAAATTCTCAAGAACAGAAATTTTCAGGTGAGGGCCAAGTAAATAGAAATTCCCAAAATAGAAAAATAGAAGTTCAAAATATCTCAATATTAGATTCCCCAAGACCATATAGACCTGAAGAATCTAAACTAACTGTTCAGCCAAAATATTTAGAAATCACAGAAATTTCTCAGCCAAAGTCCAAACCTGTTTTAATCCCAATCTCTAAAGATATCAAAGTTTTACTAGGAAAACCTACATTTGAGGCATCAGACCACTTTATATCACATCCGTATGCTGCGAACACAGTAAGATTATTTGTAAGAGACCAGAAGATTTTTGTATCTGAAACTGTAATTCCTCCTAGTAACCCCATAATAGATAGTATGAAAATACGCAAATCCTCAAACCTTATACAAGTAAAATCAATGAGCCTCTCAATGGGCATGGTTTTTGTTTTTGGAAAGAATGAAATAGTGGTTAAAGCTACAAATTTTACCGGAGATCTTGTGCTGGAAATTTCAGGAGGTCCAAACCCTTTTACATATGAAAGGGTTATTACTAGCTATACTCGCATTGGATGCAATGCAAATTGTGAGTTGCAGCTTGATAGAGATGAAGAAATACAGCATTTTCACGCAAATTTAAAAAAAATAGAAAAAAGTTGGGTAATTGAAGCATATGCTGATAACATATGATTATGGATGGGAATGCATTTGAGAAACAGTGCTTCTGGGCGCAGAGATTCTAACGAATATCAAATTTATAATGACTCGTGCATAAGGATACATGACAGCAAATACCAGGTGCGCCTTGTTGCCGCCTAATCAAAAAGTTGCGTCTTGTATCCGCCAAGTTATTCAGGTGCGTCTTGCTACCACCTAGTTAAACTTGGCTTACTTGGAAGTTTAGTAAATAGTAATATTCATTGTTTAAAATGTTTGCAAGTTTAATGATAGCATATATATTATATACATATTTATATCTAAATAAACACTATTTATGCTAACAATCCAATTCTAATCTGTTGTGTTGCCGTCTGCCTATGATTTTCACAGTATCCAGGTGTAAAACATTCTTTCCCTACAGGATCAAGCTCATCTATAATTTCTTGTGTGCACTCCTGGCTTAAGCATGAGTCACTTTTAAGCCACTTCTTCAAGTCACTACATGTAACAAGTGCATTTTCTCCATGTCCAAGCATTCTTAGTGCTTTTAGTAAATTTTCTTTGCAAAGAATTTCTTTGGGATCAATGCAAGCTCTTAAAAATTCATAATAGTCGATGACCCCGTTTTCATCGGTGTCAACCTGACTCATAATTTCTTTGGCAGCAACTTCTGGAGAACTTTCGATGAAGCAGCTTGCGAAGCTTTCGAGCTCTGACTGTGAAATCACACCGTCACAGTTGAGGTCTAATGATTGGAATGCTGATTGGATATTCATGAAATTCTTGTAACTCATAACCTGGCTAAGAATAAAAGTGCTTAGGGATTCGGTTAGTTTGGATGATCTTTGGTAATTTCTAAGCTTATTAAAAATGTTTGACAAGTCATCATCACTTTCTTTTTCTTTCCAATCTGCCTTAAACCAAGGATGTGCGCAAGCTTCTTCAGCAGAAATTCTTTGCTCAGGGTCTTTTTCCAATAATTTCCTTATTAGATCTTTTGCATCGTTTGACACATTTATCCAACGAGGACTTTCAATATTGAACCTTCCTCTCCTTATTTTCCTTATAGTTTCAGCATCACTTTTTCCTTGGAAGGGATTAAAGCCAGCGAAAAGGATAAACATAATAACCCCACAGCTCCACAGGTCAAACTTCTCATTATAGGACCTGTCAAAAATTTCTGGAGCCATATATTCTAGAGTACCAGCAACCTGCTTCATTCTTGTCCCTTGAGGGCATTTAGCAGTTAAATCGAAATCAATAATCTTCAATGTGATTTCGTCATCCTTTATATGACTAGCCAGCACAATGTTTTCAGGCTTTATGTCTCTATGGACTAACTTTTTCTTATGCAGATAGCTGACGCCTGACAAAATTTGTCTCATGATGCTTCTGATTATTTTTTCAGAAAAATGAAACCCGCTTGCTATTTTATCACATAAATCGCCACCGTCCATGTATTCCAGTACTAAAAAGTACTCAGTTTTGCTATTGAAAAATTCATACATCCTAAGGATGTTTGGATGATCCAATGCTTTGAAGACATCTACTTCTCTGTGGACGTTGGCATCTTCAAGGTAAATGCCGCTTTTGCATTCTTTCTTGATGATCTTGACAGCTCTGATGGCATCTGTCCCTTTGTGCCTACATTTTCGAATTTCGCCATGAAGGCCTGCGCCTAAAGGAACTGGATCTGTCTCATAAATGTCGTAGAAGGATTTGGAATTAGAGAAGATAAAATCGCCTGGAGAGTAAATGATCTCAGCGATGCTATCAACTGTCCTTCTGCTTATCGGCTTCATGTTAGTCGAGCTAATGAATTCAGGATGAGCCGAGCACAAACAACCCATTAATTTAATTATAATAGAATTAGTCTATGACTGGATAATATGTACAAAATATTAATCGTTTTAATACTAAGGCTTCTTTTGCAGAATTTTTTCAACTTGACGAAAGGAGTAGTTACGTCATATTTAAACTATTTTTATGAATATGAAGGCAACTTCCGAAAATGGTGGTTTTTTTCAATTGACTGGAAATAGGTTAATTTGCTTGAAAATGAAGGTATTGGTATTTAATATTTTTGAAGCTAAAGGATAAGCATATTTAATTTTATATAAGATAATTACAGTGTTTTCTTAGATTTTTTAAGATAATTATTAGATAATAATTTTTATTGCCCATGATGCATTATGTGAAATTAATATTAAAATCATTTTTATAAAATTCAATGCTTCTAATGATTATAAGAAATATCTGGAATCGAGTTATTAAAATTTTAAAAATACAGATTTGCCTTCCTTATCTTTGCCTTTGCACATTTATTACATTTTTATTTTAATAGCCAAATTTCAGAATATAAATTCTTATCCGAATTCTGCTTCAAAAAAGGCGCAGATTATGCGAGATTGGCAAAATTAGCTAATATGGATAGCTTATTTTATGGTGATGACTTTTAAGACCAAATCGATAAAATCATGATCGTGATGAAGCTGATGATAGCTAATATGAGTTCCTAGAAATTCTTTGAGGTTAAAACCACTTTAAACAAGAGAATTACCATCGTTGCAAAGGTATCTTAACCATAAGTGAATGTGGCAATTATCCATTAAAATTAAAGAGAATCATTAGTTTTATCTGAAATCACAGTTTGCGACAGCACAAGCTCAGCAATTTCATTTACAAGCTCTATGTCAGTAGATCCGCTTTTCTCAAATTTTCCTGTCAGTCCTATCGCTCTTGAGAGCAAAAGCGAAATCTTTTTGTCTGGCTGCTTCCTTCCTGCATTTATTTCTTTTGCATAAATTTTGCAAGCAGAGACTAATTCTTGTATACTAATTCTTTGCTTTGATAAAATATTTAAAGGCTCTGTTATGATTTTTGTTGGCAATGCTTCGAATAATGCAAGAGAGCCTATACGCATTCTTGCAAGTTTGTAGCATTGAGTTTGTATTCCTTTGCTAGAAAGCTGGAGGTTTAGCAAAATTAAATTATTCCCAGGGAACATTTTTTCGTAAGTAAGAATTGAGGTGACTGCAATATGATTCAGATCTCCAGTTCTATAAGCACCAATTAGTGAGCATTTAGGATAGGCTTCGATAACATGGTTGAAATGAGCAGTTGCAAGAGGCTTTGCAAAGTTTAAGGTGTTATCTTTGACCATATGATGGAGAGGGATTGCATGCTTAATGTGAATTAGGCCTTCAGATTGAGTGCCCAACAAAAGCCCTATAACTTCTTGGTCTTTGTTTGGGCGTCTCATATAGTGTTGAAGAATGGCCATAGGTACTGCTGGATGAACTTCGCAGGAAAAAGATTTGATATCGCCTAGCCAGAGACTAGCCATCCTATTATATTAATAAGAAGTTCATATTAGAAATACTTATAAGAATATTTTATAAATTTTTAAATTAAAGGAAGTAATTTTATCGGAAATAGGTCTAACAAGAATTTAAATTATAAACAAAATCCTGATATACTTTCATGATGAAAATACTTTCAACAAATTTTAAGAATTTGATTCTTTTCTTAGCTCTTTGAGCATTATTATTTTATTTTTAATTCTTAGAATATCTTACTAGCACCCATTTAAGAACGAGTGAAATGGTTTTAAGAGCCCTATTTAAGATAGAGTTAATTTATTTGTATGAACATTCTTGGAATAAAATAGTTTGGGAAATTATGATTCTTATGATGAGATTTTTAACGGATTTTATTAAATTTAGATATTTGCATTCTAAAACTTAACAAAATAATTAAATTAGATTTTTCTATTTTGATATTTACCAATTGTGATTAAAAAAATGTTTTTATTCCCCTTTAGGAGAAACAAAAAGTCTTGCAAGTTCTTAAAGGGCAAGGAAATTAGCACTAAAACTATGCCAACACAAACTATATATTTCCTATAGCGATTATTCACTGAATTGTAAGTCATTTACCCAACATTCTCAACATAAACAGATCAATGCGAATAATGACAAGAAAATTAATTGCTTTGTATGATTAGTTAATTAATAATTTTTATGGCAAAGGATTATTGCTGCAGCCTAGTGCATTTTCACACAATTATTTGTAGGGGGCCTCTATAATAAATAAAAATGAATAGCGACCAAGACAGCTCCAATTATGATCAAGCCCTAACTGATGCAAACTCATGATTCGAACTTCTAAAAGACCTTTATGCATGGTTAGAGATAGATCCTAAAGACGCAGTCTTCAAAAACGCCAAGAAAAGCAAAACCACCCTTTATAATTTATATAAAGAAGTATTAGAACATGGAGGATGGAGCAACGCGATAGGCTCAAATAGCTGGTCCAGCATAGACAAAAAGTTAACAATCACTGATTCCCGCTCAATGTACGAAAATTTTCATTTAGTAGTATTAGAAAAGAAGCATAACCCTTCAACGAGATATTCAACAGGGGACATTTCCTTACTGAAAGAAATTATTCCTTCTAACCTAAAAGCAGTCCCAATTGTCACCCCATCTCCTGATGGAGCTTATGACTGGGATACATGGCTGGAATATGATTTACTTATCCTGAGAAACTATGTTTATGATGTCTGGAAAATCGACACAAAATTAATGAGCATGAGATCTTTGGAAGAAGATCATAGCGATTTCCCTGTAGACATTTTAACTCAGGGCAACAGTGAATTAGACTTTAAAGTGAAATCAGCAACAAAAGAAACTGTCCCTATGATAGATTATTTGAAAATAATGAAGCAGGCTTCAGCACAAAAAGAAATGAATAATAAAATAAAGTTTGCCGTTAATGTTGATCTTGGGAGCTGGGAAGAAGAAATTGATGAAATGAGACGAAAGCTGCCTGCAAAGATTTTATGGGACTCTAAATATGATTCACTCAAATACACTCGCCAACATATATTAGGCATGACCCTTCCTCAGGCTTACTTAAAAATTAAAGGATGCTGGACTGGAGGCCACGAAGAAAATCTACGCTTTTGTGCTGCAAATATCAACCATGGGCCAAGCGATGTTGAATGGTGGACTCTCAAAACTTCAGAAAACTTAAAATTCAGAGATTGCGTAATGAGAGACTATAATATTGACATTTATATAACAGAAACTTTGTGGTGGCCTGATTTAATATACTGCCTATCTAAAGGATTTACTGTCTATCATGTTGTGCAAAAGCCAGGAGACTTAGTTTTAGTTGGTGCAAGCGCAATTCATTGGGTGAAAAGTTGCGATGTTACTGTTAATACAGCTTGAAATTTCGGCCCAAAAACACTCAAAAATTTTCAACTTGCTTTTGAAAGATATGATATAAATTTGAAAATTAATTACAGAAACCTAGTGCCGATGCATATATTGGCATTGGATTTGCTTAATCATGAAATGTCTACCTTGCCGGCTGACTTACTCTTTTTATTAACAATAGCACTATAAGGCGTATTCCATACGATTTTTAACAAAAATAGATAAAAAACTCCAAATTTTTAATTCTAATATTTTTATTTTAAATGGAAATTAGTGGAATTTTTATATCAAAAAATCAATGAAGCATATATAGAAGATAAAAAAAGCTTGGAGAAGCTTCCAAAAGCTAATATATCATTAAATCAAGTTGACAACGCTTTATGCTGTGAAAGCTGTTACGTTGAGCTTTTTTGGATTTATTATCGCTGCAGCAAATGCTACAAAAACCGACTTAAGAATAGATCAGATCAAGAGTGTGTCTTTTGCAAAACGTGTGCGTATAAAAATCATAAGCCAAAGTGCAAATCTACTATCGAAGTAATTCAAAAATTTACATCAGATGACTTCAAGAGGTTTCAGGAAAGGGTACAGAATGTATTAAATAAACAAGAATTCGAATCTCCGTTACAGCAAGAGTTGCTTTATCCTTATGATAAATTTACGATGGAAGGAGTCTATAAGAGCTCGTTTACTGGAATAGAAACTGATGGAAGTTCTGAGGAAAATGTTAAAATTCGAGAAGAAACAAAATCTCCTGTAAAAAAATCATTAAAGGCTAGAAAAGGAAAAAATAAAGCTATGTCATACTCTACCAGTGAAAACAAAAGTACGGAAAAAGAAGACTTTGCATTTCCAGAAATTAAAAGCGATAAAGCTAAAAAATCTAAGATCATCTTGCCTCCAATTGAAAATATAATGAGTGTTGAAGAGAATAAAGAGGAAAGTGAAAATGAGAGAATGGACATTGAAGAAGAAGATAAAGCACCAGCAAAAAAGACAAATAAATCGAAGCAAATAAAAGAAGAAGTCTCAAAGAAAAAGGATAAATCGCAAGTATATAAAACTTCTCTACAAAAAGATGAGAAACCAATAGGTAAGAAGAAAGCAAAAGATGATAAATCTATTGAACCAAAAAAAGATAGCATATCTGATCAAAAAAAGGCCTCAAAAATTGGTGAGAATACTCAGAAAAAATCTAAGTCTTCTAAGAAATCTGAGCAAAATCTAGAAGAGCCTGAAGCAAAACTTCCCAAATCTTCATCAAAGAAAGAAAAAGTTGAAATTACCCAAGAGAATTCTGAAGAAACATTAGAGACCCCAAAAGATCTTAAAGCTAGAAATTCCTCAGAAATTGCGGATGAAGATATAATAGAGTCCAAAGAAAAAAATTCAAGCAATCGAAGAAGATTAAGAACTAGAAAACCTCCCAAAAAATACAATCAGACTTCTTTACCTTTACAAGCTTATCAAAATTTAGCCCAGAAAAGTAATAAATATAATGAGGAAGAGAACGAAGCGAATGAAGAAGAGGAAATAAAAGAAGAAAAACCTGAAAAAGCGCCTGCAGCAAAACTCAAATCTAAAGAAAAAGAAAAATTAAAAGAAGAGAGCGAAGAAGAGGAAGAGGAAAGCGAAGAAGAAACACTTCAAAAAAAGCCTGTTAGAAAGTTCAAGCCCAAAGGAAAGCTAAAAGAGAAATTAGAGGAAAGGAAAGAAATTGCAACTCAAGCTTTACCTAAAAATATACAAAAAGATATAGAAAAGAAAGAGGTAGAAGAGGAAGTAAAAGAAAAATTGCCAGAAAAACGTCAAAGAAATGAGGAAAAGTCTAAAATAGGGAAAAAAGAGAAGAAAATGAAAATCAATGAAATTATTAAGGCAGAAAGCAATAAAAAAGATCATGAGAAACGTAATAAAAAAGACAATGAAGAGCATCCAGAAAGACCTATTGAAGGGCACGGTCATAATAAAGAAAACACTGCAAAAACTGAACATTCTGATAAGACTGACTCTGCAAAAAGTGGTCTTCCTTTGAAAAAGCAAAAATTAGAAGATACCAAAGAGCCAAAACTAAACCAAGAAATATCCCAACCTCTGCCTATAACTTCAAATGCAATGGATATTGACCAAGCCTCACCTTCACAGCCTCTTCCCAAATCAATTTCTGAAATATTCCCGAAGATTCCTCAAAAATTTGATATTATTCCTAAAAAGCCAAAAATTATCTAATTTACTTAATTCTTTTTTCTAACTAAATAGTAATTAATATATTGAAAATCCAAGAGACAAATAAATTGATTATTGAATTCAATATTTGCTTAAATATTTTATATTAATTTATTTCTTTTCTCTTATTTCTATACTATCAATTTTCTCTCCTTCTAACTTCCTTTGAGCTTTTACATAAAATTGCATATCTTTTATTCTTCCTTCAAGATCTTCAATTTCATCTTTGACTTCTTTAGTGCATTTAAATACAGTTCTTCCCTTTTCTAATTTCGCTAATTCTTGATTTTCTTTTGCTAATTCTTCTGCGCGCTCGTTTTCTCTTTTAATAATTTTCCCTATACTTTCGATCTCTTTTTCAAGACTTTCTTGGGCTCTGCATTTTTCACTTAATTCTCGGTTTTCTTTTTGAATATTTCTTAAGAGTTCAATTAAAGAAGAATCGAGTGTGGTATCTAATTCTTTTAATCTCTCGTTATAATATTCTCTTTGAGTCTCTAATAAGCTTGAAAGCAAACAATTATACTCAAAAACCAAATTTTCAGCCTTTTTACTTTGATGTTCTCCAGGACTTGCAACTTCTACAATTTTATCCCCAGAGCTGACGAGTCTATGTATAGGGATCCCTCTTGAGTAGTCTCAAGTAGTCTTGGTTTCTATGTCCTGAAAATAAGTGTGCCCTACAGTTTCATAGTGCTCCTCTGAATGATACTTACATCCAAGCTCTCCACAGATAAGACACATAGTAACATTTTCTTCTTCACCACATGTATCGCATTGGCTCTTGTCAGGAGGCGATAAATGATATCTGCATACAGGACACGTAGAGTGATTTAGCTTTTCAAGGCATTTTATATGAAAAGAATGCCCGCAAAGTACGGTAATCGCTGGAACATCAATATCTTCTAGACAAATTGGGCAATGATCTGAGTGGTTTATAAATAAGTTTGAATCTGAGCCAGAAATATCAATTGATTGAACAAACAGCAATTGGCAGATATGGTCTTCTATTGAGTTAAATTTTACCCCAGAGTAAGCTTGAAAAATTTCTTTAGCAGAGACGTCAGAATCAGTTAAAATTGCACACAGATAGTGTTTAGAAGTTGGTCCTTTGAGTACACGAATTTCTTTTATTTGTGGTAAAGATGCTGAGAGGAATACATATAAATCTACAAGAATTAAAGATGTAGGGATATCTACCATAAGAAGTATTGGGGTTTCTGTATCAGATAATGCAATATTTCCTTTTAAGATATCAACTGAAGGATTACCACTTCAAAATTCTATTCCTTTTTCCATAATTTATTTAGTTTATTATAACTAAAAGATCCTTACGGCTTTCTTCTGCTATACTCTTTAACATCATATAGCAGATCAATTGCGCACTCAGGCAAGACTTTCGTCCAAACATAATAATTCACTTTTCGCTTATACCAAACCCAGTGTTCAAGCGCCATCGTGTTGTCATTATTATCTTTTGATTCTTCTCTTACCCCTGGAATATCATCAATTTTTGGTTGGCAATAGTAGTTTCCATCAAATCCGCAGTTGCAGAAGCCATATTCTCCGATTATTAGTAGGCAATCTTTATCAATTTGACAAGGCTTAGGATGGGTACCTTCAGCTAAAGTATTGTTTTCGTTTCACTTGTATTTTATGTGCCATGAGTTGTATCCTCCGAAATCATCTGGCTTTGGTTTGGGCCTTACTGGAAATTCGTATCTTGTTGTTGGGGTTATTTTTGGGATCTGATTGTAGGCTGTTACAATTTGCAAGAGAGAGCAAGCATAATCATCAGAGAATGGAGGATCGCTATTTATAAAAAGTTGTTTTCCATTAAGCTCTGCGCAGAATTTTTTACTTAATGGCTTGCATGATATAACTGGGCATCCTGGCTGGCTTGAATAAGAGATCCACAATTTTAGAACAATCAAAAGAAGCTTGAATGGCATTTTACTATAATAAAATATGAGATAAATTATGCAGTCCTGCAAAGAATTGCACAAACAAAGCCTCAACCTCGAGCATTCATGCATTCTCTGCCCTCATGAATATTGCTTCTATTTTTATGCCGGAAGTCACTTGAAATGGCATAATTTAAATCTATTTTATGAGAGCTTGTGAAGGAGCAGAATAATTCAATTAAAGAATTTTAAACGAAAATCATCGATAGAAATATTAAGGAGAAGATGATAGCTTATTTTGACTAATATCATAGTCCAAAAATAAGAAGAATGGATTTGAATTTAAGATGGAACAAATAATTTTGAATATTCTTTAAGAATTTGAGGATTCTGAGCCTTAGCTGATGGATGGGTTAAAATGAACCTAAAAAAATTGAAGGCTTAGAGAAAGAAAGAGAACTCAATTATAAAGACCGAGTAGATTACTTTACTTTCATAATAATTCATTTCTATAAGATCTTGAAAAGAAAATAACTAAATCAAAACCAAATCTAATATAAAATTCGAAGCAAAATTAAGCGATTATAGTTTATAATGGTTTTAGACTTACATAGCCTGAGACATATGCATTTGGCATTATCCAAATCATGAATTATTTGCTATTATATAAAATTTTTTGTAGTTTCAATTAATATTTAATTTTTTTAAACTCATCTTTGTAGCAGGCTTTAGAATGATTCTGACTCAGAGCGATTGTATTTAATTGAGTGAGCTTTATAAAGACGGATTCTGTATGAAGCGAATTTGGAGATTATTTTGATTGAAAAATGATAGCAATTTTCAATAATAGATACAGTTTCTAATTAAAATATAGTTTTTTATTGTAAAAAAGGTCTATTTTTATTAGATTGCTTATAAAATAATAATGATATTGGACTAAAATATAAGAAGTTAGCTTGTAACATAAAAATTTAATTCAAATAAAACTAAAATATAGTTTTTATCAACTTCTAATTTGATAATGATATTTATAAAGCCATAAGAAAAGATAGATAAGTTAAAATGAGCCCAATTTAAATTATGGAGAGTTCTTCGGAATCAGAAACTATTAGTAGAGGTAACGAAATCGTTATTAATCTAGCTAACACACAATATGATGTTCTTGAAGAGGTAGCAAGCTCACTCGGTTGGGAAACATCTGAAGATCCAAATGATAAAGAATGCGATGTCATATGGATTGATGGTGCTTTACAGCCTGAACAGTTAAGTGAGCTTAAGCCGTTTCAAAGAATTAATCATTTTCCAGGGATGTATGCAATTGCAAGAAAAGACCACTTGGGCAAAAATTTAAAAACAATGAAAGGGATGTTTCCTGGAGAGTATGATTTTTTTCCTTCTACTTGGCTTATACCCCGAGACTTAACTGATCTTAGAAACCAATTTATTGCAAAACTAGATAGAACTTATATATGCAAACCAGAAGCATCTTGCCAAGGGAAAGGAATTTTCTTAACTAGAAAACTAGAAGACATCCCTGAGCATTGTGTAGTTCAAAAGTACTTGTCAAAACCTTATCTTATAGATGGGTTAAAATTTGACCTTATCCTTTTAATTGAATTCAAAAAACTATTTTTAATATTAATTTTGTGATATTTTCCAAAAAAAAATGTTATCCCAAGAAATTAGATTATATGTATTAGTTGCCTCTTGTGATCCTCTTAGAGTTTATCTGCATAAAGAAGGATTAGTCCGTTTTGCAACTGAACCTTATATTCCACCTACAGCTTCAAACTTAAACGAGGCATGCATGCATCTAACCAATTATGCAATCAATAAAAATAATCCAAAATTTATTTTCAACCATGGAGAAAACGATAATTTTGCAGGACACAAGCGATCTTTTAGTGCTTTTATGAAATATTTGGAGCAATGTGGAGAAGATACAAACGCAATGATGAAAAAAGTGCACGATATGATAATAAAAACGTTATGCATGGTGCAGCCTCTATTATCACATTTATATAGAGCTTCCCATCCAAGTGAGCCAACAAGTTGTATTTGCTTTCAAATTCTAGGCTTTGATGTATTTTTGGATTACAAACTAAGGCCTCATCTCTTAGAAGTGAACCATACCCCAAGCTTCACAACAGATACTCCATTGGACTCTGTTGTCAAGCAAGCAGTTATCGGAGACGCTTTAAGAATGCTTGGCTTATCAGAAGGAAATCGGGCTAACTATTACTTAAATCAGCCTTGTGAGTTTAAAAACCGAACCCAAAAAAAAATCAAAGAAGTTCGTGCTATGCGAGACTTATTAAAAGCAAAATCAGTCCAATTTCGTGACAACACTGATATGAAATTCAAAGGCGGCTATGAATTAATATACTCTGGCTCAGATAAATATAAGCAGTTTATGGCTGCAGCAAGGGATATCTGGCTCAGCAATGCTACAATAAGAATAAAACGCCCAGAAATAACAGCTCCTATAGTGTCACCGCCTTTAGTTAAAGGGAAAACTAAACAGACCCCAAAAGTAAAAAACGATCACATAAGACGGGCTTCTTTGTCTCCATCAAAATCAAATAATTCACTCCAGCCTAAAGCTACTTTACGAGGGACTATAAAGTTTCCAGCACTCAAAGCTGATGCCGGAACGTTTTTAAGACCAAGAATTTTTGAGTTTAATGAAACTGTTAACCCTCATACCATTCTCAAAGGAAGAAGACGATACAATTATAACATTTAATTGTAATATAAATCATTGCTAAAATATATATCATACTTAAATGGAAGACCCATCAATGCCTAGTGGCTTTCTCAATCTTTCCAATCAGTCCTTATCATCGTTAGAATCTCAGTCATTTCAATATACGCGAGCGATAACCCAATTTATTGATATATCTCGGAATAAGCTATCAAATGCGAGCTTTTTATCAGGATTTTCCAAATTACTTCTGATCAATGCAGATTATAATTTTTTCAACTCTTTAGGGTCTTTTCCAAGCTTGCCAACACTGGATACTCTTTGTTTGAACTCAAACCAGATTTCTGATTTGCCAGCAGCACTTGACCATATTTGTTCGAAATTTCCCAATGTCAAACATCTAAGCTTAATGAGAAACCCATGCTGCCCTTTTTTAGATGAAAGAGTATCGGACCAGGAAAGGCTTAATTACAGAATGAGTGTTATTGCACATTTACCAAATTTAATGTCTTTAGACGGGTCAATGGTAAGTAGTAATGAAAGAGAAATGGCTAATAAATGAGCCAGAGACCATCAAACCGGACCAAGGCCTGCTGTCACACCTTTTCGATATGAAGCAATCCCTGAGCCGGCGCGTGAAACTTCGATAAAAGTCTCTATGAAAGCACCTGAAAAGAAAAAGAAAGCCACAACAAGTGAAGGAAACCGATTTATTACAAACAAAGAACTGTAAGACTTAAGTTAAGTTTTAGAATTTTTTAAGCGTTTTAATTAGATAATACACTTGATGACTCTAGTAAAAATCCCTCAAAATCTTATGGATATTTTTCTTATGTTTATATTTACTGTAGTACTTTTGTGAGCGGATAGCTTTTTGCTTTGCATATGTCTGATTATTTCAATGGATTTATTGCAAATTTCTGAAATTTCTTTCGTTTTCTTTGGACTCGGCTATGTGCTATTATCCTAAATATAGAATTTCGCGGGCATAAAATTCTAAGAATGCATACTGACTTTGAATTGCTAGCATGATAGTCTATTGCGAGTATCTTCTAAATTTCATATCAAATACTCTTCTATTAGAACTTCATATTTATGCAGAATTAAGGATTCCAGTTTGCGGTATTTATAGCTGAGCTCAGATATACCCATATTGTGAATTGTATTCTTTATAAACTCAATGTTTTCTTCATTAGCTGTAACATTTTTTCAGTGTGCTTTCTTAATTTTAAATCAATTTTATGATTAGAAGTGAGAGATGCAGCTTTGGTTACGTTTAATAGAAAGTAAACCATAAAGCATGTTACTTTCATTAGCAACTAAAAGGACTGTATCAACTGTTATTTTTTCATTGGAAATGCTTCAACAATCTCTATACAATTTAATGATAAAGTAACATGAAATGGTGCAGAAATATTTTTACGTATTGATCGGAAAATATTGAAAGTTATATAAGAATCTTCTTGAGCTGGAGATTTTCAAATAATTCTACAACTGATCTGCATTTCATCTCTTCTCGTTTTTATAATATTCTAGCATAATTCTCAATATGAGTGAGCATTCTAAAATCCTTATTAACCTCTGGTTTTTGAATTTGTTATAAAGAATTGATATTAAGTCTTCTAAGTTTTCTTTTGGAATCTCAGCCATGCTTTTAACTTTTTTTCTTCTTTATAATAATGTTTAAGCTTTCTGCTCTATCTACAAATAAGAACCAAAAGTTGCTTGACATTTTAATATAAAATTATATAAAGATTTAGTTAATTACAAAACACAATATTTAAAGTGGCAGTTAGGGATGGAACCCTAGTCCTGATCCGCCAGGCTAGACCCATAACCAAGCTTAGTGAAAGAAGCCATAACTTCTTGAGAGTCTCGGCTTGAAGAGAAGTGGTCTGTGCTGAGTCTGGCACTGACTAAAGAAGCCTAAAAAGGGCTTAATAACTTAACAGTTCGATGGCTAGGCCGGTTCACCTACCGTTGCTCAGAGCTGTCATTATAGCTGAACCTTAAGTAAATAAGACTAAGAAGGCGCTGAATGTGCAAGATAAATTCATTAAGCTTAAACTTAAACCTAAACTTGAATTACAAACCTCAGCAATTTTTACTTTCAGTTTCCCAACGCTTGGATTCATAAAGTAGCCTTAAAACGCTTTCAAATTTAGCATGCCGATCTGTAGCTCCTTTTTGATTATTTTCTACAAATTTAGATTCTTCATTATTATCTAAATTTACTCAAACATGGCCACAAGATGGCTTTTGGAGCGACAGGATGAACTCAAAATTTTTGCCAGAAAAATAAAAAACTGATAGAAAGGCCACGGGGTCAGGTCGCAGAATTCCGAGATGGGTGCGGTCTGGGCTAACTGGGCCTCCCCCTCGACCCATAGACAAGAAGACTAGTGGCGCAATACCAATCGAGGATTTCTGGAGGAGCATTATGTTGCCTGAAATGGCAGAGGTAGTTCCAGAAGGAGGCATCGGACGACTCCCTCATACCCTGAGCACTACCAGGAGTTAAGAGAGTCCTTTGCTGAATTTTTTTGTTCCAGTAGGTTAGGGTGAGTCTCCCCGAAAATGCCGACGTCATCAGAAAAGGGCGTTAAGTGGTTTTATTGCTTAGCGCCACATGAACGTGAAGCTGAAGCTCGAATGGATCAGGGGTTGAAATAAACCCCGTTTTAACCCTTTCTAATCTTAATCTCTCTCTGATTATTATCTTTATTTCCTTGATCATTATTTTTTTCATATAAAATGCTTCCACAGACTGATTGAGATCTTCTTCTTGGCCGAATTGAATCTTCTGCTTCACGTAAGTATCTGCTTCTAACTCCTCCCCTCTGTGAGCGAACAAAACCATTAGAAAAATCCCTAATTTTTGCCCCAAAAATTCACCCTCCGAGCGAACAAAAATTTTTAATAAGCAATTAATTAACTCCCCCCCCCCCCCTCCGTGAGCGAACAAAACCATTAGAAAAATCGCCATTTTTTGACCAAAAACCCACCCTCCGTGAGTGAACAAAAAATTTTTTTAATAGAAAAAATTTTAATGGAAAAAATTTTGATATATAAGTGATAATTAGTATAATGAAATCTAGAGCTAATTCTGTTTAATTTTAAACAAATTTGCGTTTTAAAACATAAATTTTGCAAATTAAATTAATATTTGCTTCCCAATTTTTGCAAATTAGGATTTTTTTAAATTTCGAAAAAAATATTTTTTATAAAATTTATATATAAATTTTTTTTAAAAAAAAAAATTAACCCCCCTCCGTGAGCGAACAAAATTTTTTGTTCGCTCACGGAGGGGGGGGGGGGGAGTAAGGAAAAAAAATTGACAATAAAATTTATATATAAATTTTTTAAAAAAAAAAATTAACTCCCCTTCATGAGTGAACAAAATTTTTTTGTTCGCGCACGGATGGATGGGGGAGTAAGAATCTGAGAAGCACTTGGTCTTGAGTTTGGATTTGGCATCATTAGCTTTTTAACCAACTTTATCATTTCTCTTGAGTTTTGGCTTGAAAGTGCTTCAGAATTTACATCAGCATTAATTATAGATTGGCTCTTCCTTTTTTACGTCTCACCCGAGACGAGTCTTCATAGAAGACTGGTTCAGCTGCTAGCGAGCCTCGCTGGCTATGCCAACATTTCCACGAAGTAGTCTCTAGGGGTAAAAAATCATTTTTCCCAAATTGTCTATCAGGAAGGCACAAAGTCTTCATTTCTGGACGAGTAGGCAAAAAAACCCAACCGAACACAAATGCAGACTCCGTTTCTGTTCGGTTTGGCTTCAGGTCACAGCAAGGTCCCCAAGCTCAAAAATGTCTGAGGGACAGATCGGTGACGTCGCCTTTTTATTTATGTGAAAGTGCTTCAGCAAAAGGAACTTTACAATCACGATTCTGCAGAACTAGCTCTTTTTTATTTTTTGCAGACCATGGGGTTTTGCCCGTAAGCAGCATAAATAAGACTATCCCAACGCTAAAAACATCAACTTTGCTTCCATAGATGTCTCTTTTTAATATTTCTGGAGCTGTAAATCCAGGAGAGCCACATATTTGAGTTAATTTTTCTGTATTTATGCATGAAAGTCCAAAATCGCCGAGTTTGATTTCAGTGTCATTATTTTTGGAAACCATAAAAATGTTTTGCAACTTAATATCCCGGTGCACAATATTTTTAGAATTTAAGTATTCTATGACATTTAGTAGGTTTTTTATAAGAATTATGGCCTTTTTCTCCGTAATAGGACCATTTGTTCCAATTCTTTGAAATAAATCACCCCCTTGAGCATAGTCAAGGACTAAATGTACATGATGAGGGCTCTCATATATTTTATGAATTTTTATGATCCTAGGATGATCAAGACTTTTCATGATTTCTATCTCATTTATTAAGGCTGAAAAGTGTTCAATCGACTGCAATTGGTACTTAGGAATGCACTTTATGGCATATTCTTGACCATTTTCAAGATCAGTTGCCAGATATACATAAGAATAGCTCCCTGTGCCCAGTAATGATTTGAAGTCAAAATCATTTTTGATATCTGTCATTATGGCAACTCTTGATAGACGATCAAGCCAGTCATCAAGTTCTGTCAATGATTTGACATAGAAGTGTCTTTTCACTATCCCTTGGCTTATTCTGAAACCGTACTTTTTTTCATCTTGGATTTTTTCAACAAATGGCTCAATTATCTTTCATGATATTGGACACTTTTTATTGGGTTTCATTGATTCAGTTTTGGATCTTCATAGTGAATTTCTTGTGAGTGTAAAGTATCGCTTTTTGACCTTGCTGTTAGGGGTCAGTTCAAAAAGAAACCCAGCATGGATAGGATCAGATGGGGAATCAGTATTTCCTCCCCAAAAGCAGAAACCTTGAGACTGATCTAAGTTAGAAAATATCGACAGCAGTTTTAAAATTATAATTGATTTATTCTTTTTATTAAATAGCCGGTAGAAAATGAACTGGCAGTTTTATCTTAGCCATTATTAATTGCTTATAATCAAAATTTGCATTTATTATTAAGTTCCTTTGATTGGAAGAGCTCAAGAATAAGCTCGAAAATCCTTTATAACTATCAATGAATTTAGAAATTGATTAATATTCTCAAATATAAATGAGATGCTAAATATGTTAAAGTACTTTAAAAATAAATCTGCTAATTTAAATTACACTGCTGTATTTTTATAAAAGTTTATGGCTTTCATTGATATGAAATCATATTCACAATTTAAATATTAGGAAAAATTTGGCTTTTTTCGATCATTCAATTGAATCTGAAAATCACAGCATTCTTGTGTTTGTGATAACTAATTAAGTATTTTAATCAAATGGTCGATATAAATACATAGCTGATTAAGCAGATTTTGGAATTTAAGATATTACTTGCTTAATAGCTTATTTTTTAATTTCTGAATTTAATTAGGGTACTAATTAATAGTAATCGATCTAAAAAGACATAGCCCTAATATCCCATTGGTAATTGATATATCTGAGATCAATATCTCCAAAAAATTTAAAGCATTTATTAAGAGTTGCAAGAAATAATGGGCCTTAATGTTCTTTGCTAAATTTAAAATTTGCTCATATTAAAATAGCTCAATCAGGAAATATTCAATTTAAATTTTTTAACGGAAATGACCATGAAATGGCTTATACTATTGACTGTCTTAAGCATCTGTTTATCCAATGAAGCACCACAACAATCAGTAATGATAGGAGATGAAATGACAGATATAGCTAAAAATGAGATCGTTAATAAAGAAATTGAAGATTTTAAGGAAGGAAAAAGCTCATTCAATCAAGCAAATATTTATCTATTGATGAGAAAAACACTTGGAGAAATCAATGAGGATGAATATGAAGCTGGGCTAAAAGAACTAGACATGGCTTATACTTTAATGACTGGAAACCCTCCTCCTATAGGGTTTTTGCAAGAAATAAATAATTAATATATTTTGTGAAAGAATCAATCGAGCTTGATTTTTTAGTAAAATATTTTTGATATTGCATTCAGATTATATCAATTTTTAATGAATATTTTATCAGAAAAAATAATAAATTATGTATATTAAATTTTAACAGCACAAACCTTTGTAGGGCTTTCTTGATAATGATAAACATTTTTTGTTGACTATAATTCTTGGCATATGCTGATGACTTACTGTCGTTGGTTGGTTTTGCAATATTTGCTTTTTTTTGAATTTTTCCTCAAGATCAGGCAAAAGCCTTAAATCTTTTACTGAGCCTGCTAATGGCGGAAGTCCTGACCTTTTTAAAACTTTTTGAATTTTGTTAAAGGATTTATTTTTTAATTTCGCTTTTTCTGCATCCCATAACTCTTTTAGTTCTTTATTTTTCTCAATTTCTTCATCAGTTTCCAAAACCTTATTGCTTTGAGTATCCTTTTGGATTTTTGAAATTTTATTATTCTTAATTGTTTTTTTTATTCTGGCAGCTAGTTAAGCTGTATCCTAATTTTGCCAAAAAATAAAGCAAAATTGTTCCTCAAAGTATTATATATAACCGTTAAATAATATAATAATATAGCTTAGTCATATTTAATCATTTAAATTTTCATTCAAAATTTTGATTTAGAATTTTGGGAATATTTTTTCTGTATAATATAGCTATCAATTTCTGAAAAATTTCCCATGTCCTTTAAACTTTTTTCTGCTTCATGATTAACCAAGCTTTTAATGATCCTTTTTGCTATTGCAAGATTTCTGGAATCTTGAAGTGCAATCCTTGGATTTAAGTAATTTACTGTTTTATTTAGCTTACCTTCACTATATTTACGATTTTTTCCTGATAAATTCGCTGGAGTTAAAGGATTTATGACTCAAGAAGGCTCATTTTTGAACTTTAACTCGTTGATCTTTTCACAAGTAATTGGGGAAAATGGTCTCCTTCTGACGACTTTTATTAATTTTCCATGAGAATAGGATCTATAAAATTCTTTGAAATCATTTTCAGCGACTTTTGGCAAGCAGTAAGAAACTTTTCTTTTTTGAATTTGCGTAGCCTTTGGCTTTATAGGAGTGTGAGTATCGATTTTACGAAGCCTATCAAAATAGCTTTCTGATCGCCTAGTCAAAGTTTCTTCATTTAAACTATCGTTTTTTTCTCTTCGTTTTATTATATCAGATAAGTTGAGTTTAATTTTCATTATTATTATCATAATTCAGAAAATATTAATTTAAGTCTGTACATTAATTTCTTGCAAAAGAAAATGTTTTCGTTGATTCCAACCTATCTTTAAGCTGCTTTTGCTCTTTCGAAATTGCTGCCATATAGCGATCTAATGATTCTACCCCTACAATTGCAGATAGCAATTCTTTCAGGGTGATATTATATTTAGTTTCATAGCTGCTTAATAAGCACTCTTGAGCTAGCCTTTGAAGCTCTAATTCTTTAGCTTTTTTGACGACTTCTCTGAGTGATTGTAAATGCTGGTCATTTATTTTATTTTCACTAATGCTGACTACCTTGCTCGGTCCATCTTCATTTGCTTGAGTGTCATCTTCATATACAACGACCATTTGCTTGGTGACCTTATCCCATACGTTTTTGGGTTTTTGAGTTTGAATATTTTTAGTTAATTGAAAAAGCCTTGCATGAATGTTATTTCATTTATCGTTTCCTGAAAAATTCATTGAACCTAGCTTTGAAATCCTGGCAAGCTCTTCTGACAACTGCTCGATTTCCACACTTTTTTGAGCCAAAAATAAAATTGAATGAATTGCATCAGTATCCAAAAAACTTGGAAACATTTCAGGGCTTACCGGCTGATTCAGCTTCCACAAACTCCTAACTATTCATACAAGCCCTTCACTTCTTGTATCTTTTCCTTCTTTCAGTAAGCTTAAATAATGAGAAATCTGTGCATCTCTGACCATCCCCATTTGCTTTCTCAACTGCGTGCTTTGAGAGTCTAACAGTTGCAAAGGCTCAGCTCTTTTAGAAATTTCTTCTCCTATTGAAGAATTAACTTTTGCAGCTTCTTCTTGTCGTTTTGACAAGAGTTCTTTCAACTTGGCTTTATAAGACATTCATTCAGAAAACTCTTCTGGGCTTCTTTTTTTCTTCTTCACTTCTTTAGTCTCTTGGATTGCGATCTGTGACTTAATTTTGTCGATTTCTCCTGCAAAAATCACTGACTGCTTTTTTATGTCTAAGCATTCTCTTCGAAGCTCTTCTCGCTTTTTATGTACATCTTTGAGTTCATTGAGAAGCTTTTCATAAGCTTTTTCGAGTTCATCTTCATAAAGTTTTAGGTATCGGCACTTGTCCTTGAAACCTTCGTCTTCATGTTTACGGGCCATTCGCTGCTTGGTTGTATGTTTTTGCAATTCAACGCTTGTGATTTTCTTCACAAGAGTTGGCAGTCGGTTTCGATATTTTCTTTCTAAAATGTGCCCTTCCACAAGATCTTGGCCAGCTACACGCTTTTGAAGAGTAGATTGAGCTTCTTTTAAAGAACGAATAAACTCTAGCTGTCCTTCTTTTTCTTGAAAATCAAGCTTTTCGACAGCTGCACGTTCTTCGTCTTCAGAATCGTAGCTTAAACCATTTTTTGGGCTAGGTGATAAAGAATCAGATGACTTTTTGCGGACTGCTGTAAGAGGGAAGACGACAGATGCAGAGATTTGACGAGTTGTAGTTGATCTCAAAAGAGAAGGTAAGGTAATATAAAACCTGCTTCTAGTTTTTGAAGCTTTATCCATGTCTAAATTATAATTAATCTAATTCTGGGCCATAATGAAGCAAATCTTAATTAAAAAAATTTCCAATTTCATAGGTAAAAGTCAAAAGACACTTTGAATTTTGAAAAATAAAAAATAATTTTGCTATTTTCATAATTCCATAAATGACATCAAAAAACTGAAATTAACCTTATTCTTGCAATTCCAGTTACATTAATTATAATAGCAATTACTTATATTTAGCTCTATATACCATCCTAACTGCATCACGAAATAAAATGGTGGAACTGATGGAAATTGATTTCTAGGTGCACTCCCTGTGGAGAAGGTTGAGCCATCATGATGAAGCTGAAAACAGAATCTCTGCCTCTTTTTGAGTAGGCCTCAGATTCGGAGAAACCTTGCCGAAGAGGAAAGTTTTGTTTATCACCGAAGGTTTTCATGTGCTTTCCAGATGGCTAGACAGGTTTTTGCCTCTCAAATGACTTCGTATATCGTGATTATTGGGGCACCCAGCAGAGGGTGGATTTAGCCTATGTACTTAATCCTTAGGCTAGATGATTTTTTGCAAGTAAATTCAAGAGGGTGCATTTTGGTTGAGCGTTACGCCATTTGCACTCAGGTGTATATAGACCCCAGCATAGGTCACCTTTCCTGGAGATAAGGTAATCCGGCTAGTGGGAGTCCCGCTTATGGCCATATAAAACTTTTAACTAACTGCATGAAGAATTAAAATGTGAGATTATGGAAGAAGGTGAAGTCTGGACGGAAGGTGATGGAGATACAGAGAAAAAATAGAAGCCAAATAATCGGTAAATTCATTGGGAATATTGTTAGATTAAGAAAAGATTGACTCCATAAGGAGTGATAACTAATTTTTATTGCTATGCAGCAGATAGGACCTATCCTGATGAAGCTGAAAGCAATGCCTCTCCCACTTTTAAAGAGGGCCTTTAAGTTTAGGGAAGCCTTGTTGAGCAGGGAAGTTTTTATTTCTTTCTCGAAGAATTTCCTTCTTTGCAGATAGGCTAGAGAGAGGCTTTGTCTAAAACATTGCATTTCCTTATCGAGACCCTACCCTCCCTAGAGGAACAGGACAATCAAGAGTTTTTTATAAAAAGATGCTAAAGTAGATATATGGATAGAAGCTAGAAGATCAGATTGGATTGGAAGCGTTGCGTCAGTCAAGGCTAGACCCGCAGTTTGGGCAAGCTCAGATGAAGAAGATTTAGGCTAGATTCTGCCAATTTATAAAACTAGTCCATAAGGGTAAGTAGGTGAATTTCCGTCCTATTTAAGTAAAGCCCTCCTCCCCTTCCTTATAGGAACAATCGTGTCAAGCTTCAGGTTGTGGCTCTGCCCTAGAGATTTGAATCCTTGGACAGGTGATCCAGGTCGGAATAAAAAATTGCAGCCGTTCATTTTTCTCATTTGAACCTTAGGTCTTTGATAACTGTCTTTTGGAACTGAGAGTTGAAGGCTTATGGCCAACATAACTTTTAACTTAACTACATGGCCAGTCCAAGAATCTAACGAATATTGCATATCTAAAAAAAACTTTTCCATCGATCTGTAAATAATTTCATACTCAGATACAGCTTGGAGCTTATCAGAAATCCCATCATCATTTCTCTATATAAAATTTTACAGGTCTTAATTTTTCACCTTTTCTTCTTGCTAAAATTTCGTTTTCATCAATTAAGCCTTCTTGAGCTTGCCTTCCAGTTTTGCAAAATGTCATCAATACAATGTGCTGCAATATAGATCCTATAGTTCTTAAATTTCTTTATAAATATTACTGTTGGGTTTTAGAGCCTGGTCTTACTGGTATATGATTTTCTTGGCTATTTAAACAAAAATCTCTCACAATAATCCTTGATATAAAAAATGTGGCTACTAGCATCTTGCGCTTATTATCGTTTTGCTGTCATAATGCTCCAAATTCGTCCGTTTCAAGTCTAGATCTCTCAAAAGGCATTAAATAATCTTGAGGGATATAAGACCCGTCGTCGATCAATTTATCGATAAAAACACGCAAAGGAACTCGCATTAGTTCTTCAGTAGTATTTTCTCTTAACTTCCCCTTTAAATTGGCAAATATCACCAAATTTTGTTTTTGATATCCCTTAAAAATAAATAAAACTTTTAAATTTGAAAGAGCTTTTATTCCTATAAAGAGAGGAGTAAGCAATCTAAAATTCCTTTTACTCTTACTTGGGTTTTTAATATTTTTGCTTTAATGAATTCTGTCTCTCTCAAATTGTTGTCTTTGTTTGACAAACTTAAATCAAGTTTTGGGTCATTTAGGATGGAAGTAAGCGGAATTTTAATAGCTTTCATTGTTCATTCCTTTGCAACTTCTGTAAAAATTTTTATAGAAGATTCCATGTTGTTGATATTTTCAAACTTTTTCTTTCCCTTTTTCTCAAGAAGCGAACTTATAGCCATAATTGGGAATAATACAGCATATCCTATAGCTCGAAATAAACTTTTCCCTCTTAGTCCTACAACTCTCATTTCATGTTCTCTTTGACGTTTCTCAGCTGCCATTTTTTGCAAAATCTTAAATTTTTCTTCATCAGATAAATTAGCATCATATCTATATCTTTTTTCTGCATCTGCATATAACTCAGCTTCGTCATCATCAAAATTCAACTCTGCAAGTACCCTTTTAAATTCCCTGACTCCCCCCCCTTTAAATTGGAACAAAATATCGGTAAAAATTTCCACTTTTTTGGTAAATTAACCCCCCTTTAAATTGGAACAAAATTTAATTTTATGATAAAAAATTATATATAATTTTTATCTAAAAAGTTTTGATATAAGCTAAATGTTTTTTCTTAACTAAAATAAAAATTTAGTTATATCTTGCTCTTTTTTAAAGAAAAGTATAAAGAACATCTTATTTAAATAAATTTATTATCCTTAATTGGTAAATTTTTAAAAAAAAATTAATTTTTTTTTTTTAAAAATTTTCAAAAAAATTTTGTTTTTTTTGATATAGCCCCTGAAATATTTTAGATCATTATTGGCCATCCATTTTAATTTCCAAAATTAAATTTGTACTTGTCAGCTTTTTTAAAAGTAAAAAACAAAATTGACAAATCTCCGTTTATGGTTTTAAGGTACCTAATCAGACTTATACTGTATAAGGTAGGTGCCCTGTACATATTTTTTCTGGTCGGTATTCTGCTGGGGTATAGAGATCTATTAAGATACATGAGCTATAAAAATGATATTTTTTATTTGGATAGTTTTGATATAAATTCAATAGGAATTCTTTATATAATTTCAAAATTTAGTTATTTCTTGCTTTATTTTAAAGAATAGAGTATAAATAACATCTTATTTAAACAAAATTAGCACTTTGATCGATAAATTTTTCTAAAATTTGTTTTTTAAATTTTTTTTATCAATCAAAATAATAATTTTTGTGTAAATAATTTTGATACCAATTAATAGTGGCGTATTAATTAATAATGAAAATTTAGTTATATCTTGCTTTGTTTTAAAGGATAAAGAGTAAATAGCATTTTATTAAACAAATTTATTGATCTAATTCGATAAGTTTTTGAATTTTTTTTTTGTTGAAATTTTTATATATATTTTATAAAAAATTTTATATTGATATTTTTTTAAAAAATAAAATTAACCCCCCTTTAAATTGGAACAAAATTTTTAGTTCCAATTTAAAGGGGGGGGAGTGAGGATTTTCTTTTACCCTCTTATACTGCTCCTCTACAAGAGTAGTAGTCTGCCCCTGAAACTGTATTTGTGGATTTTGTACAGGATTTTGATAAAACCCTTTCGTTTCTTCTATTGGTTGATTTTTCTTGTTCATGTTTTCGATCATGCGCAGCATTATTTCTTGCTGCTTTTGTAGTGATGCAAATAAGACTGGCATTTCATTGTACTTAGGAGTCGCAGGTTTAACAGGTGCAGGAGGAACTTGTGCGCGTTTATCATACTCATTTAATAAAGAAATAAAGCTGTGGGCAAGTTTTTTGTCTTTGTAACGCTCTTGCTTAAATTCAATTTGTTTGTTAAGTTTTTCTATTTTATTTTCTATTTTTGCATAGCTTGGGCTTCGAAAAGGAGACACGCTGTGAGGCTGCTGAAAGGAGTAATTTATAGGATTTGGAGAATTCGCAAAAGAGTATTCAGGTTTGTAAAATGGATATACAGGCTTGCTTGAGGAAGTAATAATTCCTTTGCCAATTCCAGACATGCGATGATCCATTTTTATTTAAGAAACGATTCAAGTTGATGTAATTAGAAATGGAAGGAAAACCTTGGCCTATGGATTCCACCTCAACTGCTACCAAGCTCCTTGAAAAGCGGCGCATGATGTATGAGGTCAAAGAAGAGTTCGACCAAGCCAAAGAAGAAGAGCGCGAACGAGATGCGGAATTCAAAGAAAAAGAAAGTTACTTAAGAGCGAAGGATTTAAGCTTACAGCAAGGCCTTATTCAGTTTAACCAAGTTTTGCAGGAAAATGACTTGAAGCGTAACAAAGCCAAGAAAAAATACGAAGAGGAGCTGCGGCAGAAACGCCAAAAAGAAGAAAGGATTGAACAGCTAAATCATGATATCGAGGAATTAAGTTTCCGAGCTACATCGCTTGAAAAAGAAGTCACGAAAATGAGGAAATATGAAGACTTCTTGGAAAGAGTCAGAGAAAAGAACCCAGACGATTTTACTGACATTTCTGATATCCTTGCTCGCTACAATACTTTAAAACAGTCATATGAAGATTTGATGAAAAAGAGGCATCAGCTAGAAGAAGAGCTGCAGGATATAAAGTGGACTCGTGATCTCTATGAAAAAGAGAAAAAAGACCAATTGATGGAGCTAGCTATCGACATAGCGAATACTCAAAAATCAATTGAAGATTTAGATATCATACGAAGTGACTTGCAAAAAGAAGTAGACACTGTGAGCTCAACAGCTACAGAAAAAGACTTAGAGCTTGGCTGCATGCTGACTGCTATTGAAAATTTGTATCAAAGATGCAAAACTGAGGAGCCAGGGATTCATCATGATAGAACCACAAAGGTTAAAGAAACCCAAAATTTAAATGACTACAATTATAGAGCGAAAACTGCAGTCTCCAAGCTAAATGCTATCAAAGCTTACATAAAGGATATTGAAGACATTTTGGCAGATGAAAGATCAGTTGAACTATTGAAAGAAAGCACTCATTCCTCAATTGATAAGGGTGGAGCAACTAAAACAGAAGCTTAAATTCCATATTTTAATTTCTTAGTAATGAAAAAGATAATAGGGATACTTGCTTTTAGTTTTCTCATCAAATCGTTATTGTTCTGGGGATAGTAAATAACAATTAGTTTAAGCACAGATTTCGAAGTGCACAGAAATTGAATGGCAATCACCTATAATCTCCCTCTGTCCAAATGATACTATGAAGTAAAGTTGATTAGGCAACATCAATCTGAACAATGGATTATCCACCGGTTTTCGCATATTTCGAAAAAATGTTGAGTGCAATTGCAAGCTTCTTTGATAAAAAGATGCTAGAAATTTCATCAGCAGGCTATATCTCTACAAATACTATTGCCTATCAAAGAGCTACTGTAATTTTCTCTGAGTTAATTCTTGCTTACAGTGTTTATATTTATTCAAAGCCACGGACTCTTTTATCTGGATTAATTCTATTGAACCCTGGACTTATTTTTGTTGACCGTATTTTCTAATTAGACATTCATTTTCAATACAATGGAGTTATGATAGGAATGCTAATTTTATCTATTTATTTTATGAATAAAGAAAAATATATAGAATCATCTATTATTTTTACTATACTTTTGCTTATGAAGCATATTTTTCTTTATTTTGCTCCTGCTTATTTTTTGTTTTTACTAAAACACTACTGTTTTAAGCCATATTTCCAGCCCTCAAAAATAATTAAGCTTGGAATTTCAGTTCTAGCTACCTCAGCTGTCATTTTATTCCCATTTATGCAGCACCTCCCACAGATTTTATCGAGGCTATTCCCATTTGGACGAGGACTGACCCATGCCTACTGGGCTCCAAATATTTATTCCTTGTATAATACTTTTGATGCAGTTTTAAACATAATTGTCAATAAGAAATTAAAAACTGAGTACATGCAAGGATTGGTGCAGGTTTGTAATCATGCAGTTCTATTTAATATTACTCCCATGATTTCATTCATTTTACTTGGAATTGGGCTATTTTTTGTAGGAAAATATATTTGAAAATATTCAGGAGAAAAAGATTTTTGTATCTCTGCTTGCATTTGCTGCTTGACCTTTTTTATGTTTGGGTGGCATGTGCATGAAAAAGCTATTTTAATGGTATCCCTGCCAATTATGTAATTTATATACAGACTTATCTCAAAAGACTACCCCAAATATGCATTTCTTCTTAACTTTTTTGGAAACTTCAGTTTATTTCCCTTAATTTTTACCCCACTTGAGGAGCCATTCCTTTTGATATCATTTCTCCTCTTTACAATTTCTTTTACCTTATTACTAGATATTTCAGCACTACTGCGCTATGAAAAAATTTACCTTTACTTTTCCTCAATAATCTACTTCATATATTTATTTTTCAACAAAATCACAAAAAATGACTCCTATATTCCTCTTTTATCTATGTCTGTAATTTTCATTTAGATTTACTGCGGAATTGGGATCTCATATATTTATTTCTCTCTCTTAAAATCACTACTTTCACAGAAAAACAAAAAAGATTAAAATAAATTTCAATTATCTTATTAGTGCTTCTTTTTTCTTGATACTTTTGTGATAGGTGTCCAGCCATCTTCTATTTCAGCTTGTACGTTGAGTTTTAATCCTACGTCTTTGTCTTCTGATTTTTCAGCTTCTGATGGGTCGACAAATTTATACCAAATTCCATCTCGGCCTTCGAAATTTTTTTGGTGTTTTTTGCCTTCGCCATGAGTAAGAAGAAATTCATCAGAAGTTAAATATTTTTCACAGTATTTGCAATATGCAATTTTACCATCAGGTATGATTTGCTTTTTCTTTTTTGGCTTTTGGGGCTTTTGATTAGGCTTCTCTTGGGTAGTTTGAGGCTTTTTAGGAGCTTGTTGAGACTGAATATTAACTTGTGCTTCTTGAATGTTTTGAACCTTCTTTGGGCGCTTTGTGGGAGGTTGAGATTTTTTAGGACTAAATGAACTAATAATATAAGCTAGCACTGCTGCAGCCGGGATATAAATCAACAATCCATATGTATAGTACTCAATCTGATGATTCATATTTGGATAATTTATTTGACGTGGTGATTTAAAAATGTCATATCAGCATAAATAATGTGAGTAAAAAAGTAACAATTATAAGCAACTTACATTTTCTAATTTTTATGAAATTTAATTAAAGTAGAGTTTTACATTTTTAACTTTGGAAATGATTGAAGGTCATGATGGATGTGATAATATTGATCAGATTTATTTAGCAATAAATAGCACAGTAGCTATCTTAATTAAATGAGTGCAACTGGTTATATATAATTATGTGATTTATTATTAATCTTTTCAAAATTTATTTTATTTACTAAATATGATTGCTTTTATCTTTTATTTAGCTACTATTGCTCAAAGCATCAAAGTTGAATATGACAAAGGAAAAATTAAGGCATGTCTGGGTTTGTTGAGAGTCAAGCTAGAAGAGGCTGAAGATGAGCTAGAAGATATTTTAGCTACAACGCTACAAGACGAAGAAATGGTCATTAATAAAATAGTAGCTGATATGATGACTAATTGCCTTACAAATATTACTGAAGAAACTACGAAATTTATTATGAATAATGAGACAATCACTCTAAATCCAAACTATAATTTTTTAGTAGCTTTCAATAAGCAGCAATTTTTCGAAGGCAAAGATCCTGAGTTAACTCCTTTGCAATTACAAATTTTCGAGCAATTAAAAATTTACAGAAAAGAAATCGAGTCAAGGTCCTTTAATTTTTCTTACCTTTGAGGATTTTTAACATTTGCTTTACTCCCCCCCCCCCCTCCGTGAGTGAACACAAAAATTTTGTTCACTCATGGAGGGGGGTTATTTTTTTTTTTTTTAAAAAATTTATATATAAATTTTAAAAAAAATATTCTTTTCGAAATTTAAAAAAATCCTAATTCGCAAAAATTGGAAAGCAAATATTAATTTAATTTATAAATTTTTATGTTTTAAAAAGCAATTCGTTTAAAATTAAACAGAATTAGCTCTAGATTTCATTATACTAATTATCATTTATACATCAAAATCTTTTTCCATCAAAAAATTTTTCTATTAAAAAAATTTTTGTTCACTCACGGAGGGTGGGCTTTTGGGCAAAAAATAGCGATTTTTCTAATGGTTTTGTTCACTCACGGAGGGGGGGGGAGTTAGGAATTTTTATCTTCAAAAAAATCAAAAACTACAAAAAGATTAAGGAAAATTAGCAAATTAATTATCATCCCTATCACTAAAATCTTTAAATGTCATATTTTACCTCTATCGCACTAATCCAATGGAGCATTATTTATTATTTCTAAAATTTGTGAGTTAACTTTTATCCTTTTTACTTTTCTTTGTAGGCTTGCTATCCTCTTTCCGTTTTTTAATTTTCTCTTTCAACTTATTCTGCTCTTTCTTCATTTTCTTTTTCACAGTATAATCTGGCTTAGCATTCTTTTTTCTGTTTTTTGGTCTCCCTTCCATTATCTGAACGTTTTCTTGCATTTTATATTCTTCAGGCAGTTCATATGCATTTTTCAGCTCTTTGCTTTTATTTCTAAACCTCATTGCCCCCATATTTTTTGGCTTTTCCTTATCTTTTTCTAGTTGTTTGTCACTTTTCGCCTTGTGAACCCTCAAACTTCTTCCTTTAAATTCTGCATTATTTTTCGATAAAGCTCTTACAGCTGAATCTTTTTCTTTAAAAGCAACATATGCAAACCCTTTCCCCATATGTGTGGCATGGTCTCTGATGATCCGCACATAGTCAATTTCTCCAAATTCTTTGAACTCTTCCCATAGTTCTTCATCTTTGGTATCAAAAGCCAAGTTTCCAATAAAAATACTGTTTTTTATTTCTTTTTTAGGTTTTTCGGCGAAATCTACCCTGAGATGGGATCCTTTGAAGTCTTGCCCATTTAAATCCAAGGACTGTTTTGCGTCTTCAGGGTTTTTGTAAAGGACATAAAAATTGCAAGCTGAGGCTCCATCTTTGTACATTTTCAGGGCAACCGCAGCTTTTATTGGGAGTTTTCCCCTTTCAACAGGGACACTTCTTTCTCACACTTTTTCTATCTCGCCGTATTGGCCAAAAAGCTTTTTAATTTGCTTTTTCTTGGTGGAAATGTCGACGTTCCCTACAAAAATCAGCCGATCTTCCCTTGACTTTTCATCTTTTTGTGGCGCTTCAGGGGTTTCTTCAGGAATTATAGGTTTTATAGGCTTTGGAGGTTCAAAAGGAGTCCCAGAAAATAAATCACTAGACTTATCGCTGCCAAAAAGCTTTGAGAGTTCAGTCATTTTATTACTAAATTATTCATTATCATACCAATCTTTGATAAATTTTACAGTTCTCAGATGGAATAAATAGATTCTAATAAAAAGGTTTGCTTAATAATATTTCATCCTTATAAATCTATGAAAAGGTTTTCTATTATTCTAATCGTGTATAGTGATTAAAATCTTCTCTTCTAGGGATGAATTTCTTCGAGAGCAATGTCAGCACAAATCCACACCCAGCAAATCCAATAATCATCATTGTGCTTATTTTTGTCTTATCCACACATTGCTCTGCCAAGCAATCAATTTCACAGTCCTCAGCCTGCCCAATACAAGCGGTGGCGCACTTTTTTTCGCATTTTGTGGTCGCTTTCTCTTTGAGTGTGGCTTCCAATAGAGTTGTGCCTTGTTCTAAGGTTGTAATATTAGTTACTAAAGGAATTGAATATTGGGCTAGTCTTGATTCATGAATTGTAGGGACTAGGTCAAGAGGGTTGCATTTACAGTTGTAATTGCATTTATATTGGTTAGCACCAGCCTCTAGACAGACAGTGAAGCAGGTTTGGTCACAGTCTGGGTATTTCAATGGGTTTTCGATTTGTATCAACTGGCCATCAGGACTAAGCTTGTATAGAGGAACAACAGCGTAGATCTCTGGATTAAAGTCGCAACACCTTGGATAGCAATCGATGCCTGGAGTTACGTCTAAGCATGACTGCATACAGGACTCTTTGCATTTTTGTGCGCCTACAAATGTTAGTAATAAAGCCAGTATGATCATTTTATTATTATATTTTTGAGATTCAAATGAATTCTTCATGATTTATTATGATAGAATTTATTTCTCTGCTTCACTCTTTAATTTAGTTTTATTACAAAAATTTTATAAAATTTAAAAAATTACAAAAAATTAAAAATAATAAATTGAAGAATTTTAATTTATTTTTTTGGATAATTAATCGATTTAGTCCAAAGAGGCTCAGGGTTTCATCACTGAGCACATCCGATTAGGATGAGCCTTCGGCAGAGCATGTGCAGGAGCTGAGTCAAACAAGGGCTACAGCATCGCGCTAGATGAGAAGCGCTGGCCAGGATGGCAGACGCCTTATTTGGGATAATCGGCCTTTGGATCGGAAATGCTCGTGATGTCACCATTTGTCTCTGCCCCTTTAGTGGGAATGTGGCGTTAGACTTCTTAAAACTTTAATTAATAATGTAATGTTCCAATTTAAAGGGAGGAATTAGAATTCATATTTCAAGTTGAGCTATTGATAAATATAATAAAAGATGGATAAAGTAAGAAAATCAATTCTTAAAGAAAATGCTCAAGAGTCTAAATTAGAGAATACACAAGAATTTAAACTAGAAACTGCTTCGATTTTTGAAAATTTAAATGCATCTGAATCTTTGGAAAGTTTATTAATGGAAATTAAAAAGAAACTAGGATTATCGGAAAGCGGGGTTTTGGAATTCAAAAACGCAGTTAATAAAATTATCAAGAAATCTCTTTCAGAAAAAGAAAAAGAGTTACTATTATTAATAAACGAAAACAATCAGTTGAAAACTGATATAAAAAGGTTAAATAATAAAATGGCACTGTCGGAATAAGTTCTAGCCCTTACTTCCCCCCTCCGTGAGTGAACAAAACCATTAGAAAAATCGCTATTTTTTGCCCAAAAACCCACCCTCCGTGAGTGAACAAAAATTTTTTTAATAGAAAAATTTTTTATGGAAAAAAATTTTGATATATAAATGATAATTAGTATAATGAAATCTAGAGCTAATTCTGTTTAATTTTAAACGAATTGCTTTTTAAAACATAAATTTTATAAATTAAATTAATATTTGCTTTTCAATTTTTGCGAATTAGGATTTTTTAAATTTCGAAAAAAAAATATGTTTTTATAAAATTTATATATAAATGTTTTAAAAAAAAAAAATTAACCCCCCTCCATGAGTGAACAACATTTTTTTGTTCACTCACGGAGGGGGGGGGAGTTAGGACTTTTAGGAGTCATAGGGCTTGCAACACTTGGCCTCTCAACAGAGCGAGAGACCCTTCGGAACGCACTTAGGAGTCAAGTAACAGCTAGTCAATTGAACTAGCAAGGCTATCGGCATCTGGAGAGTGAAATCTGTATGGAAAGCTTGAGAAATGATGTCACGAATTGAGCTAATAATGTTAAAGTAAGAAGTTTTTATACGTCCATAAGAGGGACTCCCACTAGCCGGACTACTTTGACCACAGGAAAGGCTGCCTACGCTGTCTATGCATATACACCTGAGTACAAATGGTGTAAGGCCCAACTGGCCAAGCACAGGTCGCAATCAGACACCCCCACCCCCCTTCACAGATGGCACCCCCACCCCTCAAAAAATAAAGTGTTTATCCTATAGAAGTAATTGATAGGAAACAAGCAGAATGAATTAAATAATTCCAATTAAAACACTAAATTGATAAATTAAGTCCATAAATTGCTTTAATATTTATGATTAATTAATAAATTTAAATAATTAACAATTAATTAGAAAATATATTAAATTTTTTTTTATATTTATACATATAATGCCAAAGATATAGATAATGGCATTAATTATTAAATTAGCACAATACAATAACTTGCATTAAATTTATTGATTCATAAATTAAAGCTAATCTGATGCCCATTGCACAAGGATTGCAGGACTGAATTGGTAGCAGGATTCAATAATGCTAATAAAAATAGTATTTGCTATTGCCAGTTTTACTTTTGGATCTCTAATTCGAATCTTTATCCATTGTTCCACAAAGTTCATAAATACATGCAGGATATACTGCTAATTAAAACCAAAGATCATTATTATGCTTGCTAACAAATTTCTTCAGATATGGTTGCTTAGTAGTTATAGGAAATTCTCACCCCATTCCACCTACTCCTTAATCGATTGTGCTACGCTATGTGGATATTGTATAAATCAGTAATTTTGAATATTAAAATAATAATTTATTTATTACGCCTGCTCTAAATTAGCATTTGTCATATATCTATGCTATATTAAGGGGGTGGGGGTGCCATTAAAAGGGAGGTGGGGTTGCCATTAAAAGAGGGGGTGGGGTATCATTAAAAATAGGGGGTAGGGTGTTTGATTACGACTTGTGCTTGACCACCCAACCAAAATTCTGCCCTCTTGAATTTTCTAGCTAAACTTACCTAAACCTAAGGATCAATTCCCTAGGCTAAAGCCACCTCTGTCGGGTGCCCCGATATTCCTGATAGGCGAAAACTATGTGAGAGGCAAAAGACTTGTATAGACCATATAGCAGGGACAACCGTGCTTTGCGAAGTTGAAGCTATTTCCTCAGTAAAGCCTTCCCTCTTCAGCAAGGCTTCCCCTAACCTAAAGCCTACTTCAAAAGAGACAGAGGCTCTGTTCTAGCTTCATCAGGATGGATCCGACCTTCTCCATAGTAAAGTGCACCTCGGAGACCAATTTCCGTCAGCGTCGCCATTTTATTTCTCCTCTCGGGTGAATAAAGGTGCGGTTAACGTCCCCCTTGCTCTGTGGCTGTAGCGATGCGTAATAGAATAAATATAAAAAGGCTAGAGGAGCTATATAATATCAAATGCGGAGAATCTATAAAAGTTATCAACGAAGCTGAATTAAATAGCAAAATAAAATACTTGGACTTTGAAAACTCTTCGTTAATTTACAAAAATAAACTTTTATATACAGAAAAAGAAAAGTTTAAAAAACAAGCTGAATATTTCAAAGCTGACCTTGAAAAACTAGCCAAATCATCAAAAGAGAACCTAGAGCAGCTCAAAGAATTCCAATGCAGAAGAATGCAGCTCTATGACAATGCTGTAAAAAAATACGAAAAGTTACTAGAAGCTGAATCTGGATATGGAGATGTGAAAGTGATAACAGTAGAAGAAAATAATGACAATTCTATAAAAGTTTGCATTTTAATGGTTTTCTTCATCTTGATGTCCATATTCGGGATTTTCATTTTAGACAGCTCGAATACCTCCAAATAATGCCTAACAAAAATAAATTACTTTATTAGCTTCTCTTAATAATAAAAATAGTATTTTTACTGATTATTTTTTATCTGCCTCGAAAATGAAACCAACGCATAGAAGAGCACACTCCCTTAGCGATCTTTATAATGTTCAGCCTTCATCTCCTTCTAAAAAGCAACAATTATCTCCAAAATTTCTATTAGACGTTATTTCTCAAGTAACTAAATCTCAACCCTCTGGCTCAGCTAAGAGCTTGCAGCCTTTCTTGCATAATATTGCATTAGAAGAGGAAGAAGTTCGTGCAAGAGAAAAGAAAACGCAAGAATATGTCTTGAAAGAAATGAGCAAAATCCAAACAATAGACCGCGAGTTTATGAAACAAAGATATTTAGCTCAAAAAACGATAACGTCTCCATCATTGACTGAGTCAAGATCACAGCCTGGCTCACCATTAAGTAAGATTTCGCTTAATAAAGTTAGGTTAATCCGTATGGAAAAGTTGAAAACTCCTAACAAATCGCCACCACTGACTGCAAGATCTAAGCATTTAGCTAAAATTCAAAATTTTATGCCAAATCCATCAGAATCTCCAATAAAAAGCCCACAAAATATAAAACAGCTAAATTCAGAGTTAAATTACTTCAGGAGGAGAGCGTCTATTCCTGAGCTGTGCTCCCCTGACGAATTTTTTCCTAAATCTAAAAGAGCAGCTGTTAATATAGAAAAATCATTATGCAATATCATGGCGAATAAATTCATTTTATTTTATAATAGTATATTATATCAGATTTGATGGCAAATGTGCTAAATAGCATACAAGAAGATTATTATAAAGAATTCTCAGGCACCAAAAAAGCTGGACTAAGGGCAGATTTAATCAAACTGTCCTTTTGAAAGCAAGATTTGAATGGGTTTAAAAAAGAAGTTGATGGAATTATCAACTCATTTCCTCATAATAGGAATCGAAATTAATATATTTATTTTAGCTAAAATGTTGGCTTCTCTTTTAAGAGCAGTGAGACCTGCTCCGAAGTTCGTGATGAGCGAACCTAAAGGACCAATAGTAAAAAGTGTAGTCCCAGGACCAGAAAGCTTAGCTTTACTAAATGAATATGAAGGATTGACGCAAGATTTCAGGACTGTGAGGTTTTTCGCAGATTATCAGAAAAGCATAGGAAATTATGTAGCAGATGCTGATGGAAATATGCTTCTGGATGCATATACTTTAAATGCTTCCTTGCCAATTGGCTACAATCATCCTAGCTACTTATCATTTCTGGATAATGCCAACATCCGCAATCATCTAATTCACAGAACAGCTTGCGCAGTAACTCCATCAAGCGATTGGGCTTTAAAGCTAAAAAACACCTTATTGCCTCTTGCCCCTGAAGGGCTGACTGAAGTCTTTATGTCTTGCGGCTGTGGAATTGGAGCTACAGAAAATGCGATGAAGGCAGCTTCGATTTGGTATTATAAAAATCAATACGGAGTTGATTACACTCCTGAACAAATAAAATCAACAATAGAAGGAAAACCTCCTGGAATTCCTGATTATGCATTTTTAAGCCTTGAAGGCGCTTATCATGGGAGAAGCATAGGATTACTCTCAGTATCTTCCTCATCAGGGCTTGACAAAGTAGATTTTCCCAGCTTTAAATGGCCTAAAGCTCCTTTTCCTAAAGAAAAATACCCAATTGGAAACCATTCAGAAAATAAAGCTCAAGAATCGCAAGCATTAGAAGCTACAAGAAAAGTATTTCAAGCCAGCAAAATTCCTATAGTAGGGCTGATGGTAGAACCTATACAAAATGAAGGAACTTATTACGCTAGTCCTTATTATTATCAGCAACTTCAAGTCATTGCAAAAGAGTTTAAGGCAGCTCTTATTGTTGATGAAACTTACTCAGGCGTTGGGGCAACAGGAAAAATGTGGGCTCATCAGCATTGGGGAATAAATCCAGATATTCTAGTTTTCTCCAAAAAAGCTCAAGTTGCAGGATTTTTCTCTAAGCCTGAATTTAGGCCACCTCACCCTCTTATGATGATGGGTACTTGGTGTGGTGATCCATTGCGTCTATATCAACTGCAAGGGGTAATGAATGTTATTACTAATGATAATCTAATTGCAAATGCTGAATCAACTGGCGAATATCTATTAAGTGGTCTTAGCATTATTCAGGGAAAGCGTGGAAAAATAGCAAATATTAGAGGAGTTGGGCTGCATTTAGCATTTGATATGCCAGATAAAAAGAATGCTTGGGGTTTATGCAAAAAATTGTTGGAAAAAGGAGTTCATGTAGGAGTAGCTAAAGATAATGTGATTCAGCTAAGACCTTCATTAATCTTTGGAAGGGAGCATGCTGATATATTCTTGAATGCAGTAGATGCGTCCCTTTAAATAAGAAAAATATTTCTTAAAAAATAATTTTAAAATTCAAGATTTTTCAGAAAAATAGAATTTTATTTATCTTTAGTGATAAAAATAAAGAATAAAATGGCTGAAGAATCAAAAGCTGAAGGAAATACCTCTTATGGGCAATGCTATTTAGATGCTGCTGTACAAATTCTCTATAACACTGTTCCTTTTAGAAGCTCTTTTCCAACCTCAAAACATCTATCAAATGAAGTATCTCAAGAGCTTCATAGGATTTTTATTAAGATGAGAAATGGAAATAAAGACTTTTGCAGTTCAGCAAGCCTTAAGAAAGCATTAATTAGCAGGTATGGTAAAGTATTTGATAATGAAAAAGGCTATGAGCCTGCAAGCACAATTACTTATATGCTACGGTCTCTCTATAAAGATCGAAAAACAGAAATTAAAACCTACCAAGAAATGGCTCATGCTAAATTTGGGAACTGGCCAAAAGGTATGAATATTAATGACAGTTTAATTAAAGTATGGGGCTTTGAGTACTTTTTACATTATGACGCAGAACCAGGAGTATTTTCTTTAAAAATTCTGCCAAAATCAGTATCATGGATCAGCCATGAAAAACAATTTTCTGTAAAAACTGATAATTTCCCTGAAATTGTCATGATTGAAGGGAAAATGAACACAAACGAGGATATGTGAGAAAGTGTTTTAAATAGCGAAAAAGAATGATACTCAAAAGAGCATAAAGGTTTTTATAAGCTAACTGGAGTGATATTTTACACAAAGCAGCATTTTCTAGCAGCTTATTATTCAGAAGACAGGAAAAAATGAACCAAAATAGATAATCGAGATCTTGAAGAAACTGATGAATTTTTAGATTTTTTGAAGGATGATAGTCTTAAGCCAATATTCCTTATTTTTACATGGACTGCAAAAGCTGTTGAACCTGATGAAACTCTACCAAATGAAATTTCAGAAGAGTTGACAAAGCAGGATTCATTTCTTACAATCGATTTCGTGCGGCCTGACAAAGAGCAGCTCTCTATCGAAGAACCAAATATAGAGCTGCTTTCGGCCGAGCAACCAACTACAGAGCAGCCATCTATTGGGCAGCAAGATGTGGAGGAAGTTCATCAGCAGCCAAATATAGAGGAGCCTTCTATTGAGCAGCAAGGTACAGAACAGCAGTTAATCGATTCATCACATATAGAGGAGGCTTCTATTGAGCAAGTAGCTACAGAGCAACAAGGTGCAGAACAGCAGCTGATTGATTCATCACATATAGAGGAGGCTTCTATTGAGCAAGCAACTATAGAGCAGCAATCTATTGAGCAATCACTCATAGAGAAGCCTCCTACAGAGCAATCAACCATAGAGAACCAATCCATTATCGAGCAGACAAATATAGAGGAGGAGTCTTCTATCGAGCAAGCAGCTATAGAGCAACCATATATTGATAAACCAAGTATAGAGAGGCCTCTTATTAAGGAAGCCAATATAGAAGAAGTTCCTATTGAGCAGTCAAGTACAATACAGGAGCCTTCTATCGAACAATTAACTATAGAGCAACCATATATTGATAAACCAAGCATAGAGGAGCCTCTTATTAAGGAAGCCAACATAGAAGAAGTTCCTATTGAGCAGTCAGATATAATACAGGAGCCTTCTGTCGAGCAACTAGCAATAGAGCAATCATATATTGATAAACCAAGTATAGAGGAGCCTCTTATTAAGGAAGCTAACATAGAAGAAGTTCCTATTGAGCAGCCAGGTATAATACAACCTGAAACAGAACCTTTTTATGGTGAGTCTTATATCGAGACTATTAATGAGCCTCCTTTTAATGGCAATTCGCGCATAGAAGAATCATACCAATATGATGAGCCATCATATTTATTTTTAATTGAGAACTTAAAAGAAACAAATACTCTTGATCAAGAAATAAGATCTGAAGATTTAAGAAGAAGGATAAATAGGACAAATATTGCTGAATGCCAGCAATGTGGAGCGCTCTATCCAATTTATATTGGAAAATGCATCAAAAAGAATTGCCAGTAGTCTATTTAAATAAAACAATCCTGATTTTTTTTCTTTACGTTCAAAATTTTTTATTTTTAATTTATATATTGACATTTAAATAGCCGTTTAATTCATCATAATTAAGCCTATGCACGCATTCATCATATTAGTTTTATTTCTAATTGGCTTACCGTAATCATACCAGTTTTAGAACTTTTGCTCATTTTCAATATATAATTGTTAACAAATACTAAAATGCAGTCAGCAGGTATTTTCTATTCAGTTCCAAGAAATTTCAGGCTACTTGATGAGCTTGAGAAAGGTGAGCATGGCTTAGGCGACCCCAATGTAAGCTATGGCCTTGACAGAGGCGATGACATAACACTAAGCAGCTGGAAAGGAATGATTATCGGCCCATCAGGCGGTACATTTGAGAATCGCATATATGAGCTCAGATTTCAGTGCGGGCCGAACTACCCTCTGCAGCCTCCACAAGTCCAGTTTGTCACAAAGGTCAATGTGCCAAGTGTTAACCCTCGTAATGGTGCTGTTGAAGGCTTAAGAATTCTTCAAGCCTGGAGTCCTGAGTATACTATGGAAACCATCTTAGTAGAACTCAGAAAAGAAATGATCGCCAACAAGAGACTTGCTCAGCCTCCTGAGGGGGATAATTTTTAAGATAACAATCTCTATTATTTAACTGAATTAAAGCTTCATGATACAAACAACGATTACTAAAATTGCGACTGCTAGCGCTGTCATCACTAATAGAACTTTGCAACAGTTCTTTTTGCGCCTTTGTTTGGCGTCTGTTTTATATAGCTCATCTACACCCTTTCCAGTGTATTTTTCAGCATTTCCGACATCTGTTTCGATTGTATCAAGCATAATCCCTTGCTCGCTTACAATTTCAGAGAAGCCTTTCATTATATCGCGGGCTTCTTTCATTCGGTTTTCAATTACTTGGGCATGCAGCCTTTGCTCTTTTCGGAGCTCTTCAGTAAAAGTGTCGATTTTTTGTACTTGTGTTTGCTTTTGATTAAAGTTTTCTGCTTGGAATGATTGCAAGATTGATTCAAACTCCATGGAATAGCCTTTAAATAGCCTTTCTTTTTCAGCTCTGTCTGCAGGATTTTTCACGGGAAATTTTTCAAGATCTTTTAAGGTCTTTTCAATTATTTCACATTCTTTATCGATTTCATCCATCGATTGTGTGCTTTCATATCTAGCAACATAATTTTTTAATTTTTCTATGTTTTCCCTTGTCTCTTCTCCTTTATACTTAATTTGTGTATCTAGTAAAGGTTTCTGTATAAATTTTACCTTAATTCCATTTTGTGCTCCAAAAGACATTTATTTATAAGAATATCAATTATTAACCCCAAAACTCCACTCTAAACCTCCCTTCATTCGTCAATTTTGATATAAATTCTGTAGAATCCTCGCCCAAGTGCTCATTTGCTATTGTTTTTAGCATATCAGAGACCCCTTTTCCCATCAAAGTTGACCCACAAATATACAAATAAGCGCCTTTATTTGCAAGCAAATCCCAAATTTTATCATGCTGCGTAAAAATAATATCCTGGACATAAATCTTATGAGCCTGATCTCTAGAAAAGGCTACAAAAAGACTATGAAGAACATGCGGACCTTCGCCTCATTTTTCGGGGCGGTACTCGAATTCTGAAGCTGGGGAATCAGAAGGGATAATAAAATTCTCTAGATCGCGCTTGTATACAAATTCTCTAGATTTATTGCGACTGCCGAAATAGAGAATAGTTTCAGGATACCCAACTCCTTCTGAAGCAAAATATTGAAGCTCTTGAAGAAAACCTCGAAATGGGGCCACCCCGCAGCCATTGCAGATCATAATGATTGGAGTAGGTACAGGAGGAAGCTTAAACGCAGAAGTTTTAAAAAAGCCACGGACAGGCTTGTAGAGGCCGGTTACATGCATTTTTTCGAAATAGCCTGAGCAAAGCCCTGTCCTGATTTTCCCTTCACTTGTTCTATGTCTTGCTACATCGACTGCAATATGAATGGTATTTTTATGGAGTTTTGATGAGGATGCTACTGTATAATATCTTGCTTGAATTCTATCTAAGATCTGCACTAGTGCTCCTATTGGAATTTTAACTGATGAGTATTTTCTCAATAAATCAACAACAGTGATCATAGGTTCTTCAATAAGGTTCAGGTCCAATGATCGTGCACTTTTAATAGTGTGCATTTCATTGAAGAAAATTTGGTCGAAAATTTGTTTAAAAATGCACCATTTAATGGATTTTTTGGTCAAATGTCTCACTATTAAAAATTCTTCGAGCAAATATTGCCCTAAGGCATGCAGCAGTACTATCAAAATACATGGTCATTTGACGAGGAGCCGTTCAATAATTCTCCTGTACTCATCTTTTCCTTTCAAACTTGCTAAAAACTCCAGTTCTTTTTGTTCTTCAGGGTCTGAAGCGAATTTTGAAATGTTTTTTATGATTTTTTTCCTAATCAAGCTAGTCAAGTCACAGTACTTCGTCAATGCTTCTCCTACTGTCAAAGGTGTTGGGAAAGGATGTTTTTTGCCTTGGATTGGTAAGAACTGAAATGTTAGTTCTAAGTCATAATCTTGTAGAGCTGCCAGTTCCCTTACTATTTCTTCATCGTTTTCTGGGAAAATTCCAAAATTGCAAGCAGTTTCGTATTCCCTTTCAATTTTCATTTCGACATGTAACGCTGAGTTCTCAGGATCTCTCTTGAGCTCTTTTATTTTGGATACCGGACACTCCATGCTTGTTATCAACGCTTTGCTGGACTCTTCATAGACAATTAAAGGATTTGGCTTGGTAAGATTCACATGATGCGCCACTTCTAAAAACTCGAAGTCTGCAAACGGTGAGATCCTTGTCTTCTTAACAATACCAGGCAGGATTTGCCACAGCTGTTCTTTCCACTTGTCGAATTCTTCGACATCATCTTCATGAGATTCGACTGTTTTGATTAGCTGATTAGCTCCAAGTTTAAGTAAAGAATCGCTAATTTTTCTCGCTGTGGCATGATTATTTGCGTCTAGCTTTTTACTTAGCCCAAAAACTGCATAAGACAGCTGTGATAAATTTTCATTAGATGCCTTTGCCACCTTAGTAATCCACTTGAGAAATTGAGATGCATTGGATGGAGGCGCTCCATCTTCCTGAGTAGAGCAGATAATAACACAAAAGTCGTGCTTCTTGAAGTCTCTGATTTGGAAGTTGTCAAGCGACACAATGTGGGGTGAGAAGCTGTACTTGATAGCCTCACATGCTAATATGTTTGCCAGCTTTTCTGCATGACCGGTTTGAGAACCAACATATATGTGGAGGTGACCTAATGTTTCTGTTAAAGGTTCTGATTGAGGAGAAGGATTTTGATTCTTTTTATTCTTTAAGTATCACCAGCTACAAAGCCCGATGATAATAGTTGCAATAACAGCAAACAGCCAAGCCATTTTATCATTTACCAATAGATATTAGAGAAAAAAGAATAATTGGAAATTGGTGATGTGTGCAAGAAGAAATTGGGGCAGAGTTTTTGAGAAAGTGAAGGCTAAAAAGCCATTGATGAGAAATTACGATTGTGGAAATAAATGAGAATTTGTTGTGGTTATTATTGAGCATCCCAAAGAGATTTAGGATGAAGCAAATGCTTATTTGTATATATAAAAAACAACAGGAAAGCTTTTCTATCATATAACTTGCTTCTAGAAATGTTTCTGAGGAGATTAAATGCGGCTGCTTTTGCATTAATATGTCATAATTATTAATCTTAATAAAATCAGGCACTTAATTTGAAGTAAAAGTAAATATTCAACTTGATTAATAAATATTAAAATAGTTTGAATTAGGATAGATGCGGAATTAGAGAGAGTCACTGACTTGCATTACTCTTCCTTATTAATCCTCTTTAAATGGAAAAATTCTGAAAAAAAATTATAGATGAAAAATACCAATCTCTTATAACTAAATTTAATGGAGTAAATGCAAATAGAATTTATTTTAGCAGCTAAAGCAATTTTTTGCATGAATTCTTCATAAAATAAATTATAATTGAAAAAAATATATTCAATTTATGGCTTTAATTTTTTTAAGTCTTAAAAATTTTAAACTATTTTTTTCAAAATAGCATTACCACCCTTTAAATGTTTTATCTCACTTAAATTAAGTTAATATTAAGAAGGTTGAATATAATAAACAAATTTTTCAATACCAGAAAATTAAAGAAGCATAATTGAATATTCTCCCACTATTTCATAAAATATTAATTTCTCATTTAATCTTTTGATTTTTTTTTCCAAATATTTACTATAAATTTAACTGATAAATGGTTTTATTATTTAACAACTGCTACTATCACCAATAATAAACAAAATCTTATTAAGTTTATTAAAGCAATTGAGAAGCCTGCTATTCCCAAAGGAGTATCTCCACCTTTAATGCACCCTTCTCCTACTTACCAGTTCGTGCACGACCTTGAAAAGAAAATCCTTGCCGAACGATGGCTTTCATTACGCCTCTGTAATTATGATTGAGTTGTGTTGCCATACCGAACGTTAAAAAAAGCTTTTCACTATGGAAATTCAAATTGCTGAATTTTCTGGTCGTCTCTCCACAAAAATAGCACAACTCCTGGTTTAAGGCTAAAGAATAATCCGATTGGTGAGGAAAAATATCGCTGACTCTTATGGAAAACCCCTTTCCAACTCTCAGGTCGATTTTTCTTCCAAGCAAAAGACCTAAATGTAGAGTAAGCTTCTTCGGCTACCTGACATTGAGCTTCACCAATCAAAGAGAAGCTTAGCCGGGAAATATTTCCAAACGCCATCCTTCCTCAATGCTCCTATGTGCCACCCCTCTTTGGCCAAACCAAAAATTTTGTTAGGTAACGAAGGGTTAATTTTTTTTTAAAATTTTTATAGTTTAGAGATTAACAATTCCCAATTGTGTGAAATAAAAATTAATTCAATTTGTAAATTTATGTTTTAAAATAGAATTCCAATGGATTTGCTCGCTCACTGTGCGAGAGGACTAAGACTGTTGGTTGTTTCGCCATGCCATTTTTAATGCATAGTAAACAAAAATCAGTGAAAACAATACCAAATACTCTTTAAAAAATAATTTATACCAATTCAAACTCATAGGACAAGGAGGAAATACATTTTTATTTTGATTTATGTGTATATCTGAAGATATATAATTAAAATGCTTATTAATTTATTTAGATATATAATGTGAAATTAAGCATTTCAACATTTCAATATACAGAATTATCGCTATCGTTAACTACTTAATTTCTGATCAGAATTCTTATCTGTTTCCGATCTGAATTAATCGAGCTCACAGAGACCTCACAGGACTGCTCAGTTACTGTACGGTTCCCTTCCTCCAGGTTCCAGAGTTCCCCTCTTCGGTAATCGCCGGTAGCGTGTGGAAAGCCCAAGTCGTTAGAGTAGGCCTGGGACTTGCTCACCAATTATCCTTCTCAGCATAAACTAAATCTGCACCAGTCGTTTTGTCTTGATCTCTCAAGGACTCCCTGCAGTCATGTATTTCGACAGAAAAAGGCCCTTTTAGAAGAGGCAAAACTCCAGGAGAGTGAATTTCAATACACAGCATACGTGAAGGCAAATCAAATTCACTGTTTTTCTTAGAGATTATTGATAAACAGATGCTAAAAATTAATAAGCTTACCTGGCTCCCCCTCTGTGAGCCATCTAAATTTTTGTGCTCGGTCACGGTAGGTTAAGTTTTTTTTTGAAATCTAAGCAATCCTTTCGCAAAAATTGAAAAGTAAAAATAATTTGGCTTGCAATTTTATGCTTTAATACATAAGTTTTTTAAAATTTAAAAAATTATCTAGAGATTTCATTATACTAATTATCAATTGCATATCAAAGCATTTTTCATAAAAAATTTTTGCTCCCTCATGGGTGGGTTTTATTAAAAAATAATGATTTTTCCATGGTTTTGCTCTCTCACAAAAGAAGAGAGTAAGATAATATTTATTCGAATTATGTACATCAAATTCTATTAACAGAAAATTCATTATTTAAGCTTCCTTTTTGCTTTTTAGCTAAAATGGTGAGTAAAGGATTAAATAATGTTTTCATAAATGTAGCCAGATGGCCAAGCATAAATCCCACCCCCTCAATATCAAATTACCAAGTCTTAATAATAAGAAATATAAGATATATTGCCATATTTCACTCCTAAGCTATTTAAAACATAATTTCTAGCATTCTTACACATATATATTTAATACTTCATTTCATATCGCTACTATAAGCAATATTTTTATATGGTAAAAATTCTTAGACTAATAAATAAAGGAGTTAATAGAGTAATACGTTGAAAATCGCTTAATTATTGCATTTTAAGCATTAATCCGGATGAAATTCTGCTTTAAAATGAATAGACAGAAATAAATCAATTCAAGCATATAATGCATGATAGGAAAATAGAATATCGAGCATCGATTTCGCTAAATTAATATATTTTAAAATTTATATGCTTAGATGGCTTATTCTATATATAAAGCATGATATATCTCATTTAAATATAATACAAAAATACGAACTAAAATTGCTAGTTATATAAAATTTTGCATATTGTAGAGATATAAAATGAAGTATTAAATATATGTGTAAGCATGCTATAAATTGTGTTTTAATAGCATAAAAGCCAAAATCCTGCAATATCTCTTATATTTCTTATTAACAAGACTAGGTAATTTGATATAGGGGGCGGGGTGGGGTTTATTGTTTTGCTAGCCAGATAGCCTATAACTAATTTCAGAAATCTATATTGCTATAAAGAGTCATTTAAGAGTGCTAACTCAGATAAAAAACAAAATCATAAATGGATATAAAATTATGCAAGGACATTTTGACGAAACAGAGTTTTTGAAAAATCAAGCCGAAGATGAAGAAATGGATGAAAATAACGCTGAGGGAAAGGATCAGATCTTACGTATCATAAAAAATTACTTGTTTCACCTATTTTTCAAATTAAATACTACAAAATTTTCATCAGGGGTTTATTACTATGTAATTATGATATAGCCCAAGACTTCTTTAGTTGGGTTATGCAGAAGTCTTCGAGCGTCAGTCGGGGAGTTGGGAAGCCAACATTTGGTGGTTAAATTCCCTAGATGATAAATCTAATTGCTGCTATAGGCTTGCCATTTTGGAGTTGATTTTAGCAATAATTTTTTTTCAACTCCCCAATTAATGTTGTAAGCTCGAGCTAAAAGGAGGTTTGGGCTATAACAATAGAAACAGCCCAACTTCTCACTTATGTCATGGTTGACGGCGATTATTCCGCATTGGGCCCATACGAAGACACGAGCCCCTGAAATCTCAGCCAAACCCAATGATTAATCGATGTTTGCTGGGTATTTCGAGTTGATCACTATTTCCACAGCAATTACATTTCTTATGTGGTTCTCATTGCTATTTGGGGATCATTGTTCGGAGGTTTGATCAGTCTATGTGTTATAATAGCCCTTGAGAGAAAAACTTATACCCTAACCTTGAATTTTGTAGTCAAGGTAGCCAAAATGCTGATAACCCTTATGACGACAGTTCTGTTTATACCTATCGTTGACACTTTTGCATTTGGGGCAAGATGTGCATTCAGTACCCATAGCCACTGTTTGGATTTGTATGAAGGAATTCCCTTTATGGTAGGCTATATTGGGGCAACCGTTGTATTTGTAGGGGTTATGATGCTTTGTGCTGGATTGTATTATGATTTTTGCCCTATTTGTGGCAATATGATGGGCAAGCCGCATTCAAGGTTTAAAATTTTAAAGCTGGGGGTGATCGTGACAATCATCTACTGTAATTATTTTATCATGATTTCTGGCAAAGAAATCTTGTTTTTGATTGTATGTCTAGCTATCAGCTTGATAAAATGCTATGTATTTATACAATATATCCCTTACTATAATATGAGAATGTGCAACGTCAGACTTGCTGAATGGGTCGCCTTTTTATCAGCTGTTTTTTGTTTGATTATTGGCCAGTTCTTTAATAGCACTGACGAAACAAACTCATCGATTACCATGCTGTTTTATTTTTTAACCCCTTGTCTAGTCCAAATAAGCCAACTTGCTATGATCCGTCGTAGTAAAACTATCGCTGAAAAAGGAATCCAACACCTTACTAACCCTTATCAAGTCGAAATTAAAGCAAGAATGCTTGTGCTTAAGCTGGAAGAAGCCAGAAATAAAAATGTCAAAAGCATTTACGGGGAAAACGAAGAGGATGAAAATCAGGAATTCCAAACAGTCCAAGCAGAGACTTTGGTAGAAATTGAAAATCTTTATACAGAAGCCTTCAAAAAATTCCCAAATGCTGAGTTACTTTATCTATGGTCAGGCTTGATCCAACTGCATATCTTCGGAAATTATATTTTATCTATTTTACAATGCTTTAAAGGTATTTTAAATGCTAATAAGCTAGATTCCCAATATGCCCTTTACCATTTCAGGCGTACAAGCGTCAGCTTTTATAAAGCACATATAAAAGATGATGCATATGACTATGAACTCTTTGAAAAAGCTTTCCAAAGTGCTCAGAAAAATGATGAGGCAGTGACTAGGTCCCAGTTTTATTTCTGGGCTGAATTGGAGTCAAAAGCGCCAAAAATACAAAAACTAAATAAACTGGCAGGGGAGACTACAAAAATGATTGGAGTTGCAAAGGCTAATTATCAGAAATTATTGAAGCTGAACTCGAAAAATACGCAAGCACTTAGAATGTATGGGTGGTTCCTTAGTAGTTTGAATAATTACGCTGAGCTTGGTCAAAGATATCTAAATAAAGCCGAGATGCAAGAGGAAGCTCACTCCCCCTCCGTGAGCAAACAAAACCATTAAAAAAATCCCAATTTTTTGCCCAAAAACCTTCGCTTCGCGAGTGAACTAATTTTTTTCTAATATAAAATTTAATTTGATATATAAGCGATAGTTAGTATATTGAATCTCTAGCTAATTCTATTTAATTTTAAGCAGCTTACATTTTAAAAAATAATTTTGCAAATTAAATAAATATTTGCTTCTATTTTTGCGAATTGGGATTTTTTTAAAATTCTATTATTTCTAATTTTAAAAAAAAATTAGCCCTTCTCGTGGAGAACAAAAATTTTTTGTTCACTCACGGAGGGGGGGAGTCAGCAGAAAAACATGAACTCAAATATCATGACAAGCTTGACACAGCCACTTTCATTTTTCGATTCTGATAATGCAATTTTGAGAATTTCTGGCGATTTTGAGACTTTAGGAGAAATTCAAAAAGCCAATGCTTCAGCTTGCCAACTTTTAGGATATCTTTCAGCTGAGTTGATAGGGAGAAATGTCTCGCTAATCATCCCTTCTCCCTTTTCCGAGTCTCATGATGATTACATCAAAAAATACCACGAATCAGGGAAGCATACAATCATCGACAACCATAATCTGGTTGTATATTTCGCCAACAAAAGTAACAATATTTTTGAAGCCAGGCTGCTCTTAAAAGTGGTTCCAAATGATTCAAATCCTCCATTTCTCTCCGCTATCATAAAACCTACCAATCCCAGCTATGAAACTATTATGCTTACTCCCCCCCCCCCCCCCTCCGTGAGCGAACAAAACCATTAGAAAAATCGCCATTTTTTGACCAAAAACCCACCCTCCGTGAGTGAACAAAAATTTTTTTTAATAGAAAAAATTTTAATGGAAAAAAAATTGGATATATAAGTGATAATTAGTATAATGAAATCTAGAGCTAATTCTGTTTAATTTTAAACAAATTGCGTTTTAAAACATAAATTTTGCAAATTAAATTAATATTTGCTTCCCAATTTTTGCAATTAGGATTTTTTTTTAAATTTCGAAAAAAAATATTTTTTATAAAATTTATATATAAATTTTTTTTAAAAAAAAAAATTAACCCCCCTCCGTGAGCGAACAAAATTTTTTTGTTCGCTCACGGAGGGGGGGGGGGGGAGTTAGCAAAGACCTCGTCATCACTGGGTATACCCAGCATTGCAACGAGCTTTTTGATTTAGGAAACACCAAAAACTCTGAACAGAAAATCTATAACATCATCAATAAGTTTGAAGAATTCAAAGAAGAAATGATGAAAGAAGAAGGGTTTGAGTATACCCATGACCATGAAGGCAAGAAAAACAGAATGCTACTTAAACTTACAGAGCTTAGACTTGGTGATAAGAGCGTTTCATTGCTAAAAATTGAGCTTGTCAAAAGTTTGGAAACTAAAAGAGAAGAAAAATTAATTGATACGTCAGGCCCAGTGACAGCAGGAAAGCCTATGAACGAATTGAGCAAACCTGTTAGTGCTATGGTACCAAACCAAGTATTCTTTCAAGAAAGACCTAATGTCCCGCTAAATCATAATGAAATAAACCTGGAAATTGACTCTACTGATTCAAATTCGAAAAGTAAAATTGCTGCCTCAATGCAATAGGGTTATATTAATTTTTTTTAAAATTAAAGTTATAGAGAATTAAAATACTTGAAATTTCTGTTTATTAAAATAAAGATCTTTCATTTATTTTAATTTAATACTGAAATTACGAATAAATAACTTATACCCAATGCAATTATCACAATCCAGTGAAGACTCTTCAGAAGAATCTTCGAGCCAAAATTCTTCAGAAGACTCCAAAGAGGAAGAAGAAAAAACTTCAGACAACTCATCAAGTGGCTTGAAAAGTGGAAGCAGGCACTCAGGCAGTATTAAAAATAAAATTGATATTTCAGGGATTACTGAAGAGCTAAACAGTTTAAAAAACTCCAAAAAAAGTAGCGTCTCATCTCCATCAAAAACATTTGGCTCAGATTCTGAAGACAAGTCACAAGAAGAGGAGGAAGAGGAAGAAGAGGAAGAAGGCTGGCCAAACATAAAACTCACCCATCCTCCTTCTTGATTTCTCTACTAATTAAAAAGCAAAGTATGTATATTGATATCTTAATTGCCTATATAATAATTCTTATTCAGAGTAGGGTGGTTTCATGCTTGACCAGAAGGCGACAAAACTAGTGAAGAAATCGAGTCAGACGACGCCTCATCCTTCGAAAAATCCGGCTCCAGCGAAATCGAAGTCAGTCATAGCCATGAAGAAGAAAACGGAGAAGAAAATGCTGATCAAAGTGTCCACAGCTCTTCAAAGAGCATGAACTCCTCTATGGGCTCTCTCGCTCAATTCAACAAGTCAATTAAAGCTTTAATCCAGTATGAATTTTCCCACACAAAGAAATACGTCATGAGATTCAAAATTACTTTGATCGTGACCATCTTGATCCTTATCATGACCTCAGTTATTACTTTTGAAATTATTGATACTTCAATTACAGCCAACGAAGACCTGACTCATTACGTCAATTTAGTAGGGACTTTACGTATGAATACCCAAAATATGGCATATTACGCAAGGATGCTCTCGTTAATGGACAGCGACACAATTAGTAATGCGGACAGGAACCTTTATTTTAACTGGCTAGAAAGTGATGATGACGATATGCATGATATCAACCTCAAAATCTACCAAAATTATGGACTGCTAAGTAGCGCTGATAAAGATGTTTACATTATAAGGGATATAGGAACTTGGCTATTAGAAGGAACAAGCATTAGAGAGCTCCAATGCAATTTATTTGATGCAACCTCAAATATGATCCTTCAAGGGTATTTGCTGAAAAAAGACTATGAAAGCTCAGTAGTGTCATTAAATAACAGAAGAGGATTTTATTTATTCAGAAACGGTGTTGGCGAAACTCTAGGCTACATCAATTCATCAGCTTCATTTTATGTGGATGCAGCTCTCAGAGACATTACCAGTGAAAGGCTTACTGCAATTATGCTTATTATGACCGCTGTAATTTTGCTTGTGTTTTGTGCGCTATTCGCTATAGTTCCTGCGATGAAAATTATTGAAAAATCCCGTAGAGAAGTTTGGGAAATTTTCTTTGAAATCCCTGGATATGTGTGTAGAGTTATGAAGGCAAAATGTGTAGCGCAGCTTTTGATCGCAATTTCCCCCTAATGAATTTCACATAATACTTTGCCCGAAACTTTTATTTGTGTGAGAGACTGCTTAGTAAAAACCATTATTTATCATCCAAGGAGAAAGTCTCGACAAACAATGAGAAAATGTCCTTACTCCCCCCCTCCGTGAGTGAACAAAAAAAATTTTGTTCGCTCACGGAGGGGGGTTAATTTTTATTTTTAAAAAAAATTATATATAAATTTTTTATAAAAACATTTTTTTTCGAAATTTTAAAAAAATCTAATTCGCAAAAATTGGAAAGCAAATATTAATTTATTTATAAAATTTATGTTTTAAAAAGCAATTTGTTTGAAATTAAACAGAATTAGCTCTAGATTTCATTATATTAATTATCATTTATATATCAAAATTTTTTTCCATAAAAATTTTTTCTATTAAAAAAAATTTTTGTTCACTCACGGAGGGTGGGTTTTTTGGGCAAAAAATAGCGATTTTTCTAATGGTTTTGTTCACTCACGGAGGGGGGGGAGTTAAGGAAAAGGCATGCTGCCAAAAATGTTCTGACAGGTTGAATATCTTAAATGAGCAAGCTAACCTAGAACTTGAAGAAATGGGAGCTGAAGCTGCAGAAGAGCAAGCTAATTTAGACAGTGAAAAAAATAAAGAATCGACTAAGAAGTCAGAGAAAAGCAAAGAAAAAGAAAAGAAAAAAAAGAAAATCTTGGCCGAGAAAAAAGTCTTGGCCTATGACCCGAAACAAAGGAAAATCATGACTTTTAAAATGGCAGGGTTTTTCACTGTAAGTTTGGTGTACTTTTATTTGATTTATTATACAGGCTTTGAAGCTGTGGGACAGATTTTGAACGACATGCCAATACATGTGGATTGGTCAGCAAGGAGACAAGAATTGACAAAGGCTATTAACTTTTGGGTAAACGAAGCACTGTTTGAAAACATAACAGGAATTGGATACAAATATGTAGTGCCAAGTGGACAAGATGTAGGAGACTGCTTAAATGAAGCTTCAAGATGGATTGATGAGCTGGATTATGTAGAAAACAGTTTGATTTTTGGAAATGACGAAGAAGGGCTGACATATAATGATATGAGAAGCTCAGAGCATGACAAAATTTTATTTGATGATGCCTGTGACGTCCCACTCATAAGGAATTTAGATGACTGCTCAACAGCTGGCGACGGAATGCTAATGCAAGGCCTTCATAGTGCTCTTGGCGCTTATAAGGATCCCCCCCCTCATTTGTCCAATTTTCTAGTTTTTTTTTTCTAAGAAAAAAAAAATTTTTCAGGACCTCATTTGTCCCAAAATCTAGTCAAAAATGATTTGTCCAATTTTCTAGTCATTTTTGGATTTTTCGAGTATCCTAAATTTTAGTATTTTACTGTAAAAAACTAGAAAATGAGACAATTGAGGTCCTGAAAAATTTTTTTTTTCTATCAAAATTTTGACTAGAAAATTGGACAAATGAGGTCCTAAAAAAATTTTTTTTTTTCCTATAAAAAAAACTAGAAAAATGGACAAATGATAAAAGACTAAAAAATTGGACAAATGAGGGGGGGGGATCCTTACAACCCTAGCGAGAAATCATCTTTTAAACATCCAAACATTATACGACAAAAAGAACTATACCTTAGCGACTGTTCTCCAATACTTCAAAAGTGACGACATGCAGCTTTTGCGAGATCTTGATAACCATTATCTCTACGACGCATTGACCCGGACTACCGATCTCTATGAATCCGACTACAAAGACCAAGTTCAGCAAATGCAAGTGTGGCAAAACTTGCTGATTTCTTTATATTCCGTCTTCTCTCTGCTCTTTTTCTTCTTGGTGTATTCTCCTATGATCAATAAAATCGGACATGACACGAACAATGCGTGGAGTATGCTGGCATTGATTCCTCAGGAGTATCAAGAAGATTTCAAACTGCTAGCAGCAGCCATTAAAGAAAGAAAAGACAACTTTAGATGGAGATAAGCATATAAGTATTCTTTATAAATATATTGAGTGTTTAGTATTTCTCGCTTAGTTTAATTTTTAAACGAATTGCTATTTAAAATATAAATTTTATAAATTAAATTAATATTTGCGTTCAATTTTTGTGAATTAGGATTTTTTTTAAATTTCGAAAAAACTATTTTTTAAATAATTTATATATAAATTTTTTTAAAAAAAAAAATTAACGCCTCTTCATGAGTGAATAAAATTTTTTTGTTCACTCACGGAGGGGGGAGTTAGTTAAAAATTTAAAAAAGCCTCTCCTTGCAAAGTAATATAGAACTCCCATAATTCCACCTCCCATGTGTCCTGAATGAGACAATGTTCCTTGCTTTCCACCGACCCCTAAAAAGAAAATAGGAATTGCAAGCAAAATTGCAGGGACTGGGAATATGTAGACGTAGACTGTAGCCCATGGATTGCCGACAGCAAAGTACATAAAAAGAGCTGTTGTTGAGGCACTCGCACCTAAATGGTTCGGAATCATAGCGCCATGATATCTTCTTTTGAATTCCCATCAGACGCCCATAAAACCACCTAAAGCTCCTAGAAAATATAGATTTAGAAGTGAAAGAGATCCCAAAGCAATTTCAACATGTGGCCCAAAGAACCAAATTCCTAAGCAATTAAACAATAAGTGTATCGGCTCAATATGAGAAAAAGCTGACGTAAAAATTGTGTAATACCGCCTTTCACGAATTGTATTACGCTCATTCATAATAAAATGCCTTCACATAAACCTTTCATCTAAAAATCTTCATGCTAAAAAGACACCTATGTTAGTGGATATTAAGACTTTGGTCATATATCTATCACCTCGGCCTTCTACAAGAGATTCTAGTTTCCATTTGAATTCTCTAAAAAATCGTCTCCATGACATTTTTTATAAGACAATTCCAGAATAGCTCTTGATTCCGAATTGATAAAAATGAGAGTAATATAAAAGAAACACTCAATTTTATAGGAAATTATAGTTGGTATATCAGCATTAGATAAATTATTAAATTCTTTTTTTTAGTTACGACTCTTATTTTATTTATAAAAAATAAGGTCAAAAATATATAATTATTTTTATCAAAATATTCAATTTTTACTAATAGCATTTATCGTTATTCTAAATCAAATTTTCTTCTTTATTCAGCAATTTTGGAGAGTTTAATAATAGTGTAAGAATGCCTGATGCTAAATGACAGAAAGAAATAACAGAAATGGCAGCTGGAGAACCCCCGAAGTCAATAAAAACTCCAATTATGATTGGAGCAAAGACACCTGCCATTCCCTGCCAAAGCATAAATCAGCCTATAAATGTACTTCTTAATTCAGTAGAAAATGATTCGGGCACAATAATTCATATAGCACCGAGTGAAATTTGGAATATAAATTGATAAAGACATAAAAATATGATGACCTATATAGACATTACTGTTAAAATCTCGAAAGTAAGAAAAAAGCAATAGATATAGCAGCCAACCAGTACTGAAGATAGAGATAGCGCTCCTTTAGGCCCAAACCGATTTTTCACCATTTTTCCTGCAGCTAAGCTTCCTAAAAATCCTCCAAGCTGCTGAATTAATATGGCTGTATATCTCAATGTAAGAGTATATTTTGAAAGAAAAGTTGGCGCATAAATTATTATGCTGATATTTGCAAAAGCCATAAGAAAACCAATAATAGTTATCAGTAATGTAGTTTTTATATTTTCCTTTATAAACAGGGTTTTTACTGATTTTTTATTAGGAATTTCACTTATTTCTTCGTTATAAGTAACTTCTAGTTCAGTGAGTTTTATTTCCAACAATTTTTTGTTTTTTTTAGAAATTTTCCTCAAAACTTCTTCTGCTTTTGTTAGTTTCCCTACTGAGTACAAAAACTTTGGTGTCTCATCCATAAATTGTCTTTGGATTAACTGAGCGGAGTTTCAAAAAAAAATAATAATTGTAATTATTTTTCAATCGGACATAATAGTGGGATTAATTACTTCTACAATGATAATAATGATTGCAATTGTTGCACCGCCTAATCGATAAAATAAAGTATAAACTGCCAAAATTGAGGTGTTTTTGTTTGATATAAATTCTTTAAGTATAGTTGCAGATAATACTTGATCAGATGAAGCTCCAGCGCCTATAAAAAATAAAACTAAACTTAGCATAATCATATTGAATGAAAAAATCACAAAAAGCGTTGCAACTCATACAACTAAAATGCTTACCCTAAAAGAAAACATTCTCCCAAACCTATCAGATAAAAAACCGAAGAATAATGATCCAAGCGACGCCCCTAATCCATAGATAGAACCAATAATTCCTAACTCAAATCTTTCTAAATTTCAGTTGTCTCCTAGCCTTACCAATAGAAGTGACACAATGTACCCTCATATCATTATATTGAATACGGAAGTTCCACAAATGATAAAAATTTGAGATTGATATCTACCCCATCCAATTGTGGTGAGGTAATTATCGATTTGATTATCTCCATTAGCCATTTAATTTCTAATAATTCTTGCTAATATGTTGAAATCAAATTTTTCAAATATAAAACCTATATATTTCTCTTGCATCCAAATTACTTGAAGCCTAATTATGATAAAGTTATCATTCTTTTGGCTATTAGAATAGTTTAATAATTTTATAACACTAATGCATCAATTAGAGTTCTTACTTAGAAAAATCGCTATTTTTTGCCCTAAAGAACAAAAATTTTTTTAATAGAATGGGAAAAAAATTTTGATATATAAGTATAATGAAATATGGGGCTTATTCTGTTTATTTTAAAAAAAATTGCTTTTTAAAACATAAATTTTATAAATTAAATTAATATTTGCTTTCCAATTTTTGCGAATTAGGATATAGGAGTTTTCCCTATATGGCCCGATAGGGCCGTGAATTCTCCGTGGAAATCCCTCTGCTGGTTTGACCAACAGAGGGATTCCACAGAGAACCCACAGCCCTTATCGGGCCATATAGGGAAAACTTCTATATTTTTTAAATTTCAAAAAAAAATTATATATATAAATTTTTTAAAAAAAAAAGATTAACCCCCTCCGTGAGTGAACAAAATTATTTTGTTCACTCACGGAGGGGGGGAGTAAAAAAAAATATTTCACTCATTAGAAAGCATTTTACATGCATGAGATAAAATATTAGCATAATGTTTATTATTAAAATTTTTTATTTACAAATGGTCTCATCATCTAAAATGAATTATTTTTTTGCTGACCTGAGTCAAATTTTCTTCTTTATTTTGTTTTTGTTGTTTCAAAAATTCTATAAGAATTCCTGACATTAAGTGGCAAAAAAAAATGGCAGAAATTGCTGCTGGAAACCCCCAAAAATCAATAAAAACTCTATAATTGTTGGTACAATGTTTTGCCAAAGCATAAATCAAGCTATAAAAGTGCTTGTTAATTTAGTAGAAAATGATTCTGGTACAATTATTCATATCGCCCCAATTTAAATTTGATATAAATATTGATATAATGTAATAAACACAATTATAGCCAGAGCTTTCCTTTGTGTCTTAGCTACTGACGCTCTCCCCTCGTTAGTAGGAAGGCTTTTTACAAATATATGCTGCTAAAGCCAACTCCTTAGATTGTAAAATCTCTAGTAGCAAGTGGATTTGGAAGCTTATTTTACCAACATATGTTGATGCAAACCTCCCTGCTGACGTGAGAAGACGTCGTTTGTCGAGCAAAAAGGAAGCTCGAGCTATGCCTATATAAAAATTACTGTTAAAATTTTGAAAGTAAGAAAAAAAGCAATAAATATAGCATCCAGGAAGAATTGAAGAAAAAATTAATGCTCCTTTTGATCCAAATCGCATTTAACTAACTTTCCTGCTGTTAAGCTCCCTAAAATTCCTCCAAATTGTTGAGTTAATAATTGTGTTTCTTAATGTGAGAGAATATTCAGAGAGGAAAGTTAGTGTATAGAAAACGGTGCCTCCTAAACCTATCAGATAAATAGCCGAAGAATAAGGATCCAAGTTATGCCCCCAATTCATGTATTGAACAAATACTTCCTAACTCAATTTTTCGTAGATTTCAATCTTCTTCTAGCCTTACTAATAGAAGAGAAACAATATATCCTTATATCAATATGTTAAAAACTGAAGTTCCACATATACTAAATATTTTGGTCTGATCTCTCCCTAGCTCATCCCATTTAAATAAACCTTAGCTCCCGTCTCCTAATACAATTGTGGTGAGATAATTGTTAATTCGAGTGTCTACATGAGCCATTTAATATTTATCAATGCTTGCAGTTTTCATTTTTAATGCATTTTTAAGCCATCTAGTCTTAAAACTATTTATCTTTAATAGCTTATTAAGTATCTAACTAATTAATTTAAGCTAGAAAGGCACTTCGAAATATTGAATTCTTGCTGACTTCCATCTTCTTTTACAATAAAAAATGATTTGCTATTAACGATTTCTGACATCCCAGTAGAAAAGGTTTTTAGCCCTATAGACTTGCTTTCGTAAGAAGGATGATGTCTAAGCAAAGCATGCAGAAAATTATGATATTGAGGATCTATATTTTGCCCTTCTGGAGTCCTTTCAAGCAGCTCTTTTAAAAATTCCTTTAGCTTTTCAGTGCTATAAAAAAATCGCCCCCCAATATTTATTGCTTTGCTTTTCTTAATGTTTTTTGACTGGTTATTGCAAAGATCAAAATGAGAGCCATGTAATTTTCAGAAATCCAGCAGTGAGTCTCCCTCTAACTTTCAGATTCTTGCAGATTGGCCTTCAAATTCAAGATCTTCATATAGAATTTTCCCTATTTCCTCTTCACTAGTGCTTCCATTTATTCCTATATTTCCTTCTTTCCCTGAAAATCGACAATAAATTACTTCTATATCTTTGTGTTTTTGTTTAAAAGAATCTCTCAGCTGTTTTCACGACCCTTTAGATTCTTCAAGCACTTCAACAGACAAAATAATTGGCGAAGGTTCTATTATTTCTCTATTTTTTGTTGCTTTGATAATTTTTTTGGGGATTTTTCTATTTCCATTTCTCCGAACTCCTGACCCATCAGGTGAAATTTCTAATTCACTGGAGCATTCTGCTGCTTCTCTAATTAGTTGATCATTTGCATTTAATTGTATCAATCTTTTGCATTTCAAAAGATCTGAAATTTGGATATAGCCTTCAACAGATTTTTCTATTAATTCTCGAAAAAACTTGTCTCTGCGGAGATTGCTGTCTGAGAAATAATATTCAATTTGGAGCTTTATTGCTTGAAGATTCAGCTTATTAGAAGGAAGAGAACTAAGCTTAGAATGAAGTGAAAATAGATCTTGAAGAGAAAACTCAGGAGGCAGTTCGTTATCACTTATAGCAATTAGTTGATCTTTTGTAATAGAAATATGAGATTTTTCAAGAAAAGAGTCGATAAGTGCTGGAAGATTGGACTTTGAAAGAGCTTCGACTGAAAATTCGTGAAGTGTCGATTCTATTGAAGGCTTTAAGTCTTTAGAAGAGGAGCTTCCCATATTTCATAAATCCTATTTATAGTAAATTTGGCCATTTTTGTATCGTTTTCCGATGAGTGCTTTACAGAACGGCAGTCGTAAATTCAGAAAACTTTCATTTTAATGAATTACTAGAGCAGTTCCAAGACAAAACCGATCAAATTTGCTATATCTGGGCTATTTTTATTTGAGATTTAGCTCTAAATTTAGATATAACTAATCATAAATATCTTTATTTTATATCTTATTTTCACCAAATTGCTAAACTTGTTCTGTTTTGCCTCCCCTATTAAAATAATTCTTAAAATAATTAATTTTTTCTCTCTAAATCTCAACAACTTAACTCTTAACTTATCCCAACTTCTACATCTTATTTAATATCATCAATTTTGTGTCGGATTGATAATGTTGCTATGACGTCGACTCTCTCCATTTAACCATAAATTTAGAATGCACAGTACAGGAGAAGCAAGAAGAGCTGAAAAATCAACAGGACCTACCATCGAAGGACCTCTTGGCAAAATCGCCAGCAATCTTCAAATAGAAAAGCACCCTGCATGGTCAGCCGTTCGTCTTCAGAAGTATGAAGTATTAAAGCAAAAGTACCTAGCCTCACTAGCTGGCAGAGAAAAGCACCCAATCCAAGTCATTCTCCCAGACGGGTCACAAAAAGAAGGAGTTTCCTGGCAAACCACACCACTTGATATCGCAAAATCAATATCTCACAAGTTGGCGGAAAAGGCAGTAGTAGCAAGAATCAGGTATACCCACGACCATCAAGGCGCTGAACAAGTATTTTCTGGAGAAATAGAGGACGAGAGTCACCATCACGAAGAAGACGAAAAGTCTCAGCTTTACGATATGTTCAGACCTCTAGAAGGCGACTGCCACCTTGAGATACTCACATGGGAAGATGATAACGCAAAAACTGTATTTTGGCACTCGTCAAGCCATATTCTTGGAGCCTCCCTTGAGGACAACTTTGGAGCCCTTCTTACCAATGGGCCTCCTCTTAAGCCAGGCTACTACTATGATTCATACACTGGGGAGCGTGCAATTAAGCCTGAAGACTTCAAAGAGATTCAAAAGAAATTCGACGAACTTGTGTCAGGAAAACACCCATTTGAGAGGATTCTACTTACAAAAGAAGAAGCTTTAGATTTGTTTGACTACAATCCTTTCAAAGTCGCTTTGATGAGAGTAAAACTTCCAGAAAATTCGTTGACCAGCATCTATCGCTGCGGCCCGTTCATTGACCTTTGTACAGGTCCTCACCTTCCTCATACAGGCTATGTTAAAGCTTCCTCAATCACAAAAAATTCCTCAGCTTATTTCCTTACTTCCTTTCCAAAGGTTAGAATATTTTAATTTGGGAGTCATGCTATTGCAAATGGGCAAGAAATTTTTTAGATAAGGTCAATTTTTTAATCAAAGCTTGTAATATTATTTTTACATTATTATCCACTTTTAATAATTATAATAATTTTAAAGAATTGATAGAGAAAAATATATATCTTGTTCCTGGAGTAGGATTAATAATTCTGAAAACGATTCTTTACAGCGCGTCTACGGAATTTCTTTTCCTATTAAAAAAGAGCTAGATGAGTACATAAAATTCCAAGAAGAAGCAGCACAAAGAGACCATAGAAGAGTTGGCACATCTCAAGAGCTATTTTTCTGGCATCCTTATTCCCCTGGATCTACATTTTTCACAAAGCACGGAACAAGAATTTACAACAGACTAATTGAGTTTATCCGCGCAGAATACGCAGTAAGAGGATTTATCGAGGTTGGTACACCTAACATGTTTTCTTCAAATCTATGGAAGACTTCTGGGCATTACCAAAACTACAAAGACGCCATGTTCATGCTTGACGTAGAAAACCAAGAATTCGGCTTAAAACCTATGAACTGTCCTGGGCATTGCTTATAGGCATATCCCTTAGATAGCCCGATATGGGCTAGGGATAGAGGCCAAAACTTCCTACTTGGCTCGGCTAAAATGGACTGGTTGAACAAAGTGGAAAATGGCAAATAAGCCTCCTTCCACTTGGTTCAACCAATCCATTTTGGCCGAACCAAGTAAGAAGTTTTTGGCCTCTATCCCTAGCCCTATATCGGACTATCTAAAGGGAATGCCTATAGTTTTTGACAGTGTTATGAGATCATACAGAGAACTGCCATTAAGAGTTGCTGAATTTGGAGTTCTGCACAGAAATGAACTATCAGGAACTTTGACAGGCTTGTTTAGAGTAAGGAGATTTGTCCAAGATGATTCACACATTTTCATAAGAAAAGACCAAATTGCTTCAGAAGTAGAAAACTGCTTGGATTTCTTATGCTATGTCTATGACGTCTTTGGATTCCACTATGAATTCGAGCTATCAACTAAGCCAGGTAAAGCACTTGGAAGTGATGAATTGTGGGCAGATGCTGAAGCACAGCTAGCCCAAGCTTTGGATAGGTCTGGAAAACAGTGAAAATTAAATCCTGGTGATGGTGCTTTCTATGGGCCAAAGATTGATATCCAGGTTTATGATGCGTTGAAGAGAAAACATCAGTGCGGGACAATCCAGCTCGATTTTAACTTGCCAATCAGGTTCGATTTGCAGTTCAAGACTGATCACGTTTCCCAAGAAGAACAGCAGCACTTAGTAGAATACACAGATTTCAAAGAAAAGCCAGTCAAGCCAGGCTATGAAAGACCAGTCATCATCCACAGAGCTATTTTAGGGTCACTTGAAAGAATGATTGGAATTTTGGTCGAACAAACAGGAGGAAAGTGGCCATTCTGGCTCTCCCCAAGACAAATCGCAATTCTACCAATTTCAGACACTTATAATGAGTACGCAGAACAAATCAAAAACAGACTTACACTTGAAGGATTTTACGCTGATGTCAACAGTGACAGCTTAAGCTTGAAAAAGAAAGTAAGAGAAGCCCAACTTGCTCAATACAACTTAATTGGTGTTGTTGGAGAGCAAGAATCCGCTAATGGAACAATTGATGTGAGAGACAGAGATAGCAATAAAAGCATTGGGAAATTCACTATTGCTGACTTTATTGTTTATATGAAAAGTCTACTGCCACCACCATCCAAGGCTAGAATTGAGCTAGAACGCCACTCTTATTGCCAGGAGTGCGTCGAAGTCAAACAAGTCATTAACTTCGTTGACCTCAACAAACAGCTAGAACTCCAAACTTACATCAAAGGTGATAGTGTCAGTGAAGAAGACTGGAAAATCTATGGATCCCTCAAATCAGCTATGTACATAAAATGGTGAGACGAGTCGGCCTGCCCTCTTGGCGCTACAGTCCAGACCTTATGGCCACGGCGAACTGAGACGGACTCCGAGTCTAGAATCAAGTGCAGGCTCAAGAATTGTGTACGCGGGTAGGTTTTGGCTGCTTTCCTGTTGTTGGAAATGGAGGTGCTCAGCAACGTCCTTTTGGATCCGAGGACCCACAGGCATTCCTCCACTGGGGTTCGGCCCAGGCCTCAGGAGAGCTGTCTTTTTCCTATAGCTGTCAAAGGAAGGCACTTCAGCGCCCGATAGACTTCAAGATCCTTGGGGTCAAGCTAGTCCAATCGCCCATAGCCGGGCCGCAGAAGTCCATAAGCACTCAAGACTGAAGCCTCAAGGCAAGGAGGAGAGAGAAGGTACCGGAAGGGCATCTACCTTTGGGGAAAGACCCTCTGGGCTGGAGTCGAAAAGCGGTTGAACCTCCCTTTGCAGGAGGTCTTTGTGACTGCGTCACCAATATGGCTGACGCCTGACTTTAATAACCTAACCTAACGCTCAAATCAGCTCCAAGCCAAGAAAAATATCCACATCTCCATAGGTGGTATTTACATCTTAAATCAATAGCAGCTTAATCACTTTTAAAAATTCCTTTTTACTATTATTATAACACGTAATACCATGATATGGAAAATTGTCTTATTCTTCTTGTGTATTCTTGGGTATATAATTTATTCCTCAATACAGGTAAGGAAAAATAGAAGAAGAAAAACCATAGGAATTCTTCATCCATATAGGTAAAAGCCATTTACTCTCCTTCCCTTCCGTGATATGATAGAAACATTAAAAATATCCTTTTTGTGTAAAATACTCTTTCGTTAACGAAAAAAATTTTATGGAAAAATATTTTGATACATAAGTGATAATTATTTTATGAAATCATTAGTTAATTAGTTGAATTTTAAACAGTGTGCATGTTAAAAATAATTTTTAAATTTAGAAAAAAATAGTTATAAAATTTATAAATAAATTAAAAATAAATTAACCCTCTCGATGAGCGAACAAATTTTTTTTCGCTCACGAAGGAGAGGGAAGCTAGTAACGCTGGAGGCGGAGGAGAAAGGGTGCTATGGGTCGTTGTCAAAAAATTAATTCATATGAAAACAGGTTGCAAAATCGTGATTTATAGTGGGGATAGTGAAGGAAAAGAAGAAATTTTGGAAAAAACGAAAAAACTTTTCGGGATTGATCTGGTAGGTAATCAGGATATTGAATTTGTCATGCTAAATAGAAGAAAATGAATTGAAGCTGTAAGATATCCAGTGCTGACGCTGTTAGGACAGCTACTAGGGTCTATGGCCATGATGATGGAAGCTTTGAAAAAGTGTTCAGTTCCTGTTTTAATTGACACTCATGGACAAGCTGCTGGTTATTGGTTCGCTAAATTATCAGGGATTAGAGTTGTTGCTTATGTCCATTATCCTTTTATATCAACAGATATGATTCAAAGAGTTAGAGAAATGAGGCCAAGCTATAACAACAGCAGCAAAATAGCCAATATCAGAACTGTTTCTTACCTCAAAATATATTACTACAAAATTCTTCTTTTCCTCTATTCCATAATAGGATCGTGCTGTGACCTCGCTTTATGCAATTCTTCATGGACTCGAAATCATATCCAAGCGCTTTGGAAAACTACTATAAAAGTTTTATATCCTCCATGCGATATCAAAGTTTTTCTTAATATCCCTTTAAATTCTCCATCAAAGCACCCAATGACTGCTATCTCAATCGGCCAATTTAGACCAGAAAAAGATCACGAACTTCAGCTACGCTCGCTAGCACTTTTAATACAAAAAAACCCGAAATTTGAAAATTCGAAGCTGCTATTGGTAGGATCAAGCAGAAATGAAGAAGACAAAGCTCGTGTAAATTATTTGAGACAGAGAGCCCAAGAGTTAGGAATAGAAAAACAGGTAGAATTTCACCTTAATGTTAGCTTTTCTGAACTTCTATCTCTTGTGGAGATCTCTACTGTAGGCTTGCACTCTATGTGAAATGAACATTTTGGGATTTCAGTTGTAGAAATGATGGCAGCTGGATTGATAACGATTGCAAATAACTCAGGAGGTCCTAAAGAAGACATAATCAAGCATAAAGTTACAGGTCTTTTAGCCTCACAGCCTGAAGAATACGCAGATTGTCTAGAGTACGCATTCGATAATTACGAGTCTCTAGAAAGCCTAAAAATTCAAGCAAGACAAAGAGTAAGCGAATTTTCTGAAGAAAATTTTGAAGAAGCCTTCCAAAATAACATAATAAATTTCTTACCTTAATAAATAATGGGTGACATAGGCCATTCTGCTTGCGAACAGAGGCGAATCCAAAAGAAGGTCGAAGAGCTGTTCGACATAATCAAATTTGACATTATATCCAAAAAATATAGAAGCTACGTAATTTTGGATCAACAATCACATATCAGCTTCTGCTTGCATTCATTAGAAAGCCTTCCAAAATCAGTTTCTACTCTTAATAGTGGAGAGCCATGGCTACTGTTTTGGTTGCTGCATGCATTAGAACTTCTGAATTATCAAGTGAGTGACGATATAAAAGACAGAACCATTGACTTCATCAGTCAATGTAAATGCAAGAGAACTGGAGCCTTTTGCGGAGGACCTTATCAGATACCGCATTTAGCACCTACCTATGCTGCAGTATCTGCTTTAATGACTCTGGACTGTGATAGAGCTTTAGAAATTATAGACAGGCAAGGGATCAGAAACTTTATTTTATCAATGAAGCGGCAAGATGTAAAAGGAGCGTTTACCATGCATGAGCATGGAGAAAGCGATATGAGGTCAATTTATTGTGCGATCTCTGTGTCAAGTATTTTAGGAATTTTAGATGAAGAAATTATGCGAGATGTCCCAGAACACATAGCCAAGTGCCAGTCATATGAAGGCGGGATTGGTGCAGAGCCTTATGGAGAAGCTCATGGCGGGTACACTTATTGTGGATTAGCAAGCCTGGTGCTTATGAACAGAACAGATGTGCTGGATTTGGATAAACTGATGAGCTGGCTAGTGAATAGACAGATGAGCGTTGAAGGAGGGTTCAATGGAAGGACAAATAAGTTGGTGGATAGCTGCTACTCATTTTGGGTCGGGGCATGCTTTCCGTTAATAAAGGAAGTCATGAATATCCCTACTGAAATTTCTTTATACGACCCTCTAGCATTGCAGGCTTATGTGTTGGTAGCTTGCCAAGCTGTTATGGGGCTGTTTGATAAACCAGGGAGCTCCCCTGACTTTTATCACACTGCGTATTCTCTCGGAGGAGTTTCACATGCTGAAAATGACAATGGGCCTGTCCAATGGATTTTCAAAGAAGGTATGGTAGCGCTTGCTCCAAATGATCCACTTTTTAACGTCGTAAGAGACAAGGTCACTCGCGCACGCAGATATTTTGAAAAAATACCATTAAATTAAGATATTTATATATGAATAATCAAATTAACTCTGTTGTCAAGTCCCAAGACAGACTTAAAAACTCAAAAAAGACTGTCCACAAAGAGAAATCCAAGCCTATTGAGAACCAAAATAAATCAGCAAGTACCGAACCTTCTGAAACTCCGGATATAGAGAAAATACATACATTGTCTGAGCTTACACAAATGGACTGAAAAGGAGCCCACACAATTGAGCCCTTACATAATGCCGCTTGGGCAGCAGAAAAAGCTGAGTTAACTGATACACTAAACCAAATAAAAAATTTCAACAACATTTTGCTCTCTGAAAATGAAGACTTAAAATCTCGCCTAAAACAAAAAGATGACATAGAAAAACTAATTATGAATCAGGTATATGAGTTCAAAAATAAATATGAAGAACTATAGCCCGGGTCTCCTTTTGGCTCGGACTACCCCACGTTTTCCAAGATGGCAAGTCCATCATTATTGGAGATTTGCCATTCTGGTAGTTGGATTTGCAAACAGATTTCAGAAGACCCAATTTCAATATTGACATCGGAAGATGTCGGGATAGCCTAAGTCAAAAGAAAGCTCAGGATATATCTGCGACTTTATTCCAAAAAGAGAAAGAAATTCAGATTTTGAGTGAAGAGCTAGAAGTGAAAAATTTTGAATTGGGAAAAATCCAAAGCCAATTGAACTTGCAGTCAAAAACTAGCGAGAAGTTTAATATAGCCAAAATTGAAAAGGCGGCACTAGAAAATATTAGTATTCCTGCAGAAGAGCCTTCAAAAAACATCTCAAGTATTTCAATTAGTCAGAACGCAAACCTACCTATAACAAATGTCCAGAAACTTATCAATAAAAAAGGCCAGCAAGAATTAATTATGCCATTTCTATCAAATGCTTCGAGTAGGTGAATGACAAGCTTAAGGGATATAGAAATTTCTCCTAGAATTGAAGAAAGATCGGTGTCTCCTCAAAGGAGAAAAATTAACCATAAAGTTGATGAGATGGTCAGAGAAAAATTTTTGTCGAAAATAAAGCCCAAGATTGAAAGCAATTTATAATAACAATTTTTATTTTAATTACAATAAATAGACAAGTATTTATTTCGATATAGATAGAGTTATGGGCCATAGCCAAAGTTTATATTCACAAGAATTATTATAGTTAAATAATAAATACGCCGATGGTTCCATTTTCCTTCTGTTTGTAATGCAATCAAAAATTCATTGTGGCGCTACAATTGTAACTCCATTATTTAAATCCTCTAATAAATTGGAATATGTAGTTCCATCAGAAATTATATACTGAGCTGCATCCTTGTTTTCTTGAATAAAATACCCACCCATAGCTTCTACTAATTCTTCAATCACTCTTTTTTGAGCTAGATTTACAATATTGCAAGATATTATGCACCCTTCTAAAATATTGCTGTAGCTTTGGGTAGGGATTTTTACTGATGCTTCTCTCTTTGGAGACGGAGGAGGATCCCTAACTTGAGGAGGATTTATAAGAGCTGTCTGCGAAGGTTTGCTCCAGTCAAGAGCAGGGGGCTGAAATATTTTATTGCTTTTGATGGCTAGGTGCTCTGGTCCAAAAAAATCAGAAATACCTCCTAAAATTTCTTTGTTTAATTTCTTACCATTGTGCCCATTGTGATTCTTCTGTGCACTCTTCATTTCTTGTTCTTTGCTCTCACAAAAACTCTTTTTAAGACCGATACTATTTGTTGTTTCATCAATTACTTCAGTTTTTACAATAAAATAATTCATCATAATCCCTTGCTTCTTTTCTTTATTCTCAATAAATAATCTCAATGAAGTGAACGTTTTATTTTGTGCAGTTGGAAAATCTTTTTCGATTCTATAAACAATTGCATTAAGCGATTCTTTACGTTTTATTGATTTTTGGAAGAAAAGAGTAGAATCCTTTTGTGTGTGCAGTCAGCCGACGATTTTTAATTTGATGCTTGACATAGCTCCTATGATAGTTTCTACCTATATCAATCTCTCCAATAGTGGTTTCTGGGAATTCCAAATCGACAGTTCCTTCTTGTGAGTTGATTTCCCAGTGAGTATTCCTGTTGACTGATTTTATATATTTTCATAAATAAAATGGCATTCGGTTCGAGAGAAATTAGCTCTGCTAATTTTCTCTCCCTCATGGAATTTTATTTATAGGGTTAGGTTTTCACTCGAAGACTTCTGGACAGCAATAGCGGTTTAACTCTGGGGATAACCAGAGAAACACTCCTCAGTCCACTCAAGATTTCGGGCTTTTACCTCTCAGCACATCCCCACGGGAGGATGACCCTTAGGCGGAACACGCGCAGGAGCTGAGTCGAGCGACAAGGGCGACGGCAACGCGCCGGGTGAGACGTGCAGCAAGGCCGGTGAAGCAGGAGTTGATAGAAGGCTTGGACGGGGCTGACCTGTGCCAAGATGGCTCGCCTACGTCACTAGTTTTGCCATAGGCCCTTTTGGGCTGCGGCACTAGACACCTTAAACACCAGATAATTAAGTAAGTAAGTAAGTAAGTAAGATTTTATATTTTCAATAGGCTCGATAGAGATTTCAGGAAAATTGACTTGAGATATTTGATAGTTAATTACTCTTCTCATTTTTCATAATGCAAGCTAATGAGTAAATAAAATTAAGCAGAAATAAATGGAAAAGGAAAATACTCTTACTCCCCATCGGTATAATTTTTTTAAAGCATTTAAATTAAATTTTATAGTAATTTTTTTCAGAATTTAAAAAAATCCAATTCGTATAATTTTTAAATGTAAGCTAAACAGAATTAGCTCTAGATTTCATTATACTAATTGCCACTTATATATCAAAATTTTTTCCATGAAAATCTGTTGTTCGCTCAATGAGAGTGGATTTTTACCAAAAAATAGGGATTTTCCAATCGTTTTGTTCGCTAACGGAGGGAGAGTTAGAGAAAAGATATTATATTGTTGAGAAGTGAGTAGAAATATTATGGAAAGCCTAACGCTTTAGAAGAATTTTATCATTCGTACACCCCCCAAATCCGTGAGCGAACGAAAAAATTGTTCTCTCTCATGAGGAGTGATATTTTTTAAAAAAATATTTCAGGAATTTTTTTTCGAAATTTAAAAAAAATCCCAATTCAAAAAAAATTGGAAATCAAATATTTATTTAATTTCTAAAATTTATGTTTTAAAATGCAATTTATTTAAACAGAATTATAGAAATTTCATTATACTAATTATCTCTTATATAGTACCCCCCCCCTCGTTTGTCGCATTTTCTAGTTTTTTGCCATTTGTCGCATTTTCTAGTTTTTTTTTATAAGAGAAAAAAAATTTTCAGGACCTCATTTGTCGCATTTTCTAGTTTTTTTTTAAGCCAAAAAAAAATAGGTTCAGGACCTCGCTTGTCGCATTTTCTAGTTTTTTTTTCTCTCTATAAATTCCTAAAAATTAAAATTCGTCAAAGGGATCAGTTAGTGAAATTTCATCATTTCTTCCTTCAAAATCCTTGCTCCCATTCCTCAATCCCAACAGCTTGCTTCCCATTACCTGCTCCCATTGCTTAAGCCTCACCACTTGCCATTCACCATTCTTATTCCCCTATCTTCATGCCTATTTCCTTATTTGATAGCTTAATTTCTAGTCTTCCATATTAATTAATGAGTTGCGCGAAATTGAGGACCAGCCGATAAAAATCCCGGCAATGATTCAAAGCATGGCCTATGGAGAGAGGCTCAATGCAAAGCAGATCCAAGAGCGTCTTGCTGCTTGTGGCAAGGACATGAGCCTGACGACGATCAGGCACTACACCAACAAGTTCAATCCTGAAGAGCACACTTTAGAGCTCAGGCGGAAGCTTGTGGACCATGGACTATCGCCTCCTCCTAAGAAAATCAAGTGGAATGATGGAGAGAGCATAGTCAAGAGGATCATTGACGTAGGTTTCTTTAAAAACGAAGAATTTGCGACAATCTTGGGGACTTCTAAACGGACTATTGAGCGAATTGCTGCAGAGAATACTGAGAGTGAATCTGACGAAGCGGGCTGGAAGAGAACAGGCACTATCCAGATCTCCCCTAAAGCATTGAAGTGATGAAGACTTTGCTGAGGTCATTAAGGAATGTGAGAAGGACACAGGCTTTGTCAGCAAGGCAAGTTTGAGGGCCCAATTCAAAAGAAAGACAGTTGACATCAGCGAAGAACAGCTAGGAAAAGAGCTGAAGAAGAGGGGATATGTCTATAGGAAGAAGAGGGTTGCTCTACAGCTAACTGAAGCTCATAAAGAGCAGAGAATGTCCTGGGCTAGGTCTTTGATTGACTCAGATATCGCGTCATGGATCTTCAGTGATGAGTGCTATGTGCATCTCTTTCGTAACTCTAATTTGTCGTGGTGCAAAGAAGGGATAAACGCAACGATTGAATTGAAAAACCTCAATTATGATCTGGGGAGGAATTTCTATCGTTTTTGGCAAAATGCTCTTCATAAAGAAGGAGAAGTATGCAATCAATGCCCAGGTCTATATCAGAGACATTCTCCAGGGCTATATTGAGCCTTTAGATGGAGACTACACCTTCGTTCAGGATGGGGCAACAGCCCATACTGCAAGGCAGACTATGGAATATTGCAGAGAAAACGGGATTGATGTGAAGACTCAATCGCCGAAGAGCCCAGATCTCAATCCAATTGAGATGATCTGGGCCAATTTGAAGAGGAAAGTGGAGAAAAAAAGCCTGACAGCAAAGCCAGACTAATTGCTGCCATTCAGGAGTCATGGGACGAAATTTCTTTTGAGGAAGTGCAAAATTCCATTCTTAAGGTGAAAAATGAAAGAGCAAGGCAGGTCATTGAAGCGCAAGGAGAATGGAGTTAATAAGCTAGCTAATTTAATCTATTCTCTAAAAAGGGGAGAGTAAAGTGGGAAGGACTGGAAAGGACTGGGAAGGACTGGGAAGGACTGGGAAGGACTGGGAAGGACTGGGAAGGACTGGGAAGGACTGGGAAGGACTGGGAAGGACTGGGAAGGACTGGGAAGGACTGGGAAGGACTGGGAAGGACTGGGAAGGACTGGGAAGGACTGGGAAGGACTGGGAAGGACTGGGAAGGACTGGGAAGGACTGGGAAGGACTGGGAAGGACTGGGAAGGACTGGGAAGGACTGGGAAGGACTGGGAAGGACTGGGAAGGACTGGGAAGGACTGGGAAGGACTGGGAAGGACTGGGAAGGACTGGGAAGGACTGGGAAGGACTGGGAAGGACTGGGAAGGACTGGGAAGGACTGGGAAGGACTGGGAAGGACTGGGAAGGACTCGGGCCTGCTAACCCTCTGCAGGCAAATGTAAGGTAAACTCCTCTATAATTACTCAATTAAATTAATCAGAAACTATTTTTTAAAAAAACTAAGATTTGCGACATCAAAAAAAAATTAAAAAAACTAGAAATTGCACAAATGTATTTGCACTAGAAAATGCGACAAACGAGGGGGGGGTACTATATATCAAAATTTTCATAATTTTTTTTTTGTTTACAAAAAATAGGGATTTTTCCAATAATTTTGTCCACTCTCGGAGAAGGAGCTAGGAAATAATGATGCTTATATTAATATGAGCTCTTCATCATGTGATAGGGTTGCAATAAATGGTAAAGATTTACTCACGCCAAGCAGCAGTTCCTAGTAAATCTGCCAAACCCGTCCAATATAAGTTTTTATCATGAATTATTAGATATATTGCTGATTTGCAGAATACTTACTTACAATTGATCAAGACGAAATTGTCCCATTCAGAGGATACTATGGCGGTGTTGGACTTCATGTCCAGGTTAAACAATGGGGATACACTCAAGAACGCTGTCCAGAGAAGCCATACAAAGTGATTTTATTAGAAATTTAGAAGCAAGTATAGAGGGTAAAATTTAGACGTTGAGAATACAGCAATTTTGCACATCCAAGTCAATAGAGCTCTAAAAGGATGAAGAAAGGACATCTAAAACACATGTGGAATCACGCCTTATCTAATTTCTAGCAGTCACATAGAAATGATCGCCACAGAAAAGCAAGAAGTAACTCTTAAACATAAATTATAAAATTTAAGGATTGCTATTAAAATTGTTTCTTAATAATTTTAAAGGTTTATTATTGAAAATTATTCTCAAGTATTATTTCATATAACTTTCCCCTTTAAATCGGAACACAAGATCTGTTAAAGGGGTTATTTTTCCTATTGGTTTTTTAAAATTTATCTACCCAAAGTACCAAACTTTGCTTAATGGTATTCTTCTTTACTTTCCTTATAATAGAACAAGTTAGATAATTTTTGGTTATGGACACCTTAAATCAGATATAAGAGCTATTTAGATAGAAATTAATATTTTTATCTACATTATTAAATTTACTTTCAATTTAAAAGGATTTAATTTAAAATTTTGCACTTCAATTAAGGGGAGTAAGTAATCTCCAATGACTGGATGTGTGTTCCCCCAATGTGATTCATACTTCTCATTCCTCGCTTTAAGAACTTCCTCATTTTCCTTAATATGTGGAAGCGGGGCTTTTGGTCGATGATAAGCCATCGCAAGCACATTATTCCATATTTTATTTGCAATCCCTAACAAGCTATTTCTGTCTTTCCCAGACAAAAACGAATCCACGTGATTTTTCACAAAAGGAACATCCGCAATTTCAAGCTCCACCTCAAACGACTTCTTCCCTCCCATAGAAGCTTCTGTGAAATCCAGCTCCAAGTACTGATATCTAAATGAATGTCTTGCTTTTTTCCTTATCGCGCTAACGGAGCTCTCTTGTGGGATTTCTTCAAGATTAATTTCAGTGTTTGCAGAAATCCTGAATCCAAGCCCAGTAGTTGGATTTATCAAGAAATTGATGTCAGCAAGTCTTGATTTTTCAATAGTCGCAATCACCTCATTGTTAGAGTTGATAGTTTGCCTGATTTTTGAGTTCTTTTTTTTGCTCGAGTAAAGGGTGTCTTCAGTCTCGATAAATGTGAAGGGCACTGAGTTTTCTTTGAGTTTTTCCATGAGAGAAATAAAGGTTAGAGCTGAAATGTCAGATTCGAACCGCCCGCGATATCTTTGTAAATCAATCATGGAAATCTGCTTGAAGTCAGGCTTTTCTTCTTGAAAAATGAAGTTTCCGATTTTTGCTTCGATTTCGATGCCTGGCTCGACGAGATATTCTGCAAGAAAGTTCGCCAGGAGGATTACTCGGTCGTCAGAGTAGTATGGGTTTCCTAGGGCTGTGCGACTTTCCATATTTAGATATTTTGGGAGCTTGGAAGAGTAAGAAATAAGACGCTGGATTATCATGTGAAATGTGAAATGGATGAATAATTATTATTTAAGATATTAACCTAAACTTAATAAATGCTAACTTTCATAACTAAGAATCTACATGTTTACATATAAAAAGTACTTTCAGATTGGTGTCTTTTTTGCTTTAATTGTGATGCTATTCAATTTATATCATCTGTTACTTAATTTCTTAATGGTTCTGACGAGCCAAAAAGGAATTTCACGTGAAATCCATTTTTGGCTTCTCACAACCATTAAAAAATTAACACAATGCAATATATTAATATCCTATAATTGCCTAAATCTCTAAAATCTTTTAAAGTAAAACAAGTTTTTATCAATTGTTTAAATTTGCAAGCTTCTTGTGATCAATTTTCTACCACATTCTGTCTGATTAGGAGGATAATTTCCTAACTCCTCCAATCCTTGATCGAACAGCTCGCCAAGGATGGGGGATTAAAAAAAATTTTTTGGGAAAAAAATTTATACATATAAAAAAAATATATATATATTTTTTATTTACTTTTAAATAAGAGGGTTAAGAGTATTTAATAATTATTTTTACAGCAAAAAATTGAATTAATTTAATAAAAATACCAATTTTTAATACTTTGATTTATTGGTTACCCTTTTAAACTGTATAAATTTTAATTTGTTCCTTGTTGAATTAAATTTTTTTTTTTAAATTTTAAAGAATCTCTATTTTATTAGATTATTGAGTTTTTAAGCCTAGATTGATGACTAAATCACTTCGGATGGTTGATTGCGTAGCTTTCTATCGTCTTAAAGTCTCTGAAAACAACTTCATTATGTGCATCTTCCCAAGCTTTTGATAACTAATATATTTTTTTATATATATAAAAATTGTCATGATATGAAAATCGTTCGATCAAGGATTGGGGTTAATTGTCCCAATTTTTAGGAATTTTTACAGTCAATCGCTTGATCAAGGATGGGGGGAGTAAGTACAAAAGATTAATATACAATCTGTTCCAATAGAGCTACTAGTAAAGTTAAACCTTAAAAAATGCTAAAATTTAATTTTTGACCACCAAAGTTATCTTTTATTTAATATAATAGAATTAAAATATTTTATGTCTGAAAGTTCTGATAGTTCTGGTCCCCAAGGAAGATGGACAAAGGAAGAAAATCGTCGGTTCGTTGAAGCACTGAATCTGTATGGAAAGGATTGAAGAAAAATCCTTGAGCACGTTGAAACAAGATCGATGGTCCAAATAAGATCTCATGCTCAAAAATACTTTTTAAAGCTGGAGAAAAAGAAAAAGAAAAGGGAAGATGAAGCATTATTGCCAATACCCCAAGATATCAGAGGATACGATTTACTAGCTATAAAAGACAAACTTGATCAAGCTTTATTTCAATTGCAAAGTGCCCATTTAGCTCAAGCTTTTAGAGCTGATCTGAATGAGTTACATCAGCAACTTATTAATGCAATACCTCCTGAAGTAAATGAAGGAGAGACCCTACCACCTGCAAATGGCCATTGATGTCCCAGGAGACCTTTTTGCAACTCCAATCTGTGATTTCACATGGAAAAGGAGGTTTTTATACTAATTTATTAGTGATAAATCTAGCTGCAATAAATTAATTTTTCGTTGGATACTATTTCTTCAGAGGGTGCGTGACTTAATGCTCTAGAATAGTCTTTATCTCTAAACTTCCCCATAAATTTAAAATTTATATATTTATTCAAAATAAAAATTCAGATGAAATATTAATGCATTAAATTGCTTTTGCTAGAATCAAAATGCATTTAATCGATTTTTATTTTGGCAGTTAGGGAAATTAACTATGATTGCCATCAGAAGCGAGTTATAATTCCTTCAATTTGTTATCAAAGATGCTTAATCAATAAAGCTCTCATATGTTTATTTAATGTGATTTATTTTTACTTATTTCCCCCCCCTCCGTGAGTGAACAAAACCATTAGAAAAATCGCCCCTCCATGAATGAACAAAAATTTTTTTAATAGAAAAATTTTTATGGAAAAAATTTTTGATATATTAATGATAATTAGTATAATGAAATCTAGAGCTAATTCTGCTTAATTTTAAACGAATTGCTTTTTAAAACATAAATTTTATAAATTAAATTAATATTTGCTTTCCAATTGTTGCGAATTAGGATTTTTTTTTTAAATTTCGAAAAAAAAATTTTTTATAAAAAATTTATATATATATAAAATTTTTTTTAAAAAAAAAATTAACCCCCCTCCGTGAGTGAACAAAAAAATTTTGTTCACTCACGGGGGGGGAGTTAGGGTTTTTGAAAAGTTCTATTATATGAATATGGAAGCTAAGCCTCGTTCATATAGTTCAGGCCTCAATCCATATGCGAGCGCTTTTGAACCAGATATGATAAAGGACAGCTTATCCAGTCTTCATGTGGGAGCAGGTGTGTACTTTTATAGTAAACATTTCGCCGAATTAAATATGGCAAAAATCGATTAAAACTTTTTAATAATGAGACATGTGACCAAGAAAACGTTAAATTTCGACCAAATGCAATTCGATGAAAGGTGCATTATCAATAACACACTGTCATTTGACATGGAGCCCTTCATGTATCAAATGAGCCGTCCCAGAAGCATCAAGCTCCAACTGAAGAGTCTAAGACGCCGATGGCTCATGAAGAGAATAAATCTCACGATGGAAGCCTAAAAGTGTATACAACTGAATTCTTACTAAGCTTAAAGAACCAGTGCACAAGCCTTCCACAAGAAATTAGCATTCCACAAAACTATGCCGTGTCGCTGAAGACGAAGAAGAAAAAGAAACCAAAAAGAAAGAGAATCCAAAGTGAGAGTACTGCTCTTCGTGATGTAGAGGGACAGAACCCACAAGAAAGCACTTCAGGCGCCAGTGAAACTATCATTCCTTCCGATAAACCTAAAGAATAGTTAATTATTAGAGTATATAGAAAATGTGGGCAAATATTGTTTTGTAGTTAGCAACCAATCAAAATGCTTTGAATTAGTTTAAACATTAATCTAGAATAATAGTTCCTGGTTATTAACTGGCTATTGAGTAGGATGAGCTATTCTTTCAAAGCAATTTATATAATATCATGGCATTATTTTAAAAGTATTTCCACATAAATACCAGAATATAAAAATGGCCAATTTTATACTTCTAAAACTTTGCTTCAGAGTGGAGTTCTATCAGTGCGTACTGACTCTTTAATCGGTCTTAATGGACTGTAAGCTATCTTTTGTTTCAATTTGCAAAACTTCAAACAGAGTTAAAAATGTTTTTCGACCAATTATTTACTAGTTGTTATTGAATCTGACCTCATTTCAACCAGAAAAATGGTAAATTTATGGGTTAAGCAGAAAAACTTTAATTCAATCTATTTTATTTTTAATAAAATTCAAAAAGCAATTTTCACAGGCGCATTATGCAATAAATAAAAACACAAATAAGATGAAGGTGCTCTGGTCAGGGTAAATTCTCTTATTTTGTCTAAGTGAAGGTAACTTCTGTTCTTCTGATAGTTTTACCTATAGAGACACTATCTACTGGCGCTGGATAGTGGAAGAAGAGTATATTATTAAACTGGAGGTTAGTAGAAGTTCTAACAGTCGTGCAACTACTGATCTGTCGCTCAGAGCGGAAGTCATATCTCACGTGCAAAGCTACAGAAAACAGAAGATAAGATATATATGAATCATTTTACTAACTAAATAACTAAATAAATAAAATTGCTTTGTAAAATTAGTGAAGGCAAAAAATAATTATTTACCTTCCATTATCAAATCCCTTCCTATACTTAAATCCTCACTTTAAGAACGAGTAAGAATTTTTTCTTATTGCTAATATAGCATATTTCTTTATAATTTTTGTTTTGGGTTTAAACTCCCAATTTGCAATATTTGAAGTAAAGAATTCATTTTTAAAGATTCAAAATATAATAAAAATTATTATTTATTTATAAAAACACTTTATATAAAAAATGAAAATTAATATTGATTTTCTCTCTTTAAAGAAAGGCTAATTTTCTCAAAATTAAGCTTTTCTCACAAATTTTTACCCGCTCATAAAGGAGTTAGAGTTCAGGTAATCGCTTTTAATTTTATGCCTTGAACTAGAGAATCACGTTGCAGGAGATGAATATATTTATGCAATCGTTAAATTGAATTTACTTGATAATTAAATAATTTAATTGTTAAATTGTATATAGGGCAGAGTAATTATAGAAATTACTCTTTTTTCTTTTCAATATCATCCATTAATCTGCTTTCCATTAAAATATAAAACCTTGAATAATTCTATTTCACTTCAATATTTTCAAAATATTTCAATTTATAGCGCCAAATTAATGCAGCATAAGCAATCTGAAATAAATTATATTTACCATAGATAGAAGTAGCTTAAAAACGACTATGTCAATTATCCCCAAGAAATCCATCTTATTTTCTTAATCGTTTTCAAACCCACCTAAACAAAAAATATGCTAAAACTCAAAAGAAGCTCATCCTCCGCAAACACTTACGATGAAAATATTCCCAATACAAGGCTCCCTTACCTCGTTCTAAAAATCGAAAGCGGAATCCGTCTCGGTGAGCTCGTCGACACAATGTCATTACAGCCTTACATCGTTATCGAGTCAGGCAACCGAAGCTGGCAGACACAAATAGGATCTCCTTCTGACGACTCTTACGAATGGGGCGAAATCTTCGAAATAGAAGTCGAAGACCTGCAGCCCTTTATGATCCATCTCTACGACAAAGATGAATATGGCTCCGACGACATTTTGGCATCTCTGATCTTTTCGAGGTCACTTTTCGAAAGTTGGAGATCAGGAAATGCCAACATGTGGCTAAAACTAAGCCCGCCACGAGTAAGTATCGACAATCCAACGCCTCTAGACATTGCAGTTGAAGTCCGAGCAAATCAAATTTATAATTCTTACGACTGTGGACCAATGCTGCATATCCAGGCATCTTTTATGGATGCACAAACCTTAAAGAAAATGAAAGTCCTTGTTAAAAACCACAAGATAAAAGCTGGAGCTAATCCGTACATATATTATGAAGTGTCTGTGGTACGAAACGACGGAGTAGAGTGGAAAATTGAATTGAGGTACTCACAAGTGTACGCATTAAGAAGGGAGCTGATAAGCATCATTCCAGGCCTTAGAAAGCTGCCTTTTCCAAGGAAAACTTATTTTGATTGGCTCTATTTTTTGTGTTCAAGCTGTAATAGATTTTCTCCTAGCATAATTGCTGAAAGGCAAAAAGGGATGGAATTCTTTTTGAATGCAGTGCTTGAAAATTGCGCAGAAATTGAAAGTGAGACTTTAAATAATTTGTTGAAGTTGCCTAAGGATTAAAGGTGGTATAATTAACTCCTTTTATTCATAATAATTAACACAGTTTCTGTAATTATGGTCCTTCAATCTTATTATTAATTATTAAGATCTGTTCTGATCTTATGAATTTTTTTCTTAATATTTGACTGTTATTATATGATTATTCAGGAATGAAAACTAAACTTTAAAATTGAATAATAAACTCTATTATAGCATGCTTTATTGCTTACTTAGATATTATATAGCATTGAATTTGATTTAAAATAATTATCATACTGATTCAGTTAGTATTTATTTCAGCAGCAACTTATTTATTTGGCCACTAAATTTCAATAAAAAAGCTCATATTATTTAAAACCTGCCACTCCGCTCTGTCTGGTAATTTTCTAGAAGCCAAGCAGGCTTGTCGTCTAAATACGGATTGGGTCGCGTTCTTGATTTTGGTCCTAAGCTTGTGTAGCCTTTTTCATAGAGGTGACAAAAACTTGTCTTGGTACTGACAATAAAATGCCAAATATCTCCATAGCTTCAGTTCAAAATTGGACATACCCTCATAAATACAGGCCATCCAGGGCTTGATGCAGAGTTGATTTGTTGAGGAGCATAAGGGTCGCTTATTCTCTGCCCCAAAAAGACAGCCTCGACGTTCTCTTGGCTGACTAATTCTTCCATTCCTCTTCTGATGTCAGATGATAGCTTCAGGCTGGTAAATGGAGAAACTGAGAGACGTGTCTGCACAAATTCAATGAGATCTTCAAAGGCATCTGGCTCTTCAAAATACACGATTTTCAGTTCTTTATCGCCAAGTAATTCAGCTAGTTCGAGAAGTACCGTACAATCTTTTCCTCCATTGAAACTCAGCGCAACTGACCCTTTGGGGTATTTATTAAGAGTCTCTCTCATAACGTCAAGGCTTGGCTGAACTTTATTCAGGAAAAATGCTTCGCCTACCGCTTGGCGAATTTCAGAAATTTTACCATCGTTCATGTTTAAAATATTTTTTGGGATCATTTTGAAAATATGCGTCATCACAAAAGTCAGCAAAATAACGAATGATTTCTTTACTATTAATACTGACTGAAAAGTAGATTTATTCATATAGAAGAGAAATCTTTTTCAAAATCCTTATAATTATGCTTTAGGTGTGAAATTTAAAATCTGAAACAACTAATTTGTATTAGATTGAAATATATTGCTTATTTGTCTCTTAAAGCGTGATTTATTGAGCTTATTTGATTTTAAATGAGAATTTAGATGCGATAAGTCAAAAGCTATTTATAGAATTTGGATGATAAATTATTTTTTTAGAAAGAATTTGTTTCTCCTTACGAAGGGAGAGAGTAAGAAATCAATAATTTTAGCGGAGAAGCAAAATTTAATAATAAATCTTAATATTCTGCAAGCAACTAAGTTGATTATTTATTTTTCCTTAAATCAACATTGAATAAGGTTCTTCGATATATTTTTTGAAAGATTGAAGCCATCTAGCACCAATAGCACCATCAACAACTCTATGATCACAGCTCAAAGTAACAGTCATCACTGATGAAGCCTTAAATCCTTTTTCAGCATCAGGGACTAGCACATCATGACTCGCACCTACAGCTAGAATGCAAGCCTGAGGAGGATTTATGATTGCGCTGAATTCTTTAATGCCGAACATACCTAGATTAGACACAGTAATCGTTCCGCCTTGAAACTGGTCTGGAGTCAATTTACCAGTTTTAGCCAAATCAGCAAGTTTTTTCATTTCAGCTGAAATTTCGCCTATTCTTTTTATGTGGGCATTCTTAACTATAGGAGTTATAAGTCCTTTGTCAGTTTGAACAGCTACTGAAACGTCAACATTATCATACATTATCATTGAATTCTCTAGCCAGCATGAGTTTGCCTCTGGGACTTGAAGAGAAGCTAAGGCTGTTGCTTTAATAATGATATCATTAATAGAAATTTTGACTGGAGACAATGCATTAAGTTTGGCTCTAAAAGCATTGAGGGTGTCAGTTGCACAGTCTATTGATAAATAATAATGTGGAATTGTCAGCTTTGATTCAAGAAGTCTCTTTGCAATCACTTTTCTGATGCTAGAGTGAGGGATGTCTTTGAACCCTTCAGCTCTTATTTCTTGAGGAGCCTGAATGGTTGGCTGAGGCTGAGGAGTTGCTGATAAAGCTTGAATTATGTCATCTTTAACGATTCTTCCATTAGGGCCAGTCCCTGTAACTTTTGTATAGTCGAAGCTGTTTTCCTTGCTGATTTTTTTGGCTAGTGGAGAAATGAAAACCCTGTCAGAAATTTCAGGCGATTTCTTGGGTTCCTCTTTAATAGGAGTCTTTACTTCTTTGACTTCAGCTTTGATTTTCTCTGGAGCAACGTTTTCTTGGGATGGCGAGTAATTTTTGAATGCTGCGATATAGAAGTTTCTTTTCAATAGCGCGATAAGGCGCATTCCTAGGTTTTACCGGATGATCTTAAACATATGAAAACTTGCTATTCTTTATTCATGGGGGAGAAAAATAGCCTAAATAAAGAATTCTGCCTGATTAATCTCGAGAACTTGAAGAGAGGCCGTGTGAAAAATTTTATATTTGGCTCGTCAAATGAATCTGACGAGCCAATTCTGGCCAGTACTTGAAATGAAAAATGGTAGTTGCCAGAATTTTATTAATTTTTTGATGGCGAGTATGATCAGAATTTTAATAAATGGCACAGGATCAGACAACTTATTCCTTTCAAACCGATCTAATAATTCCTTTGGTAATAATTACAACTGCTTTATAAAAGCCAAAGTTTATGCTAAGCGCTTGTTGCTCTTTACGAACTTACTAACGACTCATATGGTTTTCGTTAGAAAATTAAAATGGAGTTAATAATTAAAAACTTGTTGATTGAGTTGTGTTTTTGCGGAAGGATAGATTTCTTAATAAAATGATGCCAATTTAATTATGACTAACTGCTTTATAAAAGCCAAAGTTTGTGCTAAGCGCTTGTTGTTCTTTACGAACTTACTAATAACTAATATGTTTTCGTTAGAAAATTAAAATGGAGTTAATAATTAAAAACTTGTTGATCGAGTTGTGTTTTTGCGGAAGGATAGATTTCTAAATAAATGATGCCAATTTAATTATGACTAACTGCTTTATAAAAGCCAAAGTTTGTGCTAAGCGCTTGTTGCTCTTTACGAACTTTACTAATGATATTAAAATTTTCTTCTTATAATATTTTTTAAATTTTTTTCAAATGTTAAAAAATAAATCTTTAAAATAATTATATCAATATAAATAAAATTTTTTATAAAATTTTTTTTTAAAATAAAATAATAATTTTTCAAAATTTATTGTATCTTTTATAAAATGGGACTTTTTAATTTTAACAATATTTTTTAAGTGGGCTGTCTGATCCTGTGCCATTTATTAAAATTCTGATCATACTTGCCATCAGAAAATTAATAAAATTTTGGTAACTATCATTTATAATTTCAAGTACCGGCCAGAATTGGCTCGCCAGATCCATTTGACGAACCAAAAGTGTAAATTTGCAAATAGCCTCTCTTTAAGTTCTCGAGATTGATCAGCCAGAACTCTTTATTTTCACTGTATGACTCTCTTACAAAGAAGGAACATCAAATTTTCATAGTCCAAAGACCTTCTAGTCAAACCAGGAAGCACGCCTTATCGCGTTATTGAAGAGAAAGTTCTATATCTCCTGAACTGTCAACTAAAATTGCGACTGGCTTTCCGAGTGGAATATTTGCACTACCTTCAGGCTCAATGATTTTCGCTAAATAGACGTCGTCTTGGACTTCAAAACCGAGCGTGGCTTTATCAGTCTCAACTTCAAACATGATTTCGCCAGCTTTGACTTTGTCGCCTTCTTTTTTGAGCCATTTCACAATTGTTCCTTGAGTCATGGTAGGGGATAATAAGGGCATGCCTAGTTTTTGGTGGCTTGGGAGGCTTGACATAAATCTGTGGCTAATGAATCTGCTTCGGCTAGTCATAAGCTGAGGGTTTTTTGGCGTGAAGGGCTGAAAAGGCAGTCTAAATAGTGAAAATGCCCTTACTAGGCTTCTTCTCATCATTTATTTTAAGAGAATTTTAGTAGTAATTGATGTATTGATATTTTAATAAACTTTTTAGGAGTATTTGTGTTTAAAGACGGTTGGTTTTCTTCTTAAAATTCAAGAAATGCAGATAAATACAAGTATTAAGTTAAATCATTGAAAATCTTCATCAAGACCTATATTTCTGACTCGCCTGCCCGTAAACAGCCTTGCTCTGATTTATTTATTCCTAAAGGGTGTGTATTTTCTCCACAGAATTCCAAAATTTTTCTCGCAATATCCTGCATCAAAATAATTTCGTCAAGAAATCTAATCCTCTGATCAGCTGCAAACTAAAAATAGGATTAAAACCCACTAAAAAATCCCTGGCATGGTGCTAGCTCTCCCAAAGTAATCAATCAAAAAGCAAGTGAGGTAATTCTTTTCCTAAATAATCATATATTAAAGTTGCTTTTGCTCAAATTTTAAAAGCCTACTCCAAAAACTGTTATTTTAGAATACAAGCTGCTTAAAATAGAACAGAATTAGTTAGAGATTTTAATATAATAATTATTATTTATATCAAATTTTATTTATTTAATAATTTCTATTATGAATTATTTTTCCTAACTTGCTGCGAGCGTTTTTCTCAAAACGCAGGAGTTCTAGAATGGCTTTCTCAATTGTGGACGGGGATAAAGTAAATATCCGATTGGCATAGCGGGGTATATATTTTTGTTTACTTAGAATAGAGGAGTCCTAGGAATTGCTAGGGAATCTTTCCAACTTCATGTAGAACTTTCTTTAAAAAAGGAAAAATCTTCCCCAAGATTAGGCTTTTGGCTATAATCGATCAGCTAGCATTTCCGCTTCACCTGAAAATAAGAGCCTAGCAGCTACTCACATCGGATGACTTATTCCACCCGACCTCCTTCAATTTGTTAATTATAAGAATTAGGAAATCGTGCTGGTTCGCTACACCGTTCGATGAAATACTTAAGAATTGCATATAATTATTTCTTTAACCTTTTCCTCATACATTTGCTACTACTGCTGGAAGTGAAAATTGCTAAAAGTTATTCGATTTGAAAGAGATGATTTAATATTACTCTATATGATTTTTTGCAACTTAATATAAGGCACTCATATATAATTAAATAGTTAAACTTCAGATTAAATTATGTCTTCAAAAATTATAGAAGAATTAAATGAAAAAGCTAATTCTTTTTCTTTTCATCGCAGTTTGGCAGGCAAATTCCAAAAGTCCACCAGAGCCAGTGTGCGATCAAAATAATGGCAACCTAAAAATTGGCGGAAATTGTGTAAGCTGCTCTGATGGTTGTAAAACCTGCTCTGGGAATGCATTCTGATATCAATGCTCCTCATGCTTCTCAGGCTATGAACTACTGAACAATCTTTGTTTGCCAAAAGCTCACTTACAATCTACTTCATTTGAGTTCAACAGTCAAACTAATCTTGGCATGGAGCAAAACCAAATCTTTCAAGTAGGATCAAATAGCAATAATAAGTACCCAGACTATGATGCAAATGACCCATATCCTACTTTTCAGAGAGGTTACTATTATACTAATCTCTCCTACATGACTTCCGATAAGTTTAATTTGAGTCCTTGGTTTTCTAACTCTTTCTGAATCAAACCGTACTCAGCTGGAAATATTTTTCTCAAAAAAGACACAAGCAGCGCTCTTCTAAGTCTCTCAATATCTTCAAGCAACGTACTTGCTTATAGCATCAAATTAGCACATGGAGTCACCTTAAGTTTGCATTATTCAACAATAAATAGCGTTCTTAATGTATGGAATCAGATCGCCATTACTTGTGATTTAGACATGGGTCAATGAGTTACGAAAATTCAGCTCATTCATAATGGAGAAGTTATAACTGAATCCCAAGCCACCACACAAGATTGGTATAATGATCCTCCAATAGCAATAATTGGAAATGACCCCAAAGGAAGCCAAACCTTTACTGGATTTATATGAAGTTGAAAATATTATGCTAATTCAACTTTGTGACATGCCGATTATCAAATTTCAACCTACTGTGCATCAGGGTGTTTGTTTTGCTCTGAAGATTTTACTTGTCCTGATTATTGCGATTTTGGTCAATTCAATGAAAATGGAGTATGTGTTGATTGCTTAAGTGAGTGCACGTATGGCTGCAGAACAGGAGAGAGGTGCAATATATGTGAGACTAAAGAGTGCTACTCATGCAGTGATTCTTTTGTCTGTGATACTTGTGTAACCAGGGGAAATTTGACTAACAAAGTATGTGAGTGCAATTTAAACTCATTTTTTAATGAGACAACAAAAATTTGTGACATATGTGACAACAGCTATTGCAGTCAATGCTTGACTGTAAATTATTTTGACTGCAAAGTTTGTGGGCCTAATTATAAACTAATAGACACCGTCTGCTTGGTTGATACTCCGTCAGGCTGGGATAATTCTAAAACCAAGCCTTATGTAGCATATGATATCCCTTTCTGAACAGGCGCTTATCAGGGAGAGTTCGGGATTTTTGAGACAGGAGAAGATAAAACTCGTTATGGTCCATTTAATATTCTAGAAGAATTAATGGATCCAATCCCAATAGAAAATAGAGGTTTGTATTTTTCTAATGGAAATTTTTTGAATTCTAGCCCAATCTACCTGCCTCATAGTTTTACTATGATAATCTGCATCAATCCCAAAAATGGAGATTTTTTAGAAAAAGAAAGCATGAGCATCAATTCTAATGGCAAGGCGAGCATTTATCTCCAAGACCCTCTGAACAATTTGGTGCATATTGTTACTCATAGCGAATTTCCACTTAAGGATTGAACTTATTTTACTTTAGTGTTTTCTTATTTTAACTCAACCACAACGCTGTCAGCATACTCTAATGGAAATCTGCTATTCTTGCATTCCTATTATGCATGGATATATAGAGATTTCGCATTATCTTCTATGCATCTGGGAAAGAGTCAGGACAGTGTCTATGATGGTTTTATTTACATATATCTGGAGATTATTGGACAAATAAGTGATATAGTAAGCTATGTAGAAAATGAAGCCAGTTTAAACCAATTACCGTCCTGTGATTACGATTACACCTTTGATCAAAATGGAACATGTATCTCCTGCAACTCTTCATGCACTATGGGCTGTATTCGAGAATCAAACTGTAATCTGTGCCATGATCAGTTATGCCGAAACTGCTCTGGGCCTTTAGAAGAATCTACTTGTTTTAATTGCTCATGACTTTCCCACAATTTATATCCTAATGAGTGCATCTGCGACGACAATGCATTTTTAATCAAAAATAGCTCGAACTGGTATTGTGAGCATTGCGAATATAATTACTGTGCTTTTTGCAACGATAATGGACATTTTGAATGCAAAGGCTGCAAGTCAGGCGTTCTTGTGAACACTGTTTGTCTTGATGAGTATCCGCTCGGATATTTCGAGTGCTCTGGCAAGAATTGCCTTTTAACTCAAATTAACCCGAATGAATACTTCAGAGGGAGGTATGGGATATTCATTGGCGGTTCCACAAAGGAGTTATTTCCGCATTTCAATGGCTCTGAAAAATAAGATCCAACCCCTGTCGACCGACGAGGTTTCTATTTTGACGGTGCCTTGCAATTTTTCCAAACAGAAAATTTTACTTATATAGACCACATCTTTTCAATTGGGTGGTGGTTTTCTGTTTTAGGGACAGGTGATATTCTTGAGCACTACAACAGACTGCTGTTAGCAAGCAATGGGTCTCTTTCAATAACTTTGCAAGACAGAGACCAAAAAGAATATGCATTCGCCACTCCAGGTATGAACTTCTCTGGCTGATCTCATCTTGCCTACACTGTATTTTATGCAAATTCTACAACTTCTCTTAAGGTGTTTCTACCCCCTGCTTCAGTAAGTGAAATAAAAATTTCCTTGAGATTAATTATTTTGGTCTAAAATAATTTTTATGAAATTTAAAAATTCAATTTGCAAAATCGATAAGAAAATTAAAATTTATGTTTTAGAGTACATTTGCTTAAATTTAAATAGAATTTTTATTAGTTCTATATAAATCGAAATATCTTTTTTACAAAATTATAATATTAACTAATTTTTTGACATCTCACCAAGGTGATTTTTTTCACAAATTATAAGACTTTCCATTAGCTATGCTCGTAGGTGATGAGGAGAGTAAACAATGAAGTATTTTTTGAGAGAGATTTTCCAAATTTATTATTTAGAGATATTTCAAACTCTACTCTTTTCATCGGAAAAAGTCCTAATTCTAAATTCTATGGATTTATATACAATTTTTTAAAATGTGATGGTTAAAATAATTATCTAACTCCCCCCCCCCCCCTCCGTGAGCGAACAAAACCATTAGAAAAATCGCCATTTTTTGACCAAAAACCCACCCTCCGTGAGTGAAACAAAAATTTTTTTTAATAGAAAAAATTTTAATGGAAAAAAATTTTGATATATAAGTGATAATTAGTATAATGAAATCTAGAGCTAATTCTGTTTAATTTTAAACAAATTGCGTTTTTAAAACATAAATTTTGCAAATTAAATTAATATTTGCTTCCCAATTTTTGCAAATTAGGATTTTTTTAAATTTCGAAAAAACATATTTTTTTATAAAATTTATATATAAATTTTTTTTAAAAAAAAATTAACCCCCCTCCGTGAGCGAACAAAATTTTTTTGTTCGCTCACGGAGGGGGGGGGAGTAAGAAAATTCTTTTAATAAAAATAAAAAATTGTATAGAATTTTTTCTGACAAAATGTGAAATTTTGCAAAACAGGCGTTTATCTACGAGTTTAAAAATGAAGTCTGCGGGTATGGAAAGAATGGAACCTGTCTTCCACTCTGCAGCATAGACGAATATTATCAAGAATGGGAAGGATCAGAGCCATCCTGCGAAAAATGTCTTCGCTCATGCGATAAGGGCTGCATCAGAAAAGACACATGCAATATTTGCCAAGACGTTTTATGTGCTGTTTGTCCTTATTTTGGACGTACTCGCTGCAGCCAGTGTATTCCTTATGCATATGGAATAGAAAAGTGTAAGTGCATTGAAAACTATTGCTTATCTCTTGATAGATTATCATGCATTAAATTTCCATACGAAAACAGTCCAGAGAAATACTGGATCCACTTTTTACCAAATACGACAATCATAGTTGGAAAGTGAAGTGATGATTTTGTCATAAATACAATCCATCCATGAATGATAGATGTTCACCTCCTTGATAGTGATGTCGTAACCTTCAGCAATAAGGCTTGCACCTTCAACCCTTTCTACGAAAATTTCACATGCTCATTTAATGTGCTTGTAGATCCAAGCTACGATAATAAGAATGGCCCTATCACTATCAAAGCTAAGTTCCAAGGCTACGTCTATCCAATGACCTTTCCTGTATCTTATGATGATTTTTCTGTTTCACTTATGAGTCGCCCTGAGCGCTTGGGAGTTGTATTTTACGCAGGCTATAACTATAGCAAACCTCTCGTGGTTACTTGCTATTAAGTAATCCCTCCCCATGTCACCCCAACCCCTGACGATCCTGAAAATTTTAAATGTTAAATATAATATTTGACAAGTCTCCTCAAATATTTTAACTTGTAATATTAATATTTAACATGTTAAATATTTGGGATGTTAGGGGGTGGGTAGCATGGAGAGGTGCGCTCAACGCCGATCCAAAACTGGGCGTAAGCTATACATCCAAATAATGCCGGACGAGGAATTATCATTTAATGATGACCTTTGCAGTGATGAAAACTGTACACATGTAGCGTGCGATGAGCTCCTTTCTCAAAAATCGATTTCTTCGATAGGATCAAATATTGATTGTGCATATTCTGGTCCAGGTATAATTTCAATATATGTAGGGCACATCAAAGATAATATAAATTCCTTGGTTTTCAGAGAAAAAGTTTTTTATGGCTCAGGCAAGAATGAAACAAACTTAAAATATTTGACTGTGCCTTGGAAACTTCAAAAGCCGCCATTACCTGTTGCTTCAATAGTTCCATTAGCTGAAACTTGCTGCTCATGTAATGCTATTTTTGATGGTTCTAGATCTTCAACTCGATTAGGCAGCTTAAAATATCAATGAATCTTAAACGAATTTATGCTTTATTCTGGTGATGAAACAGAGAGAATAGCAAACATAACATTGCAAAGCTGTAATATAGCTGAAGATCATAAACAATTTAATGTTACTTTAATAGTCACCGACAATTTCGACCAACAAGCTAGTGCAAGCATGACAGTAAACATGACAAGCGATGACGTTTTAATTCGAGGGTGAAAGGATCCCAAAATCAAGACAATTATTAATGATATTTCCAAACTGATTTTTGAATATCAGAAGAGCTCCATAATCCATCTTGAGCCTAACCCAATGGTTATATGAAGCTTATTCAAAAAATCACCTACAAGAGGGCTGCTTGGAAGTAAAATCTATGAATCTACAGGAGTTGAGTTTGATTATATATTTACTCAAAAGGGAGAATATATAATAGTTTTGGATGCCTATTTTAATAACAACACTTATAAGATTTCAGCAAATGCTTCAATAATTGCTAACCCTCCAGTTCCTGACTTGGCCCTGAGCGGAGTCAATACTTATGTCTTTGCAAACTCAAATATTACTGTAAATTTGACAGCAAGCTATAAAGGAGAAGTTTTTGAGCTTGATAAAGGCTACGCCTTTATTAATAAAATTGAATGCTCAAATGGCGAATTTATTGAGATTGAAGGAGATATTTTCAAGCTGAGAGTATTTAATAAAGAAAGAATATTTAATTGCAGTTTTACAGTTGGCTTGAGGGATTATCCTGAATATGAATCTGAAGTCAGCTGGCTCTATGTGGTGAAAGGAAATATCCCAAGGGTATACATTGTTTCCATGTTTCCTTATTTAGATCCCTCAGCGCCAGTAAGACTAATTGCAGACGTAGCGGATTCCTTGAGAATGATAATTTCTTGGAGAGAAAAGAACGGCCACCCATTCATTGCGACTACGCCAACAGATCAGCCGAGTATGACAATTCAAGAATTCAGTATGCTCTGTGGATTAGAGTACGAATTTGAAATTACTGTTATTGATCCGGTTTCTTTTGTCCCTGTCAAAGCTTCTATCAAAAGATATGTAAACTGTCCCCCTAACTCAGGGACTTTTGAGGTTGATCCTAAAGAAGGCCGAGCCTTGGATACTCAGTTTAATGTTTTATTTGCAGGCTGGAACGATTTAGAAGGGGACGATCCCATTTCTTACCAAGTGTTTATGCAAAAAGACGAAAATATGATTGCCCTGACTCCAAAAACAACTGAAAATAAGTTCAAAATAGTGCTAGGGGAGAGGGGAAAAGTTACTCTTGTAGGGAGGATTTATGATTCACGAGGCACCTTTACCGAAGTCGAAGTTCAGGCTGACGTTAATGATTCAGGTTTTGTTGATGCTAAAGAAAGATCAGAAATATTGCTAAGCAGTGGAATGGAAACAATGGACTCAAACATGCTCTTCTCTTCCATCCACTCAATTGCTCATTATACATTCCATAACACTCTAAACTTAAATGATATGACAAAATGCATAGAAAACCTGGAAGAGACTTTGAATAAATGGATGAACTCTTCAATGCCAAGAATTGGGCTGTCCGAGTCCAGCACTGTCATTGATGCAGTCTCTACCTTGCTTGGAAAAGCAGAAGTCTATAAAGAAAAGCTGCTGCTTGATATTTATAGTACTCAAAATAAAGCTCTAAACCACACAAAGACTCTTGACGTCGGCACATACACCAGCATTCTTTCTAATCTTGATAAGCTGCTTGATAGCCTTCAGGCATTATCAGCTCAAAATGAAAGCGCTTACACCGAAATGGACCTCTTCAAAATTATCAACCAAACTCACAGTGAAGGAACTCGAAAGTATTTGGGGGCAATCAATCCCAACGAAAGTCCTGTAAAATACAGAGGTGGGAAATTCAACTCTACCAGTATTTTAGCTGATGGAAAATCTTTAGCGAAGCCTATCGAATACGACTCACCGATTGAAGGTAGTGCTACTAAGTTTAATGTCAATACCTCCAAGAACTCTGACTCTACAAGCTACTTAGTCTCAATCCTTTCAGTTGCTCCATTCAAGAATATTTCAGATGCCCTTCTGAGCTCTGCAAGTAGCTCTCTGGCTTCTTTTGAAGACTACTCATTTACTGAAGGATCAGTTGTTTCTTCTGACTCTGCTGTAATAAAAAAATACTCTTATTCAGATGAGCTTACATCATGATGGGTGCAGCCGAGCTTATCTAAAAATACTGGAACCATTATTAACCCAGTCTTATCTTCTGGGCCGGTGACTGAAGTTAGCAGTGAAGTCTCATATGAAACAGTTAATAGCAGTTTGGAACCAACTTGCACTGTTTATGATCTAAACATTGAAAAAAGCTTATTTAAGTATTGTACGACGATTTTACGAGAAAACGGATCAGCAACTTGCGTTTGCGAAGTTGTAGGGCTTTTTGGAGTGCAGCCTTATCCGACAATTTTAAACCTTGTGGAGAATAGGTTCGAAGTATGAATGGATCTTGGCATTCCAACAGTTGGCACCACTCCTGTTTGAATCATTTTTGGAATTGTTTTATTTTTATACAAAATAGGATGGAAGGATGCTAATAAATCTGATGAATATAATGGAGATACTTGAAAAACGAATTTATTAAAAGCTAATAAAATAATTCTTGGGGAAATAGGAGCATTTGTATACTTAAACAAACTATCAATAAAATGAGATGCTAAAGCTTTTGAAAAGTTGAAAAAACAGCTAGAGAAGAAGATGAAACGCTTATGCAATGCTCAGGATCTCAGTATCTTGCTTGGAGATGAAAATCTTGGAGATTGTATTGAAAATTGCATAGATAATCAAAATTTCGATGATCTGAAACGCCTAATAAGTAATTTGCTAAATCAATGTGACGAATTCAAAGCTGAAGTGAAAACCCTGAAAACGGAGTATAATTTTATGAATAAGGTACTTGACATAGATGAAATATATGATTGGTGAAGAGCAAGGCCAGTTCTTAAAAGAATGAAAAACACTATTAACTTGGATACAGATTCAAATATAGCCCTGTGAAACTCAGTAGATAAATTGAAACCTTATATCATTAAGTATATAAAAGACCATCATATTGAAGAGATCTGTTCTTATGAAAAACAGAATACACCTGCAAGTGTTTCAGTAGAGGCAATAAACATTACTATTAACAATAATGAAGAATGTAATGAACAAAGTATCAATTTACAATTTGACTCACAAAATACTCAAGAGAATAGTTTTGAGTCTACAACATTTTTATCACGATCACTAGAAATCTTGCAAACTAAAGCTATAAATAGCAAAAACTATAAGAAAAATTATTTTGGATATTTTATAAAGCACAATGATATTTTAGGAGTCATTGGATATACTGATTTGAACTCTCCAAGGAGATTTAGGCTGACTTATTTAATATTAGCAATTTGCACTGAGATTACGATTGCCATTTCAGCCTTTGATAATTATAATCGACAAATAGATAGAGAGGTATGATTGCTATTTTATTTTCAGCAGCAGAGCTTCTGGATTTTTGTTTTATCAATCGGTTTTGGGATATTGCCTTTATTCACAAAGCTCTACTTCAATTACAATGTTTTGAGCAGCCAGTTTGAGAAACACAAGCTATTGAAATGCAAAAACAAAAGCGTATTTATCGGCTATATTGTTAGTTGATTAATGATTCTAGGCGAATTTGTTTATTGTCTATTTAAGCTTCGATTGTGCCCTTTGACTAATTTCCACGCATATATGTCATATATAGCTCAATCCTTGATTTTCTTTTTAATTTCGAGTGGAATCGGTTTTCCTTTAGCTATATCTGCAATTCATTGTTGTTGTTTTGAAAATTCATGCAAAAATAAGAACAAAGTAATTCAAGACACCCAGTATATAGCATAATGGCATAACTAAGTTTTTAATTTATATTGAATCAATTTTGTGTATGGTTTCATTCTTTTTTTGCTTTATAATTAATTTAATGATTATCTTTTCAGGGGAATATGATGGTTAGATATTCAAGATCAATTGTATGAAATTGATAATGATTAGGCTGCTATGATTTAGATTAACAATTTGGAGTTATAAAAAATTTTTTCAAATTATTTTAATTAAGAAAGACTATATTAATTTAAAAATTATTTCTATATTTATATATTAGATTGATTAATTTGAACTCTATAAATATAAAAACTGCAACCATCATTCATATATTATCTTACGCCTCCTTTATTAAGCAAAATTTGTAGTTTAGATCAAGATAATGTCAAAGGAATGGCATGTCTAAAAATACTGAAAGAAATGGGTCGTGCGATTTCTCCAACGTAATGCCTACAGTAACTACAGCAACTACAGTTACTTCCACAATTCCAACAACTCAAACAATTCCAAAAACTCTAAGCAATTCCAATAACTCCAAACAATTCCAACTTCTAGATCAACAGATCCAGCTTCAACTGCCACATCAAGCTCAGTAGCAACTCAGCAATAAATTAGTTCTTTATTCTTGACCTTTACCTTTCTCGACAAGTCATTTATCTACATCGTTTCCAGTATTATCTAAACTTTCTTTTTCACATTCTGCATCTTCTTCTTCAACTTCGACTCCTAATTCCTCCTCAAATTCATAATCTTGTCTATCTTCATAATTCAGTGACCACTCCGTGACATCATCATCCAATCCACACATGACAACAGTTCCAACATCTAGGAGCAGGCTAAATGCAAGATCAGCATCTCCTCCACATGCTTCCAGCATTCTCATAGCAATTTCCAAGTCAAAACCTAGTAATTTCAGCAACAAAACATACTTTTTTTGATACCCCAAGAGTTCATTCGTCATAAATAAATCATGAATTTTATAGCAAAAATAAAATCAAGATAATTTTTGTGCAACCTATTCGCGCAATTCACTTTTGTTGAAAAAGTCATAAAAAATTATGAAAAGAATATTTAGAAATCAAAGTGAAAGAAATTTGCTCATTCTATTTAAACTCTAAGTCGATACAGCCCAATCGAGCTTGAATATAGAATCATATATAAAAAATATTCTTGAGAGATGCGCATCTTGGTACTAGCTAAAATCGTGCCATTATGGGCCCAGTCATCATAATTCACTATATTTTACTAAACTTTTCAGGCGTATTTGCGTCTATAGATGGTTTCTTTTCTTCTGAAAATTCAAATACAAGCATTAAGTTAAATCATTGAGCATTTCCATCAAGACTTTTATTCTTTCTACCTCTACTCGCCTGTCCGTACGCACCCTTGCTCTGGCTTATTTATTCATAAAGTGTGTGTATTTTCTCCACCAAAGTTCCAAATTTGTCTAGTTTAACTATGGAAAACTCAAGAAATCTAATAATCTGATCAGCCCGCAAGCTAAAATTGGATTGAAGCACACTACACAATGCCAAGTATATTGCGCTAGCTCCTCCCAAAGTGACAAAGCGAAAAAAAGTGAGGTAATTTTTTCCTTGCTGCCCCCTCTGTGAGCGAACAAAACCATTGGAAAATTCCCTATTTTTGGCCCAAAAACCCACTCTTAGTATAAAAAATTTATATATATACATTTTAGAAAAAAATTAACTCTTCTTCGTGAGCGAACAAAAACATTTTGTTCGCTCACAGAGGGGGGAAGTTAATAATCATATATTAAAGTTTTGTTTTTGTTCGAACTTTAAAAAGCTTCAAATCTGGGGTATATGTATTTATCTACCTAGATTAGAGGAGTCCTAGGTGTTGCTAGAGAATCTTTCCAGCTTCATGCACCTCTTTCTTCCAAAAAAGGAAAATTTTCCCCGAAGATAAGGCTTTTGGTTATAGTTGATCAGCCTATGTTCCCGCTTCATCTGAGCTATGAAGCCTACCAGATGCTCCCACAACGGATGACTTATTACATTCACAGTTGTCCGGACTCATTCATTTTGCCGATTATTGAAATTAGAAATCGTGACTAATCACTGCAGCATTTGATAAAATACTTAAGAATTGCATATAACTATTTCTTTAAAGTTTTCCTCATATATTTTTTACTACTGCCGGATGCAAAAGCTACTTGATGTGAAGAGATAGCTTAGCATTAATCTACATGATTATTGCAACTTATATATAAGGCACTCGTCATATAATTAAATAGTAAAACTTCAGAAGTTATATGTCTATTAAGTAGATTGCAATCTGATTTTCTAACTTGAGAAACGGCCGAAAAAATGTCATAGAATAATTAATGAATAAGCTATTTCTTGTTCTAATCGTCGCTGCTAGACAGGCAAATGCAGGTGGAGGTGGCGATGATAGTCCACCACCGTGCTATGAAAATGATGGCCACCTTAAGATTGGCTCGAGTTGTGTAAGCTGCTCTGTTGGCTGTAAAACCTGCTTTGGGAGCGCTTTCTGATATCAATGCGCCTCATGCTACTCAGGCTATGAACTAATGAACAATCTTTGCTTGCCAAAAGTTCACTTACAACCTGTTTCATTTAATTTTAGCAGTCAAGTTAATCTTGGCATAGAGATAAACGAAGTCTTCCAAGCAGGATCAAATAGCAAGAATAAGTACCCAGACTATGATGCAAATGACCCATATCCTACTTTTCAGAGAGGCTACTATTATAATAATAGCTCCTACATGGCTTCCGATAAGTTTAATTTGAGTCCCTGGTTTTCTAACTCTTTCTGAGTCAAACCGTACTCAGCTGGAAGCATATTTCTGAAAAGAGACTCAAGCAGCGTTCTTCTAAGTCTCTCAATATCTTCTAACAATGTACTTGCTTATAGCATCAAATTAGCAAATGGAGTCACCTTAAGTTTGCATCATTCAACAATAAATAGCGTTCTTAATGTTTGGAATCAGATCGCCATTACTTGTGATTTAGCTATCGACCAATGAGTTACGAAAATTCAGCTCATTCATAATGGAAAAGTTATAACTGAATCCCAAGCTACCATACAAGATTGGTATAATGATCCTCCAACAGCAATAATTGGAAATGACCCCAAAGGAAGCCAAACCTTTACTGGATTTATATGAAGTTTAAAATATTATGATAATTCAACTTTGTGGCATGCCGATTATCAAATTTCAACCTACTGTGCATCAGGGTGTTCGTTTTGCTCTGAAGATTTAACTTGTCCTGATTACTGCGATTTTGGTCAATTTAATGATAATGGAGTGTGTGTTGACTGCTTAAGTGAGTGCACATATGGTTGCAGAACAGCAGAGAGATGCAATATATGCGAGACTAAAGAATGCTACTCATGCAGTGATTCTTTTGTCTGTGATACTTGTGTAACCAGGGGAAATTTGACTAACAGAGTATGTGAGTGCAATTTAAACTCATTTTTTAATGAGACAACAAAAATTTGTGACATATGTGACAACGGCTATTGCAGTCAATGCTTAACTGTAAATTATTTTGACTGCAAAGTCTGTGGCCCTAATTATGAATTAATAGGCACCGTTTGCTTGGTACATACTCCATCAGGTTGGGATAGCTCAAAAACTCAGCCTTATGTAGCATATGACATCCCTTTCTGAACTGGTGCTTATCAAGGAGAGTTCGGGATTTTTAAGACAGGAGAAGATAAAGCAAGTTGCCTTAAAGGCGTATCACGCTTAACATTCCCTATGGTATTACCAACACAAGAGCTATATCCACCTTTAAAGCATCGGCTCACATGTCACTATGTAGACCAGCTTTTTTACTATAAAATTTCGCTAGGGCAAGCTTCGATGACTGTAAGCGAGCGATTTCTGACTTCCTTTGCACCTTGAGACAACTAAAGGCTCCTTCGATGTCGCAGGATGAGAGTGTTATATAATCTTATGACTTTCGAATTTTCTTGGATCTGGCCAGAGGTTAGTCTCCTCTATCTAAGTTACTTACCAGTCTTGCCAAATAAAATTGCCATGCAAAGCAAAGTCTCATAATCATAAAATGCAAAACAAATATTGATCAACAGATCGATACCGTACTGATGTCCCATTTTAATGATTATAGGTTGTCCCAGAAAAAAATTTCACTCCACTTTCTCTGTGACAAACAAAAAAATTGTTTTTTAAATTTATATGTAATTTTTTTTTCAAAATTTAAAAAATAATTCGAATTAAAAATTAATTGAACTTGTGAAATTTGTTGTTTTTAAATGCAAGCTGTAAAAAAAATTTTGTTTTTTACCCAAAAAATAGGGATTTTCCAATGGTATGGTTCGCTTACAGAGGGAGGAGTCAGGGCTTGTTTCTTATAGCCATTTTCCAATTAAAATGACTGTAAATTAAAATTCCTAGAAAAAACTATACCCTTTAAAAGTATTTCAGCAGAATCTAATTATTAAAAGTTAAGGATAAGCATGCAGAAATTCATGGATAAATAGAAAGCAGAGTGGTCAAAGCAACTTTAAAATGCATAATTAATATGCTTCTAGCCAACCTAAACTATAATTTTAGGCAAAAAGACTTAAAGCTCATCATAAATAATAAATGTTTATATGGAAAAAAAAATTATTTTAATTTACCGCCATTTTAACTGGAAAAAGGCTCCAGAAAGCAACTCCTGAGTTTTTCTAGACAACCCATGATTATGGAGCAGATAAAACTAGTTATTATCCATTTAATACTCCAGAAGAATTAATGGACCCAATCCCAATAGAAAATCGAGGATTGTATTTTTCTAAATGGAAATTTTAGTTATATTAATGATGCATATTTATAGCCTTACTTTCATATAACATGAGTTTTACAGAGTCGTTTGTGGGCTACTCGCTAGAGGCGTGAAATTTGAAGTAAATTCCTTAGCATTGAGCCTACTTGCTTGATCAATTTCCCTAATTAATTCACTCAAATGCAAATTATGCTGGGAGCATCCATTCAAATCTAAGCACCGTCATTACTCAACTCTTCTTAGCTTAGGCCAGATACCCCTTTAATCAGGACTTTTTACAACTAGAAATAATTTCGCCCCTTGGGATTTTCGAGCCTGACTTCCCTTAATCCTCTGCATGAGCTCAAAAAACCTAACTAGCTTTCGCCATTCGCACATAAATTAAGCAGCTTAGGTATGTAGATTGCCCTGCCTCTATTGGAAGCCAAGCCTGGGCTTCAGCGCTACTGGTCAAAGGTTGCAAAAAACGTCACTCGAGCGAGCCACTCATCAGCGAAAATAATCTGAATCTTTCGCTTCAAGGCTAAGCTAACTCTTGGGCGGTTCTTTGCTACAAAACTACTTCCAGAAATGCATAAGGGCGCACACACTGAGGTTGGGTCTCTAATGACAAGCCATTTGATGTATGCAATGGAAATTTTTTGAATTCAAGTCTAATCTACTTGCCTCATAGTTTTACTATGATAATTTGTATCAACCCCAAAAATGGAGATTTTTTGGAAAAAGGAAACTTGAGCATCAATTCTAATGGCAAAGCGAGCATTATTCTCCAAGACCCCCTCAATAATTTGATGCATATTGTTACGCTTACACCCTCTCTGTAAGCGAATAAAAATTTTTTATCAAAAAATAATTTGATATATTAATAATAATAATTATTATAATGAAATATATAGCTAATTCTGTTTGATTTAAACAGTTTGCATTTTAAAACATAAATTTTCACAAATTAAACTAATTTTTGCTTCTCAATTCTTACAAATTGGAATTTTTTTAAAAATTTAAAAAAAATTAACCCCCTGTGAGATAACAAAATTTTTGGTTCGCTCATGATGGGATGGATTAGCGAATTTCCACTTAAGGATTGAACTTATTTTACTCTAGTGGTTTCTTATTTTAACTCAACCACAACGCTGTCAACATACTCTAATGGAAATCTGCTATTCTTGTATTCCTATTATCCATGGATATTTAGAGATTCCTCATTATCTTCAATGCTTCTCGCAAGGAGCCAAGACAGTATCTATGATGGTTTTATTTACATAATTCAGGAGATTATTGGACAAATAAGCGACATAGTAAGCTACATAGAAAATGAAGCCAGTTTAAACCAATTACCGTCCTGTGATTATGATTACACCTTTGATCAAAATGGAACCTGCATCTCCTGCAACTCTTCATGCACTATAGGCTGTATTCGAGAATCAAACTGTAATCTGTGCCATGATCAGTTATGCCGAAACTGCTCTGGGCCTTTAGAAGAATCTACTTGTTTTAATTGCTCATGACTTTCCCACAATTTATATCCTAATGAGTGCATCTGCGACGACAATGCATTTTTAATCAAAAACAGCTCGAACTGATATTGCGAGCATTGCGAATATAATTACTGTGCTTTTTGCAACGATAATGGACATTTTGAATGCCAAGGCTGCAAGTCAGGCGTTCTTGTGAACACTGTTTGTCTTGATGAGTATCCGCTCGGATATTTTGAGTGTTCTGGTAAGAATTGCCTTTTAAGTCAAATTAACCCGAATGAAAATTTCAGAGGGAGGTATGGGATATTCATTGGCGGTTCCACGAAGGATTTATTTCCGCATTTCAATGGCTCTGAAAAAGAAGACCCAACCCCTGTAGACCGCCGAGGCTTCTACTTTGATGGTGCCTTGCAATTTTTCCAAACAGAACATTTTACTTATTTAGGCCACATCTTTTCAATTGGGGGGTGGTTTTCTGTCTTAGGGACCGGGGATATTCTTGAGCACTACAATAGACTTTTATTAGCAAGCAATGGGTCTCTTTCAATAACCTTGCAAGATAGAGATCAAAAAGAGTTTACATTTACCTCTCCAGGCATGATCTTTTCTGGCTGATCTCATCTTGCTTACACTGTATTTTATGCAAACTCTACAACTTCTCTTAAGGTGTTTCTATCTCCTCTCTTTTAGTGAGCGAGCTGAATTTTTTTTGGAATTTAAAAATTTAAAGAAAATTGAATTTTTATATTTTATATTTTTATAGAAGAACTGCTTAAATTTATTAGAATTTTCTATAGGATTTATATAAATCGAAAATTAGCTAATTTTTTGGTCTATCACTAATGATTGATTTTTTCACTAAATATAAGGACTTTCCATAAGTTTTGCTCGCTAGGTTAGGAGAGAGTAAATAATGAAGTATTTTTTGAGAGAGATTTTCCAAATTTATTATTTAGAGATATTTCAAACTCTACTCTTTTCATCGGAAAAAGTCCTAATTCTAACTTCTATGGATTTCTATACAATTTCAAAATGTGATGGTTAAAATAATTATCCAGATAAATTCTTTTAATAAAAATAAAAAATTGTATAGAATTTTTTCTGACCAAATGTGAAAATTTTGCAAAACAGGCGTTTATCTACGAGTTTAAAAATGAAGTCTGCGGGTATGGAAAGAATGGAACCTGTCTTCCACTCTGCAGCATAGACGAATATTATCAAGAATGGGAAGGATCAGAGCCATCCTGCGAAAAATGTCTTCGCTCATGCGATAAGGGCTGCATCAGAAAAGACACATGCAATATTTGCCAAGACGTTTTATGTGCTGTTTGTCCTTATTTTGGACGTACTCGCTGCAGCCAGTGTATTCCTTATGCATATGGAATAGAAAAGTGTAAGTGCATTGAAAACTATTGCTTATCTCTTGATAGATTATCATGCATTAAATTTCCATACGAAAACAGTCCAGAGAAATACTGGATCCACTTTTTACCAAATACGACAATCATAGTTGGAAAGTGAAGTGATGATTTTGTCATAAATACAATCCATCCATGAATGATAGATGTTCACCTCCTTGATAGTGATGTCGTAACCTTCAGCAATAAGGCTTGCACCTTCAACCCTTTCTACGAAAATTTCACATGCTCATTTAATGTGCTTGTAGATCCAAGCTACGATAATAAGAATGGCCCTATCACTATCAAAGCTAAGTTCCAAGGCTACGTCTATCCAATGACCTTTCCTGTATCTTATGATGATTTTTCTGTTTCACTTATGAGTCGCCCTGAGCGCTTGGGAGTTGTATTTTACGCAGGCTATAACTACATTCAAATAACGCCGGACGAGGAATTATCGTTTAATGATGACCTTTGCAGTGATGAAAACTGTACACATGCAGCGTGCGATGAGCTCCTTTCTCAAAAATCGATTTCTTCTATAGGATCAAATATTGATTGTACTTATTCTGGACCAGGTATAATATCAATATACGTAGGGCATGTCAAAGATAATACAAATTCCTTGATTTTCAGAGAAAATGTTTTTTATGGCTCAAGCACTAACGAAAAAAACTTAAAATATTTGGCCATACCTTGGAAACTTCAAAAGCCGCCATTACCTGTTGCTTCAATAGTTCCATTAGCTGAAACTTGCTGCTCATGCATTGCTATTTTTGATGGTTCTAGATCTTCAACTCGATTAAGCTAATTTTTAGTTATTAAGTGGCCGGCCAAAAGCGTATGAAGTGTAAGCTCTCGTCCCAGCAAGGAGCAGCAATCACCATAGACTTCTAGTGCAAATGGAGAATAATAATAAAACTATTCTTTTATTTTTTCCGACCAGAGTTACCTATCCTAATGATCAGCCTGCTGGGGCCAAGTAATCATTGAGAGTGTCCGTATTTCCTGATAAGGAAAGGCCATGTGGCAGATATTTCTAAACCATAAGAGTTTGATTTACTTCCCCTAATTTGGTTTACTAAAGTTTGACAAATATGGAATTAGCAAATAAAAAATTTCAAGAGTCAATGCACAATAGAGGAGAACTTAGACACTTTAAGAAGTGTAGTAAACATATAGATGTGGTTTAATTATTTTTTAAATATACATTTATTTCTACATTTTATACAGATCAAAGCAATTGACTAAAACTCTAGAAGATTTTCCTTAAATGTGAAATAAGCTATAGGCAATGCCTTTGCGTAGCGCGCTAAGCGTCCGAGACTTCCCGACGAAGTCTGGGCGGTGGTTTGACCAGCTGATATTGGTCAAACCAGCATCCAATTTGACAAATCTTCTATATGAGAAGAATTTGTCATTTTGGATGTTGGTTTGACCAACATCAGCTGGTCAAACCACCGCCCAGACTTCGTCGGGAAGCCTCGGGCGCTAGCGCGCTACTCAAAGGCATTGCCTATATACCTCAAGATAGATTTTGCCTCCTTCATAGGAAGTGCGCCTTGGAGTCAATCACCCGTCAGTATCACAATTTTTTTCTCTAACTCGATTAGGAAGCTTAAAATACCTATGAATCTTAAGCGAATTTATGCTTTATTCTGGTGATGACACCGAGAGAATAACAAACATAACATTGCAAAGCTGTAATATAGCTAAAGATCATAAACAATTTAATGTTACTTTAATAGTCACCGACAATTTCGACCAACAAGCTAGCGCAAGCATGACAGTAGATATGACAAGCGATGACGTTTTAATTCGAGGGTGAAAGGATCCCAAAATCAAGACAACTATTAATGATATTTCCAAACTGATTTTTGATTATCAGAAGAGTTCCAAAATCCATCTTGATCCCAACCCAATGGTTATATGAAGCTTATTCAAAAAATTATCTACAAGAGGGCTGCTTGGAAGTAAAATCTATGAGTCTGCAGGGGTTGAGTTTGATTATACATTTACACAAAAAGGAGAATATATAATAGTTTTGGATGCCTATTTTAATAACAACACTTATAAGATTTCAGCAAATGCTTCAATAATTGCTAACCCTCCAGTTCCTGACTTGGTCCTGAGTGGAGTCAATACTTATGTATTTGCAAACTCAAATATTACTGTAAATTTGACAGCAAGCTATAAAGGAGAAGTTTTTGAGCTTGATAAAGGCTACGCTTTTATTAATAAAATTGAATGCTCTAATGGCGAATTTATTGAGGTTGCTGGAGATATTTTCAAGCTGAGAGTATTTAATAAAGAAAGAATATTTAATTGTAGTTTTACAATTGGCTTGAGGGATTATCCTGAATATGAATCTGAAGTCAGCTGGCTCTATGTGGTGAAAGGAAATATCCCAAGGGTGTACATTGTTTCCATGTTTCCTTATTTAGATCCCTCAGCGCCAGTAAGACTAATCGCAGACGTAGCGGACTCTTTGAGAATGATAATTTCTTGGAGAGAAAAGAACGGCCATCCATTCATTGCGACTACGCCAACAGATCAGCCGAGTATGACAATTCAAGAATTCAGTATGCTCTGTGGATTAGATTACGAATTTGAAATCACTGTTATTGATCCGGTTTCTTTCGTCCCTGTCAAAGCTTCTATCAAAAGATATGTAAACTGTCCCCCTAACTCAGGGACTTTTGAGGTTGATCCTAAAGAAGGCCGAGCCTTGGATACTCAGTTTAATGTTTTATTTGCAGGCTGGAACGATTTAGAAGGGGACGATCCCATTTCTTACCAAGTGTTTATGCAAAAAGACGAAAATATGATTGCCCTGACTCCAAAAACAACTGAAAATAAGTTCAAAATAGTGCTAGGGGAGAGGGGAAAAGTTACTCTTGTAGGGAGGATTTATGATTCACGAGGCACCTTTACCGAAGCCGAACTTCAGGTTGACGTTAATGATTCAGGTTTTGTTGATGCTAAAGAAAGATCAGAAATATTGCTAAACAGTGGAATGGAAACAATGGACTCAAATATGCTCTTCTCTTCCATCCACTCAATTGCTCATTATGCTTTCCATAACACTCTAAACTTAAATGACTTGACAAAATGCATAGAAAATCTCGACGGAACTTTGAACAAATGGATGAACTCTTCAATGCCAAGAATCGGGCTGTCTGAATCCAGCTCTGTCATTGATGCAGTCTACACTTTGCTTGAAAAAGCAGAAGTCTATAAAGAAAAGCTGCTGCTTGATATTTATAGTACTCAAAACAAAGCTTTAAACCACACAAAGACTCTTGACGTCCGCACATACACTATCATTCTTTCTAATCTTGATAAGCTGCTTGATAGCCTTCAGGCATTATCATCTCAAAATGAAAGCGCTTATACCGAAATGGACCTCTTCAAAATGATCAACCAAACTCTCAGTGAAGGGACTCTAAAGTATTTGCAGACAATTAATCCCAACGAAAGTCCTGTAAAATACTGAGGCAAGAAATTTAACTCCACCTGTCTTTCAGCTGATGGAAAATCGCTAGCGAAACCTATCAAATACGACTCACCGATAGAAGGCAGTTCTACTAAGTTTAATGTCAATACCTCCAAGAACTCTGACTCTACAAGCTACTTAGTCTCAATCCTTTCAGTTGCTCCATTCAAGAATATTTCAGATGCCCTTCTGAGCTCTGCAAGTAGCTCTCTGGCTTCTTTTGAAGACTACTCATTTACTGAAGGATCAGTTGTTTCTTCTGACTCTGCTGTAATAAAAAAATACTCTTATTCAGATGAGCTTACATCAGTATGGGTGCAGCCGAGCTTATCTAAAAATACTGGAACCATTATTAACCCAGTCTTATCTTCTGAGCCGGTGACTGAAGTTAGCAGTGAAGTCTCATATGAAACAGTTAATAGCAGTTTGGAACCAACGTGCACTGTTTATGATCTAAACATTGAAAAAAGCTCATTTAAGTATTGTACGACGATTTTACGAGAAAACGGATCAGCAACTTGCGTTTGCGAAGTTGTAGGGCTTTTTGGAGTGCAGCCTTATCCGACAATTTTAAACCTTGTGGAGAATAGGTTCGAAGTATGAATGGATCTTGGCATCCCAACAGTTGGCATCACTCCTGTTTTAGTCATTTTTGGAATTATTTTGCTTTTATACAAATTAGGATGGAAGGATGCTAACAAATCTGATGAAATCAATGGAGATCTTTTAAAAATGAATGTATTAGAAGCTAATAAAACACTTCTTAAGGAAATCGGGGCATTTACAAACGAATTAGATCAACTATCAGAAAAATGAGATAATGAAGTTTTAGAAAATTTGAAAAAACTCCTAGATGAGAAGATGAAATCTAAATATAATGATGAGGTTCGCAAATTCTCGCTTACAGATGAAAACATTGGAGATTGCATTGAAAATTACATAGATAGTCAAAATTTTGATGATCTGAAATGTCTAATAAGTGATTTGCTAGATCGAAATGACGAATTCAAAGCTGAAGTGAAAGCCCTACGCCAGAAGTATAATTATTTTATTAGGAAGATTGACTTAGATGAAATATATGATTGATGGAGAGCAAGGCCGGTTCTTGAAAGAATGAGAAAAGCTATTGTATCATCCTTGGAATCAAAAGAAAAAAAAGTAGATTGCATCATTATTTTGGATATAAAATCACATATAGCTCTGTTAAACTCAATAGACAAATTGAAACCTCATATCATTAGATACATAAAGCAAAATAATATTGATGGGATTTATCATTATAAAAAACAGAATACAGGTGCAAGTGTTTCATTCGAGATAATAGATAATACTAATAACAACGTTGAAGAATGTAATGAAGAAAATATCAATTTAGGATTTGACTCACAAAATACTCAAGAGGATGATAGTTTTGAGTTTACAACATTTTTATCAAAGTCAATAGGAGCCTTGCAAACTGAAGCAATAACAAGCAAAAACTATGAGAAAAATTATTTTGGATATTTTATAAAACATAATGATATCTTAGGAGTTATTGGATACACTGATTTGAACTCTCCAAGGAGATTTAGGCTGACTTATTTAATATTAGCAATTTGCACTGAGATTACGATTGCCATTTCAGCCTTTGATAACTATAATCGACAAATAGATAGAGAGGTATGATTGCTATTTTATTTTCAGCAGCAGAGCTTCTGGATTTTTGTTTTATCAATCGGTTTTGGGCTATTGCCTTTATTCACAAAGCTCTGCTTCAATTACAATGTTTTGAGCAGCCAATTTGAGAAACACAAGCTCTTGAAACGCACAAATAAAAGCATAATAGCTGGCTATATTGTTAGTTGATTAATGATTCTAGGAGAATTTGTTTATTGTCTATTTAAGCTCAAATTGTGCCCTTTGACTAATTTCCACGCATATATGTCATATATAGCTCAATCCTTGATTTTATTTTTAATTTCGAGTGGAATCGGTTTTCCTTTAGTTATATCTGCAATTCATTATTGTTGTTTTAGAAATTCATGCAAAAATGAGAGCAAAGTAATTCCAGAAACCCAGAATATAGCATAATGGTATAACTAAGTTTTTAATTTATATCGATTCAATTTAATATAAGCTACAGTATGGTTTCATTCTTTTTTTGCTTTATAATTAATTATATTATTATCTTTTCAGGGGAATATGATGGCTAGATATTCAAGATCGATTGTATAAAATTGATACTGATTAGGCTGCTATGATTTAGATTAACAATTTGGAGTTGTAAAAATCTTTTTCAAACTATTTTAATAAGAAAGACTATATTAATTTAAAAATCATTTCTATATTTATATTAGATTGATTAATTTGAGCTCTATAAATATAAAAACTGAACCATCATTCATATATTATCTTGCGCCGCCTTTATTAAGCAAAATTTGTAGATTAGATCAAGATAATGTCAAAGGAATGGCATGTCTAAAAATACTAAAAGAAAGATCATTTTCTAAATTTTAGAGCAAGACCATGAAGAATATTATCTTTATATGCGGCATAAACTGTGATCTATTGCTTAGGGGGAGACAAAAAATTTGTGTAAGAAGTGGCATTCTGCAATCAGAATAATAGGATTTGACAATTAGTTAGATTAGTTTACAGTAATTGAAGGCCAACTATTAAAAAATTAGATGATATTATAATAGCAAGAGAAGCTAATAAAAGCCATGAAAATGATAAACTCAAAAAATACTTATAGAAATGAATGTTGACGAATCTTTAATGGAAGATCTTGATGTTTATGAAAATATTAATTTGCAAAAAGGTATTTCAGAAGTAAAACTAATAAAATGAATTGAGACTTAATGATGTAATTCATGTTTACTTAATGGAAATAATTGAAAAGAAAACAGAGAAGAAAGGTTCTTTGAAATATATGAGATTGATAATCATGCAAGTTTTCAAGGTTTTCAAGGAGATCAGCCTGAAGAACTCGGCTTTAATCAAGTAATTAATTCTAAGACAATCATTGAGATCAAATTAAGGAGATTAATACGGAAAAAATCGAATTATCTGGAGATTTAGCTGATTCGAAAGACAATCAAAACACCAATTAGAGGAGGTTGGTCATAAAGAAATTAAACTATTATCCGTTGCACATATTTCTTAATGCGCAAGACATGTGGGAAATTTCCCCATATGTCTTGCACATTAAGAAAATTGCGCAACTGATTATAGATATAAAGCGCCCAAATCATTAACAAGGCACTTCAAAGATGGATCTTTTGACACTTTGAGTTGAATAGATCTGCCTTCTATTTTTGCTTGCTTATCTTATGCAGGTGCTGTAATTTTTTTGCCTTCTATTTTTGCTTCATTAGGTCACTGCAGCTGTTGTAAATGTTTCTCTGCTGTCTCAAAAAAAAAGTAGCTCCAACTAATTTAGATTCAAAGGCAAAAGCAGAGAGTAAATAAATAATCCATAAATATTAAGTATTCAAAGAGCGCAAAGTGCGTAGTAAATATAGCAAATCATACATATAATTTGTTACTATAAATCATATTTAGTTCCTAATATAAAATAAATATATATGGATACTTTATGTAGATATTGCGGAGTATTTGAAGCTTATTACCAATGTGACTCCTGCAAAAAACAATTTTGTATTGAAGACTGATTTAAAGCTCACCCCAAAGCTTTACACCAACAACTCAGAATTATTTTGCCAATTAATAAAAAATCAAGCGAGACATTATTGAAATTGTTAGAATTCATAAAGAAAGAATCTTTAATATTTTTAATTGCATAAAAAAGAAATCTATAGAAAGCAATCAGAGCACTCTTAAAGATATAGCTAAAAATCATATGGTAATTAATATTTGATGCAACACAATGATATTTCGTATTATGTGAACAAAATTTGTTAGCAAAAAACTTTTATATACTCCGCTCGAATATTTTTTAATAAATCCTCATGAATTAGCAGAGCAATATACAAAGGGATTTAATTTATTAGAGTTTAAAGACAGCCCATTGAGGTATATGTTTGATTTTATTTTGGATAATTATTCAAAGTATTGTTCTAAGAGCACATATGGCCTATACTGATCGATAAATAATAATTTATCTATGCTAGGGTTTATTATAGAAGCATTACAAACCTTTCTCAAACATCACCAATATGGGCCTGCTTATGAGTTATTAGACAATTTAAAAGAGTTTTCATTCTATATTAAATTATCCAAGAGTGGTATAAATAATGACATTGATATCATGCAATGCTTTTTAGTTTATCTTACTCCCCCTATCCTTGATCGAACTGATCGCCATCGTTCGATCAAGGATGGGGGTTAAAAAAAATTTGTTTCCCAAAAAAATTTATATTGTAATTGCCCGAGGATGGCGCTATCTTGCTCCATCCTCGGGCAATTTAAAAAATGGCCCCACACCGGGAATCGAATCCACGTGTGGGGCCATTTTTGGTGCGTGGAAGTCGATGTTTTCCACTAACCAAAAATGGCCCCACATGTGGGTTCAATTCCCGGTGTGGGGCAATTACTATATATAAAATAAAAAATAAATATATATTTTTTTTATTTAATTTTAAATAAGAGGGTTAAGAGTATTTAATAATTATTTTTACAGCAAAAAGTTGAATTAATTTCATAAAATACCAATTTTTTAATATTTTGATTTATTGTTACCCCTTTAAACTGTATAAATTTTAATTTGTTTCTTATTGAATTAAAATTAAAAATTTTAAAGAATCTCTGTTTTTTTAGATTATTGAGTTTTTAAGCCCAGGCTGATGACTAAAGCACTTCGAATGGTTGATTCCGTAGCTTTTTGTCTTCTTAAAGCCTCTGAAAACAACTTCATTAGGTACATTTCCCAAGCTTTTGATAACTAATATATTTTTATATATATAAAAATTTGCATGATATGAAAATCGTTCGATCAAGGATGGGGGGGAGTTAGTCAAAATTTGGATTTTGACATGGAACTGTGAAATCAAGCAGAAAATAATGTTAAATCGAACGGAATCCATATGTGACAGTTTTTATTTTTTAATTTTTTTCAAACGATTTTTCAAATAGCGAATTGCAGGAAGTATTTTGTGAAGTGCTCTAAATTTTTGATTAATTTAACTAAACTTAACAACTCTGGCCTCCAATATTTGCATAAGATTTACAAAGAAATTGCATTTGGTGAAAGCAATCTTGAAAAACGAATAAAATATTACACAAAAGCTTATCACACTCTTGTAAAGAATATAAACTTGGTCCTTTCTAATAATAGATCAAATTTTATAGATATATATTTAATTCTAACAGACATGATTGAAGCTTATGAAACAAATTATGAAACTGCAAAGTCCAAAATTGTCTTCAATAAATTCAAACACCTTTTAAAAAAAAAATTCCCTCCAAAATCTACAGAAGAATTTTGTTGATTTTTATTCTGTTTTGGAAAAATCTTCTATTTGAAAAACGATTATAAATCTGCACTAGAATATTTAGAAAGATCTTTAAAAGAAATGAAAAAACGAAAATATGTTGAAAATTATTTATTTTGCTCAATTAATTATTATCTTGGACTTGCATTCTTCAAAGAAGGCAACTATGAATTAGCTATCAAAAAGATTTATAGCTCCAAAAGAATCCTAGAGGCACAATTGCCTAAAGAGAGTGAATTTGCTATAAAATTAAATAGAGCTTTAGGGCGCATTTATATGTCCCGGCATTGATGTGATGAAGCTCTAAAATATTTCAAATTAATAAAAGAGTCAGGAGAATACAATGATTATAGGATTGATTATTGAATTGGAGAAATATATTATAAAAAAGGAGAAATTGATAGACCTTTGAATATATTTGAAAATTATTTGTCATTACTTCTTGAAAGTGATCATGAGAGTGCCTCTAAGGCTAATGAAATTATATTGCTTTATAATTATATTGCAAATTTATATAATAGGCTTGGCAATTATGAAAAATTCAAGTGGTATACTGAAAAATGTTTTAATCTAGTTGATCATTGTTTTGGTAATTCAATCCTATCTTTAGAAACTCTTCCAGGCATTATTGAGCTCAGTCTGGCAGAAGAGAATTATGAGCGATGTGAAGATATTTGCCTGAAATCATTGAAATTTTTTTCAAATATATTAGATGAAAATGGTAAATTTCATATACATATCTTTCTTTTGAGAGCTTATGAGCTCAAAGAAAATTACGAAATGGCTGACAAAGAAGTGGACTACTTGCAATTGAATATAGGTAATTTTAGTAATAAAAAATATTATATCTCTCAAATCCTTGGATTAATTTCAATTGCAACGGTATTTCGAAACAGAAGCAATTATATAAAAGCAGAAGCTTCATTAATAGATGCTAAGCAAATACATGAAAGAAATCTAAAAACTTGATTATGACTTAAAATAGGTGTTTATGTAGAAATAGGCGTGCTATATAAAGCGATGGGAAGGCTAGAAGAATCAGAGCTTTATTTCCTTAATGTTTTAGACATTTACTCAAGCACCTTTTATGATACTAAGGCAATTTTGAATGCTTATGCTGGATTAGCAGATATAAATAGAATGAAAAATGACATTTCGAAACAAAAATATTATTTATTAAAATTTATTGAGCTCTATAAAGAAAAAAATTGTAATCATCATCCACTATATTATATTGTGCTAGTTTTGCTGATCAAAATATGTAAAGAAGATAAAGATGATGTAAAAGGAATTGCATGCTGATTAGATCTTAAGGAATATTTCGACAAAACCTATCCTGGGAGGAGTGTTGAATGCGCAGAAATATTCGATGAGAACAAAAATTTGACAGGCAGAATAAATCTTGACAAATATTAATAGAATAATTATTATTTAGCATAATAAGACAAATTTTATGGCTCAAAAGAAGCTAATTTTTTTTCAAAATAGATTAAATGCTGACCGTTTGCACAATGCTTACTTTTATTTTTACTTTTACTTGTATAAATCTTATGATGGATTTGCATTTGTGCTTAAGTTGTTTCACCGATATATTGGGCTAATTTTATTATGATTAATATCTGAGATGTTTTTAATAAAATATAAAAATCTAAGATATATGCTTATTTATGGACATGCTGAATGCAATTTTTTATACTTCAGAAATATCAATTAATTTAGGTTTACAAAAATGAATATTCTTATCACAATTTATAGCACCACAGGAATCTTTATATCTTTTATCCTCAATTTGACTCCAATTCCTTCTCTCATCAAAGCCAATATAACTCGAGACATTTCAGAAATTTCTCATGCATATCTCATAATGGCAAGCGCAAATTATCTCAATTGATGCCTTTATGCTACCAAGGTAGATTTGCTCGGTCCTCTAATTAATAACTTAATCGGATTGTGTTTCACAATAGCATACATTATAGTTTATCACAAAATTAAAGGTGATATTTGGAAATTTGGCCCAATTTATTTTAGTTGCTGTGCATGCATCTCATTAATAATGTTCAAAGTGCCTCCAAGCGATTTATTAGGGCTTCTTTCTGTAGGACTGTCAGCATTACAATATATGGCACCGATTGAACAAATAAAGCCAGCCTTGCTGAATAAAGATCCAAAATATATAGATATCTTTCTTATCCCTGCTTTAATGAGTAACGCTGCTGTTTGGGGAGTTTATGGATTTTTAGTTGATGACTGATTTATTATTATACCAAATTTGATGGGCTTATTGTTTTCTTTATTTCAAATTTTAGTATATGTATGGGCTCAAGGATTTTTACCCCATCCTACTTTTTCTTGGCTTGCGAATAAAATTAGAGAAAAGCCCATAAAAATGACTGAGGATGACACAATTGAGTTTCAAAATAAGGATTAACTAAACTTTTAATGTCAGAGTGATGCTCTTTCTAATATATCTATCATGCAATCATAATAATTTATTTTCATTAATATATGCAAAAAAGTTACAATTATTTCAAGGTTCTTATAATATTATAAATAGATTCTTTGATAGCGAGTAGCACCCTCATCAACATCAAATTATTGCCATTTGTAATATAGAATCGATGATCCAATAAATAGTAAAGTTAAAAAGAACATTGGAAGTATTGAGCTTCCAAAGCCGAAATCTGCAGTAACTACCACAGTCGATTTAGCTGCTAAAGCAAGCCCAACTTTACTATTTTCAGCCTTTTCTCTATTAAATTAAATATGATAAATGAGACTTTCAGACATTATTATAAATTCATCACAAAGCTCCCAAGACAGTACACCAGTAAAACTCAATAAAAATTCTTTCAATCCTCTAAATTTTGAAAGCCCAGACTTTCAAAAAACCTATGAACTTTGCAATTGCTGCAAACAAAATTTTCCTCTTTCTTCAAGATCTCATGTTTGTAAAAACTGCAAAACTTTTAATTGCAGCAAACATTTGATATTAGAAAACAGATATGACGCAGAAAGAATATGTGAAGCCTGCTACAAAGAAAAAATTTCAATCCAAAGATATGAAGAACTTAAAGAGGTCGAAGAAACCATTCAGAAAGAAATCCAGCTCTGTCTGCATGAGCGTGAAAAGAAAACAATTCTCCTTACTAAAGAGATCACCCACACAAAATCGCTACGAAAACAGCTAAAGACCTATTCTGCAGGTGCAGAAGAAAAAGCTAAATTGTTAGAACTTCAAGTTTCACTTGAAAAAGAAGAAGTTTTAAAGCTGAAAGAAAGCTTAGAAATGTACGAAGGACAAAAAGAGGCCAAAAAGTACACCGAAGATGCTTCTAATAGATGGCTCACAAAAATCCAAATGGAATACAGCGAGAAAGCAAGTTTAGAAAATTCTTTGGAATCACAGATTTCAGAGCTTAAAACAAAAAATAATTCCTTAGAAAATACTTTAAGGGCTATGATTCCTATAGAAACTGTAGCAGAAAACCTCTGCAAAATTTGCCTGCTTAAGTGCAAAAGCGTTTTCGCTTCTGTTCCTATTCCCCCCAAATTAAAGTCCAGAATTAGTAGCAGATTCGTAAATGAATTAGTTAGGGATAAATGTGCTTGTCAAATAATTTAACTTTATTTAGCTTAAAAATATCCGTTTATTATGAAAAAGCTTACTCCCCCCCCCCTCCGTGAGCGAACAAAAAAATTTTGTTCGCTCACGGAGGGGGGTTAATTTTTTTTTTAAAAAAAAATTTATATATAAATTTTATAAAAAATATTTTTTTCGAAATTTAAAAAAATCCTAATTTGCAAAAATTGGGAAGCAAATATTAATTTAATTTGCAAAATTTATGTTTTAAAACGCAATTTGTTTAAAATTAAACAGAATTAGTTCTAGATTTCATTATACTAATTATCACTTATATATCAAAATTTTTTTTCCATTAAATTTTTTCTATTAAAAAAATTTTTGTTCACTCACGGAGGGTGGGTTTTTGGTCAAAAAATGGCGATTTTTCTAATGGTTTTGTTCGCTCACGGAGGGGGGGGGGGGAGTTAGCACTTACCAGACTTTTGAGAATTCTTTGCAATCTGAAGACTGGGACAAAATCGTGTTTTTGCAAGCCAATAAAACAAGGCTGAATCTGGCTTATTTTTTTTATTTGATTTCATTCGGTACTTTTTACTTATTCAATAGATGAAGCCCTCTGCTAGACCTTTGGAAATATGATATTTGTTTGCCGAATGAAGCAAGTTATGTGATGATTATAGCGAAAGATGGGAGTCACACTATTATTCCTATTGAAATTATTGAAGTTCCTTTATCAACACTTGGGTATTTTGCTAGTGAGAAAACAGTTGAAATTAAGGTAAAACTTATATAGACTTTTGTATTTAGATTTGTTAGGTATTATATGAAAAACGATAATTATACTTTTCTACCTTTGAAATTCGAGACTAACTACACTGGAGCCGATTTTCATGAAAAACTTGGCAAAGGGATTGCAAATCCTTATGAAGTCACCTTAATTTCCCCAATCCCTTAATCGAGCGGATGAATTAGATAATTAAAGATGAGGGATGAGAAAAATAAATTAAAACAAATTTTTTATTTATATGAAATTCACCCTATTAAAATCCACAAGAGATAGAGAAGAAATTACATTAAAATTGTGTAGAACCTATTAAACGTATAATATTAAAATTTCATTACTATCAAAGATAAATAGTTAGATTTGAGGGAGCAGGTTTCATATTTGGCCATATAAAAATCGTTTAATCAAGGATTTGGGGTAAGAAGAAAATTATTTGGGGAATGCGAAATCAATGTGCCAATTCCTTCAATTTTCTCTCTTATATTTATCGAAGTGACTCATCCTTTTTTCCTCTTCCAAACATTTAGTGTCCTCCTCTGATGTTATGAAGAATACTACCTCTATTCAAGCGTTATTTTCATTTTTTCTATTATTTCTGTCACAACAACAGTATCAGAAATTAGAAGCGGGATTTCTTCCATAAAGTCAATGGCGCGCTTTGAATGCTCTATATCAGCCTTCCGAGATTCTCAATGAAAAACAATTTCAAGTAAAGAGCTTGTCCCAGGCGATCTCAAAAATTAAAAATGGCTTGGAGAACTAAGGTAAACTCTTAATAGCTGTAGTTGATGGTAGGATGGGACCTTGTGGAAGGGAAAGCAGCATGCGGTAATAGATTCCAGCTGAGTTTTATTTGGCTGGTGAAGTGCAATGTCAGGCTAGCCAACCGCAGGATCACATACAGGCCAATGTTTACTTCATGGGAGGAGAAAAGTCGGAAGTTGGAAAGAGATAGCCCAGCAAGACTCGAGAGTGTTCGTTTTGCCAATTGTGTATTTTCTGACGCGATACTAGGAGTTGCGTCCTGGATAAGTCTTATTCGTCCGATAGCCTAGCTAGAACTTTTTTAAATTTTCGGAAAGAGCAACGTTGGATTGCGGACGCTGACCAGCGTCTTTACCTTCAGGATGTGAGTTCAATCCCTCGACCACAGGGAGTAACACATGCCTTAAGTTTGGAATCGATTGGCAAACAGCAAGAGGGTAGAGCGAAGCAAGAGACGTGAAAAGTTGGCATGACTGGCCGGGAACTTCTCGATAATAATCTAAGTTGAGTCCCAGGCGATCTCATTCATCTTCCAGAGCACACACAAATTCCATGTGACGTGGTTCTCATTAGTGGCAGCTGCTTAGTTGATGAAAGTATGCTGACCGGTGAATCTCAGCCTGTGTTAAAAGAACAAATTTCTACAGCCAATTTTTATGTGTATAATGATGATAAAAACTGCACAATTAGCTCTGGGACAAAATCATTGTCTCATAAAGGAAGCTGTGAGGCCATTGTAATCGCGACTGGATTTGCTACTGCAAAAGGAAGCTTGATAAGGTCAATTTTGTTCCCAAAGCCAAACAGATTTGGGTTTGTGTCGGATTCTATGAAATTCATATTAATTATGACTGCAATTGCAGTGGCTGGGTTCATTTGGACTTTTGTAGAACTTGCTGATGATGATATAGACCTATTAAATAAAATTTTAGCAGGGCTGGATTTAGTAACTATTATAATACCGCCTGCGTTGCCATTTGCTATGACAGTTGGCACTGCTTTTGCAATTTCTAGGATGTATCGTAAAAATATCACTTGTATTTCTCCACCAGCAGTGAATGCTGCTGGAAGGATTTCAATTGTATGTTTCGATAAAACAGGAACCTTAACAAAAGACTCAATGACTTTAAAAGGGGTTTGGGACGCAAATTTTGGACTTTTTACTGATAATTTATTGGAATGCTCTCAGATTTTCCAAGAAAATATGGCAACTTGCCAGTCTTTGACGCGTTTAGATGGGAAACTTATAGGAGATCCTCAAGAAGAAGAAATTTTTAAAAAATTGTCATGGGAATGGATTGAAAGTGATAGTGAGAGATGCAAGGTAAGGAAAAATGACGTTGAGATCAAGATAAAAAACTTATTTTATTTTTCACCTGTAACAAAGCGCATGGGAGTTATTATAGAAAATCAGCAAGGAATAGGCTTGCATTTGAAAGGGGCACCAGAAGTAATTATTCCATTATGCAAAGAGTATCCAGAAAATTTGGAAAACCTTATAAAATTGTACTCCAGTCAAAGCTATAGGATTTTAGCATGTGCTTATAAATCCTTACCAGACTATAACCCTAATGAGAATTATGAAAATGACCTGATTTTTTTAGGCTTGATTTTGCTCCAAAATGAAATTAAGCCAAATTCATATGAAGTAATTTCCGAGCTTAAATGTGCCACCATTAAATGCATTATGTCAACTGGTGATTCTTTAGTTACTGCTGCATCTATTGGCAAAGAATGCGGAATTATCCCAAGTAGTAGCTCTGTTGTCTATGGAAGTTTATTGGATAGAAATGTAGTATGAAAAAACGATGCTAGTAAAGCCATTGATATCACACAGTTGTCAGACAATTTCTGTTTGGTTCTTACAGGTGAGCTTCTGGAGTTCATGGCTTCCATTTCTCATCAAAGCTTACCTATTGTCCTTGATAAAGGCTTAATTTTTAGCAGGATGTCACCTGACCAAAAAGTCTTATTAATCCAACTGCTTCAAACTAATAACACTATGGTCGCCATGGTAGGAGATGGTGCCAATGACTGTGGAGCCTTAAAGGCAGCTGATGTCGGTCTGAGCTTGAGTGAGGCTGAATCTTCAATAGCTGCCCCATTTAACGGGACCAGACTTAATGGTATTATTGATATTATAAAAGAAGGCAGAGCATCCTTACTCACACAACTTTTAAATTGGAACAAAAATTGCTCATCCAATTTAAAGGAGTGTTATTTTTTTTAAAACAAGTAAATTTAAAATTTTTTTTCGATATTAAATTATTAAAATCTTAAAAATATAAATTGTGATAATACTTTAAGTTAATCGATTCAATGTGAAAACTGTTTAAATAGAATTCTACTTATACTTTTTCTATTAATTAGATCATAAAATTTGTATTTGATCTTAAATTAGTATTTTTAAATATATAATTAATTGAATTTTATTTATTTTTATAAAGAACTAAATAAAAATTTAATCAATTCAGTGAGAGAGCTGTTTAAATAGCATTCTATTTGCATTTTGTCGATAGCTGGGAACGTGCTATATTTAAATTATGTCAAACTAATTTTATAAAAATTAGTATTTTCGTCGATAAAATTTTCCTATTGAAAAACTGTTCCAATTCAAAGGGTGTTTAAAGTACCGAAATGCAAATTTTAGAAATAGTTTGTTACAATTTAAAAGGGGGGAGTTAGTTACTTGTTTACAAACCTTCAAATTTATCATGATGTATAGTCTCGTCCAGTTTTCTGTGATAAATATTTTATATTTATTAGACAACAATATGACTGACAGTCAATATTTATATCAAGATTTATTTTTAATTATGCCGCTTGCTGTGTTTATGGCTTATACAGGGGCTTATGATAAGCTTGCTAAATTTATGCCTCCTGGCGCTTTAGTGTCAATACCAATTATCTCATCCTTGATCGGGCATTTTGCTGTCGTGGTGATTGGCCAAACTATGGGGTATTTTGCACTGATTTTGCATGATTTTTATAAAGAGTCAGGAAGCAGCTTAGAAGTTGCAGCAGAAGGACATAGTAATACAGTTTTATTTCTTATAAGCACAGCTCAGCTATTGTGCGTTGGGATATGTCTTAATATTGGGCCTCCTTTTAGAAAACCTGCATACGAGAATTATTTGTTTACAATTGCTGCTGTAATCGCAGGGGGGCTTAATTTGTATTTGATATTCATGCCTTCTGAAGGTGTACAAGACATTCTAGGGCTTGTTGATATTCCACTGGAGTTTTCGTTTGTGATATTTGCAATTGTTTGTCTGGGATTTGCGTGTTCATTTGTTCATGAAAGAGTATTCATTGATTTTCTGAGCCTTTCTACAAATAGTTTGAATAAGTCACTTAATTAAGATTTTATACTATAAGATAATAAAATTAATAATTATGGAAAATATTTTAATACCTAAGTATAGCAATATATCTAGGAAGGAGTAAGATGCTAATAAAATGTATATAAATTTCTATAAAAGATTTAACTAATATGTAAATCATAAAGCATGATATATTTAATCGTTAAAAATTATGCATGATAATTTAAAATATTAAAAAATTTTCTTATAACTTATTCTTCATCTACAACAATATCTTTATCATGCTTCGGTACAATAAAATAGCAGGGTAAAGATCTTCCTGTCGGCTCATAGGTTACAATCTTATTAAAATCATAATCAAACCTATCAGGCATCTGCGCTTCGGCAATACTTCTAGTCACTTCACTTATATTAATTCGTCCAGCGGACCCATTGCTTTCCATTTTATTCGCTATATCATTATCTGGGCCATAAATATCGTACCTCACAATATTCGTCCCAGTGATCCCAGCTATAACTTCTCCAGTATGGATCCCAATCCTCATATTTAAGTTGATTTTTTTGCTTTTATTGACCCTTTTGATAGCTTTTATCATATCTAACGCCATTTCTACTACATTGACACATTCAGTGTTAGGGTCTCGTTTTTCTCCATCTGTAAAGCTTAATATTACATAGCAGTCGCCTATTGTATGAACTTTATAGACGTTATGCCTTACACATAGATGGTCGAAAATAGAGAAGAGTTTAGAAAGCATAGACACAACGTCTATTGGGTCTTTATTAGAAGACCACATAGTAAACCCGACGATATCAGCATAAAGAATAGTGACATCATAATACCTATCTGTAGTCGTCACGTCGTTATGTAAATTTCTCACTCCCTCATTGCGAACAAAACCTCTGTTTAGTGAACAAAAAATTTTTATGAAAAAAACATTTGATATCTAATTCATATTTACTATAATTAAGTCTGTGTTGAGTTTTAAACAGCTTACATTTTAAAAAATAAATTTTACAAATCAAATTAACTTTTGCGAGTTGGGATTTTTAAATAAATTGCTATAACCTTTATATATAATTTTTAAAAACAAATGAAACTTACTGAGAGCGAAAAAAAGGGTGGAGTTAGAACTTGTGGAGGAATCATTTGATTTAACAATTTTTCAGTGTTTTTAATTTCTTTTTGGGCTCTTTTATTCAAGTTATAAGCTCTTCTACTCTGCCATTCAATTAAGAAGCTGAAAACTGCATTTATTGCAAAAAATACCAAAATATAAGCAGTTGCTTCTAGGGCAGATTCAGTATCAATTTGGCTTAGGAAAATGATGCAGATTCAGTTTCCTAAATTTATTACAGTTGAAAATAAAATGTAGCCAAAAGGGAGACCACTGATATGGTTGATTACTACATTTGTGTACATAATTTCTAATGCGACAACATTTAAGAAGAGACTAGGCATCGTTGTAATAGAAACACAGCTAAGTAGGGATTCAATTAGGTAAAGGAGCATGACAGCTCAAGGAAAAAGAGGGTACTTGTAGAGCTTTTTGAATTTGAGGACCAAATAAAACATAGTAGCCAAACACAGTAACCTTAAAATGATTTCTGCAATAGAGCCTTGAGTCCTATAAGCATATGCAGCAATAAAAATAATAGTCCTTATTGTGTAAGTTACAATTGTAAGCCATAACCCAAATATCAACCCCGTCGTATCTCTTTCAATTGCAGAAAGTCGGAATTCGTTTTGCATGTCAGTTTCTCTGAAGCTGCACACAAGTCATTCAACAGGCCCTACAAGTTCAATATCTCCATCATCTTCTTCATTGTTTAGGTCATTCAAATCAAACTTAGGTGCTGTTTTTATAGGCTCGTCCTCCACCGTAATTTGTTGGGTTTGCGATCTTTTATCATCTGTCATCAATGGGTCTTGACTTTTCTCTAACACTTCAATAGAGTTATCATCATTCCCTTTATGGTCATTTCCCAAAAATACAGCCCTTCTGGTTTTTCTTCTCGCTTTTTGTGTTTCTACTATAAAAGTGTTTAGAATTCCTTTCCCTTTGGCTTCAACTTTGTTTGGTATAAAATTATATTTGGTATGATCTTTGATGTAATTGTAAGTGTCCATTGAAATTTGGATGGAGTCTGGAGACTTAAGGGTCGAGCACATCCTGGAGGCTGTGTTTACTGTATCTCCGACCAGAGAAAATTGAGGCTTATGCTCCCCTACAACTCCTGCTATAACTGAGCCTGTATTTATTCCAATTTTTACTTGAAGTTTGTGACCGTTTTTTAGTGAAACTGGCTCAAGCTTTTCCAGGATTTTTATTGCAGCTTCCAAGCATCTTTCAGCATGGTTAAGTTTTAGCTGCTTACTAGAAAGATTAGCTTCGCTGTCAGCTAGTCCTCCACAAATCATGTAAGTTTTATTGACGGTCTCTATTTTCGTCACTCCTATTTTTTCACATAGCCCATCCAGCATCACAAAAAATTTGTCCAAAAGCTCCAAAAGTTCATTAGGCGATAGGGTTGAACATATTTTGTCAAAATCATAAATATCACAAAATAGCACAGTTACGCTGTTCTGTTTTTCTGCAATATATCTAACACCTTCTTTTACCCTGTCTTTTACAAAGTTAGGGAGTAAGTTACTGAGAATATCTTGGCCTTTCTGAAACTGAAATTCAAGTTTTCTTTGGAAAACAAATTCCATTCTTGTAAATTTTTCTAACATATATCCCACATATGCACCAACCAAAAAGATCCCTATTGTAAGTGTTGCATAATTAAATAAAATAATTATGGCATCTGCGACACTGTGCTTTATTCCATACATAATGCCCATAAATACTAAATAAGCAAATAAAAAGAAAAAATTGATGATGCAGATCTTATAGTTTCCTACGTTAAATAGAAAGAAATTTGCTGTCAAAACTAAAGCGGTGCTTAAAGAGGAGTCATAACTGTATATCACTTCGTGCACAAATTTGAATAGGAGATAAGAGGCAACAAATATAAGGATTCACATTTCAAATTGGTTTTGAAAATTCTTTCTTGTCGAAAGCCATATAATTAGGAGGGATAAAAACACTAAAATGCAGTAGGAGATAACAATCCTAAGGTCACTAGAGTTTATGATAATGATATAAATTTCAAACACTATTCCAATAGTAATTACAAGCCTTGCTTCAGTTGTCATATACTTCATAATCTTTGAAGTCATATGGGCTTTGAAAGTCTTTTCCACATAAGGATGTTTGAAATTTAAAAACCAGTTATGAAAGGCGTAATAGTCATAATCTTCGTCTTCATTAGACCCCATATTTGAGTTTTTCGACTTAAACACTTTATTAACTCTTCCCTTTAAATTGGAACGAAAAGTTTCTATTCCAATTTAAAGGGAGGTTAATTTTTTTAAAAAAATAAAATACAAATTTAATATTTTTTTTAGTTTATGTTATGATTAATTAATTCGTAAAATTAATCCACTCAGGTTGCCAACTGTTTAAATAACATTCTACTCAATTGGGTGGGTCAGAGCTATTTATATAGAAATAATTATTTTTATCTATAAAATTTCCATAAAAAAAATGGTTTCAATTAAAAGGTTAATTACCCAAAAACGATTTTTCCTATTTTGTTTCCAAAATAAAGTGAGGGAGTAAGAGATTTTGCATATTCTTTAACTCTCATTAATACAAGCTGAATTCTGTTTTTTGATCTCTGGATGTATCTTTTGCTAGGAGTTACCGGCTCGTTTGGCTTTTGAGAGATACGGGATGTCCATAAAATGAAGAACCAATATTTGATTAAAAGAAAAGAGTTAGTATCTCTTATAAATAAGAAAACATCATGTCCTTCAGGTAACTCATAATAAGTAGCAAAAAAACACCATTAAATTTGACTGTAAAAAATTTTTTTTTATATCACAAAAATAGAAGATTCTAGATCTCCACAAAAATGGAAACAGTTGAGTCCTTAATAAAAAAGACCTAGTAACTAAGCAAAATAGACGATACCAGCAATTCATCAATGCAACCTAACGGTCTAGATAATTTGCGAAAGTCTAATGAAAATACAAAAATTTCGATAAATGCTTGCTTCAATAAAAAACGGAATTGTTATGTTTATAAGTCAAAGTTCATCCAGTTAGATAAAAAACGAAATCCATCTCTTTTTCTCAAGAGATAACGGTTTATTAGGTGCTGCAAAAACCCGCTTAAAAAGACCGCTATATTTGTGCAAAAATTATAATAATTTCTGCACCGATTTGCGTTGCAACACGCATTAATATAGTGAAACGATGCTTTATTTTGAGCCTTATTTATATTGCATTTTATGTCTTATATAAGAGAATTTAATATGATCTAATATTTTTCGAAACTATCAGCTCATGAAAATGTGAAATCGTTTGCTCAGTGAAAAAAACATTAAACAGAGCTCCTTAAAAAAGAAATTTATTTTTTTAAGAAAAATAAATTAAAATTTTGTTATTAAATACTTTTAGAGCAAGCTTTGCTTATTTACGCTTTTTTGTACAAATAGTAACAATATTTAAGGTAAATCATACTTATTTCAGTTCTAAGTGTGCCTCTTTCAGTGGCTATTAAATATATTAAAATTATTAAAAAATAGATAAAAACCTTTTATAAGGAAATCAACCCAAAAAAATTGTAAATTTTGGTCATCTTTTTGATATATTTTGAAAGAATATGTCTTGAAAAACGGTTTTATCTATTTTTTAATAATTTTAATATATTTAATAGCCACTGAAAGAGGCACACTTAGAACTGAAATAAGTATGATTTACCTTAAATATTGTTACTATTTGTACAAAAAAGCGTAATAAATAAGCAAAGCTTGCTCTAAAAGTATTTAATAACAAAATTTTATTTATTTTTCTTAAAAAAAAATAAATTTCTTTTTTAAGGAGCTCTGTTTAATGTTTTTTTCACTGAGCAAACGATTTCACATTTTTCATGAGCTGATAGTTTCGAAATATTAGATCATATTAAATTCTCTTATATAAGACATAAAATGCAATATAAATAAGGCTCAAAATAAAGCATCGTTTCACTATATTAATGCGTGTTGCAACGCAAATCGGTGCAGAAATTATTATAATTTTTGCACAAATATAGCGGTCTTTTTAAGCGGGTTTTTGCAGCACCTAATAAACCGTTATCTCTTGAGAAAAAGAGATGAAATTGGTTTTTTACTGAGATGACTTAAACCAAATTTAGTGACATAATGATTTTATTTTTTTATTAAGAGAAGCGTTTATTGATTTTTTAATATATTCAGAATGGAATTGCAAACAAGGCATAACGTCAGTTTGCTATTATATGAAACTGTCAGATCTTATTTCTAGTACATATAAGTTGCTTATTTAATAGACTTAACAGTATCATTGTTTATATAGCCAACAAGCTTTTTTCATTAAGACATAAAAAAAAAATTTTTACCGTCAAATTTAATGGTTTTTTTGCTCCTTATTATAAGTTACTTATAGTAAATAACGATATCTTATTGATGTGAAACACTGGCTCTTTTCTTTTAATTACATATTGGTTTCTTATATTGTATACAGCCCGTATCTCTCAAAAGCCAAACGAGCCGGAGTTACCTTAGATTCTCTGCCTCTCAAAGTGTCAGCTTCGCTTGGATATCATAGAATACTTATATATTTTCCAGAAATATGGATAATTACATTGATAACTGGTGCAAACATCATATAGAAAAAATAATAGGGGAATTCAAAAAGTTTGGTTGAAATTCCATACATTGCGTAATCAGAAAAGCCAGAGTAATCATATATAAATATAAAGGGGTAAAATATAAGGAGACTTCCACTTGAAATTATGATAAATAGCCACGTCCAATCATAAGTTTCGGATAAAATCACATAAGTGACTGTTTTAACTGCTAGTAAATATGCAGCTACTCCATTAGCATCTAATGATTGAGGAAACCCATCAACAGTAATTGCATTCATTATGCTGCCTTGCAAGAACCCAAAAAGCACTAAGCTATGCAAAATCGACGTAAAACTCCATTTCAAAAACACCTTAAAATTGAATAATTTCTTATAAATTCCATCCATATAAAGTGTAGGCCTGGAAAGAATAGCTTCTTTATCTAAATCTCTATCAAAGCTTCCTAGTACCACTATAGGCAAGGATGTAAAAATCACATTATAAAGTGTTGCAAGTCATGAGTCATAAAATGAAGTCCCACTATATAAATTTTCAAAACTGTAGTAAAAATTTGGTAAAACCAGCAAAAAATTCTTGCAAAGTAGAAAAAAAAAATTATGGTCATATTCGGGCTAACCGACTAGCTTTCGCTCATCTTGGCTCCAAAAAGTTGCCCTTTTTGGATCTGGCCTGAACCACTTGTCCAAGGGATTAGCTCCCTAGGGTAGAGCCATCGTCTGTCATGTACCCCGATGGTCTCAATGAGAGAAACCATGTAGTAGGCAAAACCTAGCCTATCTGGCAGGGGCAGGAAGACCTTCAGGGGAAAAATAGAATTTCCTTTCGGCAAGATATCCCTAAACCTGAAGGCCTACTTCCAAAAGCGACAAAGGCACTATTTTGATTCATAAAGATGGTCTACCTATTCCATAAGGAGTATACCTCGAATTCAATTTCTATCAACATCACTATTTTATTTCTTCTTGTAAAAGGAATATAAGATTACTTTGGAAACTCTGTTATAGTTTCATCTACCATGGACAAATAGAAGTGGCACTAAAAATGAAAATCTAGAAATTGCGTATTCACTTGTATTGGCTGCTTGCATTCCTTCTTTGCCTAATATCCCTACACCTATATGGGCTTCCTGGATCATAGAGACATCATTAGCTCCATCACCTATTGCAAGTGTCATAGGCCTAAAAGCCAGCTGCTTTTTAACCAATTTCACGATTTCAGACTTCTGTAATGGTGTTACTCTACACAGTATTACAGCATGGCATAATGTAGCCAGCATCATAAAATATTTGACAGTGATAGAGTCGCTCAATATAAAGCCGAGTGTTTTTCCATCAATAATCAATCCCAAGTTTAAATTTTCTAAATTCGGGACTTTCAGCTCTCCTTCAAACTGTTCTTTATCATCAGACACAACTTGGTACCTTGTTCCTTTTCTTTTTTTATTCGGATTTATTGTATCGCCTGGAGTGTTATCAGTTACCACTCGAATTTTATTGAGGACACTATTATGTCTATTTCTTTCTCCTTTTACGTATTTTGCTAAATTAGTCTTTATTTGCTGCTTGGATTCCTCCATTGTATTAGCAGAAATTTTCATAATTTCCATATCAGGATGTAAAAGTTTGCATGAATACCCTATATTAATAGCAGTTTCTTTTTTATCACCTGTTAAAACCCATACTTTTATGCCTCCTCCCATTAAAGTTTCTATGGCTTCTGGGACGCCTTCTTGGATTTTGTCTTCAATTGCAGCTGCTCCTATTAGTTCCATGTCTTTTTCGAACTCTTCAGCAAGTTCGTCAAGTCTTGCAGCTTTATCAGAAAGGGCATTTTTAGCAGTGTTATAGCGGACTTGATAATCATTCGCTTCTTCAGGGCTAAGTTCACGGCGGCCTAATACAAGTGTTCTTAGCCCTGCCAAGGCGAATTCATCAAGATGCTCATTCAGTGTAATGATTTCTTTAGAAGTCCCAAGACACCTTTCAAGCATAACGCTATCAGCACCTTTACATAGTAAAATAGCATTTCTATTTCTTTCACTCATAGGTTCTACCACAATTGACATTCTTTTACGTTCAGAGCTGAACTCATTTATACCTAAAACTCGATATTCTAAGGTTTCTCCATTGACTCTGAGCGAAATTGAGTCATTTTTATAAGCAATTAAAGAGTATCCGAAACAGTGAGCAGCTATAACTAAAGCTTCTTCATCTGGGGAAGAGGCTTGAAATAAAGGTTCTCCATCATAATCAAAATCTGGATTCACTGTATTGCAAAGTGCTAAGAGTTCAAAAAAATCCCCAATTTCCCTTTTTTTCGATTTTTGGAGGTCTTCTAATAAGTCTGGGTCTCAAAATTCGAATTTCTTATGAGGGTTGATTTGGCTTTTTTTAAATGTGTCCTGCTCTTCGTTAAATCCATATGATGTGCCTTTTATTGAGCATCTTTTGAATTCCATGATATTTTCTGTCAAAGTGCCTGTTTTGTCAGCAAAAATATACTCAATTTGGCCTAAATCTTCATTTAAGTCACCAGTTTTTACGATTGTAGGCTGGTCTAACTCATCGTAATACATAGAAATGTCCCATTGTATGATTTTTGATTGGATTATTTTTACGACATCAAGAGTTACATATAGAGATATTGGTACCAAACTGTTGTACAGGATCAAAAAGGTAATACATACTATTGGAGAGAGTTTATAGGAATCTCCGGAAAAATAGCTGAGTTCATCTGATTGAGTATAAGAAAGAGTTAGTGAAATTGCTGTGTCAAGAAAAGCGATCGCAAAGAGAAATGTAAAAACGATTATCAGATAGCTATTGATCCTTTTCTCCACATTGCTGACTTTATGTGGAGGATGCTTAATATTTTTCATCAATTTTGTATCATTTCCTGTAAAAACTACCAGCCCAATAATCCATGGGGTATTTTTCAAGGTGCTTCCTCTCAATATCATATTTGATAAATCTACAGGATTCGCTCTTGGATGGCCTTTCAGTTTAAGCCACCCTTCAAAAGAATGCAGTCTGTTATTAGGCTGCTCAGTTTTCAGTAGCCCATCTTCTATTATATGCATATTTTTCATGGCTTCTAATGCTGTATTTCCTTCCATTATGCTTGAAATATCATTTACGCATTTTTTTATCTTTAAACTGTCTTCTCCATCCAACCCAGTGGTTTCAATATAACAGCTTTTTTCAGGCAAACTTGAGACTAAAAGCAGCAAATCAGCTGGGACATGGACTTCTCCTTCCAATAAAACAATGTTCCCGACCCTTAAATCCATTCATTTAGATTCTATGAATTTCCCAGCTGTGTTTTCTCATCTTTTTGCAATTCTGTTATTTATTTTTCGGTCCATGGCATGACGGCGATAGTCTAGATACCCATCTTTGAATAGTGAGACTGACAAGACTAAGGAAAGAGGTGCAATTGTGGCTCAGTTTGAAGTTGGAGATAACCCAAATGGTAAAAGTTGAAAAATCGAGACAATTAAAAATCAAATGTTGGCTACCCTATTGAATTGTTCAAATAAGTTTTTTGGGACTAGAGAAAATACGGTATATTTGCCTGAGGTAATAAAATTGTTGGGAAATGCTGTAGGCTCGCAAGCTTTGCCGCCTTCTATTTTAATTTGTCGAAATTCTGCAGAAGAACTGTCAATAAATGCTGCATCTGCCATTTAAAAGTTTTGATTAATTATTTTATAAGAAGTTTGTAATTTAAAATTTCACAAAATTTGAAGGGATTTGCATTTGTGAATTAATTGTAAATAGGACAATATGAATTTGACAATTTTATTAAATATTAAAAATATGATCATTTCCTTTAATATTTGCTAATTTATCATATAATTGTAAAAAATTATGAAAAATGCATTAAGGTTTTTTAAATATTTTTATATTATAAAAGTTTAAGTAATAACCTAGACATATTAAGCAAGCTCATCCTCTATAAAATGAGAAGTTGCATTTATCCTTTCAAGAGATAAGAATGGGCTACTGTTGTTATCCTTTCTCTTATCCTCTTTATCTTCTGAAGTTTTAGCTTTAAGTTCTGCCAACCTTTCCTCAATTTCTCTTTTTTCTTTATTTTTTAGAATTCTCAGCTCACTTGGATCCATATTCCTGGTAACTGGGACTGGTGTGAACAAATAAGTGTGGTCTTGTGGAAAAGGAGGTAGAAAATTAGGGATATTTTCATCGTTATAGAAAACATCTATTTCTTCTTGAGGTGATAGACGAGGGGAATTAGCATTAGCCTGATGCAGCATGAGTACTTATCCACATCTTGCATCGATGGACCGCCTGTCATCGTCCTCACGTATAGGATTTGCCCTAGGATGGCGCTATATGGCGCCATCCTAGGGCAAGCGAAAATTGGCTCCACACGGGAACCGTATTCCACGTGTGGAGCCATTTTTCCACCACATTTTCCCATGTGGAAAAATGTCTCCACACGTGGAACACAATTCCCGTGTGGAGCCGTGTCTCCAATTGCCCGAGGATGGCGCAATATAGCGCCATCCTCGGGCAATTTCTATACTTAGTTCCTTGCCTGAGTCTCACGTCTAGCTTATATTATAGTGGAGTGAGTCACCATATTGAAACTTCAGCATGGGCTACTTTCGGAAGATTTTTCGGATGGCAATTTTTTCAGCAAATTTTGGGTTCTATATACCTACTGGATTGCTAAACTGGCATTTCTATCCAGCTCTTAGGCTAGCTGCATATACATGTTTGTCTACTGTCCTCTCTTTATCAAGGTGCAGAGCTATAAATGGTGTTTCGAGCAAAAGGGTAGGCCAACTTAGTATGCCATTTTAATTATATTGATAGAGGAGGGACAATTGGGAATTTTATATTTTCACGGCAAAAAGGAATGTCAGCTATCTGATTTGTAAGAAAGTGTTGGAGCTGCTCTTTGTTAGTCTGAAGGACATCTAATGCTCTAGATGTGTCAAAAATATTACACTCTGTACGACCTGTGTGTTCAGCAATTAATTTGGCTCGAAGACCTATTTTTTCGATTAAAAGCTCTGTTACTTCTTCAAGGGTGTCTAAGGCTTGACTGGATATGCTGGAAAATCCCATTTCTTGGGCAAGTTGGCATAGAGCAAGTTTGCCAATTTGTCGCTTGTAATCTTCAGACATTTTAATATTGGGGATTTGTATTTAGCGGGTATAAGCGATTTTTGATATACATCAATTTTCTTTTATCTGGTTTAAGAATTTTTAAAATTAGCTTATTATTGAGATGCAGCATAAAATTGTCTCACTGCCTCTCTAGTTGTTGAGTGGTAGTTTGATTACAATACAGAGTTGTTAAATGGAAAAAATATCTGAAGTCCTATTATCATCATAACTTTCCACTCAGAAAGCAAGCAGAAAATAATAACAAAATTTTTTTTTTTAAGAGATTAATTATTTTAATGAAATCTCAAATACCCTATAAAATTTTAGAAGTTTGCACAATTTTTATAATTAAACAAAACATTATTTCAAATTATTGCCAAAAAATTATGCAATCTGAGAAAAAGCTAACTCAATTTCGTATATGAAAAAAAACTATCTAAAGAAGGGAAATAAGAATATTTTGAGCATTTTAAAAAATATAATAAATTACTCGACTTGCTAGGAAATTATTAATAAAGGAAAAAAGAATCACACATTAATAAATCGCTGATGTTGGCTAAATATAAAATTACAAGTATTTATTTCATATTATAAAGAATATTTCAGTATTTTAGGTAAATAGAAATACAAACTATGATTTTAAGGTAAATAGCTCAAGCAAAACCGAAAAAGCTACTTTTTAAGTTATAATTAGTAATCTATTTAATAACTGAGTATTAGTAAAAGATTTCATGATGTCATAAAAATTAATGATCGATTTAGCTATTGTATTGCTATGAACTGTTTGCTTCTTTTATTTATACACAAGCTATGGATTCCTATATATTATTGGCTGAAGCATTATTACATGGGCAACTCTGAACTGGATGCCTTTATTATTCGGCTACGAAAGGGTAAGTGGATCAGACGGAATTTGGCTTCTTGACTCTCCTACAAACAAAATGTTCATCACAAGCATAGGGATATTAGAAAGGATCACTGCAGACCAGATGAAAGATATTGTTAGAGCTTCCCATGAGTCTGAATCTCGTGCTAAGAAAGTAATAAAATTATTATTTTGAAGATTTTATTGAAAAAAAGATAAAAATTACAATTTCGATAACCATTTTGAAACAATTTCAAACAAAATGGATAAAAATGATTTTCAGCAACTTGTGAACTCTTTAGTCACTAAAGAACTTGACCCGAAGCATCCTCCACACAAAGTTATTTTTGTAGAGAATTATGAAAACGACTCTTCAGCATTTATTCTAAGATTTCATCATGCTTTTGCAGATGGATTATCAATGGTTTCTAGAGTTGTTTGGCCAAGTGATGAAGGATCAGATAAGATCTTTTTCCAACCTCCGAGACCTACATTTTTAAAAAGTATTTTTCTATGGACTTTGGCAGTGATATCGCTGCCTTATTCTGTAATTTCTTTGGCTCTGCTTAAAATGAATAAAAATAAACTTCATGGAATGCCGTTGACAGGGAAAAAGACAATGTACTGAACAAATGATATGCTTATTTAGATATTTAGCATCAGACTGAGTATTATTATCAAATTTTTTTCTAGATAAATACTAATGATATTTCGCATTTCTATATATTTCTTTTCATAAATCGGTATATAAACTTTTCTGATGTAGGTGCTATATGCAAAAAAAGAAAAATTACTTTTAATGATTTCCTGACTGCCAGTGTTATTCAAGCATTAAATGAGTATGCTGGATGCGACTTAGGAGAACTGGTTAGCTATATTCCATTTAGCTTACGAGGTCAGCCGACAGATGGGACTTGCTTACCATTAGAAAACGATTTTGCTGCTTTGCTTGTTAGGCTGCCTAAAGGAGATTTTGAAACTCTACTAAATAAATGCTCAAGTCTCTTCAATAAGCTTAAAAGCTCTTTACAGCCATTCTCTATTATGCTTGCTATGAAATTAATGGGGAAAATATTACCTCCTTCTTTATCAAAACAAATTATGTATTTTTTTGCGAATAAGGCAACACTTTTATTTTCCAATGTGCCTGGACCAAAGAAAGAGGTGAGATATAAAGGAAAATTAATGAGAAGAGTAATAAGCATGAGCCCTACAATTGGAACTAGTGGGATTTCTATTACATCTTTTAGCTATAATGGGTACTTTTTACTCCCTCTCTCCTTGTGCGGACAAAACCATTGGAAATCCTTATTTTAGGGTAAAAACCCAGCTAACAAAACCTTTTTATAAAAATATTTTGATGTATAAGCGATAATTATTATAGTAAAACCTCTCGTCATTCTATTTAATTTTAATCAGCTTGCATTAAACCATTAATTTTACAAAATAAAATTATTATTTGTTTTAAAATTATTTCAAATAGGATTTTTTTCAAAAATTAACCCCCCTCCTTGATCGAATAAAGTTTTTTTGGTTCGCCCACGGAGAGGGAAGGTTAGTAACTTGTTATGCTGATGTTGCAGCAATGCCTGATGTGCAAGCATTCATCAAGATCGTGGAGAAAAATATCTTAGAAGAAATTAGCACCTTAAAATAATTATTCTTAATAATAAAGCAATTATTTTTTGTAAATATAATTATTAAAACTAGTATTAAGCTTATAAACTTATAAACATATTAAATGGTATTATTTATTTAATTAATATGCATTTTTAAAAATCAGCCATCCTTATTTCTTTTTCAGCAATAAGTTCCCATTTTTCATCCATTTCTAGCAATAAATAAAATTCTTTTAGCCAAGGATGCCTTCTTATGGCTTGGTGAACTATTGTTTCTTTGATATTTTCATTTGAATTATTAATATAAATTCTTCAGAGATCAATATAATCTGGATCCAATTTAATGTTTCTTGATAAATTAAGTAAAAATTTTGGTAATATTTTCATGCCTAATAATTGGAACTTCGGGTTGTTTATAATTAACTTCATATGAAATGGGCTGAAATGTGTAATTTTTTTGATATCATTAAAGATCAAAAATTTTGGATTTGAGTAAAAATTAAGGAAAAAGGAGAAAAATAATGGATTTTTAGGGAAAGACTGGAAACTCCGTAAGGCTGGATTCATGTATAATTGAGCAGATAATATTAATCTTTGTATGTTTTTTGCATAGAGTAGTAGCAAAATGTTGTTTGAGAAAAAGTATTCATCTGATAATCCTTTGCATATAGAGGTTTCACACATATTTTCAGATTTAAAGCTATCAAACTCGTTTAATGAAGATTCAAACCCTTCAGTTCCATAAATAAATCACTGTATAAGAGATAAAGCAATGCTAGTTAAGGAAGGAATTCAGTTTTTTTCTGCTGGGCTTGATATCAATTTTTTCAGTTTTATTTTGCATGACAAAGAAGCTAACTCCTTTATGGATTCGATTGGGACATTTAAAATTTCAGATTGGATTAATTTGCATGCTTCAATTAAGGGTATTTTCATATCAAAAATTTGATATAAAAAATATTGGTGAACACAAAACAGCTTTTCATGTTCTGAAATTTCGCCAAATTTTAAGATAGTTCTATATAATTTCTCTGCTTTTATTGGCTGACTTCTTCTTAAACTTTCAGTATACGCCATTCAATATGCTAATGAATTTGATTTTTTAAGCAAAATTTTGGTCAAATTGTCTTCATTCAATTTATTTTCGATCAAAATTAGAAGAATCCCTAAGTCCTCTGTAAATATTTGAGTAAATTGCGTGGACCTTTCAAGGATTCTCTTAGCAAAGCTTAATTTTTGCTTATCATTTAAACTTAGAACTGGAAGTCAAAAAATTGGTTTTATTTCCGTTTCTTCTCTATCAATATACTTTTTAAAAGGTAGCAAGCTAGATAGGTCCTAACTAGTGAGTTGATCCCAACCTGAAGTAAGCAGATTCCATCTTCTTAGGAAGTCTGGGGGTGGGTTTTTGCCTGGCCAGAGCTCATTACAGGCATTTTTCTCTGGCTCAGAGGCGAAAAACCGAAGGCACAAAGTTGGCTCGGACTTCTGTGAAACAAAGTTTTAACTAATAAGGCAGAGTAGCCTAGAAGGAGGCGTTGGGCATTTATCTTATGTCATGAGCATTATCAGGGCTAAAGAGCCCTCTGCCGTAGAGTTAATCTAGCATGGTTGCATGAGTCTCCCCAAGAGATATAATAATGTCAACTTTTTTAGTGACTTCGACACGAATGGCATGGTGTGACGGCAGATAACTAAGACCACAATCCCGAGTCTTCGGTGTACAGGCAGAAGCTGAAATAATCCCCAGCGAGCCACTATAACTTAAGCTAATCTAATCTAACCTCTTTCCATATTGCTTTTCTTTTGGCAGTTTGTACATGATATTTTAGGGATACCAAGAAATTCCAAAAAATTTTCAATAATTTTTTTCTTATGAATTACTGGAAACTCTATAGGAATTAAATAATCACAAATATCATCATAAAATACAACTCCTTCTGGAGACTTCTCAGCTTGCTCTTTATCTAAAATCGTTCTAAGAGGTAGCCAATTATTTTCATAATCACTTAACTTGTCATTAATCAGCATCTTATGAATTTCATTTTGAGTATAATTTTCATAGTTGTTTCAGCCTATAGGGACTTTAGTATCCCCAACTCTTGGTAATTCGGAATCCCAATATTCTTCAAATGAGCCTGCTCTATTTCCAAATACATAAAATTCAGCCAAAGCTTGATAAATCCCAATCGATCTCTCATAGTATCCGCTCATTCATTCAACTTCAATTACTTTGGCCATAATTTCAATAAAAATATCAATTTTTGTTAAATCAGGCTCACTCATCAAGTCTTTTATCCCTTGACTGATTATTTCCCTAAAGTTTGTCATAGAAAATTTTGAAAAATTAGACAAAATAAAATAAAAATAATTGCTTCATAGTTCTCTGCTATCAGGCTTTTGCCTTAAATACTCTTTTCACATATAAACTAATTCAGAGTTTGCAAGCTCATTTTCTCCGATTTCTTTTATGTTTTCATGATCATAAAGCAGCTTTTCTTCAAAGATTTCTAAATGTTTTAAAATCAGGTTTAAATTTGTTTCAGTTGAAACTTCTTTCAAGGCCTTATTTATTATTGAAAGTTCTTTTTCGATTGTAGATTTTTTATTTCCGAAAGCCTGTCTTTGATATTTCAAGTACTCGATTCATAAACTTGGATCAGTAGGGTTTTCTGATAATTTTTCATTAAACATTTTTATTGTTTCATGTATTTTTGCTTCTTCATTTTCCTGTTTAATTTCAATTGGTTCTATAGGAATATACTCTTTTGTGCATAAATTACATGCTTTTGGAATTTTAATTGACCCTTTTGGCTTGATTTCAAAATATCTCTTTTTTGTGTGCTTTTCTTGACTTTTGCTGATCCCAAGATAATAATCAAGCTCTTCTCTTACCTCTTTGGCTTCCTTATACTGATTTTCTCCAATAACTTTGATTGATCTGCATCTTTTAAATCTAGGGACTTTTGATAAATTTGGGATATAATATTTTGCGCTTTCATAGTCCCCAACTCTATCAGGATCTCATTTAAGTATAATAAAAGCTTCTCCTTTTTCATATATTGTGTGCTCTTCATTAGCTTCGTTTTGGATTTTCCTGATTGATTTATTTTTTGATATTTTTATTTTCTTTACAGGCTTTTTTTCAATAAGATCAACTTGTTTTTCCTCTTCATCATCAAAGAAGTCTTCTGCTGTTGGGCGTTTTTCTTGCGTTTTCTGGGGCGACTCTTGCAAAATAGGAAACAAAGGAGCTGAATTCCATCTATTAAACTGCATAAATAAAATTTATATAAAAGCTATAATTTTATTTCTATTAATATTTTAATGCTTTAATATTTATATATCCTGAATATCCAAATAAAATTATATATAAAATTTATATATATATCAAAATACCTGCTGTGTTGTTTTACTTCTGATGTCATAAAGATGTAAAATATACTATCCTCTCTTTATAATACCCTTATCATCAATATTTTCTTACTCCCCCCTCAGTGAGTGAACAAAAAAAATTTTGTTAACTTATTGAGGGGGTTAATTTTGTTTTTTAACAAAATTTATATATAAAATTTTAGAGTGATTCCAAATTTTAAAAAAAAATCCTAATTTGCAAAAATTGGGAAGCAAATATTAATTTAATTAAATTTATGTTTTAAAACGCAATTTATTTTTAAATTAAACAGAATTAGCAATAGATTTCATTATACTAATTATCACTTATATATGATTTTTTTTCATAAAAAATTTTTTCTATTAAAAAAATTTTGTTCACTCACGGAGGGGGGAGTTAGTAACTTCCAATATAAATTAACTTTTTTATCTACGTCATCACAATAAATAGAAATGTCACTAGATCGCCACATCCTTTCTTTCTTAAGAGCGCTAGTTTCTTCACGAGAGCGAAAAGTTGCGACAGCTGGCGTAGTCATAGGCATCCTTTACCTTTTAAATTGGAGTCAGCGCAAAACATCAGCAAAAATCTCCCTTGGCCACCGAAGCAAAAAATCAAATAAAGGCACTGTGGATCTTGAGTTTTTCAAGCGTATAATTGAGCTAATAAAAATTGTAGTCCCAAGCTGGAGATCTCTGGAGATGTTTAATCTTGTGCTACTTAGTGCTTTATTAATTGCAAGAACTCTTCTCAGCATCTCTATATCAAGCGTCAACGGAAGAATCGTAAAAGCAATTGTCACTCGAGATTTCAATTTGTTTATGAAAAGAGTAATTTTTACATAGATAATTCAATTAGCAATGTTTGCAATCCCTGCTTCAATGGTAAACAGTGGGCTTGACTATTTGAATCATAAGCTCGCTATTCAGTTTCGTGCGAAAATGGCTTATTATTTGAATCAAAAATACCTTACAGGACTGATTTATTACCAAATGAGCAATCTTGATAACAGAATAGCTAACCCTGATCAAAGATTTACTCAGGATATCGACAAATGGGCATCTTGTCTTAGTAATTTGTATTCAAATATTACTAAACCTTGCTTAGATATATTTTTATTCAGTAGAAAACTATCAGACTTAGTAGGTGCTGAAGGACCTATTTTTATTATTGGCTGGTATTTTCTTTCAGGAATTATCATAAAATTCATAACGCCTCCATTTGGGCTTCTTACAGCTCAAGAGCAACAGAATGAAGGCTTATATCGAGCTTGCCAAAGTGATCTTGTCAACCATTCTGAAGAAATTGCTTTTTATCGAGGCAATGACTGGGAAAAACGAAGAATTAACAACACCCTAGATAAAATTGTAAAACACATCAATGATATACTGACAAAAAGATTTTTCATGGGAACTTTTGATAGCATGCTTGTGAAATATGGAGCCACTATGACTTCTTATGGAGTCCTTGGACTGCCTGTATTTGGACCTAATAGAGAAAAATACTTCGCGAGGATAGGAAATGACCCAAGTTCTATTACCAGAGATTATATAAGAAATTCAAGTCTATTGATAAATTTAGCAAAAGCAATAGGAAGGCTGGTGGTATCTTATAAAGATTTGCAGTCTTTAGCTGGATATACCACACTTATTCATGAAGCAAAGGTGGTATTGGAAGATTTGGCGAATGGAAAGTATCAAAGGACGATGATGGAAGGAGCTGTTTATGACCAAAAGTCAAGGGGAACTTATATAATAGCTGATTACATTAAATTTGAAAATGTGCCTGTGGTATCACCTAATGGAGACCTTTTAATAGAAAGACTTTCTTTTACAATAAAGCCAGGCATGCACACCTTTATTCAAGGACCAAATGGATGTGGCAAATCTTCATTATTCAGAATTCTTGGCGAGCTTTGGCCATTATTTTCAGGGACTGTATATAAACCGCCTATGGAGCAGCTTTTTTATATCCCACAAAGGCCATATTTACCACACGGAAGTCTCAGAGAGCAAATTATTTACCCACACTCTAGAGAGCAAATGGAAAAACTAGGTTATAATGATGAATATTTAGAAAATCTTATGAGAATTGTGAGGCTAGAAGACATAATAGAAAAGAGAGGAGGGTTCGAGCAAGTTGAGGACTGGAATGATACTTTAAGTGGTGGCCAAAAACAAAAGGTCGCTATGTGTAGACTGTTATACCATAAGCCAAAATTTGCAATACTTGATGAATGCACAAGTGCAGTCAGTATGGATGTGGAAGGAAGCATTTATCAGCATTATAAAGATAACGGCATTACACTGATTACTGTCTCACATAGAGAAAGCCTGCTGAAGTACCATAACCATATTTTGAAATTTGATGGTGAAGGCGGATGGAATTTCTATACAATTTTGCCAGATTCTTAGAAATTCATAGTAAATAATGAAAATTAGTCTTGGTTTAAGAATATACGGTCTTTAAACTTATAAAATTAAGTATATATTTGCTATAGAATTAGGTCTATTGTAAAATATGGTTACTCGTGAAGAAGCAACTCGTATTCTTACAACACATAAAGCAGAACTGGAGAATATCAAGGAAAAAATTCATCAAAGCCTTTCACAATGTCAAAATTACGATAGAAAAGCATTGGAGCCACGCTTAACTAAAATTAAAGAGCGTATAGTATCAATTGATTTATTCCTAAAAAACTTACCTGATAAAATTCATGAAAATGAAATCAAGAAGCTAAAAGGTAATAATATAATTAACTGGGTTTTGAAGTGAATTGCTGAAAAGAAAATTTTTGAAAATGATTCAAAAACCTTATCAGACCTTTTAAATGACAATATAAGAAAGCTTTATTCTCTAGAAAACAAACTTTTAGAATTAGATTATGCTGTGTATTTAAAGTACCTACTTCCTGGACTGCATACCGCGGTTCTACCCGCAGAGTGGCAGAGCATAACCATACTAAGCCCGGGCCGAAACCCCTGGTTTCTCGTAGAGGTGAGGTCAAGGGACAGATTAATGGCTTAGCTGACCACCTCCATTTCCAACTTGTGTGTAGCCCAAGTTGACGCCAACACTACCCTTTCCATTCGCCAGATCTGCTCTTTATCGAGCGCCTTAATTTGGAGAAACTCCCATGCCTTGACTTGGTGTCTAATTTGCCCTCCCCTCTCTTCTAGTCATCCCGAGAAAGAACTCAAAAGCTTTCGACATTCGGAGCAAGTCACAGAAGCATCTTAGGCAGGTATGTCGCCCTGCCTCATTTCGGACACTTACTGGGCTGAGCGCTGCTGGCTAAAGAGTCACTAGTAACTTTCCAAGGGTTCGGTCGCAAAAGCAGCAGTCTTCGCCCCTAGACCTCTTGCTTTAAGGTCCCAAACATTTCTGGACCAACTCCTGGCTCCAAAAGCCACGCTTGAATATATATAGGTAACCACTACTGAGAGGGTGGGTTGGTCACCATCTGCCATTTTATGTATATAGAAAACAAACTTAATGAATTAATAAATAAAAGCAAACCAACAAATTTTGAAGAAATAAAAATAGAAATTTGAAAAGAAATTGAAGATATTTCGGACTCTTTACATAGCGCTTTTCAAAGCCCCGGCCGCTTGAAATATTTAATTTTTTGAAATGATGTAGTTCGCCAGATTTATGAATATTTTTTGGGCAAAGGCAGAGAAATTCTCGAACTTTTTTATTCTTTCATAGAGAAGTTCACAGTTGAAAAGAATTTTTTTTACAATATCGCCAGTCAAAAAAGAACACCTATGTTAGTAGTTAAATGAATAGAAAATCCAAGAACAATTGAAAAATATTTGGGACCCATTTATCTAGATTCAGGATCTTGCATGCTAGAATTGCCAGATTCTGAGTTATTTTTGTATGGAAGTTCTCATCCAGTCACAGGGAATTGTTGTATAATTAATATGAAAAATTATCAAATTAAAAAGATTTTGCCTCCTGGGACTCCATCATTTTATGGAGGAGTAGCTTATTATAAAAATTCTGTCTATGTATTTGGAGGGAGATTTCCTCGAAAATTAACACATTATTCTTATGAATCAAATTGTGCAAGAAGATTTGATTTAATTAAAAACTTATGGTTTCAGCTTCCGCCCATGCCTGAAGGTAATTCTTTATCTTCTTGTATCACTTTTAAAGATTCAATATTATTTTCAGGAAAAGGAAATACTGAAATTATTAACTCCCCCCCTCCGTGAACAAAAAAATTTGTTCATTCACGGAGGGGGGTAAATTTTTTTTCGAAATTTATATAGCGCTTTCCCGAGGATGGCGCGGAATGGCGCCATCCTCGGGAAAGCGCTATAAAAACCTCACTTCTATAAAAATTGGAAAGCAAATATTAATTTAATTTGTAAAATTTATGTTTTAAAACGCAAATTCTTTAAAATTAAACAGAATTAGCTCGAGATTTCATTATAATAATTATCACTTATATACCAATTTTTGTTCACTCATGGAGGGTGGGTTTTTGGGCAAAAAATAGGGATTTTTCTAATGGTTATGTTCACTCACGGAGGGGGGAGTAAGTATGATTTAATTATAGAAAGTTATTCCAAAATTTCAATTATACAATCAGCTTCTAATGGAAGTAAACTATTTTTAACAGATTCCCAAAGAATTTGGGTGATTGAAAGTATTGGAAGAATTATAGAAAGTGAAATAGAGAACGAATATGTGTGAAAAATAATTGGTAGCTCAAAGTATAGCGCTTATCAGAATTATTTCGTTGCATTTATAAGTCAAGTTTTTTATATCAGTTTATTAACTTCAAGTGAAAGCTTCAAGTATTATAAATTTGACATAAATCAAAAAACAAAAGAATTTATTGAAGATATTGGCATATTTGAGAGAAAAATATTTTTGCATGAGTAAAGCAATTAGTTTTTAAATAGCTTATTAAAAGATTTTATAAGATTGATTTTAAAATGAATTTTTTAATAACTTCAACAAATAAATGTTATTTTCAGCAAAATTAAAAACTAAATATTTTTGATATAAAATAAATATGAACCCCCCCATTATGATTATAGATGATTCCTTAGACTCAATTCTCCAATCAATCGAATCAGCCAAATCTAAATCCCGGACAAGTTTTCCTACCAAACAAATTTTTATCGTATCTTGAAATGTAAATCTCCTTAAAAAAGCTGCATCAAGAGACCAATTTCACCAATTCATCTCCGAAAAATCTCCAGACATTTTATGTTTCGAAGAAACAAAAATCACGCTATCAGAGCAAAACCGCTTCAAATCTCTTTTTCCTCAATATTCCTATCAGTATTGGAGCTTTTCAGAGGAGCTTGATCATTGAGCAGGCCTTGCTTTGCTTTCAAAAGCAGAAGCTCATTCAATTTATCATGGAATCGGCACTCTAAATAGCACTGGAAGAGTTTTATCAGTCGAATTTGAAGATTTTTTTATCTGCGTTTGCTATTGTCCTCTATCAAAAAGCGAAGAAGAACAACAAAAAAGGGCGATTTGAGATGAAGAATTAAGACATTTTATTATTGAGCTTCAAAAGAGAAAAAATGTTATTTGAATAGGGGATTTTAATATAATTCATACTGAAGATGATATTATTGGACTTCCTAGTGATTTAATCGTACCCCCTGGGTTTGGAATAATTGAAAGAAAATCATTTGAAAAAAATTTTGAGTTGGGGTTTGTTGATAGCTTTAGGTATTGCAATGGGGATGAAAAAAAATTTAGCTGGAGAAGTATTAGAATGCCCGGATGCCCACTAGGGAGAATTTGGAAATCGAGAATTGATTATGCGCTGGTTAGTGTAAGGATGCTGCCATATTTGAAGGAATCAATTATTTTTGATGATTATAAGGCAGTTAGTGATCATTGTCCTATTGGGGTTAAATTTGATTTTTCTGTGAATGAAAATATTTAAATTCATAATAAATAATTAAATAGAAATTAATTTAAATTTGGCTTATGGCTAGATAGAGAGTAAAGATGAATTTAAATCTCTTGCTAAAAAATAAATTGATTTAAAGTTTTAAATAAGATTATTTCAAAAAAAATTTATTTATTTATTTAACTTGCTTGTATTTTTATATCCAAAGGTAAAGTAGGAAAATTTCATCCCCAAGATATTCAGTAATAAGTAATTTTCTATTTAATATCGAAATTTCTTTTGCTTTTGTAATTATAATTTCTTATCCTGAAATAATATTATAATGTTCAGGCAGGTCATACATTATTCTCATATGCAAAATTTTATCTTCTTTCCATTATAGAGTTAATATCCTGAAATTTATTTAAACTCAAAAAGGCTGTCATTTCCCCTCAATTTACTCAATTTATCAATTCATATTCTCCCAGATATTCTATGCTTTCAAGAAACCAAATTAAAATCTGCTGAAGTAAGCCGGTATAAGTCATTATTTCCTCAGTATCCCTATCAATATTGAAGCTGTTGTGAAGAAACTGATCACTGAGCAGGCCTAGCACTGCTTTCTAAAGCTGAAGCTCATCTCATCCACAAATGGAATTGGCACAAGTTTCAGCCTTGGCCGAGCTTTAACTGCAGAATTTTCTGATTTTTTCATATGTACCTGCTATTTCCCAATCCCTAAAACCGAAGAAAAGCAAGCAGAAAGAGCCCAATGAGACGAAGAAATAAGAGTTTTTATAAGAGAATTAAAGAAGGAAAAAAAAGTTATATGAATTGGCGATTTTAATGTAATACAAGAAGATATTGATATTTTTGGCTTCAATAGTGACACTATTATACCCTATGGATTTAACAAGCAAGAAAGAGACTCTTTTAAAAAAAATTTGGAATTAGGCTTTATCGATAGTTTCAGGTATTTTCACGAAGATGAAAGAAAATATAGTTGAAGAAGCGTGAGAACTCCAGGATGTCCATTTGGAAGAAATTGAAAATCAAGGATTGATTATGCGCTTGTTGACACAAGGCTGCTAGGAAATTTGAGAAAATCAGAGATTTTTGAAGAATATAAAGCTGTAAAGTGACCACTGCCCTATTGGCATAACTTTAGATCTTTCTTATATTAAGATTAATTTTATCCAATAATAAAAATGTTTATGAGATCTATTTGCAGAGCTTTTACTACTCGTCCTTTTAAGGTCCTTGGGGTTCAACAAGTCGCTCTTGGACACTTAGATAAAAACGTTCTTACCAATTTTTGGAGCAACCAGCTTGGAATTCCAAAAATCGGTAATTTCCAAAGTGAGACAGAGAACGTCAATGAAGACATTTTAAGAATTGGAGAAGGAGATAACGCTGTAGAAATCGATTTAATGCAGCCTATCGATCCAGAAAAGAATCCTAAAGTTCATAAGATTGCCTTGAATCACTTTGGATTGTGGATTGACGATTTAAGAGCTTGTGTCGATTATTTAGTAGCTAATGGAGTCCAAATGACACCTGGAGGAATCAGAAGAGGTGCAGCAGGGTTTGATGTGGCGTTTGTTCATCCTAAATCTACAGGAGGAATTCTTCTTGAGCTGGTTCAGCACCCTAATCCACCTAGAAAATAAATAAAAAATCCAAAAATTAGACAGAGTAGATTATAAAACATTAAATCAATATTAATTACTTAATTGCCTAACTCACTCAAGGGGGGTGGTTAATTATTTTTTAAAACAGCAAATATTAATTAATTATAAAATTTATGTTTTAAAATGGAAGTTGTTCAAAATTAAACAGAATTAGTTTGTGATTTAATTGTAACTATCAAAAATATTTTTTTATAACTCCCCCCCCCCCCCCTCCGTGAGCGAACAAAAAAATTTTGTTCGCTCACGGAGGGGGGTTTAATTTTTTTTTTTTAAAAACAATTTATATATAAATTTTTTATAAAAAATATTTTTTTCGAAATTTAAAAAAATCCTAATTTGCAAAAATTGGGAAGCAAATATTAATTTAATTTGCAAAATTTATGTTTTAAAACGCAATTTGTTTAAAATTAAACAGAATTAGCTCTAGATTTCATTATACTAATTATCACTTATATATCAAAATTTTTTTTCCATTAAAATTTTTTCTATTAAAAAAATTTTTGTTCACTCACGGAGGGTGGGTTTTTGGTCAAAAAATGGCGATTTTTCTAATGGTTTTGTTCGCTCACGGAGGGGGGGGGGGGAGTAAGAATTTTTTGTTTCTGGGTTTTGGGATTTTTCCAAATGTTTTTGTTCGCTCACGAAGGATGGGTTTTTACTCAAAAAATAGGAATTTTTTCAATGATTTTGTTCGCTCATAGAGGGGGAAGAAAGGTATTTTTCAATACCGAAGCCATTACTTATAAATAATGATGATTTTTCACAAAGTTTTCTTAGAAAAAGTGGTCTATATGTGAGTTTGCATGTTTGCTTAATTCCACATTTAGAATTTCACTCAATGCACAAGGTTTGAATTCACATGCTGCTGAATTTTGTAAAAAAAGGTAACACGCTATATATTTTAGCTATTATTTTGAGATTCCATATTCAATTAAGCCATACTACTGCTATTTCATCTATTCTAATTATTTCACTCCCTGCTTTAAATAGGAGCAAAACCTGGGTAAAATTTTTATATTTTTGGGGACTTTAACCCCCTTTGAATGGAACAAATTTTTTTAATAGGAAAATTTTTATAATAAAAATACTAATTTATATAAAAATTAATTTTTGACCTAATCTAACGAAAAGAATATTATTGAAACAGTTTTCTCAGAAATCGACTAATATTTTTTTTTTTTACTCTTCATAAAAATGAAAATGAATTAAAATTCGAAAATATTAGGTTTATTTTAATTTTTAAAAAATGTATTAGAAAACTTATATTTAATGGAATAGGATTTTTTTATTAGGGGTTAGTCAGATGAAAAATTTAAATAATCCCATTTCAATTAGTTTTCAAAAAAAGCTCTTTTCATAAGTTAAAGGCTCAGTATATTTGCTGGCATACTCCTAAATCACTTTAAAAATATACTCTCTGCATATGAGCTCAAAACGCTTCCATAGTTTCAATATTATTGTTTTAAATTATTTAGTTATGAAATAATCCATATTGCTTTTAGATTTAAAATATTCATATTTCATAAATTAAAAGATGAACACAGAAAACGTGAATCCAAATCTACCTACTGAAGAACTGAGGAAAAACAAAATGTTTATGCATGAAATAAAAGACAAAAGTCTTATATCAAGGATTCCTCTTCAAGAAAAAGAGATATTTAAAGTACCTTCATTGAATTGTACAGAAATTTTGATGCCGACACAGCTAGATTTGGATCTATATGAAATCCAACGATTATATAAACAAAATTATAGGGAAGCAAACTTGAAGATCATGAATTCAAGAAAATCGGATCATTAACTAACGTATGCTAAACTATAATACTTACTTACTCTCAGATAATAAGAAATCTACTGAAATTTATTAATAAATAAATTTCTATAATAAATTTTTTAATTAATAATTTTCAGAAAGTTGAGGTTAGTTTTAAAAATGGATACATTTCAGTTAAACTGATATTTTGAATAAAATAAGAAATGGACGAAAATCTTATTGACTTTATTTTTAAAGATTTCTTTAACGAATCAGAAATTTATAAAAATCTTATCACTGTTTTCCTATTCTAAATATTAAGTGATGCTATACCGTGGTTATTATACTAGCTTATATACTTTATAATATTTATTTATTATTAAAGGAATTAATGCTATGATGCTATCAAATGAATGTTTAAAAGTTATTTTAAAAATACTTAATTTGAATACTTTTGGAACCTAATAACTATATAAAAAAATAAAAAATTGTATTTTTACAATCTATATTTTCCCATAGCATCTTATTCAATTATTAAATTTGGGAATTTTTAGTATAATGAAATTTAATAAATAATTGAATCATACAGTGTGATACCAATGCCATTTTGAATATTTCAATAATAAATTCTTTGTATGAGCTATACCGAAATCAGTGACCAGTTTGAAACGATTTCTTCCAATCTTAAAAAAGGCAGCCAAGTGATATCAGCACTGTGTAATTTCTTCAAAAATTATAAAAAACTAATTGATACTTACAATCAGCAACAATCCAAATTATGTGATACTTTAGTTCTTGAATTTCCTAACTTTTCACACCGTGAGTGTACGAAACCATTCAAAAATTCAGCGAAAAATGTTTTAGTATAAAAATTTTAATTGAAAAATATTTTATATGAGTGATAATTAGTATAATGAAATCTAGTAGCTCCAGTCCCATTTTTACTCGTTTAGGAGTAATATTTTTGCTTAATTCTGACGAATTGAAACAGCTTGCATTTTAAAGCATAAATTTTATACATTTTACTTTCAAATTTCAAAAAAGGAATATATATAAATTTTAAAAAAAAATTAATCCCACCTCTGTGAGTGAATAACATTTTTTTGTTCACTCACCGAGGGGGTGTAAAGAAGGCAACGTAGATACCTTATCAACAGCACTCCATTCCTTTATTAGTTTTCTCAGAAAACAAAATCAAAGTCAACTTGTATTCTCCAAAAATTTATACGAATAAAAAGCCGCAGAATTTATATCGAAATTGCCTCTACCTATTTTCTATAAAAAATAGTTTTTCAGACTAATCTCTTTTAGATTTTTCAGCCTGCAAATGGACACAATTAGACATAATCGAGCCTTTAGAGCTATTTATCAATCATTTTGCTACATCTACAGCTACTTTATCAAGTCAGGGAGCTGCAGAATTCAAAGAACTAACAAAATGCAAAGACAGGCTCGATAAATCTATGAATAAATACATTCAAGCTTCAGAAATCGCAGAAAAATCTGAAAAGCTCATTTCTGTTGATGATTCTAAAGAAAAACAAGAAAAAGCCTTAAAACAATTTCTAGGCAACCGAGCAATGGCCAATAAAGAGTCCGACAGGTATATGATCGCATGCAACAAAATGAACGGCCGTCTGGATGAATATAACAGTGTGATGCCAGGCATAATGCAATGCCTTCAGCAAAATGAAGTAGGACGAATCCATTTCTTAAAATACACCCTTGAAAAGTATGGAAAACATTACTTAAATTATCATAATGTCACAACTGAGTCTTTAGATGATATGACTAAAATTTTGAGTAACGTCAACAGTGATATTGACATCAGAGTTCTCGTAGACAGGCTGAAGTCGAAGTCAAGTGAAATCACAAGAACAGAATTTATTACATATGAAAAATGAAAAGAAACTAATAAAATTATAGAAGAAACTTTACCAAAAGAAGAAGAAACGAATATAGAAGAACTTGCTGACCCGAATTATGAACTTATTAGGACTGTGCTTAACTATCTTACACAAGATATAATGAGACGCTCAATAGAGAGCTCAAGCGATTCTGATGCAAGTATCGATATTCCTGCTTGCACCCCAGAACTTGAAGAACTCGACCAAGGCTATTTTACTAAACTTTCTAATATCCTGCGTACATCTGAAGGCCGCACATTATTTTGTGACGTCTTGGAACATATGAAACACAGAAATTCGCTGACTGCAGACAAAATATTGCAGCTTGCTGCTATTATAAACTCACTTTTGACAGTAATTATGATGGAAAATGACAAAGATCCTATGGTTTTTAGCAAAATTATAGTGTCTTCACATATATTTTATACAGAAAAAGAAGATGGAAAAAGGATTTACTTGTCAAATTATATAGCATCCCATATGATATGGAATGATAAATCACGATGGATTCAGGCAATTGACTATACGACTCAGGTAAAAATTTCGACTGATAAGACTTCTATGCAGAGGATTAAATCAATGAAAAGAAAAAATGAAGGACTATTTGGAACTATAAAGACGCTTGCTAATAAGCTTCCTATGGTATTTCAAAAAGGAGGAGATGAGCAGACTGATAAATCAGCAGGATTTATGGTGATGACACAGTTTAGTTTTCATATGATACATTTGGCGGTGCCTTTAGAAACTGCAAATGCTATTATAATGAGTTTTTCACAAAAAATAAGTTTATTATATTGAGTTTTTTATTATTTAATATGAATCTATAAATAGTTTTTGCAAAATTTTAAAAAAAACTCGCCAAGTGGCTTTAAAAATATCAATTAAAAATGGAATAAATTTGGATGCTGATAGGACTTGTGTGCTCTTAGCTGAATTGCAAGCAAATCAAAGAAATAGCCTAAAAGAAGAAGCACCTTGAAAAGTATCTAAAAAACGACGAGAAAAAGAAAGGCGAAAATGGGGAGAAATTTTGCCAATTGGATTAGCATTGAAATTTTTAACACAAAAAGAAAGCTTCAATTTAGTTTTAGTCTGTAAGCACTGAAAGTTAAGACTTTACCCTACCATTATAAAGAAATGGCTCTATAAAGGAGGACTCGATGAAGAATTTAAGCTGAAAATCAGAACAAAAGCATGGACAGAGCTGCTAAAAGATGATATAGGTGTTTTCCCTATATAGCCCGATAAGGGCCGTGGGTTCTCCGTGGAATCCCTCTGCTGGTTGAACCAACCAGTGAATTGGTCAAACCAACGCACTGAGTTGGTTTGACCAACAGAGGGGATTCCACTGAGAACCCACAGCCCTTATCGGGCCATATAGGGAAAACCCCTATATGCCAACATCTATTGATTATATTGCGTTATTAAACAAAGTTGTAGCTGAGCCTACAGCTATAAATGAATTAGAAGAAATTATTGACATGGACGTCTCTAGGTGCTATCAAAACCACCCACACATAATTCCACAAGTCCTTAAGAATTTATTGAAAACTTATGCATATTATAACCCTGAAATAGGGTATTGCCAAGGGATGAATTATATTGCTGGAACTTTATATAAACATTACATTACATTATGTAGACGGGCTCTTGCCCTTAATTTTAACGCAATCACAGAGGATCCCCTAGGGTTCAACTCTCTTTGCGACCTTTCTTCCGTCCGGTCTCCTCCTTGTCACTTGTAAAAGACTCCAGTCTTGAGTGGGCAGTCTACGGGCTTTTGCGGCCTCCTGAGGCTGAGAGAAAACGAAGTTGGCATTCCGAAATCCCCGAAAAATGGAATTTCTGGTAGCCTATCGGCAAAAGGGTTAAAGTCCAGATCCTGGGACGTAACGCCCAGTTTCACGCTAGGCAATTGCCCGATTGGTCTAGGGATTACCTGTAGACCTTGCTGGGCTTGCCCTTTCCAAACCTGGACCTCCCTTTCCTTCGAGGTAAAACCCAGTCTCGGAATTGGACTTGGGCTAGGCTCTACCTCCTGCAGAATTGGTTACCATAGCATCGCCGTCCTTTCCGAGGCTAGTAAAACCTTGTCGGATATAATTAAAATATGAGTCGAGGATGTATGGCTGTGAGGCCATACCTAGACGAAGACGCCATATTTTAATTATAATTTTATATATACAAATACAAGATGAAGAAGCGACATTTAGATCTCTCATTTCCCTAGTTAAAAGGTTTAAAATGACAAATTTATTTATAGGAGAAATAATTAAATAAATTATGATAAAAAGTATATTAATTTATTTTTGTAAAAAAAAGCTCTGGCAGATTAAATTTATAGAGTATATAAATGATTTACCAAAGCTCAAGCAATTTTTCTATCAAATGGACAGACTTATTGGAATTTTAGAACCAGAGGTCCATGAGTATTTTAAAGAAGTTGGGATATCCTCAGGCCACTTTAGTTCTCCATGGTTTATCACCCTCTTCGCTAGCCACCTGCAGAATAAAACAGAAATTTTACTACAAATTTGGGATCTATTTTTAATTCAAGGGTGGAAAGCAATTTTTAAAGCTGGAATTTCAATAATTAGCAGACTATCCAAAGAGATTATAGGATCAAGGTTTGAAGATATTATGCAGGTGTTGACAAGTTTGAGTATTAACATTGCTAATATTGATGTATTTGATGGAGAATTCATTCAAAGAGTGAAGATGGTCAAAATTAGTGATGCTTTGCTACAGGATTTGGAATTTGAGTATGAAAACTTAAAAATAAGAGCTGCAGAGAGGAAAAAATAATTAATTGCAATAAATTTGATTCATTAATAGCTAATAAACTAATTATATTATGACTATGAGACTTATCGTCTGTCCATTATTCATAAATCTTTTTTAATTTCTAAATTATCTTTCCCTATTTTTGAGGTATAATTTCATATGGGCTGTGCTGATTATTAAACTCAACGATAAGATCTTATAGTCTTAAACTGAATGCATTATTATACTTTTTCTCAATAGTTTTTCTTAGGAATATATGATAAAGAATTTGTAAACAAAAATAATCTCTATTGATTTTATAAAATTATAAAATATATTTATTTAAGTTTTTAAACATAAAATCATCATTATTTCAAAAATTAATAGTCCATTCAGACTAAGCCAAAGTGATTTATTTTAAAATTCCCATTAGTATATTAGTTTATATTTCTTATTATGGCAATTCTTAAGTCAATAATTTCATGACTCTTAGGTCTTGGCTTGGGATCTTTATTAGCATATTATTTATCAAGACAAAAGAAGAAGCCACGATCAATTCCTCTAAAGGACCAATTAATCAGAAATTCCCAATTTTTTGGAGAAGGCCAAAAGAAAATTCAGCAAAGTTTTGTTATTGTTATTGGTCTAGGCGGTGTCGGCAGCCATTGTGTAGTAGGCTTAGCTCGATCAGGTATTAAAAAACTCCGAATTGTCGATTTCGATATTGTAACACTTGGCTCATTAAATCGACATGCAGTCGCTATAGTTGATGATGTCGGCCAAACTAAATCTGATGTATTAAAAAGGCACTTACTCCTCCCTCTATAAGCGAACAAAACCATTAGAAAAATCCCTATTTTTTGCCCAAAAACCACCCTCCATGAGCGAACAAAAATTTTTTATGGGAAAAATGTTGATAAATAGGTAATAACTAGTATCATGAAATCTCGAGCTAATTCTGTTTAATTTTAAACAAATAGTGTTTTTAAAACATAAATTTTATAATATTTCCCTTCAAATTTTCGAGAAGCGGGATATTTTTAAATTCCGAAAAAAAATTTACTTTAGAATTTATATATAAATTTTTAAAAAAAAAAATTAACCACCTCTGTGAGGAAAAAATTTTTTTTGTTCACTTACGGGGGGGGAGCTAGAAGAAATTATCCCACAGTGTGAAGTAGACGCTATCAATACATTGTTTTCCAGAGAAAATGCTGAACAATTATTAAGCGGAAACCCTGATTTTGTTATTGACTGCATTGATAATATCAACACAAAAGCTGACTTACTAGAATTTTGCCATCAGAGAGAAATCAATGTGATCAGCTCAGGAGGGGCTGGAGGAAAAATTGATCCAACCCGAATGGAAATTTCTGATATCTCGTCTACAAAAAACTGCGAGCTTGTAAGAAAATTACGAAAAATTTTGCATAAAAGAGGAGTAAAAGAAGGAATCACTGTTGTTTATTCAGCAGAGGGAGCTGCACAAAGTTTGTTAAAAGTGCAAGATAAAATGTCAAATACACAAGAAAAATATGATGATTATGCAAAATTCAGAACAAGAGTTATGCCAGTCATTGGAACCATGCCAGCAGTAGCAGGGAACTCTATAGCTACTTATGTGCTGTCTAGACTGGGTGGGGTTGAATTTAAGTCACTTGATAAAGAAAATGTCCGAAGAAATACATTCAACAAATTTTATCAAAGTCTTGAAATACTAGAAAAAAAACACTTTAGATGCAAGCTTGAAATGGACTTCGAAGAGTTTGAAAACGTCGCTGGAGATTTGTGGCATTGGCAATCGGTTTATAGCCACACTACTATTGGAGTTGATGCTGTGAGATTTGATTTGACGAAACCTCCAAGTGAAACTAATTTAATTATGCTGACTAAGCAAGAACTAAAACAACATATCTCGAATACTCTTCCATGGACACAAGAGCAGCTTGAAGAAATAAGAAGAAAACTGGAAGACAATTAAGCATAAATTAATTCAGATTTATTCAGCACCAAAACTTATTTTTTTATGCACTGTAAATGAATTTCTTAATTCAAAGAGTACTTTGAGTTTAAATCTTAAAAATAGTTAAAATATTATGTAATTTTAAACTTTCTCTATATTAATTTCTATTTTTTTATATGATAAAAAACTTCAGCAAGAGTTAAAATAAATAGCCAAATGCATATCTAAACATTTCTCTAGTTATCATTAAGGCATATAGTTTCTTTTCTTTAACTCCCCCCCCCCCTCCGTGAGTGAACAAAAAAATTTTGTTCACTCACGGAGGGAGGTTAATTTTTTTTTTTTAAAAAAAAAAATATATATAAATTTTATAAAAAATATTTTTTTTCGAAATTTAAAAAAATCCTAATTCGCAAAAATTGGAAAGCAAATGTTAATTTAATTTATAAAATTTATGTTTTAAAAAGCAATTCGTTTAAAATTAAACAGAATTAGTTTTAGATTTCATTATACTAATTATCATTTATATATCAAATTTTTTTTCCATAAAAAATTTTCTATTAAAAAAATTTTTGTTCACTCACGGAGGGTGGGTTTTTTGGGGCAAAAAAATGGCGATTTTTCTAATGGTTTTGTTCACTCACGGAGGGGGGGGAGTAAGTAAAATTTTATATCAAAATAATTATGGCTTCATATTTAAAGTTTGACAGGGTTTTATTTCTATATGATGAACTATTTTCTTAATTTTAATATCAAACGCAAAATATTTATTATCATTAATCAATAAGCCTTTGGAATCAAAATTTAACCTCTTTTATTGAATTGCTTTTCCTTCCTCATTTAGCTTATTTTTACTGCAATTTCAATATATTTTAAATTAAAATTTGCTAGATTTTAAATAACTAAAAGCGGTTGCATTTTTTGTATTTAAGTTTATAAAAAATTTTCAATTTTCATATAAATCTATATCGTCATGCAAACTAATCGTTTTGGCATTATAAGTGTCAGTAAATTCAACCATAAAGTTCATAAGTTAGTTTCATTTCTTAGAATACAAAAAACAATAATGGCTCATATAAAATTAAAATGTCTGAGTTGATTCAAACAAGTCTTCTATCAAAAGTTGAGAAAGACCCATTAATCATTTCACCCAAGCCTAAAAGGGTTTCTTTGGTCCCCATAAAGCCCAATATCAGCAACCCCTTCATTTCTTTGCTCGAAAATCAATGCAAAAATGAAGAGGATTCCATCATCAATGAGTTGCAGTTTATATTAACCCAGCCTGAAGTACAAAAGAAAAAATTACCAAACCCCGTACAGTCGCCTGCATTTTGCAGAGCTCAAAGACCAATGTCACGCCATACAAGTAATCCAATAATCAACGATGCATTATTCCAAGAATTAAACTGTTCTTAGAGGGTGCGTATAATGTTTATACCTAATTAAATTTTTAAATACCAATTTGTCTAGTTTTTTAACGGAGCTTTTGATATTTTTGACAATCAAATTTGGGCGATTTTTTTCTTGGCTATGTTAAATTCAATAAAAAATACTTATAAGGAGAATCCAAATAAAATATTACATTTTTAAAGTAAATAAATGAAAGTGAGCTGAAAAAGGAGAAAAAGAAAATTTGTTGAGAATTTAGAAAATTGAAGTTATACATTTTATTGAGTTATTTAATAAAGAATTTTTCATATTTTTTATATTTTGATAGTCGTCATTTTCATTTTTAATTACCTCATCAGATTTTTATCCTTAAGAATACCTTTAAAACATATCACTAAATTGTCATTTATTAATGCCTTCTTCTCTCATTACTTCTACTTCTCGATCTTCTTCTCCTTGGTGGAGTTTTTGACCTTTTTTTATTTTCTCTCCCTTTCTTTTCTTTTACCTCATTTTCAATTTCTCTTTTTAAAAATCTATCTGCGGCTTCCTTATTCTTTTTTTGTTCAATTTCACTTTCGCTTTCTGATTCTGAAGATTCGCTTGATGATCCTTCTGATGAAGATGAACTTGAAGAGGAAGATGAGCTTTCAGCTTGCTGTGGGGCATTTTTTAAAAATTCTCTTAATTCGTCAGTAAGACTGCCAAGCCCAATTGAGGTGAAAAAGTTGATAGCAAATCTGGTATGCTTTGGCAGGTCTTTGGGGAAAATTCCTTGGAAGCAGTCCATTAGCTCTTCATCTTTGAACTTGAATTGCATTTTTTCAATGCTAAGGTTTTCTGCTATTTCTTGCATCACGATTTTTATAAAGATTCTGCTTGAAGAAGTGGTGTCTTCTTCTGTAAGTCTGATGACTCTAAAAACACACCATGAAATTGCATCTGTAAATAATAAATGAGCAAAAAATTTTGCTAAATTCCTAAGTTTATTTGTTTCAAGCCTATGAATAGTCTGATAATACTGTGTAAGCAAATACTGGAAATGCTCTTGGTAAACAGGATTTAGCATACAAAATCGTTGGGAAAGTAATCCAAAAAAACGGAGATAAGTTCTCTCTTGCATGCAACACTCTAAAATCATAGCTGCGATGTCACCTTCTTGGCCTTCTCTAATTTTTAATTTTAGCATTTTATTTGCACACTCTTCAAACCCAACACTTGACATAATGCTTAAGTAAATTGTTTTTCTCAAATTCAGTAAATCCCTTTCTGTATAATCTTTGATTTTCCCTTCATTTTCGTCTTCTTCCTCTTCTTCCTCACTTTCCTCTTCTTCTCCTTCTCCTAAATAGTTTTCTTCTCCCAAAATTTCTCTTTTAATAACAGCCCACTCCTCTTCATTATTTTCGAAATTTTCGTCAAACTTAAAAACATTTAAAATTTCTTGACCATCTAAACTGTCATCCAATGAAATTTCATGTGTAATCTTATCAGCATCTTCTACAAGGTCTAACTCTTGAAGTACTCCAGGATGATCTCTGAATTTTGTTTTTCTGATCGCCATAAGGTTCTCAATGGTATATTGAACTCTTTTATTAGTTTCTCCTTCTTGTAAAATCCCTCGAAAACGGTCAAAAATTGCATTAACCCCTGTTGGTGATAAGTCAGTTAACACTTGTCCGCATTCAATCATAAAATCAGTTGCAATTTCAACTGAATCTTCTGTAGGTTTTTCTAATAGCAAAGCCATGATTTGCAAAGCTAGTAATTCATTAACGACTTGTTGATTTACCAAGTGGGCAATCATTTTTGTTGTCGCTATACACAATAACTTATCATTTCTTTTGTATGACCTTTGGAATTGAAGAATTACTCTGTGCAAAAGCAATATCCCAATTTCTGGTAATTTTGTATTTATGACTGAAATTAAAGCAGCATAAACGTGTGTGAAGTTTGGGGCTGCCATTTGTGCTTTAAGTATAGCCTTAGTCAATAATCCTTTTCCACGTAGCAAATTTTCATTAAAAAGTTCGAAAATTACATTAGAAATGTTACTGATATTGACTTTATTGATGATCCCATTAATGGATTTACGTAAGAGATCCCACATGAGTTTTTGATATTCAGGTGATTTTTTATCTTTTATTTCTTTTTGCATTTGAGCGAGCCTAAAAGGAGGGATATAGACGCTTTCAGATTGCATTGGCTTTATATCTGTCATTTTAATTATATAGCAATATAAAAACCTTATAGAAAAAGTTAAATAAAAATTTAAAGATAGAATAATTATCTAATTATTGAGTATTAAAAGACTTGAAAGATAGAGCAATATTAAGGCTAATTATTATAAACCATAAAATGGCACTTACAGCATCAGAACCTCAAAGGTTAGAAGAAGCTCTTCAGGCAAATCTTTACCTGACTGGAGATCATCCAACTCACACTGATGCAAAGGTGTTCGGAGAACTCTCTGGGACATCTTTTGATAAGGCCGCTTTCCCTAATCTCTGGGCATGGTTCCAATTCATTAGCCAATTCGCCCCAGAAATCACACAACAATGGCCAGCCCCAGTGCAACAAGCTCCAGCCCACGTCGAAGCTGCACCAGAACAAAAAGCTGCTGAAGGTGCAGAAGAAGACGATGTCGATCTTTTCGCTGACGATCCTTCTGTGGAAGAAGAAGCTAAAAAATTAGCAGAAGAAAAAGCCAAAGGAAAGAAAGAAGAGCCAGTTGGCAGAAGCACCGTCGTTTTTGATGTAAAACCAACCACCTCTACCGTCGATTTGGACGCTCTCGCAGCCAGAATTATCAACGAAGTTCAATTCCCAGGCCTTAAATGGGGTGCTGAATTTAAGAAGCAGCCAGTTGCCTTCGGAATCTTCAAGCTCATGGTCGGATGCGTGATGGAAGACACTGTTGAAACTGAAGCAATCGTTGAGCAAATCATGGAAATGACTGGCCAAATGAATGTGGAAGAAGAAGATGAGGAAGGAAATGGAACTGGAGTCTGGAATACAGTTGAAGACAATTTAGTTCAAAGTGTGGATATTGCCAACTTCCAGAAACTTTAAGTAAGCTCTTTCTTTTTATAATTATTAATGCTCAGATATAAAATCTATGCTGTAGTCACACACCCAGCATTCCCTAATTATGCCTATAAAGTTTCGTTATTGCTCCTCATAGGAGCGATTTATATTTTGCTGAACCCAGAACAGATTGAGCAGAGGGCTTTTGTGTCGGAAAATGCTTTGAGTATACAGACAGCGACTATAACAAGTAAAGATTTAAGCTATGTCAATAACATAGACAACCTTGAAGAGTTTTTAACCAATAGATTATTCGCAAGCCAGTGGAATAATACTAAAGTTTACTATAACCTGATTAGAGGAAGTAGAACTGATGGAAAAGATTGCATGGCTTTTATTATACCTTATAGTAAAGAAAAATACATAGGAATTGAAGCTGCTTATGAATTCATTAATTTTGTGCAGAAAAAAGAGTGGGTTGGAACGAATTTATTGTTTATTTATTATGATGATTCTATTGCTTATGCTGTAGAGTTTAGAAAGTGGCTGGATGAATATATTACGCAACCTTCTGAGTATTTTGGGATAATTCGGGAAGCAGTGGAATTTGATCTTTCAAACAGGTTTAGCTATTTTACTGTGGTTTCTGAAGGAATTAATGGGGTGCAAACTGATGTGGACATGCTTGTATCAGCACTTAGATGCTTTTCGAGGATTGAGGTAATTAATTTTAAGCACCCAGAGCCGGTTTTATACAAAATTCCTGATGATCTCTCATCTATTTTCCCTAATTTCTTAAGAAAAATAGAAGGCTCCTTATCAAGCTGATATTCTTTATGGAGCGGAAACGTAAACAACGCATTTTCCTATGCTCTCGATAAAGGAATTTTATCTTTAGCCATCAAAACAGGTCTAGAAAAAGGCGATAAAGGAAAATCCACTGGAAATGTCAAGCTCCAAATAGTAAAACTAATGGAAATGCTAACAAGAACTTTTACTTCTCTTGACGAAACCATGCATGCAGGAAGCTATTTTTATTATTTTTCTGGCAATTGGAAAATGATTACTTTAGGCAAATATGCATTTGTGATTGGAATTTTAATTCTTCCTTTAGCATTGCAGTCAATTTTGATATTAAGAGCAGGGTGGTTTAATATTCGCGCCATTTTATCAACAATTTTCCCTATAATTTTGACAGTTTTTCTGGCTAAAAGCTTTTTAGCAATATTTGTAAGCACAGCTGGGTATTTTTCATTAATTGTGCTTGCATTGATTCCTTTGCTTTTTTTGAAGAAAGAAGACCATAATTTCCTTCAGGCTTATACAAATGTAAGCTTTGCGGTTACTTTAGTAGTCACATCTCTACACATTTTGCCGATGATGCTAATATTTATCCCATTAATTCCTCTCAAAATTGTCGCTTTTATGAAACCATCAAGCAAAATACTCAAAAATCTTTATAAGACTTCTTTAGGGATCATTGCAATTTCTTTGATTTTTGCTCCACTTTCTCTTATAGAAACAAGTTCAAATCCATTGAGTATGATTTCATTGGAAAATTTATATGAAATTGAGATAAACTCTTCACATCAGCTTTTATCATTTTTTATTATTATCACTTTCCCATCAATATCACATATAATTTATCTAGCTATTATCTAAACATATTTAAGTCAATATTTAAATTATGGTCAATTGAGATTATGGATATATTTTTTGCAATTAATTGATGATATAAATATTAAAAGGCTGTTTTATTTAAATATTTAATGTTTTTTCTTTATAGTAAGTGCTTCTATTGGCCATTTCTCATTCGTGATATCTTTATTGAAAATTTTTGTGTATGCTTCTGCTGTAAAATGGGGAGCAAATGGATGCAAAATTATAAGCAGAATTTTAAGGTTTTGCTTAGTAGGCTTTGTTTTAACCGTTTCTGTGTGCTCCATAAGTCTTGCAATGACTACATGCAGTTTTTTATTCTCAAATGATCTTGTGACTCCATTTAATCATTTTGAGTAGTCTTCTTCATCATTTTCTGCTAGTTCTCCTTCTACTATATTTCATATATTCCCTAGCCATTTTTTCATAGTTTTTAGTAACCCCCCATCCCATTCTATTTGACTTTCACTAGGTGCTGAAAATAAAATAGCTAATCTTAATACGTCAGCTCCCCATTCTTCTATAATTTCTAAAAAATTTCACCATCCATGATGGCGAAGGCCGCAGTCCGACAGAAAAACAGGAGTTTTCCAAAACTCGGGGTCATTTAATAAAATGGTGGCCCCGAAGGGCCACGGGGTCTGATGGGGTGTGATTTCCGGGGTGGGAGCAGGTTTGGGCTGACTGGGCCTCTCCTCGACCCACAGACGAAAGACCGACGGCGCAATACCAAGCAGGCACTTCTGGAGGAGCATTATGCTGCCTGTAATTGGCGGAGAGGTAGTTCCAGAAGGAGGCTTTGGACGTTTCCCTCATACCCTGAGCACTACCAGGGGTTAAGAGAGTCCTTTGCTGAAGTTTTTTTGGTCCAAGCAGGGTCTCGGGTGAGTCTCCCCGAAAGATGTCGACGTCACCATTTTTGATGACGTCGACAAAAAAGGGCGTTAGGTGGCTTTGGTGACTAGCGCCACATTGAGCGTGAAGCTGGAGCTCGACTGGATCAGGGGCTGAAATAAACCCCGCTTTTACCCTCTCTAATTAATACTCTCTCTATAAATTTCTAAAGGATTTATTCCATTTTTCTTGCTTTTTGACATTTTTTCATGAGTAATTTCGACTCCTTCTAAATTTGTTGCTTCTTCTGCTGTTATGTATTTTCCATCTTTTTTGTAAGTTTTGCCTAGCACCAGCCCTTGTGTAAGTAGATTTGAAAAAGGCTCATCACAAGCTAAATAGCCTTCATCTCTAAGGACTTTATGGATAAATCTTGCATATAATAAATGCATAATTGCATGCTCACTACCACCGATATATAGATCGACAGGCAGCCACTTTTTAGCTTTTTCTCTATCAAAAATATCAAAGTCATTTCCAGGGTCTGCATATCTTAAATAATACCATGAAGAGTCCACAAAAGTGTCTAAAGTGTCTATTTCTTTTCCACCTGGGGTTCCACAATAAGGGCATCTCTCAGTTCTCCATTCAACTAAATCGTCTCCTTTTTGTGGAAGCATAACTGGAAGTCTGTAATTTGGAACATGACCGTGAATGATACAGTTAATCATAGGTATAGGAACACCCCAATATCTTTGACGAGAAACCAGCCAATCACGCAAATTATAGCAAGCTTTAGGAGAAATTGCGTCCTTGGACTTCAAAATTTCTTTGAGTCTGGGAATTGCTTCAGAAATTGAAAGTCCAGTGAATTCTCCACAGTTTATTAGTTTATCTTTATCAAAAACTTTTTTTACATCAATAGGTGAGCCTGTCACAGCTTTTAAGTCTTTATCGTCATGGCCTGGAATTCCCATTTTGCACCCAGTTCCTTGAGTCTAATTATAATTTACCATAAGAACATATTCAGCTATAGCAATTGGAATTTCTTCATTAGTTACTGGATGAATTGCTTTATGGCTAGAAATCACTATGATTTGAGTTCCAATTTTTCTCGTAGTTTCTGGCTTTTTTCTGATAGTTTCTAAGAATTTTTTTTCTTCTTCATTAAGATTCATCTTTGCTAATATAGGATGCTCAGGAGAAACTAGTATAAAAGTTGTCCCTAAAATGCCTTCAATGTTTGTAGTAAATGCTGACAGATTTTCATCTGTTTCTTTTATAGCAAAATTAATAGCAAATCCTTTGGTTTTCCCAATCCAGCCTCTTTGCATTTCTTTTACATAATCAGGCCATTGAAGTTTATCAAGCCCTTTAAGTAGCTCATCTGCATATTCTGTGATTTTAAAGTATCATTGTCTCATAGGTTTTCTTTCAACAAGAGCTCCTGATCTTCATGCCCTTCCGTTTTCATCAACTTGCTCATTTGCGAGTACAGTCTGATCTATTGGGTCTCAGTTCAAATACCCTTCAGTCTTATATGCAAGTCCTTTTTTAAATAGTAAAAGAAACAGCCACTGGGTTCACCTATAGTAGTCTGGCATGCACGTTCATACTTCTCTATCCCAATCAAATCTTAGTCCAAGGCTGTCCATTTGTTTCCTCATTTGAAAGATGTTTTGAAATGTCCATAAATGCGGTTCAATGTTTTTTTCTTTTGCCGCATTTTCTGCAGGGAGTCCAAAAGCGTCCCAACCCATTGGATGAAGTACATTTTTTCCTTTTAAATGTTCAAATAATGCAATAGCCTCACTTATAGCATATACCCTTACATGCCCTATATGCAGATTTCCAGAGGGATAAGGAAACATAGAAAGACAATAGAACTTTTCTCCGTTCCTTTTTTGTATAGGATTATTTCTCCAAAGTTGCTGCCACTTAGTTTCTACTTCTTTGAAATGATAATTACGGAATAATAATCTGTAAGCCATTTATTATGCTTTTTAGAAGAAGTCTAAGATTTTTCAATTTTCGTTTCTTCTCTGAGGTACAGAAAGCTATAAATCCTATGAAAGATTTAATCACACAGATAGAAAACAATATAAATGCGGTAGAATTGATGAAAAAAGAAAGAGAAATGAGTGAGGTTGCTCAAGAAAGAAAAAGGGCTTTGAATGATTTAGAACAGACAGCGGCGTTTAAGGTGCATGAGTTTGATAATGAAAATTTGTTAAAGATATTGAAAATTTATGCTGAAAATGACCAAGGGACTGAAAAGTTACTGTCAGCGATTTCTTCACAGATATACAGAAGAATTCATTCATTTTCGTATCAAGAATTGTCAGATATTGTATTTTATCTTTATAACTGGGAGTATGAATCACGAGTTTTTGATGTTATAGACAATTTATTGATCAAAAATCCATTTGAAATCACTCCTGAGATGGCTGCAAGGATTTCATTAGCGTATGGAATGAAGAAAAAAGGATCAGACACATTGTTCAAAATTATTACCAATATATTTTTGACAAAGAAAGCAGAAATTAATGCAGAAAACGGAATTATGATTATCACAGGGCTTTATAAAAAAGAGTATAAAGATTTTGCACTTTTAAGAGCTATTGAAGAATGGGCTGTAAGTAAAGCAGAAACAATGAACCCTTCACAGATTTCTCAATTGTTTTACTGCTTAATTAAATTAGAAAGCCCTGATTCTGTGCTAGAAAAAATAGAAAATTCCTTTAAAATTCAAGATTTCCAAGCAAAAGATATAGAAAAAGTCTTAGGGTGTTATTTATTTAAAAATAGAGCTTTGCCAAATGGAAAATTATTAGACCGCTGCATAGAGCTAATAAGCAAAAACCAAATAACTCCATCTGAGCTAGTTCAATTAATTTACACATTATCTCAACACAACAACACTGCAGATATTTTCACTGAAATTGAAAAATTGATCGTGAATTCAATAGAAAGTTTCACCCAAGAAGAAATTGTTTACCTATTTGTAGCATTAATTCGAACTGGCAAAGAAACTCCTAGTATTTTATCAATTCTTAAGCCTTGTCTTGATACAAATATTGACGCAAAATATTTATCAATGATTTATGCATCGATTCTTCGTAGAGGTAATCTTTATATTGAAACTCTAGAACCTTTATTCAAATGGACAGCGACTTGTATTAAAGGGAATATTCTTGACACTCAGTCAATTATTGCAGCACTTTACACTTTGCTTCATCTAAAATACCAAAATCTAGAGTTTTGGTCCAATATCTTAAAATGCATTAAAGACATAAAAATCCGAAGTGCTGATGAGTATATACAAATTTATAAAATAACTCAAAGGATTGGGAAACTTGATTTAGACGTAGGAGAAGTTTTAGAATTTTTGTCTAGAAGATATGAAAACCCTAATTAAATAAGATAATTTAAATGGAAAATAGCTTTGGCTCAGATTTAGAGCAGTATTTGAGAGACTATTCGGCTTCAAAGGTTTATAAAGCAGCAAGAAATTTGCAGCTCCCGCTAAGCGAAAATACTAGAAAACAAAACCAGCTTGGCCTAATAGAAAAGAATGAATTATTAGAAATTGAAAACAAGAAATTGACTATTAAAATAAGAGAATTAGAGCATAAATGGTCAGAAGAGAGAAAAGAATTAATTGATTCTCACCTTTATAAAATCGAAGAAATTGAAAATAAAAATAGTCAGCTTAGAAAAACCATCACAAATTTGGAAATTGAATTGAAAAATGCACAAAATGAATTAAATTCATACCAATGCAAGCATGAATATCTTGAACTAAAAGCGAAATCGTTAACTCCCCCCCCCTCCGTGAGCGAACAAAACCATTAGAAAAATCGCCATTTTTTGACCAAAAAACCACCTCCGTGTGAGTGAACAAAAATTTTTTTAATAGAAAAAATTTTAATGGAAAAAAATTTTGATATATAAGTGATAATTAGTATAATGAAATCTAGAGCTAATTCTGTTTAATTTTAAACAAATTGCGTTTTAAAACATAAATTTTGCAAATTAAATTAATATTTGCTTCCCAATTTTTGCAAATTAGGATTTTTTTAAATTTCGAAAAAAAATTTTTTTTAAAAAATTATATATAAATTTTTTTTAAAAAAAAAAAATTAACCCCCCTCCGTGAGCGAACAAAAATTTTTTTGTTCGCTCACGGAGGGGGGGGGGGAGTAAGAAATTTTCAGGAAAACCGCTCAGAGCTGCTAAAAGAAGTAGAAAAGTTAACTGATAAACTTTTCAAATTCAAACAGAAAAAATATACTTTCAAAGGAGACTGTTAATTTTTCTATTAAATTTAGAAATCAATTTCCTTCGGAAAATAAAATATGGTAGATAAATAATAGAAATTATGGCTTGCATATGCATATGAACAATTTAATGAAATGAGCCTAAAATATAAAGCCATTGAAGATGAATTAGAAATCTGTAAGGAAGAGAAGAGAGAAGCAGATAAAAAAATTTCGATGTTAGAGCAGACACTGAGACATATGTGTGAAGAAAAAGATATGAGGATAGAAAGATTACAGTTTCTTATTAGAGAAAAAACTCCTCTAAAACCAAAAGAAAACTTATCAAGGACAGTCACTCCGCTGACTGACAGAAACACAAGGTCAATTTCTCCTATGGCAACATCGAGAAGCACTTTTGATTTAACAAAAACAATGGAAACAACTGCAACTACGAAACTCTCTGAAGACTTCAGTGCTGACATCAAAAATCTTGAAAAATCCCACAAGAAATTAAAGCAAAAATATATTTCTCTGATAACCTCGAGAGCTCATGAGTCAGAGCTCATAAAAGCATATAACAAAATTAATATCAATGAAAAAGCATTGAGTGATTTTCAAAAAAAGCAGAAAAAAATATACTGAAATTAATTGAGCTGGGCTAATAAAAATATCCAACATAAAATATCTTATTTTTTTAATTAATTATTTTTAATAATACTCAGTATAGTCTTAGAATCAAAAAGCTTTAATTTGTAAAAATAAATTTTAATAAAGGTTTAAAGCTCATTTACTGTCATAACTGCTAGCGAATCATTAATTCTTGGACCAATTTCTTGAATTTTGCTTCCTAAATCTCCAACGTTTCTTGCTTTTCCAAGCACCCCTCCAGAGCCCATAGGCAGTAATGAGTTTACAGCTGATCCAAACTTGCTTGCTGTTATAAACCCTATAATTCCAAGGAAAATAAATGCGAAAATCAAAATCAATATCAGCAGAGTAATTAAAAACATTTTTATCAGTTTTCCTTTTCCCATTCCCATATGCTCAATCGCACCATTTGCTATTTCACTGCGAATATATTCCAGAGCCGCATCAAATTCTTGCACATTCATGCAACCACTTCCATCTGCATCAAACTTTGAAAAAATTTCCAATAGCCTTTGCATGGTAAATTCCAAGTCAAAAAATTTCATAATTTGGGCAAACTCTTCAAAATCAAGCTCTCCTGAATGGTCTTTGTCCAGCATATGGAAGATTTGGTCTGTATCTCCTCCTGAATCCATTTTTTCTTTTAATTTTTCAAGATCACTTTTGCCAGACCTAGCTTCTTCTTCAGATTCTCCTATTAATTTCAGTCTTTTAATAAGTGTTACGACTTGCTGAATTTTAACAGGGTCAAATTCACAAAATCTCCCAGCCATGCCAGCTAGGCCATTCCAGTCTCCTTTTCCAAGTGCTATAAACCCAGCTATGATATTTTCATCAATTTCATATGTTTTTGACAGTTTATAAGCAGCTTTATCTCTGCTTTCTAAGCTATTATCTGACTGGAATAGAGCTACAAGTCCACATAACAAAGATAAAGTTTCAGGCTTCACATTTGGCATTAAAGCAAGCCCTAAGCTAGGCATTGCAGCTAAGACTGCACTTTTATACTTATTTGGATCTGTGCATACCAAAAAGAATGCATCCAGAACAATAATATCAGCATTTTCCTTTTCTTTGCCAGGTTTTACAGGCAATCTTAAGTTTTTCGGGATATTTGATACAATATAGTCTACAAATGGAAATAGGACTTCTCCCATGCCGTCACGACCATAGTCTAGATCTTTTTGCAGTTTTCCTAGTAGTTTTACTATAGAATCAACAACTGGGATTGGAATTTTTGGGTAGCGCTGATTAATTATCCTAGGAAGCCATGTAAATTCTTTCAAGTTTAATGGATTCTTAGGGACTGCTAATGTAAAAAGCTCTTTCAGTGCGTCTTCTGGGATGCCAAACTCCTCTTTAGCGAACCCTAAAAATGCTTCAAGCTCCCCCATTGCATAAAGCAAAAACATTTTCCCTGGCTTAGACTTAGCTGGCATTTCAACCTTTGTAAGCTTTTCTAAAAATTTCTTTATAAATGGTAAAAGTTCTCTATAGCGGTCATCAAGCTTTTTTTGGACCAAAGCTATCATTATTTCAGGAGCGTTTTCTACATAATTTTCTTTTAGTTCCATTTTATAATAATCTGAGTTCGCAGCCCTTGTTACCCCTTTTGCCATTAAATTATACTGTTTCCTTACAGATCCTACAAGGCTTTGTATAAGTCCTGAGGGTATATTTAAATTATTGTGGTCAATATATTCCTCAACTTTATCAGTAGCATTAAAAAGCATGGTAGAATTTCCATTGAAAATGTGGACTAAGTACTTTAAAATTTCATAGTGGTCAAAGCTTTCTCCAAGGATTCTCATGACGATTGGGACAACTTCTACGTCTCCTTCACCAATCCCTAGAATTAAATCAAGAATGATCCCTCCCGCCTTTTTCTTGTACTCATTTAAGAGAATTCGCCTCATATTAGGATTTCTTCAGAGTCTCTTGAAGCCGATTTTTTCAATAAGTGCTTCTTTGTAAGGGTTTCCGATTGAATTTGTATTAGAAGCTTCAATGTCGTTTGTCATGTCTGCTTCTAAAAATCTGGTGTGATTAGGTGAAGTTTCGATTTCTAGATCAATATCCATACGAATGTTGTCGTTAAACATGTTTTCTTTAACATCATATGGCATTTTCTTACTTTCCTCCCTTTAAATTGGAACAAAAATGTCAAGGGCAATTTCTTTTTTCCGAATTTTTTATATAATTTATCGATTCAAAGTATTAGCTTTGTTTAAATACTATTCTATTGCGCTTTCCCATTTAAAATAGAGCAGTTTATAGGAAAATTTTCGATTTGGTTTATTAAATTTAGTATTAAAAAACTATTTATATATAAATTATATTTTTATGAATGAGGATAATTTATCTTATGGATGTAAATTTACATTATTTTTGGGAAGAGTTAGATATTCAGAGTTAAACTAATTAAAAAATGTCAATTTAGCGGCAGGGATAAATATATTTCACTAAATATCTTCAGGCTATTAGCGTTAAATTCAGCCTAGAACAGGATAAAATGCTTTGCAAAGCTTTTAATAGTAGTGCTTGTTGTGACTCATCTTTTTCTTGCAATCTCTGCAAATTCATAAAAAAGAGCCCTAATTGTACCCATGCATCCAGATCTCCTGACATAGCTTGAAATATTGAAGCAGCTAAAGCGGAACTAATGGGTGGTGACGAAAGCCTTTCACAAATGCTCTGAAACGAAAGCTCCAAGCTTTCTTTAGTTTTATAACAATATGGCAAAAACCCTTGTGCAATACTTGGATCAATTTCAAGCCTAACTGCTAATGGGCCAATTCCTGATGAAAGAGCATCAATTGAGTTAAAAGAAAGCATGATCAGGATAAGCAGCATATCTTGGTCTACTTCTAAAAAATCTCCTAAAGCATCAATTGTTTCTATAACTCCATGTGGATTTCGAGAACATAGCGCTGTCAAGCTCTGCAGAAGCCTTGGGTCATGATATATCTTTGTACACAACAATTGATTGGTTTTACTTTCAATTTTCCAACAACTATGATCGCCTTTAGCCAATTTTACCAAAAATTCGAGCTCGGGAGCATCAGGCTCAAAGCCATAAAATGAAAATAAATCGTCTTCGTTTGCTTCATCAGTATCAGTGTTCCCCAACAATTTTTTATTTTTTTCTTCCAATTCTTTAAATTCTTCTACTAGCTCTAATATATCTTCCCAATCTCCAGTAGACAGTGCCATTATTTCTTTTAATGTATCAATATCAATAGGTAAATCTTCATATAAAGATTTCAATATTTCTTCAATTTTATCATGATGATGCAAATTCCCACCTGCTAGTTCCAAAAACAGCTTTACAGACTCTTCGTTGAAATATCCTTCACCTGGTAATGATTTTTCATTTAATCCAGCTATAAGAGTATTCATATATTTCTGTTTTCTACTTGGGTCAAAACTTAAAGTTATTCGCTTTTTCAGTATTGAGCCTTCAGAATCGACCTCATCTAGGTCGCCAGTTGACGAAAAAGAGCTTTCAGATGAAGAACCCATTGATGAAGACTCTGAGTCAGATTTGTCAGATTCTTCGGTTTCCAAAATGTAGTCGTTAAAATCGTCATCATGGACGTATTCGTCAATGAACCGTTGAGCTTCTCTTGCAGTTTCTATTTGTAAAATTTGTCGAAGCCATAATAAGCATGCTGCATCATGCCTGGCTAGTTTTATTAAAATTTCTAATCCTTTTGAAGGTATTTTAAACAAATCAGATAAGTTTCTTACAATAGAAGGAAGGTGCTTAAATGCCATCCATGCATTATGTTCTTTGGATTTTATATTGCTTCTAAAAGGGTTCTGATTTACTAAACATGCAAAACTTGCATAAATATTTTTTTCAACTGATCCCCAGCCCAGCTTCCCTGCGATTTCTCCTATAATGCTGGCATCACCTTGCACAAGTTTTGTGACTACAACAGCACCATTGCTATTAGGCAATCCAATAGATTTGCAAAGCCAAGGAAGCCCTTGTTTTAGCTTTCTCGTTTTTTGAGAAGGCTTATATACTATATGTTTTAATCTTGCATAATAAGATAATAATTTTCCTAGCTTTTTTCTTATGCAAAATCAGTAGGATGCTTTATATTTTTTGCCAGACTTGCCATCAATAGATAAATATGAGTAAATGCTAAGCAAAGCTTTTAAGAGCTGCGGCCTTATTGCTCCGCCATCTTCTAAATCTTCAGCTATGTCTTCAACATGGTCAAAATCAGATCTAGTCAGTGCAACAACAGCGGCTGCTTTTTGGTCATCAAGGCCCAATTTTAACACAATTTTTTGGAAACTTGAAGAAGTTTTTAGCGTAGTATGGTTTAAATCGTCATTTCCTGACAAAGTCACCAAGACCTCTGCTATATCTGCATCAAAGGAAATAGCTGAGCAAATGTCTTCTATATTTTGGACTTGTCCAAGCGCCATAGAAATGAAGCCTCGACAATGAGATTCTTCTATTTGAAATCCTGGACTGTGCAGTCTAGACATTTCGATAATGGTGGAGGCCATAGTTTCATAATCAAGCTTAGAAGCTGCAATCATCCCTGATATAACCAATGGAGGGATTTCTAAGACTTGTCCTAGGACTTCTGAACAAGTAGCTTTTTTCGATAATTCGCCTTGAGGGTTTATAGAAAATTTACAATTAGTTTTGATTGCTAAAGCTGATATGGATTTTCCTATGTTTTCAAGAATTGGGTCAAGCCTTAGCACGTGAAGCAAATTACCCACTTTTTCTATGACATCTGAGTCAGAAAGAGCTCCAAAAATGGTCATAATTGTTGTGAGAGTGTCAGGGTTTAAAGAAAGTGCTTTTCCTAATGGTTCTAGCTCAGAGATTTCTCCATTTACAAAGTTCGCTATTGAGTCTTGCAAAGCTGGGGCATCAACCCCGAGTTCTCCTATAAATTTCTTAGTGAACTGTTTAAATATTTCAGCGTTTTCAGAAACAATGTCAGCAAATCCAATAGCGAGGGAGTCTAAAAAGGAGGTTGGGACTCCTATAGTTCTAGCCAGCTTATTGAAGCCAAGAACAGCATTGAAAAATATCTGGTTTTGGTTCGAATAGTCTTGAATTATTCCTTCATAGCCAGACACATCTTTTATGCCCACTTTTTCAAGCCAGTTCTTCATAGCGATAGTTTTTGGATAGATATTGTCTTCTAAAACCATATCAATTCAGGCGCTCATCATTTCTGGCTCAACTTCAAACAGTCTTGCAAGGGCAATTATATTTTCTTTTCTTTTAGTTCCTTGAGTTTGCCATAGATATGAGGCTTGGATTAATGATTTATATTTTCTTTGGTTTTCTTCATCACATGGGACTTTCTTTTCAAAGATTTTTCTATCTCGTCTTTAAAAAATTTTTTTTTCTGTAAATATTATATTGAATTCTAGGGGATTCTGCTTTATTAGTATATAAGAATGTAAGGAAGATGGCCGGATATTGGAATGACATCAATAGCTGCCCTTTTGCCATAATTCTTCTCTTCACTTTCAAAGCTTTTATTTCTGAAACCTTATTCGCAAGTGCTTTGCACCAATCCTTACAAAGCGCTGCATGAAATCTTCATGACAGCGCTTTTTTCCTCCTTACAAGTGGATCATCATTTTTTAGTTTCAGCTGTTTTACTAAATATCCATTTGGCAAATCTTTCGGGTCAATAAGCCTTTTTGCTACAAACGTCAGGTCTTTGCATTGCATTTTCAGCTTAGAATGAGCTTCCCTAATAGAATCTACATCAAGTGAAGTCAGCCACACAGTCACATGTGATAAATAATCAGTAAAGCTTTCATCCAATCTCATTCTCCTTACAACTTCTCTTGTGATTTCTTTAAGTGCTGAGCCTTGCCGCTTATTAGCCCCTCTTATAATTGAATAAAGTCCTAAGAGCTGTTCCCCAGTCAATTTAAAAAATTTTGCCATCCATTCCATGCTTTCAGCTGTTGGCTGATGTGACTCTGCAAGTGCTTTAAATGCAGGCGGCAGCTTATTTTCATTAATCATAGCTTGGATTTCACTGTCAGGCTGTATGATGTCTCCACTAATTAAATTTGAGTCTCTTACGTTCTCAACATTTGTAGTCAGCCGAGGGATTTCTGTATATTTTTTCTCTGCAAAAATAGGAGCTATGCTTTTGACGATTTCTGGGTCTAAGTCATATTGATCAGCTAGCTCATCAAAATCAATGTTAACGCCGTGGATTATTGCAAATAGAGAAGAAATTGTTTGATGCTCAAGTCTCCAGCCATATTTTCTGTTAAGCATGTCCGTAACTTGTATTAGAAGGCGTTGAAGCTGTCCATGAGATTCTCTAGCCATATGGACGATCATTTGGATCGGCAGGGAGTCTTGGATTCCTAAAAATTTAGAAAATGTGTCGACTTTTTCATCCCAGCCGCTATAGTCATTTTGAAATTTATATATTTTCCGCTGAATTTGTTATTCTATTAGTAGTGTAAATAAGAATATTTACATTTTAAATAATAATTTTTATCAAATCAACAAGAATACTTGCATATCCTTCATCACAAAAAGCTCCAATACATTCCGCTATATCTTTAGGGAAGTTCCCAAAATTGGTCATTAGCCTTACAAAAATTTCCACAATTTCTTTGCCGCCATCTTCAATTAATCCTTTAATAAGAAGCATTAAATCTGTAATAGGCTTAGGGAACGTCTCTGATGTAGATATTCAGGTCAGCATTCTCTCAGTAGATCCACGTGACATTGCAACAAGTGCTTCAATAATTCTAGGATCTATATTGTATCCATCAATTTCTTTGTCAGCTAATAATTCTTTTTTCATCTTCACAAATTGCACAGTTGCCATTTTCACAGAACTTCTTATATTTAAATCACTTTGTTTTAGTGATACTTTTAAACAATCCTAAATTGAATTATCTATATTATTTACAATTTTCGAGATATTTTATATATAAATTTGATATTGATAGGAATTAAGTTAATGTATGCAAGCATACTATCATTTTTGCAATATCAGGAGATATATTAATGGCTGGGATTGCAGCAAGCTGTTCAGTGATTCCTAAAAGCTTATTATTATCTTTTTGTATTACTGCCACGATAGCTGCCATTATCAAAGGATGAATTCCAAACTCGATTGCAATTTCTTTTATGGCAGATTCATCGCCTTGAGCTAAAGCAGTTGCGAGCTTATGGTTTATATCTAGCGATTTCGCTATTCCTCCAAGCGGAGTTTTAGAAAATACTTGTAAGGTTCTGTTTTCTCTACTAATTGTAGAAGTCTGTACTTGGCTTAAAGCTAGCCCAGCACATGCACTTTCTAATGTTGCACTCACATTCCCATTGAGTTTTTCTTTTACAGAGGTTTTTACCCTCTTGAAAATTTCTGAAGTCATAAAAGTGATTATTTTTACCTGGGCCAAGCAAAATGCTATTAACGTTGCAGCACCTGCACAGTAAGGCAAAAATATATCAGGGTTAAGCACTGCTCCTAATATAAACCACATTAATGCATTCACAAATAGCATCACAATAATTCCAGCAATAAATAATAACGCGAAATAATGGGCAAATTGAGAAAGTTTTCTATATCCTGTAATCCCTGCTAGCAAGGTGTCTGCCCTGGCTGGGAAAACTTGATAGATGTAATATGTGTAAAGCTCAACAATAGAAATTACTAATAAAATAGCCGACACTATTAGCATCACCCAAAGAATTGTTTCTAACTCCCCCCCCCCCCCTCCGTGAGCGAACAAAAAAATTTTGTTCGCTCACGGAGGGGGGTTAATTTTTTTTTTTAAAAAAAATTTATATATAAAATTTTATAAAAAAATATTTTTTTCGAAATTTAAAAAAATCCTAATTTGCAAAAATTGGGAAGCAAATATTAATTTAATTTGCAAAAATTTATGTTTTAAAACGCAATTTGTTTAAAATTAAACAGAATTAGCTCTAGATTTCATTATACTAATTATCACTTATATATCAAAATTTTTTCTATATTAAAAAAATTTTTGTTCACTCACGGAGGGTGGGTTTTTGGTCAAAAAATGGCGATTTTTCTAATGGTTTTGTTCGCTCACGAGGGGGGGGGGGGAGTAAGTATTCAAATTTTGACGGCATCAAATACCATGCACTTTTCATATCAATTTTGGTCAGAATATAGTCAGGATTTCTTGCAGAAGTTTCAGCATGCTTTGTTTCTGTTAAAAGCGGAGTTAAAGATAGCGGCAATACTATCCACACACACAAAATCACATGCAGAATGGCTACGCAGCAATCTGCACAATACCAACATTTCCCTAGAGGGCTAACATCTTTATCGCCTTCTTTATATACAAATGCTGATAAATCTATCCTATATCGTCCTCCAGCTTTTAAATGGGTTATTTGTAGCCTCTCAAAAATACTCCCCATAGCGCCCATCGCTCTTTTAGTAATAGGAACAGCATCAGTCACCTGCTCAGCCCTGCAAAACTTCTCATACTCGCTTTGGAAATCTTTAACATAAATTACATCAGCATTAAATGGAGATAAATTGCACCTCGACCTGACGAAAAAGCTTAAAGAGTCTTCATTTGGCATTTGTGCAGGCTTTCCAAGCTCAATTAATTCTTTTCTATTTTTAAAAAAGATTTTTCTGAAAACTTCAGTAGAGGTATCGTTGACAGTAAAAAATTCCATCTCAAGATCAGTGAATTTCTCTTTATTTTCTTTAAGATTTTTTTCGACATATCCTTTTGCAAAGCAGAATTCTTCATACTTTGACTTTACATCTACCAATTTTAATGTTTGTATCGGCACTTCTTCGCCTTCTGGTACTTCTTTTACAACTTTTTGTAAAAACAAAGACAATGAGTCTGCGTTTGATTGAGAACTTTGAGTTATTAGAATATCAGGAATTGCATAAGGAGGCAATAAGCAGCCCTCCCCAGGGACTTGGTCTTCCTCTTCTTTTCCTTCATTTCCTTCAACTTCTTCTTTTTCATTTTCGTTATTTTCGTTATTTTCATCATTTTCTTCATCATCTTCATCTAATTCGTTTAAAATTTCTTTGGCAGATCTATTATCTCTTATTCTTGTTTCCACTGTATTTCTGAGCACTAAAAACCTTCTTTTATGCTCTAATTTTCTCCATACAATATCAGCGAGATTTTTTAGAAAAATGTAAAAGCCAAAAGCACCGCCAAGCCCACACACAAAGCCGAGAAACAAACTAATAGAAAGAGCAGCTAATAAAAATGGGTTATCAGTGAGCTTAATAAGGTGTTTTGACAGCTGTAGGGTTTTTGTCCGAGAAAATTTGTATCAGTTGTCACTTGTTTTGCTTGTTTCCATTCATATGAGGAGGTCAGAATCTCTTGCTGACCACATGTCATAGAGTGTGTTATACATAGTGCTGATTGTGGAGTTGGTTAATTTTGTATTGGTTAAAGGGTTTAAGTTTAAGTTTATGTTTAAGTTTAATGATTACTCTGGTAATTGCCCTTAATCTTCTTTTACTTGAGGTCCAGCTACATTAGCAGCTCTGAATAACGGTAGGTGGACCGGTTTAACCGTCAAGCCGTTAAAGTTAATAAGCCCGTTAAGACTTCTCTAGTCAGTGCCAGCCTCAGCACTGACCTCTTCTCTTCAAGCCGAGACTCTCAAGAAGCTTGACTTCTCTCACTAAGCTCGGATAATAGGACCATTACCTATTTAATAGGATTTAGGACCTATCCCTAACTGACATTTTTAATATTGTGGTTAAAGGGTAGCTTAAAGGAAGAATCCTTATGTTAATAGAATATATATCAGGGACTAGTAGTCCAAAAGATATTAATGACAGCCACCAAGGCTTCATTTGAGCATATGCCTCATTTGTAGTAAAAAGCCATTTTCCATTATCTTCATAGATCCCAGGCATGTTCATAATTGCTAGCACGTCTTTGTTGATCCCTGCGTTAAATGTATCATTTGCGATTTTATCAATAACCACGTGGCCTTTTAAGTCAACAATTGGGACTTCGTCGCCTGAAATCATTTTATAGCCTGGCTGGAGCTCTCCTCCACTTATTAAATTCCAATATATAGCACCATTGCTTATTTTTACATCAAATGATCTTGTGTTTTTGCAAGGGCTTGAGGAGCATACATAATGAGCCCCTTCACAGCTTTCAACTGTATAAGAAGTGTCATTGGTATACCAATATTTTGAAGTAATACACTCATCTGTAGATCCTGCTACTATACTGGGCCCAGCAAAGCAGTAATACCCAGAATATGTGGTAGATCAGCTAATATAAGAATCTTTAATCTCCCATCGGTTAGAGAGCAAACCATCGAAAAAAATCCAATTTTTGGTAATTTGCAAGTAAAATCTTTTTATTTAAATATTGTTTTGTATAAATATTGATTTATATTAATCATTGTGAAAATGAGATCTCGATCTAATTTTATTAAATATTAAAACAGATTCCATCCTTAAATATTAATTTTATAAGTTATATTAGATTTCCGTTTCAATAACTAAAAAATTTGATTATATGTAATTTTAATATATTTTTTGTAAAAGTTTAAACCCTCTCGATTAGCGACATAAAACTTTCTCGCTCGCCAGAGTGGAGTTAGGGGTTTGTATTCATAGATCTCCATCTGTTATATCAATATTTCCACTGGTAGCAGTTAAGCTTTCAATAGTTACAGTCCCACTTAAGTTTACTGATAAATCACCTGTATTAACCTCTTTTAATTTGATTCTGCTTTGTAAAATATTTCCATTATCATCAGCATAAGTATTTGCTGTGAAACTGCTAAAACTGATATCATCATCAACTTGCTCAATCCAGCACAAATGCACGCACTCAAAAGTGATATCTGGGAAGATTCCATTTGAGGTTATTATATATTGATTAAGAATCAACAATTTATTAAAGACTTAATTATCATTTATATCTGAAAAAACAATTATATAAAAAATTGAGTGACTGTTTTATTCCATATCATTATAATTTAATTTCACATGTCTCCAAATCTTCATAGTAGTTTTCAGCAGAAAGGATGCCAGGTTCTGCTTTTGCTGTGTCATTTGAAGGATTCCGAAATGCATTTACATATGCCTTTACCTCATTCTCAGATAATGATAAATCTTTATAAAGCTTTATTTTACAGTCATGAACTGCAACTACTAGAGATGAGTCTGTAAAGGTTGCGTTCAGCTCAAATTGACTACCTATTGCGTAGGTGTAGAAAGAAATAAAAATAATGAAAAGAAAGATCGTTATGTATGTAATCCTCACTGATTTCCTTAAGTTAGCTAAGCAGGTGTTTGGTCAAGCACAGGTAGCAACTCTACACCCCCACCCCCCCTTTTTTAATGGTACCCCCCACCCCCCCTAAAAAATGGGCACCCCCACCCCCCCCCCTTAATATAGCATAAATATATGACAAATGCCAATTTAGAGCAGACGTAATAAATAAATTATTATTTTAAATATTCAAAATTACTGATTTATACAATATCCACATAGCGTAGCACAATCGATTAAGGAGTAGGTGGAATGAGGTGAGAATTTCCTATAACTACTAAGCACACCACATATAAAAATTTGTTAGTAAGCATAATAATGATCTTTGGTATTAATTAGCAATATATCCTGCATATATTTATGAACTTTGTGGAATAATGGCTAAAAGTCGAATTAGAGATCCAAAAGTAAAACTGACAATAGCAAATACTATTTTTTATTACCACTATTGAATCCTGTTACCAATTCAGTCCTGCAATCCTTATACAATGGACATTAGATTAGCTTTAATGTATGAATCAATAAATTTAATGCAATTTATTGTGTTGTGCTTGGCTCATTTAATAATTAATGCCATTATCTATATCTTTGGCATTATATTTATAAATATAAAAAACAAATTTAATATATTTTCTAATTAATTGCTAATTAATTTAAATTTATTAATTAATCATAAATATAAAGTAATTTGTGGACTTAATTTATCAATATAGTGTTTTAATTGGGTTATATTTAATTTATTTTGCTTGTTTCCTATCAATTACATCTATAGAATAAACCCGAGAGGGGGGGTGGGGGTACCATTTTTAGGGGGGGGGGGTGGGGGTTCCCTTATTGGGGGGTGGGGGTGTAGGGTTGCTACCTGTGCTTGACCAGGTGTTTGACAGCTTGCCTGAGCCTAATGATCTCCATGTACCCATAACTGAAGTGAGACTTTTTTTGAGAAGCGGGACCTTTTCTTGGACTGGTTGGTCTGGATCTGGCAGATCTTCGCAGTTTTGAACAAGTATAGTAGGCTCTGGGGCTACCTTAGGACTTTTCGCTCGATCTGGTTCTAGCATAAATTTTTATTGTAAAAACGGTTTCATGACGACAGAAATTAAGATAAAATTAATATCATGTATTCTTGAAGAAGCTATAAACTAGAAGTAAAATAGGAAATAATGTTTTAGACAATGATATAATGAGCGTTTTCGATAAAAACGCTTAATTTTTCTAATAGGTTGGGTTTAAGTGCTGCAATTAGAAGGATAATAAATATGAAAGATGAGACTAATTAATATGTTGCTTTAATTTACATAATTTCGTTGCCTTAGTTGTCCAAATGATAACTATTCCATATGCGGACCAAAATCTAAATGTGGAGTCTTTATACTTGAATAAATACATATTGAGTTTTAGTTCTAAAATTGGCAATAAGAAAATAATATTTATATATTTTATTGTTCTTAATGATTTAACTAAAGCGACCTATTCCAATGAAAAATGCTTCTTGAAGGTATAAAATTTATATAGTCTCTTAATATGATATATATAGTAAAAATTAAGCGATATAAAATATTAATGACTCGATATTAAAATACCTAGCAGTTTCAATAAAAAGCTAATTAATACCAAAATAATGCTTTTCACTCGATCAAAATTCAGAATATTTTCAAGCACAGAACTATTTAAGCTCTCTTCTGTGTTTAAATTTCAGTCGAATTATCAACAGACATACTCTCTCAATTGATTATAATAATGATATTGACATAAATAGGGACTATTTCGACTGGTATCACGATAAATTCTCATATTTTTTTGAGGCAATCAAATGTTAATATTATTACCGAAGGGATCTTGTACAAAAAGCTGATTGATAAATGATTTTGGTAAAAACACTTCGAAATTGCTAAATCAGCAACAACAAAAATCTCCGTCAAAAATAATTCCAGCTCCTAAATAAATAGATTAATAAAATTCAAGCAAATATAATTACTTCTTATATTTAATTTATTCCTCTTATAAAATAACAAGCACTTGCTTTTTTACTAAGATATTTTTATGCTACTGAAAATGAAGTTCTAAAACATCTGAAGGAGTACTAGCAGTTTAAGGCTATCAATTTCCTATAGTAGAGCGAAATATTGATAAAATTGTGAAGTGGTAAAAAATCAAGTATGGAAAAAATAGTTACTTACGCATTTACTCACCATTTAATGAAATTTCACCTCCAGAGTCAATAAATACATGCAGAAATTATGAGAATTAAAAGAACATATATGCATGGCCAGCCATAAGAACTCATACCACAATCAACTTGAAAATTATTTCGAGAAAATTAAATTTCACTGAGCTGAATGATAAAAAAGTCATAAGATTTCCTAATAGTTATCGTATAGGAAGATTGAATATTAATTTAGCTTCTTTTTAAATTTCCAATAAAAATAATGATAATTTTAGCTAATTTCCATTTATATATCAAGATCTTATGGACTAAGCCACTTATTCTTTAATTAAAATATGAAGCTATTGAGAAGATCAAGCCAAAGATTTTTCTCAAAAGACCTATTTTCAGGCTTTTCTGATTCATATGCAAAGTACAGGCCAGACTATCCTGAAGATTTATTTACACATTTATCGTCGCTCACAAATAATCATTTAGTCGCATGAGACGTCGCTACCGGCTCAGGCCAAGCTGCAAAATCTCTATCTAAATATTATTCAACCGTAATAGCCACAGATTCCAGCGCAAGTCAAATAAATAGCGCCTTGCCAAAAGACTCCTCAAACTCACTAATTTTCGAGCATCTCCCAGCAGAATTGCCAAAAGAAGTAGTTGACTCTCATAAGTATTTGACGTATAACAACGTAGATTTAATTACAGTTGCCCAAGCCATGCATTGATTTAATTTAGAAAAATTTTATGATGTTGTGTATAAGGTCTTGAAGACTGATGGAATTATTGCAGCTTGGAGTTATCAATTGCCTGAAGTTAGCAGTGAAATTGATAAAATTATGATGGAAATATATGAAAATGTGCTAGGGGAAAAATATTGGAGTCCGCTGCTGAAGCATGTAGATAATGGATATGCAAATTTAGATTTTCCATTTGATAGAAATGTCTCTTTACCACCTACAAAGGAAATTATAAAAGAATGGAATTTTGAGGATTATTGGAATTATCTGCATACTTGGTCTGGCTTGCAAACAGCTATTAAAAACTCAAACCAAGATCCTTCACAGCCATTTTATGATAAATTTTTAGAGATTTGGGGTAAAAATGAAGTTAAAACAGTAAAGTTTCCAATGAAATTTTTAATAGGTAGGCTTCAATTTGATAAGGAAATTACTGAGGACACGAGCATAAAAGAAATAAACAGCTATATAAAAAGATTTTCTTTTTTCCGAGCTTCACAATCAGTGTCTGCTTTAAATACAGTAAAGCATCTTATAAATAAAATTTCCAATCATTTTGATGTGCCAACTGATGAAGAAATAACTGATATTCTAGAATATTTAACAGAAATAAAAGATTTACCAATAAAAGCAGAAAGCGACAATTTAATTATGTCACTATTGAAATATATGGTCTTGAGAAGAAATGAAGAATTTCTTATTAAATATATCAGTTTCCTAAGCAAAGTCACAATAAATGATTCAAATTTATCTAATTTTATGGATTATGTCGATCCATTTATTACTCTTATTGTCAAAGGAAGCTTAGAAATTTTTGCGAAGCCATTTTTTAATAATATATGCAGTTATTTGAATAGTATCCCTTCAATTTCTTTAAAAAACAAAGAAATAGTCCACTTAGCAGCTTCGCTAGCAAGGGCTGAAGGTATTAATTCTCGACTAGCTGACAAAATCATTTATATGAGTATGAATTGGGACTGTAAAGAAAGTTGAAACGATATAATAGTGCTTTCATCTTGCACTAGAGACGAAAAAATATGGCAATATATCCGAAAATCAATTCTTCCTCAAACGGCCTCTACCTTAATATCAGCTCCCAAAAATCTTTTTATTAAAAATGTTGTGAATTATTATTATTGGCCACATTATGAGAAAGAATTACACGATATGGCATTCAAGTGCATTTGCAAATTTTTTGAGAGAAAAGATTTAAAATGGGAAGATGTTGAAGAAGTTTATAGTTTTGTGACGGATAGATTTGAAGTTAGGCATCTGGAACACAAAAAAGCGCTGCTCTATGGTTCGTTAAAATTATACGGAATTCTCTATGAACCAAAAAAAATTAATCAAATTTTGGACATTTTGACATTCATATCAAAAATTTCAACTAGAGAATTTGGGACTTTTGCCGCTCTTTATGCTGACTTAGGTATGAATTATTTTAAATTCACAGATAGAGAAAAAGTTACAATATTAGAATGCTTAATCTCCTTTGTTAGCGAACAAAACCATTGAAAAAATATTGTTTTTGAAAAATAAACCTATGGGAATATTTTTAATATTTATATTTTTGTTGGATAAAATACATTTTAATAAATTATAACAATTAGATCAAACAATTTATATTACATTTTAGAGAATTTGTATTATAAAAAATAATAAATTAAATTTTATTTCCAAATTTAAATCCATAAAATTATTTTACAGATTCTCACATTAGAAAAATTTAGAAAATAAGATCTCTTGACTATCCAGGTGGGTTAGGGAAAAGAAGCGTACAAAACAGTGAAATTTTTGAAACAATTTGTAGCGAAATTCTTGCTGGCCCAGAAAAATATTCTAAATATTATCCTCAAATTTTAAATGCAATTGCAGAAGCAAATTATGAAAACGAGCCTTGGGCTGAACATATAAAAAAATTAATTTCAGATTACGTGATTAATAACCCCAACTTATTGCAAAAAGACCATAACTCACTAAAATTGTTGTGGGCCCTGATTAAGTGTGATGCACCTCTAAATGCTATAGAAATAGCAGCAAAATTAGTCCCTGAAGTAGATATGTGAAAGAAAAGCTATTTAAAAAGATTAGCCTGCTACTATTATTTCGCTGATAAAAATATTGAATTTGGCAAAAAAACAGAGTTTGAAGCGATAAAAAATATATTGAAAAACGAGAATGAATGGTCTATGAAAAAAAATTGGACAAATAATATCGTTCAAGCGTTCAATAAATATAATGTTAATTATTCATTATTTGAAGAAATAGATGGGTTTATCTGTCCAATAGGATTGCCAAGCTTGAAGACTTCTATTTTTATCACAACAAATCAAAATATGAATTACGAAAAAGATTTGCCAAGAGGAGATTTTGCGATGCTAGAGAGGTTGAAAGAAAAAAAAGGAATTAGGTGCTTGCAGATTAACGGGGAATGGATGAAATATGAAAAAGGGGATATGCTTGATGAATGGCTGGCATCAAATTCAATCATTAGTAAATAAACAAAAATTTATATTTATTATTAGAAATCCATACTATAAAATTATTTTTATTTTGTTAATTAGAAAAATAATTATATTGTCTATTTTAATACATGAACCAACAATAGCTCTAATTCATTTTTATAAAAATTCAAATTCTATTGTTTGATCATTTTAATTGAAATATTTTTAGCATTCAATTAACTCCATAATTATTAAAATCGTATTTAAATACTTTCTTAATATTTTTAAATTCTTGTTTTTTTATTTCTCCTTTAATGTCACCATAATTTTTTTCGTTAACTGCTTCACTTTAGCTCTCTTCACATTCTGGCCAATCTCTTACACATTTATTCTTATTACTATCTAAGTTTAACTTTAAGCTTAAAGAGTTCTCTTATTCCTCTGGATTCATCTAGTTCTGAATCGTCTTCGCTGCGTACAAGCCAAACTCTGAGTAACGTGGGAAAACGGGCAGACTGTTGACTTGGCCTTGCACCAGCCCCTTAGGACTCTCGCCAGAACGAGCCTCAGTTCAGACTAACTTCTCTTTTAGCTCTAACACCCCATAAACATTTATATCTTCAAATAAGCTGTACTGTAGGGAATAACCCTACGCTAACTGCCATTTTAATATTTTGCTATTACTATCTTATAATTTCTTATTTTAATATGAGTGCATCATGAACTATTGGGAGCCAAAATCAAACATCAGAATTAAAAAACTACAGCCTTCCTGGCATAATATACTGTTTTACAGCTAAAATATATTATATAAGTAAAATTTTAATTATTAATTATTATTGCTTCTCATTCACTCTAGCAAGTATATCATATCTTAGTGAGCACTGTAAATCAATAGAAATCGAGCGGACACATTGACTAGTCGAGAAAAAACAGCTAACTGAAAAGGTAGCTCAGCTTGAAGGAGAAAATAAGTCTCAAGATAATATTATTAAGGATTTAACTCGAAGAATAAAAATGCTAGAGTATTCTTTACGACAAGAACGCATAAAATATGCAAAATTAACCGGAGGCCATCATAGGGTGAACTCAGATGTGATTACAAGTATTTTATCTCGGGATGAAAAAAATGGAGAAGGCTCCGCAAATGCTCCTCCAAAGCACAAAACGAGGGCTCATAGACAATTATTGTCTAAATATTTACAAGAATTAGGACTTGATGATATTTTCAGCGGAGATCTGCCTCCAAGGCCGTCATTGACGCATCATAGGTCAAGCAAAAGCTACGGAAGTGGCATCCAAACGTTTAAATTAGATTATGATGGTATTTATAGCCCCCATTTGCTGAAGCGCCATGCATTCCGCAGGCGATCTCCTGCAATGACCTCCCTCAAGGCAGCTTGAGCCCGAGCCAAAGTCCCCGGTTTCTCGGTAGAGATATTCTTCCTCCTGAGCTGGAAAGCCAGATTTTTTCTGGGAACCTCATTTCCAACCCAAGTGCCAGAATTTCTCGACCCTGCGTAGCTTATTCCAGATTTTCCCATTGAGGGACTTTTTAGACTGGAGAGACTAGCCCTAGGATCTTAGTCTATCCTATCTTCCCCCTTTTTCTCCGATTATCTTTGAGAAAAAAACTCAATGTGCTTGCGCATATTCGGGACAGGCAATAAAGCAGCTTAGGTAGGTAACTTGCCCTGCCTCTATCAGACCTATTTTCTACCCTGGCAAAAAAGACGCAAACAACTTCCGCTCGAGTCAGCTATGAATCAGCATAAATAGTACTGAGCCTTTCGCTTCAAGGCTAACCCACCCTAGGCAACTCCTTGCACCATAAACAACCTCCGGATATGCATAAGGACACCCGCCGTTGGGAGAACGGGTCACTCGTGACCCACCATTTTTATATATATTGGTATCCAAGCTTTAATTGAGCCTCCTGAAGTAGAAAATAAACCAATTCCTAAGCCAGAACCTGTAAAATCTTCTTCCATAATTGAAGAAAAAAGCAAGCGGTTATGAGAACTCAAAGCTACTCTAAAATCTCACATGGATGGCGTCAGAAGTGTATATTTCGCCCCAAAAAATGGAATTCTAGCGACTTCATCTGAAGATTGTGTAATAAAGCTTTGGGATATTTCCAATTATGAATCTCTAAATGAAAGCAGCTTTTTTGAGCCTTATTTTACTTTAAGAGGTCATAAAGGACCTATCTTTTGTAGCACAGGCAATCAGATAGGAAATGAGCAGATGCTATATACAGCTGGAAAAGAAGGAAATATTCGGGTATGGGATTTAAGGCCATCTAATGAAATTGATACTTATAGCCCAGGACCAGATAGAGGTTGTTGTGTAGGTGTATGGGCAAGCCATAATGAGCCTGTCTGGGACTTGCAGCACCATCCTGTGGATAATCTTTTATTGTCTGTAAGCTCAGATGGTGTCACCAAGTTATGGAAGACTATAGATTCCAGAACTTCTATTGAAAATTGAGTTGAAGGCAGAGCAAGCTCAAATTTGCTGAAAAATTACACGTTTCCTATAAGTGATGATGATTTTCATACCCCAACTTGTTGTGCTTGGATTATGACTGAGCTAAATTCTTTCGTGGTCGGCTATACAAGCCCATTTTTGAATATTTATGATAACCAAACTGGCAAGCCAACAATAATAAAATTTGTAAAAGAGCAAAATGCGCCCTTAGCCACTTATCAAATAAATTCAATAGTAACTGATCCAAATCACAGCATAATTAAAATATGGCGTCTTCGTCTGGACATGGCCTCCGGCCATGCAGCCTCGTCTCATATTTTAATTATATCCGGCAAGGTTTTGCCATTTCAGAGATGGACAGCAATGCTAGGTAAGCAATTCTGGTTGTGTGTAGAGCCTAGCCCAAATCTAATTCAGGAATGGTTTTTTCCTCATGGGGAAGGAGGGCACGGAAGTTGGAAAGGGGGAAGCTCAGCAAAGTCCTTTGGACCAATCGGGCAACTCCCTAGCATGAAACTGGGCGTTACGTCCCAGGCTTCGTATTTTTCCTTTTTGCCGAGAGCCGACCAGAAAATCCATTTTTTGGGTTTTCGGAAAAGCAACCCATGTCCACAAGTAAGTAGCTCACTCATGAGTCGTCGAAGCCGGTGACGTTTGCCCTAGGCGCACCCTAGTGATCGAAGCGGTTTGGCCCAGCAGCCTATAGGCCCGATGCAGCGAAAGGTAAGTGGCAGATCTGGGGAGAGTCTACCCCGTAAGGGACGTTAAATGTATAAATTCTATAAGATAAGATCCAAATCACAGCCTAGCTGTATCTGGGCATGAAGATAAGCATATAAGGTTTTTTGATTTAAATAGCTGCACTTGTATAAAAGATTTGGTTGGACATACAGAATCAGTCAGCTCACTACTTATGGACAAATATGGGAATTATGTGATTTCTGGAGGACATGATGGGAGCTTGAGGTTTTGGGATATGAGGAATTATCAGTGCTTGCATGAAATTCCAGCTCATAGAAAGAAATATGATGAAGGAGTGTTTTCAATTGCACAGCATCAAAATCTGCCGATTTTGGCATCTGGAGGCGCTGATTCTTTGGTGAAGCTTTATAATATGTCTGAAGAGTAATAAAATATACAGTCTTTTAGACATTGCACACAAGAAAAATAGTTTTTTGTTGAACATTATGGAGTCGAATAATAATTAGTTAAATTGTTTAAAATATTCAAAGACTATTTACCTTACTCCCCCCTCCGTGAGTGAACAAAATTTTTTTGTTCACTCACGGAGGGGGTTAATTTTTTTCTTCGAAATTGTAAAAAAATCCTAATTTGCAAAAATTAGGAAGCAAATATTAATTTAATTTATAAAATTTATGTTTTAAAGCGCAATTTGTTTAAAATTAAACAGAATTAGCTCGAGATTTCATTATAATAATTATCACCTATATATCAAAATTTTGTTTCATCAAAATTTTTTCTATTAAAAAAAATTTTTGTTCACTCACAGAGATGGGTTTTTGGGGAAAAAAATAGGGATTTTTCTAATGGTTTTGCTCACTCATGGAGGGGGGGAGTTAGCATAAATAAATGTTTGTATAGCAATAATTTGACGCGTATGAATAAATAACTGCTGAAATGATGAAAATAGTAAAAAATAAAAAGATTCCGCATCCGGGACTTGAACCCGGGTCTACAGGGTGAGAGCCTGTTATCCTAACCAGCTAGACTAATGCGGAGATATTCATCAAAAACAGTTTACCTATAAATACAATTCAGGATTGCCTTATTCTTTTATATATTTCTAACTTCCATTAAAATAGAAGTCAACTTCTCAAACTTTTTCTTTACATTTTATTATCATATTTATAACAAATTATCTTATATTATATCACTTATAGTTACCTATAATAATATCTGCCACCTATCCAAACTATTGAAAACTTTATCTTCGCTTGATTAGTAGCATTAACTTTTTAAATAATATGAATAATCTGAACATGAAATCTTCAGACGCGTCTGCAAACATTTTCCCTACAAATAATCATTTAATTCCTTCAAAAGTATTTTTAACTGAAGCCAAGCAAGAAATTGACATCCCAGTAACTCCCTATTTAGCAAGGATTTGATGAGCATCCAGAATATGAACAAATGTTCAATGAGCAGCTTAAAAGATCTCAACTTATGAAAAATATAGGCATAGAATCAATTGGAAATCTCCCTGACAAAAGTGATTGAAAAGAAACTTATATTAAAAACCGTATTGAGCTAGAAAAAGCAAAAGCCTTTGAACGCCAAAGAATCCAAGACGAAAATTTTGAGAATCGGAGAAAACGGCAAGAAGAAATCAACCTTCAGCGGGAGATCACAACTAAAAGAAAATACGACCAAGCCTTAAGGAAAATTAACTTTAAGCTGAATGATCCGAAATATACCCAAGCTCCTTTTTACCCTGGTTTCCGATTTTTTGAAGCCCTAATTACTGCAAAAAAATTTTCAGTCTCACTTTTATCAATAAATATCCCAAACACATTATATGTCCTAGAATCTCAATCCCACTGACTTTATACAAGTGAAAATGATGGGAAAATCAGGGATGAAAAAGAATTTTCAAAGCATCAAGTTTACACGTGCTTTGAAAACTTCCGTGATGAATCTTTTGATATTTGTGCAATTTTAAGGCACCCTACAAGCGTTTGTGATATGGAAGCTAATCCGCTTGGATGGGTGGAATTTTCAGATAAGCTATTAAAAGGGAACTTGAATATATAAAATAGTACGAAAACTGTTGAGCTTTTAATTTTGATAACCAGGGAAAGGGGAGGTAAATTAGATAGCTGACGAACACCCAGCAAGGGAATCTCCTCAGTCGAAAGTGGCACTCAAGAAGAGGACGATCTGGCCTGTGAACATTCCAGAGTTGGAGTTAAAAAGGTGGCACTCTGTGGTTGGAATGGTGATAATTAGCGATATCCTATGGACCTTGGTAACATCACGACGAGAAACCAGGGGTTTCTGCTCGGGCTGCAAGACGGTAGCAATCTGCTACCCCTCAGCACACCACTACGGAACGGAGCGATCAGTGAAGTAGGTATTATAAATACCTTCAGAATTTAATCTAATCTAATAGAGAACTTGACTAGTGGAACTATGATACAGAGATATATAAGACCAAATGGAGAAAGACCAAGTGTTATTAGGCTGTTTTATATCAGCGAAACAAAAGATAATAAAGCTTCTTTTGCTTACTGCATAGTAAGTAGTATGAGAGCTATAGAACAATATTCGCAAGCGAAAAATATAGTGTGCAGCAATATAATTGGCGGCTTTGATATGTATCAAATGCATGGACTCGCCATTTCTGAACTTTTGAGCTCAGCCAAAAAAATTGTCAAATTTTTACAGTTTGCTTACTCAGTAAGAATAGAAGAAATTGTATTTGATTTTATCAGAGACAAAGACGGAAAATTTTGATTTTTAGGTTGCAAAGGGTTTAATTTAGATTTAATTGTGCTAAAGTCAAGAGAATTAAGAATTGAGAGCCAAAAAGACAAATCGCAAGAAGAAATAGAAGACTTAAAAGAGCAAAGACTAAGTGCAATGCATTGCAAATTATGCTTGCTGCCTTTTAAACCACACGAATTAACGCACGTTTTGCCATTTAAAATGCTGTTATTATATAAAAGACATACAAAAAAGTCAGGAAGAAAAACTATGAAGCTTTCTCACATAAGACTTTTAGCTATAGATTTTTTAAGCCATAGTGTAAGACTCTGCAATTTATGCTATATGCTAATAGTCCAAGAAAATGAATTGATAGAAGTAGAGACAAAATTGGCAAATTTATTAAACGTTGGCATCAAGCCTGAAGATCTAACTAGTCAGCCAACTTATAACCACCCTGCATTTTTACCAACACTAGCTATACAATGGCGAATTATGTTTTATTTCACAGGCATTGATATCCCAATTTCTTGTATTTCTCATCAACTTTTTCTCCATTTTAAAATTTTTGAAAAAATCTACTCGATGTGTCTTTGTAAAGCAACTAATCATACTTCTCATATAAAACTATCAAAGGCGAGGCTATTTTATTTTTTTTCAATAGACAGCAAGCATGCAGAAAAATTATGCGCTATTGATTTAGATAAAGATTAGATAAATTTTCGTGGGTTGCGGAGAATTGTTTTGCCTCTGCCCATCCTCAAGCGGCGATCCAACCTAACGGCTCTTTTCCTATCGGCATCGCGGGTCTTTCTGGGAGACTCATCTGACCTTGCTTGGTCTTGACTTTACGGCCAAGGACTCTCTAAATCCTTGATAGTGCTCAGGGTATGAATTCACCGTCCAAAGCCTCTTTCTGGGACTATCATGCTTTATCTGGCAAATATTATATACATAAAAATGGTGACGACAGACCACCCGACCTCTCGACCCTATTTCTTCAACACTAGCAGGCAACGGCCCAGTGTCGGAGATTTAGGCGGAAAGGGGCCGGTAATCCTTTATGTATGGTCGGGCTGGGTTTTCTTCGAGCCCGAGGAGCTAATTCTCGGACTTGGAGTTTTTCCTCCAGGGCAACCATTGGAAAGGGCAAGGTCGGCCAATGTTTGAGGGCAATATGACCCTCAGACCCTGAAGACGGTATTTGCCCAACGAGAAACTGGGAGTTTCGACCCAGGTGGTTGGCCCTTAGACTCCAGAAGCCATGGAAGTCAAGACTGGTTGCGCGAATCCCTTGTTTGAGGCAACAAGGAGGGTGTCCGCCGAGGCTCCTCAGGGGCGATGAGCGTGTAGGGGTGTGAATCCCCGGCCCTGCAAGGCAAACGGCTTAATCTAATCTAATCTAATCTAATCTGGTAAATATTGCTTCCCTAGAAGTATGAGCTGACACTGTGCCTTCGGTTTATCGTCTGTGGGCGAGGAAAAAAGCCTGTCATAGGGTATTTACCAGGCTAAATCCTACCTCTAACCTCCTAAAATAATGGGATCATTTCATGGGATCGGAATGAACTCAAAGTACATCCTAGTCCTATATTCGACTCGCCATCTTTTAAATATGCGCGCTATTGAAGAAATGGAGCTTTTTATATCTAAAGGAGAAGATGGGTCAAAAATCATAGCTAGTGGGACTTCAAAACCATTAAGATTTTTCGGCTGTGAAATGCAAGAAGGTGATTCTATTACTCAGCCTCTAGAAGTTATATTATTTTCTCCTGATAAAAAATATTTCACACTAAAGCTTGTTGCAGGCATTGCAAGTGACCATAAGCTAAACCCTAGAACTTTGCAAATAAACATAAGGAAATATCACAGTACATATATACCTGATGAATGCTATTTTTCATCAGATATTTTGCCAAATTCTTGGATGGAGATTTTTGACCCTGAGTATAAAGAAAATGACGGGTCACAGATTTTGAGTTCTTCTGAAGAGCTTGACCAAGTTTATTCCCCTGCATTAGAAAAAGATTTGATTCTAAATACTCCATTTGGGTCAGGAAAGATTTTACATGTAAATGTTGATTTGAATTCTAGTCCAAGAAGCAAAAAAGAGACACCACGAAGCACTCAAGAGACACCAAAACTCTCTCCAATAAAAAATAAAAGAGAAATGCTAACTCTGAATATAAAAAAATTAAATTCAGATGGAAAATTATTAAAACCTCTGAAATCTACACAAAGTTCAAGGTCAGCTGCAAAATTATTCAAATCAAGCTCTCTTTCAAACACTCCATCTGCTAGACTAAATAGCTTATCTACAAGGGCCAGATCTGATGCATACTCAACTAATGAAGAAAACACCAAAGAAGATGCTGCAAAAGAAGAAACTGACAAAGAGGACACAAAAAGTGAATTCGGTGAACTAAAATCCATTGTACAAAATTTTCTTTTTCAAAGAAACTTCAAAGAGCAGCGAATAAGTTTGCCTGTAAATATTGTAAACTCAGAATCTGCTAACTACCATTTTAGTGAGCAAAACAATCAGAAAATCCTATTTCGTTAGCGCGAGCAAAACATTTTCAATCTAATTTTTTTTTTTTATTAATATTATTAATGATAAATAATTATGTGGTCTCCAACTAATTATACTTCAATTTTAAGCTTAAAAAATAAATATTTATATCTTATTTTAATGAGGTTTTTAAAGTTAACTTCATTTTTATACAATCTTCTAAAATAAAAAAAAATCATCTCCTTTAGGGAACAAAAAATTATTTGCTCACCAAAGAGAGGGGTAAAGAAATTAAAGATAAAAAATTGCCAGAAATTGCAAAATCAGAGTCTGTGAAAGAGATAATTAAAGAAGAAGCTAGGACAATAGATAGAAAAACTGGTAAGAAAAAGAAAGGCAAGAGACCTAAAACAGCTGGATATTTAAAGATTGAGAAGAAAATTGGATTGGTGGACATTTATGCACCAAAAGAAATTGAAAATTTAAGAAAGATTTTTGAATAAATAATTAATAAAATAATTGATTATTTTTAAAATACATGGCTGTATTGTTTGGTAATATTTAAGAGAAATTATTTAATTAATCCTGTCGCCGTGGTAGCTCAGCTGGGAGTAGCGTAAGACTGAAGATCTTAAGGTCCCCGGTTCAATCCCGGGTCACGGCACTTTTTTCAAAAGCATAAATAGCCTTTTGCCATTTCTACTGAATAGCTCAGGATATGTCTTTCATATTAAATTATACTAAATTCCTGGGGATAGCGCGGAATACGCTATCCCCAGGACCAACCGGGATCGGATCCACACATGGAACGGGGGTTCCATGTGTGGATCCATTTTTGACATGCGAGATATTTACTTTCACGTGTCAAAAATGGATCCACACATGGAACCCTCGTTCCATGTGGGATCCGATCCCGGTTGGTCCTGGGGATAGCGTATTCCGCGCTATCCCCAGGAATTTTCTATATCTATATTGGCTTAATCTCAATCAAGTATCTTATTTATTTTTTATGAAAATTCCAGAAATCATATCCTTGCCTATTTTCAGCTCATGCCTGTAATAAAAAACTCTTATAAAAAACAAAGTTTTCTCTAATTCTCATTAATTAAATGAACATTATCCAGCAGAGCTTTTTTGTTTGTGTTGGTGTTATTGTATTTCCTATATAGCTTGGCTGTCTTGCTCACGCCCCACAATTAATTTACAGATATACTAACAAATCATTTGACCCAAGTGCAAGAAATGAATGATTTTTGCTAGCTTTGGCTTGTCTTCCTCCTATAGGTTGCATTTTTCAAGAAGGCTTAATGAGGACAGGCAAGAAATGATGGGCGAAAGTTGGCTTAGGGATCTATATTGCAGGCACTGTATTGACCATGTATATGATTATCTTAGGAGGGGCTGTTGCTGCTAATGGGATGTTTCCCCAATTCCGTGTTGGACATGAGTATTGTGGTGACCAAGACATTATAGGCCAATGGACCTCTTGTTTTCACCTAGTTGGATTAGGTGTCGAACTTTCTGGCCAAGTTTGCGCTATTACCTTGCTTATTCAGTGCCTCAGATTTACTCCTGATATGATTCAATGGATAATTAAAATATGGCGTTGCTCGAATTTATGGGTTTCTGACCGAAAATTCATCTCTTGCATAATTTAATTATGAGATTTGGCTTTCCATGATGAGATTATTACAGCTATGTCAGGGAAGCAAGAGCCGGATTGGTATTTCTACCAGACCTAGGGAATAGAATTTTCCTTAATGGTATCACTTACCCAGTTGGTAGAGACTGGGAGCTTTTGGGTGCGGTTCGGACCCAAGTAAGTGCCTGAGCTCATAGAAGAGTCTTCAAAACCCAAACTTCAAGACTGGCATCCTTATTTGTGAACAAAGTCTGAGTATGCCAAACCTTTACGGGCCCTAAGGAAAATGGCGCGAAATTTGCCCAGAGCTGTGCTGGGGATAAATATGGCCAAGCAACCTGGCAGTGGACGTTAAAGTGTTATAGATTACTTAAGATTAATCTATGATTCAACGATTAATTGTTGACGAAAGACTAAAGATGCTAGCTAAAGAAAAAGAAGACGAAGAGCGAGAAGAAAGAGAAGAAGACGAAAAAAGGCGAAAAGGCAAAAAAAGAATCTGTTTAGATGAGACTAGAGAGCACGATTTATTGATAATTGCAATAAATACGCATATTTTAATTTATTTTTTAATTATTCTTAAAAATTTGAGAAAAAGTATAGCGATTTTTGACATGCTCGACGATAATGATGAAAAACAAAAAGGAAAAACTGATTACAATACTATTGAAGAAGTCGACATTACCCACGAAACTGAAGGAGACAAAGCATTTAAAGAAGATTTCATACAAGATGAAAACTCAAAAAAGCCTTACAGCATCGATGGGCAAAAAGACGGTACTTTTACCCAGCATTTTATACAGAATGAAAGCTCAGTAAGGCCTTATGAGGTAGAAGGAGAAAAGGCTATGAGCTTCAGAGACAAAGGTATAACCCCTAGATCTAATAGAGATAGGAGCCTACCTAGAGATTCTGCTTCAAATCCTCAAAGATCAACCACCCCACGCTCTGAAACAAGAAGCAACCATAAAGGAGTTTCTGATACAGAAGCAGGCTCTCTATATGAGAGCGAAGCAATCAACGAAGCTGAGCAAGAAGAGGAAGAAGGAGAAGAGGAAAAAGAAGACCTCGAAGATATTTATAAGTAAAACAACTGTTTATATTATAATAAAATCTATGGAAAAAATACTGCAAGTGCATGAACTAATGCTAGCTGCAAAAGCGTTTATGGTTACGAGTGCAGAGCTTTTAAATGACTTAGGAAGTGATGAAATTATTTTTGACGAAAATGAGCTTATAATTTCTTCAAAGATTGCGAATGAAATTTATGAAATTAGCCTCAGAGGAGTGAAAAAGTTTAGAGATGGAGAAAAGAATGAGCTTATTGAGAAATTTTTGGATATTTGTGTGGTAATTAATGGGGAATTGCATCTAGCGTGAAATATAAAACAAGAGATCATGGATTCGTTAGAGATTGAAAAAGAAAGACAAATTAATGCTCTGGCTTTAAGGACTCATAGAAAGTCTTCTGCGGGGTGGGAATTTAGAAAAAAACTCAACAAAAATCATGAGTTTAATAAAAGAAAAGAGCGAGATTTCCTCAATGAAATGGCTGAGCTGCAAAAGCAAAATTATTACCTGTGGGAGTATAGAAGATGGCTGTTTAATTGTTTGCTTTCAGAGGAAGAAAAAGCAGAGGAAGTTCAAGAAGTAAAACATTTTTGTGAGGGCCATCCTTCAGATTCTTCAAGCTTTCATTATTGCTTTTATATAATGAACCATCAGAAATTGAATGATGAGGCTTATGAATGGATTGTAGGCATATGTGAAAGGTTTTACTCTGAAAAAGGACTTTATGATGGAATCAGTCTGCCTGGGTACGAAACTTTGCACTTGTTTAGAGCGAAATCAAGAAAAAAGGAAAATGATGAAGAAGAGATAAATTACATAGAAGAGCAAATAAGGCTTGGCAGAAATCAAATTGCAAAATTACTCAGATGAACAGTAGAATAGAATCAGGATAAGTATTATATCTTGATTTTATATACTACAAATAATTCGAAAGGTATTAAGTTTAAATTTGATAATATCTTTTGAAAATATGGCATATTAAAACGCTTCATCTATTTAAATATCATCTCAAAAATCTGTTTATCTTCATAAGGTTTTTATATCAATATTAATTTTTTATAATTATCTTTTCATTTATTTAAGTCTGAACTTATTCAAAAGACTTAAACTACTTTTAAAATGCTGTTTTATCACGCCTAAATCTATAATTTTACAGTTCCTGATTTATTATCAGACTATTGGTTAATACTATATAGTTTCTTTAACATTCTTTTATCCAATCTTCATAATTTCTCATTTTTCTTCAGTAATTTTATTTCTGCCCATTTTATGCGTTATAAAAATTTAAATCGACTTAACACGATTTTTATCAAAATTTACCTTAAACCCACACCAACTAGCAATTCTTCAAGAATGCATTCAATATCTCTCTTTAATTTATTTTCCCCCCGGCCTATAAGATATATTTTTTAAATTATCTAAAGTCTTATAAAAATATAATGGAACAAGAATTACTCATCTTAAAAAGAGACAACCCAGAACTCTGCATATTAGAGACACGAATCTCAAACTTCGTTGCAAAGCATCATGGCATGGATAAACTGTGCTATGCATGGCTTTACTGCATATACAACGGAGACTATGATATACTGAAACGGACCATTCAGCGTTATCATAAAACAGGAATAAAATCCTTTTTCAGGCTTTTCGGGCCCAAAGTGATGTATGGGTCTTTATATTATCCTTCAGATGATACTGGACTGAAGTTTATAATTGACAACGTCCCAAAAGACTTGATTATTTCAGCCATCAGAGCAGGACAATACTATGTAGTAAAGCTGTTCATGATGAACATGGCTTTAGATATTAGTGAAGGCAAGCTGACTGAAGAGAAGATTTACTGGAATGTGAGAAAGCTTAGCTTGCTAATGAGCTTAAAACCAGAAGAAATTAAAGCTGCTATTAGAGAAAGTTTGGAACAAAAAGCGATAAATGTAACAGTCAAAGAGAAAATTGTAACTTCTTTAAAGCTTCATATTGAATTTGAATAAAGTGTAAAAAGTGAAGAAAAATTAGAAGAGATAAAAATCAAAGCATTTAACGCCGGTTAAATACTAAAATTAGAAAAAAATTATTTTAAACTTATCAATTTATTTCAAAATTTTTTTAATAAATAAAGATAATAAAACTTCAATAAAAAACATGCAAATTACTGTTATTTACTAGTGGAAAAATAATTTGTGAATAATTTGGAATGCATTTTGAGTTTCAAGCTACTTTTCATTTCTGAGAAAATATTACGCCATTTTAAAAAAGTGCTGAATTTCTTCAAAATGTTTATCTATCTGCTTAATTTTAATATTTATCAAGATCCTTAAAATTCTTTCAATTTATAAATTAGTTTCCCTATCATACAAAATTTCTATTAGATATTTTAACAAAAAACTCTTGAATGCTCTTCTACTTCCTGTATCGTATGCAAATGTCCTCTCTGCTTTTTAGCTTTCATTTTATTAGTTAATTGTCCAGCCTCAGGTGCTGCATATACAGAAAGATCAATATCCAATATAACTTTATTTACAGTAACGCTATGAGATGTCTCTGGAGTGCTTGCTGCTGAATTTTCTAAAATAGGACAGGATCTAATGGACTTCGATGAATTATTAGTTACGTTTAGCTTCGAATTTGATTGTGAGTCATCTGTTTCAGACGAAGTTTTTCCCACCGCCCTTAACAGCGCAAATTGATCAATTCCTACAGACTCCAATGTACAATTATCATCTAAGGCGAGAGAGTTCATATAAAGTTTGAGCTTTTCGCCTGTTTTTTCTTCTAATTGAAAAATAATTTCTTGAATTTTCATCTGTGGATGAATTCTTATGTAAAAAACATCTTTTTCCGTATAAATAGTTATGTGTTCTTTTTTACGTACAGGAGCCCCATAAGTCCCAGGTAGAGGTTTGATTATTTGCCTTGGAAAAGGCATTGGCATACTTTGTTTAGTTCCCATGATTTTATATATAGTAAGATTTAATCATATGAATTTTGCTCATTCACTTACTTTTTAAATTAAAAATAGTAATTTCTATAGAAATTGTGTGCCATCTATTGATTTTTTTTAAATCAAAACCCCATATTTAAAATTATAACCTATTAAATATCGCTGTAATCCACAATAGCCCTTCTTCCTTTAGGATGCTTTGCAGGATCATCTAAATCTTCATAAGGTTCATCAGGAACTGGCCGCTTTCTTGGGAAATTCACTTCTCTGTCAGCCCCGTCACTTCTTTCTCTATGTTCCCCTCTGTCTCCTCTATCCCCTCTATCCCCTCTTCCTCTTCCTCTAAATCTGTCCCCAGCAAATTGTATTTGATTTTGCAGCTTATCAGGATCGGCCAAATAATTTTCCAAAGTAATAGCTTTGACTCTTTCCTTCACCACCAATTGATAATCCTCCTGATGCTTGGTCTGCAGATGTTTTTTCATGAATTCATTGCTTCTGAACAATTTTTTGCATAAATTACACCTAACCTTTTTTTCTTCTTCTTCAGTGGTGTTTTTTGTTTCAAATTCCTTTATCATTTTTTGGAGCTCAGGGTCATTCTAAATAAATTTTACATCTTTATCATATTTTTTCACAGGGTTTTTTCTTAAAATCCTTTCTTCAATTTTCTGGTCAAATTCAGCAGGGCGGGCAGCAGCTTCATCATAAGTGGTTCTTATATGGGCTGGGCCACATTTGGCAGCGAGCATTCTTTCGTCTTCGTATTCTTCTTGGCAATAATAGCAGAAAGCATGGACTCTTCTTAAATAAAGCAACTGCAAATCAAGCTGCATTTCTTTTTCTTCTTCTGAGAGCGTTGCAAACATTTCTTCAGTGATAAGCAGCTGGTTTTCATTAATTCCTTTTTCTCTGTCGATAAAGGTAATTAATCTTGAGCTTTGTTTTCAGTCTAATTCAATGCAGCTAGGATGCTGGGGTGGCTGAAGCCTTAGCTCTTTTCTTGACACGCTTTGTGACTTGACTGGGGAAAGCTTGAAGTCTGGGGTCACCACTCTTCCTGTCAACAATTCCAAGCTTTCATTGCAGTGGTCTTCAGTATCATAAAGCACCCATGCGAATCTTGAAAACCCTTGTGTTTTCAATGGCTCTGACATTGACAACGACACAAACCCAGGTGACGTTTTCACCACATTCAGCACGTCCCATCTTGATATATTGACTGGAATATTTTTCAAAAATAAAGTCATAGAATTCGGGTCAAACCCAAAATAAGGCGGACCAGAAATCTTCTCAACAGGGCTTTCTTGGATTTTTAATCTAAGCCCAGAAAACCCATTATGCTTGCTGAGCTCTATAAAAGCTGTATGGGAGACTTTGGCGTCCAAGTATCTCTCTTCTTGCCATTTTTGAGAAAAAATTGGGTCGTATTTTTCGATAAACCAGTGCTCGTTGTTGTGTTCGCTGAAGAAAATTTCAAGATGCTTACGCTCGTATTTGGTTTTGTAGTCATCATAAATTTGTTGGGCTTCTTGGGGCGGGATTTGTTCGTGCTGCATTTCCATGAATTGCTTGTAGGTTAGTAAACCACCTGCGAGGCTTGGGCGAATTATGTGAGGCTTGCCATCTTGATTGCGAGGGAAGCGGGGACGATTCTGGTTTTCGTCGTTGTCTCGGAATCGCTTGCGGGGCTCACCGTTGGAGGGAGCAGCGAAAGAATCAGTTTTGGTTTCTTCTTCTGATGGCCAATTCATCTATGTTGGGACATACCTTTTTATTATAAGAAAAAGCCCCTGCTGGAATTTTTAAGAAATTAGAGTAATGGAAAATTAGAGGGAATGGGGATAGGCAATTAGGTATAGGGAAATCATGTGGGCCTTATTTTTAATAGAAAAATAAATTATAGGAATAAAATAAAATTTATATAAACTACGCATCAAAATCCTAATAAAATCTTATTATAGCAAGCCCTATACTAGCTAAGCAGCATTTCTTTAAAATGTCTCGTCATTTTTGCATTCAGAATTGCCTAAAATTATTAAATGGAAGGAAGCACTGCTCTATGGATAATTATTTGGTTCGTCAGCAGTGCTGCTTGCTACTTATACGGCATGCATGTAGAATCTAATCTAAACCCAAAATCAAAGCCAAAATATTCTGAGTTAAAGCGTGAGGAAGAAAAATCAGAAACTCAAGAATCAAGTGATGAAAAACACTACAGAGAAGAGCTCAATAAAGAAAGAGCAAGCAAGAAAAAAATGACTCAGGACTATGAGCAAGAAATTGACAGCTTAAAAGCTCAAATTGCATTTGTCCAGGAACAGACTAAAGCAAAATTAGTAATTTATAATCAGAAAAATAGGGAAGAAGAAGTATTTGAAGAGGAAGCAGGGTTTGGGGTGCCAACTGTACAGATCGTTGAAGGGAGTTATGATAATTTCGATGAAGAACTGAATAAGGAGCTAAATAATGAGATTTAATTTTTACAGTTTCGATAAATAAATCATGTCAAAGTAATTGTCTCAAATTAGTCAACAATTATTGAATATGAAGAATAAAAAAATGATGCACAATGCAAAATTGATTGTTGGAATTGGGAACAATATATATGTTTTTTTGCAATTAAGAATAATCTGAATACTTATTGTCAATAATTTCAATTATTTTTTTAGAGAAATAGAAGAATAAGACCCCTAAATAGTCATTTGATCTTATAATATGATGCCTGAAGATATTTAAAATGGACCAAAAATTATTTTTCTTGAGAAGAAGAGAGTAAAAGAGCAGAGAAAATGGATATAAGAATTTTGAATTTACATAAATATAAGGAGAGTCATAAAAGATATGAATTGGGAAATAAAAGAAAATTAAAAACTGTTCCAAAGAAGTAGCAAATGGCGGATTTTACAGAGTAGAGATGCTGTTTAGTCCAGTATTATTACAAGAAGCGAGCCCAAGGAATTTTTCTATTTTTCTTCAGATTTCTTATACAGTTAAATTTTATAGTCTAATTTTAGTATGAATGAGTGTGGGTTTTCATTGCAAAATAAAAGATATAGGCTTAAAATAATTAAGAAAATTATAAAACATACGATTTATCAGTTTTAGATAAATCCATTTATTAAAAAACTTCTTACTCTCCCCTCTGTGAGCTAGCAAAACATTGGAAAAATCCCTATTTTTTGGGTAAAAGCCCACCTATTTAAAATTTTTTATAAAAATAATTTGATATATAAGTGATAATTAGTATAATGAAATCTCTAGCTAATTCTTTTTAATTTTAAACAACTTGCATTCGAAAAAATAAAAATTTTCAAATTAAATTAATATTTGAATCCAATTGGGATATTTTTAAAAATTAAAAAAAAAAGTTACTATAAAATTTCTATATTTTTTTGAAAATAAAATTTAATCACCTCTGTGAGCAAACAAAATTTTTTTGTTCACTCGCGGAGGGGGGTTAATATTCTTTCTTGTGCAAGCCTGCGCATTTGATTAATATAATTTCTTTTTAAAAAATAAGTTTAAACCGTTGAAATTTGCTAATAAATCAAAAAAAGTATATTAAATAATGCAATCAGCAAATTCAAATCAGCCCAATGCTAAAAACATAGGCCATTACTTATTAGGCAGAACCATAGGGCAAGGAACATTCGGAAAAGTAAAAATTGGAACCCATATTCTAACAAGCGAAAAAGTTGCCGTTAAAATTTTGGAAAAAGAAAGAATTAAAGACATTTCTGACATAGAAAGAGTTTCAAGAGAAATTCATATTTTAAAGCTTATTAGACACCCAAATATCATACAGCTGTATGAAATTATTGAAACGCAAAGCAAGCTATTTTTGATCATGGAATATGCTAGTGGAGGAGAATTATTTGATTATATCGTGGCTGAAAAGAAAATCAAAGAACTCGAAGCTTGCAAGTATTTTCAGCAAATAATTGCAGGAGTTGAGTATATTCACAGACTTGGGGTTGCTCATAGAGACTTGAAGCCAGAAAATCTGCTTTTAGATTCCAAAAAAAATATAAAGATTGTTGATTTTGGGTTGAGCAATACATATAAAGAAGGCGAAAAGCTAAAAACTGCTTGTGGAAGCCCATGCTATGCTGCGCCTGAAATGATAGATGGGAAAGATTATAACGGATTAAAAGCTGATATATGAAGTTGTGGAGTAATTTTATATGCAATGCTTGCAGGGTATTTACCGTTTGAAGATCCAGACACTGGAAAACTTTATAAAAAAATACTCAAAGGAAAATATGAGATACCAGATTGAATATCAAAGGACGCAAGAGATCTTCTAGGGAAAATTCTCAGCACGGAGCCTAACAAAAGAATTACAGTAGAAAAAATCAAAAGCCATCCTTGATTTTCTTTAATGCATCAAAACACTTCAAATGGGTTGTTAGTAGGCTATTCTACAATTCCAGTAAATCAATCGGTTCTTAGAAAACTTGATGAATATGGCTTTGATTTAAATTACTGCCAACGCTGTATTGAAGCTAATAAGCACAATCATTTAACCACAACTTATTACCTTCTTTATCGCAAGTTAAGCCCTCCACCTGATCCTGAGCCAGAACCTAAGCCACCTATAATCCGTCCAAGCTTTGTTCCAGCACCTCCTATAGCTCCAGAAATAAATGAGAAATTTAATCATAGAAAATATCACAGAAAAAAAGTAGAAAGCACTGGAGGTTCTTCATCAAATGAAGGAGAAATTTTATTTGGCAAACAAATAGCTTCAAGATCTAATAGAAATAGCCCAAGAACAGTCATTAAAAGCATTTATACACATATATCTGGTCCTCGAAACTTGAGTACTGGAAGGCATCCTCAAGAGCCTACAATCCCAAGGCCTGCAAATGCAAAGGCATTTAGAAGAAAAATCGTGAACCCTTCTCAACACAATACTCCTAAAAAGGTCAATAAATCAGTAGACTATGGGAAAAGTATTTTTGGGGAGTCATCTAAAAGGCACACTAGAGCGAATAGCTCTCTTGTGTCGCATCGTAAAACAGATCGCATACATTTTTAAATTGGATTAGTTTTACATTTATGCTATTTTTAAGGATATTTAATATTAAAAATTGCTTAATATAGATTGAATTATTTTAATAATTAATTGATGATTTTTGCGAGCTTTTTATTCCATATTTATTTAGTGATCTTCCAAGATGTTTATTATAAAAATGAAAAGGCTGAGATCAAGGAGCCCAGCCAGAAAAACAATAAACCAATCCATAAATCCATTCACAAATAAACAATACTCAAACAAATATAGAAAACTAAGAGAAGAAAGAGAAAAATTGCCGATTTTTGATGCGCTTCCACAGTTTGATAAGATGTTTAATAAAAATCAAGTCGTCATCTTGCAAGGGGAGACTGGAAGCGGAAAAACTACACAAATCCCACAATATATCTTAGAAAAAGGCTACGCAAAAGGAAAGCTGGTGGCTTGCACACAACCAAGGAGAGTTGCTGCCATGAGTGTTGCAAAAAGAGTGGCTGAAGAAATGGACGTAGAACTCGGCCAACAAGTCGGGTATTCCATAAGATTTGAAGAATGTGCCGGGCCTAACACTCTCTTAAAATATCTAACTGATGGTATGCTTTTGCGTGAAGCCATGACTGACCCAACTCTTGATAAATATGGAGTTATAATACTTGATGAAGCCCATGAGCGTACATTATCAACTGATATTTTATTTGGCCTCTTAAAAGAAGTTTTGCAGAAGCGCAAAGACTTAAAAGTTGTGGTCATGAGTGCTACTTTGGACACAGAAAAATTTTTGGGGTATTTTAAAAATGCTCCACTTTTGACTGTACCTGGAAGACTATACCCTGTAGAACTTTTTTATACAGAATTTCCTGAAGAAGACTACTTGTGGGCAACAGTGAGAACTGTGATGCAGATTCATGCTTTTGAAGAGCCTGGAGATATTTTGGTGTTTTTGACGGGGGAAGAAGAGATAGAGTCAACTTGTGACTCAATTAGAAAGGAAGCTGCAAGATATAAAGATAACGTTGGAAAATTGTCTGTTATTCCTTTATATTCTTCTCTACCTCCAGCTATGCAGCAAAAAATTTTTGAGCCGGCACCAGAAGTAAATTCAAATGGGATCCCAGGAAGAAAATGTATACTCTCTACAAATATTGCGGAAACTTCGCTAACTATTGATGGGATTGTCTTTGTAATTGACTCAGGACTTTCTAAACAAAAATGTTATAATCCTCGTATGCGTGTGGAAAGCTTGCTGGTTTCTCCTATATCAAGAGCTTCTGCTAAACAGAGAGCTGGTAGGGCAGGAAGAACTAGGCCTGGAAAATGTTATAGACTTTATACGGAAAAATCATACAAACGAGAGCTGGTTGAGTCAACTGCTCCTGAAATTTTAAGGTCAAATTTAGCAAATGTGGTTTTGCAATTAAAAATTTTAGGCATTGAAAATTTGGTTGATTTTGACTTTATTGATCCTCCTAGCCCAGAAACTATGATGAGAGCGTTAGAAACGTTGCATTACCTAACTCCCCCTTCCGTGAGCAAACAAAACCATTGGAAAAATCCCTATTTTTTTCCAAAAACCCACCTTTTGTGAGCGAACAAAAAATTTTTTATGAAAAAAATATTTTGATATATATAAGCGATAATTATGTAATGAAGTCTCTAGCTAATTCTGTTTAATTTTGAACAGCCTGCATTTTAAAACATAAATTTTATTTAATTAAACTAATTTTACTTCTCAATTTTTACAAATTGTAATTTTTTTTTAAATTTTGAAAAAAAAATTACTATAAAATTTATATAAATTTAAAAAAAAGTAACCCCCAGCGAACAAAATCGTTTTGTTCGCTCACGAAGAGGGAGTAAGAGCTCTAGATGATGAAGGAGAACTAACAGAAGAAGGCCGCCTGATGTCAGAATTTCCTCTAGACCCAGAGCTCAGCAAGCTTTTAATTATCAGCCCAAAGTATTCTTGTGGCGAAGAAATGCTAAACTTAGTAGCAATGTTAACGTCTCCAAACCCATTTTTAAGGCCAAGAGACCATGAAGACGCAGCTGACAAAGCAAAATCTAAATTTGTCAACAAAGACGGCGATCACATAACTTTAATAAATGCTTACCAAGGCTTCGAAAATGAAGGTAGGCAGCCTTACTGGTGCTCCAAAAACTTTTTAAATCCTCGCACAATGAGAGGAGCTGCCGAAATTCGAGACCAGCTTGTAGTAAAAATGAACAAACTTGATATCCCAATCATTTCCAATAAGCACAATATAAGTGAAAATATCAGAAAATGCATTATTTCTGGATTTTTTATGCAGGTAGTGCACAAAGAAAAAGCTAATTTCTATATGACTCTTAAAGAAAAGCAGCATGTAGCACTTCATCCATCTACAGGCGTAATGAGGCCTGATTGGGCTGTATATCATGAATATGTATTGACTTCAAAAAAATACATAAGGATCGTATCTTCTATAAACCCAGAATGGCTCATAGAAATTGCTCCACAGTATTTCGACCTCTCCCATTTCCCTGACACAAATGGGAAAAAATTACTTCAAGAAATTATTGATGGAAAAAATACACAAAAATAATTAAGATTTTTATAGATAAAGAATAATAAATAAGAACAAAAATAGTAAAGCGACAATTGTCATGATCAGGCAGCAATCTGAAGACTGCTCAATTAATGTCACCATGCGTTTTTGAACCCTCCCCATTTTTAGTGTATTTTTGTCAATATTTCTTTCGACATCATTTATAGTGTACAAGGATAAATTAATTGATAATAAAAATTATTGATTAAAAGCAAAATAAGGTTTATTATGGTATAATAAAACTCCATGTAAATCTAATTCATCACCTATATCTCTGCTAGCTTTTTTGATATTGCCTACGTTTTCAATAATCATATCAATTCTATCATCTTGCTCTCTCATCATTTGCTGCTGTTGCTGCTGCAGATCATTTTGAGATAAATTTGACTCTTTAGGATTTTTTGTTGTAGGCATCATTTCAACTGAGGTTTTTTGACGGATGTTTTTAAGTTTCCTTGAGTTTGAGCTATGGTATTCTTCAATTTCTCTTACGATGGCTTCTCTTCGTTTTTGTTCACCTGGTGAATTAGCTTGGATTTTTAAAAGATCATATAATTCCTGGACTTTTACATTAAGCTCCTGAAGTTTCTGGTAGACTCTTTTTTCAACTTTATAAGATTTAGGGCCACTAATACTTTCCAGTTCCCTCAGATCTGCATTGATTAATCGTAGAAGTTGGTATGATATATCTGCCTTGCGTGAGAATTCGCCCATATTGAAAAGAATTCTAAAGATAATTGCGTGTCTATAGAAGCTTAATTTTTATCCACTTTTTGAATAAAATGTGACCCCTAATGAGCAATTAAATTATTACCTCTTAAATTAAAAATAAAATAAGTTTATTAATTATAGCATCTAAATCTTTTAATATAGCTACAGCCTTTATAATACATACATTTTAATACCTTTATCCATATTATAAAGCATTTTTAATGTCCAAAGAACAAAAAATAGAGGATGAGATTTTTTCGAAAGAAGATTTCCCTAAAATGTATTTGACGTCCCCAATTGTTGATGCTTTTAGACCTGAATTAGAAAAGCTTTATCAGAAGAAAAGATCAAATAAGAACTTTGAAGGGAAGTCAATGAATTTTTTTACACAAAAGTTTATGAGATTATATTTTTATCAAGGTTTAGACCAGCCAGATAGACTTCTAGTACATATAGCTTTTTGCCTTGAGTGGCGCGGTACGGGCGCCACTTCGGCAAGCTCCTTCTTCCAGTTGGCCGAGCCAACTCAGGTTGGTTCGACCAACTGGAGAGAATTGACAAGTGAGGCCTTTTGGGGAGACTTGTCAATTCTAGTTGGCCGAACCAACCTGAGTTGGCTCGGCCAACTGGAAGAAGGAGCTTGCCGAAGTGGCGCCCGTACCGCGCCACTCAAGGCAAAAAAGTATACTGAGCTATTGGAGTTCAAAAATAAGCAATTTCATACAGTTGCAGCCTCAGTTTCAGCTGTGATTATCACTTATATCACCCTAGGAACTACCGTCAGATATTCCAGATTTTCTGCACTCAGATGAGCTGCATCTTTAGGGGTTGGCTACTTGGTATGGCGTTCCTTCAAAACTCACGCATTAAATAAAATTGAAAAAGGTACTGGGCATCTCTATGAAAAGTACTCACTCCCACTTTAAATTGGAATAGATCATAGGTGCTTTAACTCTCTATGAATTGGAGCATATTTTTTTAAATAGATTTTATAGGTAAAAAGGTTAATTTTTATAAAATTAATCTTAATCTGATTAAACGGAAAAGTTCAATTAGAATATTATTTAAACTGAAATCACGATTGAATCGATAACTTTATTGAATTAATTCTTATGAAAAACAGTTTAAAATTTATATTTTAAAAAAAAAGAATTAACAACCTTTAAATTGGAACAGGAAATTTTGTTCCAATTAAAGAGGGAGAGTTAATAAAATAGATAATTGAGGCTATTAAATAAATATCGAATTATTTAAATTAGGAAATTTCATGTCTTCATTTTCATTTAACGGTGCCAGATCAAAATCCAAGCCAACTGAAACAATTTTGCAGCAGGAATCGCCCAACCAAAAGAAATACAGCAAAAGAGTTGCAGCAAATATATGCAAAACAAGTTCATTTTTGAAGCCGAACCAGTTATCAGAGTTTACTTCACAATTCAAATCCAAAATAAGCGAGAGGGACGAAAATCTTTGTTTGAAATCAATCGACAGTGAAAACTTCCCACAGTTTATATCAAAAAACAGCACAATTGAAAAATCAAATCTAGGCAAAGCAATTGATTCAGATAAGCTTGAAAGCTTTTTAAGAGAAATCGGGATATCAAAATACATGAATTTGTTAAAAGAAAATGAAATTTCTTATGATGATTTAGCACTTTTAACAAGAGATGACTTGATAGACTTAAAACTTCCTATTGGGCCAAGAAATAGGCTGCTGATTGCGATTAAAGAAAAATTTGAAAATATTGCGAAAGAAGAAATTAAGCCGTTAAGCCAAATTAGAAATGGGACACCACATAAGGATCCCCCCCCTCATTTGTCCAATTTTCTAGTCTTTTATCATTTGTCCATTTTTTCTAGTTTTTTTGGACCTCATTTGTCCAATTTTCTAGTCAAAATTTTGATAGAGAAAAAAAAATTTTCAGGACCTCAATTGTCTCATTTTCTAGTTTTTTTAAAGTAAAAAACTAGAATTTAGGGCATTCGAAAAAATCCAAAAAAGACTAGAAAATTGGACAAATCATTTTTGACTAGATTTTGGGACAAATGAGGCCCTGAAAAAAAAAAATTCTTATAAAAAAAGACTAGAAAATTCGACAAATGAGGGGGGGGATCCTTAGATATCAGATAAAAGAAGAAAATGATATTTTTATACCGAATTTGGCACAAGTGTCAAATAAATTTGACGCAAAAGAAAGACCATCTTCGAGACAAAGCATAGAAAGCATTTCTTCAGAGTCTTTGAGGTCGCCAATAAATTATGATGAAATTGTAGCAATGCTTAATAATATGAGAGAACAGCAAAATATAATGCTCAAAGCAATTGAAGAAAACCAAAGGGTAGTAACAATGCTGTGCCAATCTGATTACCTTCAAAATTTCTGGTGAGACGTGCGGATAGCTGAAGTCGGAGCTTCTTAGAAGACTTGCCCAGTGGGCTGACCACCGATCAGACCAAAATGGCTCGGTAATGTCACAAGTTGGCTTAGTCCCTATTTAACTATAGGGAGTGGGCACTAGACACTTTAAAACTGAGTTAATTAAGATTAAGATTATCTTCAAAATGCAGATAGACAATCCCATAGCCGAAAAAGCTCAGGATATAACGGAAATATTTATTAAGTGTATAAAATAAAATATTACATTAATAGTTTTCTGACGCAATATCCTCTCCATACTGACTGAATAAATATTGCAGCGCTCCTTATTATTTCATAAAGACTTCTTGTTTGATATTGTCTAATAAGAGATTGAATCTTAATTGCAGATTTTATTATTTTTTGATATTTCCTTTGCGCTAAAAACCGCCTAACATGAGATTGAATAAGCAAAATTTTCCCATCATGTGTCTCACATTTTGATTCAGGAATAGACGCAAGTACACTAGGCCGAAATCTTTTAGCTGATTTTATGAATCTTACTGGATTTCTCTGCTGTGAAAGTGGAGGTATATTGACTTTTTTTTCTTGAAAAATCTTTTCTTGTGGCTTTTGTATACAATTTAGTTAATTTTTTTTTTAAAATTAAAATGGCCTGAGAGATATTATTTTCTAGTTATTTAGTATTAGATAGTATAATAATGCTTTGGCTTTTTGTTCAGCTATTTGGGTTTTCAATTTCAAATAATATTTTCTTGCTTTGTATCCTCTTCAGTATTTTTGTATTGTGACTGCATGCTTATTTTTATCTATTAAAATTCTGCCACTCCTCAAATGACTTTTAGCAGGATTAGCAAGAGGTGGCTTTATTGGGGTATTAATCTTGAAATCCTCTTTTCCTGTCAAAAACTCTCTAAAACTTTCATCTTTAAGCTCCAATTCCAGGATTTGATTTTCTATATGCTTAAGCTTTTCTTCTATATTTAAAAAAGGCTTATCACTGACATTTTGCCTTATTTTAACTCTTGCTTTCCCTGAAACTGGCCTAGCTCTTTCATTTTTTACAACAGGATTAGGTGGGATTATTGCGATATCTTGCAAAATATCTTTTTTAGAATTTTTTTGCTTGAAATTTTTCTTTAAGGTTTGCTTTATGATATCTCTATTATTTGGAAGAGAATTTTCAAGATTAACGTCTCCGCTCAGCTCAAAACTTGTATTTTGTCTTCTTTCTTTTGGCCTTGCACTTGAAATCCTTACAGCTGGTAAGCTTCCATTCAAATTATATACAGTTTTAGATAGACGGTAAACATTTACTTTTGATAGCCTTGGCTTGTCAATAGGCAAGGCCCATACTTGGACTTTAAGACTTCTTAACTAAATATAATCATCTTATCTCTTTTATAAGGATCGCTCTTTCATGGCTTAAATATGCATAAAGCTTAAATGCAATTCTTGCAGTAAGATTTTAGTGCTTAAATTTTGGTATCTGTATTGTTCTTATATTTAGATAGATTGTGATTATATTTAAAAAAAATAAATCTTTGTTAACAGTCATTATTCGGTAAACCAAAGTAGTGACAGTGTGCCAAATCTGATCGGCAAATGAAATTAATTTTTCACACGGAAATTAATGATTCCCAGATTCTGATAAATTTAAAGCATTTCTGATAAAATATGGGCATATTTGTTTCTCGCCATTTGAATACTCTCAAGCACAAAAGTATCGAAATAACCTTATTATGTATTATGATAATAGCTTGTGCTATGACTTAGTAGATGCTCGATATAAACGTTCGATATATCGGCTATTATGTTATTTTATGATAATAGCTTGTGCTATGACTTAGTAGATGCTCGATATAAACGTTCGATATATCGGCTATTATGTCGTATCAATTAGCTATTTGTTTTGAAACGGCTAAATTAGCCAGTTGGCAAAGTACTGTTAGATGATAATGGCTTCAGCAATCACCTAAATGAATGCTCGATATAGACGTTCGATATATCGGCTATTATGTTTATCAATTAGCTATTAGTTTTGTAACGGCTAAATATGCCAGTCGACAAAGTATTGTTAGATTATAAAGGCTTCTTCCATCACCTAAGTGAATGCTCGATATAGACGTTCGATATATCGGCTATTATGTTTATCAATAGCTATTAGTTTTGAAACGGCTAAATATGCAGTCGGCAAAGTATTGTTAGATTATAAAGGCTTTTTCCATCACCTAAGTGAATCCTCGATATAGACGTTCGATATATCGGCTATTATGATTATCTATTAGTTAATAGATTTGTAACGGCTAAATATGCCGGCCGGCAAAGTGCTGCTAGATTATAAAGGCTTTTTCCATTACTTAAGTGAACGTTTTATATATTTATTATTATGTTTATCAATTAGCTATTAGTTTTGTAACGGCTAAATTAGCCAGTCGGCTAAACTTACCGAACGTCTATGCCGAGCATATCACTCAGGTATTAGCATAAGTCATTATAGTCTAATAGCACTTTGCCGATTGGCATATTTTAGCCGTTTCAAAACTAATAGCTATTGATATAAATATATCGAATGTCCATATCAAACATTTCACTAATAATAAAAGGTGTCAAATGATGACAACAGAAAGAGAAATCGCCTAAATGGAGGTGAAAAGATAAACATTACTAAGGATATGGCAGAAGCCTTTATAATTTAACAGCACTTTGCCGACCGGCATGTTTAGCCGTTACAAAACTAATAGCTAATTGATAAACATAATAATAAATATATAAAACGTTCACGTAGATGATGGAAGAAGCCTATATATAATCTAACAATACTTTGTCGACTGGCATATTTAGCCGTTACAAAACTAATAGCTAATTGATAAACATAATAGCCGATATATCGAACGTCTATATCGAGCATTCATTTTAGGTGATTGCTGAAGCCATTATCATCTAACAGTACTTTGCCAACTGGCTAATTTAGCCGTTTCAAAACAAATAGCTAATTGATACGACATAATAGCCGATATATCGAACGTTTATATCGAGTATCTACTAAGTCATAGCACAAGCTATTATCATAATACATAATAAGGTTATTTCGATACTTTTGTGCTTGAGAGTATTCAAATGGCGAGAAACAAATATGCCCATATTTTATCAGAAATGCTTTAAATTTATCAGAATCTGGGAATCATTAATTTCTGTGTGAAAAATTAATTTCATTTGCCGATCAGATTTGCACACTGTCACTACTTTGGTTTACCGAATAATGACTGTTAACAAAGATTTATTTTTTTTAAATATAATCACAATCTATCTAAATGTAAGAACAATACAGATACCAAAATTTAAGCACTAAAATCCTACTGCAAGAATTGCATTTAAGCTTTATGCATATTTAAGCCATGAAGGAGCGATCCTTATAAAAGAGATAAGATGATTATATTTAGTTAAGAAGTCTTAAAGTCCAAGTATGGGCCTTGCCTATTGACAAGCCAAGGCTATCAAAAGTAAATGTTTACCGTCTATCTAAAAATGTATATTTTCTATTTGACTGTGTTGAATTTGCCCTCTGATGGTTTGGCTTTATATTAATTTTCTCAAAATTATATTTTTGGTTATTCACAACATACTTTGCCTTTAATGCGTTATAATTTTTTATCAAAAGATCCATCACATGATGGGTTTCTGTTTTGTTGCTTTTTGCTTTTTCAATTCCTAATCTGTAAGCTTCTTCTGCTTTCGCAAAAAATCCTAATAACTCGTATTCGATTCCAGCATTATAATAGGCGATAGCCAAAGTGTTTACAATATTTTCAGTTTTTTCATATCTTTCAGCTTCGCTAAGTAAGCTAATAGCTTTTGTAAGACCTTTTATATAGATTAAAATGGCGAATGCGAACACGCGATCTCTTGACATTTTTTCAAACCTACAGGCAATGCCCAGAAGGAACCATGTCTAGAAACAGATTCGGTATCCTTAATGTGTTTTTTCTCGTGCCACATGTATGATACCTGGAGCATAGGACTTTTCTTCCTGAAATGGAGTTGGAAAGAGCACAGTCGAGATAAGGACACATCCCCGCTCTAATTAGGGACTCTGAAGACAGTAAGTGCTCATCGTGGAACTAGGAGTTACACCCATAGATCCAAGCCCTTAGCTAAAAGACGCTCCAAAGCAGGCCAGGTCTGGTGTAGTCTAGTGTGAGGCAATTGGTATCAGCCGATAACTTTTCACAGAACCAATGAGCTTGCAGCGTTAAACATCCTCGAAACAAGGCATCATAATTTAATTAATTGTAACACTTTTTACAGCTGAGTCATGGTTTCCCAGCTGCGATTTAATAGCACAAATATTTAGATGTGTCCCTGCAAGATTAGTTGATTCGACAGGCGAATTTATGCTTAAATCTAATGCTTTCTGTAAAAATTGAAGAGCGATATTTAATTTTCCAACTTTTTTATAATAGCAGCCTAAGTTGTTGTAAGTAATTGAGAGTAATTTTGTCTTTGAGGTTGAAGATTGAGGTAAACTTAATATATCTTGAGCTCTTCGCAATAAATGAAAAGAGCTTGAAAAATTTTCTTGTCTTAAATAGTCCATAGCTATTCTATGCTTGATTAAGCTTGCATTTTGATTTATTTAGATTATCAAGGTAAAAATATTATATTTAATAGACTAAATAGGCATAGCTTATTACACCCTAGAACTAACTCTTGTAATTGCACTGATAATGAAGTCTCTTGGAATTTTAATGACATTAGAAAAAAATATTGAGAAAAAATTATATGGGTTATAAAAAGAATTTTTTACGATTCACCTGCATATTTGGCTGATATAAAAATTCGTACTCTCCTGATTCTGTGTTGAAAATCCCTGATTGTAGACTTCTAAGCTTTAAAGTCAATCTTGGCCCGACTTCTTGTAATATTACTTTTTTGCCATCCTCTTTGAATAAATATCGATGGTGTCTGAAGAATATAAGGCGCTATCCTTTGGATTATCCAGTGAGCATTTTAAAAGAATTATCTACTGGACAATTTAGGGAAAAATTCATAAAATCTCTTTGATTTTTCATGGTAACCACATTTCTGCCTCTGAATTCTGGTTTTTGTGGGAAAAGTGACGCCAGCATCCTCCCAATTCTTTGACCAAGCCTTGTATCAAAATTTTTCATAATTAATTCTGGATAATATCCTGTCGGTGTTCCATGATTAGGAATTTCCCTTCTTTTCCACGTATTCGACACCCTAAAATGAGCAGTCGGGCCTTCAGGCAAATGGATAATCCACAGCCCTTCAGGCTCTTTATTCTTTTCATTAAAAACCAAGACATCCGTATATTCCCTATTCGACGCATATTCACAGATTTCTTTCATATCATAGGTTCTTCTATCATAATACTCAGCATTAGGCATAATCCCTTGCACCTCTTTAGCGAATTTTATTAGTTGTTCTGATGGTCTCCTTTTAGTCGTGACAATAATTTTTGGGAGGACTCCTTCTTTATAATAGCTGGCAAACTCATCTATATTTTCGTCATTTTTTACTTCTTCATTGTCAGAGGTCACAAAAGAGTCTTCAGGAACTCTCATTGATTCAATAGTTTTCGGAGCTAAAGGCTATATAAAAATTACAGCTTCACCTGTTTTTTCTCTTTGTTTTTTGCGTTTTTCTCTGCCTTCTTTTTGCTGCTTCTTTAATTCATATTTGAGACGCAGCATTAATTGAACTTTTCGAGTTTTGTTTTTTATTGTGGGCAGAATTGATTTGATGAAGTTTGTGTTGGGAGCTTGATTTTTTACCATATTATTTATACTTTTTAATATAAAATACGATAAAATGCATAATAATATTAGTAATATTTATTATAATTAAATATATTGATATTCGTGCTTGAATTAGATATAAATAGAAATAAATTGACATATAAAAAGTTACTTAAAATTAAACTCCTCAATTTTAGCTTTCTTCATAAATGATTTAGAATTAAAAATGGCACCTAAGGGAGGTGGATCCCATTGGCGGTAGTTTTCTGGAATTTTTTTTGTTGATGCTAAACCTTTTTCTCGATTCTAAGACGACAGACCGAGGTTAAGCATAATTCCGTACTTCTTGGGAGGTACTCTTTAATCTGCAATAGGGCTAAGGCAGGCCAAGAAGGAAATTTTGGGTGATTCAGAAATACTTCAAGCCCTGCTGACGGTAGGCAATCTTTACTCGATAGCTAAGGAGGAAAAAGGGCGATATTCAGAGTTGTGTCTAGCGCCACATGAGGTAAACCCACTGACCCTTATAATTAATCTTAATTATAAATGATTTTAGCTCAGCTTTGACTTTATAATATTTATCACAGTATTTCTTAGCCTGCTTTGTTAGGGCATCAATAATAACTTTGTCTAGGCTCATCGTGGGGATGGATTCAGTCTGGTCAGTTTGTACAGACATATGAGCAACTTCTTTTTCTTGCCTAGTTTGAGGTGTTGGCTGGTTCGGCCTGACTTTAATAACAAGTCAATCCCATATGACATCTTTTGTAAAGGGGAAATATTCTAGTTTATCCACAACTCTTTCTTCCTCTAACGTCTTCCTTTCTCCACTTTGAAGCTTTCCTTTAAATGTTCATGTACAATTTATTTTACATTTAAATAATTTGCAAAATAGTGCCAGAGATGTCTTTATATTTTTTAAATTAAAATAGGGCCAGATTTAAGGTAAATGTAAAGAAATATAATAAAATGAAGGGTACAAAGAGAATGTTCACAATTTTTGAAATTGGATTTGAGCACCCACCACATTGGCAAACATTTTTTACTCTTGCGATATCGAAGGTACCTTGACTACCGACATATAAAGGGACTTGACGGAGGTAGTATGTGCAGTCTGGCTGCGTGCATTTTCCGATGAAATAGACTCCAGGTATTGGCATTTTTTTATTAGAGGAAATTCATTGCTGTTAATTGGAGAATTTTGATATACTATAATGGCTGAGGTTTTTAAAAGTTAGTAAACAAATTCCTGCATAATAAAGTATTTAATTGTTAAAAATACTGATATATTTTGTTTAGAACAGTATATATATTGAAATATAATTAATATCAGAAATATGTCAAATTTCAGCGTCATGCGAGAATTCAGATTAAATTATATAGAAATAATCATTTTTTAATCAGAATTTTATAATACTTGCAATAATAAGTTATTAAATAGAATGCATAAAATTAATCAGAGTAACACTATAAAATATTGTCCATTGGTGAATTAGTTATATCAGTAAAAGAGAAGGATTTAGGATTAATGCTTTTTTGCTCATTCTCCTCAGTTAACGAGTTTAAAACATTTTACTCATACAAAAATCTAAATAAAACATTTTTTTAAAAAAAATTCGTAAAAATTTAGAGACTTAATTTATATTTATAAAAAATGTTTATATCAATAAATCTTTTTTAAAAAAGAAATGGATGTTTTTCAATAATTTTGCTAGCTCATGGAGAATCTGGCTTGCAAAATATAAGCCAAAAGGCTTTCTTAATTAATATATAATCTCTTTGGGTTATCAATTACTTTGAGCAAATCTAGAGTGGCCAGTATCAATATACCATTTTATTTATGTAATAAAAGAGAACGAAGAGTGATTATTAATAAAACGTTTTTCCTTTTAAACTTGTTAAACTTACATGCAAAACTTTTTTATTAATATCATGCAATAATTAAGATTTATCTTTAATAAGTTCACTCGTTCCTAATTTTAGCAGCTTAAAAAACTCAAGGAATGCCAATTATTGCATTTTTTTTGAGTCATGATAAAAATAGAGTGGAGAAAATAATTAGAAATATTTAAACTATAATTATGTCTTTATCCACGTGTGCCATTGCGAGATTAAACTTTAGCTATTAAAGTAAGAAGTTTTGTTTGCAAGCAAGATTTGGTTTAATCAATTAATTATCTTAAATATTTTTTATTCAGCTGTATAGTTCTTATTAGCCTTGAGTAGTGCTTTTTTAATCTAAAACTCATTGTATCAAAACATGTTTCAGTAATTTATCGATTTTTTTAAAATTTAAATCATTTATATACCTTTTAAATTATTTTCCCATCAACTTATATGAAGCTGATAAATCCATAATGAAATTCCTTCAATTCATACGCATTTCATATACTTTTATTCTCAAAACAGCTTTTTAGCAAATAATTTTCAAAGAAAATTATTATCTTTAAATTTCAATCAAGTTTGATTAGAAAATTTCCAAAAAAATAAGTCTTTCAATGCTTTAAGGGAAAATGGAGGTTGTAAAGGATAACTTTGAAGAAGCTCTTCAGCTTTTTCAAGAAAACCTTTTTCAAAGCGAAATAGTAGCACTTGATCTTGAATTCACCGGCATTCATGGGAAACCAGAACAATACAACGATAACATGCCAGAAAGATACTCAAAAGTCCGAAGAGTCGCAATGAATTATGAGATCATTCAAGTAGGATTGTGCCTTTTCATTCGCAAAGGTGATATATGGGAAACAAGACCGTTTAACTTCTATGTGTTTCCAGAAGATTCAGGTGCAAATCCTAGAGTTACTTTAGAAGTCTCAGCAATTTCATTTCTCAAGGAGCATAACATGGACTTCAACAAATGAATATATGCTGGATTTGATTGAATTGGCATTAGATAGTGCTTTAATCTAATAAAAAATTATTAATTGGCTAGTTTTATAAATAATAGAATATAATGCGTTTAAAGAATTTCTTAACGGGCTTGATTTAACCAAACATAAACGAGCATCTGGTGAATTCTCATTTATCCATCAATATGAGGCACTTATTTAATAAAATCTAGGCTATTAATATACTAAATAGAATTAATGAATTAAGAAATTAAATTATCATAAATTCTAAGAGTGTAAAAGGCATAAAAATGCTCGTTATAAAAATTTTGATGTACTTTAAATTTTAATTAATGAAAATTCTTAGAAAGCGGCAACATTTTTAGCATGCAAGATTTTTGCGATTTTTGATTTGTGTTCTCTTTTAAAAATCAAAACTCGATTTTTTAAAAATTTATGTATAATTTTATTATTAATAGATCTTATTTTACTCATTTTGGATTTGAGCACATCTCAATATTGATTGACCATTTTAAAAAAATTCACAATTTTTAATTTTAAATCTGACCTTAAAAAATTAAAACTTATAAAACTTTAACTCAATAATACGATTTTTTTTAAGTTTATTATTAATAGATCTTTATTTTTCGTATTTTGGATTTGAACATATCTCAAACATGATATGCTTATAATAATTTAAAAGGAAATTTTATCAGAAATCTCCACTTATAAATTTTAAGCTAAATTAATAATCATATGAGAATAAATTTAGTTTAAGCAAGCCTGCAAGAAATAATTTCTCAATCTAAGATTTTTATTTTAGATATTGAAAAGATATAAAGCCATTCAATAATATTTTCTATCCAAAATACTTAAATTATAGGTTAAAATAGTTTTTAAATATTTTTAACAATAAAAAAATCATGTCTTGATATTATGTGGACAGCTTATTGGCAAAAATATGAGGATAAGAAATTATTCCAGCAAATTATACCAAGGAATCCCATACATGACTATGCTACAAGAAAGCGACCTTCATACAAAGCTAATTTCTGTACAAGAAGAACCTACGGAGCAATTAGTCCTTTCGAAACCTAATGATATTGCCAGAATGAAAGAAATTGAAGAAAATATCAACCAATTTATATCAGGATGCGACCCTTATATTGATATTAATGGACTAAATGCTTATTTAAGGAGATATTTATATACAGAACTGAGAAAAAGCTACCCTAATATTTTCCCTGAAAGTGTGAAAACTGAAGGAAGCAGAGAAGTTACTATGAGGTTGCACAAGGTTGATCCAGAAGCTGCACAAAGAATGAAAGAAGAAAAAGAAAGCAGAAAGAAATTTGAGTTTAATGGAAGAATTGGCTTTAGAAGAGTTTTTACGTTGCTAGAACAAGCTAAAAAACCATTAATTGTCCATAGTGGTCTATATGATTTGGCGTTTTTTATAGATGGGTTTTATGGCGATCTTCCAGAAAAATACTCAGAATTTAAATCATTGATTCATATGCTTCAATAGACTGAATTAAATGATTTTGTAAGAAAAATAATTATTACATTTTTCATTTAAATTTATATTGGTATTAATTATTATTTTATATATTTTATTCCCAATAGTTTACGATACTCGTTATATCTTAGAAAGACATCCTGGGCTCTGGGAAGAATTTGATCAATCATCATCACTTAAAGGACTAAGCCAGTTTTATTCATTTTTATGCAAAAACGAATTCAGAAAAATTTCTCTTGCAGAAGGGTTTGAAAAATATCGTGATGAAAGGTATGCTCATGAAGCTGGATTTGATGCACTAATGTGTGGGACTTGCTTCCTATGGCTAATAGAAAAAATTGGCAACTTAGAAGGGTATAGAAATTTGCTGCCAGCCTTTAAAAGCTTTTTTGCAATAAATTTGGAAGGAGATGATCTTATTTTCCCTGAAAATTATTATTATTTTAAAGGTGCTGACATCAAAAAAACCTTTGGGGCTTTAGAAGGATTTTCTTGGAGATACATCAAAGACGATGAATGTTTCGTTCAAAGTGTGTCAGAAGAAAAATTGACAGAATTCAGAAGACGAGCTGAAGGAAACAACTGGACACTTATTTCAATCCATAACTATTTTAATTCTAAAGTCGCTGAGATCTAATTTTGTTTTTAATATTATGCATGGGTTTCTCGACATTTGTGATCTACCAACGGCTTGGTATGGAAATGAATATCATCTCTTTTATATATGTAAAATTTTGGTGTAGGTCAAATGACATTGCCTTTTTGATAGTGCCCATTTCACCGAAAAATTTGGCCGAAAATTGATCGAAAATTTCTATAGTGAGACATTTGACCGAAAAAAAAACCGTTAATTTTTAGGCCAAATGCCGCACTATCAAAAATTTTGGACCAAATGGATTTATACTGTCAAAAATCCACGGTCATTTGGCATGGAGCCGTAAATTTTATCTGCAAGCTCGATTTTGCGATTTCTCCAGTCAATTTTTTCAAAACCTTTAATTGCTCGTAATATTGTGAATCCTTTTACGTTAGGCTTATCTGTGATTAAATGGGTGAATTCTTGAAGATCGTCATCAGTCAGATTTTCTTTTTTGGAGTATCTCCAGTTGTTTACATATTCGTTGAACCTTGTGATTCCTGTCTGTGCTGGGTATACGTCAATGTGTATGTATGGATTTGGCATGCTTTGGTCCATTTCTTTCATTTTTGTGTATGCTTTTGTGAAGTCTTGGATTGCTATTGCGCCTGGGTAGTTGTAGTGAGATACGTAAAGTGCAAGGGCTGTACCAAGACAAGTAGCGATTAATGCAAGGGATGCTAAAATTAGCAGTGAGGCATTAACAAAATCAGACTTATAGATGCATTTTGTTCTGAATAAATTTTACATTTTTATGAACCCAATAGCTGTAATTATGTTTATTCCTGGAGCGATTGGGAATAAAAACCTAAGCTCTTTGTGAGGCAAAAATGAATAAAGGACGACAAATGACAGAACAGGAAATAAAATATGAGTCATCCTTGGGTCAATAATTTTCGCTTTAGGCTGCTGGTATAGAAATTTCCCATATATGGAGCAGTTTGCCCTTGATTTGCCCACTGTGAAAATTTTTTGGTTCGACCAGTACCATATGGTTTGGTCAAACCAAAAAGTTTTTTCAGTGGGCAAATCAAGGGCAAACAGTGCCATCTATGGGAAAATTCTATATATGATTCCAGCTGCAAAAAGCATGATTTCTCCCATCAGCATTTTAGGTATTGCTGACGTAAAATACCAATACCACGGTGAAACTCCTCATTCATGACTCTTATTCTCATAAGTGTTAAAAAATAGCACCTCAAACTCAGGCCACGTAAAAGTTCTCCAAAAAAATGAATCGACTGATATAGTAATTATCAATGACACCACAGCCATAATCACTGAATAAAACACTGTCTGCTTTAACGCAGCTTTATTTGCATACAAAATCATCCAAATCCCAATCTAAATATCCAATACAGGCAACGCTAATAAAATCAAGTCGCATCTAAAGCAAATTCCTCCAAATGCTAGCAAGCAGCCTACTTCTTTATATCTTTCTTGAATCCAAAACGCAAAAATAAGGACACAAATAGTAAGAGCATAAGTATTAGGTAGAGTTCTAGACATGTAAAATGGTAAATGGAATTGACAACACGTAATGATATAAAGTGCAATCCCAGCGTCTTCTCCAAATACTTTAGATACAGATGTACGCAAATAACGATAAGCTAGAAAATTTATCGTCGCTAAGTTTAGTCTTGCTAAATAATAGTTACTTATAATAAGTCCACACAACTTTGCAAAGCCTAATGATACAAGAGAATAAAACAAAGGGAAAGTCAGATAAGCCAGCCCTAAAGCAGCCATAAAAGTGCGCTTAACAACTCCTGGGAATTCATGGTGATCGTAATTCTGAGTAAAAATTACTTCAACATCATAGTTGTATACCATCATATCATGGACTCCTTGCATGTTGAAAGATTCTTCTACCTTTGTGTAAGGACATAAAATGATGTGGGTTAGTAAAACAGCTGCAAAGGAAATATCCCACCTGTCAATGCCCATGTTTATTATATAAAATATAATTTTTCATCATAGATATCATTATGAAAGCACTATAAATTCATATTTAAATGGAAACTGAAGAAATCGATAGGATGACCCAAACCACCATGCAAATTCGTGACAAGAAGAAGCATTCAGTAACATTGTCACCTCCTATGTCTGAAAGTAGAGAAAGAAACAGCTCTACTGATGCTCCAGGAACTAGGAAAAATTTCCATGACAGGAATATCGAGCATTTAAAAGCAATTTCAGAAAAAAAAGCCCAAAGATTGAGAGAAATTGAAGAGGAAAAAAAGAAATTAGAAATTACAAGGCAAAGATTGGCGCAGAGGATTCTGAAGAGAAAAGAAGAGGCTAAGAAAATTGAAGAAGAGAAAAAGGGGGAAAATGAAAGGAATCCTTATGATATTTTGGAGATTGATGAAATTATAGAAGAAGATAAAGAAGGTGCAGGTCCAATGATAGTTCCTTTTTGATAGTGTCCATTTCACTGAAGTACTTTTGGTCGAAAATTTTTAAATAGTGTACCCATTTGGTCGAAATTTAACTGTATTTTCGGTCAAATGTCTCACTATCAAAAATGATTCGAACAAATTTTCCCTATATGAAGCCAGATAAAGAAAGAGAAGCTAAAAAACTAAGTATTTATAAATCAAGATATCACAGCTTTTTAAAAGATTTGCAAGAAAACAATAAACAAAAACAGCAGATGAGAGAGCAGGAAGAGCTGAAAAAGCAGAAAACAATACACAAGCTGAAAGAAAACTTGGGCTTAAACAATGTAACTTCTAAAGTGTTCAGCTCAACTCCTTCAAACCAAGCTGAAGAAGATGAAATAAAAGCACAGAAAACTAAATCATCCACAGCAAAAACCAAAGGAAAATCTAAAGAGCAAGATGCAGATCCAGAAGAAGAAAAACAAAAAAAAAAGGCAGCAAGAGAAGCCAGTGAACAAATAGTAAAAAGGGCTCAAAGGCACATTTTAGAGCTTGCCGAAAAGAAAGCTGAAGAAGCCAAAAAAGAAGTTGAGCAACGAGAAAAAGAGCAGAAATTTAAGCACTCCCTACGTGAAGCTGTGCTATCAAAAAAGCATCAAAACGAAAATGAAGACTCCGAGCCTCCAAGCACTTCAGAAACTCCTAAAAAGCCTAAAAGAATCGACGATAAAGCTATAGAGCGGCTTTCATCAGCCCCTAAACGCTGGACAGGCCCAATTATCACAGACATAAATGTTTTTCGCAAAAAATACAAGCTGACCGAAAAAGATAAAATATTCGTTATAAAAGGCTGCTACCCAGATATAAAGCGTGCCTTACTAAAAAGAAGTAATTTTTCTATAGAGATTGGTTCGAAAACCCAGACAAAGATTCTCCATGTTTTGACTTAAAGTGGACTCTTCTTCGTAAAGATGTTGATATGGATAAACTCACTGATAATCAGCTTTGCAACCATTTTGATAAAAGCGCAAATATCACTACTAAAGTGGGACTTTGCCATAACTTGAGGAGCTTGGTTTGGTTTAATAATGTGGATATTGATACGTTTTATCCACAATGTTTCGATGTATCTGATCAAGCTGAGCTGCAAGATTTCATTACTGAATTATGGACTGCAAAACTGTATTGGTGATTTTTTATTTTATAAGGCTTTTAAAAATCATAAATTTAAATCAAATTTAATTAATATAAAAAATTATAAAATAATAAAAGCTGAATGTGTATTAAAGCAGTACCAAAGCAATGAAAATGTCTCTGAAGACAGAGTAAAAGTCGCCCTAAAAGTCAGCAAAAGAAGGCTGAGAAATTTAGATGATTTAATTGATGACCCTAACTCAGGCAGCTGGGATTTAATTAAAGATAAAGAATGAGAAATCTTGAATTCTGACATGATAAGTGAAGAAGAATTCAAAAAAAGAAAACACGAAAATTGGCTACAAAAATTAGACATGGAGCACAATCATATTCCTAAGCCAGAACCTGCTAAAAAAAAGAAAAAGAAAAAAGTAGCCAAAGAAGAGAAAAAAGCCGAAAATACTGTGAGGGACTCTACACTTCTACAAGAAGCTGAAGAAGTCCTTGGAAAATTAAAACAAAAATACCCACAATATGATATTAATGGCAAAAAAAATATCTGGATCGTAAAACCTGCAAGCTTATCTAGAGGAAGAGGCATTGGGTGTTATAATTCACTAATTGAGATTCTTGACCATGTTCAAAAAGAAGGCACATGGGTTGTGCAGAGATATATAGAAAACCCTATGCTTATTTTAAGGAAAAAATTTGATATCAGGCAATGGGTTTTAGTCACTTCATGAAATCCTTTGACAGCCTGGTTTTATGAAAGATGCTATTTAAGATTTGGGGTTGAAGACTATATTATAGATAACCTCCAAAACAAATTTATCCACTTAACCAACAATTCAATTCAAAAATACTCAGAACATTTTGAAAATTCTGAAATTGAAGGAAGTATGTGGCACTCTGAAGAATTAGCAGAACTTTTAAGAGAGCAGACTGGCAGAGATATATGAGAAGAAGAAATTAAGCCAAAAATAAAAAAAATTGTAAAATATTCCCTTGAGTGTGTACAAGATATGGTTGATAACAGACCAGGATCAAGTGAGCTGTATGGATATGATATTATGATTGATGAAAACTATAATCCTTGGCTTATTGAAGTAAACGCAAGTCCTGCAATGGATTATTCGACGCCTGTTACAAAGGAGCTTGTCAAGCAAGTTATGGAAGATACTATAAAAGTTATGGTAGACTACCAATTCGCTTCAAAAAAGAAAAAATCGAAAATCGACACTGGGAACTTTACCTGTCTTTTTAAATCTAAAAAAATTGTTGACAGGCCTATACAATCCTTTGGTCTAAATCTTGTGTGTGAAGGAAAAGCTATTAAATCTTAATCAATAGAAAATAATCTTCTTAAGAATTATTAAGCCTTTCTGTTTCTACGTGTAATCGCTTTCTTAGGATGCTCGCTCTTGTGAAGCTTTTGCATTCTTTCTGAAGCTGCTTTGACTAAGCTTGGGTTTCTGCTATCAACCAGAGAAGCAAGGGTAGATTTTGATCTCCCTGAGTATCCACCTTTCTTAATTGTGATTTTGTCCTCGTGCTGGGTTTTGCCTTTTGCTCCATATTTTCTGAGCTTTTTGGCCTTAAGCACAACTGGTTCTCCTTTCTTTCTGTCAGCGACACCAATGGCACTTGTGCTTGCAATTCCTGCGAATTTTTGGCTATGAATGTTGACTAAATTGTAAGGGTCAGTTGAGAAATCAGTGTTGTTGCGCCTGATAAGATATTTGTTATTGTTTCTAACCACACCTTTAAATTGGAATAAAAAATTCTGCTCCAATTTAAAGGGTTTTTTTTAATCCAAATAAATTAAATGCAATTAATTTATTTTTATCTAGAATTCATATTGATAGTGCTTCCCATTGCTAAATTCTGTCAAAACTATTTATTTTTACCTATAAAAATTTTCAATTGAAAATGAAATTTTGTTCCAATTTAAAGTGTTTAAACCCAAAAATGAAAATTTTCTACAATTTAATGGGGATTAAGGAGTTCCCAGAGAAGATCTGATGAGACGCTTGCCATAGACTTTTATTAAATGGAAGGTGAATATGCCTATTTGCACATTTTAACAAGAATAAAATATAAGCTTATGCTATTAATTCTCAAATTTGGGTATATCTATTTGTATAGAAGGGATTTGCTCAACTTTTTTTAATTCTTCAAGATCCGTGTTTGAGTTTTTACGAGAAAGTGGCTTATTATTTCCAGTTCTTAAAGTGCTCCCTCTCTTATATAATGTTTTCTTTGTATCTTTTGTTTTTACTTCTTTTAAAATCACTTTTACTTTATCAGCTGTTGAACCTTTGGGTACTTCCACATCTAATAAATGGAAAACTGGGTCTAAATTTGGCCTTGGGGTTAGCCCTTCATATCCTGCTGCAGCTCGATCAGCTAGAATCGCGTTAGTTTTAAGCAAGTCAGAAATTTGTTTTTCAAGGTCTTCTTGTACATCATATGACTGTTTAAGCTTATACAAAATTGTTGAGTAGCCTTGGGTCATATTATCACTTTTCTTTTTGAGTTCCATAAAATCACGATTCAGTAGGCTGTAGTCACTGCTTATTTTTGCCACCATCTCTTCTGAAGCTTTAAGCCTTTTTTGATGATCAATTATTATTTTATTGTCTTCATCAGCATTAAATCGTAAACTCATAGTTTCACGCTCTAATATTGACACTTTGTTGCCTAAAATAAAATTCTCTTTTGACTTTTTCTCAATATCTTGCTTAAATTTGTTGTTTTCTTCTAATAAGACTTGGTTTTCTTTTTCTTTTGCTAAAATTTTTTCGCTCATCGCGGTTCTTTCTTCATTCAATTTTCTTATTTGTGAATTGTAATTTTCTATGATTTTTTTAACTGTATCTATACTATAATATTCATCAGTGTCTTTTGGTTTTAATTTAAGAGGATATAGATAGTAGAATGGAATTAGTCCATCTAAATCAGTCAGTGTGTCTGGATACTTTTCATAAATGTGCTCTAATACTTCTGTTCCTATTTCTCCTTTGTTAATAAAAATTGCAGTCTTTATTTCTTCTACTATATTTTTTAGTTCTTCTTTATATTTTCCATCTTCATTTGCTAATATTTCAAGTGCTTTTATTATAAGCTTCGTCCTATTTAAAGTACGCTTGGAGACATTTTCTTTACAATCTCCAAATAAAGTCCTAAGAACCAAAGCGAGGTCTAATTTTGTTTTAAGAACTGAGGAGTTAAAAATTTTCATTGAATTTCTTTCAGACAGACATTCAAATGTAGTATTTTTATGTACGAATTTTTTATATGGATGTGCTTCAGGAAAATCAGATAATGTTGGGGTTCGATTTTGAGACTCTCCTCCATTCAAAAACATAAGAGTATTTTGTAAATCTGATTTAGTCGTGCGGGTTAAAAAAGTTGGAGATGGAGATGGGAGTGGGAGGAATTCTTTAATGTTACTGAAAGTTGATGAATGATGATGGATCTTTGGCAATGGTGATTTGGTTGGAGATTTTTTATCTCGTTTCATTTTTCAAATTTTTTATTACTATTTAACAACAATAATAATTAAATTTCCATTAATTAATTATTTTAAATTCTGTTTTATTATTGATAGTCTCTTATCAGAGAAGGTAATCATATGCTTTGTGAAATCTTCTATTTTAAATTTATTTATAATACTTATTATCTTTTATTTATCTAACCAATTTTTTATTGCTGATTTGCACTTAGAAGTGAGGTTTTCAGTCCTTCAATATAAGCAATCAAGTGTGTTTTTTTGTATTCTTTCGCATGTGTACTAATTGCATCTAAAAATATAACTTTATCCTGCGTATACGCATTAATAGTATTCGTTGATTTTTTCTTATAGACTTTGCTAATAGTGCTCCTCAATAAAGTAATCAATTTTTCATCTGAGCTGGGTCCTCTTTGTCGTAGATATGCAATTGCTTGTAAAAGCACTAAATAATTCTTACGTTTTCCACTCCTTTTTAAAAATTTGTATTGGTCTAGTTGAGCTTTGAATCCTCTAGGTCTTTTGACAGGTAAATAAATCATTTGGACTTTAGGCTGAGGTGATTTTTCTGGAGTGTGGCTTGGGATAGAAATATTAGGATCGTCACTATCCTTTTCGTTATCGCCTGTGCTTAAAGCTTTAAAAGGATTTCCAAAGTTAATTGGTATCATTTTATGGCTTTCTGGCTCTAGATAAGCATTTCGATGCTTACTCCCCCCCTCTGTGAGCGAACAAAAAAATCTTGTTCGCTCACGGAAGGGGTTGATTTTTTTTTTTTAAAAACATTTATATATAAATTTTTATAGAATTCGCAAAAATTGGAAAGCAAATATTAATTTAATTTGTCAAGTTTATTTTTTAAAACGCAATTTGTTAAAAATTAAACTGAACTGGATATAGATTTCATTATACTAATTATCACTTATATATCAAATTTTTTTCCATAAAAAATGTTTGTTCGCTCACAAAGGATGGTTTTTTGGGCAAAAAATAGCGATTTTTTTTAATGGTTTTGTTGGCTCACGGGGGGGAGTTAGGCAAATTGCTAAGAACGGTATGAAAATCTCCCATTTTAGAAATTGGAACATCATGCTTCTCTGCATCGCCAAAAAATTGTGTCGCCATAGTAGAAATCGCAGCTTTTACGTTTTCACGGGGAATTTTGAAAATATCACAGTAAAGATGATGCTTGTACAATTGGCAACACACAGCTCTGCCTGAAATATGCTGCTCAGCAAGCATATTAGCGATTTGATCGACTTCATTTTTAAGACTTGTTTCTTGTTCTTTTAAATTTTTTAATTTTTGGTTAACTTCAGGCGATAATCCAATCTGATTTGGTAATTTTAAGGCTCCAGGTAAAAATAATTTCATTTTTCTTACTATCTCCTAATTTAAGTAGGCAAACTTTTTTGCTTGCTCACATAGAGGGTCTGAAAATCTCAATAAAAAATATTAAAATTTAAAAAAAAATTAATAATATTTATTATAAGAATGTAAGCTGTTTAAAATGCAATATGATTGGCTAGAGATTTAATTTTAGTAATCATTGCTTACATATCAAAATATTATTATATTAAAAACTCTAATATTAGCAAAATTTTTGCTCACATGATTTTTGTCCAGAAAAAGTAGATTTTCTAATTGCTTACTCGCTCCAGGCAGGGAGTTATTGCTTTTGGTAATAAGTAATGATAATACACAGGCAACTCCAATAAATAATTAGCTAATTTTTCTTCATAATATCTTGACTTATCAGATTTTGCTGCAAGCGGATTTCTATAAAATTCAAGACATTCCCACAATTCAATAAAATTGTAACATAAAACAAGCAATTTAGCTCCTCCTCCTTCTTCTAATGCAAGCATAGCAAATGGTTGTATATGGCCTTGCATATAAATTGGCAAAAATGCTGGTCTGGTTGGGTAATAAAATGCTAAAGATTCTTCAAATTTTTTAGTTCGTATAATTTCATAATAATCATAAGGGAAATCTTGGGGGATTTTAAAGTTGGAATAGACTTGATTTTGCTTATAACGGAGTATTGGGTTAGATTTTCTAGGCTGCAAACCATGGGCAAAATGAGTGAATTCTTCCGGAATCGGCCAAAAGCTGCTTCTGGTTTTTCTTTCTACTATTAAAATCAATGGGATTGAGGGTCGATCATCTCCTTCTAAGCTTGAAGTGAATACAGAATTATTTAAATAATTCACAATTTTTTCAATAATATTTAGGGCGTGTTTGAAACTAAAACATTCAAAATAGCTTCCACCTGTTGACTCAGCTAAATCTTGTATTTTTTGAGTGTTTTTAGCTTGATAATTTTCAGTTTGCATATGAATTACAAAAATTCTTTGGTCATATCTTCATACATCAGTTGAGTATTCACTTGACTCTTTCAATTTCCAGTCATTTGCATTAGCTTTTTCACATTGATTATCTGTAATCACGATTATAGCCCCAGGTTCCATTTTGTTCGGATTTCTTCCATACCCATAAGTATCTGTGGATGTTGCATGGCGGAACATATTGATTTGTTTAAAAGCTATAGCGATAGCTTGATTCAGAGTAATAGAATAAGTAGACCGACAAATATTTGATAGAGATTTAGAAAAATGCAAGAATTCATGCTCCCAAGTCGAACGAATAGAGAACTCATAATCAGTGACTATAAGATGATATTTATCACCCGAACTATCATATCCTGAACGCTGACGAATTTTTACAGCATGCTCGACAGCAGCTTTGGCGCAGTCTAAATAACTTGCGCCTTGAGAGGTTCTTTGCTGCATTGAGGGAGAGGTGTCAATTACAAAAGCTACGTTCATAGATGAAAAATACGAAAAATGGAGCAAAAGGGAATTTAATTAATTTTTAAAGCTAATTTACCTCAGAATGCTGAAATATAAATATTATATTTAGCAATTGTTAATCAAAGATTTATATTGATTGACAGAAAATCATAATTTTGTCTTTATGCTAATAGAGTATTTATGATTTTTATTATCATTATTTAATCATTTATCGTTATTATTTGTGATTTATAGATTAACTGTTAAAAAATGCTTAAAGTTTTAAATACTCAGTCTTAAGAGCATAAAAAGAATAAAATAAATTTATACTTAGTTTTTTCCTAAAAAACATGGATTTTTCTAATGTATTTTAAGCTAAGGAGAGGGGAGAAATAGAAAATTAAAAGGTCTAAATTGGAGAAATTTACAAGATAATTGTGGTCTCTATCTTTAAATGGCTCTAAATACATAGTTAATTAAGTCTGGATTAACGAAACTTTTAAATTATTATATCGTATAAAATAAAGCAAACAAAATGCATTAAAAATATCATTTGTACCATTAAAGTTTTCACTAACTCTATCTTTCAATAATGGAGTTCACCATAGGAATTTTTTATAGATACAAAGAATTCGATTTTAGAGAGATCTAATTAATCTTATAAATTTAATGTTTAAAAATGCAAGCTATCTAAAATGTAACAGAATTGGATTTAATTAAATGCCTTTAATCATTTATTAATTTTTATAGTTAAAATAAAATCAGTTCTAGCAAGTCAATTGGGCTTGATTTTACTTGTTGGGTGATCTTGATTTTTAAAGCAGGTTTTACGATTTCGCCTTTTTTATGTCATAGATGAATAGGGTAAGGTATCCCAGCACCCTTTAGATGAAGCTAAAAATAATCAATTGGCAAAATTGGATTATACATTAAAAAGTTTGCTCTATGAAAAGATGTAAGGGTGAACTAAGTATAATATATATAATGCTATAACTGCTAGCCAGTAGCAATTCTCATTTTCTTGATAAAAGAATAAAAAAGCATAGCTATTCTTATAATGAATGTTAGTAATGATAAATTATTCTTTTATTATTAAACAAGCTGATTTTTTTAAATTAAAAATAAGTCTGTTAGATTATCTAGTTAATATATAAATTCTTAGAAATAATTATATCGCTTAAAATCGAGCATAATAAATTGATAAAATTACATATAGTTTTGCTTTTACTATGAAAATTTATTATTTAAACTGAAGATTGAACTCAGAAATTAGCATAAGGCAAAAATAACAGAATCAAAAGAAAATAATTTTTGTAGAATCATGGCTACATTTAAAAGGCTAAGTGGTATTAGAGTGGTAAACGCTATTAAATTTTATTTTGATCAAGCAAGGAAAAAGGAATACAAATTTGAAAAAATATCTTCACTAAGAAATCTGGGTTTAGGCTGATGTATAAGTTTCCTTCCGATAGCCCATCCTGCGGGGCATATGGATATAGAAGCTGATACTATAAATACACATAATATAACTAAAATCAAATCCCAAGCAATAATTATTAAAGAGGAATTTACTATATATGGTGGCAAGTATTCATTTATATTTATTAAAACTCAACTTTCAAAATTCTCAATCAAAGGTTTAACACTCTTTTTAACTCAGATTTCAATTATCTTTACAGTTATGATGAAAATCTCAATGGAACAGAACTATATATTTATGACATTGAAGCTAAAACAATGACATCCTCTCTTGCAATAAAATCTTATCATCCTGATCACCGTCTATTAGATTGTATAACAAATATTACAAAAATCTTAGAATCAAGTTTACTCATTATAGGGAAGCTATCAGGAATTCCTAACTTTTTGTGAAAATTAACTCCTATTAGTAATTAATCAGTACCCCTGAAAATTGGGTCTCTGTTTAATTCGATTAAATTTCGCTCTCTCCAGCATTTTAAAACATAATCTTTATATTGTTTAAAAATTGGGATTATTAAAAAAAAAAAAAAAAAAAATTATATGCATTTTTTTTTTAAATAAAATAGCAAAATTATTTTGACATTAGCACAAGGGTAAAGTAAGGGATTTATCATGGATCTTAGGACTAAAACAGTAAGGCAAATTTTTCAATTTGAACTTTTAGCTCATCCTTTTAATAAGTCTGATGAAATTATTTACTATGAGAATTCTTTATATATTTTTGGAGAAAGAAAGCTTTCTGGCTGCATGAAAATTGACCTGAATAGTAAGAGATATTATATGCTACCATTTCCCATCTTGCATCATAAGATGTTTTGTATCCTTTTATATAAATATGTTTTAGTTGCGAATTATATTGACTCAAACCTGTACTTATATGACCTTATGATTGAGGAACACTCAATAATCGCTTCTTTTGAGCATTTACAATGCTTTAAACATCTTTTTACAGACAATCTAAGGACTTATTTATGGATACCTCTATCCGCTATATATGAAAGTGAAGAAAATAATCCATTTATATGAAATCTAATAGGAAACTCTGATTTTGGAATTAGTTTTATCCCCTCTGAAATTAATTATAGCAATTATATGGGAAATCTTTATCTCAGTTATATCACAAGGTCATCAATGCCGCGAACATATTGCTACATTTTTAATCGAAAGAAAAAAGAAATGGAGCTGATTAACCATATAATAGGCAATAATTAATATTTGATTTTTACATTAATGCAGCTTTATGATAATAATTATTTAAAAATAGTTAAATGATTGGAAATTTTTCATGTTTTACATCTTCATGTAGGAAGCAAGTCAAGTTTGCATGTAGTTGCACAGTCCCTGAAACAATGATGTGTAAAATTCACAAGTTAAATCATCTCAAAGGTAAAAAGCATCATAAAATAAGAAATTTTCAGCTAGAAGACCGTCAAGTATCAATTGAAGAAGACGTTTTTAGGATACTTAATTCAGAAAGGCTATGATTAGAAAAAATCAAAATGATTCTAACCCAAAATTTTGAGCAACCTCTACAAGACTTACTCAGAATAAAATTGTTGTACTTACTCCCCCTGCTTAAACTGGAACAAAAATTCTTGTTCCAATTTAAACAGGGGGAGTAAGAAAATTTTTTTATAAAAAAAAATTAATAAAAAAAAAAAATTTATATTAAAATTAAAAAAACAAAATTTCAAAAATTGATCGAATTAGATTAATAAATTTGTTTAATAAAACGCTATTTACTCTTTATCCTTTGATAAAAGCAAGATATAACTAAATTTCATTATTAGATAATACGCCACTATTAATTAGTATCAAAACTATTTACGCAAAAATTATTATTTTTATTGATAAAAAAAATTTTAGAAAATTTATCGATCAAAGTGCTAATTTTATTTAAATAAGATGCTATTATACTCTACTCTTTAAAATAAAGCAAGAAATAAAGTAAATTTTCAATTTTTATATAAAGAATTCGCATTGAATTTATATCAAAATTATTTAAATAAAAAATATTATTTTTATCTAAAAAATAATTTTTTTTTAAAAATTTAGCAATTAAGAATAATAAATTTATTTAAATAATAATATCTTTATGCTCTCTTCTTTAAACAAGAGCAAGATATAACTAAATTTTTAATTTTAGTTAAGAAGAAACATTTGAATTATATCAAAACTTTTGCATAAAATTATGGTTTTTATATATAAAATTTTTATTATAAAATTGAATGTTGTTTTCAATTTAAAGGGGGGTTAATTTCCCAAAAAAATGGAAATTTAACCTATATTTTGTTTCCAATTTAAAAGGGGGGAGTTAGAAGAAAGCATGAGTGAAATTGATAAATTAGCCAAAGCATTTAAAAAAATAAGTAACATAGAAAGCAGAATATCAGCAGAAGAAATTATTCAAAGAGAGGTGTATAAAAATAAAGATAATTTGGCAGATTTAATTTTGAATGAAAAAAAGACTCACATTGATGCATTTGCACAAAAATTAACTTTTAGATCATCAAATAATGCTGTTCAGAGAAGCCAGCTTTTATCAGAACTTTATCAACTTTCTCATTTTGATGAGTACGAAAACTATATTTTTTCTATTGTCACACCAAATTCTCGCACAAAAAAGTCCTATAAAAAATTTATAAAAGAATGTGAAAATCTTTATTTGTTATTAGACAAACCTGATCTAAAAATTCTCAAACAACATTCCCATATCCTTTTTAACACAGATTTCAATTATCTTTACAGCTATGTTGATAATTATAATGGGATAGAGCTTTACGCTTATGATATTGAATCTCACAAAATGACTATAAAATCTTATCGTCCTAATCATCGCTTATTAGATAGTATAACAAATATTGTAAAAATTTCGAAATCAAGTATACTTATCTTGGGGATACTAGCAGGACACGCTAAAGGATTTATAATGGATTTAGGTAACAAAAATGTAAGACAAATTTTTCAAAGCAAAGTTCAAACTGGTCCTTTTCATGAGCTCAATGAATTTATTTGTTATGAAAATTATTTGTTTGTATTTGGATGCAAAGGCATTCAGAATTGTATGAAAATGAATTTAAATAGCAAAAGATGGCAGCAAATGAAATTTCCTTATTTGCATGATAGAATTTTTTCTGTATTTTTAAAGAATTACGCTTTAATAAGCTGCTACAGAAATTCAAATTTTTATCTGTATGATTTTTTGATTGAGGGTTATTCAGAAATTTCTGATTTTAAGTATATTAAAAGAAAGAAGTTTCTTTTTACTGATAATTTAAGGGTTTATATGTGAATATGAGGTTCAATTTATGAAAGTGAAGAAGATAACCCATTTAAATGAAATTTAATTGCTGATTTTAAATTTGGAATTCATGCTGAGCCTAATGGAATTACTTATAGTAATTATATGGGAAATCTTTATATTGGCTTTCTTATAAGCCCACAAATGTATTGCTTTAAGTTTAACAGGACTAAAAAAGAAATGGAGTTGATTTATCAAGAAGATGTTAATAATTAGCTTTCCATTACAAATGTTCAGTTATTTGGAGCGCTTTAAAATAAATAATATAGAGGTTTCCTCTATATAGCGCTAAAAGCGCAGACATTTTCCCAGGAGCTTTCCAAGTTCGTCGGACCAAATCGCTTTTTTGGTCCGACCAAGGCATTGATTTGGTGCAACCTACCGATAAATTCCGATCAGAATTTATCGGCCTTACAGCGCCAAACATAGGAAACTTCTATATGCCTTTTAAAGAAATAATATAAAACATCAAAATACTATTAAGCTTATAGTGATAGTAGATTGTTATTTATTAAGTTTGATTGATTTGCATAGATCTATATAAAAGTTTTCAATATTCATAAATGAAAGATCAGACTATACTTATAGTCAAACATTTTTGAATCAAGCTTATAAAGTTTACTCATTTTTTTCAAATCTAAACTTAAATCAAAAGATAAAAGATACAAAATAAAAGATATAAATTATTTTTTATGCGAATCTCTCAAAGCATTATGATTCAAAGCTGTTTTTTTTGCCTCGTAATAATAGCAGGCTAATGATCTTCATAGAATTAATAATTAGACCAGAAAATTTACCGAGCTTTTTATTTTAATGCCTATTAGTTTAAAAAGAAGAATCCTATATTTTAAATATTTATGTAAATCACATTAAATGTATGTAAAATTATGAGATTAAGTCTACTCTATTTTAAGAATTCTCTAGCTGAGTAACTATTTCTAAGATTTTCAAGCAAAAATGGCAAGAAGAGATTAGTAACTTATATACAGCGACTTCTTGTTTAAATTAGTCTTAGTCGGAGATTCCGGGGTCGGAAAATCTTGCTTGCTATTGCGTTTTGCAGATGATACTTTTTCGGAGTCATATATAAGCACAATAGGGGTGGATTTTAGATTCAAAACTTTTACGATTGACAATAAGCTGGTCAAGCTTCAAATTTGGGATACTGCTGGCCAAGAAAGATTTAGAACTATAACTAGTGCTTACTATAGAGGCGCTGACGCTATTTTGATTGTTTTTGATAAGACGAACAAGGAAAGCCTTGATCATATAAAAGACTGGGTTGAAGAAATTAATAAATATTCTGAAGGGTCAGTCAGAGTATTGCTGGGGAATAAATGCGATAGAAATGATAAAGTTGAAGTAAGCGAAGAAATGGGGCAAAAGTATGCTGAAATGTATGGTATGATGTATGTTGAAACTAGTGCGTTAAGCGCACATCATGTAAGCGAAGCTTTTTTTATGGCAACAAGGGAGCTTGTACAGAAAAAAGAGAAAAAGACACCGAAAGGAAAGAAACTTGATGACTTGAAAAAAATTAGGAAAAAGTCGAAATGTTGTTAAGATTAATTTATGTCTACACAAATCGTAATTTTTTTCAATAAGATAGTCAAATCATAGCATTAGTCAAATAATAGCTGTGATTTCCTTTAAATATTACCAATATTTTTATACTAGTTTACGATGAAAAGCCTCTAATGAACTTTTTTGGCTCGCCATATTTTGGCCAAATTTAAATTTGTAACCAAAAAAAATGCTTTCTGTGGGCTATTCTTTATAGACATGTACAACTTAATTGGTTGTCACAATTTAGCTTGTTTAAATATTTTTTTCAATTAATTCTAAATTTCTTCATCTTGGTCAATCTTCCTAATAATTAATTCCGCGAATTTTCTAATCTCATCTAGATACCTGCGTATTTTTTACATTTTAGATCCATTTCTCAAATCCCCTTCCTCTATCATCTCTTTTGCTTTCTTTATCTGCTCTACAGTAACCAAATCTCACACTCTTTCTTTTCTCTCATTTTCCTGTTTCTTTTGCAAAGATAGTAAATTTACATCATAAGATGATGTACAGATATCTTCATCTTTGATGCAAAAGCTCGAGCAGCTGCTATTATTGCTTAAGCTCTTTTTCCCTTTTTTAGAAGGAGTGATAGTTTTATAAAAATTATCAAAATTTTGCGTGGCTTTCATTATAGGGGATCTTAGCCTTCTATCAGACACTGAAGGTATAAGGAACTTACTATCCGCTCCGTGAGCGAACAAATCATTAAAAATCCCTATTTTTTGGGTGAAAAACAATGTTTTTTAATATAAAAATATTAAGAAAAAATAGTATGATATATAATTAGTATAATGAAATTTCTAGCTAACTCTGTTGGAATTTTAAACAGAGTTATTTTTAAACCATAAATTTTACAAATTAAATTAAGTTTTACGACTTGGAACTTTTTTTAAATTTGAAAAAAAAATTACTATAAATTTAAATATAAATTTTTTTTAGCCCCCCTCTTTGTTCACTCATGGAGGGGGAGTTAGAGCTTTGAGATAAACGACAGTTTAAGCTGTTTACTGAAGTATGGCAAGAATTTTTTGACATACTCTGTGGGTTTGTGGATGCTGTGGTGATAAAGTAGAGCGGAGAAACTTTGGGAGATTTTTTAAGCTTGATTTTCTTACGAATTTCTTCTCGATAAGTTTTTCATGAAGTGAAGTCTTTCTTTTCTTTATTTTCATAAATCTGCTTACTCCCATCCCCTCCGTGAGCGAACAAAAACTCTTGTTTTTTAAAAAAAATCACACTTCGCAAAAATTGGAAAGCAAATATTAATTTAATTTGTAAAATTTATGTTTTAAAGTGCAATTTGTTTAAAATTAAACAGAATTAGGTCGAGATTTATTATACTAATTATCACTTATATCAAAATTTTTTTCCATAAAAAATTTTTGTTCGCTCACGGAGGTGGGTTTTTGGGCAAAAAACAGCGATTTTTCTAATAGTTTTGTTCGCTCACGGAGGGGGGAGTTAGAGTTTTACCTCAGATGCTTGCTTTTTCAAGAGGACTTTTAATGAAGATTTTTGGGACATTTAGAAATAAAATTATTTATATTTATTTTAAATTTAAACAAGTCTTTTTTTTCTCAATTCTCAGTGGATAAAGATTTTTCTTCAGTATTGCATCGCTTGAACTTTTAGCTATCACTGTAAAGCCTCTGCTTTTTCTAGCTGATAGCACTTCTTTTAATTGCAATATTTTTTGCCTTTCAGGTGACTTATTTCTAGAGGATATTTTTTCACTATCTATCAAGGTCCTTTTCTTTATTTGAGAGCATCTATTTCCATTTCCAGTCAAAATTGTTCGTCCAGGTAACTCATCTCTTATAATAATTCTTTGATTTGCAATGCTCTTTTTACTTTCCTCCTTTTTAATTACAGGAATTTCTTCCTCATTGCTACTAATCGACAAATCTCTGCTTCCGTATCTGCATTTATCTATATAATTAATATATTAAGTAATGAATAATTTTTTATATTTTAAATAAATATAAATAATAAATATTATAAAAGACCTAAAGTTAAGGAAATTTGGATAGAAATTTTGAGCATGCTCCACCTCTTTTCAGGGTTTTTTTGAAAAATATTTGTAATCAAATGCCGCCAGTAGTTGGAAACCGATGCAGGAAGAGGTGCATAATTCACATTAACAATATAGCCCAGGAGTGATTTTAGATCTCCCTGAGCTAGGAGAATGCTTGGAAACTCCCCGAACTGGCTCGTCATCTTAAGTTGAAAAACCAACTCGGAGATTTTCCAAGCATCCTCCTAGCCAAAGGCGATCTAAAATCACTCCTGGTCTATATTCTGTACAATTTGAGCAACTGTATTTCCTTGAAACGGCAAACTTCCTGTCAATAACGCATAAAAAATGCATCCTAAGCTTCATATATCAAGCGCCGGCGATGCTCTATTATCAGTCCTCGAAATTACTTCAGGCGCTGTATACATCAAGCTCCCGGAGTCTGATTTTTGCCCCTTCCCACTTGCGCTGCACATCCCCGCAATTCCAAAATCCACGATTTTAATTACATTTTTATTTCTGTTTGAAAAAAGCACATTTTCCAGTTTCAAGTCTCTATGTATCACCTTATTATTATGGCAATACCTAACAGCCCCAATAATTTGTACAGCCAAACTGAAAACTTCTTCTTCATCAAGTTTTCCTTTTTCTTCCACATATTTTTGAAGTTCTCCTCCACTGCAATATTCCATAACAAAACAAAGCTTGTCATCTAAAGGAAACGCATCAATTAATTTTACAATATTTTGATGTTTTAAGCTTCTTAATAGCATCATTTCTGTATAAACTCTACTTACATCTTCATGGGAAACCAAAGTTTTGTAGCTGACCACTTTGATAGCTACCTCTTCTTTAGTTAATTTATTTTTATATAAGGATACAGATCCGAAACCTCCTTGTCCTAATTTTTTGAGTTCTTCGTATATAGCCATGCTGGATTGCCGTAGGAAAGCTTCACCACGAGATAGGAATAAAGGCTCGTCTGGGTTGAGCATATCTAGGTCTTCGTCAGATATTTCGCCTCCTGTAGAATCGAAAATTTTAAAAGACCTTTTAAGGTGGAGATTAAATTTTTCAGATGATTCTGAGAGGATATCTTTGACGGACATGTGGGGCCGGATGCGGATTTTACAGCTTTGAGTTAAATGCCCATTGAGAAACACTGTAATTTCAGTCCTATCCATTTATTAGCTTTAGTCAAAAGTGATCGGGTGGAATTTTCATTAGTTTATTGTAACGCAAGTGGGCTAGATTAGATAATATGGATTTGTGCAGTATAATTCTTAATAATGTCTGATATTAATAGGATCCAATATTTATTATATAAAATTATTTAGTGTCAATCAAAATATTTAGTTAAGAGGATATTAAAATATGAATCAGAGGAATTAAATTATTATGTAATCAGTAATGAGCATTATTTTGCAGGATTATTCTTAATCCCCCCTCAGTGAGCCATAAAATATTTATAAAAATATATTTTTGATATTATTATAATAAAATTTCTGCTAATCTAATAATATAAAACAGTAATGAAACTAGAACTTCTCTACTATTTTCGCCATACAAACTTCAAAAAGCTCCACAGTTCCAACATAAGGATCAGCGAAAACAGTCAAACTCCACAAAATCATCTGAACGATTCCATCAATATCAAAAACCATCTAATTTCTAAAAACTACTTATTCATTTCCATCAAAAATTTATTTGTTTCCTTCAATTTTATGACAAGCCTTTAATAACGCCCTTAATTTCTTTTATCATCCCTGGCATTCAGATATTTGACCAAAATTATTAGCATGAAGTAAGATTCCAGCTTGAAGATTGTCTAATGCTTAGCCAAGGATGATTTTTGGATTTTTACAAGAAAGAGCTCTATGGCACTAAAGTTGCTATAAAATTTCCAAAAGAGGTTAAAGAAGACAATTTAAAAGCCCAGCTCAGATTGCAAAAAGAATTGAGTATAATGAAAAGTTTAAGCCCGAAAATATCACTAAATGCTATGGGTTTATTATGATGATAAATTTGGTTTAGTTTATTGAATATTGCTCAAACGGCACACTAAGAGATTATACTGATTTACTATGAATATCAAAAGGAGCATTTTTGGCTAGCCAGGCATCAGGTAAATTGCCAAAAATTGTTTTTTGCAGGCGAAATTCAATTTTAGTAGAATAAAACTTAATGAAATCCAAATTAAAAATAATTTATAAATTTCATTATAAATCGCAAAAAATTGACAAATTAACAGACTCATGTATTTAATAAACTTTAATCTTAAGTACTGTATGATTTATTCTGTATGAGTTTGTGTAGGGCACACACTATGTGTACTAATCTTAGCTGGAAATGCGCTTGCACTAACCTCACTCTTGTATCATTCATGGATATGATCCCCTTTGATATTATAATCGTTGATCATATTAAGTGACCCGGTCACAAAGAGTCTGTAAGTGCTCTCAAAAGGCTGCCAAGAGCTGGTCAGCTGAACTCCTGCATAAAGTGTCGTCCCAGCTGGAGCCATAAGCTGTATAGTGTTGACGTAAAAGCTTGCTTCAGAGCTTGCAATAAGTTTTCCACTTGCATCATAAACTGCCAAGCTGAATGAGTCAGCATCCATGATTGGGACAACAACAATGGTGATAAATTGGTCTACCCTTGAATATATTGGATAAAGATCGACTTCATTGAATTGGGTAGTCCCTCCATTCACCATGAATGAGGCGTCTGGAGATTTTATGCATTTAGCTGTATTTTCAGCATAGCTTTCAAATAGCTCATAAGTCATTAGGACATTCACGTCAAAGTCCATAGTAATGGTCCTAACAATCTTACCAAGGCTGACGTAATTTCCATCAACATCAGACTTATAGCCATGAGCTCCAATAGGACCTAAAGGTCCTAAGGCACCTAAAGCTCCTAATGGCCCAAGAGGACCTAAAGCACTCCATAAACCTAGAGCACGTAGTTGGACGGCAAAGTCATTATTTTTGAACAGAGTTTGGCCTGGGTCCTTTATCCCATAATATTGGGCTGGTGAGACTGGCCCATTTCTACCTAAAGGTCCATCCATTCCTAGAGGTCCTCCAAAGCCTGTTATGTATTTGGCAAATAAGGACCAATCCCCGAATCCTGATATTCAATCTGACGGATTTCAAGTATTGTTGCCAATAGGACCTAAAACTCCTAATGGACCTTGTGGGCCTAGAGGTCCAAAGTATCCTAAGCAGCTGGTGGATGATAGATATTCTTCTAGAGTTCCTCCTGGCAGTTTGGATGGATCGATTACTGGACAAATACTGCTATTGGTCACAGATGATATGGACTCAACTGTTGTGTATGTGTATGGCGTATGGACTGGTAGCCATGAATCTATGCATTCTGCTATAGAAAAACGCGTAAGGCTGCATAGAACAAGTAGAATAGTTGCTTTCTGGTGCATTAATTTTATAATCTTGTAAGACATAAAGATGAAATTAGGATCATTAATTAAACCTGAGCTTAAAAAATTGGCTATTTAAATTGATGACGTATATTTTGATGATGTAATATGTAAGAATACCAGCTTATTAATTGGGATTCTCATATCGATTTATAAATAAAATTTATTATTTATAAATAATTTTAGACCTTATGATAATCTTAAGAAAAAGTTTTTGAATTTGCTATTTATATACTTAGCCTGCTTAACAAAAATTTTATATTTTTAATAATAAAACTATTTTTTAAGTTTTTATCATTGAGAGCTTCTTAAAAAGGCCTACAATGCTTGATGATTACTAATCAACATCAATTCTAATTGAAGTGACAAAAAATTTCAACTCAAAAGCTTAATTATAAATATTGGTGAATATGCTGCCATTATTAAATCATAAATGGTAGAAATATCGATATTTCGAAAAGATTAAGAAATATCCCAACAAATTATTTTGCATGCTTATTTTTAAATCATAATTTTTTATATTAGAAGGAAGAAAAGAGAATACTTATTCTAACCTTAAAAAATAAGAAACTAACTTTAAATTTTTTTAAATATATTAGTTTATATGAAAGCCAACCAAGGAGGATTTTTAATAAGCCAGACATCAATGGCTTGCACAAGCCAATATAAATTTTACTAAAAGAAAAGCGCTCATTTGTGGGATATTCATCGATAACACATATATTCTAGAGCTTTAGCAAGCTCAAAGAAATCTTTTGCTAATATCCTTGCAAAATTAGCTAAATAATATTAATTTGCATATTGCATTTAATTTTTGTTTCCAAAAATTATAATGGAATTATTAACAATATGAATGCATTTTTACAAAAATTCCCTTAATTGAGCATTTAATTTATTGATTGCTATTTAAAGAGGTTTTTAGTTGCTTTTCCATATGATGTAAAGCTTTTTCAGATATAACTTGGAACACTTTTTCGATATTTGTTGCTTCCTTAGCAGAGACTTCAAATAAATTCATTTCTCCATCGCCCTTGCACCACTCAAGAGCATCATCATAGCTTACATCTCTATGCTCTACATCAATTTTATTTCCTATAATAATAAATGGAAACTCCTCAGGAAACTCAGGTTTTGCGACATTTAAAAACTCTTCTTTTCAGTCTTTGATGGCTTGAAAGCTTTTATCAGAATTTATATCATATACAATTACACAGCAGTCTGTGTCTCTATAAAATGCAAGCTCAAAACTTAAATATCTTTGGTGGCCAGGGATATCCCAAATATTCAAGCAAATAGAATTACCATCTAAAACTACATCTTTTATAAATAATTCAGCATAATCTGTTTCATCTTGATCTAGGTCGAATTTCTTATAGTATATTGGATTAAGTTTAATAAAAAATTATGAGCTCTTTATAAATATGATAAGATATGAGTATTGAAATGCTCAGATTTAATATAGTTTAATAAATAATATTTATGTATTGATTTAAAAGCGAAGTTTTTCCTACTTTAGAATTTCCCAAGACTAAAATTTTAAGATTAGTTGTGTTGGCTTTTTTAGATTGTTTTTTTTTGATAGGCTTGCTTTTGAGCTTATAGCTTACTCCCCCTTGGTTAGTAATTAAAGTTATTTCTGCTCGATGATTTTTAAAAACTGGAAAATATTTGAAATCAAAAATAACTAATTTCAATTATACAATTAACTAGAGAAATAATTTCAATTACTAATTATAATCCCTTGCAAAAGTTTATTTTTGTTTTCATAAGTGAAATGATTTTTAAAATGTTAAAAAAAATTATAGATTCAATTTTATATGCTATGACAGGTCAAAATTTTTAACATTTTAAAACTAAATAAATGAAATTTTACCAATGCAGTATATACGATGAATAAAAATATATTTTTTACATAGAACTCAAGAAAGTTAATTTTTTCCAAAAATAGATAGTTTTGCTCACTAACTAAGGGGACAGTTAGAAAATTATATAATGGAATCTCTACAAATAAAGCAAATGGTACTGCAAAAATATAAACAATTCCAATAAGAGCAATGGAATATCAGTAAATATTTAGCTTCTGTAAGTAGAGAGAGGATTTTTGGCTTTTCATAATAATATCAATATAATGTGAGGACGGTTATAGATTGAACTTGACTTCCCCCTTCCCTCGCCATACCCTCCTCTGGCAGTTTCAGTTTTGATAAACAGTAAAATTAATTTGACTCGTCATATTCATAACGATAAACTTGTCATTTTCTTTTTCCTTTTCAATTTAAAATGAAACGTCAATGAGGTGAAGGAGTCTAGTTTGAGCCATAACTGCTTGCAAAGTATAATATTTAGATGAATTAAATAGGCACAATAAGTAAGTTTACCTAAAGGAGCCCACATTTGAAGCGACATTGGATACCTGAAATAAGTAAAATGGCCTAAAATCAAAGGCAACCCCATTAAGCTTATTCCAGTAGCATTTACCACTTTACAACTAGCAATATATGCTACATTTTGGCCTTGGGTCCAATTATCAAATTGATAATCATCATCTTTGTACGCAGAATATTGTATATCAATTATAAAAGTTCATAAAAATAGCCCAAACAGCACAGCTCCTCATCTTATATATCTATTTTCAAAATATTTAATTATTTGTTCAGCAATCCTGTCTCTTTTCTGATAATTGCATTTTGTATAATAAATAAAAGCCCCACCGATCCCAAAAGCATAAGAAGGGACTCTGCAATATGGCTTTGAAAAATAATAATCAAAATAATCATGATAATTTTCTGCTAAAACAACGACATTAAGATTGTAATGTGATGCAATTATTGCTGCAGAAGTCACTCCAATTGCACTTAAAACACTTATAAATAACCATGCGATTTTATATGATTTTTTATAAATTCATACAATAGGAAGGGTAATGATAAAAAATTGCATTTCACAAGCCAAATAATAGCCATTTGACAAGCACCGAGTGAATTTGAAATCAGGCACAAAATTATTCACATAAATTGCATTTGACCATCAATAATCATTGCATTCATCATTTATTTCATTTCCTTGGTATCATAAAGGGCCTTGTCCAATGTATTTTTGTAATGACCAAAAAAATAAAGTAGCTGATAAAAAAATTGGTGCTTTAAGAGCATATTCAGAAAAAATTGCTTTAAAATAATATTTATGATCCCCTTCGCAGAAGTAAAGTAGAAATAAAGTAAATGTGAACCCTGAAATCCAAAATAGCGTATCAAGAGAATACAGCCCTGAGAAAAATACTATATTTTCGTCTTTATCAAGCAGCTGTTCAAGCTTCATTACATTTGCAAGCACTGAATTATTAAAAAAATAATAAGCCACTGTAGCTACAATCAGTCAGCATACACTAACTCATCTAACAAAATCAAAAAATTTAAGATTTTCGTCATCATTTGCCTTCATTAGTATTTTAGCATTTCTTTTCGCTGAAAAATTCAATAAAAATTCCCTTATCCTTGATTTTTTTCTTTTTACATTTATTGGCGATTTATCATTTAAATCTCTTAGTTCGCTGTATTCTGACCCAAGCTCATTTTCTTCTTCTTTAACACTTTGGATGATATCAATAGCTGTCCCAGTAATTCCAATTAATCCAATAAAAACACAAAATAAAATCATAAAGGTTGCCCCTGCTGTGATTTTAAAATGCTTTTCAACATATGTGTGAGGAAAGTGAATAACTGCAGAAGTATTTTTTATTGTTTCTCTTAAAGTCCCAGGCAAAAATAAAGACTGCTTTATTGGGTCTGTATTAAAAAAGGAATTAATTGCATCATTAATGATTTCTATATAGTTCTCCTCTGAGCATATAGAAGGGCCACATACTGAATAACCCACAAATGGGTGCCTTATGATTTCTATGAGAGTGTATTTTGTGTCTGATAAAGCTTCACAATCATCATATCTTCCTAAATCGTTGAGACTTTTTCCAGTATATGTGAACATTTTGGAATATCTGTCAGGATCAGTTTCAAAGGAATTTGGGGCACTTTTAAATACCAGGGCTAATTCTTGAAAGCATAATGTAACATTTGAAGCTCAAGCAATGGATAAGCTGATAAAGATTTTACATAGAATTTTCATTCAAATTATTGTAAAACCAAAGAAGCCACATTTTTACTACAATTATTTAATTTACCAATGATTTTAATCTATTTAGCAAAGAAAGCATTAAGTTAAATATAATAGAGCAATGTTTTAATATAAAAATTATTGAAAACTTGCTTTTATTAAAGTAATCATCATTTGTCTTCTATATGTATCGATTAAATCCTTGGTATTGCAGAGCTGTTTCCCAATTGCAAGAGATTCTGCAATGTTGCATATAACAACTCCGCTGTCAACACCGCTTCCTCTAAAGCAATCAGCTCCTTTGTAGCGATACTCTGGAATATGATCAGTAGTTAATTTCTGAGCTCTTATGGCTCTGTGAACAAATTTATTAATTACTTTACTCCCCCCCCCCCCTCCGTGAGCGAACAAAACCATTAGAAAAATCGGCATTTTTTGACCAAAAACCCACCCTCCGTGAGTGAACAAAAATTTTTTTAATAGAAAAAATTTTAATGGAAAAAAATTTTGATATATAAGTGATAATTAGTATAATGAAATCTAGAGCTAATTCTGTTTAATTTTAAACAAATTGCGTTTTAAAACATAAATTTTGCAAATTAAATTAATATTTGCTTCCCAATTTTTGCAAATTAGGATTTTTTTAAATTTCGAAAAAAATATTTTTATATAAAATTTATATATAAATTTTTTTTTTTAAAAAAAAAAATTAACCCCCCTCCGTGAGCGAACAAAATTTTTTTGTTCGCTCACGGGAGGGGGGGGGGGAGTTAGTAAAAATATCAGTGTCTGTTGCATCTGTAAAAGGGTCAAAATATGTAACTGTATTCAAATTCATGTTCACCAATAAAAGCGACCAATAAGTTGTATGTATTGGAAACATCAATAAGTCGTAGTTTAAAATATACTGATTAATGAAAATTTAGGAATTATAATGTATTCAGAATTTTATTTTTATATAAAAAAAAGAAAATATTGTATCAATACTTGATATATTTTCTTTGTAAAGGGATATTGATTTTCGGCTGAATAATCGATCTCCCTTTTAGAATTAACGCCTCTGAAAACTGTGAGTCAGCAATCATCACTTTGGCAGCTAATTTGTTATAGTTTAATAAGTTACGATTCATTTGTACAATAATAGACATATAACAGTTAAGTATTTCTTCTGTTAGGCCTAAACCTTCTCTGAAGACCAAAAACTTGCCTAACTCTCGTAATTTAATATTGATTAAATTCAAACATTTTTTGAATTTTCATTTAAAAAAAATAATATAATTATTATAAGTGAAAACTCAATTCATAGCATAATTGGCAGAGTGAGAGAATCGTCCTATGGCCTATTTTAAAAACTTTTCTGTCCTCTCCAAACCTTGGATCGAAAACCCATATGAAAGCTTCCTTGATTTTGTCTAGCTCAAAGGGATTTATTTTGTTTGAAGGCTCCAATTCTCTTATACTTTATTATATATTTTAATTGTACTTCATTATATCAAGAAAATTGACTATGCAAAAAAATTTTTTTTCATATAAAATGGTCATCTCAAGCTATCAGTCTTAAATAAAATGTCAATTATTGCATAATCTTTTAATAATTTCATACTCAAGAGCTGAATATTGAGGCTCATCATGCACTGTTGGAGTTGGGGAGCTAAAAAGTATCTCTGCACAACAGCCCAGCTTAAATTTTGATAAGTTTTCTTGTGTTAGCACACTTTGTGCTATGTCTTTTTGTAAAAAAGTAGGGAGAAGGTTTGATCTTAAATTTTGTTTACTAAAAATCCGTGTATATGCTGATGAATGGCATGGAAGAGACATCATGGCATCACTATTGGAATCGACCAAAGATCTCACTGAGGCATCATTGTCGCTTGCATCACCCTTGGAATACCATTTCATTGCGGATACTGAACGCATGGATTTGATTATATTGGATTTATTGGCATATCTATTTTTGTGGTATAAAAGGATAATATCTAAAAAATTTTGGGAGAATGATAAGCTCTATGTAAAAGAGAGGGAAAAATCACATAATTTTAAGGGAATAGCAGTTATAGCTCTTTAAAACTAAGAAATAAATGATATTTGTGAAACTCATTTAGTCTTATTAAGGGTTATGAATAAAATAAATAATTTATTATAGGTAATTATCATTACTGATTTATAAAATGAAAGGAAAATAAATTAAATAATTCATTATAAGAGCATTGAGCTTCTTGCAGAAGAGTCTCTTATGTCCTTAGCTTCGCTTTTTCCAAGAGAACTTCTTGCTGAAGACTCTCTTATATCTTTAATTTCGCTTTTACCAATCGAGCTTCGTGCTGACGACTCTCTTATATCCTTAGGGTCAAATCCCATTGTCAAGGATCTCCTTGTTTTTCTCCTCACAAATAATCGATTAGCGATTCTTTTTGTAGGGGACATTTCAAAAATATTTGATAAATGCATCAATGCATATTTTAATTTGATTTGTAATGGAACTTTATCTGGGTCTTTTTTCGCTAGCTCTTCATTATGTGCAATTTGGAGGTTTGCTAAATCTGCGACTCTTGCAATTGCTTCAACAAATTCAGCGAAATTCATTTCCATGTGTTTTTTATTATAAACTTCATCAATTTGTGGCCTCATTGAATAAGCATAGCTGACATCAAAATCTCTTATCATTAGTGACCCAGTTTGGAAGCCTCCTAAAATACAAAGTTCTCTGAATTCTTCTATACTCACAAAAGGTGCTTGTCCAGGTAGAGTTTTTTTTCTTACTCTGTTATTTTTTTTTAAAATAAAACATTTTTTAATTTTTTTAGGAATAGAGATTTCATGTAGATAAATAATTAAGCTTAGAAAACTTCTCAAAAAGTTGTTCTAGACAAGGCTTATAAAGCTTGACAATATTTTCACATTCCTCAGTTAATAATTTTTTCCTTCATCCATCTCCTGCCATATAATTCTTCATTAAAGGCTCAAATTCATTTTTTAGCAGTTTCTCTACAGCTTCTGTTACAGTTTTTGCGAGCTTTGACTTAAAAAATTTGTCATATGCCACTCTTGCTAAAACTTCTAAAAATTCATATCGAATTAGTGCATTTCCTGGATTGTAAGTTTGATTTTTAATTTTTGATGATAAGGTAGCATTTCAATTAACCCCAACATCTGCAGCAGAGTAATACGAATCAAAAGTCCCGCATTGATTTAGAAAATCAAAAAATGCATTAATTCCCATAGAAAAAATCTCATTGCCACTGATGGCTGAAAGAATTTTGTATGTGTTTCTTCTACATATATTTTACATCAATGGGTAATATCTTCTTAATCTCCCTAATCCATGGGCGGACAAAAATATTGGGAAAATCCTTATTTTTAGAATAAAACCCACCCTCCGTTAGCGAGCAAAAAATTTTTGATATAAAAAATTTTAGGAAAATAATATTTTGATATATAAGTAATAATTAGAATCTCTAGCTAATTCTGTTTAATCTTAAACAGCTTACGTTTCAAAACATAAATTTTACAAATTAATATATGCTTTAAAATTATTTCGAATTTGGGATTTTTAAATTTTGAAAAAAATCAATCAAAAAATTAACCCATTTTTGTTCGCTCACAGAGGGGAATTAATAGTCGCTTACAACTTTCCATATCTTCTGTGGACTTAAAAAATGTATCAATTTTGGTAAATCCTCAGTCGAAATCAAAGCATTTATCAATAAATTCCTGAATAAATCTTACTTCTGTCTCAGGGGCAATATCTTTAAAGATGCTTGATGTTTCGATTTTCCATAAATATTTGGGTGGCTCTTCTATTGTTTTTTTATTATAAACTTCTTTTTCTATTCTAGGCTTTGTCTCAGGCAAGTCATTTAGCTTACACATCGGCCCTTTAGGGAGTATTTTATTAACAGTAGTCACATTTAGCCTTATTTGTATTCCTTCAGAATATTCAATTACATTTTCAATAGGCTCACAAAGTTTAACTATCTCCCATTCTTCACAGATAACAGGAGTTTCACCATGACTGAAGAAAAATAAAATATCCCTTGGAGGAACCATCCTAGCCACACTATAAAATCCCATATAGTCAACTGGAATCAATTCAGGTTCATAATCATCAATATCCAAATGCAAAAAAATTGGTTCATTTCTGGCTGTTACTATAGAATTTGTTCAAATAAAGTTTACTTCAACTCACGCTTCACATAGCCAACAATTAGAATTATCTTCACAATGATTTTTAGCCAATAATGAATCATGATCAAATATCCTTTGGGTTAAGTGGCCAGTTTCCAATTTTGGGTCAATCTTTCTTTTCCTAATAAAACCTTTAGAATCCACTTGGCATTCGTTGCCCTGCAAATGGATGCCAAGTAAGGTATGGTTTTTCTTAAGCCCTTCTCCGATATTCAGGCACTCTTGTTGAGTTAAATAGTTGTAAGACAAATCGAGATGCCTCAATTCTCTTTGATTTCCCAAGAGGTTTCCAATTTTTATTGTGATATCGTCTGCAGTGCTTCTCCCAATAGAATTTCATGACAAGTCAAGTTCTAACAGTGTATCATTATAAGTCAGTCCTTCAAAAAGTTTGACAGCCCCTTCTTCTCTGATTTCATTCCAATGAAGATCAAGCTTTTTTATGCTTATATTTGATTGAAGCAATTTTCCTATTAGAAATCCCGCATTTTCTCCAAGCTTATTTTTTGCTAAATTAAGCACTTTGATTTTTGAATTATCACACAAACTATCAACTAAAATTTCTAATCCTTGGTAATTAAGCTCAGTTCCTTCAAGATTTAGCTTTTTTAAACAAGACTTCGGATTATTAATCAGCTCTATAAGTTTTTCTATAGGCTTATTTCCTAGCTTATTGTTAGCTAGATTAAGGTCTTTTAGACTTGAGCCATTCATTCGTGATAAAATCTTTATTGATCCTGAATCAGATAAGCGGTTGTTTCGCAGATTTAATTTTTCAACTGATTTTAAGCTTTTTAGCCCTTTTGATAGTGCATTAGCATATTTATCGCCAACGCCCATATTCCTTAAATCAAATTCATTGCTAGTTCCTCTTCTTTTTACAATCCCAATAGGTTTAGGCCAAATTTTTTCTTTTTCACATTTTTCAAGGAATGCTATATTTGGAGATGACTCCATATGGTGCTGCTTTATTTGTTCTTTATATTTGTCAAGGTTTTTAAAAGTCTCAAAAAACTCAATTCTAGCAGATAGCCCTATTGGTCCCTGGTAATTTTCCATACTTCCTTCTCTATTAGCTAGTCTTGATTTACAAAAGAGGTTACGAATGCTGTCATCACTTTTATTTCTATTAGAAAGATCTGCAGACCTACGACAAGCGTGCTCTCTTTTATGAGAAATCGCTGATATTCTTGAACAATTTCTGCTGAGGATCAAAGGGAGATTCCTTTTGTCTTCTTTGTTCATTGCACGCATTTTTTTGTTATAACACTAAAATATGAAAAATTGCTATTATAAAAATTATTAATCCATTTATTAGTCTTTATTTCTTATACGATAAATTTTATCATCAATTATTTATTCTTCGCCTTCGAAAATCCTCCTTATTTTCAGATGAAAATTAATTTTCTATTTATAAATATATAAAAATATCATATTAGTCGATGGCTGGGTCATCCTATTTCGTCTCAAACTAAAAATTCACTTAACATGTTGGTGTTTTGACATTTACATAATATCCAATCCCTTATATAATGTCACAACCTCAGCCAGTACGTCAAAAAATGCAAGTTGTGATCGACGACTCGTCCCTTGAGCATTTCAATTCCTGCATTCAAAGCCGCTATGAACGCTATCTGTCCAAAAAGCATGAAATTGAAGTCGCTGAAGGCACTCTTGCTCAATTTGCATCTGGCTTCGATTCATTTGGAATCCACAAGACACCTGCTGGAATCATCTACAAAGAATGGGCACCAGAAGCTACTTCATTGTGTCTCTTTGGAGAGTTCAACAATTGGCAACGAAATCAATATGTAGGGAAGCGAGATCAATATGGAGTATGGACTGTCTTGATTCCAAATGAAAACAATCGCTGTGCTATTACACATCAGCAAAAGCTAAAAGCTGGTTTAACTTTGAGGGATGGGAAATGTGTTGACAGAATCCCTGCATGGGCTACTTATTGTGTCCAAAACAAGGAAACTAGGCTTTATGATGCTGTTTTTTGGGACCCTCCAGAGCCGTATGAGTGGCTTCATCCTAGACCTAGCGCTTTGAGGGCTTTAAAAATATATGAGACACATGTGGGAATGAGCTCTGAGCACGGTGTCGTAAACACGTATAACGATTTTACCATAAATGTGATCCCAAAAATAGCAGAAACTGGTTATAACGCAATCCAGCTGATGGCAATCATGGAGCACTCATACTATGCAAGCTTTGGGTATCATGTGACTAACTTTTTTGCAGTCAGCAGCCGATATGGGACTCCTGACGATTTAAAAAGGCTGATCGATACAGCTCATTCTCTTGGGATTTATGTGTTTTTAGATCTTATACACAGCCATTCTAGTACCAATGTGCTAGATGGAATTAACCAATTTGACGGGTCTGATCATCATTATTTTCATGCTGGGAAAAAAGGAAGGCATGAGTTGTGGGACTCCAGACTTTTTAATTATGGGCATTGGGAAGTTTTAAGGTTTTTATTGTCGAATTTGAGATGGTATATGGATGAATACCGCTTTGATGGGTTTAGATTTGATGGAGTCACGTCTATGCTTTATAAACACCATGGGATCAAATACTGCTTTTCAGGGCAGTATCATGAGTATTTCAATGAAAACGTGGTAGACACTGATGCTCATATATATATCTTAGAAATATCATTATGCCCTTAATAATAACATATCATTTTACTATAAAAATGACTGAAAATTCAATACAATTGATAATATCTCATGCTAGCCAATGACTTAATTCACCAACTGAACCCTAACGCTATCACTATTGCTGAAGATGTATCAGGAATGCCTACACTTGGAAGACCAATCCCTGACGGAGGATTTGGATTTGACTACAGGCTTAACATGTCAGTTCCTGACAAATGGATCAAGCTGCTTAAAGAAGTAAAAGACGACAACTGGATCATGGGAGATTTAGTATATACACTTACTAATAGAAGATGGAATGAAAAATGTATTGCATACGCTGAAAGCCATGACCAAAGCATTGTAGGAGACAATACCATTGCGATGAAGCTGTTTGGACCTGAAATTTATTCCAATATGTCACGAAATTCTGCTTATACGCCTGTAATTGATAGAGGGATTGCACTGCATAAAGTAATCAGACTTATTACACATGTGATGGGAGGAGAAGGGTATTTAAACTTTATGGGAAATGAATTTGGGCATCCTGAATGGGTTGATTTTCCGAGAGAAGGAAACGGCTGGTCTCACCATTATTGTCGTAGACAGTGGCATTTAAGAGACGATACAAATCTTTATTATCATTATTTGTGGCAGTTTGACCGTGCTATGAATTTATTAGAAGAAGAGACACACTGGCTGAACTCCAAAGACCAATATTTCAACGTCCACGAAAAAGATAAAATTATAGTTTTTGAGCGAGGAAATAGGCTTTTCGTCTTCAATTTCCACCCTTCAAAAAGCTTAGAACACTACAGAGTAGGCACCAAGTTCCCATATGAGCATATCATTGAAATGGACACTGATGAAAGAAGATTTTATGGTCACGGACGTCTTCAGCATGGCCATGAAAACCCTTTCCCAATCATGAAAACTCCTTGGAACGGAAGGCCAAACTACATCCAAATGTACATCCCCAGCAGAACTGCTATAGTCGTTAAACCACTTATAAATGATGAGGACAGGAAAAAATATGGGCTGCCTACATTTGAAGAGATAGAAAAAGAATTAACTCTTACGAAGGAAGGAGAGGAAGAAGAAAAAGTGGAAGAAACTAAATATGAAACATTGGTCACTGCCAAAGTAGAAGTCATGATACTTAATGAAAAAGAAATAGAAGAAATGAAAAAGGAAGAAATTCAAGAAATTGCTGAAGGGGAAATGAAGGCAGAGGCTGCTGAAGAAAATGTAGTGACTGTTGAAAAGGTAGAAGTTATAGCTGATGTAGGAGGCACTGAAGAAAATGCTGTCTCTGATGAAAACGCGAAAGAGTAATTAATCCAAAGCAAGTTAAAATTAATTTTTTTGGATGATAAATAGATATTTATTGAAAATAAGAAAATGTGTATAAATTCAAGCCTAAAAGTAAATAATTTTGTAAAAATGGACACAGCTCCATCTGAATCCGAGTTATTTCCTGAATATTTTATTACTACAGATGGAAATGTTGTAAAAGAAAAAGTTACTGAAAAAGGCATTGAAAGGTCTAAAAAGCATACAAAAAGCTTGATTACACACTTTTTGAACATCGGGGCAAAACGCATGCCTGTTTCAGTAGACAAAATTGGCAACTTGTTAAGAGCCGGAAGAGTTGTGAGACTGAGTTCCCCAACAAAAGGGTATGAAGTCACAAAAAGTGTCAATGATTTAATTACAAAAGAAAAAAGCGTCAAATACCCAAAAGATATTATAGCAACTGCGTCTGAGGAATTGGATATGAGCACACTAACTGCTCTATTCCAAAAATCAGGCGATTCACGAAGAAAAAGCAGAATCCCAGAAATGGCACCAATAAAGAAGCCAGAAATTGTCTATGAAGAAGAAAAAGAAGAAATATTGAATTTTCCATGAAATTTATATTCACTATAACTAGCTTATTTTTAATGATAAATTATGAGAAAAAAGCATAATAAAAATAATCAACGTTCCTGCTCCAAGGCTTGATGGCTTGAGAAGATCCATCTCAGTCACCTCTTTTAGCAAGCCAAGAACAAGATATCACAGCAAAACCTTTAGCTCAGGTCTAGAGTCCACAATCCCTTCAAATAAAACAGATATCGGATTTTTCGACCAAGAAAAAAAAATAATCGAAAAGAAAAGGCCATCTTCGACTGGCAATTTTATGCGACCCACTTTTTCTTCAACATCCGCATATGTAACATCACTAAACAAGCTTTTGCCCAAAATAAACAGATCTTTAACCAAGGAAGAACTTATAAATAAACTACCAAAAAAGCTTTCTAGAAAGCGAGGATACACAAGAAGAAAATCTATCGAGCTATTGAGGACACTAAAAATGATTCACATTTATAAAGGCGAAAATAGTAAAATAGACATTGAAAATAGTAAAGATAAATAACTGTTATAATATTTGATAAAAATGAGCCTTAAAGTCGAAAAACTTAGGATTATTAAGGATATAGAAGGGAGACTTAATGATGAAACCTCAAATATCACTTACCTTAAAGCTACCTTTATGCAAACACTTCAACAAAAAGCTACAGAGAATAGAGACGTTCGGTTCAGCGAACTTTTATATGACGAAAGTCTAGATTTAATTAAAAACACCATTGAAGAAATTCGAAAAAATCCAATTTCTAAAGAATTCAATAGCCAAGTAAAAAGAATTTATAATTACCGTATAAAGGAAGCTAGACAAGATACCCTTTTTGAAGTAACTGAGTCTCCTTGGATTTTGCATTCAGAATGTGTAGGAAACATTTTGGAATTTAATTCAGTCCAGCAAGACCTACTTAAGCCATTTCATAATAAAGCACTCCAAAAGCATTTAAGAAAAAATATATGAAGAGCTCTACTCACCTACCCAAAAGCTGAAGAAGAATATTTTAACCTTTTCAAAGAAAATAGATGAAAAACAATATCAAGGAATGAAGTCGAAATAACCAAAAAAAGCGTAGATTTACTGTCAGAACATTGTCCTGCTTTAGCATTTAATGATAAAGTTGTTATGGCAATGAAAGTTCTGTTAAGCTATATGGAAAAAGTTGTGGAAAGAAGGCTGCCAGAATTTATTTATTATTTAATGCTCCCTATCATGTATACCTTACCAGACTTAGCATCAAATTTGCCTAAAATGGTTGGCATTGGCATGAAAATTTTTGAAATACAGACTACAGTCTGAACTAGTGAAAAGGGGGAAGGGATTATTTTTGTGTTTTTAAACAGACTAAGAGAGGTAAATCCACAATTGGCAGAAAAATTCGAAAAAATGTGTGATATCAGGTTTCAAGAAAATAAAGAAAAACTTGAAAATTTTTTAAGACCATTTTTAAGCAGGCTTGGCTCTGGGTTTTTTAATATAGAAACAACGTGCTTTGTGTACGATCAGCTGATTATGAAGAACTCAGTGGATTTAATGTATTATTTTTTAGCAATTGCACTGCATTCTATGAGTGATAGAATTCTGGGACTTGAGCATTGGGATGATTTTGTGGAGATGTTTTATAAAGAAATGAGGAGGATTAGAGTGGAACAATTAGAAGCTTTGACGAATTTAATACCAAATGGGGAAGTTATTGAAGAAAAAGCTGTGATTCCAAGTGAATTAAAAGGACAAGAATATTTGAATTTTGTAGTAAAGTCAATTGTTTTGGCATCAAAAGATATTTCCATTTAGTTTAGTGAGGGAAAAAATTTATATGTAAATTATTTTATAAAACGAATTTTATTTTAAAGGCACAACTGCTATTAATTAGTATAAAAAAGATAGGATAGATGATATGGGAGAATTGATTTCTACAAGGAGAGTTTTAGCTGATGATCCAGTCACAGGACTTATGCACCAAAAACTTCTGAAAGGCAACCTAATGGAAAACATGATTAATTCAAGAAGGGAAACCCCTCTTCCTCGTTTAGAAGGAACTTTGCTTGATATGACAAGAGAAAGCTTCAGACCGCATATAGCTGAAAATAGGTCAATTGATGACAGTTTTAATAAATCAAGAGCACCAGATAGGCTATTAATGCCTGAAAAGCTATTAGAACCAAGAAGCAGAGGTGAAAAAACAAATAACCCACTTTTGATATCTGATATGAATGAGTCATCAATTCATGAAAATAGTCAAGATAGGAAGTTTGATAAAGGGGAAGCAAAATCTATGCAAAATGCGCTAGATAAGTCAGCTGTGTCTGAAAAACTGACGAAATCAATGAATGATGGCGTGAATAAATCAAAAGACCCAGCGAATAAACAGAAGCACAATAAAACAGTTATCTTTCAGTCTTCGCAGCCTCCGCCTGATAATTCATATTTGAAAAATGGTATATTTTGCATTCCAGATTTAGATAATCTTAAACCTGGACTATTTGACAAGTTTATAGATTAAAAAATTTCATTTATAGATAATCAAATTTTTAAAAGAAGAGGCGAGATCTCATTTTCTGCTAAAATTTAAGCCAAGTTAAAATAAATAATAATTATTTTATATACAAAAAATAATTTTACAATTAAAATGTTTGAACCCCAACTGTGGCTTTTAGTTAATCATTTTTAAATCATAAATAAATTTGTTATGTTCCAACAGAATTTTCGCATATCTTATTTAAAGGATTTTTATTTATTATTACTGCTTCAAATAGATCATAAATTATAACAATATAAATGTCAAGCATATTCGAGCACTTTCAGTCAAAGCTTAAAGAGAGAGGCATTACTTCTCAAAATTTACTTCGTGCAACTTATATTTTCGTTGGCTTAAACGTGGTGTGAATTGGAACTCTGTGAACTTTTTGTTTTATTGTTAGTCCAACCAAAAATATACAATCCTCAATTAATAATATATTTTTATTTTATTTTGAAAATATTCCAATGGATAATAAAAAAGATAAGGATCCCCCCCCTCATTTGTCCAATTCTCTAGTCTTTTATCATTTGTCCATTTTTCTAGTTTTTTTTATATAGGAAAAAAAAGTTTTTAGGACCTCATTTGTCCAATTTTCTAGTCAAAATTTTGATAGAAAAAAAATTTTTTTCAGGACCTCGATTGTCTCATTTTCTAGTTTTTTTACAGTAAAAAACTAAAATTTAGGACATTCGAAAAATCCAAAAATGACTAGAAAATGGGACAAATCATTTTTGACTAGATTTTGGGACAAATGAGATCCTGGAAAATTTTTTTTCTTAGAAAAAAAAAACCTAGAAAATTGAACAAATGAGGGGGGATCCTTATATAGTAAGTAAGCTACCTTGGCAATTTGTTAAAAATGCGTTTGCAAAGGTTGAATATAAAGCAAATGCTCAGAAACACCCTAAACGTCTTCCAGAAGAGAAAAGAGGAAGGCTTAGTATCTCGTTTGTAGAGATGCTTGTAATGAAAGGATTATTAGGACCAGTGGCATTGCCCATAAAATTATGGCTTGCAATTAAATTGACTAATTTTTCCCAGACTGCACCTCCCAATTCTACACAATAGCTAAATAGATAATCCCATTTAAAGAAATAATACCTATATAGAATTGATATAAAGTATTTTGCAATTAAGCCAAAATTTTATTTAATTTTTGGTTGTTATCATTCAATATATAATAGACCAACCTTCCTTTCAGCAAAATCTGAATTTTTTAATTAATTTACAGCATTATTAAGTCGCTTAAAATCTCATTTCTTTCTTTTCTATTCATGGCTGGTATTATAAAATCAATGATAGATCCCATTTCATTATTCCTTTCTAATAATTTATTTGAGTTTTAATTTCTGATATCCTGCATAATTCTCTAGTATATAGACTAATTTTAAAATTTTATTTAAAAACGATGAATAAATTAACTTAAGTTCATTTAGATTAGTACATCTCCTCGATTAACGTCCACTACCACTTACCTACCGGCTTCCACTATTGCATTGTATACCCTGCCCAGGCATCACCTGGCTTCATTCGGTCGGTCCTCCCGCTTTAGGTGTTCGGATTTCGACGACTGTCCTTCCAATTCTTGGGCATGCCAGCTTGCATTCGTTCGGCACGCTAAAGGTCCCATTCTCCACCCATGGATTAGTGGAGCACTTCTAGAAAATTCCACTTCCCTCAGGATGGTTATCCAAAGCCACGATCCTCAGGCTGATTACTCTCATTGTCCGGTTTAAATTCACGGGTAAGGCCAAACCTCATAATCAAGATTAACCAAAACAGGATTTTCTATTCGGTATAACAAAAAATCGGATGACTTATATTATTATCACGATAAATTAATTTTCAATTTTTAAATAAAATAAATGAAGACTTTATTTTAACTTATCTGCATCAGTTATAAACTATTCTATTATGCAAGCAAATAAACTATAATTAATGACGAAAAAAACATATATTTCGCATGTGTGATTGTGGCAATAGTATCCCAATAAAACCCTGTAAATATGTCCTTAATACAATCGTCATTTCCTTGCAATTGTGGATAAAAATAAGTTCTGTAATAATACAAAAACAATTCCTCAGAGTTCGGCTTATCCCAAAACTGTGAAATGCAATAACTAGATAGCCTTCTCACTGTATTACACCTATCAGACATTTCACTGTTAATCCAATTAGTGATCACAGTTATCAAATGTGCATATATCAAATCTCCAGGAAATAGCGTGCAATAGCTGGCTCCTTCAGGGTTCATCCCACACATACAATCAGAATAAAAAACTCTATGGCTACTAGCCTCTGACGTACAATCCATATATGAATTGCATTTTCTCGGCAAGGCACTTTCATTAAAGGACTGGACTGGATCTATGCAGAGTCCTTGTCAGCACATCCCTCCTGCACAAAGTTCAGAAAATTGGCTAAAACATCTTGATGTGGACGCATTGGCTGGGAGAGAAAAATATTGTATGCATTCTCCTTCACTACAAGCAGCCCAGTTTACACATTCATAGTCTGACTTGCAGCCAGTTGCCCCAAGCTCTAGCTGCTTTACACATTTATTATTGCTGCAATAAAGACCTGGGTTGCATTCTTCATCTAAGTTACAATCTTCTTTGAGTGCTTTTGATTGGCAGTAGCCTTCAAGGCATTCTCCGTATTTACAGTGTTTTTTCTTATTGCAGGGTTCTCCAGGATACGAAAGCTCTTCTGGGAAAAGTGGGTTTGCGGTGCAATATGATACATCAGTGCCTGAATCACAAAATGGTTTATTATTGTCTTTACAAGGCTCGAGATATAAAGTGTTGTTTACAAGGTTGACACAAGATCCTGCAGGCATTTGAACTGCTCCATTATTACACATCATAGGATGACATTGCATAGCAGCGAGCTGTAAAAGCAAAAATCGATCCATTATTAATTTTAAGCAGCTTAGCCTAAATTTGGTATTTTTTTATTTATTTTCTGATAGGTAAAACCAGTATAAAAAGGCATAGTTTATTTTCAACACATTTCATGATATCTTACCCATATGAAACCTTTATCAAATTTTAATAAAGAAATGAGTTAGGATAATAACATTTATTGGCTACAATATGTCAGGCTGTTTAGGTAGACAACCTAAAAGAAAGAGACTTAAAGTATTCGAGTCCTTGACAGACGCGCGCGACGACAAAGTTGCAGTGACTCGAATGCTTGAAGTCTCCAATTCGCCATGCATTGCTACTTTACTTGCCCATTGCCGAACACTTGGGGAAATTCAACTTTTTGACTCATCGAGGGCTTTCTTAGGAATTTTTAGGATTGCTTATTACGACATCCGTGACGCTGAGCGGGCTAAAACTGAATTAGAAACACTATACGACGTTTTATACGTTTCCCCAGGTTCTGATTCCAAATTTTCCGACTATATAATAGTCCCTCAAGCGAATTTTAATTACCAAGCGCATCTCAGGTATGGAGAAATAATGAGCACAGAGCTGATTGGCTCCTATATAATTGTTCGATATTTTGACGTGCGAGCTTCTAAACGAACTTATTCAGAGCCCTACGAATTCGAAGAAGACGAGTTCTACGAAAACGAGTTCCACGACAGCCCATTATTATCTTCACAGCTTGATTTAAGCATAAGCTCAGAATCGACCTCGCCAAGCCCTTACTTTTTCTTTGGTTCTGAAGGCTCAAATCAAGACAGTCCTTATGATGAGAGAAAAAAGCCACGCAAAAAGCCGCTTGATGAAGAAGAAAAAATATTTTTTATAATTAGGCTAGATACAATTTTGTCAGGAGAAGAAAAGAGGACGACGATCATGATTAAAAACATCCCAAATAAATATACTCACTCCCCCCCCCTCCGTGAGTGAACAAAAAAAATTTTGTTCACTCACAGAGGGGGTTAAATTTTTTTTTTTTAAAAAATTTATATATAAATTTTATAAAAAATATTTTTTTTCAAAATTTAAAAAAATCCTAAATTCGCAAAAATTGGAAAGCAAATATTAATTTAATTTATAAAATTTATGTTTTAAAAAGCAATTCGTTCAAAATTAATAGAATTAGCTCTAGATTTCATTATACTAATTATCATTTATATATCAAAATTTTTTTCCATAAAAAATTTTTGTTCACTGACGGAGGGTGGGTTTTTGGGCAAAAAATAGCGATTTTTCTAATGGTTTTGTTCACTCACGGAGGGGGGGAGTCAGCAGATGCTGCTGGATAGCATAGACAAGCATTTTGCAAAGACTTATGATTTTTTTTATTTGCCAATTGACTTCAAAAATAAATGCAATGTAGGCTATGCGTTTATCAATTTCCTGGACCCGTATACCATTATTGAGTTTTATAAGGAGTATAATGGGAAGCGCTGGGAAAGGTTCAACAGTGAAAAAATCTGTGCTCTTGCCTATGCACGAATCCAAGGAAGGCAAGGGCTAATCCAGCATTTTCAGTGCTCATCTGTGATGAATCAGGACGACATCAAGGTAAAGCCTCTTATTCTCCAAATTAATCCTCAATTTTAAACAATTTTTATAAAAATGGGCTGCTGCAGTGCTACATCTTGTAAAACTAATACAAAAACACCTTTAACTTCAATAAGTTTAAGAGAGTACCCCAGAAAGACCATTCTCAGTATAAAGTCAAGAGCTCAGAATTCCATTAAAAAATCTAAATTATGCCAATATATATAAATAAATTTTTTATATAAAAATATATAATAAATCTTAAATTAATATAATTAAGCATAGATGATGTAGAATTTGATCTCACAAATCCAGTTTTCGCATATTCAAAGCGCTTTAATCTAGGCGATAAAACATTTTGAGCTTCTGCCTGCGTCATTCCAGGGTTTGATCCTAAAGGTGAAATCCCTAAAACCTGCCAAGACTACTCTTCATTTTTGAAAGATGACAAAAGCGCTTTACTAGTCCTTTTCGACGGACACGGACCTGAAGGCGAAAAAGTTGTGGAGCGCTGCGGAGAAATTGTTGAGGAATTTTTCTCAACAAGAAAAGCAGAATTTGAGGTAAAATGAATATAGGAAGACCCATCAAGCTTTTTAAATGAGCTTACCAAAAGTTGTGATGACGAAGTCCTTGGGTCAACTAAATTTGATTCTTATTATTCAGGCTGCACAGAAGTCTTAGTTTATTTCCACGGAAATAATATACATTGTGCTAGCCTTGGTGACTCAAGAGCTATAATTGCAACGACTGAGCCGCCTGAAGTAATGCCTGCACCTACTGCTGCATGAGGAGAGGACAAAAAAGTGTTGGACGAAGTGAGGAAGAGAAGAAACAGCGTGGTAAATCCGGAAATCAAAGCAATCCAGCTTACAAAAGACCAGAAGCCAGAAGACCCAGAAGAACTGATGAGAATTATTAAAAGTGGAGGAAGAGTCCAAAGGACAGTTGACGAGAACGGCAATAGAATTGGACCATTCAGAGTATGAGAACTCAATGTAAACGCCCCAGGCTTAGCCATGAGCAGGTCTATAGGAGATGGCATGGGCACCAGGGTTGGCGTCATTGCAAAGCCAATATGCACAGAATACCAGCTTAAAGGAGAATCTGACTATTTTATAGTAGTCGCGTCTGATGGGGTTTGAGATGTACTTGATAACCAAGATGTAGTCAATTTTGTGGAGTATTATAGAAATAAATGCAGGAGGGAAATAGAAGTAGTGTCAAATGAGGAAAAAGTCACACAGGAAAACGCGTGTATTGCACAGCTCCTGTGTGAAGAAGCAAGAGTTAGATGGTTTTCTATTGTAGAAGAAGAGGATGTGCTGATTGATGATATTTCGTGTGTGATTTTAGAAATAAATGAAAGCCAGTTCTTTATTGGACAAAGTGATATGAATAAGCGGCCGAATTTAGAGCCTTCAATTAGTCATATAGAAATGCATGAGCATAGGACACCATCTTTAGATGATGTAATTTTGAGAGACCCAAGAAGAAGCTCTGTTGTAGGAAAGGATGAAGATTTATTAAAAGAATAAATTAAACGTGGACATTATATATAGCTATGATTTATATAGGTAATATTTATATTACTTGCTGCTACATTGTGATTCTGCCTGGTGAAGCTGCTTCAAGGCTTCCTCTTTAATTTTATTTCAGTCCCGCTTCTCTTCATTGATTGGCTCAGGACAAGGGCTCATTTCTTTACTTTTATCCTTTTTTTTGATTAATGAGCTTTTAATAAGGCTGCTAAGTACTACTGATAAATTATTCATTTTGTGTTCAAGAATTTCCATTGAAATATCTACTGTACCATAAAACTTGATACATTTCGAAAAATTATCCATTAAGATACTTTCTATATGACTTTTTGATATATTTTGCAGAGGCAGCACCGCACTTTTTGGATCCTCATTAATGATTTTTTCAATTTTTCCACAAGCCTCAGAATCTTTTCCAGCCTTTAAAATTCTTTTTATTTCATTTATTTGATTTACAATCCCTTTAACAGCTTTTTCAATAATTTCAGGATTTTTTGACACGAAAATTTCTCTTACTCCCCCCCCTCCGTGAGTGAACAAAAAAATTTTGTTCACTCACGGAGGGGGTTATTTTTTTTTTTTTTAAAAAATTTATATATAAATTTTATAAAAAAATATATTTTTTTTCAAAATTTAAAAAAATCCTAATTCGCAAAAATTGGAAAGCAAATATTAATTTAATTTATAAAATTTATGTTTTAAAAAGCAATTCGTTTAAAATTAATAGAATTAGCTCTAGATTTCATTATACTAATTATCATTTATATATCAAAATTTTTGTATTAAAAACATTTTTGTTCACTGACGGAGGGTGGGTTTTTGGGCAAAAAATAGCGATTTTTCTAATGGTTTTGTTCACTCACGGAGGGGGGGGAGTTAAAGTTTGTACTAAGCTTGAGTCAGCTTTTATATGGTCAAGAATAAAATGTGGGGAGCTATCATACATTTTGCAGATTTTATTTAGAATTTCATCTGATTTTTTCCTATCTGCTTTTAGCCTCCCAATACAATTATAAAGCTGATTGATGTCTTGCTCTTCAAGCTCTTCCTGAAGCTCAGACACAATGTCGTATAGCTTTTGTAGATCAACATATAATGCATCTCGGTCGTTTTTTAAGTCAATTACTCTATCAATTAGCAAATTGGGGTTATCTTCATCAAGTTCTTGGCAGAGATTTTCAATGACTGCGTTTAAATTGGGGAAAGAGTTGATTTTTTGTCGCTCATCTTCGCTCAGAATTTTTCTACCAGTTGTTGGGCGAGGTGTAATAATTAAAATATGGCGTCTTCGTCTGGGCATGGCCTCCCGGCCATGCAGCCTCGACTCATATTTTAATTATATCCGGCAAGGTTTTACCATTTCAGAGATGGACAGCAATGCTAGGTAAGCAATTCTGGTAGCTTTCAGAGCCTAGCCCTAGTCTATTCTCAGAGGTGGATTTTTCCTCGTGGGGAAGGAGGGTGCAAGGTTGGAAAGGGGAAGCCCAGCAAAAGTCCTCTGGACCATTCGGGCAACTCCCTAGCGTGAAACTGGGCGTTACGTCCCAGGCTTTGCATTTTTCCTTTTTGCCGATAGCCGACCAGAAAAATCCATTTTTTGGGTTTTTCGGAAAAGCAACCCATGTACAAGCAAGTAGCTCATCCATGAGCCGTCGAAGACGTGGACATTTGCCCCAGAAGCACCCTGGTGATCAAAGCGAGTTTGTCTCCAGCAGACTGGTGGGCCCGATGCGACGAAAGGCGAGTGATAAACCTGGAGTTGTAACCCCGTAGTGGACGTTAAGCGATATAAATTCTAATGTAATGTAATGTAATGTTGGCGCGAGGTGTAAAAGCGCCTGAAGAAATTATTGAATTTCTTGAGCTTATGTCTCTTTTTAGATCCTATATAAATTATGCTAATTTTTAGATATAGGCACTTTTTTTTATTATTTTAGGTTATTAGAAAATTCTAGGAAACTACTATATACAAGTTTTGGAAACCCATCAGTATTTTTTACTTGGTCAAGGTCTATTTGTAGACGTTTCTGATTACTTATTTGTTGATTCAAATCATGAATTTCATGATTTTTTGTTTCTATTTCTGCATTTAGCTTATTTAGTAAATTCTCCAATTCTTTTTTATTCACTCCTAATAATGATATTTCTTTTTCCTGAATTTTGCATTTGTCCTCAAGCTCTCTCAGCTTGACTTTCAAAGTATCCCTTTCCTTAATGCCTTCTTTTTGTATATCAGCTGCATAATTTGTGATATACTCATTACTTTTTGTGAGGTCCATCTTTTCTGCTTCTATCCCTCTGATTTTTTCTTCTAAAAGCTTAATTCTTTCAGCTGATGCATCTTTTGTCGGCTTTTTTTTGTTAATTTGTTGCAGTCTTTCAAGGTCTAATATTCTGGCTTGGTTTTCTTTTAGTTTTTTATTTGCAGCTGCCAGCTCACTTTCCAGCTGGGCTATTTTTATTTGGCCATCCTTAATCTTTTTAATTGCGTTAGAGCTTGTCCTTTTCGCTTCTTTCAGCTCATCTTGAAGACTTTGCTGACCATTTTCTAAATCAACTACAGGGCTTCGATTTCTAGGGCTTACAACCTTTTTTTGGCTCAATTTTAGCTGGTCTAATTCTTTTTGTAAATTATCATAATTTTTATATACACTTAGCAGCTCATCTCTTTGGGCTTTGATTATTTTTTCTAATTCTATTGGGGAGTTTTTCAGTGTTGGGCTGCCTGGTTCGATTTTAAACGATGCAGCACTTTCATTCAAGCTTCCCCCTTTATTCTTTTTTGCGTCATTCAGCTCTTTGGCGATTTTCATGGCTTCTTCTTTCAGCGCTTCTTTATCATTTTCAATTTCAATTTCTCTATTTTTGGCTTCTTCAAACTTATTTTCATAGTCAAGGCATACTTCTTCAAGATAAGAGATTTTCTGCTGAAGCTCGTTAATTTCTTCTTCTTTAGTTTGCGATAAAGCCTCGTATTTTCCAGTAAGTTCATCTATTGATTTTTTCAGAATTTTGCTTTCTAAGTCGATAGAAGTAAGTTTTTCAGTTAGTGAGTGGATATATTTGTCTTTTACTTGGATTTGGGAATTTAGCTTCATTTCTTCTTCGAAGTCTCTTCTCATGAAGCCTCTGGAAGACTGGGTGCCTCCTAAAGAAGAATTTTTTGATTTTTCTTTTAGAAGCTGAGATAATGTTGGGATTTGGCTTTCATATTTTGCTAATTCTCCAGATCTATAAGATTTTACTATATAAATTTTCTTTTTTAGAATATTTTATGTTAAATTTTAAATATTATTGAGTAAGGACCTTTCTTTTTGGTTCAGCTTTTCTAATATTTCTGCAATTTTTTGGTTCGTTTGTGCAGAAAATTCATTTATAGCCTCTGCAGCCCAATTTTTAAGGGAAACCATTTCAAAGCCTCCTCCTGACCCAAAAGAGTTTGACCTTGAAAGTCTTACCTTATCAGAGTCTGACTGAATCGACTTCATATGCATTTGATATTTTTTCACAAATTTCGTCATTTCTTGATACTGTTCCTGCAGAAGTTCTGACTCTTCCCTCACTTTTCTCAGTTTTTCTTTCAAGCCCTCAATATTTTCTTTCAAGCTTGAATTTTCTTCTAACAAAGCAACCATATCTTGTCCTTTCAAAGTATCTTTAGGATAAGGCTGCTCCAAGTTGCACTTCCCCATTGAATTCTCAAACTGAAAAGTCGTGCTTTTCGACAAATTTAGGTTTAAGTTTAAGCTAAGTTTATTGAATTACTCTAGCATTTTAAATGCCTATAAAGTCCCCTTGCTTGAGGTTCAGCTAAATTAACAGCTCTGAACAACGGTAGGTGAACCGGCCTATCCGTCGAACCGTTAAAGTTAATAAGTCCTTTAAGACTTCTCTAGTCAGTGCCAGACACAGCAGTGACCCTTCTCTTCAAAGCCGAAGCTCTCAAGAAGATTGACTTCTCTCACTAGCTCGGTATATAGGTCAATCCTGTTTGAGCAGGAGCTAGGACCTATCCCTAACTGACATTTTTAATATTGTGTTCGACAAATTAATCGAATTAAAAGACCCTAGCCTTTTTGGAGAAAAAGAAAGTGACATCGTCTTCGACTCAAGCAAATCCCCATCAAGCATTTTCACTTTACTCGTAATCGCTTCTATTTTTTGCTTTAATTCATTCACTTCTAGCTGCTGCATTCTTTCATATTCAATTTCAAATTTCTTTTTTCTCCCAATTAACTCTTTTAACTCCTGAAAAGTGTTTTTAAAATCAAAAGCCGAGCTCTTCACGACCGAAGTCCAAATAAAGGAATTCAAGTCAGTAAAGGCTTTTGCAATCACTTGCCTGATCATATCATCAGATAACTTCTTGCTATCCTTAATAGAAAGAATCAACATTTGGCATTGCGCTTCTGATAACTTTTCACTAATCGCAGTCAGAACCCTTTTCAAGCCTTCACTTCCTGGGTCTTCTAAATTTGTGATCAGCTGCTCTAAATTTTCATTAGATTTTTGTATTTGTGATTCGAGGATGTCTAATTTTAGCTCATGATCTGAGCTAGAAGTTATAGATGGGGCTGTTAAAATACTAGAAATGTGGTTTACAACGGAAAAGTATTTTTCCTCAAGGGCACTTGGATTTTGCTTGAAATCGCTTATGGAGGACTCTTGAGGGTTCTTTGTGCCTCTGGGGGAAATTATCTTATTTCTTTGCATATTTATTATATGCAGAATTTAGAAAACTTATGAAAAAAAATTGGTTAGAAAAGGATGTCTGCAGTTGGCTGGGCTGATGTAAAAGAGCTGCGGCCTCGGAGGACTCCACAGTCAACGAGGCCTAAGATATTTAGTTCGACGTGCTGCAAAGAGACCATAAGAATTTTGGCGCCTTCGTCTTCGATGTAGTTGTGGTTGAGAGAAAAAATTTTAAGCATTGTGAGTCTTGGGAGCTCTTTTGCAAGGCACATTATGCCTGATTTTGTGATGCTGTTGGTGTCAAGGTATAGCTCGCTTAATGAAGAAGGAAAAGCTTGAGCAAGTGGGAGCAAGCCTTCAGATTGGATATTGTTTTCGCTTAGTTTAAGCGTTTTTAAGCCTAAAAGGCCTTTAATTCCTGCTGCAATTGACCGAGTCCCGTCAATTCCAATTTCATTTTTCTCGAGATCTAAAACTGCTAGCTCCCCTTTTAAATTCATAAAAAAATATATATCAAAATTTTTCATGCTTCAGGTAAATTAACTCCTATTTAAACTGGAATTTTTCAATATACAATTATGAGGCGAAAATAATATTTTTATATTTCAGTTTTGATCCAATTTAATAGAGATCGTGAAGTTAGAATCTGTTGGCACCTGAATCAGTTAATTTTATGAATATATTCTTAAATTGTTATTCAAAATATTGAATTCATTTTATATTTTATTATGAAAATTTATATAATATTTTAAAAAAATTAACTTCTCTTTTAATTAAATTTAAAGATATTTTTGATTACAATTTGAAATGAGAGTAAAGATGATAATGAAGCTAGTGTATTCCCCAAAGATGCAGCACCCAGGTCTCCTATCATATTTTCTCCTAAATGTAATACTTGAAGAGCTTTTAATCCATAAAGTCCAGTTGCAATATATTTAATCCCTTCATCTCCTAAACTTGCATTTTGAATTAGTAGTCTTTCTAAGGAATACATAGAATCTAGTGCTTCAGCCACCCTTTTTGCACCTTCAGTGCCTATGCTATTAAAGCTTAATTCAAGCTCTTTGAGATTAGTTAACTCCCTTTTGGCTAGATCAAGATTTTTCTTAAACAACGGAAATTTTTATATAAAAAATGTAAAAAATTTACATTAGGAAATATTATTTTTAATTAATTTATAAATTTATATTTTAGAATGCTTTGCGTCTTAAATTTAAGAATTAACTAGGATTTTATCATAGTTATCATTAATCATACACCAAAAAATTATTTGAAAAAATAATTATATTAGAAAAACTGTACTTCGAACGAAAGGCTTAATATCCAAATAAAAGATTTTTTTTAATGCTCTGACTTGAGAATCAAGGGAAAGGGGATTAAGTCTTTTAACGGATCTGCTAGAATTTCTCATACCTCATTTCCTGTAAACGCCGAATTTAGGATTAATTTGTGCAGGTGGTAATAGTAAGGCAAGACCACAGATAAAAAGGAGGTATTTTCTTCGTTAATTTCTTTATAGCTTAAATTTATTGTAGATAAATCGGTTTGTTTTTGTTGGTAAACTAGGTCTACCAAGTGCGATATAGATTTATTCATATTGCTACAGCTATATGGATAGGCAGTTGGGTCTTTTAAGGAGTGCCGAAGATTAAGTAAATCTGAGTCTGGAGTAGAGCGGTAGCATGCGCAATTACTGCCCATTGATATTTAACTTTTATTATTTTTATTGGATCTTTTATTTATCATTGGCTTACTAATTTTCAATTTATTTATCAATCAACAAAAATTAGTATTTTATTTAATTATATCATAGATAAATCAATACCAAAATCTTATATAGAACTTTCTCTTAAATAGCGCGATAAGGGCGTGCTCCCTGGCTTTACTAAAAGGTCTTTGGACAATGAATGCTGTTCCTTCTCCGGAAGAGAGGCAAATAGTGAAAATGAAAAGCTGTGCCTGATCCAGTCTCGAGAACTCGAAGGAATGTTTTTTGCCTGAATTAAGACTTTATTAAGAAGAGTAAATTTAAGAGATTTTAGCTTAAGAGTCCAGGCTTTAGCTAAATGCTCTGTTTGGGTCAAATGGAGTCTCTTGAAGCTCAAATTCAGCAGCCCTGCAATGTGGGCAACTAATTACAGTGCTCAGCCGACATTCCTGGTGCATTGGCTGAGAGCAGCAAGATGTGTAGGAAAGTTGATCCCTGTTTGAAAAGCAGATAATGCAAGGATTAAGTCTGGAATCCTCAGCCACTTCCATTTCATCTGATTCAAGAGGCAGTCTGGAAAGGAGCTTGTCAATGTTTGCATTAACATATCTCTTGACTGTGCCTCTTCTTTTGATTTTTGGCAACTGCGCCGTCATTCCAGCACTCATATGTGCATTGAGCATATTAATGGCAATTTCTGAGCCATCTTGCCCAAGTCTATTGTTGCTTGCTGATATTCTTTGTGGGTGAAATAATTGCCTGTTTGGCTCGTAGTAGTAAGCCAGAAGCCTTAAGTATTCTTTCCCCAGGCGCCTATATAAAAATTACTCTGAAAATTGAATTGTTGGGTTGTAGGCTAATGCAATTTGCAGATAAGCTTTACGGTTGCCCTTACATTTTGGTGGAGGGGGTTGAATTTGTAACCGTAATGGGAGTGGATTAGTCGAAATATAGGCTGAGGCAAGAAAGCTTATTGATGTAAGGGAGAATTCTGGCAGAAAATATGTTGAAGTAGGGTGTATAAGCTACCCTTGTCATAGGATCCGACTGCATGTGATAAAGGAACCTGAATTAAAGATACCTGGGAAGTTGTTGAACTTTGGTGTATTGCGAACATTTTAATTTTATAATTTTTGGTTCGTCAAATGGTTCTGACGAGCCATTTCTGGCCAGTACATGAAATAAAAAATGATAATTTTTAAACTTTCTGATGATGAGTATCATCAGAAATTTTAATAAATGGTACAGGATCAGGCAACCTATTGTTTTCAAACCGATCTAATAATTCCTTTTGGCAATGCTGATTACTGCATTCATCACCAGCAGATTTTTCCTTTAGAAATCCTTGTTCCGTATGGTCTCAACGATCATGAAACATGAGAACCAGAAATAATTGAAAATAATTTTTCTCTTACTCCCCCCCCTTTAAATTGGAACTAAAAATTTTGTTCCAATTTAAAGGGGGTTAATTTTTTTTTTAAAAAAAAATATCAATATAAAATTTTTTTATAAAATATATAAAAATTTTAAAACAAAAAAATTTCAAAAACTTATCGAATTAGATCAATAAATTTGTTTAATAAAATGCTATACTCTTTATCCTTTAAAACAAAGCAAGATATAACTAAATTTTTATTATTAGTTAATACACCACTATTAATTGGTATCAAAATTATTTACACAAAAATTATTATTTTTATTGATAAAAAAATTAAAAAAAAAAATTGTAGAAAATTTATCTATCAAAGTGCTAATTTTGTTTAAATAAGATGTTATTTATACTCTATTCTTTAAAATAAAACAAGAAATAAATAAATTTTGAAATTTTATAAAGAATTCCTATTGAATTTATATCAAAACTATCCAAATAAAAAATATCATTTTTATCAAAAAAAACAAAAAAATTTTTTTGAAAATTTTTTAAAAAAAAAATTAATTTTTTTTAAAATTTAGCAATTAAGGATAATAAAATTTATTTAAATAAGATGCTCTTTATACTTTTTTCTTTAAAAAAAAGTAAGATATAATAAATTTTTAATTTTAGTTAAGAAAAAACATTTAACTTATATCAAAACTTTTTAGATAAAAATTATATATAATTTTTTATTATAAAATTAAATTTTGTTCCAATTTAAAGGGGGTTTAATTTACCAAAAAAGTGGAAATTTTACCGATATTTTGTTCTAATTTAAAGGGGGGGAGTAGGCCACCACTTGCGGTTTCATTAAAACTTGGTATTTAAATTATCAAAAAGCTATTTGGTGCCTTTATTTTCCGCTTTCTGGACTCGAGCACAAATTCATTTTTGAACATTTTTTTGTTTGTTTAAAGCCGCCACCTTGATTTTGTGTGCTATGTAAAAAAATTAAAAACTCTTAGGTAACCACTTGCGGTTTCATTCAAAGCTTGGTATTTTAAAGTATCAAAACAGCTATTTGGTGCCTTTATTTTCCGCTTTCTGGATTCGAGCACAAATTCATTTTTGAACATTTTTTGTTCGTTTAAGCCGCCATCTTGATTTTGTACGCTATGTAAAAAAATTAAAACTCTTAAGTCACCACTTGCGGTTTCATTAAAACTTGGTATTTGAGAACTAAAATAAGCTATTTGGTGCCTTTATTTTCCGCTTTCTGGACTCGTGCACAAATTCATTTTAGAACTTGTTTTGTTCGTACTTTTTTTAACCAATAATTTTATCATTAAAATTTTACAAAAAATATAATAATTTTAGGGGGATCCAAAATTTTATAATAATAAATGGACTCTGAAGAATCTAAAAGAAAGTGGCAAAAGCATATCGGCTATGATTCAGATGAAGCCTCTGATGAAGAGGCTCTCTATCAGTGAAGCCAAACGGGCATTTTTCTCAAAAATCTCTTTCATGAAACTCAACCAAGAGCAGCAAGGACTATTGATCATAAAGCATTCATATCATCTACAGAACCGGCCAAAAACTATTTCAAAGTCCAACTCATAACCATCGCTCATTACCGAAAATCCGTGCTCCAAATGAATCTACCGATACAACCCAAGCAGCTCCACCAATAAATGAACCTATTAATATCTTCACGCTCAATGACGAATCTCTTTCCTACCGAATTAAAATCCACCCCGGAGTCTTGCTAGATGACATCAAATTACAAATTCAAGAAATCAAATGAAGAATTAAATACACTTCCGACAATCTCAGCCTATTCAAATCAGAAGCTGGAAACAGAATAGCAGTATTTGAAAACCGGTTCAAAAGCAAATATGAAAGGAAATATTATATGTTGCTTGGATTCACACAAGAAATCACATCTGACTTCACTGAATGCGCCTTCATTTATTATACTGATCACATCATCTATGCTCATGGAAATAACAAGGATCTCCAAACTTTAAAAAGAGTAGTTTTTGATCTTGAAGCTTATACCTGGCAAGCTGTTGGAACTGCCAGAAATGGAAGGGAAACAAGGTGGGATTATTTGGACGGTGAGTTTTTGAATCACTTTCCTTTACGGATGATAAGAAAAAGCCTTTCGAGATGGAAAAAAAATGTCAGAGAATCAGTTCGCCAAGCTTCGACGCCATGCCAAGAAGGCAATTATTTTTACAGTCCAAATTGAATCCTAATTCATCAAGGAATACCAAGCTTTCTTTAGGAATCTCTTTTATCTTCTTCAGAAACTCATTTCTTGTCCCAATATTTTCTGATGCCATATCTTAGCTAATTCTTTACTGGTTTTATCATAATTTAGCTCTATGAATTGTTTGAACCTTTCTATATCTATTATTAATCTGCGATGACCTGTGTGATATCCTGTCTTTGCTTTTATATCGCCTGTTTGCTTTTTTAATTTCTTCCATTTTATTATAGTCTTTCTACTAATTTCAAATATTTTACTAGCTCTTTTATCGTGTTACCATCCAATAAAAAATTCATTACTCTTAATCTTAAATCATATGAATATGCTTTTGCCTTAACGTTTAACCAGTAGTATTTATATAGTTTGACTTAAGTATAAACTATTTTATACATGAAGTCACTACATTATGGCTTTATGCTATATTTAGAAGATAAACGATATCATACGTAACTTATAAAAGCAAAAAACAAAGTCTTAATGACTTTATTTAGTGATTTTTTTCCTTACTGTTACCTATATTTTAAGGAAGTTTGGGATTAAGAGATGCTCTCAATAAATATCCAGCACCTCAGATATTTAATAGTCAGCAAGGTAGCCATTATACAGGGCATGATCATATTGAAATATTAAAAAATAATAATATTCAAAGATATGAAAAATTATTATCGAGCCACACAAATATATAGTCTGGCTATTGATTACTTATCTACCGCATCTAGAACTGAGTCCCAAAAGGGATTGACTACAGAAGTACAAAAACTCTACTCTGGAGCGAGAAACAAGTTTATCAATACTCTAACCTTTGGTATAGGTGAAGCAGCAGTATTTTTGGCTTACTTTCATAGCAACGGCAAAAGTGTACCAGTTGATTTCGAATTAGCGGAGTTCTTTATCGTTTTAGGTAGTAAGCTCAATGACTCATTATCTATTCAATTGATAAATGAAGTCTATGATTCTGAAAGTCCTATTAACATGAGTATTGAGTATCAGCGATCTCATCATGATTATTCAAGTTATTTAGAATTAGCGCAAAAATATCGCGACATTATTCATGTCATTACTCAAAAATATCCCGTTAGCACAGAGTTTGATGTTAGTGCGCAATTATGGGCCATGAAGCTTATTCATGATGAAGCTGGCCCTTTATTTGATATACATAATGATTACAATGATTATTTTCCTAATATTCCAGTATTTCAACCATATAGTCTTTCTCATCCGCTTGCACCAGCAAGCATAGAAGAATATGAAGTAAACACAAACGGTCAGTATAATGAGGAAAGTTCAGCTCATTCTTGTCACTGTTATATTTTTTAGTGTATGAACTTTCTATGGCACTGTTAACAAAAATAATTTAATTATTTAATAAATCATGCTATAATTCACTTATTCATAAATAAAATAGGTAGAGTTATGAATACAAGATTATATCCTATAAAGAAGTATTTGAAAAGCTAATTGAGCCTCGAATTAAAAAGCAATATAAAAGAATAGGACGTCCTGCTGAAATCAGTCATTATAAATTCTTCTGTAGAAAACCGGTGGATTTAACGAAATTTGTCTTTATGATGCTCAAGGGACGGCTACATGCTTTGAAATAACAGGTGTGTGGCACCTAATATCTAAAGATAATTAATTTATCATTAAAAATTAAGAATTAAAATAAGATTTAAAAAATATCTAAATTTAATTATATATAAAACTTTATTGAAAAGGTAATTTTAATATTTAAAAAATTTTTTAAAAATAAATTAGTACTCGAGTCTAGAAAGCGCAAAATAAAGGCATAAAAAGCTGTTTTGATACTTTAAATACCAAGTTTTAATGAAACCGCAAGTGGTGACTTAAGAGTTTTAATTTTTTTACATAGCGTACAAAATCAAGATGGCGGCTTAAACGAACAAAAAATGTTCATAAATGAATTTGTGCTCGAATCCAGAAAGCGGAAAATAAAGGCACCAAATAGCTTATTTTTATTTCGCAAATATCAAGTTTTAATGAAACCGCAAGTGGTGACCTAAGAGTTTTAATTGTTTTACATAGCGTACAAAATCAAGGTGGCGGCTTAAACGAACAAAAAATGTTCAAAAATGAATTTGTGCTCGAGTCTAGAAAGCGGAAAATAAAGGCACCAAATAGCTTATTCTAGTACTCAAATAACAAGTTTTGAATGAAACCGCAAGTGGTGACTTAAGAGTTTTAATTTTTTTACATAGCGTACAAATCCAAGATGGAGGCTTAAACGAACAAAAAATGTTCAAAAATGAATTTGTGCACGAGTCCAGAAAGCCGAAATAAAGGCACCAAATAGCCATTTTGATACTTTAAATAAAACTTAACACCCTAACACCCTAGCACCTTAATATTCTTACACTATAACACCCCTTTCACCCTTTACTAATTCAAAAACAAATTAGTTAATTTACCAAATTAATTATATTTATTAGTTTTTTGATATAATTCTTAAATATAATTCGAATAATGCATCAAATTTAATTTAATTTACTAATTCAGTCTTAATATTTTTCAAATGGATTATCTAATCCTGTACCATTTTTTTATTTCATGTACTGGCCAGAAATGGCTCGTCAGAACCATTTGACGAACCCAAAAAATTATAAAATTAAAATGTTCGCAATACACCAAAGTTCAACAACTTCCCAGGTACTTTAATTCAGGTTCCTTTATCACATGCAGTCGGATCCTATGACAAGGGTAGCTTATACACCCTACTTCAACATATTTTCTGCCAGAATTCTCCCTTACATCAATAAGCTTTCTTGCCTCAGCCTATATTTCGACTAATCCACTCCCATTACGGTTACAAATTCAACCCCCTCCACCAAAATGTAAGGGCAACCGTAAAGCTTATCTGCAAATTGCATTAGCCTACAACCCAACAATTCAATTTTCAGAGTAATTTTTATATAGGCGCCTGGGGAAAGAATACTTAAGGCTTCTGGCTTACTACTACGAGCCAAAACAGGCAATTATTATTTCACCCACAAAGAATATCAGCAAGCAACAATAGACTTGGGCAAGATGGCTCAGAAATTGCCATTAATATGCTCAATGCACATATGAGTGCTGGAATGACGGTGCAGTTGCCAAAAATCAAAAGAAGAGGCACAGTCAAGAGATATGTTAATGCAAACATTGACAAGCTCCTTTCCAGACTGCCTCTTGAATCAGATGAAATGGAAGTGGCTGAGGATTCCAGACTTAATCCTTGCATTATCTGCTTTTCAAACAGGGATCAACTTTCCTACACATCTTGCTGCTCTCAGCCAATGCACCAGGAATGTCGGCTGAGCACTGTAATTAGTTGCCCACATTGCAGGGCTGCTGAATTTGAGCTTCAAGAGAGACTCCATTTGACCCAAACAGAGCATTTAGCTAAGCCTGGACTCTTAAGCTAAAATCTCTTAAATTTACTCTTCTTAATAAAGTCTTAATTCAGGCAAAAAACATTCCTTCGAGTTCTCGAGACTGGATCAGGCACAGCTTTTCATTTTCACTATTTGCCTCTCTTCCGGAGAAGGAACAGCATTCATGGTCCAAAGACCTTTTAGTAAAGCCAGGGAGCACGCCTTATCGCGCTATTTAAGAGAAAGTTCTATACTAATTTTCTCCTTTAGGGCAACTTTAATTATGAATAAATCATAAATAAATGTCAGACTCTAGCAGCTCTGAAGAACTAAGCCCTAGACAAAAGCAGCTACGAAGTTTCAAACAAACAGCTTTAGGCATGCTAATCACTTCAAGTTTTACCAGAAATCCTTCAGAGCTTCTCACACAAAAACGAATCCAAATAGAGCAGCTCAACAGTCAAGCTTTTTCAATGCATCTCCAAAACTTAGAACAAGAAGAAGAAAACCAGCCCAATGCCAAAAATCGCTATTACAAAATGCCAATTGTAAAAAGGCTCCCATCACGATATAAACGAATTTCTCCTTTAAAACGCCCATCCCACGATCTGCAAGAAACAAAAGAGCCTGATTTTCCAGAAATCGGAGAAGTTTTTTGGTCAAAAATCGACACCCATGGCTGGATCCCTGAAACTCGGCAAAGTGCATCATTAACTGAAGCTGGCTCAAGGCTTTATTTAATAGGAGGCACAAGTCGAGATGTCCATTCTGATATCAATGTATATTACCCTTCACAGAAAAAATGAGAAAAAATCAAAGCAAAAGGCATTGAAGCTGACCCCAGATTTGGGCACACAGCTGTAGAACTTAGAAGAAAAATCGTTGTATATGGAGGAGAAACCAGCCACTCTAGAAGTAACAGTCAGCTGAGAGAGTGTTTAAATGAGGTAAAAGCGTTTTCTATTGATGATAATGAATGAATTTATATTAGGACAACTGGTGTTTTGATACAGTCAAGGAAAAATCATTGTGCAGCTGTAGTAGGAAAACATATGCTTATTTATGGAGGGTTAAACCAAAAAAATAAAGCATTAGGAGATGTCGCTGTACTCAACATGAAAAATTTTAAATGAAAAGCATTAGAAATCGCTGGGCAGAAGCCTAAAGAAACTGCATTCCATGCCTGTGCAACTGTGCTAAACACAGAACAGCTTAGAGCTGAAAGCATTTATAATATACCTACAGCAAGCAATCTAGATATAAAGATCCCTGGGATTTATATATTTGGAGGTGTAGGAGATGATAGAAAACCTAATAACGATCTATGGATTTTGAATGTGGGTGGAAAAACACTATCATGGACTAAGCCAGTTACAACAGGAGAGCCACCTTCTCCGAGATTTCAGCATAGTATGGCTTATAATGATAGAGCAAAGGTATTATGTGTTTTTGGAGGGAGAATTGATACAGGCGGCTCATCGCATTATACATGTTTTAATGATATCCATATATATCCTAGGAATAGCTTTAGATTGAGGCACAAATTCCTATACACTCAAATTGACAATTTTCCATCCAAAATCGTTCCTAGGCTATACTTAAACTTGATAATTTGATGTGGGCGACTCTCCGGGTTTTTGGAAATATCCCTGCTTCAAGATCAGGACATTCTGCAGCTTGTGCTGGGACAAAACTGTTTATTTTTGGAGGAGTAAGCAATACATGTTTTTGCAATAGTGATTTATATGTGTTGGAATTGAACCAAAAAGCTGTAAGATATACAATTGAAGAGGAAGAAAGAAAAAAGCAGCAAGAAATAGAGATGGCTTTAATGAAGGAAAGAAAGACAGAGGAGCATCAGAAGAGGATTAGCCCTGCAAAGCTTAGAGGGATAGAAAGACCAGGGGTTAAGTTTCACTTAAGTGATAATGTATCAGCATAATTTTAATTTAATATTTTTATTATTTTAGATATAAAAGTTACCCTATCATTATAGACTATTTTTCCCGAATCCATCCTAATCTAAAATGGCTTATAAAAATAATGACATTCAAATTAAGTGAAGAATTCATTCGCCCCTATAGAGAAATAAAGCCAAAATTCGGGTTTAACGGCCTTGGAGAAATAATTTTCAGAAGGTCCTATTCAAGAATGAAAGACGATAGATCTTATGAAAGCTGGTCAGAAGCCTTAGAAAGGGTCGTAAATGGGACCATAAATCTGATGCTCAAAAAGTCTCAAAGCCCCGTTGAAAACCTGACAGAAACCGCCGAAAAAATGTATGATAAAATGTTCAACTTCAAATTTTTGCCTCCAGGAAGAGGGTTATGGAACATGGGCTCAAAATGCACAGAAGTTGACAATTTTTATACAAATTTGAACAACTGTGCTTTTGTTTCTACCAAAGATATAGACAATGGAAACCCAAGCAAGCCTTTTGCTTTTTTAATGGAGGCGTCATTTTTGGGCATAGGGGTGGGCTTTGATACTAAGGGGGCAAATAAAATTTCAATTTGTTCACCAAATGGAATTCAGGATTATTCAGTTGAAGATACAAGGGACGGATGGGTAAGTTCAGTAGCCCTTCTGCTAAACAGCTATTTTAAAGCTGATCAGCCAGAAATCACTTTTAGCTATGAGAATATTCATGATGCTGGAACCCCTGTCAAAGATTTTGGAATCTCAAGAGGCTCAGACCCTCTTCAAAATTTGCACTCAAGCATAAGAAATCTGCTAACACCTCAAATCGGCCAAAAAATTACCTCACGGCTGATAGTAGACATCATGAATTTAATAGGGAAATGTGTGGTAGCTGACAACGTCCGAATGCCAGCAGAAATTGCATTTGGTGAGCCAAATGACCTAGAATTCCAAGATCTAAAAGACTATGAAAAAAATCCAGAAAGACTCGAATTCGGCTGGAATAGTAACAACTCAATACTAGCTGAGCTCGGAATGGACTATCAAACAATTGCAGAAAAAATCATAAAGAATGGAGAGCCAGGCATCGCCTGACTAGAAAACATGCAAAAGTATGGAAGAATGCAAGACGCGCCTAACAACAAAGACAAGGAAGCCTTGGGTGGGCCTCCTTGTTTAGAGCAAACCTTCCTCCTCCTCCCATGAGCGAACAAAAAATTTGGTTCAGAGAGGGTAATTTTTATTTTAAAAAATTTATATTTTTTTTTTCAAAATCCCAATTCTAAATAATTTTAATTTAATCTATAAAAAATCTATATTTTAAAATGCAAGCTGTTTTAAATTAAACAGAATTAACTCGAGAATTCATTATACTAATCATCACTTATATATAAAAATATTTTTCATAAAAAATTGCTATATTATGGCTTTGCTTGCTCACTGACAGAGGAGCTAGAGTCCTATGAGCTGTGCTGCTTGGTAGAAATTTTTATCAACAACCACAGCTCTCTAGAAGAATTTTTAGACACGTTAAAATACGCGTTTATTTATGCAAAAACAGTGACTCTTGGGCTTACTCATTGGCCTGATGTAAATGAAGTCATGACCAGAAATAGAAGAATTGGAACCTCGCTGACTGGAATCGCCCAATTTTTAGGGAGAGAGAGTTTGGGAGCCCTAAAATTGTGGTGCTGTAAAGGGTATCGATATCTGAAGAGACTTGATAGGCAGCTATCAAGGCTTTTTGGTGTTTCAGATTCGATAAAAATTATACCATTATTCATTATTTATTCCTTCATAAAAGCCATTATTATACTATTTTTATATTAAAACAGGATTCTTATTTTCTCAATGCTTAAATTTTCTATTCAAAATTATTCTAATTCTTTATACAACAGTCAAGCCAAGTGGAACCATTTCTTTATTAGCTGGTGCGTCTTCGGGGTTGCATTTTCCATTTGCTCACACTTATATAAGAAGGATTCGTATGCAGTTATCAGATACGAACTTGCTTAATAAGCTGCAAGCACAAGGATATCATATAGAGCCAGATTTTATGAACGAAAACGCTATGGTAGTCTCAATTCCAATAAAAGAAAACGAAAACGTGAAGGTTTTAAAAGAAGTCAGCATGTGGGAGCAGTTAAGTCTGGCTGCCTTTATGCAGTATTATTGGGCTGACAACCAAGTTTCATGTACAGTTACTTTTGATCCAGAAACTGAAGGAAAATTAATTCCTGACGCTTTGAATTATTTTCAATATAAGCTAAAAGGAATTTGCTTTTTGCCTTCAAGACAAAGTTTGCCTTATCCTCAAATGCCATATGAAGAGATAAGTGCAGAAAAGTACTTGGAGATGCAAAAAAGCATAAAAAGTGACGTGGAGTATCAACAACTCTCAGAAGAAGTCGAAAGAGCTAGAGTGCCCGTTGCATTTTGTGACGGCTGCACTGCAGTTGTCTAAGTATTTATTAATATACATATTTTAATAAAGGTTTCGGTCTTAAATAATCATTTATAAATGGAGCAGTTCAGTCCACTAAACCAGCCTTATTATTCGCCTATCATCTCTCCTTCAATGCCACTTTCACTTGGTCTAACCTCTGGCTTCAATTTAAGACAAGAGCAAAACAGCCTCGCAAAATCCCCTTTTATTATTGGCATCTGTGGAGGCTCCTGCTCAGGAAAATCCCTAATAGCTGATACACTTAAGCGAAGTCTTGACTTTTCAGCAAGTGTCGTCAATGAGTTTGATTTCTATATGCCGACTGAAAATCAGACGCCTGATTATACACACAACTTTGACGATCCAAATGCAATAGACTGGGAGTCGCTTAAAGCTTGCTTGGAGTCCTTAAATGGTCACAGACCGTTTGACTGTCCTCAGTATAATTTAGAGAAGCAAAAAAAGAAGAAAAAAACCATAAAAATATTCCCAACACCAGTTGTGATTATTGAAGGACTGTTTTTGTTTTGCAAGCCAGAAATCAGAGAACTAATTGATATGAAGATTTTTGTGGATTGTCCTGATGATGTCAGATTAGGACATAGGGTCAGAAAATTTATTGGGAGAGGACTTTATACTTTACAATTTATTACTGATTATTATCAAAAATACACAAAGCCAGCTTTTGAGCAATATATTGAGCCGAGCAAGGTGCATGCAGATTTGATTATCCCTAATTTTGGGATATTTAATAACAGCAAAGATGTAGAATCTATGGTGTCGCATATTGCAAATGCGATTTATGGAAGGCAACCACCTACTGAGCTGATCAATAGATTGAGATATGCTCCAATGAGAATTGCTTTTAGAGGAAAAGAGCCTACACTTTTAGATATATAAGTAAATCTAATTGAATTAAGTATTTGTAATAAATGATTAGAGGGGATTGCCCGTTTTAAGTATATTAGCATCTAGCTTTAACTCTCCATAATGGAATTATTTCTTAAAAGTGTTTTAGTTAGGGCTTATGATAAAAAGTTGTTTGGGACTAATTTTTAAGGCTACAAATACTTAAAAGCTGAATAAAATAAATAAATAAGTTGCTATATTTATCTCCATATTTATTTTCCATTCCAAATAAAATAATATAGTAAGAAAGAGGAGATTAAGAATTTAAAAGTTTTGCTTTTTTGCAATTTATTACAGAAGGACAATGAAATCTTAAAACTATTTATAATTATCCTTACTCCCCCCGCATCCGTGAGTGAAACAAAAAAATTTTGTTCACTCACGGAGGGGGGTTAATTTTTTTTTTTTAAAAAAATTTATCTATAAATTTTATAAAAAATTTTTTTTTCGAAATTTAAAAACATCCTAATTCGCAAAAATTGGAAAGCAAATATTAATTTAATTTATAAAATTTATGTTTTAAAAAGCAATTCGTTTAAAATTAAACAGAATTAGCATTAGATTTTATTATGCTAATTATCATTAATATATAAAAAATTTTTTCTATAAAAAATTTTTCTATTAAAAAAATTTTGTTCACTCACGGAGGGTGGGTTTTTAGGCAAAAAATAGGGATTTTTCCAATGGTTTTGTTCACTCACGGAGGGGGGCGGAGTTAGAAAAAGACAAGTTTTGGTTTTTCAACTGATATTCTTTATCAGGAGAAAAGTTTCTCAGCTTTAAACTTGGTGTAAAGCTTCTTTTGGACATTGGAGTTGTACTTCTTACTCGATCTATATATCTAAAATCTTCACTAATTTCATTTATTATACTGTTCCTTTTAGTTTTTAGGCGACCAAAATCCTCTTCAACTTTTTCTGATACAGGATCAATATTTTGAACCCCGCATTTGCACTGTAGTCGTCTGCAGATTTTACATTTATATCCTAACGATTTTACATCAATAAATTTCTTATATAAAGAATGTCTAAATAAAGGGACTTCAATTTTCGTTTTAGGATATGGACTGATTGATTTGTTTTGTCTTGATTTTAAGCGAAACCTTTTAGCTGGCTTTGTAAGTAATTTATTTTGATTTTCCCCAATTTTGGGGAATTTAGATTGTCTATGATACATTTTAGGAAAATTATGCTGTTTGAGTTAAAATAAACTAGGTATTTTCGTAAATTATTACATTTTAATCCTTAAAATTTTCATTCAATTAAATGGATTAGTATATTGTTAGCTCGAGCTCTTGGAGAAAAGTCAGAAATGCAATCACTCGCAGGTTTATAAAGTGAAGCAAGGTTGAAAATAAAGTTACTGTTTAAAAGCATAACACTTTTGGCTTGAAAATCAGAAAAAAAATCGTCTTGATAATCCATTGACTTTTTTATTGTAATTTATTTGAACATTTTTAATGTTTTTATGCTAAATCAGTTATTATCAATTGATAATTTTTATTCTTAAAAGTTTGCATTTATATGATTCTATTTTTTATATAAATTATAAAATTCCGACCCTAAAAATCGTAAACTTATAAATATCTAGAAATATATTTCAGGGCTTCTTTATTAATTTGACATAAATTAACAATTAAAAGATAATGCATTTAATTAAATTTTGACTCAATAAATTTCTTCAAAACGTGGCTGAGGGACAAACTTTCCCTTTACCTAAAAAAGTTCTATGCTAAATAATTGATTAAAAAAATGATTAACCTTGGTTGATAACTAATGAAAAAGCAAATAACATGCTAATTAATAATTTGAATGGGCTGTACAAAAAGCCGACCTCACGATGTCATTGTTCCTGTCCGCGCAGGATTATCAAATCCTAAACTCGAAGATAAAAGACATAAAGATGAAACTCTAGCAGAAAATTCATTTAAATCCCCTACAAACGCTGAGAATATTCAAAATGAAAAAAAAATATTTAGCGATGGTGAAAGTTTTACCGATATTTATGATACTTTTGATATAATAGCTACATTTCCTTATGCAGAATATAGAAAATGTGTCCATAAGCACACCGGCCTGATTAGGTCTGTTAAAATCGTCCCAATTCCAAAAGGCAACAAAAGCTATGTTGATGAAAAAAGCTTAAAGCGCGAAGTAAAAGCGTTATCCAAGCTAGACCATCCCAATATACTGAAAACCTATGATATTTTAGCTGACGACAATAAATTTTATATTGTCATGGAATACTGGGATGGCGGACTTTTACTTGACAAATTACAAGAACGAAAATTTTTAACTGAAGCCCAGGTTAGCTCTATTGTAGAGCAATTGCTTTCTGCTGTTGCATATGCTCATAGCCATAAAGTGCTGCATAGAGACCTTTCTCCAAACTCAATTTGCCTTATGAACAAAGGAAACGATTTAATAATAAAAATCATAGATTTCGGGGTTTCAGCCTTTGTGGACTTAAATTTGCAGTATCAGGGAAAGCTTGGAAATTCATTTTTTATAGCACCAGAAGTGTCTGATGATTTTTATAACGAAAAATGTGATATTTGAAGCAGAGGTGAATAATGCATTAAAATGACGTCATAATTCAACCCACCCTCTTGCTCCCTGTAGTTGGCGTCCACAAGGTGCAGAGACCTTGATGAAGGAGACTGGAGTTCGGAATTTGCATCCGGCTAGGTTTTTCTGGTTTGCTAAAGCTCAATATCAGGTGGCCAACCGTAGGCTTTACTCCAATGCAAAGCTTTTACCTCAGAGGAGACGGGCCAGGAAGTGCAAAAGGGTTTCCCAGCGGTATCAATGTGGTTAGTCTCGACCAATCGGAACTATTCCAAGCGTGAAACCAGAAATGCGCCCTGGGCTACAGATTTCCCCTTTAGCTGAGAGTCGACCGAAAATTTGACCCTTTTGAATTTTCAATGGTGGACTGCTGACATGCAGCACGGTGACCCAAACTTTCCGACTACCAGGAAGCATGTGCAGGCCCATATCCGGTAAGAGTAAGATTTGAAGGTCGTAAGACGATTATCGGCGAAGTTGATGAGTGGAGCCATATGGAAAGGAATAAGAATCTCCGGATCCCAACAGGGAGCTTTTCCATAATCTAAGTTAATGTTAAAGAAGCATAGGCTGCATCATGCATTTACTGCTTGTTGGAAAGCCTCCATTTGGTAACAACACAGAAAAAGAGCTGAAATTAAGTGTTAAACAAAATTCCTTAGACATCTCCTCGTTAGAGAATTTAACTATATCTGAAGAAGCCATAATTTTACTTAAAAACCTCCTAAATAAAGATTTTACAACAAGAATAAGTGCTATAGAAGCCTTGCAAAGCTCTTGAATAAAAAAACCCAAAGAAAATTCCAAAGTAAACTCGGCTGCTATACAAAAGTCTATGGAAAATTTAATCTCTTATCACTGTTCATCAAAGCTAAAAGATGGGATCCAGACTTTTATTGCTTCTCAAATAATGACCCATGAAGATACAGAAAACCTATTAAAGTCTTTTAAAAATATTGATAAAAACAGTGATGGAAAAATAAGCAGCCCAGAGCTTTGTAGATTTTATTCTACAGTAATGGGAGATGGAATTGGAAGAGAAATTGCTAAAGATGTCATAAAAAAGTGCATGATTTTTGCTCTGTACTTTTTGACAGCAAGACTCTAAATTTTTACAGTATTTTTTGCTAACAAAAGTCGCACTGTCATAAAATTTCGGTAAAATCTGCTTTGTATCTATATGGCTGTAAAAATTTACAGAGCAAATATCATTCAGCCCATAAAAAATGTAGATACTGATAGAGATGGCTATCTGGAGTATACTGAATTTATAAGGGCAAGTGCTGAAAGGAGGATTTTACTATCCAAACAAAATCTAGAAGCTACATTCACAATGCTCGATAGAGACGCCAGCGGTAAAATTTCTGTATCTGAGCTCCAAGAAATTCTTGAAGACACGATCCTTATCCAAAATCAAGCATGACAAGAAATTATTAAAGAAGCCGACCAAAATCTTGATGGCGAAATCGACATAAAAGAGTTTTACACCCTACTAATCAATAAATTTTAAACCATTTTTATCAATAAATTTTAGCTAATTTCGCTTTCCACAAATTCAGTAATATTGAAGCCTTCTGTTTCCTTGCTCGTTTTCTCTTCTTTCTTTTCTTTCTGTGGTTTCTTAGGTCTTTTGTTCATCCCAATAAACATTTTGGTATGGCTCACATGGTCAAATTCATTGTCGTCAAGTAAAAGTTCAGTCAGTTCTGATGGTCTGAAAATGTCAGCTTTAAAAGCTCCTCCTGCATAAACTGTTGTCTGGACTGTTTGTTTTTGTTTTGCCCTTTTCAGGATTTTTTCTTCAACTGTATGAGATGTGATAAGCCTATACACGTCGACTGGCTTAGTCTGGCCAATTCTATGGACTCTGTCAGTAGCTTGAGCGTCCATGGTAGGGTTCCAATCAATATCATAAAAAATCACAGTGTCAGCGGCTGTTAAATTTACACCTAGACCTCCTGCTCTTGTTGAAAGAATAAATGCGAAAACTTCAGTGCTGCTTTGGAAATCGTCAATTAAGTCTCTACGCTCAGCAATATTTGTAGACCCGTCTAGTCTTAAAAAGGAGTATTTCCTGAAATATAAAAAGTCTTCTAAAATGTCAAGCATTTTGGTCATTTGGCAGAAAATTAATACTCTGTGGTTTTCGTCGTAAAGCTTTTTGAGAAGTCTGTCGAGAATTTTTAGCTTGGCACTGTCGTGAAGAAGCTTTTCAATGCTTGGCAAATCGACGTAACAAGGGGTGGGAGCATTGAAACAGTAAGAAAATGGTATGTCTATGTTTTGGCCTTGGCACTCATAAAAAAAGCTTGGTTTGAATTGGTTTCCGAGTAAATTTTTTTTAAGGGCAGGAGACTGCTTGAGATATTGCCAATTCAGCTTGAAGTGTATTGTGGAACAAGAAAATTCAATAGGAGCAGCTACAGCTACAGGTGTTACTAAGTTTACCAAAATTCTGGGAATGATATCATCAGAGATTTTCAAGGGCGCTTTCTTATTCCTATAAACCAGCAGCGGCAGCTTAGCTTCTTCATACTTAATAAGCCTTGAATACCGTTTAATATAATGCAGCGCTATAATCCCTCTTATCAGCTGACTTCCTACCTTTAAATTGAAACAAAAATCCTGCTCCAATTTAAAGGGTGGTTTTCGAAAAAAGCATACTAATTTTCTTTATAAAAACAAAATTGAGCCCAATATTTTGAATTTTGATTAAATCGATTCAATGTGAAAGCTGTTTTAAAAGTTCTATTTGCCCGATTTATTAAAGTAGGTATAAAACTTTATATTTAAAATTTTCCTATTGAAAATAAATTTTTTTTTCCAATTTAAAGGGTTAAAATACCCAAAAAATGGAAACTTTACCTATGTTTTATTCCAATTTAAAGAGCGGGAGTGAGGCGATTCAATAATTTTGATCCCTTCATTATAGCTCATCCCTAAAAGCTTGAAAAACCAAAAATACTCCGTATCAAAAATGCTTGGCAATTTTTTATTTTCCAAATACAGTTCATTGTAAACTATCCTTGGGATATTGAAATTTATTGGGTTTTTATTTCCAATCCTCACCTCAGTAAGCTGATTAAACCCTGGTTTAGGCTGGCAATTCTGCAGCAGAGGGTCTTTAAAAGTAATTGGTGTATGTTCCGGCCTTCTCTCAAACAGATCAGGATGATTGCAAACCTTTCTAAACTGCATCATTAAATTCATCAAATTTTCCACCTTAGTCTTGCTATCAGCCATTGAGAACAGCTCACTAATATTCAACTTCCTTTTAATCATACTATAAAGCATTTTCTGCCTATTTGTCAGTTCACAAAAATACTCATGCTCTGTTTTCTTGCCAATTTCGCTTTCCACATCTTTTTTTACTCTTCTAGCTCCCCCCCTCCGTGAGCGAAAAAAAAATCTTGTTCGCTCATGGAGGGGTTCATTTTTTTTTTAAAAAACTTTATATATAAATTTTATAGAATTGTTTTTTCGAATTTAAACAAAACACACTTCGCAAAAATTGGAAAGCAAATATTAATTTAATTTTATAATTTTTATGTTTTATAACGCAATTTTGTTTAATTTTAAACAGAATTAGCTAGAGATTTCATGATATATCAAAATTTTTACCATAAAATTTGTTTTATTAACAAATTTTTTGTTCGTTACGGAGGGTGGGGTTTTGGCCAAAAAAGGATTTTTCTCTATGGTTTTGTTCGCTCACTGAGGGGGGAGTAAGCATAAATGGCTTCAATATTGCATGCAGCCTCTGAAGCTGCTGCTGATTTAAAGCTCCTGCATCTTGTGAGTGAGCCTCAATGTCTTTTGAAAACCACTCTTCAAAGTGCTCGTGGGAGTCAAAAAGCTTTGGCATAATAAAATGCAATAAAGCCCACAGTTCTGCCATAGAGTTTTGTATAGGCGTCCCTGTCAATAATAGCTTATTTCTAGCATTAAATCCTAATAAAACGTTCCACCGCTGAGTGGCTGTATTTTTTATAGCATGAGCTTCGTCAAGAATCATATAGTAATTGCCCGAGGATGGTGCTATCTTGTACCATCCTCGGGCAATTCAAAAATGGCCCCACACCGGGAATCGAACCCACGTGTGGGGCCATTTTTTTGGTATGTGGCCAACATCGACTTACACGCACCAAAAATGGCCCCACACGTGGGCTCGATTCCGGTGTGGGGCCATTTTTTGAATTGCCCGAGGATGGCGCAAGATAGCGCCATCCTCGGGCAATTCCTATATATTTTCACATGACTTTTTGGAAGTTTTTTTCATCTGCAAGGACAAGCTGATAAGAAGTAACGCAGACGTGGAATGAAGAGTCGTCGTTGCCTAGCTTTTTGTTTTGCATGTAACGGCGAAGGGATTTTCGCTCTTTCATCTGTCCCCAGTAAGGAAGAGTTTTTAAGGTTGGGCAAAATTTGTTAAGCTCGGCTAGTCAGTTGTGGAGGGTTGAGGCTGGGCATACGATGAGGAATGGCCCCCAGATATTTTTATTGTAGGCAAGATGGGCAAGTAAAGCGATTGTTTGGATGGTTTTCCCAAGACCCATTTCATCAGCTAAAATCCCATTTATTCCTTGATCGTAAAGGTTGTCAAGCCATCTGAGTCCTTTCATTTGGTAATCTTTGAGGTCTCCAGTAAAAATAGGTGGGGTCTCTTCAATTCTTGAAAAAATTTTTGTTTCGTCAACCCTGTCAAGCCCTGTCAGCCCTACATCTTTTAGGTCTTCATTATTCATATTTGAGGTATCCCCAAACTGCTTTAAATGGTCTCTATGCTCTTTTATCATAGTTTTCACGCTTTCTCTTGCTTGGTCTTCATCTACTCCAATGCTTGATACATGTGTAGTTGCAGTCGGCATAATTCCTAGCTTCTGAGCCATAAAAATCGCATAAATGTCTGACTGTCTCATGATATATTCTAATTTTTTCCTCTGTCTAAGCGACTCTTCCTCTTCTTCTCTTTTTTTCCTGGTCTCATTTTCTTCTCTTTCCCTTTTTCTCCTCATATCTGCAGTTTCCCTTTCTTTTCTTTTTCAATAACTCACCATTTCTCTTTGAAGCCTTTTGGCTCTGACTGGCGCTTCTTTAGCTTCTCTTTGCATTTTCCCCGCCTTTTTGGCGACTTCTTTAGAACAAAGCTGGCTAATTCTTTTGCAATTGTTCCTTAGGTCTCCTCTTTGTTTCTGCATGCCTTTAAAAGCTTTTGGGAGATCTCGCTTAATGAGAAAGCTTAATCCCCTATTTAAATTGGGACAAAATATCAGGAAAATTTCATTTTTTTGGTACATTAACCCCCTTTAAGTTGGGTAATTTTTTTTTCCAATAGGATTTTATGAATTTTATAATTAATATATTATTTAAAAATATCTTTATTAAATAAATTCAAGTATAAAATTTTTAAAAATAAAAAAAATTTAATTGGAAGGTTTTTTTATCCAATTTAAAGGGATGGGAGCTAAGGCTTTTTTGATCAAAATGCTTTCTACTTTTTCTGATACGCTTTTACTTGTACTGCGGGGCTTTTGCACCTTAGTTGGTGCGCGTGGGAACTCTTTTGATGCGGTGATTTTGCGAATTGATGTGTTGTGAATCTTTAACGCTGAGGTAGGCTTCACTCGGGCAAGAAGCGCGCTTAGCTGTTCTGGTCGGAAACTTTCAAAGCTGAAGCTTAGCTTAGGTAATTTATTTGGGTCAAGTTGGTATTTTTTGATGGCCATAATGTCACTTCGGCGCAAGCCCAAATACCTTTCTTGATCCAGTGAAAAATCTTGTTCATATGCTTTCTTGAGCAGATTTTCTTCTTCTGCCCTTTCTTCTTCTTCAGTTTCTGAGAGCTCACATACCTTTTTTAAATAATGTTCAATCTTGTGGGCCCGATTGTTCAGCTTGAGGGCTTTGTATGGGAACATTCCGTCTTCGCATGGGCTTTCTTTAGAAGAATTCAGTATTCCTCTCACCTCCAGCTCGTAGCGCTGGCGCTTCTGAGGAAGAAGAGGGGTGCCGATGGTAGAAAGAGATGGGAGACTTAGGAGAGGAGACTGAAGATGGGTCTCTAAAGACACTATGGGCTGAGATTGATCCTCAAATGTCGTAAACTCTACTGATCTCTGTATGAATCTTACCTCTGAGGTGTTTCTGAGCAGATACGCAAGCATCGATAAATCACGTCCACTGGTCGACATATTTCGTGCAAGATTCGTCTGTGATGGCTTCCATCTTTCGGAAGGGGTTCTACTTAGGCATTAACGAAGATAATTAAATTTTAAAATATTGACACTTTATATGGAAAGAAAAAATTATATTTGAAGATATATAGGGATTTTTTGCCTTGGATAAAAAGAATTTTGGCTTAAAATTGGTAAAATGGTTTTAATATGTGGAGAAAGGATAAGAAATTTGAGTAAACACTATACAAATAATTATGAATTCAAATATACTGGTTTTCGGTTCATTTAATTGAAAGCTATTTATAGGGTGGGGAAATTTTTAAAAATGTTGCTTCTTCAGTATGAAGTTAATTTTAAAAGAAGGGTTTGGATAATTAATTTAATTAAAATTGTGAATAAATCAGTCTTAAATTTAATATATCCATACTAAACTTTGTGTAATTTAGAAATTTTTCAAATATATATTATAAAAAGAAAATACAGGGTGGAATTTATTTTTATAATAAATATTTGTAAACTCTATTATAAGCTTTTATAATAAATAATTTATTATATAATAACCTCCCAAAAAGAGTCACAAAACAAGTAAATTGATATAATAAAAATACTTAAAATTTATATAATCTTTGCTCTTAATTATATCAAAAATAAATTTAAAGTAGTACACTGTCCATCGTAATTGTTTGCATTTCCCATGATCTTAATAATCTTTATTTACTTCACAATAAATTTAAAAATTTTATTTTATGTATAAAAATTACAAAATAATTTCGAGATTTCATAATTTCCATATTTTCCGCATCTTATATTCACTATATATTTCAAAATTATTTATTATCTAATCTCCATCCTTTATTCTTTTATTCACCATTTGGCCTTTACTACTCAATTAATCATTTTATCCATATTTAAGTCCAATTTTTTCAATCCATTCACTAAAGTATCCCAAAAATCAACTAAGATCTCATTTTATTCCAAAGCTTCATTTATTTTATAATTTTATGGGAAATTGGTGTATAAATGCGTCGCAAAAAATCCAAAGCATTTCAGGTAAGTTTCATTTAGACCTGCAGTATTTCAACTCAGTGTCTCTCAAAGTAGCCGATCGCGATCACGTCGGGCACATTACTGGAGAAAGCCAATGCTTTGTTCACCTTCCAGGTCCAATCCATCAGCAAAGTCTTCTTACTACTGTTTATAAATTACCTTTAAGAATATGTGGTAGCGTTCTCCCAAGTCTAAATCATCTCGATGGCAAGGCAAGTCCTTCGCTAGACACCTATGCAATCCTTTCCAAAAATGGTTGCCTCTTCTGCATCCTTTTTGATGGGCACGGAACAGAAGGTGGCAAAATTGGGCTCCATGTCATTTCTAGCTTTTTGATAGCCTGTTTGACCCAAAATTTTTGATAATCAGATATTGTTCTCAAAAAATTATTAATTTTTTGACTAAAAATCTACTAGAAACTGTCTAACTATAAAACAAAATTATGAACGGCAAAATCATTGCTTTTTGCAAAAAGTTTATGCTTGACTTTTTCTCAGAAAATTTCCAGAAGTTTGAAGAATCACCTAAAGAGACCATTATTGAGATGGTGCATCAGTGTGATGAAAAATTAAGCCAAAGCGGGATCAGCTGCTCACTGTCTGGATGTACAGCAGTTGTGCTTGTTATGAACAAAGAAGGGATCCATGTAGGGAGTGTAGGCCACCCACAAGCAGTTTTAGCGAGTTTACCTAGTGACGACTCGCCTACACAAAATGATGAAGCATCTATAGAAATAGGTGATGAAATTGAGGCGACCCAGTATATCAGAAGTATAGAGCCATCAAGGATTTTAGCACCTATTGCATTGACGCTGAAGCAGAAGCCAAATCATGAAATAGAATTTAAAAGAATAACTGAAGCTGGAGGAATCGTGGAAAGAATGGTAGATGATTTAGGACAGCCTATTGGGCCATATAGAGTTTGGTTGAACCCAGGAAACCTGCCTGGATTAACAACTTCAAGGACTATTGGTGATGCTCTTGCTAAAGAAATTGGTGTAATCTCTACACCAATCTGCAACTCTTTCAAAAAATTTATAAGCTTTTTTTCCCTGAATAGACTATAAAATATCCATCAATTTTTAAAAATAATTTATAATAAGCCATTCAGAAAACAAGCTTTATACCGGAGCTGACCAGTTTATTGTAATTGCCAGCAATGGAATTTGAGATGTCATGGACCAAACTGAAGTCATCAATTTTGTTGAAAAATTCAGGACATCTTGCAAAGGGAAGTCAGCTGATTATCCAGCTAACGCTACAAACTCGTCAATTGCAAGACTATTGTGCGAAGAAGCGAGATATAGGTGATTTGGGATCGTGGAAAAACAAAATGCGATGATTGATGATATTTCATGTATAATTATTGAGTTAAGTAATGTAGTCCCAACAATGCCAACAGGAGAGTCTGCAAAGGTGACAGCTTCAAGAGCACTAGAGCCTTGGAAAACAATTGCTATTGATAGTGAAGTTTATGTGGCCAATAAACATGCGATAAGAAATGACCCTGCGAGAGGAAGTATGACGACTGGAGAAATCCATAACGAAATTATTGAAGCTGCCATGGAAATTATTAGAGAAAAAGAAGAAGAGGGAGAATCAAATCAAAACGCGTTGGAGCTACTTTAAAGCTATTAAAAATAATCTGACTAGTTCAGGTTCATTAGTCTCTTTATTATATTAAATATCCTCTATTTCATAATAATTAGGGCTAATTTTGCTATTGTGACTGTCTAATTTAATGCATTTGTTTAAATTAAATTTAAAATAAACTTAACTAGTTTTACTTGGATCATTATTTATCTGGCGGGCCAAATAAATTTCTTTTGACTTTGCTTGAAAATCTTTAATCGTCAGTGGCACGTTTTCTTCAGTCTCTACATCCTCCACAATATTATCAGCCTGTAAAAGTTCGCTTAAAAACTTCGGTACTTCTTTATCAGTCTTACTGGGCAGATCATCAGCTAAAATCGCTGACAAAGCAGCTCCTTTTTTCCCATTTTCATAGGCAAGATGCGTAATCAGGCTGCTCAAGTACTCTTCTAATTCTCCCAAATACTGCTCCACATTTTGTTCATTTACCAAAAACCCTTCATCTCTGGTCAGTTTTTTATTGAATTCCAAGGTAAAATTGCACTCTTCGAATTCCTTGATCATTTCTTCAACAGGCTCTTGGATTGAGCTGATTTCGTCTTTCAATGACTGGATTTCTTCTTGAGTTGACTGTTTTTCTTCATTAAGTTGCCTTATTTGGTCATTTAGCTCAGTTGCCACTGCAATATTTGACGACTTTTCTTGATCTAAAATGTTTCGTAATTGTTCATAATGCTTAGATAAGTACTGATATCTTTCTTCTAAGCCGTCAAGTTCTGTATTTAAAGAGTTTACATAAGAATAAAGCGCATAATGCTGCTCTTCACTTTTAATAAAGGCTGTGACCATTTCGTCAATATCGTCAATCCCAGTCGCTTCTCTGATTTGGTTAAAAGCATCACTTAGGATCCTTATGTTTTTATGGTATTGATCCACCACTCTTTTGCGTTCTTTACAAGCTGATGACCATTTATTATACTTACTTACTTACTTAGTTACATAGTTTTTAAGGTGTCTAGTGCCCACACCCCTTTAATGAAAAAGGGTCAAAGCGACAACTAGTGACGTCACCAAGCCATCTTGGAATATGTGGTCAGCCCACACCCAAGCCTTCTATGAGGCTAGTCGCCAGATAAATCGCCGCACATCTCACCCGGCGCGTTGCCGTCGCTCGTCCAGACTCAGCTCCTGCGCGTGTTCCGCCTAAGGGTCATCCTCCCGTGGGGACGTGCTGAGAGGTAAAACTTCGAAATCTTGAGTGCACTGAGGAGTCGTGCCTTTGGTTATCCCCAAAGTTAAACGACTATTGCTGTGCAGAAGTTCTCGAGAGAAAACCCAACCCCATAAATAAAATTCCATGAGGGAGAGAAAATTGGCAGAGCCAATTTCTCTCGAACCGAATGCCATTTTATTTATGACCATTTATTATACAAAGCTTCCAAAACTGTGTGAGGATCCACAGCATCTTCACTATTTCCTTTGCCGTCTGGGCTTGTTAATGTATTTGCAATCTCTTTTACAGCTGCATTTTGTTTTTTTCTGTCTTCTTCAATTACACTCTGCATAGCTGTAAATTGGCTTTGAAGCTGGGCGATCTCGTCTTCAGCTTTTGCTTTTAATTTCAGCATTTTCAACTTGTATTTTTCTTCTGCTTTTGAGCTTTCTAAGTGCTCTTTATTGCATTTTTCAGCTTCACGGGCTTTGTCAATGAGCTCTTGTTCCATGTTGTCGAACATTTCAAGGTAGGCTTGTTTTTCACGTCTGAGGACATTGATTTTTTCTCTCAGCTCTTTGTTTTTGGACTGCATGTCGTTAAGCTTGACCATTTCTTGCTGCAGGTTGCTTTCAAGGGTCCTTATTTTTACTTCAAGCCGCCTTTCTTCTTTTACTGAAGGAAGCTTAGCTTGGAGCTCGTCTTTTTTGGCTCGGACTTCTTTGGACATGTGGCCGACTTGTTCGTCTAAGCTGGCGTTTCTTCGACGTTGCTGCTCTAACTTGTGGGTGAAGTTATCGACTTCTCGTTGGAGGCGGTCACTTTCGCTTTCTAATAAGCGAGACTTGCCATGCATATAGGAGAGATCAAGGTTTGACATAACTGATAATTAAAATGATATTTAATTTATGAATATTTGTGATTGGGTGGAATTTGAAGGAAGTATAAGTAGATTACTTCAAGGGAGAATTTTTTAACTGATTTTATTAATAGAGAAGGAGATATAGAGCAGCTATGTTGAGAGAAAAAGATATAGGGGTTTGAGAATGAGCTATAAATTCAATTTCATAAATTAATGGCTTGCTAGGCCAATTTTTCTATTATTTTATAGCATATCCATCTAAGTGGATAGCTATATGCCTGACGTCTCCTGAGGGGTTTCGCCAACAAATGTTGGTAAAATAAACCCTTAAAATGGCAATCTAAATTATCTGGTGGATTTGCTATTTCAAGGGTTGGTGAAACCAACCCCCAGATCATCTTGGAGATGTTGGGCATATGGTGATTCACTTAGGTGGATACGCTATATTGAGCTTAAAATGTATGGAATAACGCATTCAAATCACTCCTCTGAAGGAGGCACTTATGATACGTTAGAATTCAGCGAAACTCCTAGCAGAATAAAACTTCAAAAACTATCTAGCAAGCTTATAAGCTACCAAACTGGCATCGAGTCTGAAAAACAAGCACAAGCTGACTCATTTAAATATAGGATGCACCAGCTTGAGGATAAGCTCTCAAAAATTCAGCTATCTGACGACTCAAAATTTTCTGTAATTTCTTACCCAGGTCCTCAAAGACCAGCTCAGTATAGCCCAGGACCTGCTTTAGATAAACGTTGCCACTTCAACCTGTGGGGTTGACAAGTGAGAAGTATATTGGCACTCCCAACTTTTAGGGTTGAGCTAGCAATGTGTAGTCCAAGGCGATCAAATCAGGCTTTGGGCTATAAAATCCAAGAAAATCTTTCAACCGAACATCTAGCTCTCGAAATCCTTGACGAGCGTAAAGTAAAAGAGCTTAAATTATGCGAAAATAACACCCACATCAACCTATCCTTACTCCCTCCTTTAAATTGGAACAAAATATTGGTAGAATTTCCATTTTTTGGGTACTTTAACCCCTTTAAATTGGAACAAAATTTTTTTTAATGGCAAAATTTTATAGGTAGAAAATACGAAATTTTTATGAAATAAATTTTTAACTAGTTTAATGGAAAAAATGCAGTAGAATATTATTTAAATAGGTTTTAAACTGAATCTTTTAAGTTTTATTAATTAATTAAATCTTCATAAAATAAATTAAAATTCCAGTTTAATCTATATTTTTTAATTTAATAAATTTTTTATATTGTAAAATTTAATATCATTTTTTTTTGATAAACAAAATTAACCCCTCTTTAAATTTGTTCAGATTTTTTTGTTTCCATATAAATGGCGGGAAATTAGAAAGACAAGGCCGAAAAGAGCAAGAAGTAAAATTATTGAAAAATATTGAAGACAAATTTTTTGAAATAAAAATAGAAGTAGCAAAAGAAAAAAAAATCAGGGAAGAAAAAGAAGAAGAAAAAAACGCAGAATTCGGGGAACAACTGGAAACGTTACAAGGGGAAATTGAAAATGAAATGAGGACGAGAGAAGATGGGTATGATAAAATTATAAAAAATATTGGAAGTGAGCTGCAAAGATGCTATAGTGAGCTGGAAGTAGATAAAAAGAAAAGAGAAGAAGAGCATACGATTTATGCGAAATTTATTAATGAGATGAAAGCCAGGGTTAAGAATGAGATTAATTTGGAGAAAAAAGAAAGAGAAGCGACAGAGGAGACCTTGATAAGATTGCTAGAAGAGACATGCCAGAAGGTTGAGACGGGGATAGGGCCAAAGCGATATTTTTAATTTAAATTTTTAAACAGATAAATTACTGTTGTAGCTTCACATTATTAAACCTGAATAATTCTAAAGAAGTTTAGGATTCAATCATTTACTTATTAATTTTAATCCTCATCAGAATAATTAGCTGTCTCTGATTGCTCTGGATCAACTTCTATATCCAAAGGTAAAGAAACGCCTGCACCAAGATACGAATCTGAAATCGCATTGACTTCCAAAGATATTTTGTTATTTTTAAAAGAAGGAAAATCATCTTTCGCATGAAACCTAAAACCTTCATGAACTGTAATTTTATCAATAGCTTCTAAAGATCTCACATATCTATTCCCTTCATAAATTGCCTAGTAAATAATTCAAGCCATTTCCTATTATTATCCCTATAAAATTAGCATAATAGATTTGTCCTGTTTTAGGATCGCTAATAAGTACCCAATATTTTTCATTTTTCATAAATGGAAGCCAAGAGTGGACTTGCCCAGTTTTTTCGTTTTCCTTTATATTTGCTTTATTAATAATAATACTAACAGTTACAATATCTCCATATCTTATATCTTCTTCATCTTTTACACACGCAGAAACACTGGCTTCCATTTCTGGAAAATATTGCAAAGACAGTTTTACATCTTCCAAACTTTTTATCTGAAAATTCTGCAAAACATCCAAATTTTTCTTTAAATCAGAAATAGTGTTAATTCTTTTGGTTTTTAAATTATTGATGATTTTTGAATCGTTTAGATAAGGAACCATTCGCAATTCATTAGAATTCTCAGGCAAGCCTTGTGTGATACATTGAGAAACTTCGATGATTTTTTTAAATAAATTGATTTTAGAGACTTTGGAGTCTTTGACGTAAACTGAGAGAATAAACCCAAGCTCAATAATGGAATTAAGAATATTCGGTGTGTGCAAAAGAATAAAGTCTTGCTGATTTTGAAGAGGAGCGGAAAGAGCCTTTCTATTTATATGTGAGAGTAATAATAGAACTGTTTTTAAATGAGAAACACTTCAATCTTTTGATTTTTCTCTTAAAATTTCTGAAAATTCTGCCTTTATTTGTTCGATTTCTGTTTCCTCAATTAATGGGAGTTTACTAAACTCTTCGCTATTGGCTATAATGTACAGAATGTCAAGAAAATCTGAACTTGTATCTAATAGCTCGGCATAGATGTGCTTATTATTTTCAAACACTCCATTCTTATCTTTCTTTTGTCCGCAGCTGAGCCAAATTATGACACTAATAGGAATTCCTAATATCATAATTAAAAATCCTATTAAAACTGGGACTTTGTTTTCTGGATTCACCAAAAACTCAGGCAGCCCTATTGAAAACTACATAAATTTTACAATTCTTCTTTGTGGTCCCAGGTGGGTTTTTCATGGTTAAGACTCCACAGCAGGCTTTTGTCCTGAGCTCACAGAAAGATACTGACAGCGCAGTATTTCTTGGGAGCAATAATTTGCCTGTAAAAGGCAGAGTAATTAAGAAAGTGGTATTGGACGATCAACTCATAGCCTCATCACTAAGAGCTCTTTGCTGTAGAGATGGCCCAAGCTTGTTCAGGTGAGTCCCCTCTTAGAACTCTCTGACTTCAATTTTTTGGTGACTTCGACATGAAAAGGGCGTTATGTGTAAGCACCAGAGCCTTAAGGTCACCTGTGCATGAAGCCGGACTGGGATGGATAGGGGTAGAAATTGTCCCCATGGTCTGCTATAATTGCATTTAATCTAATCTTCATCTTTGTGGCCCATCAGGATGGCCATATTTTATTAAATTTCTCTTACTCTTTTCGCTTGTTTCTCACAAATTGTTTTTTTAAATTTAAGATATATTTTTTTTTTTACAAAAAAATAGATTGTAAAATATTGGATGATTTAATCTATTTAATTTATAAAGTCAATGTTTTAGAGCTCAACAGCTTAAAATTTAATAGAATTAGCTGGAGATCTCATTATTATAACTATCAATTATATATCAAAAATATTTTATATAAAGAAAAATGATATTAAAAATTTTTTTTTACCGCTTATCAAAAAATAGGGATTTTTGGAATGCTATACTCTCTAACCAAATGAGGAGGCTAGCTTCTTCATTAGTAAGGGATTGATAAGCTTTGACTATTGTTATGTATTTTTCTTCATAATCTGGGTTTTTATCAGGGTGATACACTTTGCTTAATGACCTAAACGCCGCTTTGATCTCTTTTTCAGAAGAACCCTCACCTATACCTAAAATCTCATAAGGGTCAAAAATTTCTTGTGGAGTTTGGTCAAGCTTAATTGACTCTATCGTATACAAAAGCAAATACCCTACAGTAACTATATAAACCAGCTGGAAAACCCCCGCTTTTCCAAAAGTAGGCTTAACTCTGCATTTCTCCCTTTTATCTTCACAAAAAGCACATATACACTGCTGCAGATTTTCATTCTTTTTTTCAGTTTGTTTTTTCTTAAAGATTTTGTACAAAATAAAGTGATACAAAACCGGCAGCAGCATTAACAGAAGGATTAAGGCAGAAAAATAAAGAAAAGCTGTGTCATCATGATTGATGCTTCTATATTGTTTAGGCATATTTATATTATTTTAATCTAGTCTCATTTAATAATCCTTCCATATACGCTTTAAAATCGCTTTCCGATCTTTCGCCAATACAAAGCAAAGAAGTGTCTGTGGCTCTTGACATATAAATTTGCTGCTCCACGACCATTTTGGTTAAAATATTATACTCTGTAGAGTCTTTGAATTTAGGGTAATAATCAAGCTGCAACTTATTGAAAGCTGCGTTTTTTGCTTTAATTACGGTGGAGATATTGCAATTTCCTGTGGATAGTGCTGTTTTGGCCTTGATTTTCCCACTGGGGAAAATTTTGGTTCGATAAGTACCATATGATTTGGTCAAACCAAAAAATTGTCCCAGTGGGAAAATCAAGGTCAAAATAGCGCCATCAATGGGAAAATCCCATATCTAAATTTTGGTTGATTGCGAAGCTGTCTGTAATTTCTTCAACAATAAAATCCCCATGCTTGTCAAAGAAACTTTGCAGTTCATCATAATTGTGCCTTTGTTCTTGCTCATGTAAACAAATGACACATTTTATGTAAAATTGAAGCAAGTCTTCACCTTTGAATTTTATGTCACGAGAAACTGTGGATTGTCTGTCTTCTTTTACTAAGAAGGCATAGAATTTTTGGAAGCACTCGTCATTTTGTAAAATAAGGTCTAGGGAATCGAGCATTTCGAGAGTCAGAGTTGTTAAAGCGTTGGTTTCGGAGGTGGTGTAGGTAAGAATAATAGGGATTATAGAAGATCTAATCATAATCGCAACATCTCTAAAAATTGTTGGCACCAGCCATCTTCCACCATCACTCTGTGCAAAAATCGAAGACATCGGAGTAATTTGCCATAAAACCGCTACAAAAATCAGCTCACTCGTCATATTAAAATCATCATTAATATTTCTGATTGAAAAAACCATCATTATCAGTACCAGCTGCTCAATAAAACAAACCAAAACGTATATTCCCCCTGCTACTGCCTCCTGAGTTCCACTATCATGCTCATCTGCAATAGGCAGAAAATGCACAGCTGAGTTATAAGCTAGCAATACAATGCACAAAATCAAAACAGGTATCATCCCTATAAACAGTCATTTCAGCAGTCATTTTCTTTTAATTTTATTCAAATTCTTTTTATAAGCTTCATTTGGGTCATTAATATTGTCAAGTTTAAACAGATAATACAACCTAAAGCAGCGTAAAATGTAAGGAAGATATACAAGATAATGGGCTAAGACTAAGCCGCATTGCCTTAACTTCCACAAGTTGTCATCGACCTTATTCGAGTCTTCTCCATCTTGTAAAGAAGTAGCTGTAGGGAGGATCAGGATGACCTCTATTAAGTTTGCTAGATGAGAAATGTACAGCAAGGTGGGAGATCTACTTCGGATTTGGGGCTTTTTGGATCTGTAAAGTAAAAGAAACCAAATTGCTAAATTTCCCCCCGACTGTGAGTGAACAAAAAAAATTTTGTTCACTCACGGAGGGGGTTAAATTTTTTTTTAAAAAAATTTATACAAAAATTGTTTTCTAAATTTTATAAAACTTGGGAAGCAAATATTAATTTAATTTATAAAATTTATGCTTTAAACGTAGTTTGTTTAGAATTAAACAGAATTAGTTCGAGATTTCATTATACTAATTATCACTTATATATAAACTTTTTTTCATAAAAAAAAATTTCTATTAAAAATTTTTTGTTCACTCGCGGAGGGTGGGTTTTTGGGCAAAAAATGGCGATTTTTCTAATGGTTTTGTTCACTCACGGAGGGGGAGTAAATATATTGCGCAGAGTATGGCAGATAAGATGTAGAATAACATTTATTAGGCTACTCTTTTATAGAAATTTTAAGGTAATTTTTATTTAAAAAATGATTTTTTGCAATTTTTAAGGGGAAGAGATAGATAAATTATCATAATTGCCATTTAATATGACAAACTGGTAGACATTAGAAAGTCAGTCTTGTCGAGGAATATCTCTTTGATAAGATTGTTGAGCCACCAGTCCATTTTGAAGAGTCAAGAAAACGGCTTTTTTCTTTTGATTTTATTATTGCTATGCCTGCTGTTTTGTTTGCAAGGGCATTTATGACATGTCTGAGCTTAATAGGGGATACTTTTGTTAGATCTATGCGTCCTTCTTTTGATTTATTCCTGATAAGCCGATGAGTTTTAGAAAGAGATGATTTTTCATGGTCTGAGATTATTGTTCTTTGTCTTGTACCAAGACGAGCCACAGATCGCGCTCGGGTTGTAAAATTTATTTTATCTTGGGGCATAACTATTGATGGCGCATTGACCACCATCATCGGGCAATCAGTATAGTTCTTAAAATAATAACAATTGTTATTAACTTTAATTTCCGCTTTCTGGACAAGCGTACGTTTTGATTTTGTTGTTTCTTATATCACCTTATGCAGTCCTATCTTGAACTTTATATTTTAACTCCCCCCCCCCCTCCGTGAGCGAACAAAACCATTAGAAAAATCGCCATTTTTTGACCAAAAACCCACCCTCCGTGAGTGAACAAAAATTTTTTTAATAGAAAAAATTTTAATGGAAAAAAATTTTGATATATAAGTGATAATTAGTATAATGAAATCTAGAGCTAATTCTGTTTAATTTTAAACAAATTGCGTTTTAAAACATAAATTTTGCAAATTAAATTAATATTTGCTTCCCAATTTTTGCAAATTAGGATTTTTTAAATTTCGAAAAAAATTTTTTATATATAAATTTTTTTTTAAAAAAAAAATTAACCCCCCTCCGTGAGCGAACAAAATTTTTTTGTTCGCTCACGGAGGGGGGGGGGGGAGTAAGTATTTAAATTTTTACTAAAAAAATAATTCTATAGCATTTACATAAAATAAATATTATAGTCTGTTAGAGAATTACCTTTTTATTGTGATTATGCACTTATAATTTAATCTTTTTTACTTTTTCGAACTATTCTATTGAAAATAGGAAAAAGATAAGATACTTATAGTTTTCAGTCTAAGGGTATCTTAATTTAAATTTATTTTTATATAAGCCATTTTCCCGATAAAAAAGAAGAACCCATTTAAATGTAAAATATGCCTTGGCTTTATTTCGTCGAGCTTCATGTTAATAATTAGAAATATTTTCAAAAGCATTAAAAATATAAATAGAAACTATATCCAACTAGTTTAAAGCTAGGGACATTTTACTATAATCTGAATAATTCCCTTAATATTACGGGTCTGGTCTGATTCGCAAGATGTGAAGTCCATTAGAGTAGTTACATTTTCAATGATGTCGATCTATAAGGGCTCATGAGCTATATTGATGGTATACTTCTTCTATAGACAAGACTAATATATTTTGGTACCATAATAAACTTACTATAAAAAATAGTATCTGATACAATTAAAAAATTTGTATATTATTTATTTGCAATATACATGATCTGGATATAGCCTATTTTTAGATCATGTTTTCATTGGAGAAATTGCAGATTTACTTGCACTTCTTAAGAGCTCAATAGTTCCTTCAATATCATAACTACTCATTTTTCTCCTAAAATCAGGGGCTTAAAAATTTTGAAAAAATTCCCCCTCCCCATTTTTCTCCTTTTACTATATACTTAATAGAGTGTTAATCTTTATAAAATGGCATTGCGAGGAATTCGATTTTGTAAAGAATGCGCTAACATCCTCTATGCTCGAGAACAATTTGACAATGAACGCGAAGAGCGTAGACTGATTTACTCCTGCAGGATTTGCGATTACACAGAAAAAGCAGTTAAAGCTGAAGATAATCTAGTCTATCACAGACAAGTACGAAGACTAGCTGAGCACGTAGACGCAGACTATAAAGATTATCCACTGGATCCTACACTTCCAAGGACGTTTGATATCGAGTGTCCCAGATGTGGATACAATGAAGCTGTTTTTTTCCACGCAGAGACTGAAAGTGGAGAGTCAGGGATGAGGCTTACGTATGTGTGTTGCAATAGAAGTGAAGAAAGGGCTTGTGGATATTCGTGGCAAACTTAATAGATAATCACTTTTAATCATTAATGTGTTTTGATAATAGATTATGTATAATTCTAGATATATGAATCAACTATTATAAAATTTTTAAATTTCCTATTGCAATTACTTTGTATAGAAAATAACAAGCTTGTCAAAATGAGATTTTGTCTATAGGAGTTTATAGGATTATTATTCAATAGTTAATATTATATGTACGAGCTAATTCAATTTTTTTTTGAAAATATTGATCATCTGTATATCTTTTTTCTTCAATTTTTTAGCTCGGGTTCCTTCTCTACTGGTTAATGGAATTTTAATTTTGCTTTCAACACTTTTTTTATACAGTTGATCGCAGCTATTCATAATTGAATGAAGCTGTTTCAAAGCTTTAGCTTTTTTCTGACCAACATCCGAAGTAATGATAAGTCTTGATGTTTTGGCTTTCAAAGCGGGAAGTTCATCATTTTTCGAAACTTCATTTTGCTTTATAAATACTCGAGTTTGGGCATGCTGGTCCATTATATGTGGCTTATCCGGGTTTGTAAATGAATTTGAAGACTTGGCAGCTTGCTGCAGATATTTATGCCGCATTATATTGGCAGCCTTTCGGAGCCGAGGACTAGATAGCAATCTTTGTGTTAATTTTTGTCCTCATAAATCCGCCAGTGTAATTGTCTTTCTTTTTGGTGTATGCTCTGCATTTGGATCTATACCTTGCAACAGTGGTTTCAATTCTAGATCATTATATATCCCAAATTCTTCAAATACAGCCATAGCTTTGGAGGTTTTCTGGATCAGACGGTCGCTGATTGGAGAATCTTCGAAATTTTCTTGGGTCGAGAATATTGTTTCCCATGGTTTTTTATTTTGCAAGAAATTATTGGAGAAGGTATCATTCCCATTGCATGGGGAATTTCCTGCAGATTTATTGTTTACAGTCAACGCTGATTTAGTTAAGTGTTTGTGATAGGGCACTCTCAGATGATCTTTTTCAGTTTTTAATGCTTTTTCTTGCTCCATAAGTTATTAAATTTATCAGCTGGCACAATTTGTTATTTGTTTTTTCCTTTACGAACTGATAAAAAAATTTAAATTTATTAAGGCTAATTGATTCTTTTTTATTATGATTCAAGCTCATATCTTACAGGTATCATCATTTTCTTGATTAGTTCTAATTTAGCTTTTGCCCTGGTTTGATTATTTGAAATTGCAAGTGCTGTTACTGTAGACGATTGTGATAAAAATCTCAAACTCCTGTCTTGCTGACGTCTAGTTTCAATATTTGCTGGTTTTGAAGGCATATTTATTAGAATTTACAATAAATCTATTACCACTCGAAAAATGGATCATCTATCTTTTTCATTGCAGCTGGGACTTCAAACGAGTCAGGATATTTCTGATGACTATGGTTTCTTTCAGGGCTTACAATTGGAGGCAAAAAAGGTGCTGGAAGCTGCTTCGTCATTAAGCCTTGCCAATCAAACCCTGCAAAAAACCTATGATTTTTTATGTCTCTAGTACCTCTTTTTAAATTTCCATACCGTTTTGATAAATCTTTGACTAATAAATGCTTTATTAAGCTTTTTGCATACCTATCAAAATTTCGAGGGAAAGCAAGCTTTACTTTGACGATGTTTTGGAATATTTCCATTGTGTCATCATCTGCAAATGGGTCAACCCCAGTTAAAAGCTCATAAAGAAAAACCCCAAAAGCTCACCAGTCAACTGCTTTTCCGTGCCCTTGGTTTAATAGCACTTCGGGAGCCATATAATTTGGAGTCCCACATAATGTATAAGTCCTTCCCGGGACAATTTTTGAGAAGCCAAAATCAACGAGTTTTATATATCCATCAAAATTGATTAGAATATTTTCTGGCTTTAAGTCTCTATAAATAATATTCTTGGAGTGAAGGTACTCAAAAATGACGACAACTTGAGCTGAATAAAACCTTGCTTCTCTTAATTCAAAATAGCCACTTGAGCGAAGCAAATGGTATAATTCGCCTCCAGGTATATATATTTAGATCATTGGGGTCTTAAATTAGATGACCGAGAATGCGACAGCTTAAAAATATACAATTTAGCTTTTCGATAAATGGTATACATATTCCACTACAAAATAAATATATCGAGAATCTTGATGCATAGAGATGAAATTGTTAACAAAAGGATGATTAAAAGTCTTTGAAATGTTCATTTCATTTCGGATGTGAATTTCTTGCTTTTTTCTAATGATTTCTACTTTTTTAAAAATTTTGACAGCAAAATAAATATTTTCTTTTTTTGCAAGTTTGACGACCCCATATGCCCCTTTTCCAAGTGTGTGTAAAAGTTGGTAGCCTGGCATGTCTAAAAATTTCTCTTTTATTTGTGGAGGCTGGCTATTCATTTCTATCTTTATTCCATTTTTGAAAATAAAAGAAGGAGAGAAATTAGAAGATTCAATTATAAAAGAAGACGCTTAATTAGGCAAATAACTGTTTTGCTTTTATGTATGGAAAAATGATAAAACCCTAGTAATAGTTCTATATGATACAATGCTTTGATTAAAAAATACTACTCTATTTATTTTATAATTAAATTGCATAATTTAATAATTTTATTAATTTTTCACTACAAAAAAGGTTGGGTGTATTTCTGTTCCAGTTGAAAGCTATTTAGATTGGAATATAAATAGATTAGACTTTTATAAACAATTTTCTACAGTGAGAATCAGAATTTATAGCAAGAATATTGACTTCAAGAATTCACTAATTCGATGAAGTAATCTATTTTGAGCTTGCCTGCATTATTCCACAGCATAGCCTATAAGAATGAATTTTATTCTTCTGATACTTTTATGTGTCACTCTATAAGCTTATATTTAGGATGAAAATTAAAATCTCTACAAGTTTAAGATTAAATACCAATAATAATTTCATTTACCCAAATAATGCTTTCAAGAATCTCAGCTTCAGATTGGCTAAATCCAAGTCCAAACGTAAAAAAAGCATTGGGCTTGCTTTTAATTGGTGGTGTCACAGCATATGCAATTTATTCATACAAAAATTGAAGAGCTTCTTCTCAGAAAAATGAAGCTATAGATTGTCTCACATCTTCAGATGCTGCCATAAGGTCCCAAAATATTTCAAATGTTGAATATTATTTGAAGCTTAACACCCAAAAAGGAACATCATACTGAGGCTGCTGCACAATTATTTTCAAAATAATTAACCCTCAAATTCCAACATTTTTAGATTTCAAGGCCACGATTTTAGGTTGAAAATAATTGTTCATTATTAAGCACTAGCAAAATATTGATTTTTGTAAAGTAAATATGTTAAGAATTTCAGTAAAAATAGAGGAAAATATTAAATAGATAATGGCTTAAGAGAAAATCCTGCACCAGATTTCGAAGGAGATGAAATTTTATCAATTCTTATTAACGGCCAAGAATGCAACGCCTGCAGGACAGTTGGAAAAATTTACTTACTCCCCCCCCCCTCCGTGAGCGAACAAAACCATTAGAAAAATCGCCATTTTTTGGCCAAAAACCCACCCTCCGTGAGTGAACAAAAATTTTTTTAATAGAAAAAATTTTAATGGAAAAAAATTTTGATATATAAGTGATAATTAGTATAATGAAATCTAGAGCTAATTCTGTTTAATTTTAAACAAATTGCGTTTTTAAAACATAAATTTTGCAATTAAATTAATATTTGCTTCCCAATTTTTGCAAATTAGGATTTTTTTAAATTTCGAAAAAAATATTTTTTTATAAAATTTATATATAAATTTTTTTTAAAAAAAAAAATTAACCCCCCTCCGTGAGCGAACAAAATTTTTTTGTTCGCTCACGGAGGGGGGGGGGGGGGAGTTAAAAATTTGCAAGTTGGAGTAAATAGTGTAGAAATTCGCTACAAGAATAAATATTCAAAAGATGGAAATGGGTTGCATAGATATGTGGACACAATAGATGGTGAAGAATATTTAAATACGCAATTTGAGCCTTTTTATGCTCATAGGATGTTTCCTTGCTTTGATCAGCCAGATATAAAAGCCATACTAATCTTGTCTGTCAAATGTCCAGCATACTGAAAAGTAATTTCAAATGAGCCTATCAGAAAAATAGAAAATTCTCCAGCAGTAAACGATTCAATTTATTTATACGGCAATGATGATTGCCAATTAATAACATTTAGCTCCACAGACAGAATAAGCACTTATTTATATGCCTTATGCGCTGGCCCATTTTTGGAATTCAGAAAAGATGATAATGAACTAAACATCCCAATAGGCTTTTATTGTAAAAAAAGTTTAGAAAATCAATTTAACGTTGACGTACATTTAAATTGGACAATAAGGAGCTTTAAATTTTACCAAGAATTTTTTGGGATTCTTTACACATTTAAGAAAAATGGTGATGTCAATGGACTCCGAGACACACTACTATGGAATAGATTGTCCCGATCAAGCTGAAAATAGTGCCTCTGTCACTTTTGAAGTAAGCCGCCTGGTTTGGGGATGCCTGTTAAGAGGAAATTCTGCTTCCCAAAGGTTTTCGCTGTCTTGAGATGCGCTAGGCAGTTTTGCCTCCCACTTATTTTTACTTATCGGGACTAGTGGGCAGGCTAGCGATCTATCACTTATTTATGAAATTTAACTTAATTTACCCATTTAAAAAATACGACCAAATGTTCCTTTCTGAAATGAATTATGGGGCTATGGAAAATGTAGGATGCGTCACATATCGAGAGCATTATTTAAATCTTCTATCAAGCATTAAAAAATGTAAGGTTGGGAACGTATTTCTGCATGAAATGGCTCACATGTGGTTCGGAAACTTAGTTACTATGAAATGGTGAGATGATTTGTGGCTTAATGAAAGTTTTGCCACTTTTATGTCCCATTTAAACTATTCTCAATCATTAAATGACGAATTTTCTGACGTTTGGCTTGTCTTTTTAAGAAGAAAACGCTCCGCTTATGAACTAGACAGTATTAGTACATCTCATTCCATATGAACTCCTGTAGAAAACACATTAGAAACCACCACAAATTTTGACGCAATTTCCTATAATAAAGGCTCATCAGTCTTAAAGCAGCTGCACTATGTTTTAGGCCCTGAAATATTCCAAAAAGGAGTCAGAGCTTATTTAAACTCTTTTAAGTACCAAAATGCTAAATTTGATGATTTAATCAATGCATTGAATTTTGAAGCAAAACAAAATAACCTAAAAATTGATCTGAAAGAATGGGCTCAAAGGTGGGTAAAAACCATTGGTGTTAATTCTCTTACCCCTGAGCTTGAAATTGAAGATGGAAAAATTCGCGAATTTAAGGTAAAGCAGCTGGGCAGCACGCTATATCCGACGTTAAGAGACCATAAAATTTTGGTAGAGCTGTTTGACGATAATATGGAGTCAATTTGTAAAGAAGAAATTTTTATTGAGCCACATTATAATACATTTTTTGGAAAAATGATAGGAAAAGCAGCTCCAAGTTGTGTGGTTTTAAATGTGGAGGATTATGGATACTGCAAAGTCAGATTTGATAAAATTTCACTGGAAAATATAAAATTAAAATTAGACAAAATTGGAAATAAGATGACGAGGATGCTGATTTTGTCTAATCTATATGAGATGGTAAGAGATTGTTTGATGCCTGTGAACCAATTTTTAGAGGTCTGTGAGAATCAATTTGTGAAGGAAGAAGTCGAAATAATTGAAAGCTATATATTAGAAATAGCTCATGATGCAATTACAAATTGGGTTGAAAAACAGTCTGAGAAGGTAAAATTCTATACTTTTTTTTTCCATGAAATTTTGAAAAAATTGTCAGAAAAGCCTAATCTTAGAGAACTAAGATATAAACTGTTTAGGTTTATTCAGAAAAAAGACGATATAGTTCTTGCTGTCTCTTGGATTAAATCTAGCAGTGACGAGCCTGGCCTTAAGTTAACAATTGATGAAAGTTGGGCTGTTTTGAAGGCATATTCATCAATTTTAAAAGGTGAAAAAACACTTATTGAAGAGTTCAAGGAAAATGATAAAACATCAACTGGAGTGCTTGCATATAGTTATTGCTTAGCAGCATATCCAGAAAATAAAGAAGCCACTTGGAATAAAATATACCAATAAAATCAATCTTGAATCCTTACTTATATTTTTTTTTAAAATTAATACCCTGACTAGTGGTGGAAAAAAAATAACTATTTCAATAAAAGATGTATACTTTTTGAAGGTCCTGAAATGTCTGCACATCATAGACGTGCTATTATGACTGGATTCATGATTAAATATCAGAAAAAAATCCTTCAATTCTACACCAATCGCTACTTTAAAACTATCACTTCAATAATCAAAACCCACGATCTTCAATTTGTGCTTGATTTCTGCGAGCACTTATTCCCAAGTTTCGAGCCTGAAGGATTTTTGATTTCTGAAATCAGAAAAATATTAAAGAAAATTCCTCAATCATTTTACCCAATTATTAGATTTTTCAATGAAAAGAAAAATAAATTGGAAATAAGCCAAAGAGTCAAATCTTTTTCACGAAATTCTTAATAAAAGGAATTAAAATAAGCTTCATATTAAAAAAATAAAATATAAACAAAATTTATTTAGTTAAAAAGGAGATGGGATATCTCGGTCTGATAATGCAGGGACTTCCCAATAAGAAGTTCTTCCGCTTTCCCATCCTCCTGATGCGTTTTTCATCACAGGTAAAGATCCTCTGCCTTCTTGAATCTTTAGTTCATAAAATATATCTATTTTTCTTATATTGCCTAACTACACAATAAGTTATATGCTAATTTTTATAGATAATTAAACAGAGAAGAATAATAATTCTTTATATATAATGTTAAAAATATATAGCGAATTCTATTAGATGGCGCGTAATGCGCCATCACTGGGCCATGTCAGGAAAGGGTTCTCCACGAGGAATGGTTCCACGTGTGGAACCCTCTTTTTGGCTCGTGGAAACCCTCTTTTTGGCTCGTGGAACCCTCTTTTTGGCTCGTGGAAAAAGAGGGTTCCACACGTGGAACCATTCCTCGTGGAGAACCCTCTCCCGACATGGCCCCGGTGATGGCGCATTGCGCGCCATCTATAGGAAGGCGCTATACTTTAAGAGTAGGATGTTTAAGAGATTTAGGATGTTTTGGATTTCTTTTGAAAAATAAAGGCTTGTATTGTTTTTCTTTAAAATTCATTCAGTAGCCTTTGGATTGTGGAGTATTTTTCTTGCCCTCATTGCTACTATATTTCCTTACATGCACAAAAGGCTTTAATTCCACTGAATCTTCAGTTGAGCTTCCAAATGAACTTTCATGTCTTTTATTTGTCTGAGAATAAGATCTAGGCTTTAAGTTTTGGGTTAACACTGCACAAGGCCTATGAGATTCTCTAACTCCTAGCCTAGCAGTAATAATAATTTTTTCATTATTTATTGGAACATATATGATAATTTTTTTTATAATCTTTTATATTTTAGCAGAATTAAATAGATGGACAATAGAACTAGGTTTTAGATTTATTCTATCTAAATCCTCTAAATTTATATTATGAGTGGAATAATAATATATTGACAAAAAATATAGATAAAAAAAATATCAAATATATTATTTAAAATATTGTAATTATTTCTATTTTTGCTTACTATTAATTCAGTAGAATAAGAGCAGAATTCCTTAACACAGAATATTCACCTGTTTTAATACTCATCTCTTCAATTGCTTTTATAGGACTTGTAACTTTTAGCGCTAAAAGTCTTGGTGGTGATTTGTAAGGGCAACTCGGAATAGATGAAGGACAAAAAGGACTGCTTTTGGATTTTTTGTGTTTTAAAATCATATTAAATAATATATGCTTTTAAAATTTTGTTGAAGCTTTATTTAAATATTTTTTATATTATTTATTACAATTAAACAATTTCTTTACTCCATTACAGTGACAAGAATTTATAATTGAACCTTTGAATCATGATAATTAGGGTTTCTGTGAACGATAAAACCATATTTATGAATCCTAGATTTTGAAGTGTGTTATTCTTAAATAGTTAATTGAAACTCTTATGATTTTTATAATTAATAATCATCAATCAAAGAAGTTTATACTCTTAAAATGCCATACCAGTAATATTCTATAATTATAACATAACCTATATGAATTTGGAAAGAATATTTCATTCTCAAAATTCCTATTGAAATCTCTATCACTTTTTCTCCTTTTATTCTTTCTAAATTTCCCCCTTTTCGCTTCTGACTGCCAAAATGCAACTCACTAAATAAAAGATTTTTTTAATAATTGATGGAATACATTAAGCGTCAGCAGTCAGATGAACAAGAAATCCGCTCCAACAAACTTTTCCCGATCGTTTTTTCTCCCTCACATTCACCTGCATCAACTCGCAACTCTTTCTTTTCGATAACAGACTTTTCAGTCCATACTCGAAGAAGCTCATTTATCCCTTTCATTCATGAACGAGGAGACACAGGAAAGCTTTTACCACCAGATCCAGACCCTGTGATTCTTCCACGCTCTTTACGAGTGTCCCCTGAGCCTATATTGAGATCCAATAAAAAAGAATCTCCTAAAGGGATTGCATTTTTAAGTACCTCGAACAAGACTTTGCCAAGGACAAAGCGAAAGCGTTATAATATACCTGAGCCTGGGTACTATAACCCAAAGCCAGCATATGAAATTGGGAATAAGCATAGCATTTATTTATCAAATACTCCTACTAAGAGAAATCAGCTTGAAAAAAGGAATGCTTTATCAACTGATTACTTACTATAATATTTAAATATGGGTAGCTAATTAAAAAATTATAATTAATTCTTTGACTATTTATGCAGACTAAAAAATTTTTTTTTCTTGCTATTTAGAGGTAGAATTAGATATGGATGCGATACATGAACATTTGCATGGACATCACGGAACACTTAGTATGGACAAGCAATTAGCAAGAATGAAAACCAAAGAAGATTATGATCTTGACGAAAAAATGCTTAAAAGTGCCAAAATGGAACTTCCGGAACATTTAAAGCAATTCAAAGGACTTTACCACATTGGGAAAATTTCGTCGCAGAAAGTAGATAATTTTCCAAAAAATTTTATGGATGTGGCAAAAGACTTGAATGAAAATATTGCAAAAAGAATGGATGAATTAAAAAAAATTGGAAAACAAATGAAGGTTTCTGCTTATAAATAGTGCACTGTATGTAATTTGCATAAAAATTAATTTTTTATAATTAAAAGTGAATTGTTTTAGCTTGATTTTATGATAATTCATTATATTATGAGCTCATAATTACTATTATGAACTCCATGTATCAAAAATTTGGCATTAGAAGTGAAGTGTTCAGCCGAGCGTATATTTACCTTTGTGAGCAGCAGAAAAAGAAAGCTATCATTCTAAAATGGACCGAATTCTCTCCTCAATATCAATAATTGCTAAAAAAAGAAACAAGATTCCTGGAAACTTTCATTAATGCATATATTAGGCATCTGGCTAAAAGCCTCAACTTTGAAGCATGCAAACTATTTAACAAGAAGCATTCAGCTGGCTAATGGTTTTATGCAATCGTTAGACTAGGCCTATAGTTTCATTTCTATTATTACTCCCAGAATTTTAGAAAAATTTCCAGCATGCCTTTTTCCAGAAATCTTCCATATTCACCTACATTAGGCGTATCTATTTCCTTTCATACTATGCTGCTCAACCCCATCCTTCCTTCTATTTTGTTTTCAAGAAGCATTGATGCCTTACTTTTCAAAATTTTTTTGAGACTCAGGCAACTTTAAGAAATATTATAAAGGCATTATACTAATAAAGAAAACTAGCTTAAGCTTACTAAATCTATAAATCTTTTCGATTTATTCCTCACTCTAACTTCCATAAATAAATCTTAATATAAAATTAAACTTCTGCCATTTCATAAAAATCCCTGACATCACAATGCTGTTTCCCTTGACTATTTTTCTCCAAACCATATAAAAAATTTACCTCTCTAAATCATTTAATTATATCCTCCCCACATCGCAGCCATCTCCGTAAAAAATAAAGCTTCAAACTATTTCCAGTTTAATTTTGAATTGAGAAAATGGATTCCTTCAGACTGTTGATACCTAAATAATTGTAATAATACTCAATGTAAAATCCACACAGGTCACGCTCAAGCAGTATCTCTCGTCACCGTACCTCCTCAACACACTCCAAAAGTATAGGACAATACATTATAGGCCGAACAATTGGCGAAGGGACATTCGGCAAAGTAAAACTCGGCACTCACATTTTGACTAACGAAAAAGTGGCTGTCAAAATCCTTGAAAAAGACAGAATCAAGGACGCTTCAGACATAGAGCGAGTTTCCCGAGAAATAAAAATCCTGAAAATGCTGAGATTTCCACACATAATCCAGCTATATGAAATTATTGAAACTCCTAAACAATTATATCTCATCATGGAATTTGCCAGTGGCGGGGAGCTTTTTGATTACATTGTAGCAAGAAATAAAGTAAATGAGCCTCAGGCGTGTATTTTTCTTCAACAGATTTTATATGGAATTGAGTATCTCCATAAGCTAGGGGTTGTTCATAGAGATTTAAAGCCAGAAAATCTCTTATTAGATGAAGAAAAAAATATAAAAATCGTGGATTTTGGGTTAAGTAACACTTATAAGCCTGGAGAAACATTAAAAACCGCCTGTGGGAGCCCTTGTTATGCTGCCCCAGAGATGATTGCAGGAAAAAGGTATATTGGCAGCCAAGTCGACATATGGAGTTGTGGGGTAATTTTATATGCCATGCTGTGTGGATATTTACCATTTGAAGACCAAAATACTGCGACTTTATATAAGAAAATCAGAAGTGGGGAGTATAAGGTCCCTAAACATCTTTCTTTAGAAGCTATTGATATTCTTAAAAGGATTTTGAATACAAACCCTGAAGAGAGATACACGGTTGAACAGATTAGAGGGCATCCTTGGTTTAAAAAACATGCGTCGCATACTAGGAGGGTAGATGATAGTAAAATTACTATAAACGAAGAAGGCTTGGATGGGCTGGTAACTTTTGGGATTGATATAGAGCATGCAAGAGACAATATATTGCAAGGAAGACATAACAACATTACAGCGACTTATTATTTGTTATTAAAAAAACAGAAAAACGAAGCAAAAGCTCCTAAGTCGCCTACAAACCAGGAAAAAAGTGTTCTCCAAACTTTTCATGCACCTCACCCTCACCCTCCACCAAGACCTATTATTACAGAAAATCAGCCAATTAACCCTAAAATAAAACGACTTATAGAAAACCAAAGAATAGAAAGCACAGGAGGTAGCTCATCAAGAGAAATGGACCTTGCTACAAAAACTCAAGGGATCTCTACAATAATTTCAGGCCGTGACCGCAACAATTCTTCTCTTATAAAGCCATCTCCAAATACCAGAGTTTACGCCGCATCAGTATCTCCTATCAGCCGTCGTGACAATTCTACTTTCAGAAGCACCGAAAGGCATGTCCCGAAAGAGCCTGAAAAGCCTAAACCAAGCATCACGCCGCGCCCAATCCGTAACTTTTATATAGGAGGCCGTCAATATAAAAGAAGAGAGAGAGTTAAAACTCCAGTCACTTATAATGTAGATCTATACACTACTCTTAACCTGTCTATCAAACATAGTCCACGAGCTGGAACTGCTATAGGGATTCAAAGACCTCGTAGAATTGAATCCAATGAATTTTCTTATAAATTTTAATTTTTATTATAGTTGAGTATTAACTGTTGCATAAATTAAACACTGAAGATGGAAAATAAAGAAGATTTCGCAGGGACGTTTTATAGTAATTTAAGATCGCTGATTACGCTTGTAGATCATTTAAGAGATGCAGGGCTTCAAAAATACATAAAACTGCCGAGAATAGTGACATTGGGACTTCAGAGCAGCGGGAAAAGCTCAGTTCTTGAGTCTATTGTAGGGCTGAATTTTTTGCCGAGAAGTGAAGGAGTTTGTACAAGGCGGCCGTTAGAGCTGAGGCTGGTCCACGAAGAAACCCAAACGCAGCCATGGGCCATTTTTGAAGGAAATTCGAATAAATATACTGAGTTTGAAAAAGTCAGAGAACAGATTGAAAGGTTAACGGACGATAGAGCTGGAAGAAATAAAGGTATTGTAGACGACCCTATTATACTCACAATCCACTCTTCTACTTGTCCGGATCTTACCTTAATCGATCTCCCAGGAATCACCAGAATTCCTTTAAAAAATAGCGATCAGCCTGCAGATATCGAAAGAATTACTAACTCCCCCCTCCGTGAGTGAACAAAAAAATTTTGTTCACTCACGGAGGGGGGTTAATTTTGTTTTTTAAAAAAAATTTATATATAAATTTTATAAAAAATGTTTTTTGTCGAAATTTAAAAAAATCCTAATTCGCAAAAATTGGAAAGCAAATATTAATTTAATTTATAAAATTTATGTTTTAAAAAGCAATTCGTTTGAAATTAAACAGAATTGGCTCTAGATTTCATTATACTAATTATCATTAATATATCAAATTTTTTTTCCATAAAAATTTTTCGATTAAAAAAATTTTTGTTCACTCACGGAGGTTGGGTTTTTAGGCAAAAAATAGGGATTTTTCTAATGATTTTGTTCACTCACGGAGGGGGGGGAGTAAAGAAATGGCTTATAGGTACATCTCAGACCCAAGGACTATTATTTTGTGTGTAATTGCTGCCAATACTGATATCAGCACAAGTGAATCACTATTAATGGCAAATAAAGTTGATAAGGCTGGGATCAGAACTTTAGGGGTCATCACCAAAATTGATATCATGGACAGAGGCACAAACGCGAAAAAAGTGATTATGGGACAAGAAGTCACATTAAGACTAGGCTTTATAGGTGTAAAAAACAGATCCCAAGAAGACATTAACAATAACGTCAAAGTTGGTGCTGCTTTAAGAGAGGAGCAAGAATACTTTGCACAGCACCCTGTATATTCAACTATGCCGCCTGGATATCTCGGCACAGACGTCCTTACTCAGCGGCTAACCCAAATTTTATTTAACCATATAAAACATTTTTTACCAGAAATTCTAAAAGAAACAATGTACAGGATCAAGGACTGTGATGAAAGATCAAAAGATCTTGGTCCAAGTACCCCAGTTGAGCCAAAACAAAAAACCCAAATGCTATGGAATATGATCACAGACTATTGTGAGACTTTTAAAAATACAATTAGAGGCAAATTCGAAAGGAGGGGGAACTCAAGAATTGCTAAAGACTTGGCTGGAGGGGTAACGATAAAACATTATTTTAATACCCTGCTAGAGGATTATTCTGGGAATTATAATGCTACAGAGGATTATAGTAATGAAGAAATTCAAAGAATTATGGCCCAGCATGAAGGGGATAATATCCCTGGATTTCCATCTGTAGATGTCCTGCTGTTTTTATTGCATCCACAGCTGGAAAGGCTGAAAGGGCCTGTTTTGGACTGTTTAAATGACGTGCATTCCTATTTAGACCAGCTTTCGAGGAAAATTATTGAAAGGGTTTTTTATAGGTTTCCATCGTTGGTAGCAGAAATTGGGGATATTTCGTCTCATGTTTTAATTAAAGAAAGAGAAAACTGCAAGACTATTGTTGAGGAGCTGGTGGATGCTGAGGAAGGATATATTTTTACTAATGATGTGGAGTATTTAGCAAAAAGGACGGATTTGATACCGAAAAGTGATAATAAAGTCCCAAAAACCGCAGAAAGTCTATTTGTGGACGAAATCAGGAGCAGAATTGATACTTATTTTAGAATTGTGGTAAGAAATGTAAGAGATACAGTGCCAAAGATCATTGGATATTTCTTACTCCTTATAGGATTTTTTTAATTATTTCTGCTAAAAAATCAAAAAATAATAAATAATTAAGCTGGCAAAATAGTAAGATCAGTTATGGATAAAATGCAAATGCAGCTTTATGAAAGCATTAATAGAAGTGAAACAGTGCTAAATTTATTGAGTGAGCCTGCACATATTTCAACTGAAAGAGAAAACATCAGAAAGCAGCTTTCAACATTAAGAAAAGCAGAGAAAATCCTAAAGCATGACCCAAATCTTGCTTTGCAAGCAAATTCAATTGAAGATGAAATCAGTAAGATTGAAAGCGAAGCGAGCGAAAGTGGGACTGCAAAGAAAAAGGCAGACGAAGACAGCACGATAGGCCAAAGGCCAAGCAAAACACCGCCGAAAGGAATCTTTTAATCTTAATCTTTTATAGGGAATAATTAAATAATAAACAGTTAAAAATTAAACTGAAATAAATTTTGAGGTAAATTTTTTTTTTGGTAGAATTTATTAGGTCCCGAACTAAACTAATAGATCTAAAATTTCTCTTTAAAAATTAATAGCTCTGAGCTAAAAAAGGTTTTAAAGATAGATACATTGCTCAAATTTCAATTTGGCATATTCAGCTCTTTCAGGCTATGTAATAAAATTAATATTCAGATTTTTTCCTAACTCGCCCATCATTAATCTAAAAAATTCTATTGAAATTTTCCTGATATTAAATTCAATCAAAAATCAAGTGTTTTGATATCTCAAACAGGAAATAATGAATATTGGAGCTATGAAAATATAATTTCCTATACAAATTAAATAAGCAGTTTCTAGGTATTTACTAATATATTGTATACAAAATCTCTTATCGCTAGCGCATAAAATATTTTATATTGAGAAAATTATAAATACATAATTATTAGTTTTTATATATGTTTATTCAATTAATTATTTAGAGTAAAGGTAATTAAAAATTAATAATGATAGTCTGTTAGCTTAATTACATGTGCAGGTCTAGTCCATTTTAAAAATTCACAGATATTTGAAAAATTATTTCCACTTCAACAAAAGAGTCAATCCCTTGACTGTTGAAAAATATCTATTCTGTTAATTTTCATCCAATTTATATCAGCTAAATTGAAAAAATATATCTATTCTGTTAATTTTCATCCAATTTATATCAGCTAAATTAAAAAAATAAAATTTTACACTTCAAAATCTACTGTTGAAAAAATCATTCATACCTAATTAAATCTATATTGACATTTTGAGATCAGTCTAATAAAAATTGAAAAATAATGGTCAGGTACTTTTTAGTTCTTACGCTGCTTTCGTTGAGCACTATGACTAGTTCAACTTTTTCTATTCCTTGTGATCTGGAAAATGATAAAAATCCTTCTAAGCCTTGCTCAAATATAAGTTCTTGGGATTATAAAAATTTCTCATATTCCAATGCTAATGAGGAATCAATCTTTCAAAACTCAAAAGCAAACCATCCTCATGAAAAATCAAAGAAAATGAAGATCGCGATAATCGGATGTCTTTTTATCGGACACATAACCCCAACAATTGACATGGCGAAATCCTTAATATCAAGAGGCCATGAAATTATCTATTATGCTCCAATACAAGCTGAAAAGCTAATACAAGCGTCAGGGGCAAAATTCATCCCATACCCCAGCCCACAAATTTCAAAGCTTAAACCTGTTGATAGTGTCAAACTGAAGCCAACTGAAATTGGCTTAATATTTGTAAACAAATTCGGCTCATTTACTGACTCCCCCTCCGTGAGCAAACAAAATCATTAGAAAAATCCCTATTTTTTGCTCAAAAACCTACCCTCCGTGAGAAAACAAATAGAAAAATTTTTTAGGGGAAAAAAATTTTGATTAATAAGTGATAATTAGTATAATGAAATCTCGAGCTAATTATATTTGATTTTAAACAAATTGCGTTTTAAAACATAAATTTTACAAATTAAATTAATATTTACTTTCCAATTTTATATACATAAAATGGCCGGAGACGAGCGACCCGTCCTTCCGTGGCGGGTGTCCTTATGTATACCGGACATGGTTTTTGGATGCGGAGAGCTACTCAAGGGAAGAGTTAGCCTCGAGGCGAGAGGCCCAGCCCAATTTCCGCTGATTTTGGGACTCAACCCGGGCAGCAGTTTTTCGCATTCTTTTTGCCAGTAGCGCCGAGGCCCAGACTCGGTGTCCGAAAGAGGCAGGGTGAGTTACCTGCCTAGGCTACTTGGTGGCTTAGCCCCGAATCCCGCAAGGGGTTGAGTTCTTTCTTGGAGATGATCCGGGAAAGAGGGGAGGCGAAGCTAGACTTGGGGATCTCAAGGGCACAAGTCTCTCCAGTTAAAAGGGTCCTCTCACGAGGGCGATCTGGCCAACCGGAGGCAAAGAGACTGGCGTAATTCGGGGCGGAAGGCTGAGTTGAAAATAGTGGTGCTCGGCGGCAGTCGGCTGACGACTCAATAGGGCAACCCACTACCGAGAAACCAGGGGTTTCGGCCTGGGCTCAGAGAACCAGTGATGGAAGTCCATCCTTTTCGCTCGTGCCAGCACGGCTCCTCAAGGAGCGCGGAGGAATGCCACGCATGGAAGTAGGGACTATAAATACACATCTTAAACCTAACCTAACCTACTTTCCAATTTTTGCGAAGTGAGATTTTTTTAAAATAAATTATATGCAATTTTACCCTCACCATAAACAGCAATAGCTGCTGCTTATGGTGAGGGTAAAACAGCATATATAAATTTTAAAACAAATTAGCATCCTCCGTGAGCGAACAAGATTTTTTTGTTCACTCACGAAGGGGGGGAGTGAGTTTATTATGCCATGGTTTAAAGAGTCATTTGATAAAGAAAATTTTGATGCTGTCATCTTTAGCTCATTTACTGTCTGAGGAAATACCGTTACCAATTACTTCAAAAAGCCATTTTTATGCTTTGAGCCTTCTATATTGCCAGCAGAAGACGAATTTTGGCTACAGACTCATTTCTATGATGATGGGAAAGAAGAGCAAACTAAATTTGCTGAAAAGCTTCACAATAAGTATGATTCTATTGGAAAAAATCTTGTAGAAATGCTATCATGCAGTTATGCAGAAAAAGTTCTAATGTTTTCTCCTCAAAAGTTTCTTGAAAAAACTATTTCATCAAAATTTCCCAATCCTGATAAATATATATTTTTAAACAGTGTTTCTTCTCAGACATCCAAAAACCCTATTCCTGAATTGAAACAAAACATAAATTAAATATGGCATCTCAGCTTAAGCATGGCCCCGGCCATGCAACCTTCGAGCACATATTTAATTATATCCGTCAAGGTTTTACCAAGCTAGAAATAGGCAGCTGTGCTAGTTAAGCAAATCTTGTTGTGTAAGGAGCCTAGCCCTTGCCCATTTTCTGACTTGAGTTTTACTTTGAGATAAAAGGAGGTTTGAAAGTTAGAAATGCATTTACTCAGAAAGGTCCTTTGGGCCCATCGGGCATTTTCCCACCGTGAAGCCAGATGGCTATAAGTTTCCTTTTTGCCGAAAGTCGGCCAGATAATCTATTTTAGGATTTTCTGTGCAGGCAACCTCGTCGCTGCAGCCTGAAGCAAGGCCCCGGGAACCCGTAGTCTGCCCACCTAAAATGGAGCTACCGCCTTGTAGCAAGGAGGAGGTGATAGCCAGGCAACACGCCTTTCCGGCAATCGGAAGTAGACATTACCGCAAAGCGAATGAATCTCCTGGCGGGATCCTCGTAATCGAGCTAACAAAGTGGACTCTAGCCACCTAATTAAGTAAGTAATTAAGAATTGAAAGAAAACAGTTTAATATATTTCTCATTAGGAACCATAATAAATCAAAGACTTGATATTTTTGGCTCAATTATAGAATTCTTCTGCAATACAGGATATAAGCTAAAAATCAGCTGTGGAGGAAATGAAAATCTTTATCAAGAAATTATTTCTAAATATCATTATGATAACATCGAAATTAATTTCTTTGCAAGCCAGCTTGATATCCTCCAAGAAGCCACGATTTTTATTACTCATTCAGGGCTCAATAGTGTAAGAGAAGCAGTTTCTAATACGGTCCCAATGATTACTATTCCTCAGGGTGCCGATCAGTTCGAAATATCCAGAAGTGTCACTGAGCTTGGACTAGGTGTCTCATTTGAAGATTATGAAGGAAGCTTAGACGATAAAATCAAACTTGCTTTTAATGAGATTGAAAGCAATTTTACAAAATATAAAGAAAATCTAAAAAGGGCTCAAAAGTCGTATTTCGATGAGCCAGCTTATAAAGATTCCATATCAGAAGTGGAAAATTATTTACTTAATATAACTCATAAGCTTTAATTTATTTCCAAAAATTTATAAAAATGTGGATATATCTATTAGGGATTTTATCAAATTATTTAATAGCTTGAGGTTATGAAGAAGCAATAGGAAATCAACACAGTTGCAAAGTAATTAATGAATTTGTGAATAAAAAAAATCGATTTCAGTGCAGTTTAGATGAATATGATATATTTTCTGAAGCTTTAAATAAAGCAGCCACCAAAAGGAAAATTGGAATAATTGGATGTTTTGGCACTGATCACGTTATTCCTACAATAGATGTAGCTAAATGGCTTACATTAAGAGGCCATGACGTTGTATTTTACGGTTCATTACACATTCAAGAAAAAAATTGAACTCTCAGGAGCAAAATTCGTCCCATACCCAGAAGAATTTTTCACATTTTAAAAAGATGAAATGAAACAAAAATTGTGGCATGCGGCGCAATTGTTACAGTTGACTAATTTATTAATGATAATAATATACTTTGATTTTTAGGACTATTTTTCATCATTTTGCAATATTTAGGTTTGCTGTTGGCTGTAGGGGAAAACAAATAACCATTATTTTAATACGTTTTTAGAGGATTATTCTGGGAACTATAATGCTACAGAGGATTACAATAATGAAGAAATTCAAAAAATTATGGTCCAGCATAAAGCGGATTATATTCCTGGATTTCCATCAGCAAATGTCTTGCTGTTTTTGCTGCATCAACAGCTGGAAAGGCTAAAAGGGCTTTTGACATTTTAAATGGGATGCATTCCTATTTAGACAAGCTTTATCGGAATATTTAGTATTTTGCACAAAGAACGGATTCGATACCGAAAAGTGATAATAAAGTCCTAAAAACCGCAGAAAGTCTATTTGTGGACGAAATCAGAAGTAGAATTGATACTTATTTTAGAATTGTGGTAAGAAATGTAAGAGATACAGTTCCAAAGACATTGGCTATTTCTTACTCCTTATAGGGATGTTTTTTATTTTCTCTTAAAAATTTAAAAAATAATAAATAATTAAGCTGGCATGATAGTAAGATCAGTTATGGATAAAATGCAAATGAAGCTTTATGAAAGCATTAATAGAAGTGAAACAGTGCTAAATTTATTGAGCGAGCCTGCTGAAATAGAAAACATCAGAAAGCAGCTTTCAACATTAAGAAAAGCAGAGAAAATCCTAAAGCAGACCAAAATCTTGCTTTTCAAGCAATTTCAATTGAAGATGAAAATAGTAAGATTGAAAGCGAAGCGAGCGGAAGTGGGACTGCAAAAAAAAGGCAGACAAAGATAGCATGATAGGTCAAAGGCCAAGCAAAACATCGCCGGAAGGAATCTTTTAATTATAATCTTTTATAGGGAACAATTAATTAATAAACAGTTAAGAATTAACTGAGTGGTGGTTAACAAATTTTGAGTTAAAATTTCAAAAATTGTAAATGGTGCTTCTGGTGAATTATTAAAAAATGCTTTTGGTTTTTTATAAATGGTGTTTTGGTAAAAACTCAAGGTCGCGAGCTAAACTAATCAAATAAAATTTCTCGTTTGAATTTTATAGATTGTAGTAAAACAATTTCAAATTTAGATTCATTGCTCAAATTTTAATTTGAATATTCATTTTTTCAATTTCTGTTATAAAATTAATATTCAGATTTTATCTAAATAAATCAAAATTAATAAAGGTAATCTGCCAGCTTTAATATATGTACAGGTCTGGCCTGTTTTAAAGCTTCACTGCTATTTGAGAAATTATTTCTAACTTCAATCAAAGAACCACCTATATCCTGGTTTTCAATAAAATTTTTTCTGTTAATTTTTATGCAATTTAAATCTGCTCTAGCAAGTATTAACACTTTAAATCGGCTATAAATAATTCTAGTAAGCTTTAACACTTTTTAAATTGAAAAATAAAATTTTAAACACTAAACTCCATTCCCGAAACACCATATTTCTTCCTATTTAAATCTGCTTGAAATTTTGAAAGTTATATAATAAAATTAATGGTGAAAAGTCTTTTAATTTTTACGTTGCTTTCGTTGAGCATTATGACTACATCAGCTTGTTCTATTCTTCATGAGCTAGAAGATGATAAAACTACTTCTAATCCTTGTCCAAAAGCAAGTTCCTGGGATCATGAAAACTTAGCATATTCTAATGCTAATGAAGAATCAGTCTTTCACAATTCAAAAGCCAACCATACTCAAGAAAATCCAAAGAAAATGAAGATAGTGATAATAGGATCTCTTTTTATGGGCCACATAACCCCAACAATTGACATGACAAAATCGTTAATATCAAGAGGCCATGAAATTACCTATTATGCTCCAATACAATCAGAAAAGCTATTACAAGCGTCAGGGGCGAAATTCATCCCATACCCCAACCTAGAAATATCAAGGCATAGTACTGTTGATGGTACAAAAGTGAAGATAACTCAAATTGGCTTACAGCTTATGCACATACTCGGTTCGTTTACTGACTTTATTATGCCATGGTTTAAAGAGATGCTAGATAAAGAAAGTTTTGATGCTATCATCTTTAGCTCATTTACTATATGAGGAAATACCGTTACCAATTACTTGAAAAAGCCATTTTTATGCTTTGAGCCTTCTATATTTCCAGCAGAAACCGAATTTAGGCTACAGACTCATTTTTTCGATGATGGGAAAGAAGAGCAAGCTAAATTTGCTGAAAAGCTTCACGATGAGTATAATTCCAATGGAAAAAATCTTGTAGAAATGCTATCATGCAGTTATGCAGAAAAGATTTTAATGTTTTCTCCTCAAAAGTTTCTTGAGAAAACTGTTTCATCAAAATTTCCCAACCCTAATAAATATATTTTTTTACACAGTATTTCTTCCCAGACATCCAAAAACCCTATTCCTGAATTGAAAGAAAACAGCTTAATATATTTCTCATTAGGAACTCTACTAAATGAAAGGCTCGATATTTTTGGCTCAATTATAGAATTCTTCTGTAGTACAAAATATAAGCTAATAATTAGCAGCGGAGGAAATGAAAATCTTTATCAAGAAATTACTTCTAAATATCACTGTGATAACATTGAAGTTAAGTTATTTACAAGCCAGCTAGAAGTTCTCCAAGAAGCCGCAATTTTCATTTCTCATTCAGGGCTCAATAGTGTAAGAGAAGCAGTTTCTAATACGGTCCCAATGATTACTATTCCTCAGGGTGCCGATCAGTTCGTAATAGCCAGAAGTGTCACTGAGCTTGGACTAGGCGTTTCATTTGAAGATTATGAAGGAAGCTTAGACGATAAAATCAAACTTGCTTTTAATGAGATTGAAAGCAATTTTACAAAATATAAAGAAAATCTAAAAAGGGTTCAAAAGACACATTTCGATGGGCAAGTTTATGAAGATTCCATGTTAGAAGTGGAAAATTATTTGCTTAATATAACTCATAAGCTTTAATTTATTTCCAAAAATTTATAAAAATGTGGATATATCTATTAGGGATTTTATCAAATTATTTAATAGCTTGAGGTTATGAAGAAGCAATAGGAAATCAACACAGTTGTGAAATAATTAATGAATTTGTGAATAAAAAAGATCAATTTCAGTGCAGTTTAGATGAATATGATATATTTTCTGAAGCTTTAAATAAAGCAGCCACCAAAAGGAAAATTGGAATAATTGGATGTTTTGGCACTGATCACGTTATTCCTACAATAGATATAGCTAAATGGCTTGTATTAAGAGGCCATGACGTTGTATTTTACGGTCCATTACACATGCAAAAAAAAATTGAACTCTCAGGAGCAAAATTCGTCCCATACCCAGAACAAAATATAACATTTAAAAATAATCGTGAAAAGGAGGAAATGGAGCAAAAAATTATAGCATACGGCGCAATTGTTAAAGTTGATTACTTTATCAATAATAATCTACCTTGATTTTTAGAGAGCTGTGAAAAAGAAAATTTCGATGGGATTATTTTTCATCATTTTGCAATATTTGGGTTTGCTGTAGCTAAATACTTAAATCTGCCAAACCTCTGCTTAACTTGTGGAGCTGTGCCGCCTGAAAGAGAAAAAATCGGGGATGATTATCCTAAAAATTGGAAAAAAAGAAAAATCGATTTTTCAGCTGAAGTCCAGAAGCAAGTTCCTTATATTGGGGAAATATCGAAAAAAGTCCATTCATGCAGCAATGTTGGCAAAGTTTTAATGGTGACTCCTAAAAAATTTGTCGAAGCAATTGCGAATCGAACTATTAAAGAGTCTTATCGATATATACATTTAAGCTCAATTATGTCAAAAAATTCTCATGATTATGTACCAGAACTGAAAGAAAATAGCTTGATTTATTTTGCATTTGGAACAATTTTTACTCGGTATAGCCAAGATATATATGATTCTGTCGCTAAATTTTTTTGTGGAACTAAATATGAACTTATTATGACAACAGGAGGAAATGAAGAACTTTATCAATATTTGTTGCCAAAATATAGCAACTGTAGCAATATAAGTATTAATTTATATGTAAATCAGATGGAGGTTCTTAGAAGAACAGCGATTTTTATAAATCATGCAGGGTTTAATAGTGTTCAGGAAGCAATTCCACTTATAATTCCAATGATAGTAATCCCACAAGGAGCTGATCAGTATGCTATTGCCAGATGCATACACAGTTTAAAAATTGGAATTAATTTTAGGGATTTAAAATGAACTATTACCCAAAACTTGAGGTATGCTCTTAATGAAATAGAAAAAAACTTTACTAATTATAAAGAAAATATAAAGAAAGTACTTAAAACGCATTTTGATGGTGAAAAGCTTGAAGATTCTATCATAAAAGTTGAAAATTATTTGTTTAATTCAACAAGAATTAATAAAAAACTCATGTTTTAGCTATTTAATTGATAAATTTTTTTTGGAAAAAAATTCTAATTGATTAGTCAACTGCTTTTAAATTCGGGTGTATTCAGCTGCGCCATAAATGGGTTTAAGCTTTATTTAAGGGCATAGGAGATATTTTTGGTAGATTTCGCCAGGATCTGAAAGAGTTTAATATTTATTGATCTAGTTGGAGGGGATATGCCAAGCTCTTGTGAGGTAACTTTTTCCCAGAGAGCAGGCATAGATTTTTGGTAAAAAGAATATAAACTTCCTGTTCTAAGCATATAGAATGCTTGTTTTGTTATCGTCCGCAGCCTTATATTGCTATTATCCTATATATGCGTTACATTGAAGCAAAGCCATAAGTTGGGCAGCCCAATGGTGTAGAGATCCCAAAATAATGACTTAGTATCTATTAGGTTATTTATTTCAAGTAATTCCAAGAGATGAGGATAAATTTCCATGTTTTGATTATTTAAATGAGCAATGAAACGCTATAGATTTTAATAGGCGCTAGCTATGATATCGTAATGCTTTATATAAAAAGCTTCAAAAGTTAAGTGCTATAAGCGGTTTGACCACTAGCCTGCATATCTGGCATAAACTCAACTAAACTAAGGATTCGCTCACTAGCTTAGAGCTATCTCTAGCATATCCCCATTAGTCCTGACAAGGGAAGGCAAAGCCTGCCTCATCCATCTGGTAGGGACAGGAAAATCTTCGGAGGAGAAACAAAACTTCACTCTTTGGCAAGCATCCCCAAATCCGAAGGCCTACTCAAAAAATGACAGAAACGCTATTTTTACCTTCTTAGGGCAGCCCTATCTACTCCATAGGGAATGTCTCGGAATCCATCTACCTTTGATATCACCATTTTTTATTTATAAAAAGCACTTAAAAAATACTGAAAAAAGCTTAGAATATAAGAAAACTAAAAAAATTATTTTGATGTTTCAAGCTTGATGAGAATTTAATGGAGTTATAAAATTACTTATTCAATATTGTGAATAAATAATGAATAAAGTTAGCTCTCTTTTAAATTTAAGTCCATATAAGCCTGTGATATTACTAAAACTAGTCCTTGCAAGGCACAATAATACTTGTCCAAATTTCCAAAATAATTATAAGCACTTAAAATTCAAATATGTTATACAATTAGATAGGCTAATGGTCTGATTTATTTTAAATTTTATTAGACAAATTTTTTGTATATTTCTAAAACAGGATTAAAGTCAGTTACATTATTTTAGCATTTTACTTTTAGCATTTAATTATAAATACAAAATTATTCCGAAACTTTTGGTATTTTTTATTTGCAAGTCGTTAAATTAGATGGTGAAATTTTAGTTAAAGGAATATTATAAAGACTTTTAGCAAGCTGAGCCAGCGAAAAAAGTTTTATTTCGAGATAAATTTATATATGAATAAGATTTAATTAAAATTTTACTTTCAACACTAATAATTAACGATATAATAAAAATAATTTTTGGTTTGATCATACACTAATACTTGATAGTAAAATTCTTAATTTAAAATTCATCAACTCTAAACTAAGATTAGCCTTTTAATGCTTTTAAAAAAGAGCACAAATAAAAGGTGGCATACTGACAACAGATCAATTCTCTCTCTGATCTTTTCAAAGTTCGGGAGCCTTGCTGTGGCCTGAAACCAAAATGAGGAGAAAAAGCAGCCTCGTGGTGGAAATTTGAGTTTTTCCCTCCTCCAGCAATGAAGATTTTGAGTCTTCAGATGGGCATTTAAAAAAAAAATGGGTTTACCCTTAGATTGCTAGTGCTGATGACGAATTAAATTAAATTAAATTGTTTAAACTGGTAAGAAGCTGGCTTTTGCCCTATCTCGGACCCAAGGTAATAGTCTCAATATACCTCAGACTTCGAATGAGGAAAATAGAAGGCCACCATCTTGAATTTCCGACCTAAACCACCTGCCCAAGGGATTAGCTCTCCTTGGCAGAGCCACCATCTGTAGAGCGCCCCGTTGGTTCTGGTATAGAGGGACTAAGCGATAGATAGCCCATCTGGCAGGGACAGGAAAGCCTTCGGGGGAGAACAAAAGCACCCTATTTCAGCAGACTTCTCATTCAGACAGTCTACTTCGCTCATCTTTCACCACCTATCAGGCATGTTCACCGCTCCTTCAGGAGATGTCGCTTCAGAGTACTAATTCTGTTAGCATCACCATTTTATTTTCTTGCTGATAACGAAGGCATAGCTGATAATAATACTAGCTAGGAGACTTATCTCTAGCTCCAGTCACAGAATCAGCAACCTTAGTTCTAAAACTATATAGCTTTTTTCACAGGTTATATCAAGAGCGAGGCCGCAAGTCGAAGCAAAGCTATCTCTGGTGGGAATACTTGCATTGCCAGGAAGTTTATCTGAAGCTTACTCCCTCCTCCGTGAATAATTAATTTTGTCCTGTCATTGAGAGGATTGATTTATATATAAATATAATTTTTTTTTTATTCCAAAAAATCCCAAATTACAAAAATCAGATAGTTAAAATTTGCAAAATTTATGCTTAGAAATGCAAGCTTTTAGAATTCAAAAAGATTGGCTAGATATTATAATTTACTAATCATTACTATATATTAATTATATTTCATAAGACTTTTTATTTACTCACAGAGGGTGGGTTTTTACCCAAAAAATAGGGATTCTTCTAATTTTTTTATTTGCTCACGGAGGAGAGAGGTTATAAGTTAAACAAGGAAGCCTAATCTTTAATTAACTTAACATAGTTTTAAAAAAGAAATAATTATTTTGCATTTATTTATTATGAGTAACCTTGATCCATTATCAAATAACAAATTTTTGACCAACATTTAATTTTTTAATGCATGAAATTTTTAAATTAAAATCCTACTCTGTTTTTCGGTTTTTAGAGCCATTTCAAGTACTGGCAAAGATATAAAACATGGAAAAACTTAGCAAAAGTTTACTATTTTTTATACTTACTTTCAGTTATTTTTTCGCTGTCGCAGATGCCAGCATTAAGACTATAAAAAAAGCTAATACTCCAGTCTATTGTGAGCTGTCAATGCTGGATGAGTCTTCCCATGAGGATAGTTTTCGATCAAAGAATATTCCAGAAAAATCTTTACCACAAAGAGCTGAACAAAACAACAGCACTGGAAGGAAATTAAAGATCGCTATCATAGGCTGTATTGCTGTTGGTCATATAACCCCAACAATCGATATGATAAGAGCTTTAAAATCAAAAGGTCATGATGTCGTTTTTTACGCACCCATTTATACTCAAAATTTAATAGAGTCAACCGGAGCGAAATTTATCCCATATCCAGAACAAAAGCAAGCTAAAATTACACCAATTGATAGAAAAGAGATTAGGGTCAATGAAACTGGATTGCAACTTATGTCGATTTTTGGTGGCTACACAGATTATATAATGCCATGGTTTTTAGAAAATTTTGAAAAAGAGCAATTTGATGCTGTTATTTATAGCTCCCTTACTATTTGGGGCAATGCTGTAGCAAGCTATTTCAAAATTCCATATTTATGCCTTGGAATTTCAGTTCTGCCAGCAGAGGACAATGCTTGGAATCAAACCCATTTTTACGATGAAGGAAAAGAGCAGCAGCTAGAATTTGCAAATAGGCTTCATAATCAATATAATACTACAGCAGTTAATTTGATAGAAATGTTTTCGTGCAGTTATGCGAAAAAAGTATTGATGTTTTCTTCACAAAAATTCTTACTCGCATCAGTGAACAAAAAAATTATTTCGCTCACAGGTTTTTTTTTAAGACTTCATTATATAGCCTGTCTCTGCTTTGAATCGGGCTTGTTGATGCCTGACTTTTCAGACAAATTTTGACAGACAAGCCCGTCCAAAGAAGGAATAAGACTATATTAATTATCATAATATATCAAATTATTTTTCCATAATAAATTTTTGTTCGCTGACGCAATAGATTTTTACCCAATAGATAGGGATATTAAAATGGTTTTGTTTCCTCACGGAGGGAGGAGTTTAGAAGCAGCATCAAATTACAGGTTTTCAGAGCCAGAAAAATATTTTTTTTTGAATTCCATTTCTTCTCAAACATCAAAAAATTTTATTTCTAAATTAAAAGAAAACAGTATTATATACCTATCACTTGGAACAGCTTTTAATCAACGCCCAGACATTTTTGAATCTATAATAACCTATTTCAACCAAACCAAATATGAGCTGATTGTAAGCACTGGGATGAATGAAAACCTCTATCAAGCTCTTACGTCTAAATATAACAGCAGCAATATAAAAATTAATTTATACACCAATCAGGTAAGGCTGCTTAAAGATGTAGCTATTTTTATAACCCATGCTGGGCTTAATAGCATAAAAGAAGCAATTTCTTTTACAATACCAACAGTTGCAATTCCTCAAGGGGCTGATCAATTTTGAATTTCAAAAGCTATTACAGATCTTAAAATTGGAGCTTCAGTTGAAGATTATGAAGGTAGCTTAGATAATAAGTTTAAAGCTGCGTTTCAGGAGATTGAACAGAACTTTGAGACTTATAAAGAAAATCTGAAGAATGTTCAAAAAAATTATTTTGATGGCCCAAGTTTTGATGAGTCTATTATGGATTTAGAAAACTATTTATTAGATATAACGGATAAGCAATAATAGACTTATCATTAATTATTAGCAATATTATGCATATTTATAAAATCATCAAACATTATAGATTTCATATTTCAATATATAAATATATAAATATTTAGCATTTATTTATTTAATTATCGACAAATATAATAAATTTAGATGCATTAATAAGATTAAAATTATTTACTCCCACTTTAAATTGGAACAAAAATTGTTCCAAATAAATTGGGTTAATTTTTTGAAACAAAATTGATATAAAAATCCACATATAAAAATTTTTATAAAGGTAAAAGCTATTTATAGATAACTTTAATGAAAAAAAATTGCTATAGAAGTGATAATTAACATAATGAAACCTTTAGCTAATTCTGTTTAATTTAAACAAATTGCCTTTTTAAAACATAAACTTTACAATTACAATAAATATTTGCTTCCAATATTTGCGAAGTGAAGAAGAAAGAGTTACTTTATCCCTAAACTATCCCAACAGTATTTCCAGAACTCCTTGCGAAGTGAGGTTATTTTTATTTCAAAAAATAATTATCACTGTAAAATTTTATTTATAAATTTTTTTTAAAAAAAATTAACCCGTGAGTGAACAAGATTTTTTTGTTCACTAGGATGGGGAGTTAGAGAATATTAAAAAGACTTTAGCAAACTGAGCTAGCGAAAAATGTTTTATTTCGAGAAAAATTTATTTATCAACTCGAATTGGATCTAATTAAAATTTGCTTCCAGCATTGGTAATTAACCTTTAATAAAAATAAAATAGTAAATTTCTTAATTTAAAATTTATCAAATCTTAACTCAGCTGAGCCTTTTGATCGTCTCATTTATAGTAAACTATATCGATATTTAAAGCAAAGGCACAAAAATACTTAAAACTTCAATAATTAATTGAATACCTTTTAAAATAGAGCGCGTATAAAAAGGCGACATACAACAGATCAATTTTCTCTCTCACCTTTTTAAAGTTTGGGAACCTTACTGTGGCCTGAAGCCTAACCAAATAGAAAAAGCAGTCTAGTACTGGGAATTTGCGCTCCACTTGAGTATTTTTCCTTCCACCAGCTATGAAAATTGTATCTTTAGATGAACATTTGAGAAAAAAGGCTTTTACCCTGGATTGCCTGTGCTATGACGAAGGTATAGTGGCATAGTTGGTACTGATACTAATTAGGGATTTATCCCTAGCTTGAACTCAGTCACTAAAGCAGCAGTCATAATTCTAAAACTAAATATAATTTAAGCTTCCTAGGTAATATCAAGAGTAAGCCGTAAGTCGGAGCAAAGCTATCTCTGGTAGCAAACTTTTAGAGTTAGCAGAATTGGCTAGATTATATCATAATAATTATCACTTATATATTAATTATATGTTAATAAATAATTTTTTGTTTACTCACAGATGGTCGGTTTTTACCCGAAAAATGATTTTCTTCCCAATGCTTTATTCGCTCTTAAATGAGAGGCAGCTAGCAAACCTTCTTCAAAGACTTGCTTTAGGTTATAAAGTTAATAAGGAAGCCCTAATCTTTACTTAACTTAAATTAAGTTTTAATAAAGAATTAATTATTTTCCTTTATATTTTATCAGCAATCTAATCCATTTTTAAATAAAATTTTGAATAGCATTTAATTTTTAATGCATGGTTATTTTTAACATATAGTCTCTTAAAGCTATTTTAGGTACTGATAAGTATATAAAACATGGAAAAGCTTGCTAAAAGTTTACTATTCTTTATACTTACTGCCAGTTATTTTTTCGCAGTTGCAGATGCCAGCACTGAGACTCTAAAAGCTGACACTCCAGTCTATTGTGAGCCGTCAATGCTGCATGAGTCTTCCCATGAGGATAGTTTGCGATCAAAAAATATTTCAGAAAGAGCTGAACAAAACAACAGCACTGGAAGGAAATTAAAGATCGCTATCATAGGCTGTATTGCTATTGGTCATATAACCCCAACAATCGATATGACAAGAGCTTTAAAATCAAAAGGTCACGATGTCGTCTATTACGCGCCCATTTATACTCAGAATTTAATAGAGTCTACTGGAGCGAAATTTATCCCATATCCAGAGCAAAAGCTAGCTAAAGTTACACCTCTTGATAAAAAAGAGATTCGGGTCAATGAAACTGGATTGCTACTTATAGCGGCGTTTGGTGGTTACACAGATTATATAATGCCATGGTTTTTAGAAAATTTCGAAAAAGAACAATTTGATGCTGTTATTTATACCTCCTTTGCTATTTGGGGCAATGCTGTAGCAAGCTATTTCAAAATTCCATATTTATGCCTTGGGACTAGCGTACTGCCAGCAGAGGACAATGCTTGAAATGAAACCCATTTTTACGATGAAGGAAAAGAGCAGCAGCTAGAATTTACAAATAGGCTTCATAATAAATATAATACTACAGCAGTTAATTTGATAGAAATGTTTTCGTGCAGTTATGCGAAAAAAGTATTGATGGTTTCTTCACAAAAATTCTTACTCCCGCTCTGTGAGCAAAAAATATATTTATTCACTCGCAGAGGGGCTATTTTTTTTAAAAAATTTATATACAAACAGAATTAGCGAGAGATTTTATTATACTAATAATCACTTATATATAAAAATATTATTTCATTAAATTTTATATTAAAAAATTTTGTTCCATCATGAAGTGTGGGTTTTTGGCAAAAAATAGTGATAATCCAATAATTTTGCTCGCTCTGGGATGGGGAGTTAGAAGCAGCATCAGATCACAGGTTTTCAGAGCCAGAAAAATATTTTTTTTTGAGTTCCATTTCTTCTCAAACATCAAAAAATTTTATTTCTAAATTAAAAGAAAACAGTATTATATACCTATCACTTGGAACAACTTTTAATCAACGCCCAGACATTTTTGAATCTATCATGACCTATTTCAACCAAACCAAATATGAGCTGATTGTGAGTGCTGGAATGAATGAAAAACTTTATCAAGCTCTTACGTCTAAAAATTACAGCAGCAATATAAAAATTAATTTATACACCAATCAGGTAAGGCTGCTTAAAGATGTAGCTATTTTTATAACCCATGCTGGGCTTAATAGCATAAAAGAAGCAATTTCTTTTACAATACCAACAGTTACAATTCCTCAAGGGGCTGACCAATTTTGAATTTCAAAAGCTATTAAAGATCTTAAAATTGGAGCTTCAGTTGAAGATTATGAAGGTAGCTTAGATGATAAGTTTAAAGCTGCGTTTCAGGAGATTGAACAGAACTTTGAGACTTATAAAGAAAATCTGAAGAATGTTCAAAAAAATTATTTTGATGGCCCAAGTTTTGATGAGTCTATTATGGATTTAGAAAACTATTTATTAGATATAACGGATAAGCAATAATAGACTTATCATTAATTATTAGCAATATTATGCATATTTATAAAATCATCAAACATTATAGATTTCATATTTCAATATATAAATTTTAGCTAATAATCTAGTCTATTTCTTAGGTAAAAATATTGATTATGAAGTCAATTATAATAATTAGGCAAATTTATCTTGTTTAAACAACTAATATAAGAAAAAAATGCATTTAGGATAAATGAAAAGTTAAAAATTTTACTTACAAAATTTAAAAAAAAATTTTCCAATTTGTAAAATTGAAAAGCAAAAATTAATTTAATTATATTTTAAACGCAAGCTGTTTAAAATTCATTAGAATTAGCTAGAGATTTCGTTATAATAATTATCATCTACTTATCAATTTTTTTTTTCATAAAACATTTTGTTCGCTCACAGAGAGTGAGTTTTGGGCAGAAAATATGCAGGTAAAAGCGATAATTGCATATTCTACTTGTGTTCTTATTTACTTTGTCTGTCTATCTGGATTTATCTACGATCTCATCACACGTGCAACAGTTATTGGATTCGACCTCAGAAAAAATAGAGTAGAGTATGTTCATCGAGGTCATAGAGAACAATACGGAGGTGAAGGTATTGTAATGAGCTTTTTAATATGTCTCTGCGGCTGTGCATTAGTAGGAATTAACAATTTAAGAAAATTGCCTCCTTGAATCGTTAGAATAGGTGGACTGTTTTGCTTGATGATACTAGTTTTTTCATACAGAAAAGTAATTGAAGTTTACAGAATTAAAATGCCTTGGTATGGGCCTGGGTTTTATCCGCCTTCACATTATGTCAAAGGCCCTTTAATTAATGACCAAGGCTACTCTATATAATTTTACAAAAATTGTATTAAATAATTTTTCATTGTATATCTTTCTATATATGAATTAAAAAAAATCTAAATTATCAATATAGACTAAAGAAATAAAGCTAAAATAATAGTTTATTTCAATTGCTTTATTCCAAATTCTGATTATGATCCATGAGCTGCAATTTCAGTATTCTTGGAATATTCTTCACAATTAAGTTACTTTTTTTAATAATAAAAAAATTATATTTAGGCCCAAATCTCTATTATTTAAATAATCATCATTATACTGAAGATTAATTTTTCAATTCACAATTCTTAATAAATATGTTTGTCGAAGATGATTCTTCAGTTATAGCTGATAAAACAACCTTTATAACCCACACCGATCAAAACGATACAACCAAACTTTTCCAAACAAGTTATACAGAAAAACCTACCGTTGTCTTCAAAATCGAGGAAGCTCAACCACCTGAAGTACTTTCTTCATCAGCCCCTTTGCCAGAAAATTCAAACCTCCGCAGGGTGGTTGACAATATTTTTAATACCATGAAAACCAACAACCCAAAGTTTACCAACCCAATGGTCGAATCAACCTGAAAAAAATACTTTGACACCCAAGAATGCAAAGACATAATCGGGGATATGTTTTGATATTGTGTAATAAAAGTCGAAAAAAGGAAAAAATACGACACCTATAAGAAACAACTGCTGGAAAGAATTTCACATAATTATATCCAGCTTTTTGTAAATGTTGAGCATGAGGATAAAGAAATTTTCTTCGAAAATTTCTATGATTGTATTGCTCAGGCTGTGTTTTACAGCATGTATTTTGCATACCCAAAGTCAAGATCTAGGCTAAATAGTGAAGAGTTTAAAAGGAGAATTTATGAGTATGTGTCGTCAAAATTAACAGGAATTGCTGTAAGCAATCAAGGCTATAAAAAATGGATTTTAGATCTAGGCGCTGGGAATGTGCTATCTAATCAAGGCTCAAAGCAGCAAGAAGGACTTTATAATATTCTGCTTCCTCCTATTAGAAAAAAACAAACCAAAAGAAAAATGCAGCAGCTAAGGTATAGCCCTTTAGTTAAAAGGTATTTAAGCACTAAAAGGTATGAAGCAATTAATGCTATTCCTGTATGAAATATGAGGTATACTTTGAGAAACCCAGATAAGGAAAAAGAGCTTGATAGAAAATTTAGCTATTATAGGAAAATGGCGATTAGCTGTGAAAGAAAAGCTGTTGAAAAAGATAAAGAATTTCAAGATTTCAGCTTCAGAGTTGAAGAAAAAATTAAAGAAGACCACAGAGAGTATTTAAAGCAAATAAAAATCCTTACTTCTCCCATCTCTGAGCTTGGAAAATCCTTAATTTTTAGCTAAAAAACCATCATAAAAAGCAAAACTTTTTTGTTTTATAAAAAAATATTTAATATATAAGAAATAATGATTATAATGAAATCTCTAATTCTGTTTAATTTTTAACAGATTGCAGTCCAAAGCATGAATTTTACAAATAAAAATTAATTATTCTTTCAACTTTAATTTCAAAAAAAATTAACCCCTCTGTAAATGGAGGTGGATTAATGAACATACTCAAAAAGTGTTGCAAGAAAATGCTAATGAGTATGCAAATAAACTTGTTGCTCAGTCTAAAAAAGAGAAAGAAGAGAAAACTAAAAGAAGTTCTTCGTTCAAAGAAAGATAAATGTTAATTTAATATTTTATCAGTATCTTAATGTCGAAATGTCAGATGTCTTGTTTTGGAGCAAAGCTCGCTGCATTAAATGAACTTTTCTTGAATAAGGAATCGTAGGGTCAGTCCTAATATCATCTAAAATATCATCAATATTCGGTGCATCTTCTTGTCTCTGGTTTGGCTTAAAATAGCTACTTTTTGCAAAACGGTCCAAATAATCCACAAATTTACTTTCATTTATTGTATTTGGGATATGTTCTCCATTATTATGCCTTGTAGTTTTAATATTTCTTTTCGGAATTTCGCTATATTTTGTTGGAGAATTGGCCAAAGAGTTGTCTTTTTCTTTCAAATTAATTTTCTTTGTAAAAAGAGACGCGAGATCTGATGAAAAAATTTCTTCTCTTACTTTAGCTGTTCTTCCAGACCTTGAAATTGAGATTTGGAATGTCTTATCAGGAGAAAGGGAGCGTGCTCCTTTATATGAGTCTGCAAGAGTCCTAAGCATTCGTTTTCTTATTGAATTTTCTGTATTAACTCGGTCTTGTCAATAGTGATGTACGTCATTTGGAGACAGAAATGCTGCTTTAAACGGCTTTTTATTCTGTTGGTTTATCATTTACTATAATTCCATATTTTATCACATAATTATTATCAATGATAAATTAACAAAAATTCAATTAATTAACATAATTTGTTATTAGCGCGTTAATCCTAATCATTTCAAGTTTTGAAATTAGTTTTTCATATAATTCTTCATCTACCTGTCTCTTAACAGTATTTAGCTTTCCTAAATAATTGTCGATATGAATAATATCTAGCCTATACTCGTCTTCTATATAATCAGTCATGGCATGAAGTATAAATTCATCAGTCTCTTCATCTTTTCCTAATTCTTCTATTAAAATTTCTCCGATCCCTAAATCTAATATCCGCTTTGATTGCAAAGGATTGCAAGCTGAAGCTGCATTGCAAAGTGCATAAATTCCTTCTTTTTTCACAACCAAACTTTCATTCTCTAGTGTTAGCCTCATTAATTCAAAAAATCCACATTTCAAGGCTTCTTCAATTATTTCGTCACTTTCTACAAATAAATTGTATAAAATCCAATAAATTTCTTTTTTTAAACATTTTAATTGAGTTTCATAAATAATTTGATAAAGGCTCATTAAAATGCCAGAATTGATTAAAAGATTTATATTTGCATCTGTTACACAGTAATTTCCAAAGACTTTCAAAGATGGGAATGCAAGGCAAACTTCAGGAGAATTTATTAAAGATATAATTTTTATAATGAGGGGGTCTGGGAAATACTTTGGAGAGCTGTTTTCATTAGTTAAATATCATAAAGACCATAGTGCATTCATCAGTGTTTCTGTGTCTTCACTATATAAAAGAGCCCTTGTTATAAAAGGAATAAAAGGCTTAATTTCATGATCATGAGGGATTGGCTGGATTTTTATCAAATTTGAAACACTTCATACCAAAGTAAAAGAAATTTGTGACTCATCTAGCCCATTTAAATAGCCCACTACCGTCTTCATATCAATTTCGTTTAAAATTAAATTTCTATACCTAGCACTCTCGGCAGCAATATTCCCAATTGCCCACATAATTTGTGTAAAAAGTCGAATTCCTGCCTTTTTAATTAATCAATTAAAAAGCTCAATGCTCCTTATAGATAATATAGCCCCTATAATATTTTAGATCATTATTGACCATGGTTTTAAGATGCCTAATCAGACTTAGACTGTATAAGGCAGATACCCCTGGACCATATTTTTCTGGCTGTTATTCTGCTTGGGGATAGCGATCTATTATGGTTCATAAATTATACATATTGTATACAGATTTCATTGCCTGATGCCAAATTTGATAAAATTCATGCTATTTCGAGCGCAAAAGTCTCGTCATAATTTGGGATAAGTTGGATTAAATGCGGGATTATTCAAGAACTCATAATTTGCTGGAATGGAGGGTCTGTTTCTTTACAAGTGAGATTTCTTATAATATGGGCTGCTTTGATATGGCTTGTGGAATCCTCAGCTTGGATTAAAGAAATTGCACATTTAATTAAGTCTTCGTTAGGTAAATTTAGCTGATTTAGCTCAAAATCAGCTGAAAAATCTGATGATTTTGCTTTGTGGATGTTTAAATTTGTGAACAACTCTGATAGAGTGTCTTGGTTAGATTCAATCTGTGGCGGATTATCATTTCTATCATTATCACAATCCATAGTAAAGGTATTTTATCTTATATTATGTTCAGAATTATTAGCTTTTAATTATAAAATCAAAGTGTAAAAATTTATTTTGATTTTATTATAATTAATTACAAATCTTTCCCCTATGATAAGATCAAGAAACAAGCGACAATCTGAAACACCCCTCAAAAGGAAAACTACTGCAAATTACAATTCATTTCGCACAAATTCTCTTATTGAAAAGTCTAATATTTCTCCTATAATTGTCCCTAAAATGATTAGAACAGTAAGCTGCTATTTAACTGCATCAACCGTAACCTCCCCTCCTCCTCTGGATTTGGAATCAGAAGCAGAGCCTAATTGATCTAGACAAACTCATAAATATGAACAGAAAATTCGTGTAGCTCATAGTCCAGAAGATGATTTATATCTTAATAAAGCCATAGATTTCTTAACAACCATTGAAACCCAGTCAAGTGAAGGAGCAGTCGAAAGGTGATCTAGCGAAGATTCGACCCCAGAATCAGAGAGCTTTCGTTGATTAGCTGAATCAGGGGCTGTTAAAGAATCATTTAGGAATTGCCTCATTTTTTCTGACTGAAATCAGTTTCCTATCATTGACCTTAGCGATATGCCTTTTGCGATCCCCAATTCTTTAATAAAAGATAACCTTAATGAAGAATTCAAAGAAAAACACCCATTCCTTCACCAAAAATTGACGCTAAGCAAGATAGTGAACTTAAGAGAGGATCTGGTTTCAAAAATGTGCAGAAATATGGATATTGAGGCTTGTACTTTAGCAATAGCCTGGGTATATTTTATAAGGCTACTTAGTAAAAATGTGATTACGAAAGCTAATAGAAAATTATATGGAGCTATCTGCGTCTTATTAGCGTATAAATTCAATGAAGAATCTCATTTGGATGACAACAAAGACCAGATAAATACAATTATAAAATTTGTAGGCTCAATGGACAAGCATGGTTTGCTGCAGCATAAGCATATCTCTAGAATAGAATTTGAGGTTTACGCCCATTTAAATTTTTCGCTTTTGCTGAAGTATGAGGAATTTAAAGAAGAATTTTTATATACTTTATGCAGGATGGGCATTACATTTGACGACTACATTGGTGGCTTTTATGATGATTTAGCATAATTCATTATTAGCTTTTTACATTTTTATATTAAATGTGCATATTTTTATTTAAATAATAAATTATTATTTATTTTATAGAATAAGATATAATTGGTATAATAATTAATAAATTTCCCTATATTAGCTGTCTTTATGCTATATTTTATTTTTAATAAATTCTAGTAGAGAGATTCAATAAAAATTAATTTATTATATAAATATTATTAATCCGACCAAACATTACCTTAAAAATACAAAAATTTCGTTAAAGACACAAAATTTATTAATTATTAATTATTTTGTGAAGTTAATGAAACCCTTCTAATCTCTTATTGTGTTGATTGTTTTTGTTTCCTCTTTTTCCGGAAAGCATTTTAAATATAGACAAGCAGCTTGATACAAGCCCACAAGTACTCACGAAAATATTACTCATATGCTTTGACAGCGGAAGTCTTAAAGACTTCGTGATTGAAATTATTTTAAAAATATTGATGACAATTTCTAAGAACTGAAATCTCCTTTTCTGTCGTGCTTTTAATAAACAATTTGTGTTTTTATACCCTAAAGTCCCTATACCAATTGACTTTTCAGGGTTCAATTCTAATTCTTGCAAAATATCCTTTTCTTTTATATACCTCTTATGCGCAGTTGCCAAATTAATTAAAATTCTCAGCGCAGACCTTGCAAACGCCACCACATCTTTTGTGCTTTCCAGTCTCAAATTTGCATACAAAATAACTTTGCTGATGACCCCAATTCTAGCGATTCATAATAAATTGTCGATAAGGTAATAGATCGTCCCAATAAAATGTTTCAGTAATTTAAGTATAAGCACAACGTCCATAGGCTTCCTAATCTTTTCGCCGAAGCCTGAAAGTTCTTCCATTCATCTGAATAACCGAAAGATCTTCCGGCCATCTTTCATAGATTCCTGGATTGCTTTAGAGTTCCTTACAGATAATGGTCAGTCCCTTATTCGGAGAGAGGAAAGATAGTCAAGCATACATTGCTTGTATAGGTCGGCGAGGTATTGAACGACGCCTAACAGTTTATCTCTTCCTCTGGTGGAGCGGAGTAGGTGTGATACATTTGAAGAAATAAACAGAATCAAGTAAGAGCCTTTTAATGTAGGGTGGGAAAGCTTTTCGAGGATCGAGATTGATGGACTCTTTTTCACTCCTCTATGATTAGTAGTCAGCATTTTTATTGGTTTATTTAAGATATATTAGGTCACCACTATTATCAGAGCAATTTTTCTGAATGATGTTTTGTTGTGGGCAGATTATTTAGGAAAATATATTTTATTCAACAGAGTAAAATATTTAAATATTTTAACTGATTTAAGGATCTATATAAAAACTAGGGTGATATAGCAAAATAGATCTAAATCGGGTGAAATTGGCTTGGTAATTTTTATTTCTGATTATAGAAAAGGATTAATAAGGTTATATAAATCATGGTGATGTCATAATTAACGCCTATTAAAAGTCTATAACAATTTCATTGCTTGTTTAAATAATCAAAACATGGAAATTTGCCCTCATCTCTCTGGAATTACTTTAAACAAACAATTATCAAAATTTTCACAAGGAAGGGTTAAAGACCAAATAGAGACTAGCACATTATTTTGTGATGCCTGCAGCATTGGGCTGCCCAGCTTATGGCTTTGTTTAAATGTAACACATATATAGGATAATTGCAACTTTGTGGGCTGTGGACGATACCAAAACAAGCATTCTATGATGCATTTTCAAAATTCCAAGCATCCTCTCTATATAAATCCTAGAAGCTGCATGATTTGATGCTTAGATTGTGATACAGAAATCATAGATGGTGAAAACGAATATCAAGAAAAGCTAAGAGGGATTCGGGCAATTTTTTCAAAACAAGAAGAAGAAAACGGAAACAGGCCGAATGGCAGTCCTGAAAACAAAGGAAAAATTGGTCTAAAAAACTTAGGGAACACTTGCTACATGAATTCTGTTTTACAGTGTTTAAGCAATGTCAGAGCAATTCAGAGATATTTCAGAAAAGTTTTCGTAGCAGAGGATTTTAAGGATTCAGAAGTCCCTGACTTTTCTTTGGTAGTAAAATTTGCAGAATTAATAAGACTGCTGTGAAGCGGATCTTATACATCTCTAAGCCCAAGGGATTTTCTTTCAAGCTTGCATAGGTCATGCCCTTTTTTTATTGGTATGGGCCAGCACGACTCTCAAGAATTTTTAAGGATTTTTTTAGACAAAGTCCATGAATCCTTAAAACATCAATACATGAATGCTGCATATCGTTCAATTATTTCTGACACTTTTAAATCAAACATTGAAAGCAAGGTTACCTGTCTTACCTGCCGAACCTCCTATATCAAAATTGAGGACTACTATGATATTGCTTTACAAATCCCAAGCCAGCAAGAAAGTGAAGACTTCCGTAAATATGACAGCCAGCTTCTTTCTCCTGCAGAAAGGGTGAAATTTAATACAGAAAAGCAAAACATGTGAAGGAAAATTTCCAAGGTCTTTTCAGGGGACTCTGTTGTTACTCTATATGACTGTATTTTAAACTTTTGCTTACCAGAGCAGCTTAAAGGAGATGATAAATTCATGTGTGAGAACTGCAATAAGAAAACAAAAAGCATGAGGGAATTTAGAATAGTAAATCCTCCAAATGTACTAGTTTTAGTCATAAAAAGGTTCAAATTTATGGGGATTGGCTCAAAAGTATCAACTTATATAAAATTTCCGAAAGAGCTTGATTTAAGGTACTTTTTGCAGAAACCTAAAAGCTGTGTTTATCATCTTAACGGGATGGTTCAGCATTTCGGAGGAGTGGGAGGAGGACATTATATTTCTTACTGCCACAACTACAGGACTAATATTTGACATGAATTTGACGATTCTCGTGTCCGACAAGTCCCAGAAAGCTATGTTTTAGACCAAGAAGCTTATATCCTTTTTTACCAAAAATCCATGCCTGGCCTCAGAGAAAAAGCTACCTCCCAAGAGCCTTGTATGTATATCCCCACCTACTGGCTCAATAAATATTACACCCTTTCCGACCCTGGCGAAATCTACCAAAAATATCTCCTATGCCCCCACATGAAGCTTAAACCAATTTATGGCGCCGCCGAATACACCCGAATGAACGCAAACCAGCTTCTAAATTTTATGTCAAACTACAGCAGTGACACAGGCTCTCCAGAAATTGTCCAAAAATGCGAAAGATGTGAGCAGGATTTCTATAAAATTGATAACCGCATTGAAAAAGAATTCGAGCTCATGACCAATTTAAACGCAATAAAACCTTTTGAAGGGCCGTGGTATATTATTTCTGCAGAGTGGCTTAATAAATGGAAAAGATTTTGTTCACATGATATAGGGGAAGATAATGGGTATCCTGGCCCTGTAGATAACTCGGTGATGTTTGAAGGGAATAGTGTTAAAAAAGGACTGGAAAAACAAAAACATTATAGAGGGGTTAATAGACATGTCTGGTATGCGTTTATGGAAATTTATGGAGGAGGGCCGACTGTTTGTAGGCAGATTTTAGATATTTATACAGCACCCTCGATGGAGGTTAAGTGCTCGACACTAGATCTTAGTGATGAGGCAATGCAAAGTATAAGGGCGATTAAAAGTATAATTCGACTTCAATAGTTTATCTATTTATCATATAAATATTATCTAATTTCTTATGGTCCTACACAACTAAAACTTTTTTATTATCTAAAATTTTAAGTTAAATGGAAGGAAACAGCGAAAAACCTAGACGAAAGCGTAGAGGTAGAAAACTCAAGAAAAAGCACCAATTCAAAGCCTCATTTCTCCAAACAACCCCTGCAGAAACTGTCCCACAATTCGAAAGAAAAGAAACTGTCACTAAATTCAAAGAATTAATTGATTTGCAACAAAAAAACAAGGAATATAAAACAGAGTGGCTCGGCCTTTACACCACAATGAAAGAAATCCCTCTAAAGCGATCTCTAGTCCGCGACACTCTGCCATCTCTTCAAGCAGAAAAATTCTCATCTGACTCATCTGCATCAGCTACCAAAAAAATTCCTGCAATGAGGCAAACTTTTGACAGCTCCAGAATTAATATGCTGCTGGTTAGTTCCCAATCAGTTCCTTTAATCACTAATCGTAATAGAAAAGAAAAAACTGAAAGGGAAAATTCGACCCAAACTAGGCTTTCCACAATGAGAAAATCAGGTTCAGCTGTATCTAAAGACTACCATGAAGGGAATAATGATTTTAGGGTTATTATTCCGAAATCAATTGAAAGGTTAGGAAAAGCGCAAAGGGCTGAAAACAATTCGCCAAGTGAAATGCCATCACAGAGGCTTTTATCGACTACTCAGTTAGAGTTTAGTCTTCCACTTCAGCAGAAAATTGGACAAAATTCAGATTTTTCTGTACCGTCAATAAAAAATTCACCTGTGACAAAGCCGAGAAAAGCAAATGATGCTATTAAGTCAGTTTCTCCAAAAGCATTTAATCCTGCTGTAATTCCTGAGCTGCCAAATCCAAAAGTTACTATAAATGATATTCTATTTTATATAGAATACCTTAATAAAAAAACTAATCGCTTTTGTGTTTAATAAATACTGTTATAAATCCTTATTATTTATTTTAATATTTAGCATTTTATAAATAAAAAATATTATTAAACCTAAAATATATAGCAGAAGTTATTTAAAAAGCAATTATTTATGTTATCAATACAATACACGTCAAATATGATTTTGTAATTACGATAAATATTTGCTGGGATGACTTCCACGTCTATGTTTATCAACTTTTTCTGTAAGCATTTCATACTGATTATTTATCCACCCTTCTTCATGTTTAACAAGAACTGTCTGGTTTCTTGCAACCAATCTTCGAGCATTCCAATACGCCTCATTGTGCTTCAGCTGATTTATAATATTTTCTTCTATTTCCCTTGAATTTACAACGTTATTCATAGCTGAAAATAAAGGAAGTGCAATATTTTTAATAAACCCAGACTGAGATTTGGCTATATCAGTTGTTTCTTTATCACAGTACATAGAAACAGGCAGTCCCAAGGATTTTTCTATGTCGCCTTGTGTAAAAAACTCTTGGAGCACCAGGACACATCATTTTTCATGCAATTCAATGGACTTGGCAGAGTGACCAATATCAGCCATTTTTATTGTCATTTTATTCATTTCTTGTCTGATTTCAACATTCGCAAAATCAACTGGGACGTTGGCTCCTACAAATCTTGCTCGGAAATGCTCAACTACATCGAAATGTTTTGACATATCAGTCGCAAGAATCAGCTCTATAATAACTTTTCTGATCGCAAAATACTTATCGCTTGGCAAATTTGATAGGACATTATATTCATTTTTTGCTATCCCAGTCAAAAAAAATAAATATTTTATATAAAACTTATCTAAAAAAAGGCCAAGCTGTTAGAAAAAGTATAAAATTTGAAATAAAATAGTCGAATGCATCATTTCTAGTACACTAAAATCATTATACTGGATAGCAACTTCATTTTTAGTCACCATCAAAAATCGGTTAGTCTTTGCAGGATGCCCTACATCGTGGGATAAGGTTGAAATAATTCCGGCCATTAGCTCTAGAGAACTAGTTTCATCAATTAAAGGACAGTTGTGAATTATGTAGAGATATGAGCACATCACATCAGCAGCGTGGCAAGAGTTGTGATAAGGGTTTGGCAGATATTTCCCTTCTAATTCACGTAGAAAAGAACTCAGCAGCCGATCACTGATAGAAAACAGCTCATTAAGACCGTATCGTTTTATTATGTGCATCCCTACAACTTGTATAGGGGTTTGGCCAGAGCAGTCTCCTATAAACATAGTGTTAAAATTTCATTCTTTTCCAATTTGGCGTAGAATTCCTGAGAGTTCAGAAATCCCATAAATATGGTTGAGTTTTTCTTTGAAATTGCCTTTGGAGCCTAATGAAGCTGCATCTACATCAGACGACCTTTCAAAAAATACCTGGGAAACATGAATTTTATCTTGTTCGTCCATATTTTTCGTGATTTGGTCAAAAGACGTCTGATATATATTTCTGTGGCTTAAAGAGTCAAGTGCCCCTTTCAGGTTCGTTATAGTTGCTACAATGGTTTCTTTATTTCCATACTCAGCATGCTCAAAAGCATCAAAAAGGACAGTTATTGAATTTTTAATCGCGTTTATAATAGTTTCCATCCCTGTAGAAGACTTTGTTTGGATTTCAGGCAATGGAATTGAAGGCAAAATTGATTCTTGAGCATAGTCAGCTTCTCTTCCTACTTTCGCAATAGTAGGATAATCAATAAGCCCGAAGAAAATGGCTAAAAAAAGCAGTAAAATTTGAAATACTGAAATCCCTATATTTTGCTTCCCAAAGCAATTTAGCCCAAATGCTATAATAGATATTCTGGCTTATAAAGTTTATATATAAAAAATTACTATTTTTAAATAAAAATTATTTACTATAAATTACTATAAAAAAATACTAATAGAAATATATATCGCTTTTTTGGTCTCCAATATTTTTGGTCCAACTACAAATAATAGTAACAATGCCTGCATTCCAGGCAGATATGAAGCGTTTTTATCTTCTCTATAAATAACAGGGAAGATATTGAGGTCTGATAATATAAAAGACAGCCCACAGTAAATGTAAAGCGTTGGCATTATTCACCTCTTCCCTTCGTCTTGGAAATTATCTCTTTGTCTATATATAATAACCACTAAATTGATGATAAAGCTGCTTATAAGAAAGATAAGGCAGAGGAGAACGGTAGTTACGTCATTTTTGTATATAGAATTTGAAGCCAGAGTGCTGGATAGGTAAACCATAAATAAAATAAAATACCCAACACAAGCTTTTACTGTGTCTCTGTACTTAGGATCATTTGAAGCTAAATTTTTATTTGCTGAATTATTAAGGAAATCGTTTGAGTCGGATTGGTTGTGTGAGCCTTCTATGATGTTGATAGCGGTGGATGAGTGATCTTGAGGCCTGCTGGGCTCTGTATTTCTCATTTTATTTCAAATGTTTTGTTAATTATAACAGAAAAATATAATGGCGCAGAGCTTAAAAACACTTTAAAAATAGCCAATCATATAGCTCACACACCTTAATAGATTTAGCCGTTGATCAAGTAATTTTGGATCTATTATTAGAAATTTCTTTTTTGAAAACATTAATTTGATAGATTGCAGTTCCATCACTTTTAACTTGTTTTCCATTAAAATTTAACTATTTTACTATAATCCTCACTGATCAGGGCTACTAAGATCACTTATTTAACAATGAATGACAAAGTACTTCAACCGTCTATCTTAAATCGCCTATATAGAAATCTATTAAGGTGCATGAGCTGTATCACTCACCCAATTAAAAGCAAATGAAGGCCTAGATTAGAAATTATTAAATAAACTAATTATGACAGAATTTTCAAATAGAATGATTTAAATTAAAGTAAATATTCCCTTCAATAAGATGTTGCTCTCTACTAAAATAATTTAAAAATAATTGATTTCAAAAAGTTAATTATTTAAAAATGTATATTAATTGAAGAAAATTTGAATCGGCTCATGCACCATTTAATTCTTTTATTTCTCGCAGAGCTGTAATTAAAATGGAAATAATTAAATAAAGGCTGGGCAATATAAATAATCTTTTGAATATTTCGCAATATATATATAAATTATTAAAAAATTGGAAAAAATTATAAAGCTTCACGGAATTTTTCGATAAGGATTTTGAGGTTCCTTGTTTTTAGTTCTTCTGGGTTAAGGACTTCTAAAAGTTTGCTAAATTCATAAGAGCCTATGGGTCAGCCGCCTTCAACCATTTGTTTTCAAAGCTCTAGCAGCACCAATTCTTCAATAGCAGGCTCATGCCGTTTTGATTTAAAATCTTCAAGAATTTTTAGATAAATAAGCCCTTGCTTATGGTTTTTATATTGATTTTCACGTTTTTGAAATTCAACAATCCCTCTAAATCCATTAAATTTTCCTATTGAATGAAGCTGATTTCTGTACCCTTCTTTATCATCTTGTATCAGCGCAATTTTTTTCTTAATAGAAATCGGTCTATCTGCGTCCATTTTCATCAGAATATCACACAATTTTTTATTCTCTGCAGCTTTTGACGTATAAAATGATCTTAATGACTCTTCTAAAGAATATTCAACGTCTGAGGATAAAGAAAACTTTGTGCGAGGTCTAGAAGTAGGCATTGGGGTGCGCTGGCTTGCGGGATAATATTTATTCATCATGATTTTTAAGTCTTGAGTTTTATTCATGATTTGTTCGTTATCTCTTTTTCGTATCGGGGAAACTAATCCTTGGTGGTCTGTAATAGTCCTCCTCCTGAAGTTATTTCTTTTAAAATCGTCAACTTTCAGCTTTAATTCCAGTTCTTCTTTTAATTTTGATAGCTGCTCAGCTGCTTTTTCAATTCTATGTAAAAGCTCATTTTTCCCTTTTTTTATAATAAAATCGGCACCTTGCGATTCTAAATATTCTTCATAGCTCGGCAATTCAATTGGCTTTTCTACTTTTCCACTTATAAGAGATACATAGGGTAACGGTTTTTCTTGATATCCTTCTTTCAATACTTTTAAAGGCTTATTTCCATCTTTCCAATTATGGGATTTTATTGCTTTTATTAGTGGCGGATCTAAAGCTTCTGCGGATATAAAAGGACCGATTGTTCTTTTTCCAGCTCTGCTTAGTCTTAGTCTTTGATTTGTTTCTTGTATTGTTAAATTAAGCCTTTTTTTGACTACAATTGTAGGGGAATCTAAAATTACGTCTTCTTTTTTAGCAGCTGATTCAACTAGTCGTTGACGGATTATGTCACTTTCTTTGGTAATCGAGCTGGATTTTCCTTTTATATGATGAGATAGGCTTCTAATTTCTTTGTTTATTGATAGGATTCGTTTTCTCCCATGGGATACTTGCCCTTTAGGATGAATTAGGGTATTTACCTCTTCGAGACCAACTGCAATTTCTAAGGTTCGGTCTAAGGTTACACGCAAATCATCTGCAAGGTCCATTTAAAATTAAATTAATATGACGTAATTGGGGACAGGAAAACAAATAAAATGCTTTATCTTCTATATTTTGGAAACTGACTATTATCTGTTACATTTTTATATTTTTTTAAATATCTTTTGACTATATATGTAAAGCAGCATAAGTTTAATTTTATATAAGGCGATCTTTAATTAATAAATAATTTTATTTTTTATCAAAAATTTATCCTAAATATTTAGCTGCAAAATAATACCAATCAAAATATTCAGCATTTTCAATTTTTATTCTATAACTTATAAAAATCATTTATATGGCAAATAAAAATTATTTAGTTATTCAATAAATTAAAATTTAAGTAAAAAACACAGCTTATTTAAAAGCTTTTTCTAACTCGTCGATTGTTGATGCTTGAGGCAATCCAAAATATTTTTTCACCTGTCCTATTATTCGGTGGCAAGATCTTAATTGGGTATTTAAAAACTCAATGGTGCTCGGAATAGACTCGCTGTCTATACATTGCAGATCCCTTTGTATGCTTTTAATAATATCTGCTTTTTGTTTTAGCTGAGCTCTTTCATCTGCTAAATTGCTTATTCACCTTCATATAGAGTTTTCCCTTCAATTTTCCCTTCTGATTTCTTTATATCTAATTTATGTTCTCTTTAAGCTTTCTAAATCCGTCACTATTTCTAGGCTAATACCCATATATCTTCTCGAGAAAAATTAGATTCCCCATTCATTTTCATAACTTCTCTAAATTTTGCTATAACTTTTTTCCATTTGCATTTCTTCCTATGCTTTATTAACTCCCCCCCCCCCTCCGTGAGCGAACAAAAAAATTTTGTTCACTCACGGAGGGGGGTTAATTTTTTTTTTTAAAAAACAATTTATATATAAATTTTATAAAAAATATTTTTTTCGAAATTTAAAAAAAATCCTAATTTGCAAAAATTGGGAAGCAAATACTAATTTAATTTGCAAAATTTATGTTTTAAAACGCAATTTGTTTAAAATTAAACAGAATTAGCTCTAGATTTCATTATACTAATTATCACTTATATAGCAAAATTTTTTTCTATTAAAATTTTTTCTATTAAAAATATTTTTGTTCACTCACGGAGGGTGGGTTTTTGGTCAAAAAAATGGCGATTTTTCTAATGGTTTTGTTCGCTCACGGAGGGGGGGGGGGAGTAAGTGCTTAACCTTTTCAACCAATTCTGAGTGATGCACTTGCAAAGTGTTTGAAACTTCATTAATCATGTCCTTTCAATTGGTTTTTTCTGATGGATATCTTCGAGATAACTGCTCATCTAAGGACTCTTCTAACGAAAAAAACCTCTTATTTAGCTCTTCAATTTGTCTAGAATTTGCATCGATACATCTTTTGCTATTAGATTTTAATTCTTCAATTTGCCGACGTAGACGAGCTCTCTCGCCTTGAAGATTCAGAATAAGTTCTTCTCTGTCATTGTATTTTTCTCTTAAGGCGTTTAGTTCTTTTAATATTACAAATTTGTCTTTTTCATGTGTGAATTTTATTGTAGTATCTTCGTCTACAGGAATTTGCCTTGAGCTCAGCAGTTTTTCTAATTTTTCAATTTTTTTCTCTTTTTCTTCAATAATTATTTTCAAATTTTCATTTTCCCTCAGAAGTTTATCCCTTTCCCTGAAGCAGTCTGACAGCTTATTTTCTAGTGCAAGATTATTATCATACGTTTCGTCATGAATTGTGCTCATTTCTTTCAAGATTTTTTCCTTTTCAGCTAGTCTTTGTTCTAACTGCACAACTCTATCATTTTGATATCCGACTGCGACATTTGGCTTATAAATTACGGATTCTTCAAATGATGAATCAATTTTTGCGTCGTCAGCTGTCATAAATGAAGAATTCTTCAGAAAATCAATCATGCTTTGACTGTTAGAAGCTGCCATTTTGTAATAAATTTATATGAATTTTCTGCAAGGGTATTCTATATTCAATTGTATAGGCAATAAAATTAGCTTATTGTTATGATGAAATATATTAATACAATAAAAGATTATTAAGTACGCGGATTTTTCGTTACAATAAATTTTTAGGTCGTCATAAATTAGAAAATGGAGTCTCAGATCTTGATCCTCACAGAGAAAGAGTACAAAAAATACCAAGCCAATCTAGAAGAAATGTCATATAGAAGCCCAAATTTACCGTCACCAATATTTGTCAGCACAGATTATGAAGAAAAAGTTGATAGTAAAGCTGCGGAAAAATTACTCCAAGATGAAACCAAGAAAAATTACTTGTCAATACTCAAAGACTTAAGCTTATCACTAGACCCATCCAAGCCAAAGCTAAAAATCCAGCCTATTAATATAAATGAGAATGAAAATATATTCTTTTCTTACCTGAATTCTATATAACTCCTATTACTACTAAACATAAAAGCCCATTTTCATATATATTTAGAATAAATAAAAAATACCAAGATGAAGTCTCCAAACGGCTGTCTCAAAGAACACCCACTGCAAAACCTAAAAGTAAAAAAAGAAGGATTTTAAAATCCGCAAGAGTTTCTCAGTATGCTACCTGCAATAATAGCTTTGAAAGAAAAACTCCGAGCACCCACGAATCTATTATTGAAAGACACAAAGAAAAACTGATAGATCTTTTAAATGATGACAATCTAGAAAATCTTCTAGCTAACAAGGAGAAAAAAGAAAGGTGTAAAAGGCCTCTATCTTTGCAGATAGACGATATTAAGCTAGCACCAGAAATTACTGATAGAACCCAAACAACATTGACGAGGCCTTCGACAGCGAGAAAACCAAGCAAAAGAATTTTGAAAAAATTTATGAGCCAAGTATTACCATATATTCCTATTGATACTTTGAGCACAAATCCTGATACTCCAATGCATGCTAAAGAATCGGTGAAGTCAAAAACAGTTAAAAAAAGAAAGCACGTTAAGCAGCTTTCAGACAGTACGCTGGTTCTTAATATAGTCTGAGCCTTTTTATGGTTAGGGCTGTGCTGATTGCTGTTGATGTAATTCAAGGAGAACAAACCAGCATTTATTAGTAAAAACAACTATGAGTGATATCGAAAGTCGTCAGCACAGCTTAGGCCAGACTCAGGATATATACAAAAAAGCTTAATTGGCGCTAATAGATTGGCAATAAATAATGAAAAAATCCAAGAAAAACAAATTTTTGATAGGATTTTGAATGAAATTAAGCAGGAATTTAAAATCAATCAAAAAGAACAGTCTTCTAATATCATTGAGCTCATGCAAATAATGTTTAAGGTTAAGCCAGAGCTAGGGGATATTATTAATCCAAAAGAAATCACAAAATATAAGTCTCTCCATGAAAGACTTTATCACTTGATGAAAGAAAACCCATCAAAACTGTATCGAATAATTTCAGATGAGGAAACCAGGCTTAATACTAATAGAAATAGGTTTGAGACTGATGACTGAACAGAAGAGCAAGAAGCTGCCTTTAGGTCAATGCTTAGAAAAACACATAGTTTTAACTCATTAACAAAAACCAGAATTTTCAAAGAGGCAGAAAAAAACCTACCAGAAACCCGCACAACTTTAGATATGGAGTGAAAATATGACAAGCATTCCCCTTGGGCCAATGATTTTGATTATAATGAAGAACAAAACCTGGCATCCAGCCAAACCTCAAAGCATGCCAAAAAATCGTCAATTTCAAATCTGAGACAAGAATGCAAAGGCCTTACTCCTGAAGAATACAATTTAATGAAATTTAAAGAACTGCAAGAAAAAACAGGCGATTTCACACTTGGGTTCAATGCTTTGCAGAAAAAAGCTGAAAAAATTGACAAAATTAATGAAGTTAAAGAAGCAATAACAGGCTATAAAATTTTTAGTGATTGAAAACATAACAAGGATGAGCTGGAAAAAGCAAAAAATAAATTAGCAAGCCATATATCCCACACACTATTTATTTTCTTATAGTAAATATATACATAAATTACTTTATTTTATAAGAAAATAGTATAATTGAAGAAGGAAACGCAGAGGTAAAAAAACTAAACCAAGCCCGCTATTCTTATTTATCAGCAAAAGTTGCTAGACAACGAGCACACAAAGAGCTGCAAGATAAGCTAATTCAAAGAGCAGAAAAAATGAGAAAAGAGCTCAGGGAAAGGCAAAAAACTTTTCAAATGCTAGTTCTGGTATATAGAAAAATCTGCAGAGATTTATATAGGCTCGACGATAAAAAGCCTAAGCGAGCTTTGCTAAACAGCCAATACCCCTTACTCTCCCCCCCCCCCCCTCCGTGAGCGAACAAAAAAATTTTGTTCGCTCACGGAGGGGGGTTAATTTTTGTTTTTTAAAAAAAATTTATATATAAATTTTATAAAAAATATTTTTTTCGAAATTTAAAAAAAATCCTAATTTGCAAAAATTGGGGGAAGCAAATATTAATTTAATTTGCAAAATTTATGTTTTAAAACGCAATTTGTTTAAAATTAAACAGAATTAGCTCTAGATTTCATTATACTAATTATCACTTATATATCAAAATTTTTTTCCATTAAAATTTTTTCTATTAAAAAAATTTTTGTTCACTCACGGAGGGTGGGTTTTTGGTCAAAAAATGGCGATTTTTCTAATGGTTTTGTTCGCTCACGGAGGGGGGGGGGGAGTTAGGCTCCCCTTTATTCAAACAGTCAATGATCAAGCTTGGCTATCTCCCTGAAGCTTATAACCCTAGCCCTGCACCCCCTCATGAATTTGACCCAGCCTCTATAAAACGTATAAAAACGAGTATTCCTAAGGAAAGCCTTGTCCATATTTCTCTATGAAACCTTCATAACCAAAGCTCAAACGACAAAAAACAAGACAAAAATGAAATGGCGTCTAAAATAAAAGCATTAATAAGAGGCTTCGTCGTCAGAAAAAGAGTTGCCAAAATCAAAAAAGGTGCAGCCGTTATAAAACGATCATTTGTGAGGTATAAAACCAAAAAATTTATACTGACAGCTCTATTAGTGGAGCATTTATCTAGCGGAAATAAGCTGCTTGGAGAGCTTTTTACGCGTTATAGGGAAACTTTTATTTATAATAGAGTGCTAAAAGAAGTTGTCAGTTCTCCGTTTATTCAAAAACTGCTTATAGAAAGAAGAAAACAGAAAAATTTGCCGACAAAAAGCCCACAAAATTTAATTAATTGTTTTGCAGCTGGCTCATCTAGTAAAACGCCACTATGCCCGAAAAGTGATAGGTCTAAAAGAAAACATATCACATTTACTATGAAATCAGAAACAGAAGCATATAAAATAAACAATAAAATCAAATCGCCCAGATTTGCATTACAAAGAAAAAGTACCACAAATATACCAAGTTCTCCTATTATAAAAGAACTTCCTGATAGTGTACAAATTTATTTGAAAACTCTGCCAATTAAAAAAGGCTAGAAAAGAGAATAATTCCTATAAATTATTTCTGAGCTCAATTTGTATATTAAATAGACAATAGAATAATTAATTTTCAATTAAAATAGTTAAATTAATCTCTAGGGTCGACAAAAGAATGGAGCATCCACGGACACAGCTCAATATCAGAAATACTCTTTTGGACGTAATTTTTGGTCCCACTTATTTCGTATATTTCGAAATCTTTACTCCCCCCCCCCTCCGTGAGTGAACAAAACCATTAGAAAAATCGCTATTTTTTGCCCAAAAACCCACCCTCCGTGAGTGAACAAAAATTTTTTAATAGAAAAAATTTTTATGGAAAAAAATTTAGATATACAAATGATAATTAGTATAATGAAATCTAGAGCTAATTCTGTTTAATTTTAAACGAATTGCTTTTTAAAAACATAAATTTTATAAATTAAATTAATATTTGCTTTCCAATTTTTGAGAATTAAGATTTTTTTTAAATTTCGAAAAAAAACATTTTTTATAAAAATTTATATAAATTTTTTAAAAAAAAAAAATTAAACCCCCCTCCGTGAGTGAACAAAATTTTTTTGTTCACTCACGGAGATGGGGGGGAGTTAGTAAAATAGTCTTCAGACTTCATTTCAAAAGAAATAAAATCTAAGCCATGATCGTGAGCTTCAGTGGCTAAACCTTCAGTCAGCTCAATAAGCATATTTCTTCGATTTTCCTCTGTGCATTGATAGAAAAATCCAAATGTTTTCGCTTTTTTGCTTCTTTTTTGATTTATTGCGATTTTTGCGAATTTTTGAATCTTATATAATGATTTTCCATATTTGAATAAGCCAATTAAACCTAATAAAAAATAAATCTGCTGAAGAATAGGCTCACCTATCAAAAAATATAGAAAATATCCATAATAAAGAGCAAGGACAATAGAGAAAAATGCTAAAAGCCATAGAAATTGATAAAAAATAGGGTTTGATTTCAGTTTTTCTGTGTCAATTACAACCTTTGAAATAAAAGTGTCTGCATATGCTGAAGAATCCCAGAGAGAAATCCCAGCATAGCCTTTTTCTGTTTCTACTATGTATGTTCCTATGTAATGTGGGGATTGGAAAATTTCTAATAAATTTGTGTTGCAGAGATCTCTTTTGTCGTAAAAGTTTTTGGTCATTTCATAGGCTTTTTCTACTGATAGTTGGTTTAACTTAATTGATAAGGAGGGATTAATAATCCATGTGTCTTGGTAATAGCAGTCAGCAAATTGTAATTTATTAGCAAATAATTCCCATGCTTTGATGTTTGAGGATTCAATTTTGGCATAAGCGATGGCAACACCTAAGGATTTTAAGGCAACATTCATTTTCCTAATAAGTAATGTGGCAATTCCTTTTCGCTGATACTTTTCATGCACTTTTAATCCAAAAAGCTGTGCAAACTTGATCTTGTTTTCGTTATATCAGGCTTCTTTTATTACAGCATTAATAACACCAATCAGTTTGCCTGAGACTGTGTCTTTTGCTACTAAAATTCTATAGTCATTATTAAATTGTTTTGGACGAGATGAGTAATTTTGGTGGAAAATTGTGCAGAATTTTATCAAGCTGCTAGGGAAACCTGAGGCTACTGATACTGCGGACTCTTTTTCAAGCTGAAAAATCCTAGGCTCCATTTCCTCTGTGTATTCTTCGATATGGATGTTTGGAATTGAGTCAATATCTTGCATATTTTATAATGGAACGGATTTTTGCTGGAAATTTCATATAATGCAGGATTTTATATTTAGGAATATTTTAAGGGCTTTTAATAAAAAATTGTATTTTTGGATATAAAAACAATTCTAAAATAAACCTAAAGGATTTTTGTTATGAAATGGGCTTAGTGGAATAAATAGAAATCTTGTGGAAAATAAAATTTTCTTGAAAATTATATTAAGCTTTTTAATAACATGAGTATCCCAACCAATTTAAAAGTGGTTGTACTCGGAGAATCAGGTGTCGGCAAATCAAGTGTGGTTCTTCGATTTATTACAAATGTATTCAATCCCACCTCAGAAGCTACCTTAGGTGCTTCATTCGTAGGCAAGGCGTTATCCTTCAATGACAAAATTTTGAAATTTAATATTTGAGACACAGCAGGACAAGAGAAATATCACAGTTTAGCTAAAATGTACTATAGAGACGCTGATGCAGCAATAATGGTCTATACTTTATTATCATTTTTATTAATACTATTTTATTCCAAAAAATATTTAGCGACATAAAAATAAAGATTTTAACAATAAAATTATTCAAGTATGCTTAAAGGGCAAAATAAAAAATAAAATAGACTATATGATATTACTAAAAGAGACAGCTTTAATGGCCTTAAGAAATGGTATGAAGAACTTAAAGAAAATGGGCCTAGGGATATAGTTGTAGCTATTGCAGGAAATAAAGAAGATTTAGTTGAAAATGAAGCCGTTTCTCCTCAGGACGCCAAAGCCTATGCAGACTCTATAGGTGCGATTTTTAGAAAAACATCTGCAAAGACATGCACCGGAATCGACCAGATTTTTAAAGATATTGCCTTAAAAATATTCCCAGAGCTCAAAGAAGAAGCAAGGTCAAGAAGATCTACAGTTTCACTAACCTTCCGTGAGTGAACAAAAAAATCTTGTTCGCTCATGGAGGGTGGTTAATTTTTTTTTTAAAAAATGTTATAAATAAATTTTATAAAAAATGTTTTTTTTGAAATTTTAAAAAATCTTAATTCCAAAAATTGGAAAGCAAATATTAATTTAATTTGTAAAAAATATTGTTTTAAACGAAATTTATTTAATATTAAACAGAATTAACTAGAGATTTCATCATATTAATTTTTACTTATATCTCAAAATTTTTTCCACAAAAAATTTTTGTTCGCTCACGGAGGTTTTTTTTGGGCAAAAAATAGGGATTTTTCTAATGGTTTTGTTTGCTCAGATAGGGGAGTAAGACCTCGAAATAATTCAAACGAAAATAAAAAAAAGAAAAAATGCTGCTAAAAATTAACAAATATTTTAAATAAGTAAGTTAAAGCTTAGGTCTTAAATACTTTTGCATCCCTGCAAACACCTTTTCTTTATTGATAGGATTCAGGTTTTTGCTGGCATCAATCATTGCTGGATAAATATTCCCATCTTTTCGGCCTATGACAGAGCATAAAGCTTCATCTGAAAATTCAAAAGTTTCAACAAGTCCAATTGCGTCATTTCTAACCCTGTTTAATACTTGAATTAAAGTATACTATTTGGCTTTGATTTAATCATATATAAATAAAGAATTTTAATAAGGATTATTTATTTAACACTGAATATCTTTCATTTTTTCTAAAATATCTGGGACTAATCCAACCCTTAATAATATCCCTGAGAATTTTTCAAGTTTGGATACTGCATAAATTTGCCTTAAATTTTCAACAGCCTGCTTAATATCAGGATCTACCAGATTTTCAACAGCCCTAGCAAAATCTTCATGGATTGATGCATGGTAAAGTGGCTCACAAGCTTCAATTGCTTCTACTTGTAAAGCATCAGTCCAGATTTTTTCTTTCGCAATTCCGCTTGCTATCAATTTTTGTTCTTTTTGAGCTAATCTGTGCAGCTTGAAATGAGCTAAAGCTTGGAAGCATTTTTGATGAAATGCAGGACAAGCAGCATCTGGGATACCATTAAAAACTGGTATTGGCTCAGGTATACATTAAAATGGCGTTGCGAGCCAATCTACCCTCTTAATACTATAGCCGTAGGTTTATTGGATAAGCCGGGGACCTTGTGGAAGGAGGGTAGCGTTCGGAAATGAGTATGAGCTGGTTTTACTTTGCTTGGTGGAACCGAAGACCCGGATTAGCTGACCTCATGCTTTCATCCAGCTCAAGGTTTTACCTTATGGGGAGATGGCCTGCTGGAGTAGAAATGGATGTCCAGCAAGCCAGAGAATCGCTTTGTGAATTAAAAAAAATCTCAAAGTAATACCAGGCGTTGCGCCTTGGACTCTGGGTTCGATCTCGATCAACAGCCGACGAAAAAATTCTCTTTTCGAATTTTCTTAAAGGTAAACCCCGTTCTGCATGGGGCATGGTGACCCAGAATCTCTAACTCTTGGATAGCGAGTACAAGCCCTCGTCCATGACTCGCAACATTGAAGACCGCGCTCAGACTAGTAAGCAGACGGTGGAGTGTTACGTGGAGTTAAGCAGTGACCTGTGACTTCTTAATAAGTAATCAAGTTTAAATAACTATTGGTTCAGCTAGAAAAGCGAACTTATTAGGCAATTTTTTCCCTTTTCCTAGGTTTCTTAATAAAGCTGTTATAAACTTTGCCGCCTGGAGAATCAAAATACTGTTATCCCCTTCATACGTGCATGCAGGAATATACATAGTATAGACTATCGGAATCCCTGAGTACATAGAATACCCATGTCCTCCACAGCTTCTTCTACACATTTCTACACTTTCTGCAGCTATAGCTGTCGCAAATCCTTTATATAACGACGATAAAATGTGCATTTCCCCAAGCATAGAGTCGTCATCATTTTGCATTTTCAGCTCACATTCTTGATATTTTTGGCTAAGGGCGGTTCTGGCAAAAATATTTGCATAAACCAGAGATAAGACTGTGAATAATTTTGACCTTTGGATTTGGTAGTCAATTAATTGTCTTTCTTTTGAAGGGTTTTCGTGGTCTGGGAATTGTTCTCTTATGAGGGAATACCGAATTGCTATTGTAGCTGCATGTGCCATAGAGTACCAGGAGTCGCCAAAAATTAGGACACGTGCTTTTACCATTGAAGAATAAAGAATTTTTAGAGCGTTAGGGTTCAGAATTTCATAGTCGCCGTTTTCGTTGACTCGAGCGAACCTGGTGAGCATGCATTCTCGTGGGACTCGCATATGATCAAATATTAAAAAGCCGTTGTCGTTTGCATTGGTACCAAATTTAGGACCTATATCGCCTACAGTAACTCCACATAATGGCTCGTGGGTTTTCATATCTCGAATTTGTATGCTTTTTTTAATAAACCTGCTTGATTTTATTAATAGAAAAATATTTTGGGGTATTCTTATATAAATATATATATCAAAAATGTATGAGGACCATAGTCTTGATTTTTGATAAAAAGTTTTGCTACTACTAATGCATGAGTTGCAGCTACTCCCAGTCCTCCGATCCATCATTTTGCAGACGTCACAGTTGGGCTGTTCATAACAAAAGTTTCGTTTTCTACATCATAAATCGCTTCAGTTTCAATTCCTCTAATATTTGACCCATGTCCCAGCTCAGTTTGTGCATAACACCCAATTATCTCTAAATTCATGATTTTCTCCATCATTTCTGCTTTTTGAGACTCACTTGCTTGAAGCTCGAAACTTGGCAAGAAAAATTCATAGTGAAGGACTATAGAGGTCAGCTCAGGGAATAGCGAAAGCAGAATTCTGGACTCTTCTCTGGACAGTTTTTCTGATTTTATGAAGTTTTTCATAGCTAAACCGTGCCTGAGACCTCGATCTATTGTGTCTTCTCTGTTTTCACTATATCGCTGAAGGGGGAAATAAAGGTCAGGATTTTTGATGGCTTTTTGGGTAATTTCTCTGACTCGAGAAGCTGTGGTGTTTGGGAGAATTTGTGGGATTAAAATATCGCCCAATTTTTCGACGTTGAAGGTAACTTTTTTCCGCTCCTCTTCAAGACCCATTTTATTAAATCTTGCTATCATAGAGATAGTAATAAAAATGTGAAAGATTGCTTTACAAATAAGAATTATGCTAGTGATAATATCATATAATTACTTTACTCCTCCCAACTTTAGTGAAGAAAAAAAATCTCACGGAGGGTCAACCCCCTTTTTTTAATTTATAAAGAGTTTTTATTTTTAAAATTTAAAAAATTCCATTTGTAAAAATTAAAAAATAGAAATTAATTTAATTTATAGCATTTATGCTCTAAAATGCAAGCTGTTTGAAATTAAACAGAATTAGATATATGTTCATTATAATAATTATCATTTATATATCAAAAATGTTTTTATATAAAAAAAAATATTTGTTCGAGCAAAAAAATAGGGATTTTTCCAATAGTTTTGTTCGCCCACAGAGGAGGCTTGGAAAGAGATTTTATAATTAATTTAATATGCTTATTTAGTACGCAATACGAGGAATATTCGATAATTACTTTTCTCATACTTTATATAAGCTCAATTTAATTTTTTTTCGGAATTTAAAAATCTCAATTAATTAAGCTGCTAAATAATTTTTAATCTGAAAACGACAGTCTTATTTCCAATAGCTAAAATAGGTTTATCATTTCAATTCTTGATATCAATATTTTTATAGATTTCAATTAATTTCCTGTAATTTACATAGACTACAATATTAATTGTTATAAATGAATAATTAATTATCCATTATATATTGCATGCCATAGAGGATTTTAGAAATATGGGCGAGATGGTAGAATCTGTTCTTGACCTTTTTTTTGCAACATTAATGCATTAAGAGATAAAGTTAAGGGTTTTTGATATTTTGGTACGTCTCTCTTCCTCGTAAAGCAGGAATGCTTGGAAAAATTGAGGTATTAAGTATCTCTCAATTTTTCGATATTTAATGATATTATTAGCTTCGTTATAAATAATTCAAAGAAAGATTTTTAAAATAATTTTTAATAAAACATTACTCAGAATTGCCCCTTTTTCTTTTTATACTGACTCTCCCACCCATTTTAAGCAAAACATTATTATAAAATCCCTATTAGTGAGCGAACATTTTTTTTATTTAAACTATAATATAAATTCACTAATTAAAAATTTATTATAAATTTTTTTTAAATAAAATAACCTTCTCCATGAACTAGCAAATTTATTTAACTCACTCGTGGAGAGAAGAATAAGCAACCATTTCTTTATCAGATCTCCTATTTCTTTTGCTGATGGTCTTTCTTCTGGATCTATCTGCCAAGTGCATTCAAATAAGTTTACTATTTGTGGTAGATGCTTTTTGAAATTTTCTGTAATTTCAGGTCTTATCTTCTCTTTTTCTACTTTCTTACAAAATTCTTGTGGATCTGATTCACTTTTATTAGCCTTTTTTAGATAATCAAAAGGTGATCTTTGTACAATAGTAGCATATGCTGTCATCCCAAATGACCAAATATCAGCACTTTGGTTTGGATTTTGCCCTTTTATGTGTTCTGGTGCACAGTAATGAGTGGTAAAGCCTGGCTTGACTGGCAATCCTTTTCTTAGATGCTCGCTCATACCAAAATCTGCTATTTTTGGAACATAATTTTCGTCAAAAAATATATTTTGTGGCTTGATGTCAAAATGGCAGATATTCTTGCTATGCATGAACTCCAAGCCATGAGCAATCCCTAATAAAAATTCAAGTCTTTTAGCAAGATCTTTTTCTTGGGTTTCTGAAAATATACACTTATCTGCAATGAATACACTTAAAATACTTACTCCTCTCCTCCTTAAAGAATGGGTTAATTTTTTTTAATTTTTAAAGCAAATATTATTTAAAATGCAAGATGTTTAATATTAAACAGAATTGCCTAGAGATTTTTTTAATAATAATCATTTATATATTAAATTTGTTTATGAAAATTGTTATTCGTCGTGGGATTTTCTATCATTTTATTATTAGATTTTCTACAAAAATTGAATTTCGCCTGCAAAATCATTTTTGGCAATCCGATGATAACTGTCTAATAAATAAGGCTCTTTTCATATTCATTGTAAAGCAGTATAATCTCTCAGTGTGCCCTTTGAGCAATATTCAATAACCAAACCAAATTTATCGCCATATTGAACACACCCATAGCATTGAGTGATGTTTTCGTGGCATAAACTTTTCATTATACTCAATTCTTTATGCAGTCTGAGCCGGGCTTTTAAAATGTCTTCTTTATTCTCTTTTGCAAATTTTATAGCAACTTTGGTGCCATGTAACTCGTTCTCGTAAACAGCCCCAAATCCTCCTTGTCCAAGCATCTTACTCTCTTCAGTTAAAGATGAGTTTTTAAAATCCTCAGCAGGAATTTTATCAAATACAGACAATTCATAAGTCGGATGCACAATGCTATCCCAAATTTTCGATTGAATTGCCAAGAAATAGGCAAATAGGTCATTATACACCTCTGTAGGCTTTGAAAATTCGATTTCTTTCATATCTCTGATCTTAGAAAATTTATCAATGCCAGCAGATATCAAGAAAAAACTATAATCCTCAGGCTTTGTTCCATAAATAATGATATTTTTATAAGGAAATTCCTCAAACTCCAAGCGGTAATCATACATTTTTGCCAGCTTCAATAAAATCTCATTAAGCAGGCCTTCTGGCAAATCGTACATTTCTAAAAATTGTCAAAGAGGCATACAAATAAATTCTGGACAATTGGCTTTTTGGTACTCTTTGACATTATTTTCAAAAAAATCTTTTAAATTTGGGGTTTTTTCAATAAAGCTTAATACATCCTTGACTTCTGATGTATTATGGGAATTATCTTCATATTCTGTTGTTCTAGAATCTGAGCATTCTTCATCATTTTCAAAATCTTCTTCTTCTTCTTCTTCTTCTTTACTTTCATCGCTCCTATAATTGCTAGACGTTACTTCTTCGTCTGTTTCATCTTCACTAGATTCCCGAGTACTAGATCTTTTGTGCCTTATTCCTAAATTTGTTTGGTAAACATTTGCTTTTCCATTTTCTGATGATTTATTTGATTCTTGTATTAGTGCATAAAACTGCTGGGCACGATCGTTATAAATCTTGGCAGCTTTTTGATGGCATTAAAGTGCTGTGGGGAATTTATCTTGTAACGGCTTAGGGAAGTTTGGAAGAGGTAAATGTGTATCCGGTTGGGTGTTACTTGGTTTTGGTAAGTGCAATTGTCGGAAGCTGGCCTGTGCTTAATACAGATCAATTTTATCTTGTTGGAAAGGTGGCTTAAAGCTGAAAAAAGTCTCAGCAGCATGAGGAGAGTTGCCGCCCTGGCCAATAGGGAACGCTTCTTAACGCGACATGTGGAATTACGTCCTGGGCCTTGAAATTTCCTCTTGGTTGACAGGTGTCAATTTTTCGAATTTCAATGAAGCTGAACCCTCACGACGGGCAGCCTAGCATCTCTGACTCTTAGATAACAAGTACAAGCCCTTATCTATGAGGAGTCACATAGTGGAAAGTCGGGCCCGGACTGGCAAGCAAGTGGTGCAGCAATAGTGAGGCGAGTAGTAGCCTGAAAAAAGGCCTGCAGGGGTTATAATCTTAGTTAAGTTTATGGCAGCTTTTTTGATGTAAGGAAAAATTAAGTTTTGAATCTCTCCAATATTCAGCTCCTTATACCAAATGGCTAGTTCTAACTGCAGAATATTGACTTTTTCAACAACGATAGTTTAAATGTGGCGTCTCACGCTTCGCGGTCGGCTATGCTGGCTTCCTTCGAACACATATTTAAATTATATCGGCAAGGTTTTACCAGCTCAAAGAAGGACAGCTATGCTAGGCAAGCAATTCAGTATTGTGTGTGGAGCCTAGCCCTAGTCCACTTTCAGGATTGGATTTTACTTCAAAGGAGAAAGAGACTCAGAAGTTGGAAAGGGACCCAGTCAATCAATCGGGCAAATTTTTCAGCGCGGAACCGGAGTTTACGCCTTGGAGTTTTCCTTTTTTTCGATAATACACTAGAAAACCTTTTTTTGGATATTTTGTGTCGATGACCTTGCATCCCTCAGCTTAAAGCAAGGCGGTAGAAGTCCGAAGACTGGCCACTCAGCACTGAGACCTGAAGGCAAAGAGGAGATGTTACCTTGCGAAAAGCACGGTCGCAAAGCAATTTGAATCTCCTTGGAGATCCTCACTGAAGCCTCACAACTATGTTAGCACCATCTGATTAAGCCAAGCTAAGACTTTTTCAACAATGTTGAAATAGCCTAAATCGAGCTCTAAGTTTATTAACTTCCCCTCTCATGAGCGAAAAAAAAATTGTTGGTATATAAGATAAAATTAGTATAATGAAGTCTCTAGCTAATTCTGTTAATTTTAAACAGCTTAAATTTAAAAAAAATTTACAAATTAAACCAAATTTCCTTTCTAATTTTTACGGATTAGGTCTTTTTTAAATTCAAAAAAAATATCCACAAGGGGAATAAGGAAATCAATCCTAGGACTTTTTGTAAAAGATTGCTGTTACAAAACTTATAGACCTCGTTTCTGATTGTAAAAAAAACTTTAAATCGTATGGAGTCTTCATTGATCACCAGTAATAAAAAAAAGCCTTTAAGACTCTCTATCTTTTGTGTTTGATTTAAAATGCACAGCCTAAAAGTGCAGCTTTTTGAATCATTGTAATGCTTAATAGGAGATCTTGAAAAGTTCTTTGAAGTGATCAGTTTTGTTGCATCAATCATTTGGTTCATTGCTTCTGAATACATATAATCCATAAATTATAATCTATCTATACTTTTAATGCCAAAGCAATATGTCATTGAAAGGCACTGATGTGATTTGTTCTTAGTCATTTGCCCGTTTTTGTTTATTCCTATCATAAAGAAAGGTAATCTTAGCACCCAAAATTTTGGAAATCTTCTTTTGCCACATGGTGCTTTACATAGTCTTTTTAGAATTAGGATGGATTGCAAAAATTATTAATCTTCCCTAAATTAACACTCTCAGGGGCAACAAAAAATATATCTCAAGAAAATAAAAAATCCAGTTTTTATTCATCATTGGTTGCTCTATGAGGATATGGGTAATAAGTAATGGTTTGATTGAACATATCAATTCTTCTAATAAATTCCTGCAACACTCTATAATTTAGCTATAATTTCTTTATATTATTATGATAGCTATAAAAGCAATTTGGATGAAGGTGTATCTTAGATTCTGAACAAATATAAGGGGTCCTTGATTTCTTTCCTTTTTTATAATAGCAGAAGATGCATTCTTTTGTATTTTCAATTTTTATTATCCAATCCATTCCTGAAATTGCTTGATTTATTACAGTTTTATTTTGGTCGAACATATCAATACCTATCATAAACTGCCTATAGTGTTCAATAATTTCTGGAATTGTAATGATTTCATCTTTGCCTCTTTTCTTTGTGATTATAGCTGATCTTCCTGAATTAACTGCACAAACAACCATCCTTTTGTCATGCCAACAAGATAAAAGTATCTGATCTGCTCTTATAAACAGATATTCACTTTGATTTATTCCTGCAATAATCTTTTTGAAGTCCTTCGGAAGATATTTTCGATTTTGTTTTATTGTGCCAGTGCATTCAATTCCAAATTCTTTCAATTTCAATAGCAATGGTATTGAATTATATCAGTTATATATATAAAGATGAAAATTTTGATTTTCTAGTCCTTGCAAAAGCCTCAAGCAAACGTTTTCAGGAAAGAATTCAGAAGATTCATTTTTCCGGGTAAATAATGAATCTATAAACATAACCGTTGCTTGAACCTGCTAAGACAAAATTTTTGAATCTTCATTTAGTTGGTTTCATTGGAAGATACTGCTTCATGGAAACCAATCATAGATTTGTCAATTGCTATGCTTTGCCCTAGAAGATAATATTGTTGAGTTTTTGCTTCGATTTGACTCATTAGTGGATTCAATTTTTCTAGTTTATCTTGTGAGTTTGATGAGTAGAAAGGATCAGAAAGATGAAAAATACTTCCAATATTTATAAATCTTTTGAGTCCTAAGGCCTTTGATATAAGACTACTCTTTCATAATCCATGAGTATTCCAATGCATGTGATAATTTGGTTTCCTATCAATTCCCATCGCAATATCACCCCAATGTATGCTTCTAATTCAATCATATCTATTTCTTTGATTTTCTTTGAATTTATTATTTCAGGAACTTTTGATTCTTTCTCATCTTCTTTTGCTTCTTCAATGATCAGCTGTGAGAACTCTTCATTCAATATATCAATTTCAGGGCTATTCAAATCTTTTTGTTTCTGCTTTTCTGATAGCTTCTTAGTGCAATATCTTCATGAATTAGTCAGTATTTCTCCCAAGACCTCATTATCAAAATAGATCTTGAAAAAGTCTATGGCCTTCATGAAGAATCAAATTCGAGTGAATTTCTTCCAGAACTTGAGTTCAGTTGGTAGCTATCCATAGTAATTCTTTCTTCTATAATTCAATGGAGAGCCGAAAGTTGATCTTCAATATCAATATTCATCACTCTATTTATTTATTTATTACATAAAAATTAAGTTGTGTACTATTGTCAGCATACATGCTGATTTGCCCTAGAGAATGTTAATGTTTTGAAAGATGGATGTGGTGAATAAATAGGTCCAGAGTTCTGACGAGTTAATTCTAGCCATGAAAAAGTAGATCCTATTTTTTAAGAGTTACAGGGTGGATTTTTGTATGGTCGGATTCCACAGCAGATTTTTTTTTGACAACGGACGATATATAGAGAGCAAAATGTCCGGCTCGCAGTACTGGGAAGTAATTTAGGCTGGTGGTCCGTATAGAGGCATAAGATGCTTTACCCATGCCTAAGCATTACCAAGTTGAAGAGTAAGTCCCGAAAGAATCAGGCCAAGGAACAAACATTAAGTGAGTTTCCCTGGCAGACTGGTAGCGTCACCATTTTTTTGTGACCCCGAGGGAAAGGGCGTGGTGTGACGCCAGGTGACTAGGGCCACTTGAGTTCGTAGCATACGGTGGAACGGCGAGGGGCTAAAACAAACCCAGAATTTAATCTAGCCTAATCTCTAAATTTTGATAAATTAAATTTTCAAATTTTACCAGAACCAAATTTACGTATTTATTCTATAATTTTTATTATTAAAATACCATTTAGATAAGAATCTAGCTAAATTTTATTAATTCAATTATAACTAATAATAATCCGTTCTCCAATATTTTTGCCCTTATTTCGAAATACTAAATTGGTTTATGTATAAGATTTAGTTTTTTAACTTAAAATATTTAAAAATATTATACTTTGCTGCTAAACTTAATTAACTCATTCGTCTTATGATATGGGCTAGATTTTTGGAGATGCATATTTACAAGAGATCAGAATAATTGATTTTGTGAAAAGCTTGCATGATGTAAAGAAGCTGCCAATTCTTTGCCAGCGTAACAATAAGGGTTTAAGTTTAGCAAGAGATGAATGAAATTATAGCTTGAAAGATATAGGGCTTTCCCTTGAATAGCTCGATAACGGGCTGGCTTCATCCCGTTATCGGGCTATTCAAGGGAAAGCCCTATATCCTAATTTAATTTCACATTTTTACCCTTTGCAATATCCATGACTAAAAATATATAATTATTTATTAATTCCCTCTTTAAAAGAAATAAAATGAGATGACGACGGGAGATAAACTCCGAGACAGGCTCCCTATGGACAGGTCCGTCCTAATCATCTGAAAATAGTGCCTCTGTCACTTTTAACTAGGTTTTTGGGTTTGGGATACCTGCAAAGAGGGAAACTTTTTTCTTCCCAAGGTTTTCCTGTCCCTGCCAGATTGGCTAGACAGGTTTTCTTCCCACTTAGTCTTTGATTATTATGACTAACTATGCATCCCAAGAGGTGGCTCTAACCTAGGGGGCTAATCCTTAGGTTAGGTGGATTTATGCCATATAGGCAAGCTAGTGGCTTATCCGCTTATGGCCTTATAATTTTTTAATTTTAACTTTAACTCTTTAAAAATGAATCAAAATTCCAATATTTTTCGTAAATTAATTGGAAAAATTAAACTTCTATCGGTGAAAATAATAATTTCTATTTAAATAGTTTGCATCCAAATTAATGTGATTTAATCTTATCAAATCTATTTTAACATGCAAAAGGAAGCACTCTAAATCAATAATTTTTTCAAAATAAATTTCTTTTCCTTTCCCACTTGAAAATATTTGCTCTAATTTAAAAGCATGGAATAAGCAGCATTTTTATAATTATTCATCCTTCTCAGCTTTATTTAGTAGCTTATTATTTTTCAAAGTCCTTAAGATTTTAGCTCTATGGGCAATCGGAATCAGCCTTCCTAAAGTCCATATAGAAGTGATTTCTCTCTGAATTACGTTCAAGCCTGGAATATATACAAAAAAATACAAAAACAGAACAAAAACTATATACGCGACCGTCAGCCCAATAATCAATAAAGTTGTATCATCCAAAATTGACCCAATATCTGATATATACTTATCCCTTAGCTCCGTACTCAATTGCAGTAGCGCCTTCATTTGAGCTCTTATATCTTCTATTGAGACATCTTGGCCACTTAATATCAAATCTCTTGCATATGATACATCTTCTATATAGTCCTCGATCCCTGAATGAAGTCCTCTTTCTAAAAATCCGCATTCTGCTATATCGCAGCCTTTATCAAGTAGCAGGTCTTTATGAGACTGACTTTTTCCTAAATACGCGACACTTCCGTATAGTAAATAATATTCAGCCCAGCGTAAATTCTCTATTGCTTTGTCAAGCTCGCATTCTAAAGAAATCGCGGACCTCATATAAGGGATGACGTTATAATAGCTTCACGTCTGGTTATGGTGCTTTATTTCTTGAAGCCAAAAAAAGACCATATTGACAGCTAAAACTCGCTGTCCTGCCCAGTCTACTACTATTGGCTTTGTATATAGTAAATTATCGTATACCAAAAATCCTTTGAAATAAAATAAAATAAAAAATAAAAAGGAAGAAGCGTAATATCGGTATTGGATTAACTTTGCCTATTATTTTGATATTTTAAGCACTATTTATATAGAAATAAGGCTATTTTATGATATAAATAATGGAAAAATGGCTTAAAATATCATAAATCGACATCTTGCAAATAATTCGAGGTCACTTAGCCTTAGCTTTAACTTTTTCACGAGATGCAAGACTTTTAAAAACTCTAATATTCGTAAGAAGCTGCGGCTCACAGCCATGTGTCTGCTCTAATCGTTCTTCACATCGTGAACGCATTTCTTGAATCAACTCAAGAGGTAAATTAATAAAAAGGCTTCATACAGTTTGGTTTGAGTATTCTACAGAAAGAAGTGTAGGAATAAGCACAACTATTAGACAAATAATAAGCAGACATATACTTTCCTAGCTAAAAAAGGCTGATTTAATAAAAAAGTTATTTAGGAGGTAAAATTAATGAAGAATAGTATATTGCAAATACAGCTAAAATGAGGACAATGTTTAAAACTGAAGTCAGCATTGAGCGCTCTTCAGATTTTAAAACATATATAGACTCATTCAAAGCACTTACTCCCCCCTCCGTGAGTGAGCAAAACCATTAGAAAAATCCCTATTTTTTGCCAAAAAACCCCACCCTCTGTGAGTGAACAAAAATTTTTGATATATAAGTGATAATTAGTATAATGAAATCTTGAGCTAATTCTGTTTAATTTTAAACAAATTGCGTTTAAAAAAACATAAATTTTTACAAATTAAATTAATATTTGCTTTCCAATTTTTATAGAAGTGAGATTTTTTTAAATTTCGAAAAAAAAATTAACCCCCCTCTGTGAGTGAACAAAATTTTTTTGTTCACTCGGAGGGGGGGAGTTAGAGTTTCTGAATGTCCATTTCTTAATAAATAAAAAAATGAAGGGTTTTGGTTGTCTATGTTACTAGCATCTGTTGCAGATAAAATGTTACCTTCTTCTATCATGTTCCGCATTAGGTCCATTAGGTTATCAGTTTCTGCAACAATAATATATCTTTTTATAATAAATAGCTTATCAATAAAATATTAGATAAAGACATCTCGCAGTTATGGGCAATTAGTATATCATCGTTTAGTTTAAAGCGCATAAATTCACTATTATAATACATATCCCTATATTTCCCTTTCGGCCAAGTTTTCAGCCTTTTGCTCGCTCTATTGACAATATCAGCATAACTTTCCACATCTGCTTTCATATTATTTGAAATAGTCTCATAAGTGTCAGAAATTTCATAATTTACAGCAGAAAGATACAAATTTCTACCCTCAAGGGCAAGATAGGAGTTCAAAATTCTTCTTTGGGTGACGTCTTTTACCACAACTTTTTCCTGAAACTGCCCAGCGACAACTGACATGTAGATAACCATTGATAAAATAGCCATGTTTACCACAACTGTGGTGATAAAAAAAGACACTTTGAAACGGAACATAGACCTATTGACGCCTGTGAGGAGGATTTGGGCGACAGCGCTTGAGGTAAAGCTGGCGTTTGAGCTATTAGAAGAACTTGCGATTGATGTGCCCTTGCGAGGTTCTTGCTGGATATTTATGATTTCGCCTGAAATCCCTGAAATGCCTGAAGCAGAACTTATGCTACTTTATATTGATTTTTTTTAATTTTTTTTTTATTTTTATAGCAATTTTGGGAGGTAACTAGGCATTTTAAATTTAAATTAGAAAATTTTTTAATTAAAAAATATTTAATAGGTTATTAGGATCCTCATAAGACTCTGGAGCAATTAAATCAAGGTCCTTTAAGTCAATCAGCTTAGAATTTGATATTACAGGTGCAGAATTCTGCACAAGGTCTGGTTTATCCGTATTTTCCTTATCCTCTTCTTCTTCATCATGAATTTCTTCGAGCTCTACTTTTGGTTTTTGTATGGAGGTAGCGTCTTTTTCTTTTCCGATTATTTTTTTGCCTGGTTTAAAGTCAGTTTCATTGATATAAGACACTTGAGGATTTAAATCAAATTTTACGTTGCAGTCTTTATTGGATTTCATACGAGGTGGCTTTAAAATTCCCTTTTTTTCATAGGTGGGGGCGGTATATTCTTTAGCTGCTGGGATTTCTTGGCCTATTAGTTCGTCAAAACCGGTTACTTCTGGCATGGAACTAAGTCAGGATTCTTTTTCTTCTTCATTTCCAGTTGCTAATAGAAGGCTAAATGTTACAGAACCAGCAACATGATTGTGAAATTTTAAAAAAATTTTATTGACAGTCCCTGCTAAGACGTAGTCTATGACTTGTTCAGGTTTATAGTGTACTAGATTGAATTTTTTAAGAAAAAATTAGTTTAGAGCATAATAATCGGCTGAGGTTAAATAAAGTGCACTGTATTTTTTTAACCTCCTCCCAAAACCTATAAAAATGACTGTATTTTTCAAAAATGGTTTTTTTGGCATGAAAAGTGCAAAACGGTGATTTTGAAGTTTTCCAAGGGTGTTTTTAAAACAGCAAAAAGAGAGGAAAAAAGTACATATAAAAATCTATATTCTATCAAAACTAGACAAATTTAAGCAGAGAAAGCTGAGGATGGGATTGTATAATAGACAGCATATATTGCATAATACCAAATAAAAACAATGTCGCCTAATAAATGTAAGAGCGACGTACACAATCATAAATTTTTGCCTTTCAAAATAATAGGAAAACACTGTAAAATAATGATGAAAGTGACGCAGATTAGTTGAATATAAAAGGCAGATATAATCACAGACAATTCTCTGTTAGAAAGTTAAACACATATATATTCAATAAAGGATCCGAAGTTATAAATAAATATAAGAAAGTTGATTATGAAATAAATTAGTGAAAATGCATCAAAAAGTGAACGATTTGTTCATATAGTTAAAAAGTACCAATAAAATTTCTGATAGTGCAAATTCTTTTACAGCGTTTTCCGATTATTTTGAAAGACAAAAATTTATGACTGTGTATCATGTTGCTCTTTCATTCATTTAAGCGATATTGTTTTTATTTGTTAGTATGCAATATATGCTGTCTATTATAAAATTCCATCTTGAGCTTTCTCTGCTTAAATTTGCTTAATCTTGATAGAATACAGATTTTTATATGTGTATTTTCCCTCTGTTTTTGCTGCTTATACACCATTTACTTTTTTCATCCTTTGGACAACTTCAAAACCACCGTTTGTACTTTTTTCATACCAAAAAACCATTTTTGAAAATTACAGTCATTTTTCCAGGTTTTGGGAGGAGGTTAAAAAAGTATAGTGTGCTTTATTTAGCCCACCCATAGTAATCTTATAAGAATAGCATTTTTATTTTAATTCTTCACAAAAAATCAATTTATTCCCTTATATAAGTTTTTCTCAGTTTATTAAAGGTAGGCAGCACCATTTCTGCATAAACCCCTTTTAAATTCATTGGCTGGTCCGAATACCCAGTCAAAATAGCAAATCCTCTTGTAGACGAAATTATAAAGCCTTCTACATCGAATAATATAACTTCTCTATCCTTAGTATTCTTTTTAAATGCAGCAATAAAGAACGGATAGCTATCCAGCGCAACACATCTGACCTGCAAAAAGACTTCTACTATAAAACTACTATAATCAATAAAAAAAGAGCTAAAAGGAAGCCCAACTTCAGTGGTTTTGCATTGCAAAATAAAATTTTGCATAGCTTTATTATGGATTGAAGCGACATTCATCGGGGGTGGAACAAAAACACTTATATTCATGCTTAAGCCGAACCTGATAGGAATAGCTAGAGTATTGCTAGCTATTATAAGACAATTACTATTAAATTTATCTTGTGGATTTTAGGCAAAAATTATGGAAAATACTGAAGCCTGCTAGCAATATGATTCATACTTTCAATGTTTCCAAAATTTTCAGGATTTCCAGAGACTATCAAGATTCCATTATTGTTATCAAAATAATTAAATTTCTCGCCAAGAGTTTGCATTTTCTTTTCAAATTGTTGTTTCTCGTGCTCTGCACGACTAACTAGCTCATTTCCTTTATTCGAGTCATTATATACTTCTAAAAGAAAGGACCCAAATAGCTTTAGAGCTAGCTGATTTGATGGATATTTCTTAATATTCTTATGATAATTAAATATCATTATTTAAAATAAAGAGAGATTCTCTAGTAAAATTATAAATATAAGGTATAAGCAATTTAGAAAGTTTCCTTGATTTTTTTACGACTTTTTCTAATTTATACCCAAGATCTTCAAGTTTTTCTATCTGAAGGTCTTCACATGCCAACTCAGTTCAAAATTGCAACTGGGCATCACAGCATTTTTCATCAAATTTTAAAGCTTTTTCGTACATCGTACGAAATTTTAAAAAATCAACTTCTTCATGATATGCATGAAATGCAAGCTCTATTTCTTTTGAGTATTTATACTGGTGAAATGAGCCTTCTAATTCAAAAGCAGCACGGCGGCATTGGCTGAGTTTAATTCTTGCCAAATTGTCTTGTTTTAATATATTCTATATTAAATTAAATAATACTCTCGCCTATCGGTGGTTTATATTCTTATTTTAGCTAAAAAACCATTAATTTATGAAAAGAAATATGTTATTGCATACTATATGTAAACGCAAACTCTCATAAGCCTACATATTTTTTATTTGAATAATTTTTGGCCATACCTCTAAACAAGCTATTTATGTCTTCTTTTATCATTAAAGCTTGCTCTGGCTCTTTTTTATAGATATTTAAGTATTCCTGCACCAGAAGTCTTGTAGGAAGCTCATAAAGCCAGAGACTCCCATATGATTCCAAATTTATATAACTCTTGTCTATAAGTTTAACCCTTCTTTTTACAATTTCTCATAATAAAAGATAAAGACAAGGCGTCACTATTACAATCAGCCCAAACCCCATCGTCCCATTATCAAGCGCATAAGACCAAATCTGTGCAAAAGCGCCCCACGACAACGTTAAATAAGCTGCAGAGTGCGTAAAATTCAAAAAAACATTAAAATAAGGCAAATAATACACATACCCCACAGACAAAGCAGAAGCCAGCACCAAGGTAATAAAAAAATGTGCAACAGGGTAATTTTCATGTATCCAAAAATGGTTCCCAGCTATTACAAGTATTGACAAAACCTGAAAAACCTCTAATTTACTGTGTGCTCTAGTTCCTATATCATATTTTGCTTTACTTATGTATTGGTCATATAAAAACATTACTTGGAATAAGCAAAGAGCCACTAATAGCACTATTAATACCAAGGTAAATTCTCCATAATATTGGGCGTGGATTAAGCTGGTATCAGCATCGTCATACTCAAAAAGTGTATTCTCAGGCAAAAGCCACAGTTTAAATGTAGCAAAAAAAACACATAAAAAGGGCAAATAAGCGTAAACCCTTGTAAATTTTAAGCCCAGACTTAAGGTAATGCGGTAATTTGTAGGCTTCACTGGTTTTTTGTGGTAGAGCTTAATGTAGAGGTAGGCTAAAAAGAGGCAGGGCACTACAACTGCTCCTGCAGCAATGTATAAAAATATAACTCCGATACTGAGTGTCATAAATAAGTAATCAAATCTATAGCTTTTTTTATATAAAATCCTGATTTCTTTACTTTTTTTCCTATTTTTCTATAAATTACATAACGCATCCTCTCCAAAATAAAACCCATTTTTATGTAAAAAGCATAGTATATGAAATAAGGCTAGAAAATCAATGATAGCTTTCTCACGAAGGCAGTGTCGGTGGAAATATCAATGAAAGTAATTGCAAAGTCAAAAGGATCATACGAGCGAGGTGAATGTAAAATTTATTCTTTGAGCCTTCAGCTCTTATATTTGAACTCGAACTTTTATAAATTGTGTAAAAGGTTTCAAATAAAGTATTAAGTAATCTCTCTAATAATTTTTTTAATCTTGTTGAGATTGCGACATCGAAAGCATCTGTTTTTAGTGCATCATTTGAGTCTTCCATTAAGAATTTATAATGAAATAATGATTGAGTTATCAGATAATTAAACATTTGCAAAAATCATTTTATCTTATTAGGAAGCTCTGTAATCTTAATAATAAAAAACAGAAATAAATATACCGTGCAGGGGTTTAAATTATGATGGTTAAAGTAACAATAAAATATAAAAAGGCTATGCTTTAATTACTCTTTATGAGTATAATTTCAATTAAAATCATAACAAAATTATTGTTATGCTTTACGAAAATGATCAAAAATAAAAAAGTGTTTTATAAGCCTTTTTTTACGTTTTTCAAACTTAATATGCAAAATAAAGACTATTGCAAACCCTCATTTTCAAAAATTGCTTTAAAATATTAGTTATTATTTTACATTAGCACTCTTTAGAAAAAATTATCATTTACACAATTATTTTAACGTCATTTTGTGACTGTTAATATTTAATCTATAATGAATAAATTTTTGATATTCCTGCTTCTAGCACTTGGGAGATGCTCGCTGGAAGATGAAGTTAGCCCTGTTATTTATAGCTGAAATATGATTAGGACGAATTGTTGAATTATTTTGGTTTTATTGACGGCAATTATTGGAGTTTTGGTTATTATAAAGCTGCTTTTTATGGTACATAAAAAGCAAGAACCAAATTTGAAGAGTGACTTGACTTTTTTGAAAGAAAAAACAATTTTTAACACAAAATATGATTTTCTTGTAGAAAGACCTTCAGAAAAATCAAAACTACTTGAGAAAAAAGACAAGCCAAGGTATGATACGAATATATATAGAGAAACTCCGATAAGGCTTACAATTGTTTAAGTGTTTGACCATTATGAGTATTAATTTTAGATTATTAATTTTATTCTGGCTAATTAATTATTCTAGCTAAAATGGATAGCTGCTCTGATTATGTATTTTATCACTATTTTATTAAGAAAATAAGCTCATAATCTGCTTCAATAATTGGCTTACTTCTCCTTGGCTAGTGAGCATGGTTTTTTTAGCTTGCTAACCAATTCAAGTTAATTATTTTCCACAAAATTTATAAATCCAAATTTGCAAATATTTAAAAATGAAAATATTAATTTTAGAGAAGGCTGCCTAAAGTCTAATATAATTGTTAAAATTTTATTATAATTTTAATTGTATATTAAAAAAATTATTTAAAAATATATTGTTACTTTAGAAGTTTTTTCAAGTGGATTTGCTTGCTAACCAAGCAGGGAGACATAAAGGCTCTACTAATAATATTAAGTTCATTGAAATGAAATTTAATTAAAAGCTAAATAAGATACGAAACCCCCTAATTTGATGAAAAATTGTTTAAATTTACAATAAAATTTTTGATATTCAAATAGCTTGATAAGCATGAAATCATTATCAAAATATAAGTATATTAATGACTTATTTAAATTATTTTTTGCATATTATTTGTTATTCGAATTCTGCAGTCTCTCTTGATATTTTTTGATATTCTCATCCAAATTCAGCATGCAATGGTCAATTTCAGGGCTAAGCCATATATTTGCACACTCCCATAGTGGTTTCACAATTACAGAAATAAAATTTATTTCATTCTTATAATAGTTCTGTGGATCGTCAAGACCTTTCATAAATTCAGTTTGAGGCAAGCCATACTCAGCTTCATCTGCGTATTGATTTGAAAATTCATTGCAAACAAGCAGTGACCAATAAGAAAATACATCAAACTCTTTAGTTGGGTGTGCTAAATCTGATAAATGTATATAGATCTTTCTCTTCAATAGCGCAATAAGGCGTACTCTTAGTTTGACTAAAAGGTCTTTGGACCATGAAAATCTGCTGTTCCTTCTCCATAAGAGAGGCAAATAGTAAAAATGAAAAGTTCTGCCCGATCCAATCTCGAGAACTTTAAGGAATTTTTTTTGGTCTGAATTGAGAATACCTGAGTTATTGTGGAATTTTGATTGCTTGCAAAAATTTTTAATTTTAATAAGTTTTGGTTCGTCAAATGGTTTTGACGAGCCAATTCTGGCTAGTACTTGAAATAAATAATAAAAAAATTGAATTATTTTTTTAATTTTCTGATATTAAGGCTGATCAGAAATTTTAATAATGGAATAGAAATGAACAAAATATGTTAAAAAACAAATTTGTGCTCGAGTCCAGAAAGCGGATATTAAAGGCACCAAATAACTGTTTTAATACTTTAAATATCAAGTTCTCAATGAAACCTCATGTGTTGACTTAAGAGTTTTAATTTTTTTATATAGCGTACAAAATCAAGATGGAGGCTTAAACGAACAAAAATTGTTAAAAAATGAATTTGTGCTCGAGTCCAGAAAGCGGAAAATAAAGGCACCAAATAGCTTATTTTAGTTCTCAAATACCAATTCTCAATGAAACCGCAATGGTGATTTAAGAGTTTTAATTTTTTATATAGTGTACAAAATCAAGATGGCGGCTTAAACGAACAAAAAATGTTCACAAATGAATTTGTGCTCGAATCCAGAAAGCGGAAAGTGGGGGCATCAAATAACTGTTTTTAATACTTTAAATATCAAGTCTACAATGAAACCGCAAGTGGTGACTTAAGAGTTTTAATTTTTTTATGGCTTATAAAGTAAAGATGCGGCTTTAACGAACAAAAAATGTCTAAAAATGATTTTGTGCTCGAATCCAGAAAGCGGAAAATAAAGGCACCAAATAACTGCTTTAATATTTTAAATATCAAGTTCTCAATGAAACCGCATATGGTGACTTAAGAGTTTTAATTTTTTTATATAGCGTACAAAATCAAGATGCGGCTTAAACGAACAAAAAATGTTCACAAATGAATTTGTGCTCGAATCCAGAAAGCAGAAAATAAAGGCACCAAATAGCTTATTTTAGTTCTCAAATACAAGTTCTCAATGAAACCTCAAGTTGTGACTTAAGAGTTTTAATATTTTTATATAGTGTACAAAATCAAGATGGCGGCTTTAACGAGCAAAAACAGTTAAAAAATGAATTTGTGCTTGAATCCAGAAAGCGGATATTAAAGACATTAAATAGCTTATTTTAGTTTCTCAAATATCAAGTTCTCAATGAAACCGCATGTGGTAACTTAAGAGTTTTAATTTTTTTATAGCGTACAAAATCAAGATGGCGGCTTAAACGAACAAAAAATGTTTAAAAAATGAATTTGTGCTCGAATCCAGAAAGCGGAAAATAAAGGCACAAATAGGAAATTTTAGTTCTCAAATATCAAGTCTTCAATGAAACCGCATGTGGTGACTTAAGAGTTTTAATTTTTTTATATGGGTAGCGGCTTAAACGAACAAAAAATGTTCACAAATTAAATTTGTGTTCAAGTTCAGAAAGAGAAAACAAAAGCATCAAATAGCGAAATTTTAAAGTAAGAAAATTAATTTGAGAAATATAAAAGTTAGTTCCTAAAAATTAGCTAAAATTTTGACAAAACTATTTATTAGAATTCTTATTATTTTATTATCAAATATCTTGGCCACTTATAGCTATAACATTTATGCCTGCTTCACTAGTCTTTAAGTTTGTTTTTTTGATCCTGTGCCATTTTATTAAAATTTCTGATCATCCTTAACATCAGAAAAATAAAACATAATGACAGTTATTTATTTTTTTATTTCAAGTGCCTATCAGAATTAACTCGTCAGAACCATTTGACGAACCAAAACTTATTAAAAATTAAAAATTTTTGCAAGAAATAAAAATTCCACAATAACTCAGGTATTCTTAATTCAGAACAATAATCTCTTCCAGTTCTCGAAACTGGATAGGGCAGAATTCTTCATTTTTACTATTTTCCTCTCTTATGGAGAAGGAATAGCAGATTTTCATGGTCCAAAGACCTTTTAGTTAAACCAGGATGCACTATTTTCGCGCTATTTAAGAGAAAGTTCTATAACTAAGGAAGCTATTTTTTCACAATCATCATCTAATGACCCTAATGGATGGTCTTCCAAGTCCTTAAACCTTGACGCCATTGACGAAATCATATTAAAATGCTTTACCATATCAGTGCTTAAAATTGACTCAATAATTAATTTCCTCACTGCTTTATAAATATCGTTGCTTAAAAAATCAAAAATATTGCTATTACCATTCTGAAGGATCTGGAACGTTAACGCTGCGTGATGATTTTCAAGCACAGATTTATCATTATAGACTATTGCATAATGTGAACTTCTATTGACTTCAAAAGCATTATTATGCCCTGTATGCCCTATGTCATGGCATAATGAAGCGATAATTAATGCGTATATTTCGTGGTCAGTGAAAATTTTTGATACTTTGGTTGTTGCCATAATATAATACTCTGTGCTAGATTAATTTAGCTTGCTTTAAGAAAAACGGTATTTTTAATTATAAATAAATATAGAAATATAATAAGAAAATTATTGAAATTTTAATTAAATATAATATAGGTAGAATGCATAACGGTAAATCCATGGTAAAAGTTATGGAAAGGATTTTCATGATAATTCTTCCTGACTTCATTTACGAAAGATTTAAGCTTGGTAATATTGATATTAAACTGAGTCGTGAACTTAAAGTCTCTTAGCATTGCAACAATATATAAGAAATGATCCTCAACCTCAAAGGCATTTAAGCTTCAGTTTCTCAAGGACTCAATGTCAACTTCTAACTCTTCTACTTCTAAAAATGACGTTTCAGATCTATTCGTAAAGGTGCTCAAAACAGAACTTCTCCTGTCTACTGTGTCAGGGAGTTCTACATATTCACTTATATAGCTTTTCAGCTCAGGCTCTATAACTTCCTTTTCACCCAGAAAAGTGACTTCAGCCCTATCTAGATTTCCTCTCTTAAGAGTATTAATTACATCAATGAGCTGTGCAGACATGTCAGAAGAATATTCAATATCTTGTGCCATTGCTGTGAGCTTGTCTATGCATCTTTGTAAAGAAGTTTCTGTTTTGACTGGATTATTAGTAAGATCGTAGAGCTGAGACTGCATGTCTTTTAGCCTTGTGCTGAGCTCTTCAATTTCGCTTGCGTCTTCTAAAATTACTATAACCCCAGTAGAAGAATCATTCATAAAATCTTGGAGAGGAACCAGTGTATAGTTAAAAATGGAGCTTGCTGATTGACTTCCTTGTAATTCTGGAAATATTGATTTTCTGGTTACAGGAGAAATTTTTTGGCTTTTTCTATGTATTCTTCTATAAGGATAATTATAAATTGAAGTTATGTCCAAGACAAGCTGTCTATTGAATTCCATCCATTTTGGATATGTAAGCTCTTTAGCTGCAGCTTCAGTGACCCCAAAAATGTTTTCAAAAGGTCTGTTGTTATATTCAAGCATTCCTTCACTATTAAGGACAAGCACATAATGTCCAATACTGTTTAAAATATTGGCCAAGGCAGTTCTTTCTTCAATATTTTTTTGGAAAAGTTTCCAGTTTTGCAAAATATTCTTATTTATTAAGAATAAAAATTATTAATAAGCCATAATATAAACTAAAATTATTTTAATAATTAATTGGAAAAGAATAAACGAAATTAATTCAGAAAAAACTTCTAAAGTGTCTTCGTCATATTGGTCAAACTCCCCTCCTCTTTTATTAATCATTTGGAAAGCCGCAATTACATTGCCTTGGTAATCTAATACTGGTGTGCATAGCATTGTGGATGTTTTAAAGCCTGTAAGACGGTCTACTTCTGGGTTAAATCTTGAATCAGAGTATACATCTTTTATATTTTCAGCTAGGCCGGTCTGAGCAACATATCCAGCAATTCCTTTTCCTAACTCCCCCCTTCCGAGAGTGAACAAAAATTTTTTATGGAAAAAAATTTGACATATAAGTAATAACTAGTATCATGAATCTCGAGCTAATTCTGTTTACTTTTAAACAAATTGAGTTTTTAAAACATATATTTTACAAATTAAATTAATATTTGCCTTCCAATCTTCGAGAAGTGGGATTTTTTTAAATTCCTAAAAAATTTTTTTATTTAAATTTTATATATAATTTTTTAAAAAACAAAAATTTAACCCCCCCTCGTGAGCGAACAAGATTTTTTTTGTTCGCTTATGAGTGGGAGGGAGTAAAGGAATTTCGAATCCCATAGGTATTTCTTGCTCAAGTCCTTGAGATTTTATTACCAAATTATTGCCTTCTCTCAAATAAACAGTCCCTCTATCACAATCCAGCAGATTTTGTGCTACACTTCTTATAGTGCTTATCAAGCTTTGAGTATCCATCCCAACCGCATAGTGCCTAATAATTTTCCTGAGCTCTGAATTTTCTGATTTTCCATCATTTGTTTTTGGGCTTATTGCAGAAAAAATATATTTCCCTAATTCTTTAATTTTAATTTCATCTTCTCGTGTATAGCTCACATAAAGCGAATAAGTCTCATCCTTTTTATTTCAAGCTTTTATTATTAAAGAATTCCCATCTTTTCTAATAGGAATGTATAAAATGTTTTCTTTCCCTTCAATGTGGTTAAATAAAGCTGGTCTTTCTGACTCGACAAGACTACTGAAGAAATCTTCTTGTTTTTTATTAAATATCATGCTCAATTTATTTTCTCTTATTTGGTACATTGTGTATGCTAAATTTTTTGAATAATAATATTTTTTTTTTAAAAAAAATAAATAAATAGGATTTATATCAAAAAGAATAATTAAGCTCAGAAATCCATATACAGCTTGCCCCTTCAGACCCTGAAAGTGCTTTAATAACCTCTAGGGCAATAGAAATCAATGAATCTGTATCATTATCATTAGCAAGCCTTCTTAAAAGATCAACAGATAGCACCTGTGAGAATTGAGCATAATTTGTGGTCTCTGTAATCTGTTTAAACGACCTCAGCAGCATTTTGTGCTTTCTTCCTTCTTTTAATATAGTCTGCCAATTATTCTCTGTTGTTACCTTCATTTGGAGAATTTCTCTAGAAATCACTGATAAATATTGGGCAAAAATTACGTCATCGCTTGGGAAATTTTCTGGGGAGTTTACAAAGCAGATTACTCCATCTACCCCGCTGCTTAAGCTAGAAATAGGGATACATAAAAAGGAGTTTATTTGATCCTGAACCCCTAAAGAGTCTATATGGACGTCGAATTTTCGATGAGAGTAAGCTTTTTCTTTCAGAAGCACAATTTCGTTATCAACAATGGACTGTTTAACTAATCCTGAATTTTTAAGCAAATTTTCATTTAAAATATCATATAAAGTCCCATCAGTGCTATATTTCAACAACATACAGGCTGCTTGACAAGGTATAGCAGACTGTAAATTTTTCGCAAAAGATTTTAAGCTATTTCCTGAATTTTCTATTAATTCTTGATATTGTGATAATCTCTGCAATTTTTCCCATGGGACAAGATTTATATGGAATAATGCTTCAATTGCAGAGTTTTTTGTGATGATATTTTTTATTTCGACTGAGTCTATTAATTTATTTTTTGAAGCCTGTCTTCTGTGGCTAACTGGGAGCTGATTAACTGACTTAGAATTTAGCCTGCGAAAACCGGATTTTGGGGAGACTGATCTTTCTTGTGGCTGAAAAGGGTTAGTATCAATTATCAAGCCAGAGGCGAAAAGATTGTCAAGAATTGTTGATAATTTATTAGAAAAATTCACCAAGAGGTTTATCTCTTCATGCTTAAATTCGCTAGGTGTTCTTCTTACTACGATTATCCCAATTACGCGTTTTTCTGTTAAATTCCCAAAAATAGGGATTGATAAGATACAGCTTTCTCTGTAAATATCAATATCAGAAATATTCATTGCAGCATTTGAAGGGAAAATCACTGTTTTTTCAGAAAAAAAGGTTAAGCCGAGAAGGGAATTTTCATTTAAAGGGTAGGAAATTGTGTCTTGCTTTTTGTCAAGAGTTGTTCATATGGACATTTTTTTGTGGTCAACAATGTAGACTGCACTTGAGTCAAAGCAAATTAGATGCTTCATACTTTGTTTTATGTGATCAAATAGTAAGGAATAGCCATAAAGCCTTTCAGTATTCAAGGTAAAGCATTTCAATGTGTCGGCTATTATAGAAACTTTGCTTGCGACTTCATGAGAAATCCCTATTTGGCTAATTTCTTGCCATTTTTCATAAGGAATTTCGCCTAAAATTTTTATTTTAATTTTATATAAATGTTATAATAAATTAGGTGATTTTTGAAATGTTAATTAGCACCAGTGTTTTTTAATAATATATATGGTACTGACTCAACACCTTAAAGAGTGAGCAAAACCATTATAAAATTCCATTAAAGAGAGCCAGAAATTTTATTATATATTTTTTTTCAGAATTAACAATTGCTATAGTGAAATTCCTAGATAATTATATTAAAATTTCACGAAAAATAAATTTTATAGATTAAATTAAATTTATCTATATAGAGAAAAATTTTAAAATTTTTCTAGAAAAAAAATCCCCATTAAGAGCGGCCAAAAAAATCTTGCGGAGGAATGAGCAATTTAAATAGGAGCAGAATATTAATGATTTTGCGAATTTTTCATCTATATCTTTAAAAGAGCTTTCCTGCTTAAAAAACTCGACAACACCTAGCAATACTTTTTCTCGATCAAAGATTGGGCATGACAAAATCCCTCTGTAAGCTATATCAATTCTCCATAAAGGCTCTGATCTCAAGTCTTTTATATTTAAAATTCCTTGAGACGTAAAGAAATAAAATGGTGACGTTGACGGAAATTGGACTCTGAGGCGACACCTCTTGATGGAGCGGTGGGCCTGCGCGATGGGTGGCGAAAGATGCTCCTCTTGAGTCAAATAGGCAATCTAAATGGGAAGCCTACCGAAGCAGGGTGTTTTGTTACCTCCCCGAGGGTTTCTTGTTCCTGCCAGATGGGTACACAGGTTTTGCCTGTCACTTGGTCCTTCTCTATCGTGACCAACGGGGAACTCTACAGATGGTGGCTCTGCCTAGAGGAGTTAATCCCCTGGAAAGATAGTTCAGGTCAAAATTCAAGATGATGGCCTTCCATTTCCTCATTCTAACTCTGATTATATGGAGGCTGCTACCTTGGAGCCGAGTTAGGGCAAAGGCTAGTGGGTCACCCACATATGGCCAGTTTAAAAAATTTAATTTAATGTGAGACGTAAAAGCAGAATAATTACTAGTCTGTGTATTTATCATAACTTTGCTATCAGATTCTGAATTTATCCCAAAAGAATAGAAAGGATTCAATTTTCTGTCGACATTTATATAAAAAACTCCAGCTTGAGCATCTAAGCACTCACACATCAACGCTAAATAGTCAGGAGTCAATGTCTGCTCAGTTTTGACTATTTTTTTGCAAATTTTTAGTATTTTTTCTCTTTTTATCATTTGATTCGAAATTTTTTGGATAAAAGCACCTTCTTCTTCATTCTTTAAAATTGCATGATTTATCCCTTTCAATTCTCCTAACTTTTTTCTATAATTCAGAATCTCAATAAATAACATTCTTTTGCAAAAAAGAATTACTAATATATTTTTATGCTAACACCTAATTTATTTTAAAATAAAAATTATAAAAAATATTGGTCAATTAATATATTTTATTATAGGATAGACCAGCTGATTGAACCATTAAGACATCATTTACAGTAAAAAACGCTTGGGCTCTCTTTTGGTCAAGCTTATTGTATAGAATAATAACCCCTTGCAAATTCAAGCAATCCGCTCCATAAATAGGAATTGCGCACACTGAAAAGGGCTCTTCCATCGAATTTGTTGCTTTTGAGTAAGGCAACAGCTTTTCTTGAAAACTCTGATAAAACCCAGAATTCCTAGGATTATTTATGATTTGATAAACATTCTTCGTGGCCACAAATCCAGGCAGACTGTTTGTGCTTATGTCAAGATACTGCCTTGTTTGTTTTCTTCCAAGCACTTTTAGCTTGTCTTCTTCTTTTAGTAGGATTTCAACTCAGCTTGAAGAGGTAAGCAGTTTACATTGAGTGACAATATCGCTTTCTAAATCTTTCTGGTCAATTTTTTCGCTTTTAAATAGCTGTGCTAGATTTTTCGTTGCTGAAAATACGATATCTCCAGCACACTGAGGGTTAAAAGCTGGCTTAGTTCCTGAATTTTCTGGGACTTGAAGAGATTTCGGCCGAATTTCATTAGTAGCCATTTTTTATAGTAGTTTTGAATGGAAATAACTTATAATTAAAGAATTTTTATGATATGGTAAATTCTAACTCCAACGAAAAATTTGTTCTCCAAGAATATTTTTTTAATATAAATTTTAGAGTAAAATGTTGTTTCGAAATTTAAAAAATCCCAATAATCAAAAATCGGAAAGCAAATATTAATTTAATTTGCAAATTTATGTTGTTTAAAATTAAACAGAATTAGTTAGAGACTTCATTATATATAATCATTTATATATCAAAATTTTTTTCATAACATATTTTTGTTCACTCAAGCAGGTTTTTTGGGCAAAAAATGTAGTGATTTTTCTAATGGTTCGCTCTAAAAGGGGGAGTAACCTTTTGAGCTGGATTTATTAAATTTTTATTAATCTATTATTTTTTGAAATAGGTAGATACTAATTTCTGTTTAAAATAATTATTATTTTAATTTAAGTGCAAGTACTCACATATACTTAATAGGATATTATTCATCAAAATTTTATTTTTCACAGAAAATATTAGAAATAAATGTAATATGATAAACATAGTCTTAATAAAATATTAATAAAAATAATAGTATCAATTTAGACTATTTAGCCAATTTTATGCAGTGATAAGCCCAGCGACAATTTAGCGACTGCAGTCCTGCGTCTTTTAGACTCTCCTAGTCTCTCTTTTATTAAATCAAGTTCGATTTTTTTCTTTTCGCTTGGAATTGGGCTGAAATCTGGCTTGACTCTGTGATAATAATAAGCTCTCATCCTTTGTCTCCATAAACTTTCATTTCCTGCCACAATATTCCGGTAATCAAACGTTTTTAATGAAAAATCTTTGCCTTCTTTTCTTTTTATATTGGATCTTAGAAGATCTTCTGTAGACTTTGATTCGGAAAAAGGGATTGATAAGGCTTGATCGCTTTGGGTTGGCCTTTCAGGGCTATCTGATGTCTTTTTATAAGCATTGTCTAAAAATTCTGAAGGAAACTCATCCTTTTCTATGAGTTTTGATTTGATTAAATAGTCTGCTAAACCTTGGGTCCGTTTTACGCTTTTACTGAATTTATACATTTTTGAATAAATTTAGTGCTGAAGCTTTGCCAATAAGCTAGTCTTATAAGATTTTTATATTATTATTGGCATACCACTTAATTTAAAATAATATATACCTTCTCCATATGAATAGATTCAAAAAAAATTGCCAATTCCCTGGCACATACAGATCTGCTTATAATGCTCAATATATCAATAAATCTGCAGTAGGATATTTAATAAATTGTTAATATATCTCTCTCTACCTTTTGTTTGTGGAGACAGAGACAGGTCAGGTTTTTCATTAGAAAATTTTCTATCCGTTAGACTTGAAGTATTGTCAGATTTTTTGTCTTTATTTTCAAAGTTATTGGTGCTGTTGCTTCTTATAAATTTCATTCCGTTTTGATTCTTAATTGCTAAACTGATATCGTAATTCCCTTCTCTATAGCTTGGAGCTTGTCTATTGCTTATCTCTTTATTTTCAAGAGAAAAATTGCTCTTGTCTTTTTCATAAATATCCTGCTTATTTTTAAATCTTTTTAGTTTTAATTCTTCATCGTTTTGATTTTCTTTAATTTTTTCTTGTATATAGCTCATACCCCTTTATAGATTTCTTTATCGAGCAAAATGTACTGGGTTATTGAACGACCAAGAGAGACTCTATTAAAGGAACGGGCTGGATATCTATATCAGGAAGTGCTAAAAAGTGACATGCCAAAAAATGGTGACAAGTCTGAAAAAAGTTGACAAGTAAACGCGCCAATTTTTAAAATGGATTTATTATTAAAATAATTTAAAACTTAAGATATTTTAATTTTAATCAATATTTAATTATGCTAACTCCCCCCCCCCCCCTCCGTGAGCGAACAAAAAAATTTTGTTCGCTCACGGAGGGGGGTTAATTTTTTTTTTTTTAAAAAAAAATTTATATATAAATTTTATAAAAAATATTTTTTTTCGAAATTAAAAAAATCCTAATTTGCAAAAATTGGGAAGCAAATATTAATTTAATTTGCAAAATTTATGTTTTAAAACGCAATTTGTTTAAAATTAAACAGAATTAGCTCTAGATTTCATTATACTAATTATCACTTATATATCAAAATTTTTTTCCATTAAAATTTTTTCTATTAAAAAAATTTTTGTTCACTCACGGAGGGTGGGTTTTTGGTCAAAAAATGGCGATTTTTCTAATGGTTTTGTTCGCTCACGGAGGGGGGGGGGGGAGTAAGTATTTCTCATATGGGCCGATAAGAACTTTGTATATATTTAAAATCACAAGACACGCACTTCGCAAATTATAGTTTTAGTCTTCATTAATAAATTAGCATAAAATAAAGAAATTCTATCGAGCCGGAAAAATGCACATTGAGTTGAAAGTTTTTTGATTTTCACTTATAAGCCATATTTAAATTTTGCTAACTCCCCCCCCCCCTCCGTGAGCGAACAAAACCATTAGAAAAATCGCCATTTTTTGACCAAAAACCCACCCTCCGTGAGTGAACAAAAAATTTTTTTAATAGAAAAAATTTTAATGGAAAAAAATTTTGATATATAAGTGATAATTAGTATAATGAAATCTAGAGCTAATTCTGTTTAATTTTAAACAAATTGCGTTTTTTAAAACATAAATTTTGCAAATTAAATTAATATTTGCTTCCCAATTTTTGCAAATTAGGATTTTTTTAAATTTCGAAAAAAATATTTTTTATAAAAATTTATATATAATTTTTTTTAAAAAAAAAAATTAACCCCCCTCCGTGAGCGAACAAAATTTTTTTGTTCGCTCACGGAGGGGGGGGGGGAGTAAGTACTTCTCATATGAGTCGATAAGAACTTTGCATATATTGAGAATCACAAGCCACGCACTTTGCAAATTATAGATCTTGTCTTCATAAATAAATTAGCATAAAATAAAGATATTCCATCGAACCGGAAAAATGCACATCGAGTTGCAAATTTTTGATTTTCACTTATAAGCCATATTGATTTTTGCTAAGTATTCCTCATATGAGTCGATAGAACTTCTTATATATTGAGAATCGCAAGCCACGCACTTTGCAAATTATAGATCTAGTCTTCATAAATAAATTAGCATAAAATAAAGAAATTCTATCGAGCCGGAAAAATGCACATTGAGTTGCAAGTTTTAGATTTTCACTTATAAGCCATATTAAATTTTTGCTAACTCCCCCCCCCCCTCCGTGAGCGAACAAAACCATTAGAAAAATCGCCATTTTTTGACCAAAAACCCACCCTCCGTGAGTGAACAAAAAATTTTTTTAATAGAAAAAATTTTAATGGAAAAAAATTTTTGATATATAAGTGATAATTAGTATAATGAAATCTAGAGCTAATTCTGTTTAATTTTAAACAAATTGCGTTTTTTAAAACATAAATTTTGCAAATTAAATTAATATTTGCTTCCCAATTTTTGCAAATTAGGATTTTTTTAAATTTCGAAAAAAAATATTTTTTATAAAATTTATATATAAATTTTTTTTAAAAAAAAAAAATTAACCCCCCTCCGTGAGCGAACAAAATTTTTTTGTTCGCTCACGGAGGGGGGGGGGGGGAGTAAGCACTTCTCATATGAGTCGATAAGAACTTCTTATGTATTGAGAATCGCAAGCCACGCACTTTGCAAATTATAGCTCTAGTCTTCATAAATAAATTAGCATAAAATAAAGAAATTCTATCGAGCCGGAAAAATGCACATTGAGTTTCAAATTTTTTATTTTCACTTAAATTTTTGCTAACTCCCCCCCCCCCTCCGTGAGCGAACAAAAAAATTTTGTTCGCTCACGGAGGGGGGTTAATTTTTTTTTTAAAAAAAATTTATATATAAATTTTATAAAAAATATTTTTTTCGAAATTTAAAAAAATCCTAATTTGCAAAAATTGGGAAGCAAATATTAATTTAATTTGCAAAATTTATGTTTTAAAACGCAATTTGTTTAAAATTAAACAGAATTAGCTCTAGATTTCATTATACTAATTATCACTTATATATCAAAATTTTTTCCATTAAAATTTTTTCTATTAAAAAAATTTTTTGTTCACTCACGGAGGGTGGGTTTTTGGTCAAAAAATGGCGATTTTTCTAATGGTTTTGTTCGCTCACGGAGGGGGGGGGGGGAGTAAGTACTTCTCATCTTAGTCGATAAGAACTTTGTATATATTGAGAATCACAAGCCACGCACTTTGCAAATTATAGCTCTCATCTTCATTAATAAATTAGCATAAAATAAAGAAATTCTATCGAGCCGGAAAAATGCACATCGAGTTGCAAGTTTTAGATTTTCACTTATAAGCCATATTAAATTTTTGCTAACTCCCCCCCCCCCCTCCGTGAGCGAACAAAAAAATTTTGTTCGCTCACGGAGGGGGGTTAATTTTTTTTTTTAAAAACAATTTATATATACATTTTATAAAAAATATTTTTTTCGAAATTTAAAAAAAATCCTAATTTGCAAAAATTGGGAAGCAAATATTAATTTAATTTGCAAAATTTATGTTTTAAAACGCAATTTGTTTAAAATTAAACAGAATTAGCTCTAGATTTCATTATACTAATTATCACTTATATATCAAAATTTTTTTTTCCATTAAAATTTTTTTCTATTAAAAAAATTTTTGTTCACTCACGGAGGGTGGGTTTTTGGTCAAAAAATGGCGATTTTTCTAATGGTTTTGTTCGCTCACGGAGGGGGGGGGGGGAGTAAGTACTTCTCATATGAGTCGATAGAACTTCTTATATATTGAGAATCGCAAGCCACGCACTTTGCAAATTATAGATCTAGTCTTCATAAATAAATTAGCATAAAATAAAAAAATTCTATCGAGCTGGAAAAATGCACATTGAGTTTCAAATTTTTGATTTTCATTTACAAGCCATATTGATTTTTGCTAACTCCCCCCCCCCCCCTCCGTGAGCGAACAAAACCATTAGAAAAATCGCCATTTTTTGACCAACAACCCACCCTCCGTGAGTGAACAAAAATTTTTTTAATAGAAAAAATTTTAATGGAAAAAAATTTTGATATATAAGTGATAATTAGTATAATGAAATCTAGAGCTAATTCTGTTTAATTTTAAACAAATTGCGTTTTAAAACATAAATTTTGCAAATTAAATTAATATTTGCTTCCCAATTTTTGCAAATTAGGATTTTTTTAAATTTCGAAAAAAATATTTTTTATAAAATTTATATATAAAAATTTTTTTTAAAAAAAAAATTAACCCCCCTCCGTGAGCGAACAAAATTTTTTTGTTCGCTCACGGAGGGGGGGGGGGAGTAAGTACTTCTCATATGAGTCGATAAGAACTTCTTATATATTGAGAATCACAATCCACGCACTTTGCAAATTATAGATCTTGTCTTCATAAATAAATTAGTATAAAATAAAGAAATTCTATCGAGCCGGAAAAATGCACATTGAGTTGAAAGTTTTTGATTTTCACTTATGAGCCATATTAAATTTTTGCTAAGTACTTCTCATCTTAGTCGATAAGAACTTCTTATATATTGAGATACACAAGCCACGCACTTTGCAAATTATAGCTCTAGTCTTCATAAATAAATTAGCATAAAATAAAAAAATTCTATCGAGCCGGAAAAATGCACATTGAGTTGCAAATTTTTGATTTTCACTTACAAGCCATATTGATTTTTGCTAAATACTTCTCATATGAGTCGATAAGAACTTCTTATATATTGAGAATCACAATCCACGCACTTTGCAAATTATAGCTCTAGTCTTCATATATAAAATTAGCATAAAATAAAGAAATTCTATCGAGCCGGAAAAATGCACATCGAGTTGCAAATTTTTGATTTTCACAGCTATTATTAAATTTAAATATATATAAATCAAAATATTTAAAGCCAATATATAATGTGTAATTTATATCTTCTGTATAATTGAGTATCTTAAGTTTTAAATTATTTTTAATAATAAATCCATTTTAAAAATTGGCGCGTTTACTTGTCAACTTTTTTCAGGCTTGTCACACCATTTTTGGCATGTCACTTTTTAGCACTTCCTGATACAGATATCCAGCCCGTTCCTTTAATAGAGTCTCTCTTGGTCGTTCAATAATCCAGTACATTTTGCTCGATAAAGAAATCTATAAAGGGATATAAGCTATATCATCAACAAAATAGCTGTTTTTTGCGTTTTTTAATTCTCTTTTATTTTCGTCAACTAATTCTTGATTTTCTTTTAAAAAATTTGCAGGCTCTCTTTCTTTTAAGCTAGTTTGGTAATTTAAAGATTCATCACTTTTAGAAGGCTTGCTTTTTCTTTGGCCAAAATTTGCTGCCCTTCACTCCTCGCTTTCTCTATATTTTTTCCATTTGATTTCTCTACCATTTTCATCTGATATTTTCCCATTTGTCCCAAAATCATTTTGAACTAGATTTTTTCTTTTATTTTTTTCTTTTCAGTTGTGATCTTGCCAATCTTCATTGAGTTCTTTATTATCTTTGTCCTTTCCTTTTTCATAACTGTCATTTTTTCCTTCTTCTTTTATATTATAGAGCTCTTGATGAGTATTCTTGATTTCTTTTTCATTAATTCCTATTAAATTAAATTCTTCATTGTGCTTTATATTGGCTTCTTCTTTATGGTATTTTTCAGGAGATTTTCCATTATTTTCAATTGGATTTAAGTCTCCTTTATATTTTAAGTCATGAATCTCTTTGTAGCCTATTTCAGCTATGTTTTTATTTATTTCATTATAAGCCTGCCCTTCTCTATCTTTTATGCCTTGAATTTCTTTATCAAATGCGTCTATTTTCCCATTTCCTCTATAATAAACATGTTCTTTGTTTCCTTTTTGATTTTCTTCAATTCATTGTGGTTTATAATTTTTATCTAAAACCTCTTTTTTCAGCCTATTCCTAGCTTCACCCCTCTCGTCAAAATTATTGCTATTTTTAACATAATCAACATCACTTTGATTTTTATTTCCCAAAATCTCTTCTTCTCTATGGGCGAAACTTCTAATTTCAGGAGTTTTATTATAATATCCTCTATTATCCTGTGGGAAATTGGTAGAACTTATGCTTTTTGTAAGTTTTAGTACATCTTGAACCTCCTTTGGGATCTTATAGTCATAGCCTTCTTTATATTTTAAATCTTGAATTACGTCAACCAGCTTATCAATTAATTTTCCATTCTTTTCAAACTTCGAAGTGCTATGGCTTTTTGTGAGTTTTAAATCCTCATGGCTTTCACTTGTAGATTTAAGCTCCTCTTCTTCTTTCCGTTTTAATTCCTTAATTGCTTTTAATAGCCTATCAATTGTTTCTTGATCTTCTAGTCTTCTTTCCATAACGCTTTTTGCATTTCTTTCTCTAATTTCTTATAATATTTATTTTTCTAATTTTTTTTTAAAAATAAAATAGAAAAATTAATGCCGAAATGATCCATAAAGAGTAAGAAGCTTATTTCTACGTCGAGCTTCTCGAACTTCTTCAGCTTGTCTCCATTTGATTTCTTTTATATCTGGATACTCAATTTTAGGCCCTATCATAACGCAAATTAATGATTAATAAAATTAAACTCTGCAATGATTGGGAAATGGTCACTTGGCAAAATTTCGTTTGGAGCCCCACTAAATCCATCTAAAAATTCAAACCTAGGGCTCATCAGAACCCTGCTTGGAGCAACAGAGCCGCCGTACCATATATAATCAACTGTAGATCTGGAGTCATCTAAAAACGTTGTAGGAAATGGCTCATAACGAACACACGACTTATAGCAGCTTTTGATGTCCAAATTATGGGCGATTGTTCCATCTTCGTCTATGTCTGTATTGCAAAAAACAGGGGTAAAGGTGTTGCCAATGAGCTGGACTCTAATTGAATTCAGTATATGAGCAATTTCGCAATTGTTCATATACTGGTGGTCCTTATAGGAGAAAGGCGTCCTGAAGACTTCAAGAATTCTCTTATATGTTGCTTTTTTCTCCAAGCCTATATATCTGCTATTTAAGTCTTCTTTTTTGACCCATAAGAGATTCAAAATTTTATCCTAAACCATAATAATTTTAATATTAAAAATTATCTGACTGTTTATAGCAATTTTAATCAAAAAAAGAATATTTTCTAAGAAATGATAAATCCCACCACAAGGTGTCAAATTAAAATCACCTGCAAATAAAATACTTACATCAAACCCGGTGTATTTTACTAATATAGCTTCAATTGATTTTAGCATTGTGTAAATTTGGCAAAATTGTCTATCTCCTTTATGTGGGCTAAATAAAAAATGGGTATTCGCAAATAAAATGTATTTAGAATCCTCTGAGTTTAGCCTTAAAATGGTAATGATGCCTATATTTGCTTTAGATAAATAATTTTGAAATTCTGGGTCTTCACTGTAATATTCCACATCAAATCTTTCAACTAAGGTAAATAAGCTTGATTTCCATAAAATCATGCAGCCGTCCAAATCAGTTCTCAGACGCTTTTTGTACCATTTCTCGTATCCTTCTAAAGATGTGTAGGCTTCATAGCCTTCGTCTACCTCTTGCAAAGCTAGTAAATCAGGGTCGTGGTATTTAATTTCATCAATTATGGTGATTTTCTATAAATAGCCATATAAGAAAAACTGGAATGGATTTTGCAAGCTATTTATGCAAAAATTTTATATTAATTTTGATCTTTTTTCAATATCCAAATCTTCAGGCTTACAAGAATACAGTCCTCTTTGGCTTTTCTTGATACAATGGTCTGATAAGACGTTATAACTCATTATTTTATATTGTCCTTGAGGCCCTCTTGACCATGGCCTTTGTGTATAAAAGTGTCTGAACTCTCTTAAAATTTCATCAAATGGGACTGCAGGCTTTTCTTCAGGGAAGGATTGAAATGATTGAATAGGAGATGAGTTTTGGTTTTCTAATATAGGCACAAAGTCATTATCAGTAGAATCAATACGGGATGTTTCAGAATTTCTTAAATTTGATAGCTTTGGAAGGGAAAAATCCATATTGAGTTTATAATTTAATAATTAAAATCTCTATAATTATTACTAATAAAATAACTCATTCTAATAAGAAGTAAAAATTTTGCTTTCTATTAAGTGATATACATAGTAAATCAGCTCACTCTCTTAATTCCTGCAGCCTACAAGATGTCGGGGACCTTGAGGAAGGGAGGATGGAGCTCGGGTTTGTGCATCCAGCCAGATTTTTCTTGTGTGAAGCGCAGTGTCAGGGTAGATGACTGCGAGCTTTACTCCAATACTAATTTTTGCCTTAGAGTGAAATGGGTCCGGAAGTAGCAAAGCCAATGGAGTTCATCTTGACAATCAGGATTATTATCAGCGTGAAACCTGGAGTTCCGCCCTAGGCTATGGATTTCCATTTTGGCAGAGAGTCGACAAAACATACCCTTTTGATTTTTTATGTGGCAGCCCAGTTTACGTACTGTACGATGACACAACTCACTTAACTACTAGGCACAAGTGCAAGCCCTTGTGCGAGAAGGAGTTGCGGGAATTGTGGGAGTTCTAGGAATTGTGGAGTGTGGAGCCTGGGGAGATTCTGGGAGAACTGGGAGATTCTGGGAGATCTGAGAGATTCTGGGAGATCTGGGAGTAGTTTTTTTGAAGTGGTGTTGGTTCTGGGAGTGGTAGCGTTTGGAGTAATGCTGGTTCTGGGAGTGGTGCTTGGAGTGATGCTGGCTCTGGGAGTGTGTGGTCGAAGTAGTGTGACGCTGTGAAATTGGGCAGGGACAAGGTAAATTTTTTCTTCTTCTTTCTTGCCCGAGAATGAGCAACTTTTGTAAGTTCATATACTAAATGGCAATCAAGTGAAAGGAGCATTAAGGGTGAACGTAGCGAGTTTTTATAAGCTATATTAAGTTAATACTAATTCTAATGTTTACTATTAAGTGACTTTTATTTTGTTATTTTGGCCCGAAAGTCGAAGAAACAAATTTAAAGTTAAAAATTTTGGACGGCAATAAGCGGGATCTCTAACTGCCGGACTATATTGACTTTAGGCAGGTGGTTTACGCTGGGCGAGTATACACCTGAGTGCAAATCGTGTAAAGCCCAGCTAAAATTCACCTCCTTGAAAATTCTGACAAGACTCACCTAACCTAAGGTAAGAGCCACCCTTTGGAGAAGAAGGCATGTGAGAGGCAAAGCTTGTCTAGCTCACCTGGCAGGGACATTAAATCTAGCTCCCCCCCCCTCGAAGTTCAACCAAGATATAGGGAAAATTCCTATTTTTTTGGAAAATTAACCCCCCTCAAAGTTCGACCAAGACCTATATAAATTTACTAGGAAAATAAGCAATTTTTCAAAAATTTTAATCTATGTGGGGGTGAGCTTGCGATTTTTGTATTCAAGTTCTAAAAAAGCGTTACAAAACCATCTTGCACTAATTTTTCTAACCCTTACACCCTCTCAACCATACAGAAGAATATGATAAATATTTTTTTTTTAACTACTACTAAATTATATAAAAAAATTCTATATAAATTTGTTTTAAAACAATTTTTCTTAACCCCCCTCGAAGTTCGACCAAAAAAATCTTGGTCGAACTTCGAGGGGGGGAGTAAGGGGAGAAACAAAACTTTCTTCTTCAGCAAGGCATCCCTGAACCTGTAGGCCTACTTAAAGAAGGGACAGAGGCCTATTTCAGCTTCATCAGGATGAGTCCTACCTGTTCCATATAGAGTTCCCTCGGAGAAAACTTCCATCAATGCCACCATTTTATTTTTCGAAGAAACAAGGAATCTTCAGGCAGAACTTTTTAAAAAAATCGTAGAAGGTGGATATACTGGAGCTCTTCCTCCTTACGTGAAGTAGACAGCAAAGTAACAGAATTACCTTCCACCTAAAATATTTGTTTTATACAACTCAGGGCGATACATATGAGTGTCAGAAATGAAAAGGATTTTTACAATGATCAGTAAAATTTATTTCACAAAATATTTACTTTCTTTGAAATTGCCTAATTGGTTAATTTTTTTGAATATTGGCTTTTTTGAGCTATAATGATCGTCAAAGCATCAGTGCACCCCAAGATTTTGGCTATTTTGTATATCATTGTCCTCCAGAGCATAAAGAATTCTTTATACTGTATGTCTGCTATGAATCAAATATTCAGTCTTATGATGAAATTTAATGATATTTATTTTATTTATACTACCTAAAGCAACAGCTTTACCTTTTTTCGTAAATTTAGAGATCTGAATAAGATAATTAAAATAGGAAGAATTTCTTTTTGCAATTTAAAAATAATTATAAAATTTCAATAAAACATAGATCTTAATTCATCCCATTGGAAAAAATAGAAGAAAAATTTGCTTTTAAATTTTTACGAACTGGGGATTTTTTAAATTTCGAAAACTAATGGTGTTATTAGTCAATAGAGAATACGGGAAATCTATAGAATGCGAGCTATATCTTTTTATACGTAAAAAACTTTACGCCAAAAAGTTATAAAAATTTTTACTTGCCAATGCATTACATAATTGATGCCACTACAGATTCAATATTTGTACGAATAAGTTTCTAAGTCTTTTGAATACAGTGGAAACTGTCTCACTATTAATGCGCAATTTTTCAGCTGCAGTTATTTGCATAGTTTCTTGATGGCACTCAAAAATCAATCTAAGTATTGATTTCATAGGTAGCTTTATGCTGCTGAAGGAAGATCTCCTTTTTATTGAGAATGAAAGCTCACATATATAGCATTTTAAGAAGTAATGCTTTTCTGACTTGCATATGTAGCATTGATTGTCACATTTATAGCAGTTTGGTGGTGCTAGTATTCCTACACTTCTGCATCATGCTATTGATAGTTGATCGCTTTCAAAAATCTCTCTAAAAGTCCCAAATAGTTCATGCAAATAAAGTTTTATTTGTTATTCATTCCAACTACTAAAATTTAAAAATAAATATACATTTCTCTATTACTTTCTATATAATCGCCTATTAATTTACGTATTTCTGCATGAGAATCTTGTGCACCTGTTAAAAATATAATAAAGCTCTGTACAGGCAGTTGCCATGTGGTGCGAATACATCTAGACTTATAACTTCAAGCTTTTCTATTTCTGTACTTGTAGCTGAAGAAGTTTTATTATTATCTTTAGCTTTAATCCTTTTGTTTGCATGAAGGAAAATGTAGATGATTAAATCCATGTGATAGAGTGCTGCCGTAGATATGCAGATGACAAGAAAATTTTGAATTTTTTAGAATAAAAAATAAGATATTTTAACGGAAGTGAGTCTAAGTTTTATGTAACAGAGATCGTGGTGGGAAAGATTCAGAGATAAAAATAGAAGTTATAAATCAGAAATTTGAGAGTTTATTAGTAAAATTGTATAAAATAAAACAGATTGACTCCCTTGGTAGGGTAACCTTATAATGTCAAAAATATTAATTTTAGGTTCCTTCAGCATAAAATTGCTTATTAAAAAACCAATAAAAATTATATATAAAATTTAATTAAAAAATGGTATTTTCTGCAATTTTGTTATTAATTTATAGACATAAAAAATTTCTAATTCAAATAGAAGTATAGATCTTAATTCATCCGATGGTAAACAAATATAAAAAACTTATAAAATGTCTCTGAAATCTATTAAATGTAGATATCAATATCATAATTATTTCAACAGCATGAACAACAATCGATTTAATAGCTGTGAGCAATGGAAATCAAAAGGCAGAAGGCTTTACAAGCAAAATAATCTTAAAGAAGCCTTAAAATGTTATAGCGAAGCAATCAAACTCAAGCCTAAGGACGTTGTCTCGTATATTAAAAAAGGCAATATTCTTAGAAAATTGGACAGAGATCTTGAAGCAATAGTTTGCTATCACGAAGCTATTGAACTCAAGCCTGATGAATTTAAAGCTCACTATAAAATGGGCATTACTCTTGAAGATTTAGACTTGACAGAGGAAGCAATTGCATGTTATGACGAAGCAATAAAAGTCAACCCTACCCATTTTGAAGTTTACCTTAAAAAAGGCTCAGCTCATGATGATATAGGAAAATATAACGAAGCTATAGAATGCTATGATGAAGCTATAAAAATTACCCCAATTGGCCTGGAGTTTACAATATGAAAGGGATGCTTTTGGGAAAAATAGGCGATGGCGTTGAAGCAATAAAATGTTTTGATAAAGCACTGAAACTGGAACCCAATGATCCAGGAACTTATGTTAATAAAGGATGCATTCTCGATAGCTTAGACAGGGGTAGTGAAGCAATAAAATGCTTCAATAAAGCAATTAAGCTCAAGCCTGATTATGCAGCTGCTTACTTTAAAAAAGGGAAATCTTGAAGCAATAGAGTGCTATAGAAAAGCAATCAAGATTTGTCCGGATTGAGCTGACATTTACAATAACTTAGGAAATGCTCTTGATGAACTAGGCAAATATCCTATGGCAATAGAATCTTTCAACAAAGCAATCGAGCTCGAACCTGAAAATCCTTCTTTTTACAATAATAGAGGTCTTGCTCTTAAGGGTCAAGGAAAATATTTAAAAGCAATAAAATGGTTCGACAAAGCAATCCAAGTCAAGCCAGATTATTTTTAGCCTTTTATAATAAAGGCAATACTCTATGCGAATTAGATAGAGAACTTGAAGCAATAGAGTGTTATGACGAAGCATTAAATATCAGGCCAGATAATGTAGGCGTTTATAGATCTAAAGGTGCTGCTCTTAATACTTTGGGCAGATATCTGGAAGAAATAGAATGCTATGATGAAATAATTAAACTCAAGCCTGATGATGCCGTAACTTATGTTAAAAAAGCGATAGTCTTATCGAAATAGGCAGATTTCTTGAAGCAATAGAATGCTATAATGAGACAATCAAACTCGACCCTAATTTTGCTTCGGCTTACTTTAACCAAGGAGTTGCTTTTAAGATGTTAGGAAGAACTCTTGAAGAAATGGAATGCTATGACCAAGCAATTAGAGCCGATCCGAATTATCGTCTGGCTTACAATAATAAGGGAATTCTTCTTAGTGAATCAGGAAGGTTTTTGGAAGCAATTGAATGCTTTGATCAAGTAATAAGACTCAAATCAGATGATTATATAGCCTATAATAATAAAGGAAATGCACTTAAGGATTTAGGAAGAAACCTAGAGGCAATAGAATTCTATAACGGTGCAATTAAACTTAAACCTGATTTTGCTGATCCTCACAATTCATGTAGAAAATAATTATAGCTGTAATTTGACGATGAAGTAGATTTCCCTCGCTAAAAAACCATTGTAAAACATCAAAAAAATTGAAGAGTGAGCTCCCTCTATTTCAGATCTGGTCTATCTAAACTAATCCCTTCACATATACCACAATTATGCATAATTAATTTTGATAATGAATGCTATTTTTTACAAATCCAAGATTCTAAAATATTATATTATTTTTATATCATCTAAACCTTATTGAGATATTTCTCCTCTGAATATGTATCACAGACCCAATCATTTCTTCTTTTCTTGTGATTTTTAAAACTAAACTCTGTGATAAATATTTGAATTCTACTAAACTTCTAGCAATATAAATCAAATCTGCCTCACCTTGCAGATTTTTTTAGTGTTAAAGAGGAAATGCAAATTTTTGTAAAAATACTCTAAATCTTATAATATGCTTTAATAATGTAAATTTATCTACTTAAAACTAATATTTAAATACAATACTCGTCTGAATTTAAATATTAAAATAATCGTATAAAAAGAATTTATATGATATTCTGTTGTCATCAAATGCTATTTCAGTTTTTTCTTTTCACATGTCTTAAGCTTTCAAATCCCTTAGAACTATTACTTGTCTACTCAAACTCTTCAGCAAATATAATCTCAAGCCTGGTCACTGATATCAAAGCCAATATTTTAAGTCTTCCTTCAATAGAGCTTTCTACATGCGAAATTTCTTTACTTGAGGGAGAAATTGCAGCCCGTCAAAATTTATTTGCAGTTTTTGATATAAGTAGCAATTTGACATCTCAATTCGATGTTTCGAAGCTATGTGAAAAAAATTTTCTTATACATTTTCAGGTTTCTGAGAACTTACTTTATTTACATAAATGAACTTTTTCACTGACAAGCTCAAAAAAAAACAAATATGATGCCTTTATAACAGTTCTAAAATATTTTAATTGAACTGCTGGTATAGCTTTAAGCAGTGTCGAGAGCTATTCTAATTCACAACTTGCTTTAAAAAATTACTCAGAAAATATTGAGCTATTTTCTGTAAGCTCAAACACATTTATCACCGACTTTATTCAAAAAGAATTAATGAAATTAGGCTCATCGCTGTTTTTTGTGCTTACGAACAAAGAAAATTCCATCGAAATTCAAGAAAGTTTAAAATCTTCTAAAATGCTTACTAATGGAACTGGAATTCTGCTTTTCGGAGAAAGCAGCTATGGATCGAACACTAATGGAGCACTAGCTATTGTTGAAAAAAATAAAGAAGCAGTGGACTCTTATGAAAAATATTTAGTTGCTGCTATTTCAGAAATGATTTCTTTTATAAGCAGCTCTACAAGCCTAGACAATGCTTTAATTTTATTATCAAAGAAATGTCCAAATCATTACTGCTCAAATGAATTTTCCATTATAAATATTCAAGAAAATCAGAGCAAGATTGTTGGATCAATTTTTGATAGAAAAATAGAGCTAAATTCTACTATATTTTTGTGGATTTTTTTTATTTTAAATTCAGAATTTTTTTGACTACTGAGGTAGCGTATATATTTTTTAATTTAGCGAAAAGTAAATGGCAAATTTATATGGCTATAATATTATTTTCCCTGGGGACACTTCTGTTATTCCAGTATCACAGAAGAAAATTTTATATTTCAGTGCAAATGATGGAACGACTAATCCTGGTACTGACCCTTTTCCATTGGTAGACCTCTATAAAAGAGGCTTAACACTGGCGATAAATGATATAAATTCAGGTATTGATATATTAAAGAATTTTCAATTAAATCTCAACCACTTTGACTGCGGGGCAAATGTTTATAATGCTACTTTTTGCTATAATTGCCTATATCTGATAAATAGATTACAATTTTTCTATACTCTAAGTTTTCCTATTTAATACGAAATATTGATAGTGATTTAATAATAAATATATTTCATTTTTATAGTCAAGTATAAATAAAGATAAAGATAAACTAGGGTTGGTACATATGGTTAACGCTGGGTCTCCTGTAGCTTATGGATCAATTGCTACCTTACTCCTCCCTTAATTAGTGAGGTTCTGTATTTTTCTTCATTAATGAAAGGAGTGGCATAGACTTGTTTAAAAACATAATACTTTGAATGAAATCTTAGTGTAGTAAATAAGCTGTCTAAAACTTAATGTATCTACTAGAAGTGTCATTATTAAATCATTATCGCCCAACCCATAAATAATATTTACTCACTAATCGTAATTTATCAAATAGAATGATTTTTACTGATTTTGCTCATTTAATATACCGAGAATTTAGCAAAGTTAAATATCACAATTCCTCTTGTCGGAGCTACAAATCTCGACCCAGGTCTCTCAAACTCCACGAAATTTCCATTTTACACAAGATTAATTTTACCGAGCACAATTATTCTTTCACAATTTCCGTTGCTCCTTAAAGTTATGGGCTGAAATAATATTGGCATTATATATCAAGACGACTCCACAGGAATTAATTCATATAACACTATTTGTAAAGCAGCGGAAATACAGAATATAAAAATCGTAAATAAGCTGGTATCAATTCCACCATTATTAACTAGAGAACAAATAAAGAATTACACATATGTTTTTCAGGAAATTATTGATACAAATGTAAGATTGATAGTTTTAGTGGTGAATTCTCCTTTAATAGACTATATTGCTGAAACTTTTTATGATTTAGGCATGAGAAAAGGCGACATCATTTTTTTCTCTGCTAATCTTGTATGGCTCACTTCAGTCGCAAATAATGATGACTATGCATATAAAAGGCTAGAAGTCGCTGTTCCATTAATTAATATGTTTCAGTCACTTTTCCTACTCCAAGCTCTGGATATATTTTTTTATAAATCTTATATATAATTTAGATTTAATTGAACAAATAAGATAGTTTGGGTATTAATTTAATAAAAATTAATATTATTGAATAAGCTACATTTAAAAATTCACCTTTAGATTAAGAAAATTGCATCTCCCTATTTTCGTTGAAAAGAGTTAGGAGAAAAAGGTAAAAAAATTCATGATATTCTGTATACATCATATGGAAACATCGAGCCTAACACATATGCTTGTCTATATTATGATGCTGGCTATTTAATAGGCTCAGCCTTAGATTGGACTATAAACAAAGGCAATGATTACACTAATCCTTACACCCTTCAAGATGCTATTAGAGATGTAAAATTTATAGGATGTAGTGGAAAAGTGTATATGCAAAAAGGAAGCAATGATGTCCAATTATCAAGCTTTAGGATACAATCAAATTTCTATAATTCTACAACAAAAAAGTTAATGATTTACCAAAATGGACTACTTACTCCAACAGGCTCAAAAATTTTGTCGATTGAGACACCTATTGTGTATGCAGATGGAACTACTAATAAGCCCACAGATTTCAGGATCTTAAGAACTAATTGCGCATTCGATGATAAACTGAAGCAAACTTTTGATAAAGGCCGAGCTTTGGCTTTTGGGATTTGCTTTTTTGACGCAGCTGTTACAATAATTATTATTATTTAGACTTTACCGCTGATCGATATCAACAAGTTCATGCTCATTTCTTGCAGCAAGAACTCCAGCAATGTTCCACAATCACTACTGCAATTCTTAAAGCCTTACCGAATTCTACCTTTTTTTTTTTCTTTTGGTGCGAAGCGCCAAATAATTAAATTTATTACAATAATTATAACATTTTTTATTTGGAAAAATTGGTGAAACACAGAAATAGAAGATCTTAAACCGTTTAAAAATAAATTGATATTTAAATTTTGTGCCAAAAGGCACAACTTTAGAAAAATCAGCTTCATTTTAAAGTACAAAATTAAAATGATTTTATATATAAAAAAGGAAGAATTTTCTATTTCTGATTTTATGGTTGGGGCTACTATTCTGGTAGAATTTTTCCAGTACCTTTCTCAGGGCCCTAATATTCGACCTTTAAACAGTGTTCTTGCTAATATAGGTGATGCTGTTTCATTGGATTTGAAAAGCTTTATAAAACTTGAAAATGGAGTTTTTTGGTGAGTCGCTGGTATAATTATTGCCTTATGCTTCTTATGGTGTATTTTTTGTATTGTACTTTTTTGGCGATTAGATGAAAAATTTAGTCATATTTGGATTTTTAGGACTCTAGGACTTTTGGCTGACTATTCTATGCCAATTCTAGGGAATTTGTGCTTTATTCCATTTATATCAATACTTTTAGAAATATTTGTATGTGACCATTCAATTGGAAACAAATTCACAGACAGTTATCTCTCTGCTGACTGCTATCAATTTTGCTGGCAAGGGAATCATATAACTTTTGCAGTCCTGTCTGCGTTTTCTCTTATTTGCTACGAACCTTTTGCAGTATTTTGCAGGCCCCTTTGGCAAGAATTTCAGCATTCGCTGCACGTGAAATCCCTTCCTCTTTATTTGATGGTAAAAACAGTGATACAAGTGATTATAATAGTTCTTAACAAAACACTTAAGAAGTCCAGCCATGTTGTCCATGGGTTTGTATTTTCATTTATTTTATTATTATATGAAGTATTTTTGATGAGATTTAAAGCTTATAACTATGGAAGGTTTAACTGATGGCACCAACTCAGCATCATTGCAGTAACTTGGGTATCTTTTCTATCAACAATTAATTTCCTTATTAGTGAGTCTGATTTTCCGTGGGTTGTACTTATTTTTTCTGGATGGGGAATTATAATTTTAATAGGCTTTGCTGTCCAAAAGAAGAAGTATCCGAATTTACTGTACCGAAAAGAAAAAGATACTTCAACTCTATTTAAATTTGCGTTTACTTTTGGCAAAAAGTCTCGATCTCACCTTTCAAAAATCAAGCCTCAAGAGTTAGATTTTATTAAATAAAATAGATTTATAATTTAACTAGCAAGAAATGCTCTAATTAAAGCGTAAAAGAATTGAATAGCAGATAATAAATTAAGGAGAAAAATCTTAAATTTCTGTAAATAAGTGAATCAATATTCGACCTTAGAATAAATTTTATCGAAAGTATGCTTTCTATTAAAGGTGAAAATTAGAAAACTAAGCAGAGATCAAGAAGAATTTGAATTATGTCAAAGGACTCAAGTTCAATACAGATGATCCTGAATTAAAGGACTTATGCTAAAGTGCAGAAGGTAGTGCTACTTATAAAATAAAATTTATTTTAATAATTTGAATAAAAATATAATGAAAACTAAAAATTAATATCTCTATTTTTAATAATTGATATCATTGTGGCAATGCAGCGCATTTGAACTCAACTTCTTTATATTAATGAAAGGATTGGAATTTTGGTAATGCTAACACAGCCATGATTGGATAGCATATATGAAAAGCTGAGTAGGCATATCTTAGACTATGCTTTGACCTATAATTGTGGCTTCTCAGCTAATTTCTAGCATTAAGCTATTTATTCTTAATCAACAATCAAGTGTATAATGAGCTGAGACAACTCCATCAAGTCTTCCTTAGTGAATATATCGACAAGTTAGCTACATTTATACTTAAAACTCTTAATATAAGAAAAAAAATTCTCTTAAAATCGTTTTAGTATTTTTGAATATTAATTTAGGCTACTTAAAAAATTTAGATATTTTTTTAATTTTTTTTAAATATTAACCAGCTTAATTTTTGTTATCTAATTTTGATTTGTTTATATTTTCGCAAATTTGTTTTAATCTAACCAACTATTTGATAAAAACTTGGAAATACTCTTATACATGCCTGATCGTATGACCTTCGTAGATATTCAAATATAGACAAAATGAAAAAATGGTTTTCAATGTCTATTTTACTATTAAAATTCAGTTAATAGAAAATGAGGGAAAATATAGCATTATCTATAACGAAACATCAGATTCATGAAAATTAATAATTATAGCTAATAAACTATGGGTCTAAAGCAATCCAGAGATCATATAAGTTTATTTAATGAAGGCAATCATTTTTATAATTTACCTCCTCGGTGAACAAATAATATCTCATAGAGACCCATTTTTTTAAAAAAATTGCCTTTAAAATAGGTTATTTTTTTAAGAAATCTCTTATGACTAAATTAGAAAATTAAAAAATCAGAATTTAAGTTAATAAAATTAAAATTTTATTATATTGAAGGCTAATTTAAATATTAAGATTTTTAATAGGTAAAGAGTTAGGCAGAAATCTCGAAACAATAGACTGTTACAATGAAGCAATCAAGCTCAAACCTGATGCAGACATTTATTTTAATAAAGGAAATGCTCTCAAAAATTTAGGCAGATATCTTGACGCAATCAAATGCTATGACGAAGCAATTAAGAATCAGCCAGATTACTCTCACGCTTATAACAACAAAGGAAATGCTCTAAAAAAACTAGGAAGAGATCTTGAAGCAATAGAATGCTACACTGAAGCAATTAAACACAAACCTGCCGATACCTCTGCTTACTTTAATAAAGGAAATTCTTTTACAAAATTATACAGAAATCATGAAGCAATAGAATGCTATAACGAAGCAATTAAATTAAAACCAGATTATGCTCATGCTTACAATTTTAAAGGAAATGCTCTTAAAAATTTAGGTAGAAATTTTGAAGCAATTGAATGCTATAATGAAGCAATTAAAATCAAGCCTGGCTATGCTGATGCCTTTGAGAATAAAGGTATAGCTCTAACCTTGATTTAGATTGACAGATAAATAACTTAATCTGAAGAACTCATCTGATTTTACAGACCCTATTAATTAAATTTCTACAGTCCATCAAGCTGAAAGCACAATCTAAATTATGGTGTGGGGTATAATGCTCTGGAAAATTTAGGCAAATATCTTGAAGCAATAAAATGCTATAACGAAGTAATCAGACTCGAGCCTAATTATGCAGGTGCTTACTTAAATAAAGGATATGCTCTTGATAATTTAGGTAGATACCTTGAAGCAATAGAATGCTATAATAAAGTAATAGAGCTCAAGCCTGATTATACGGATGCTTATTATAATAAAGCCGCTGCTCTTGGCGATTTAGGCAGAAATCTTGAAGCAATAGAATGCTATGACGAAGTAATCAAGCTTGAGCCACATTTTGCTGAAGCTTATCATAACCAAGGCCGTGCTTTTAAGAATTTAGGGAAAAATCTTGAAGCAGAAGAATGCTTTAACAAAGCTATAGAGCTTAAACCTGATTATCCTGATGCTTACTTTAACAAAGGACACGCTCTTGGGAATCTAGGCAAATATAATGAAGCACTCGACTGTTATAATGAAGCAATCAAGCTCAAACCTGATTATGCTGACGCTTATCATAATAAAGGGTTTACCCTTAACGACTTAGGCAGATATCTTGAAGCAATAGACTGCTATAATGAAGCAATCAAGCTTAAACCTAATTTTGCAGAAGCTTATTATAATAAAGGTGTCTCTCTTAGAAATTTAGACATAAATCTCGAAGCAATAGACTGCTATAACAAAGCAATTGCGCTCAGACCTGATTATGCAATAGCTTTTACAAATAAAGGTGCAGCGCTTAATGAGTTAGGTAGAAATCTTGAAGCAATAGAATGCTATGAGGAAGTAACAAAGCTAAAACCCGATGACGCTTCTGGTTACTTTAATAAAGGATATGCTCTTGATGATTTAGGTAGGTATCTTGAAGCAATAGAATGCTATAATAAAGCAATTGAGCTTAATCCTGATTATACAGATGCCTATCATAATAAAGGTTTTGCTCTTGAGAATTTAGGAAGAAATGTCGAGGCAATAGAATGCTATATCGAAGTAATTGAATTAGAACCTAATGATGCTGATGCTTACTTTAATAAAGGAAATTCTCTTTATAATTTAGGCAAGTATCTTGAAGCTGTTGAATGCTATAATGAAGCAATCAAGGTTAATCCTTATTTTGCTAAAGCTTACTATCATAAAGCTGCTACTTTATTAGTTTTAGAAAAATATGAAGAAGCAATAGAAAACTATGGCAAATTAATTAGAATCAACCCTGACTGTGCTGAAGCTTATTTTAACAAAGGCGCTATTCTTAATAAATTAGGCAGAGATCAAGAAGAATTTGAATGCTATATAGAAGGACTCAAATTCAATCCTGATAATTCTGAATTAAGGGAGCTTGTGCTAAATCACAAAAGGTAGTGTTGCGTAATTAATAAAATTTATTCAATAACTCGAATAATGAAATAAAGCCTAATAAATTCTGTTAATGACAAATTTTCATTTCATAAACTATGAAGTTAATATACATTTAAATGATAGCATTTAGATGGTGCGGTCAGATAAATGATTCGATGTATAAGTACTTTGAATCTCAGGACTGCTGAGAGCCAAGCCTCGTATTACTTTATATGAAAATTATCTAATTTATTATGAAAATACATATGCAATAAAAATTTTCAATAAATTATATGATATAATGAAAAAAGGTGCTAAGAATCAAAAGCCTGTAAATTACTACAACTATTTTCTAGATCTAGGTGATAGCTGCTATGCAGAAAACAAGCTCGAAGAAGCCATAACAGACTATAGATCTGCGATTAACCTTCTTAAAACTTCAGATAAAAAAGACGAAGTCAAACTTAAATCTGACCTAGCTATTGCTTACAATAAAAAAGCATTTGCCTGGTATATACTAGGGGGAAATGACCACAAAGCAGCAAGGGAATTAAAAAAAGCAGTTTCTCTCAAACCTGATTATGCTGAAGCCTTTAAAAACTTGGGCATCGTTTTACAAAATTTTTGTGATAATGATAAAGCAACAGAAGCATATGACAAAGCAATCGAACTTAATCCAAATGACACAGCTCCTCATATCGCCAAGGGCATATCATTTAATGCATGTCATGAACTTTCTAAAGCAATAGAAAGCTTTAACGAGGCAATTAAAATTGATCCTAATGATCCAAATGGTTACATTTATAAAGCATATGCTCTTGAATCTTTAAATAAACTTTCTGAGGCCGAAGACTGCATTAATCTAGCAATCAGTTTAAATCCAAATTATGAGGATTCTTACTTTTATAAAGCATTATTTCTTTCTCTGGCAGGTAGAAATCTCGAAGCAGCAGAATGCATCAATGAAACATTTAGGTGTGAAATTAATGATCCAATTTTTTATATAAAGCGTGGCCAACTGCTCACTCCCCCACTTTAAATTGGAACAAAAAATCCTGTTCCAATTTAAAGGTGGTTAAGAAAAAGTTTTAAAAAAAAAACAAAATTATATAAAAGTTAAAGAGACAATAAATTGTATGCATTTATATTCAACAACATTCATCCCTTAAAATTGAAAAAAAATAGTGTTTAATTTTTGATTCTGCATATTAAATTAGATATTAAGATATATTACATATAAATTATGATTTTTGCCTATAAAATTTTCATTATAAAATTGAATTTTGTTCCAATTTAAAGGGGGGTTAACTCCCCAAAAAATGGAAATTTTACCTATATTTTGTTCCAATTTAAAGGGAAGGGAGTCAGTGATCTAAAATTAGAAGCAGAAGCTCTAAAAGATTTTAAGAGTGCTTTAAATCTATTCCAAGAAATACTGTCAAAAGAAAATAGTCATAGAATAATTAATAAGCCTCATTGGGGAGCGCTGTGGTATTTAACAATTAATCAGCTTCATCTTGAGTTCCTTGAGGAAATTATTGGAATGCAGGAGTGCTTTACTGAATTAAAGAAGGAGCTTGAAAGACGTAAGACTGATGAGCAAAGCTTAGATGAAAAAATTGTTGAGAAATATCAAGCAATTAAAAAGCAACAGCCTGAAATCCTTAAATTTGCAATTGAAAAACTAAGGGATTCTCTTTATACTCCATTTTGCACTTCTCATATAGAGAGAGAGAAATCTTTATTACTTAAAGGCCTTTATTTCAGGGCCATGTCCCGATTAAAAATTTTTTTTAACTTTCTTCTTTTCCTAAAATCTTTGGATAAAATTTTAGTAAAATTTTCTGAACCCACGTAATCCGCGATTTTTTCGATTTCTGAGTCTGATATGAATTTTCTATATCTGATGAAATTTGAATCTGATCTAAATTTTATTTTCTTGATAATGTTTGATTCTGATATCAATTTTATTTTTCTGATAAAATTTGAATCTGATCTAATTTTTATTTTTCTGGTGTTCAGGATTTTCTTATCGATTGTCTTCTTATCATCAATGATCACCTCAGTCTTCCTATATTTGAAGGTTTCCTGAATAGAATCTATTTCATCTAGTATTTTTCCATCTAAACGACTTAAAAACTCCAATATTTTGTCATCTGTATCAACATTTTCTGCATCACTATCATTTCATTCATACTCTGATTTCAGAATTATCAAGTAATCCTGTATCAATAAGTTCATTTAATAGTAAAAGTTCGAAAAATTCATCCTGTAAAGCTCCGTTTTCTTCACAAAAGGAAGAAGAATAGGAAACATTACTTTCCGAATCTTCCATTAAAATAAAAGTCTTCTCATATAGAAGATAAATTATTTTCATTAAAAGAAGATATCATTGATTTCTGGCTGCCTCAGTCAAGGAAAGAGGTTAGACTTGAATTAGAGCTTAAGATAAAAGCTGACATAGAAGGGAGTCGAAGGCTTAAAAAATATTGTGATGCTCTATTTGAAAGACTCAATGTTGCTGTTAATGAAGCAGAAAATAGATCTTATCAACGCTTGGAAAATCAACCAGCCGTTTGACAAACCATAGATCTATTTTTTGAAGATAGAGTTCTAGATAATATAAAAGTCCCATTTGGTGCTAGAGGAGGAGGACTTTATCATGTTCTTGGCAATAAACAATATTTCCTTTACTCCCCCTTCGTGCGAGCAAAACCATTTGAAAAATCACTATTTTTTGCCTAAAAACAAAAATTTTTAATAGAAAAATTTGAGATATAAGTGATAATTATTATAATGAAATCTCTAGTTAATTCTGCTTAATTTTAAAACAAATTGCACTTAAAACATAAATTTTGCAAATTAAAAATAAATATATTTTCTTTCCAATTTTGCGAATTAATTTTTTTAAAAAAATATTAATCCCCCTCAAGCGAATTGTTCGCGCACGAAGGGGGAGGAGTTGGTAATTTGAGCCCATGTGCTGAATTGCGGCCATATGTTATTAGAAAAACAGCAGAGACACTCACCATAGCGAATAGAGAAAAAATAAAGGCAGCAAAGCATAATCCTGAAGTGCAGTTTTGAATTGAAAATGGACTTATTGCTAAATACAATGATTACTTTATGCTAAATCTTGACGATGATCTCTATAAAAAGAAATATCAAATTTTGGGCTGCCTTGACGCTTTGTTGATTATTATTGCAGCTTGGGGTAGCTTTTTTACATATAAACTAACTTCAGAAGAAAGGATTAATCTGCTAGTATCAGCGAATTCTTCGTTTAAATTCACTGAAGGAAAATTCATAATTACAGATCCCAAACTTCAATGTCCACCAAAAAATAAAAAAGAGGCATGCTGCAATATTTTTTAGGCTTAAAATTAATTTAAATATATTTATATTAAATTCTCTTTAAAGTGCTTCTAACACCGCAAATCCTATATTGCAATGAGGTTTCTTAATTTCTATAAGGCATAGGCTTTATATTGTCCGATTATTTCTTATAATGCTTAATATAAAGTGAAATATAAAACCAAGATAAATAGATATTAAGCTGGGCTTTAGATCTGGGTGCAATTGTGTCTCTGGATATTCACGAAATTGTACTTCTCCCGAAATTAAACATTAGAGAAGCATTGCATATTAACTGTAAGCATCCATAGTTTCAAATTATAGCAAAGTGCTCGAATTGGAGCCTAATGAGCCCATATTTTTAAAAATTATACTAGAATGCTAAATACTCTTAAATAAGGATTAAAGCTCTAAAGGACAATTAATGAAGCAAATCCTTTAATGCAAGAAAAAGAAGCTAATGAAATCATCAAGATCTATGAAAAGAGAAAAAAGAAGGGGAATATGTAGAAAGCTAAGAAGAGGATAATAGCTGCCTATATTTATGATATTTTAGATCAAAATCACAAAAAATTACTTTCATAAAGGCTGCACGTACCTCAGCTTTTCAAAAAGGATTAGAATATCCCAAAAATTACTCAGATTTTCTTAAAAAACTAAAAGAGCAAGTCGAAATAGTAAGCAACAGCACGCTCAATTTTTTTATTGGCTCGCATTAATCTTAGCTTAAAAATTTGAACTCAATTCAAGGAATGTATTAAAATTTCCTAAAAAATACCTTAAAAACATAGCAAAAAATCACTTTTCTTCCATTCAATAATTAAACTCAATTTATAAATAATTAAAATGAATCGTGATCGATTTTCCGAAAGGTGTATAAGGCTTTCATTAATGCAGAATTTTAGAGACAAAAAGCTTCCTTTCTTTAATGACCGGTTAGATTGAGCTTATGAAGAAATGATTGAGAGAATTAGAAGAAAAGATGCAGCAATAAGTACGGCATGGATTCTTGGGCTCGGAAGCTGGTATTGATATTATGTTAAGCCTCATTTCAACGGAGTTAAATATCTTGGATATACTTTAGTTTTCTTAGTGTGGGCTTCTGTAGATATGCTTATTAGCACACTTGTTAAAAATTATTATACCGATATTAACTTAGAAAATAAAATACTTAGAAGATACCTACCCCAAGTCATCGAAAATAACCCGAAGCTTGAATGTCTTTTTTCCAGCCCAGATCCTCAAGGTGAATCTCAAACGAGCACTGAAGAATATGAAATCAATCAGATTTTTAATGGGTGGGTATATAATGTCTATCAAAAATGAAACATAAATGAAAACAGTAACCAAATTGGAAATTTATATGAGGAAAGTCCTGCAGATCAAGACCGTAAAAAATTTTCATTTCACCCGGAGATAAAGGAGGCTAAAACTTTGAAAGCAGGTTATTCAGAGACTCATGAAGATCAATGAACTTCAAAAAGCAGCTGCCATGAGGAAAAATTATGAACAAAATATTTCGATGGCCCATTTAACTCAAAATGCAATTTATCCGGTAGCAAAATAGCTTCAAAATACATAAATGATTTAAATAATCACTATATATGATCATTCAGCCAAGATAATATTAGTGCTGCCTATTATCCTGGAGTTTCCATCTTACAAGATCGGATTTAAATAATAATAATAATAAGATTATTATGCAAAATAAAATAAATTTTTCAATTGCTACGATTCCTCAAATTGCACCCAAAGAATCAATTCATAAACAATTTCTAACGTTGATATTAATTTACGGTTATCAATAGCTTAATTGGATCAATAATTTTTATAAAATTTCGTTACTGTTATTTTTCTTCCTTTTCAACTTTGTTTTCTTCCCCATCCATTTCTTACACTATCTCCATTTTCATTTTTGTTTTGCAGGACTATGGGATCTTAGTGGCGCTTAAAGGTGTTTTTTGGAATATGAGGTAAAACATATAAATAATAGTTATCTTAAAGTACTCAAGAGAGAGAAATATCAATAGCCACTATAATGCTGTGATTAGCTAATCAAAATAAAGCATTATTAGAAATCATTCAATTAACTTAAAATTTAAGAGAAATCTATTTTTCTAATTATCATGCTTCCTAATAAATTCTGTTGATGACAAATTTTCATTTCATAACCTATGAAATTAATATATAATACACTCGGTATTTCTCCGAAAATTTGCAAAGAAATTTTTGAAAAAAAATTTTGTCTCTTACCGAAGAGGGGAGTTGGTAATTTGGGCCCACTTCCTGAAATGCGGAAATATGTTATTAGAAAGACAGCAGAGACACTCACCATAGCGAATAGAGAAAAAATAAAGGCTGCAAAACATAATCCTGAGGTGCAGTTTTGAATTGAAAATGGACTTATTGCGAGGTACAATGATTATTTTATGCTAAATCTTGACGAAGATCTTAATAGAAAGAAATATCAGATTTTGGGCAGCCTTGACGCTTTGTTGATTATTATTTTTGTATTGGGTAGCTTTTTTACAAATAAAGTAGCTTTAGAAGAAAGGATTAATCTTTTAGTATCAGTGAATTCTTCGTATAAATTCTCTGAAGGAAAAATCATAATTACAGATCCCAAACTCATACACCAACCAAAAATTAAAAAAAAGGTATGCTGCAATACATTTTAGGATTAAAATTAATATAAATATTATTAATATTATGGTTTCTCTTTATATTACTTCTAAGACCGAAAACCCTATTATTGCTACGACTCTTCTTAATTTCTAAAAGGCATAGGGATTTGTATAGTCTGATTATTTCTTATAATGCTTAATATAAAATCACAGGTGAATTGGTATTAAGCTGCGCTTTAGGCCTGAATGCAATCTGACTTCTGGATATTCATGCAATTGACTTTTTCCGAAACTTAAACACTTAGAGAACCATTGAATATTAACTGCAAGTAACTATAGTTTCAAATTATAGATAGGTGCTCGAACTGAAACCAAGTGAGCCAATAATTTTAAAAAATTATACTAGACTGCTAAATACTCTTGAATAAGGATTAAAGCTCTAACTCCCCCACTCCACGAATGCTTTAACCTAGCAATCTTTTTTAAATTTTAGAAAAATTAAAGATGATATCTGAAATTTAAACACAGTTACTTAAAGCATTACTGATGGGCTATACTAAATAATAATTTTGCGAATTAACATAAGTTAACACTAGATATTATAAAAATAGTATATTATTTAGTTATTAGTATATGCGATACTCGAGAACACTGAATTCTAAAGAGGCCTTCAGATTATAAGAAAATAATATGGAAATTAATGGCACTATTTCTGCGATATTTTTTATAAAATTCATAGTCTTATTATATTGCAGTGATCCTCTTAAAAAAATAAAAATGATTCAATTAATAAATCAGCTCAAGTAAGATTTAATAATTTCGATGGCAATGTCTAAAATTTATATTTAAAGAGGTATCCTTTTTCAGTATAAAAGGACCGATTAAAATATTTGCTAAGCATTTAATATTTTTGCTTTGTTAAAATGCTTTTAAATTCTTTCCTGCATTAGTTCAAGCATAATTTTTCCATAGTATTGTTAAACTAATTATTTTAAATACAAATATGCAGCAATAAAGTTTTATTAATTGATATTGGAAGTCAGTACTGAAAAAATACTTACTCCCCCCCCATCCTTGATCGAACGACTCGCCATCGTTCGATCAAGGATGGGGGGTTAAAAAAAAAATTTTTTTGGGAAAAAAAATTTTATATATAAAATGAAAAAGATAAATATAGATTTTTTTTATTTACTTTTAAATAAAGAGGGTTAAGAGTATTTAATAATTATTTTTACAGCAAAAAAATTGAATTAATTTCATAAAAATACCAATTTTTAATATTTTGATTTATTAGTTACCAATTTAAACTGTATAAATTTTAATTTAAATTAATTTTTTTTTAAAAACTTTAAAGAATCTCTATTTTATTAGATTATTGAGTTTTTAAGCCTAGGTTGATGGCTAAATCACTTCGGATGGTTGATTTCGCAGCTTTTTTGTCGTCTCAAAGCTCTGAAAACAACTTCATTAGGTACATCTTCCAAAGCTTTTGATAACTAATATTTTTATATATATAAAAATTTGCATGATATGAAAATCGTTCGATCAAGGATGGGGGTTAATTTCCCCAATTTTTAGGAATTTTACAGTCAATCGTTCGATCAAGGATGGGGGGGGGGAGTTACCATTAGTTTCAAGTTTTAGCTTCTAAATAAAACGTCATAAGTGTTTATTAAAAGATGGAAAATTCTATTCAAATAGAAATGATGGAATATTTACTATTCTTAAGATAGAAGCGTAGGTGAGACAGTAGACATTGCTAACATTAAATTATAAAAATAATACAGACAGTTAAATGAGTACTCAATTTAAAGATCGTGGGGCAAATGAAGGGGGGATGCTTTGAGTGAAAGATTATGCTTGTAAATTTATAGGATTAAACCCGAGGGCTTTTAATTCTCTTTTTGAGCATGCTTGCATGCTATTGAGATTCGTGCCTCTGGCATAAGCGCTTGCTGAGTTTTCTGGCCCTAAAAATCTCTTGGATGGTTCTGGTTCTTGGTTGCATCCCCTCTTCGCGGTCTGATTCTTTTGTCTTAGATTTCTCTGAATTACCAAATGTTAGGAATTTCCCAACATCTTCATCTTCATTTTTGCATTTCTGAGAGTTCCTTGCCTTTTTCCAGTAAAGCCACTCACTAAAGTGCTTTACCTTAGTATGACGAATGAGGTTCTTCGTGTACTTGTAGTTTTTAGGACACACTTCACATTGGAAAGGTCTTTCATCACTATGCGATGCCAAATGCCTAGTCAGCAATTGCTTTCTGCTGAATCTCTTCTTGCAAGTTTCACAAACAAATCTCCTGCTTTCGTAGTCCACGTCCATTTATTGCAAAGATGGAAGATGATGGCCAATTGTAAATGCTGCATTAAGGAATGGAACTGATTAATGGAGAATTGTGATAGCGATTATAACGCTACTGGGATTGCAGGACTATAGCTCAAGCTCAACCAAAGATGTGCCCTATATAATTTTAGTATTAAAGCCCCCAACAAAAATTTCAACCTTCTCCAAGAATTGTGATCTCTCAACAATCAATACCAAAAATGCTTTCCCATGCTTATTAATTCCCATCACAAGCAGCGGTACATTTTCCTAACTTCTTTGATTACATCAGTGGAAAAGATCCTTTAGCTGATAAAGAGGGATAATTCTCTCAAAGAAACAGTAAAAAAGTTAAAAAATTCAATTCAGAAGTCATCATAATTGCCAAAATAAAAGAAAAAGATTGTGCTGGCCAAGAGTTGATTATAATTTATACGCTACCCTAAAGTACTTGCACATATAGCAATATGCTTGAACCGAGGCCAATAAAAAAAGGGCTATATAAATTGTAAGAGTAATTATAGCTTTTCAGTGAGATGGGATGCACTATGTTTCGCTTCCTTTTATTAAGTAGAGCTTATAACAGCAATTTTTTTGCTTCAATTTCATATAAATTTTAATTAAATTAATCTAAATTTTATTATAAACTATAGTAAAGAAAGTGTATATGCTCAAAAAAAGAAAGACAAAGATTTAATTGTGGCATTTACTTGTTTATATTTAGATAGTAAATTTTCTTTATTTTAATATAAAAATTTTTTACTATTTTTTCATATAAATTATTATTAAAGGACAAAACTGCTAAATTGATTCTTAATAGAATCTAAAAATAAAAGGTTCTGGTATACTTCTATTGGCCAAGACTAAGGGCCGCAAGAATTACAATTTTACATTAACTGGAATCTAGAAACTACTGAATTTATAAAGTATTCTATATTGACTTTCAAGATTTAAACATGGACCTCTGTATTTAAAATATTTTTTGTATGTCAATCAAAGCTTACCTTTAGCTGTTAATTATTACTAATAGAAAATTATTATTGTATTAGATCTTTAATAGGGGTCTTAAAAAACAAATAAATTAAGAATTGAACCAAGATTGTGCGCTGCAGAAGGTAAAATTTCTAATTAAATTAGGAGCTGAACAATGCACTCAGCTTATCAAGAATTTAGCCCCAGGTCTTACTGTAGTTGATCTCCCTGATTAATCTTGATTTTTTATTTCTAGGACTAATATTAGCTTTTAACAATAACTAAAACTAATAAAAAGTTGACAATATGCCAGCCAAGAAAATCTTAGCCTTAACAGGAGATTACGCTGAAGACTACGAAATCATGGTCCCAGTCCAACTTTTATCAATGGTCGGGCATATAGTCCACACTGTCTGTCCAGACAAGCAAGCAGGTGACTATACATTGACCTCTGTCCACGATCTAGAACTCGGCCTCCAAACCTATTATTCAATTGACGGGCACAGATTTACCTTAAATAAAACTTTTTCAGAAGTAAACGAGGCTGAATATGACGCTTTATTTATCACTGGAGGCGGCGCACCTGAATATATAAGATTAAATCCAAGGGTCATTGAAATTGTGCAGCATTTCGCGAATAATAATAAACCTATAGGCACTGTAGGGCATGGAGTGCAAGTGTTAGCAGCTGCTGGAGTGCTTAGGGGGAGAAAAGTAACTGGGTATATTGCATGTGAGCCTGAAGTCGCTATATCTGGAGGCACTTATGTGAAAAAAGACTGGGGAGAGACCAATGTAGACGGAAATCTTGTGAGCTGTGTAGCTTGGTCTGGGCATGAAACTTTTGTTGCTGAGTTTTTGAAGGTTTTAGGGACAACAATTGAGCTTTAAATAATAAATATGCTTAATTATAAAGATTAGTAATAATAGCAGAAATTTTATTATTTACTTTAAAAGTTGGCCAGAATATTTAGCCTCAGTAATTGGGCATATCTTTTATATGAGACTTATAATTATAATAAAAACACTAATTTAATACGAAATTTTTTATTTCATAAATACTGGGGAAGCTTTTAAAAATCTCTAGGCTCACGAGTTTCCAAAAACGTTTTAAGTGTCCTTGACGAGTTTAAAAACCTGACTTTCCACTGTCTCAGCTTATTATGCCCTTCTAATGTCTCTGGGTGAAATTTTTCAATGATATTATGAAGTACAGCAAATACATGGAAATCTGCCCTAGTAGGATGATTTCCCACAAAGTATCCGCTTCCTCCATTATTTTTATCAAGCCTTGCCTCTATTATTCTAAGCCACTCAGGGACTTTTTCTGTAAATACTTTACTAAGTCCTTCAAAGTCCTTATTAAAGGCTAAAGGAGTTATAGTGCTGCCAATATCTTCGCATAAGTCGCACAAAGACTCAGTCCAATAGGTTTCTTCACCTTCTGCAGCTCCATAGCCAAATTTATTGCAAAGGTAACGAGAAATTGACTGAGTTTGAGCCAGCCTGTGCCCGTCTACATCTACTATTGGCAGTTGGGAAAATTCAGCAAAGCCTGAACCCTTCAGCTGAGGCCATTCTTGGAATTGAATTTTATGGTCTTCGAAAGCAGCCCCGGCGTAGTGAAGAATCATCCGGATAACGTCAGCTCTCCCATATATGTCGAAGTAGTGAACAGTTATGCCTGACATTATTATATAAATTTGGTTTGGAAAGGAAATTCCAATGGTGTTAGATTGGCTACTTAAAACAATTAGATGGCAATAATAAAAAGATAAAGAATGTGACTGATTGAAATCAGCCATAAATAAAATGTTATTCGGTTCGAGTGAAATTAGCTCTCGCCAATTTTCTCTCCCTCAAGCAATTATTTATGAGAGTAGGTTTTCTTCTGAGAACTTCTGTACAGCAACAGCGGCTTAACTCTGGCAGATAAGCCGAGGCACTACTCCAAGTACATCAAAAAGCTCGAAGTTTTACCTCTCAGCACACCTGAGGAAGGTGACCCTTAGGCGGAGCACGCGCAGGAGCTGAGTCAAGGAAGGCAAGGCAACGCAGCCCGTCGAAGCCGGAACATTGTATTTGCCCGTGCCCTGGCGCAACAAAGTGGATCAATGCAGAGGTCCATAGGCCCGATATGTGGGCAAATATGGTGGCAGCTCTGGAAACGGCGACCCTAGTAGTGGACTTTAAACGCTATAGATAATTCAAGTATAAGTATAAGATTGGAATCAGCCAAATTTATACTTTTTGTATGATTTTTTAATAGAAAAACATTCAATTTAAGGTATAATTTATTATAAATAAGGGCAGTAGGCTTAACAAAAATTAAATTATTTATTTTAATATAGAAAATAAAAAATTAGATTAAAACAATCAAACTGAATAATTATTGTAAATAATCTCCAGCATTTTACGCTAAATTTTGATTCGCTTTTCTAAGCTGTCAGTTAATAATAATGGGTTGTGGTAAAAGCAACGCTCAACAGCCAACTCCGCCTACTAAGGTCTCAGCTGGATCTAAGCCTACTTTCCAAAATGTAGTTTATCACTATTTCCCTGTTTATGCAAGAGGAGAAGTTGTCCGTCTGAGTCTTCACTATTTAGGTGTCGCCTACACAGAAGACTTCGTCACTTTCCAAACTTGGCCAGACTTTAAGCCAAAAACAGAATTTGGACAAATTCCAGTGTTAGATATCAATAATCTGAAACTCGCGCAAACGAAATCAATCATGCGTTATCTTTTTCAATCCTTCAAGCACTATCCAGCAGATAACTTCCAAGCTTACAACGTTGAAAGTCTGGTTGATTTAATAATTGACATGAGAAATCCTAAGGTTAAAAATTTTTTTTTTATAAATAAATTATTAAAACACTAAAAAATTAATTAATAAAAATATATAAATCCTCTATATGAAGCACATGTAAAAAAAGCCCCAGAGCAAGTTGAAGCCCTTTACTCAACAAAATATCCTGAACAGCTGAAAATGTTAGCAAAAAGATATTCAACGTATGGGTCAAAGAAGTTTATGGTCGGCCAAAGTGTGACTGCGGCTGATTTATATGCATTTGAGTATATATACGACTGCTTTATGACTCCTTTAACAAAACAATACGAAAATTTGCTTGATCAGCATTGTCCAGCAGTAAAGGTGTGGGCCAAAGAGTTTTTGGAGTCATCACAGGCATTGAAAACGTATTTAGCTTCAAGGCCTGAAAGACCATTTTAACTAATCATAATATTTATGATAAGAATTTCTAATGACGTATACTTATTAATGAAAATCCCTATCTATAAATCTGAATCCAAATTTATATTAATTTTATCAGCCTAACCGATTATTCTTATTAAAGCTTTAATTATTTTATACATCTAATTATATTTTCTCAGTGTATGAAACATTGGTTTTAATGTATGCTTTTCCTCGTAGCACTTTTTACAGAATTTCGCATAGTTGCATTCTTTACAGTAACCTTCAGCGTTTTTTAAACAATTTGAGCACAAAAATTTCACTATGTAAAAGTTATACTATTTTGCATAATTATATGTATTATTATATAGAAAATCATTTATATTTTTTATTTTTTTGCTTTCTAGAAAAAGAATACCCCTAGTGACCGTTGAATAGCCGATTCAACTTAATGATCTTTGATGTAATGGTGAATTTTCTGGGCTACTATTGTCTAGATAAACATTATTTGAATAAGGAGGGGAGTCAGGCATTACTTTTATTGGAGAACTCAAAGGAGAACGGGGAAGCTGGGAACGTGAAGACTTTGGCTTTCTTGCTGTGGAACAACAGCAGAATTGGTTTAGCAAGCCAGCTATCATTAATTATTCATATTTTGTTATGAAAAAGATAAGCTTAATATTCGTGGCCAGAAATTAAGAAATTAATTATTCTCAATGAAAGCTTATCTAATAAGTATCAATTATATATTGCTTTGACTGCGTGATTCTTAGGATTTTATATAACAAGTATTTAAATATTCTCCCCATTTTTCCTTATGATGCTATTTTTAAAAGATTTATTTCTCTAAATAATATTTTTATTTTATATCACTTGTAAGATTATTGATTTTTGTGATCTTCTGATATCATAAAGAAATGGTCTGTTATAAAGGAAACGGAGTAAAGGTCAAGCTCAAACTTATCAATCCCTTGCTCTTTATAGACAATAGTGATTTTTTCCTAGCATTTTCCAGTTTTTCCAATCCTTCTCTACTTGCGAAGCAGCTTAGCAATAAAAAGAAGTTCATCATTTCACGCTCAGAGTCTGGCTACAATATTGTGCAGAACCGTATTGTTTTGATTAATTTAGATAAAAGCCCACAAGAGGCTTTTTATGAAGTCTTCCAAATCATTGTAAATGCAGAGCCTTCCCAAGAAGGAAATAAGAAAATTAAAAGAATTCTTTTGGCTTTTCCTGAAAATCCAGACCTATGACTATATGCAATAGAAGAAGTAATAAAAGCCCTGTTGAACAGTTCTGGCATAAGAGTATCACTGACTATATGCTTGAAAAGCCAAGAATTAGAGATAATAAAAAGTCATTTGAGGGATTCCAATTTTCATACTGAATTAAATGTGAATAACGTAAAAAGGCTTAGAAGATACTTTTTTTCAAGATTTATCTGTCAATCTTGCTCAGAGTTCGCTTATAAACCTTACGTTTCAAGATGCTGCTACTCAATTTATTGCAATTCATGTGTCAAAAATTTATATTGCAAGGTGTGCAATAATCGATGTGAATTTGAAATTAATTTAGCAATAAAAAAATTAGTCAATGAATCACCTTATTATTGTAACTGTGGAGAATCGATAAAAGTATTATTTTTTGTGCAAAAAAGTGATTTATTTTATATTTACTTTCTTAATTTTTTATAGGAAAAAGGGAAAAGAATATATGTGCTATAAAATATAGCTTAAAAATAGTATAAAAGACATTGAAAATCATATGCTAAGTTGTGCAGCAAGCTTATTTCGCTGCAAATTTATAGGCTGCTCTTTTGAAGGCTCCCAAATAGAGCTTATGGATCACGTTTTTCAATTTCACACAGAAACAATACTAGAAAGAATGAATGAATATGCAGAAATTGATATAAGCCAGAAGCAGCGGCTTATCCAATGCAGAATGTGTGGAGATTTTAGCGAATCTCAATGCAAAAATTGTTTAAAAAGCCTTCCAATAGCTAAAAAATTATAATAATGCTTAAGAAATATTGATATTATTTAGAATTTATTGAGATCTGCAATGATTTTTCCAATCTCGCTTGTTTTTTCATGGCTTTCTCCCAGTGTAGATTTAAATATAGAAAACGCTTTTTCTAAATAAATCAAAGCAATTTGTTTATTTTTGATATTTGCAAGGCCCATGTAATGATAACAAACCCCAGCCGCTTCACTATTTTTTCCTGATTTTCCTTTAATTATTTTTAATGACTCTTTTAGGTGTTTCATAGCATCATTATCCGAGCCAAGTTTTAATTGGCAGTACCCGAAGTCACACAAAAACTGGGCTTTGGCCAGCTCATCTTTTTCATTTTCACAATAGTGGATTTCGTCAGCACTTTCATATTCTAATATAGCTTCATTTCACATAGACGCTCCTAAATAAAACCCAGCTAGCTTGTTATAAGCTTTTCCCACTTCTAGACTTCTGTCGCCGAATTTTATTTTTCTTATTTCTAGGACTTGCCCCATGCATTTTTTGAATCCGTCAGATTTGCCAATTTTCGAGTAATTTTCAGCTGCCTTGACTAAAAATTCAGTCTCATCTTCGTCAAAGCCTTCTTTAGTGATTTCAAAGCAGTCTAAGTAGCATTGTATAGCTTCTTTATATTTCTGCATGCTTTCTGCAAATTCAGCTGTTTTGATTAGTAATTCTAATGTCTCTTCGTTATTATGTTCTAATTTTCCCTATTAATAGCATGGAAATTTAGCTTAATAATTAAATTTAATAATGCCAAAAATATTTTTTATTAATTTTAAGGAGTATGTTGTTTTTCGCTGCTTCTACCTGTTTAAGGCGAAATTCCAAAGCCTTTTGTGGGTTATTCAGTTCACGGCAGATTCTAAATGCAGCATAAGCCCATTGAGCAACATCTGATGTCAAGTGCTTTGGCTGATCTAATAAATAATTCAAAGCTCTTTCATATAACTCAAGGGCTTCTTCTGGCTGATTTTGGTTTTGTGCAAGCTTAGCTAGAGATGCATAAGACTTGCAGCACTCATAATGAGAAGTAGGGACAATTTTTTGCCTTATTTCTAATGCTTTTTCTAGGTATTCAGTAGCTTCTGGGATCTGACTATCAGCTAGATGTAATAGTCCTATTCTTTCACAGGTGTGTGCACAAAACAAATGGTCTTCTCCAACAGTTGTTTTTATGATCCTTTCTGCATCTAGTGCATATTTCATTGCTTTTGGCTTATTTGTGCAGCATTTTGACAGGAAATATAAAATTTTAGCTATTTTTAGGTCATCTAGGCCATATCTTTGGACCCTGATTTCTAATGCACATTTTAAGTGATTTAGGGCTTCTTCACTTCTTTTACAAGCAATATATGCCAATTATTTGCTAAATGTTAATCCTAAAATTCCCTTATTAATTTAAGCTGAATTCATATATAAGCGGTAAAAATTTGCAATTAAAATATGATAATCACTCAAAATATCATGATGTGTCCCTACAATTTTACAAATCGGCTCCAAAAGGTTTTCTGAATAATCCACAAGCCCAGATAGCTCTTCTGACATCGGAGGAGGCTGAGATATTAAGCTAGAAATATATGCCAAATAATGGCAGCATTTTTTGTAGAGCTCTAAAAATGAAAATCCCAAAGCGATTTTTATAAGAATGATTAAGGTAACAATCATAATTAAAATATGGCGTCTTCGTCTGGGTATGGCCTCCCGGCCATACAGCCTCGACTCATATTTTAATTATATCCGGCAAGGTTTTACCATTTCAGAGATGGACTGCAATGCTAGGTAAGCAATTCTGGTAGCTTTCAGAGCCTAACCCTAGTCTGTTCTCAGAGGTGGATTTTTCCTCGTGGGAAAGGAAGGTGTAGGATTGGAAAGGGGAAGCCCAGCAAAGTCCTCTGGACCATTCGGGCAACTCCCTAGCGTGAAACTGGGCGTTACGTCCCAGGCTTTGCATTTTTCCTTTTTGCCGATAGCCGACCAGAAAAAATCCATTTTTTGGGTTTTTTCGGAAAAGCAAACCCATGTAACAAGCAAGTAGCTCATCCATGAGCCGTCGAAGACGTGGACATTTGCCCTAGAAGCACCCTTGGCGATCGAAGCGAGACTGTCTCCAGCAGCCTGGTGGGCCCGATGCGACGAAAGGCGAGTGATAAACCTGGAGTTGTAACCCTGTAGTGGACGTTAAGCGATATAAATACCATAAGATAAGATAAGATTTAAGGTAACAATCACATTTTCAGGGGCTGAAACTTGGTCTTCTATTATAGGCTCATATGGTCTTAAAATTTCATGAAAATCTTGATTGAGGACTCCGATTTCTATAATTGACTGTGAAATAGAAAATATAGCATCTGGAGAAGTTAGCCCAAGGATTTCTTTGGATTTTAATATTTTTTCCAGCTCATTAAACTTGCCTAACTCACTGAGCGTGCTACAAATTCCTACCTTTGAGTACAGCAATAAATCTTTGTTTTTACATTCCTGAATAATTTTTGTAAATAAATCCGAAGCTTCACGAGTCTTATGGAGCTTTAAATTGCAATAGGCTTCCCCATAATAAGCTTGATATCTATCCGGATGGTTATATTTTGTCAAAATTTCAATAGAATGATTAAAGCTCTGTGCAGCCTCAGAAAAATTCAGCTCCACCTTCATTTCATACCTTCCTTTTTCATAAAAAACAATCCCAGCTTCTAATGAGCTTTCTCCTATAATGTATTTTGATAATTTTTTTATATGCAAAGACGCTTTTCCTGTTATGCAAAATGTCGATAAAATATCTAAATCCCCAATTTCTTGTGTAAAAATCTGCTGCAGTGCCAAAGTCAATTGCTGGGTTTGATGAGTTTGCGAGACTATAATTTTTGCTATAAACGGATGGATTTTTATTCTGTGTTTTTCATCTTTTATTATAATTCCTAACTTATTGAGGGTATAAGTAAAAACTTCGTATTTAGAAGCGTCTGATATTTTGGTTATATGGAAAAATACTTTCAAAGCAATGTCTTGGGAAATCCCTGATACGTCAATAAATGTGAGGCAGGATAAGAAATTTAGGAAATATGGGTGGTCTTTGGAAAGGCGATTTGCGGTACATTTTCAAACTGTTGCAGCTGATAACTCGAGTGGGGAAAAGCCTTGGAATTCAATTTTTTTTAGGGATTGTTTGCATTCAGAATGCAAATCTTTGTATTCTTCAGGGGAGATTTTATAGTAATTGATATATCTTCCTATTAGTTCTAAGGAAATAGGCATGCCTTCGGCTATTCTTAAAATTGAATCATTAAATAATTCTGTGTATTTGCTTAAAATTAAAGCACAGGTTTCAGATAGGATTGGTTTAACTTCGATTATGTTTTCCCATTCAGGAAGCGAGGATGTGACTATAATGTGTCCTTTATTTGGTAAAAAATTCCTAATAGACTCTAAGTTTTCAGCATCGTCGAATATTAATAATGCAGGCTTGCTTTGGTTGTCTAAGTATTCTTTTATTGAATAAATATTGTCATCAAAAGTGTCTCTGATATGCAGCTCAATTTTTCTAGCTCTCCTTTAAATAGAAACAAAAAATCCATTTGTTGGGTTTAATCAAGCCCTTAAAATTTTTATGGTAAATGTTTAAGTAAAAATAGTTTCTATATAATAGCTTTACCCCCAATTTAATGGAGGAAGCGTAAGAAGAATATCATTTAAAGGTTCTCACCCTGAATTAATTAATTTTATGAATGAATTCTTTATAAAATTAATTAAAATTCAGAAAATTTGTTTTCAAAAAAAATTAATTTGCAGGAGGGGAAGTAAATAATTTCAAAAATACAAAAGAAATGTTATTGGCGGATTGTGAAGGAATAAATAAAATAGCAGAATAAAGATCATTGTAAACTTGTGAATATTTAACAGCTAAAGCAGTTTTTCCTATCCCTGAGTCTCCAACTAAAGCAATTATTTTGTTTTGGGCTGATCCAAAACTATTTCTATGCAATATCTTATAAATATTAATTTATAGCCAGGCTGGCTTGATGCTCATCCTGCGATTACATCTGGAGTTCTAACTTATGGAGTTGGTTCGGAGCCAAATATTGCCAAGCCAATTTCCTTTTTAGCAAATGAACACCTGCCAACTCGTCGAGTGGGTTTGGCAACTTCTGGCTCCGAAGCAGCTTCACGAGCTGGACCTCCAGCTGGCAGCCCAGGGCGAGCAATAAACTGCCCATACTATAATAATTTTGTCAAAATATTTATTTTTATTTTTAAAAAATAATTTATTCAAAATTAATTTTATAATTAGTTGCACTTCTGAATCTCTCCCGATACCTGAATATTGGATATAAGGATGAATGATTGGCTTTTCTTCGTCTTCTTCTTCGTCCTCATCTTCTTCACTAATTCTTTTATGATACGTTTTCAAGCATTCTCTATAAAAATCTGAAAACTCAAACATTTTTTTTACATTTGGATGACTTTCTTGTAAAGCCCTTTGACTGAGAATTAAATCAATTTCTTCATCAAATTTGTGGGTTTGCTCTTTGATTTTAATCAAAGTTTCTATTGTTTTAGCTCGAATTCTCCAGTCGTCAATTACATCTGGATCTCTGAAATTACTGAGTTTATTTAATTGTTCTAGAAGATCAGGATTTTGGGTATGCAAAATTAAAATTTCCACTGTATCTAATATAGCAACAATTTGTTCCCAGGTAGATTTCATGCTTTTTGTGATAAATTTAATTAAAAGCTCAATTGAAGCATTTGTGGTCGCTTTTGGCTGCTCCATGTATGCTAAAACTATTAAATCGCTCAATAAGCTACGCCCTTTTTTGACAGAGTCTTCAATATAAAGCTTGGCTGTTCCTATGCTAACATTGGGGGTTTCATTTAGCAATTCATTGACCATAAGTTGGATATATACAGATAAATGAGGTAATAGAGGGACTCCACTGCTAATTTGGGTGACAATTTGGTCAATTGAATTTATGTAAACTGCAAAAGTGGTTTCTGGGTATGTGCTTTCGCAGATTCTTAAGAGATCTTTTATTTTAGTCACATAGTCTTGAAGAGGCATTTGATGTTCTTCTTTAAATGAAGGAATTAATTTAGAGACGACCATATAAGCTATAGACAAAATAATTTACCAAAATCTTATAATAGAATATTTTTTTTTAAAAAATAAATATATTTTATAAGCTCCTAAATATCGCCTTGCTTGTTTTGCTAGTCTCTCCCTAAAAATTTCCCATTTTTTTCATTTATAAATGACTTTTTTAGTCAAGAGCTCCAAAAATCTTGCCCCAATTTCATAGAGTTTTACAGTCCCTGGGAGTCCAATGCTTTCGATTTTTTCAATTATTTCCCCTTCAATGGACCCTTCTTTAAACGAATTAAAAACCTCATCAATATAGCCAAGAATTTTTTCTTCTTGTCTTTCGTCATGCTTAAATGAGATTGCGGGCGATCCAGGGTCTTCTTCAACTTTTGCTTCTTCTTTTATGTCTTCAGTAGTCGGAGTGTTGTCAAAAGGCTTAATAATTGAACTACTCGGCCTACGGTCTGTTGGTGGAACTATTGAAGCTGATGCCTTTCGAGGTTTTTGACCATTGCTTGTGGCACAGTTTCCTCCTCCGCATAAGCCACTTTTACCAATGACTATTACATTGTTGGCTTTATAAAATGTTATATTTCATTTATTAAGTGTTTTTGTTTGTGGGTTGTCAATGTGGATTTTGGCGTTTGGAGATATAAGGACTCCTTCTTTAGTAAAAACTTTAGAAGCATGCTCGGGTTTATCTTTATTGAATTCTATAAGGAAGCCTTCTCGTGTTTCAATATAATCTCCCATTTTACTAACTCCCCCCTTTCCGTGAGTGAACAAAACCATTAGAAAAATCGCTATTTTTTGCCCAAAAACCCACCCTCCGTGAGTGAACAAAAATTTTTTATGGAAAAAATTTTGATATATAAATGATAATTAGTATAATGAAATCTAGAGCTAATTCTGTTTAATTTTAAACAAATTGCTTTTTAAAACATAAATTTTATAAATTAAATTAATATTTGCTTCCAAATTTTCGCGAATTAGGATTTTTTTAAATTTCGAAAAACAATATTTTTTTTATAAAATTTATATATAAAATTTTTTTAAAAAAAAAAAATTAACCCCCCTCTGTGAGTGAACAAAATTTTTTTGTTCACTCACGGAGGGGGGGGAGTAAAGAGAATAAGAAATCTTATATTGTGGGAAAATAATTCAACGATTATTACAAAGTATTATTTGAATTTAGCTGCGATTTGTATTTGATAGTGAACGAAAATACGCCCTACGGACATCAATTAGCTGCTGAGTCTTCTCATCAGCTTTTGGAGGTCCTGCTAAATTTCGACTTATTCGCTGAGATTTAGGACCATGCTTCATAATAAATTTTGGCTTGAAAGTAGGTGTCATCAGCTCTTCTCTTTTTTCTATAACTCCAATTAGCTGTGATAAATTTAAGCTTCCTATTTTGATATTTTCTTTTGATGGCAGCATTTGGACACGAACTCTTGGAACTTGACTTGATTTGCTTTTCAAAATTTCCATTTTAAATATTTATTTGAATAATAATCGAAAACTTAGGACCATCTCAATAGATATTCATTTATATTGATGGTTAGTCTAATTTTTGATATTTTTAGATAACTAATGGAAAACGCTCAAGCATTTTTCAATATAAACAATGGGATATTCTAGGTCTGATATTAATCCTTTACTTTAAAGTGCCCATAAAAAGTCTGTTTTAATAATTAATTAAATCTAGATAGTTAAAGTTTTATATTAATTATCAATTCCTTCATTATTCAATCATAAATAATATAAATCTTCAACAAAATCAGCTCAATCTACAGCACAATCTTTCATATTTACTTAGTTATCTATTTTAACTGGTGTCTTTAGTTCCTCCTCTATCAAAAAATACGCATACAAGTCACTAAACGGCATCTGATGTCGATCACCACCAAATATATACATAACATCTTCATGGACAACTGCCGAATGTCCATCTCTCTGATGAGGGGCTCTCCCTTGTACCCTCCCTTCCAGCGAAATATTGATCGTCCTTACATCCATTTCTGTGTTAGCCCTCGGCTTTGGAGTCAACGGGCTAAAAGATTCTTTTTTATTCAAATTTGAATTCACAGTATGCCTCCTTGACATAAGATGGCACTTATGGGCTTGCTTATACTCTTCAAGCTGAGCTGCCGAAACAGGATCTTTTACCTGATGGTCATTTTGGAACAAAGTCCAATCATTCGTCAAAAACCCATAAGAGTACATCTCATTGGTCTCCTGGGTCTCGTCTTTCATTCCTCCAAAAATAACCATGACATCTTTATATACAATTGCGGAGTGCCCAGACCTGCCTGCTGGGATTCTTTGCTTTGGGACGACGATTTCTCATATAAAAGTATCAAGCTTTAGCCTTCAAAAATCGCTGAGTTTTTCTCCTTCATTGCTGGAGCCTCCATAAATGTATAGGTCGTTATGATAAAGGACGGCTGCATGGTTCGATCGAGGTTCTGGGCCGTTATTTGTGTCTTCTAATTTTCATTTGAAATTAGAGAGGTCTAAAGTATATACTTTATTTGTACGGGTTTCTTCGACAAAACCGCCGAAAACGATCATAGATGAGCTTATTCCGTTTTCATATAGTGTAGCTGTATGGGAGTCATGGGGCGGAGGAAAGTCAGGAGGATTTGAAGTTATTTTTTCTACTCGCCGATTTAATATATCAATTACCCAGGTATCATTAAAAGCCTTTTCTCCATTGGTTCCTCCAAAAATATACATGAAATCCCCTTTCACAATCGCACTGTGCCGACACAAAGGCACCAATCCAGGAATTTCGAATTCTTCCCAAATTTCAATGTTTTTATTATCGAGGTCAAAAGCCCATAGACCGCTTTGCAGGCCATCCTGGATGTTTTGACCACCATAAATCAGCATTCTGTCCCTCCAGACGCAGGCTGAATGATAACTTCGCCGACTTGGGTGGATTCCAAGCGACCTGATTTCCTCCCACAAATGCTCACTCCCCCCTCCGTGAGCAAACAAAACCATTGAAAAATCCCTATTTCTTGACCAAAAAACACTCTCTGTGAGCGAACAAAAATTTTTAATCGAAAAATTTTTTTGAAAAAAATTGATATATAAGTGATAACTAGTAGCTAATTCTGTTTAATTTTAAATAAATAACGTTTTAAAACATAAATTTTGCAACCCCCCTCCGCGAGCGAAGAAGTTTTTTTGTTCGCTCACGGAGGGGGGCAGTCAGTATTTTTTTGAAGTTTGGTATTGATTTTTAAGAATGAAAACTGGTCTCTATGACGCTTTGGCTCCATGATAATAATTAGTATAGAGAAAATTATAAAAAATTAATCAAAATTGAGAGAATTTCTAGTGGGAAATATGGATCAGTGAAAGAAACAGGAAAATAGGACTAATCAATAATATGCTAGGAGATTTTATAGGAGTCTCAAAAATAATTAGGAAAATATAATTTAAGAATTAATTATAGAATATTCAATTATACAAATAAACAAATAGCTGCAATAATAATTCTGTTTCCAACACTAATACTAATTTAGGAAAAAAAACTATATTGTTTCACATTAATTTGATAATAAAATACAAAATTTCATCAATTTCTCTATTTTAAACAAACCTAATAAATTATAAATTTATTATTAAAATGCTATTGCGGTTAAATTCAAAAGATTTTTAATACAATTTTATAAAATTTTAATTTACAATTGTCTAAGAGGAATTCTTTTTCTTGTTTTAACAGGCGAGAAAAACCCTTCTGGGACTTCTATATTATCCAGAACATGGTCTAACTGTCCTTCCAATCTATTCATGTGTTCATAAAAAGTATTCCTAATTTCTGGTACTGTAAAAACAGGCTTAGGAAGTGGAGGAGTTTTTGATACGTCTTTTAAAATCACAGGTGGGTTATTTTCTTTATTTTGATTTTGTTTTATCATCAATTTTCATACCAAGCTTGGGGGTCTTCTATCACTTGCTGATGAACTTCTAGGTCGTCTTGATGATGCAAAATGTTGGCTGAAATATTCAGGGATAAGCTTGGCTTCGATTTTTTTCTTGTTTGCGACCATTACAGGCTTGTTAAGGTTTGCTGAAGGCGGTCTAGGTTTTATACAGTTGGGTGTGATTGTAGGCTTGATAGACATTTTTGATTTTAAATTATGATTTCATAAAATACAGTATGTATGGTGCATTTTTACTATTAAAAATTTTTTTTTTTTTACTATTTTTAAAAAAATTAGGATATGGAGGTTTTAAGTCTCAGTACTAGTTTATACAGAAATAGATAAACTGTTATCGATCAATTTTTTGACAGAATAATTTTGATTTTAAATTATAAGTATTTGCTATTATTCTTAAATAAATTAGCAAAATTTATTCCTAAAATTAACATTCTTATAAAAATTGCCAGAAAAATCTATTATTATAAGAAATTAAAAAGCGTTATCCCAAGCTTCTGACTCTTGGACATTCCCTTTTTTAGCAGGCACTATATCTTCATCTTCTCCTAAAGAATTCAGCACGCTTTCCAAGCTCTTTGGATTTTTCATAGCTTTTTCAATTTCTTTATCCAGCTCAGGCAGATGAGGAACATAAGGAGTTGGCAGTAATTTACTTAATAGCCTTTCCCAGTCAACTGTACAAAACCACTCATTTCTTTTTAAATTTTCAATGCTCCCTCCTAGTCTCATCGCTGGATTTTTGCTTAAAAGCTGCTCAATCACTGTCCTAACTGCACTTTTTTTATTTAAATACCCAGGAAACTGTATTTTTCTTGCCAAAATTTTTTCATAAATTGCGTAAGGCTCGTCTTCGTCATTTCCAAAAGGCAAACAGCCACAAATAAATTCAAATAACATTATTCCTAAGCTCCAATAGTCGACTGCTATCCCATAGCCTTTTCCTATAATAATTTCAGGTGCCATATAATGAGGAGTCCCTAAGATTGTATAAGTCCTTCCAGAGACAATTTTTGCGGTGCCAAAATCAATTAATTTAGGGTAGCCTTCGTCGTCAATCATAACATTTTCAGGCTTTAAGTCACGATAAATAATATCCCGCTCATGAAGATGCTCTAAAATGCAAAGAAGGCAGGATGTGTAGAATAAGGAATCTTCTTCGTTTACAAGAACACAAATAAAATGGGAACTTATTCGATTCGTCTTTTTCCTATATCCTCGGAGCTTTTGGTCAAAGAGGGACGAGGACTGAAAATTTGTGTCATGGTTTTTTCTCTCTGGTCGGCACACCACGACAGGGTTTTTTTACCCCACTTGCAGGCAAGTAGACCAGAGTCCATAAGACGACTCCATACTTCTGGATTTGAATGGTAATGGGATCGGAAGGGAGATTAGGAGTCGCCTCCTACCTACTCTCCCCGGTTAAATAATGGTGACTGCTAGGAGTTATCCAAGAAGCGTCTGGGCACGTCTCCCGAAGAATGCAACATCACCATAATTTGTTACATAGACAGTAAGGGCATCAGTTAAAACCGATTCTAAGGACGAGAAGTCTGAAATCGGCAAGGCGTAAAGGGGTGAAATAAGCCCCGAAGACCCATTCAAACTTAACTTAATCTAATTTTAATTTACAAGGCCAAGCTCTCGGAGAACATCAAAAAGGTCCAGACCTCTCACATATTCAAACAAAAAATATATACTTTTTTATGATATTTTTAATATTTTTTATTTTTACGCAGAAGTGCTGCATATATATAGAGATTTTGCTTAATCTTTTGTTATCTTTAAAAGTCCTGACTAATTTTAATATAAAATTGTGGTCAATTTCCATAAGAATATTTCTTTCCAGCATTACCATAGACTGTAATTGATATTCTTCGATTTTTTTCCTTGAAACTGCTTTAAGTGCATATAAAGATCCTTTAGCTCTATGGGCGGTCAATATAACATTTCCAAACATGCCTCTGCCAAGCACTTTAACTGGCACGAGCTCTTCAATCTCAATTTTATCATCTTGCAAAAATATCCTTTTTTATAAAAATCTACCCTTATTTTTATTTATCTGCTTATTTGCTATTTTAATCAATTTAGGATATTCTTTTTAATAGCCTCGTCCTTAAAGCTTCATCAATTATATTCAAAAAGTCAGACTTCCTTAATATCCAGCATGAAGATTGGCCTTTAGATATCACAGTTGCTGTCCTATTTTTATCAAAAAGCAGGGACCTTTCACCGAAATAGTCCAATTTTTTAATAGCCCTTATCATCTGACCATCTTGGTAAACTTCAACTTTTCCTGATCTTACTATAAAAAAAGAATCCCCTGGGCTGTTTTGTTTGACAATTTCAAAGCCATCACTGTATTCCTGTACAAGTAAAGCGTGGCTTAAAGCTTGCAATTGGTCATTACTTAGTCCTCTTAAAAGCTGAATTTTTTTCATGACTTGTAAAGCTTCATTATTAGCAGTGGCATGCTCATACCTTCCTCCAATACAAATTTGGAATTTCTCTTTTGTAATAAATGCACAATCAGTATCTGCATCAGCTAAAATATCATACTCATAGGTTTCTGCTGACTCATTAGTAATTTCTTCGTCTCCTAGACAATTAAATTTTTCAATAATTGTATCAGAATACTTTAATTTTCCTTTTAATATAATAATAAGCTGTGCACCTTTAGCTGCGCCTCTTTGAATTACGCGTGTGCCTGCTTCATAAGTATTAATTTCCATTGCAGCAATCAGTGAATTCGCTTGTTCACTAGTCAATTGGCTTAAAGTTTTGCTTTTTTCAATCGCAATTTTCTGCGAATTTTTATAAATAATTTGATGCAGATGATTTCCAAGCACTTTTATTAATTTTTCTCGCCCAATAGCAATACAAGTCACATTTTCATCAGCTGTAATAGTAGCTGTTCTTGCACTTCCATATAATAATGCCTGCTCTCCAAAATACTCTCCTCTTCCCATACGTCTGATTTCTGCTCCTTTTTGTGTACAAATTACAGTGCCTTCTTTTATTATATACAATAAATCCCCAGGATCACCTTCATTTACAATATTTTCCCCACTTGAAAATTTGAAGCTTGACAATGCAAAAACCAAGACTTCTTTTTGTTTGGCAGTTAAAATATGAAATAATGGCACAGTATTGACAAAATTTTTGTTTTCTTCATAATAAGTCGCGTTTATTTTTTCAAGGGCTTTTCGGAAAGTGTGCCGAGTCAAGCCCCATAAGCCTACTTTTGTGATTGTCTTTACAGTTGCACTTCGGGGTGAATCATGGAGAAGGGCAAGCTCTCCAAAACTATCACCTGCGTGAAGTACTTTTACTTGATTTCCATTAATAATTACTTCGAGATCACCACTTTCTACTACGAAAAAATTATTTCCAGGGTTGTTCTGCTCGAAAATTATTTCTCCAGGGTCTAAATCATAATATTTCATATGGAAAACTATGGCTTGGTGAAGATCCTTTCTCAGGCCTTTAAATACAAAATGCTTTCCTAAGGCTTCCAGTATTATTTCTAAGTCTCACTCCGTCTTTTGGCGATCAGAAATTACTGCACTTGGTGCATCCTGCCTAGTTTCAGCTCGCTCCCTATGAGCAATTCCAACTGGTTTTTTCTTCACACTTCTCCTAGTATAAGAATCCTTTAAATCTCCCCACTCAGATGTAGCCTCACTTTCATATACAGACCTTGGCATGTCGCCTCTCTTAGAAATAAGTTTACTTTTACTATGATTTAGAGGAGCGCTTTGATGAGAACTAAGGCAGCCTCCCATATAAAATTGATAAATGGATTGTAATTTAAATTTGAGAATACGTCATCTAAATAACGTCGCGAATAATAATTTTTGTGCTCATGCTCTACTAATAAAAAGAGAAGGATCTCAAGTATGTTTATATAGGAGAATAAGACCTAATGGTCTTTATTTTTTATTATTAATTTAAAAGGATTGAAATGGTATATAATTAATATGAAAATAGTTTCGACCAAAAAAGGCCTGAAAATTAGAAGTGGAATTTTAAGAGAACAATACATATGGAGTAAAGATCCTGTTGTGAGAAAAAGAGAAGAAAACCAATTTCCTATGCCAGTTTCACATTCAGAACACCAGAGTATATTTTCATATAATCTTAATTTATCTCCTGATACATCAATTACAGGGAGAAGTGCATTCATGATTGATGAAGATCCTTATGAAGTAAATAGACCGTTCGTTGGGAAAAAAATTCCAACGCCGTTTAGATCCCTTAGTAAAGATATTGATATAAAAGGCAACCTAATGCACCCTGATAATGAAATAATCCCTATTAAAGCAAGAGCTGAAGATATTGCAATTTCATGTATGCCTTGTAAATCAAGCAAAGAATTGCAGTTAATTCGATTACATAATAAGCGTAAATTAGAACAGGAAAATATATACTGTTCTCACAACCTTAAAACATTAATTTGAAATAGCTATAGCTTAATTTTTTATATAAAAATAAATCATGATGTTTTCAATCTTTTAAGATAAAATACACAAAAAATTAAGAGAAAAAGTAAACCAAGAAATTCCAACGAAAAAATTTTTGGAGGATGTAACAACGTTATTGGAAAAATGCAGATCAGAAAATACGATATTTGAGGTAGTTGGAAATGATGATAGATTAAAAAATATTGCAAAATGGCACTTAAAAGAATATAAAAAAGGCTGAGATATGAAAAAAACGTTTTTAAGCAGAAATGGTCATAGTATTATACAAAATTAATTTAATAATTCAGTTAATTTAATTTTTTGTATAAAACCCAGCAATCGCCAATCTATTTGAATAATTTGGTAAAAATTCGTCATGTTGATTTTCCCATCCTTCATAGTGTACATACAAGTCTGAGTACCCCTCTCCACCAACCACAAGTTTAACCACTCCTTTCCTCCATATTCCCTCCTCATCTTTAATATCAATCTTTTCCCCCACTTTAACATTTTCCATTACTTTTGAATTTTCCTTTATTTCCATCCAAAACTTTTTCCTTGATAAATATTTAAAAATTTCATTTTTGTCTATTAAAGATACAATAATTTCATCTAGCATCAAGTTTGGGTAAAAATCAGTTTTTTTGATATTTCTATTACAAATTGGGCAATTCTAAATAAAATTTACGTCATTTTCAAGTAAGTGCTCAGTGATACAGACTTCACAAAAAGTGTGGCCACATTCTACGGTCGCGTTTAATACAATTGGCTGCTTGCATAAAATACATGTAAAGTTGTAAGGAGAAAAATAATATTTCGAGGCAAAAATTTCGCTCATAAATTCCTTGACTTTTTGCATGAGGGGGGTTATTGATTATTTAATTTCAATTATACTTAATCTAATGACAGCAACCTTTTTTCTTTTTTGGGGTTTCAGTGATTAAGCTTTTCCCTTTTAGAGTTCTGTCAACAAGGTCTCGTGAGTGCAAGCTTTCTGCGAGACTCATTTTTACTATAATCATTTTGCTTACAGCTTCAAAAAGTTCATTCACTCCTTCTCCACTTTTAGCGGAAGCTTCTAAAAATTCGCATTTTGAGCTTTCAGCGTATTTTTTACCCTCATCATAGCTGACTTCTCGCCCTTCAGCTTTATCTATTTTATTTCCTACTAAAAGTACATTTTCTATACTTTCTATTGAATTATTTTCTCTGTAATCATTGATTCATATTTTTACATTATCAAAGCTTTCCCGATTGCATATATCATATACAGCCACGCAGCCATTTGAAGACCTAAAATAACAATTTGTAATAGGCTTGAACCTTTCTTGTCCAGCAGTGTCCCAGACTTGAAGCTTTACTTTTTTATTGTCAATTATCAAACTTTTGATTTTAAAATCTACCCCAATAGTGCAATTATAAGCTGTTTCAAATTCTTCGTCTACATACTTGGAGAGAAGGGAGCTTTTGCCAACTGCAGCATCCCCAATGAGAACTACTTTTACTATATAATCAAAATCCCTAAAGCTCTTTCTGGCTGGGTTTTCCATGAGTTAGATTATAGCATTATCCATTTTAAGTAAATATGAGATAAATAAACATAAAAATATATAAATTAATTTGAATAATTACTGTAGGAACAATTTAATTTAAAAAATAAAAGATTATTTCGATTTTCGTTAAGTTTGCCAATTGTCGTTTTTTGTCATTTGGTCTTCTATAATACCTTCAATCATCAGAAAATGATTTGGCCCAAACTCCCATTTCAAGTTATTTCCTTTTTTGCATATATATTTGTATTCCAAGGTTCCCACCTTATCTTTTTCAATTGGAAGAGTCCCTTTCCATATATTCCCTTCACTCCATTCTAATTTAAAAGCATGCTGTGGGTTTCAATTGCCGATTTTTTCGTGGTTTCCACATACCCAAATTGATTCCCCAAAGGAAGTTTTGTAATTTATATGAAAATGAACATCAGATGTATGTTTTTCGCTAAAATCTATCTCTTTACTCCCCCTCTATAGCGAATAAAAACCATTGGAAAAATACCTATTTTTTGGGTTAATCTACCTCTATAGCTAGCAAAAATTTATTTTATTATAAAATTTTTTTATGATATTCAAGGATATAAGTTATAAGTGATAATTATTATAATGAAATATCTAGCTAATTCTGTTTAATTTTAAAAATAAGCTTGCATTTTAAGACATAAATTTTAAAAATTAATTAAAAAATTAGTTCCTCTTCATAAGCGAACAAATATATTTGTTCGCTAACAGAGGGTGAAATTAGCTTGTAGTTTTCCAGCTTCAGTATAGTGTTCTTTTCTTGGAGCATTCGTTGTTTCGGCTTCTTTGCTTTCTTCTTGGGTTTCTTCACGTGATTCTTTATGGCTTTCCTCATGAGATTCCTGGTGGCTTTGATGGATTTGCTTGGTTGTTTTCTTTCCTGATGTCTTATCCGATTCTGACGGCTCCATTATAAATGAATATATTTTTTAATTTAATCCATTAAAATGATCAAAGATTATTATGTCTCAGAATTGCTACAGCTTAAACCTTATACATTAAAATGATATTTTATCCAAAAGTTTTCGGTTATAAAGTTATAAATAAGCAGAATTCTTGATTATTTTGATAAAACATTATTAAATCACCCCCTTTAAATTGGAACAAATTATCGAGGTAAATTTTCCATTTTTGGAATCCCATTAAAAGAGAAAATATTTTTTAAGGTGAAATAATAATATCTATGCAAATAGCTTAAATACCTAATTTCATGCACGCTAATTATCAACAAAATTTATCTATACTTTGCTCAAATTGAAAGGGGGGAATGTAATTAGAACAAATTTAAACGTAAATTCTATTTAATTAATATTTCTGAAAAATTTAAATATTCCATATAAATACGTTTTACTATAAAAATTAACTTGTTTAAATTTAGAAAGAGGAGTAAGGCGAAAGATATTTTGATAATGGAAAATTTTCAAATTTTGATATCAAATATTTACTCTAATTAGCGATAGTTCAAAAAATTATCCACATTTAAATCAAGATAGATTTGAATACAAATAATAAAGTTATTTGTGAAAAATACGCTTGATATTTATTACTTATTCTTAACTTAGATTGTTATCAAGTAGCTCCGGCCAGCCATGTCAGCTTTTCACACCCTTTCTTCTTACAAGTCCGATTCCACTCTCTAAAGGCATATTTTGCTCCCTCTGGACGAGTGCTTGCACAGATAAAGACGTTAGGTCACCTTGCCCCACGCCAAAAGGGTTAATTTTTCAAAAATTCAAAAGTAATTTTCTGGCTAGGCTATCGGCCTTAATTTAATTTGCAACCCAGGGCGAAACTCTTGATATCGCATAGAGAAAATGCCCGCTAGGCCAAGTGAACGCGCCCTAACCTTGCTGAGCTATCCCTTTCCAAGTTCAAAGTTCCATCTTCCCTCTAGGTAAACCTTACCCTGAATGTGAGCTTGCGGTATGTCAGCCTGACATTGCACTCACCAGACCAAGAAAAACACTCTCTCCGTACGCTGTTCTCCCTTTCGCAAGGTCCCATACTCTCATCTTGCTGCAGGTGTTAAGAGGCATGCCACTTTTAATTTTTTATTACTTATCCAAAATTAAACATATCCAAAAAAATCCAGCAAGTTTTTTAGCCTAAATTTGAGTTAAAAAATTATTTTGTGAAATATTTTTGAGCGAATTTATTTCTAATAATTTTTTTATTATGAGTTCAATTTTTATTAAACATTATATTTTATTGCATGAAATTACCACAATTTTAAAGCTGCATAAAAATATCAGCAAAAGCAAACTGTCTTAATTCAGTCTATTGCATATAATAATTCGTATACTGATTAGATGTGGCATCTCCATCTATCAAATATGAGCTTGGCCAATTCATCAATATAGGTCTTCCTACCCAAAACTTCATCAAAAATTTCTTTATGCGGCAAAATAATCCAAAAAAAATTTTTTATAAATTTTAGTATTCCCTCTTATTCAGCCACAATCTTTATTTTCTTAATTCTTAATTTCCAGCCAGCCCAAAGTCTTCAAATCTTCACATTTATTACTGTACATGCTGAAAAAATGAATGGCATTGTCATCGAGCATAAATCAATAATTAATATTGATGGGCTGTTGTACATCAAAGAAGCCAGATAAAAATTCCAATTCGCCCGAAATCATTATCACGACTAATAAAAACATAGAAAAAATTGTATTTTCCGCTAAAACCCCTAACACTAGATCAGTTACCGTTCATGAAGTATCTAAAATCAGAAGATCTTCACATGTAGCACATAAAAATGGGCCTATCGAAGAGTACTTCAATGTATTAGAAAAAATTGGGTCTGGAGGGTATGGGAACGTTTTTAAAGGGACTGATAAGCAGACAGGTTTTTTTAGAGCTTTAAAAAAAAAAAAAAAACTATTTTTTTATAATTAAAAAAAAAAATAAATAAAAATATTCCGAAACCTTTAAAATGCATCAAAAAGAACAAACTCAAAAACACAAACCTAATGAGCGAGGTTGAACATCTACAAGAACTCGTAATCATAACTCAGGATCATCCAAACATCTTAAGAGTTTTGGAGGTGATTGAAGATTCGGAGAATTTTTGAATAGTTACAGAGCTCTGCAAAGGACCTAACCTCTTTGAAAAAATCTCGAAATTCGAAATATTTAGCGAAAATCAAGCTGCGGTGTACATGTATGACATTTTGTCAGCACTGAGCCATTGTCATAAGGCAGGGATAATCCACCGTGACATTAAGCCAGAAAATTTGCTTTTCGAGACCAGCAACGAAAATTCAGTCTTGAAAATCATTGATTTCGGGACATCACGTAAAATAACTGAAGATATAAAATGTACAGAACTTATAGGGACTGTAATTTTAAATTAGCCATATTATGTCGCCCCAGAAGTGCTTGAAGGTGCCTATGATGAAAAGTGTGACCTGTGGAGCTGTGGGGTTATTTTGTATATAATGCTTTCTGGATACCCTCCTTTCAATGGGTTGAACACTGGGAAAATTTTTAAAAAAATTAAGCATGCTTTATACACGTTTTCTAGTGAAGAATGGCAAGGGATTTCTGAAGACGCCAAAGACCTCATTTCTAAACTTCTTCAAAAAGACCCGAATCAGAGACTCAGCGCAGAAGAAGCGTTGATGCACAAGTGGATCAAAAAAAGATCTGACACTAAAAATTTCTCTGTGAATTCCAGCACCATAAGCCATTTAAGGCATTTTAACTCATCTTGCAAGCTAAAAGTGTCAGCTTTAAGCTATATAGCGAATCATTTGAGTACATTAGAAGAAATTACTGAAATAAGGGAACTATTTTTAAAGCTTGATCTCAATGGAGATGGCAAACTTACTTTCCCAATTATCATCATGAAAAAAATCCTCAAAAAAATTAAATAAAAAATAAATTAGTTATATAAGGAAGGAGGAATTAGCAGAGAAGAACTCAAAAAAGGCTGCAAAGTCCTTGGACTCAATAAAGCAGCAGAAATTGAAGATATAATGGAAAGATGCGATGCAGATGGAAATGGGTATATTGATTATACGGAATTTATTATTTCTACCATGGATTGGGAGAATAAGTTATCAATGGATAAGCTTACTCCTCCATTTAAGGAAACAAATAAGGTGATAATTTTATTTTAAAAAAATAGATTAAAATTATATATAAAGGAACTATTTTAAAATAGAACCAATATATTTTTCACTAGTCTTAAGGAGGGTAATTTTCCCAATGTTTTTTCTCGCTCTTAAAGGAATGGAGGGTTAGGGAAACGTTTAAAGCTTATGATACTGATGGGAGCGGAGCAATCAGTGTTGAAAATTTAAAAAATTTTTTTGCAAATGACTTAAGTTTAAATCCTGAAGATTTTGAAGAAATGCTGAGGGAGGGAGATATCAATGGGGATGGAATCATAGATATTGACGAGTTTATGCAGGTTATGAACTTCACGACTTAAGTCAGTGTATTGAATATATATACTAATCAATTTCTAATATAATAGTAAAATAATATAGGATTGAAAATTCTTATCATGCATTAAGTTAAAGGTATTCTGGCCAAAGCGGTAAACCCGCTAGCTGCTGCCCATCTTGGCTCTAAAATTTTGCCATTTGGGTTTCTGACCTAAAGCCTGCCCAAGGATAAGCTCCTAGGGCAGAGCCACGGCCTGCAGAGTGTCCCTATAATCCCGATGAGAGACCATTATGTTACGCAAAACCTGTTAGCCCATCTGCCAGGGACAGGAAAGCCTTAAGAGAGTGACAAAAATCCCCTGTTCAGCAAAAGCATCATCCCAAAACTGAAAACTTTAAAAAGGTTCAAAGGTCTGTTTTCAGCTTCATGATAATGGGCCCTACCTCTTCCTTAAAGAGTGAACCTGAGAGTTCGATTTCCGTCAATATCACCATTTTATTTTATCATTCATTAATGAATTTTTATATATAGAAAATTTTAAAAGGATTCGTAGGGAAAAATACCCAACAAATAATATCATTTTTGTTATTAAAATCCATGACGTTTTTAGGAACTCACTTATATAAATCAATAAAATTATATTAAATAAGCTTTGTCTTAAAAAAAAGAAAGAAAATCAAGCTATTTTAAATTGATGAAAAAGATCTATATCTATATAAAAATTTCTCAAATTCAAAATAAATTCTAATCACTTAATCTAATCCTTTAACTTAAATATAAAGCTAAAGACGCTAAAGCTAAATAAACTGCGCTATCGTCTTCTTCATAACCAGGGTCAAACAATCCCATACTTTTCGCACAATTATCAATAACTCCTGATTGATAAAGAGCCCAGTAACTGAATTGTTGATTCATAAGAACCCAATGGTTATATTGATCATCCGAAATAGACCCACAAGCCCACAAAGTTGCTACATCTCCAATATGAGTTCTATCTTCCGCACATTTGCTCTCAGAATATTGCATATCTTCGTAAAGGCTTCCTATATGGTCATAAGCCATAGACATATATGACGCACAATACCCAATTGAAGTGTTAGTTCCAGAACATAAGCAAGGCTCAGAGGCAATCACGTCGTCATAGACAACACTTTTATAGGTACAAGTGTGGCCAATTCTGCATTGGTAAGGAGGTCCTAAAAGTTTTCCATTAGCATAGACCTTGATAGCATCACAGTACCCGTTAGAAGTTAAATAATTGCTCACACAGAATTTTGCATCATCAGCTTGCTCACTATAATAGATGCTGAAAAGCTTGGTGCATTTCTTTTGGTTACAGCCATAGCCAATGTCGCATTCATAGTCCTTTGTGCATGCTGAGCCTTCAGATAAAGTAGTTTTGCAGTATCCATTGCTAGTGCTAGTTAAGTTATAGCAATATGAGCCAGCCTTACAAATGCTATGTGAATCGCAATAGCTGTTATAGGCATGTGGTTCACATATTCCATCAGTGCAGAAGCCTGACACACAGTTCCAATCTTGGCAGCAATGATCGCCTGGGGCTTGAGTTTTTGTATAGGTGCTGTCGTTGCATAAGTCTACATAAGTTTTAAAGCTGTAGTTTACACAGGTCGAGTTTTTCCAGGTGGCTGAATAGGTAGAGAGTTGAGAATAGCTTGAGCATTGATAACCAGCTAGACATGGGCTTACGTTAACCACATTTGAAAGGACTTGGATACAGTAGTTAGGGTTGGTGTCAACACATTGTGTTGTTAGACAGCCATCGGAGTTGAGGGAGTAGGAAAATAGTGGAAAGGTTAGAAGGAGGAGTAGCGGATAGACCATTTATTGATTTATAACTGAGGATTAGATTTAAAGTATGAAGCTAAGAAAAATAATTAAATTTAGATTAGATAATTAAAGAAACTATCTTTGAAGAGGTTGACTGGCTGGGCTCCATGTCAAATGACCGTGGATTTTTGACAGTGCATTTTTCATCGAAATCCATTTGGTCGAAAATTTTTGATAGTGTGGACATTTGGCCGAAAATTGATGTTTTTTTTTTGGGTCAAATGTCTCACTATCAAAAATTTTCGATCAATTTTCGGCCAAAAATTTTTCGGTGAAATGGACACTATCAAAAGGCAAAGCCATTTGACCTGCACCTGACTGGCTGTGTGATAAATGATTAAAGATGACATCCGTTTAAATTTTAGTTTATTAAATCTTGATGCTCTAATTTTATTGAGTGAATTTATGTCTAAGCAATATTAAATTTTTTCCACTGGCGATTTTGAAATTAAAAATTAACCGAGCTTAAAGCTGCCTTTCATAGTAATTGATAATCTGATCATCTTTTATATTGAATTTGCAATCAATAAGATTTAAAGAATTTTACGATGATATTTTATTTAATAATAATTTATCCTTTGTTCTTGTATTGAAATCAATATTAGATTTATTAAAAACTGATTTAATCTAAAATAAAATGGATTTTTTTCTCAGATTCGCACTTTTCATATAAAATTCAACTATTATTAGGCTATTCTAAAGTAAAATTCCCAAAAATTACAAATAAAAATGATGAATTTTCAGTCAGCAAATAATTCAAGATAAATTAAAAATAAATATTTATAATATACACCTTAAAACAATAATAATTTTCTTTATTATTTCTTTTCGATATCATCATCAGCTTAGCAAATGTAATTTTAAATGTCATTTTTTCTGCTATTATTTTTCGATCAAGTTTTCTCATTCAATATCGGCTTCTACAACTTACTCCCCTACTCTCACACTACAGAAGACTGTATTGCTCTCGATATTTGACAAAAGATTTCTACTCAGCTAGGCATTTCATACACTATTATTAACTTAGCAAACGAAACCCAAGGAATTGATTGTGTAAACTCAGGGTCTTGTGATGCCTGCATCACAGGAATTGATAGCCAACTTACTTTAAGCTACCCTTTATTTTATGTAAAATCCATCTAGGACCGCGGCTTATTAGTAACAGTAGATAAAAGACCAGGATATGTCAGTAAATTTCTAGGGTGACCTGGAAAAAAAGTTCACGGGAGTTTTTTCCTGTATGGTTTTGCACCATTAAAATGACGGTAAAATTTCCTGGACTTTTTTTTCATGGAAAAAAGTACAATTGGAAGGCAAAAACCCATAGGGTAAAAAAGTTAACGGTTTTTTTTCACCATCAAACTATAGGAAAAAGTACATGGCTGAGACAAATATATTAATAGAAATGAATCCTAATAAATTGAGAAAGCATTGAATAAATTAAGATAAGAGTGCGCATTGTTATCAGCTTACTATATTATAATAATTTATATAAAAGGAATAAAAGAACTTCTTAGTGCATTATATCCTATGGTTTTTGTTAATTTGATTTTTGAAATAGGGTGAAAAAAACTCCCATTAAAATTTTCTACATATTGTATTAGAATGGATACATTGCTCAGAATTATTAATCATAAATATTTAATTATTAAGCAATAAAGGTCATTCTAATAACAAAGTTAATGGCTCAAAGACATTAAAGAAACACAGCAAAATAGTGTTATCAAAAATAATCTTAAAAACTGTATAAAAAAAGTTCATAGTAAAAAAGTGTAGGAAAAAAGTAAATTGTACTTTTTTCCTCCAAATTTTTGGTGAAATAAAGTACAAGTATAAAAAATGCATTTTCCTAGTTTTTTTTTAAAATAACCTGGAAAAATAGTAAAAATTCAAAAATATACGATAGTGCATTGACAGAGGTTTACTGCATATATATTTTAATAATAAATATTAAATCTAAATGACTGACACTATTACTACTATTGCCCGAGCACAGGGAATTCCAATTAGAGCTTCTTCTGGTGAAATTATAACTGATCAATTAATTGAATTTGCAATTCATAATGCAGTTATTATTGAATCAATATGCTTAAGATTTCGTTTGAGTTTATTGCAAGTTTCAATTTTAATATATGAGTACAAAAAGCTTAAAGAAGAGCAAGCTAACCAAATTTCACAGAGTGAGGATCATGCCTATCATGAAAATGCTATAAACGTGCAGGTAAACAATGATGCGGAAATTTCTGAACTTTTATAGCTTATAGATCCTTATGGATTCTTAGTGTAAAATAATATCATTTCTTGTTTAGAATAATTCTCTTATTCTATTTTATCAAGGAGCATGCTATTAAAAAATATTTAAAGCTTACAATGTTAAATGAACACTCACTCTATACCCGCGCTAATTGAAAAAAGTTCAAACGACTCTGAAAGTTGTGAAGACAATGCAATGGGAGATATAATAGAAGAGGTTATTGAAATAAATAAAAAACTAGCAGATATATCTATTAAAAGTCCAACAATGGAGCAAGAAATGCCACAAAGAATAATTGCTGAAAATCCATTCGCTCCCATTCGCAAAGGAAATCATAAATGCTAATATAGTTAGCAAATTTACAAAGGGTAATAAATATCAATTTGAAAGTGTAAAAGAGTTTCAAGCATTTATTAAACAAAAAACCTTAGAATTTGATAAAGCTAAAATAAATGTTTTTAGCTCTAATTCTCAAAGACAGACTATTGTTTTTTATTTGTTATTTTTCTAGTAGTCATGCTAATGCATTGTTTCCATCGATTACCCCATCAGAAAATTGCAAATTTAAAATGAAATGAAAATATGATAGCAATAATGCAAATTCTTATAGCTTTGAATGCATAGATATTTATGGAGAGCATAACCATAGAGCTATACCTGAAACTGAATCACAGAGTTTAATAGAGTGTGAAATATTATCAGAGGAGATAAGAAATGAAGCCATAAAATACTATTATGAAGGATTCACAGTTAAACAAATACAATTGATGGTAAATACGAATAATAGAACTAAAATATCAAAGAGTAAAATCGAAAATTTAACAAGCTATTATGCTAAGAAAAATTTTAAAGAATTTACCTTTGAATCTTTAGTAGAAAGCAAGCTTAGAAATGAAAATTCTATCATTAATTATGATAGATTATCAGGAAGATTTTTTATTTTCAGATACAAAGAGAATCAATATGTGGAATCAATTAAAGGATGTAATCCTAGTAGACAGCACTTATAAAGTCCATATTGATTTTAAATGTGCAGTGTTTATATTAACTGTTGACTCTAATGGATCTAATTATGTTTTAGCAATGGCTTTATGCCAAAAAGAGACTAAATCTGATTATATTTGGATCTTTTCAAATTTTATAATGCACTTTCAGCGCCCAAAAGTTGTTTTTGCAGATAGAAACAATGCTCAATATAAAGCTCTTTCAAAATTATTTACTACTTCAAAGGTGATTTTTTGTTTATGACATTTACAAAGAAATGTAATTTGCTACTTAAACCAGTTTAATATCAATTGGGAAGAGTTTAAGAATAATTGATGAAATTTATATTATTCTAAAAATGATAAAGATTTTAGTAAGAAATGAAGGTCATTGCTGCTTGAATATCCTCAATTAAAAAATTGTAATGCATTCTTAGAGCTGGAAAAAATTAAAATCAAATTGGGTACGATATGATTGTCTTAAATTTCCAACTTTTGGCATCAAGACGACTTCGAGAATTGAAAGTTTCAATTCGCTAATTAAAAGATCTATTCGAGCTATAAAAAGGAATAAAGATTCTAGGATCCTAACTGTTTTTGATAATATTTCAAATGAAGAACATGAATCTTTTCAAAGGAAAATATATGTGTTCAAAAAGGGGAAATTGCTACGTTCTTACCAAGAAAACTTTTCTCGCAAGTGACAAAATTGCTATACTCGCTATAGTATATTTTATTTTTCAAAAAGAAGTAAATAAAGTAGATAGTTGTTCTGTTGGAGGTGTTGGCAAATCTAATAACATCTACTCGGTAGTTGATAACAGCACATATGATAGAATTATGCATAAAGTTAATAGAAAGAATATGGATTGCTCTTGCTGCAAAATAACACGCTATGGGATTCCTTGCTGCCATATACTCTTTATTTATGAATTTGTGGGAGAAGATTTATTAGATCTTATTATTTCAACTACATCAAAAAGGTGGCTACTTCCAGAATATGCTGAACTTTCTAAGGAAGAAATTAAAAAAATATGGATCTCTCCTGATTTAAAGCGTAATCAAAATGAAGCTAATGGAAGCAATATAAAGTTAAAAAAATTTAATAATTAGCTATAATTATTTGCTAGTAAAATATAATAGACTAAGCCTTTGCCGTATATTTTTGAATTTTTACTATTTTTCCAGGTTATTTTAAAAAAACCTAGGAAAATGCATTTTTTATACTTGTACTTTATTTCACCAAAAATTTGGAGGAAAAAAGTACAATTTACTTTTTTCCTACACTTTTTTACTATGAACTTTTTTTTATACAGTTTTTAAGATTATTTTTTTGATAACACTATTTTGCTGTGTTTCTTTAATGTCTTTGAGCCATTAACTTTGTTATTAGAATGACCTTTATTGCTTAATAATTAAATATTTATGATTAATAATTCTGAGCAATGTATCCATTCTAATACAATATGTAGAAAATTTTAATGGGAGTTTTTTCACCCTATTTCAAAAATCAAATTAACAAAAACCATAGGATATAATGCACTAAGAAGTTCTTTTATTCCTTTTATATAAATTATTATAATATAGTAAGCTGATAACAATGCGCACTCTTATCTTAATTTATTCAATGCTTTCTCAATTTATTAGGATTCATTTCTATTAATATATTTGTCTCAGCCATGTACTTTTTTCCTATAGTTTGATGGTGAAAAAAAACCGTTAACTTTTTTACCCTATGGGTTTTTGCCTTCCAATTGTACTTTTTTCCATGAAAAAAAAGTCCAGGAAATTTTACCGTCATTTTAATGGTGCAAAACCATACAGGAAAAAACTCCCGTGAACTTTTTTTCCAGGTCACCCAAATTTCTATGACAATTTTTGATTTTAATTGTGTCGATATGGCTGCCTCTACTAATTATCGTCTCTCATATCATTTATTTTGTGGAAACCCGAATTTTATACCCAAATAATTACCCTTTAGCAATTTTAAACGCAATATGACTAATGGTCACTTTTTCAACTATCAAAAAACCTTACGCAAAAATATGAGCCTTGATCTCAGGAATTTTTTTGCTTTTTGTAATGATGCTTATTATCGCTGACTTGTCGTCTTCAATAGCAAATGCAAATCTCTACGGGTCAATTTCAACGGAAAATATAATGGACATGGACCTATGTGCACAATATTGAACAAATTTTAATACAGATGCGAGCCATGACACATTAAAAAATTGTTTAAACGACTTAAAGGATGAGGATTATGATGGGGTGTTAGCAGGAAGGCTTGAATTGAGCTATTTTGTAAAGCAGCATGATTCATGAAATGATGACAGCAGCTTAATTTTGCATGACACTATAAGTAATGAAATATTTTTCCATTTAGGATTTTCTTCAAAAAATACAGAGCTTTTGACAGAAATAAATAAAATATTGCAAGATTTGTGGACGAATAAAGTCATTTTTCAGATCACACAGAAATATTATGAAAATTTAAGCATCAATTATAGAGAAAAATATACGGTAATTTTTAGGATTGCGCCGCTGGTGCTGGCAGGGTTGACGATTATTATAGTGTTTATTGGAGCATTGCTGGTGATTGGGCTTGTAAAAATTATAAAAAATAAAAAAGAAGTAAATCAAAAAGAGATTGAGGATGGAGCCAATAGCTCAAGAGCTTTACTCTCAGCAAGAGAACATGGAAATACGCTTTCTCTTGAGCGATCAAACCTAAGAGCCCAACAAGGAGCTGGAAGGCCTGAAGGGGAATGAGTAAACAAAGCCGTTAACATCGAAGACGAAAATGCTCACAAAATCAAAAATATCCAAGACTACGAAAACGAGCTCTCCGCTGTGCCCCCAGCCAGACCTTCCCTTGTTGCAAGTGACAGCTTAGCTTCTCTATTCAAACCTGAGAAATCTAAGACTAATAAAGACTAATATTTTCATATAAAAATTCACTCATATTTCCATTATAAAATATGTATCGCAGACTCATAGCTTTATCTCGGTCCTTTTCCACTCATGAAAACATCTTCAAGCAGTATCTCAAACAAGCTGAGCAAATTGCTGAAGAAGAAAAGAAAAAAGCTGAAGAAGTCAAAATAGATACAGAACAACTTCTAGGGCCTAAAGAATCAGGTTTAATAGACCCAGCACTAAAATACCTTAAAGCAATTTTTTTTTTTTTTGTTGAAATTTTATATATAATATTTTTCATGAAAAAAAAATTTCCACCTAAAGCAACTAAACTTATTGAGAAAATTATCAAGACAAAATCAATCGAGAGAATACAGCTGATGATTGAAGACGCCTTATATGACGTATCGAAGAACTATAAAGAGAAAAAAGACCAAGAAGAAGATGTGCTTAAACCAATGGAACTAGTTCAAAAACTAACAGAGTTATGGGTCGAAAGACCAGATCTAAAAGTTTTGGATGTCCCTTCAGCATCTATTTTCCGAACGATTCTAATCAGCAGTATATCTGAAAATAAAGGATATTTTGGGAAATTCCAAAGAATTACTAAAAATGAAGAAGGCGAGTTCAACCCGTTCTTTTATGGAGAATTTTCAGAAGAATTTTGCAAGAATATGATCAAAGGAATAGGAAAAACTGCTCCAGGGGTTAGAGTTATTAGAAGAGTGATAGACCATTTGGCGGCCTATGACATTGAACCAAGCACAGAGCTTGTCAATTTGATCGTCGAAGAATCCGTACAAGGAAGGTGGCCAAAGGTTCTCCTCACAACCCTTGAATACGCTGTCAAAAAAAGAACTAAAATTCCTTTACTCCTATTGGTCCCGAGGAACAACAATTGGCAAATTATTTTTTTTGAGGAAATCAGTCACTTAAGAAGTGAGTAAAAGTTTACAAACAACAATTTATTTATAATTAATGGCAATTAAAATGAAAACTTTGTCAGTAAAAAATTCCTTAGCTAGTAGAAGGGGTTAGAAACCTGGAGCAAAGCCATAAAATTTTTCCGCTTTTGCTCCGAACACTTCGATAAAGCCAGCATCTGCATCAACTTGGCTATAAAAACAGGAGTCGACCCTGACTATGACTTAATCGAGCCACTTGTAGCCAAAAATTTAAAACATGGAAGAATTGAAGAAGCTAAAGACTTAGTAAGCATGCTCAGAAAAGAAATCCTCAATAGAAACAGAGTCAACGCTATTCTTGTCAGAGAAGAGCAAGCCAAAAAGACTGTAGAAGTCATGAAAAAATTTATCAACACCTTATTGGATGCCCGCAAGCCAAAGCCAGCCCATGAATATTATGATGAATATATAAGAGACCCATACACCAATAAAATCAGCGAAAGCTATGAAATTGGCTTCAAGCTTTACCAAGACATTGGCGACGTCAGAGATGGAATTTGGCTCTATGAGTTTATTAAGGAAGACAAAAAATTCGAATGGAACCAAAAGCTCGTCACAAGCCTTCTCAAAATGGTCAATGAATTTGGAAAGCCTGCCCTTGAAGCCGCTATAGATAAAGCCCAACAGATTTTTGTGAATAAAGAACTTTACAGCACTTTTGCACTAAATTTATTGATTACTTATTTTGGAAGGCATGAAGTGTGGGATCAATTGCAAGCTATAGTTTTAAAGCTTTTGGAGACTAAATCTGAGGTAAACAAGTATACAAAATTAACATTGGAGAGGCAGATTGAAAAATGCTTAAATCCCGCTTATAAGAGGCAGATTTTAGATAAAGTCAAACTCATTGAATTTCCTGAAGAAGTCCCAGAAGAAGCTAAATAATAAAAAATTCTTTAAATATGTTTTCCCATAGCTCTTCTTCTCACTTCCACCCCTTTAAATTGAAACAATATATCGGTAAATTTGAGATTTTTTGGCACTTTAATTTCTCTTTAAATTGGAGCAAAATTTATTCAATAGATTTCACCTAATTTAATGAAGGGAATTCAAGTAGAATGTTATTTAAACAAATTTTCAAACTGCGATTATTTTTTTTGAATTAATTCCTTATAAAATATTAAAACTCAAAATATTGCAAATTTGAAAAAAAATCAACCCCCTTTAATCGGAACTAATTTTTGTTATAATTTGAAGGGGGGAAGTCAGAGGATTTCAGACATTTTCAGCATAACTAGAACCCCAGAAAGTGAACTCTACCATGAAGAACGTCAAATTTTGAGGCAGCACATTGGGAGGCTAAACAGATCATTTGACGGTAAGGAAAAAATTTTGAAAAGTTTTGAAGATTTATTGAGAGCTGTGCACTTTTTTGATAAGCCTGATATAATCCCAACCCCTAATGATATGGATTGGATTAAGCAGCAAATTTTAATTAGGCAGGAAGACACTCAGGAATCATATAAGAGACTATATGAAGATGAAAAGAAATTAAGAAAAGATGAAGAACAGGATTGAAGGGAAAAAGAAAAGAAATGGAAATATTTAGAAAAAGAGTGGGAAGAGTCTATAAAAAGAGGTAAAATAGCAGAAAATGAACAGAGGAATAGGAGGGCTGGGGAGATTGAAAGAGAAAATGAAGGACTGAAAAGTATGGTGAGAGAGATGAGGAATAAATGTGAAGAATTGGAAGGAATAAATAGAAATATGAGAAGGGAGCAGGAGGAAAGAGATGTAATTATAGAAGAGCTGAAAGAAGAGGTAGAAATATTGAGAAGTACAGTAAGGGAGTATAGAAACAAATATGAAGAAGAATGTGAGGAAATGAGGAAGTTGAAGACTGGGTTTAAAGAAAAATATTTACTCCTCCCTCTGTGAACAAGCAAAACCATTGGAAAAATCTTGGTTTTTTAAAAAAAACTCCATCAGGAAAAATTTTTAAATATAAGTGATAATTATAAAATGAAATCTCTAATTCTGTTATTTATAAACAACTTGCATTCTAAATATAAAGTTTACAAGTTGTATTAATTTTAGTTTCCCAGTCCTTGCGAAATTGAAGATTTGTTAAATTTTGAAAAAATTAACCCCATCCGTGAGAGAGCAAATTTTTGTATGCTCATGAGGGATATTTAGCAGAAGAACTATTGCAAGCCAAAAATAAATTGAATGCGCTGCAAGAAGAGTATGAATTTACGTTAAACAAACTTAAAAAAGTTGAGTCTTTCAAAGAAATAGAAGGGAAAAGAGACCCAAAAGATATTTTCGAGCTTGAAAAAAGAAATAAAGAGCTTGAAGGAAGACTGCAAATTTTAGAAAAGGCCTATGCAAGCCAACTGGATATTAATGAAAAAAAGAAAAATGAAGAAAAAATTAAAATAGAAGAAAATCCAGAAATATGGATAGAAAATGGTTTACTCCCCATCATTATAGAACAACGATATTAAAAAATTGGGAAAATTAACCCCCATCCTTAATCGAACAATTTTCATATATTGATAATTTTTATATACAATGAATCAATAGATTAGTTAATATCTATTATAATTCATGAAATGTTAATAGTTTGCATTGGCAAATGAAGAGTAACTTACGTGTTTTCTTAATAATCCGCACGAATTAATCATTCGAAGTACTTAGCCATCAACATGACCTCAAAAGCTTAATAATCTCAAAAGGTTAGAATTAAAAATAATTAATAAGGAACAGCAATATTTTATAGAGTGGATAGGGCTAACTTAATTAACGCAATTTTTCATTTTAATAGTTTTAATATTTACTATCTTAACCTATTATTTAAAAACGCCAAAACAATAAAAAAATATATATTATTTTTTATATTTTTAATTTTTTAAATCCTCATCCTTGATTAGGGGAGTTAGATAAAAACCAAGCTAATCAAATTTCAGCAAAACTGATAAATCCTTTCCAGAAATTAAATAGCGCAGACTCATTAAATCTTGAAGATAGACTTCTTCAAACCCCGCTTTCTAATCACTCAGAAAAGGACAATTTAAAACATTTATTTTCAATTAAGTCAAGCCATGACAGCACTCTTGATCCTAAAATCCATAAAAACCTCAAAGGAGAATCCAAAAAATTTAAGAAATCATTAAAGCACAAAGGCTCATCTACAAATCTTCATACTGACCGTTCTGATTTTTCAAGCAGAAGGGATCATATTGACGGAAGTTCACAAATGTCAAAAACAGACAGAAAAAGCAGCAGGGAAAGACTCACAACAGAAAAAGGAGACTTTTGTGAGGTCTGTGTCAAAGTCCATGGCCACAAATGGGCGAACTCTCCTTATAAAGAAAAAATAAATAATTAAACAGTTTATTTACAGGTTATTTTCTTACTTAGAAAGTCTTCGCTCAAAAACGACTTTGATTTCTTTGTAATAGGCTTCTTCCTTGGGGATAGCTGTGGCCTAGAGCTTTGGCAAATCCAAGGATGCCTTGAAGCTTCATCAGGGTTCAGCCTTTTGTCTGGGTCCCAGTTCAAAATATCTTTTACGAATTCTAGAAACAGCCCATCATTAGTCCCAACCATAGCTGCCAGTGGCCTTGTATTTGGATATCTCAATTTCCCTCTCGAATTTGGGACAATTTTTGGCTGTCCGTCCGGCTCAAAAAATAATTTTTTCCTAGTGCTTTGTTCCAAAATATTAGGAGGCGGGACACCTAACACCTCAATAATCCTTAGCAGCTGCTCATGCTCATTTTCTCCAGGAAATAATGGGTACCCAGTATGAAGTTCTACCACAATGCACCCAAAACTCCACATATCAATCCCTGTTGTATAAGGAATTCCTAATATAATTTCAGGCGCTCTATAAAACCTTGACTGAATATATGTATAAATCCTTTCTGCTTCAAGACAAGAAGAGCCATAGTCAATTATTTTTATTGCAGACTCATTAGGGGATTTTAGTAATATATTTTCTGGCTTTAGGTCACAGTGGATTATGGAATAAAGTTTAGTGAATCGCATAGCGACTAAAATTTGGACTGCAAATCTACGGACTAGAGATAGAGATAAGCCTTCAAAAGAGTTAAGTTTTAAGAACTCGTAGAGATTGATGGATAAAAGCTCAAAGGTAATTATCCTTCAATATTTATATGAAAAATAATATTTAAATAGAAAATTAATTGGGAAATTTAATAGAAAGAAGTATATCAAATGTTTCCGAAACATAAAATTGTCCTTTATTCTAACAATATTAAATTTGTCCTCTGGGTCTTGGGCTTTCAATAAATCAAGGACCTTCACCTCGACAGCGCCTTGTTTAATGAACCTCTTTTTATTTTTTATGATTTTCAAAGCAACAATCTCTCCGTTCTTATGATCCATACATTTCAATACTTGCCCAAAAGATCCTTTTCCTAAAAAGCTCAAAGCCTCATACCTATAGCCAATATGATCCCCAATGACACAATTATAATTTCCTTTTTCATCGTCATACCCATAGTTGAAATTTTCATTTTTCGCATGGATTTTGGGAGCTCCCGACCTTAAAAAACTTAACGTGACTTAATAAGATTATCGAAAGCTCCCGAAGGCTCCGCAAAGCTGTATTCACCTCCCTATTGCTACACTGCTTGCTTACCAGTCTGAGCACGGCCTCTTATTGTGTTGCTCCTCATGGATGAGTGCTTGCATTCGCTACCCGTGAGCTAGAGGCGAGGCCACCATGTTGCACGTCAACGGAGTTTGGCTTTCAGAAAGTTCGAAAAACGGATTTTCTGGTCCCCTGCAGACCAAGATGGAAATTCGTAGCCAAGGACACAACACCTGGCATCGCGCTGGGGAACGTTCGCGATTGATCGGGAGGAACCTCACTGGTACTACTGGAACGCCCCTTTCCAACTCCGAACTTCATTCTTTGTGTGAGGCAAAACCTTGGCCTGGATACGAGCATCCGGTCCTCTAAAGAGGACATCGCGCTCCAAAAAGCTAAGTAAAACCTGGTTGGATGCACATCACCAAACACTATCCTCCCTTCCACAAGGTCCCTGGTTCTCCTCAGCTACAGGTTTTAAGAGGGTGGTTGGTTCGCCACACCATTTTAATGTGGGAGCTCCTGACCCTATAAAATAAATTTCTTTATAATCCAAAATTTCTAATTGTTCATATTCAGTTAGCATATTTCCCATGTTTTTCAAGACTTCCCCAGGTGATAAATAAAGTTTTAGATTTTTTTTTGACTCAGTTGATATCCTTTTTATGCTAAAAATCCCCAAATTCTATAAAAAAAAACCATAAAATTTATTTATTATAAACTTGCATAATGATTTTAAATGTGACCTTGCAGTTCTGGTTCTGCTTGAATTCAAACTTTGTAAAGAGCTTGAAGGACTGTTAAAGCTCAGGTTTATTTGTTTAGTAGCTCGGCTTGATAAAAGCCCTTCAAAGACACGACGGGACGACGAAGAGTTGTTTAATGAGTTGTTGGAACTTGATTTATTTTGGATTGGGAGGATTGGCACTTTTTTGGATCGAGTTGTTGTTAAGCCAGATGGAAGCTTTATTTGACGGCGAGGGGAAGCTTGAACTTTGGTTAAGCCTAAGAAAAGCTTAGGTTGTGGATGAATACGCTTAACAGAGCCTTCGTCGAAACTGTTTCCTATAGACCGAGACGAGGCTTTGAATCGATGTACACGGGTTAAGGGTTGGGCGTCAAAAGACATATTTAATAGAAAATGTTAATAGATATTAAAACTGGAGAATTATGGAAATGAAAATTTTCTGGTTTTAGGGGATTTTATATTATTTAGAAGAATCGATTTATGAATTATATAAATATTTGTGGATTCTCCATATATAAAATATAAATTGTGGCTTTTTGCATAATAATATGCTTAGGAGATCAATTTGCCAATTTTACAAAAATTGCCAAGAAGCAATATCAGACATACCTTCAGGCTCTTCTATTGCAGTAGGCGGGTTCGGCACAAGTGGAGTCCCTGAAAACTTGCTTAAAGCTTTAAGCAAAAAACCAGTTTCAGGCTTAAAATTCATGAGCATAGACTGCACAATTGATAACTATGGCATCGACTGAGTTTTAAAAAACAAGCAAATTTCCCACCTTACCGTCTCATTTGTTGGAGACAGCCAAAACTTCCAAAAACAATTTTTTGACGGAACTCTTTCCGTCGATTTCACACCTATGGGAACTCTTGTAGAAAAATTCCGAACAGGAGGTGCAGGAATCCCTGCATTTTACACAAAAACAGGCACAAAAACCCCTTATGTCAGTGGTCTCCCAAAACGTTATAAACCTGGAGGCCTTGAAGTCGCTGAATACAGCCTTCCTAAAGACACAAAAATGTTTAATAACAGAGAATACATACTAGAGCCTTCCCTAAATGCAGATTTTGCCTTCATAAAAGCCTGAAAAGGCGACAAATTAGGAAATTTAGTATTTAAAGGCAACTCCCAAAACTCCAACCCAGACGTTGCCAAATGTGCAAAAATCGCTATAGCAGAGGTAGAAGAACTGGTAGAGCCTGGAGAAATTGACCCAAAGCACGTCCATTTGCCTGGCGTTTACGTTGATAGAATAGTAAATCCACCAGTTTATATAAAGCCAATTTTACATTTGAAGCATAAATCTGATTTTGAGGTTTCTGCAGCTGAAAATCTTATATTGACAAGGGCAGCTAAAGAAATTAAATCAGGGATGATTGTAAATTTAGGCGTTGGGCTACCTGTTTTTCTCCAAAAATACTTGCAAGACAAAAATATTATTCTTCAGTCAGAAAATGGCCTGCTAGGAGTTGGAGACTACCCAGAGCCAGGTCAGGAAGACCCTGATTTGATTAACCCTGCAAAAGAAACTATTACAATGAACCCAGGAGCTGCGCTTTTTGAAAGCTCTGAAAGTTTTGCTATGATCAGAGGATCGCATATTGACGTTAGTAACCTTCTGTCTTTCAAAGCTGGAGCCAAAAGGCAAGGAGGAGGCACAGGATGTCCCATAGCGTCAGGGGGTCGAAGGGAGAGCAAGATAATAACGATCCCTTTCTAGCAGGAAGAATAATATCAGCTGGACCCAGCTTGATCGACGGTTTCGCATAGAGGATAAACCCTCGAGGGAGTCTTTTGGTGGCTGCGCAGAAGCCTATCTGCAATTAAATTTAAGTTTAAGACGTTAGTATCCTCGGGGCTTTGCAAGTCTCCTTAAATTGTGACATTGCAAGTTGAATGATCCCAGGAAAACTAATCCGAGGAATGGGCGGCGCTATGGACTTGGTAGGGTCTGATTCAAGAAAAATAGTGACTATGGTGCACAGCTTTAAGGATCAGTCAAAAATTGTGGAAAAGTGCAGCTATCCTCTAACAGGGACTAATATAAGTATGCTGATAACTGAGCTTGGAGTGTTTGAAAATAGAGAAGGGAAGCTTACATTAATTGAATTAATGCCAGGGGTAGATTTGGAGCTTATTCAGGCAAAAACAAAATGCAAGTTTGAGACTTGCTCAAGCTTGAAAAGTGTAGGACAAACTTAATTTTACCGATAATTTTAATATAACCCTATAGTATCCCTAAAATTTAAATCATAATTTAAATAAAATTATGTCTAACGAGCCAAGAATTTGGACCTTACAAGACTTCGAAATAGGCAAAGCCCTAGGCAAGGGAAAATTCGGCCATGTCTACCTCGCCAGAGAAAAGCGAACCCACTACATAGTCGCTTTAAAAATGCTCAGCAAGAGGCAGCTTCTAGAAGTACTCACTATTTAGTCACGCATGGAGCGACAGCTTAGGCGGGAAATCGAAATCCAATCCCACCTCAAACACCCCAACATTTTACGACTTTTTGGCTATTTTTGGGACGAAAAACGCATTTATTTGATACTAGAATATGCTCCAAATGGCGAACTTTTTAACGAACTCCGCATTGAGAGGAAATTTTCTGAGCCAAAATCAGCAAATTATATAGAACTTACTTAAATACTTATAGAGAACTCCTCTGCAGGCCCAAAGTCCACTACTCGCCTCCGTATAACGCTTCACCGCTTGCTTGCCAGTCTGGGCATGGCTTTCCACTGTGCTGCTTCTTACAGATGAGGCTTGCACTTACAGCCCGAAAGTAAGAGACACTAGGTAACCATGCCGTACGCCAATGGGGTTGCTTTTTCCCAAAATTCGAAAAATCGAATTTTCTAGTCAAGCTGTCAACAAATGGAGCCTGGAGTCTGGGACGCAACACCTGGTATCTAGCTAGTGATTTGCCCGATTGGCCAAGTGACAGTCTCTGGCCTTGTTGAGCGTCCCCTTTCCAACTCCAGGAGCCATCTCTCCCCATGAGGTAAAACCTTGACCTGATGCTAGCATGCAGTTGGCTAAACTCAACTATTTGCTCCACCAAGCCAAGTAAACCTGGCGGGATACGCATTTCCGATTGCTGTCCTCAGCTTTCTCAATGAACCTATCAGCTGCGGGGTGTTTAAGAGGGTAGGTTGGCTTGCATAGCCATTTTAATACACGTAAATTATATAGAACAAGTAATTAATGCCCTAATGTGTTTGCATGAAAACAATATAATTCATAGAGACATCAAGCCAGAAAATTTATTAAATTCTTGCGGAGTAATAAAAATCAGCGACTTTGGGTGGTCTGTGCATGCGCCGACGACAAGAAGGAAGACACTGTGCGGAACACTTGATTATTTGCCGCCGGAAATGGTGTGTAGGGAGGAGTATGATGAGTTTATAGACCATTGGGCGTTAGGGGTGCTAACTTATGAATTTTTAGTGGGGGAACCGCCTTTTGAAAGCAGAGAACCGAGAGAGACTTATAGAAGGATTGAAGGGCTGCAGTATAATGTTCCAAGTCATATAAGTGAAGAAGCTAGAGATTTTATATCGAAGCTCCTGGCTTCCCCCTTTCACTGTAAGCAAGATTATTTTGTTTACTCATAAAAGGATTAATTTTTTTTCTCAATTTTGTACTAAAAATATTTGATAAAAAATCACAATTTTTTTAAAAGAAAATCTAAGATTGTGCAATTTGTCAAAAATTAATAGAAATTACAAAAACTATGCTTTTTTCCATGATTTTGCTCGCTCTTCAAGGTGGGGGTAAAGAGAAATCCCTATGAAAGAATGAGCTTAGAAGAAGCACTAGAACACCCGTGGCTGGTAAAACACAGAAATAGTATGGTATAACTATGTAACTTTTTATTTTTTTAATTAATTTATTGAAAAAGATGATTCTTGATATGGAAATCTATTATGAGCGATTTGTTTATATTTCAATTAGGGTGCAAATTTTATAAGTGGAATAATAATTATAAAATGGAATTAGGCACCTTGGAATTAGACTTAAAAGGCAGCATCAAAAATGTAACTCATAAATAGAGCTCAGGAGAATTAGAAGGATGGCCTGAAGAAAATAGAAAACGAGTGCTGACGATGCTGGAAGATTCTGGTGCGCTTTTAGGCTCAGATTCTTTCAGAAGACTAGTTGTTGCTTATACAGGCTATGAGTATTTAATTACAATTACCCGAGATTCCATATTAGTTCTATTAACATCCCATTTAATAATGAATCCTTTTTGCTCTTTATTAATTGGGGTTACTTATAATTTATTAAAATGAAATATTTAATCATTATAGAAATTTTAAAGATTATTAGCAGAATAAATGAAATTATTTCAAAATCTTTGAAAATCAATAAAAATAATGAAATATATTAATATTTATTATGAATGTGAAGTAGAGGTATATATGTCAATTTTTTTTATAATTTTTAAAATTATAAAAAATTTTTGTCATTGGTTTGTAAGAATAAATCAAATTTTTATTTAAATTAATTGGAGACATTTCAAACCATTTAAATTATAATAAAATTTTTAGGTTTTCTTGATATTAAATAAGTGAAGTAAGAGAAAATTAACTAGTCACTTTACTATGCATTTCCATCTATATCTTTCTCATTGTGTCTTAATTTTTACAGGTTTTATATGCAAAATTATACAATTCAATAAATTTGGCTTATCTTTTGTAATAAATATGCTTGATATTCGTGTAGGAGGCAGATATCGAATTGGCAAAAAAATCGGCAGCGGGTCGTTTGGAGAAATTTTCATCGGCGTCGACATCCAGACCAACGAAGAAGTTGCTATTAAGCTTGAAAAAATCGATTCAAGGCATCCTCAGCTTATTTATGAAAGTAAACTGATACGGTTGTTGCAGGGTGGACCCGGACTTCCAGGAATTCTTTGATATGGGGTCGAGGGCAACTATAACGCAATGGTCATGGAGTTATTAGGCCCGAGCCTCGAAGATCTCTTTAACTTTTGCAATCGGCGCTTTACCTTGAAAACTGTACTTATGCTTGCTGACCAAATGATCTGTAGGGTGGAATATGTCCACTCTAAGAATTTCATACACAGAGACATCAAGCCTGACAACTTCTTAATAGGTCTTGGCAAGCGGAGCAGCCTTCTGCATATAATAGATTTCGGGCTGGCCAAAAAATACAGAGATCAGAAAACTCATAAACATATTCCTTATATTGAAGGAAAAAGCCTTACAGGGACTGCGAGATATGCCTCAATTAACACCCATATGGGCATTGAACAGTCAAGAAGGGACGATTTGGAGTCAATAGGCTACGTTTTGATGTATTTTTTAAGAGGAAGTTTGCCATGGCAAGGAATTTCAGCTCACGGAAAGCAAGAAAAATATCAAAAAATAAAAGAAGCTAAAATGAGCTCAGCGGTAGAGGCACTATGCAGAGGATTTCCACCTGAGTTTGTAATATATCTTAATTACTGCAGAGAGCTGAAATTTGAAGATAAGCCAGACTATGGGTATTTGAGGAGGCTATTTAAAGATCTTTTTGTAAGGGAAGGGTATGAGTATGACTATGTTTTTGACTGGACACTTTTAAATTATTCTAATGCAAGGCCACAAAGACATAGGCAGAGGATTGAGGAGGAGAAAAAAGAAGCTAGAGATGTGAGCAGAGAGGTAATAAATGAAAGCTCAAACAAAGAGATCGAAATAAAGCCTATTGAAAAGCAGGATACGAAAAAGTCTGATAAGAAAAACAAGAGTAAGTGCGATATTTTTTAATAAAATTGTAAAATATAAAAATTTATAGTAGCATGGAGAGCTTGGATTTTATTGATTCGAGTATCATGAAGTTAACGTTGTCTTCGGCTTCGATTGTGCTTAGAGGCGAAAGGCTTTTTAGAAGACTTTCATGGCGCTTGGCTTTTCTTTCGAGGTTTTTTGCGTATTTGTGGATGTCTGTAGGCTTTTCGAGAGACTCAAAGGACTTGTAAGAGTTTTCAAGTAGCTCTTTAGCTTCAATTTCTCTAATTCCCTAGGAAAAAATCTTAAAGACTATTTTAATTTAATTTTTAATATCTACTTTAAGCTCTATCTTTTAAACGAGTAGTAAGCCGCTTTTGGTCTTCTAGATAGTTACGTCTAGTAGGTCTAAAAGAAGATGACTCCTGCATGATACTCAACTGAGAGCTGCTACTATCACTCTCCGAGCTTATCCTACTATGCCTTTTCATAGTAGTTTTTGATCTTCTAATTACAGGTGCCCTATGTGACAAACTTTGTGATTTTGGTAAAATTTCTCTTTTTTTGTCAATTCTTTTTATGCTTTCCTCTAACTCCTGCTTTTTCTGCTTATCAATTATCGGTGGAAAATGCTCAATCACGATTTTCCCGTACTCAATTCTTTTATTCGCAAGCAATTTTTTTTCTAATGACATATATTCTTGCTTTTCACGTTCTTTTCTATCGTTTTCAATCACATCACTCATAAATTTGCTCGAATATGTTGTAGGGCTTTCTCCCCTGCTTGCGCTTTGGGATTTTATTTTTGATTTTTCATCAATATATTTTTGGTATTTTTCTATATGATTTTCTATTTCTTCGTGCCTTACTGGTGAATAGATTTCTCGTTTTTTGATTAAAACCGTTTTTCTTCTTTCCATTTCAGGTCTAACTACTTTTTCTTCGTATTCGTCTTCTATTTTTTTATATAGCGGCTTTTCTTTGGAAAGGCTTTTCATCTCGGTTTTTGCTTTAAATAAATTCAATTTTCTTTGCTCTCTTTTAACCACTAGTTCGTCAACTCGCTTTCTTTTAGCAAGATTAATCCTATCCATCTCGAGCTGCTGTTGCCATAAGGACTCCTCATATTCTTTTTCTTCTTCTTTTATTTCTTTAAGTTTCTGCTCTTCTTTTTCCTTCAACTTTTTAGCTCTTTCTTTTAACAATTTTTTGGCAAAATCAGCTGCATATTGATATTTTTCGTTTTCTGAAGTAAAAACAACTTTTTTCTTTTCTCTAGGCTTGCTTTCTATCATTGATTTTGCTTTTTCTTTCTTTTTTTCTTTAATCTCATGTTTGATCTCTTCAAAAAAATCATCATCACTTTTTTCATTAATTTCTTCTTCGCTTTCTACATCACAAATAACGGGCTCCAATTCAATGACTCCTTTCTTTTTTTCTTTTCCGTTTCCTTTATTTTCTTTATTTTTCACAATTTTCACAAAATTTCCACCAAGACTTGCTATAATATTTTTCTTAACTCTTTTTATAACACTCCACGCTGCAAAGTCTTCATAGTCTTTTGATCCAATTGAGTTTAGAAGGACTTCCATATAATTTTTTAGCCTTTTTCGCTTCGGCATCTTCTTGAAAATCCAGACTATTTAATATATGCATTTTAATAAATAATTGATTTTTCTGAAAATAACCAATTTTTATTTATTTATAAATAAGTTTTATATCAATTTATTCATGCACTCTGCATCAAATTGGACATATTTTTTAGCCACTCATGAGCCAGCAACGCAAGCAGCAAAGAGAAGAGGACATTCAGCTTTTACTTGCAGTTAAAGCACACCTTGGCACTCCTAATGTTTCAGAGCAAATGAAGCCTTATGTTTTCCAAAAACGTGCAGATGGCTTAAACATCATCCACCTAGGCAAAACCTGGGAAAAATTGATGCTGGCAGCCAGAGCTATCGTTGCTGTCGAAAACCCAAGCGACGTCATAGTCATCAGCGCTCGTCCTTATGGCCAACGTGCAGTCCTCAAATTCTCTCAATACACTGAAACCTCTTATCTCGCTGGCAGATGGACTCCAGGTACTTTTACAAACCAAAAAATCCCTAAATTCATGGAGCCAAGACTTATCATTGTGACAGACCCACTTACAGACCACCAAGCTTTAATCGAAGCTTCATATGCGAATGTCCCTACTATTGCATTTTGTGGTTAAGCATAAAAAAAAACTTATGTGGTAGTTTTGCACTAAATATTCACCTATAAAAATTAATAGTAATTTTTTAAAAACTGCTTTGGAAACCGATTTACTCTTGCTTTTCTTAGAAAAATGTAATGTAATTTGCTACATAGACTTAACCCATTTTGTGATACAGACTCACCAATGAAATTTGTCGATATTGCGATCCCTTGCAATAACAAAGCTAAGAACTCAATTGCTATGATGTATTGGCTTCTAGCAAGAGAAGTGCTTTATTTAAGAGGAGCCTTAAGCAGATCACAACCATGGGACGTAATGGTCGATTTATTCATATGGAGAGACATTGAAGCTGAAGAAAGAGCTGCCAAAGAAAAAGGAGAAGCAGTAAGAGAAACTAGACAGAGAAGAAAAGAGCAGTATGATGAAGCAGGAAACGAGGAACCAGCTGAAGGAGTAGCTAACGAAGAAAACTGGGGCGAACAAGACAACTGGGATGCAGTACCAGAAGGTGAGGGACAACCAGCCGCAGGTTGGGAATAAATATAATAAATTGTATAAAGTAATATTTATTTTATATAAGAATTAGTTCTATATTATTTATAATTTAAAGAATAATTCCATTTTAGAAAATTAATAGGATATAAATTTGAATTGGCGGTATGGACAGACTAAGTGTTGATAGAATTGAAGACAGGAAAAAAAACTACCAGAAAGGCGTTGACATACTTGAAATGAAAAAAAAGCGAGAAGAAGGGGCGATCCAGCTGAGAAAGAAAAAGAGAAATGAGCACATCTGCAAGAAGCGAGCCATGGGAGTTGACAGAATTGTGGCATCAAACGATATGAGAGACTATCAGCCAAACACATTCAGCTTCCCTGCTGAAATGGTGCCTGCTGTATTAGAAAAAAGAGACCAAAGATTGGCAGCTCCTGATTATTCTGCGTTCCAAAGGTTCACTCTCTTGGTCCATTTTATAATAGCTGAAGAAGATGAAGCTGTTTTAACCGAAGCTGCAAAAGTGTTAAGAAAACTATTAGCAGGGAACAGCCAGCCTTCTTTAAAAACCCTTGTTGAGATTGGAATCAGTTCAAAATTAATAAAATTGCTGAGCTCAAAAAACGAGAATTTATTATCTGAAGTTTCCTGATGCTTAATTAATTTATCGTCAGGCCCCGCTGATATTTCAAGTGTTATGCTAAATCAAAACATAGCCAAAACTTTGGCTCAAGTTTTGGAAAAATGCGAGTCAGTTGAGCTTGCAAATAACTTTGCATGAATACTCGGAAATATTTCAGCAGACTCAATAGATAATAGAGACACTATTTTGGAGACTGGGGTGGTAAAAACACTTGTAGGCTTTATAAATGAAAATTTTAATGGGAGCTCTTTTGTGATTTGGACACTAAGTAACTTGTCGAAAGGGAAACCAATGCCAGAGGAGCATATTATTTTAGACCTTTTGAAGATTTTCCCTAGGGCTATTGAGACAGATAATGAAGATATCCTGGTAGATGCCTGCTGAATTTTGTCTAATATAACTGATGGTGAAAAGTACATTGATAAAGTTTCTGATATTGGGATTATTCCTAAATTGATAGACTTATTGGCTCATCCGAGCCAAGATGTGCAAGGATTCGCGTCAAGAGTAATCGGAAATATTATCGTCAACTCTGATAAATATACCCGGACACTGCTGAATTTAGGAATTTTAGACAATTTAGGAGCTTTATTGTACCACCCTCGCAGGTCATTAAAAAAAGAAGCTTTATTATCATTGGGCAACTTTTTGTTTGGAAATGACGAACAAGTCGAGCTTGTTATCAGTCACCCTTGCATGAAAAATATCGTCAGATTCTTATTAGATGCTGACCAAAATATCCGATATGAAGCTTTATGGGCTATTGGCAACGCCACCCATACCAGCAATCGAAATATAATTAAAAAATTAGAAAAATACGAAGTTTTGAAATCCCTTGTGGAGAACTTAAAAGACAAGCACCCTAAGACTCTTGTGGTAGCTTTAAAAGCTATTGACTGTATATTAGAAGCAGGGACTCAAACGAGTGCCGATACAGGAATAAACATGCTGGCCTATAAGTTTCAAGAACTTGGAGGGGTTGACATGCTTGAGTTCTTACAAAGCCACCCCAATGTGACGATTTACAATATTGCAGTCCACATTATGATGAAATATTATGGAGTTGAAGAAGACGTGGACGAGAACTTAAACGGCAGCGAGTCTAATGGTTTTGTGTTTAGTTAATAATTAAAGTTGTTCTGTTATAATTTCAAGCCTCGAAAACTTTTTCGAAGTTTTTTTCTTCACTATTTCAAAATCAGCGTCTTCTTTAATTTCAAATAATTAATATGGTAGCAGCGGTGACGAAATGTGTCCTTGACGAAGCACCACTTTGGGCGCCTAAAAGGTTTTATAGCCTAAATCAAGATTCGGGATTTTATCTTTGCCTAGAGCAGCCATATGTGGGCAACTTTGAGAGTCAGCTGGTGGTCATTCAAGTCCAAGTATTAGTTATCTGGGTGTTTTTGGACCATGGGTTCTTTTCCTACCGATTCCAGATGGCCGTGGCTCTTTTTCCTGGGTGCACTCTTTCTCAAGGAGGGATCGGACTGACCTTTGCCTTTATAGCGCCCGCAAAACGTGAGACAAGAAGGGTCTTTATAGCCCATAGACTCAGGGACGCAGTGCAAGCCCCAGGGTCAGGGAGAAGACTACTGTTGGTGGGGTTCTGCAATTGAGCTTACCTGGAAAACAAGGGTCTGGCGGTCGCAAGCGTGCAGAGGCATCAAATCTTGAAGACCTTAAACTATTTAATCTTAATTTCAACGACTTTGGGGGACTCGATCTTTTCATATTCGTCATAAGAAGGCAGCTCATTTTCAATAGGGCTGGAGATCTTTTCAGATTCTTCATAAGGAGGTGGATTATTTTTAATTGGGGTGTCTAAAAGCTCATCAATTTCTATTCCTTATCAGATAAATATAAGCTAAATGCAAATTTTTTAAAAATAGGAGAATTTGTAGTAAAAATAATATTTTTTCAGGCATTTTTTCATCTGGATCAGGTATTTCGTCTTCGTCCCCTAGGTTAGGTGGCGGTTGGTAGCTTCTTTCCTCTTCAGTCTCATTAATAATTTTAGACAAATTTTCAATACTGCTGTTGTCGCTCACCAAGATATCAGGCTCATCCACAGGCTCATGGATTTCTGCTGACTTGGGCTCTCCAGTATTCCTTGAAGAATGCCGAGATCTTGATCTTGAACTTCTTGATTTAGACCTCCTATACGCCTTCGTTGGGGCAGGCTTCAGCGATTTTTCGAAAAAATTAGAAAAACCATTGACAACTTCATTTGGGAGCTGAGGAGGCAAAGGCACCAAAACTTGGGTGGTTTCTTTGGTGGAGCAAGAACCCATATTCAGTTTAATTATTACTTCTAGTATTAATGATATAATTTTTCCTAATAAATCCGCAAGCAAAGTGTTTTTACTACAAAAGAGTCAGCACTAACATTTATTTATAAATAAAAATGCACATTAGACGAAGATCTGCGAAAGAACTGAAAATTATAGACATCAACTCAGACCCAATTTTGGGCGCTTTTAGGCATGTGAAATCAAGGAGTAACTTAGAAAATGATATAACGAAATATGTGTACACTAAGCAGACTTTTAAAAGGAGGGATTTTTCACTTGTTAAATATGATGAAATTCAAAACAAAAGTTTTTTAAGTATAAAAACTACACTAGATATCAAGCCTGCAAGTATCAGGCATGCCCTAGAGAAAATACAGAAGCCTGAGTCTATTTCACAATATCGAAGGATGCCTTCAAGAAATAAAATAGTCATCAGGGTACCATTGGCAAAGCTTCTGCCAAGGTCGAAATCTCAAATTAATTGGATAAAATGCATAAACCAACCGTTTGTGAGTGACGGAAATCGCAGCCTGCCATATAGAGATGGCGATCTTTATCTGAAGCGGAATTTCAGATCTTTTGGATGGAATATCCAAAACCAAATAGCTGCAAGTTAATTATCAAAATTTCCCTTGTTTTTCCTATTAAAAATCCCTAAAAATTTATATGGAAAATTCTATTACTCTTTACAATAGACTAATGCTAGGCGTTATCTCTAAAAATAGGATACCGTCAGTCAGGAGAGAGATATTTCTTTTCATGCAAATCGGCATAAGAAAAATAGCATAATTCAGTAATCGATTTATTCAATAAATTAAAGAAGCCATAATATGTCTGTTAGAACATCTCAAAGTAGCTATCATAGCGGGTTTTCAACCCCACACAAAGAAGTGAACTCAAGCACCAAGGCAAATAATGAAGTTCTTATTTTAACAATAAATCTTGGAAATTCCAAAGATGACATAGTCATCCACGAGTTTGATGACCCCAACATCCTTGCTAAAAGGTTCTGTGAAAAACATAATTTAGGGCTGGAAGTCGAGTCTACACTAGCAGAACACATAATTTTCAACCTTGAAAAAGTCCTTCAAGATTTATCTAACATTAATCAAAGATTGCAACAGAAAAACAGCGAGGAGAATTTTATTTCCAATGAAAATGTAAAAAAAGCTGTAACCCCAAAACCTCGGGTGGCAGCCCAGGAGAGAGTAAACGAAAGCAGGCTCTCAAAGCAAAGCTCAGCTGCCACCATGGTCAGCTATGAAGACAAATCCCCAAGTCGGTCCTTTTATAAGAATCCTGGAAACCGGCTCTATCAGCTTGGAATGATTCAACAAAAAGATAGGGAAAATAAGTCAAAGCTCTACCAGCAGCAAAAAATGCAAAAAGAGTTAGAAGAGGTCACGTTTACCCCAAGAATTAATACAAAAAGAATAAAAAAAGTTAAAAACACTGAAAATTTGCTGATTGAAAAAGGCAAAAAAGTTAAAGAAGTGCTAAAACTGAAAATTAAAGACCAATTGGAGACAGACAGAAGGAAATGCACATTTACCCCTGAGCTGAATCCAGTCAGCTCTAGACTGGCAGCTAGGGATAGAAGCGCTGATAGAATTAATTATCTTTGTAAAGAAAAAGAAGAAAGCAAAAAGAAAATCCAAGGAAAAGCGGACGAATAGTATTTTTTATATAGTTTCAAAGAGCTTTGTCCATTTACGCCGAATAAAATTTATAAATCTTATACGAAATCGGAACTAAATGACAGCATAGATAGATTGACGAAGTCGAAAATTCAGTCTGAAGATGAGCTGGAAAAGTAAGGAATAGGCAGGTTAAGAGAAAAACATCTGCAAGACCTGAAAAAGGATCCAGTGACTGGGCAGGAGTTTTTTACTCCTCAGATTAATAAAGGTCCGAGGACTGAAAGGCAATATTCGAATGTATGAGAAGATTTGTACTATAAAAGGTCAAATAGTCAAAGCAGGCTTTCAATATCGCCACAGAAAACATATAGTGAACTACACTGACTGGCACGGGGTGCTTTTGGCTCAGTTTCGAGCCAAAAGCACCCCGTGCCAGTCAGTGTAGTTAACTATATAAAAACGCAAGATCAGAAAAAATTATGAAAAAATTAACGGGAGAAAAATATTATGAAATTTTTCAAAAATTAAAACCTCAAAAAGGCAAGATTTTGCATAATGAAATTGATGCATCGTTGCTAGAACGCGAGCTTTTGCTAATTATTCAGCCTTTAATTGATGAAATGAAATCAGCTAGAGAAAGCTTGTCTTTTGAAGAGTTCTGTGGAGCCATGGATGCTCTTATGAAAGTTCTCACTCCTCAAGAGAAAAATTATTTAATTTTCAATAGAAAAAAGCCTGAAAATGATAATCCATTAACAAGCAGGTCCCAATCTCCATCCTCAAGAGCAATTTTTCAAACATATGATAGGCTGATGAAACATAAGAGAAATTTAGAAGAAAAATTAGAAGAGCAGAGAAGGTCGAATGAAGAAAAATTGCTGAGTGAGTGTACGTTTATGCCAAATACAAGACAAAAATTAGAAGATTCTTTTACTCTATCACATGATTTAATTTTTTATATATATTATAGTATATATATTTTAATTTTTTTCAGAAAAATTCTGGGAAAGTCAGGAATCTCAGCTTTGAAAATTAATGTTTATAAGTAATTTATGGCTGCACTGAGATTCTTTTTTCGACTCTATCTACTAAGCCTTCTACATATTCTTTGGCAGCTGCTTCAGATGGAGAGGCTAAAGAAGGAATCATTGAGGACTCATAATGCTCTTTGGATTCTTCGACTCTATGATGAGATTCATGATGCTCATGATGTTCTTCACTATGCTCGATATGGATTTCATGACGGGTTTCCGTTATGACTTGGCGAGTTTCTGTGATGACTTGATGGGTTTCTGAAGTCACTTTGTGATGTGCTTCTTTTGAGTGCTTTTCATCAATTTTTGACTCAGTTTTATGCTCCTGGACAGCAATATCTCTAGATTCACTTCCTCCTGATTTCTTCTTCTCATGAGCTACTTCTTGATTTTTTGGCCCTGAGCTTGGCTTTGCTTCATGAGATTGGTGAACTTGGCTTGCGGCTTTTGGCTCTGAGCCAGGCTTGGTGGAGTATTTTACTTTATCTGGCTCTTTTCTTATGATTTTTGGATAATCGCATGGTCTTGGTGCTCTTGGATTTGCTTCATCCCACACAAATTCTTTTCCCTAACTCTCTTAAAATATTTTTTATGGGGAAAGAAGCTTTCGAGGCACCTTAGTTATATTGCTGAATCATGAGCTTTTAATATAGAAAATATAAATTTTATGAGATAGTTGAAGAATAATATTTGCTATAATATAGGCAGTAAGTAAAATTTACAGCTTGTTTACATTTAAAATATTCAGCTGCAAATACTATGATATCTTGAGGCTGCAAACGAAGGATTTCTCTTGTTAAATCACGCAAAATATTAGGGAATTCTGGAGGAATAGGAAACTGTTGCAGGTATTTGGATGCCATAACTGCTTTTAAATTATTAACTTATTTAGGAAATTCATGCTATAAAGATTAAGGAAAAGCATTTATCTGCTATAATAAGTATTAAGCCTATTAATTATATTAAAATAATTATTATTTAAAGTAACACAAGAAGAAAATAATTAATGAATTTCAATTAGTATTATTAATTTCTATGCTAATCAAGCTTTCTATAGAACTCTTGATTGCAGATACAAAATTGAGGATTTATCCCAATTTCCCTTGCAGCCATTTCACAGTCCCCTCCATATTTATCAGTTCTTATTACACCTAAAATCTGCAAATGCATTTTTTGCCCCATAAAAGCAATTGGCTCAATGTAGGGCTTGTCAGTCTCAAATTGTTGGTTAATTTCATTAGAAAAAGAAACCATACTCCAAGTATCATACTGCGCTCTTTTATTTTCCATTATTGTAAACATTATTTTAAATAAATGAGTATCTCCATTGATATTTTTATATCCTGCATAAATAATTTCATTTAAATTAATTTTCATACATAAAGATCCCAGTTTGGCATTTTTCATTGTAAAAACTTCAGAATTTATATAGTAAACAATTGAGTCAGTTATTTTATTTACTGTCCTTTTAAGTTCTCTATCTTTATATGTCATTGTAACATCTGAAAAATCATCAAAAGATCTAATATTTATAGGCTCTGGTAAATAGCTGGAACAATATCATATTGGTATTTCTGCATCTCTGCAAGTTCTACCATCAGGAATTTTCTGAGAAAATAGACTGTAAAACTGTGGATATTTGCTTTTGAACTCTAAATTATCCTATATTAAATTAATAATATGTTATCAAAATAGTATTTATCCTTACATATATTGAGCATTTAAAAGCATATTTTGAAAATGTGCTAAAAACAGCATGGACTCCTTAAGATCAGGCTTAGAATTTAACCTAACTCCCCCCCATCCTTGATCGAACGATTGAATGTAAAAATTACTAAAAATTAGGGAAATTAATATCATGCAATTTTATATATATATAAAAATATATTAGTAATCAAAAGCTTGGGAAGATGTACCTAATGAAGTTGTTTTCAGAGCTTTGAGACGACAGAAAGCTGCGAAATCAACCACCAAGTGATTTAGTCATCAACCTAGGCTTAAAAAAACTCAATAATCTAATAAAAGAGAGATTCTTTTAAAATTTTTAAAACAAAAATTAATTCAATAAGGAACAAATTAAAATTTATACGGTTTAAAAAAGGGTAACTAATAAATCAAAATATTAAAATTGGCATTTTATGAAATTAATTCAATTTATTGCTGTAAAAATAATTATTAAATACTCTTAACCCTCTTATTTTAAAAGTAAATAAAAAATGTATATATATATTTTTTTTATTTTATATATAATTTTTTTTTTCCCAAAAAAATTTTGTTTTAACTCCCATCCTTGATCGAACGATGGCGAGTAGTTCGATCAAGGATGGGGGAGAGTAAGCGTATTGTGGAGTAAATTATCCTGCGCATCCATAGACTTCAAAAATTCATTTCTGGCCACAATAAAAAGAGCTGGTAGCCTATGCTCTTGAATAGAATCAGAATCATATAAAAACTCCCCATACCTCATCCCATGGTCTGCAGCCATTACTATCACAACTTCATGTGTTTTACTTACATTTTCTATATAATATTTAATATACTCCTTCAAATCATAATCCAAGGCTTGGGCATGTTGGCCTGTGCCTTCATGAGCTGCATCAAAATGGTTATAAATCCATTGATTTGCATTTGGATAAAGTTTATTAAAAGCCTTAGAATATTCCATTAAATAGTAATGGGACATGTGTGGCCCAATACATCTTTGCTTTGTTGTGAGCTGCTTCGCAGCTCTATAATCCCCATATATATAAAATGCACAATAAAATGATGACAAACAATGGTCAACTTGCGGGATCCTCCCCATTGATTTTGGGACATTATGAGGGCACGAGTCAGCTCCTCATAAAGTCATGAATCCTAATTTTTTTAGCTGAAATCATATAGCTTCTTCCTTAAAAAAATCTACATCTTGGTTGCCTAAAAATCTTGAGACCCATTTGTGTCCGAATACCCTCATCATATTTTCTGAGGTGTCTGCCCCTATTATATTGTGAAGCTTAAAATCAAAAGCTGACCATTCAGAATTAAAATTAAGCTCATTAAGATAGCTTACGGTCGAAGTTAATTTTCGAAAAAAATGGCGCCGTGAAAAACTGTCAGGGACTAAAAAGAGGATTGTCATAGGTTTTTTGATGGTTTTTCTCAAATTAAGGGTTTTTATGGTATTTAAAGTTTCATAGTAAGATTCGCCCTGAAAACGTGGGGATAAATATTGCATGTTTACTATTTCTTTATTGAAGCATGAGGCTACAGCGAACTCGTGGTGAGGTTCGATTGGGACTGGATTTATATTAAAAAATTGTTTTGTCAGGAAATCCTTTGATTCTGTTGGGTTTGCAACTTTGATAAATTTGTGTGGGCCGAGGACATAAAACGGGTTTTTACTTTTGGTGCAATTAATTTCTAAGGTATTTAAGCTAAAATCCATATAAATACTTCCTGAATTCGCCTTTGGTTTATCTTCACAGCGAGGGTAAAAGTAAGGCGGAAATATTTCTTCTCCTTTTTCTACTGAAAATCCAAATACTGATGGTGATGCTGAAATGTTCATATATTTTAAAGTTTCTGTATCATCTATTCCAAATGAGGCAACGGAAGTCGAAAATAAACTGTAGAAAGTAAAAAAAATTAAAATTCAGGGTTTCTGATCTTGCACCATTTTTATGGCTAATATCTTGGATTCATATCAAATTTCTTTTTAAGGTGAATAAAAATAAAGTCTATAGGTAATAAATGGATAAAAAATAACTAATTGAAAAGGTCACTAATATTTTTATCATCCTTATTAACTCAATTGATTTAAATCCTTATTACATAAGCAATCATAATTAAATTCCAAGAAGGTATCCATCTGAAGACTCTTAATGTCTTTTAAGAAATTTATATAACTTCCAATTATTTACCCATTATAAGAGCTATTTCGGAGTGCACTTTCTTGACAAATCCTGGAATGTGTTTTGCAGATGTCGACTTAATAATAGATTTTGGAACTTTTCCTCCAAAGTTCGCAATATTTATATAAACAACTCTACTTTTATTCCCAGCCTCATCAGTAGGAATTGTTTCAACATAATACCCACTAAGCTTCACAGTGGCTCTCACAAAGCTCTCCGTTGGCTCCAATTCCCCATGCTCACATGAAGTATTTATTATAACCGACCCATTAAGTGCCTTCACTACCCTGCTCACAAGTAGCACATCTCTAGGAGAAATCATAGGGACTTTTTTGAATTTCGAGTGGGTCACCACTATATCTGGCGGATATTTCGCTATAATGCTTACACTTTCCAAACTTTTATCCCACCTACATCTGTCTTCTGCATTTCCTAAAAATTCAAAAAATTCTTTGGCTGCATACGGCATAAGCCATTGGGCCTTCATCATAATTCCTTCAGGGACTTCTTTCGAATATATCAAAAACCCATCTTTATTCATCATTTCTTGGCTCCCTTCTTCTTGTAGAGGTAGCTCGAGATGCTGGACAAATTCAGTGGTCGCTTTATCTAATAAACTCACGAGAAGTTCTACATCAAAACTTGGCCCTTTTGGCTTTTCGTTGAGCTCGACCAAGGCGACTGACTTTTTTTCTTCTTGCAGCGGGTCAGTGTTTTTTGTGTCAAAACTGGTCCCTCTTGGAGTTTCGTTGAGCTCGACCGAGGTGACTGATTTTCTTTCTTCACGAACTGAGCTAAGAGGCTTTGTCTGGGCTTTTGGCTGAGAAAGGAGAAGAGGCGTGGTATTGGTCTCTTGCAATTCATTTTCTGGCAATGAAGAGTCTTCTTCTTGTGACGTGAAGCATCACACGCACGTCTCTGAAACTGCGTTCCCCATCTATTATTTTAGTCAACTAAGAAATATTAAATTAATCATCATATGGTGAGTAGTTTATTTTTTCAGTTTTTCTGTCAAGTTCCATTTCGTAGAGTTGGACCATTTGTTTGTATTTGCTGATTGTGTTTTCTAGCTTGATGGTTTTTACACGATTTGTTCTGGCTGTGAAGGCAAGTTCGTTTTTTAGATTTTCAATTTCTTGGGTGAGGTGGGTGGTTTCTGCTTTCTTTTCTTCGTGAAGCTGCTGGATTTCGATGTGCTGGGATTTAGGGATATTGACTGAGGCTAATAAAAATTCAATTATTGCTATAGCGCCTTCAAAGCATTTTTCTACTCCATAAGCATGCTCAGGTAAGAACTCAATAATCCCCAGCAGCAAACTTTTCAGCTGCTTGGTATAATTTTTTAAAAATTTGTTACAGTATTTATTGATACTTTTTACCTGTGAGTTTACCACGCTAATTTGCTCGCCTTGAAGAATTTGCAAACTAGTCAATATTGCTTTACCATTAGAGCGTATTTCATGTATATCTTTAATAAGGCTCTCTTTAGACGGCTTTATATCGATATCAGGAGGAATTGGAATAAATGACTTAAATTTTGATTCTGATGCTTTTGTGTGTTTTAAAAAAGAAAAAGCTTGTCTGTTTTTTATGGGTGGAATAAGTGAATTTGTCTCAGTGACGAATGATTTTTCTTCTGCTTCAAGCATACCGCTATCAGTTATTCTAATGTCAGGTGAAGACTTCTCAGAATGAAACTCGTCAAATTGGATCCTGAATAAAACAGTGTCAGTGTCTCTTATTCTTGTAGTTTTTTCTCCGATTTGAAGCTCTAAATTTAACCCTGATTGGGCTGTCTCTTGATAAGGCCTTGCTGTGTTAAATTTTTCTGGTTTCACAGTGGAGTCAACATCTCTTTTTGAATATTTTTTTGTGCTTAAATTTTTAATTTTCATTAAAATTGCGAGAGAGTTTGGCTGAGAATTTTGGGTTTGGATTAAGCACCATTCACAAACCCCATCGCTATTTTTCCCAATCACTGAACTTTCACATTTGCAGCATCGGTCAAGCTGATCTTTTGTGCTTAAATTAATCGCTTTTGCGAGATATGGCTTATCAAACTCACTTAAAGTTATTCTGGGGAGATGTGTCTTCATATTTTGGCTACTAGTTCTGCAGGTACATCCACAAGTTTGGCATGGTTTATTCGTTTCATTTTGAGCTTCAGTAGGGATATTTATTAAAATATCGAGAACTTTAAGCAAAATCCCTGCGTTTTCGTTATTTGAAATAATTTCAAAATTTGTTTCAAGGTGCTGCTTTATTCGCTTGAGATGTATAAGAGATTTTATTATTTCGCCATGCTGAGATTGGCTGATTTTTTCTATTTCTGATTTATCTTCATAGTATGTGTACTTGTCTATTACTTGGTTAACTCTTTTAAGGCTTTCGTGGTACTCTGCAAGTTTCTCTTCTTGAGTTTTGTATTGGCGAAGTTTTAAACGATTGCCTGAGCTTGGAGCGTCTTCACGGAAGGTTCTGTTTTGAGGAGTATTTCTATAGAGAGGGCTTTGACTTTTGTATGATTTTTGAAATGTACTTACTCCCCCCCCTCCGTGAGCGAAACAAAAATTTTTTATGGAAAAAAATTTTGATATATAAGTGATAATTAGTATAATGAAATCTCGAGCTAATTCTGTTTAATTTTAAACAAAAATATTTTCTATAAAATTTATATATAATTTTTTTTTAAAAAAAAACAATTAACCCCCCTCCGTGAGTGAACAAAATTTTTTTGCTCACTCACGGAGGGGGGGAGTTACGAACCAACTCACCCTCTTATCTCCTGTGGCTGATATCCCACAGGATGTACAGGATCTTGAGGAAGGGACGTTCCAGAAAGCTTATACAGCTAGATTTCTTATAGTTTTGTAAAGTTCTATGTTAGATTAGTGACCAGAAGCTTTTCTCTAAATTCAAGCTTTTGTCTCAAGAGAAAAATTTAGCTGAGGGTTGGAAAGTGATATCTACAAATCCACTGGCTGTTCCCTAACCATCAGAACTATTTCCCAGTGTGAAGCCAGGAGTTATCCTTGGGCTTCGATTTCCATTTTGGTAAGAGTCGACAAGAAAATTCAACCACTTTGAGTTTCCCCATGGTTAATAACCTTTGTTGACACCAAGCACGGTGGCACAACTCATCCAACTACCGGGTAGTTAGTGCAGGCTCGTCCGGTGGTAGCAACTCATTTAGAGTCATTGCAAACTGGTGAGCAAGTGGGAAGCGTTATAGTGAAGGCACTCATTAGAAATTTATTGGCTTTTAATAAGTTTAATAAGTATGATTTTTGGATTTTATCCAAATAATTTAATGATTTATTCATAATTATGCTGAAATTTTAAACTTGAAAAGATGTCTTGTGTTTGCTTCATTTATTGCGTATACAAAATAAGTATTATTATCGCTTTCTGCTAAGTTCGATGAATTTATATTATTTACTATATAAAATACAACTAAATAAACTATTTATATAGAAAAGATATATAATAGACTTGCTATAAATACTAAAGCAACAGATGCAAGAAACAGAATTCGTAAAAATAGTAGCTAGATTCTTGCACCTTTTCTATATAATTCACCAGATTCTTCTGTGTTCATTCGATTATGATGCTAATAATTATCTTTTGAAAACTTATTGATGATTCAAATAATAGTTTAATAACCCCCTTCAAATAATTGTTGAGAGTTTCTTACGATATCTAATTTAATCTTGATCATTTATTATAATTTAAGGAAAATATTAAATTATTGAGTAATTAATAATTTAAATAAATTTACGAAAGAGCGTCTTATAAATGTTCGTCCATCGATAAATAGTAATATTTTGAGTTTTAAATTCTTAAGTTTTGTAAGATAAGCAGGAAATTTCACCCGCAGTCTAATAACTAAAGAATTAATTTAAATTAGATGAGCAATTATATTGAGTTTCGCTTCCTCCTAATTAGGCAACTTCTTAATTTAACTTAGCTTATTAACAGACATGCTTTCGCCCTAATTTTAACTCAAGCACCGAGGATCTCTGATACAAGAGATTCAACCACTCTGCGACAATGACTTCTACCAGGATGGCAATGCCTTCTCCTTACCTTTCGGCTCCAATATTAAATAGGCTGTCTTCGGATTTGTTCGGCCTTACTTGATACTGTTTGAGTAAGGGAACAATAGTTGTCCACAAAAATCCTTAAAAATAGAATTTCATGCAAAAAGAGAAAACACGAAGCCGAGGGCGTAACTCCTGATTTCACGCTGCTGAAGCGTCCGATTGATCTAGGCATTGCTGCAGATGCTGCTATGTAGCCGCTTTCCAACTTCCGTATCTCTCTTCCCCTAGAGGTAAAAATCTATTCTTGAAAGCGACTTGGGCTAAGCTCTGATATGTCAAGAATTGCTTGCCTAGCATTGCAGTCATTATTTGGGAACGCAAAACCTTGCCGGGTCTAAATAATTAGCCAACTTCAACCGTTTAATCGTTATAAAATAATGCAAGAGAAAACTAGCCAAATAAGGAATTTATTGGGAGGAAATTCTTACGGTACTACAATTATATTAAGAGATGCATAAAAAACTGATTCCTTATTCATTGAGCTAAGATTTATTCTTTAAAAGCTATCAAATAAAATCAAAATCCCAACATTTTCCATTCAAAAACTATTCATTCCACCTCATTTATAGGCGTTAGTATCATAATAAGAATTAATATGGAAATAAATATAATTCAAAATGATTCAATCAACAGTTGTATCTGGCTTACATTCTCCGAGAGAAACCCAACGTTTTATAAACTGGGAATCAAAATACGCAAAAGCCCGCACTTCATATTTGAAACACAAAACAAAAACTGAGCCAAGTGGCCTCATTTATATTCAATCAGAAGACATCTCAATCACCAACTTGCAATCCTCAAAGCTCAAATTCGCTGAAACAATTTGTGCAACCCTTGCCTTAGCTGGCTTCGTTTGCGGAGCAATTTGTTCAGACCTGACTTTCTCTAGTTATATTTACAACAACAAAAAAGTCCAAGTCACAATTTCTTATATATTTTGCACAGTCACTACAGCCTTACTTCTTATGGCAATATGCTGACGTACATCAAGAGAGCTTAAGTGAGAGCAAGCCAAAGGGATTTTTTCATACCAAGATGACTTAATTTCGACAGGAAAAGTCAAATGGCTTGTAATAGAAATTGTAATAAATGCGATACACCCTGTATATGGCTTTGAGGACTATCAGTTGTCTACCTATAACAACGTATATGATGTAAACTATTCCTATACTTATACGTCGGTTTTTACAGTATGAATGCTGATAAGAGTTTACCACTTAATTCGTGTTGCAAGTGTCTTGAGTGTATATAGGTCTGAAAGGGTACAGAGGCTATGTCAAATGACTGGAAGCTATGCAGGCAGCTGGTTCGCTGTAAAATGCATGATGAAAGATGTCCCAGTCTATTTATTGTCCTCAATGCTTATTGGTGGAGTTTTTATACTTGCGTTTTGCTTGAGGATTTTTGAAAGGCCGCTGGACGAATACACAGGAAAAGCCTTCGCGGAGTATGGGAATTCGATGTGGTGCGCTATAATTACGATGACAACTGTGGGTTATGGAGACTATTTTCCCGTCACAAGTGCTGGAAGGTTATTTGACGTGCTTGCCTGTATGTGGGGGGTCCTTTGTGTGTCTCTCATGGTGATTACACTAACGAATATGCTGAAATTAGATGCAGGACAGGAAACGTCCCTTACCATTTTGAATAGACTGTGGTTTAAAGAAGAATTAAAACAGTTAGCAGCTTATGTCCTCACTTCAGCAGTGAGGTATAGGTTTTATGTGAAGCATTATCCGGATGATAAAAGAAAAATAGCTATTCAATTGGGGAGATTTAGGCATTATTTTAATGATTTTCAGAGCTTTAAGATAAAACAAAGGGATTTGTATGATTTTGACTCTTTTGAGGACAGAATCGAGAAAAAAATGATTGATATCATAGAGGATAGTGAAGCAATTGAAGAAGCGAAAAAAGAAATTGCTGGAATTATAGAGTACTTGCAGGCAACAATTCCAGTGAAGAATAGTGAAAAATAATATTAATAAGTAATTAAATACTTGATGTTTTATTATAATTGAGAAATATTATAACAGATTGGATCTTTTGCCTGAGATTTTTTTAAAAATAATCTTATCTTACTCCCCCCAAGATAGAGACATTTTTTACTGGGAAAAATAGGGAAAATTTCTTCCAATAGAGACATTTTTTGAAAATTGTCTTATATAAATTTTTATATTGAAATTAGAATTAGAATCTGAATCAAAATTAGAATTAGAAGATGAGGTGTTGATGGCATTTAGAGCTAAAATTGACTTTCATTAACCTTCCCCTTGATTAAATATAAAATTTGAAAACAATATTCTTGGATTTTATTTAAATTTATGTTATATAATTTTTAAAAAAAATTATATAAAAATTTTCAAAAACCCACCTTCCAATAGAGACATCTTTGTAAAACGTCTCAATCTTGGGGGGCAGTTAGAGGCTTCTGCGAATACACAGTCCATAAGCAAAATAGCCAATTCTCTATATATTTTTAATTTTTAATAAGAAAGATCCATATTTAAAGATACTATAAATTACATCTTTTTTTGTATTAAAAATCAAATAAATCAGAAACCGCTGCAATTAAATGATATTAATTTAATAAATACCTTAAATTAAAACTACGCCCTTGGAAGATTTACTCCAGGCCCAGCAAATTGAGGGTTTTGAGCCTGCCCTGACTGTGCATTCAGAATTTGCTCATACCCATAGCTTCCAGGCTGTCCAGGATACTGTCCTTGATATTGAGGAGGTGCATATTGCACTCCTGGCTGGCCCATCACATACCCTTGCGGATACCCTTGTTGATACCCTTGATTTTGCTGGTACACAACCCCAGGATTCCTCACATACTGCATCCCATAGTAGCTCTGTCCTGAGTAGTTAACTATAATCCATTGATGCGCCACATGCGAAACAATGATATAAAGAACCACCACAATTGGTATAAAAATTGTCAAAAATAATGCGATATTCGGCCCATCTTTTGTGCAAGTCCCAGGATTATTATCCGTCTTTACATTATACTTGCAACTATCGTCGAAGCTTGCATCAGTCACATTTACCCATGTAAAAAATGCAATAAAATGAAAAACCATCGTTAAAATGGCTTTTAAGGACGAGTAATGCGGCCTCCTTGTATAGTGGCAGTCACAGCCACAGCGGACTACCCAAAAAGTAAAGGACCCAAACCACAGGAAAAGAGAAACCAGGGATAAAAATTCAAAAACCTCAAACCAGCCGCCTCCATTCCAAAGGTTATTGATTTCGTCACAAAAATTATTAGAAGCGATGATATTTGTGTCGCAATAGTCATCATAAAAGTCGTCGTAGGAAATATCAGGATGTTTACCATTGAAGTATAATGAATTGCACTGACTGGCACGGGGTGCTTTTGGCTCAATTTCGAGCCAAAAGCACCCCGTGCCAGTCAGTGTAGTTAACTATATTTAACATTGCGGAGCGAGCCTTTTATGTGAATTGGTCCTTTTATTTCTGTTCACTCGGGAAGAGCAAAGGAGATCATCATCAATGCGGCAATTAAACATTGAGCAAGAAAGAAAACTGCCCACCAAATCCTAGTGTCAATTTTTAGAATTTTGGTTTGGATAAGTGGCATATTTATATTTTATTCACCATTTAGGTAATCATATAGAATCGTTCTGTAAGAAATAAGGAACTAGGGAGTAGAAGAAATTAAAAGTTATATATGAATGAAGAGGGTTCTATTGAAATTCAAGTAAATAAATGACGCTTATATAAAATGCGTATTATCTTGATGGAATAGATAATAAGAGCTCCGTTATTTTTTATTATTTCATTATAATATAGCTGCTCAGTCTAGGTTTAAATAATTAAATCCTTCGAAAGCAAAATAAATAGCAAATATGATATAAATATAAAAGCAGTTCTTATCTTATCCTAAATTAGCTGTTATAATAATCTATAGAAAGATTACTTTTAGAGGCTTGATATTTGGGCTTATTTTCTCTGGATTTTTTTAGAATCTAGTAAATTTTTAATTTCAGTGTGCCAATATCTGCCTGCAGATCTTTTAATCCATTTTTAAAGCATTTGCATCTTTATCTACTGTATTTATTGAGCTTTTAAATTCAATTCTCACTTCACTTAGAACATCATATATTGAATTTGTTGTATTTTCATGGAAATAATCATGTCTTTGAGTATACTGCATTTTTCCCCCTTTTCAAAGTAGCCCACTTTCTTATGCTAAATAAATATAGACTCAACAATTTTTCTTTTTCGCATAACAAGTATAAATTTGCTATAATGGATCTTAATCAAATAATTAATTTTTCCATTTTGAATACTAGATTACTTTTCTTTTGTGCCAAGTTCTTGGTCTTCTTTTGATTTTTAAAAAGAGTATCCCCGTACAGAGATAAGCAAGTTTAATAGCACAGTAGCATTAATTCAATATAAGCATTGCAAGAATGAAAAATCAATATGTCAAAACCTCCAGCTTCGAGTTCATAAGTTTTTCCATGCTGATAGCATATCATCTGTTTCATCTGCAGTGAAATAAATAGTGGTAAAAGCAAGAATAGAACACAGAAGGATAATCAGAAAGGAAAGTCATACGAATCGAGCGATTAAATCAAACGCGAAAATAGAGTAATTCTACCAAGAAAGTAGCGGCAACTGTTAAATAGCTCGCTTTGCAATAGCTTTTATCATCTCGCTCTAAAGTTCCCCATATATAAACAATGATAAATCGAAAAAATACCTAAAAGTTTCAAAAGCTTTTAAAGCATCCTTTTCAATACGCTGAAAAACTCGTTACTTCAAATAAAAATAGATAAACATTTGCATTTATAAAGATACCCCGATAATCTTCATTACGAGCAATTAAGTGAATTTTATAAATAAAAATTAATTACAGATTATCAATCCTCAAAATTGTGATAATTATTAGCGATTTTGCCTCATTTCATTAAGCATCTCATCTATTTTTTCTTCAAAAGCTTTATCTCTTTTTTCAATTTTATTTTCTAAACTTTGCATTTCTTCTTTGAACGCTTCCATATCACGAATTTTCAGCCTTCCATACAAGCCCTGAATCTCTTCTTTTAACCATTCTTTATTAATTGCATTTTTTCTTAATTCAATTATATCCTGCTTTAAACACCTAATTTCTTCCCTTAATTCTTTCACATTTTCATCTAGGGCATCCTTTTTTACATTTTCTTGAAAATAATCGCATCTTTGCATGTATTGCCTTTTTCCTTGATTATGGTTTCTCCTCCAAAACAGCACAGTCTCTATCTCAATAATAACTCTCAGCATTTCTTCCAAGTCAATTTCTTGGGTAATCTCTTTAAGTCTTGAAAAAGAATCCCCTAGCACTGAAACTAATAAATTCAATAGAACAATTACATTGATTAAGCTCGCCACTGTGAAATAAAGATACTGTAAAATTGAGAAACCGTCATTATCAAACTGTCCGATTTCAAGCTCATAGGTATTTTTCCACACTGATATGATGTCCATAGATTGATCAGTTGATGCATAAATCACTGAAAAAGAAAGAATCGAATATAAAAGAATAACCAAAAATGATATCGCATCGTAAACTGCATGTAAAATCAATCTAACGTAAAAACGAGTCATATCAAAAGCACGGAAATAAGAGGATCCTCGAGCGAAATTAATGGCCGCTGTAAAATATGTGAGGGGATAAGGGCAGTCGTCATTAATGGTGAGGATGCTTCATATAAGGCACATCGCCAAACGAGTGGTGTCTATATAGAATCATGGATCTGAAATGCAGCCTCAAAAGTCTGCATAAATTTGGACCACTTCATAGAGCCCAAGGAAAATATTTACAAGTATAAAGGCACAAAAAATTGAGGAGTCTTGAGTGAATACAGCAAAAATCATCAAAGCAATATTTGCCCAAAAGACCAAGGATTGAGCTAGAATAATATAGAACTTTTTCTTTAATAGCGCGAAAAGACGTGCATCCTGATTTGACTAAAAGGTCTTTGACCATGAAAATCTGCTGTTCCTTCTCCATAAGAGAAGCAAATAGTGAAAATGAAGAGTTCTGCCCATCCAGTTTCGAGAACTGGAAGGGATTTTTTTTGTTCTGAATTAAGAATATAGGGCCTTCCTATAGATGGCGCGCAATGCGCCATCACCGGGCCATGTCGGGAGAGGGTTCCACACGAGGAATGGTTCTACGTGTGGAAACCTCTTTTTGGCTCGTGGAAAGTAGTTTTCTCACAGGTCAAAAAGAGGGTTCCACACGTAGAACCATTCCTCGTGTGGAACCCTCTCCCGACATGGCTCGGTGATGGCGCATTGCGCGCCATATATAGGAAGGCCCTATACCTGAGTTATTGTGGAATTTTTATTTCTTGCAAAAATTATAATTTTAATAAGTTTTGATTTCGTCAAATGGTTTCTGACGAGTTAATTCTGGCTAGCACTTGAAATGAAAAAAATAAATAATTGTCATAATTTATTATTTTTCTGATTTTAAGAATGATCAGAAAATTTTAATAAAGGCAAAGGATCAAAAAAACAAACTTAAAAAAATAGTGAAAGTAAGCATAAATGTTATTAATTTCGCTTAGATCTTTGCTTAAATATGCGTCATGTTGATTTAAATTTTTGATTATCAATTAATTATGCTGCTGGATTGATAAATATGAGAGTCTTAATGAAAAGTATTATTGAAAAATATTCTTCAATAGCTATAAGGGGCCAAGATCTTGGAGATTAAAATAATAAGAATTCTAATAAATAGTTTGCAAGAATTTTAGCTAATTTTTAGGAACTAACTTTTATATTTCTCAAATTAATTTTTCTTATTTTAAATTTCGCTATTTGATGCCTTTGTTTTCCCTTTCTGAACTCGAACACAAATTCATATTGAGACTTTTTTTGATTGTTTATGCCGCCCATCTTGATTTTTCAGCCATTAAAAAAATTAAAATTCTTAAGTCACCTCATGCGGTTTCATTCAAAACTTAAAATTTGAAGTATTAAAACAGCTATTTGGTGCCTTTATTTTTCCGCTTTCTGGATTCGAGCACAAATTCATTTTTTGAATAATTTTTGTTCGTTTAAGCCGCCATCTTGATTTTATAAGCCATTAAAAAAATTAAAATTCTTAAGTCACCTCATGCGGCTTCATTCAAAACTTGGTATTTAAAGTATTAAAACAGCTATTTGATGCCTTTATTTTCCGCTTTCTGGATTCGAGCACAAATTCATTTTTGAACATTTTTTTGGGTCGTTTAAAAAAACCATCTTGATTTTATAAGCATTAAAAAAATTAAAATTCTTAAGTCACCTCATGCGGTTTCATTCAAAACTTGGTATTTAAAGTATTGAGACAGCTATTTGGTACCCTTATTTTCCGCTTTCTGGATTCGAGCACAAACTCATTTTTAGATATTTATTGTTCGTTTAAGCCGCCATCTTGATTTCATTAGCAATAAAAAAATTAAAATTCTTAAGTCACCTCATGCGGTTTCATTCAAAACTTGATATTTAAAGTATTAAAATAGCTATTTAATTCCTTCATTTTCCGCTTCTGGACTCGAGCACAAATTCATTTTTAGAAATTTTTTTAAATACTAAAATTAAATATTCAATAAAGTTTTTTATAAAATTAAATTTATTTCGAATACAAACAATTAAGCATATTTCTGCTTATAAGATTTCAAATAATATTTACGAAAATTTAATTAAATTAAAAAACCAATATAAATTTTAATTCATAATAAAATTGCACATATTCTAAAGTTTAGGTATTCTGATCCTATGCCATTTATTAAAATTTCTGATTATCCTTGTCATCAGAAAATTAAAAATTATGGTAATCATTTTTTTTTTCTAGTACTTGCCAGAATTGGCTTGTCAAAACAATTTGACGAACTAAAAATTGCAAAATTAAAAATTTTTGCAAGAAATCAAAGTTCCACACATTTCCAGTTTATTCTTTATCCAGGCAAAGAACATTCCTTTAAGTTCTCAAGGCTGGATCGGGAGGAGGTCTTCATTTCCACTATTTGCATCTCTTACGGAGAAGGAACAGCAAATTTTCATGGTCCAAAGACCTTTTAGTCTTATCTTATCTTATAGAATTTATATCGCTTAACGTCCACTACGGGGTTACAACTCCAGGTTTATCACTCGCCTTTCGTCGCATCGGGCCCACCAGCCTGCTGGAGACAGACTCGCTTCGATCGCCAAGGGTGCTTCTGGGGCAAATGTCCACGTCTTCGACGGCTCATGGATGAGCTACTTGCTTGTACATGGGTTGCTTTTCCGAAAAACCCAAAAAAATGGATTTTTCTGGTCAGCTATCGGCAAAAAGGAAAAATGCAAAGCCTGGGACGTAACGCCCAGTTTCACGCTAGGGAGTTGCCCGAATGGTCCAGAGGACTTTGCTGGGCTTCCCCTTTCCAACCCTGCACCTTCCTTCCCCACGAGGAAAAATCCACCCCTGAAAACAGACTAGGGCTAGGCTCTGAAAGCTACCAGAATTGCTTACCTAGCATTGCAGTCCATCTCTGAAATGGTAAAAACCTTGCCGGATATAATTAAAATATGAGTCGAGGCTGTATGGCCGGGAGGCCATACCCAGACGAAGACGCCATATTTTAATTATAAAGACCTTTTAGTCAAAACCAGGATGCACACTTTATCACGCTATTGAAGAGAAAGTTCTATACATTTTAGTGAATCTCATTTTAATTTTATCAAGGTCCGAATAAAATCTGTTCTGTAGATTTCAAATTCTTTTCTATTATTACTCTATAAAAAGGTGGCAAGAGGTTTAAGGTCCAATGTGACTAGTGAATTGATTCCAGCCTTAGGTATGTGGATTCAATAATATTAGGAAGTTTAGGGTCAGCTTTTACCTGTTCGGATCCCACAACAGGCATTTCTCCTCCGCCCACAGACGGCAAATCAAAGGTGCGAAGTCAGTTCACTTCTGGGATTTAACTATGCGCCTAAATAAGGGCAGGGTAGTCTAAGAGGGCATTGGATGCACGCCCATATTCTGAGCTCTACCTTGGGCTAAGGAAGTACAATGCCGCAAGCATTGTCGGTGAGTCTCCTGAGAGACTGCTGATGCAGCCTTGTTTGGGATGTCGATAAGATGAGACGCCTGTGCTTATAGGGCTTTCCCTTAAATAGCCCGATATAGGGATGAAGCCAGCCCGTTATCGGGCTATTCATGGAAAAGCCCTATAACGGTAAGGGGCCGAAATAAATCTCAGAGACCTTCTATAATTTAACTAACCTTACCTCTATTATTAATTGCTTTGAGCATATTTAAGCTTTCAGATGATCCCATTGAAAAATTTCATCCAAAATAGCTTGCTCAGAACTGCACCAGTGTTTCTTCTTTATTTATAATGCTATCTGATTCATACACAAACTCATTTCTCCTCAATATTACTGTGGGAGAAAAAATTGTATTTGGCAGATCTTTTTTTGGCACTGCAAAACCAACTAATTCATCTTTTTCGCTTTTAAAAATACAAGCCAAAAGCAAAACCAGATTTTTTAATTTTATCTCAAAAAGATGAGGAATATCGTCTCTTATAGCATGGACTGATATAAGCAGCGATTTTTCATCCTTAATTTTTGATAAATAAAGAAGTATCTCATCAATGCATCTTCTTGATTTCTTACTCTCCTTCCCTTTTAATTAGAACAAAAAATTTTTGTTTAAATTTAAAAGGGGTTAGAATTTATAAAAACTTAAATTGATTAATATTTTGAATTTTAATTTATTTTTATGAAGAATAAATCAAAAAAATTATCTATTCTTTTTACACTTTTTCATTAAATTAGGTCAAAACTTATTTTATAAAAAATTAGCATTTTTACCAATAAAATTTGTTCCTGTTTAAAGGGATTAAAGTAAATTTTAGCGAAGCTTTGTTTCAAGTTAAACAGGGGGAGTTAGTAATTGCATATGTAAGCGGGCTTGAGCCATTCAAATCTCTGATAATAGGCGGCTCATAATTAAGTACTTTACTTAGACAAGAAATATTATCAAAATAGCAATAATAATGCAAGCAATTTATCCTGAGTGGATAAATCGTGATATCAGAAAATCTTTTAATACTTTCATCATCTTCTGCTCTAATGACCTTTTTAATTGATATTTTTGTCATAGTTTTGTATAACTTATCAGAATAAGTGGATATTTCTTTCAATTGAGTAGGGTGGCTGATCAACTTTTGGAGATCATAAACCTCAACATTTTGTCGGGAGCCTGCAATAATTTTCCAATCTTCATAAGGTGATTTTACTAGTTTGATGGGTCTTTTGTGGTCTGTTATTGTGGCTATTTTATTTCAATCAACAAAGCTCCATAAAATCATTTTCCCATCATTTAGACCAGCTATAATAAATTTATCATTATCAATTAGTTCTATACAGTTCGCTACATCAGAATTGTCCAAACTCACGATTTCTTTTCTTTCATCAATGTCCCATATTTTGATAGTTTTGTCAAGTGAGCTTGAAACTGCATATTTTTCATTTTTAGTCAATTTTAGGCACTTTATAGCATCAGTATGGCCACTTATTACAGCAATTTGAGCTTTTATTGAAATATTTCAAATCCTAATAGTTTTATCGTCTGACCCTGATATAAGAAATCTCATATTAGAAAACACTTTTAAGCAAGAGATCGCTTTTGAATGGCCGAATAGGATTCCATCTAAATCTCACTGATTTTTATTCCACAAACAAATCTGGCAATCTGCTCCTCCTGAAATGGCAAAATCCTTTGTTTCTTCTATACACAGCACATCAGACCCATGACCTTCTAGAGACGCAATTTCATTTCAGTTTCCTATGCTTCAAACCTTAATGAACTTATCTTTTGAGCCAGACAGTAAATATTTATTATAGAAACTTCCAATAGATGGCGCTGTTTGCCCTTGATTTGTCCGTGAGGAAAATTTTTTGGTTTGACCAAACCATATTGTACTGGTCGAACCAAAAAATGTCCCCAGTGGGCAAATCAAGGGCAAACAGCGCCATCTATGGGAAATTTCTATATCTGCTGTCACAAATAATACTAAAATCGAAGCTAAATTTCCTGATAAATCTGTAATTCATTTTCTATTTTCAACGTTTCATACTTTAATTTCTCCATAACTTCCTGATATCAAATATTCCCCATCTTTAGTGATTTCTAGGCATTTGATTTTACTATGATGGCCTTGCAGCGAGCCAATTTTGCAATTTTCGATAGCATCCCAGCAAATAATTGAAGTATCACATATACTTGAAAAAAAGTTTTGGCCATCAGCTGCAATATGAATATATTCAAATTCTTTCAAAAATCTACTGTCTAAGTCACCGTTTGAAGCCAAACTGAAGTCATTTTTTTCCAGACTTCAAATTCCTATGCTTTCTACTGTATTTGCAATAAGTCAATTTCTCTCATCAGTTTCACATAATGTAAGAATGGACTGATCATGCAATTTCAAGCTTTCCACCTCAGCTGCTAGCTTTATATTGTATATTTTTATTGACCCACTAAATAATCCAGCGATTAAAAATCGTGAATCTCTTGAAAACTTGATATCCTCAACATAATCATGCAAATCCAATTTAAATGAAGCTATTTCTTTCCTTTTCAAAAGTCCTCATATTTTAATCTGTTCTCTTGCAAACGCAAAATATTTTCCGTTTTTGCTGATTTTTATGCTTGGGATATTTTTCATTCCTGTGTGAATAACAGCCTCAACGCGAGTTTCAGCAACATCTCAGAACCTTATAGTTCCATCATTGGAGCACGATAAGACCCAGTTTTCTTGGCTAGTTAGCTTTAAGCAATTGACATTTTCAGTGTGACCCTCCAAAATTGCAATTAAAAATTTGGTTTCTAAGCTCCACACTCTGATAGCTTTATCTTCTCCTGCTGAAAATAAAAAATTGTTTTTTGTGATTTGGATACAAATGATTACTTCACTGTGGCCTTCTAATTTTTTTAACTTTTGGCCGTCTTCTAAATTTCATATAATGAGTCCTGAATCTGTAGATGCAGTGACTAACAATTTATTATCATTTGTAATTCCCAGGTCATTTACCATATGTATGCCTTCTAATACTGCAATGTGTTGCATTAGTCTTGGATTTCATATTCGCACGGTCCCGTCCCTTGAATGTGAGCACATGTAACTTCCATCTTTTGAAAGCTTAAGTAGCAAAATTTGGTCATTGTGGCCTTGAAGGCTCCCTATTCATGATTTCTCTTCTAAACTATAAATTTTTATTGAGCCATCAATGATTCCACAATATAAGAAATTTCGACGAGTTATTATAGAGTGGGAAGCTTCCTTCAAAATCGTAGGCCTACCATAGTCAGGCAAACCTTTTAAGATGCTTTCTATGGATAGCAGTGAAGGAAACGACTGAACAGTCTCTTCTGAGAACTCACTAAAGGTGTCTAATGGTATTGTTTTTGAAGTTACCGTGCCAGATTTCATTTATATTTTTATCAAAGGCGATTAAATGGCTATACTAAATTTATGAAAATTAAAAATTGTTTGAAAATATTAATCGCATCAGAAATTTATGAAGGTATAACGGTACTTCGAGAAAATTTGCCTGGTTGAAGGAGTGACTATCTGCCCATACTCTTATTCTAAGAATTATCTATGCACGTCTTATACTAGAAAGCATATAAAGCTTCCTAATAAGATCCATGCAAGTCTTAAACTAGAAAGCATATAAAGCTTCCTAATAAGATCCATACCCTTGATTTTATTTTTGGAGAGTTTTTCGAAGGTATAGAAGAGGCAGTTCTTTTATATCTTACAGGAAAATGGCTAAAAAGAAAAATTTCAGCGTCTCTCAGGCACACATATTACTTGAAGAATGGCTAGAATGGAAAATTTCTGAAACTTTAAATAAATTGAATGGCTAAGAATTAGAAAATGATTTTTGAAGAGCTTGCTTGGTAAATGAGCAATCCAAAAGCTTGTGAATTATCCTTTTCGGGATTGTATTAAAATATATCATCAAAAGACATTACTTTATATCATGAAAGATGTCGATAATAGAAAAATGATGTAGAATTTATAACACTGAAAGTCAAAGCAGCGAGACAAAAACCTTGGGGATTCCAGAACTGCTTGGCTGAGATAACAGCACAGTGTTTAATAGGAACATTTTGGTTTTGAATTCAAAATAGAAATCTTTTGTCGTATGCAATTAAGTTTGACTCGACCCGCTCCTTTATGAATTCACAGCAGATAAAAGAAAAACTCTAATAGATTTAAAACATAATTCTTTTGATTGAAGGTGGCAAGATTCAGCTTATGAAAGCCAAATTGAAAGCGACGCTACTTGGATACGAGTTTCTGACTCAAAAATCTTGGGAAATATTTTTTCTTAATAAAGGAGTGATATAAATTGGATGCCATTATAGATAGAATTGCTACAGAATACTGCAAGTTTACTTGAACAAAAAAAGTGACTAAAGTTTTTTACATTAATTTAAACTTTAATATATCAATCCACAACCTTCTCGAAAATGGTTATTAAAAATGAGCTCAGACTCATGTGATATTGAAAGCTGCGAAAATGATGCCAATTTTATGTGCAATTGTGCTAACCCCGAAACATTTTTATGCTCATCCCACATAAGCAAGCATCTTCAAGATTCTCCAGGTCCCCATCACGCCATTAAAATAAACTCCGAAAAAAAAATCCAAACAAAGACTGAAACAATTGACTACTTGCTCTTCTTCTCCATTAAAGAGCAAAATTCCCGTTTTATTGGCAAAACTCAAATTTCATAGGTAGAGTTATTATAAGCCAATTCTATTAAATTTTAAATAAATTGTATTTAAAATGTAATTTTAAAAATTAATTTAATTTTACTTATCTATTGCGATTTTAAACTTCTGTAAAAAAAAAAAACTCTAAGTAATGGTAGCAAATGAGCTTTGTTCACTCATGGAAGGGAAAGCTAGCAAAACAAACAGAAAAGCTCAAAAAACTCAAAAAAAGCTTATGCAAAGAAATAGCATCAAAAATCATAATGATTGAAGCCAGCCTTCTCAGCTGTACAAAGAAAATTGACAGAAAAATTCTAACTCCCTTGTGAGCGAACAAAATCATGGAAAATCTATTTTTTGGGCAAAAACAAATCATCAGTGAGATAACAAATTTTTTAAGAAAAATTATTTTGATATATAAGTAATAATTATTATAGTGAAATCTCTAGTTAATTCTGTTAATTTTAAAAGCTCTCATTTTACAAATTTAATTAATATTTGCTTTAAAATTATTTCGAATAATTTCGAAAAAAACTTTTTTAAAACGTAAACCCTCACAAAATTTTTTGTTCGCTCATTGGATGGGAATAAGTATCAACCTAAAAATAAAAGACTTGATTTCTTCGGAAGAGAAATCAGAAAATGACCCTAACCTTAACACTTTTATGAAGCTGTGGAAGAGGAGAGGATCTTTAAATATCGATGACCTGGAAAAGCGAGGATCTGTCGATATTGTCATACCTGAGAAAAAAGGATCAGTTGATGTCTTAATTATTTAGAATTAGAAAGCGTCTGCCATTTGGATCACGCAGTCACCAAGGACCCCAATGAATTATGGTTCACCTGCTTACACCGCCTCAGTTCCACCTTGTTCGAATTGGGGCAATATTTCGCTGCCCCAGAATCAGCTCAGACACTGCCTTTCTTCTTCTTCTTTTTCTTCAGCTCCTGATGGGCCTGGTATTCTTCAGTGAGATTTTTCCGGACTTCTGCTCCTCCTTTGCGACTTGAGTGTTGAGTGGCTATGAACTTCTGAGGTATGCTGCTTGAGTTGGACGAAGTTGACCATTTAGAAATGAAAAAAAAATGGAATTTCTGGCGAATTCTTGGTAAAAAGGAAAAAACCCAGGTCCTATTTCACGTTAGGCAGTTGCCCGATTGATCTAGGTGTTCCCTGTAGACTTTACTGGGCTTGCCCTTTCCAAACCTGAGCCTACCCCCCCTTTGAGGTAAAACCAAATCCCGAATCTGGACTGAGGGCTAGGCTCTGCACACTGTCAGAATTACTTACTACCTTTGCTGTCCTTTTCAGGGTTGGTAAAACCTTACCGGATATAATTAAATATGTTCTCGAAGGAATCGGCGAGGCCGACCGCGAAGCGCTTAGACGGTATATTTAATATAGATTAGCTGATGTCAATTGTCTGAGAAGAGGATCATTTGACTGTGTGGTCAGTGAAACTGTGAGTACGATAAATAACTATAGCTTGCAGAATTTAATGAGAGAAATAAACTTATTTATGAGGAGTGCTGAAAGAATAAAAATCCATGAGTGGAATGATTCTCCTACAAGTACCAAGATGTTTGACGATAGCATTACACCAACGATTAAGGAGCTTCCAGAAACAAACAAGAAAAAATATAAAAAAAAATTTAAAAAAGTAAAAAAGCAAGCTGAAATTGTTGAGGAAGAAGGAAGCTGTAGAGGATCTATAGAAAACTTAAAAGAAATGGAAGAAAAATTGATTAAAAGTTCAGAAATTTCAAAGATTAATGGTAAAATAAATGGAAATGAAAAGCAAGCACCAGCCCCTATTCAAGTAAATCTAAATATTAAAGAAAATGACACTAAATCCCTTCTTAATTTAAATAATGTTTTTTATAGGTAAAATATAATTCTGCATGAAAAGCTTTATAGCAAATTTAATATCTCCAAAAACAAAAATTTACATATAAATTGTTCTATTTCGCAGGAGGAGTGAACTAGGGTGCTATTTAAATAAAGTTAGCATTTAAATATATAAATTTTATATATAATTTTTTTTCAAAAATATTTAATCCCCCCTTTAATATAAACGCAAACTTTTTGTTCCGAATTAAAAGGGGAAGTAAGCGTGAGGATAATGACAGCTTTAAAAGCAAGCCTTTGCAAAGTTACTGCTTTAAAAATGTTCCAAGAATAAATTCAAGAGAGTCCTTAAGTCCGAAATCAAGCGAAATGAAAATTGAGGTTAGGGCAAGCTTAGAGTGCTGCTGTTGTGGAGAGTTTTTTGACTCTTCTGAAGTAGTGGAAAATTTCTGTGGTTGTCTTACATGCTCTAAATGCAATATTTTGGAGATGAAAAAGTGCTATCATATGAGGGGATATTTTGTTAATGAAGTCTGCAAAAATTGCCAGAGGCAGAGACAAGTGACTGGGCATCGTTGGTAGCAGAGTGAAATTCTAAAATAAATGTAAATAGATCTATAGTTTATAAACCAAAGCCTTAAAGGTTAATTTTATTTAATCTTTTATATAAATTTCTTTATTATTCATAATAAATAATTCCAAATTAAATAAATACCAAAAATGAATGCATTTGACTCAATGATTTAAGAAATGTGAAAAATGCATAATATTAATTAAATTATTTATTATAAAGATCTCAACGACATCAAAATAGAAAAAAATTAAGCTTGATGAATCATCATAAAAGCAAAACTAGGCGCAATCATTTCTGATAAAATTTTATTATTTTAACAAATAAAAAAATTTTGCGTTAAAATAGCTTGGGTTGCTCCAACGCTCAAAATTTATTGTCAAAATTCACCAAAGTATTTTGTTGTAATAATCTTTCCATTGAATTTTGACAAAGTTTATGAATTTCTTTTATTTCTCTCATTTTATCAATAAAGGAAATGGCATTAAGTATCCGCCCACCTTCTGTTCTAACAGTAGAGCCATCCGGGTTTGGCTTTTGGACTGGCTACTTTTTCGCCGTCAACTGCGTTGTAGGAGCTGGCTTTTTAAGTCTCCCCTGGGCTTATGAAAACGGCGGGTGGCTTTTTTGCCTGCTATATCAAATTTTTATGACAATTTTTAGCTTGATTCTTTCACATATGGTTTTTGAAATAATGGGCCGTGTTGAAGTTCTCACACGAATTCAAGAACTCGGTAAAGATGTTCCACAGCTCGATTTTAAGCTTCTAATTTTTGGAAAATCAAAAGGAGAACAATTAATTCCAATTACAGATCAAGAGCCAAAAATTACCTCAAGAAGAACAGACTTATCAGAAATCGCCAGACTGCTATTTGGCGAGCATTTCGGCCGATTATATTTAGTTATTTTATACATTTATCAGCAAGGGATTCAAGTTTCCTATGCTTCAATTTTTTCCACATCTTTTGCATCAAATATCCCTTTAGGGAATCTTGACACTTGTGATGTGTATGAGGAAGCTGGGTTTTATAATAATTGCAAATGAAAATATTGGATTTATTTGCTGATTTTTGGGGGATTTATGGTATATTTGACACTGAAAGGAATGGAAGAGCAGGTTTGGTTCCAATCCTGCATGACTTTTATGAGGTTTCTTGTAATGAGCTTAGTTATCATTACAAGTATTTATGATATTGCAACAAATAATAGCAACGAAAGTGACAATCGAAATAATATAGAAATGCCGCCTTTAATTGCCTTTGAGCATCTTGGGTCTGCAATACCAATTGTCCTTGTAGCTATGGCATTTCAAAACTCGATTCCTACTATTGTGCAGCATGTTACAGATAAAGAAACAAACTTAAGGAAAATAGCGAATGCTTCTACCTTGACTGCTTTTGGGTTTTATATGCTATTAGGAATGCTTGTTCCCGTCGCAATTGATGATGTCCCAAGCATGTCTACTTTATCTTATAGGAATTACACAGCTGGGCATGAAAGGCATAATCGTCCTTGGTGAACTTATATTATTGAGTACATTGTGGTCATTTTTCCAGCACTTGACGTATTTTCGAGTTTTCCTATACAAGCTATTACGCTTGCTGATAATTTGTGCACAAGATATTATGGGAATATTCCGAAATTTCATATGCCAAAGAGAGGAGTGAGGTTCTTTAGACTGCTAGTTGTCATCCCTCCACTTATTATTGCATTCTTAGAATATAATTTGGTAAAACTAATATAGGGATTTATATTGGAGTGGACTGGACTATTAGGGATCTTATTGATACCAGCTGCAATACCAATGATGCATTTAGCGGCTAGAAGATTAGTTGATGGAGAATCTGTGCATGATATAAATATTGTTCCACCTGTAAGCTATATATAGATGCTGTGTGTCATTTTAAGCGTTGCTCATGTATTTATCGCAATTTTAGTTGTAGTTCTGAATATTTTAGAGTCAACGAAATAAATGGAGATTTATTTACTAATCATATATTTTTCGTTTATTAAAAAGCGTAATTCTGCTTTATTATTTAATTATTATTTCATTGTTGAAATCTATAATAAATCTGTCACATCTTGCTCTCTCTCCTCGTTTAGTATATCACCTAATTCAGCTAATTTTATTTCTTTGATTTCTATATGGTATGCTTCTTCAAGTCTCTTCAAGGCTGATAAATCTCCATTGTCGCTGATAATATTTATTGCTATCCCATGTCTTCCAAATCTTGAGCATCTTCCGACTCGATGAATATAGCATTCTTCGTCAAACTTTCTGGTACGTAACTCCCCCCTCCATGAGTTAGCAAAACCATTAGAAAAATCCCTATTTTTGTCCAAAACCCCCCCCTCTGCAAGCAAACAAAAATTTTTTTAATATTATATAAAAAAAAAATTTGATATATAGATGATAATTTTAATAAAATCTCTAGCTGATTCTGATTAATTTTAAATATCTTGCGTTTTAAAAATATAAATTTCGCAAATTAAATTAATTTTTGCTTTCGATTTTTACAAATCGGAATTTTTTTAAATTTTGAAAAAAAATTTTCTTATAAAATTTATATATAAATGTTTTTAAAAAATAAAAATTAACCCCCTCCTCTAATGGAGGAGTAAAAATCTTGGCAGATCAAGATTGACAACGCATTTCACTTTAATATTGTCAATGCCTCTCGCAAGCAAATTTGTTGTAACAATGATTGAATATCTTCCAGCTTTAAAATTACTCATTGTAGACTCTCTTCTTGATGTCGTCATGCTTTTTCCTATAAGTAAGGCAACTGATCAGTCCATATCTGAAAGAGAATTAAAGACTGTTTGGGCGCGGTCACGAGAATTTACAAACACAATTGTGACTCCGTTTTGGGCTTTCTTTAAGAATTTAACAAGTGTTCTTAGCTTGTCAGATTCTCGAGAAACGATATAACTCGTACCCCTATAGAGATTTCTTTATCGAGCAAAATGCAATGGACTGTTGAGCGAGCAAGACAGACTCTCTCAAAAGAGAAGAGCTCTATCTCTATATCAGGAAGTGTTAGAAGTGGCATGCTAAAAAATGGTGACAAGTGCGAAAAAAAGTTGGCAGGTAAACGCACCAATTTTTAAAAATAGCTTTATTATTAAATTAATTTTAAATTTAAGATACCCTTTTAGACTGATGATACTAAATATAAATTATTATTTATTATTTAAAAATTTCTACTGCCGTAAAAAAGCTACTCGATCCATAATTCATTAAATTTTAAATTTGTTAACGAGCATGAGCCATTAAAGAACGACAAGCGTTCAATACAAGCTTTGGCTTTTTACATAGCAATCGATCATAAACAAATTGGATTGTTTATTTAAATTTCTATCGTTCTGCAAAAAGCAACTTTAATGAAAAGTTTTTCTATTTAAATTTGCTAACAATCATCATATGAGCCATTAAGAACTTTGTAAAGAACAGCAAGCGCTCAATACAAACTTTGGCTTTATAGAGCATGTGATCACGATTAAATTAGCATGATTTATTTAAAATTCTATCCTTCCGTAAAAAGCAGCTTGATCGATAAGTTTTTAAGTTTCAAATTCATTTAAATTTGCTAAAGAGTATTTAAAATCTAAGTAAGTTATTAGTCAATCCCAGACTAATTGGGTATCTTAAATTTGAAATTAATTTAATAATATAGCCATTTTAAAAACTGGCACTTTTGCTTGTCAACTTTTTTTCACACTTTTCACCATTTTTTGACATGTCACTTTTTGGCATTTCCTGGTATAGAGATTCGGCTCATCTCTTTTAAAGAGTCTCTCTTTATCGTTCAACTATCCATTACATTTTGTTCGATATATTAAATCTATATAAGGGTATGGCCTATATAATAGTGATCAATTGTAGGGGAAATCAAATTCATTTTTTTGACAGAAATCTCATTTACATTCCCAAGTAATTTTTTCATATTATCTTTAGTATCTTCAGGAAAAGTAGCCGAAAACAGCAATGCCTGCATATTTTTCCCTAAAGATTTTGTAAGGAAAATTTTAATTTTCTGATAAACATCTAAATTATCCTTTTTATCCCACAAAAAATCAGCTTCATCCATAACAACAACTTTCAAATCTTTTATACTTATATACTTTGACTTTAAAGACTTAAAGAAAGTCCCAGACGTGCAGACTAAAACTTGTCCTCTGTCTTTTTCATGGTTCCTAATAATTAGTCCCACAGAAACTCCGCAATATTTTGCAAATCTCTGATATTCCTCATAATTTTGTTTCGTCATTTCATATGTATGGCATATACATACAGCCTGAGTGTTAGGATTTGATGTATCAATTCTGCATAGAGAACCAATTACAAAGGTAGCAGTTTTTCCTGATCCTGTAGGTGCTTGGGCTATTAAGCTATCATGGCCTTCTTTTAATATTAAATCAATGCCATAGTTTTGAATTTTTGATGGGAAAGAATATCCTACTCTTTCAATAGCTCTCAAGACGCGGGCTGGTATAGGAAGCTCATTTCATTCTTTGTTATACCGGAATGTCGAGAGCTCATCAGGCTCTTGCAACTCTTCTGATTCTTGGAAAAGGATTCTTGACTGGCTATCATTTTCAGAAATATTGTGATGGATAATTTCCGCCCTTTCTAAGGCCCCTCTGCGATAGTCGACCCATTGATCGAAATTGGCTTCATTTTCATTTGGATTTTTTTCTTCTTCATTGTCCTCAAAATCAAAAATTTTGGATGACTGGACAGCTGGCTTTGGATCAGATGGGACTCAAATAGAAGAATCTAAACTGAGTTGAGCAGTCTGACAAGTTTTGCATATTTTTTCTGAAATTTGGCTTAAAGATGAACAGTTTATACAAGCAGGGCATCCACAGTCAAGAGTTTTCATAAGCTCTTCTCCAAAGGATTCGTGGCATGATTGACACTCTATGATATTCTTGCTGGCTGGAATGCTTTTGACTTCTTTATTTTCTTTTTTCAGGAGAATTAAATAGGCCTCATTGAGTGTGTTATAATCCTTTCTTAACTTTTCATTTTCAGATTTAAGGTCTTGGATACTCTGTTTATTGGCTTCCTCTAAGCTATCTTTTTCAATTTTCAGATTAAAATATTTTTCTAAAGCTTCAGTTTTAGCTTCTTCTGCCATTTTAGCAGTCACATCAAGCTTCGTCTTGAGATCACTTATTTCTTGTATAAGCTTATCATTTTCTTTCGTTTTATCTTCTAGGGTACTTCTTGAGCAGTGATCATTATTTGAGTTGCCCTTTTTATTTATGGCTTGTTTATTCTTGCAAGAGGATTCTGAGTGTTTTTGGATTCTAGTGTTTTGAAAAAGCTCTCTTGATGATATATTTTCATCGAATTCTTTGAATAAATTGATTTGAAAGCACATGGCTAAGAATTATTTATTTATTAAATCAAAGAGCCCCATTTTGACTAATTAAATAAAAAGGGGAAATTTTAGAATTTAATTATATTGCAACTTTTAGATATATTTAAATTCATCTTCAAGATGATTATTTTCATATACGAAATTTTAATTTCATCTTAGATTAGATAACGATTGCTTAGAATAATTAATAAGCCAATTGCTCTAGTTTTATATTATCTCTTTAAATAATCTTAAATAAGCATGAATTTACTTTGTCTCTTAATTTTAATAGCAAAACTTAAAGAAATTATTTGCAAAATTGATATTTAAAATTATGAAGTGAATGATAATGATGCTCATTTATAAATAAAATGATATCGCAAATTCTTTTAGCAACTTCTTTGTTTTTTGGGATCTTCAGCATTATCTGCAAATGACGGAAATATTCCACTTTGAGAATTAAAAATCCTTTTGAAATATCAGAATTAATCTCAATTTTATCAATACTCTTTTGGAATATTCTTGAATTAATTTCAAATTATTCCACATGTCTAGTTGGAAGGCAAGAGTTTTGCTTATTTTCTCTACTTAATCTTCAAGGAATCTGTTTGCTTGCTTTATCAATAAAAAAGAAATGAAATAACTTGTTGACTTTGTAAATTTTATTTAGAGGGCTGATCATAGTTCAATCGCTAGCATTATTTGTTGAAGGGACCCTTGAAATATCATTAAGAAGGGTAGAAATTTTAGGATTTTTATTAGGAATTTGTGTAATGCTTTACAAGGCAAAAACTGAAGGGAAAGCTAAAATATTTAAATACTTGCAATGCGTATGGTTTTTATTGACATCGATTTTATTTTATTGCCTTTTGCCTACAGCTTATTTAGAATTTACTATTACACACTATGACATAGTTATTTTATTGCCCATTTTCCTTATATGTGACATGAAATCAGGGAGAATCTCATCTGACACAGCATCAGTCATTTAAATTTTAAATTAAGAGTAACTTCGCTTATTAATTTTAATGTTTCTCATATTTATCCAAAATTTTCATAATTAAATGAATTTAAAGAGATTTGAAAATTTTAGGTCCAATAAAGCCATATAAAAAAGAAAAAATTATAGAACAATCTAATGTATAGACTATTTAGAGCTTATGATCAGGCAAAAATCGGCTCGCCTATGGAAAATAGAGCTAAATGCTTTAGCCATTTTGCCTTATCAGAGGCTTTAAATAACCATTAATTGGCTATAAAATTGATTTTTTTTTCTAATTTGATAAATGCAATGTGGGAAATTCAACCATATCGCAAAATTTGTCCTTAATATTAAAATTTCCCTTCATTAACGTTTCAAGCATTTGCAATTTTAATAGCATTTGCCAAATAATTTTTAACAATTGCCAAGTCTATTTCAAGTATTAAATTTCTGTAGATAAATAATTTAAGCAAAGACTTGAAGCTTCATTTGAAAGATATTTATATAAATTCTACTTTAATAAGAATTTTTTCATAATTTTTTAAAGCCTACTCATGACTTTTTTACTTAAATCAAATTTGTAAGGACTCTGATTAGGGCTTGTTATGATATATATTCCTCCTTTATTATATAAGCACCGCATTGGGTATGGATCATTGGGGATTTTTGAAGTTCCTATTTTTTTCCAAGTATATTCATCTCAAATTTCGCTTTCATAGATTTTTTTATTAAAATATCCAATCAAATACAATCTTCCTTCTATTTCTATTAGTTTCTTTCTTGTCTTCTTTGCAAATTCATAAGGGATACTTGAGAAAGAGTCGATGTCAATTGAATATTTCAAAAGATTTCTATTTTTATATCTGGAAATTATGATATTTCCTTTAAATATAACAATATTGCAAATGAAATCAGTGAGCGGCATCGGTATTAATTTAATCCACCGATTTTGATCAAAATCAAATCTGCTAGATAGATTTAAAGGAACATTATACTTAGATCCTCCAAAGCAATAAACACTTCTGTTGAAATATATATATCATTTTGTCTGAGTTTCGCACTCGCCTTGTTGAAATAAGAATTATTGATTCTCTCTAACTTGTTATATTAATATGATTTATTGCACGTCACTTCACCTTAGAGTGTCGAGTTTTATCGCCTCACCCTTATTTACCAACTGATGATGTCAGCAGCCATCTTGATCTATCAAGCATTTAAGAATCAGTCTCCAGCAATACCTGTTATCTTTCGGGCTACTTGACCAAGCTTAACTACTCTTCTTCCCATGTACCCCATCTAGGAACGGTAAAATCCGTTGTCTCTCATAAAATCGCTAGAGAAAGAAAAATTCAGGAGAGAACTTTTGGCTCAGTACCGCGCTTTTATGAATTATTATTTCTCAATTTAAAAGATAATAGCTGATGAGTAGCCGCAAGGCGTTCCAGATGGGTTCTATTTTTTTAGAATTTACTTTGCTTAATCTTTTTAGCAAAAGCATATTCTTAGAAGCCAGTCCTTCTAAGCACGGCTATTACAAAGATATATTACTAATAAAAATATTTTGATTATTTCTAGCTCCAGATGGCAGCAATCGAATATTATAATGACTATCAATTTTTAAAGTAATCCCAGAAGCTGGATAAGCATTGTTTCCAGAACAGAATAGCTCGCCATATGGAAGTTGAGCAATGCATGTGGCATAGCTTAATCATTCTGGAGTCTCCAAAACTTTCAACCCTTCTCTTTCGCTTTCAGTGTCATAAATAATCAAAGTAGTTTTATTATATTGTCAATCAATAAGATAAAGAGATGCTATTTGATGATAGGCTTTGACATATTCTTGATATGCTAGGGTCAGTTGTAAATCAGAATCAAAATTCTGATTTTCATATAATTTGCAAATTCTTCTGAAATCTTGCTCTGTTTTTGGGTCATTGTTTGTTTTATTTAAAATTGCAGATTTTTTGGCTCTTAACTCTTCAATAGTTAGTGTTTGGCTTACGAGGTCTTGATTAAGATGATTTATAGCTGGTTTTCTTATGTTACTGATATCTAAGTCTGAATTTCATTGAAAATTAATTAAGCTATCTTGACTTTTAGAGCTTAATTCCATTTATACATTTCTAAAAGATTGGAACAACTATTTTTGATTTTATCAAGGAAATAAGCCATTAAACATCAAGAATTGATGTAAATTTCTTTCAGTCAATAATAGTCCCTATTTATTAATGTCCATTGAAAATAATAAATGTATTTAATTATAATAACTATCAATTATTAACTAAATTTTATATGTTTGAGTTTAATTTTGTCTTATATATATTGCCAAATTCAATACTTTCTTTAAATTTGTTTCATCCAAAAAACTAATAGCAATAAAATTATATCGGTTAATGCTGTAAATAATCCTATAAGTAATTGCTATCAATGTGATTTCTTCACATTTCATGTATAGATCCCTACAATTATATTTTGCAGCACAGGAAGTACTTGGATATCTGTATTTTCTAATTGGGAATTTTGAGAACTTTATTTTATAGCTGAAATGCCATGGTATTGGCGATACTTAATTAGTTCGCTTCATCTGCTAAAATTAATTTTCCTTTGACTCTAATTGTTTATAGGAATTTTCCATTCAGCTTGCTATTTTTGACTAATCTTTTATAAAACATCTAAGGGTGTTAGGGTGTTAGGGTGTTAGGGTGTTAGGGTGTTAGGGTGTTAGGGTGTTAGGGTGTTAGGGTGTTAGGGTGTTAGGGTGTTAGGGTGTTAGGGTGTTAGGGTGTTAGGGTGTTAGGGTGTTAGGGTGTTAGGGTGTTAGGGTGTTAGGGTGTTAGGGTGTTAGGGTGTTAGGGTGTTAGGGTGTTAGGGTGTTAGGGTGTTAGGGTGTTAGGGTGTTAGGGTGTTAGGGTGTTAGGGTGTTAGGGTGTTAGGGTGTTAGGGTGTTAGGGTGTTAGGGTGTTAGGGTGTTAGGGTGTTAGGGTGTTAGGGTGTTAGGGTGTTAGGGTGTTAGGGTGTTAGGGTGTTAGGGTGTTAGGGTGTTAGGGTGTTAGGGTGTTAGGGTGTTAGGGTGTTAGGGTGTTAGGGTGTTAGGGTGTTAGGGTGTTAGGGTGTTAGGGTGTTAGGGTGTTAGGGTGTTAGGGTGTTAGGGTGTTAGGGTGTTAGGGTGTTAGGGTGTTAGGGTGTTAGGGTGTTAGGGTGTTAGGGTGTTAGGGTGTTAGGGTGTTAGGGTGTTAGGGTGTTAGGGTGTTAGGGTGTTAGGGTGTTAGGGTGTTAGGGTGTTAGGGTGTTAGGGTGTTAGGGTGTTAGGGTGTTAGGGTGTTAGGGTGTTAGGGTGTTAGGGTGTTAGGGTGTTAGGGTGTTAGGGTGTTAGGGTGTTAGGGTGTTAGGGTGTTAGGGTGTTAGGGTGTTAGGGTGTTAGGGTGTTAGGGTGTTAGGGTGTTAGGGTGTTAGGGTGTTAGGGTGTTAGGGTGGTGTTAGGGTGTTAGGGTGTTAGGGTGTTAGGGTGTTAGGGTGTTAGGGTGTTAGGGTGTTAGGGTGTTAGGGTGTTAGGGTGTTAGGGTGTTAGGGTGTTAGGGTGTTAGGGTGTTAGGGTGTTAGGGTGTTAGGGTGTTAGGGTGTTAGGGTGTTAGGGTGTTAGGGTGTTAGGGTGTTAGGGTGTTAGGGTGTTAGGGTGTTAGGGTGTTAGGGTGTTAGGGTGTTAGGGTGTTAGGGTGTTAGGGTGTTAGGGTGTTAGGGTGTTAGGGTGTTAGGGTGTTAGGGTGTTAGGGTGTTAGGGTGTTAGGGTGTTAGGGTGTTAGGGTGTTAGGGTGTTAGGGTGTTAGGGTGTTAGGGTGTTAGGGTGTTAGGGTGTTAGGGTGTTAGGGTGTTAGGGTGTTAGGGTGTTAGGGTGTTAGGGTGTTAGGGTGTTAGGGTGTTAGGGTGTTAGGGTGTTAGGGTGTTAGGGTGTTAGGGTGTTAGGGTGTTAGGGTGTTAGGGTGTTAGGGTGTTAGGGTGTTAGGGTGTTAGGGTGTTAGGGTGTTAGGGTGTTAGGGTGTTAGGGTGTTAGGGTGTTAGGGTGTTAGGGTGTTAGGGTGTTAGGGTGTTAGGGTGTTAGGGTGTTAGGGTGTTAGGGTGTTAGGGTGTTAGGGTGTTAGGGTGTTAGGGTGTTAGGGTGTTAGGGTGTTAGGGGTGTTAGGGTGTTAGGGTGTTAGGGTGTTAGGGTGTTAGGGTGTTAGGGTGTTAGGGTGTTAGGGTGTTAGGGTGTTAGGGTGTTAGGGTGTTAGGGTGTTAGGGTGTTAGGGTGTTAGGGTGTTAGGGTGTTAGGGTGTTAGGGTGTTAGGGTGTTAGGGTGTTAGGGTGTTAGGGTGTTAGGGTGTTTAGGGTGTTAGGGTGTTAGGGTGTTAGGGTGTTAGGGTGTTAGGGTGTTAGGGTGTTAGGGTGTTAGGGTGTTAGGGTGTTAGGGTGTTAGGGTGTTAGGGTGTTAGGGTGTTAGGGTGTTAGGGTGTTAGGGTGTTAGGGTGTTAGGGTGTTAGGGTGTTAGGGTGTTAGGGTGTTAGGGTGTTAGGGTGTTAGGGTGTTAGGGTGTTAGGGTGTTAGGGTGTTAGGGTGTTAGGGTGTTAGGGTGTTAGGGTGTTAGGGTGTTAGGGTGTTAGGGTGTTAGGGTGTTAGGGTGTTAGGGTGTTAGGGTGTTAGGGTGTTAGGGTGTTAGGGTGTTAGGGTGTTAGGGTGTTAGGGTGTTAGGGTGTTAGGGTGTTAGGGTGTTAGGGTGTTAGGGTGTTAGGGTGTTAGGGTGTTAGGGTGTTAGGGTGTTAGGGTGTTAGGGTGTTAGGGTGTTAGGGTGTTAGGGTGTTAGGGTGTTAGGGTGTTAGGGTGTTAGGGTGTTAGGGTGTTAGGGTGTTAGGGTGTTAGGGTGTTAGGGTGTTAGGGTGTTAGGGTGTTAGGGTGTTAGGGTGTTAGGGTGTTAGGGTGTTAGGGTGTTAGGGTGTTAGGGTGTTAGGGTGTTAGGGTGTTAGGGTGTTAGGGTGTTAGGGTGTTAGGGTGTTAGGGTGTTAGGGTGTTAGGGTGTTAGGGTGTTAGGGTGTTAGGGTGTTAGGGTGTTAGGGTGTTAGGGTGTTAGGGTGTTAGGGTGTTAGGGTGTTAGGGTGTTAGGGTGTTAGGGTGTTAGGGTGTTAGGGTGTTAGGGTGTTAGGGTGTTAGGGTGTTAGGGTGTTAGGGTGTTAGGGTGTTAGGGTGTTAGGGT